GAAGAAACGAAAAGACGAGCTTTTTCTGCAACTTGGCGGCCCCAACTTGTCGAAAAAGCCTGTCAGCCGAGACCTGTTGAACAAGACCGCTGCGCCTTTTGCTGCTGCCTGGCCGGAGGGGCCCGGTGACCTTCCGCCCTAGGCCCTCCCTCGCATTTGTGCCTGGCCGCTAACTGAGGCCTTTTCTGGAAACTTGCAGCTGGGAACTTGTCCAATTTGCGCGTCTTCTTTTTGTGTTTCTTGTTGTGGGCTCTGGGGCCAAAGGAAACACTTCGACAGCGCCACTCCCTATCGCCGCCTGGCGTCCCATGGCCATGGTAGTGGACATTTTGAGCGCGTTTCAGAAGCCACCCAGTTGCTAGGCCGATTTCACTCCGAAAGTTACAGTACGCGGGGGTCTTTGGAGTCGATGGACTGGAACAACCACGAAGGTGGTAGCAATCATGCGCAACTTTTATGGCGCGCTTAAAGTCGCGTTTTTAAAAGTCATAGTTTTTTTTTTTGAAAGGTGGCGCAAAAACTGGGCACGCGGGTAGTTCAGTTAAATGCCGGCAGGCGAAACGCCGCACGCCTTGCCTTGGGTGTGTCGCCAAGAAATCTTTGCCATGCGCCAGAATTGGCACCGTCGGGAGGCTGGACGCCGCGACGCTACTGCCGCCTTTAGCAAGCTTGCCAGCAAGTGCACGCGATCCATTTTCACATCTCGCCGCATCCCCGGAAGTGAAGCAACACTCGTAGCGCAAGGCCGCGGGCGCTGCGCCTGTTGCCTCAGCTTGCATCGCTGCGACCCCACAACGGCGCCACCACGCTGGCCTCCCAACCAGCCGTAACAACAGACCTAGTGACCGCGCCACCCCTCGCGCCTCTACTGTTTTGGTCGCCTTCCAACCACGGCAAGGCCATTGCCGCGCCTCTCCGCCGAGACAGGCTGCTGCCACGCGTGCGGTGTTTTCCCTGTTGCGGCGTGGCCCCTGTGGTCTAGCATCGGAGGCGCGGCCCCAAGGCTAGGCCGCCCCAAAATCCTTCCGAACCGCCCCGCCCGCCCGAACCAGCCAGGGCCGCCGGCCTAAAAAGCCCCCCTTCAAGCCCCGGCTCGCCAGCGCCCCAAATTGGGCGCCCATTCGAAGCGCCATTCTGAAGCCCTCTCATTGGGGCCGCTTTCGGAGGCCTTTTGGGCAACCCTTGGTGGGCCACAATGGCGGCCCGGATGGCCTCCGGATCACCCCCCCTGGATTTCATGCAATCCCGAGCTAACTAGGCCCCCCAAGGAGGCCTCTGAAGAGGCCTCCGGAATGGGGTCGGCGGAGGTTGCCCTGGGTCTTTGGAGTCGATTGACTGGAACAACCACGAAGGTGGTAGCAATCATGCGCAACTTTTCTCTGAGATGGACACGAAGATAAAGGTTGGCACGCAGACCAACACTTTGGTCGAAGATTACTTGCAAATAAGGGATGCGAATGACAGTAGTCGTTTTGGTTTTCCTTTTCCTGCTCCCCCCGGAAGTACATCTGGTGCGGACGCGCAGCAGCGAAAGAACGTTAAAAACCAGTACAACTACGTGGTCCACCGCCAGAGCGAGAGCTCGCCGCATTTGCCCTTGTTGGCGGCGAGAAAGGGGATGGAGGAAGCAGGAACAGCCGTGCTCGATGGTGGTACAACTACAACAGGGGATAATGAAGATCCCAAGAAAAAACGTCCATCCTTCCAGACGTACCAGAAAACCGCGTTTAAAAATTCTTCGTCTCCCAGTATCTATTCCAAATCCAACGCGACGAAGTCCGGGCGGAAGATGCGGCGCCAGGAAAAGGACATATCAAATGTAAATATTTCTGGGTCTGGAAGATTGCAAGGTTTGCCATGCACATTTTGTATGACCCGTGATGTCTGCGATGTATGCCCCAGCATCACAAATTTTTTGCGGGTATCTTGATGCCTAACCCGCATGACAAATGCCCTCTCCGCGGAGCAAAAACTGGACGCCTCTTGCTGCTCATGCAATACAGATTTTTTTAGATTCCAAAAATAGCATCACAAGTTGCATTCTTCCAGACCCAGACACTTTTGCAATCCATAGGACACCGAGCCAGACAACTTGCACGACTTAGAAGAGGATGTGCTGAAGCCAAATCAGTTGGATTTCGAGCTGAAGGAGCAAGAAGATGGTGGCGCAGCTGGTCGTGAAGAAGACAAAAATAGGACCCCCGAAGGCCTGGCGGATGACTTCTTTCACAAATCCTCGACACGTCTGGCTAGTACGATGAGGTTGCCGACGAGCGGCAAGAACTCCTCGAAAAACAGTAGAAGTCCGCAAAGCGCGAAGAGTGAGAACATCAAAAGCGGGGCTGGCAGTGGTTCTGCTCCTGCTCAGCGCAGTCCTTTGATACTCGCCAAAAGTGCTGCAGCCGAGAACAACAGAGACAGCGATAAGAAAAGCAGTCCTGGGACGAGCGCAGAGCTTCACGACAAGAAGAACTATGGCGTTCTCAACTGTTACATTCTCAACTGTTACATGGATTTGCGATGCAAGAATGGCAAAACTGAAAGGGGGAAGACTGCGCCCTTTGCATGACAGATTTGGCGCAGATTCTCATCCTGTTTGGACCTTCGGGAATTTGTCATGCGAAGCAGGAGCTTGATCGTGTCGATTCTGGTCGGAATTTTGCATGGCAAATCATGTAACAGTTGAGAATGTAACATTTGAGAACGCCATAAGAACACAGCATCCAGTATGGAGTTGCACCGAGTCGAGAACCCGATGTTCGTAGTACCACATCAAGAAAGTGATAACAATATGGCGAAACGCGAGGAGACGAAATCGAAGACCACCTCCAGTGAAGATGAAAGCAATTATCAGGAGACGGATTCAATTCACGGGAGATCTGGTGCTGGTGAAGAGGATCCTGGTGGCATTGTTGCCACCAACGTCAACCTCGCCATTCCCTCCCTGGAGGCGGAACTGTTCCCGACCTCCTCTATCCCAGAGAAAAAAGCAGGCAGGGCAAATAATTTGTAATGCGAAAATAAATGAACAGAGAATCTGTGGCCATGGGCGACCTGATAGCATGCTGTTTAGGGCACGCAATACAGATTTTTTGTTGTCTATGTCTTTTTTTTGGGATTACATGACCTGCCTGCTTTTTGCTGTGTGATAGTCTCCGACGATTACTACAATCAGGAATTCGACGAATTCCGAGGGGGGAGAAACTGGACCACAAGCATGGGCACCCTATCAAATGCAAAAGTGTCTGGGTCTGGATGAAGGATGCAAGGTTTGTCATGCACATTTTGCGTGACTCCTGATGTCTGCGATGCATGCCCTAGCATCACAGATATTGTGAGGGCGTTCTGATGCCTATACCGCATGAAAAATGCCCTCCCGCCGTGGCCAAAGCAGGCCTCTTTTGCTGTTCATGCAATACAGATTTTTGGATAATGCAGACGCAGCATCACAAGTTGCATTCTTCCAGACCCAGACATTTTTGCACTTGATACACCCGGGGCTGGAACAACAATTCGGATCAGGAATCCGTCGTGGAATCGCTGGTGTTGAGTAGCCCTGCGTTATCCAGGAAAAAACACGCATCCCCATCCAATTTGTCATGCATAAATTGCATGCAGTGTAGTTTGTCATGCAAAAAATGGATGGGGGTGGGTGTTTTTTCCTGGATATGCGTCCGACCAAGATTTGCAAGAGTTGCAAGACGAATTGGATCTATTGAACGAGCTTGCCGAAGAACAAGGACAACAGGACCACATGGAAACCACAACTGATCGGAACGAGGATCAGGATCGCAACACGGAGAGCGAACAACACAGTCCGGTGGGTTCGAAGGAGAAAGCGCAAGGGCAAATGGTAGTACACACTTACGAAAACAGTATCGAGCAGATGATGCTGAACAGACAGAAAGATGTAGATCAGATTCACCAATTCACTAGTGGCGACCTTGGTCGTGAAATGAATAACCCAAACGACCCACGACTCTCTGAAGAGCAACCCTCCTCCGCGACGAGCAGCAAAGCAAAGTCTGCCGCAACCACCTACGGCGGTGCCACGGCGGGAACTGCTTCGCGCGCAAACGCTTTGTCGGACCTCGGAACCGCTAGGGATTCGCAGGCAACGCTGCTGAGTGACGAGGATCTGAAGCGCCAAACGCCGTTGTTATTGCCGGAGGGACTCCTGGATAACGTTGGCGGGGGTGTGCCGCAGGGGGATAAGGATAAGAACCCAGCGGGGGAACACCAGGATGGTCTCCATGGGAGTTGTACAACCAGCATGATCGATGAGAACAGTGTGAAAAATATCCCCCAGAAAAAGACCGACAGGTCATATTTGTAATGCAAAAATAAATAGACAAAAAAATCTGTATTGCATGCCCTAAACAGGATGTTATGGCCTCGCCCATGACAGATTTTCCTGTGTATTTTTTTTTGCATTACAAATATGACCTGTCGGTCTTTTTCCGTGGGATAAAAAACGATGTTGACGAGCTACAAAACTCACCGTCCCGGCTATCAAAAGGAAAAATCCCCCGTCCCCATATCAAAACGAAACTTCTGATGCTGGATTTGAGTACACAAATCAGCTTTGTATTGCAGGAAAGCATTGCAGTCAGGTCCCCAGGCTAGGTAGGGGCGTATGCGTCTAGTTGTTCAGCATGGCAAACGGATTCCCTTGAGGCCCAACAGCATGACGAATCGCCTCCGTAATGGGGCGGAAGCTTCTGCCCTTGCCTTCTTGCAAAACAAATGTGATTCGTGACCTCAAATCAGCAACACAAATTTTCGAAAGCATGCTTTTTCAATATGGGGAGGGGGGATTTTTCCTCTCAATACCGGCGGGAACGGCGTTACCTGCTAGATCCGCTATCGGTGTCTTCGCACCAAACGAGCTATGACATCGCGATGAAAAACCGACCGGTTTTGTCACATTCCTCATCGAAGTATGCAGATGATGGCAGGAGAGTTTTTTGAGTCAAGCCGGGTGTTCTTAAGCCACAGGCGCTTTCTTTGGTCCCACAGGTTGTAAGTACTTACTTACTTTTGGGGTTCAAAGTCGGTCTCATGGAAAGTATTGTCGAGTACATCTATCTCATTGATTGCAAAATTTCTTTTTCGTTCTTGCCCGCCCGCCGAGCTACCAAGCCGCCCTCAAACGCGAAGCGCAGCTTTTTCGGGTTTTTCTTGTCATTTTGCAGCGCGAAAGTATCGCCAATTTTCAAAATTTTTGCAAAATTTTCTTTTCGTTCTTCGTCCGCCCGCCGAGCTACCAAGCCGTCCTCAAACGCGAGGCGCAGCTTTTTCGGTTTTTTCTTTGCATTTTGCAGCGCGAAAGTATCGCCAATTTACAAAATTTGGCTGAATTTCTGTTCCGATCTCTGCCGCACGCCAAGCTACCAAGCCGCCCTCACATAGGTCGAGCCGCACTTATTTTTTGTGTGATTTTGCGGCAGGGATCGCGAATTTTTTAGATTGCGCCAAATTTTCTTTTCGATTTTTTTCCGCGACGGTGAAGTGAAGATGAACATGAACGTGAAAGACTTTATATAAGTACTGACTGGAAAAACATTCTCCCTCCATATCGCAGCACGGAGAAGCAGTGGTGGAAGCAGTTGGACCGGGACGCAGCGCCGGCTCGACGCTTTACGACAGCAGCAACATATGCAAGGGAAATCCTTACCATGTGATATCGGGGTCTGGAAACTTTGACTTTGCCAGTAATATCTCTAAGAATAATAGAGAAACTACGCACTCTAGTAGAACGGCTTCCATGACAATTGTTTTGAAGGATCGCGCGCAAAAATGCGCAACAGTCTTATGTCTCTGTGCCGCGCTTTGTGCATTTTTGTTTCATGATTCGACGTCCGCAGTAGTCTGGTAACCAAATGCGTGCGCGCGCGCGCGCAGAGCGCGCGCCGGCCCACGAAGCCGGCGCGCGCGCTCTGCGCTCTTGCGATATTGCTTAGCAAACGCAGCGCGAAGGCAGTTGCCGTTACCATATAGGGCAACCGCCGGGAGGCGTGAAGGTCAGGGAAGTCGGGGGATACAGGTGCGGGGAAGCTCCGCGGAAGGTGCGCGGAAGCAAAGTGCGGCCATCCGCAAAAAACAGAGAAAAAACGCGCCGGAGCATCGGGGGAAGCTGAAAAATCAGCGTTTTTCCCTCTGGGCCGCAGCTGTATCCGAAAAAAAGACTACGCAAAATTTCGAATCCTCGGTGCGATGCTCGTCGCCGATTCAGGCTTTCGGACCTGTTCGGAGACCCAGGGCCGATGCCACGGCGAAAAAAAGCGGGAAAAAAACGCGAAAAAGATGCCGACTGTAGGCGGGGGAAGGGCGTCGTCGAATTTTGTGCAGAACCGCCCGCCCGATGGGTACCCGGAAAAAAGGAAAAAAACGGAAAATTTTGCGAATTGCAAACAGGATGGGCAGACGCCGCCCGGAGGGGAACTTGGAAAATGTGCGGAGGCCTTCCGCCGCTAAGTCTCCGGAAAAACAAGAAGAAAATGCAAAAAAACGAAATCGCTACGCCGCATTACAAACTGGCCACCGAGGGCGGTTCGGGGGGCGCGCACTTGCGTCATACCCTCGCGATTGGAAAAAAAAAACGGCGCTGGCATCGGGCGGAGGCATGTTACAAAATCCCCATTTGGCCGGTGTTGTGGGCACCAATTCGGGACCTCCGCCGCATCTGAAATGGACGACTTTGGTGGCCCGGAAGGGCTGCCGAAAATGACAAAAATTGCGAAACTTTTTGAAATTTGTGTTTTTTCCGAGCCAGCTTGCCGTCGTGCATAACATTATGCGCGACGGCATAGTGGCCTCCAAAAAATTGCATGTTTTTCAAGGGGCATCGAAAGGATGCCCCGCTGCGAGATGGCCGGACTTCGCCTTCAATGCTTATCGCAGGAGCCCGCGGGCCGCCGCGGGCGACAGTAGATAAGGGCCGCGAGCACAACTGCGGCCCGCGACTCAAGAAGAAGAAGCGGGGTTCTAATTAAAAAGAAATGGTGGTGGCAGCCGCGCGGCGAAAGCGCGGCCCGCGCGCTGGTTAGATTTTCGCGCACGCATTTGGTTACCAATATCGCCCTCCGGGCGCGATCTTCATACATTCTTTCGGGTGGAGACCCAGGAGCTACATCATTTGTTTCCTTTGCAGTGCATAGAACAGGACGAGTTGCAGAACAGCACACTTGTGGTTCAGACCATGTACAGAGACGAAGAGGACGGGCAGCATTCGGACGCGACGGATTCGCCGCTCTCTACTCCGTCAATCAGGATGGGGTCGTTTTCCCGGTCTAACCTCGACCAGTCTTTGCTTCACTCCGCGCACGGCTCTTCGGGGGGCTTGATCGCCGCCGCAAAAAATTCCGCACTGATGAAATCTGCGCTCCGATCGGGGGTTCATTCCCCCCCGGTTGTCGTAGACCCAAGCACCATATTCGCCGCGAGCTCCAACTCTGCGTACCGGCAACAATTGCTCCGGTCCGCAAGATCCATGCCTGTGGAACGCGTCCGGTCGCATCCAGGCTTTTCGTCCATCGAACCGCACAACAGCCGGATCGGGATCCCGCCTTTTCTGAACAATGTCGCGACCACAGGCAACACAGGAGGTTCGGGCGCTTTGGATTTCAGCAAAATGAATAAACGGGGCACCTCCGGGAGTAACCGGTATTTCGCGGACCATTTACGGAACAAATCTGGCCCGCACCAGAAGCGGTTGCCCAACCGGTACTTGGTATTGCAGGACGTGACGCATAACATGCTGTTGCCCTGTGTCTGCGACATCAAAATTGGACAGCAAACCTACGACCCGCTGGCGAGCGCGTCAAAGCGCAAGAAGTGCATCGAAAAGTACCCACTGCAAGAGAAGTTGGGATTTCGACTGGTGGGGATGAAATACACAAAAGTGATGCGACTGCATTTCAAAAACGAAGATCCAGGCACAGTACAACAATGCAAGGAAGTTGCTAGCGCTGACAGAGAGAAGACTACATCTTCACCCGAAGCTAGTACTGCGGCCGTCGAGGACATCACCAGCAGCTCAGCTAATGACGGTGTTGAAACAGGCCAAGGCAAAGGGACAGCAGAAGAAGAAGGTCCTAGTCACAAACATGATCTTTCCAACCGTCTAGAAAAGATTTTCCGGGTGAGTAAGAGAGACAGCAAGTGGGGTCTTCGGCTGAACGAGAAGACGGTGCTGCACGGCCTGGAGCTGTTTTTCAAGTACATCGAAGCCGTGTCGCTGAAGAAAGGGGTCGTAGTCCAAGATCAAGATCAGCACGGTCTGCACGCAGCCGGGGTGATGTTAAATGGCGAGAAGCCGGTCGCGCAGGAGGTCGTGCACCATGACGTGCACATTCCGGATGAAACGGATGAGAAATTGCAGTTGGAACTGCGCTCGAAGATGCTGCAGAAGTTTTTGATGCTACTCGAGGAGATCTACGAAATTTTAGAATCCCCGACGTCCGGGGAGGTAATCAGCAAGGACGTGTCAGGGGAGGAGAGTGAGGTCGTGTCAGCAACTTCTGCTGCGGGCGGAACGACGACCGGTGCAACCGTAACGTCGGATAAAAAGCATGATGCGCACCAGCAGGAACAACATCAACAGGACGAGGAAGTGGGTGCAGGAGCTACGAGTTGTGTTGCGCATGAGCTGCGTGACGCAACACAAGTTATTTGCGAAAAGAATCGACCTTCTTCTCTACTGCCCCCGCGCTGGAAGCTGTTTTCCAGTTCCTTGCTGCTGGTGTACGACATGGCGGATCCGGTAAACACCTTCTGGGTCTACCTGATCGACTTCGCGCACGCGTTCCAGATCGACATGAGCAAATTTGAACTTGACGAGGACAGTGAGGTAGATAACTGTGCTGAAGAGGGCGCAACTGCAACCCGGGAGAGTGACAAGACGAAAACGGAAGATGTAGTCGCGGAGAAAAGAACAGCAACAGAGACCAAGCCAGCAAGCAAAGACGAAGCAAGCTGCAAGACCTCCAAGGACAAAAAATGCTCCAAAAATGCAGAAAAAGACGACGGCTACCTCTACGGGTTACAGAATTTAATTCACTATGTGAAGCAGATGCAGCAGCGCGTGCAGAACAAAAATTTCGGAAAAACGGAAAGCTCCAGTGTGGGAGGAAATTCCGATGAGTTTTTGGTGAACAGTCCGCCCGATAATCTGAGCTCGGGCGCAGCTGGTGTCGGGGCGTGAGTTCTGATTTTTGTCCGGTACTTGCTTTGAGTTTACGAATGGACCTTTGATGTTGCATCTCCTGATTCTAACTACAAGAGCAGGAATTTGGAAGAAAAGACATTCGAAAGAATCACGACCATAAACCGATAGAACCATAGCACGTAGACACATCCTCAACACTAAACCAAAATTACAACAACTCTCGTATGATGATGCAAGGAACAAGACGAAGCTAGACACCACGGCGCAAGAAAAGAGAAGAAGAAAAGTGATTTCAGAGTTGTACTCGCAGCGTTTTTCATTTTCCTTAAGAAGTCTGCATGGGCATCCTGTACATCTCTCTCTCACTCTGCAAAAAGAAAGCCTATGACCGCGATCACAATACAAAAACGATGAGCTCGCCTTGCAGCGTCTATTTCAAACTCGAAATGCGTTGCCTATCCCGAATGTAAAGGTAAAACATTCTTTCAAGCTGTCGTTTTGGCAGCACTATTTCCACTACGATTTCCGCACCTGTGGCGTACTGAGGCGACGCAGCGAGGCACAACGAAATAAAAAGATCTTTTTTTCTGCTTTTTCCAGGAAGGTGCACTACCATTTTCACTTTTCCGGCGAAGGCGGTCTTTACCACTTTGCTCTCTAAAGTCGGCTATCACGACGTTCACTCTGTGTCTCTCATTTTCCTTCTCCATGCTATAATTTTCCAAAAGAGCTGCATCAATTTTTCGTTCACAAAAAAATAGCGAAAAACTACAAAAGTCAAAAGATGCCGTGTGGGTATGAACGACGGTTTCATGTTGGCTGCGGTCGTGGCACAACAAGAACTGCTATCTGAAGTATAAGCAAAAGAAAAGCGTTCGTCCGCAACGGTTTGGTGATCGATTGTTTGAAAAAAACTTAACGACAGCAATAGCTTGCTCAGTCAACATGCCCGCCGTCAAGCCAGGGGACTGGTATTGCGGCAAGTGTGGTGTGCTTTGTTTCGCCAGCCGCGACTTTTGCTACAAGTGTAACGCCACCCGCGCCGACGGGCGGATCGTCGAGGCGCACGAGTGCGACCACCCGGACACCTGGACAACTTCCAAGGGGAAGGGAAAGTACAACTCGGATCATGCCGCGCACGGCGGGGGCGGCTGGGGCAAGGGGAAAGACCGTGACAGGAGCAGAGATGGTGAGCGGGCTAAAGGCGACCTCCACGAGCCAGATTCCGACCGGTGGAAGGCAGATTTCTACGACAGTGACAAGGACCGTCGGGACAGTGAGGATGGGAAGGGAAAGGGAAAATTCAAGCAGTACGTGGAGCGGGTACAAGACTAATATTGTTCTACTATCTCGTGGTGAAATTGAAATTCTCGATCGGAGTTTTTTTTTCGAATACACCTCTTCGATATTCATTCGTGTAGTCATGATTATGACCTTGGGCATGTGTGTTCGATGTTGTTGTTAAACAGAATAAGATAAGGAGATTAGAGCGACTCCTAAAACATGACTGTCGAAACCCAGGCGGGCGATTGGTACTGCTCGAGTTGCGGCAAGCACAACTTCGCGTCGCGCAACGAATGTTTTCGCTGCGGCGCCGAAAAGAACCGGAAGGCGGTGGTGGCCAAGGGTGAGGAGAAGTTTGTGAAGCCCTCCGGCTTCATATGCATTGCAAAAGTATCGTACTAGTATAAAACGCATTACAAATTTTCCCAAGAAAAAAAATCAATTTGTCATGCTATTTCAGGTAGAAAGTTGGATTTGTCATGCATATCTGCAATTAGTACGAGTGCAGTGCGATACTTTTGCACAGGATGCTTCACCAACTGGTACGATTACCAGGGCAAGGGGAAGGGCAGCGCTGGCGGCCGGCCCTCCTCGGACAAGCGCTACCACAGTCGCGGACGCTCCCGATCGCGCGGACGCTCACGATCGCGCGGACGAGCAGCCCGTCGGAAAAGCAGTGCGAGTCCAGGAGCTCGGGGAGGGGACAAAAGAAGAAAAGGTAGTTCGGACAGCCGCAAGCGACAGCGCAGTGCGTCTCCGGTGGAAAAGAAAAGTCCGGAGGCCTCGTCGAAGAACAAAAGACCTGCTGGCGATCGAAGTCCTAGTCCAGTGCGCGCAGCAGAGAAAGTAGCTTCATCGTCCAGATCGAAGAAGTCCAGAAAGAAATCTGACTCCTTGTCTCCGTCTCCCAAGAAGCAAGAGAAAACGCCCACCCCGAAGCCGAAGCGAAAAAAGAACGAAAACAACCCCTTCTCGCCTTCTCCAAGCAGGGACGATGAGGAGAACAGAAGTAAAAGTAGGGAGAGTGAGAAGAGCAAGAAAAGTGAGGGCGCTGCTCGTCGTGGGGACCACAGTGCGAGAAGCAAGAAAAGCACCGGCTCAAATAGCAAGACAAAAGAACTTTCCGCGGAAAAAATAAAGCGGGAAAAAACGTCTCCGCGGACGACGAAGAGCAAGAGCAACAAGAGCAACCGGTCTGCCCGTAGCCGCACCACGTCCTCCCAACGCGCCAAAAGGAATGCGACGTTTGCGAAGAATACCTACCACTACAGCGGAAACTACAGAGAGCAACCAGGCTACCGCGGCTATAACTACGACGACTGGCACCGCAGTGGGCGCCGTTATGACGACTGGTACAGCGGTCGGGATTGGCGGCTCCACGACAGAGTAGATTACGGCTATGGCAAGGGACCGCGTCGGCACAGCCGCGGACCTCCACGGAGCGGTCGTGAGGACCGCAAAGAACAGAAAACTAGCCGCGACCGCATCAAAAGTCGCTCGCGAAGCGGAAGTCCACCTCCCAAAAAACGCGACTACAAGGCCAGTATCTACGAACGTGTTCGGGGGGCCGGGGACGGCGTAGGGCATGAAGATAATGGCAGTACTAAGGACAACGAAAGTAGGGAGAAGGACAAGAGAACATCAAGCAGCCATCCAGCGCCAAGACGCAGGTCGTCACCCCGAAACGACAGCCGCGGCCGACGGGGCCGTAGTAGTCGTCGCGGGAAGGGAGGGTGGGGTCCGCTCGTCTGCAGAGAAGGCGAGTGGAAGAGGGCCCGCGAGCAGTGGCCCGATTTAGGTGTAATAGAAAAGGGCAAAGGAAAGTTCGGGAAGCGCCTGCCTGGAGACTGGGACTGCGTATTGCTTTTGCCTTTCGTCTATTCGGTGCACGTAAGAAGTAGTCGTGTGCATGCTTTTGTCCCGACCATTATTGAATAAACACGACATGATGTTCACTAAATGATAGACGGGGATCCAATCATGATATATCAACGAATCGATGAAAAAACGCCAGCCCAACGCTAAGTGCGGGGTGGTAAACTTCGCTTTGCGTAGCGAGTGTTTCCTGTGCAAGGAGCGCAAGCCCGGCGCCACTGCTGCCACATCCTCGAAGCGACAGCGCAGTCGCAGCAAATCTAAGTCCAGGTCGCAGTCGCAGGTCCGGCAGCGTGAGGAGAACTCCGATGACGACGAGCGCTCTCCGTTGACATGGAAGAAATTTGTGCCGAAAAGGTTGCGAGCGGGCTCGAAAGAGCGGGCGTAAGGAGACAGGAGGGCGCTGTTGAGAAGAACTTCATTGTAATCCCACTGACAATAATTAAAAATCTTCTTCATTGTTCTTTTACAAACCAATAAGTCCACGTCACTTGAATTGCGCAGTAAGTACCTACTCACACTGTTTGCAGTGGAAGAAGCGATTTTTGACACACTTATCTTTTCGCTTTGATGAACACAATCATTTTCTTCCGTAAGTACTCGAACAAGAGAAGAGAGCAAGAGGCCTAGGCGCCGATGAGACTGTGGCGGGGAAGCAAATTCGTGCACGTTTGAAGATGCACATGCGTCGTCCTGTTCCGCGATTGAGAATAGCGAAGAGCGCGGAGTCTCTGTCCTGTGAAATGGACCTGAATCAGTGTACTTATATTCGTGCGGTAAGAAACTAGAAGTTTTCGGACCTCTGCTCCAGCAGGTCAACCTAATGCAAGTTCAAAAAATTGCCGCCAGGATCATCAATACACGGGATCGAAATCAACAGCACCATCTTGACAAGACCAAAATCAAGAAACAGATGAGAAATTGCTTGATCTACACTCTGTTGGAGGAAAACAAAACATTCTTTTTCTTTCATCGTCTGTGGGATCTGAAATAAACTCTCTACTCTAGCCCTGCTCTTGGCATAATGCAAATCGAATTGCTCCGATCGTTTTTTCTGTCTCCGAACGAAGCAATCTACTTCTGTCTCCAAACGAATCAATCTACTTGTGTCTCCAACGAATCGCAGTCGAAACAAACTCGGAAAACATTTTTTTCTCAAGAGACGATAGTCGCGACAATTTTTTTCCAAAAAGTCCTAAAGCCACGACCGAATCCAATTTCTTGAAATTAAGAGCATTATCTCAAAAAAACGTAGTGGCGCTTTTGTTTTTTTCAGCAAAATAAACGAATATTTGTTCTGAGAAGCACAGATCTGACAACCTTGTTCAACATCGCAACAGTAGTTCTCACCACTCTGCAAAGATGTTGATCGATCAGGCCGCTCCGGATTTCACCTGCCTGGCTTGCATGCCGGACAACAGTTTTCAGGAGGTGACGCTGTCCAGTTACAAGGGGAAGTATGTGATTGTCTTCTTCTGGCCCGCGGACTTTACCTTCGTGTGCGCCTCCGAGGTGCCGGGCTTCAACAAGCTGCTCCCGGAGTTCCAGAAGCGCGGATGCGAAATCTTGGGCGTCTCCACGGACACCCACCACGCACACAAGGGGTGGAAGCTGCTGCCCAAGGAGCTCGGAGGACTCGGCTGTGACATCCAGTACTAAAAATTTTTGACCTCTGCTTAAGATATTTTTTTTATGGCATGGTATAAAGAAGCGCCCTTAATGATGCCTGCTCGAAAAAAAAGATAAAAGATCTGCCTTGATGAACTATGGTTGTGGAGTGCACCAGCCAAAGGCATAGCGAAGCAGCAGTGGTGGTGGACAAAAAAAAATGATGCAACGAATTTTATGTGAAAACCCTTGTCACAGGTATCCCATGATCGGGGACAAAACGAAGGAGATCGCCGCCGCCTACGACGTTTTGCAGGGTGATGGCCTCTGCGCCCGGGGTGTGTTCCTCATCGACAAGGAGGGCATCGTCCGTGCGGAGAGCAAGAACTGCGATCCCCTGGGCCGTATTTGAATTTATTAGATTTAGGCTTAGCTCCTGTTGACTGGCATATTGCATAACAGATAGACCGTTCATCTGTGTGGTTTTTTTCAGTATGGCAAACTCCATTTTTTGTCCAACATCTTGTGAGAAATTTAGACGAATGTCGTAGTTCCTCCCGGTGCGAGAGCGATGCTTTTGCGAAACAACTGAAAAATATATGAACTGCAAAAGTATCGTACTCGTATAAATGCATTACAAATTTCCTCAGCATGAGAAATGCATTTTGTATATGCGAACTTGCCTTAAGAAAAAAATTTGTAATGCGTGACTGCATCACAACTACAGGCAACTTGGACGAGCCGCTGCGTCTGTTGGACGCGTTGCAGTTCCACGAGAAGTCCATATCAAATGTAAAAATGTCTGGGTCTGGAAGAATCTAAACTTGTGATGCTGTCTCTGGATTCGAAAAACATTTGTATTGCATGACCAGTAAGAGGAGTAGATTTTGTGCTCCACGGAGATGGCATTTGTCATGCGGAATAGGTATGAGGAAGCGCTCTAAAAATCTGTGATGCTACGGCATGCATCACAGACATCATGGGTCATGGAAATATGCATGACAAATCTAGAAATGTTCCAGACCCAGACACTGTTACACTTGATAGTCCATTGCGGAGGGCAAGAAGCAGGTGTGCCCGGCCCAGTGGAAGTTGGGCAAGAAGGGGCTCACCCCCACCATGGAGGGTGTGGGCGAGTTTAACAAGGAGGGAGGCGTCGACAACTACATCGCCTAAGGAAGAAGATCATTAGACACTGCTAAATAGTATTTATTTTTCGCCCTACACTAATGCAGAGTGCTACAGTGTGTGCGTTTTTGGTCCCCTCTGAACGACGTGTGTGAGTGTGAGGCCCACACCCAAGTCCGGAAAAACCTAGCCTCATAACAGCCGCGCCCTTAAGGTATAGATCAACTGTTCGCCATAGAGGATCGGCGTTCAGCTGCTCTCGGGCTGGAGGAGGGAGTAGCACGCAGCAGTCCGCTAAAGGGCACACTGCCAACATCATCATCAGAATAAGGTAACAAGGAGCCTGGACGTGACCGGGGGGGTCACGTCCGGCCGGCCGGACGGACGGCACGTGACCGGGGGTCGGTCGTGGCGCGCGGACGTGGTGGCCGCTGCGACGCGCGCGCCCGGGCAACTTAAAAAAAAAAGGTCATGAGCTCGGCATGTCACTGAAGAAGCGCCTCTGTTGGCCACGCTCCGCCCCCCGGTCACGCCGCCGGGGGCCGTCAGCTAGATCGGGCGCCCAACTAAAAAAAAAAAAGGTCATGAGTTCGGCCTTCACGAAAAAAGGGCGCGAATCCTCCCAATGCTCCGGCCCCGGTCGCGAGGCCGAGGCCGGCGGTTGTCTTGCTCCAGCGGCCACCACGTCCGCGCGCCACGACCGACCCCCGGTCACGTGCCGTCCGTCCGGCCGGACGGACGGACGTGACCCCCCCGGTCACGTCTAAGCTCCTTGTTACCTTATTCTTACAATTGAATCGAAAGCTTTTATGGATTTACCTTTATGCGGACCAACACAAGTAATGATCAATCAACACAGGTTGTTTCAGAAGTCCATTCGCGCTAGCAGACTTCTGGGAGTGAAACAGTTATTTTACCCAGTAGCTGCAACTCTCATCTCTGGCTTCACACGTAATTACCTTTGTCACTTCATCTCCTGCCACAAGAGTGGCATTGTACGTGTAATGATGACAGAGGAGCTACCGGAACAGGCCACAGGACTCACTGAGAAGCCGCCATAATATTTTTGTCATCGAGGGGCTAAGTATGTAAGCAAGGCGGAAATGGTTGCTGTACTACTGGCTGAGTGTACACAAAGATAAGTACTTAAGTATGTCAAACCTTAGTGGATTTTGACCGAGCGTAGGCAGTCGTCTCATGCGCGCCCGCGAGCGGTCATCTGATGCGAATTTCAATTTCTTTTTACATGAGATGGTTGCACTAAAAAATGAAAAACTATCGAGACGACGAAGCTTGTTCGAGAATGGTAAAGCGTAAGATGTAATGCTACTTGCAAATTTCGAGAACATCAAATCTTGGAATAGTTACAGGCGCGTCCGATTCTTCTGAGTCAGATTCTTCTGATATGGTAGCAATTGCAATTAGCAATAATTCTCTCGAGCTGCGCATTATTCTCATGTGCAGCCGGCGTTCTACCCCCAACACCCATTCGAACGAAACTCCTACCGCCTCAAATCACAGTTGCGAAACCAATGAAACCAAAATTGCTGAAAACAACCCGAATGTTTGAACCCTCTTCGCAAACCATTTTACTTACACTTCCATATCCCGACTGAGTACCTCAAAAAACGAGCCAAAGACGTATAAGCTGGTCGTGAAAAAGCTGCTTTACAACTACTCCGTTCTTCGAAAAACGAACTGTAGGCCCGCTCGAGAGCGGTTATGCAACTCGTGCGTACGCTCGGTCAGGTAAGGGTGAAAAACCTCGTACGTGTTCGTCGGAGTAGTACGAGTCACGGATCACAACCATCCCAGAGAAAGCACAAATAAATCCAAGATCACAAACTTGAGCTTCAGAACAGATCATGGCGTTGACGCACGTGATATAACTACATGGCACCGTCTCCCACCTCCGTGCACTACACAGAAAGCCCAGCTCTGTCTTATGTTGTATTTGTATTATAGGAAAAGAACTGAGAACAATCAGTGGAGCACAGCGGAAGGTCGAAGGCCATATAAAATCGGCCCGAGGAAAGATCCAGATCCTGCGATGGAGAGTCTCAACACAGCACATCGGTTATGCCAGTTGGGTCTGGTGCCACCTGGTTACTAACGCTAGTAATTCTTAAATGCTCGAGATCGAGTCGGTATCGGTGACAATTGCGATGTGCATCTGTTTGATCTGTGTTAAATCGGATTGCAAAAGTAGAGGGATCAGAAGGGAGATCTTAATACGGAACAATGCGATCAGCGGCAACTGGTGCTGATAATAAGATGTCGATCTTGTTACCAACAACCGCGAACTTCAAACCACAACAGGATAAAGATCAATTGCATCTGCATATACTATTACACGATCCTCGTAAAGAAGTTCACACTAAACTATTCGAGTCGTGTCCTCTGCAAATTCGTCACATTCCTGCATCGCCTTGTACGTCCACTGTGGTCCTCTCTGCACGCGTATTCAGCTGTCCATTGCATACTCTGGCTATCTATTTCTTCTGACATAATTCGGGGATTTTGTTATCGCAATCTCTTCCCAAAAATTGGGTACTGTTCTTTTTCTTGGGCGGAGAAAAACTAACTACTGGGGTCCGCTTTTAGTACTTCATCCAATCGTCCAAAACTTGTTTTTATGACTAGTACATTCGTTCTAAAACAAAAAGATATGTTCTCCACATCCGTCATGTCCTCTGTGTCGTCCTCTAAATGCCGCAAAACCGTTCTGTTTGCCGGTTTTCTGGCGGTGAGTCTCTCCACAGAGCCTGTTTCCGCATTCCAGTTGAAACTGAAAGAGGCCCAGCCGGACCTGGTGATCACTGATGCGGCTACAGGCGCTCCGATCCCGGACGCGCCCACCATGGGGGACGTGATCAACCAGTTCGCGTTTCCCATCGTCGACGCGGACTACGAACAGCCCCTCGTCGGCGAACTGAACACCTTCCGCGACCCGGACGCCAGTCCGACTCGCCCGCTCGGGTGGCACTTACAGATCAAAAATTTCGACGACCAATCTCGGACCTACACGATTGTGAAAGAAAGGGAGGTCGTGGAAGATGTGATTCCGGACGCCGAGGGCATCTACTGGCAAAACACGGTGACATTTCGGTCCGAACCTGAGCAAGTTTTCATGGCACACGGCTTTCCGTTTCCGTCCGCAGTGGAACAGGCAAGACGGAGGTCCTCCGGTAGTGGAGACGCAGCTGCGACCTCGTCCAGGTCCAACCTGATTACCGCCCAGGCCCGGAACGCGGAAAACTTTTACCAGAAAATCAAGAATTTAGACCGACTATTACAGAAGCGGATCAAGGGGTACGACCCCCGGAACTGCCAGCTCTTGTACAAAAACATGAACCCAACAGGCGGCGAGGTGAAGTACCACGATTTACTCCGCCTTTCCTGGGAGGAAATTCGGGACTTGGAGCTGAAGTTCCCCTTTGCGGAGAACCCCATGAACGTCGCTGATCAAGTGATGGCGAGCCGCACGAGGCGGGAGTTGAATCAGTTGATGGAGCAGAATTTCTACATATGCATTGCAAATATGTCTGGGTCTGGAAGGTTGGAACTTGTGATGCGGATTCTGGAACAGGCAAAAATTTGTATTGCATGATCGCCAAAAGCTGCCCATTTCGTGCTAGGCAAATTGGGAATTTCCCATGCAGGATAGGTATCAGAAGGCCTGCGCAAAACCTGTAATGCTTTTGCGTGCATTTTTACAGACCATGTGCATAGTCCAAAAGATGCATGACAAACAAGGGCATGCCTCCAGACCCAGTCATATTTGCATTTGATACTACACCCTCTACGTCAAGCAGGTGGATTTGTCCCTGGTCTCCTTATTGAAAAACAACTTTTTCGACCCGGGACACGACAGCGTGCTGGTCGCGGAAGTGATCCGGCCCTCGATTCCGAACAACAGGGGGTCTTTGTGGCTGACGTTGGCGGAATTTGCGACGATTGTGTCAAGGATGGTGCTGTTCGAAAAGCAACGCGAGCTGGAGGCCGCGGTCGCGTATGATGAGTTTAACATGAACATGCGGGGTAGAAGTACAGGTGCTCTTGACCATCTTCTTCCCAGTCGTGGTAGTTCCCCTTCCACCAGATCCGGGTCGTCCCTCGCCGCCGCAGCACGAACCCGATTTTTTAACGGGACTTCTGCGCAGCAGACGACGATGTTGAGCACCACGTCGACCCAAAGTAGCGCTGCTGTGACAAGAGCTGGTGCAGCAACTCGTAGCAGCAGCAGTGGGGCACTCAGTAGAGGAGCAGGAGGTGGACCACGAGCAAGTGCGGGCGAGGTTGCAGCTTCATCTAGAAGTAGTGCCGGAGCTGCTTCGAGTTCTGCGTACGGGGAGAACTACAATTATGTCACGTACCCCAGCCGTAGCTCCAGCAGCAGCAGAGTTGCAGAAGGTGCTGGTGCGAGTCAGAGTGGTCCCCGCCGGGAAAGTAGAAGCACTAGTCGGGCAGGGACGACGAGTGCAGCAGGAACCAGCGGGCGTCGTGGAAATTCTACAACTCGTGCAGGCACTACGACCCCTGGAGCAGCTGCTAGAGGTCCCTTTTCAAGAACGTCTCGATCTGCAAGCAACAGCACAACAAGGCGTGTAACAGATATTGACGTTTCCGCCGTTGCACCAGCCGCTGCGTTGCGCCAGTCCGAGCAACTACAGCCAGGGCAACAATCGTTGAATCAACCACGACATGATCAACGACCTGCTGACACTCTTCATTCCGAAGAGGACGCTGCGAAGCACAGGCAGTTCCTGAAGAAGTACGAGTTTCCGCTCCTTGCCAAGTCCAGCGAGTTGATGCAGGAGCTGTGGCAGGGCTTGGCGGTCTACTGTGAAAACCAGGAAAAGCCGGATTTGGTCCGGACGGAAGACGAGAAACAAAACAATCTGAAGGAGCTGAAATTTTTATGCGAAAACCGGCTGATATGAACTGCAAAAGTATCGTACTAGTATAAATTGCATTACAAATTGGCTCAGCATTTTTACAAATGTAATTTGTAATGCGGATTTCCCTTGGTTAGTAGATTTGTAATGCGTGGCTGCGATTAGTACGAGTGCGATACTTTTGCAATGCATAGCTGAGAGACTTCAACAATGTCATTCCCTTCGAGCTGCTGCCCCCGACGAATTTATCGAAAAAAGACGTATCAAATGCAAAAATGTCTGGGTCTGGAAGATTGCGAGATTTGTCATGCTTGTCTGGCATGGCCAAAAAGTTTGTGATGCGTGTCCAAGAAGAGACCCTTTGGCCTGCCAATGTCATGCAAAAACGCAGTCTGTCATGCGAAAAACGCAACAATTTCTCATACTTGCCTGTGCATTGCAGAGCACTCAATATTCCCAGCGCAGCATTACAAGTTTCCAGACCCAGACACTTTTGCAGTTGATAAGACGTCCACGAGTACCAGGCCTCGGACGATCTGCTGAGTTACTCCGCGGCCTACCGCATGCCGGTCGGCGTGTTGCAAACCTATTCTGAGTAAAAACGTCCCCACCCCAGAGTTGTCATGCAATTCTGCATGCCAAAAAAGTTTCTCATGCGGAGCCCTATGAGAAGCATTTTCTATTCGTGTTTTAGAATTTGTGATGCCAGAATCAGAATGCTATGCTAGACCTGTGATGCTTCTGAACTAGCTAAACAGCATTACACTACGAGGACAAACTTGTCATGCCAGACAACCAAGGCTGGCTGATTTGTCTAGCAGATTTCTCATGTTGACTCTGGTGTGGGGACGTTTTTAATCAGAATAAAACCCAGAACAAAACCATCCTGAACGTCTATTTCGACGCCCGGTTCGTCTTTTCCGTCTTGCCGCCGCAGACGGGAACTGCAGGTGAAACGGAAAACTTTTACGAGCAGGAAAACCTCTCTCCGAACACGAGGCAAGCGCGGATTGAGAAGGAGAAGAAGCAGGCGAAGCAGTACTGCAAGCCGTACCTGAAGGAGCTGCAACTGCAAGTCGTCTACTACAATGCGCAGTACAATCGGAACACGTACCACACGACCCCGTTGGCGGTTCTCACCCCGGTGTCCCAGAAAGAGGAAGAACACAGCGGCCTGAACTCCTTTTTCCGCTTTTTCACGACGACCAACAGCACCACAACAGCAGCAGCAGATCACGGTCAACAAGAACCTGAGCTGGTGCAAGAGAAGGAAGCGACGCGGCTCATTGAGAAGGTCCTAGTTTGGAAAGAAACTTTCCCCAGCGAGGGAACTTTCGACACAAAGCAGTCGAAGCCGAAAATTTTCCCGGAATGGAAAGATTTGAAGATCAATGACAATTTTGCGCAAAAGCCCCGGCCGATTCGCGGCGTGCTGCAGACGTCTCCGGAATTCTTCGCGAGTGAAGCGGAGGCGGCGCAGGCAGTGGCGCGAGTCTCCGCTAGAGGTCGAGCAGCGGGAGCGTACTACTTTGGCGCGGACGACGGCGACGCTATGTTTCGTCCTCTGAAAGTAGAAAGTTAGAGTTGCTTTTATCATAGGAAGTAGTTGGCGTTGCTGTCACATCACATCTACCCTTTTTATCACAAAGTTCGCGTTTTGATTTTGTTTTTGGAGGAATTGCTGCATTGATATTGAATTCAAACGCTGCTTCATCTGGTGCCTTCTGGCACAGTAATTAATGATCATGTTGCATAAATTAGAGAACTCCTATAAAAACACATGTACTTAGTTGTAAACGATTTTCAGTGCATGACAAGCGTCAGGAAACGGATCTAGGTTTAGGCCATTTCCTACAAGTGCTTTCAACCACAGCTTTCGTGGTGTAGCTGTGCGATGCAAAAAAACAACCACAGCTTTCGTTGTGTAGCTGCGCGATGCAAAAAAACAACGTCAATTCGAATGTGTGAACTGTTGGCCCAGCTAACGAATTAAAACTTCTTTACTCGTTTGCAACATACTTAAGCTTCATTTTCAAGTAGATTTCCTACGCATTCCCATGATCATTGCATTCCCTGATTCTAATGACCCACATTGATGTATTCATGTCTATCTAGAAATTCGCTGCGATTTATTTTTGCCGGAGAGAATAAGTACAGCTTCATCTTCGTAGAAATAAAGCTTTCCAGTCAAATGTGATGTGGGAAACCAAAAGCAAACGAAGGATTATTTTCAAGCAGCGGAGTCACCGTGTGACAGTGGAAATTCTGTGTTCGGGCTTGTTTTGGTGGTACGTTCAAAGGATCAGATTCAATTGTTCTTTTGGCAGGGAAAGGCATGGAAGAGATTGGATACACCGAAGCCGAACATCACGACGATCTTCATGAGCATATGATAATATCAAAACAGCTGCTGCTACACTCCCGGCTTGCTTTTCTTGTACTTACACGATCATCACAACCTAGCTCTTCGCGATCAAAAAAGTGCATCGACATGATACACGAAAGGAAGTGGTGACGCCAACAAGAAGATCTAGTGTATAGTACTCTCTCCTCGCACAGATGTTCATCGAAGATCTTTTATCTATTTCTAGGTTGATATAATTGCATAGGATAGCGCGCTGCTTGTTGGAGGCCGCCCCTACTAAGATGGTCGTGATCGGATAAAGGACGCAAAAGGGGAGGAACTTCGTGATTTGAAGGAAGATCCGCTTTTTGAGGTAGAAGTATCTGATATATTATGGTCTATTAAAGAACTCCTGTGTCTGATCTTCTTCGTCAAGACTCGTATTCATCTGCCGCCTAGTGTAAAATATTTGTGTGTCGGGTCACGTCCTCTAAGCATGTGGCGGCACAAGAGCACCAGTGAAGAAAGCAAGAAAGTGACCCCCTATTTCGTTCTTCTGGTGCTGTCTCCTCTTGAACATTTTTTCCAAGAAGCGCAAGCAATTGAATTTATATTTATCATTGTTGCAAAAAGAACTATAATAAATCCCGCACAGGTCATCGTGGTAATTTGCTGAGATACGCAGCTGCCGAAAAAAACAGGTTGGCTGCTGTCTGTGCTATTTTTTATACTCTCTCTGATCTTACCAAATCCAAATAAGTTATCACATTTTCTGTTCTAGAAATTCAATTGTGCCACCGTGTCGTGCTTGGGGTTTTAGCAAAAGTAGGTCGACAAGCAGAAGAAGCCGCGTCCTCGCTTATAGTAATTTATTTGGCCGAGCATCAAAGCGCTCCCTCTCATTCTTACCAGCTCATCGGGAAGACGAAGATGGGGAAATTTTTCTCTGCCCTTCTCGGCACTGCCACCGTGCAAGCTGCCTTCGCCCTGGAGGCTTCCGCGAAAGCATTTTCTGGGTCCTCGTCAAAGACCGTGCGCCCGACGGGGCTCGGGCAGAAGTTCCTATCAAATGCAAAAATGTCTGGGTCTGGAAGAATCCAACTTGTCATGCTGATTTTGGATTCTAAAAAAATCTGTATTGCATGAGCAGCAAAGAGATTCCAAGTTTTGCGACACGGAAAGAGCATCTGTCATGCGGTATAGGTATCAGGAAGCCCTCACAAAATCAGTGATGCTAGGACATGCATCACAGACATCAGGAGTCATGCAAAATGTGCATGACAAACCTGGCAATCTTCCAGACCCAGACATTTTTACATTTGATAGTTCCTCAAGCGGTTCGACGACAAGGGCACTGGTGGGCTATGGATTGCAAAAATGTCTGGGTCTGGAAGAATGCAAGATTTGTGATGCAGGCTTTCCATGACCCATGAGGTCTGGAATGCGAGACCCAGCATGACAGATTCTTTGAGGTCTCTATCATGCCTTTCCTGCATGAGAGACTCCCTGTCAACTTGTTCAAAAGCGGACAGCTTTTGGTACTCACGCAACACAGATTTTTGCATCATTCAGATTTAGCATGACAAGTTTTAATCTTCCAGACCCAGACATTTTTGCATTTGATATGGGCACGACCGTGACAGTGGGAAACTCAAAATGCCCAATAAAAAGAAGGCGCACCAAAACTTGGGCACCGGTGAAACCAGCGTAGAACAACATCAAATTCAAGATCATGCTGTCACGACTTGGACGCGAAAAGGCGTTGTCCCGTTTCTGGCGGCGGCGGCTCTTATCGGCAGTGGTCCGTACCTTGCCGCCGGCATGGATGTTGTGGAGATGATGCCTAGGAGCGCCGCCACTTCTCCGGTCGTAGATACCACCAGTGCAGTAGCAGTTGCGAGCGGTGTCGCTGCGCACGAGGACCAGCGGCAGTGGCAAAACTGGCTGTATCACCCCGACGTCATGCAGAAGTACGACCGCTTCCGCGCTCTGTTGCAGGAGAAGCTGTACCGGACCGCACGAAGCGACCTCGGCCGAGAAATGGGATATTTCATCGTGCAGGTCAAGGAGTTGATGCAGGACGCAACCGTGCAGCTGGACGCAGTGCGGGAGGTGGAGCGATTTTGCGCTCACGATTTATTCGAACAACAAGCGACAAAACCAAACACGCGAAGCAGGAGCAGCACAACTGCTTCTTCTACTTCATCTTCTTTCGAGGAGCAACAATCTGGGCTGGCTCACGACGACCTGAAGAAACTTTTCGAACACCTGCAGCTGCAGAAACACCAGATGAACTGTGGAAATGCTAAGGATGATGCGGCCCCCGGAGAAACTGACACGCCGTGTCCTCCGCAAACTGAATCGTTTTTGGAACAAGAGGAGCAGCAGTTAATATTTCGGAACATCAATTTGAAGCTTCTGCCGGAGTGGGCGACTCGGGCGGCGACGCTGGTTGGGGATCAGCTGCAGGGATCTTCTTTGTATCAAGATATGCACGTGTGTGCGAACTACTTTGTCGGGCTGTACCACTCGGAGGGAAGCGTGCGGGAGGAACAGCTTGCCATTGCGGAGGCATATCCAAGGGAGAAAAAGGCTACAGCGTGTTGATGTCTCGGAATGCAAATGCGAAAATGTTTTCAAGATTCATGTTGAAATATAATATCGGAAGACGCATCGTCACAGGGAGGAGAGGTGGAGGACCCACCTACATGTAGGTGACTGGGCGGATAAGTACTATTCGCAGCATGAAGTGTAGCTCTTGTTGCACGTTTTTGGCTACTTTTTTTCACCCATTTCTCGTTCCGCTGAAAGAAAAGCACGCAGGAGTGCAATTGTATTTTTTGTTCTGACGCGTAGTTATGTTTCTCTTTCTTCCGACTAGAAGCAGAAGCTAGAGGACTACTACAACCGAGGCCACATGCTAGGTCTATTTTTCCACGGGACACGGAAAAGATGCTGGATTCCATCACCTGGTTTTTTGTGCAGGAACTGAATCCCGGCAGTCCGCGATACAGCTACCTGGGAAAGAAACTGCACGCCCTGGAGGCCACGGATGGTGTTGCCGATGCGGAGCACGCTGGCAGGAAGATGATCCAAGACATGGGAACTTCGTCGCAGGAAGGTGCAGGGCAGTCCAAGGATGGTAGAGACGATATCCCGTCCGTCGCCCCGCAGCCCGCGTGGTTCGGCTCTTTTGCAGATTTCGTTTCTGCGGTGGCGGTATGCAATGCAAATATTGATGATGAATTGCAAAAGAATATGTAATGCTGAACTCGTCTAGATGGTTGAACCACTTCCAGTATGGGCCGCTGCCCAGCATGACAAGTTTTTTTCGCCCCTTTTCGTGGTGCTCAGTGAGCATCTTGCAGGAATTATGCAGGACAAATAATATCACATGTTAGTCCTCGCGAGCTCTACCGAGCACATGTTTGCAATGCATATGTGGCCCCAGACCCGGCCCGGGCTCTGGCGTACGCCACGTGTGTGCGCTTCGTTGGAGGGTTCCGGAGCGAAAGCAGCGCGTGGTCCGACCGCGACTGGACTTACCAAACTGCAGCACAAGAAGGGTTTCAACTCGTCCCCCTCAAATTTTTTGTCATGCAAAAAAAAAAACGCCAAATAATTTTTCTAGCCTCGTTCTATGTATACACATGAGAAGTTTCATCTTCAGCAAGGTTCCAGGAAGTCACGAGACAGCCGCACTGCCGTCCAGCATCGGAACCTACTGTGATGCAGAACTTGCAGCTGTGTCAAGATGTTGACCGCCTGTGAAACTGCTGTGGATCATGGAAGATGTGCGTCTTCGTCTATTTTTTGATTTGATACTTTAATACTGATTTTTATGAATGCTGGCCGAGGGTGGAACGAAGTTCCAGTTTTGCACTCGGATAGGAACTGTGACGATTCAGGTTGTGGATTATCTAAAACGCCGACCCAGTTGCAGATTAATTTCTTTGTGCCGGAGTCGTGCCAAGGCAAAGATTCTGGCGACAACGGCTATGACATGTTTGATGGCGAGGATCGTTGCTCCCGACCGCACAGTCCAAACACGGGGTACTGCGGGCACTTGTCCAACTATCCAGAGAAATAATATATAATCAGTGTCAACGTCGCTACGCTCTGCTTCTTTGCAGAAGACAGAGGCAAGATAGACAACCTCTGATGTGAATTTTTTATGGATATGCTCGAGGACATTATCGGCATAGTGCTCAGGAGACAACTGAAAATTTTGTTGATGTTTTATTCCCTCCTGATCTCTCCGCATGGATTGCAGAAAATTTTTCCTGTCATGCAGGAGACCTCCCTGTCGTGTGTGTTGCGAAATACAAATTTGCAAAACTGTGCAACGAACTGCGACACTTGTTTTTATTTCGACCTGTATACATTCTGTGACTTTAACTGGGTGCGCAAGCAGTTCCAGTGGGATGCAGACTTTTAACGAGGACCACTGCATCATCCATCAGTGTGCCAACTAGTGACCTCGATACCAGGATGAAACAAGCAGCACTTCTCTTCTCCAAGCAGATGCTGGCAAAAAACATTCCCTTGTCAAGCCGCCACACGATTCTACGACCGGATCATCGCTCTTATGTTTTGAACAGTACTACGTCGACCGGCTTATCGGAATTTGTGTAATATTTTTGAAAAGATGTTGACTCCGCAACCATTATCCCATCTGCCTTGAGCTGAATCCGCGTTGCGTAATTTTTGGCGCTTCATTTTTGCTCTCTCGATTGAGGAACGCATTATTTTTGAAAAAGCAATCACAGGTCGAGGCTCCTCTCGTCACATAGGTGCAGGTTGTCGTGTCATACCGTGATATAAATCGTTCCATTACATATATTTAGTGAAGGAAATGGAATTTCAATTTCATATTTGACAATGACAACCACCAATCATGCGTCACTCAGAGACCCCGAGATAGAGATTGTGACTCGCGAGAGGTCAAGATGCACCTGCTCGCACCAACACCTCGTTTACGTGGATGCGTCGCATCTTTTCGTTGCGATAATCATGATGGGGACATCGACTTGTTCACAGTCCAGTACTTCCAGTGCTTGTTTTATTCCCACCAGGCAACAAGAAAAATACGAGATGACATATATTTTCCCGGAGGAAGTAGATGTAGAATACGAGAGGGCGCAGTGGACGTTGTTGTATTGAGGGACGACGAGGAGAATCAACCTGTGTGTGCGTAGACCTTGTGAAGAGACGAGCACCACACGCTTGTTCGTCCTGCAGACGTCGAGAGTGAACCTGTGTGTGCTGCGGATGGATCTTCTGTGAATTCACAGCTGCGTGTCGTCCTCGACCTCGTCCCGGCTTGCGAATGTCGCACATTCGTCGGGCACTCTTGTGCGTTGATAGACCCCCCAGTTGGGTACATCATCGTGTCGATTTTGCTTGTCATATCCTCCTTTTTTCGTCGATACAATTCAACATAAAAATCTAAATCCATCGATGGAAAAATATTGAAATTAAACTAGCTCTGGTCGTCGTGCCCTCGTTCTTAAAGTAGCGTAAATCTAAATCTTCGATGACCTTCGCAATCATAAGTAAAAAGTAAAAGATGAATCATGAGTACCACCACCCTCTTATGGCGTTCTCAAACGTTACATTCTCAACTGTTACACGAGTTTGTGATGCAAGAATGGAAAAAGTGGACGGGGTGACCTTGCGCGTCTTGCATGACAGATTTGGAACAGTTTCTCAGCCTGTTTGGCCCTTCAAGAATTTGTCATGCAAAGCAGCTTGACCGTGCCGATTCTGATTGTAGTTTTGCATGACAAATCATGTAACAGTTGAGAATGTAACAGTTGAGTACCACCACCCTCTCATCTGCAGACGCGAAAGAGCAGTTCCCTGACGACGAGTTGTCCCACACCCGCACCGGCGGGGGCCGTGTATGCATTGCAAAAGTATCGTACTCGTATAAATGCATTACAAATTTCCTCAGCATGAGAAATAAGATTTGTAATGCGGACTTGCCTTAAGAACAAGATTTGTAATGCATGACTGCAATACGAGTACGATACTTTTGCACAGGATACCGCGGTCGTGGCGGCAATGAACCCTTCGGGCGGGCACAGCGGAGTTTTTGAGGAGCAGCTGCTAGCTGCCCGGGTTTGATTGGATTTATTGAACAGCGAACACCGCTGCATTGCAGCCGTGATAGTACAACTTTGATTGGCAGCATGGCTGTACCCTCGTCCAACGCATCGTCGCTTGGCGGCCCGAACGGGCCCGAGCGCACCGCCGGGTCCGCGACGACCTCGCTGTGGAGCTACGGCCTGCAAGTCGACACGAGCTTCGATGGGCTGCTTGAACAGAATCTGAACGCGGTTTCCTCCCCGGAGTACTGCTCGGACAGCGATATTAACGCGAGTAACGTGCAAAGATCTTCGAACCTCTTCGGGAACATGCTGTCACCCGTGTCCGAAAACCCCGACTCGCCGCGAATGGGGCAATCGCTGACCACATCTCCCGAGCTCGGCCAATCGCCCACGACAGCGGTCGAAGAAGTAGTTGCACAAAAATATGACCCGCTCAGGTGTTACAATCTCAACCGTTCTTACGATAGAATCTTGTTGAATCTGTGTTGATGCTGTTGTGTTGCATAGAGAGCATGAGGAACATGCAGAGTCTTGCTGCTGCCCTTGCGCTTCTCGCAATACAACTTTCGCCAGAATGCTAATGGGATTTCGGACACGACCGGACCTTGTCAACATGCGTACTCCTGTAATAGTAGGCTAGATGATGCACATTTTTTTGCATCACAGATTTAGATTTCTACTCGTAACGTTTGAGATTGTACCTGCTGAACAGGCTATAAAAACGTAGACGCAGGAGAAGTTTATTTTGCTCCTCCCCAGCAGCAGCAGAACCACTCTGTCCCGAGCGGGCCGCTCACCCTGACAAACAACAGAACTAAAACGAACAAATCTGCTTCCACCTCTACTTCCCAGGCTGGCAAATTGAAAAAGAACAAGAAGGAGAAGGCGAAGTACTACAACAACCTGCAAGTAGGAGACTTGCAGCCACCCAACATGTATCAACTGCAAAAGTGTCTCGGTCTGGAACAGTGCATTTTTGTCATGCTTGTCTGGCATGACTGTCAAATCTGTCATGCACGTTACCCAAGAGCGCCACTTTTCTGTCATGCAGAAACGCAGTTTGTCATGCAGAATAGGCAACACCTAGAAGCTGAGAAACTTGTCATGCTGAGCCAGCACTTGTGGCCTCCTCATGATACGCCACCCAGCATCACAAGTTTCCAGACCCAGACATATTTGCAATGCATAACACGACCATGCAGGAGCTCCCGAAAGAGCCGGCAGACTTGACGAAGCGCGCCGACCACTCCGCGGATAGCGTATCAAATGTAAAAATATCCGGGTCTGGAAGAATGCAACTTGTGATGCTGCGTTTGGATTCCAAAAAAATCTGTATTGCATGAGTACCAAAGGAAATGCAATTTTTGCTACGCTGAGAAGGCATTTGTCATGCGGAAGACGCATCAAGAAGCCCTCATATAATCTGTATTGCTAGGGTATGCATCACAGACATCATGGCTCATGCAAAACGTGCATGACAAGTGTCAGAATCTTCCAGACACAGACATCTTTACAGTTGATATAGCGTCAACACAAGCAACGCGAGCGGAGGCTCGCAGGCGGGAGGACAGCAGCAGCACAGCACGCACTCAAATGGTGGTAATAAATCATCTCCGCAGAAAGTAGACAGTTCGTCTACGAGGGGGGCCAAGAGGCAAAGCGGGGTATGGTCCAACCAGTCTACATCTTATTCCTCTTCCAAGGAAAAGCCAGCACAGTCGTCGGGAGGTAGTCACGGAAAAAACACGGGCACAAACAGCACGAGCTTGAACAACACCCCGAAGCCCCGCTCCCGAGATATCAACTGCAAAATTGTCTGGGTCTGGAAAGTTGTGATGCAAATCAGTGAATGGTGGGCGCACTGCAATACGCAGCCAGGCATGACAAGTTTTTGAGCTGCTATGTGTTTCGTTTTGCGCATGACAAGTCGCGTTTTTGCAGTACAGGCAATGGGCTCTTAACCTGCTCATGCATCACAGAGTTAAGAGTCATGCCAGCCACGCATGACCCCTCCAGACCCAGACATATTTTCAATGAATACGAGAAAACTCGCAGCAATACAGCAGTGGTGGCATGATGACTGCAAAGCAACACAACAACACTTCGTCTGCCAACAGCTCCGAGCGCGTCACGCCCAATCGAAGCCGAAAAAGCAGCGCGCGGCCGAGCATCCGGGGCAGCTCCGTCGGCGGTGGAGCTGCGGCTCCGCAGTTTGAGTTCAACGAGCAGCGACGCCAGTCGTTGCTGGAGCAGAAGCGGCAATCCATTGCGAAGACGACCGAGCGCCGTACCTCGGTGCAGGATTTGCTACGGGACCTATCTAGTACTTGTTCTGGGTCTACAAGCAACACCATTTTTGATCTAAACCAGTACAATCTCGTGGCGAAAAACAACAACTTGGTGACCCTACAACAGCATGGCGGGAATACTAGTGCAACAACGAACTACAAGTTGTCAGCGAGGAAAAGTCTGGCGTCGGCGATTTCGCCGTCGAACGGAGGAAATAACAGCACAGCGACAGGAGGACCTCCCCCTCCTACTAGTACTACAGGCGGTGATACGATGGACGATTCGCGAGGACAGGGCGATGCAAGTGCATTAAGAGGTTTTCTATTTCCCGGTACTACTCTTACAGGCGCTCCGCCGAGGCAGTTCTTGAATGTTTTCGAAGGCGGGAACATGAATCAACACGATCAGGAAACGAACAACCCACTGAGAACAAAACGCCACAGCTTCGCGGCGCAAACTGAGACTTCGGTAGCGAAAAGCCAAAGCGGTACTCAGCTTGGACCACGGTCAGATTTCAATCAAAAAGCACCACTGGTGCAGACGGAGAGGTCGTGGACCGCAGCAAAGCAAACCCAAGAAGGGGAATTGAAATTTTCCGCCGCAGCCGAACTCGAGGAGCAGATTTTGACTATGGCGGTGTTGCAGGGTGTTTACGAACAGCTATTCGAGTTTGATAATCAGGTGCACAGCTCCTCCTGCAACAGTGGCACCGAGGAGGATGAAATAGAAATGAGGATCTTAACTACTACTTTGGTGCAACATGATTTTTACTCTTCCGCATGTGCAGCGGAGAAGAACAGTACGAGGGAGAAAAACTGTACGAGGGAGCCAGCACCTCTCGTCCAAGCGTCGATAAGAACACAAACTCTGGGAGGTGAAGAAGTATCAAATGCAAAAATGTCTGGGTCTGGAAAAGTGCCAGGTTTGTCTTGCATATTTTCCATGATCTATGATGTCTGTGATGCATGCCCTAGCATCAGAGATTCTGCGAGGGCTTTCTGATGCTCGTACCGCATGATAAATTTTCTCTCCGCGTAGCAAAAACAAGTACACCTCTTTTGCTGTTCGTGCAATACAGATGTAGAGTGCAAACGTTGTAGCGTCACAAGTTACACCCTTCCCGACCTAGACATCTTTGCAATGCATAAGAAGGAAACTACATCAATTTCCCCACAACGGCTCCCGTCCCAACTTCTTCGGACAACAAACCCAGTGGCGGCACTTCCGACCAAGCCGCGGCAATGGTGCCTGGTGACACCACCGCACTGTCGGTGTCCAGCAATTCCAGCAACGTGCGGTTTATGGCGAACGAGGAGGACGAAGTCGTCGAAGAAGAAGTAGTACCAAACCCGCATGATCACACCCGAGCAGGACCTGCTCCCAGAACCGTGCAACTGCAAGGAACCGACTCTATTTCCAATGAACAAGGAGGTGATGCGCAACAAAAACCAGGACGGACGTGGCAGGGTGCAAGCATCAAAGATAGTACCGGACGTTCTTCAGACGCAGCAGAGCAGTCGAAGTCGTCACAACTATCTTCGACCGCCGATGGTGTCGTGCCGCTGCAATATTACCCTCATTTAGCCAGCAACCCGCTTCCATCGCCCGTGGGGGGGCTAGGCTCCGTCGTGAAAAATCCCGAATTGTACCAATTTGCGGTGTATGGATTGCAAAAGTGTCTGGGTCTGGAAGATTCTAAACTTGTAATGCTGTCGCTGGATTCTAAAAAAGTTTGTACTGCATGACCAGCAAGAGGACTACACGGGGAGGGCATTTCTCATGCGGTAGAGGCATCACAAAGGCCTCTAAAAATCTGTGATGCTAGGCCATGCATCATAGACATCGCTGGTCATTCAAAATATGCATGACAAACTTGGGAATCTTCCAGACCCAGACATTTTTGCATTTGATACGGTGAGCATGACCAAGCAGAACTTCAAGAAGCAGCGTCTCCGGTCGGTCTACGGTCACGCAGTGGATGAAGAGATGCAAAAGTTAGAAAAGTCGTGTAAGTGGGACAGTAATACCAGTAATCATAATTTTCAAGCCAACACGTCCACATCAACCACTTCGCCGTTTAAAAGCAGTAGTACTAGCATGAGTCATAGTGCTGGGATGAAGAAAGAGTATCCGAAAGTGGAGTCAAAGTTCTTGAAACTGACATGCATAAAGTACGACGACAATCTGTTGAGTAACATGTTGAAACGGAAGTAAGAAGGTACAGCCCTAGTGAAGATTGGACTAGAATTTGGAAAAAAACATGAATCAGAGGCTGTTGCTTGATGCTGATGGAGCCAGGAAAGATGCGCGAGCTAGTTTTTTTCGGCTTTTTGGTGTTCGCTGCGAATCAAGAAGACCATCCTTCGAAGCTGCGAATCAAGAAGGCCGACGGTATTATTGCTGCCGGGCCGGCGCGCCTCGTGCGCGCCGCCCGGCCGGCCAGCGCGCCGGAGGCTCAAGAAGCTGCCGGCCGCGATAATCTTGTTTGCACCCCCCTGTCGGCAGGGTGTTTGTGTCTGTGCGGGTGATAGAGGAGAACCAGCGTTGTCCCTCTTCGTAAATACTTTACTTCGGCGTCAAGTGTTCTCATTTGATTCTATTAGGCGGGTGACAGCAGGACGAGGATGGATCTGTATTGTGCCCGCCGTGCCAGGAGTTGACTCTTTGCTTGCAGCCTCGTGCCCTTACCTAGCTAGTTTTGCCACTTGGCTAGAACGGCCAATGCGCGAGCTTCTATGGTCGTTCTCTTATTGCAACTGACACCAAGATCTGAAAAAGCAGCGCAGTATGTTCCATCGCCGACGCCCGCCCATTCAATCATCCTTGGCGTCAATTAAAACCGGTCACCGAGGTCAGCAGAGAAGTTGTCGCTGTCGTGACACGTACATTCATCGTAAAGCTCGTTGTTGTCGTTTATCCAATATTCGTGGAAATCCAGGAACTTCGTGACAGTCGTCGCTAGCTCGTTGTTGTCGTTTATCCAATATTCGTGGAAATCCAGGAACTTCGTGACAGTCGTCGCTCGTTATCCCAGGGGCCTCGTTGATTTTTTCGTGCTCGATCGATTCTTTCGTTTCGCCAGCTTACCTTTCATTTGAGAATGAGTGTACAACAGACGATCCATATGATCTTCAAAGTGCTTCTAATATCAATTTCCTTTATTCTGTTGGCCCCTTCTCCCGCAGTTTGGTTCGTCTTGAAAACGAAAATGAGGACAACAAGCAGCTCTACTTTTCAGTATTAGCCTTGATTTGGTTCTTTTCGTTTTGTTGTGTTATCCAGCAAATAAAACCACGGCAGTAAGTCTATTTTACGTCCAAAAATCTGAAGATGGGTTTCCTCTCCGATGTTTTTTCGCACCATCTTCACTACTCTGCTGAGCCGCGTTTGATCAGCTTCTCAGGGGCAGGGACGGCACACACGACCTCCGACGTCGTCGGAGCAGAATTACCAATCCCTCAGTCAAGTCGTCCGAAGATTCAGCACCATCATCCCCACCACCACCCCCTCGCAAGGACATCTTCGCACGACCTCCGACACAGCAGGGGCAATAGTACCACGCAAACCCCTATTAAATGCAAAAATGTCTGGGTCTGCAAGGTTGCAACTTGTGATGTTGTCTTTCGATTCTAAAAAAAATCTGTATTGCATGACCAGCAAGAGAAGTCCAGTCTGTGCTACGCGGGAAGGGTATTTCTCATGCGGAATAGGCATTAGGAATCCCTCTAAGAATCTGTGATGCTAGATCATGCATTGCAGACAATCATGAGCCATGCAAAATATGCATGACAAACCTCGCATCCTTCCAGACCCGGACATATTTGCAGTTGATAACCCCGACCTCCTTCATCCTTCGTTGCTGGTACTCCTTCCGCGGGAAGCAGGAGGGCCAGGAGTGCCAGGATATCAACTGCAAATATGTCTGGGTCTGGGAGGATGCAACTTGTCATGCTACCTTTGGACTCTACATAAAACCTGCTGTACTGCATGAACAGCAAAAGAGGTCCAGTTTTTGCCACGCGAAGGGAGCATTTGTTTCTCATGCGGTATGAGCATTAGAAAGCTCTCGCAGATTGTGTGATGTTCGGGCATGCGTCACAGACTTCATTGGTCATAGAAAATATGCATGACAAACTTGGTGCTTTTCCAGACCCAGACCACATATTTGCAGTGCATACGGGACACGAGAAGCCGATTCGAGAACGCAGAGTTCGTCGACATGCTGCCACACGACGACGAAAGCAAGTGCGCGGTCCACTCGGGAGGGGTGTACTACATCGTGAACAACCTCACGCTATCAAATGCAAAAATGTCTGGGTCTGGAAGGTTGGAACTTGTGATGCTAGCCTTCCACTCTAAAAAAATCTGTTTTGCATGACCAGCAAGACGAGGAGTCTAGTTTGCGCTACGCGGGGAGGGCGTTTGTCATGCGGAGTAGGCATCAGGAAGCCCTCTAAAAATCTGTGGTGCTAGGTCGCGCATTGCAGACATCCTGGGTCATGCAAAACATGCATGACAAGTCTCAGAATCTTCCAGACCTAGACACTTTTGCATTTGATACAGGCCCGGAACCGCGAAGGGCAACTGGTTTCCCTCCGCCCCAAACGACACGCTGGAGTTTCCGACGGAGAACTGGCACAAGTGCTGCGTCCCGAAGGACGACGACGGGACGGGGCAGATGATCTGCGAAAAGGCCCGGCTGGTTGAGCGCGAGTCGGTCAAGCGCATGTACGATGGCTACTGCGGACTGAAAATATCGTAGTTGGCAACGAACTCCCCCTCCCCATAATTCTTTGAAAAGTTGTAAGTGCTCACTATCTTTTTATCACATGAACAAGAACCCCACCGCAGCACGGAAGGGCAGAAATAAGTAAAAAAGAAATGTCGCTTCCGTATGACAAATCTTCCACATCACACGAACTTGCTGCTTACCCGAGCGCGACTTGGGTCTACTTCGCTCAGCATTTATTTGTCATGCAAGCACTGCTAAAAAGCGAACCGAAGGCCGGATTTCATGTACTTAGCACGACAAACAAGGGGCCTGGGGACGAGTTGTGCGCGGTCATAGAACACCTGTGTCGGCTACAAGGACCGGTGTTTGGAAGAGGCCCAGGTGTCGGAGTACAGCGAGCACGGGGATGTGTACCGGAAGGAGTGCCCGAAAAACTGCCCCAACACCTGTCTAAAGACGTACATGACGCGGAAATGTATCTACACCGGCACCGAACCTAAGGAAGGGTACGAAGGGTTTCCGACGCCGCTAGACCCGGTGTCTAAGGAATATCTCGGCTACAAAGTGATTGACCTAGGAATGATGAAGGATGAAGTGACAAAACTCGAACCGGAAGTAAAATAGGAACGTGATGTAGAAATAAGCGAGGGTCAAACAAGAGCGGAAATGTAGTGCAAAAATACCATACGACCACAAGCGCCAGCGTCTCACCTTTCTCCACTTCTGTGCTTCATCTAGAGCGCTATCGTAGTCGCTCAGCCGACGCTTTGTCGCTGTACTGTCATGCTTGTTTCTTTCGGGAAAACAAGTGCGATGTTCTACTCTTGGTTTCGCTTCTTGTTAATATCTACTCTGCTAGTCTAACCAATCGCAATCGCTATTGCTTTTGATCATCGCAAGAATAACACGTTGCAAGCTATAGTCCGTTTTTTCTTCCGCAAAGATGACCGAGAGACTCGCGTTAAAACGAGCGTAATTTCAATTTCATCTTTTTCATCGTCGTCAAAAAGCGAGCAAAACGAGAGAATCAAAAAGTGGCGCTGTTTCTAGCACTGACAGCACCATCAGCTTCGAAACAGAATTCCTCGGCAAAGAAATAAGTACTGCTTTGAGAAATAAAGACTCTACCCGCCCAGCATTTTTAGCATTGTTGACAACAATTTTTATATGCAAACATTTTATTTATCTGCAAAAGTAAAACGCCTTATAGAAGAAGGTATCTGAATCCTTGGACAGAAAACGAACTCGTGCTGATCTACAACTTCCCTGGCTTGTAAGTATTTTCTTCGACAACTTCAAAGAAGTACAACAACACAAGGACACAGGATGTTCTACCGCTCCCTCCTGTTCGCCGCCGCGGCCGCCACAGGCGCCGAAGCCGTGATGAGCGCCGAGCAGATGGACCGCCTCAACCTGTCCGAAGAGGATGCGTATATCACGCTCTTCAACGAGAAGCAATCCCCGGAGGTGGAGGCGGCGTTCAAACAGGCGTACGACCACCTTGCGAAGGACTTCGTATCAAGAGCAAATATGTCTGGGTCTGGACACTTGTGATGCTAAAGTATGGATACGTCTGGCTAGCTCTAGTGCAGCCAAGCATGACAAGTTCGCTTGACGCCGTCTGATGCGTAGAACGCACGACAAACTGCTTTTTTGCATGAAGAAAAGGTGGCGCCTTTGCTGGCTGCGCAATACAAATTTTTCAGGAATGCAAAACACGCAATACCAGATCCAGACACTTTTGCAATGCATACTTCGACACGGCCGCCTACAAGCAGCACGTCGACCAACTGCACCAAGCGGTGTCGTTTCTCAAGGCCTCTCCCGGCTACAAGTCCTCCGTCGCGGTAGGCATTGCAAATAAGTATCGTACTAGTCGCCATTGCATGACCGACGAACTTTTCCGAAAATAACAAAAGTGCAAGAATTTGTCATCCTACTCTAGTATAACCCTAGGAAGAAGAATTGTAGTAGAACATGCGTTGCAATTAGTAGAACCACGGCGATACAACTTTTGCATTGCATACGGGGGTGCCCACTGCGACTTCGGTATCCCCCCGCCGGCTGCGGCGCTGAAGGGCGTTTCCCCCTTTCCGGGAGGGGTCGTCAGCCGGTTGTTTGGCTTCGACATCGCAAAACTCACATCCGACCTGGCCAGCAAAGCCTCCGGCGCCGCCGGGGCCGCGGGCGGCATGCCGATCATGCTGGCGGTCAGCGGGCTGGCGTCCGGCGCGGGGTTGATTCAGGGCGCCATTATAGCGGTCTCAGTTGTTACATTCTCAACTGTTACATGACTTTGTGATGCAAGAATGACAACCGTGAAAGGGGTGACCTTGCGCGTCTTGCATGACAGAGCTGGCACAGATTCTCGGCCTGTTTGGCTCTTCCTCTTCGATAATTTGTCATGCGAAGCAGCTTGATCGTGTCAATTCTAATTGTAATTTTGCATGACAAATCATCTAACAGGTGAAAATGTAACGTTTGAGAACGCCATAGCCATGAACATCGTGCTGCAGATCGTGCCCCCACTGATCCCGCCGCCAATCTGGATCAACCAGCCACTGTATAAAATGCAAATATGTCTCGGTCGGGAAGCGGAAGAGTGTAAACTTGTCATGCAGGTTTTCCATGACCCACGAGGTCTGATATGTAGGACATAGCATGACAGATTCTGTGAGAGTTATATCATGCCTATCCTGCATGAGAAACTGCCTCTCAATTATGTCAAAAGTGGACAGCTTTTTTTGGTAATCATGCATATGCAACACAGACTTGTACATGATTCAGATTTAGCATGACAAGCTCTTTTGGTCCAGACCCAGACATATTTGCATTTCATACACTGCCCTGTCTGCCGATGATCACCGGACACAACTGCTTTGTACCCTGAGTGAAAACGCTCCCACCCCATAGTCGAGATGGGAAATCTGCTAGACAAATCGAAAAGCTTTAGCTAGTGCAGCAGCATCAAAGATCTCGCACATCATGCTAATTCAAGCATCACAAATCTCAAAACACAGCTAGAAACTGCTTCTCATGGGTCTCCGCATGAGAAACATTTTTGCAATCATGCAGATTTGCATTACAACTGATTCTGGGGTGGGGACGTTTCTAGTACACGGGATACCTTGGCGCGGTGCTCTACCCCATCACGGCGGCGGACTTCGTCATCGCGGACGTCACCGATGCGCAACTGGATGGCGTGTATCCTGAGGAAAAACGTCTCCACTCCAGAATCAAGATGGGGACTTCGCAACACAAACTTTAGAAGCTTTGGGAGTCACGCATGACAAGTTGCGGTCCGTATTGTAGCGCAGGTTAGCAAGGGCAGCGGCATTGCAAACCCAGCTGATCATCCTGTTTACAGCATTACAAATGTCAAACCACGACTGGAAATGCCTGTCGTGGGGCTGTGCATCACAAACGTTCTTGTCGTTGCAAATCTACTTTTGGGTGGGGACGTTTCTGCACGGGATAGCGTGATCGCGGGCTTTCCGGGGCTGTTCAAGGATCGGATTGGAAAGGCGCCGGATCAGCTGTACAAGGCCTGCTACGCCTCCTACATGTCGCAGCAGTGCGCCAGCATCTTCCCGCGCTGCAACTCCCCGATGTCCCGCTACGAGCCTACGCCGGTGGGACGCCTGCCGATGTGCTTCACGCACTGCATCTTGACGCTGGTGTCCTGCCCAGGTACTTCCTATAAAAATGATCATGCAAAGGCAAAGTAGAATTATTACCGATACGCTGGTGTCATTGGTTGAGAGAGAAACAATTGGGGATTGAAATTCTGACTGTTGATGATATGTTTTCGCCGTCGCCGTGTCGTGACCGCTATATTTACTTTTTTGCTTTGTATTCAAAAAAAATACAACATCACTATCATATTCCATTTCAGGTTTTTGGATCACGGACATTATGGATGAGTGCATGACGGTTTCCGCGCCCCCGATGTGCACCATGGCCGTTTTCTGGAACCTTGCGTCCCTGCCGCCGCAGTACTCTTCTTTTGAAGACAGCCAGCCCCCGCCCGAGGAGTGCCCCTCGGCGCCGGCGTCCCTGGCCGCGGTCGAGAACGCCAAGAGCGACTTCGATCTCTACAGCACCGGAAAGGACGAAATTCTGCCGTCGCCCTTCAGCGGCACGGGCGTGTCCAAGGTGCCCAACGCGTGAACTGTTTTTTGTGCATTTATCTGACGTTACACTCTGATGTTTCCAAATGTGCTTGATATCTCCTCGAGTCACCTTCAATTTTGGATAAATGCACCTTGTGGACGAGGTTGTTTCTATCATCCTCACACTGTTTCTTGGACTTTTGATTTTGGAAGAGCTTCGGCCTTGTTAATTTTTTGCTTGAAATGAAAAATAAAAAAAAATGCGACGAGTGATTGAAGGACCTCGGCTGGCCGAGTCTTGCTTCTGTCCTGGATGCGGTCGCGCTGCCATATTGATATTCTTTATCTGTTCGTGGCGAGGGATTCGATCGCCGCAAAAAAATAGTCGCTGCGTGAGTGAGGCGAGAGTGGTCAAAACCAAAAGCTTGAAAGATTGTGGTAGTAAGGCTGCAAATTCTGTTTTCACGACAACCGCCGCAATGCTCTGTTTGATGCCTCTTCAGCTTTTGTTTTCATCATTGCAACGCGACCTCCGTAAGAACAGTTTTGACAGCCCTGCTCGTTTTTTCAATCAATACGAAAAAGCAATCATTCAAACCGAAATACCAACATCATGCCGTTGCTCAACATCTACAACCTCGTGGCTTCTGTCGCGTACATGACGATGTTTTATTCGCGCCTCTGTGCAGCCACCGTGCCCTTCGACTTGTTTCTGTCGACGAAACAAAGCCATGATTCTCCTGTGGACCGTGGCACCACGACGAAGCCACATGCAACGGCTACTCCCGTCGAGCAGCAGGAAAAAAAGAACGCTCCGATAAAGCCACTTCCGATGAAACACGGTCTTCACGAAAGCCCAACGATTTCCACCTCGTTTCTGAAAGCCCCGGCTCTCCTCGGCATCGAAGCTTCCATCAAGGCCTTACATCCCAGCGAACCGGGCTCCATGATCAAGGCGGTTCTCGTATCAAATGTAAAAATGTCTGGGTCTAGAAGAATGCAACTCGTCATGCTAAATCTGCAGATTACCAAAAGTCGTCCAATTTTGACCAAGTCGGGAGGAAGTTTCTCATGCAGGATAGGCATGAGAGAGATCGCACGGAATCTGTCATGCTAGGTCCTGCATTCCAGACCTCATGGGTCATGGAAAAGCTGCATGACAAATCGCGCACTCTTCCAGACCCAGACACTTTTACATTTGATATCTCGCCGACGCGCTGCAGTCCGCTGCCATGGCGGAAGGGGTCAGTCTGTCTGCGGCGCAGTTATTGCGAGGAAAAATCCCCCCTCCCCATATTGAAAACGAAATTTGTGATGCTGTATTTGTGTACACAAATCGACTTGTATTGCTAGAAGGCGAAGAGGCGCAGTTGTGGCCTCGTTTGGAGGCAGTTTGTCATGCTGTTTCCCACTTCCAGCTGTCTCCTGTGATGCTGCAGATGCAAGGCTTTCCCACGCAGTCCAGCACTACAGTCCGCATCTTTTCCCTTGTAGCATGACAAAGCTGATTCGTGACCACAAATCTGCATCACAGATTTCCGTTTTGATATGGGGAGGGGGATTTTTCATTTTGATAGCAGTGCGGTCGAAATTACGCGGGCTGTCCGCAGTATCAAGTGTAAAAATGTCTGGGTCTGGAAGATTGCCAAGTTTGTCATGCATATTTTGCATAACCCATGATGCCTGTAATGCCTTGCCGAGCATCACAGATTTTTAAACGGCCTTCTGAATCTGATGCGTATTCCGCATGAGAAACGCGCACTCCGCGTAGCACAAACTGAACTCCTCTTGGTCTTGCTGGTCATGCAACACAGATTTTTTTTACCTTCCAAAGACAGCATCACAAGTTGCAACCTTCCAGACCCAGACATTTTTACATTTGATACGCAGGGGTGGGGCGCGATTGGCACCGAGTGTCTGTCCCCCGTTGGGTACGCGGGGCCGTGCGCGAAGAGAGTTGACTTTTCCGGCTTGACCGCGTTGGAGCGCGCTGTGTTGGCCGATGAGTGCGGTGCGGTGTTTCCGTGCTTCTGAAACAAGTCTCTTGATGGCAGCGGACCTTTTTGCTTCTGAAAGTCTCTTGATGGCAGCGGACCGAAGATGCGGTCTTTTTGATTCTGTTGCAGTCTGCTATTTCCTGTGGAACCGGACGGTCGTTGTCACGGTGTTGTTTCTCCAAGAATATTTTTGGTCGTGAACTCTTTTTGCACTTATCGTGCCCGTTTCAACAAAAATGATCTGATTGACGCCAATAATTTGAATTTTGGTGGACACATATGAACAATGTCATCACAGATTTTTTGGCCAGATTCTAAATGGCTCCTTGACATTCAATTTTCCAATCTGTGCGCCTTCTGCTCTTGCGAGACATCACTCGGCCACTGAAAGAATCGCTGTGTGTTGTTTTTTCGTATTTCAACTCCACAACGCTTTTCTGTGCGAGTCGGTCCGGAGGTCTGTCAGGCCTTTCATCGACGAGAGATTTCTTCCTCACCTGCGACGCAAGCCGCACGTGCGTCGGTAAAGACAATTGATGCAGTCTTGATGGATTTCGATTTTCATTTTGGCTTGCATCATTTCATCGGTTTTCCTTGTCTGCTCGTCGGTTGACTTTTTGGACATTGTCATTGCAGTCTACATAAACTCATTGTACCTGCTGATCACCAGAAAGATAAAATGCGCCTTTCTCCGCCACGGCACCTCCCTGCCCCTGGTGTCCTTTTGCGGTGCGCTGTGAAACTTGTGAAACTTCTCTTCACCTGCAGTGCCACGCTGTCTTCACTCAAGACTGGGTACGCTCTAAACCTGGTTTCCCGCAGTATTTTCAGCTCCAGTTCGTCGTCCTGGTTCCCGCTTTTTCCGGATCGACAGGAGGACGCGAGTCACGTTCAAGAAGGAGGCGGAGTTCCTGCACAGGAGGAAACTACACAAAATGACGTTGTCTCCTCGAAACCGCCCGCAGTGCCATCGTCCCCGGTGCCTGGACAAGGTGAAGAAGATGAAACTTTTTTATGCGACATATTAAACATGATCACAGACCACGACAATACAAGTAGCGACCTTGCTTGTTCACCAGCATTAACACCTTCATCTCGAAACATACTTCTACCGCCAAAGCGTAGCAGAGATGAAGAGGCGGAGGACAGAAGTCCGGACACGACCCACCGTCGTCGTCATGATAATTGCAGAGAAGATGAAATTGCGTCACAAGAATTTGGCAATCCACGTGGAACTGCTTCTATCCGGGACAATGAATTTGTGCGTGAACGTGAAGTAGATCCAGATCGCTTCCAGCTGGCAGAAAATAAGACTGAGAATAAATCAAAGGAAAAAATACAACCAGAAGATACCACGTGGGTCCTAGTGGAAATCTTCAATGCGGCGGGCGACAAGATCGTTTACAACGACCAAGAGGGTAGAAATAAAAGTTTGGTTGTGCAAAATCTTTTCCCCAAATCGCACCTCGTGATCGGTGGGGCGGACGACTGGGAGGACAGACAAAGAGGCACTGGAACAAGCGAATTTGTTAAGAATTCCAACGATTGGCCGCTTTATAAGGTGCACGACGCCGTGACTGGGTTGTTGGGGACTACAGCATCTTCGGACCACGCTACAACAACTTTCGGCATGCGACAAACTACATCAAGAGACGGCGGTTACAACTGGCACCTGCTTACCTTTCCCTCACCCCCACGGCGGAGCTGCAGCACAACAAAGGTAACAAATCACGACGCCACTCGTGCTGCGAGGTTCATCTCCACATCGGAAGATGTTGAGTCACCTGGTGTACTAACACAAGAACCTCCTCCGCCGAAGAAGCTTTCGCCCAACACGAGGTTCTTCAGGAGAAGTAGTACTTGTAGCAAGGAGGAGTATAATGATGTCCAAGAAAGAACTCGTCCCACCGGCCCGTCGAATTATGGCGCTGCTCCGGAGCTGCTTATTTCCCGCGGGGGGCCCCTTGCTCGTCGTCCGGGTGTATCTGTATTGCTAGCCGAGGAAGTATTGGATCAGTTACTGGTGCCGGTAAATGTCGCTACTGTAGCCGAAGAAGATCAAAAATACCTTCTGAGAAATTGCTCTGAGAGAAACAATAGGCCCTCATCTTCAACCTCATCTGCGCAGTTATGCTCTACTGTGTCACCCGCAGCAGCAGTACGTAGACATGCTAGTAGAAGGCGTCACTGTAACTCCGTCTGGTGTGCGGGAAAAGAGGCCCGCCACGCACCTCCTCCGCCTCCAAAAAGTCCGGTACCCGACCGCGAACCGAGTCCTTCCGTTTATCGAGGCGCTGGAAAAGTTTCAAAACGAGGTTCTGCATGACCGCCTGAAGACAGACTGGGACGCAAAGGTCCAGGAAGTTTTGAGCAGTCCGTACCCCGATAGTATGTAGTGAGGTCACCGAACGGTTCTAACCGGGGAGTTTTTTTGCCACCTACCGTGAAAAACGACCGGCAGTTTTCAAGCGGCCGGAAGCGTTTTTTGACATAAAAGATTTTCAATTATCAAGCCTCCGGGGCTTTGAAGTCAAACAAGCCCGGTCGAAAACTATCGATTCGCACTGGATAAAACGACGCAGGGAAGCCGGCAAAAGGGGCGCCGTTCCGAGGCGCCCGCCGCCTTGGTTTCTGGCGATTTGGGGCGCCCAAAAAGGGGCGCGCAAAAAACGCGCCCAAAATCAGAACAGCGAAACAGCATGGCACGGCCGCGATTTCGGAGCATCTTGGGCGGCCGCGAAAGCGGCCGCCTTTTCGCCGGTTTTAGAGCCTGGGAAGCTTTGCAAAAAGCGCCGGCGTGAAAAATAAAAACGCGAAAAATAAAAAACGCCCCAGACGCGCAAAGCCAATCCGCATGCTATGGGCCCGGTTTTTCTTCGCTTTTTGGGCGCCCCCCGTGGCACCCGGATCGGCCCCATAGCATCGGGGCTGGCTTTCGGGAAGGAATTTGGGAAATGTGCCAAAATTTGTGATGTTTCCCAAGTGGCCGCCATACCGTGCGGCATAACGTTACTCACGGCGGTATGGCGAGCCCAGAAAAAACAAAGGCGCGGCCAAGGCGGCGGTCGGCAAAAAAACGCCCACGACCTCACTACCCCCGCCCCGGCGGCTATATTTGGTAGTACCAGCGCCGGGGTTTGGAGGTATCAAAATCTCGATATGGAAGCCTACGCACATCCGCTGGTCTCGCATGTGATGGAACAGCTGGACTACCTCGCCGTCTTCAACGAAATTTATGACAGGGCGACGAATTTCGAGGAGGACGAGATTCTTCCCGTTTCGTTACCGATAAATGGATTGGGCTTTACAAAGGCGGATATCGCGCCGCGAGAAGAAGTTCCACGCAGCGCGCCGGTGGATAAGCGTCCGACCAGAGCGGCGTGGCATGAGAACTTCGAGAGTTCCGGCAGAAGAAAAGGAACCCGATTAGTAGCGACCAACGAGCCGAGTTTTTTCGCGACAAAAGTTGAGCGGATCTTTATCCGGGGGGCGCAGGATTTCTATCTCCGGAGGGTGTATCGGGAGAAACTCGACTACGGACGCTCGATTTTGAATGTATCGAAAAATGAGGAGGAAGAAGATGAAGAGCAGCGGGGGCAACAAGCTTCTGCTAGGCAGAGCGAAGATCATGAGTTGTTCTTGCACAGGCAAGCGCAAGAAATTGAAATGCAGAACGACACAAGAAGAACAGAAGAAATCCGAGATCCTTCTGCGGAGATTGACAAGTACATCGAGCGCGAGGTGGTCATTGAGTTCATCGTCGGGTATACTTGTGTGGTAAAGACAACAGACACCACGCGGCCGGAATGGGAATCCTATCGGCCGATGAGTCTCATCGTGAAGCTGTTCTACGATACGACCGCGAGAAGATTTTCGCGAGTTCGATTGTTGGGGAAATGGCACAACCACTTGCACTACGACTCACTGTGGCGAATTCAAGGGACTATCGAAGAAGAACACGACGGGTGGGGGTTGGTTTTGGAATGATATTGGATGGAAAAGGAAATGCAGCATGTGAATACTTATTTATTCTATTGAAATTGATGTGCAACATGCATAGTGGTGGTTGCAGAAGAATACTGCATGAATTGCTGAGAATAAAGACAAAAAAATACCAAATTGAAAACTTCTTGATGATGATCACCATACCAAAACAAAAAATCACGCAGCAACAACCAATTTTTTTCTTCCTGGTCATGTCTGGGGATGATTCAAATTTGTCCTGTTTCATAATTTATCTTTGGTCTGGTCCATGATTGTCTGTCTATCTCTGTTCCCATCATCAAATCTTTTTCTCTCAATTCAAATATAGGAATTCAAGATGATATCAATTGGAATCTAGGATCTGGATTGATCGATGTCGGGGTATTAATATTTTTTTTGAAAATATTCATGGTGAGGAAAGAATCGGTATAGAAAAAAATTATTGAATATCTGCAGAAATTTTTTGATAGTTTTTTGGTGTCTCAATCATTATCATATCGATATAGTTTTTTGGTGTCTCAATCATTATCATATCGATCAACATGATTTTTATTCTGTTTCGAAATCGCAAAATGATCTCTGAAATTTTCGTTTTTCTCTGAAAAACATGAAACCTGATATTCATCTTTTGAATGATTGAAAAATTTCTTGATATTTTTAAAAAAAAAATCTATATAAATTTCTCGATGTTTTTTTAAAAAAAATTTCGACATCTAATGATCCTCATAAATCAGGAAGAATAAATTGATATCCGAAAATCATCAAAGAGAATCTCAAATTTTTCCATGAATCTCATGACAAGAAAAATCGAAAAAAATGTATATCGATCATCGAAGATCCCAAATTGCAAAACTTTAGATTCGAAATTTCGACGAAATTTCTTTTCTGATGAAATATAACCTAGAAATGTTTTATTTTCCAAAAAACATATCGATGAATTACTATGGATCCGAAATATTTTTCAATCAAATTTTTCATTTCAAAAATAAGAACATCAAATATCATGCCTTTTGATACCATACCCAGACACGAAAAGAAAGAAAGAAATATCCTACCACGGAAATGATCAGATCATGAGAAAATATGTTGGAATTATTGCATTTTGGATGTTGTTAGCTAGCGCCACACATTTAGTGGGACACCCATTCAGATTCACGATCAAATCCGATATGATAATCAGATTTTGATTTCAAATTCAACCCTTTGCTCGCCTCTTATGGCCTGCGAGTAACTGTCTGACATATACAGCTAAAGAATCCTGAGAGCAAGTCCTTTGCGAATAACTCTTGAGAGCTTAGGCACTACAACAAGACCAAACACCACCCGTTTTAGCGGTGAACGACCAAGCGTAGGGAGTCGCACAGTATGAGTGAGTCCGAAAACTCACTGCTGCTGCGCTTCAGATAAGCATCACACTACCTCCTCATCCGTGTGAGCAGATCAACCTCCAAAGAGCCGCCAGTGCTGAACAACCCTCCTCATGTGCTCAGCCTGACGTCAAACCGGATCCAAGAACCACAGCGCAACCAGAGGTCTTGCTGACTCTCAAAACGCCGGAGCGGAAGGAGAGGTATACCGACGCCACCGGGGGCCACAGGAAAACACGGAGTTATGCCCTGCGCCGCCAGTTGCCACCGCCTAGGCTTGGAGCCTTGCCTTTTCTTTTGCTGGGATTTCTTCCTGTCCAGCCCGGCGGGTGCTGGAAGGACGCCGAATTCAATGTGACGCCGAATATCCATAATAGAACCCGGTATCTACATATGTGCACAATCATGCGAGAGAAAATCGTCGATGGTTGTGCTTTTCGACACATGATCGCCGCTACTTTTTTTTTTCTTCTTTTGTCATGTTCATGCTTATCGGAGTTTCTTCTTGAAAGAATCTGTTCAAGTCTGCAATCCCCATTCATGTCTTGAAAAAAATGAAACCGAGGAGATTGCCCTTATGGTACAAATTCATTTTGATTTCGTATGACGTTCACGCCGATGTTTTCTTCGAAATTTTCTTTAGATGTAGCTCTATTCGTTTCGCTATATTTATCGTTAGATGTGTATGTTCCGTTTCCTCATTTGTCTGTTTCGTGCATTTTCGACGAAGCTGTCCTATACTGAGGTACTTACTCAACAGACGGCTTCTGTTGGGTCATGCCCACTTTCTTATGCATCAGGTTTCAAAAGGGAAAAAATCGCAAAGAAAAAAACTCATCGATCCAACATTCCCGGATCCCCGGGCCACATGCGCCAGGCCCTCTCAACCGCCACCCGCAGCCCGCACAGCTCGAAACAGGGTTGCCGGTCGGAGCACTTTTTGATCAGCTTCAGGGTGTTCACCAGTTCATGGGGTTTCGTGTCGAGGTAAATCGAGATGCCGTCGGGCGTCACGGTTTGTATGTTGTCGAAGGAGAAAATCTCCGTCTGTGTCCCGTCCTCGTCGCGTTTCAGTCCGATGATCTTGGTGGTAGTCGTAAACGCCGCGCCCTCGCTGCTCTGCGCAAACAGCTCGACCTGATGTCGTGTGAAGGGGGGGTGATGGACGAGCACGAGGCGGTAGCTACGTCCTTTTGAACAAGCATTTACGCCTATCGATTGGACGAGCAACATTCAAAAACAGTGGAGCTACATCTTAAAGATTCTCGCGCATCGACGGAAAAAAACAGACAATCGCCCTTACATTTGCATCAGATCATCTGTACCCTGCTCACACGGGCTAGTCTGTCCCACATGATTCCGTAGTGCGTTTCGTTTAAACTTTCTGGTGTCGGGTTCCACCCCTTGGTGCATTTTTCTATGGATGCGTCAGGTTTGAAATCGTCAAAGTCGAAATAGTTTGTCATGCATAGAACGGATACCAGTTACGCCTACAGTTTGTAGTCGGTGCATGGCATCGGTGATCTACGGGCAGGCTGTCCCGGTGGCGCTTTGGCCAATCGTAGTCGTACAGAGAAAAAACAAAAAATAACAACACAAGTTAGGTAGGAATACATGTGAAGGTTAAGATTGAAGTCAAAAGTCGTAGAGACATTAATAAAGTAGTTCCTACGGGCATGGTCACGATTGGGCTTTAGTGGGTAGAGCAACGAATTGGTACACTTCTATCCGCTGGTCAAGTACGAGGAAAACGAGAGCAGCATCGAAGAAGGGAAAGGCGCGCAAGCAGAGCAGCCCAGCAGCAGCAAAAAATCAAGACAAGAAGCAGACTACCGCCACCCGGGGTCCTACCCGACCGAAAACTGTACTGGTATGGGCCAACATACCACAAAAAGTACAGAAGCAGGGTAGGTGCTCGCGTAAAGAGAAAGATGACCAAACCTACAGCGCCCGAGGGTGCATGCTCACCACTGTAGGATAATCTCTTTACCGTCTGCCAGCAGACAAGCTGCTGAAAAACAAGGAAGTGCAAAGCAAAAAACAGGTTGGAGCCAGCAGGCCAACCGCAACAAGACATCCACCCAAGCGATTGGAACCAGCAGGTCAATCAGAGCAAAGCAGCAGAGGTCATGCGTCGAGGGCCGGGCACGCGCGAAGAGAAATGCAGCATCTACTTAAACGTTGTGGGTCGTGCAACGAAGGTAGTTCAACGGAATCTCAGTGGAGTGATTGACGTAGTTCAACGCATTCACACGAAAGACGTACCGAGTGATAGCGTGCACTTATCATCATGAGAGCGCAGAACTAATCGCATATAGTGTTTGCTTTTTCGTTGTAACGACTACCTATTCACCCTATACGTCTATAAATGCTATTCTATAATAAAGCACTACACTACTGTGCACAATCAGTCACGACTTGTTTGTTGCTTGTAGTCGGTGCATGGCAAATTTTCCCGGACTTGGAAGCGAGTCTGTCATGCGGTTTAGGGCAAAAGCGCTGCCTTCTGTCATGCTAGTCAGCAGTCCAACTTTTGACCCTTGCCGGGACTATAATCTGCCTTCCGTGCGTCCTCTGCAATAGAGGCACTTTTTGCGTCGAATTTTATGCATGACAAATCACTTCAACTTTGACGATTTCAATTCTGACACTCCCATATTTTCTGCCTCTGCCGTCAAGGGGTAGGTCCAGTTGAATGCAGCGGCCATCATCACCTGAGTTGTTTCATTGGTACGAGTCAGTTTCGCATCACAAAATCTAAATCTATTTGCATCCGTCGGCAGTACATAGAAGTGAAAATAAGCTAAAGCAGCAGCAAAAAACTCACGTTTTTGTTCGCGTCGTTCATGAATCTTGGATCGGAGAGTCTGATTTCTTGTATCGATGAGAAAAGTCGGAGTGCATCCCCGTGTAGTACAACGTTGTCAGAATGCGCGCATTTTTACACAATATGCGTGCAGCTAGCGCATGACAAGTTTGAAGTGCTACTTCCATGTGAACTCAACTCCTCATGCAGATCGAGGTAACATTACACGACGAGGTGCTCTCTACTTTTCATCTCATCCATACCCTCGATCGTGAGCCAGTTGTTGACGTACACTCCTTCTTCGTAGCACTCGGTGTTGCTCCAAATGTTGTGATCGTCAAACTGGCACCCAGTCCCCGCAGTCTTGTCGGCGCGTAGCTCCTCGAAATCACACAGACGCGCGCCGGCGTTGGAGCAAATTTGCATCGCCTCGGCTTGGGTGAGACCCTTCAAGTCGGCTACCTGCGTGCCGTCGACCCATTCGCCTGTGGTGCAGAAAACGTGGACGATTTGTCAAATTTCCCTCTGTTGCTCTTCAGGTGGAAGGTACTGCTTCTAATTCTCTGATGCTTGATGTGCGACCACTAACATCAGTGGCAGAAGAACCGGCTAAAAGTTGTTGAGTGGAAACAAATGGAAGCCAAACAAAATCTCAATTTGCATTTACCTTGCCCGTTGCAAAATTTATCGTCGTTGCCTCCCCGCCTGCCCGACAAGTCCCGCAAATCCTCCATCATAACTTTGTCCGTCTCGTTCTTGTTTGCTTTGCAGCACCGCACCGCCGCTTCGGTGATCTCCGGGTAGCAGGCTTTGGGAAAAAGTTGGTCGTCTTGGTCGAAGGGGTTTGGATCGCCTATGAAGGTGAAAAACATTTTCGTCTGCTTTTCCCCCTTCTTTGTCTTTCCCCCCGCACTGCTGGCATGCTTGGAATAGATTGCAGCCGCAGATGAAGAAGTTTCTTTAGTACTAGTTGCGCCGCCAGACTGGTGATGCTGGTGCAAGGAAACGGCTGCCTTGGACAGTCGCTCTTTCCGTTTCCCCCTTTGGATCTCCTTTTCTTTCAGTGCTGCGGCGGCGAGCTTGGAGTGCACCATGCTACTAGTTGTGGTCTGCTTAATTTCGGCCGTGTCATGAAGCTGAATGGCGGTTGTGGTTGCGGACGGAAGGAGAAAGAGAAACTTCCGTATCCTGGTGTTTCCAGATGCACTAGACTTCATTGCGCTACAACGTGCACTAGAAGCAGTGGCAGCGGTAGCACTTCCTCCCGGCGCGGAGCTACTCGACGACCCGCCGCGCGTGGCCCACGTCATCGCCGGGCGTTCCGGGAACGGAGCCGCGAGTTAGAAGAGGGGAACAAGTGCAGCTTTCGCGGTGGGCGGATTTTGAGGCATGATCATTAATTTTGATTGAATTTTTCGTGCGGTCATAGCTTTCGGGACCTCTCTTGAAACTCCTTCTTGCTCACAAGCTTTGTTATCTTCGCCGGTGGATTTCGTATCGATGTTGCTACTCAAGCTCACGCAGTTCAGGTTTCATGGTGATTTCTCTCCAAGTCTAAATGCGCCACTTGTCATGCGGGCGACTAGGAACAACCTACCTAGTTGGTAGCGCCGCTACTAAGTCCTGGCGAAAGATGCAAGCGTTCGCTCTCGCCGATCTTGGTCTTGCTGCTGTTGGTCTATTGCTATACCACAACAAGGATATCAATAGCGAGGCACCAACATCAGAACCCGGCCACGGGCACCGAGGCGGCGCGTGCAACTCGCCAAAGACATCGCGCGGGTGCCCCTTCGCAAGGGAGGCGACATGCGGGCGCGCGCGCTGGGTGCCACACCTGTTCGGATGGCCCAAAGGCCCCGCCCCGCCTTGATTCACTTCCTTCGCCGGCGGCCGCGGCGGGCGCCTTCATGTCGTGCTTCCAAAAGGCTCGCGCCCTCGCTCGCCGACCGCGACGGGTCGCCGCCCTTTGGTCGCCGCGGTGGCTCGTTGGCCTGGACCCCCAGCGGCTGGGCCCGGCTTCCATGGCAGATGGCTACAGATATGAGGAAGGGATTACGGCGCCCACTGCTTCATCCTTGGCCCGCATTTCTATCGTGTCGAGATTTCTGCCGTGCTCGGCGCCGGGCGGGGAAGCGCGCGCCGCGGGCCAATTGCTCCGCCCGGTGCCGGCGTCCGCGCCATGCAATGGCGCCCGCCTTTCGGCGATCGAAAAAGCCGGCCCGGCGCCGCGCGCGCGGCTGCCTGGCCCGCCCTCAAGCTGCGCGCGCCCCGCGAGAGCCTTGTAGTTGTCTACCTCATTGCGCGGCACTACAAGGCGCAGCGGGTTACTCTTGAAACATTTGTCGACGATCTCGCTCGCAGCGGTGTTGCGTTGTGTGCGCGCACGGCGCCCCTGCGGTTTTGGTCTGCAACAGAGAGGCGCCCCTGCGGTTTTGGTCTCCTGCAGATAAATGCACTGGAAGTCGCCGCAAAAGCGCGCAGGCAGCTAAGCGCCAATGGGCATGCTGCGCGCCTCGTTCTCTTCCTTGCAGATGCATCAATGCGCCCCCGAAGCAAAGACATGGCGCCGGCCAAAAAGCGGCCCGGGCCGCTTCTGCGCGCAATCCCGACGGCTTCGGGCAGTGCCCCTCCGTGTGGCGGCAGGCTCACCAAAGCCAAAAGCTGCCCCGGCAGCCGCGCTGGCGGGCCCTTGCTGCAGCCGCCCTCTCTCGTGTCTGTATCTGGCGCCTTGTGAAATCGTCTTCCTCTTTTCTCAAATGGCATGGCCAACTGCTTCCGCTGTTGCGCAACACTCGAAAGAAGGAACAAGCTAAGTGAATGCGCGACGCCGCCGGCACCACCGGTCGATACGGAACAAAAAAGCAGAAGAAGTTGACTTCGAAAACTGCCGAGAGTCGATTGAATTTATTCAAAGAGTCGCCCTTTCAAAGTGCTCAGCTCTTTCCTGTGTTCACACTACGTAGCCTCTTCGCGCTGTGTGTGCCGCAGCTGCGCACTCTTGGTTCGAAAAATTAGCAATATCACATCAAAAAGGTTTTGCGCTATGTGTATGTACAGGATTGTGGAAGGGGTGCTTTAGCTGTTCCATGTCCTTTGTCTGTTTGAGTAATCGGGTAAAACTATGCAACAGCTGCAGTTGGCTGTTGGGCTAACATTTACATTGGACAAAGACAGTTTTTGACTGTGAAAAAATGCACATGCAGAAGGCCGCGCTATAGGCTCCAGCCTCAGCTAGTAGACAAAGACATCTTGGATGCGCTGCTGGCTGTGACATAGCAGACGAGAGTACGTAGATTACTCGCCGGAGCCGGAGCGTAACGTAAGCAAAAAAAAATAAAAGGATGTTGAGGTCGCGACAATACGAATACGTTCATAAGCTATGCTGTCGGTTCTTGTCACATTTGATATTGATTCCGTGGCCGGGTTTATCATACGACAAGGAAAAGGTTCATATTCATGTTCAAGTTCATCGCAATAATTTTTTTCCATGAAAAAATGAAATTATGTTCTGTCTGTTCATAGTCCCCCTTTTGTCTAACAGTGAAACACACATAAAGAGATTCAGATGCTCACAGTTCTTACATTCTATTTCACACTCGAATTTCATCGCAATGCTCCCAGCATCACTTCCTCGCACTGGGTCGGGATGATTTTCGATTTTCCGGGTCTTGCGAGGAACCCGCGCCGCCGGGGGGCTGTTGCAACATCGCCACATCGACTAAGCAGTAATCCACGTTCATAATGGCCGCACTGTTCCGCCTGCCCCTCGACGCGGCTCCGTGGCTCGCTGTGGTCCCACCGCCCGCAGTAACAGATGCGCGGCGGTGCGTGTGCGAAGAAGAAGTTTTTGGTTTGCTATTGGTCCCAATTGCAGCTCCTTCCGGCGCAACGGAACTTCCGACGTACGAGCCTGGTCCAGCACTATTTCCTCCTTGCTGTAGCGGTTCATAGTCGAGAAAGTGAGAAGAGGAATACTTGGAGCCGGAATTTGACGGCAGATCAGAAAGCGTACTCGCAGCATCGTTTTGCGCAAGGTTGTTGCTGTTCCGCGGTAATTGCAGATGCTTGTCCTTGCTGTGGTGCTTTTTTGACTTTGACTTCTGTTGCTCTGCTGGAGGAGCGACGCTGTCTGCGCTAGTGCCGGGGCCGGTATTCGCATGCGACTTTTGCGAGTGACTACTGCCGGATTTGGTGTTGCAATTGTAGCTCCCCCCCTCGACATTGTTTTCACCATGGTCGCCTGGGCCACTCGTTTCACATTCATTGTCGTCGCGTTCTCTTCGTTTCTTTTCCTGATGATCCGACGAGGCAGATTTTTTGTTTCGCCCGGCGTGCGCTCGACTCCTCTCTCCCGAACTGCTTCTGTAACCATCGGCTCGTTTCCTATCGTGTTCATGATCATCCCTTCCCTCCTTCCTTCTCTGATCATAGTCTCCTCTTTTACTGCTTCTGCTGCTGCGCGCAGTGTGATTCAGAGTGTCGAAGGAAGTGTTCTGCTGTTTTACTTGTGTATCCGCAACTGTATTTCTTGGTGAGTTTTTTGCGTCCTCTCTGAGAGTATCTTCCTTCCGCTCGCTTTTACCACCACTCCCCCGCCTGTGGTCCTTTATTCGGTGAGAGCGGGACGACCTTTTGGACTTTTTCGACGACCAGGAAATCATGTCGTCCGAGGTGTTGCCCACAGTGCTACTCGGCTTCGACGCACTGACACTGTCCTCGCGGACTGGAACATTGAAAGCGCGCGCGTTGGTCGCGTTTTCTCCAGCGACAGTTGGCACCACAGGCATCATGGCTCCTGTAGTTCCTGCGAATGTAAAATGATCCTGCTCAACATCCTGATTGCTTTTGCTCTCACGACCCACACGTCGAAGGTCATCATGATCCCCCTCCTGCGTCGGAAAGTTCTGAACCGAGCTTCCCGCACTGGTTGTATTGAACCCGGACACCGCTGCGGAAAGTAGATCCACCTCCGAAGACGTATTCGTTCTTTCCGGCACCTCGGAACTGCTGTTGGTCCGTAGTTCACCGGGCGTGCTGTCACTCATGCGGTTACCCGAGCTGTGGTTGGTGTGCAAACCGCTGCCTTCCTTGTTGCCTACAACCCCTCCCATTTGCGTACTGCGGATGTTTGATTCCGAGCTGGATGTGTGTTTGGTTTTTCGCAGATCAAATCTGACCAACTTCCCCGACGCGGTGCGGTGCTGCACGTCAATGTCTTCGAGGATAGGGGGGATAGCGGGAGGTGCGGACGCGGAAACAACACCTGGATGGCCAGAATGTTCTACTTCTTGAGCATCAAAATTGTTCTTCTTTTTCAACATCATTCTGTCCTTCGCTTTCCTGCTGCTGGTGATACTTCTCGCCGGTGACTGTTCTACGGGGGAAGCTTGCTGTCGCTTTTTCTCCTGCTGCCCATCGTCGTTCTCTAGTACCGGAGCTGCAACATCTTCGTGGTCTAGTACATCAACTGTCGGGTTTAGTGTTTCCACTAACGCTTGGCCCGCCCCGCCCTTAGTCGGTACAACTTCCGACTCCGCGACTTGAGACCTGGCTTGCGTTTGGCGGAGCGGCAGGGTCAGAGCAGCAGGAGGCGCGGCAGGCATAGGCCCTTGCTGCATTAGTTCCGTAGTAGTTTCTCCCTGGGCCTGATGTAGCTGTTTCTTCCCTGAACTACAGGAATTATCGGTCGTTGCTCTCGGAAACAGATGCAGCTGCTCCTGGAAGGGCACCAACGTCTCCCCCGGGATAGGCGAAAGAACCGGTTGCGGATGCAGAAGTTGATCCGCCGGAATCTGCTCGGTCGTTAATTCCGATGTGCTCTTTTCCAAAGTCGGCCGGTTGTAAAGCAGGGCCGCGTTATTATTGTTCTGCTGTTGTCGTCCCAAATTCTTGGTCGTTCTACTGGTGCCAAAAGATCTGCTACCCTTCATCATTTTCGGGCTCGATTTCGTACTGTGAGTCTTGTTCCCTGTAGAAGTAGTTCTTGTGTGGTTAAGAACTGGCGCATGGTCACCACCATACACTGGTTCATACCCCGCATCCTCCGGATACGGATTGCTCATCCGCCTCGCGTGCCGCGCATGCCGCGAGCAGACGTTATCCTTGAACTGCATCAGTTCGGAGCAGAGACTGTCGTGACTCAGCCTCCTCTGCAGCGGGTGATCGTCCTCGTCCAGTGAAAGCTGATCATCCAGAGGCTCTTGATTCGACCCGGACCGACCCGCACTTTTCTTTATGATCCCCGCCCAGCCCTCTTTTTCTCTCGCCCGAATCCGTCGAATGTTGGAATCCGCGATACTGCTATTGCCTGTCCGCACCGAGGACCGCATGGACAGCTTCGACTGCTGCGACATTTTCCTCACCCTTCTTTCCGACTGCCCAGAGAGGCGTCTTTTTTTGTTTTTCGCCTGCTTCCGGGTTGGCGAACTATTGGCGTTGTCCGCTTCTACATCGGCTCCTACCGCTGTGCTGTCTTTCGTGGTTTCTCTGCTCACAACCACCGCGTGCGTCGCGAAGGTTTGCAGGGCCTGGTAGTGCTGGCGGTGGGAATGGGACGTGGTGGCGTTCGAAGGCTTGGAGGACTTGGAATTAATCGTGCTGTTCATTTTGTCCTCTTTTTCGTCCTCCTCATTTGCACCTTCAGACGCAGAGCCGCTGGTGTTTTCCGAATCCGTATCGGCATTCGGGTCCCAGACCTCATCCCCAGACTCCAAATCGCAAGTTTGAACAGACTGGAAGGTTTTCAAACGGTTCACCAGCTGTGATGAATTGTAATCGTTGTGATTTCTACTTTGTTCACCCCGAGTTGCAGTAGGACCAGTGCCGCTCCTCTCGGACCCCTGGTGACTACCGTTTGTTCCGCTGGTTCTGTAGCCAGATGTTTGGTCAGTACTATCATTGTTGCGATAATTCGCAGCCCTTTGTCGTCCTCCTCTCCCGTTCCTCGCTTTGGGAAACGTCTCCGAAGTTTCAACCGAGTAAGGCGACTCTTCGGAGTCCTGGGTTCGGCTGCACTCGGTTTGACTGCGGTCGTTGTCATGAACATCATCGTCCTCGTCTTCAGTGTGATCGCTCTCGTCCGAGTCTTCTTCCTCCGATTGTTCATCCGAGCTACCGCTGCCTTCCGAACTTTCCTCACTCATCAATTCGCACCGCTGCCACAGCTCCCGCTCCACCCAGGTATCTTTGTTAGAGTAGAGATTCGGGTCGATGCAAAACTGCTTCGACTTTTGCTGGATCTGGTCCTGCATCTGCGTGTGGATTGCAAATATGTCTGGGTCTGGAAACTTGTAATGCTAAAAGTGAATGATAGACGTGCCGCAATACGCAGCTATGCATCACAAATTTTGTGGCTGCCATGTCTTATGCATTCCGCATGGCGCACTGCCTCTTTGCATGGCAGTTAAGATGGCTCTTTCGTACCTATGAAACACAGATTTTCTAGTCATGCCAGACAAGCATGACAAACTTGCATTCTTCCAGACCCAGACATTTTTGCATTTGATACTGCGTGCGCATTTGCGATTTGCGCCACGACGGGATGTTGGGGTTTACAACTTGTGGCATCTGGTTGTGCATTTGCTTGCTCTGGTTCTTGTTTTTCTGCTGTCCACCAGAAGACAAACCTGCTCTACTTCCCGACGGTGCTCCTGAGTGCGACTGCTGCCCGGAAACGTAGTTCTCATTCGACGACGGGTTACTCCGTCCAGCGGCACCCGTGGGGTTCTGACTGTTACTACCCTGTCGTGGCCCACCTCCAGGTGGCGGTTTGCCCCCTCCCATGCCAATCACCGTCTTTCGAAACACCGAGGCCATCAACTCCATTTGACTCGGATACTTCTGCAAGATCGGAGCCATCGCTTGTTTGGAAAGGAAAGCCAAAGTGCAAAACGTGTTCGCCCGCACCGAGGCCGTCCGTCGCAACCCCGTTAACAAGCTCAGATCGCCGAAAAACTGGCCCTTCTGCAGAACCGCTAGCGTTTCGCCCTTCGAGCTCACAATCAACTCCCCTTTTAGCAAGAAGTACATCCCCGTTCCCTCGTCCCCCTCCTTGCAGATGTAGTCCCCGGGGAGGCAAATTTCGTCCTTCAGAGCGAGCAAGATTGCCTGCAAGGCTGCGAAGCTACTGGTCGGCAAACAGAAGCCACCCACGACGTCGGGGTCGAGCAAATCCCGATACAGTGTCAAAGCCAGCTGCCACTTCAGCTGCTGGCTCTGCCCCCCGCCGGAACTGTGGAGGACGCCGAGAAAGTCTTGGTTTCTGTGGACCCATATCAAATGCAAATATGTCTGGGTCTGGAAGAATGCAGATTTTTGTCATGCAGTTTCTCCTAGCGTCCTCAAATCTGGAATGCGGGTCCTAGCATCACAGGTTCTGCAGCCCCTCAGTGATGCCTACTTATTCTGCATGAGAAATACCCTCTCAGCATGGCCAGAAGTAGTGAGCACCTGTTGCCAGTCATGCAACACAAATCTTTGCACGATCCGCAATTCACATCACAAGTTCGGAGCCGTGCAGACCCGGACATATTTGCAATGCATAACCCGCTGGTAGGTGAAGAAAGACAGAATCCTCGACCGCAACGTCAACGGCACCTTTCAAAATGAAAAATCCCCCCTCCCCATATCGAAAACGAAATTTGTGTTGCGGTATTTGAGTACACAAATCACATTTGTCTTGCAGTAAAGGACTGCACGCAGATCGTAAGCCTAAGGGGGGGTCTCTTGGTGTAGGGGCCTAGCATGGCAGACTGCTGCCCTATAGGCCTTGCAGCATTACAAATCGCCTGTATGTCGTGGCGGGGTCTCTGCGTTTGCCCTCTGGCAAGAGAGACAGGATTTGTGGTCACAAATCAGCATCACAAATTTTTAGACGAAGCATACCTGTTCAGTGTGGGGAGGGGGGATTTTTCCTTTTGATAGCAACCGCAGCATCTTCATGGAAGCCCGGAGATCCACGAGGAGTTGTTGCTGGCGCACTATGTGCTGGTCTTGCGCCATGTTATCAAGTGCAAGAGTGTCTGGGTCTGGAAGAATGCAAGTTTGTTATGCAGGTTTTCCATGACCCACGCGGTCTGGCATGCACTGCCTAGCATGACAGGTTCTGTGAGATCTCTACCATGCCTTTCCTGCACGAGAAACTGCCTCTAAACTTGTTCAAAAGTGGACCTCTTTTGGTAATCATGCAACACAAGTTTTTCCACGATCCAGATGTAGCATGACAAGTTACACTCTTGTTCCAGACCCAGACATATTTGCATTTTATACATGTACATCATTGACATTTTGCTGAAGATCACGGACTGAATGATGATCCCAACCGGGGTATCCTATGTAAAAACGTACCCACGCCAGAGTTGTAATGCAAATCTGCATGCTTAAAATGTTTCTCATGCGGAGCCGCATGAGGAGCATTCTCTAATGTTGTTTTGAAATTTGTCATGCTCCAATCAGCATGAGAGACTAGATCTGTAATGCTGCTGAGCACGCTCAAACAGCACTACACTACGAGTCCGAATTTGTCATGCAAAACAGCCAAAGCTTGTGGATTTGTCTAGCAGATTTTCCATCTTGACTCTGGTGTGGGTACGTTTTTACTCAGGATACGGAGCAACGAAGGCGAAAAGTAAATTTTCCCCGGGGGAGTTCCCGGTGGAATTCATCCTGCCGAGGAACATGATCATTCCGTGCTGCAGGGAGTAGGCGTACAGATCGTAGAAGGACAGCTGTTCCTTCAGGTACTCGTTGGAAATATGAAGGCTTGTTGTGCTGGCAGAAGTACTACTATCGGTGTAGTAATCCGCAAATTCAATCGAGTCCCGGGACACGATTTGCAGCACGGTTTTCTCTTTGTCCGTGACGTAAAACCAAATCGCGCCGCAGAAGTGTCCGAAAAGCAAAATCAGCAGAACCAGCCGGCCCAACCTCCCCGTGTTCCACGTCCGGCACGCCACCAGCATGTAGGTCGGGTCTCTTGCCAACCGCCACATCCGGACCAGCTTCAACAGTGACAAAACGATCACGATGTTTGCGCCGCCGGCGCCGTCCGCCCCACCGCTGTTGCTGTGGTAGTGGTCGCTCTGGTAATGGTCGTGTTTGATCATGTTGTCTTCGTAGTAAAACAGGTAGGGCCACAGAACGCAGGAAAACATGTCCATCCACCAGGTAGAGTCAGAGATTTGCAACTTCATGATCAGCCGCGGCGGCCCCACAACTTCCACCCCTCGCAAGACGTTCAAAACCGTCGTGCGCAGGCAAAGAATTGGTCCGAGAAGCACGTACGCCGCGTCGAGGAACAAATCCAGTTTCAGCAACGTCGCGATCTGCGCACACAGCATGAAATCCCAGAACACCATCAGCCCAGTGCCCAAAATGAAGCTCCACGCGGCAATGATCGAGTTCACGTGGTTTGCAAACATAGAGAGTCTTGACAACGCCCGGTTCCGGGCAAAGAAATTTTCAGTCGGGTCGTCTTGGTGTTGGTAATTCTGCTCCTCGCCTCCGGACGGGTTGGAAGCGAGGCTGCAACGAGACTTCGAAGAGGCCGAACGGGCACCGGAGGCCACGGACTGGCCGGAACGGACATTGCTACCTTTATTTCCGTTGTTCGCAGCTTTGCTGTTTCTGTTGTTCCGATTTGAACCGTTTTTGTTAGTACTCGAAGAGGACGATGTATCCTAGAAAAAAACACCATCACAATCACATTTAGGAGGTTTTGCATCAGAAGTTTGCCCCGCATGACAAATTTTTCTTGTATTGCAAAAATACAAAGGGAAATCGCCTATGACTCTTGACTGTGATGCATTTTTGCGCATGACGAAAATTTTTGTATTGTGCAAAAGTGATTGCGATGGTATTTTTTTTTTGAATACGATGTCGAATACTGTGACTGCGAAATCGTCACCGGCTCAAACACGTCGTAAATGCTGTATCGGGTCTTGCTGTCGTAGATCTCCGACCTGAGGGAGTGCAATATCGAAGCGTCAGGTTTGAAATCGACAATGTTGAAATGATTTGGCATGCATAAAATGCAAGGCATGAATTGCCTGTCTTGCCGGGATGGCAAGTGAAGCCGACTGGCGGCCTGTTTAGGGTTTGAAGTAGAGCCGTTAAAGTAGCATGACAAAAGCAGTCGTCTGTGCCCAAACAGCATGACAGATTGGATTCCGGTGCTCGGAAAATTTGTCATGCACCACTTAGAAATTGGGCTTCCAACTGGTATCGATTTTATGCATTACAAGTTATTTCAACTTTGACGATTTCAATCCTGACGCTTCCATATGCAACAGCTTCTCTTTATGCACGGTGTGCTCACTCGTTTTCTCCACGTTTTCGTACCAGCGCCGAAACGTCTTCTCCCACCACGCCTGCCATTTTAACAATTCCTGCTCGGTTTCGTAGCTGCAGAGGAAGTAGACGAGCTTTTGCAGAAAGTTCATGAACATGTGGAACAGAGATTTGAGCAAGTAAATCACCGGCGCGCAATTGACGCAGAAAAACTTCGCGTTGTAGCTTAACGCTGTGGAAGTGGACTGAAGGAACGAATCCCGGTCTTTCCTCGTCGCTCTTGAGAAAAAGCCGAAGCTACGCCCGGACCTTGACCCCGATCCGTCGTCTCGGGGCGAGGACTTATTGCTCCTATCGCCTACTCCGTTATTTTGCAGCCCTTCCGGTAGGTCAAAGTCCTGCGACAAAGTTGTGGACCTTTGCCAACTGTTGTCGAACTTCATCTTGACCCAGGATCTCGTCTGCGGCAATAGCGCCAGCCAGGAACTTTGTCGCGTGGCTTTGTAGCTGCGGTGTAACGCGGCGGATTGGCGAGCGTGAATGTTCGGTTTGGCATTGGTTTGTTTATTTCCGCTTGACGGATTTGTTGTGCCTGCAAGGAAGTCTTCGTCTTGCCTGTCTAGATTTTCCTTCAATGGAGCAGCTGCTAAGCCGGCGTCTTCCAATTCGTTTCTCCTTTCCAGTCCAGGTATTATTTGTCGTGGTTCCCCGTAGCTATCATCCTCCAAAACGCAGTCGAGAGCTGCACCATTTTTACCAAATCGCGACGACTTCCGGTTTCCACTGTCCCGCCGTTGTGTTCCAAAATTCATCGAACCCAAAAACGTGGTCACCAAGTTCTCCAACCTACCTAAAGTGGTGCTAGTCACGGAAACCATGCTCGATCGGTTCGTAATCGCGGAGAGCCGATTGCTGGTCGTGGAGGTCGAGAATTTATTGGCATCAGAATTCGTGTTTCCTGCTGTCGTGCCAGATCCGCTCTGTGGTGCGGACAGAAGCGTGTTTTTCGAACGAACGGAGGCTGTCTCGACGTGTGTTTTGAGATCGGAGGAGAGAGACTTGGTGTTTTTGTTGAGTTGCATGTTGCTGAAAGTTGTAGGGTTACCATCTGAAGAATCCCCGACATTGACGACCACTGAATTGTCTTTGACGTCATCTTCTTGCTGCTGGGTCGTGTGGTACTCTGAGCCATTCACCAAAATAGTCGGGGCGGAGGGAACGGCGTTGAGAATATCCTTGTCGTCTCGTTTGATCATATTTTGATTCACGGCCCCCGGAATCATGCTGTTTCCGTCTGAAGAAGGAGCTCCTGCAATAAACGTCGCTGGGAGCTGCATCTTAGCGATGGTCTGTGATGTGGTTTTCCGATCCGCATCAGTAGGTTTGTTTGAGACGTCTCCTACCGCAGTAAGCAGCAAATTCTTCCCGATCAGATCGTCATCGTGTGCTTTCTTCTTGGAAGAAGTAGATGCCGGCGCAGATCGAACTCTATTCATCCCAGCGGGCGGCGCGCTACTGGTTGTACTAGTTCTCATCTCCCCGCCGCTCGTCAACATCGTCGTGCCTTTGCTCATCGGCAAAACCGAAACGTTTTGCTCCACGGTTTCCATCACGGCAATGTCGCCGCCCTTCCCGTTCACAGGCGTTGCGACCGAGGAGACGATCGAAGTTGCGCGCGGCCGCGTGGTCAGAGCGCTGAGAAAATTCGACAACCGCGGGAACACGCTCGGGGAGGAGGGGCTGGAGCCGTACAGGATTTGCCCAACCGAGGACATGGAGTGGTAGTAGCCAGGTGTGCCCCTTCGGCCTACCTTTTCGTGGAAGTCCCGCACAAGCTCGTTGTCGCTGCCCATGCTGATTCGCCGTTCTTCCAACGGAAGCTTCGTCAGATCTGGCGGCTCCTGATCATGCACAGTCAGCGAGTTGTCGTGAAGATCTCTCTCGCTGTGTCGATCGCCGTCGCTCGTGTTCATCTGACTCTTGTTCAAGTCCCTATCGGACACGGTTTGCGACAGTTCCTCCATGCGGTTGCGGTCCATGGAATCGTGGCGCGCAAATGCGCGGATGCGCTGCTGCTTTTCCCGCATCTCCTCGTCGAGCTGGGCGGCCTGCGCTTCGGTTTCCTCCATGGCGGCGGTGGCGGAAGTGTTATTTGTTGGCGTCGTCATACTGGGCTGCGGTGCGGCTTCGACTCCAACGAGGTTTTCAAAAAGTCGTCATGCAGCTCTCGGAGATTCCGATGAATGCCTCTTGTTGGTGCACCAGCTTCATACAAGATCTCCACTATCAACAACGTTCCGCTCCACACGAACTAGCTCTCGGAAAAATGCATGCAAAATCCTCGACATCGGCACCAGTTGCAGACACAGAGCTTCGTTTTGAGACCGTCGCTCCTTTTTCTGACACGAGCGGCCGCTTTGGAAAACTCTCCTGGTTGGTTTTTCGATGCAGTGACGTCGCTCCATTCTCTACACCCAAAAACAATCCGAATCCTTCTCCTTTCAGAACACCGCGCGCCACGTTTTATGGTTCCGTGTGGGTGCTAGTGCGCGGCTCGACCACGACGTTATTATCGACGCAGCAATTTTTCAGGACCCAGGCCACAGGGTGAAGCGAGGCAAAACCCTGGTGAGACTACAGCTGCGGAACATGCCGAGCGCGGCGGGTCGCGCCGTTCGCACGGACACCCGGCCAGGAACGTCGACCCGCCAATGCGACAAGCAAGCGCGCGGGCCGGCTCCGGCTGCCACTCCTTCGAAACGAGAAGCCATTTTAGTGGCCGGACCCGCCCAACAGGGCGGGCAGACCGGTTACGCGGCAGGCTTCAGGGGCGAGCGCCAAGACGGCCGGGGCCGGGGAGGTCGGCCGCCGGGCTCTTTCTAGTTGGCCCGTCGGCCTCGGCGGGCGGGCAACCTTTTCGGCTGCTCCCGAGCTGCCCGCCCTTCGCGGCGACTACCGGAAAAACCCCGGCGGGCTTCGACCGGCCCCGCGGCCGGGGGCCCTTCTTGCTGGGAATATATAACGAAGAGCCACCCAATGGGCCGCGGCCCGGCCCCGCCCCCATGCAATAAGCGAGAGAATGAGAGGGGCAGCGGCCGGCCGCTTGCGCTTTCCCCCGCTTCCTGCCCCAGGGCCGCTATCGCCTGGCACTCGGCTCCGGTTCTCTGTGCCGGGTTCGCTAACTGCGCGGCGACCTTCTCGCCAGTTTTGTTCCATTCCCCTATGTGTTGCGGCTGCCCTGCTTCCCAAAGGATACGCGCCCGCGCCCTGGAAGTCCTGGCGGATGTGCGCCCCCTCGCCCAATTTGGGCGGGTCCTGCTTTTCTCGCGCGCGTATTCCTTACACCCGAGCAGCCCGGGGGGGGCGGGGCGCTGCGCCAAAGGCGCGCCGCGTGGGCTATGGCGCCTCCGGCCTTCGTAAAGATCGCGGCGATATGCTTTTCCACCAGGGGCGGGCGCTGGGGTCGCTTTCAATTTCTGGCTTACCATGGCGGTCAACGCGGGCGGGCGGGGCGCGCCCGCGCGCCACCACCTTCATCGGCTTCGTGGGGCCCCCTCCTTCCGCACCGAATAGCGCTGCTGCAGCGCACACGCTGACACTCCCCCCGAAAGACCGCGCGGCCGGGCGGGCGGGCCCGCGCGCCTTTGTAAACTTTGGCGCGCCGGGGCGTGCGCGAAACAGCCCCACACCACCTCCCCGCCTCGTTTCCCCTCCGTCACGCCGCGTAGCCTGATCAGGTTTCTCGCCCTAGTGTGCATCTGCTGGCCCCAGCGCCGGAACGAGCGCCGCCACGTTGACGCCGGGCGGGCTCTCTAACGTCCCCAGCCCGGCTTTTTACAAATCGACGCCGCGCGGGCCGTTTTCTCGGCCGCGGGAAGCTTCTCGCGCAACTGGGACCGCGGCAGCTGGTCGATCCGCTCTTCGCCACGCGGGTCGGGTTTGGATCTCTTGGCCAGCTCAGACAATGGCGGAACAGCGCGACTCGGGCGCGGGCCTCTCTTCCACCACGCAGGCGCCCCAAAAGGCCGGCGCCCGCGATCGGGGTGCCCTTGAACTCCGCAGGAGGTTCCAGCGGGCTCTTCGGCAGCTCGCGAGAGTGGAAACAAATGGGGGAAGTTGGCGGCGTGCTCGGCTGCTTCTTCAATGGGGCGCGCCGCGTGCGGTTTGTCTCGCATCAACGCGCTCGCGATCGTGTCGGTGTGCCTGTGCGCCGTGCCCTGCTTGTCGATGCATTTTCAGCAGATGATGGCGCGCCGGTTGTAAAAGCGCCGACCGGAAGATCAATCGTCGAACACGTGTGCACAATAAATCATCGTCCTGTCATCTCATGACATCGAAACAGTAATCTTGCTGCCTCGAGTTTCTTCTTGGCTTGTCAGTGAATATCAAAAAAAAAGCCAGTGATCTCGTGATCCAATCTCTTTGCGGTTGCAGATGCAGTCGCAGTCCTGACCGTTCTTGAAAAGAAAACCTCACAATTGTTGAGCCGAGATAAGGCGCATGTGTCGTTCCCTGTAGCGGCAACATCAGCGCCAATACTACTTTCATTGTAGTACTGGTAGTGGCGTGCTTTATCATTGTTCGTAGCTAATTGCACGAGGCAATTTGTACGTAAATGGAAACGCTCTTGTTGACGTAAGGCATTGAAGAGCGCTCTACACTGGCATCAACTTGCCTCTTTTGCACTGACCATTTCTAAATCCAAAAACAAGCCCAAACTTGCTCTGTGTTTTAAGTTTCTGAGTAATGTAAAGTAAGTGATACGAAAACTTCTGAATGGAATCTGAGGAAGAAAATTGCCGCGCAGCAAACTCGTAAAGAGTGAATGAAGTAGCAGGTTGAAATTCCACACCACCGTCCATCAACATCATCCCGTATGCGCATGATCTCCTCTGCACGGCTTCCAACTACTTCTTCCCCTTCTTGCCTTTCTTTCCTTTTTTCATCTTCTTCAGTTGCTGGTATTCCAGACGACCGGTCATACCTTTGTGTTGCAGCAGAAGCATTGAAAATTTACTTTGTCATGCGAGCAGTACTACTTGAAAATGAAAACGCACATGAAAAAGAACATAATAAAACATGGATTCCGGTTCAGTTTCAGAATCAGCAATTTGCCTGCCAAAAAACCAAATAAATCTGTACCCTTCCAGAATCCCTGCAGCACGCTGGCGGCTTCCGCCTGCCTCTCCTTCTCCTCCTCCACCAGTTTGTCGCGCAGAGATTCCATTTCTGTCTCCATTTCGTTCCTCCGAATCTCGTATCAAATGCAAAAATGTCTGGGTCTGGAAGAGTCGGAGGTTGTCATACACATTTTGCATGACCCGCGAGGTCTGTGATGCTGGTGCTAGCATCACAGATTTTTTGAGATCTTCTTGATGCTAATTACGCATGAGAAATGCCCTCTCTGCGTGCCAAGAACTGACTCCTCTTGCTGCTCATGCAACGCAGACATTTTTAGAATCCGCAGACAGCATTACAAGTTCCACTCTTCCAGACCCAGACATATTTGCAATCCATATCTCGGAGTCCAGTTTTCGGAAGTGGTCTTCGAGTTCCGAGAGCTCCTTCTGCTCTTTCCTCAATTCTACTAGTGACGTTTCGTACTCTTCGTGGGCTGCGCGGAATACGGAGTCGTAATTCTGCACCAGCTCCTCAATATCGGTTTCAAACCTGTTATGTGGAAAAGTGTATGTGGTATTCTGCATGACAGAATTTGCCTTTCTTGCACGAAAGTACTGCGTCTTGACGCGGCGCACATCGGTCGACACTAGAAGTCGACGAGTTACATACGCGTATACGCTTTGCATCACATGTATTTTTAAAGCGCCGATCTCATCATGATACCTCTTCTTCTTTCTTCTTAGTCCCACCTCGTCTTCTTGTGAGCTACTTCCGAGTGATCTGACTTGATCTCTCAACTTCTGGATGTCGGCAGTGTACTGCTCTTCCTTCTTCTGATATTTTTCTTGCAACTCCCGCATGCGGCCGTTATACCTGGAGTTTTGCTCGTGTTTTGATTTGTGTTGTCTATTTTTCCTTAACCCCAAACATGACAAGATTGACGTGAGGGTGAGTGTGAGTCGCAAAAGCCGAATGACAAAATCGAAACTCACTTGTCTTTCAGCGCCCTTGATTTGTGGTCCGCGGAGTCCTTCACATCCAACAAATCTGCTTTCAACTTCGTCAAAACCTCCGTTCTACTTGCCTGTGCCTTCTCCCGGTCCTTTCTCACCGCGGCGAGGTCCTTTTCTAACTGCGCTTTCTTCTTCAACGAGGCCTCTTCCCGTGATTTGTAGTGCTCAATCAGCTCTTGTCGTGATCTTTCCTCTTCAACAGTGGTAGCCAGGCGCTTAAGCGTAAGCTCTTCCATGTCTGCTAACGTGCGGATGAGTTGGAGGACCTGTAGAGTTGTAGTTTTTGCATCGCAGATAACACTTGATGCAAGCAGGCATGCTAGAATAGAAGTTGAAGTACGCATCAACAGAAGTATCGTACAATACCTGCTGTGGTCTTGTTTCTTGAAAGTTTCGCAGTTCCGTGATAACGTTTGTTGTCTTGAGTTTTCGGCACAGATCTACCGAGTTTTTCGAGAGCCGGTCCAGGAGTTCGCGAGCCTGAGCGTGATGACAATGTGCGTGTTTTTCTTTTTCTATGTATATACATATAATTCTTGTCATGCAGAGAAAGGAATCAGGATTGACACTGTCTTGCGCGTAGTTCTACTTCACCGCAGCAAAAATCTCTACCTCGCCCTCTGGCTCCGCACCTCCGCCGCCGTTCTCGGCAGCTTCCGAGCCCTGGTCCTGCTGCGTGTGTGACAACACGTAATTTTCCTCCAGCATAATCTGGTCAACGAAGAGCTTGAAAGTTTCCGGACCTGATTCATGATCACACAGCACCCACGAAAGCAATAAAAATCGTAGTGTGTTTATTTCTTGTCATGAATAATTCATGCAAAACATTCATCTCTTCGCAACATCAGCGTCGGAAAAAACAACCGAACCTCCTTCTACCAAGCAGCTCTCGGACGTTGCTCCCTTCATCCGATTGCAGACCCTCCAACACTTGCGGCGTTACGACACTCATGTATGTCAGCCTCTCCTTCAGTTCCTGCAGGATCGCAAGGATCCGCTGCGCGTCTATGTTCGTTGGCTTCATTTTTATTTCTCCTTGCCGATGATACTCAGTACGCGGTCGCTCCTGCTACAAACAGGTCCGGTATGATTATATCGCCGATCGCGGAGCAGGCGCAAGCAAAGCACAGCAGCTAGTACTCGTGCAGACGGTAGTACTCCTCTTGGCAGCACGTGCTTGAATCAGCAAGCAAAGCCATCGAGAACGTGGTCGCGCGTCATCTTGTCAATATGATAGATACGCAGCTACCACAACCCAGAGCGCTACTACGGTGTCCTCACCGATCGTATTTCATAACGCGAGAGATGCTTTTAGTTACTGAAGCGTGGCACCATGGTCTCTCCTCGGAAGAGGATCTTCTTCGTCTTCTTCGCTCGCTCTCAGTACTTCACTCGTTTGGACATTTTCGACATCGTTTCCATCCCTCTCTCACAGCGCCCGGCTGTGAATCAAAACCCTAGTGCTAGTACACTCTCAAATTTAATAAAAACCCGCCCTAAGTAACCCCAAATCTACATCGTGTCTCCCGAAACCAGGTGGAGCAGTAGCAGATACAGTACCATCCGGCATTTTCAAAAATATTAACACGTGAAATGAATAGCATCAAGGCGCTTTTTGATAGTGCCGGCATCCAGTTGCAGTGCCGCAGAGAGTTTTTGTTTTTTTCATTTTTCGGCGGATAGCTCAATAATTAAGTTGTATTCTCGATAACGATGATTCGAACTTTTTTTACATACAGATTTACAGTAATAGGCGGTATAAAGGTTGAGGTGTTTGACATTCACTCATCGGGTAACTCGAGAAGAGGCGAGTGGAATCTGATTTAGAATTACTAGCATAAAGTGGATCATCTGAAAAGATAGCTTCCTTCCCTAGGAGTGAGAAATGTAGTTCAAGGCCAATCACAAAGCAGAAACTACTCCTGAATGGCGCTAGCGCTACGTCTAGTAATAGCGTTGGGTGGTGTTTATCCAGTAAAGTAGAACACGACACACATCTACGGTAAAAGCAAAACTTTAGTTCAGGTATCCAGCGTGTTACGTCGCTGCCTCTTGCGTAATTCGCGGAGAGACGAAGCTGACGTACTGGAAATAGAGTGGATATTTGTAAGCGGAATTTTAGCGTAATGCTGTGTCGGGTTTATCTCGTCCTGGTGTGTTTTATTTCGGAGTAGTTGGGCGTCTATCGTAAGATTCGAAACATCGTGTATATTGTCGTCCGAGCTGGAGAAGTACTACGAATAGCAGATCATACACAACATATTGTGCTTCGTAAAAGCGAAGAGTGTCTGAGTAGGAAAATTGTAATCGCCATTATCGTATGCTCTTGCGGCTACTGAAGCAGAAGTGTGATGCTCGACTTAATATTAACCGTCTTCCTAGTAGTTCATCTGACAACATCGTTCATTTTTCATTTGCATTTACTTTTCCGAAACCGAGTCTACATCTGTACTGGTGCTATTTCGATGGTGGATATCTCGCCCGCATCCTAGTGAGTCGGCTGCAACGGCTCCAAACGTAACATAATCATAATTTTCGCCCGATGTTATATGTCGTGAGAGAAGCAGCTTCTTCTCTTCATGCTATTCATTTCATAGCTCCTTCCAGTATGATAAAGCCACTCCGTCACTTGTGGCACCAGGAGGTTTCGTGGTGTACTTTTGCCCAAGCTAAAACTTCAGTGATTAACATATGCCAAATCCGATAAAAAATGCTGTAAGGAGTGCTATTTTTGCTATAGTTGTAAATTGATAAATTTGTTATTGTCTACTTTACCTGCAGCACCAGCAGGCGGTCATTAGATATTTTCCCTCACGGGTTCTGACTCTGTCATGCTAATTTTTCCTTTCTCTGTGCCACACACATTTAACACGAAGAGTCTGCTAGTATGATCCTCACGTCGCTATTGCAAGATGCTTGAGCGGGCAACGAGTGTAAGTCTAGGTCCTTTTGGGAACGAACGGAGGTCAGTAAGACAGGGTGGTAAGTAACACAATGTAAGTCACGTTGTAACAACACGGGTGGATATTTTCTGTCGAGTTTCCGGACGACTAAGTTCTTACAAGTCTGAAATCACGAAATCACAAGTTACCTAAAATCACGAGAAGCCTTTGCTATAATTGTAAAACTTTAAATTGAATAATTTTGAATATTGGAAACGAATTTATTGAGTTATCGTGTCTGAATATGAACAATTTTGTAAAACCTCTCAGGTCCTTTCATCTGCGAGGCTCGTTATTTGTGTACGGAGACATACTAATCGGCTGTGTCGTCATTAACTGTGGAGTTTATCTTTGCTTTGGGTACTGAAACTAGTATTGCTCACATACTAAATTTGAATTTGTCGTTTGGTTTCGCGAAGAGTTCTGCTTATCGTCGCAGCATCACCCCTGCTCCGCGGTTCTTTTCTCTACTGTGTGGTGTTGAAGAATTCGTCATTTTCTTTTCCGAAACGCGATGGCTGTGGCGCAGAACGCTAGTATGGCGCGCTCCGCAGAAATGGGTTGTTCGGGATCCGGATAGCCTGTTTGATGAATTTTGATTTTCATTATTTTGAAATTTCTCAACATGCATAGCAACCTGCAGCAACATGCACAGCAACCTTCGTATGCAAACCAACCACTGTGGCAATAATAACTTCTAAAGCGCACTTCTAAAAATACCGGCTTAGCCGACTTCACCGTCGTAGTTGTCCCGCCATTCGCACTCCCCATCGAACTGCTGCCCGCCATAGTGCTGCAAGTAGAATCGATTTTTTCCATTTTGCAATCTTCCATTCCCTCTCCGATGTGGTTTTCCCCAAACATCGGACTACTCGCGTTCGTTGAGTATTGTTTACTGGCGGAACTATTCGTGCTTTGACAGCTAGAGCTACTAGTCGCGTTTTCGCCGTTGCAGCCAGCACTTTTGTTCGGCAGGATTTTTGCAGACGGCCGGTGAATCTCGTTCTTCAACTCCTCGATTTTCCTGTCGATGTTTTCCGAAAGAGAAAGCGGTCGGTTATTTTCCGCGGAGTTGCTGTTGCTATTTTCGTGCGAGTTTTCCTCCTTCTCCATCATGGTCAAGTCCGACGGTGGTAGGGCCCCGCACACCTCCAACAGCATCGTTTCCACGACAGACGCGGAGCCGCCGCCGCCGGTAGAGGAAGAGGAAGTGTGCTTGTTCTCTGTACTAGTTTGCTGACCTCCTTCTTCCTCCGTGGATTTCGACGGGGCAACGGCATCTTGTTGTTCTCCTGTTGTCGTGTCTTTGTCTTTCATTTCTAGGTTTTCCTCCTTGTCATTTTCCATCTCCCCGGTCGTGTTGGGGGAGGAATTTTTTGAACAGCTTTTCATCTGCTCGTCGTCACTCATCTTTCCGTTTTCCGTGCTCGGTCGTGAGTTCTTGACTTCTTTCAGCATATCCGCATCGACCAAGTCGACGGAAGGGGAAGAAGCGGACCCGGGGTTCGACGTGGTTGTATTCGACTGCTTGTTGCCACCAGATGAGGAAGAGCTGCTCGAATTGCTGTTGTTCGTGTTCGTCCCGTTAGCATTGTCCTTGTTACTATCCTTCGTAGTACTGTCGCCCCCGGCGGTCAAATCCTTAGCCACCCGCAATCCGTTCGAGGACTTTCCCCACTGGTTCGGTGCCCGCTGGGAGAAGAGCGAGCCCGGCATTCTGGACCGCAACTGCTCGATCATCAACCCTATCAAATGTAAAAATGTCTGGGTCTGGAAGACGAAGATTCTGAGATTTGTCATGCATATTTCGGATCACGCAAGTGGCGTCTGATGCAGGCGAAAGCATCACAGGTTTTGAGCACGCCTCATGATGCCTGTCCCGCATGAGAAACTTCCTACTTGCTTGCCAAGAAATGGACAGCTTTTGGCGCTCATGCAACACAAATTTTTGTGTGCTCCAAAGTTTGCATCACAAGTTCCAACCCTTCCAGACCCAGACATTTTTACTTTTGATAAACCCGTTCTCCGGGATCCCGTCCCGCTGCGAAAACATCAGCCGTTCTTTCGCCCGTGGCGCCCCGCACACCCGGCAGGACTGATTCCGGGCGAATTGCAATATTGAGAGGAAAAATCCCCCCTCCCCATACCAAAAATGGATACTTCCGAAGATTTGTGATGCTGATTTGTGACCACAAATCGTCTCTGTATTGCTGGAAGGCAAATCCAGAGACTCCGCCGCGTTTTGCAGGCAATTTGTAATGCCGTGTGGCCTACAAAGGACGCGCCTGCCGTGCTAGGCGTCCCTACACCAAAACGCCCCCGCTCCGGCTTTGTATCTGTCTGCAGTCCTCTACTGCAAGACAAACCCGATTTGTGTACACAAATCCCGCATCACAGATTTTCACTTTGATATGGGGAGGGGGGATTTTTCATTTTGATATGCAAATCGCCACACCCATCGCAGATCCAGTCGCCCGGGAACACGGTTTTGTACTACAATGAAAAATGCCCCCACCCCCGAACTTGAAAGATTTGTATTGCAAACCTTTCCAAATGAAACATTCGCCCTCTTGCATCTATCAGCATCACAGGTTTTGAATCGTGAATAGCGGAAATTTGTATTGCAAAAGACCCCAGTAAGAGCGCCGCTTGTCATGCAACCGATGCGATACACGCCTAGACTCTGCATCAGAAAGATTCATACTCCTTTCATGCATGACAAAAAGCTTTCATTTGGAAACTTCGCATCACAACTTTTTGCAACCTTGGGGGAGGGGGCAATTTTCCTCGCGATATCTTGTGTCCGTTGTTGCGGCGCCCGTGTGTGATAGAGAGGAAAGAAGTTGCTTTCCACCCAAGAAATAAGCAGGAACGACTCTAGTATTTTCAAACATCTTTCATGTGTGATCACAGTTTTAATGGTATGTGTGTATGTGCTTATGTTACAATGAAAACGGTTTTTACGGTATGCGTATACATGATCATGATATGCATGGGCTACTTGGAAACGGCAAACATCGTAACACCAATGAGAGCACCCAAAAATTATCCCACGAAGCTTGTCCAACACGCAACGGTCGACCAACCTCTGCCCTGGAAGCTACGCAACAGAAACGAAAAAGAGCTGCATGTGCCTCCCAAACGAAGTAGAGGAAGAGTTTTTCTTATCCGGACAAACTAGGTAGTACTAGTAGGCAACCCAGCAGCAAACCCATAATACCCATCCCAATCATACTAGAAATAAACGGACCCGCTGGCAATTATAGTCTCGGAGATTCAACATCCACAGACTCTTGCTCCGTTTGCTGCAGTGTATATGCAGTTCTCTCAATTTGCAAAAGACAGAAGCCTCCCAAGTGCGCATAATCTGTACCCCATAGTGATCTACAGAAGCCCGTGCCAGTAGTACACCAAGATGCAGCTCCCAGATCTATCACTACGTGAGGATGAAGATCCGAGGATTTTCTTTTCCGAAGATCTTCAGAGGACCCTATTTACCAGCTACCGCAGCTGCTAGCTCTCCCTCCCTCTAGTAATATGCCGGTAAAAAAAAAAACTTGCTAGAGTAGAAGTAGATCATATCTAGATGCTGCTGTAACCAACTGTAATCACACAGCACGCTCAACGGGTGGAAACGCTCGGACGAAGTTGTTATTTCCATTCCCGTACTGTTGTCCTGTGGACCGTGTGCCGCACCGTGCGGTCCGCGGTTGATCATGTTGTGATGTCCTCCTGCTCTCGGCGGCTGCGGGTGCTGCTGCACTGGCGTAAAGGTGTCGTGTGTGTTCTGCGGCGGAAAGAGGTGATTATTTCCCCCGTTGAACATCGGTGGCGGCCGCTGCTGCGCCGCGGAACAGCCCATTGGCGGTATGATTGGTGGGCAGAACAGGTCGGAGGAACTCATCGGCGGCGGACTCGGCACGGAAGACCCGTGGACCGTCGGTGGGAGCGGTAAGTCCAGCCCGGCCGGCCTCGGAAACCGCAGCGGGGGCGCTTGCGTCCTGGCAGAGTCTGGCGGGGACGGTGCGGAGAGCGCGTTCGCGAGACTTGCCAGGGACCCGTCTGGCCCGCCCATATTCAGACTCAGTGGGTTCACAACCGCTTGACTGGAGGAAGACGTGGTCTTCAGCAGTTCCGCGAGGAGCGAGGAACCGCACATACTGCTGGAGGAAGAGGTCGTAGAGATCAGCGAACTCGGATCCGGAAGGAGGGACTGGTAGAAGTGTAGAGGAAGTTTTTTCAATAATCATATGTTTTTCTAACATGCTCAGCAAAAAAGAAAAACAGTAAGAAAAACGTCGAAATAAAATACGATCGATACGCAGTTAAGTTTCCATAAACTACTTACCCTTGTTCCGTTCGAATTCGACCGGTTGAAAAGATTCGTGGTATTACTCCCCACGTTAGAAGTACTGGCGCCCCCGGTGGAGTTGCTGCTACCGTCGTCTTTTGTCCAGGCGAAGAGCGACTCCAAAAGGTCCTCTGCCTCTTTCGACATCAGGTCGTTGCCCGCGGTCCCCGCGGCCACTGGTGGCTGTACATTCGCGCCGCAGCTTGGCTGGTGCAGACCACTGGTGTTTACCGGACCGCAACTCATGGGCGTGGAGTTGTTATTATTTCCACCACTGGCGCTCATCGGCGGCCCACCGGCCATCCCCGCGGTGCTGTAAGGATTTGATTTCTTTGTATCAAGTGAGGAGCCGCTTGTTTCTTCTTGTTTTTTTTTATGAATATCAACGTCAAACGGAAAAGACCCTCATTTCATCCATTCCATTGCACAATAAGCAAAAGCATGACGGCAGGCAGGGTGCAATAATTTCTTGCAGGGGCAGCTGCAGGCTAGCACATCAATTTACTTTTCTTCCGGTCCATACGGATCTACGCCTGGCGGTAGTGTCGGGTTCACCGTATCGCAGCCCCAGCGGCACATCTTTTTGTGTGCCCAGTTGATGTCCAGGCACACGGCACAGATCCAGTCTGACGCCATCTTCGATGGTAATTCTTTGATAATTCTCCAGATGTATTTATTTTCAAAAACTCGTAAATCGTATAATGTGCCGAAGCAACCGCGTACTTGTTTTTTATTTCGGATTTCTTTAGTGATCGTGATAACACTAGGCCAGGGTAATACTGAATTTTTCACCTGTTGTTCTTCTGCCTAATGTGCCACCACAACTCCTATGTATCAATTTTCAATTTCCATGTTTCAGCAGCGATGCCAATTGATACGATATCAAAATCGTACCGTATGCCGGCACAAAGTTGGTCGACGGCCTATCGATAGTTGTTCGGGCCTCTCATATTGAAATAACCTCTACATCACAAGAAACGAAGTGCAATGCCAATGGATGATCCAAGGAGTACATCACATACTTAGCGGTGTACAGCGCACTTCACACTCAACGAGCACGATTCAAAAAGCGACGATCATCAAAATGCCCTCTGAACAACCAGACTTGGCGCTCTCTCACGATCATTGCAGCGTGCTCGTTCACTCCTCGAATGCCTTGTCGCTCCAAGCAACGCCAACAGGGCGTTGCTACTTTAAACAGCGATGCGAATGAGAACTATGCAACAGCTGGCGCGCTAGAAGAATTCCAGTCAGAAAGAACAACTTTAGGACTCTACGCCGACTGGCACGGGTGTCCTTCCAAGATGCGAATAAATCTTCAACTCAATCAAAAAAAGCAAAGGAGTGACCTATGCGGCTACTCCTTCGGGTTTTTCTAGTAGAGAAAAAGTCACATGACTCCTGGCATTTTTTGGTCCATGGAAACAAATAAAGCTCTTCTCGTACATTCAAAACCGTTTAGTGTTCCGCATAAAAGCTGCTGTATTTTTGAATGTCTGTTTCAGAACCAAAAAAAGTGATGTTGAATTCGCCTTGCAAAGAAAATGAAAATCGTTCAGTTTTCCCGTAAAATAAACAAAGGTATAGAAATATCTAAAACACGAAACCTGTATTCCCAGAAACTCACTGCAAGACCAACGTGAAACAAAAAGAAGAAAATTTGGAGGTCTGGAGTGTACTATCCGCTCACAAGGCGATGATGGTTATAGTTGGATATACGCTAATATCTAATCAAAAGTCATGCACTTAATCTCCTGTACTTTTTCTGCATTCCTCGTAGTTATCCATGCTCCCTTCGTGTTGTTTTTATCTTTTGTGATTGACTTCATACTCAGAGCAGCGTAAGAAAGAGGAAGCAGAACCTCCGACTGCTGGTTGTACAACTGTAGTCCTTCGCCCAGTTTGTTCCGCAAATTTCTTTCGTCTAGACAAAACTGCAGAAATTTAGTTCTCCTTCTTAATATCTTCCAACCGCTCAGTTGTGCCAGTACCTTACACATTTGCCGGCGGGGCCACAGGGGGTGCACCATTTGCGTCCTGCGCCATCGACTGGGACAAAGCCGGATATTGAACCTGGTAGGCGGACTGTTGGTCGGACATCTGATACCCATTTCCAGCATGATCCATGGGCGCTGTCACGATGTAGTTTGGCATGGCCATCTGCGGTCCACCGATCAGGTGCTGGTTGCGGTACAGCGGGAGCTGGAGGTTTTGCGCCGCGCCCTCGAAGTAGGTCGGGCGGTAGCCGCGCTTCGCCACGCGCCACATGCGGAAGCCGTAGAGGGCACCGAGCGCAATGAAGAAAATGAAGGGGATGGAAGTAAGGAGTTTTGCACCTGAGAAAAGTCGTATCGAAATTCTTGACGCACTTTGTGATGCTGTGCAACAGCAAGAACAGCGCCGCGGCTTATAACATGCGTCACGATCACCTAAGCAGTGATAGATTACTACACTACACTAGCACTGCATCGCACGCTTGTCGCAAGGAAGAAGAACACGATGAACAAAGTAAAACTATACCACACAAAAACTCCATCTTCGGCACGAGACTTTCCAAATTGTTGTGCACTGCGTGCATCAAGCGCACGGCTTTCGGGTTGACCCGGCAAGTTTCAAAAGTTGGCTCCCAGTGGTGGTGCTTGTCGTGGCGTTTGGCGATTTTTGTTTTCCACTCGTGCTTGCCGTTGCTGTAGAGCCGGGCCATCTCCTTTTTCGCCTTTTCCTCATCACCCGAGGTCAACTGGTTCAGGGAGTGAGACACGGCACCTGATGAATTGTTTAGATTTCTTGGTCAACATAGTGACTAAAAATTTTGCGCAAGCGAGGCGATGAACATCATCTACTGCCGCGATCGCCAAAAGCAACATGACAAGCAGAGTTGTGCTAGAAAATATCTATCAATCTCAAATTATATACTCGCCCCCTTCCGAAATTCCTGTTCGCCGTTGGGTCCGAACTTGGGAAAGTTTTCCGGAATCTCGATTTTCTGCGGAATCTCCACGTTTTCCTTGACTTGGTTCCACTGGTCGTTGTGCGATCCGAACACCTGGTCAAGCAATCCCTTCACGTCCACCTTCTTGCCCCGCGGATCGTGTTTCTTTCCCTCTTTGTGGACTCCGTGCATCACGCCTTCCTTCGTCGGTACGTGCGCCTTTTTCGGGTCGAAGTGGGCGGCACTCGGCACGTGATGCGGCACGAAATTATACTTGTCCGGTCGGAACCGTCCCGGCAAGTGCTCCTTCAGGTGTGCCGGCCAGTGGTCGAAGCCCGCGGGGTGGTGGTGCTCCAAGTGCATGTCGTGCAGCTGGTCCACGAGCTTCTCCTGGTCCTCGGGATGAAAGTGCTTCGCTTTGTCCTTGGCGAAATCCTTCCCGTGCTTCAGGTGCTCCTTCATGGCTTCGGGGTTTTTGAAGACCCCGTTCGGGCCGAAAATCGGCTTCTTGTGCATGTCGTGCACCTTGTTCGCCGGGAGCTGGTGGAACAGCTGCTTCATTCGGTCGGACAGGTTCTGCACTTGTTCTGCATTTTGCTGGACAAAGCTTGAGGGCTGGACAGAGCTGGAATGATCCCCCTCGCCATCCGCTAAAATCCGCCGCAACTCCTCCTCACTCAAACCCTCCTCCGCCAGAGTCCGCAATTCCCGTGCGTGCTCAATGGACTCCACCGGAAACAGGTCCGCATGTCTCGGCGTGCCCCACAGCCCCATCGCGACCGGGCTCTTCTCCACCGGGGGCGCCAGCATGGTCGGGAGGGGGGCTGGAGGGTGTTGATGTTCCTCGTCCTGTGGATTGTAGCCCCACTTGTCTCCCCAGTGCGGGTGCTGCTTTTCGTAGTTGTCGAACCGGTGCTCTAGTGCGTTCTCCGGGTCCGGGTGAAAGTGCTCGCACTTCAAAAGCAGTTTCACCGTGGGGTCGCAGCGCGCGGGGTCTAAATGGTAGGAGTCCGGGTACTTCCGCTCGTATTGCAGGTGCGCCCCAAGAATGCAGTCCCGGTACTCCTTTTCGAATTGAGGAAAGGGCAACCCGGTGGCCGCGTCACAATTGGCTTCACCTGTTTTATTTTTGGAGGTTTTTTCCAAAGCTAAAAGAAGAAGAACCCAATCGAGGAAATGAAATGCATTTTTATTCAAACTTTCGAATTAATTTCGCACAACACAAAAAAACGCTCTCACTACCTCCGATCCCCTTACAGCAGATCGGCACCGGATCGCAGTGCGCCACCCAGTGGTCCACGCCCGGGATGCCCGCCAGCATGATCCACAAGGTCATGACGAACCCGAGGAGAGACCCCACTAACCCGCAGGTGTTGCAGGAGAAAAACATGCACAGAAACGACTGGTTGACCCACTTTGCGCCAAAGTACCCGCACATCGGAACGAGCAGACCAATCGAGATGCCCGCCGCGACCGCGGGCAACCCGGCGAAGAAGATAAACAGAAACGCCTTGGTCGGCTCGTGCGGCTTGTGGTGGCTCGGGTTGCCGTATCAAATGTAAAAATGTCTGGGTCTGGAAAGAATGGAACTTGTCATGCAGATTTTACATGATCCGTGACGTCTGTGATGTATTCCTTAGCATCACAGATTTTCTGACGACGTCTTGATGCCTATTCCGCATGACAAATGGCCTCTCCGCGTGGCACAAACTGGACTCCTCTTGCTGATAATGCAATACAGATTTTTTTAGAATCCAAAGTTAGCATCACAAGTTCCAACTCTCCCGACCCAGACATTTTTGCAATCCATATGCCGGTTGCGTTGTCGATGATGCGCATGATCTCCAGCTGCGTGTTATCCAAGAAAAAAACTGTGTTAGTGTATAGTCTTTTGGGAAAACAGCATCACAAGTTTGTCTGCAATGACAGGAAAAACTTGTTATGCGCAGATAAGAAGGGAAAACACATAGGAAACGAGCCGATCATGCATGTCGAGCATGACAAGTGTAGCCGTTTTGTAGTTTCTGCATCACAGATTTACACTTACACAGTTTTTTTCTTGCATACGTGTCCACCTGGAACCAGTAGTTCAGAACGCCGTGAATCACGCAGCAGAACGAGGACGCGAGCGAAACGTACATCACTTTTCTGCGGAGATTCCGGAAGGAGGAATGTGGGTCGGTTTCTTCCATAGCGTCGATTTGCGTCTCGGAAAGAATCAAATTCCTCGTCGACTCAGCGTTGACCTGGTACGCCGGCGATTGGGCGGGGTTGCCGACGGGAGACTGCATCTCCTGGTCGAGGTTGTAGGGGTTCGTGGGAGATGGGGGCTGCGCAGTAGCCATTTTGTCTGATGCAGTAGTACTAAAGTGCCTGAACAGAGGAAGGAAAGTATATCGAATAGACGAATTCTTAGTTACACAAAAAATCTCTCGACGGCACAGCGAGCCCTGTTTAGTTTGATTTATTATTTTCGAGGGAAATAATTGATGGATAGCACGTCGCGAAACAAGTAGTACCTCTTCCTTCCGAGTGTTCTTTCCGAAAACGATTCACGGTTTGCAAACGAAATGCCTTGGCGACACGATATTATCCCCGGAAGTATATAACGGTTGGGACGGGTAGAGTTCTTCAAACGTTTTCCTTAACAAATTTGGGGAAAAATGCACTTCCGAGGGAGCAACTGCGCGTCGCTACCTGCGAGGTTTTTTTTTTGTTGAAAAGATATTCGACAATTAAATTCAACTGACGATACGCTGCGTGCTTCTTTCTTTCCTGAAGAATTGTTCCTAGTGGCTGTGCTTGTGATGGCTTTCATTCCACCCTGCGACTGACTGATCGTGATCTCTCAAAATCAAAACAAAAAAAAAAAACCGACTCCTGACTCAACAGCTCGATTCAGTGACGTGCTTTTGTGACATCAATATCGATTTCGATGACGTGCTTTTTTTCGGTCTCTCCTTGTTGCGCTCTATCGCTCTCGTCCTTTGCAAGTTTACCACCTTGCCATGACATCTCTCTCGATGCAGTCAATCTCTCGACACCGGATAGGCACGAAAATCGCACACAAAGACAAACATCAAAGGGAAGGATCGCTTCCATGAAACATCCGCGTCCTCTCGGTCTTTTTGTTTTTGTTTTTCATATTCTTTGCAGCTGAAAATAAACAACTTTTCCAAATCATAATGCATTTCAGCTTCCACCTAAAGTTCATCAAGTTCTGTATTGTACAAGGCCGGGAAGATTTGACACTGCAGCGTGCCCGTCCGCCTCCATTTTGTACATTGCAGGAAATAATTCCATACTGTTTTTGCCGCTCACAACTCAATTCATTGTTCTCTTTTTCAAATGAAAGCTCAAATCTAATGCCAAATCCGAACAACTACAGGACTAGCAAAAGTAAAGGAAAGTTCTACAGTGAACATCAAAAGTGCCACTGCTGGTGCTGTAGGAAGAGCTAGACCTTGTACTCGACCTTAGTCCATGACATAATGTAGTTCCACGAAGGTTTCTGATTCTGCGGCGGCCTGCTATGCTCTTCTGCTAGTACAGAGCAAATCTTTCATGACGAATACGATCTTCAAGACTCTCGTCTTCTTCATCGTCTCGAAACCACCCGCGCGGCGGCCGCCCCGCATCCGGAAAATTTCCGATCGCCCACTGAGCAGAGGACCACGAGTCATCGCTCCTTTCGTGTTCATCTTCGTCGAAATCTACTCCGGCACGGTCTTCGCTATCACTGCTTTCCCTGGCGATGAGATCGTGTATCACGATCTCATCCTCGTTGTCGTCGGAGCCCGTGTCGTTTGCTCCGCGTGGCCCCGCTTGCGCCGTCTCCTCCTCCGATGAAGTAGAGGCTTTGGGATTTTCGATTTCCACGGCACCTTCGCCTGACGCAGTTCCCCCCGGAGGTTGTTCCAGAAAGATCCGCTTCGCAGCTCTCCAACAGGACAGGTCTTCCTCTTCCCCCGCCTCTTTTCGCGGTCGCTTGTTGCTCGTTTGCGCTTGTTTGCTTGTTCCTGCACTAGAGGATGATGAAGAACCGGAAGAAGATGCTTTCGCATCACTCTGCAAAGCACTCTCCAGCTTCAGCCCCAACCTAGCAGAGCAGACATGGCAGGAGGAACCCCCTGCAAGCTTCACCCGATCTTTTCGAGTACCAAATCCGCTGCTCCGTTCCCGGTCCAAATGGACAAATCCGTTCTCGACCAAGATTTTCCCCTCTGCCTGCACCGCAACAAGCAGCCGGTCCAACTGGAAGCTGGTGATAGTGGTTTCCTCGCGGACTTTGGAATGCAACAATTCCACCGGCACGATATTTTTGTCCTGCTCCGCGAACAGCCGAAACAGCACCTGGTGGAAGTCGGTCGTGGTGCTGGAAGTTACGACGCTAGTTCCGGAGGAAGCTGCACTGCTTCTGGTGGCGCTCTTGTTTTCTTTGCTGAGCACCGAAGGCACTTGTTCAGCCGCACAGCTCATGTGGTGCTCCTCCTGCTTTATTTCAAACTTCGCATCCGTGCCATCATGACGCGCCGCAACGACATCTTTTACTTCGTCTCCCTCATTTTCTGTCCGCGGCGCATCGTTCTCCCGCGCGTGCGCACCATGATCCTTCCGCTCCGCCTCCGCCGCGCGCGCCTGCTGCGCCAGAAACCGCGTGGACTCTTTGTAAGAGTCGCGGGTCAAGAACGCCTTCTGCGCCGCCTCGACCGCAATGGCCCGATCCGTCAGAAAAGCCAGAATGGCTTTCCGCAGGGCGTAGTTGGGGTGCAGCTGTTGGTGCTGCAGCTTGGTGCCGGTGATCGGCGACGTTTGTCCTCCGTTTCTGAACCAACCGGCTATGGCGGAGCGCTCGTAGGTGTGTCCGTCCGCCGTTGTCACCGGGTCGCGCATCACCTCGTGCATAATTGGACATTTGAAGTCTTCGAGAATGGGGAAAAGATCCTCCGCTTGCTGGTCGTGACTGGAATCTCCATGCTGAGCAGAGATACGACTTCCAGATGACGATGCTGTTGCAACTGCTGCTTTCTCGGCCTTTTTGATCGCCGCCGTGGTCAATTTCAAATTTTCCCTTTCCAAATTCTTGACTCGCTCATCCCGCTTGGACATTTCTGCGACCAAGTTTGCGACTCGCTTTTCCTCATCCTGGCGTTCTTTGCGCCGACGTTCGATCTCTTGCTGATTTTCCGTCCTCTCCACCGCGAGCCTGCCCTCCAGTCGCGCAATCTCCATTTGGTCCGCGCGTTTGGCGCGCGCGACCTCCTCCTCGTAATTCCTGCGCAGACGGGCACTCTCGACTTTTCCGTCGCTCCGCAGCTTTTCGTTTTCTTGGACCAAATTTTTGATCAGCTTGAGCTGTTGCTGCGATTCGGTCAGACCCTTGAACTCATCCCCGCTAAAGAAATTATGCGGAAGATGATTTGACAGGTCCGTCACCACTTCCGTTCTCCATTTCCCCAGCTGTTCCCTGCGCAGCTTCGCGTTGTCCTGTTGCAGTTTCGCAACGTTTGCGAGCAACTCCCTGCACTGCTTTTGCAAATCCTCATTTCTAGTTTCCTCCACGACAGAGGCGCTGCTGGTGTTCGTCGTTTGTAGTTTCTTACTCTCCTTGATCTCGCGGCGCGTTAAATCATTCTGCGCCCGGTGTAGTTGCTTCTGCAGCGTCTCCACCTCCGCTTTCGTTTTCTCGCGCTCCTGCGAGAATTCCTGCTGAACCTCGAGCATTTTTTTTCCACAGATGTGCGCCGCTTCGCCGGGGCTTGTCACGACCGCGGGATCCAGGCCGTAGCGAGTGAGAAAAAACCGATCGATCACTGCCTTCAACCACCAATTCGGCATGAACTGCGAGGAAATCAACGGGACGGCTGCGTTTACGGGCGAATGCTGGCCCCCGGATAGGAACCATCGCTGCAAGTGTTGTCGCTGGTACGAGTGGCCGTCAGCCGCGGTTACGGGATCGAACATGATTTCTTTCGAAATGGGGCAACGGAAGTGTGGCGGGATATCATGCTGCTCATCGGGAACTGCAAAAGTAGAAGCCGGAGCATTGTTCGCGCTTTCGGTCCTCGGAATGTGCACTTGATCGTCGGGCGCTGCGACTGCGCACGCTGCGGGAGCAAGACCAGAGGACTTGTTCATGCTTTTGTCGTTTTTCTTCCTACTGCTTTCCAAAAATGCCGACTTTTCAACGAGCCGCAACGGACAACTCTTTCCACGCGACTGCTGGGCCGCTGCCGCTGCACTCGTTGAAGACGAGGGGGCTGCTGCTGCTGAGGAGAAGGCCGTATCTCTGGGATTCCCAAGCACGCCTGGCTGCGCAGTGCCCGTGCTGCTAGAGGAGGAGGCCGCAAGGAATGCGGAAAACGACATTTTTCGTTTCTGCTTTTTTTACCGATTTCTCGTCGCTACGATTTGTCAGCAACTTTGCAAACGCAATAGAATTGCCAATATTTGGAAGTGATTCAGGCTGAATTCATGTACGACGACTATTTTTGTTTTTTCGAACGTTGAGAGGCAGCAGTATTGCCCTTTCGGGAATGCTTCCGAGATGAAAATTATCGATCATCGATTTTCTCTAATGCCGACAACTACGCGCACCACACCAACTCTCGACGGCTCTAGATCTCCGTTGTACAAGCGAAGAGCTCTTTCGAGAGGACCTCTCTACATCAAACATGTACTAAACGAGAATGTCAATGCGGGCACACTAGAATGCGCAGCCTCGCGGCTTGCTGAGGCGCCAAAAAAACTTCGACATTTATTCGCGCTCTCGGGAGGTCGCGGGGCTTCGGTGTCTTTGCAGTTCTTAGAAAACAAGCTGGATAGGAGCAAGTAGCTTGTTTTGCAGTATCTATCGTCACCAGGAGGAGGAGAATTCGGTTTGGTAGTACAATCGGTTCTGTACAATCAACATCTCGTCTACTGGTAAAAATACAGCATTCATGATCAAAACATGAACGATAAAGCACGAAGCTGCACCTTTCTAAAAGATAGGTGCTCACTCTAAGTAAACTAAAACTTAAACTAGACTTTCACTTGGTCCTTCATCACACCTCCTCCGAGTCGTCCGTCGCGACGGTTTTTTTTCCTTGCTGCTCTTTGAAATTCCCAAACACTTCGTTGCTTAAATCCGTCTCAGATTTTCTACCCGTTACGTCAATCAGCTCGACCTCAGCGTCCTCCGCGTCGCTATCGAATGGTGCCTCGTCGGGTTGCTTTCGCTCCAGTTTGGTGTTGTTCTCTGCCGGAATCTTGTTTTTTACCACTATGCAATGCAAATAATTTCCCGCAAATCTTGTTTTTTCTACAAAATGCAATCACAAATTTGAATTTCGCCAACTCATGAGCGGAATGAAGGTTTATTGCCGTTTGCCATGCAGACACCGCATTTGTACTTCTTTTGCGGGAAATTTACTGTGGATAGCCTGCGCAGCTGCCGCTGCATCAACTTTTTTCCTGTCATCCGCATTTCCGGTCCTCGTCGTTGTTCCCCCGCTAATATTATCCAAGAATTCCTGCGTCTTCAGCGTCTTTTGCAGTTTCAATTCTTTTCTTTCCTTCTCGTCTTTTGGCGTTCGTTCCTTGCTGCTGCCAGTCGCGAGTAGTTGATCTCCTTTTTCTTCCTTGGTTTTTGCCTTCTTCACCTTTTTTTCTTGTTGTTCCTCGACTTTGGTAGAAGTAGTTACTGTTGTACCCGACAGCACTGTAGTTCCGCTTGCTTTATTCAACGCGGCAGCCTTGATTTGCGGCGAAGGAGGTGGGGTGATACTCGCGCCGTCTGACATGGAGTTCGCTTCGGAGCTGCTGTCGTCATTTTTATCCTTGCTTTTCCCTGCGCGACGACCCGTTCTTCTGCTGTTTTCAACACTATCATCCCCTGGTGAGGTTGCAAACTTCACATTCAATGTTCGTTTGTCCTTTGCGTGGCCAATGGGCTCTTCCTGTGGTGGATGTTGTTGCTGAAGTGATTTGTTCAAATTGTCATCTTTCATTTTCGCCCGGACTCCCTCCAGCATGGAGCTCATGGGTCCCGCGCTCTGCAACTCCCCGACCCCCGGTTGCGCGGTGTCTCGATCCCGATCGCTCTTTCGGTAGTTCAGGGCCCCGGGCGCGGACCGCATGTCCAAGCTGGTGTTCACGTATTGTGAGGAAAAATCCCCCCTCCCCATATCGAGAAGGTACGTCGCAGAAAATTTGCAATGCTGATTTGCGACCACAAATCATCTCTGTCTTGCAAGAAGGCAACTCCACAGGCTCCGCCGCATTATGCAGGCGGTTTGTGATGCTGTTGGGCCTACAGCGCAGCCGTTTCTCATGCGAAGAGCCTAGTCCAAAACCTACCTACTCAGGCTTGGTATGGGCCTGCAGTCCTCTCCAGCAAGACAAATCTGATTTGTGTACGCAAATCCAGCATCACAGACTTCGTTTTGATGTGGGGTGGGGGGATTTTTGATTTTGATAGCACGTTTGGCTTGCTTGCTGCGAACAACGGGTGCGTATCCATGTCCTCGGTGCTCCATGGCCCGAGGCTGCAGCACACGCAGACAAACAGAATGCAGGCGGCCTTGAGGACCAAGAAAAGCAAACACCACATCCACGCCCCGTTGCAGCAACCCAATTCCCCGCTTCTTCCGGAATTGTTGTTGTTGCTCCCTGTTTCATTCTTACCGGTCTCGTTTTTAGCCTGCTGCGGCGGGGGTATTTCGTGTCCCTCCCTTGCTTCTCTGATGTGTTCGTTGCTGGTCTGCGGGTGTTTTTTAAACAGCACGTTGTGCGGCACTTGATGAGATAAAGACGCCCGCGCAGGGTGAAGAAGATTGTCGTGAACAAGCATTTCTGGCCCCCCTGCTCCCCCAGTGATTGGTGGAGCGGGGTGGTCAGTTCCGCCCGGTGACGAGCCGCGGGCATTATCGAATGTAAAAATGTATGGGTATGGAAGTTTGTGATGCTAAAATGTGCATGATGAAAACACTTCCGAATGCAGTCCGGCATTACAACTTTCCAAAACGCTCTCGCATAGGCAATCCGCATGAGAAGCTGCGTTTTTGCATCACAAAAGAGGCTGCGACTTTTGTTGGTTATGCAATACAGATTTTCTCGGTATGGAAAGCTAGCATTACAAGTTCCAACCTTCCAGACCCAGACACTTTTACAATCTCTAGGCGTGGTCACTCTGCAACTTATTTTTTCCCGCCGACGTGTAGAAGTCCTTCTTTGCGCCGCTATCGTCTGACAGCACGATGCTGGGACGATCGTGCAATTGATCCGGTGAAAACGAACCCGGAGGACTACCACCACCACCTCCCGCAACATCTTCCGAGAAGGGGCCTCCAGGACCCGCAGAGTTGCCCGGCGGACCACTACCTTGTGGCGCTCCAGCAAAAGCTGCAGAATGGCGGCCGCCAGTAAAGTCGTTTGGAACTACCCGCAAAACATGATGATCTGAGGCACTGCTACTTGATGTTGTGCGACCTTCTGTAGAAGCAGGAAGTAGTTCCGCGGCTCCTAATCCTGGTCTAGTGAGGTCGTTTCCACCTGCGAGTTGCGGGGGTGCGGCCACTACGTCAGCATTTACTAAATTCTTCCCTTGCTGCAACTGTGGGTGCGGAGTGGGGAGGTGAATGGGTGCAGTAGGTCTTGCTCTACTGCTGCTGGTGGTTGCGTCGCTCGTCGGGGCGCTGTGAACAACACCGCTGTGCGCTTTAGAAGTACTTGCGGAGGAGGCACCGCCTCGGCTATTTTTCGCCACACGTGTCGCCCCAGCGGAAGCTTGATGTTCTGGCGTTTGGTCATACTGGACCGGGTAAAGGCTTTTGGAATTTGTAGTACTAGAGACAACGTCGTTCTTGTTCTCGAACCATTGGAATTTTTCTCCTTGCGTCTTCTGATTTGTTTTAGGAAGCGGTGGCCCAGATTTTTGTTTTTGCCCCAACACACGACCAAAATTCTGCGCCAGCTGTCCTTCTCCATCCTCTGCTCCTGGTTCCAAAAATTGTGCGGCACTGTTCTTCTTGTTCACCGTGTTTATTTCACCAGCCGCCTCTTCTTCGTCCTGCAAAGCTGCAGAGGACTGTTGCTGCTGTTGATGTCCTTGCTTCTCTGCAACGGCAAAAAGTTTATTGCTGTTGCTTCTTTGTTCTTCTAACGGTGGAGAAAAACTTTCAACCGCTGCGTGTCGTCCTGGTTCTTCAAAAAAAATCCACGTATAATCGATTGCGCAAAAGAACAAGATGAACTGCCACGCGATCAGTGACGGAAAACGTAGTATTAGCGGAGCAGCGCCGCGGTGTGAAGATGTTACCGCCCTGCAGGATCTGGCAAGCGCAAAAGTCCTGGAAGCAGTGGAAGTCTTCATCATATTTTCAACGCTGCGAGAATTTTTTAGGCAGTTGGAAAGTCGAAAAGCGCGTCATTGTCAAAAAAAACCACAACAGCGTCTTGTAGCGAGTGCGGCCTCTGTTACTGACTAATTTTTGAAAGAAGCACTAGCAGAGAGAAAGCAATAAATAATTGCAAGTGCTGCTCTTGTTCGATTCATTGAAAAACGAATTCTGTGACGATCACGAACTTCTACGCTGGATAGCATACAAACCACGATGCCGACCCGAAACGAAACGCAGTCATATTTCTAATCTTCGTTGTTCGACTTTTTTCGCAGATATGATACAGTGCGTTGGAAGGATCGAGTTTTGGGCGTCTATCTGCCCAAAAACTCGGACTCGAAACTGAAGCCACGCACTCGCAGCTCCAGGATCGGTCATAAAATGGTTTGTTTGCGTTTAGCGTTAGAACTTCTTTCTTTTTCAACAGACAGCAAAACTGGAAACCCCACGAACTACTGCACATACGAGGTCGCGGACAGCGTGCCGAATCTATTTATCAACCTGCAAAATCGAAATCGTCGTGGAAAAACATAACCGCAATAAGGAAACTGTGGCGTCGGAGCTGTAGTCCACGCCATTCCCGTGCAACTGCGGTTTTTGTCTTCACCATTTTCATCACCTACTAGGTACAGTTTTAGAAGCGGCCGAGACAAACCATTGACTTTGCATGAAACATTCTGTCAGTAAAACTTTTTGTACAAGAAAAAAATCCAACCATAAACAAATCAATTCAACTACTCGTGATCATACATTGAAAGGCTCGTGATAGATAAGTGTTGAAATCAAAAGCAAGACGTGTTCAAAAAGATCCCGCAAGAAAAGTAAAACATCGTGTGACAGTTTTTTCTAGTATCAACACCGTTATCGTTTTTGTGTGCAAATGTCTGTGAAACTCTAACGTTCAGCTGGTAGTAATTGTGATTTCAAGGTAAACAGACCATGCACCTATTGTGCCAATAGCCATGAAAAATCTAGTAATTTAGAATCCTGAAATGCATCTCGTAATGTACTTGTATTCATAGTACTGTATATCAAAAAATCCTTTGTTCCGCACTCTTTTTCTCTGACATCTTCACGAAATAGAACCACAAATCGCTCCTCTCCTCCCCATCTACATCGTGTTGCCAACCTACTTACTCTGCGGCTGTACCATTTATCGAGCGATTACTTTTCTTACTCTTCTTCCCCCCTCCGCCCCCAACCGGGGTCTCCGCACGGTTGTTTTCTCGCTTGCTAGATACTGCGATTTGCTCGGTTGTCCGGGTGCCCCGACCCGAAGTCGTTACTGTATCCGCACTGCCGTGCGACGGCGTTTTGTTTCTCGTCGGTGTCGCATTTCTCGTCGGTGTCGCATTTCTGGCGCTTTTCTTCTTTTTTTTCTCCCCCGCTGCTGCTCTGCCGCGCGGCGTGGAAGTGGAAGCGGAGGGCTTTTTTGCTTTCGCATCAGGATCATTTTCCTCCCCCTTGTCTAGATTCAGCTCCGTAATCTTTTTTTCTGCCATCTTTTCCAAAATCGCCAAATGCTCCGGCCCGACCTTCGCCAACCCATTCCACTCGGACACCTCGATCTCCATTCCGAGCTCTCTCGCCAGCATTTGGTCGCCCAACGCCATCTGCGCCAAATCCTCGTGCTGCGCCAGGATGTGCGCGAACCCGTCCTTCGGCTCCGGAATCGGGTGGAACCCCGTGACCTTCCCCGGCTCCGCGACGGGCACTTGGCCGGTCGTTGCATCAGAGGTCAGCACGGCTGCGCCAGATTGGCTGTAGTATTCCCCCTCAACTACATCTCCGCCGGCCGTGCGCTTGTTACCGGCGACGATTTGTCTCGCTGCGAACTCCGAATAGGCGTCGGTGAAGCCGATTTTTTTCAAAGCAGTGCTGAGCTGCTGGGTTTTCTTCTTCTCCGCCAAAGCCTCTCCCTCCAGCGGCTTTTCGTTGTTGATTTTCCTCTGCTGCTCCATCTCCTCTAAGTTCGACATAAAGGGATATGCAATGGAAATATGTCAGTCGGGGTCTGGAACATTGCAAACTTGTGACGCAGCCTGCCGTGGGCCACACAAAGATCTGTCTTGCGTGACCCCAGAACCAAAAGTTGCTCATTTTTGATAAAGTTGCGAAGAAGTTTCGCATACAGGATGGGCATCAGAAAACCTCGCAGAGTCAATCAAATCTGTCGTACTAGGCCCTGCATGACAAGTCTTGCACTCTTCCATACCCACACACATTCTCATTTGATAGGGGAATCACTGGCCCCATTCCGGTATGCATGGCACAATCATCGTACTAGTGTATGTTTGTAAATCGACTGCAAAAATTCATTATGCTGAATAAGGTAGTCATGCATGATGCCAATCTCAATCAGTAACAGTATGACGAGTACGATACTTTTCCACATGATATCCGGCGACCGGAGCTGGACTGGTCGCCACGCCCTCGCCGGCCCGGAAGTATTACAATGAAAAATGCCCCCACCCCTCAACTTGAAAGCATTTGCATTGCAACTCTTTCCAAAAGAAGCACTCGCTCTCTTGCATCTATCAGCATCACAGATTTCCAATCGTGAATAGCAAAGATTTGTATTGCAAAAGATCCCAGCAAGGGCGGCGCTTGTCATGCAAGCGATGCGATACACGCCGAGGCTCTGCATCAGAAAGATTCATGCTCCTTTCATGCATGACAAAAAGTTTTCATTTGGAAACTTCGCATCACAAACTTTTGCAATGTCAGGGGTGGGGGGCACTTTTCACTGTAATAGGAAGTGTCGCGGGTTCCGATTGAAGAAAGCATCATGCTTTTCCTTGACGTACTCGACTGTTACTCCTAGCGACGTGCCGTCATCTTTCGCCGCGGAAAATTGGTCCAACGTCGGATCCAAGTTGTGGTCATCGCGGTGTGGATCGGAGTGACTGTCCGTCGCTTTATCATACTGCGACGGATGTTTATTGTCATCTTTCTTCTTTTTCACTTTCGCAACTCCTGCTTTCTCGAAGCCAATCAGGACCCCCACGTTCTCGGTTTTGCCGTCCAATAGAACCTCGGTTGGGCCCGCGTCTTCCACGCCGAGGTCCGGCGCTTTCGGTTTCTTCCGGACCTCACCACCCTTCTCGAACCCGATTAGGACCCCAACGTTTTCGATTTTGCCCTCCTCGCTTCCATTATGCAGGTTGCAAATTCAAAATTTCTAAATCCATTGGACCTGTTAAAAGGCTCCATTCGGAGGCTCCGGTAAATGCCTAACTACAGCATGAAACTTAAAGTCAAACTGTTCAAATAGAAACAACGCTCCCAAATTACAACTCCATACGTGGTCGCAACATTCCTCTCCAAAACCGCGGAGACCAAAAAAGGATTTTCTATTTTTGCAACCTCAAGAATTTCATATCGGTTCGCGTGCAAAGAGGTCACGTTCTCGACGCCCAAGCTCGGCAATTTCGGTTTCTTTCGCACTTCGCCACCCTTCTCAAACCCCTCCAGCTTTCCCACCGTACCGTCCGCCGCAGTGGCCGTTTCAAACTGGCCCAGCAGGTTTTCTGCCGCCAAGTCCTTGGCTCTTTTCGGCTTTTTCACCACCTCGCCGCCATACTGGAAGTTTTCCAGCACCCCCACCTTCCCGTCCGCCTGCGCAGTGTCCCGCGAGTCATCCCGGATCGCGGTTTCCACCCCGAGAAACTGATTCTGATCGTCGGAATTGTCTCCCGCGCCGTCCTCGTTGTCCTCCTCGTCATCCCCGTCTCCCACATCCGCAAATCCGACCCCCTTCTTCTTTCTCTTGGCTTTTGCCTTCGCTTTTTTCTTCTTTGCCGACAGCTGAATGTCCGGGATCTCTGCGCCCCCGAAAGCAGGCCCGAAGTTCTCCAAGCCCTCAGCTCGCAGCTCCGCTTGGTTCGACGGGGACGGGCCGCGCTCCAGGTCGTCCTGACCTTTCGTTCCCGTGGTTGTGCCGCCCGGAGGAGGCTTTTTACCTCCTTCGTGCAAATTCAGCAGAAGCAGGTCGATCTCCGCCTCGCCCGACTTCCAAGGCCCCAACCGGCAGCACACGCAGGCTAGCAGCAACGTGCCCGCGATAATCAAGCCAGACAGAATGAACCACATCCAGATGCCGCCGAAACAGGACAACTCTTCGGTCGTTGTTTTGTCGGATCTAGTCGTGAGCTTTCCGTCTCCTGTGTTTGAAGAAGAACTTCTCTCCGCCCGTGGCTCCCGCACCAGTGGTGGCTCGGCTGTGGTCGTGTTCTGATCCTCTTTCGACGCAAATAGATCGGGACGATCGGGGAACAATCTATCCCGCTCGTCTGGAGGAACAAATTTGCAGTTGAGCAGCAAGTAGTCCAGCCGTTTCCGGGTGATGAGTCCCCGTTTGTACAGACCGATCAGCTTCAGCTTGCGGAAAACACCCTCGTCGTCCGGATCCAGGCGTTCGCGTTCCTTTATGGAAGCGTCAGGATTGAAATCGTCAAAGTTGAAATGATTTGTCATGCATAAAATGGATACCAGTTGGAAGACCAATTTCCAAGCGGCGCATGACAAATCTTCGGAGCACCGGAATCCAATTTGTCATGCTGTTTGGGCACAGAAGACTGCTTTTGTCGTGCTTCTTTAGCTGCTCTATCCCAAACCCTAAATAGGCTCACAATCTGCCTCGCTTGCCATCTGCGCAAGAAAAGGAACTTTATGCCTTGCATTTTATGCATGAAATCGGAGTTCTAAGGGCTGTCCGTCCCCGTTGGCATCACGCCCTACTAAAACCAATAAAGGAATCATCATCATCATACGCTCGCGATTCAACACACTTCTGATGGTGTGCGCAAGAAAAGCAAGGCGTGCTAACGCACTTCTGATGGTGCGCGCAAGCACTACGCTGCGGCGACCCAATGGCCAACAGCTCATGTTTTACATCTTTATACTCTCACGCGGTGGGAAGCAGCCACCAAGAGTCGATGCAAAGTCTAAAACTCACGCACCGCAAAACTATGTACGGCGCGAATCGCCGAGCACCCCGCAGCAAGGACACTGTCTAGAGATACGCTATCCCCGAGCGGGCGAGGCGTACGGTGTGCGTTTAGCGGATCAGTGCCTTGGGTCAGGTGATACTAGACCTAAGGGGAAGCAGCCCCAAAAGCCATGAAGTTCATTGAATGCGTACACTGTCATCATCCGCCGCAGACGACACACCGCCCCCGGTTACGTAAACCAATAAAGTTAAGCTATTACGCCCTTAGTCCCTCGATGTCATGCAAAGACGAACCCCAGCGGAAAAAGGCGGAAGAAGAAAGAAGAGGAAGCTGGACGAAGACGGAAGTAAGACGGAGAAGTGGAGCTGCGAGACCCGAAGCTTCACTATTTTCCCCGCCTGGCTTGTCACACTGCGGTCGTATCCCATCGGCGATTTCCCCCGACGCCGATACTGTCGTATCCCCCCAAACAAACCCGCTGGCAAGGCGGAAAAAAAAACAGCTGCCCCTGCGAGGAAGCGGGTTCCGCGAACTAGCGCTAGTACAAGGATGAAACAAATAAGAAGACAAAACTACACGGCAGAGAGGAAGTAAAAGGGTAGCGACCTACATCTACGTGGGCATGAGGGGAAGGCAGGGAAGATCGGACTTTTCGGAATGAGGAGCGTACGAATTTGCGATCTAGCTCCATACGAGGAAACAGGTACTAACGAAGGAAGTGCAGTAGCAACGAAGCGCAGGCAACCATACAAATCATCACACATTTTCACGAAAGGCAAAGACATACTTGGTAGCATGTCATACAAAACATACACAGCAGCAGCAAGTAAATCGGATTCACGTTGCTGTGCAAAGACTATACTTTCCGTCACAACGAAACCCAAACAAGAGTAGAGAGAGGAAATAGAAGGTCAAGTTACCATAGGAGAGTAAACGGCAGGCAAATACGAAGTGCTGTAGGAATCATCATCATCATACGCTCGCGATTCAATGCACTTCTGATGGTGCATGCAAGAAAAGCAAGGCGTGCAAACGCACTTCTGATGGTGCGTGCATGCACTACGCCACCGCAGCCCAGTGGCTAATGGCTCATGTTTTACATCTTTATACTCTCCCGCGGTGGTAGCAGCCACCAAGAGTCCACGCAAAGTGAAAGACTTACGCGCAGTAGAATTAAGTACGGCGCGAATCGCCGAGCACTCCGCAGCAAGAGCACTGTCTAGAGATACGCTATCCCCGAGCGGGCGAGGCGTACGGTGTGCGTTTAGCGGATCAGTGCCTTGGGTCAAGTGATACTAGACCTAAGGGGAAGCAGCCCCAAAAGCCATGAAGTTCTTTGAATGCGTACACTGTCATCATCCGCCGCAGACGACACACCGCCCCCGGTTACGTAAACCAATAAAATTTTTCTATCTAAAGTAAGTGCGGGACGACAGAGAGTCGGATAGTGGTAGTATCGATATGAAAATTTGGCGAGCATATAATGCAAATAGCAGTTTTTATCATTAGGAAGGGCGGCCACATGCATAGGGCACCGGGGGAGAGATGGTAATCAGCCACACCGGCACCGTCCGAAACCGTGACGCGCATCAGGAGATACGCGTCACGCGACAGAGCAATAGAAAAAGAACCATCTATCGAAAATCAGCATGACAAACAACTAGAAGCTACACATACAGTCATACCGAAAACGTGGTTTGTCATGCAGGGAAAGCAGGAAAAGCAAGATATGTGAGACATATCCTGGAAACTAGGAAATCATCATCATCATCATACGCTCGCGATTCAACACACTTCTGATGGTGTGCGCAAGAAAAGCAAGGCGTGCTAACGCACTTCTGATGGTGCGTGCAAGCACTACGCTGCGGCGACCCAGTGGTCAACAGCTCATGTTTTACATCTTTATACTCTCCGCCGGTGGGAAGCAGCCACCAAGAGTCGATGCAAAGTGAAAGACTTTTCGTAATTATCCCGCCGCGATGCAAAGAGGAAATTTTTTTCGTAATTATCCCACCAAGAGTCGATGCAAAGAGGAAATTTTTTTCGTAATTATCCCGCCGCGATTCAATGCACTTCTGATGGTGCATGCAGAAAAGCAGGGCGCGCCAACGCACTTCTGAGGAAAGACATAAGATAAGGGAGAAAGTAATGAGAGGCTAACTCAAAGTAAATTCGTAAAACAGGTAAGATCAGCTTAGATGAAGAGTACTGCCTGGGGAAACGTAAAGGGAGTAGAGGGGAAGGTCAACGGACGAAGTACTACGAAGAGCAAGTGTGGATATACCAATTGCACGGTTTGCAAAATGGACAACGATTACACGAAACTCACGAGGCGCGGCAGCCTAAGCAGGGCGGAGGAAGACGCTACAGCCACACGGGGTCCATACTACCACCAAACAGGAATGTCCGACCAAGGACATCCAGGAAATGCATGCATGTCCGACCATTTTATGCATGACAAATTATTTCAACTTTGACGATTTCAATCCTGACAGATCCATATCCTTGTCCGTCAAAATATTAGTGCTGCCGATTTTGTCTAGATCTTTCCTCGCTTCCTCCGACAGCACACAGTCCGGTTCTAGATACTCCTCGATGGACTTGCACTCCGGACGAGGGCCTAGGGAGGCATCATCTTCCACCGTTGGCGCAAAGCCAGTACCTCCGCCACCCTGTTCTTCGCCTTTGTCGTCTTGTTCGCCGGAAGTCTCGTCCTTCTCCGGGGTGTCTAGCGGAAAAGTAGTCGAAGTAGTGGATGTAGTGGACTCATCTTCGCTCGTCTCTCCTCCTGTTGCAGGCTTTTCTGTTTGTTCCCCTCCTTCGTCAGCATTTTTGTCCTGACTTTGATCATGCTTATCGTCCCCTCCAGAAGGAGACTTAGTGGTCTCAACATCTTCTTCACCCGCTGGAGCTTTTGTGCTGCTTGTTTTATCCAACTCTTCTGCCTTTTTTTTCAATTCCGCGTCCCTCTGCCTCCTCTTCTCGCGTTCCTCCTCCTCCGCTCTTCGTCGCACCTCCTCAATCTCGTCCATTTGTCTCTGCTGCGCCTCCTCCCGCTGCCACTTCTTGCGCAATTCTTCGAACTTCTTCCTCGCATTCTCGTCCACTCGCCAATCTTTGTGGATCAATAAAGCGTCGCCGCGCGTGTCTGCCTGGATTTCGCCCGCGTTTTCCGCCAGCATCAGGTCGGCCTTGCTGAAATTCCCCGTTTTCTCCGGATCCAGAATCTCCGTTTCCGCCTCGGAAAGTCCCTCCGTGGTCGCCACCCGGCCCGCGTCCATCTCGTCTTCTTCATCCCAGTCGCAATCCGGGCCGAAAATGATGCGCTCCTTTTCCGTACACTCGCGCTTGGTCGAGGTGGGGGAGGTAGACGTGCTAGGACTAGAAGTGGACGAATAAGAAGTAGAAGTGGGACTGGTGCTACTAGGTGGTAGCGTCGCAGTAGAAGCGGAAACGGAGGTCGGGGCTCGACGATGAACCTTATCTTGCTGCAAAGTACTATCACGAATGTTCTTTTCGGCCCCAGGCTTCGATGTGGGAGGTAAAGCTTCTGCTACTTTAGCGGGCTCCTGGACCTGCTGTTCATCTGTTGCTGACTCTGCTGGTGGCAAAGCTTCTGGCGATTGTATCTCTTCCATTTCCGGAGTTGATGTAGGTGTGGTTGCAAGAGGAAATTTATCTTCTTGCGGCGGACGCATTGTACTAGTGAGTTCAACAGCGGGCACCACTTCCACGTCCTCCTCGAGCTCCTCCTCCTCGTCTTCTTCGGGCGGCACTTCAACTACCGGCGCAGGCAGTTGTGATGGGGCCCGCTCTGCAGGTGAAACTTCCTGCGGAAGGGGAGGAGGAGCTCCAGCTGCAGCCCCCGCTGCTGTGTCAACCTCAGGCGGAGGCAAAGATTCTTCTTTCGGGGGCCCCAGGAGGTCCGTTCGCGGGGGGCGAACATGCGTCTTGTGCCAGTGCTCCGGGTCCACTTCGACGTCATCACGCAGGCTGTCTCGGTGGGCTGGTTCTTGATCTTCTTGCAACTTCATTTCCGCGCCAATAGCGACGTCGCCGGCCTTCAACATCCCGTCCACCTCGATTTGGTGCATGTGCAGAAAACTCAGAGCCACCTCGGGCGTCGGCTTGCCCTCGCCTCGCGTGTCGAAACACATCGTCGGGCCAACATTTCTTGATTCGACGTGTTCTTCTTCTGGAAGTAGATTTTTAACGCCCACATGTGGTGGAGAACGACGACCACGACCGCGCCTGGGATCTAGAAACTCCGTGACCGCGGTGTAGTGCAGAAAGAACCGCCGTTTCTGCAAGTCGGATTTTCTTCCCTGTTCACGCCAGATCAGGGTGCGCATGCGCTCGAGCAGGGCCTCCCGGTTGGTGAACATATCTTGCTGACAGCGTCTCGTCATCACGAGCGAAACGGCGGTGGGATTTTGGTACGGACCTGCGCGGGCCGAGATGCCTACAGGGAGCTGCTTCGCTTTCAAGGAACACGTACCCTGTATGGTTTTTGCCGCGTGGTTTTGCTTCTCACCTGTTCTTGCACGACCTGGTAGTTCTTTTTCCGACAGTTTTTTATTCGCATTATCATTTCCCGGGTACCCTAACTTTTCCACCCACGCAGGCATTGTCCTCGCCTTCGTACTTGTTTGCTCCGCTGTGGTACTTCTTCTAGCAGGAACGTCGACTTCGTCCGCATTTGCCATGAAGGTCACTCCCCAGCACGTGTTGCTGTGCTTCCCTTCGTTTCCCAACGCGTCAAATTCGGTGGATACCTTGTCGCGCTCGCCCTCAAAGAACTCCGCGCAGAGCGCGAGGCACTGGGAGAACGTGCTGTTTGCCAGGATAAGGACGCGCCCGAGGTTATCAAGAAGAAAAATCCCCCCTCCCCATATCAAAACGGAAATCTGTGATGCAGATTTGCAGTCACAGATCAGCTTTGCCATGCTAGAAGGGAAAAGATGCGGACTGTAGTGCTGGGTGGCGTGGGAAAGCCTTGCATCTTCAGCATGACAGGAAGCAACTGCAAGTGGGAAACAGCATGACAAATTGCCTGCAAACGAGGCCACAACTGCGGCTCTTGGCCTTCTAGCATTGCAATTCGATTTGTGTACTCAAATACAGCATCACAAATTTCGTTTTCGATATGGGGTGGGGGGATTTTTCCATTTGATAGAGGTTCAGATCGTTCCCGGGGTAGTCCTGGCCGATACCCGCGCTGTAGTCGCAACTCGGCGGGATGGGCAGCATGCTATCCAGCTGGTCCCACAGGTTACGGAGCACCGTTTCCACGTAGTCCGCCTGCCAGCTGTGGTGGGTGAAGTCGTTTGGCACTTTGAACATCCCGGCCATCCGCGCCACGTGCATGGGAAGCGTATAAAAGAGACTGCTGGCCACGTCCAGTTCCTTCCGCCGCGAAATGTTTCGTTGCGACGAGGTTGAGGTTATACTTGTCGCACTCTTGCCCCCACCTATCAAAATGAAACATCCCCCCTCCCCATATCAAAACGAAGTTTCTGATGGTGGATCTGCGTACACCAATCAGATGTGTCTTGCTGGCAAGGACTGCAGGCCCATGCCAAGCCTGAGAAGGCAGGTTTTGGCCTGGGCGCTTAGCATGACAGACGTCTACGCTGTAGGAGCATGAGCATGACAGACCGCCTGTAGAATGCAGCGGAGCCTGTGGAGTTGCCTTCATGCATCACAGAGACGATTTGGGGTCACAAATCAGCAACACAAATTTTCGAAAACGTACCTTGTCAGTATGGGAAGGGGTAATTTTTCCTTTTGATACCACCTTCCAAAAAGCCGCGACCGCGCTCCGCGCACTGCTTCAGCTTTTCGAACGGAAACTCGGCGAAAACCAGGTGCGTCCGCTCGTGCTCGGCGAGTTGAATCAACCCGTCCATGCTAAACCGGTGCTCTAAGAACTCGGTCGTCCTGGCCCTAGCGATTTCAGCTGGATCCTTCTTAGTGTCCGCATCTGCCAAGAAATCGCGCTCGAGTTGTGTGATCGGCAGCAGCACGCTGCGCCAAACCTGGTCGTCCGTGGCCGCAAATGCCTCGATCTTCGGGTATCCCCTGAATTAAAAACGTCGTCCCCACAAGGTAGGCCCCATAGTTAGCTGTCATGCAAATTTCCATCCCTAAAATGCTTATTCGCATCCGCATCGCCAGCCCGATAACTACAATGTATGAGCGATGAGCCTTATTTTTGCAATTGCATTCTATCTGGAATATAAATTTGTCATGCTCGACTAGGGATATGCGACTGCTCTAGCTAACCACGACTAGTACACTAGAGACCACGACCCGAACTTGTAAAAATACCGTCAAAAAACTTGTTCTTGGCCTGTCTAGCAAAAGTGCCCTCTTCACTATGGGGACCACGAGGTGGGGACCACGTTTGATTTACACAGAATACCGGAGCCGCGTCTTCCGTCTGGACTGAAGAGGTCGGGGCTGGATTGAAAACGCTGCGGAATTTATCGTGAGAAAGAAGTGTTTCATTGTAACAATTTTGCGAGTTTCGCATCACAAGTTCGTTCTACATGACATAGAAAACTTGCCATGCGCACTTCCCAAGGGAAAACACGTTCGAAAATCCAATGTCTTGCAGGTGTACTAGCAACACAAATTAATAGCTCTGTGTTCCATTTTCTGCTTGTGAGTGAAACAGTTTTTTCTTGCGATAGAAGTGCTCCAGCCGCGAGGTGAGCGGCACGTGTCGCAGCTGAATCAGGCGCTCATCGTCGCGCTGCTGGGGGCTCAGGATGTCAAAATTCTCTTGCACCTTCTGCACCGCCTCCATCCGCCAGCGGTGGAACTCCTCCGTCGGCGTGCGGGGGCGCTGTGGGTGGTCCGCTTCCATGTTGTCTGGGTCCACTTTCTCAAATCGCTCCGACAGGTAACCTAGATCCAGCAGCACGAAGGTCGTGTGCACATAGTTGTTACTCTGGGGCAACTGCGGAACCATGCTAATGTTCTTTCTAGGCTGTAGTTGCTCTTCATCTTCTAGAGCATGATCTCCGCCAGGCTGTAGCTGCTGCAAAAAGGATCTTGTTGCTCCTGCTCCAGAGCCTGCATCAGTAGTACCGCGGCCGGTTTTCGCGAAGGCGAAGTCGTCCATCGCCATGGCTTCCTTCTCCGAAGGCGGGGTGCTGTCCTGCATACCGGAGAAGTTCAAGATTTGGATGGCCTTTCTCCAGCTGTAGGTCCACGGTACCAGCGTGCCGTCGGTGATGATAACCAAGTCAAACGCTTTGCCGGCAAGAGCTTTGTCGTGCTGCAAGACGTCTCTATTATACTCGTTCCGGAACACTTGGTCCAGATACGCTTGCGCGGCGCGCTTCTTGGCCAAGTGCTTCCAACCGGACAGCATCAGATCCGAGGCTTGATTCATAGACCTGGGCGACACGTTCTGCAGGTCCAGGTAAAAGTGGTACAGCGGGCTGTGGTCGACGAGTCTCTCTTCTTCAACCATCATACCCTCTTCTAACACCTGGTAGAAAAACAAGTCCAGCTCGCTCTGGCTCGCGGTCTCGATGAAAAACAAAAGCAGGTGCAAGCGGTTCTGCTTGTTCGGCAGCAGGCAGGAGTAAGAAATTCTCGTCGTCGTTTTTCGACGAGAACCAGGTCGGCGCTCTTCGTTAGCAAGAGCCCCCTCCTGAATAAATTGTTCATCATTATCAACATCATTGAGAACAAACCAGTCCCGCAAGTCGAAGCACGTCTGCTCCCGCTCCTGCTCCGTCGTCTGTACCTTGGACACGTGCTGGGCCAGATATTCGTCAAGGAGATTTGTTTTCGCGCTTGTTGTTCGTCCCTGCATGTAATGATCCGTCTCCCGCATTTTTTTCATTTGCGCCTTCGTCGGAAACAACCGCGACCGCCAGTCAACCAGCTCGTCTTGACCAATTCCAGTCACACGACGACTCCTTTCCGGGCGGCTCGCGGTAATTCTGTACTCGTACCTCGAACTGCTCAGCCAGGGACTTGCGAGCAAGAGATACACGGCGTCTTTCCTTCGGTACAGATTGAAGACCGCGATCTGCAGCACCTTGCGCTTCATCTTGTCCCACCGCAGGGCGCGCAGGCGCTGGGCCGCCATAGAGGTGGAATATTTCTCGCTGTTCTTGTATGCTTCCTCGAGCTCGAAATACACCTTCCAGCTTTGGCCCTGTCGGGCGGAATCGGAGTCCGGGTTCGAGCTGGGGTCCAGGTTGTTATCGATCAGGTAGTACACCGCATCCTCCGGCGGAGGAAAAGAATCTTCCTTCTTTTTCCCCTTGCCGCTGCTTTCCCGCAAACACCGCTTCTCGTACGTTTCCACCTCGTCCGTGCTGAAAGCCTCTAGTACTTCCTCCCGCATAGTACTGTGCCGAGAAAAAGATGTACTTTTAGACGTACTGTTCGCGATGTTCCTAGTGGTACTGAGCAAGTTGTGGTCGTAGAAATACTTCGTGGCGTGCTTGGCAAGGATGCTTTTTTTCGCAGCGAGAATCTTCTCTGGATCGTGCTCCTCCTCTTGATCTAGTACTTCCGCCGCTGCAGAAAAATCACTCGTCGTCCCGACCTTCTGCTCGTGCAGTGGGCCGTCCATGATTCCCATCATGCTGGCCATACACATGGTGTCGATTTCGTATCCCAATGAAAAATCCCCCCCCATATCAAAGAAAAGGAAGCTTCTGACGCTGGATTTGCGTATACAAATCAGGCTTGTCCTGCAGTAGAGGTCTGCAGGCTCCTGCCGAGCCTGAGTAGAGAGCTTTTGGCCTAGGCGCTTAGCATGAGAAACGGCTACGCTGTAGGTCCAACAGCATCACAAACCGCCTGCATAATGCGGCAGAGCCTGTGGAGTTGTCTTCTTGCAGGACAGACGTGATTTGTGGTCTCAAATCAGCAAGACAAATTTTCGGAAACACGCCTTTTCGATATGGGGAGGGGGGATTTTTCCTCGCAATATTTCGCGTTGTTTCTTCGCCTTCCATCCCGCTGTGGACCGTGTGGCGCCGGTGGGCAAGGGCGGCTGCTGCTGCTGGTTCTCCTGCTCTTGTACTAGCTGCGCACCTGCTCTCGCCGCTTCCGCCGAAATTAGGAAGAAACGGCTGAGCTGAACATGAACTTGAACTGGAGCTGTCGTGCAGCCGAAACAAATAAATACGGCCAGGTGGGAGAAGACGAGCGACCGGCGGCGGTGGGAGGAACAAGAAGAAGAACAAGAACTGGGTCTACTATTTCGAACCATTTCTTCTCGCTCCTCGCGACGTCCCGATGTTCGATGCCCTGGTGCCATGTGGTCCTGCTGTAGGTTCTTGAAAACTCCGCGCAGTTCTGCTCTTTCCCCCCGACGGCCAATGCAGCCAAAAATTGCGTTCATTCTGTCAACACAAAAGTCAAGGGCTTCATGCCCCGGCTATTCTAGTGTACCAACGGCAGTCAGACATTCGACGGACGATGATTCGCATTTACTGCCATCGTTGGATGAGAATTCAACTTCAAGAAAAACCAGCACCTTCGAACCATACAGCCAGCAGCTGCTGGTGGACTGCAATTCGCTTTCTGATTCTGACATGTTTCTTTGTAAGTACTTACACAAAAAAACACCATTTATTCCGTTTCCGCCTCTAATAATATCGAAGTATACGCGACAGCACGACTTCCGTTCATTTTTGCAACTTTAAAGTTTTCATTACAACGACCTGAGAATCCCAGTGTTCCGAGCCACGATTTGAAACGACCCGAAAATGACGGGAAAGGCAGCCATGCCAACGACCAGCAACTTGCTACGACACTGCAGACGACCCCGACGACTTTGTCTATCCGAGCAATGTTCATATTGCGACGAAACGCATGCTGCTTAAATGTTTAGAGCGATTTAGTCTTTGCGTCTAGATCCTTATTACGAAACACCGCAAGACGAAAAGCGACACCCGTAGTCAACATGTATTCCTATCGACTTCGAACAAGTAAACGCTTACCTTTGGAGCGCACGTCTTTTCGTGTCAGACACACTTTCGCCGGCGGAAAACATACAATGCGTGGCGATCGATAGTAACTCCTTCTACGGGGGTGCTATCACAATCATTCGGAAAAGATGACAGAGACGTCGTATACCTAAGTATATTTCATGATCTGCAAAACTGAATCACAATCATTTTCAGAAACGAAACCACTGGGAAAAAAAAAATTCAAAGCCTTTCACAACATCTATCACCACCTCCCGCGTTTTTACTGATTCTCACAACGATTCATCTAGTGCGGCTTGGACAGGCGGCCGATGATGCCGTTCAAGATTTTCGCGACCTCCTTCTTGGTCGACTCCGGGATGTACTTTTTCCCATCCTGTTCGCCGTCCTCTTCCTTGTCGGAGATAAAACTCAACGTATCCTCCATGGACAACAGGTTTTCCTCTTCGTTTTCGTTCTCATTTTCATCCTGTTCCTGATCCGAGCCCGTCAAAGACAGAAACGCCGTGCTGTCCTCATCACCGTCGTCCTCTTCCATTTGCAGCTGTTCCTCGTCGTCTTCTTGCGCGTCCTCAGACGTCGAAGCGTCTTCTTGCAGCTGGTCCTGCGCGTCAGAAGTTGTGGTTGTCGCCGCGTCGCCGTCAGATTCTTCATCGTTCGAAAAACCGTAGTCCTCCTCCGTAACGTCCTCCTCCGACAAGTTCGATTATGCCTTGCAAAAGCAACAGAACATGAGCATCGCGCATTGCAATACAAATTATCTTTTCAAAGATGAAGATGATGCAGCTTTCCATCAAAACGGGGATCTGACTGTCATACATGGATTAGTACGACTACCACATTTAGTACTTTTGCATTGGATATCGCTACCGCATCGACGATGGAGTCGAGCTCTTGCTCGGCGGATTTGGTTAATTCGTGCATGATTTCATCCTGGGAGAGGAGGGAGAAGGGCTTTTTGTTTTTGGAAGAAGTCGTAGCTCCTTCCAAATTCCCAATCACGCCGGTCAACAGCCGCGCCACCTCGTCTTTCCAAGCCGGGTCCTCGACGGCTGTGGAAGTCTTCTCGTTTTGACCAGTGACTGCAGTTTTCGTTGTTTTCGCTGGGATGCTGACAGCAAAAGCGGAAGAGGCATGATCCTGGGAACAAAAGACGAGGACTTGCAAAGCAACGCCGGACTTGCGGAAGTTGGCGACAACGGACGGCATCTTGCGAAAGTATTCGAATAACCGAAAAAAAATCAGGTTCTTGAGACGGCTCCGGTATCTATTGCTTAACCCTGATTCGTAGGCTGCAGTCAAGTAGCACAAACACAATTTATACGTTATCGTGAAACAAGAAATGAAGCGCGACAGAGGTCGCGAGGCAGCCGCTGATCTCTCGTCTCAAAAAGAAGCTCAAAATTTTTCATGAAGCAGACGACACCCAAGACAGATGAAAACGCAACTCGCTACACTAAAGGGAGAGGATTGTGTGAGCACAGTTGAGGAACAACACAGCGCCGTGCTCAGCTTCCTTTGCACGGTAGCGTTATACCGGCAAAAAAAAATTCTCCTTTGTTCTTGACCAAATCTCCCGTTTTTATCTTTGGAACCTACGATGCCGTCGGAAATAGTGGTATTAACATTCGCGTTGTGTTCATCTGCCCTGCAAGAATTTTTGTTCAAGTCCCACAATCTGTCCAATGCTAGAAACAAGGACACAGAGTCGTAACACCCGTCGTGAATCTGCTTTCGAAAGCTTGCGCCTTGTTTCATGGAGATAACTTCCTGTAGGGTAGCGTTGAACCTCGTTTCAGAGACCCCGAGAGCCTTGTATACACTCCCAGCGGTGTATTTTTTCTTCGAGATTGGGTTATGCTTATGCAGCTCCGGCTCGAGTTCTGTTGCCGATGAGGACGGTGGTGCTATTATTTCCGTTACCCTATTTTTCAACGCTAATTCGGCAATGATTGGACGCAGATTTCGAAACCGGCTATTCAGATCTTCATCTACCATCTTCATCACGCTGCCTTCGAAAAAAGACGCAAACCCTGCGACGTCTAAGGTTGCGAGTTTGGATCGAATGTTCTCCGTCTGTTCTTTCTGCTGGGACGCTATTTCTAGAAAAGCTTCGAGAAACGGACGATACCGTTCGTACCCTGGGGTGGATCTTGTTCTACTCGTGGTCTGCACCGAGGTTGTTGTACCAACATCGTGTTTCGTCAGTGCCGGAAATAACCACTTCGTCACGGCGATCTTCTCCTTTGAACTAATCTTTCCTCTATCTCCATTTCCCACTGAGCGCAGGAGGAAGAAAATCCAGTTGTAGCGGAGAAGATGCACGTCTGCTCCGTATTGGTAGAGGGGAAGATAGAAGTGCAAGTCTTTATCACTCTGTCCTGTAGTTGCCGACGAGAAGCTGCCTGTGCAAAAGTGCTTAAATTTCACAATTGCCTCCTCAAAGGACAGTCCATCCGTCGCCAAAGCCTCCTCTGTGATACCGGTCAGCTTCGGGAGGTGCGGCGCCAACCGGATTCTTGTTCGCTGCCTCTCTGCATCTGGTGTGGAGTCGAGGGGCGCCCCCTCACTACTAGGGCGCTTTGGCAGCTGAATTAGTTCGGAAAAGCTGTCGACGATCTTCAACGTCGGCTTCGGATTGTCGTGAGAAAGATCTCCTACCGGCGCTACCTTGACTGCGCCGATCTGGATGACCAGCATGGAGGAGTCGCTCCGTTCTTTGGAGAACCCTCCATTGTATTCCAGGTCGAAAAGGACAAAACTGCGGGCGCTGGTCGAGCGCGATGCCGGGTTGACTGATTTCCGTTGTTCTTCAACAGCAAAACTTGTCGGAGAGCGCACTGGCAGTTGTGGTTGCGTGTCCTGCAGCCAACGACAGACGACCCGTTGGTACTGCGAGATGCGCGCGGGCTTTTCTCTTGATGTCGACGCTCGTGCTGCTGCCACTGCGGTCGTGGCCCCGCTATCCTCTCTAAACCGCAGGCATGTGCGAGCGATTCCGGGAAGCAAAATCGCCCTGCCTACCCATATCAGAGGCGCAATTGCGGTGACCGCTAGCACAAAAAGAGGGATTCGGCTTCGGCTTTCTGACGAGTTTCGTGTTTCGAAAACTGTCTGCTCCACGAAAGTGGGAGCACTTGCCATGCCATACATAAAGCGCAGTGATACTGGTGGTAGTTGCGAAGTCTTACACAATGAATTGGAAACTTGCGAAGCTATCGTGGAGACAAAGCTGTGGTAAAAAAACTACTAAAGTTGCAAAAAACAAACTTGCTAGAGACAAACGGGGGCGCAGGCGAATGTCAAACTTGTCAGAAGGAGAGCTGGTTTGAGCTGATTTCGCGCGAATGTGAGATCTATGGACAGTTTTATTGTAGGAGAAAGGATACCAGCGCGAGCGACAAAGTACGTAGCTGAGTTAGTAGTTTAAGATTAGCCTTCTGCTTCTCTACATCCCGACTAGTGGAACAGCTGAGAGACTTCCAATCCTCGAGCCTCCTCCTCAGCCTCGCCGCTGCAAGTGGAGGCATTGCCAACAACAACACGTGGATCGGGTTTATCTGCATTTCTGTAGCTCCGTGAAAAAGCAACCCCTCATCTGCCAAATCCGGCAGGCTAGATAGTGCTACCGCATGCGCGGGCGCAGCGGCGCAAGGAGGCAGCCAGGCTGCGGAGGCGATGCTTGCCGGCGACGCCCAGAGGCCTTGCCGCACTATAGCTGGTTGAACGTATGAAAAAGGGGCAGGCGGCGCGCCGCTCCTCCGCATAGGACGGGCTTCTGGACAAACGCAGCGGCAAGGCGGCCGCAGGCATCGGGGCGCACTAGCTAGCGCGGGGTGCCCCCGTTCGCTTCCTATGGGGGGGCGCAACGAACCGCACTGCGGCCCGGCGGGGCGCACGGGGAAAGCGCGCGCAGCGGCCAACAAGAGCAGGCCCCCAACCCCCTTGCCTCCCGCCCGGTCCTGCGCGCGCCATCCCCCCGGCGGCCCCGCGCGCCAAGGAAAACACCACAACACGCGCACCGCCCTCCTAGACCCGCACGCCCTACGCTGAACGCCGTCGAGCCCGGTGTCGAACTTGCACCCGTACCGCGTCAGCGAAGAGGCGAAAACTTTCACCCCCCTCGTTGCCCGGACCGGGCGCCCGCGGCCCGCCCTTCGGCGAACGAAGCAATTGGCCGCGGCCGCGGCGCGGGCTGCGCCCAGAAACGGGGGGGGCGCGGCGCGAAAGGCTCTGCCGGGACGTACGCCCCCGGGCCTTGCTTGGCGCTGGGCGCACGTGGCCCGGCGATTCCATTTGTCCCCCTTGATGGCCCTACAACCTTGCTCCGCCGCCCATTCTGTCCTGCCCTTCCAGGCTGGTGTAGGCAGCAAAGCCACCGGCCCCGCCGCTGCCATTTCCGGTTCCCGGCGTCCCGAAAGGCGTTCGCAAGGGGGCGGCGCCGCCTGGATCGGCCGACCGGAATCGCCGCCCGAAAAGTCCGAGACGGCAACCATGGCGGCGCGGCCGGACGGTTTCCGCTGATCGGTCGCGACTCATTTCGGTCGCCCCGCCTCCCGCCCTCACCGTGGAGAGGTAGGGAATATGGATCGCCCTCGCTCTCCTCATGAGCATCCTACTGATGGCGCCGGCCTCGACGCATGCTACGGCGCCGGACTTGCAGCGCCAGCGCGGCTCGGCCGAAGGGGCCGCGCCGGCTGCAGGGCCGCCCGAACCGCCTTGCCGCGTTTCTTCGCCGCTTTCAGCCTGCCCCGGCTATTCCGGCGGCGCTCTGCGCAGTAGGGGGTCTGGTGCATGCGCATCCGGCTGCGGCCGGCATGCGACCAACAACCCGAGGCCCCCGAAAGCCGCCCAAAAATGCGCCCCCCGCGCCCGCCCCGCGCTTCTGCTGCGCGCCACTGCCCGTCGTGCGGGCGCCCCCTAGGGGCTGCCGGATCTTAACGCGCGCCCCCGAAGGCGTGGCGCGGTTTGCGCGGGCCGCGCCACTGGAAAAAACCAAAGGGCGCCGGCCCCTGCCTGGCCGCCCGGCGCTTTGCGGGGAAAATGCCCCGGGACCCCCACCAAAAACGGGGGGGGCGCGGGACCCCTTCCTTCGCTCCTTGGTGCGCAAGGCCCAGGCCGCTGGCGCCCCCAAGGCGGATCTGCCGCCCCCCCTTGAAGCCGCCGCGGCCCCGGGGCCGCTTTCGCTCCTTTTGCGAGGTGCGCCGGGGTCCCGGTCTTCTCCTGCTGCGCAGGCGGCGGGCCTTGATGCGGCGCCGCGCCGGGTAACGTTCTCGCCTTGTAGTAAGTCCACACCGAGAAAAAACGGGGGGCGGCCTAGTCCCACAGGCGGGCGCCGTTTGTTCTTCGCCTTGTACGCGGCGCCGCTGCAGGCGCGGCCAATGCGCCGAACTGGGCCCCGGGACTACCGGCGCGACCTCGGCTCCCGAAGTCTACGCCCTGCCCAGCCTGTTCATTTACTTACATTTGCAAACTGGTAGCACGTTGCTTGCAAACAAAAAGACACACACGAAGCAGCCAGAATCAGGTGATCACACCTGGGCCGTGCTGCCTGATCAAACCCGAACAAAAACTCACTGCGCCACCCTGGAAAGGCAGCATTCTGCAACGAAGGGAAATGTCCCATTTCCAAACTCTTCATTCTTCACAGAAGGCGGAATCGTACAAAGGTAGCAACGGCATTTACTTGCATTCACAACTTTTCTCTAACTAAATTCCAGAGCTTCGGCGCACTGAAGCTACCGTCACCTCTGTAGTCGCGGGGCGAGTTCATTGCGAGAATCCGAAAGTATGGAATACTGACCACTTTTACTTGGTACACACAACCTCCATCTTCATCACCATTCTGTCCACTCTCTGCCTCAGCAAGTGTCCGCAGAACACTCTGCTTCAAACTCGTCCGGCCGAGCGGACGTTGATACCCTGGCGCTAGACAATAGTGTCCCGGGCCGTCGACCTCAAACACGACAAGCTCGCGCACGCAAGGGGGCTTGTTGACCTGGCCGCTTCTTCCACCCAGCGACCCACCCGCACCCAATCCCGGTTCGGCGCCTTCGTTCCGCGCTGCTGGAGTGCGTGGTGTAGGAGTTGCATCAGTATGGTTTTCATCGCCCTGCTGCTGGTTGTCGGCAACTTCCAGACAAAAATCGACGGAAACCCCGAACTCCGACCTCCACTTTGCTTCCAACTCGCGACAAGCAGTTGTGTACCTCAACTTCTTCCCGCCGTCGAAGTTTACGACATCAGAAGTCAAAAACTGCTTTATGTTCCGCTCGAAATGCGACAGGTGCGCACTGTTGTCCGCCGCCGCCGATGCGAGTTTCATCTTCGATGCTTTGTTGCTGCTGACATCCTGAATGTTGATATTTTTGTCTACCGAAGAAGTAGTTGTACTTCCGTCAGCAAGAAGATCACCGGTGTTCTTATGAGCTGCAGATGCGCTCTCCGGAAAGAATCTTTCAACCACCAATTTCGCAACGCGCTTCCGAAACGCCGTGTCCTTCATCAGCAAGACAGTAGGGTGTACAAGCATTCGCAGCTCCGGAATGTTGTTTTTCAGATCAAAGTCCGACAGATTCTCCAAAGACTTCGCCATCCAACGAGGGAGGTCCGTCTGCTTCAGCAACGCAAACGCGAAGGTCAGCTGGGCGAGCCGGCGCGGAGGGGGGAGGGAGATGACGGGGGATGAAGCTTGAGTGATCATTCCTGGTACTGCGCTTGGCGCTGTCGCTTGTCCTGCGTTGCCGAAAGAGGGAACAACGCTGACACCGGACCCGCTCTCTGCAGGTGGCAGCCCGGTTCCTGGCGGCGAGGGCGATAGCATAACGTGGGATTCCATAAAATTCGTGGTCAACGAATTTCGGAACTTGTCCGGCACTTCGTACCCGAGGGTGCCGCACCCGAGCAAAACCTTCAGCACGTTGTTCTTTTCCTCGTCGGATTGCGGCGGGCTCGGGATCACGCTAGACGTGGTAGTCGTTATTTCAACGCTTCCTGTCGCAGGAGCTTCCTCTCCACTACACGCTCCAAATGCAGTAGTTGCTGAGCCACCTGCAAGCTTCTTCCCCACCACCTCCTGAAAAGCGGTCTTGCACAGAGCCTCGTCGTAATACCCTAGCCTGGCGCACGCTGCAACCGTCGTGGCCAGATCCGTGTTCGAGTAGAACGTGGCGGTAGGGGCAGAGGACCCCTGTTGAAATTTCCGCAACTGACTGTCTACAACCGCAATCAGTTCGTCGGTATGCTGCCAGTTCCACCGATGAGCAACCGCAGACTCATTGCAGAGACTCAAACTCTCGACGATTGTAGCGCAGTGGTCTGTTCTTGAGGTGATGCTGGCATAGCCTGCAGCGATGCTGTTGCTCGTGCCAGATGTCGTTTTCGTGATGTTGTGCAGACTTTGCAACAACTCTTTCCACTCTGGGCGCCAGTGCAAAGCTCGCTGCCTTCGCAAAAAATCCTTCTCCTCCGCGCGGTCGCAGTTCCGCACGCGGTTTTGTTGCAGCTTTTCGGCAAGGGACTTCAAGAGCGCCGTCTTGGCTGCGCTGAGGTGCGGCTCAGGCGAACAAGTTGAAGCCGATCCCGCCACATCATGCTTGTACCGCGAAAACGCGTCGTCCAGAAACCGCTTCCATTCCACAAGCCGAACGGCGGAAACCTGCAGCTGAGCCGCCGGAGTGGAGGTCGCCGATGCTGTTGCGGCTAGTTGCGCCCTGGCAGATGCACCTCCGACGAGCTGCCGCGAAGCCGCTCGCCGAAGCGTCGAGACGAGTGGCGGTGGCGTGGCGGCTGCGCTCATTATGTGAATTATCGGCGCGCTTTTGCTTACACGTACTGACTTCAAGTAGACTTGTATAAAAAACTCACAGTTGAATCCAACAACGGACACACAGACGATATCTCTTTTCTACAAGCAGGCCGCGCTGTCTAGGAACATGAGAGGGAAGCTAACAAAACTGCCCACACGTGCAACAATCACGATCGCGCAAGATTATTGACACACGACGAACACACTTGCAAACAAATGACACACTTCGGAGCCGCCCATACGAGCAAACAGCCCGAAACAGAACCAGCAAAGTAAATGGCTAAGGCCGAGGCGAAGCGGGCCGCAGTCGGCTGCCGGCGCGCTGGCCCAGAAGCCCGCCGCGCCCGCGCAAAAAAAAACCAGACGCGCCCACCGCCGGCGGGCCCGGCGATCGAAGAATGCCGGCGCTGCGCGGCAGAACAAACGCCGCCGGGCGGCGACAAACAGGGACAGATCCGGCAGCCAAAGCACAGGCGGCCGCCTCCGCCCCGGGGCCTTCTTTTCTGCATGGCGACGCCCCGAGGGCGTCCGCCTCTTTGCCCCTAGAGGAGGACGCGCGGCCTAAGGGCCTGCGCGCCGCGCCCGAGTTTTTTTATCCAGTCGGAACTGTGGCGCCCTCCTTGGGGCGGCTGCGCGCCAAAGCGGCAGCCAGGCTTCGCAGCCGCGGCGGTACGTATCGCGCAGCCACTCGGCCCCGGGCGGCCCTGTACGGATTCCCCGGGGCCTTTGGCAGCGACCGCTCCACGCGGTAGGTCGGGAGTGGTGAAGCACTGCCCCCCGCGCCAGCACCAACAGCGGCACGCGGCGCGGGGCCCGGTTTCGTCGCTGGTGGCCGGGCGGGCCAGTTTTGAGGACGGCCCCACGTTCTTGCTGGTCTGGCACCGGTTTCCGCAAACTGAAAAAGAAGACGAAGAGGACGAAACTAGCGCCAAAAAACTGCTCTTACGTGCCTGCTTTGGTTGGTTGTGGTGGCCGCAGCCGCTTCACAAGGTCAGCCGCCGAAATTCCTGCGCAGCTGCGCAAGGTCCCCAGCCCGCCGAAGGCGCGGCGCTGCCCCTAGAAACTGCGCGCCCCGGGGCCGGCGGGCGTAATATAGAGGCAGGCAGGCCGCGAAGGCTCGGCATCTCCCGGAAACCTTCGCAAGCTGCGGGGTGGGGCGGGGTCTTCGCGGCCCCGCCCTTTAGCCCACTGCCCCCTAGCTTGCGCGCCCCGGTCGGTGCGGGCGGGGGTATCTGGGCAAGGGGGCCGCGGCGGCCTTCTTTTCGGTTGAGGACGGCGCCGCCGCCTCTGTCTAAGTAACGCGGGGCGCCACGGCCCAAGGCCGCGAGGGGGCCCCTTAAGGTACTCGGCCGGCGCCGCTTTCGTTGATTCTGCCCGGGGCGCGGCCCCACGTATCGCGCCGGGCGCATTTGTGGCCGGGGTGCGTATGCCTTTCGGCCGCCTGCGCATGCAGGCGAATCCTTCGCGCCGACTGGGGGGCAACGTAGCTCCGCCCCTACGATTACCGCCCGCCGGGGCGGGATTACTCACTGAATAGAAAGCGGCCCCCACAATTAAAGCACCGCCACACGTCAGGCGGTGGCAAGGTAGCACCAGCCCCGAGTGCTGGGCGGAGGGAGGGCGCGAACTCTCGGCCTTCTAGGCCGCTGCCATCGCGGCCGCACCCTGGGCCATCGCCATCGCGGCCGTTTTTCTGGAGAACGGCGCCCACTCGTCCGCTGGGCATTGGCCTTCTCCCCTTGTAAATCGTAGAGGGCCGGCATTGAATTTTCGCGCAATACATCCAAAACAAGGATCCTTCTAGCAGTAGATCTGGAACAACCGGAAGCGAACACAACGAAGCTACTGGCTGCATTGCCGGAGGTACTGTGGAGTGCTGTCACTTCCGATTCCGTTATCAATTTCCAATTGATCAAATAAAAAGTGAAGCACCATCCAGCCGTCGTTTTTGAATTATCGGCGTCCAATTGATGAGGCTCTATGACATTCTCGACTGATGTTCGAAGTTGCAAAATTTCGTGTGACACTTATGTCTCTTGATGCTAGTCGATACGGTTGACGTCATGCCTTTTGCGAGCTTGGTACCAGTTTGATACCGTATGCAGCGTTCTAGAATGCCGACGCGTGCAAGTAGCCTCCAAGAAATAGAATCTCGTGAAACTCCAGTTTTCGTGTTCTCGCAATGATGGAAGCATGGTGCTATGTGAAACCTAGACGATCATCTTCTTAATCTTAATCTTTCATTGATTAAAGTCATGCCATAAAGATAAATTGTGTAGTTGTGTTGGAGCTCCGAATGTTGATTGATAGGTGGCATTTCATTTTGCACAAATCTCAGAAACAAAAGACTCTAGCGCGTATCTGTAAGTCTTGAAACTCCTTTGAACTTTTAAGCTGTCTGTACTATCTTGAAACGAAGATCAACTGTAGTAAAAATTGACTAAATTATAGTAAAAACGGCGCTAGCCGGTAACACAAAAAAACATGAAGTTGCTAGTGACTGCACCAAGTGCCTTTACCTCTGGCACCGTGTGTGCCGGTGTGTCTTCTTCTCTGCTATCTTTGTTTCTCACACTGTTTCACAACCAAGGATCAATATTCCCCGTGATTATCATGACCAGCACTTCGCTTTTACTTTTGAAGTAACTACTCTCGACCCGTTATCTCCCCTCAGGATGAAACGAACCGTCGAGCGGAGAAGTCGTTACACGCCCAATCTACTCCGCTTCCACCTGAAGCAGCATGTTGGCCGAGGAATCCGGTAAGGGTTTGCAGTTGAACATGAGCACCAGCGAGGCGATGTCGTCGCAGTAATCACCCTCCACCTGCGCCCACCGCTTCCGGCTCGAATCAATCAGCGCTTTATTCGTTTCCCGCACGCCTTTCAACCGCAACTTTTTCGCCGCAAATTTCACTACCTCTTCAGAGGTTAAAAATTCCCAGATGCCGTCAGACGCAACTGATGTGGTGTGTTTCTCATTCTCTATCGATCGCGCATAACGACTTTCACGGATGCTGTCCAGAGCAGTACTTATCTTGAAAAACTGAATGCTCATCCGTTTTCGTCAAAAAAAAAGGAACTAGGTACATCGACATGATATGACAGTCGTCGATCTATCAAAGAACCCAAGGAGTGCACATACCCACAACGAATACCTATCGCAAACCACTCGTCACCCGGTTGCATGGCGAGCTGTTTGTAGCTGGGCAAACAGGTGACCCCCTTGCCCTGCAGCATCAGATCCCCCATCGCGCGACTCATCGTGAGCCCCGGCACGCTCTGCCCTTTCAAGTAGATCCGGTAGTATCAACTGTAAAAATGTCTGGGTCTGGAAGATCGCCAGGCTTGTCATGCATATTTTGAATGACCCATGATGTCTGTGATGCATGCCCTAGCATCACAGACGTTTAGAGGACTTTGCGATGCCTCTAACGCATGAGAAATGCCCTCTCCGCGTAGCACAAAGCTGAGTGTGAGTCCTCATACTGGTCACGCAATACAAATTTTTTTAGAATCCAGGGACAGCATTACAAGTTTCGAATCTTCCAGACCCAGACATATTTGCAATGCATAGGTAGGAGTTCTCCGCAATTTCCCGCACCTCCGCCAAACCGAGCGATTCCACCCGATCCTTCTCGGACTCGGGGACGTGGTATAAGAGTCCACAACTCCCCCTCCCCCTCATTTGTCATGCAAATCCTCAAATCCAAGTGCTTCCCTGTGGCACTGTTTGCATGACAGATTCCGGAAGCCCAAACAGTACAATTACTACACTAGGCGCATGAATTTGTCATGCACAGGCTCCACGTGTGCTGGTGTTTGTATTGCTGTTCATGCAATACAAATGGGGGGGAGGGGGAGTTGTGCACTCTCATACGTGGGGATCGGTCGTAAAAATTTCCGTGGAATCGTGCCGGTTGTAACTCGCAATCATGATGTTGCTGTCCCCCACCCAGGCGAGGTGCAGCTTCTGTTCGTGCTTCAGCAACACGGACGCGGTCGACCCGGACACGTCTAAATTGACGTTCTCCTTCTTCCCAAAGTCCACCAAATCCTGCATCGCGTCCCCGAACGCCTTGTTGAAAAGCCCCTGCCAATCCACGTCGCTGTGCAAGGTTGTGGCGGAGCCGCAAAACAACTTTTCGTTGTTCTTCACGAGAAAGAACGGCAGCGACTGCACCAGCCGGAGAGAAACGATGTGGCCGAAGGGGCCGTGGCCGTCGCACACGCCCGTCAAAAGAATCCCGTTGTTGAACGTGTGGAAAAACATGTTGTCCTGATTCGGGGTCGGATCGAAGTTGTGTTTCTGGCCCTTTTGGATGAACAAAGAGCCCGTGGTTGGGCCTTTGAGAGTGCTGGGGACTTGGAAGGAGTAGGAGGTTTGCTTGTTGGAATTCGTATTTATTTCATTGTCCGCAGTTTCCGAAGTGGTCTTTTTCGTGACTGGAATTATTGTGGTGGCAGACGGTTGTGCCGCTCCCGCTGTGCTAGTACTGTATTCGAACTTTAACGGCTTGTTGTCCTTAAACTTCTGTTCGGGTTTTAATTCCCCCAAAACAGAGAAGGCCGTCGCGGTGTTCTTATGCATTGCAAAAATGTCTGGGTCTGGAAACTTGTAATGCTGCGTTGGGAATAGTGAATGCTCTGTAATGCACAGCCAAGCATGAGAAATATCTGCGCTTCTTTGTGTTGCGTTTTTCGCATGACAAACTGCGTTTTTGCATGACAGGCAAAAGCTTCTCTTCTTGGACACGCATCACAAACTTTTTGGCCATGCCAGACAAGCATGACAAACCTCGCAATCTTCCAGACCCAGACATTTTTACATTTGATAGTTCTTAAAGGCTTTCGATAAGGAAAAGTCGTCGATCGCCTGCACCAGATTTGGACGGGCGAAATCCGCGGCGATCTGCGTTGTTTGGTGTATAGTTTTGTGGTTCATATGATATTATCGCATGATACACTACAAACGTATTGTCACCGCCGCATCACAAGTTCGTCCAACATGATCAACACACATTTTCTTCGTTCTATACCTTTTCCTTCAAGGTCTCGGGCTCCTTCTCCTGTAGTAACGTTGTGCTGGTGAACCCTCGGGACCCCCCGGTCGGGCTCGTGCCGCCCGCGTTCGCTCCGACACAACTCTCCTTGTTCGCTTTCTTCGCCCCCGTCTCTGCCCCGCGCTTCCGGTACTTCCTAGCCGCCTGCTTTAACTTGTTGTTGATGCTCGCGGACGCGGTCGGATTGCCGCCACTTCCGGCCGTACTGGTTAAGCTCGACGCGTCGATCGAGGTGGTCGTTGTGCCCCCCGTGTTTGTCAGACTCATCTTGTCTTTCTGGTTCGACGATTCTTTCGCCACATCGTCCACCTGGAAAAAATCGTCGTATTTTTGGTACAGCGAAATTTTCCGCTTTAAAATGTCCTTTACTGGCCCCAGAATGCGCCGGAAGGACGGGGCGTCCACCATGAGCAACACCGTGTTCGGTTCCGTCGCATAGACGCTCGCCTTTCTCGGCGTAGAATTCAGCAGCGCAATTTCGCCGAAGTAATCGCTGGGGCCGTAGTTCGCCACCTCGATCTCGTCCTCCTCCTGCGGTTGCGCGCTATCGCTAGTGGACGTCGACGTTTTGGATTCTTGGCGGATGCAAGCCACACAGGAACCCTGCAGAACGATGAACCTGGCGTATATTTTTCAAGACTATTGAGAATAGCATAGCAATCTACAACGCTGCAAAGGCGGCGGATAATAAGCATGATTTTCCTCATGCATACTTGTACGAGAAATTAACAGAAAATCATCCTACATGCTGTTGTCCACAGCCCCTTGCTCGATAATGGCTTCGTCCTCTTCGAAATCCTCCTCCTGCACAACCTCCGCCAACCGCGACACCTCGTGCCCCGACAAGGTTTCGAAGATCGGCACTTTCTGCAGGAAGTTCACGTATTCCTGCATCTTCAGCTCCTGTGCCGTCACGACCAGCATCCGGAACGCGAGTCGGTCCAATCGCCACACCGTGGAGTCGATATTCGCCTTAATGTATGCATTGCAAATACGTCGGGGTTGGAACAAGAATGCATACTTCTGCAATGCGGACTCTGTGCGTAGAGCAGTGAACATCTCTGTTGCACAGCAAGCGAAACATGTGCGCTTTTTGTCACCAGGGGACAGGAACAATTCTCCGTCTCCCCTGCCTGTTTTCTTCCACTTCCAGACCCCAACATCACATTTTCACTGGATATGATCGTCGCAGACCGGGGGGCGTTGTACAGTAGCGCGAGTTCGCCGAAAGAAAACCCGGGACCGGCCTCGAACACCTTGCTGTTGTTGACCAGAATGTCGAACGCGCCGTTTTGCACGATGTAGAAATAGTCCCCTTCGGGTTGGCCTTGCTATCAAAAGGAAAAATCCCCCCACCCCATATCGAAAACGAAATTTGTGATGCTGTAGTTGAGTACACAAATCGGCTTGTAATGCTAGAAGGCCAAGACCCGCAGTTGTGGCCTCGTTTGCAGGCAATTTGTCATGCTGTTTCCCTCTCGCAGCTGCTTCGTGTCATGCTGAAGATGCAAGGCTTCCCCACGCCACCCAGCACTACAGTCCGCATCTTTTCCCTTCTAGCATGACAAAGCTGATTTGTGACTGCAAATCTGCATCACAGATTTCCGCTTTGATATGCGGAGGGGGGATTTTTCTTCTTGACACTTGCTCGATCACGTTTATTGATTTCTTGATCTCCTTCAGCTCCATGGCGTCGACGACCTTACAGTGACATCACAGAAAAAAATTTGTATTGCAAAAAAGCAATGGAGAAAGACTCCGGCTTGCATGCACCACCAAACACCATGCTACTGCTTGATTTGTCTCCAATTAGAAGTTCCTGTACCTTGTCTAGGGTAGCGTCGCTGACCAGGCCGAACAACATGTGAATTTTCCCGTCCTTGCTCCTTCGGATCAAATTTTTCAAGTCCTTTTTCTGCGTCTCCGTCTTCTCGAAGTAGGGTGGCTGGTAGTTCTTCATGTCCTTCGAACTCATCTTCTCCGCCGAGACCCCGATTCTCCGGTCGTGCATCAACAAGCGCATCCGTTCTACCTCCTTTTCGCTGACCTCGTCATCCTCGGACAACCCCAAACCATCGTTGTCACTGTCGTGAATCCCGCTCGACCTTTGGGACTGCGACAGATGCGAGTCCCGGTTTTGGTTGTGGCTCCGCCTGTGCACCTTCCTGCGAAACTTGTCGGCCAGAAACTGCACCACTTCAATCGGACGATTGGTCAAACAGTCGTACGTGATTTGCCACAGAAGCGGCGACACCTGGTTCTGCACGAATTCCCGGCGCTGGGAATTGGTCACCTGCAGGTTCTTCACCGGTTTATTGCTTTTCTCGTCTTTTGCTCCTGTTTTGCTCGTTGTTTTACAGGTTGATGTTGTAGTTTCCTTGTATTCTATTCCGGAAACCACAGTTTGTTCGCTTATCTCTTTTTCGATTAGGAGCCACTCATGCACAAATTTGTCCACATCATCCGGCACCGCGGCCGCAAGCGCCTCGCCCAACTTCTCAAGGATGGGGTGCACGTGAGTCTCGATGTATTTTTCGCCTGTCGTCTGGTCCGGTAGTTGCTGGCTGGTGGAACCAAGACCGGCACTGGTTATCGCTGCACCAGCACAAGGAATTTTCGCACACGGGCTAGAGCCACTGCCCTGGTGGGTAGAGGGGCTGGAGGTCGACATCTTGAGTAAGTATTCAGTCGAGATAGGCTTGATATTATTCGACAGCACTTCTCGCTGTGACTCTTTTACTCAATTAGATCGCAGCATTTTCTTCCTGCTCCTATTCTACAATCTGTGTAGTTGTGAAAAACAAGATGCAAAAAGTTAGAGCTGCACCCTTGTGGCCAAAATTTGTCACTTTCATTCTCCACCCAAGAAGTTTGACAAAATAGATTTTGCATTTGCCATATGGACAAAGCGCAAGCTTGTTCTCTCCTGAAAAAAATGCGCCCACCCAATCCAAATTTGATGCACTTAACCATGAGCTTATCTCTACCTGCGGTTCGAATACAACACCTTCAACATCGCCACACTGAAGGCATGCCGTGCTTCTTGGCACCAATGAATCTTGATCTACTTCGCAACTTTGCAAAAAACATTAGACGAAAAGAAATCTTCCAATACCGGTTTTTAATACTTATGCCAACCGTAGTTCAGTGGAACACTAATGTGCTGCGAAACGAGTGGTCACAACTTCAAATTGTACTGCTCTTTCCTCCACTAACGCTTTTGCTGTCTGTACCACTGATGAAACAAAATAATCGTTCGTGGACATCGCGGAAAAAAAAATTCGTAGCCTAAAAATCCGTCGCCTGTTCGCAAGAGGAGGCCGAGGCCACAAACATGTGGCTGCTCGTCGCCAATTTCTATCCTCTATCATGACCACATTCTCGCCTAGTCATGCACTTGTTTGTTCTTTATCGCCTGCCGTTGCACTATTCTATCTTGTGATGTTTACGTCCAGCAGCGTGAAAGAATCGTCCTTCTAGCACCAATCGCGGCGCGTCGATACTGCTCTGTACGGGGTAAGTACTTCATTGCAGACTTTTCTTAAGAGAGGTTGAAGTACAGCAGCTGTACTCCTCAACTCTTCTTGAGGAAACGTCGCGTCTGTGGAGTTCACAAACAAGCGACAGCTCCCACACCAACAAGCACTGTACAGAACGTCGGCGCGACGCGACGGCAAGAAAAGTCGCGGTAGTAGTACATCATATAGAACAATCCTATGCTTTTTTTCTCTTTCCTCCTTGTCGAGCATATTCAATATCTACATCTCTGCTCTCACACTGAGGCTGAGAGATAAAAATAAAGTGCTCGGTGAATAGTATCAACACTTGATATCGTAAAATCGAAAAAAGATAAAAATCATCGGACTGTACAAGCCTCTGAGCACTCAAGGAAGTAAAAAACTACTTTTCTCACCTTTGCTCGACAGGCCAAGAAAAAAGTTTTTGGAATAGCATACAGAAAATACGTGAATCAAAACCGTCGCATGTCATTATGTTTATGGTCGCAATCATTTACATCTACTTGTTTGTCGCTCGACACTTTTGCCGTGTATCTCTCTTTCTGTGAAATAAAAGTGAAAGGTCATCGGTTTTACATATAGCAGACGAAACTCGAAAAATGTTTCTGGGAAAGTGGTGGTAAGCCATTTTCCCTACCTATCCGGCGCACAAGTTGTGTCTGCTAGGTACTATGTATAAATCGCAAGCACTCGTGCCGGTGGTTCAGACCCCTATTGAAGATCCTGAGGTGTCGTAGCCGAAATCAATAATCAAGACGCAACTTGGAACTCGCTCCTCCTATCTTTCAGAAAAAAAAATAGGCAGAACGGAGACCAGTGCCTTAGTATTTTTCTACCTGCACACTGGTTCTTCGAAATTTCGTCGCTATAATTGCCGTTTCAAAGCAAACTCAAAAAGGAAAAGCTACGTGATTTTTGAAGATCATTGACTATTGGTGAAAAGAATGAAAGGAAAGCGGTATTGAGATTGACTCGTGTACATTTTGGACTGAAAAACAAACCGTGGCTCGCTAAACTCAGCTCTGCCGTAAATAAAACATATTCGTATTCGGTGTCGGATCAGGAGAAGGTAAAAAAATTGTAATAAAGATAGACTGCGCGATGCTCCCTTTCGATGTCTCGGAAAAAACCTCTTCTCCATGATATCGTGCTGTGTGCTGCAGGTCGCTACGCGACTGCGAAAATTTCTCCGTGTTTACATCTTCAAGGAGCTGGCACACGACGTACAATTTCCGTACAAGCTGTGCAGCAGAACAAAGACAAACAAAAGAAAAGTGCTTCAGAAAGAAAAAATGATAAAACTGTCGAATGTCTAACTTAAAAAACTGCCACATTTTTTTCTTCTGAAAAATAAGCACTACTGTAGTCGCGGTTGTTGTAGTTTTACCGTGTTTCATCGGAAAATAGCAAAGTAATGCCATTCCACTTCCCTCCCCTCCTCATTCCACGCCAGTCTTCGCGAACATGACCTCCTTCTTCTTCCGGTCCGCCTTGGCGACATCGACTTTCAGTGCCTGCCCGTCGAGGATATTCAAGTTGTCCTCCTCGTTTTCGAAGGCTTTGCGCATCTTGCCAATGCAAAATTCCGCGTCATCCGCGTGGACAAACTCCACAAACCCGTAGCCCTTCGGCTTCGGCGGATCAGCCTTGTACTCCAACGGGATATACACGTCTTTCACCCGCCCGAACCCCGAGCGGTGCATGAAGTCGCGCAGGTTGTCGGGGGAGTATCCTGTAAAGAAACGTCCCCAGCCCAGAGTGCTCATGCAAATCTACATACTCAAAATGTTTCTCGACATGCGGAGCCCCATGAGAAGCATTTTCTAGTCGCGCTTTGAAATTTCTCATGTTCGAATCAGCATAGGATACCAGATCTGTGATGCTGCTGCGCTAGCCAAACGCGACGACATTGCAGGCCCAAATTTGCTATGCGCAACAACCAAAGCCTGTTCATTTGTCTAGCGGACTTCCCATCTTCACTCTGCAGTGAAGACGTTTCTACCCAGGATAAGGAAGTGAGCGGGTTCAAGCGGGTGACCAACACAGAGGCGGACTTCGGTTTGTTCGGTTCGCTTTGACAGCTTTGGGTGCCATTACATGCTGATGTCATCTTCGACCCGGTATTGTTCTTGCAATTGGTCGCAACAACTCCGCTGCGTTTTTTCCCCTTGCCCTTGCCTTTACTGTTCGTCCCTTTATCATTTTTGGAGCAAGAAGAACTGGCAGCCGCGTGCTGCGTAGCTGAGCTGTCCTGTTTGCGAAGGTCTCCTTTACCGGACCTGCAGTTGTCCTGTCCGCGGAAGGAGCTAGGGCGCAAGATGAAGTCGCCTGTGTTCGTAGCTTTTCGATCTCCGCCTGCGCTAGAGATGCGCACCCTTTTCTCATCGTGGTCACGCTGCTTGTGTTCGACTCCCCGGTCGTGGTGTTTTGTCTCGGCGCGGCGCCGGTCGCGACTGCGGAAGTTGCGGCGTGGTGTAGGACTTTTCCCTCTGCGGTCCGATGAGTTCTCAAATTCGCATTGCCCATTGTGTTGTTCCTCACGGCGTACTCGACAAGATTTCCGTTCGTAGTGATTCCTGTGCCTACTGGTCCTCCAACGATCCCCACTCCTTTTCGATGGCCCCCGCTTGCGCCCATGGTCGTCATCGTTGAAAATAACCTCCTCCCGCTTGTGCGGCCCATCATGTTCATCAAGATGCAATTTCGAGGAAAAACTGCTGCTTCTGGTGGCGCGAGTACTGCTACAAGCACTCTCCAACCGGCCGCGCTGGCTGCAGTTTACTTCCTTGTGCAGCTGGTGCATGTGAAGACCTTCATTGTCTTGCTCAACAACCACTTGCTCAACAACCACAGCGGCTCCGGTACACCCTGCGGTAGTCGTGGAAAAATCTTGTTCACGCTGATCTTCGACAATATCCGAGCCGCAGATCTCCATGTCGTTGTTTCCGTTCACGACATAATTGTAACTCTCGGTGGTACAATTACACACCCGCCGTCCACACGTTGACCCATTTTCATTTACCATGAACTCCGGACGACTTTCCTCGCCACAGCAGCTCTTCGTGAACGGATTGTTTCCCATTGCAGCCGTAGTTGTAGATAACACACTAGCCGTCGAACAGGCAGAACCTGGTGTGGGATGATCCAGTCCAGTCTCAAATTCCTCCACAACTTTCCCGAGAAACGCCGACGGCGTGCCGGAGCTCGTCGAGACTGTCGGGCTGTTGGAGGAAGCTGCCCGGGTAACTACATCACTCGTCATTTCTTCTCCTCTCGGCATATAGTTGTTGCGGAAAGACGCTGTTTTCATACAATCGGTGGACTTATTAGCATCTTCATTCAAGTAGATGGCCAACGGCTCGGCGTTGCAGATCCTCGGGCCCTCCTCCGTCGCAGATGAAACTTTCCGCAAATTGTATCCGGAATTCTCAACCATGTAGTGATCCCGCGGCGAAGTTTCTGGACAGGAGCAACTAAGGCTACCGGCGTCGTCGCTCTTGATAAAAGTACCGGGCGACGCGTCTTGCTGTGCTTGTGCCATTTTTGCTAACAGAACTCCTGGCAGCTCAGGACCATCTTTCGTCATCGTGTCGGCCGATTTTCCGCTTTGCGTGGTAAGCACCTTCATCATGGTTTCGGGGAGGTTGTGCGATACTTCCTTACCATAGACAGCCGCCGCGGGGGAGGGGAGGGCTGGCACTATTCTGCTTATTTCCAAAGAAAATTATCTTACACTTTGAGAAGAAGTACAAAAAAAAATAAAAATTACGTTTAGCACCACTAGGGGACTAGTCGGGTCGTGACTGCTTCCGGGAAGGCGGAAGGGTCCAGACCATAAGAGGTCGAGGTGTATCGATGTACCCAGGCGGAAAATGGTATAAATTTATGATAATTCCACTTCTGTTTCTAGGAAAAATTTTCCACAAAGACAGACGAAAGAATGACAGTGTGTAGATACTAGAAGGGGTGGATAAAAAACAACTTTGGGGCTAAGTATCCTCTGTGGAGCGGGTGTAGGTACTAAGTCAGTTGTAACACGAATTCTACGTGCTTTTCAACGAGAAAAGATCTCGTAGAAGCGGTTACAATGTGGACTGGAATTGAAATTCGGCAGAATGTCGGTCACGTCACCCACTAAGCCGTAATATGAAAGTGTCACCAAAAACTACTGCAACGGTCTGCCTCGTCGCGACAGCGAGCACAGCTTTTTAAGATCGTCGCTCAGGTGCAAAAATCGTGATCAAGTCGAAGATGATCATCAACATCCTGCTTGAATTCTTCGGGAAGAGCGCGTTTTAGCGATCATGCTCGGTTTCAAGAGAACCACGGCGATGAAAAGGTATGCAAGCCTTCTAGAGCCAACAGGGACGACTTGATCTCGTTCTCGTCCTTGAAGAGTACTAAAGCAATATCGTGTTGATGCCTTCTTGATCAAAGAAACGCCTTCTTCGCAGCTGCAGATCTATTCACCCGTATGAAACGTACTTCGGTACTTGAGTAATCGGACAGGACCTTCTTGACAAGTTACTGTACCAGTGCTTCATGTAGTTGATCTCTTTGTCATCTAGTATCGGGGGTTGACGATCGGAAGGGATCGCGTTCATGATCGCGATGTAAAAGCATGTAAGTATACCACCTAGACCGGTCTCTCTTGCTTCAGCACTTCTATGAAGATGACTAGGAAGATGAGGATGCGTTGTCGTTGTGTTGGAGCGTTAACAGAAAGTTCCTTCCGCACTTTAGACTTTGCCATTGCATGTTGCTATGCGCCGGTTGGCAGCTTCCTACCCCGCTTCCTCCGCAAGAGATCCTTTATCGGGTGGGTTCGTACGAACTTCGCACCAAGTCCTCGTAGTATTCTTCGTCGCCCGAGCCCGCGTCGCTTTGCCGAGCAGAGGAGGGCGAGATATTCCTCTTGTCCTCGTAGCCCTGTTGAGAACAAGAATTCCAATTGTCCCAAGAACTACATGTTGCACCGCCAGTTGTGTAATTCGCATTATCATAGCCGGCGTTCTTGAAACTGCAGAACGACGCATCCCCGCCGGCGCTCCAAAACGACGTGCCTTGGTCCCATTTGCTTGCGCCTGAAAATGCGCCCTTCCAGGCGCTGTCATACGGTGAAACAGTGGTCTGCTCCGCTTCGCGGCCCGGTATTTCGGTACCAGTTCCCTGCAGCTTCCTGTCGTCCTCATTCCGTTCCCTCCAGGCGACCCATGAACCCTCCGCGGCAACAGGTGTGTCGTCGAGCGAAAATTTTGCCGCTTTTTCCTGATTCTTTCCCACGACAACCGAGTCGGGTGTGCTTAAAAGTTTGTGCGCGCTGTTGTCATTCTCACACAAGCCTGGGGCTGAGGTCGGCATCCTCGTCTCGGGTTTTCGACCGGCGCTCGGTCTGGCCGCAGGAACGGCTTCGACACTCCTGTTGAAAAAATTCCTGACTTAGCAGGATGCATAGAACGGAACCCTTCTTGTTGCACTCATTTTTCCCGTCTTGAATCCATACTTATCCGAACAAGAAAGAAAAGAAGCAAGCGCGACGATTCGCTGTATTTTCATGGAAGAACCCCACGTACATAAGATGGACAAATCGGTGCTATACCCGTGTACGCGGCCGCTTTTCCTACTTTTTCGGTTCTGGTTGGACAGAGCACTATCATCTTCGTGCCCCCGGCACTTCTTCGTGGTTTTCTCAGATTGGTTCGGGCAGACATCAGCCTTCGGATTGGAGCAAGGGCGACCGCGTTTGTCTTCCTCCGAACCACGACGACTGCTCTCGATGGAGCTGTGCAATTGCTCCTCGTCCGCTCCTGGAGCAGCAGCCAGACCCCTATAGGTCATTTCCTCCGTCAAGTGCTCCCACGAAATCACCAGCGCATTCTTCGTTTTCTCGTTTATACTAGCACGATACCCCAGCCCCTCGAAGTACGCAACCAGGGCAGCTTTCGCGGCTTTTTCGTGGCCCCTGTAGTCGTGGGGATACTAATTTGAGGCGGAGTTGCGAATTAGTACGGTGCCATCATGATGTGCGTTTTATTTCGAACTGCATCGAAGAAGTGCTTTCTGGGTATCTAGAGCAGAAAGCTCTTGCCATGGTATATCCTAATTACCAGCAACGACGATCCAAGTAAGTACTACCAAGTGGCAGGGTAAACAAAACACCAGAACTACTGTACCAAAAGTTCTCGTGCAGTTCCCCCCACTGTAGCTTTGTCGTGTAGACACCCCGGTCTGCCGCGGCAGCAACACTCGCAGTAATTCGTGTATGCATTGCAAAAGATGAAGTACCTTGTCATACCAGGGCAGTCGTCCACTGTAGAAAAAGAATGAAGAATCTTGGTTGCATCTGCCACATTGATATTGCGCTTGCACACCCTAAACTCTTCCTTGTGGTCCTCTTCCTGCCAAAATCAACGTTTTTCTCTTGTTCTCTGACCGGGACGACGACCGACCCTGAGGAACCAGCTCTTCTCGCACACAGTCACTACTCCCATACCGTTCTACCATCGCGCGCAAGGGCCGCATTTCCGCGACTTCCCAGGTGCGGCGGCAAATCTCCAGCGCACTCGGCGTCTTTCCGCGGCACTCGGCTGCCAGCATCTTTTGATAGTAGTCGAGCGGCTCCTCGGCGCCCGTCTTTGCTGCGCTTGTTCCGGCTGACGTGCCAGTGGTAGTTGCAGAGCTCATATTGCAGCGGTCTCGAAGTCCACGTTCCTCTGGCGAGTAAAAACTGCCTGGGTTGCCGCGCGCACGCCCGGCTGGTGCGCCATTGCATGTGCTTGATGCAGGTTTCATGTTTGTCGTGTTTACGTTTGGTAACCGGAATATCCAAAGGTGGTGCGGGGAAAGGTTTCTTTACGTGAATAAAGTGATTATGATTTCTCATAGATACGTAACATTTCGCGAAAACATTAGAATTATGTCGCTACGCGCGGAGGGTGGGACCAACGCGCAGACAATCGCAACCAGACTCCTGGTACTTCCGTAGCCGTCGTGGATCGCGTCTTGATCAAGAAAATTGAAAACCAGCAACGACTCGGACTCACCAGAAGAAGAGCAACAGAAGATCAAGAAAATCTAGAAAGAGCTTGGTCCTGTTTCTTCTCCACACTGCGAGGGCACGCAACAAACTATGATCTCGCTCCTTCGTTCGCCTTCGGATCGTGATCCAAACAAAGCTCATCTTTTTCTCTTGAAAAACCACCCGCCCTGCGGATCGACGACTTCAGGCTTCAAACTGAACCATAGCATGATCTTTCTTCTTCAAGAGAACTGCGTGAACCTTTCCTGTTGTCCTCATCGTCTAACTCTGCAGTTCACGAAAGCTCGAAAAAATCAAATTACAAGCATGCTGGCAGCTGCAACGATCCGCTGTGGAAGACGTCTTGTTGAAAAAGTTTCATGAAAGTCGCGACAACATTCGCTGAATGTTTAGAACAAAGAAATAACTCCACTCAGAACACTAAGTACCTCAAAGGTCTTTTTGTGCGGCTCCCGCTTCTCAGCACGAATGGCACTCGAGATAAAAATGATGATCGAAGATCCAGTACAACAGGCTAATGCTAAAACAAATCCGAGAGGGCCGCCCCCTTTTGCGAAGTTGGGGATTTGTTTTTCAACATGTCACCACCATTTCCCTGTCCCTCCGAAACCTCGAAGGCTTTTAGGAACGCGGGTGGCGGCTCAGATGGAGCCGCCATCTGCTGAGACTGGGCGGGCAGTTGCTGCATATTAGTACCCATTTGCGACGAGGATGGTTGCGAAGGATCGAACTGTTGCGGCATCTGCTGCTGCTGCTGCTGTTGGTACGGGTCTATCTGTGGTGCTTCCCGTTGCTGAAAGGTCGGTGGCTGCTGGTAATGAGATGACTGCTCCGAAGCAGACGTAGCTATCCCAACATTATCCCCGTACGCAGGTTGTGGTGGTGGTCCATCACGAACCCCCTTGGTTGTATAATCCGTACTGGCACTCAGTTGTGTGGGGTCGAGGGAGAACGACGTGTCTGCAACGAGGGGGACAAAAGTGGTATTTGAGTTTTTGCTGCTTGACAGCACATTGGTCGGGTCCGGCAGCGCGTCGGGCGGAGGTAATGAGAACGACCCCGCGGCGTCAGGTTGGGGCAACGGCAGTGCTCCTGCGTTGTTCGTCCCATCTTGTGGAGGGGGTAAAAGAACTCCATCGGGTTGGGGCAGAAATCCGGCATCCGGCTGGGGCAGATAGCCGTCTGGTGGTGGGGGTAGGACGTCGTTGCTTGGTTGATAATTCCCAGCAGCGGTCGCGCCGCCGTTGGAAATGATCCCGTCACCGTTTCTTGTGTCGATCGGCGGGGGCCGCTTTCGGTCGTTCGCGGGTGAGGTCGTATTGTGCGATGGTACGCGCGGGACCGGCTCAAACTGCTGCGCACTCCGCTCGCTGGCGCGAAATGAGGGCGTGCGGGATGAAGGACTGTTGTCAACAACACCTGCTACCTGGTCGGATGGATGTGCGGCTGGCGGCCCACTGCTTTGTTGCTGCGGTTGAGGAACCACCTGCTGCTGATGTTGCATATAGTTTGCAGGTGCAACTTGCTGGAATTGCACCGGCTGCTGCTGTGACTGGTGTTGCCCAAAGTGCTGGTGGTCGTTTGCAGCAGCAGTAGTTGCACTACCCTGATTTATTTGATGCCCTGGAACGACGAGAGCCGGCGACTTGTTCGTATTATTTCTCGACGAAAAGCTGATGTCAATGTGTCGCGGCTTCACCTTCGGCGGTGCCACGGCATTCCGGGACTCCTGACGGACCTTGCGCTCGATTTCGCAGCAGAACATTCGCAGGTTGTTCGCCATTTCCTCGTCCAGCTGATTCTCGAAGGAGTTGTCCTTCTCGCTGCCCTTCTTTTGCAGCTGGCGGATCATTTGCAGGAGATTTCGGTCGTTGTAGACGCAGTAGACCACGTGCATGCTGTACACCATCTCATTCAAAAGGGTCACCACCTGTTGGAAGAGAAGATTGACACTGAAAATGCTTTGCTCTGGTCGCTTTCTTGGCATTGATACTTTGCGAGCTGGATCTCTGAAGTGAACTAGTAGCAATGTAAATAAATTCTTACGTCAAAACAGTCACTGGATCGAATACTTTCAGTTTGGTCGCTGCGTTTTCCCGTAGACTCTGCGATAAAATCTGGACGGATTCCAGGATTTCGTAGGGCCGTTTTTCCGCGAGTTCGCAAATTTCTGTGATCAGGGGGAAATCCAGCTTCTGGTTCTCGGAAAATACTTTCTGCACCTTGGAAGGCAACGTCCCTGGCTCCTGCAAGGGGTACCGAAAGCCGCTCCACATGTCCACCCAGGCATCGGTGCCCCACAGCGGGGAAACGGTCTTGCTGGCGGCCATATTTTTAGTTGTTTCTGTGGTACTGCTAGTGGCGCGACGCCTACTGAGGACAAAGTACAACTCGAAAGGAAATAAGAGAGCGCTAGGGTTGCGCTACAGCTACGGCACAACTTTCCAAATCATTCTGATGTACCGTCACAAGAGCTGCCCTGACAGTCTGAGCGGAGTGCGGCATTTTTTACTGCGTCTTGCTACACTGTTGTGGTTGATCGTCCTGATCCTTTGTCTTGCTGTTCGAACAAATGAGATAAAAGCGACCTATGAAATGCATAAGCCCGAAAACGCGGCTGCCCAAGAAACGCAAGCCTCGTGCGTTGCCTGCGCCTGTCCGGTCATTTTGGGAATGTTGTTTTGCCGATATGGTTGTGATATGCTGTTCAATATGCTTTGCTTATCGTTCTTGTCTCCTCTGGTTCCAACAACTACATCCTGATCTATTATAATTGCCTGCATTAAAAATCAACTCGTGTTCTTCTCTGCTACTAATTTCAATTTGGGTGTCACCTTCATCATATCAGATTCGCCTGCAGCTAATTTTTGTGACTCCTCCTCGAGTTGTGAAGGAGATCATGAAGCCACTTCCCATAAATCTCTAGTTTCTCCTTGTGGTGAAGGAGGTGATACGAAACAGAGTACCGCTAATATTTCATGTTGATAAACAATTTCCATGTGAGTATCTATTGACCATATTATTTTGATTCTGTGTGATGATGAATTCTCAATCTGTATTAAAACAACAACTTACCTAATCGATAGTCTACTAGGGTGCGAGGTAGAAATGAAGTCTTCAACATTAGATACTTAGGGTCGTCGTGGCGGGACGCGCGTAGCTGGTACGTGAGGCCGATCTGAAGGTAGGGTAGGTATGCATCGGAAAAAAAATTGTTGTAATAAAATAATCAAGCGTAAGTAAGTCGATATTAAATTGAGTCTGCGTCTGATATTAGGATGAGTCTGTGACTTAGTCTATGTGTTCAGTGTCTGATAGTAAGTTTCAAAACGTGGTTTAGGTTGTTGAAGTTTTTTGTATCCTGGAGCTGATTCATCTCCATCAATCTCGACTATTCCGGTCCTTGGGTGGTAGAAAAACAGACGAAGTTTTGCCTTCTTATCCTCTCTCCCGCGTCAGGTTCTGCAAACTACTTCAGTTCCGTTTTCTAGAGAGAGACGTCATAGGATAGGGATACTAGTTGCCGCAGTTTTGTCCTCGTCCGGTCTCTGCGTTTGCTGCTTCTCTTGATTATCATCTTCATGGAAAATTATTCATTGGAGTGCATTTGATATTTTCTCTTGAAATAAGCTACTACATCTAGCTGACGATCCGCCGATGAAAACCTAACAGTTATCTTCGGGGTCGACGTGCCAGTAGTTGAAAAACCACTTCAATTTTTTTGTCCCCGGACAATTTTTACAAGAGGAGCCGAAAACCTATCGGAACGAAACATTTCCAATGTTGTGTACTTTACCCGTCGCGGTCGGAATTTTTGTCCTGAAAATCGTAGCGTCTGAAAAATCATGCAAACTTTCTCAACTATTGTGCACTTGTAGCCATTGGCTGTAATTTTCCAAGGGTTCTTGTCATTAGTGTATTATTAACAATTATCAACAGCTAGTACAGGCGGTCTTAAAATTGCGAAACATCAGTTTAATTTCTCATATTGAAACTAATTGCCCAATCAACGTCGATTTTAGAAACAGTATAAAGAGCTTTCTATCAACTGTTTTTACAAAAAAGTAAAATTTCAACTTTCCGAAGAAATAATGATGATGTTGTTTTCGACAATTTTTACTCTGCCTGCTGCTGACCGAACCCTGGCAATTGCACCGTCGGCATTTGCACGTTGAACCGACTGCCCCGACTGGCATCCAAATGGTCCGTTGCGGAGGCTGGGTTGCGGTTGGTTTTCATCAATACTAGTTGTTGATGAAGAAAGCGTACTACCTTGTCACGCACATTTACTCCACGAGTACAACAATGAAAATCTGTCATGCTGCATCCCAAAAAAAAAAATTCGTAAACACATAGTACTCAGTTTCCCCAGTCCGAACTGTCCGAAGCTGGCGCCCAAGTTCATGCCACTAATGCTTCCGTATCGAAAGGAAAAATCCCCCCTCCCCATACCAGAACGGGATACTTCTCAAAATTTGTGATGCTGATTTGAGGCCACAAATCGTCTCTGTATTGCAAGAAGACAAATAAAAAACCCCGCCGCGTTCTGCAGGCAATTTGTAATGCTGTCTGGCCTACAGAGAATGCCCATACCTTGCTAGGCGCCTACAGCAAAACATCCCTAATCCGGCTTCGTATCTGTCTGCAGTTCTCTACTGCAAGACAAAGCCGATTTGTGTACACAAATCCCGCATCACAGATTTCCATTTCGATATGGGGTGGGGGGATTTTTCCTTTTGATATTCCGCCCAGATTTGACCTGCTGGCCCCCAAGGCCGCGTGCTCGAGCGAGCCGTACTGATCCCGGGGCAGCATGGGGAGCTGCACGTTGTTGTAATTTTGCATGCCCGCCTGCGCCGCGGCCACGTCCCACTCGTGCTTCACCGAGTTGGTTTTTGGCTCCAGTGCGTCCCCCTCCAGGTACTGCTGTTCGTGGGACTGCTGCCCGACAATGGACTCCTTTCCGTTGTCTATGGAAGCGTCAGGATCGAAATCGATAAAGTCGAAATAATCTGCAATGCATGAAATGCAAGGGACGAAGTGACTACCTTGCAGGGACTGCAAGCGACGCCGATTGCAAGCCTGTTTAGGGTTTGGGATACAGCTGCTAAAGTCGCATGACAAAGGATACCGCCTTTCGCTAAACAGCATGACAGAAAGGATTTTGGTGCTCCCGAAATTTGTCATCCGTCACTTGGAAGCTGAGGCTTCAACTGGTATTGATTTTATGCATCACAAAGTATTTCGATTTTGTTGATTTCGATTCTGACACTCCCATATTGTCCACAAAAACGGTATTGGTTTCCTCCTGCACGCGCTCTATCGTATTTAAAAACGTCCCGACCCCATGGTTGTAATGCAAATCTGAATGCTGAAAATGTTTCCCATGCGGAGCCCCATGAGAAGCATTTTCTAATCGCGGTATGGAATTTGTCATGCTCCAATCAGCATGATAAACTGGATCTGTGATTCTGCTTAACTCCTTAAAACAGCACTGCACTACGAGTCCAAATTTGTCATGCAAAACAGCCAAAGCTTGTGGATTTGTCTAGCCGATTCCCCATCTTGACTATGGTGTGGGGACGTTTTTACATAGGATACGCTCATGGCTATCCTTCGTGATCTCCACAATCTTCTCCACGCAGATAATCTTCGGCACATCCACAATCTTGTCGACGTATCTGCAAAAGGTAAAATTGTGAAGATTTTGATTTTCATTAACTCCGTTTCCCCACTTTATTCAAACTCTCTCATGCAAACAGTACCATCACATCAAACGTGATTTCTCATGCAGGGAAGCCGCATATCATGCTTACCTGATTTCCGGCACCTCGATGTACTTCGTGACCTTGCGGACTTGCGGCACTTCGACGATCTTGTCCACGTATTCGATTTTTGGCACCTCTACGATTTGCTCTTGTGTGGTAGATATGGATTTTGCAAAAACATCGTACTATTCAGAAGCGATTTTTGCATCACAAATTATTTCAATACGGCAAAATACAGACGAAATTTGTCATGGTAAAACAGGTCACCGTGACAAATTTCGAAAGAAGCTTTTGTAACCGCGTATACATTTTTTATTCCATTTCATCATACGATTAGCCGATACTTTTGCGGAGGATAGTAGAGACCGGCTTGTCCACGTAACGCGGGACTTTTTCGATTTTCGGAACCTGAGAAGTAGAGGCGTGTTCTTGTAGTTGTTCTTCGTATACCATGCATGGCAACTACAACGGCAAATGCAAATCCAAATTGTAGCTCTGCATGACAAAGCGAACAATTATATGGATTCTTACCTCGACGAACTTCTGAATTTTCTGGATCACTGGCACTTCGACGATCTTGTCCACAAATTTCGGGACCTCGACAATCTTTTCGATAATCCGCTCCGTGGGGACGTCAACAAACTTTTGTCTCTTCTCGATCTGTATGCATCGCAAATATCAGTCTGATGCAAAATTTCGACCACAGCGAGACTTGTAAGTATTGCATGACCACGACCGCTTAGTTTTTTTGTCGTCCGTGCTAGGACAAGGCAGCGTGTCATGCGCATTACGACTGAATCCGCAATCCTAAAGCCCCGCAAAACTTGTCATGCCATACTGCCACACCAAAGAGTTTCGACATATTACAAGACTCAGCAACACAAATTCGCTGCGCATCTCTGCAGACCAAGACATCATATTTGCAGTGGATATTCTGTGGCACTTCCTTGATGATTTCAATCACCTTCTCGACCGGAACCTCCACAATTTCGTCCTCGTACTGGATCTTGGGGATCTGTGGTGACGTTTTTGTTTTGCATGAAAAGTGTTCTCATCTTTCATTCGGATAGACGTTGGGGCTGACAGACTGCATTCTGACCTGATGAAGAATCAGTGCTCACTGTATCTCATCAGATTCAGTTTCAGGTGCACGCTATGCATGACAACCCCTTTTGACAAAAGTACTACCTCGATGACGTTCTCGATGACGCGATCCCGTGGCACGTCGACGTACTTGAGAATCTTTTGCACGGTGGGCACCTCGACGTACTTCTTGACCTTCTTGGCAACGTTGCGCTCGACCACCTCTTCCACGATTTGGATGGGCCCGGGCACCTCGATGACCTGCTCCACCGTGTTTTGCTCCTCTACGTGCACGTATTTCTGCACTTTTTCGATCCTCTCGACCTCGACAAATTTCTGCACCTTGCGGACCACTTCATACTCCTCGATTTCTTCCTCCACCGTCACCTTGGGCACCTCCACGATCTTCTCCACCTCTTTCACCACCGGAACCTCGACTAATTTCTCCACCTGAGGAAGGTTGTGAGGTGGATTTTTGTCATGCATGATAAGAAGCGAAATAAGTAGAAATTATTTTGAGTAAGAAACACATACAGCAGAGAGAGTGGGTGATAATCAATGTACTAGGTGTGTTACTGATTTTTGTACATTAACATTACACTGTCCTATCGGTCGTCCATCTCTCCCGCATATACCTTCACGGTCTTCTCGACCTCGACGTATTTGGGCACGTGGATAATCTTCTCCTGGATGAGCGGTTTCTTTTTCTCAATGATCTTCTCGATAATCTTCTCCTTGACCACTTCCACGGTCTTTTGTCTCTGTTCCACCATTATGCATTGCAAAAGTTGTAAGTCGCAATAGTAAGAGCTTTTGCATCACAAATTTTATTTCGCCGAACTTGTCATGCATATCTGCTGCAGAAAAGCGCATCAGTTATGCATCACTGCAATGACTACCATCAGGATACATTTCTCTTGCACAGGATACCCACGTGGCGGTGGTGGTGCACGTGCTTCTTCTCCACTTCGACGTACTTTGGAATTTCGATTTCCTGCTCCACCTCGCGCTGCAGCAAGCGCTCGACGGTCTGGATTTTCGGGATCTCCACGATCTCCTCCTCGACCACGTCCTTGTACACGTGCTGGATGCGCTCGTGGATCTGCGGCACCTCGACGTACTTCTGGACAGTGTTCACCTGCGGTACCTCCCGCTCGATGATTTCTTCCTCGTACTTGATTTTCGGCACCTCAATAATCTCCTCCACGTACTCGATCTTGGGCTGCTGCTGGATGCGCTCCTGGATTTTCTCCACGTATTTCGGGACGATTTCCGTGGTTTCGACCTCCCGCTGCACGATCTCCTCATGGATGGTAATCACCGGCTTCTCGATCTGAAATTGGAATTTTTTGAACCTGAAATTCACATTTGGGTAGCTTACAGCATTGCACAGAAACGTCATTATCTCGTGTTCTAATCATGCAGGAGCGAGGGGCAAACAGCGTTTTTCATCACAAGATAGACCACGAGAACATCTTACTATACCACTTTCTCCACGATTTTCTCGACCGGGACGCGCTTTGTGCGCTTCTGGATGATCGGTTTTTCCACGTATTTTGTCTCGAATTGAATCTTATCAACTGCAAAAATGTCTGGGTCTGGAAAAGTGGAACTTGTCATGGTAAATCAGAATCATGCAAAAATCTGTGTTGCATGATGACCAAAAGCTGCCCACTTTCGACCAAGTTATCGTATCGCTTTGACCTTTGACTCCTGTCAGGGTGGCGTTAGAACAGATTTAGCCTCTGCCAATACCGTGGCGTTAGAACAGATTTAGCCTCTGCCAATACCCCTAGGTGGACACCCGTTCCACGTCCTACAGGTACCACCCGACCGCATCCGCTGAACCGTTTCCGATTTCTTACGCGTGTATACGGCCAGTGGAGGCGCAGTTTCTGATGCTGGATAGGCATGATGGAGACCTCACAGAATCTGTCATGGTAGGTTCTGCATTCCAAACCTCATTGGCCATTCAAAATGTGCATGACAAGTCTTGCATTCTTCCAGACCCAGACATATTTGCATTTGATAAATCTTCCCCGCGACCGACCGCTCGACGATTTCCTCTTCGTAGATGTATTTCGGTATATCGCAAGGAAAAACCTCCCGCGCCGCATTGTGCCGGCGGTTTGTGATGCTGTTGGGCCTCTAGTGTGGACATTTGTAGTGCTAGGCGCCTATGTCAAAACCTCGCTGCCCCGGGTTGGCATATGCCTGCAGTCCTCTACTGCAGCATAAATCTGATTTGTGTACGCAAGTCCAGCATCGCAAGTTTCCTTTTCGATATGGGGAGGGGGGATTTTTCCTTTTGATACGGGACCTCGATGATCTCTTCCTCTTCCACGTCGACGATCTTTTCGACGATCTTCTTCCAGTATGAGAGTGCACAAACTCCCCCTCATCGCCTTCATTGGTCACGCAATCTCCCAAATCGAGATCCAAGCGCTGCCTTGCAGTATTGTTTGCATGACAAATTTCTCCGGAAGCGGCCCCAACAGGAGTACCACTGCATTGGGCGCATGAACTTGTCATGCACAGGCGCTACGTTATTATTTCCGGGTGTTTGTATTGCTGTAGTTCGTCCCATACCCATATTTTTACAAACAAGCGGGACGAGGGGGAGTTGTGCAATTTCATATCACGATGTTTGGCACCTCCACGTATTTCGGCACCACGATTGTCTTGGTCTGCGTATCAACTGCAAATCTGCCTGGGTCTGGAAACATGTCATGCTGAGTGGCGAATCGTGAGGATGCCACAAGTGCCGGCTCAGCATGACAAGTTTCTGAGTTGCTAGGTGTTGTCTATTCAGCATGACAAGCTGCGTTTTTGCATGAGAGAAAGTTGCGGCCTTTGGGTAAAGTGCATGACAGACTTTGACTTAAGAGTCATACCAGCAGAGCAGCAAGACAAACTTGCATTCGTCCCGACCCAGACATTTTTGCAGCGCATACTGCGGCACTTCGATCAATTCTTCCTCGAAAACGACCTTCGGAACCTCAATCACCTCTTCCTCGATCTTCTCGACCGGACGGGAAACAATGCGCCTGTGGAGGTGTATGAGGTGGAAAAGGTTTTCAGTTTCATTCTATGTACTTTGCGGCTCGCTGCACGACAAGTTGTCGTGCAAGAACAACTGCAAGGGTAATCATGACCGAAAACCTTTTCTCTGCTTTCATAACCTGCGGGACTTCGACGATGCGCTATCAAATCCAAACACGTCTGGGTCTGCAAAGCCCGCGGAGCGAATTTCATGTGTGTGGCTGAGTCTTGCATCACGACAGAGCAGTCTTCTGTAAGACTGTATCATGACATGGCAGCTTTTGCAAGATTGATTCGTCAATCGCATGGCAAACCTCCTTCCGGCACGACAAAAAAGAACTTCGCCAATCTTCCGCTTCGTGCAACACAGGTCTATTACTTTCATTCGAAATTCGCATGACAAATCCAGATCGATATTTGCAATGCATATGCGCTCGACTTCGACGATGCGTTCCACCGGTTTTTCGATGATTTCCTCTTCGTACTTGATCACCGGAACCTGCGAGGAGAATTTGTATTGCAGCACATCTATCAGCATCACAGCTACATGAGCGAAAACTTGTTATGCACAAGAGGCATGAGAATTAATATTTGTCTAGCAGGAGTCGAACAACAAACTGCAAAAATGATACATGACCAAAATGAGTTTATATTGCAAGGAACAAGCGAAGATCCTTGATGCTTCTTACCTCGATGATCTCTTCCACGATTTTTTCCACTGTTTCAATCACCGGCACTTCCACGATTTTCTCCACGATTGTTTCCTTCGGGACTTCCACCACGTTGTCGGCAAGGACTTGTACCTGCGAAGGTATACCAAATATAGCCGCCGGGGCGGGGGTAGTGAGGTCGTGGGCGTTTTTTTGCCGACCGCCGCCTTGGCCGCGCCTTTGTTTTTTCTGGGCTCGCCATACCGCCGTGAGTAACGTTATGCCGCACGGTATGGCGGCCACTTGGGAAACATCACAAATTTTGGCACATTTCCCAAATTCCTTTCCGAAAGCCAGCCCCGATGCTATTGGGCCGATCCGGGTGCCACGGGGGGCGCCCAAAAAGCGAAGAAAAACCGGGCCCATAGCATGCGGATTGGCTTTGCGCGTCTGGGGCGTTTTTTATTTTTCGCGTTTTTATTTTTCACGCCGGCGCTTTTTGCAAAGCTTCCCAGGCTCTAAAACCGGCGAAAAGGCGGCCGCTTTCGCGGCCGCCCAAGATGCTCCGAAATCGCGGCCGTGCCATGCTGTTTCGCTGTTCTGATTTTGCGCGCGTTTTTTGCGCGCCCCTTTTTGGGCGCCCCAAATCGCCAGAAACCAAGGCGGCGGGCGCCTCGGAACGGCGCCCCTTTTGCCGGCTTCCCTGCGTCGTTTTATCCAGTGCGAGTCGATAGTTTTCGACCGGGCTTGTTTGACTTCAAAGCCCCGGAGGCTTGATAATTGAAAATCTTTTATGTCAAAAAACGCTTCCGGCCGCTTGAAAACTGCCGGTCGTTTTTCACGGTAGGTGGCAAAAAAACTCCCCGGTTAGAACCGTTCGGTGACCTCACTACATATAAAATTGCGCATTTTTTTACATCAAAAGTCCCATGCAGAAAATGCAAACTCTACTCGATCTGTCATCCGACAGAAGTCATTGTGGTTCTGTTTTGAGACGATTACAGCTGCACCTCCACCCTGTATCACATAGTTGTACCTCCCTGGTTTCGTGATCCGTGTGCACGACATCCTCTTCCTCTTTTTTAAACACCGGCTTCGGCTCCCCGATGGAGAGAATGCGGAAGTTCGCGGCGCCCGTCCCGCTCGTGTTCATCAGCGACTGGGCCCCCGCTGAGCGGTCCAAAATGGACCCACTCAAGCTGGTGGGGTTGAACTGCATCTTTTCTGGTGTCCTTGTCCTTCCTATGTGATGATTCTTCTCTGTCTCTACTCTTCTCACCACTTCCCTATGGACGGTTTTTTGAAACAAGAAAGTAGATCAGGAAACGAAGTCAATCACCTTGCAAGGGCAACATTTTCGTTTTCTCGCAAACGTAAAAAGCGTTGATGACTCATCTTGGTCGCACGGAAGCCACACAGGGAGACTCTTTCGGCAAATCTCCAAAATCAAATAGATGAGTAACGTGCTAATTATGGTGCACCGCCTCTACTAATGCAGTTCGCAATATGAGGGGGAGAGCTTTGATTTGAAGATTGCTGCTACATCTAGGGAGCGCCTCGAATTTGGTGCAACAGAGCCAGGCCAATGGAAGTGATTTGCGGCCCAGCAAAATGTGTGTGCTCGAAAATGGCGTCGCTTCGAAATGCGGTCCGCCACAAAAAAGCTTGTACACTTCTCCTGCTAGAAACTTTCGGCCTCCATTTGAAGTGCTTGAAATGGTTCTTGCGCCGGGGAAGTGCTAATAAACGCAATCGCGATGTTGAGGAAACGAAATTAGTAAGATTATGCCTTTCCAGCTGCACAGGTTGTACTCTATTGGGTCTGTGATTACTAGTAGATGAGACTCGAATAAAAATCAAGAGATGCAACTCAATAGTCAAACACACGTAGCTCCACCCCATGAGAGTCACTCACTTACCCCCGGGTCGTTCAAAATAAACACGGAAAAAAAATACTGCATCTACTGGCACGGCGCGCATCTCTCTCGCTCAGGCAAAAAATAAACATCGCCAAGGGCGCACAGAATTCACACAGCATTTTTGACAGAGGTCTAGTGCCAAAGTTCATCACAAGTCAGTGGTCAAGGTGCGGAGCAGTAGCAGCGCTCTGTGAGTACTTCTTTCCGAACAAAAAAAAGGCGAAGTGACACAACTTTCAGCATCCGAATGTAGTTCCTATGCCTAATTGCGAGCGGCCTCACACTCAAAACTAGCCGGGGGCTGGGCAGTCGCGTCTGCACGTGCCCCGAGAAAAGTGCCACTTCTGCATGGGCGCCCTGCTACAATCAAAGGAGACGCAGAGCTCTCTCATGCGCCGTTTGTGCCGACGGCAGCCGGGGCGCGAAAAGCCCGGCGCCCCTTGCGCCGGGCGGCCAGCTGCGACACTGCAGTGCAGCAAGGCAAGCTAACAAGGGCCCTGCGTGTACCCGCGCCCCATTCCCAGGAGCAAGGCGGGCGGCCAGCCGGCCTAGCGAGGGCGCGGCCAACAACACGGCCGCCACCGGCCCGGAAGGCCGCCCGCGCTCTGTCGCAAGCACAAGCAAACGGGGGCGAGCGGCACAGCCCGGCGCCCTCTTCCCCATATATGCGGGCGAAAAGAGGCCGCAACACGCCGGCAGGCGCTTCCGCTGCTCCTTCCGGCCGCCCGCCGGCCCCGGCGGACTGCCGGCCGGACCAAGGGCGCCCGCGGCAGCAGGGCCGCACGCCTGCGGCCGGCCTTCGGCGCGCGCGGCCCGGTTGGAATCGTCTCCGCCTGCTGAATGGCGACACGAGGCCGCAGGCACGCCATCCGTGGCGCCCTCAACAGCTGGCGGAGGAGGCAGGGCCGCTGGCCTTGGGTGAGCGCCTCGGCTGCCTGCCCGTTAAGCCAGACCTTCAAGCGCGGGCCCGGCCGCGGCCCCCCTTCCCGGGCCCCCCTGAAGAAGCTGCGCAGCCAACCCCGCAAAAAATGCCCCGGAGCGCCGGCGCACGCGGCTCGGGATCGCTGACCCTACGGGGCCAGCTGGGAGCGGGAGCCGGCGCCGGATCGCCTGCATTGCGGTGGTCTGGGGGCGCGAGCCGACTCCGCCGGCGTCGCTCCCACGACGCACCAGCCGCGGCGGTGCTTATCTTGCCCGTCCTTGTCGCGACAAACGAGCTGGGCCAGTCTCCTCGTTAAAAGTCTGCCGGTGTAGTCGTAGGCGACGTGGACACGGGCCAAAGGCTGGGCCACTTTGATCGGCCGCCGCGCGTCTAATTTGGAGTAGAACCACTTTGCGGCGCACAGTACGAACTGCGCGACGCTCGAAGTGCCACCGTGCGCACCGCTTCGGACGAGTGCCTTCTTCTTAGATTGCAGAACAGCATCGCGCGCTGGTGCCAACACCCAGCTTTACTAGCGCCGTTCCTCTGTGTTTGAACTTTTTTCCCTCCACTTCGTGTTCGTCGTGTTTGCTGTATAATGTCCATTCCGTATATTGTTGAATCCAATTAGGTTCATTTTCACATTGCACTCTAGCGAACTACTACTTTCTTTTCCTCTTGCGGAAATGCGCAAATATCTGCATTCCTCTCTAGTCAATTCTAATCTTTCCACGCCCCAGCGAACCACACCAAGAACTAGTGGCTCCTCACAACGCCGCCCCTCTCACCCCGTGTTCGTACAGCCCCAAATCCGCGTGAATTCCGTGCACCTCGTCCAGCTCCCGCACGATGCTGCGGATCATCTTCAAGATCTGCGGCAGCTTTCCCATGTGCAAGAATTTGATCATCCGCCCGTCCCGCGCGTTCCGGTGGCTGGTTTCGTTCAGGAAGCTCTGAAACCGCTTGCTCACCTCGTTGATCTTCGGCGTGTGCGCCGGGCCCTCCTTCCGCGGCCGGACCAGGAAGACCGGGCGGGCGTTGGCCTTTTTCTCGTTTTCCTCGTTCGAAATGGCGTAGTAATTGTACATCCCGGTGATCTCCAGCGCGTACTCCTTCCGGATCAGGTACGGCCGGTGCCGCCCCCAGCTCGCGAGCTCGAACGAGGTGCGCCACCCCGGCTGTTTCGTCGTGTCCGTCGGGTCGCCCTTCCAGCCCATGTAGCGCGAAAACGAGATCACCGCGGATTTCTCCGGGAGGAAAACGATGTTGCCCATGTCCGCGCCCGAGAAGGAAATCAAGATGTCCGTCGTCGCCATCAGGTGCACCTGCTCCTGCATCGAATACCTGTTCAGACGAGCGAATACAATGAAAGCATAAAAATGATTTCGATTTTGTTTTTCATGCAATGAAGGCAAGTGGTGCGCCGTCGACACGGAAAGTACATTTCGATTTCCGGGTAAGTAAACGACGTCAAACAGCAATACTCGGAGTTCAGACACTGCCGCCTGTCTGGGTCGTTGAATTCCGGCGCGATTCCTGTCATTCCCGGCACACTTAGTTCCAAGCCCGTGCTGTTTTCCACCCGGTCTTCTTCGTTCACAAACATCTGGTTCGGTGGCAGGTTCGATTTCCGCACCCAGTTGATCAATATCCCACGAAAAAACTGTTTCACTGTGCTGGTTTTGCAAGATCTGCATCACAAGTTTGCTACACATGACACAGAAAATTTGCCATGCGCGTTTTCCAAGGGAAAACACACTTAAAAATCCATTGTGTTGCAGGTGTAGCAAGACAAACACTTTGGTGTTTCGTTCTCTGCATCACAAGTTCACAGTGAAACAGTTTTTTCTTGCGATAATCAACCTAACTTCCTTAATCGGCAGGGTTTTGTCCGATAACAGCATGTCTCGGAACTCCTCGGCGTTCACGAAAACGCAGCAGTTCTCGCTCTTCCACGCGTCTTTCTGGAAAATGGAAACCGTGTAGAGCCGTCGTGCTTGTTGTAATGAAGAAGCAGATGATCCATGACCAGGACGACCTTCGCCACCTTCTTCACTAATCGCGTTTTTTCTCAAGTTCTCGACAACCCCGCCGAAATATTTACCGACGTTGTACTTCCGCATGACGTAGTCCCGAAACGGGAAAAACATCCCGAACGGTGCGGACTTGGGGGCCCGGGTATGGGAGTGTCAGGATTGAAATCGTCAAAGTTGAAATGATTTGTGATGCATAAAACGGACACCAGTTAGACCTACAGTTTGTAGTCGGCGCATGACAAATTTCCCCGGTCCTGGAAGCGAGTCTGTCATGCGGTTTAGGGCAAAAGAGCTGCCTTCTGTCATGCTAGTCAGCAGTCCAACTTTTGACCCTTACCAGGACTATAGTCTGCCTCCCGTGCGTCCTCTGCAATAGAGGCAATTTCTGTATCGCATTTTATGCATGACAAATCATTTCAACTCTGACGATTTCAATCCTGACAGTCCCATACCGGGTCAGGATGTCGTACTGGTCCTTCATGCCCTTGTGCCAATCATACGGATTGTAATACCCCAGTCTCGCCTGCCCTGCGATCAGGTGCTTGAAGCAGCCGAACTTCGGAAGTATGGATGTGTCAGGATCGAAATCGACAAAATCGAAAAATTTGTGATGCATCAAACGTAGGGCACTGGAGACCTGTATTGGGGAGCAGGCAAATGAAACCGATTGCAAGCCTCGTCTTTAGGGGTATGCGAGGTGCTGCCCGAGTAGCACGACAGGAGCAGTCTTCGTTGCCCAAACAGCATGACAGTCTGGATTTGGGTGCTCACTCGCCACTTGGAAACTGAGGCTCTAACTGACATCGATTTTGTGCATCGCAAGTTTTTCGATTTTGTCAATTTCGATTCTGACACTTCCATAGGAAGCTCATCCCACGTGAAGATCTTGTCCGCGGTAAGGTAAAAATACTCCGCGTTTTTCAGCTTTTCGAGGAAGAGGTAGATTTTGTACTTCTTGTGGTCTAAGAGTTCCCAATACTCCAGGAACCGGTACACCGCAATCGCCTCATCGAGCAGCACATGGCCGACGTTGTGCGCGCAGCACTTGTACCGGCCAAAAATCACGGCGACGGGCGTGCGCGGATCGTTGTCGTTCGCGACGGAGGAAGCCGTGTCGGCGCAGCGCTGTTTGGACGAATAATTCTATTCATGCAGATCTTGTTCATGTAGAAAAGACACAAAACTTGTCTTGGGAATTTCATTTTGCATGTTCTTCTTCTTCTTCTTCAACTACACCCTGATAAGATATGAATCAGTCTAATTATGCAGGCGACATTCATAAGTTGTCTTCACTTCTTCATCCTAGTACCTTCGCCAACAGTTTCTCATCCCCCTCTTCCACGCTGTTGCTCTGGTGGCTGGTCCGTAGGAAGTCCCACAGCGGGTGTCGCTCGATGATCCGCGGGTAAAAGACCCGGTCCAGTTCCTCCGGCCCGCGGGTGAACCTGCTGTAAAATTGGTCTTTGTTTTCCTCGGACTCAACAAGCAGCGGCGCGTTGACCCGGTCTACGGTGTGGAGCAGCGTTTTGAAATCCGCCGTGCCGAAGGTCCGGAGTTGGTCTGCGGTCATGCGGTTCGCTGTGTTCAACCTGAATCGATCAAAGGGCTGATGATGTGAAGAAGACGTTGGAAATGAAACGGGCAGGGTGGGACTAGTATATGCAGCTAAAAACATCTCAACAAGAATTCATCTTTCGGCCACTGCAAGGGCGGGTTTCAACATACAACATAGGCAAAAAAAACTACTTAAACAAAAGCAACTAGCTGCCCCACCTTCCAAAAATTTCATCCTCTTTCCCCTCCCGATTGCCAAACACGCTGCTCCTACTGCTGCTGTACACGTTCACCCGGATTTCCGCGCATTCGTCCTTGCGGTTCGCCAAGACCGGGTAGTTGACACTGGTCCACAATTTCCCCAGAAACGACCCCGGCAGCGTCTTCACGTCGTTCCGGTCCTCCGCGGTTGTCAAGATCACATGTTCCTCCCTCGACATGGCATACGCCAAATCTACTTCCAGCGTGATCTTTTTGTGGCTCATGTGTCCGTGCGGGGGGACCGGCTTTGCCTGGTTGTGGTTCGCGAATTGCTGAAAGCAAATGTTTTGGAAGTAACAGTTCGGGCCGAGGTTGCAGAGATGGGAAGAGTAGTCTTCTTGTTGCTTGCTTTTAGCAGATGAGAGAGACGCTGCTCCTGATTTATTCATCTCGTTGTTCATCTTACTACTTCTATCCTCTGCCTTCGCACCGTGTCGGTTGCGGTGTGCAAGCGCGTGGAGCAGGTGCTGCTTCAGGAATTCCGGGAAGTCGGCGCCGAGATCGATTCTCGGCGGGACTACAAGCTCTTCGAAGGCTGTGGTTGCTGTTTTTGTTTCAGGCTCTATCTCGTCTTTCTTCAGCAAAATTGTTTCAATATCGGTTGGCGCAAGAGGAGAAGAAGCAGATGTTGACTCTGATGTTGAACTAGAAGACGCCTTCTTCATCTCCGCTTCCACCGCCCGTTTCAACACCTCCTCTTCTGCCGCGACCACAGAGTCCCCGTCTTCCCACCTATTTGCGACTTCACGTGGATCAGATGACGACCCAACTGTCGGCAGAAACCGGAAAGAATAATTCCCGTACTCCGGGCGGTAGTACGCGTCGAGATGCGTGGTGAGTCCGGCTTCCCGCGCAACGATCTTAGCGTCGTCAACCACTGGCACCGCCATTTTGGTACGCGCGAGCAGGACGGGTTTTGTTGTTGATCTGGATGAGGAAGATTTTCTGAGCGCCGACCCCTTTTGAAGTAGACCACTCCCGGTTACTAAGTCAAATGGATATTCGTCATCCTTATTCACTGGTGACAGTTCCTCATTTTCATCCTCACCTAGTATTTCCTCTACCCACCCGACCGTCGGCGCAAACACCAACGAGCACCTGCCACTCCTGCCATACCCGCCGCCGTTCGTCTGGTCTGCCGACAAGGTCGAGAAGGCCGGCTCGTCCTTGTCGGAGAAGATTGCTGGTTCCAGTACTTTATTCCCGGTGTCCAAAGACAACACATTCTCCAACTTCACTTGGTAAGATCTCCGCGGGCAGGGCAGCTTCAAGACCCCCAACAACCCCGGTGAGTACTGGTTCACCGCTAGTGTGTGGCGCCAACCGGCGACGTCTCCATACGCCGCCGTGGTGCTGTACTTTTGCGCGAATTGCTCCGCAATTTTCTTATCCAAGTGGATTATCCCCGCGGCGAGGTCCTCGGTTTGGAGAGTGGCAAGCTCTTCTCTCTGCGCTTGCTTCGACGTGAAAGTGGACCAGGGAGACGATTTATTTGAAAGAGCTGATGTTGATAAAGTACTACTATCGCCTCCGGCGCCACCAGAAGAGCCACTCGACGACGTTCTCACCGCCAGTTCTTTCTCTAGGGATTTTTTCCTGGCAACCACATGGGGATCCACGTTCACCCCGTAGCAGACTCGCCAGTGTCGCAACTCCGAGCTCGTCGTCCACTCCGTCGTGTCTTCGACAAAGGTGTCAAAATTCTGTGCGTAATACCATTTGTAAAAGTCCTGCGGGCCGCCAAACGCGAGCGGCAGGTTAGAGCAGCCGCCCGCGGACCAGATCTGCACCTGACAGTACTCCCCAATGTTCGTCCTGGTGGTATCCTGGTCACAGAAGGAATACGCGAGCGAATGGGAGGGGTTGCGCTTGCCAGTTTTCGTCGCGATTTGCTGGATTAGTCTTTCCGTTTCTGTCAGATGATCGTCGTTTTCGTCGCTTGGTGCTTTTATTTTCGCCTCGTTGGTCGCTCTTGAAGTAGAAGCTGACGTCTCCTCTTTCACGCCAAGCTTGAAACCCTGATACCGCAAGAGTTCTTTCCTGAGGAAATTCCGGTGCTTCGTCACATTGTAGGACACCGTGAGACTCGGCGTAATTCTTGCCTGCTCCTCTTCTTCGACACGGACAGCAGCACCTTTACCTCCTCCACTCGTGGCAGTTGCTCCTACCGCCACGGGGTACATGGGAAACTCCTGCACGTTCAAATACGCGCGGTGTCTCAGCAGCCTCCGCAACTGAAACAGCGCCCCGTGATGGCTCGGTAGAACCCTCGTGTGCCTGGGAAAGAGACTTTCCATGTTGAACAGGTTAAAGCTCGCCTCGTCAATTTTCGCCTTGTCTTTTGCCTCCATCGACCGGTAGGGAGCTAGTATCGTCGCGAGTTGCGGCAACAGAACCGCCTGAGTCACGAACGCATCGTGCTCGAACGCGTCGAACCCGGCGAGGGTGAAAAGAATGTCGACGTTTTCCATATGCTGCAAAATTTTTGCCGCGTAGGAAGGAGAAGTGCTAGTGGCCCCTTTCGTGGAGGATTCAGATTCTGATTTCGCCTTCGCCAAGTAATACGCCGGTAGGAACTCGCAACTATTGACGAACGAGACGGAAAACTTTTTGCTCTCAGGAGGCAGGTCGGAGTTTAGCGCTTTGATAACTGCCTCGACCTTATCCTGCAGTGGATTTTTTCTACCGGAGAGTTGTGAGGGTCCTGGGCCTGTTTGATGTCCTCCTGCTTCCGAAGTGCTTGCAGAACTGTCAATTATATCAAACGTCGCACACCCAGGTCTGTTCCCCGGAATTGCAGCGTGGTCTTCGTCTAGCACGTACCGAGTCGCGACCAAAGGTTTCCCGACAACGACGGAATCTAAGTGCTCGGTCGCGCCTGGGAGTTTCTGCGTTATGGTGCTGGTGGTTCTAGAAGGCATTACAAGCGTCGCCGGCTGATCGTCACGACGGCCTCCCTCGCCTTTCAAGAAATACTCCGCCGGACAGCAGGGCAGCGCAACCAGGATGTTCACGGTGTTTGTCATGCTAGTTGTATCCTGTGCTAGTTGTACAGAGTTCCCTTGGTTTTGGTTTTCCTCACCCGAAACATCAACGTCGACCTGCCTCATCTTCTTCCGCATATCGTACAAAAACTCCCGGAAGCCGAGCAAATCCGGCACACTGGTGCCCCCCCGGTCCAAGCCTAAAGACAGCGCCATACCGACGGTGTCGTCGTAGATCTCCTTGTACGCTGGGGTGGACAAGTGGTTGTGAATTTCGTCACTGTTCGCGTACCCGGCGGCCGCGAAACCGGTGATGAAATTCTGCACGCAGACAACCTTGTTGCTCGACGGAGATGAAGCTGCAGGCTCTTTTGCAGTCACAGATATTCTTGACGGTGCGGGAGGTTCTACTTTATTTGATGCGGATGGTTTGCTTATGATTTCGTCTGCTTCATCTGCATCACATTCCTCGGTAGTTGTGTCCTCGACGTCCATTATCAGGCCCAGTTCTCTACTCCGTTGCGCGATCACCGCGCCCCAGGAGGTCAGGTCTGCGTCCACGTGGTTTCGCCCCTTCGCCACTCTTGTCCACACGAATTTCCGCGGCTATGGGTGTGCCAGGATCGAAATCGACAAAATCGAGAAATTTGTGATGCGTAAAATGTAGGGCACTGAAGGCCTGTATTGGGGAGCAGGCAAATGAGGCCGATTGCAAGCCTGCTTAGGGGTATGCGACGCGCTGCCAGAGTAGCATGACAGGAGCAGTCTTCTTTGCCCAAACAGCGTGACGGACTGGATTTGGGTGCTCCAGAAATTTGTCATGCGCCACTTGGAGACTGAGGCTCCAACTGACATCGATTTTGTGCATCACAAATTTTTCGACTTTGTCAATTTCAATTCTGACACTTCCGTAGCGGCACGATCAAGTCCAACACCGCTTTTTCCTCTTCCTCCAGAACGGAGTCCACGAGGAGAATCAATTGAAACCCCTTTTCCACCGCTTTTTTCTCCAACCCGAAGTATTTCAGGCTCATGAAAATCGACCCCAAGTCGTCTAGCAGCATGTTCCCATACGGTTTCCTCCTCGCTAAAGAGCTCGGCCTGAACAGCAGGAAGAGGTACTTCTGCTTGATATTTTCACTCTGTTGCGCCGGCGTACTGAATTCCTTCTTCTTGCATTTCCTTTTCCTGCTCTCTACTACACCGTCTTCCTTCAACGGCTTGCAGTCACCTCCGTGATCCGTCAACTTACACTTCTTCACTTCCACATGCACGTGCGCGTCTGACGGGACCACATCCGGGACGTTCTGCGCCCGGGCGCGCCGCAGATGCTGCGAATCGCTCGAGTGTGGCTCGACAAACAAATTCTCGAGATTGTAACGGTCGATCACCGTTAGCTGCACGTCCTCGTGCTGGTAGAAAATCATCTTTCGCCGGAACAAGTCGAAGGGGTGACTGGCTTTCATCGGCGCGGGGATAGAATTCGCTTCAGTTGTTTTTATGCCGTTTGAAGATTTATTTCCTTCTTCGTCCACTTTTCGTTTCCCACCTCTAGAATTTTCATCAATCTTTATTCTCAGCTTGTTGGCCAGTAGCGCGTTCTCGTCCGCGCCTGCACCTAAATTTGGTTTGATCTCCTGGTCAAACAAGGTCTTTCGGTTTTCCATGATGTCGTAGCAGAAATGATAAAAAGCGTCCTGACACACCTCCTCTACCGGGAAACACACATCCCGAAAAAAGCAGTTCGGCCCCCGACTGCAGTTGTGCCAGGAGGACCGTTTCGGTCGCTGGATCGAGGACTGCAGCCAAACTTGGCTGGAGGCATCCTCGCCGCCAAGACCCGTGCTGGTGTCACCTGCTGCTGCTGCAATGCTTGTTCCAAGTGCAGCTCGTGGACCTAGAATTGCGATGACTGCAGCAGATGCTATCGTCCTGTGAAGCAGGTGAGACAGACCCGGTTTCGTATTCGCTGCTGAAGAAGTACTAGACATTTTCCCTCGACGATGCTTCCTCTTTAACGGGGGGAAGCGGCCGAGGAAGAGAAATTCAAGCTGCTGGAGCTGCCCGTTCATTTTCAAAGGGAGCAGCTAGGAGACTACATAATTATTTTCCTGTTCATTTTTCATGGTACTGAAAAAAATTCCAGAGAAGCTGGTTTGACACTAGGAAAGAGAGTTCTGACAACTGAAAGCGAAAAATCGATATCAGCGATAATGCTAGAAAGGAGCGCCATCTTCTGGTGCCTCTGTATAAAAAAACTCCATCGCTAGGATTAGGGCGGTAGATGAAAAACGATGAAACGACAACAGTGATTTTGAAAATAAAAAAAAACACTCCGGCCGCATGTCATGCGACAGTGTAAAGTTGGAACCACATATATTCAAACTAAAGCAGCGAAGCACGACTGCAGCTGTCCAATGACCAAGGAGGATCCGGCTTGTCTGCGACCGATCTATCACGAAAGGCGAAATAGCACCGAAGAAGATCTGCACTTTGGATGAAAACGGTTCCTTTTCTCTACTGCGACTGCCACGAAGAAGCGGGAGAAAATGAATAAGTAGGACGAGGAACACGAACACGAGGCCTTCCACATTAGCCCGCATAAAGTGACCCCGTACAACTGTTTGGTGCTACTTGTGTTAGAAGCCAACTTGTTAAAATTGAAAATCATGAAACTTATTTTCGTATAAGACACAATTATCTCAAGTCCCAGACCGCTGGCAGAGCTTCTCACTTTTCATTTTCCTTCTCGGTCGCCCAGCAAAAATGCTCTCAATAACATACGAGTTAACGCCGGTCAGCCCGTGCCCGTCATCGCTAAATTTTTCTGTTCATTAGATTTGCGTCGTCTCTTCCTCCAGACATTCACTCTATTTGCGGAAGAAGATGATCACTTCCTATCCTATTTCCAGCTCCCCCCAACTCATCACGGCGGCGTCCACTGTGTCCGGTTACTCTGCACGTCCCAGTAGTACGGATCCTCCCCGTATCGACTATCCATCACCTTCACCCAGCCAAACGCCGGCTGCTCGGTCGTGGTCACTCCGGTGTTCACGTTCTTGAAAACGATAGTTGACGAAGACTGCTCCGCCGAAGAAGTACTAGTCTCAGTGTCACTCCCAGCTGCTGCACCACTCTCGTCATTTGATGTTGTACTACTGTTGTTTACTGTCGCCTCCCAGTCCACAACCTTGTTGCTCCCGAACACGATGCCGTTGCTGTATCCTGTGTAAAAACATCCCAACCTGATACTTGTCATGCAAATCTGCATGCTTAAAATGTGTCCCATGCGGAGCTCCATGATGAGACGCATTCGCTAGGCGTGTTTTGGAATTTGTGACGCTCAGATCAGCACCAGATGCTATAGATTTGTGATGCTGATTCACAACTGGCGAAACACGACTACACTGCGCGGCCAAACTTGTCATGCGTGACAGGCAAAGCTCGTTGATTTGTCTTGCAGATTTCGCAACTTGACTAAGACTATGGGGTGGGGACGTTTTTACATATGATATGCTGCCGCCACTATTCTCTTTCGCCTTGTTCAAAACTTTCTGCCGCGAATTCACCACCGTGTTCGTGAAAATCTATCGTTTGTAAAGCGTCCCCACCCCAGATTTGTTGCCATGCAGATTTGCAATTCCAGAAGCGTTTGTAATGCGCATCCCCATGAAAGGCATTTCCAGTCGTGTTTGGGAACTTCTAATGCTGTAAACAGGATGAGGAGATGGATTTGCTATGCGGCTTCATCCTATGCGGCTTCATCCTTTGCTAAACTGCAACTTGCCATGCGTGACTCCCAAACCTTCTGGATTTGTGTTGCAGAGTTCCCAACGAACTTGACTCTGGGGTGGAAAAGCTTTTACACAGGATAAAATCTGCGAGTTCTTCACCGTGCCCTCGTCGATGAATTGCGTCGTGGTCGTATTCTCAATAAAAACGTCCCCACCCCAGAGCTGTCATGCAAAATTGCATGCCAAAAACGTTTCTCATGCGGAGCCCACTGAGAAGCATTTTCTATCCGTATTTGGCAACTTGTGACGCAAGAATCAGCACGATGCGCTGGATCTTTGATGCTTCTGAACTAGCTAAACAGGATCACACTATGAAGACAAACTTGCCATGCGAAACAACCAAAGCTGGTGGATTTGTATAGCAGATCTCGCATCTTGACTCTGGTGTGGGGACGTTTCTACTCAGGATAGGTCGTTCCATCGTCCGAAGTGGTTTGCTGGACAACAGACTCCCTGTTAGTCAATAAACAACGTCAAATTAAATATCTTTTTGCTCTTGATCGGCTATACTATCGTTTTCGATTTTTTATCGTACAACCCCGAGGCTGCAAATCACGATGTTGATCGATCTCGATGCGAGCGTGAGGACCCGAAAAATAAATTGTCCTTCGCAAAACTAAGAAGACCACTACAAAAAAGAACTACCAACAGATTATATCTGTGAAGAATATCATCCGCTAAAGCAGTTCATCAAAAGTAGCCTTCAACTCTCAGAAGCGAAGTGAGAGATCACGATGCAATCGGAAGACCAAGTCGGCGCGAAATGAAAACCAAAACGCAAAGTGACTAGGAGGTCTTCAAGAAGGTGACTGCGGTGTGATCGGTTTAGTGTAGCAATGTCGTAACACAGCGAAACTATGAGTGAAGTAGTTTCCCTGCTGACTAAAGCATTGCAGAAAGTGAAATAAGTAACTGGAATGACGTGAAGAACTCTTTTTCGCCGGTTGGGATCTTGATGTTTTTCTTGCTGGATTTGATGAATCTTATTCCGACCTAGAGGATCATTCTCACATCCTGCATAGCATCAAAGGCAAAAGCAAAACTTAAACTGTCGATGCACAAAATAAACAAGCATGCCAAGAAAAAACAGCGATTGAGAGTACTTTTCCACTCTTATCCTGAGCAAAAACGTCCCCACCCCAGAGTCAAGCTGGGGATCTCGCAACACAAGTCGAGAAGTTTTGGGAGTCAAGCATGATACAGCCGCAACGCAAATCCACCTACTCACCCAGTTTAGGGAATTACAAAGTCCAAAACACGACTGGAAATGCCTCTCATGGAGATGCGCATGACAAATCTTCCTGTGGCTGGAAATCTGCATGACAACTCTGGGGTGGTGACGTTTTTACTCAGGATAACTCCGAGCGCCCGCTTGCTCAGGTTGTCAAATTCAATCATCCGGTCTTCCATCGATTTTCGGTGTTTTTGCGCTTTCTCCTGATCCGATTCCTTTTCCGATTCCAGCAAGAGCCGGAGGTAGAGGTTCTCCAGCTTCGAGCAGTCTTTTTCACTTTCCTTCACGTATTTCTCGTAGTAGTTGATCGCGAACTCCCCCTTCATCTGGCTCTGCGCCCCACGCATCATCGCGAAGTGGGTGTAGCTGTTTGGAAATGATATCATGCTTGATGGAAAAAATTTGAGCCACCTTTTTTTTATTCATCCCGAAAAGGACAAACAAAATTCCTGGCGCATGCATGTGTCCTTGCTTCTAAGTGAGGAGATGCGATAATTAAAATTGTACAAAATCAGAACATAAAGCCGAAAAAATCGTAACAAAAAATACGTCGTCGGCTCCAGCTGTCTGGCGGACCCGGACTTGAGGTTCCAGTTCTTCAATTTCTCGAAATAAAACATCGCCTTCTCCTCCGCGTTCCGGGCCCACATCGCGGCGATCGCTAAATTGAAGGAGATCACCTCGATCGGGTGCTGGGCGTGCAACACCGCGTCGAAGACTTTTTCAATCGTCTCCACGGGGTAATTCTCCACCGACGCCGCCTCGCCCGCAGCGTTGCTGCACACCAGCCGCAATAATCCGTCGATTCGGAGCTCCTTCTTCTTCACGTGCTTCTTGTGCTCCCCGGTGAGCGCCTTGTCCAAATAAAACAGCGCCCGCATCGAAAGGAAAAATTCCACCGCCCCATATCAAAACGAGATTTCTGATGCTGGGTCTGTGTACACAAATCCGCGCTGTCTTGCTGGAAAGCACTGCAGGCCCATGCTAAGTGTGAGGAGAGAGGTTTTGGCCTAGGCTCTTAGCATGGAAAAAATCCGCACTGTAGGCCCAACAGCATGACAAAGCGCCTGCATAATGCGGCGAAGCCTGCGGAGTTGCCTTCTTGCAAGACAGACGCGATTTGTGGCCACAAATCAGCATCACAAATTTCCAAAAGTATACCTTTTCAGTATGGGGAGGGGGGATTTTTCCTTTTGATAGCCCGGTCCGTTTGCTCGTGCCGGATCAAAACGGTGAGTAACGCGTTGTACGCCCAGCTGTCATATCAAATGCACATGTATCTACGTCTGGAAGGTTTGTCATGCTTGTCGGGCATGACTCGTAAATCTGTGATGCATAGCCACGATAAGCTCCTCTTACCTGTCATGCGAAAACGCAGCTTGTCATGCGGAGTACGAAACACATAGCAGCTGAAAAACTTGTCATGCTTGGCTGCGCATTACGGTGCGCCCAGCGTTCTTCAGAGATTTGCATCACAAGTTTCCACACCCAGACACATTTACAATGCATATGTCAGGCAGGACATTTTTCTCGCACATCTCTTCCATCCACTTTTCCGCGTTCTGCCAATCGTTTCGCTTCGCACAGTAGGAAATCAGGGACGTGTAGATTACCGCATTCGGCTGGATGTTCTGGGATTGCATCTGGAATTTTTTTTGTTCACAAACCTAGGCTTCAAATTTTCGAATCCTACGGAAGAAGATGCACACGACCTCTGGACACCCACCGAGCGCGCCGCCCCTTCCATTGCACGGAGGGCTTCTCCCTTCTTTGATACTCTGCAGAAAAAAAAAATCAAAAAAACTATCGTCGTATAATGGTATAACCTTTCATTATACCAAGTCCAAGTATTCCATGGCCTTGCCCCAATTGTCGCACCTGCGCGCGAACCCGTAGAGCATCGTTCCGTAAGACACCATATGAACTGCAAAAGTATCGTACTCGTATAAATGCATTACAAATTTTCTCAGCATGAGAAATAATAATAAAATTTGTAATGCAGATTTACCTTAGCAAAAGGATTTGTAATGCATGATTGCAATACGAGTACGATACTTTTGCACAGGATACACCAGGCTCGGCCGAATGTCGCAGTCCTCCGTGAGCAGCCGGAAGTATTTTTCCGCCTCCAGTGACTTGTGCGCTTTGAACTATCCTATGTAAAAACGTGCCCACACCATAGTCAAGATGGGGAATCGGCTAGACAAGTCCACAAGTTTTGGCTGTTTTGCATGACAAATTTGCACTCGTAGTGTAGTGCTGTTTGAGGTAGTTCAGCAGCATCACAGATCTAGTATATCATGCTGACTGGAGCATGACAAATTCCAAAACACGACTAGAAACCGCTTCTCATGGGGCTCCCCATGAGAAACATTTTCAGCATGCAGATTTGCATTGCAACTATGGGGTGGGGACGTTTTTAAATACAATATGAACGCGGCATTCATCATGGAACTGTAAATCACTTCGTGATCATCAATGTCTTGGGCCGGGGATGTAGTAGTTGTAGCGTCTGTAAAATTGATGTTGCGCCCTTCGCATCAACAAGTCCACACAGTTTGTTACGACGTAGCTTTGTCCTGCAAGCAAGAGAGAATCTAGATTATTAACAATGACCCCTCATCGAACAAAAGTCTCTCATGCGTAAGTACCCGAAGTTGCAGCACCACCCTCCGCTGCACTGCCACCCCTTTCTGCCCCGCTTTCGCTGCTTTTCACCTCCCGCCCGTCATTTCCCTTCGCAGGTGCATTTTCACTGGGTGGATTATTTCCACTTCCAAAAATCTCCAAATTTTTCCGATATTCCTCGAACCACTTCTCAGCCAAATCGTAACGATTGGCCTCGATGCAGCACTGAATTAATGCGGAGTAGGTGTACGAACTGGGTGTCTCGCCGTTTTGCAGCAGCCGCTGGAACAGATTCTCCGCTTGTTGCACCAGTTGAGTGCTGTTGTAATCCTGGTCCGCTGACGATACATAGTTACCACGTCGATCTCCGGAGTTCTGGTTCCTTGACGACATTGAAAACGCCTTGCTGACCCCCTTGAGAGCAATGTTGTACATCTGGACTCGTTCCGCAATCGCGTCTGTGTTCTCCAACTCGGTTAGCAAAGCTTCGATTTGCGTCATCTTGCCCGCATTGGCCGCTTGATTCAGCTGGGAAAACAGCGACTTGATTCTGCGCATTTTCATCGCGGTCTCCTTGTACTTCTGCTCAGCTTCCAACTCTTCCACTGTCTTCTCCACGGCACTCGCGGACGCTGTGGAGGTCGTCGTGTTTATTTTACCATCTTCACGAACATTTCGATTTATTTCAGCTGCACCTCCAAGCGCGGCTCCTCCTGCTTCAGCGTGTATACAACTTTCCACCTGGCCACCAGGTGATCCACGGCCTTGTTCCTGCACCACTTGCTTCTCCAGCACCGTGGCCATTCCCGTGTCCCCGATCGCATACCGCTGCGCTACCTTCTGCTGTAGCGCCTGCTTTGCGTTTTCCGCCACTTTTTGCTTCAGCGACGCCGCGGAGGCTTTCACGTTTGGGTTCTGCGTCGGCTGCGGAATCTTCCTCGGGACGTTGATGACTTTTCCGGAGGGGAGAGTCACGCTGTTGTTGCTAGTACAACCACTACTGGTGGTCGTGTTCCCTAGGACACTACTGCTCGCAGTCACAGTTGATGCTTCTGCATGAACTTCCGCTACGGCGGCGGCGTTGGTTGAAAAATTTTTACACGATCGTTGCGTCACCGCCTGCCCCGGGGCTCGTCGGCAGTTTCCGGAGCCACCAGTACCGGTCGCATTCCGGCCTTGCTGGACTAGCAGGCGCTTCATGATGGATAGAAGATCAAGATTTTGGGCAGGAGAAAATGACCGATCGCTACAGATTCAGAAACTAAAGCGATCGCTGCTTACTTGTTACGATTTTCTGTCAAAACGTGCTGTTTCTGCTTTTTCTGTTGGACCAGAGCTGGCACGTCTTTTTGCTTTTGCAAACCGCTCGAAACAAATGCAAGATTTGTAGTCGAGGCTTGTAGTGGTGATGAAAAACGCAAATATCCACCACCATGATCGGGATCATTGTTTTTCAGTTGGATTCAGGTAATTGACCCTGAGCGGGCCAAATAGAAAGTAGTGCCCGCTTTGTAATTAGGAGATCTTCCAAAAAGCACAAAGCGGATCGCCATCCAGCAAACGCACGGATCACCTCATCAGGCACACACACACACACTCCAGATGAAAAAGAAGGTAGATCTGGACCAACGAAGAGCGAAGAAAAACCAAAGATCTTCTTTGCTTTCACAAAAATGAAAGAAAACGCAATGTAGTGCGTTCGAAGATGAACGGCCTGGAAAAGCAAAGGAAAAGTCGAACAGTCACACACGTGCGGATTCCTCTCCGACAAAACACAGCCTAGCGCGGGCGTTACCGTTTTTGTTTGAATCTGAAATATTAAGACTGTATACCTAAGAGTAGGGATCTGCCTAAAGTTTTTTCAGACAGTTTCTGGGCGAAGAGCTCACGATTTTGCAAAGACAGGTGTGAAAGGTTTCTGGAGGATGCGAATCTGAGGAGAAATTCATGCTGTGGAAACCAAGTTTCCATGTGCACAATCGCCTCAAATTCATCTCCTGTGCGGATTTTGAAGGGGTGTGAATCACTATTCAAAAAAACATAATCGTTCGCTGTGGAAAGGTACAGACCTTGTTCTAAACACATATGGAACTATGCGGATTAAGAAAAGGGTACGTTTGTAAACAGTACTAGCGCATGTTTTTTCTTTCCAAAATAGAACTCGATGGATTTCCCTTTGTGATAAGATGCTTTTTTTTCTCGTGTGATTGCGGATTTTCTTGATGCATTTTTCCTACAAAATCACTATAGACTGCTTGATGTAAGGTTGTTGATATATCACACACCGAGAAAGCCGCAACTAATCCTGGAGATTGTCGCGCTCTATCGACATGCGGTTATACACGGGTACCATAGATCGAAACATAGCATAGTGATCTCTTGAAATCTGCACAAAAACAAGCGTCTTTTCCAAATTTTTTGCGTTCATTTCATTTGCAGCGTATGCTAGTACTACTTCATTTTTCTTCGGTGGTCTAGAATTCCTTGTCTTTAGCACGTAATCGAGGGGGTTTCTTCGCCTTTCAAGCACGTAAAAATCATAAATTATTTCAATGCATCGACTCGGGATTCCGCTAGTTTAAATCATCGAGTCATTCGGTTCTTCCGGGCACTGCTTCACTGCCATCGAGCGGTCACTTACTCTTCGTCGCTGTGCGGAACGCGAACCCTGTAGTTATACCGCCTGCTCGTTCCAGTTTCAAACGCTTCGAGAATTCAAAAATCTCACTGCGCTTGGTCTGTCCAACGATTTTTCCGCAGGTGGCACCACATGTCGTCGCGATCGGTTCTTTAGTTCCGCAACAGCAGCGACCCTCGATAGCGCAGCGCCGTATCGGAGAACAGCAAAGCTCCACAACAGAAACGGGTGGAAATTCCGATCTAATAGGTACATACCAATACAAATTGCGTTTCACGTGTAGCCTCTTTATTCGAAAAATTCTCGTGTTGGTTTTTGCGCAGTCGTAATGGGTGACTAAATTATCCGAATTATTTTCTTGCCTCAGATTCTTTTGCCTTTTAATTACCTACTTCCTTGCCGATTGTAGCACATCAACTTCGTCCAACTTCCAAACAGATAGATTGTCGGTTGTCCAAAGTTCCTGTGGTCCTCTCCTGGGCAGTAGTGGTCCGTTCTTCCGGTTATTTTCGTTTCAAAATACACCGTGATGTCGAATCAAAACTCCAGGTTATTTTCCATTTTCACTATTCGCTTAATCGACCTCCTCGACGGTCGGGCCCGCACCGCCAGCGGACATGTCCGGCATGCCGCCACCAGCACCCATGTCCGGCATGCCACCGGCACCGCCAGCGCCGCCGGCAGCCTGGTAGACCTTCATCATGATCGGGTTGGCAACAGCCTCGACCTCCTTCTGCTTTGCCTCGAACTCGTCCTGTTTTTTAGGTTTTTAAAGGGTGAAAATGTAAATGCATGATGGTCTTACTCTGGCATGCCAACAGCTGGGATGAAAAATCCTGCACACAGGTAATTATATGCCATCCGAGAAGATGCCATGCGAAAACAAGAAAAACTGACCCAAAAGAAGCTCCTGCATCTAAAGCACAAATACCTTCTCGGCCATCTGGTTGCGGTCCAACCAGTCGAGGGCCTCCTTGACGGCGGCCTCAATCTTGTCCTTATCGTCTCCCTCGAATTTCTCCTTCAAGTTCGGGTCGTCCAGAGAGTTGCGCATGTTGAAGCAGTAGTTCTCCAGGCCGTTCTTGGCCTCGATCTTGACCTTGTTGGCCTCATCCTCCGACTTGTACTTTTCGGCCTCGCTGACCATGCGGTCAATGTCGGCCTGGGACAGGCGGCCCTTCTCGTTGGTGATCGTGATCTGGTTGGACTTGCCGGAGGCCTTGTCCTGTGCGGACACGTTCAAAATACCGTTGGCATCCACGTCAAACGTGACCTCGATCTGCGGCACACCACGCGGGGCACCCGGAATACCGTCCAGGTGGAACTTACCGAGCAAGTTGTTGTCCTTCGTCATGGCACGCTCACCCTCGAACACCTGGATCAGCACACCCGGCTGGTTGTCAGCGTAGGTAGTGAAGGTCTGGTTCTTCTTGGTCGGGATGGTCGTGTTACGCTCGATCAGCTTGGTCATCACACCTGTGCAGGACAGCACAATAAGGAAATCAAATTGAGATTCCGGAGCATTCCCAATTTACACTGCAGATCAATAACGGTTACCTCTAGAAAAATACGCCCTGAAAGTGCATAATTTTGCTTGATAGTACTCAGGCGCAGCATCTTCAATGCGGACATCAATAATCACACACAAGCGGAAAATCTAAAGTTACCTCCGGCGGTCTCGAGACCCATGGACAGCGGAGCGACATCCAACAACAGGATGTCTGTCGTGGAGGAACCTCCCTGGTTGGTCAGGATCGCGGCCTGGACGGCGGCACCGTATGCGACGGCCTCATCCGGGTTGATGGAGCGGTTGGGCTCCTTTCCGTTGAAGAATTCCTGCAACATGGACTGCACCTTGGGGATACGCGTGGAACCACCGACCAACACGATTTCGTTGACGTTCTTCTTGTCGACGCCGGAATCACGCAGGGCCTTCTCGACCGGTCCCATGGAGTTACGGAAGTAGTCCATGTTCAACTCCTCAAACCTAAATCATGTGCGTGAAGATTTGGTTTACAAATTTTAGATGAAGTGACGGCGACATTGTTACGCATGTAGACCAAAACATGACGACGCGTTATACAATATACGAAGCCAATCTTTACAACATAATCTGAATAATGAGTCGGCATCAAATACTGAACCACACAACTAATTCACTCTACCTGGCGCGAGACAGGGTGCAGGAGAAATCGATACCCTCGAAGAGAGAGTCGATTTCGATGGTAGCCTGCGTGGAGGAGGACAACGTGCGCTTGGCGCGCTCGCACTGGGTGCGCAGACGACGCAGGGCCCGCTGGTTTCCGGTGAGGTCCTTGCCACGGTTCTTACGCTTGAAGTCCTGGACGCAGAAGTCGACGATGCGGTTATCGAAATCCTCACCACCCAAGTGGGTATCACCCGCGGTGGCCTTCACTTCGAAGATACCATCCTCGATGGTCAGCAGGGACACATCGAAGGTACCTGTGTAGAAGCAGTTTAGTAGATGCTATTGTCTTCGATGCTCTCTACTCTCAAGAAACGCACACGACGCACATTCCAATTGATTTGGCAGCGTTTGTTTGCTTGCAACAGAAAAAAAATTATCACTCATGAAGAGAACAAAAAGTCGCATTTACCGCCGCCCATATCGAAGATCAGCACGTTCTGTTCGCCACAGCCCTTCTTGTCCAGACCGTACGCGATGGCCGCGGCGGTGGGTTCGTTGATGATACGCAGCACGTTCAGACCGCAAATGCTACCGGCGTCCTTGGTGGCCTGACGCTGGGAGTCGTTGAAGTAGGCCGGAACCGTAACGACGGCGTCATTGACGGTGGTGCCCAGGTACTGTTCGGCGGTTTCCTTCATCTTCGTCAGGATCATACCTGAATATTACATTTAGGTTTGTGCTCGTCTACTAGAGATTTTACAAAAAAGTCCTCAACAACTACGTCACTAGCAGCCCAATATCTTCTTTTCTCACGGTGGTAAGTACAATCATCACTGCTCGACGCAAATTTTTAGAATCACATTCTTCTTGAATTGCACAAAAGCAGAGCAAAAATCTTATACTGGAGATCTCTTCCGGGTGGAACTTCTTCTGCTCGGCCTGGTAGGTGACCTCGATCATGGGCTTGTCTCCGGAACCAGCGAGAACCTTGAACGGCCACAGCTTGATATCCGACTGCACGATAGGGTCGTTGAACTTACGACCGATCAGGCGCTTGGCGTCGAAGACGGTGTTCTCCGGGTTGCGCGCGGACTGGTTCTTCGCGGCGTCACCGATCAGGCGCTCGGTGTCGGTGAAGGCGACGTAGGAGGGGGTGGTACGGTTACCCTGGTCGTTCGCGATGATTTCGACAGTGTCGTTCTTCATCACGCCGACGCAGGAGTACGTCGTACCCAAATCGATACCAACGGCGAGAGACTTGGACATTTTGTAGGTTTTGGTGTTCTGAAAAGTAGACTACGAGGCAGAGCAAAGGCAATTCGGCAAATGAAAGCGATTCTTCACAAAGAATCTTCTAAGAGTACGCGAAACTCCTGTTTTTTTCAAAGCGAGGCTTTAAGAAACTTGTGATGTCGCAGGCAGTGGAAAACAGATTTACAGATCAGATTTCGGTGTGAAAAGAAGATCGGAAATGTCGTGTGAAAACAATTTGGGATTGGTAGTCGCAGGCTTTAGATCAGAAAAATCAGTGAATGTTGTGGTGACTTGAGGATTTTTGAGAACGGATCTCGCACTTTCTGAGGACTGTGGAAAGTTGTTGAAATGTGTTCCGTGTTTTTTCCAGATCCATAAAGAATTGCATAGACCTCTGTCTTTCGCGCGTGAGCCTGCTCTTTTGCGATTTAGATCCTTGGTAAACAAACATCAGTCAAGATTTAAAGATCCTGCCAACGCGTCATTTCAAATCCATCCGAAGCGTGGGCCTTCATCTAAACTCAACCGACTCGTCTGAATGGTGAATCGCTTCTCTCGCGGAAAAGGACCGAAAGCTATTCAGATCTACGCGTTTCTCTCAGACGTGAACAAGCCGGCAGCCGACTCGCTTCTGATTCATCTTGTGCAAGACAATGATTTAGAAATTCCGTGAACTTGGGTTTCAGTGCGGAAGATGGTTGATTTTAGTTGTCTATACTGAGAAAAGTTTGTATATGAGACGTACCAAATTTTTTCGACCAACACGTAACCATAGAATCGTAACCGCCTGTGCTTGCGCCTGCTCAATCCTACCTTGTTGCCTTGTTCGTGATCCAGAAGTAGCAAACAAACCAAAACGCGGGGAAGAAGATTATTTTTTCATTTTAAAGACCTGCTGAAGAACGCAGAAGTAAGTATTCATTTGATCCTTGTTTGAAAGTATAGATCCAACAGCGCCGTCGCGGGTCTTAACGCATGGTCTTGTTTGCAACTGGAGCTGCAACGTAGTTCTAAATCTCGACCGCCAGATCGTGTGGTCGGCGTTTGCTTCCCATGTAGAGCGTCGGCAAAATCGAAAATTAAACTTTTACATCGACCTGTGTCCGGCGGAGAGCGGGGTGTCACATCTTCACCGGCCCTGCCATCCGAAGGATCACCACCAGTCGCGGGGAAATGATGCGAATGAAAACAAAGCAGATGATGTGACTTATGTACAACTCGCCACATAATACGCAAAAAAACTTCTGAAAGGACGTGTGAAAAAGAAGACTGAATAAAGATTTTCCGAGAGAAGATGAGCCGAAGTATATCTATGGGGTCGACGTAAATTGAACTGTAGATGAAAATTTCTAGTGTGGTATCAAACCCGTCTACTCTTGATGAAACACGAAAAAGTTTTCAAAGAGAGCATCCAAATCCGACATGAATTTCACCTCCTTAGTCGACCTCCTCGACGGTCGGGCCCGCCCCGCCCATATCCGGCGCGCCTCCCGGCATACCGCCGGGCATGCCCTCCGGCATGCCGCCCGCGCCGCCACCTGCCGACTGGTACACCTTCATCATGATCGGGTTGGCAATCGCCTCGACCTCCTTCTGCTTTGCCTCGAACTCGTCCTGGAGGTGATGGGAGAGATGTGTTTGACGCAATTCTTCTTTTCTGTTTCTCATGGTGCTTTCTACTACAGAAGATGAGATTGTAAAAATATGTGGAACATAGAAATGGGAATAGAATAGAGAAAAATCCATTTTTTAAAAATAATACCTTCTCGGCCATCTGGTTCTTGTCCAGCCAGTCAAGTGCTTCCTGCACCGCCTTTTCGATGGCGGCTTTGTCGTCGGGCTCGAATTTGTCTTTCATGTTCGGGTCGTCCATAGAGTTGCGCATGTTGAAGCAGTAGTTCTCCAGGCCGTTCTTGGCCTCGATTTTCACCTTGTTCGCCTCATCCTCCGCCTTGTACTTTTCGGCCTCGCTGACCATGCGGTCAATGTCAGCCTGGGACAGGCGGCCCTTTTCATTAGTGATCGTGATCTGGTTGGACTTTCCGGAGGCCTTGTCCTGTGCGGACACGTTCAAAATACCGTTGGCATCCACGTCGAACGTGACCTCGATCTGCGGAACGCCACGCGGGGCACCCGGAATACCGTCCAAGTGGAACTTACCGAGCAAGTTGTTGTCCTTCGTCATCGCACGCTCACCCTCGAACACCTGGATCAGCACACCCGGCTGATTGTCAGCATAGGTAGTGAAGGTCTGGTTCTTCTTGGTCGGGATGGTCGTGTTACGCTCGATCAGCTTGGTCATCACACCTGTGGACAACCAAATTTAAAAAATTTAGATTCCTCTATACTGAAAAACATTATTTGGCTAAGAACCCACTACGCTCTGCAGGTGCATTTTTCTTGCTGCTCAGACACAGACTTGTTAACATCAAAGAGACCGTAAAGCAGCCGAACGCAAAGCTAAATTCACCTCCGGCGGTCTCGAGACCCATGGACAACGGAGCGACATCCAACAGCAGGATGTCCGTCGTCGACGAGCCGCCCTGGTTGGTCAGAATAGCAGCCTGCACGGCAGCACCGAACGCGACGGCCTCATCCGGGTTGATGGAACGGTTGGGCTCCTTCCCGTTAAAGAATTCTTGCAGCATGGACTGCACCTTGGGAATACGCGTGGAACCGCCGACCAAGACGACTTCGTTGACGTTCTTTTTATCCACGCCCGAGTCACGCAGGGCCTTCTCAACCGGACCCATGGAGTTACGGAAGTAGTCCATGTTCAACTCTTCGAACCTAAAATAATGAATTGCAATTTTTATATCATTCTGAGTTTTACAGTTTCAGAGTTCGTCGTACAATTTAGAACGCGACCTGCTGTCTTCAAAAGTGGTAAGTATAGGAGCAAATGAATCTAAAGATTTTTGTTCAAGCAATACCGCGCACGAGACAGGGTGCAGGAGAAGTCGATCCCCTCAAACAGAGAATCGATTTCGATGGTGGCCTGGGTCGAGGAAGACAGAGTGCGCTTGGCGCGCTCGCACTGGGTGCGCAACCGGCGCAGCGCGCGCTGGTTCGAACCCAGATCCTTGCCACGGTTCTTGCGCTTGAAGTCCTGGACGCAGAAGTCGACGATACGGTTATCGAAATCCTCACCACCCAAGTGGGTATCACCAGCGGTGGCCTTCACTTCGAAGATACCATCCTCGATGGTCAGAAGCGACACATCGAAGGTACCTGAGGGAAAGAAGTGGTTTTAACTTCAAATTCTATCGATTCGCATGAAGGACAGTGAATTTTCTGTGTCTGGTCACGCGACCTTTTGGAAGCAACCCGACAGCGCTCCAACCTGGCGCCTGCGCACAGTCGTGACTTCTCACCTCGGAGATGTAGTGGGTGGATGAAATTCGAAATCAATGTCCCGCTCCCGGCAAATCAAAAAATCGACAAATACCGCCGCCCATATCGAAGATCAGCACGTTCTGTTCACCGGTATCCAGAAAAAAACCACCATCCCCATCCATTTTTGCAGTTTTTACATGCAGAAAAATTACAAAAAATGAACAAAAATTAAAAAAAAATCAAAGCGCTTTCAGCATGGTCGGGCTTGTGTTATCTATCTATCAGCACTAGCTAGTGGCGTCCCTCACAAGCTAGCTGGAAAAAATTGAAGTTGCTAGGCCCACAGCTGCTGCACTCGTCAAAGTCCAGAGCTGAAGACTTCGTCGAGAAAGGCTGCTCCACGTCCGAGTTTGCCTCTGATGCCACACTATGCATCATTTGGGGGCTCGGAAAAACGTACTCGCTTGCGTTGCGCTTCTTTTCCCATGGTATGATGTTGCCCTGATGTCGCGACGAGTCAAATCTTGAGCCTTTTGAAGCATGCACGCACAGAATAGAGCAGCTGCCGCGCAACGCTTTGCCTAGGTTGTCGCCTCTGGTGCGAGCTAGCCGCGCGGCTGCAGTTCCTCAGATTGCGCTGATTATGGTCCGGAAGTTTTTGTCTCCGGCTGTGCGTTCAAAGCCGATATTTTTTCCGATTCAAAAAAATTTCGGATTTTCAAGAAAAACAACTTTTTTTGTGGATGGTGGTTTTTCGCACGACGGTATGCTAAATGCGAGCACCTACCATCCACTCCATTTCTATTTAGAAATGGTATGGATGGTAGGTGCCCGGATTTAGTATAGCATGGGGATAAAAACCACCATCCACAAAAAAACGCGATTTTGGAAAATTGCACGAAATTTGTGGATGGTTGTTTTTATCCCCACGCTATGCTAAATCCGGGTACCTACCATCCACACCATTTCTATTTAGAAATGGCGTGGATGGTAGGTACCCGGATTTAGCGTAGCGTTGGGATAAAAACCACCATCCAGTAAAAATTGGAAAGCTGAGACTTTTTGGAAAAAAACTTGCGCCATTTTTTTTCCAAGAGTATTTGTCTTGCCCAGAAGGTTCTCGAGACGGAGAAGTCTTCGCCTCTTGTAAACCTCTCGGCTGCGCTCCTTTGGATAATCGCACTGCTCGTCGAACTTCTACCAGTCCCGCCTTCCGTATTATACGGGCCCGCCTACATCGTCCCACGTGGCGGCGCGGTGGCGCGGGGATGAGGCCGCCAAGCTTTGGGCCAAGCGCTGGCGGCCCGTAGCGTTGTACCACCTGAGACGCCACTGCGCCCCCGCCGCATTACGACTGGGGCCAGCGCCGGTCAGCCGGTCGAGGATCCAACTTGTACAAAGCCTTGCTCCCGGCAAATCAAAAAATCGACAAATACCGCCGCCCATATCGAAGATCAGCACGTTCTGCTCACCGGCTCCCTTTTTGTCCAGACCGTACGCGATGGCCGCAGCGGTGGGTTCGTTGATGATACGCAGGACGTTTAGGCCGCAGATGTTACCGGCGTCTTTAGTGGCCTGACGCTGGGAGTCGTTAAAATACGCCGGCACCGTAACGACGGCGTCGTTGACAGTACCGCCGAGGTACTGTTCCGCGGTTTCCTTCATCTTCGTCAGGATCATACCTGAATATTACATTTAGGCTTGTGCTGGTCTACTCGAGGTTTAAAAAAAAGTACTCAACAACCGAATATCTTACTTATTTTCCGAGGGCGGTACTGCTCGACGCAAATTACATAAATAATCATGTACTTAAATCGCACAGAAGCAGAGACAAAATTTGTGATACTGGAGATCTCTTCCGGGTGGAACTTCTTCTGCTCGGCCTGGTAGGTGACCTCGATCATGGGTTTCTCGCCCGAACCAGCGATGACCTTGAACGGCCACAATTTGATATCGCTCTGCACCACCGGGTCGTTGAACTTGCGCCCGATCAGCCGCTTGGCGTCGAAGACGGTGTTTTCCGGGTTGCGCGCGGACTGGTTTTTCGCGGCGTCCCCGATCAGCCGCTCGGTGTCGGTGAAAGCGACGTAGGACGGGGTGGTCCGGTTACCCTGGTCGTTCGCGATGATCTCGACCGTGTCGTTCTTCATCACGCCGACGCACGAGTACGTCGTACCCAAATCGATACCGACGGCGTACGACTTCGCCATCTTTTCAGATCTACGAAGGTGTTCTTCACTTATCGGATTTAAATTTAAACGAAGATTCTAAATTGGAAACCTACTGCTCCTAAATCGAAACAATCGCTTCCTTTTGGAAGCAAAGTTGCTGGTCGTGCCAAAGCGACTGCTTTTTGGGGAGGTGGGGAACAATAAACGGAAGAACTAATTAATACTTTGTTGATGCTGCAGTACTTCAAAATCGCGCGCGGGCATGAACAGAGGCAAATGTAAAGCAGGATCTTTAGGTAGGCTGCGAATGGTGCTGATAGGAGCTCAAGAAATGAAAACCACGCAGCCACGTCGCGGTCAAAACATCATCAAGCCGCCGCTTTTACAGAATTATCGTCTTCGTTCCCGGATAGGCTTCGTGTGCCTGTAGCTGAGTTGCATCGGTTTCAAGTGATTTCGCAGATGATCCACCATTCCAGAATTTGTCACGATGAGAAATTCGAGAGAGAAAGAAAGGTTTTCGAACACCTTGTCAACAATTACGTGGTGCTTTGTACCAATGCGCACACACTTCTCGAGGTAATCGCGTCAGGTCAGCAGGGTGGGCTTTGAAATCATACATGCACGATATTTTTCATTCCTTCAGGCTGTGGCAATGGATTCGATTCTTGCTCTCTTCTGTAACTACTACTCGACAGGCTCAGTGATGTCTTTATTCATCTCCATGAGCGCTTCATTATCAAATGCTGCCGAGTAGCTGTATTGCCTTCCAGGACCTCCCAGATGTCAACTGGAAAGCGGTCTCTCCAACATCACAATCTGGTGTATTAGTTCTACTCCTGCACGAAAAAATTGATTTCGTACGCGACACTGCTGTGCAGAAAACAAAAATGCGGATCAAGACTGGTTACTCAGTTGAGAATGTAACCATGAGCTTGAAAATGTGTAATTTTATGGCAAAAATAATTTAGTATGAATCAAAGAACGTCGAGCGATCATCGGTCGCCAGCAACTTACTGACCTGGCTCTCTGAAATTTAACTTTTCTACATCAATGCTCCCAGCACCTGTTCAACGAACGCTGCAAGCATGTTCATAATTACGCTGCCAACCCGAACAAATTGAGGAACCATCTCCACAAACCCCCGCTCGATTTCTGTTGCGGAGTCCGTGTCAGCTTAATTTGCGCAACAGGCCTTGCTTGCGCCGGCGCTTTGCTCCCAGGCGCGCGGACTCCATCCGCATCTCCCGGGCGGGCGGGAGCACCTCTTTATGAAAGCGAAATAACAAATGACTTCCCACTCCCTTGACACCCACCAGAAGGGTTACGCGCTTTGATGCGATGTGCGGGGCGAGTTCTACTAAAAAAGCACCGACATTTGAATGCTTTAGAGTCCGAACTTCGGGAGACAGAAAAAATCACGTCGTCTTTCGGAGGTACTACTTCTGTGCAGAGATCATGTATACAAAATTTCCTTGTTGTGTACAACCGCACATGACATCAAGTTTCGGTCCGGCTCGTGGGCGGGAGAGCAGGCGCTGCTGCTTTTTCTGTATTTTGATACTTTCTCGTGCGGGAGCGGACTGGGTAGGACTGCACCTCCGGGGGGCGGCACCTTACCCACAGGCTGCAAAGGCATGGATGTCGGTTTGGCTTTCGGTTTCGTCGGGACGCTGGTCATCGCTTCGTGCCGACCTCGAGTCGCCATGTCCTGGTATTTCCTGGACATGTCCGCCAGTTGGGTTTCCACGCGGCCGTGAAGCGTTTTTTTGACGCGCCCCGACTGCGAAGTGGATCTCGGAAGCTGACTCAGCCGGTTGTCCGGCAGCCCGTCGGCCCAGTCTTTTCCGAAGGGCTCGCTTCGGTGCTGCGGAAGGGCAAAAACCCCATTGCGTCCTTGCAGCCAGCGCTTCACACGGCCGTCGCGTTTCACGTACTGCTTCACCAGACGCAGGCTTTCCGCATTCGGCGCAAATAAATTCGCTGCATTTTCTTGATTAGGCTGTTCGTTCTTGGGAACGTAGAAGAGAAACACGTTCTGGAAGAAGGGCGTGGCCAACTGGTCCACGAAAATTCGGCTCGAACTCTGTCAACTGCAAATCTGTCTGGGTCTGGATACTTGTTCTAATTATGCTGCTCGTGGAACTTGTATAATTGCGTGACCAACTACAAAGGTCGCAGCTTCTTTTTTCCTACAAAAGCTCAGTTTGTCTTGTCATGCGGTCAATCATGATCCACAATTCCGTATCACTTATTTCCAGACCCACACATAGAAGCAGTAGTTGCAATGCATAAAATCAAGTCGGTCACAACACTCATTTCCCGCTCCAGCGGCGATGCGAGGAGAATGCCTGCGTTCCCTGGATTTGCAGCCCCCCCGGCGAGGGCCACGGGACCCCGAATCGTGTCCACCGAAGTAGAGTAATGCCGGGCGGTCACCAGCTGTGCCAGCTCTTGCGTCTCTTTCGAATCTTTCAGCATGTCGTGCCAGCGGTCGAAAAAGTGCTCGGTCGCGTCTATCTGCTCCGTGAGCATCTGCTCGAAAAGCTTAGCTCTGGCGCGGTCGTCCATAAATAAAACGGGGGACGCGGGGCGAACTGCTTCGAAGTTCGGTGACGATCGTCCTGGACTTCTTGTTGCTCCTACTGCACCAGGTCGCTCAACAACATCCTGCTTCAGGAGCTTGGCGAAGTCCTCAATCCACAGTTTTTGAAACCGGCCCAACAGTCGCACGAAGATCTTCAAAACGTCGGTGCGCAGCAGCGCGCGGGCTTGCTTCTTTTCCGCGTTGTTCGGGGGACTCTCTGATACCGTTTCAGGAACTTGGGAGGCCTTCAGGGTCACGTCAAAGAGGTCCAACGCCTGCACGTCGGCTTCGGATCTGATGCCGAAGTTAGCTAGGAACGCCTGCCGCGCCTTCCGAGCAGTCTCCTCCGTTGGCTCTTCCAACAGCTCCGGGATAAAAACAAGCAGCCGGCGGGTGTTCAGCTGGCACAACTCGTCGCATTCAGGCTCAAAATATGGATTGTAAAAGTGTCTGGGTCTGGAAGGTTGGAACTTGTAATGCTAGCTTTCCATACCTAGAAAATGAAAATCTGTATTGCATAACCAACAAAAGTCGCAGCCTCTTTTGTCATGCAAAAACGCACTTTCTCATGCGGTTTGCCTACGAGAAAGAATTGTGGGAAGTTGTCATGCCGGACTGCATTCGGAAGTGTTTTCATCATGCACATTTTGGCATCACAAGTTTCCAGAACCAGACATTTTTGCATTTCATACAAAAATTTCGTATTCGCGCTGCTCCTCAACCGCGAACGTCGCGATAAGGGCCGTCTCTAGCCGGTCGATGGCCCGCCAGAGAGAGTTTGCCAGTCCAATAAGTCGCTGCTCGATCTCCGTACCGGTTGTTGATTGCGACGACGACGTCTTGAGAATACTAGTATTACCGGCCCCTGCTGTCGTTCCTGGGCGAGGAACAGAAATAACGGGAGCCGAGGATGAAACGAGGCTATCATCTTCGGGCAGTTTAATATTTGCGGTGGTGGCAATCCGTGCCCACTCGCTGATGTCCTGCTTCGCGTCGCCCAGGAGACGCTTCTGCGGTTTCGTTTTGAAAGCGAGGACGCCGTCCGGGTCTGGCTCCCTCCTTATCAAAATGAAAAGTCCCCCCTCCCCATATTGAAAAGGTCCGCTTCCGGAGATTCGTGCTGCTGATTTGAGGCCGCCAATCTTCTTCACATTTGTCTTGCAAGAAGACAAGGGCAGAACCTTCCGCCCCATTATGGAAGCGATTTGTCATGCTGTTGGGCCTAAAGGGGGGCCGTTTGCCATGCTAAACAACTAGACTTATACGCCCCTAGCTAGCCTGGGGATCTGGCCGCAATGCCTCTCTGCACTACAGAATTGATTTGTGTACACAGATCCAGCAGGAGAAATTCCGTTTTGATATGGGGAGGGGGGATTTTTCCTTTCGATACCCCTCTTCTGTAGGTTGGTCTCCCGCGCGCGGCGAAAAAGTTCTTTGTTCCGCGCCAAAAGATATGGATTGCAAATATGTCTGGGTCTGGAAGATTCTGAGACTTGGTTGGTTGGTTAGGTAGCGCCTGTCGCCGTTTAGCATGAGCCATGATGTCTGTGATGCATGCCCTAGGCCCTAGCATGAGGACTTCTTCACGCCTATCCTGCATGAGAAATGCCCTCTCCACGTGGCAAAAACTGGACTCCTATTTCTTGTCATGCAACACAGATTTATTTTTTTAGAATCCAAAAATAGCATCACAAGTTGCATCCTTCCAGACCCAGACATATTTGCAATGCATAAAAGACCTTCGAACAGATCGAGGCACGCAAGTTGCTCATCCCGCCACTTTTGTATCTCCCTCGCCCGTATCCTGTGCAAAAGTATCGTACTCGTAGTAATTGCAGTCATGCAGTACAAATTTTTTTCTTGAGGTAAATCCGCATGACAAATTTCTCTTGCTGGGGAAATAATTTGTAATGCATTTATACGAGTACGATACTTTTGCAGTTCATAGCCCGCTCCGCCAAGATCGCGTTCCCCGCCACGGTATCTGCGCCGGCGAGGTGGATTTTCCCGTCGTAGTGCGGCAGCAGGTAGTGTATCAGGCGAAACCTCGCCAGTTGTCTCCAATTGTGGACAATTTCCGGATATGCACGTCGAAAACATTGATCTGGCCCCGGTCTGTGAATGTGATGCTGGTCTGTAAATGATAAGTTGTAGTGACACTGCAATATTAGTACGCGGCCAACAAGAATGACACGTTTTTGAGCTGCTAATATGCGTAGTTGCGTACTCCGCATGGCAAGCTTCGTTCTGTTTACATCACAGATAAGGGGAAGATCTTCTTCAGATTCTTTCACATCCAACAACCTTAACAAGTTTATGCAATTATTTTCCTCCAGACTGAGATCGATACTTGTGCAATCCATACCGGAAGCCCGGACAATACCCGAGCGCCGTACGCCCTCTGAAGCTCGCCCCGCAGCTTCTCGGGGAGCGGTGCGCGGCCGCGGATCGGAGCACCCGCTCCGTCCCGGAGGAATAGGGCACGCTGCACGTCTATCAAATGCAAAAGTGTCTGGGTCTGGAAACTTGTGATGCTAAAATAAAGGTGCACGATGCAAACACTTCCAAATGAAGTCCGGCATGACAACTTCCCAAAACGCTCTCTCATAGGCAATCCGCATGAGAAGCTGCGTTTTCGCATGACAAAAGAGGCTGCGACTTTTGTTGGTTATGCAATACAGATTTTCTAGGTATGGAAAGCTAGCATTACAAGTCCCAACCTTCCAGACCCAGACATTTTTACAATCCATAACGTCTTCCTGCAACGTCCTTGCCAGCTTGTCGTGTCTGACACAGTAGGGAAGAACAGGCTCTGCGGCCATCTCATTCGGCTGCTGACCTCGCCGAGGAAGTTGTTGTGCCTGAAGACGACTAGGGCCGGCTGGCAATTCGGGGCTCGGTTCGAGTTTGTTTTCTCGTGCCCATGCCGTGTGCTGATTGATCTTGGTGTGCATCTCTGTAGACAGACTGGCGTATCCACTGCAAAAGTTGTGAACCCGTATATTTTACGCTTGATGGCGCTATAATATTTCAGCATAATTTTTGATCGCATCTATCATGCCCGATTTTTCGTGGCTTTTGTCCGTGAAATCAAATTTGTCTGACATGAATTTGGCACGTTTTCTTCTTCTTCTTAAACACGATGAAAGTAAGTATGCGAAGATGCACAAGAACTCGCAACAGCGGTCTTGGATTCATTGATATCCTTTTGCAACGTCGATACGGCTACGTCTTTGTCAAAACGCTCGATGGCGCCGGCGATCGCGGCACCTAGCGAAGTACCTGCTGCGGGTAGTGGCGTTCGGTTGGTGGGCTGTCCGGGCACTCTTTCTTTCCCGTCCGCGAACGAAATTCTGCGCGGCGACTCATTATCAACTGCAAATATGTCTGGATCTGGGTTCTTTTCGATGCAAGGTTTAGACGAGGTCAACATCTGTCACGCATGAATACGAGTCGCCAGCTTCTTTCTTGATCTCGCACGACTGTAGTAAGGCAGACTAATGAATCTGCAAAAATAAGCCTCCAATTGTATGCCGTATTGATTGATTGATGTAGCAACGTCCCCCGACGTACCTCGTCAGCCGATCGCTCCACCAACCGGGGGCGCGAGTTTCATTAAAGGAGGAGCGGCTGAATTGGTATGCATGACTCAGCCGTATTAAAAGGAGCGGCTGCTTTGGTATAATGCATGCCTCAGCGACATCGAAAATTTCCAGACGTCCAGCGACATTTGCAATGCATACCCAGTTCCCGTGCTTTGGCCGGAGTCGTCGCTTTCGGATGATGTAATTGACTGGGCATAATCATGCTCATCGCCTATGGATGTGTCAGGTTTGAAATCGTCAAAGTTGAAATAGTTTGCCATGCATAAAACGGATACCAGTTAGACCTACAGTCTGTAGTCGGTGCATGACAAATGTTCACGGTCCTGGAAGCGAGTCTGTCGCGCGGTTTAGGGCAAAAGAGCTGCCTTCTGTCATGCTAGTCAGCAGTCCAACTTTTGACCCTTACCAGGGCTATAATCTGCCTCCCGCTCGTCCTCTGCAATAGCAAACTTTGACGATTTCAATCCTGACACATCCATATCACCCGTGCTACTTTTATTTTCATCCAAGCTGGCCGACCAGGGGCGGCTGACGGAGGTCAATGTGCCGGATAGAGAGATCCCTGTCAACTTTCTCATCTTCGCCCGTACCCTGTCCCTTTTCCTCCGCCGGGGGGGACTAGCCCTAGCGTCCGCACAACGTATCCACCTGTGCAACAACGTCCCCACCACCCCGTATTTATTGTCACGCTAGCCCGGGTTATATGGCCCTAGACAATAAATCCTCTCATGCGTACTCCAAGGAGATTTTTGAGAACATCAGGGATTCGTTGTTTTTTTGGACCATGAATCAGCCATGCTCTGAGTAAAAATCGGTAGCTGAATTAGTTGTAGTGGTCATGCGACATGTATAATTATAGCCACGAACGTCGACTACACTACATTCGGAGTTCAGTTGATGGAGCTGCTGGATTTGTCTAGCGGATTTCCCATCTCGTCGACTATGGGGTCGTGATGGGGACGTTTATTTTTCCTCTGGTTAATATCAGGCCGCTCTTTTTCTCTTTCTTCGTGCCGAGTCGTGCGAGTATTTTCCAGCCGCCGACCTTGCTGCACTGCAACTGCGAGCTGCAGGTGCGAGGTTGTAATAAATACACCAGTTGTATTAAGCACGGACGAGGACAAGGCAGCCGCACCATAAATGCTAATGCCCCCCGCTGAATAAACAGCCGAAAAAGAATCCTCAAAGTTGTACAAGCCGCCGAGTAGAAATACGGGCAGCAGCAGGTATATCAGAACCTGACCGCGGGTCGTCACCAGAAACAGCTTCCACGACCCGATCCGCGGTTTATTCGCGGAAAGAAACCCTCGCTCGTACAGCATGGTTTATTTGTCTTGTGTAATTCTAATTGTAATTGTCCTACCACTTCGGGATTTTGGCATATGATCTGTGAAAGAGCTTAGTAGTACGAATAAAACGAAGAAATAGGTATAGTGAGATGAAGAGCCTGGTGAAGATGTATGTCATGCAAAAAGCAACTTGTGTGTAGGTACTGTCAAAGAGAAAAATCAAAGTTTTTTGCGGCGACCACCTCATTCCCCTTCACAACCGGTCCGACCGAGCGTATCAAAGGTTTTAAACCTTTGATACGCTCGGTCGGACCATGAAAAATGAAACACCATGACCAAAAAAACCTATTAGGTTTTTTTGCTCATGGTTTTTCTTTATGTTCATCCACCGAGGTGAGTTTCTGTGATCAACTGCTGTACCGACCTCCGCGCTAAAACTAAGTCACACGAGGCTGCTGCAATTGCAAATCCGCAAATCATAAATCATACCGACCCAGCGGGGGCAAAGAAACAGAAATATGTTCTTGTGGCGAACTTCTACTACCAAACCGAATATTTTTACATCAGATGGATCCAACAGCGCCAACAGAAAATTTCCTGCGTCCGCACTAATGTACCTACTTACAGCCACAAGATCTTTCTCACCGAGGCATAGTTTTAAACTAAAACGTAGCAGAAAACTGCAGTGACCGACCGAAAAGACGGAGCTTTCATGTTTATGTACTGGCGCAATTAACATGTCGCTTCTTTTTCAATGACAGCCTAAAGCCCTACTTGCGCTGCGGATCACAACTCGACGAATGATACCGGTACATTCAAAAAGCAAACCGACACAACACGAGTCAGTCAGTTTTTCGTGCACAGGACAGACGTTGAACCCGAGGCCCGACCGGCACATTTTTTGATGGTCACCTTGAAATATTTGATGCAGCAGTATTTTTCAACGGTAGGCAGCACAACAATTGTCCGGCTGTATCGTCCCTACTGTTCTGTTCATCCTCGTGAAGGACGCTAGGCTTTTTATCTCAGCCTCACACTGATCTACACCAGTTCAGCTTCGACAAGCAGACGTCAAAATAAATCACAGCCATCTTTCAGCCTGACACCCTCGACCCAGGCCAGCCAGGTTTTCTGCCGCAAGAGCTCCAGGCGTCCTCGATTCGCCACCGAGTGCTTCCCCTCTTGCTTGACAAGCCCCCAGCAAAAGTCGCGGCTCAGATGGAAAACAGAATTATACGGTTTTTTATTTCTATTTTTCTCAGAAGTTGTACAACTGCTACAACTGTTCTCCCGGTGCAAGTAAATGCACCTCCTGACCCGCTTCCAGTGCCGCCAGACCTGCAAACAGTTTCGCAGCAGCTGATCCAGACTTTTCCTCCGCAACTTTCGCGACAAAATGAAGTACCTCGCAAACACCTTGTGTTTCAAAAAGTCGTCTGTCCACAATTTTTTCCGGAACGAAAACGTGAAGAAACAGTGCCGGAAAATCTTCTCGACGACGGCAAACCCGTCGCTCCGCGCCAATCTCCGTTTTTTCCGCTTCCATTCTTTGTGGATTTTCCACTGGTCTTGAATTCTCAAAGCGAAACAATTGAGCTGCTGCTTCGCGCCCGGGAAAAATTCACAACTCTCGGCAGCGGGGTTGTAGGACAAAAATCCAATTGCAGAGGCTGTGAACCAGGTTTTCTCGTTTAGGTGACTGCACCACGACGCTGCAGGAGATTCTTGTTGTAAGGGACAGTCGTGAAGTGGTACTCTTGTACAACTCGAAGTCGATGAATTAGTTGCCCCTAGCTCAGGCACGACGTCCACGTCCCTGGTAGATGTTCTTTCGCAGCTAGTAGGTTCTTGTAGCGATAGAGCTAGGCCACGAGCTGAAGGTAGTTCCAAAAAGTCGTCTTGTGCCACCGGCGGTTCCATGTCCACATCGTGTTGATCTTCTTGCTCCGGCCAAGCGTCTGGGGGCTTCGTGGTTAATACGGCCAGTCGTCCTCGTGCAGATGTGCATCTTCCTCGAGGCGCATCCCTATTATTCTTATCTCCACGGACCGCTGCGCGTCTTCTTTCAGCTGCGTCACTGGATTTTTTGCTGGTAGTCGCCAGGTACAACGACGGAGCAGTTTTAGAATCACCTGGGTGCGCTTTGTTTTCGTCCAGCGACGCGAAGCTCTCGTGTTCGCTTCCCACTTCCACTTCCGCCACTTCCGCTTGCAAAGCCTCCAGCTCAGACGCGATCGCGGCGATTTTCCGACGGAAAGCCTCCATGGGGGACAGACTGCTTTGGTCTTCGGCAGCATGGAAAAATGCTGCGGGCCGCGATTCACCTACTGCCTCCGTAATTTTCATTTCAGTTTGACCAGGTGAGTAGAAGGAGCAGCTGAGAAACTGTTAACCCGTAATGTACTTGTTCTTTAGGAATATTACCATGAAAATAACCGCGCCGTCTGTCGTGGCACGTAGACAAAGATATCGCGAGGCTCAGGTCGAGGTCGTGATGAAATATCGCAGGAGCTACTTAATTTTATCGAGTAAAGATCCTGTGGCATATTTGCAGTCGCTCGCTTCTCCTCTCGTGCGCGCTCGGAACCATTTTTTTTTCATCGACGAAAGGCGCGGAACAAAACTAAACACAGCTAGAGTTGTGTGAGAAAGGGGAGGGCCGCTCCCAACCGGCGTGCTGGCAAAAGAGCCCACGTGCTGGCGCCATGGAACTGGCCTCCCTCAAGCCCGCCGATCCGCACCCCCTTCAAAAAGATTCTCGGGAAAGCAAACACGACCAGAACGACACAGACACAACACGAACAAAATTCACCAGGCGTCAAGGCTGTCCTTCTCGCAGTTGCAAGCAACTTCTTCAGCTTGCACCTTATCGTTATTTTTGTCAATTTCAATTCTGTACAAAGCAATTTTCTGTACCAACGTGCGGCGTGAGGACAGCCAGCGTGAAATTTGTCTATTTCACGCAACAGTTGTGTCAAGTATTTCAAGCTCGAAAGGAGGTGTAATTATAGCAATGATCCAACACGTCGTGTCTAATTTCATCCTCCGCAAAGTTGTTGACACATAAAGCGGCAACTACGTCACCTCACGTGACAAGTTCAACTGATAGGCAAGTTAAATTACGAACCGCCACGATGACGAGTGCAGTACCAGCGGCCTGCATTCAAGCGTAAAATTCAGCGCTTCGCAGAGGTTTTTCGGTGGAAAAGGAGCAGCCACACAGCCTCTTTTTATGCGTCGCGTAAAGATTCTTCCAGCAAAGTTCTAATTTGAGTATAATAATGTCAACGTTAAGCATCTTGTCTATTGAGCATAATATTGATAAGGTCTAAGAGAGCAACTTTTGAGCGAAGATTGGATTTCTTGGTCTCGCGTTCTAATTTGTTCGTTCTTTGGATTTATCCATAAGGATCTCTGATCGTGAGCTGTTCCCCTCCACAAAGCTCACCCACTCCCTTATTGTGAGGAAAAATCCCCCCTCCCCATATTGAAAACGCATTCGTCTGAAAATTTGTGATGCAGATTGGATGATGATGATGATGATGAATGAGAGTTTTGGGATTCTAGTCCTGTTTAACCCCGCTACTCAGTGTGCCGCTTTGTACCCCTCCACAGTTCCGCTGATCTGCTTCTGGGTTGAGCTTGTACGTGCCACACCACTCCCCTGACAGCGAAGCTTTTGCCCAACGTCTTCACTATAGGGGTACTTACGCGATTTTCTCCAAGGCTTGGGTCGCGACCGATAATTTTCTTACTCATCCGGCATACAAATTTCTAGAAGAAGCTACTTGTTCGCATCATTTCATTGTTTAAGAACAACATCGAAGCAGTGTCGTAGTCACTTTTTCGGGGACGGACCTGTTGTATTATGAATTTTCAATGTTCCGCAGCCCCTCCTTGTCTTGCTGCACCTGTCATGTTTTGTTTTTTCCCATAGATATTCCGGGTGTGCTTTTGCGGATCCGGGTGTCTCTTTCCGTCTTTTGTCATCCTCCTTGGTTTCAGATTGGAGGTCACAAATCCTGGCTGTCTTGCAAGAAGGCAAAGCCAGAGAGTCCGCCGCATTATGCCGGCGGTTTGTGATGCTGTTGGGCTTACAGAGCCGGCATCTGTCACGCTAGTCCCCTACGTCAAAACCTCTCGGCCCAGGGTTGGCATATGCCTGCAGTTCTCTCCAGCAAGACAGACCTGATTTGTGTACGCAAATCCAGCATCAGAAACTTCGTTTCGATATGCGGAGGGGGGATTTTTCCCTTTGATATCCCCGCCGCGGCAGTTCTTCTACGCCAACCCTTTCACATTGACCCCCGGAGCGCCATCCTTGCCCACCGTGATGTCCACGTGCTTACCGGTCTTGGTCACCATCTCATCCGCATTCAGCTGCTTTCCCTGGAGTTTTAATACGGAATTCATAGCTTATGTAGTCCCGTGCATTGCTCGTCAGATACTCACTGTCACGGATAACAATTACTCCAAAAAATGCACATCTGTCACCATGCATTGCTCGTTTGAAGTAAGACCACACTGGCATCTTGCTCTACATCTGCCCTGCTTATGCAAAAACCAAAAGGAGAATTGTATACCGCCCCGCCTCCCATGCCCTTGGTGGCCATGTTGTCGACCAGGATGAGTCGGTCGCGTTCCACGTGCAAGCGGTTTGCGAGCAGGCTGTAATCCCCATTGCACTCGCGGTACAACCGTCGGTGGTTCTTCTCGTTCACCTGCAAGAATTTGGATAATAGCGTGGTAGGTTAGTAGTTAATTGCTAATATTCTACATCGGTGCATCACATCTTCTCGTGCAGAGCTGCGCATCCGAAAAGGGCTACAGAGCTGCAGTTGTACCAGCAATTCGAGCGTTTTCTGCGTGTCTCCGTCGTACGCTGAGATTGTAAGTGTTCGCCCGTCGGTTGCCATTTCCACTAGGTAATAGCTCTCTCCAATCTTCTTACCTGTGCAGATATTTGTCGCAAAGTTTTGTCATGCAAACAAAGCTACCGAAAACGATTTTGTTTTTGCCCTGCTTGTTGAAACGACACCTTTAGTAGTACTTTACGTTATTCAACATACCTTCCTTGAGCACATACTTCAGATCCGCGCTCTTCTCGCCGTACTTCTCCAGTTTGCCCGTTCCTTCTCCTACGCTTGCTGGTTGCTGTAGTGTTTCCATGCCGACGCCACCCATGGATTTCCGCAGGACTAGTGGGTATTCGCAGCAATTTCTCAGGTACGTCTGGTTCTGCCTGAAAAATATTTTGTTTTGCAAAGCTCCTTTACTGGTACACCTACACTCTCCCCCATTATGGATTAAGATGATTGCCATGCGGGATGAGACAGTAGGAATCACCTTTACCAGCAATACCATGCGAAAACTGAATGAAAAAACTGCATCAAGTAGCACTGTGCTAGTATCAGAAAAATACTTGTAGCTCTCTTCCCATTTGATGTGGTTGTACATGGGTTGGGCTCGCTGGATTCTCTTCACTTATGCACTTCGAAAAGGAACCTTCCTCACGGCGCAACATTTTACTGTGCACGAAAACGATCTTCTACCACATAATATGCATCACAAAATCTACTTCATTCCCGTCAATGCGCGGCGAGGAAGCTGCACTGATTTACAATCTGGTAACAGTATGAGCTGATTTTCCTGCGTGATTCTTAGCAGCTCCTTTTTTCTTGCGTCCTGTGTTGATGTTTCCGAAACGTTTTGATGTGCTTCCTGTTGTTACGGAACCATGACAAAACTATCCTCAACGAAGTTCAATCATCCTGCTCAGACCTCGCTAATTTTATGACAGGAAAAAAAAATGTCATACCCTGTTCATGCTGACGTGTTGCCTTGTCGCCCCCACCCCGGGCTTCTGCGCTGCGAACGTGCTGTTTCGCATGATGTCCGACATTTTTTGGAGGAGTATCCTGTTTTCTCGGTCGATCTCCCCGTATCTCTCCTCCAGCAGCTGCTCCCGTTTCAGGTTGTTTCTTATGTGGTCTAGCCGGAGGCAAAAGGGCTCGCTGGTGTCGATGTGGGGCTGCATTGTCCTCAGCTTCTCCTTGTGCAGAAACTGCCTCCTCTCCTCATTCCGTTTCTCGCACAGGCGAGACCCGACCGGCTTCTGGCGGTACATGGTTGATGTTCTACTACTTGCGGATACACAACCTTGACCGACGGAACAGGAGTACTTACAGCTACCTTTTCCCTTAAGTGCAGCCCGTGGAAGCTGCGGCGCAAAAACTGTGCCGGTAGAAGGAGGAATGTAGCGCGTTGGCGTTGACCAGGACTTTCTTGGTACTCAAGAGGCAGCTCCTGCAGACGTCAAACGTCACAGCGTCGTCGTTGTGCACGGTTAACCTTGTCGCGGAAGAAGGCCTTGATGTTGTAGAGCGAGAAGCTATCTTTCCCGACTGCTGGCGGCTGTGCTTGTCACGGTTCTTCCGGATAAAAAGAACCGGCTTTATGTACTGATCCTTTTTTACTGCTGTTCGTCCCTCGCTACCACACCGTACAGGTCGTTCTTGACCACGTCGTTATTTCTGCTTTTCTGCGCGGTTCGAAGAGTAGCTGTCTTGAGTAGTTTCGTTCCCCTCGTCGCCCCGCAGCGGTAAAAGTTGCAAACAGAACTGTACTGGGCCAACTCTAGTATTTTGGAGACGAAACTTCTGAAACTGAAAGCTTCTTCTTCTACTTGCTTGCCCGCCGGAATCAATTACACTTCGCGACGAGCAGACGCCTGGGTTTTGGTGCACCTGGGAGGCGTGCGCGAGAACGGAGGAAACTTCTTGGACTTTCGCTCTACTCGTCCCACACCGAGAGGAGGGCGCGGGTTGGAAAGAAACTTAGCGCCGAGTACTATCGGTTCTCGATCCGGGCGTTGTCAGGGCTCAAACAATCCGCACCGCAACGCTCCCTGGGAGCTGGGGAAAGTGCAGCTGAGTTTGGTGGCTTAGTGGAATGTGCAGCTGAGTCTGGCTTCGCAGACCGAAAAGGAGAAGTGATGCTGGAGCTACAGAGTCCGGGTTTGGGACATTTTTCGTCGTTTCTTTTCCGGTCACTTTTTTCTTTCCTAGCTTCTTCGAAACATTGAAAATATCGTCAAATGGGCTCGTGACACGCAACAATGAATCAAGTGACGAAGAAGGGTTTATTTCCCGATACGAATCCTGCACTCAAAATGCACCTGGTCGTGGTCTCTCATTGATAGAAAAAGGATGCTCTCTGCAAACGATCTGCGTCTCTCGACTTTGTCACAACGAGCACAATCTTCTACTTCTAGCTGCGCTCTGGGAAATGACAATACGAGCTCCAGCAGAATCATCGACGACATAGACAATGACGCGTATCCTTTACGCTATTTCAAGGCTTTTACGAAATATTTGCGAGCGGGTAGCACAGGTGCTGGCTTTCCCGCTACAACACGAAGTTCCGAACAGAGAAAGTGGGGTCGTGGTCCGGGTATGTAGTAGAAGACACCCATCAACTGCTCCGTGAAACAACCACCACGCACAACATTGTAAGTCGAAAATTGTAGTCTTTCTGCGAATTCCCTTTATTAACACATTCCGTCTAGAGCACCCTGTTGTATCCTAAGAAGATGAGTCCTTTCATCCTGTGGTCTGCCCCGGGTTTCTATCTTGTGGCATCCATGATCAGTTTTGCACCTCAGATTTCACCATGCGCGTTACTTGACAATCCGGCAAGAGCAGTGCATGCCGTTTTTTAAACAATTTCGTGCGTATTCGAAAACAGCGAATGATCTTCCCGCCTGTTGCTGCTCTTGTCAGCACTTTTTAGGACTTGTCCTCTTCTCCAGTAATTCCTTTTCCTCCATTTTCCGAAATCTCTCCTCGTCTGCAAGTCGCTGCTTGTAGACGCAGTAGGCAAAAACGGTGACGAAAACCGCAAACAGCACAAAACAAACCGCCAACTCGAACCCATTTGGCTCGTTCAATTTGGGTCGCTTCACCGGCGCGGAAATCACCGGCTGACCGGTTTTGTATGCATTGCAAATATGTCTGGGTCTGGAAGAGTGCAACTTGTCATGCTAAATCTGAATCATACAAAAATTTGCGTTCTTGCGTGACTAGCAATAAAGCTGTTCACTTTTGAGAAGGCCGAGAGGCAGTTTCTCATGCGGAAAAGGCATGGAAAAGATCTCACAGGATCTGTAACGCAAGGGCATGCATCATAGACCTCACGCGTCATGCAAAACGTGCATGACAAACGTTGCACTTTTCCAGACCCCGACATATTTGCATTTGATATTTTGGGGTCCAGTACGATCGGGTACCCCGTGACGGGGTCACTATCACAATGAAAAACGCCCCCAGCCCGGAACTTGGGAGCATTTGTATTGCAAACCTTTCCAACAGAAACACTCGCCCTCTTGCATCTAGCAGCATCACAGATTTCCAATCGTGAATAGCGAAAATTTGTATTGCAACAGATCCCAGCAAGAGCGGCGCTTGTCATGCAAGCAATGCTATATACGCCTAGACTCTGCATCACAAAGATTCATATTCCTTTCATGCATGACAAAAAGTTTTCATTTGGAAACTTCGCATCACAAATTATTGCAACTTTGGGGGTAGCGGCATTTTTCACGGTAATAGTCATGGCCAATGATCCTGCTGTTCGCCGCCGCAGAGGAAGAGGCGAAAGGGTTGAGATTACTCAAGATGTCCATCTTTTTCTTTTTATTCTTGTATCGAGAATAAATACTCAGCTACTCGACCAAATAAACTGTGCAGCGACGAAGAGGTTCTGCTTTGACAGATAACAGGACTGTTCGCTCTAAGATTGTGCTTCTGAGGAAAAAAAAACCGCACAAAACGACGACAGAACGAAGAGCGGCGACGCGGCTTTTCGTTCCAGCCGGTTCCAATGAACGGAACACCAGACAGTTTGCTCTTTGCACGCCAAACCTGTGCTTTCCGGTGGACAGTGCTGCTGAGGTTCACTGGTAGTTTACATGTAGTGATTTTGGACCATGTTAAAATTTGTGCATGCGATTTGAAAAAAGATTTATAGTATTCACTGTCCTGCGGTCCGATTGCTGTGACTCTGGTGGTCTGTTTTTATTTGTCCCACCAAAACTCTTTACGGCCTTTATTGAAAAACAAGTCCACACTTTTTGCAAGATTTCTTTTTCCGCTGCCCGCCTCTGATGCGATACTGTTTTGCTGCTGTGTGACTGCGCCCCCATAAGACTTCTGGGTCTGATGATGCTACAAGATGAGGTACTATTGTATTTGTCAGTCAATCTCAATCTGGTACGAAAAAATGAATCTGTATCTGATACTAGGTCAATACAAGAAAAAGCATTTGCTTTAGGCATTTACTGTTTGCATTTTCAACGCACATTATTCTTTCTGCCCCGACCTCTTATGCGGAGGGCGGCGTGGTGGAAACTACAACTCTACGTAATGGTTTAAATTGTACAGGGTGGATGATGTGAAATATGATCGTATGCCCACTGTGTATGATTGTGTGAAAAAAATAGGATAAAAAGTGTCAAGCCTCTACGTAATAAATTCTTGGTCCCGAAAAATACCGGTACCCAGCATGAAAAAAAATCTTCTCTTGGTACAAAATTTTGATTGCGAGACAACGATGACGATCTCCTTCCGCGCAACCAAAAATAAGTCTACCACGCTGCAAACGGGTCGCCCGACCCCGTGACCGCCGGTGGCAGGTCGAGACTGTCCGGAATCTGCTCGTAATTCGACATGTCCATGTCACCTGATACAGTTTTTGGATAGATACACACAAAATTGCATCACTAATTCTTTCCTGTTGAAAAAGAATTGCGTCTTAGGATGTCATGCGGGAGGAGCACTGTAGCGAAACTTTTTCAGTCGTGTGCAGCTCAGTGCTCATATATGAGAGAGCATGAGCAACACGAAGATCAACAAAAAGCTATACCGCTCTGCTGGGGCACGAAGGGTGCTTCGATTTCGTATTTTTTCAATTTGTCCCAATCCATATCGGCGTACCACTTGTGGTTAAAGATGTCCTGCGACCCCTTCACTAAGTTCCCGTATCGCTTACTCAGGTCCGCAGTTAACAGCTTCTTCACCAGGCCACGGCAATTCTTCTCGAAGGTCCTGTTTTTTGATTTGTGTGGTCTCAATTTTTCACAAACCCACATCAAATAAGTACTCGCATGAGAGAGGTAGTATCCCCCGCGCGGATGCGCATCAGCAATTTGTTGCACCATGTCCATGCACAGAAAATTTGTTATGCATGCATTAAAGAACAGCGCTTTCCAAAACTACAGAAAAAAAATCCACTTACTTTGTGAAGAAGATCTTGCCCGCCAGAATTCTTTGGTAAATGTTCATCGGATCCTCGTCGCAGAATGGTGGCTGGCCCACTACCATCTCGTAGATCAGGATACCTGTGTTGGTATAGCAAGCATTACAGCTTGTTTAGCTTATGCGGGCACGCGCATGAGAAGTAAGTGACTCCTCCACACTGGTTCTCGCAAGAACTTCAACTTGGGCACAACCACAAGACATTTGTCGTCGTGGGTGCACACAGCAGCAGCAGTCAATCTTTGTCATACGGAAAATAAACCTGCACGTATTTTTTATACCCAGTGTCCACCAATCGACGGGCTTTGAGTGGCCTTTGTTCAACAACACTTCTGGTGCGATGTATTCGGGTGTCCCGCAGAGTGTGTAGGTTCGGCTACCCGGTTCTACGATTTTTGCGAACCCAAAATCCGTAAGCTTGCTGTAGCCGTTGCCTGATAGAGTTTTATTGAGGCTTTTTTTGAAACACGGGGAAGGGGCACAGCAGGAAAAAAGTTTCTGTACAAACGAATGCGCAGAAGGAACAAAGCATGGGGAAATAATACTAAGTTGCAACAAGAAGGTGTTGACGCCACTTAAAATACTCATGATCAGCAGGTTCTCTGGCTTCAAGTCCCTGTGGACGATGTTTAATGTGTGGATGTGGTGGAAGGCCTCGGCGACGTGTGCGGAGTAAAACTTGGCCGTGTCGTCCGGGAATTTGTTGGCTTTTCGCAAGTGCGTGAAAAGTTCTCCACCGGAGACGATCTGCGTTTTTTTAAATTTTTTTTTTTGGCCGCGGAGGTGGACAACCTCACAATTGCACCTGGCTTTTCTTCTTGTATCATGATGCGTGAAAAATATTAAACTTGTGATGCTTTTTAGGCGGCGATGGGAAAAGTAGAATTGTGTCCTGCGAATAAAGCACTAGTATATTACCTCCATCACTATGTAGACGAATCGGTCGTCCTTGAAGCTGCCCTTCATCTCCACGATGAATGGGTGCTTAATTTGTGACATCAGATTCCTCTCTTGGTTAATGTGGTCCACCTGCTTGAGCTTGATAATCTCGTGTTTCTTCATGAACTTTACCTGTATTTTCTTAAATTTCGATGAAATGATGCAATACAACGTGACGAACTCGGCAAGATGAAACAAGGGTCTTCTTCCACCTGCGTGCAAAGCTTCGCAAAACAGAGACAATAGTCCACAAAAGGAAAAATCGCTATCAGCATATTATCTTCAATACCGCTACTGGACTGCCGTCTGATAGCATTTTTGCGAACTTGACGCGGCCAAAAGACCCGACCCCGAGGGATCGGATCATTTCGAAATCCTGCAAGGACATCGGCATTTTGGACGTCGATTTCAGGCGGTTTTAATTTCAATCAACTAGTGTAACGTTAGGGGCAAAAAAGAACAAAAGAAAACTACACGCCGCAACCTGATCAAGTATTACAGAATTTGTTAGGCGACGAGGAGGCACTTTCGATTGTCCTCACAGGGAGGTCGTGTGAATTATCTTAATGTGGTGGTATTGGTATTTTTAAAGTTGAAATTGCAAAAAGATTTTGCATAATGTAGTGGGAGGCGGGTAGTTTTTGATGACTTAACCTGCCGGGAAGAGTTGGTACAAGAATCTGACGAGCCAGGGAGCTTTCCAGAAGTACAGCGAAGAAAAAACTACGGGCGTAATAAAACTGGCACGAAACCGGACCTATTGGCTGCCGAGGAGGACGAGGGAGTAGCGGACGTTTGATTTAATCTTAAGTAAAAGCAAACGCAAAACTGGGTCCGAAAGAAGAACCTACTGTTGTTCATCACGACCAGTGAAACCGAACGATTTTGCTGTGCATCAACGTCATCAACGTACGATTTTGCGGTGTACGGAAAAAAAAAATAGTGTCAGTGCAGTGCCGAGTTTGCTTTGTCTCATTTCCATCGGAAAAAAAAACTCACAACCGAATTCATGACTGCGGCTCTTCAACATCCCTAGCCTGTGGGAGAAAAAACGACGTTTTGACGAGAGGAGCACTATCCGACATTTTTTTGGGATGAAAAAAACCGAACCTGCAGTGATGCGAAAAAAATAGCCGATGAACGCATCTTGGAGGACAAAATACGCAGTGCCAGGCTGTCTGATGCCGGCATTCATCTCTGGCGACAGATATTCAATCAAGTGATGCAACACAATGTCTGCTCGTCTTCCATGATAGTCAAAAATCGAGTGCTGTTTGGTAGGCCCATGATTCTGTAGTCTGAGAGTATCGCAGAAAAAGGTTTATTTATGTCGCAGGCTGACATGATAGATTGATTCTCGTGGCAAAAAAATGAGCAGATGACATCTACATGCGGCAAAAAGAGAAAGGTCGCTCTTGCTGTCGCTGGATGAAATAAGGTACTTCTTCTTGATGTTGCGACACGGTCGATCGGAAATTCCATGTTGATCGGAGCGGTTGTATCAATTCAGTGCTCATCATATTCGTGTTTTTTTCCTGGCCACCATCTCCTACCCGACCACAAACCTTCCGTACGCGTAGAGCAATCCACCCAAAATTTTGCTTTTCTCGATGTTGAACCCGCACCTTAAACTCCCGCCGTGGAAGCTGCCAAACTGGGCGAGTTTGTAGGGGTTCTGCTTGATCTGTTCCAACTCGACTTTATTATCCTCCGCCGCGCAACACACGTCGAAAGCCAGCAGGTGAAACATCAAACTCCGGGCCGTCTCCGGCTGGAAGGCTTCCTGCGGCGCCAGCAAGTGCATCGCGTTCAGAAGGTACTTCATCGTGGGTGCGTGGGTCATATCAAATGCAAAAGTGTCTGGGTCTGGAAGAGTGCGCGATTTGTCACGCAGCTTTTCCATGACCCATGAGGTCGGGAATGCAGGACCTAGCATGACAGATTCTGCGCGATCTCTCTCATGCCTATCCTGCATGAGAAACTCCCTCCCGACTTGGTCAAAACTGGACGACTTTTGGTAATCATGCAACACAGATTTTTGGATGCTTCAGATTTAGCATGACAAGTTGCATTCAGCCAGACCCAGACACTTTTACGTTTGATAGGTCACAGACACCGTGTAGCAGGCCGGAGCCACGTTTAAGGACACCGGGGAGGTTTGGGTCGCTGGGACGAAGGGTGATTTACAGTGATTTAAATCTATTAAATAGCTTTCGAGTTTTGATTTTTACTCACTTCACTTGCGGTAACAAAAAGTCGTACGAGCCCGACTACACTTTCGTGCAGGACTGGCGGTGGATGGAAATCAAATTCTTCAGGACCAAAAGTGCTTAGGAAAATGAAAAATATCAAACGTATCAATACCGACAACCGCCCGCCACAGCTGCGCGAATTTCGCCAGAATGTAATTTGGGCCCTGCGCCTCGAAAATACAGTGGTACAAGTACATGCATCCTGTGCAAAAGTATCGCACTCGTATAAATGCGAATCTTGCTGCATTACAAATCTTGTTCCCAAGGCAAATCTGCATTAAAAATTTTATTTCTCATGCTGAGGAAATTTGTGATGCATCTATACGAGTACGATGCTTTTGCAATTCATAACATGTCATCCTCCACGATTTCCGACACATTATTCCCCGGACACCTGCTCGCCCGGACCGCTAACGGCGCCGCGCCCCGGTTCACCTCGATGGACTCGAACGCCTCCTTGCCGATGGGCAACGGCATGGAGTTGGTTATTCTGGGTAAAAACGTCCGCACCCCAGAGTCGTCATGCAAATCTGCATGCCAAAAAGGTTTCTCATGCGGGGCCCCATGAGAGCCATTCTGTAGTCGTGTTTTGGAATTTGTTATGCTAGAATCAGCACGATGTGCCAGATTTGCGATGCTGCTGAACTAGCTAAACATGATTAGACTACGAGACCAAATCTGTCATGCGGAACATCCAAAGCTGGTTGATTTGTCTAGCAGATTTCCCATCTTGACTCTGGTGTGGGGGCGTTTTTGCTCGGGATATTGGTGCACAAGTAAGCAAATCGGACCACATTGGCTTGGTTCCTCTTGAGCATCTCGGTTTGTACTCCCTCCATGATCAAGTCGCAGCCCAACGTCACCCGCACGTGCGCCTCGGCGTCTAGATACGTGTACATTCCAATGTATGCATTTTTGCAAAAGGAGCACTATAGTACGTAGTGCAATAATTTTCGCATCACAAATTCCATCTGGGTAAATTTTTGAAATACCTGAATAAGGTATAGAAATGACGTCTGTCATGCAGGATAAAAAGTGCCATGATCAGAAGAAGTACTACTAGTACGATAATGTTACACTTTTGCATCGAGGATACAATCGTGACTTCGGACACCGAGTTTTCGGTTAAAATCTCCAGAATCCAGTTGCGGATCTCCAGCGGCTCCGCGAGAATGTCGGCGCCGGAAGCGCTTAGCCCCTTGTTGACCGGGATGAAGAGTTTCCCGCCGTGCTTCGTCTTCTTCGCAAATTCCTCCATCTTTTCCCACTCCTTCGCCCTGCGCGTCCGAATCGCGATCACGTTCGCCCCGGCCTCTAGCAACGGTTCCAGCGGGCCCAACTCGCTCCCCGCGCCCAGCAGCACGAACCACTTGTTCTGCAGGGCCCAGAGCTTCTGCTCCGCCTTGGTGATCTTCAGGATGCAGTCCGGCTCGCAGGTGCCGTAGTTCGCCCAACTGTGCAGCTGGGTGCTCAGGGCCTCGTTGGCCAAATTCGCGCCCTGGTAGGGGATCGGGATGCGAAACTGGTCCGGCACGGTCTGCCTTTCCTGCGCTTGGGCGATTTTGGTCGTGAAGTAGTCTTGCTTCTTCGGGACCGGCTGGCGGATCATATCAAGTGCAAGAATGTCTGGGTCTGGATGGTTGCAACTTGTGACGCTGCCTCTGGATTCTACACAGAATCTGTATTGCATGATCAGCAAAAGAGACCCACTTCTTGCTACGCGGAGAGGGCATCTCTCATGCAGTATAGGCATCGAAAGCCGTCAAAAAATCTGTAATGCTAGGGCATGCATCACAGACAGCATGTGCATGGGTCATGCAAAATGTGCATGACAAGTCCTGCACTCTTCCAGACCCAGACATATTTGTAATGCATAGGCCACTTCCTCCAGCGATTTGCAGTTCAGATCTTTATCGCGGAAAATCAGTTGCTCCTATCCTGAGTAAAAACGTCCCCACCACATAGTTGTAATGCAAATCTGCATGCCGAAAATGTTTCTCGTGCGCAGCCCCATGAGGAGCATTTTCCAGTCGTGTTTGGGAACTTGTCATGCTCCAATAAGCACGATATGCTAGATCTGTAATGCCTATGGACTAGCTAAACAGCATTACACTACGAGGCAAAGCTTGTCATGCGCAACAGCCCAAGGTGGCTGATTTGTGTAGCAGGTCTCCCATTTTGACTCTGGGGTGGGGACGTTTTTGCTCAGGATAGCTCCCGGAGATTGTTTATGCATCGCAAATATGATTATATCCGCGTCGAGATGACAGTTCAAGTTGTGTTCTTGCTGACACTCGCGTCGTCCTCGCAGGATCGTCACTTGGACAGCATAATTACAGCATCAGAAGTTAGATTCGTCAAGCGCGTGAGATGAAAGTGGCTTCCAGCTGCACGAAAAAAAAGCTAGCGACTTCTTGCATTGCTTGGTGCTTCATAGACCAATCTTACTACCCTTGCAAGCTTGCATGACAAATCCAGACCAAGACATATTTGCAATTCGATATTCTTCAAGCCCTGCTTCGCGATTGGCACCGCCTTGTCTGGTTTTGCAAGAAGTTCCGCGACTTCCTGGATGTGGGCAGGGTAGCTGTTGGGAATTTGAATTTCATTTTTTCGCAAGAGTTATAAGTGCAAAATTCGGTTTGCGACTGAACGCGAACAAACGCTGGGCAAATGCAACTGCAGGATCGTGTTGTATGAATCAATGCAACTTTACTTGTGGCAGAAAATGTCGACAACAGCAGGAACAGTATTTTCAGTACAAGCGATGAATTACTGTGGTACCCAAATCTCCAATTTTTCTCCTTCATGATCCTCTTTGCCAGCTCCGGGCTCCCGCCGACCTCCGCACACGCTGCCCAGACAAGCTTCGCGGGGCCGGTGGTTTTTCCCTCGCATTCTTCCGGCCAGTCGATACCGACGCGTTTTGGTTTTTCCTCCTTCGCCATGATTTGTTCGTATTGCTGTTGTGCTATATCACGCGAATAGAAATGATTCTGCGCGAGTACAAATAATTCTGCTTACCCGCTTGGAAGAAACTCGTCTATGGTAGTCTCTGTGTTTGTTCTCTCTGCTGCTGCTTCTTCCGTGTAAATCAAGACTGGCAGGAGCATGAAAGAGCAGAATTTTGAATGTCAGAAGAGCAGTGGCAGCTGCGGCCCCAGCCTTTACATTCACACTTTTCCTTTTGCACGCCTGCCGGATGAGGATCTCGATCTGCTCAAGTCTATATATGGCATGTCTGAATTTCTATCCGTTTTTAACACAACTTCTTTCGCGCTCTCTCTCTCTCCTCGCTCAAGTGCGGCAACATTTGCGTGAACAATTTTGGAGATTCATAGTGGGAGCCGCGTATTGCCCCGGGCAGAGAGGAAGGAGGATATTTCTGCAGAGCACTAAAAAAGAGAGAACCAACTCAGATCCATGCGGACTAGTGCAAAATAGAAAAGGCGCAGTGCGAGATGAAGCGCAAGCCTCCAGTCAGAATCTGAGGACCAGACTTTCTTTCTTGGCCAAACCATTATCATCATCACGGGTTGGTGTCGTCGAGAGAACTCGTGGTCGTGTCATTCGCAGAAGTCATGGTTTGCATCAGCGGGGATTGGGATGCCTGCGCCGGTTGGGAAGAAAGAAGATGAACCAAATCCCCCGCGGCCGCCCGGCACATTGCAAAATACTCCTCTCCAAGGAAATTCAAAGTCCCATCCGCATTAAACAAGCTCGCCTGGGCCGTCCCCGGCCAGTACTGCTGTGGAGCGTCGTAGCTGTACCATGCGACCGCGACCACCGCTGGGTCAGCGACCAGTAAGGGCAGCCACGCCCTCATCAGCTGCAGCTGATTCTCCCGTGGCCCGCAGGGCTGATGGACGGGATCGTAGGTATGGCCCGCGAACTCGGAGAGCACGATCCCCTGGATCCGGTACCCGTACTCCTTGTTGACGAAATCGATGAACTTCTTCCCCGCGCCGACAACGTAGTCGTACAGCCACTGCTTCATCAAGCTTTCGTATTCCCGTTTTTTCGCTGGGTCCCCCGCGAGTTCCGGCGGTGATTTGCAGTTCCCCTCGTACCGGTGCAGGGCGAGATAGTGGACCATCTTGGTCCCCTCCGGGTAGTGCGTTGCCAAGATTCGCAGGAAATCCAGCTGGAACAGCATTTCCGGACTGTTTCCTTGCCCCGTGGGGAGCGACCCGAACTCCGCCGGCAAACTGTACGCCGTCGCGGGGCCGACAAACTCCTCGAAACCATTTTCTCTCCCTTTCGGGTAAAACTCTTCCGCGTAGTGCTTCACCGCTGTGTTGACATCCGTATTGGACCCGCCTAGGTGGTGCATGTCGGGCTCGTTGTAGCCGAGAACGATTTTCGGCATGTTCGCCCCGGGTTCCTCCGGCATCGGATTCGAGGGGCTCCACTGCATCGGGGCGAAAAACTTTTGGGTTTCCTCATAATCCCGGATCGGGACGTGGTTCGGTCCTTCCGCTTGGTGGCCCCAGTTGTAAGTCCACCCCATGTCGGGCGCGTGGTCCAGCATGGCGCGGGTGACCGTGGTCTGCGCAATCCCGCACTTCGTTTTGTGGTTGTCCCGGAACCATTGCGCCAGTTTCGACTTTTTCGCTAGCTCGGTGACGGGCTCGACGGGAAAATCCTCGTCACCACAAGACAACTGGTGGCGTTGTTGTTTCTGGACGAGTTTATTCAGTTTGCTTTTCCGCGCTTGCGCTTTTGTTCTCTGCTGCAGTAGTAGTTTCTGTAGCAGGGAGGAAGAATTGGCGTTTTTTTCTGTGCGGATAATTTTTGCGCGGCTGGTTTTGGTCGGTGCAACAATCCTCTTCGACGTCCCCTCCTTCTTTACAGCTGCCTCAGAGTCGTGGTCGCGTCGAAGCCGAGTAGTGCTAAAACCGAAAGACCGCTGCGGTCTGCTGACCAAGCCGAAAACTAGGACTCCAACGCGAGAATGTGCTCGCAGCCATCTTGTGCTGTGCGTGCTCTTGTGCGAAAAATTCATCAACGTAAGGAGATGGGGTGGCTGACTTATGAAATTATACCACAAGCTGATGTATAATACCGGGCCTGGTGGAATCGAACCTGTGCAAGATATTTTTATATTTTTCTGTAACTTCTGCATGAACCTCGACCCTCACAGCTTGGACAAAAAATAACACGGACACGAAAACAACGAGAATGGAGCCGCGAAAAGATGATCTAAGACGGCGATTTGAACGAAGCGTCAACGAAGACAGGACGATAGAACGAGGTTCGCATTGTCTTTATTAGATGTTTTTGCAAAAAAGATTCAGCGACTAGACGACACGAAAGCACAAGAACGACGTACGAAAAGGAAATTGGGTGAGTACTTACTTTCTGACGGCACAAATGTCATCTTTCAGTAACTCCGCTGCCCTGCACCTCGTGCACCACAGGTGATTCCTGCGTGTAGTGCCTTGGTAGCTTCATTTCTATCGATTCCCGTGTCGGCTTTTTCAATTGTACAAGGGTGCTGACGAGCAGCTTTGAAAATTTACAGACCGCGCACGGGCATGCTATGTAGAAACGCCAAGAAGTCTACTTTACTTCCTTTTTATCTGAAAAATTTCTTGCTGCGAAGCCTCCTTCCTTCGCAGAGAACGGAGACTTGTTTCGCCCCCCATGAGATGACCCCGCAGTTCTTCATTGCGTCATGTTCCCCCGGAGCGTCCACATTTCCCGGACGCAGAGCAAATAATTCAAAGCATTGAAAACGCTCCCACTGCTCCCGCAGTAGTCCTTCACAAGTCTCATCTTTCCCACGCGCCAATCCCAAACGGCGTAATCTTCGGAAAAGGTCGCTGTTTCAAAAACGTCGCCGAATCTCGTGGCGAGCTGCTGCAAGATTTTGAACCGCCTTTCCATACTGTCAGAATATGCGGAGAGAGGTTTGTACGCCGCGTGTATGCATTGCAACTATGTCGAGGTCGGGCCTTGTGCTGATGCGAAACTTGAGGCATGCGCGAATGAGTTAAGCTTAAGTCGTTCGCGAAAGGGCTAAGGGCTTAAGTCGTTCGCGAACGAGTTAAGCTTAAGTCGTTCGCGAAAGGGTTAAGCGCTTAAGTCGTTTGCGAAAGGGCTAAGGGCTTACGTCGTTCGCGAAAGGGCTAAAGGCTTAAGTCGTGCGCGAACGACTTAAGCTTAAGTCGTTCGCGAAAGGGCTACGGACTTAAGTCGTTCGGGAAAGGGCTAAAGGCTTAAGTCGTTCGCGAAAGGGCTAAGCGCTTAAGTCGTTCGCGAACGACTTAAGCTTAAGTCGTTCGCGAAAGGGTTAAGCGCTTAAGTCGTTTGCGAACGACTTAAGCTTAAGTCGTTCGCGAAAGGGCTAAGGGCTTAAGTCGCTCGCGAACGAGTTAAGCTCAAGGCGTCGCGAAACGGCTAAGGGCCTAAGGCGTTCGCGAACGACTTAAGCTTCGCTTAAGCCGTGCGCCAACGGAGTGAGCTCTGAGGAACCGGGCGAAGAGCTGTAGTCCCGTGCGAATACTTAGGGTATGGCTTAAGTCGTGCGCGAACAAGCTAAGCTTAAGTCGTGCGCAAACGAGTTAAGATACACCATCAAGATCTGTGACGCATGGAGAGGAATCGCGAGGCTTCTTCTGACACTGGAAGTCTGTTTGTAATGCTGCTAAACGCGGCGAATGAATTCGCAAGAAGCCGGGCAAAACTTGTTATCATGCTGTTATGCCATAGAAGCAAAGTTCAGGGATCATGCAAACAAGTACCACTGTGACATCAAAATATCTGCATCCTTTCAGACCCACACAACATAGTTGCAGTTGATACTGTGGGAGGTTATCTGCTGGACTGGTTTCTTTTCGCTCGTAGAAGTACTGCTACCAGCGGTTGATGTGGTTCCTACCAAATCGCAACTCATACCGTAGGGAATGTTATCGGACGCCTGATGCGCGCCATAAGCCAGGACGACGAGCGGTTTTCTGTCTTCTATTGCAACAGCAGGAACTGTAACATCACGAGCCGTCGCGTTTGTCACCGCCGTCGTGCCACGGATCATCAGGCTGCTAGAAGAGGACTTTGCCGAAGTAGCTCCTGCTTGTTCTTGTCCAGCCACTTCCTCCCTGATGGTAATCGCGTGCACGAAGGACATCAAAATGTCTTCCGCCGTCCGTTTCTCGTTCACAATGTCCCGAAATTCGGCAAACCGCGGGTCGGTCCCGTACGCCTTGTAAAATCGCTTGTGCGCCATGCCGCCCTTGGTCAAAAACACGGTGGAGGCGCGGTTCCACCCGAATTTGTGGTAGCTCGTGTCCCAGGAATACTGCAGCCCATCGTAATTTTCAACATCAACACTGGTCTGGCTTGTTGCGGACGAAGAGGCAGTAGATGCGGCTGGTGGTCGCAACTTGCTTTTTCCACCACGAGGAGCTGGAAACTCGAAGAATCTCGGCGTCCAGCCAATCATGCGGTGCGGGAACCGTATCAAATGCAAAAATGTCTGGGTCTGGAAGAGTCGGGGATTGTCATGGAAATTTTGCATCACCCGTGAGGTCTGTGATGCTGGTGCTAGCATCACAGATTTTTTGAGAGTTTCTTGATGCTAATTACGCATGAGAAACTCCCTCTCCGCGTGCCAAGAACTGACTCCTCTTGCTGCTCATGCTCATGCAACACTCACTTCACTCAGATACTTTTAGAATTCGCAGACAGCATTACAAATATACATTCTTCCAGACCCAGATGACATATTTGCATTTGATAAACCGCTGCCACAGACGAAACGCGCCAATCACCTCGTCGCAGGGGTAGATGATGTCGTCGTCCAGTTGCAAGACCGCGTCGGTTTTCAACTCGCCGTACGGCATCGCGGCGAACCGGTTCGTCATCAAGTTGTCGGCTTCCGGGACGTCAATCACCACTTCCGTTTGATGTTCCTCCTTCTCAACTACATGATCACGCGGGTGTTCTTGTTTTCCGGGATCCTTGTCCGCAGTTCCGTCCAGGAGCAGGAACTCGGCTTTGAACTTGGGAATCAAATGCTTCCGACTCAAATCGTTCCACATGACCCGGATCTGCCGCGGCCGGCACCGGCGGAAGTGCTTCACGATGGCCGCAACCTCGCAGTGCCGGCGGAAGGACATGACCACGACGGTGAAGTTGTGCACCTCGCTCCACTTCGAGGACTGCAAATCCTGCGGGAGGTGGCGGCTTCGGATTGATTTCGTCCTCGTGTTAGAAGTTGGAGTTCTTTTCGTTTTTCGAGAACTGGTGGCGTTGTCGCCGCTAGATGAGGAGGAGGAGGAGGTTCTCGCCGCGGTTGGCAGGAACGTGGTTTCGTCATGATCGCGCTTCACCGCTTGCCAGATGCTGTAGTCGAGGTAAATCAGCACCGTCAAAAAGAAGGACAGCGGCAAGAACGCTCGCCGCAGAAATTTCGTGCAGCAAAGTGCGGCCATGGTTTTTTTTCTTCAGTGGATTCGAAGGCTATTCGCTTCGGTTTGCTATTATGTACGGCTGATTTCGTCCACAGTGTACCTTCCAAGAAGCGTCATTGCGCTGCGTGATCAAGCCATGCGCCGTTCGTGCTCTCTTTGCGAGGCGCGGGGCCCCGAAAACACGACGAGCAGGGAACGCGCCTCGCCTCCCCGCCAAGGGAAATACGGGCCGGGGCCCGGCCGAAAATACCCGCGCGGGGGCTCGTTCCAAGGGGTTTGCGCGGCCATCCGGGGAAAAGCCACAGGCGACTTCCTTCTGCCGATATTCTCGGCCCCGGGAGCGCGCGGCCCGGAATCCAGTCGGCCTGCCACTGCGGCATCTTGTTTCATTAGCAGAAATCTCGGCAGTGCGTCGCGCAGCTTGCGCGGGCGGTTCGGAGCGGGCCCGCATGCCGCCGCTGCTGCCTGCGCGCCACACCGGGACCCCGCCGCGTCCAGCACGGTGGTCGCAGGCCCGTGCCCTGAGGCGGTCCCACGCTGCAGGCGCTCCCCATTGGCCATAGGGCGATAAAGCCTGCAGCGGACGCTTCGAAAACACACACATCAACGCCATTGGATGGCGGTATGAAAGGAGTGCAGAGCACTAGACATGGGCCATGAGCCGCACCCTGAAGCGGGTCGGCAAGGTGGGCCATTCCGGCCTGGCAAGCCATTCCTGCAAATTTTCTTGATTTGTAAAAATCGTCCGGAGCTCACAGCGGCGGATCGCATCGACTTCAAGTCGTGTATGAATAGTAAAAGAAGAGAGCACGGCAGTTCGACCTGCCATTTTCCGCCAGTCTTTTAAGCACATGCATCACCAAAGGACTTTTCCAAAATTTTTACCATTTTGCGGAATAGCTGAACTATAGTTATTCCAAGTCAACTCGACATCCGTTGCTTAATCGGAAATGCAAAATCATAAAGATTTTATGTTTTCTGCATATTTTTTATGGATTTTTGTAGGATTTACACCACGTTCACAATTTTGCTACTTTTTTCATTTTCAGAGAATGGTAAGAGCTGCCATATTTAGACATGTAATGAGTCCACTTTAATGCATATTTGTCCTATTTTAGGCCTATTGCACATACCTCATATAGTATTCCCACCATATTTATTTGCATTTTTACCCGCTGGATTTTTTGCACTTTTTCACTTTTTTCAAAAACGCTAAAAAAATGCGCAAAATTGTCAACGAGACTGCGTGGAGCAAGATTGCACTGGGTCACGATATTCATTTTAAGTCCGTGGCTGTGTAAGGTAGTAGCTTTTTAGCTCATTTCTTCACTTTCTGAGTTTTTCAGAATTTTTTCGATTTTTCATAGATTGAATAAAACTAGAAAAATTCATGTAATGGAGTATATATGTGAAAGCGAAGCTACAAAATAATACGAAGTGTGAGCATACACGTGCTTTTATGGGCACATAATAATTTTTTCAATGATGTTTAACATTTTTTAATTTTTTAAGATTTTTTGAAAACTCAGAAAATGCGGACTGCCCAGCAATAGCGCACTTCTTAGTCAACAGAAGCTCTAAGATTGGCAGGCGAGGGACGAGGTCGCGGTTTTATGTGGGTGAAGGAGAGTCTACAGCTGTATAGCCACAGACCCACGCCAAATTAGGTAGAAGATAGTAGATAAGGGTAGCAGGACCGAAGATATCGGCGGCTTTAGCCGCTGACTTTTCTTTGGTCTCACGGTGCTGATCGACCGTGCCCCTGCAGATCCCGCCAGGACCGGAGGTGCCTGGCGGTGGGTATATAGCCTTGAAGGCTCGCTGGCGGGACCGCCTGGTGCGGCGTCAGCAGCGATCGGACTGGCCCGTCATCGACGGAGTCCATCGCCAGTGTCGCAGCACTGGATGCTGCGGTGTGCAAGGGGAATGCGCACATGGCAAGCCCTGAGGGCAGTACAGGTGGTGACGTCGCTGAGCGACAACAGGCGCATCAGGTAAGCGTCTAGGGTGTGCTGCCGCATCGGCGTCAAGCGCTGCTGCTCGGTGGGTCGGTAGTCTCTTGTCCAGGCAAGGGTCACCCCACCGGTGGTGCGCTCCCATGCGTGATGCAGGTTCGTCTAGTGCCAGGCGCGGTTCGCCGCGCTCAGCACGAGACGGATGTGGAGTGCTGCTATTTGGACCCGTCCGAGTAGCAGCGCTTCACGTCGGTGACATGATGTCCCAGTCGAAGGAAGAGCCAGTCAGGAATCGGCTCCATGACGCCGGCAGCATGAGAGGACAGGCAGGGTTCCGCAGTGCGTGACTTCAAGGTAGGATCGGCTTGCAGCCTCAGATATCTTCGCTACGCTCACGTCGAGCGTTGGTGGGCGCTTTTTGGTTGTGCCTCGGTCGGCACCCTCTCCGTTGAGAGCGTAGGTGGCGGAAGGCGCCCAAGGTACACATCGCTGGAGGCGAGGTTTCCCGCTCGACTTTGGTAGAGCTTGCTCATACCGCGCTTGGAACGCGCTGGCCGATCTTCGTTCGGGACCAGAGGTCACATTGTGTTAGCATCAAAGCCATGATATATGAGAAGCCAGAGATGACCTGAACACAGATAAAATTGGCAGGCGAGGGACGAGGTCGCGGCTTTATGTGGGTGAAGGAGAGTCTACAGCTGTATAGCCACAGACCCACGCCAAATTAGGTAGAAAATAGTAGATAAGGGTAGCAGGACCGAAGATATCGGTGGCTTTAGCCGCTGATTTTTCTTTTTACGGATTTCCCACCCACCCGCTCCATGGACGATGAGTTCAGTGACGATGCCTTCATGGCGGACATGAAGGCCGAGTTATCCGAAGTTGCGCGGGACAACTTCAGTTCATACGAGAAGTTGCAGTCTGCTTTCGGAGAAAAGGCAGCGGAGAAGACCGTCAGGTCGTGTGTGGACAGCGGCGACAAGCTCCCGCTGGGTTTCCTGCAAAGCAGCAGTAGCCTACCGCAGGGCCTCTTTCACGAGGCGGAAAAGCACGATAAGGTCCTACAAGGGGACGCGCTGGGTGTGCTGCACATGACGCAGGCACAGGGATACAGGTTGCAGAAGCAGCTGGAGCCGCTGCGGTACAAGGCGACGAGAGGTCCCGATGGGCTGATCATCTCGCACTACAGGAAGGACAATCCCGCGTCACGGGCGTCGTGTCTGGATCTGACACAAGAGGAGTTCGCACGGCAGGCCAGAGGAGCCTACGCTGCGACTGACGAGGTTTTCGCGGCAAGAACGGACAAGGAGAAGTCCGCCGCACAGGGCAAGATGGCCCTGGCGCTGGACATAGCGAAAGACAGGACACTGCTGAGCGACGCGCTTAGCAGCCTGGACGCGATGACCACCAGGAAGAAAGCGGAAGATAACCGCGACAGTCGGGTGAAACGGTATCTGAAGGTGGCCTCGGAGCTGCCCTTCACCATGTGGGGATTTGATTCAGTGCGGGCTTACATAGCCACATGCATGGCAGCGGGTTATGCAAGCGTGCAGCAGGCTACGAAAGACGTCTTGGAAGACGCGCGGTGCTGGATGAAGGACAATGACAAGGACTTCATACGGCAGGAAATGACGACATTGGTCAGACGGGGATATCTGGGAAGGAAAAAGCAAAAATCTCCATTGACATTAGCTCACATACATAAGTACTTTGCTGCCAAGCAGCTGAACTACCGGCAGGTGGTAGTCCTTTGCATTTCCTTTTTCGCAGCGTTGCGGAAAAGCGAAACAAAAAAGCTGGACACACAAATGACAGGCAGTAAAGATTTGATCCACATGAGGTACGACAAGAACGACCTGCTGTTGAATTTTATGGAGTGTAGTACCAAGGTGAGCCATTACAGTATGGTCCGTGTGACTTGTGTGTGTGACCAGTTGCAGAAATGTGGAATGCCTGACTTCTATTGTGTGTGCAAGTTCAAAAGCATTTTACCCACGTTGTGTGCAGATGACCTGGACGTGACACTGATCATGCGAGGAGTGTTTAAAGAGCACGAGGCTGCCAGCCACAGCTGGCGGATCGGGTGCGCAACGCACCTTTTCCTACTGAAAGTGGAGCCACTGCGGTGCGTCATCCACTGCAGATGGGCCTGTTTGCAGATGTTGTTGCACTACGTGCGATCAGTGCCGTACATTTCCAGAGACATGTTTTTGCCAGTGAACTTCTGTGGAGCTTAAGATTGAGAATGCACATGACAGATGGCAAGTATGCGCTCCACCCTGGGCAGAAGTGGGCGCAAGCATCACACAGCTCCAGTGTTCATCACAGCATGTTGCGCCAAGACAAAAACTCTCCATCCCAGAAAGGAAGAATGTGATTACTGTGAGATCCAGCACGTCATTGAGATCTGGTGAAAAATTGACGAGATGAGACGAAAGTGCTACTCTATGTGACATTACGTGTCCACGCGTCTCTAGTAAACCTGTGCTTGAGTGCGACGGTTTTAGTTGTGTTGATGCCCATGGATTTGTGACATCCTTTACCAAAAAATCTCCACGTAGGGAATTTTGTCTAAGCTTGAGGCTTCTCCACTGCGAAGTAGGGTTCACCCCGAAAAACCAAGTAAAAATGGCCGCACCAGCACCAGCGCCTGCAGCTGCGGCTGCCGTAGGTATCATGTTTGGTGTGATGACATTGGACTTATTGGCTACTAGCGTGTGTTGCGACGCAAAAGTTTCTCATCACAGACATGAATTGATTAAAAAAAAAACACATCACTACAAATCACAGCCGGAGGGGCGTTGAACGCTGCAGAATCGAGACGGTTCATGGAGCACTTTGTTGGTCAGGACCAGACCATCGAGAACGCCTTCTACAGCATTGAGATGGAGATTGTCGAGCTGAAGCCCACGCAGGCCAGTTTCGCAAAGGCCGCCAAAATCATCAACTCGCGGGCCACCTACGAGGCTGGTATCGCTATCACTATATTGACCTGTTTAAAAAAAAGATTAGTCATGGCCCTGCTGACATGGCAGTGTGTGTGTGGTGATCGTAGATTGAGGCACGTCAAGCTTTATTTCGCATATGTGAAATTATCAGGTGTAATGTACAAGGAGGGTAAGAAGGTCAAGCAGGACGAGAAGGAGGTCTACCCGTTCGGCCCCGTCGCTTTGATGTGCGCCATGAGCAGCGTCATCCACAGGGAGCGCCCCGCTCTGATCAACGGGGCCCAGCGCAACAACATGATCAACAAGCACATCATGGCTGCGAACCAGTACTCCTACGCCATCGCCGATAAGGTGTTTGGTGCCATCGTGTACAAAAGCGAACAAGTGACGCCAGACTCGTACACACCGGGAACGACGTATGAGCAACGCATGACTGCGTTTTTGCAAGAAGGACGATACAACCGCATGTGGAGTGAGGAATTGCAAAAGCAGAAAGCAATCCATGAGGTAAAAAAGATGTCTCTTGTTCAGTATGTGCTGCGTGATGATGCAACTGCAGTATTTGTCTTTTTGACATGAAAAATAAGTCACTTGTTCCCATAACAGCAAGCGAAGGAATCCGCAGCGGAGAGTAAGAAGATCATCCAGGAGGAGGTCGCCGTGTTGAACAAGAAGACTTCGGAGTTGCAGGCATTGATCGAGAAGCAGACCAGCAACGCCTCCATGTATGGACCGACCTGGTACTCCAAAGACAAGAGAAACAAAGGTGTCAAAGCACACAGGCATACTCTTTTGGTATGGTGGCCAAAGTGGGCCGAGGGCTTGCCCGGTGCCATTAGATTCCAGCACACAAGATTCGGATCCTATGTCCCGGATGAAGGTGTCATGTGCACAATGTATTTTTACTTTCTCCAGGTGAGACAATCGCGCTGCAAAACTTGTAATGCAAGGCTGCTTTGACACAGATGATTGAAAATTGCACTGCATCAGGTGACGGCAAGAAGGGCAAGAAGGGTGCCAAGGCGAAGCCCTGGCGCCACACGTTCATGTCGTCGCGGGGGAAATGCCAGTACGGATCCGGTTGCCGGTTCGCCCACCCCAAGGCCGGGGACATCTCCATCAACCAGTTCAAGGAGATGAAGGAGAACAACATCTACGGTGACAAGTTCAAGGGAGTGGAGTTTGAGGACTGGCGCAAGCCGGTCGATGACAAGAAGGATGAATAGTTGAACTATTGTCATCGCAAGCTGCCAGTAGTGAGAGCACTGGCAGCCCTGTCGTAGGCTTACAGAAGTAATAGTACACTTCAATGAATGGTTCAGTTTAGAAAGATAATTTCTCCAAGAGAAGAGTTTTTTTTGTGTGCTATGAAAGTGTAGGTCTACTTCTATGTTAATTTTTAACTGTGCCTGTCTTTTTTGGCCTCATTATGTGTTGTTGTGATTTTACAGTCAGATTTATTATCAGGAGGATGTACGCAGCAGCTCAGATGAGGCTGATATGTTGTATGATGGAAAATGGACAACAAGTTGGAGTGACATTCTGATTGAAAAATAGAATGACTGGATATTTTCCTGTACAACATGTTTGTGTAAACGCACCCACGTTTCGATTTATGTGTCAACAGCTCTGCTAAGTCAGATCGCGCATAGGCAGGACTTTGATGCCATAGTCGCGAGTGCGCGTCAGCCGCACATCTCGAGTTCAGCGCACAAGGACTCGTGTAATTGACATGTCAGGATCAGTCAAAGTGTCGGCTTTGAAATTAGGAAAACAGGAAAAAACTTAGCGTCGGTAGTGCGCGACACCATGTGGAGAGCCATGCCAAAGCAGCTGTCGGTCTGCAGCAGAAAGCATCAGTAAAATGGTAAAAAGGGGCAAATGTCAAGAAATCGGACAAAACGTGCGCAAATGTTGCATTAGCGGTTCAAAGTGTACTTCCAGCTCCTATACCCGCGTGTCGTGTCGCGTTCGCTGTAGATCGATTTAGGTTCTCCTCAGTAGATCAGACTTGTAGACCCTGACATCATGAAGCTTCCGACCGAGGCGGAAGTTAAGGCTGTCTTGAAGCGCGTCGAAGTGGATGAGTTGCGGGATCATCCATTCGACACGGCGCAGCTGCTGCCCAATCCGGGCGACAGCAGCATTGATGATCTTAGGATGAGACACGACGAGATGAAGAAATGGCACGAGCAGACTGCGGAAAGGTCGCAAGTGCTGTTCCAGGAAATAGAAGAGGAGATTCGAAAGCCGAAGGTTTGCGGCAAATTAGGACTGTGGGAACTGCTGGGGAACAAGTTCCACCCGTCAGATCCCGAGGCTTGGCGGGTCTGGCACAGCGGACTGGCGATGATAGGGGAGTGCGAGGTGGACAGCACTTGGAGCCCGCGACAGAGGCGCGACAAGATGAACGGGAAGCCGGAAGACTTTGTGCCGAGCAAAGTCATCCAAGGGATACTACGGGGAGAGCACAAAAAACCCAACTGGAATGATGACGACATCCAGTTGGTGTGGGACAGGAGCATAAAGGAAACCAAAGAGGTGCCGGAGTTGGGGTACGCGTTGTTATTGGGACCGTACGACATCCCCGACGACATTGCGACAAACAAAGCAGCACAGGAAGAAGTGTACTTTGGTTACCGCAGATTCCCCCGGCATCAAGCTAGGAAGTGCCGCTTGATAGATCCAGCGGCGTCGGCAAACAAGTGCTCCCCCTTGCCCAAACGGGTGCCGATCCCCTCCGCCCTGGATGTGCTTGCCAATGCAGCAGTGGCAAAATGCCCGGACAATGCGGGCAAGAAAATAGTGAAGCACAGCAAGAAGGTGCTACAGCGGTGCAGGGCCGCAGAGCGGAGATACGAAAAGCAGTTTGCTGCCTTCGTGAAGGGCGAAAGGGATGACATGGATGCGGACTTGTTGAAAAGCGGCGCAAAGCTGCCGCCAGCATCAGCGCCGTCCGTGTTTGGCTGCGTTGAAAAGGAGTCAAACAGGAAAAAACGGAGAAGGGAGAGTGTCGCTTTGAACGACATCGAGGCGGTCCTGTTGGACATAGCCAAGTGCTACAACAACTTGATGGTCAAACCGGAGCACAGGAGGTACAACACGGTGGTGGTGTTCAACCCGGCAACCCAAAAGTACCACCGGTTTGTAGCTCTTTCGGCAATCTTTGGGTCACGACACAGCGTCACCGGGTGGTGCAGGCCGGGGAAGTTGTTGCGGGCGGTGTTAAGAAAGCACTACAAGATCAACAGTGAAGATTACGTGGATGACTACCCCAGCTTTGTGATAGCAGGGCAGGGCGATGAGGTGAAAACGATGTTGCTGGAACTCTTGGAGATGTTAGGACTCCCCGCGATGTTTGAGAAGGTGAACGTAGGGAATTTGCTGGAAATTTTGGGGCTTCTGTTCGATTTGCGGGGGGATGTAGTGACGGTTGAGGTGACGGACTTCAAGAAGAAGCAGATTGTAGGAGCCTGCGACCAGGCTTTGGCGGCCATGGACTTGGATCCGGTCGCGGGGAACGAGTTGGTAGGAAGGTTGACCTTTGTGCTTGCCGCGGTGGCAGACAGAGCACTCAACCCCGTGATGAAGCCGCTGCGCATCCACTTGAATAAGGAAGAAAGAAAGGTGACCCAGGACGTCGCCACGGCTCTGCATGCCATCAAGCACATCATGGCCCTTCCGCTTAAGAGGGGGATCACCTTTGAGGAGGACAGCAAGCGAAGCACTCTCCTCTACACGGATGCCCAGTGGAGTGATAAAAAGGGGGTCATTGCGGCGGTCTATGTAGAGGCCGGGAAGTTTAAGTGCGTGCGGCAGACGGTCTACGCGAAAGACCTGCACAAGGAGTACAGGTTGTACCCGATCAACGTGCTGGAGACAGTGGCCGGGCCGTATGCGGTCAAGTACTTCGCAGAAGACTTGAAGGGGAAGCGGTTCGATCATGCGATCGACAACAAGTGCGCACAGGAGTGCTTGTTGGCTCAGGGAAAGAGCGGAGGACGGCAGAAGTGGATTTACACCAGATTAACGGCGGAGTTCTGGACTCTAGTCGCTGCGCACGACATGAAGCCGTGGAACACACGGGTGCCAAGTGATTACAACTTGGCGGACTACCCCACTAGGGACGAAAAGATGGAGGTGCTCTTGAGGGTGTTCCCCTCGCTGTTCTCTGAGATTGTTGAAGGCTTTGGGTTTGATGATTATTTCTATAAGCTGTTAATGCTTGATGTTGATGCTGGTGTGTCTAAGCTCGCGGATGCTATCGCGGCTTCTCAAAATGCTGAGGACATCGACTGTGGTAATGCTAAGTCATCTGATGAAGAGGTGGACTTTTGATTCATGTTGTGTTGGTTTTTTGTGAAAAGGATATGAGTGTGTAGGTGGTAGCACAGTGTGGCCTGAGTATGCCGACTGCTTTGGTCAGTCGCGGTGTACACTCGATCGTCGGCGTGTTCTAAGCTTGGAATGGTGCAAGCGTCTTCGCGGTTCTCGGAAGGTTTGTGTTGAGCGGCGCCCAAGGTACACATCGCTGGAGGCGAGGTTTCCCGCTCGACTTTGGTAGAGCTTGCTCATACCGCGCTTGGAACGCGCTGGCCGATCTTCGTTCGGGACCAGAGGTCACATTGTGTTAGCATCAAAGCCATGATATATGAGAAGCCAGAGATGACCTGAACACAGATAAAATAATAGTTAGCGCATCCACTATTCAGGTTGGCTGTGCGAATTTTCAGGGGGACCACCATAAATGCACTTCTAAAGCTTTTTTCCTGGATTTTCCAAAAATGGCAAAAAGCTGCCAAATTACATCTGGATGGATCCAGTCGACGGAAAAAAGGGGGTAAAAGCATTCTAATCCCGACCGTAGGCCACGCTCCCCAAGCTGGAACACCGTGTCCTGTGATTTCGAGATCGGCCGCCCCTGCAAAGCGCAAGCCTTTGCAGTGATTTTGCTCGCTTTTTCCGGAATACCAGGCTGTCAGATCTGATCGGACCCGGCGGGGCATGGACGCTCATGGAGTGGGGCGGACTCGGGGCTGTAAGAGCTCCGGCGAGTGCTTTCATGGGGCAGCAGTATCGCTAAGTGTGATCTGTCTACTGTGTTTCCTTTTGCCGGCCCGCGGAAATTCACGCACTCGGGCCCCGGCTGGCGCGACCCGGCTCCGCGTCTTGGTCGACGATGGTGCCGCGGACGATCCGTCTATGTTTTTTCCCCCTCAATGCCCTGCCGGGATTCGACAAGGACCCATGGCGTTTCGCCCATCGGCGTACGGCTTTGCGTCCTTTCCAGCAAAGGGGGGCGATCGCGGCCGCCTTCGTAATATCGTGCTGCAGTTCTGGTAGCCGCGAAAATTCACGCTCGTCATTTCCTCTGGCCTAGAAGGTCCGGCGGCCGGACTCATTGGCTATCGATTTGTGACGCCGCCTAGCCATCAGCCGGGGTGGAGCGATATCGCCGCGCTGGTGCGCGGCCTGATATTGAAAACTCTTTTTGCGATTCCCCGGGTGAGTCGTGGAAGGGGCACTCGTCCCGCACCCGGGCTCCCGTCACCAGCTCGGTGAAGCCTCAGCATTTTATTGATCCGGACCGCGAAAAGCCGGCCTCGCATTTCGCACCGGATCCTTTGGGACGGCGTAATCGAGCAGCGCGCGTGGGCCCTACTTTTCAAAGGCCGACGCATTTTTTGCCAAAGTGACTCTGTAGACAGCAAGCTACTCGCGTCAGGCAGTACCACTTTCGACCTACACTAGGAAAAAGATCCCAGCCTCTAGTGGCGCTCGCAGAAGATCGGTGTAGAGCAAGCTCCGTGTAGTTGAGAGACGAAGAAGAACGAACCAAACACGAAAGATCAAAATCTGAAAAATGCACCGGTCAGTCGAACCATGGTCCAAATGTAAAAGTCTCTGTATCAGGCTGCGCCCGCAGCATGATGTCCTTAACGCGGTGATGTTGCAAAACGGAACTGCACACAAGAGCGTCTTATTGCAAAAACCGAAAATGAAAAACTCGCAGCGGACTACGAAGTAAAACTACATACAAGGGAAAAACAATACAATAAGTAGCAACAACTTTGAGCCCTAGCCTTTTTGATACTTCGAGGCTGGTATTCGCGGAAAGTCAGCCGCTCTACTGCGCTTATTTTTGTTCACTCGTGCTGCACTCGTTCCGAGTCGCCACAAACAAAAGACTGAAGTTTTCTCGCAAGTTCAAAAGCCTGACGCTCACCTCTGATCCAGCAAAGTTGTCCGAGTCACTTTTTCCAAGTACAAATAGCAACGCTTAGCACTTGACATTGACAAAAAAGCAACGCTACTGCTGCTCCTTTATTTTCGATGTTGCCGGACGGGCGGGAAAAAAACAAACTGTATTGCAAAAACAAATACCAAACGCCGACGCAGCCGAACACCCAACACGAATACTAATCGCAATTACTATACCAATACCGACAAACCTTTTTGAAACCGATGGCGCGCCGCGTGCGACTAGTGTCTGTTACGGGCAAAGTAGAGTAAAGTAGGCACGCGATAGGAAAAAGAAGAACCCCGTTCATCACCGTCAACCACCTCTGAGACTAGGCCATATCATAGAAGACAGCGGTTACACAGCATCCCTTTGCGCGGGACGTCGCAGTGAGTAGGTTTCGTTGCTGGGGAGTCCTCCACCTCGAGAATGTCGTCGTTCAGCGACACATTCACGAAGAACCAGGATGGGCCCGACGACATCCTGAATTACGATAACTCCGCCGCCTACTACTTTGGCGCGACGGTGTTGGCCTGCATCGTGCTACCCTGGTCCTGGCTGTGGATTCGACACCTGATCTGGGGCGCGTCGGTGTCCAGCTTCCCGAAAAAAACCCACAAATTTTTCTCCGTGCTGCGGTACGTGAACAACAAGGTATAGTACTAACTTATGATTGCGAGGCGACCACCACCACTGATCATGTTGATGTGGTTTTTGCATCACAAGTTTTTGAAAAGTCGAAATGGATGGTTTCGCATTGCTAGTCGACACGTTGTGTGTTGGCATGACAACCACGTTATTCAAAACACGTTATCTATATCAAAAGGTAACGCAACAAAACCTCGAACGGATCGAGCTGTTTGAAGCGAAGAAGCTGGCAAAAAACCGGAACTGGTATAGTTATCGCGTTCTGTTGCTGCTTCCCAAGAGTTTTGTGATGCGTGATGCTGTATGTGCATGAAGATAGTTTTCAGTCTGAAGACTACTTTGTGATGCGAGCTTCGTGCACCACCAGTGATGATTCATGGATTGTAGCGCACGAAAGTCTCTTATCTAAGACGTCGATATCATATATCAAAAACATAGGACGATCGCCAAGCTAATCACGCTCGGGTTCTGCTGGATTTTGTGGTTTTACTGCTGCCTGCAGCTCACGGGGGAAGATGCGTCCAAGGGCATTCAAACGTTCAACCCGTTCGACATCCTGGGCATTGAGCCGGGCGTTGATGACGCCGCCATCAAAAAGGCGTACAGGAAAATGTCGCTGCTTTATCACCCGGATAAGAACCCGGACGACCCACTCGCAAGTGCCAAGTTTATGCAGGTATAATTAATTATAAGGTGGTAGACGTAGTAGAGGACCACTTCCTCCGCGGTTTGTTCCACCTCTGGCTGGTACTATACAACCAGCGTTTTCCGGTTCGCCCTGATGAACTTTTTTTTTGAAAGTCGAGGGCATGCTTGCTGAAAGAAGGACGAGCTTGACAATTGAATTCTCTATGTTGATGAAGAGCATGCACAGCAAATAAACTGCTCAAGAACTACATCCAACAAAAAATAAACTCTCCCCGCGTGATCAGGTATCCAAAGCCCACAAGACTTTAACCGACCCGGCGGCGAAGGCCAACTACGAAAAGTACGGCAACCCCGACGGGCCGCAGACGACGAAGGTCGGGATTGGTCTCCCCCGGTTTCTGCTCGAGAAGAAAAACCATCTATTCATCCTGTTTTTCTTCTTTATCACCTTTCTGATCGTCATCCCGGCGATCTTCATCATGTACTACCAGCGACAAAAGGACTACGCGCCGAACGGCGTGTTCGTGGAAACCCTGCAATTCATGGGCCACTACATAAGCGACCAAACGAGGCTGAAAAACTGCCCGGAGCTGTTGGCCGCCAGTGCGGAGTCACGAAAAATGGAGACGAGGCCAGAGGACGAGAAGGAGATGAAGCAGGTTGTGGCAGAGGTAAGTACTTACTTATTTTTCAAGCGGTTGTGATGTTAGTAGAGCGTCGCAGCTTTTGAACATTCGGCCGAGAGCGGCCCGCCCCATTTTTCAACTGCGCCAAGCGGGTGGAAACTGGGGCGGAATCACGCTGCCACCCACTGGGTGGGCAAGTTCCCTCAGTCTTGGTCGTCGTTTCGGCCCAATTTTTGTTGCCTCGCTCTAAATGTTGACTCGAGCTGCCATGGGGCGTCGTTAACTTATGTTTTAGCTCTTCTGCTTTGCATATTTTCTTGTGTCGGATCATATTTAGTGCATGTGCATCGCCAAGCACCTCCTCAAAGCGGTTTTTACTTCTCGATCCTCTACTGCTCCTGGTGCTGCATGGCAATAAACAAAAATCTGCATTAGGTCCAAGAGCACCAGCGTGCGAAGTTTACCATGCCCATTATCGTGCGCAATACGAACCTCATATGGGCACACATGCAGAGGTTACACCACTTACTTTCCCCCGAATTGAAGCAGAACTTGGACGAATTACTCCGACACGTCGACAAAATCACCACCAGCATGATCGAAATCGCCTGCATGCGCGAGTGGCTCGCGACGGCGCAGTCGGTCATCGAGTTTAGAAGGTATTAATAAGTCGTACAGCCTGGCACTACCGCCGGCTCTTTCATCTGAAAAATACAAATCAAGTACTATGATGTAGTCATGAAAAAAGCTTTAGTTAAATCTCCTATCTACATCGCCGCACTACCGCACAACAGGTGTATCATCCAGGCATTGGACGTGAAGTCGAATTCTCTTCTCCAAATTCCTCACTTCCTACGAAACTGCACAACTCCCCCTCCCCCTCATCTTTCATGCAAAACGTGAAATCCAAAGAACGTGACCTGTACTACCTGTTGCATCACAAAAACTCGGAAAAATAAGTTCAAACAGTATTACAGTCCGCGCAGTAGAAACAAGAACTTGTCATGCAGAGGCCCCATCATGGCTGCTGGCGTTTTTATTTCTCTTGCTTTTCATCATGCAAAACTAAAAAATGCGGCCCGAGTGGGGAGTTGTTCTTTTCCACCGTCATACTTCACCGAGGAGAACGTGAAGCACTGCCTGAAGGGAAACAACCCCATCAAGGAGATTCTGACCTTTCTCCAACGCGACAAGGAGCTCCGCCGGGGGGTGGCGAATTTAGAACCCGACCAGCTGCTCGACATTGACGAGTTTGCCGCCCACTTTACCATGCCGGACATAACGGCAACCGCGGTGGTAGAGGGGGAGAAGACGATCTGCAAGGACGACATCGCGACAATAACGGTGAAAATTGCGCGCACCCAGTTGGAGGAGGGCGAGGCGCTGGGCTACGTGCACGCGCCATTTTTTCCCGATTTCAAGATTGAGGAATGGTATCATTTGTGTTGGTGGCGTTCGCAGCACGTCAGAGTCTTTTTTTTGCAAGGCGTGACAGCGCGCGAGGTTTACTTATTTCCTCGTCTTTTTGCGAAGTCAGTCGTCTTTCGCATGACAAAGGGAGAGTGCCTCCCCGCACGACAAAAAAAAATTGCCGCTTTTCTTCCTTGCTTTCCATGCATCACAGATGATCTTCTTGCAGGACAAACAACAACCTATCAGGTACATCTTCTTGTGCGAGAACAGCAAAATCATCTGCTACGAGAAGGTAAGAACACAGGAGAGGATAATCAACGAAAAGATGCGGTTTCACGTCGGCAGAAAAGGAAAGCACAACCTGCAGGTCATCTGCATGTGCGACAGCTATGCGGGGCTTGATAAGGTACTCGTTTCATGATATTACAGGGAACGAAAAAATGAAAATGTTTCTTTGCAGTTGCGCTTTTGGTTTGGCAGTTGCAAAAATACCACGCGCGGCATCAAGATGATGGTCGCACGATGCAGATTCTTAAGCATGGAAGTAGACCGCCGTGCTGCTCGTTCCGGCCCGTTGGTCAGCTTGCACGAGATATAGAAGTCCCGATGGATTTATTTGCGCACGAAGAAGTGTTGCGTGAAAATAGATCTGAGCTGGCCAAAGGGGTAAGTTCTTGTATGGCGCAGGCGCGCAGCAGGAGTGATTTTATGTATGCAAAAAAAAAAAAACAGACCATCAAAGTCGAATTCGATGCGATTCTACCGGAAGAGGACAAGGAGAGGTCAATCTATGTGCACCCAGAAGACGAGAAGCTTGACGACTGCCCCACACTGTTTCAGCAGCTGGTTGGGGATATGGGAGCCTATGACGAGTCGGAAGATGAGGAGGAGGACGAAGATATCCAGAGTAAAAGCGTACTTACGCGGCCAGAGTTGTCCTGCAAATTCGCGTTGTGCGGGGAGGCATTGATTGGTTTTACGCACCTCGTCCCCATGAGAAATTCGGGCTTCGGAATTTGTAATGCGCATACAGGAAGATCAATGCATGGTTTTGTAAATGCGCCTCTAGTTCTTGATGCTAACTGGTTCTACACTACAAAGAACCGGAGTGTGTCATGCGCGACTCCCAAAGCTTTGGGAGCATGATTTTTATAGCAGAAATTGCATCTGGACGGTGGGTACGTTTTTACACTTGATAGAACACGACGACGACACTAGTAACAGCAAATCTTCCCCCGGAGACGGCGACAAGAAAAAGAATAGTCCGGAAAAGATATCAAAAGGAAAAATCCCCCCTCCCCATGCTGAAACGGAGATTTGTGTAGCATGATTTGAGACCACAGGCCAGGCTGTCATGCTAGAAGACAAACGAAGCGGCTTGTAGCGCTGGGTGGCGTAGGAAAGCCTTGCATCTTCAGCATCACAGGAGGCAACTGCAAATGGGAAACAGCATAGCAAGCCGCCTGCAATTAAGGCCACAACTGCGTCTGCACTTGGCCTTCTAGCAATACAAGCCGACTTGTGTACGCCAATGGAGCATCACAAGTTTTCTTTTCGATGTAGGTAGGGGGGATTTTTCCTTTTGATAAAAGAAAAAGGACAACTCCGACTCGGACAGTGACTCGGATTCCGAAAGTATCCTATTTAAAAACGTCCCCACGCCATAGCTGTAATGCAAATCTGCATGCTGAGAATGTTTCTCATGCGGAGCCCCATGAGAAGCATTTTCTAGTCGTGTTTTGCAATTTGTCATGCTCCAATCAGCATGGTGTGCTAGATCTGTGATGCTGCTGAACTAGCTCAAACAGCACTACAGAACGAATCCAAATTTGTCATGCAAAACAGCCAAAACTTGTGGATTTGTCTAGCCGATTCCCCATCTTGACTATGGTGTGGGGACGTTTTTACTCAGGATAGAAAGCGACTCGGAGAGCGACAGTGACGTGGAGGAATAGTAACTCGTTTTACTTATTTCTTCGCTTTTTGCAGCTCCTGCGCTTCTACTGGTTCTGACTGCACAGGAGCGGCCACCGCTCCAGTTGTTGCCTTCAGCGATCGACGAATGTATTTATTAGTGTAGCCCCGTGTAGTTAATTATCATTATACGAAAGAATGTACACCATAAAGTAAATCTATCCCAAGCATAGTGTTGTTGTCATGCAGCCCAACTACATGACGGACCCTCGCATTTTCGATTTTTTTTCTACTACTATGGCAGTAGAGCAAAAGCCAGAAGTCTCGGGTTTTTGACCTCCCGAGCTTATTGTGTACAACGTCTACGACGACCCATTGTTTTATACCGAGCTATTTCAACATCGCACAGAAACGCCCCTGTGTTTAGTTTTTGGTATAGTTGTGCTTCAACTATCGCTTGATGCTCCCTGTTGCGCTTTTTTTCTCGCTTCAGTGTAGTTTTTTCCCACCAAGCGTGAGTAATTCGCTAGAAGATGTGAATAATTCGGTAGAAGATCCTCCTGCTTCTGCCAATTTTTCTACACATAGTGTTCAGTACGATTTGATGTTGGACACTTATTTCAAAGAAACCTACCAGTACAAAGGAGAAGAGGAATTTTTATCCGACCATACGAACGACGAAAAAGTATCGTAATAAGAATAACTCAATCAAAGCACCACGAATTCGAAGGCGGTGAACAAAAACGTCAACATTGAGGACGACCGGACAGATTGACGGCTTCGTCCCGGGCTGCCCTGTTGTGGTGCGTTAGAAACAGTTTCTGTTACCCTTGCCGTATTCATTTTGTTTCCACGTGCGGAGAACAAGGGCATAAAAAAGGCGCCAGGTCGTGGCACTATGTGTACGTCCCGGAACAAGTCTTGTCGTTTTTCCTCCAGAGTGACAGCAAAGCGAAGGAGCGACAAAAGCGAAAAGCATGCTTCATCTGGCCGGGAGTTCTATTTCTGCCCAGCATTAGAAAATGCAAAATGATACTCGCAACACGCAAGTTGTAAGTTTAGGCTTGAAGATAGGTGGAGCCGCACCAGAGTCGAAGTAGTGTTGCGTTTGACTCGTACGTGTAAACTTGATTTTTTTAGAATTCGATCCAACTACAACAAGAAAGCGATGGAGTCTGTTATGCAGCACCCGGTGGAGGAGATGGCTCATGCTCCGGTACTAGCAGGCTCTCCCAACGCTGTAGTGGAAGACGATCGCCGAGGACAGCTTTTTCCCCTCCAGCCCGCCACCGACCTGGTCACCCCGGGGACGAAAACCACGACGACGACGACGAACACAGAAACGAGCACGGGAATGTATACTGGTAGCCACGCGCGGTTCCTGCCGAATGGTTCGAGCTCATCCTCTTCGTCAGTGAACAAAAGCCGCGCGGCCCCGCACAGCAGCGCTAGTACTTCGTTGAGTTTTTTGAAGAAGCAAAGATCTTCGTCTAGCTCCACTTGGGGTCTTGATGCGGTGCAGGACGCACCCGACCGGTTTTGGAAGGAGCACGCCGTCTTAGCCGCCTTGTACCAAACTGAAAAGTACTTGTGTTCCACCCCCAGAAGTGGGAAATAGTTGTGTGATGCATACTGTTCATCTTTTCCAATGCAAAAATCTGACTCTCCATCTATGCATAAGAAAATGACGTATATGAGTCGCGCTAATCCAGGTTCTAGACGTCGCGCAAAGTAGCCTGTGCTGCGTCATATCGCCCGGCTGCGGCTTCTGGGGTTTTCTGCAATGCGGATTTTCGCTATTCTGTAGCGAAAGCTACTACCTGTAGTGTAACAAGGCTAATGCACGCAATGTGCCACAACTGGAAGGCTTTGCAATGCAAACATTTTCTCAGAACAAGTGTGATTCCTCAGGGGTGCTTGTTTTCTTGTTGATACCTCGTCGACGGTATTTGCGGCGGGCTTGTTTCACATCACCCCCGCACTGCTCGCCATCGCGTACCAAGAAAGGTGGCATTTGGATCCAAGATCTTTATCGCACGAAAAAAGTGTAGTTTCACGTTTGTTCTTCCGCATGACAGGACGATAAATCTGCCTTCCGTGGCGGCAGGGGAAACACAAAAAATGCAAATAAACTCCCTCTCTTGTATTGATGTTCCCAATTAGTAACAAGATGACAAAAAGTTGCACGCCGCAATACAACATTGAGCCGCATCTACAACTTCACAAGTTTGCGGGGAAACAATTTTTTCGTGCGATACTATTGCGTGGTCGAGCAGTACGTGAAGGACGAAACAAATTATCCAGCGCAAAAAGTATCGTACCCGTACAAATTATTGTGTAGAGAAACTGAGTTTATTTTCCGTGTGGAAATAACATTTTAATTTTGCATGCAATTGAAGCTAGTACGAGTTACAAGAACTTTTGCAATGCATACAGGCCGAGAAGGTGCAACGACAGCACTAGAGAACAGTGCTCAACATCTTCCAGGATCCGATCAAATCGTTGATACCCACGCAGCTCCGACCTCTTCGGTTGAACACCAGCAGCTCTCCGCAGACGCGATCCTGGACATTGATACGCCGAGGCTACGGCGGTACCGCGTGATTCTGTTCCGATGGTGGTTTGTTTTGGTGTTGGTCTGTGGCTTGCAAGCCGTTGCGGTTTATGCGTTGCAATTATGTCATGCGCTGGATGATGCGGGAGTTAGAGTTTGTCAGGCACATATTGCATATTCCGCGACGGCTGGGATGCAGAACATAGCATCACAGGTTTTGTGAAGGCTGTGCAATGCGTATTTCCCGTGATAAATACCGTTTCAGGGGGCCAAAAATCGGCTTCCTCTTATGCCATTCGCGCAAGACCGTCATCTGCAGGACGCATCACAAGTTGCAATGATCCAGATCCAGACATATGTGCAACTCATACGGTTTTCGTGTACAGCATCCTGGTGCTGTGGGGCAGCGCACGAACGGCGACGAAGCATCCGTTCCTCCCGGTGGTCAAGGAGCCAGAAGCGACGAGCGGGAGCGTGCACGAGCCAGTCGAGCTGAAATTGGTAAACCACAACGAGTTCTTATCCCGGGTAAAAACACCCCCGCCCCATAGTTGTCATGCAATTCTGCATGCCAAGAAAGTTTCTCATGCGGAGCTCTATGCGAAGCGTTTTCTTTTCGTCTTTTGGAATTTGTGATGCTAGGATCAGCATGCTATGCTAGATCTGTGATGCTTCTGAACTAGCTAAAGAGGATTACACTACGAGGACACACTTGTCATGCCAAACAACGCAAGCCAGTTGATTTGTCTAGCAGATTTTCCATCTTGACTCTGGTGTGGGGACGTTTTTAATCAGGATAGTTCTCCCACCGGCCCGCAAGCACGGGAGCCGGTGCCACTCCACCGATTAGCAGCAGCCAGCCGCACGAGGATACCGTCCGCCTTCACTTCGGCTTTTTTGACGCGAAGTTTTACAAACCCGAGGCGCAGAAGGTGTTTGGTTTCAACCGGAAGGGCGGCAACCTGTACTACTCGGTATCCCGTTGCAAAAACGAAGCCCACCACGACCCCGAACTTTCTTGCGACACAAGTCAGAGAAGGTTTGGGAGGCGCACACGATATTAAATTTCTATCTGGTGATGTATTCATGTAGTGCGGGTTCTTTTAGTACTTAGCCAGAAAAGCTATCCTGGATGACAAAGCCGTCGATCGGCTTATCGTGTGGTCGTGTACATCATTACTAGTGCCAGAAAACGACTAGGAATTATGTGTCCTCGTGTGGGGATGCGCATTGCAAATTTTCCTGTAGATGCCACTGCGCATGACAACTCTGGGGCGGAGACGTTTTTACACAGGATACCCAGAGCACGGCGATCACGACCACCGTATGGGCTCCTCTTCAGATGGAACGATCTCAACTGGGACAATTGGTGATACTGAATACGGATCTTTTTTGTATAACACTCTGTGTCGTGAAGATGTTTTTTCACCATGACATGACTTATCTGACCACCTAATTCACATGGAGATTGAAATGCGTATGAAACTTGTCATGCAAAGCTCCAGCAAGCACAAGCAGACTCTGGTGTTTCCACCCATTTTGCCATAGTACAAGAAATCTGCCGTCTACATTGTTCCAGTTGAGGGTGTTCCAGCAGCTGACCGGGGTATACACCACCACGAGAATTTTTACTGTCTCACCTCGCACATGCACGCCTCGATGCCGACGACAGGAACCACTACGAGTGCAGCCCCCGCGGCTCCCGATTCTAACATCGAACTGAAAAAGTGCGAAAAGTTATCCTGAGTAAAAGCGTCCCCATACCAGATTCAAGATGGGAAATCTGCTACACAAATCAGCAAACTTTGTTTGTTTCGCATGACAAGTTCGCCCTCGTTGTGTAATCCTGTTGAGCTCGTTCAGCAGCATCACAGATCTATCGCGTTTTGCTATTTCTAGCATCACAAATCCCAAAACACAACTAGAAAAAGCTTCTCATGGGGCTTCGCATGAGAAACTTTTTTGGCATGCAGATTCATTTGCATGACAGCTCTGGGGTGGGGACGTTTTTAATCAGGATAAAAGTCGGATCAGAATCAACTCTTCGCGTTTGACGGAAGCAGTAAAATGTTCCACCGAATCGAGTTCGGCGGCTATTCAAAGGAAAAATCCCCCCTTCCGATTTTGAAAACGCATCCGTCTGAGAATTTGTGATGCAGATTTGTGGCCCCAAATCCTGTCTGTCTTGCAAGAAGGCAAAGCCAGAGAGTCCGCCGCATTATGCAGGCGGTCTGTGATGCTGTTGGGCTTACCGCGTCAACCTCTGCCATGCTGGTCGCCTACGTCGAAACCTGTCGACTCAGGCTTAGCATATGCGTGCAGTCCTCTCCAGCAAGACAGACCTGATATGCGTGCGCAAATCCAGCATCAGAAACTTCGTTTCGATATGGGGAAGGGGGATTTTTCTCTTTGATAGCGGCGTCAACGGGGGCGTCGTCGTGAAGGGGGCGGGCCTATCAAAAGGAAAAATCCCCCCTCCCCATATTGAAGAGGTAGGTTTTCGAAAATTTGTGTTGCTGATTTGAGGTCACAAATCACGTTTGTGTTGCAAGAAGACAAGGGCAGCAGCTTCCGTCCCATTATGGAGGCGGTTTGTCATGCTGTTGAGCCAACACCACGGACGCTTTTCATGCTATGCGCCTAAGTCAATGCCTCTCTGCTCAGGCTTGATATGGGTCTGCAGTCCTCTCCAGCAAGACAGATATGATTTGCGTACTCAAATACAGCAACACGCATTCCGCTTTCGATATGGGGAGCGAGGGGGGATTTTTCCTCACAATAGGGCCTGGCGCTCAGGGAATTGACCGACGGGAACGGGACCGTGGTCAAGCAGGTTTTGGTCGCGGACACCAGCATGAACCACCAGGTCAGGTTCCCGCAGGCGGAGGTATGTTTTACTTGTTTTTGAGCAGATTCATTGCAGCAGATGAACTACTGAACAACTACGAACGTGAAGATCACTCACGGAGGGGCTTCAATTGAATAAGCTTTGTGAAAAACATCAAAAGGTAGAAGAGTACGCCGACCCGGCCGCCATCGGGTTCGGGCTTTACCTGCTTTTTTCGTCCTTCTTTACCTTCGCGCTCACCTGGCGGCTGCTCACTATGCATTGTTCTTGCATCAAGTAGGTCTCAGTCTGGACGATCACAGAAAAAGAGGATACAAAAGGAACTTGTGATGCAAAAAAAGTACTGTCATGTTCATGATGCTCATGCATATCTCAAGTGATCCTAATAGCAGATACACCAGCAGCTCTACTAATTTATGGGTCTCACACACAAATCTGCAGCTGGTCAGGGGCACGAATACCACGTGACGGCACTGCTGTCGTGCGAAAATTTGTCATGCAGGAGCTTTGCCATGTTCTAAATCTAATTCTATCTTTCTTTATGGGAAGAGCTGCTCCCGTCTTTGGTCTTACCGATCAAAGCGCATGAAGACTGGTGAGGAGATTACAGCAGCCTTTTGTCTAGACCATCCAGACGGATCGACTTATTCCTTTTCTGGATACTGATGCAAAAAAAGCAACTTCGCCTGTGGTTCCGGCAGCAAGGTGCCGGCTCGCCCGTGCGGTATTGTGAAGAAAAATCCTCCCTCTCCATATCAAAACGAATTTTCTGATGCCGGATTTCCCTACACAAATCAGAGCTGTCTTGCAGTAGGGGATTGGAGGCGTATGCCGTGCCTGAGTACAGAGCTTCTGACGTGGACGCTTAGCATCACAAATGTCTATGCTGTAGCCCAAGCAGCATCACAAACCGTCCGCATAATGCGGCGGAGACTTCAGAGTTGCCTTCTTGCAAGACAAGAGTGATTGGTGACCTCAAATCAGCAACGCAAATTTTCGGGGACATACCTTTTCATGGGGAGGGGAGATTTTTCCTCACAATATGCGGCCGCAGTTGACCTGGAAACAGCGGAAGGAGTACGAGCGGCGGAAAAGAAGTATCAATCTGCAAACCGCCCCTACCCCGGAATAATTAAATTGGGAACATGTTATTTCAATTGCAAGGTTTTCGTTTTGCAAGAAGATGAAAACGGTGTTGATTATCTTGTTGTATAGGCAGCCAGCAAGACACACAAGGGAAAACTTGTGTTGCAAAGCAGTTGAATCGACGAAGAGCGGGGCTTGCGATATGTACGTTCTTGGATCGGAAAGGAAAAAGACCCCGAGGCCGCTTCATCACGCAGGCTGAGACCATAATTCTTGCATAGTGAAACTTGCATCAGAAGCAATTCGCATTTTCCGGGGCGGGGCACTTGTCAGTGCGAAAAGAAACGAGGCGAAAAAACACGGCGGGGTCGGGATCGGGTTCGGCTTCGGCGGGCACAAAATGATCCAGGGGGGATTCTCGAAGATATAATAGCGAGAAGGGGCAGATCAGAAAGAGATTGATGTTGATCCTCATCAGGCCGCTCTATCGGGGAAGTTCTTGCGTGCGTCGAGGAAGTTGTGCACAAGAAGAGCTCCGGAATGGTGTAGAGCCAGGTCTGTCTCGAAGCATTTTCAGGGGGACCCGGGACAGACCATAGCCAAGTGTTAATGTTTTTTTACCACTTCTTGTTGTGCAAGAACGTTGAGCCGAACTCATTTATCAGGTCTACGGGTAGTACGCCCCCCAATAGCGCCGGAAAAAAATGTGTCTTATGCACAACTTCTACTTCGAAGATGAAGCTTCTAGATCGGGGTCATTTTTCCTTTTTGTTGACTCACCTGTAGGATGCTCATGAGTTAACAGGAGATAACAATGGGTGGCGCAAAAAATAAAAGAACAGCACGGCTGAAAAGGTTTCGAATAGTAAAATAATAAGCCCAATTTTTATACCCTGCAAGACTTTCCATTTTTGCTGTACAATGTAAGCAAATTTTGAGTTGCTGACTTGCAAACGGACACTTCAGATAAAAAGCAGAAACACGCGATCGCAGGAACCGCACTCCTGCGACGACGCCCGTGTAGCGTGCTTGTACTAGTTTCGACATAACGGTGGAATGGCAGATCTATTGCTTTCTTGTTACCAATGTAGTAGTACTCCGAGTAGTAGACGCATTTGCATTTCACGTCCCCTGGTCCGTTGCTAAAAAAATCGATCCGCGTAAGGAACAACAGATCGCTGGAATTCGCAGACACAGAGACAAAATCCAGTTCAAAAAAGTCATAGATGATCCAGATGAAAAGGTCAACCATTTCTTCAGCTGAGGAACAAAACGATCCAGACGATCGTTGAAGATGCTGTGAACTTCATAGGAAGGAAACAAGAACGCATTTCTTTGTGAAGAAACATGTGTGAAGAAATCCGAGGGTCGTGCGCTCGTCTCCGCACGAAACGCAACATTTGGTGATGATCCGAGGTTCTCGGAATCGTTGTTTCATGGACGAGCGAAAAAATGTTGATCACGATTTAGTTGTATCCGCCTTCGCGACTCTATAGAGTACTCGATCAAGAACTTGTGTGTGAATCCTTCTATCTACCTCCACGACCCCGATCCCGATCCATAGGAATGATCCCAAGTACCGTAGTACTTGTAGCTTGCATGATCACCTAGCTCGTGGCGTGATTTTTTCTTTTACGTCATTCCTTATGTTTCACAAGATGAGCAGGCGACTGTAGATGAAAAGTATAGGGCACATGTAAGTTGCTCGCGCACAATTTACCGTTCGTGCTACCCCATGAACAGTCGGATTATGAAGTAAGAGATAAAAACTTTAGTTTCACGGATAGGTTTAAGTGAAACTCGATCCTGCTGTTTTCTGACTTTTTTGCACCCGATTTTTCCTCTTTTTCAAAATGGCGAAGAAAGTTCTGAAAAAGAAAAAGCTTGTGGCAAAGACCACCATCGGCGATAGTAAAAAAACCACGAGGGCAAAAACGAAAACCACTACAGCGACAGAAGCGACACGTTCACTGGAAAACAAGAGTAAACAACATGTACCAGAAGCGCAAGAACGAGTTGTCACAGACGATGAAGAAAAAGAAGGAGGAGAAGCGCCGCAAGAAGTTCTAAGGCCTGCAAAGACTACTACTGTTCCCAGCACTACAGCAGCTACATCGACAAGAGCGAGCGAGAACAAAACCGCTGCGTCACGAGAGGTGAAAAAAAGCATGAAGAAGGTGAAAAAGCAATCCGGAGCGAAGCAGCTGACTGCCGGAACTACAACCGGGAGTCGGTTCTCTGCCAGTTCAAGTGAAGTCGGTGCGTGTAGTGCCTCGTCGTCCCGCGGCCCCTGGCACGGGTTTTCCGAGTTGCGGGTCGTGAGCAGTAGCAGTGTGTTGGAAAAGGGAACGAAGAGGAAAACAGCAGGACGAGCAACAACTGGCTGTACCACCAGGGCGAAAAGACCACACAACGACGACGACGACGACGATGGAGCAGAAGAAGTAGAAGCAGACCAGCCTTTGTTTTTGCACCGGGAGGTGCTTTTGCTCCTCAGAAAGGACGAAGCGGACCCCAACGTGTTGTTCGTCACCCATCTCGACGACCTGACGGAGCACGAGTTGAAGTGCTGCTTTCAGCAATTCGGGGAGATTGAGTCGTTGGTGGTCAAGGAAATGGAGCAGCGGGCCAGTTATCTGAAGAAAGACGGCGTGGTCACGAAGGTACGACGTATTTGATGATAGAGGGCTGATATGCAAGAAAGAACAGCTCCGCAAACTAACTGGGCCCTTAATATGTTTCTCGCATGTCAATTATGATTACGTACCCCGTATGCTACTTCGATTTGTGCATGAAAAAATCTAGCTTCCCCGTTGTCGAAAGAATTTCTGCAAAACAAAAAAACCGTAAACACCAACCTTTGAAGTAGCAGTAGGTTCCATTTTTATTTCATCAAACCACAAATCGCAGACCGCCTTCGCCTTGGTCCGGTTTGACAATTCGCAATCGGTGCGGGAAGCGCTCCAAAAAGCGGACAGTGGAGTAGCTGCGGCGCAGCGAGGTGGTCCTAGTCGTAGTAGAGCAACCAGCAGAATAGTAAACTCGGACGTTGAAGAGGAACGCGAGCAGAACGACATCTACTCTAACGTAATCCTGGTGCCGGAAATCGCGAAGAGCCTCGAAGAGAACTCGCTGCTGCGGCAAGCGCTGTTGAAACTGAAGAAAAATTTCTACCCGGACCCTGCGGAGTTGCAACAGAAGTACGACAAGTTCATGCACGAGTTCGAGAAACAGCAGGAGGAGCGGGAGAAGCAGCTGAAGCAGAAGCAAAACGTCCCCGACGAGGACGGTTTTGTGCTGGTGGATTCCAAAAAGGCCTTCAAGCCCGAGCGCATGGTCGGGGGGCCGGCCGGACCCGCCGCGGCGGGGATTTCATTCAGCCAGAACGCTGCAGGAGGCGGAGGAGGAGCATTGAATACTTCCTCGGGCGGGTGGAACAACAGCGGTTTAAACTTGATGAACACGTTACACAACAACGATTTTGGGTCCAGCGGGACGTCCGGGTTGTCCCGGAAGCAGAGAAGGAAAAAGGAGAAGAAGCTCGAGAATTTCTACAATTTTCAGGTCAAGGAGAAGCGGGCACAAGAGATGAAACTGGAGGAAAAAAAGTTCGACGAGTTTGAAAGGAGCGGAAAGGCGAAGAATTTGGCGCAGTTGGTGTGATGATGGTGATGTTGATGTTGATGAAGGGAGTTTTTTCAGCAAAGAATCATCCTCTGCACAGATCCTTTTGGGAAGACCGATAGTGTAGTCTCGGCAACACTTCTTCATCGTCATCAGAAGGATTCTTGCATTGGTCCTCCATAGGTAGCACCTGCTTCCGCATTGTTCACAACTGCGCAACCTACAGCTACACCGCAATGACGGCTGCTACGTAAATCATCAAATCGAGTCGTGTTAGAAATGTTGGCTATACAAAGCAAGGTAAAAAATGGCCGTGTTCGATACAGGTGGAGAAAGCTGCACTCGTCTTGATCGGTCAGTCGGTCTGTGTCTGAAGAAGAAATTTCGAGGCGGCTGGAAGTTATCTATTTCGACAATCTTGTAGATGTGTGGAGTTCAAAAAGGTCACTTTGCTCGCTCTTTCATCGTTAACTGTGTGAACAACAAAACCCAGCCACCTCCATTCAACACACCACCTTGTCTATCAATTTCAGTAAAGGATGGTCGGTAGTACCTATCGAGTCGTCGGTAGTTTTTTTTTGCACCAGCCAACATTTTTTTTTGCTAATGAGACGTGTGAAGTAGAGCATCGATTGCGATTCAGTTTGTCGTTCAGTATTAATTTTCTCGGTTAAGTTCTAATATTCCGAGCTACACCTACAACTGGAACACGGTAAAGTGCTCTGTCACTCAGAGAAGTTGTAGCGCGTATTGTACATTCGTTTCTTTGTAATTATGGTATATGTACAACTCTTCGAAGATTTGGGAAGTTGCATTCGTCTGTTGAAGCCTTGTTTCTCTGGATAAGAAAAGAATTATTCGTCGAATTGCTGGAATTATCTGTTCTCGCCCTTTCAAAGAGGACAAGTTGAATTTTGCGGAGACAAAGAAGCGTGACCACCGTGTCTGCTTGCGAAGAAACAAATGCCGCGAGGACCGGTAAGTCTGCCCTCCGTTGGTCCCAGCGGGAGCGGGTCAACATTCCGCGACTATATGGAGCAGTCCGCCGCGCAACAAAATTATGGCACCACCGATACGGCTTCTGCAACGCCAAGAGATCATGAAAGCAACGGAAAAATGAACTACAAGGTTCAACATTTTTACCGTGCAAGTACCAGTACTGAAGAGCAGCAGAACAAAATCTTCGGGCGTCGACCTACTGTGGGCTACAACAACTCGACGTCGGGGAAAGCGCCGCCGCCCAAGCCACCGCCAGCACCACAGGCCAGAAAGAACTTTTACCGGTTTTCTACAGTGAGCAAAAGCAGTGGAGATCATGGCGAGCACCAGGCAGAACTGCACGAGAAAAAGGAGCAGCACTATGCTTTTTCCACGGAGACGCCCACTGTGACGGTCGCGAGAGGAAATATTTTTACAGGTGTAGTCACGCCGCGGGAGATATCAAAAGATGCAAATAGCGATCAATCTGGGTCTGGAAGTAGTAGATTGCAAGACTTTTGTGTCATGCTTTTTTTTTATCCTGTTCCACCATAGAAGTTGGACTAGTTCTGAACTCTGTTTTTTAGCGTGTGGGGGAATGACGCTGCTTCTTTGCCATGCAAAATTGCGGCCGCTCATCCGCATAATAGCGTTTAAGTATTTTGCGCAGTAAGGAACTGCGCAAGTGGAAAAATTTGCCGTGCATGAGTACTACAGTCACTTGATCACTTTTCGTATATGACCACTAGCATGTTCTTGACCGCAACTTTTACTTCGTTCCAGCCCCAAACGTGTTTGCCTTGCATAGCCCGGGCATGATTACAGCGGGATGAATTCTGTAGCAGTCGGGGCGCCACAGCAGTCGGGGCGGCCACGAGCACAGCTACACGCAGACCGCCAGCAATCCATTCGGACGCCACGGGGACAGCATGTCTACAGCTACACGAGGAGCCCGGTGACCACGACGGCCTATCTGAATTCCCAGAAAAATCTGGACCACAAGTATGCATGGCAACCACTTGTTCAGTGGTCCTCTGGGTCGGGAAATCAGTGCGTTTATTTGCGAGGCTGTCGTGCTGCGAGTGCAGCTCCCAGTCTAAAATCTACACAAAATAAATCAGTACTGCATGTAGTTGAGCGGCATTATACCGTGTGTCTGTTCGTCGTGGTCTTGTCACCCCGACAGGCTGATTTTCTCTTCATTCGGAATATTGAGAATTTATTTTGAGAAGTAGAACAAGGACAAGCGTCGATCAGACTGGTCATGTGCCATACAGCCACGCATTTCCGATCTTTCCCCATGTGATGAAGACCAAGTAGCAATTAGAAACCTAAACCGCACGAACAAAATCCTACTTCTGCACACAAGAATTTCCCTGACAATGATTTGGATTGGAGTGGATAGCAACCAGCGACAGGCAACGCCCCGGCAGCGCCAGCGGATGGTGACGCCGAGAAACGAGCGGCTGCGGATCCGTATCTCCCGCCAGAGAGGAGTCATTACTAGCGTAAGTAAGTAGTTGTGCACACTTCATCTTGATGCCATTGTGCAAAGATACTTAAAAAGGGCAGGAAGAATCGTCATCGCCGCTGGGTCTGTGCCATGCCGTTCGAAAGTCTAAGGCAGATGTTTGTAAGTCACCTCTTATTTATATTTTTACAAATCAGTTCTTCCTCGTCGCTGCTATATGCTCACTGCGTTTATCTTTCGTATGAAAATGAAATATGCTAGTTCTGCTCTCATTTTCAACATCCCCCGGGATAAACGTCGCGGAGATTGAGAGGAATGCGCAAATGCAATTTGATTCGTACAAAGAGGTGGAACAGAGCCAGAGCCTGCCGTCGTCCTCGTCGTCGTCGTATGGGCACCAGATGACGGGCGAGAAAACTACGCTTATGGAAAATTACGCTTCCTTTTTTGGCCTCCCTTGGCTGCGGGCCTTTGTCTCAAGCAATAGAAAAAAACGACCTGTTTCGGAAAGACGCAGCTATTTTCGCATGATAACTGGAAAGATCCAAGCTGCATGTCGGCCTGTAATGCAACTTTATGAGCTAAAAACAAATTCTTGTCGACCTTTTCAAGCAAAAATCACGGCTATCAAAAAGAGCAGAAGCACAGGGGTAGCTTAGCACTTTGCATGAGTAGAAATGAGGGCGGGCGAGAGGGGGAGGTCTTGTTGTCCACGGGCATAAAAAACAAGATCGATGGTGCAGCCGTATCATATCTGGGCCGCGCAAATGGCGAACCTGAGGAGGTGGTGAATGACTACGTGGTGAATGACTACACTGGTGATGTGGTGAACGTGGACCTTCCGAAGCCGATATCCTGAGTACTTACAAATGTCCCCACGTCGACCCCATGGTCGAGATGGAAATCCTACAGCACAAATTCAGAATTTTTGGGAGTCACGCATGACATAGTGTAGTCGTGTTTAGCTAGTGCAGCCGCGTCAGATGAAATCGACAGTCCTATTCTGCTCATAGCATGAGTATGACAAGTCTCCAAACAGGGCTAGACAATGGCTCTATTGGTTTGCTGTGCGACGAGGCATGTTTTGAGCACGCGCATTCGCATGACAATAAGCATGGGGCCCCCGCGGGGACGTTTTTACACAGGATGGCCGAGTTTCGTCTATCAGAATTCCAAAATCGATCTGAAGGGTCTCCTGCAGCAGCCAGAGACCAACATGGCTGACAAACACGAGCCTCGTTCTGCAGGAGCGGAAGGGGACGTCGAGGAGAACAAGCCGCCACCCACGGCACGGCAGGAGCCGGTGCAGCATCGCAGTGCGGTGGCGGATTTGCTGACCAAAGTACTGCTGGAACAAGGGGCCCCCGACGGGCCCACCAAAAAGCAAAATTTCCTCGGTCAGGAAGAGGAGAAGGAACAAGAACAGGGAACTTCTAGGAGGGCGACTGATAATAATGCTTGGTACAGTATCGCATTTAAAAACATCCCCACCCCATAGTTGTAATGCAAACCTGCATGCTGAGAATGTTTCTCATGCGGAGCCCCATGAGAAGCATTCTCTTTTCGCGTTTTGAGATTTGTCATGCTCCAATTAGCATGGTATACTGGATGTGTGATGCTGCTGAGCTGCCTCAAACAGCACTACACTACGAGTCCAAACTTGTCACGCAAAAGAGCCAAGCCTTGTGGATTTGTCTAGCCGATTCCCCATGTTGACTTTCGGGTGGGGAAAATTTTACATAGGATATACAGAAGTAGTACTACTAGCAGCCACGACACCTGTAATAGTCAGCCGCGGCAGGGGCAGTTTCCGCCCTCTTCTGCCGCAACAGCGACCCGGGGTCCGCTATCACGAGAAAAAATCCCCCCTCCCCATATGAAAAGGAAGTTTCTTATGCTGGATTTGCGTATACAAATCAGGTTTATTGTCTTGCAGTAGAGGACAGCAGGCTCCTGCCAAGCCTGAGTAGAGAGCTTTTGGCACTTAGCATGAGAAACGTGTATGCTGTAGGCCCAACAGAATCATAAACCGCCTGCATAATGCGGCAGAGCCTGCGGAGTTGCCTTCTTGCAAGACAGACGCGATTTGTGGTCTCAGCCCATACCTTTTCGATATGGGGAGGGGGGATTTTTCCTCTCAATATCCGCCTCCAGCTGTCCGCAAGAATTTGCAGGACATCTTCGGACTTCGAGAAAATGGAAAAAATGCAAAGTACGGTCGGGATTTTCTTGTTGAAAACAACCGTGGCAGTGGTACCAACACAGGAGGCACTACGAGCAAAAGTAGTTGTCATGGGGTGAAAAACAACAACTTATTTTTCCAGAACCCACCTGCGCAGAGTTGTCGTTCCTGTGCCGGTCGTGAGGATCAAAATGAAATGCAAGGCAACAACTTTTTCCGTGACTATTACGTCGACGCGTGGCTGCAGTACGAAGACGCATGGGACGAGTTCGAGAAGGAAGTTATGAAATGCAAATATGTCTGGGTCTGGAAGATTCTAAACTTGTGATGCTGTGTCTGGATTCTAAAAGAAATTGCATTGCATGACCAGCAAGAGGACTCCAGTTTCTGCCACGCGGAGAGGACATTTCTCGTTCGGTAGAGGCATCACAAAGCCCTCGAAAGAGCTGTGATGCTAGAGCATGCATCAGATCAGACATCATGCCATGATGTCTGCATATTCTGAATGGCCCATGATGGGCCATTCAGAATATGCATGACAAGCCTGGCAATCTCCCAGACCCAGACATTTTTGCATTTGATAGAAGTGAGTGGCAAACAACAGCAAATCCGGCTTCTCAGCGACATCCCGTTTCCGCCCGGACACACGAATCCGCGGACGTCGCTGCTGACCCGCGCCACGAACCAGATTTCAGTGAAGGATGCTTATTACAAACTGGTGCTCCGGTACCACCCGGACAAGTTTCTGCCGAAGTTTGGACATCGGGTTTATTGTGGCGCCCCAAGTGGTCTCCATCTAAGCGAGGAGGAGGATATTAAGACAGGGCGGGACAATCTGGAAAGAGAAATTGTGAAAAAAATCGAACAGATTTGCCATCGTTTGAACCAAGAATGGAAAGGAAAACATCACCTCGTCCAGGGTAAGAATTGTACGTAGATGCGATTCCGGGAAAGACAAAAACACATAGAACCGTCGTGAAATACAAGGACTTCGTTTCGTAGTAATGGCTCCACCTCCGAAAATTAGAGGTGAAAGAAGGACGCCTTCATGTAATTGGTACAGATTGAATATGAGGAATTCCTCCTTGTATAGTACTGCGTGATAAACATCGTTCTTGTTCAGAGATATTATTCGTTGTATTCGTTTTTATTCGTGGTCTGTTGTGGTAAAAAAGAATTACAACCAGTCCGTATATATATGTGCCACGCTTTCGCGCGGCCACCCTGTATCTATCCGTACCACGTGCAGAAATCCCCATGGATCCCACCGTGCTGGAGCCACGACAGCACAAGTCGTTACCTCGCAGGACTCCCCAAGTCGTAGTGAAGTCATCGTCCGTTCCGGTCGTTTTCAGCTACTTTCGTTCATGCTCACGACCACACCGTGCAAAAAGCAGCTCGCTTGCCTGAACTTTTCTCGAATATTACCCTGATGAAAAGACAGCATCAATAGCTGCAGTTCCCAAGATTTTTTTTCTGTGTGCGAGAGGCTCATGGAAGCCACTCAGTGAAACTCAAGTAAGTAGTAGACCTTTTTACCGACACAAAAACAGTTCTTCCGGCAGGAACGGAAAAGGAGCTGCTTTGCAGGACAAAGTAAAAACGATACTAGTAGAACCGCCAAAATGATGAAGAAGATCGCGCTGATCGCCTTTGCTGCCCCCGGGGGGGGGGCGGTCGTGTCCGCCCTGCAGAAGAAGGCCGGCACAGCAACACACTCCTGGGAGGGAAGCGAGGAGGTGCCGACCGGTTTCATTCAGCATGACCGGAAGAAAGGCGGAGCGACAAAGGTGGAGGCCAAGAAAAGCGGGAAAAAATCGAAAACCAGCCGCAAATCGAAGACCGGGAAGATGAGTACAACATCTGGCGGTTCCAACAAATCTGACGAGGATCATATCACGAGAAAAATCTGTCTCAGTCTCAACTTGTAATGCGGGCGCTCCTTGAGACACTTCTTTGTCACGCTGCACATGCAAGAAAGGCGGCTTTCATCCGTGTTGTTTTCTCTTGTGTCTGACGCATCACACTTCACTCAAACTCATGACTGCTGTGTCTGCAAAGGTTTGAGACGGAGAAAGCTTTTTCCTTGCATAGATTACGGTGCGGATAATTGGTGGAACCAAGCATGGAACTTGCTGGGTTGGGCCTGGAGAAAAATCCGATCCTCGCTCCCAGGTTGGCTTCCCGGACACGAAAGTATGCGTTGCAAATATGTCTTGGTCTTTAAGGTTGCGACTTGTGTCTTCGTCCCGTAGATCGGGGAAAAATTTGTCCTTTGGAGGTAGCACGAGACGCCCATTTTCGGTCATGCTGAAGCGGTACGTCTCAGGCGGAATATGCATTCGCAAAATCCTTACAAAATCTATGATAAGTACTATCCCCGGCAATCCAGACCTGGCGAGGCATCCAAAATCTGCATGGTAAACACGTGGACTCATCCAGACCCAGACGTATTTTCACTTTGGATATCAAATGAATTGAACAACAAGTTGGCACGTGAATTGGAACTCGCGGAACATAGACACCCCGACCTGTTTGACGAATGTCATAGATTCAGGCAGGGGGGAGATGGCAGAGAAGCTATCATGCGCTGGCGAAGAGAAGGAGCATTGTCTCGTGATGCCAGCGTGGAGGAAGAGCGGTGGAAGATCTGGCAGTTGTGGCTGCGGGAAAATCACCCTGATACAGCTGATCGCGAGGCTAGGTGGATGCGGGACAAGTACCCTGATGACGAGGCTATTTGGAGCGAGACTGCTGAGACTGAGTCTGAGACGAGTCTATCGGATCTAGAGGACGTGGCCGAGGTATCGGGCGGGGTGGGCGAAGATATGCGTTGCAAATATGTTTGAATCTTGCGACTGAGTCCTGTATATCTGGCAAAAATTATTTGTCCTGCGTTCGTAGCACAAGATGCCCATTCTCGGCCATGCTGAAGCGGTAATTTTCATGCGGAATATGCATTGCAAAGTCCTTACAAAATCTATGACAGAGAATTTTATAAACAATACGAGTCGTATTAGACCGACACAGAAATCGAGTGAAATCGTATTGGTCTCATTGCTCGCATTGGTCGCCTCGTATTGACGTGGCGCCAGGACCCCCAAGATGGTCCGCCCAGCCGCCCGCCCCAATTGGTTGGTATACCGCGACGGCGTCGCGAAAAACGACGGCGCGCCGCTTTGAGCGCCGCTTTGAAACTTTTGAAAGTAAGTAGCCGCGCCACTTTGAGAAAAAAACTCGGCGCCGCGCCTGCGGCGCGGCTTTTCCTTTTGGTAAACAAAAACTAATAATTGAATGAGAACTGGCGGGCCGACGCTTGTTGGCAACGTCACTGCTTTCAAATACGCCCGCAAAGCAGCGCTGCTGCTATCGCGCCCCTGACTCTTATGCTTTGCCGCATGAGCTCCAGGGGCCGGACAGAGTCAAGAATCGCCGCTATTCACCGGCGCCCGAGCTGGTTCCATGCTTGGGCTCAGCAGGCTAGTAACAAGCTTAGTTAGATGAGGTAGGGGGGCCTCTCTCTCGAGATTTAGTCGTCCCCGTCAGAGGGGACGAGAACCCGGCCGCGCATCATGTCCCGCGCCCGTACTGTGTCAGCTTAATAGAGGGGAAGGCCCTATGAAGATCGCAGCATCAGGCGTGGGGCCACATATTTTCAAACGGAAGCACGGGTAGGGTGTATCGGCGACGGGGGGAGGCAGGAGCCGCCGCCCGCGCTCGTATCGGGTTCGTATTGGTCCGATTGCTCGTATTGGTCGCCTCGTATTGAATCTGAAACCTTATAAAATTCTCTGCTATGATAATCCCCGGCATTCCAGACCTGGCGGGGCATCCAGAATCTGCATGGTGAACACGTTGACTCATCCAGACTCAGACGTATTTGCACTTGATATGCACTGCGGACACTGTGAACAACGTGAATTTGGCCACGCACCTTGCTCCCATTGTTGAAGGTGCCGTTGCCGCAGCTTTCTAGTGTTTTGGAACTGGTACTACTCCGTGACTTTTTCTACCTTGCTTTACTCAGTTTCGGCGCATGATTAGCAGTCACAACAGCAAAAGCGTGCTTACTTTGGATTAATGGCTTTTCTGCAAGGCCACGGGTAGAGCGAGAGCGGCATGCGAGACGCTAAAGCATGATGCTGCGTGGGCCCAAAGAGAAGCTAGCGACAAATCAACTTGTTGGATTTGTCCTTGAGCACTCGTGGGATTAGGTTCTTTTCACCGTGGGGGATGTAATAAGCAGAGCGGCCGACCCTTCGAACTACCGGGGTCGGTTGCCGCTGCGGTGCGCGAATTCGTCGAAAACGTCCCCTCAAAGTGAAGAACGTGACGGCGTTATTGAGCAGCAAAGAAACAGTGAGCGCGTCCTGGACATGAGTGCTACAGACAGTTTGCTTCGCCTCCTTCATGTGCCCAAACCCAGTGCTTCACAACACCCATCATTAGCAGCGTTGCTTGATAGGATCCATCTTTCGCAGCGTACCTAGTGCTACGCTGTGATTGCTGTGACTGCTAGTTTTTTGCTTTTGTGGAAAGTAAATTTATTATGTCGTGTACTCACTCAATTGTTCATGATGTTATCTTCTGCTTATGAATAACCCAATTCAACAACTGATCCATCACTTTCAGGCACGCGCACGGCCGCACCAGAGCGGGGCGATGCGGTTCAATGGGTTAACGGGTTTTGAAGTTTTTCTTTCTCGGGTTTAGGAAATCTGTACTGAGTTATTTTCTTTTCATTTTCCTACGAGTTTAGTTCTTAAATAAACAGCAAAAGCAGCAACAAGACTTCTTTTCGACAGTTTAATGCACATTGTTCCATAACAGGTTATCAATTTAGTTCTCGGGTATCAAGTAGCTTCAGCGCCTCCATTTTATTCATCTACAGGTCAGAGAAAATAATTGCATTGATCGATTTCTATCGCAGCAACGGAGTTTGTTGTTTTTGATTTTTCAACTAGCATTAAAAGACGTTTCACGCGCGTTCTCACGTTCCGCTTGACAACAATCAAAGTCAAGCAAACAAATAATTACTCAAATCGTTTCGCATCATAATAACTTTATTGCCCATCATCTCTCTGTCACGGACCTGCTAAATCTTTATCTTTCATCCCTGAGGAGAACTGCATAGCCTGCAGCGAATGCGGTCTATCCGTTTTTTCTTACCTGGCCTGCGTGCGTCGCAGGTAACACACAACAGTTTTGGATGGAAATGCCTACCCGTGATAGCATTATTTTCACAGTCCTTCATGCAAGAACCTTGCAGCAAGATGTTTTAGCAGCTTCTTCTTTTTTTTGGTTGGTTTGGAGTGCATACCTTTTATACTAGCGTTTTCGGCAGAGCTCTCCCACGGGATGTGCTTATGCGTTCCGCCTCCGGCTGTTGAGAACGAGCAGCCTCTTGGACTCCAAGAAACATGAGCTGCAATAATTGTACGTCGTAGCATCAACTGAGGAAGCGCGTGCTCAATAGTACTGCTGTGCACTAGATAAAAGCTTTAGTGTAAAAGGTAAGAAACGACTTCAGAGGTTTCACCGTCCGGAGAAAAGACGAAGGATAGTGAATAAACTGTAAAAGCAGGGGCGTTGCAGTTTTATCCAAATTGCAATGTTAGGATCGGCGTGAACATCTTGTCGGACCTGTTGGAATTTGCTAACATATTTTACCTATTGGAAAAACGCAAAAAAATTACATATGAGAAAAACACAGGCTGTTCGTTAGATTCGAAACACATCAATCATCTTGAAGCTGTTCAATTTCGATTCATTTTCGCATTACAGATCCAGTTCTGGGTAAATGCTATTGCTTTCGAGTACGGAAAAATTGAAATTCTGAGTTCCGAAAAAGCGCATGGTCAGCACATCGACACATAGAGAGATCGTTCTTGAAATTTTTGACGTGGTCTTTATGGCTGCAGATCCCCGCTCTTCGCATGAAAATCATAATCACGCTCCTTCCATCCTATTTTCACTTACCTGTATTGACGCGTATAAATATTATGTATGTTTGTTTTCGTGACTAGCCGGCAAGTAGAGTTTTTAGTTAGGTCGTGGTATACGCTAGTTATGCATTTCGTTTCTGCGGTGAACCGGTACCCACGGGCGCAAAACGATCGACCAAATGCTAACTAGGGGAGCACCCACGTGGTAGGCTGGGCGCAGCGCTACTTGGTCGTAGTGCTCCAGCTTCCGCCATGTGGGACCCCGTGGGCAGAAGTATCCACACTCGCGCCGCGCCCATTTCTAGCTAGGGACTCACGTAGTCGCTTCCTTCTTCATTTTCCAAAAAACCCCTCACAGGATGTGCTTTCACAATTATGCTCGGTTCGCTATGCTACAGTGCTTTTTTTCAAACTTCCCTTTGGGATTTTAGTTTTCAACATATGAGAAAAACACAAAAAAATTACATATGAGAAAAACACAAAAAAATTACATATGAGAAAAAAACAAAAAAAATTACATATGAGAAAAAAACAAAAAAAATTACATATGAGAAAAACACAAAAAAATACACATGGGAAAGGCATATTAGAAAAACGCAAAAGGCTACAGGCGCATCAAAAAGTGCGCCGTTTTTTTTGATCTTCGTCGTTGTTCTATCTTGTGCTGCGATCCAGGGGAAGACAAAAACACATAGGACCGTCGTGAAATACAAGGACTTCGTTTCGTAGTAATGGCTCGACCTCCGAAAATTAGATGGGAAAGAAGGACGCTATCATGTAATTTGTACAGATTTCATATAAGGAATTCCTCCTTGTATAGTACTGCGTGATCAACATCGTTCTTGTTCAGAGATACTATTCGTTGTAATATATTTCGTTTTTATTCGTGGTCGTGGAGTAAAGACAAAGTGAAAGTTCGTTTTTGTTGTGGTAAAAAAGAATCACAGCCATTCCGTATATATATGCGCCACGCTTTCGCGCTTCCACCCTGGATCTATCCGTACCACGTGCAGAAATCCCCATAGATCCCACCGTGCTGGAGCCACGACAGCACAAGTTGCTACCTCGCAGGACTTCCCAAGTCGTAGTTAAGTCATCGTCCGTGCCAGTCGTTTTCAGCTACTTTCGTCCATGCCCACGACCACACCGTGCAAAAAGCAGCTCGCTCGCCGGAACTTTTCTCGAATACATAGTACTATCGATTGAATTTCACATAGCTAAGTGTGCCTGCTTAGGGTTCTGTTGCAAGTGTGGCATTATTCTGAAAAGACAGCATCAATAGTGACTACATCAATTGCTGCAGTTCCCAAGATTTTTTTTCTGTGCGCGAGAGGTTCGTGGAAGCCACTCTCTCAGTGAAACTCAAGTGAGTAGTAGACCTTTTTACCCACATAAAAACAGTTACTCCGGCAGGAACGGAAAAGAAGCTGCTTTGCAGGACAAAGTCAAAGCGATACAACTAGTAGAATCTCCAAAATGATGAAGAAGATCGTGCTTGTCGCCGTTGCTGCCCCCGGGAGGGGGGGGCCGGTCGTGTCCGCCTTGCAGAAGAAGGCCGGCACAGCAACACACTCCTGGGAGGGAAGCGAGGAGGTTCCGACGGGTTTCATTCAGCATGACCGGAAGAAAGGCGGAGCGACCAAGGTGGAAGCCAAGAAGAGCGGGAAAAAATCGAAAACCAGCCGGAAATCGAAGACCGGGAAGATGAGTACAGCATCTGGCGGTTCCAAAAAATCTGACGATGATGATGATGACGATGACGAGGATCATATCACGAGAAAAATCAGTCTCAGTCTCAACTTGTAATACGGGCAATCCTTGAGACACTTCTTTGTCACGCTGCACATGCAAGAAAGGCGGCTTTCATCCGTGTTGTTTTCTCTTGTGTCCGACGCATCACACTCAAACTCATGACTGCTGTGTCTGCAAAGGTTTGAGACGGAGAAAGCTTTTTCCTTGCATAGATTACAACGGGGATTGGTGGAGCCTACTCAACTGGTTGTGGCGCGTGAAGGCCTTGGTTTATAAGGAAAGGACCGTGACCCCGCAGGAAAGTATGCGCTGCAAATATGTCTTGGTCTTCAAGGTTAGAACTCGTGTCTGCGTCCTCTAGATCGGGCAAAAGTTTGTCTTTCGGAGGTAGCACAGGATGCCCATTTTCGGTCATGCTGAAGCGGTAAGTCTCAGGCGGAATATGCATTGCAAAGTCCTTACAAAAATGATAAGTAACTGCTATCCCCGGCTTTGCAGACCTGGCGAGGCATTTAAAATCTGCATGGCAAACACGTGGACTCATCCAGACTCAGACGTATTTTCACTTGACTAACAAATTTTCAAGTGCATTGTCTACCTCCCAATCACGTTTTCCGGATCAGCATACGGAATTTAAGCAGTGGGCATATCATACGGACGAGGGCTGGCGGACTTTCAAGACTTGGAAACAAGAGTTGGAGGCTGCCGGAAAAAGCGATCCGGAAGTGGACCTGGAGGTCTGGCTTAGATATATGGATCAATACCACGAAGGGGAACATGCGAGGAGACTAGTTTGGGGTGACGAGGCGAGCGAGGCCGAGGCGAGCGAGGCCGAGACTGCTGAGACTGAGAGTCTATCGGATCTAGAGGACATGACCGAGGTATCGGGCGAGTTGAGCGAAGATATGCGTTGCAAATATGTCTGAACCTTGCGACTGAGTCCTGTATATCTGGCAAAAATTATTTGTCCTGCGGAGGTAGCACAAGATGCCCATGCTCGGCCAGGCTGAAACGGTAGTTCGCATGCGGAATGTGCATTGCAAAGTCCTTACATAATCTATGATGATCCCCGGCATTCCAGACCTGGCGGGGCATCCGGAATCTGCATGGTAAACACGTTGACTCATCCAGACTCAGACGTATTTGCACTTGATATGCACTGCGGAGACTGCGAACAACGTGAATTTGGCCACGCACCTTGCTCCCCTTGCTGAAGTAGGTGCCGTTGCTGCAGAGCGCTAGTGTTTTGGAACTGGTACTCCGTGACTTTTCTACCTTGCTTTACATACCCAGTTTCTGCGCATGATTAGCAGTCACAGCAGCAAAAGCGTGCTTTGGATTAATGGCTTTTCTGCAAGACCACGGGTAGAGCGAGAGCGGCATGCGAGACGCTAAGCATGATGCTGCGTGGTTCCAAAAAGGCGCTAGCGACAAATCAAGTTCTCGGATTTTTCCTTGAGCACTCGCGGTACAATTAGGTGCTTTGCACCGTAGGGGATGTATTAAGAAGAGCGGCCGACCCTTAGCACTACCGGGGTCGGTTGCCGCACGGTGCGCGAATTCGTCGAACTCGCTCCCTCAAAGTGAGAAAACGTGACGGCGTTAAGTACTGATCAGCAAAGGATATGAGTGCTGCAGACAGTTTGCGCCTCCTTCATGTGCCCAGTGCTTGACAACGCCCATTATTAGCAGCGTTGCTTGACAAGATCCATCTTTCGTAGCGTACCTAGTGCTATGATGTGATTGCTGTGACTGCTAGTTTTTTGCCTTCGTGGAAAGTAATTTGTTATGTCGTGTACTCACGCAGTTGTCCTGCTTACGAACAACCCAAATGATCCATCACTTTCAGGCACAGCGGTACCAGAGCGGGGCGATGCGGTTCAATCTGTTAATGGGTTTTGAAGTTTTTCTTGTTCGGGTTTTTTAGGGAATCTGTACTGAGTAATTTTCTTTTCTTCGTACGAGTTTGGTTCTTAAACAGCAACAGCAGCAGCAATACTTTTTTTCGAAAGTTTAATGTACATTGTTCCATGAAAGTTTATCAATTCAGTTATCGGGTATCAAGTAGCTTCAGCGCCTTCATCAGAGAAACGACTTCAGAGCTTCATCATCCGGAGAAAAGACGAAGGATAGTGAAACTGTCAAAGGGGCGTTGCAGTTTTATCGAAATTGCAAGCTTAGGATCAGTGTGAACATCTTGTCGGACCTGTTGGAATTTGCTAACATATTTCACAAATTGCAAAAACACAAAAAAAAAAATACATATGAAAAAAAATTACATATGAGAAAAACACAAAAAAATACATATGGGAAACGCATATTAGAAAAACGCAAAAGAATACACGTGCGTCAAAAAGTGCGCCGTTTGTTTTGATCTTCGTCGTTGTTCTATCTTGTTGAGAACAGAAACTAAGCAAGGTCGTGAAAGAAGTGCAAGGACTTCGTTTCGTACTACCGGATCCACCTCCTAGTATTGTTGATATTATTTCAGAGTTGTACAGATCGTCTTCCTGGTCTATTTTCACGGCGATTCGTCTTGCTGTTCTAACGCCACGACGATTTTGCGTATTCTTTTCGCGGAGCGATTCGTTTTTCTGAAGCAAGGCCACAGCGAGAGACGAGCGTAACTAGGCAAAGAAGCTGAGAGCTATATCCCCTCGACTTTTTATCGCGTTTCCTTCGTTTTTTTCAGTCTCATAACCATATGTAGTGGTATCCAAATTTGGAAAACGGCGGCGTTTGCTCTTTTGCGCTGTCTTTTCGCGCTGCCTTTTTTAGTGCCGCCCTTTTTTGCAACTGCGATGACGCGAGCAAGGTCCTTAAAGCTGCATGCTCAACGCGTAATGACCGCTGTTAGTACTCCAAAGACTGACGGAGCTTGTCGACGTGAGAGCTAGTTTGCCGCAAAGGTGCTCGTTTTATTTGTGTGCTGGAGAGTGACTGTGATCTGGTGTCGAAGAGTGCGTGTTATTGCCGCGAGGTAGTCTTCCTTTTTGATCTAGAACTTCCGCATTTATTGACCAAAGATATACAACGAGTAGTAGCACGACGGGTTGTGTGTCGTCGAATGTTCAGTACAGCAAAATGAAGACCGAAAATCCGACGTACAACCGAAGATTCTTGAAGAAGCAGGGCTGAATGTTGCGCCGTGTGACGAAAATGAGGTTTTCTTCTACGAGGCGGAGCAATGGGTTTTGTTTCCGCTGCTTCCTGTTGGTCGTGCACATGTTCTTGGGCGGCACCTGGAAAAATGATTTTTACCTCTCGAACGTTCTACTGACCTCTGCCAGAATAAGCAGCAGCGGAAAGGAACAGCAAATCCCGCCCGGCGAAGGAGGTTTGTCCGAAGGTCGTGCAGGGCCTGCGTCTTCTACTTCCGTAGACGATGAACACGCAAGGTCAGAAAGCCTGCCGTCAACAGATACTAGCAAAAATGTTGGAAACACCGAGGATATTGCGCAAGATGCTACCTCGGTCGCGGCACGACAGGGGGGTCGCGCGCTGTCGTCTGTCGTGGTTCTTGAAAAGGAGCCGGAAGTACGACACCACCCCCTGCACATTATTCCGGACGACACCTCCGTCCCGGCCTCCTCCGTGTTTGAAACCCGAAAGCAGAAAACGAGCAAGCACGTCCCCGAAGTCAGCGCGCCCGCGCGCGACGGGCCCTATCGCGCGGAAAAATGCCCCCACCCCCAAAGTTGCAAAAATTTGTGTATGCAAAGTTTCCAAGTGAAAACTTTTTGTCATGCATGAAACGAGTATGAAGATGAACCTTTCTGATGCAGAGTCTAGGTGTGTGTTGCATCGCTTGCATGATAAGCGCCGCTCTTGCTGGGATCTTTTGCAATACAGATTTTTGCTATAATTCACGATTTGAAATCTGTGATGCTGATAGATGCAAGAGAACGAATGTTTCATTTGAAAAGGTTTGCAATACAAATGCTCCCAAGTTCGGGGGTGGGGGCATTTTTCATTGTAATAGGCCCACGATCTACGGCGCACTGGAATTCCCCGACGAGCCACAGCTGAAGTATCCTGAGTAAAAACGTACCCACACCAGAGTTAGGATGAGGATTTGTAGATGGCCCTGTAGATGTCCCTGTAGCGTTGTTGTACAAGTCCCGTAGACGCATGCTGATCACAATGAACCGCGGTGGAGGAGGAGCAGAGCAGAATCCATTCTTAATCCTCCCTGAACAGCTGGATCTGCACTACTACTCTTTGATTATGGTTTATAGTGGATCTCATACAAAAAAAAAGTTAGGATGAGGATTTTGCAACACAAACCTAGGAGCTTTGTGAGTCACGCATGACAAGTTGAGCGCTGCAGTGTAGTGCAGGTTAGCAAGTGCAGCCGCATCACAAATCCAGCTGCTCATCCTGTTCACAGCATCACAAATTCCAAAACACGATTGGAAATGGCTCTCATGGGGATGCGCATTACAAGTCTTCCTGTCTTTGCGAGTCTGCATTACAACTCTGGCGTGGGTACGTTTTTACTCAGGATATGAAGTTTGGCGAAATTATTCCGGATTTGGAGGCGCGAGAAGGGGGCGACGAGGTGGCAGACGAGGACGACAACTCTGATTTCCATCAGAGGAGTACCGCGGACGAGGAGGTATTGTGAGGAAAAATCCGTTCTCCCCATAGTATCGAAAAGGCGTGCTTTTCAAAATTTGTGATGCTGATTTGTGGTCACAAATCGAGTCTGTTTTGCAAAAGATCAAAGCCAGAGCTTCCGCCGCATTTCGCAGGCGATTTGTAATGCTGCTGCGCCAATGGGGCAGACGTCTGCCATGCTAAGTGCCTACCTCAGGCCACTCCTTTCCGGGCTTTGTATCTGCCTGCAGTGCCCTACTGCAATACAAGACTGATTTGTGTACTACGCAAATACAGCGCCACAGACTTCCCTTTTGATATGGGGAGGGGGGATTTATTTTTCATTTTGATAGGAGGAGCTGCATCGCCACACGGTCGAGGAACTCCCGGCGGACGACGAGTTGTCCTGGGAAAACAAATATCCTGAGTAAAAACGTACCCACACCAGAGTTGTAATGCAAATCTGCATGCTGAAAATGTTTCCCATGCGGAGCCTCATGAGAAGCATTTTCTAGTGGTTTTTTGCAATTTGTCATGCTCCAATCAGCATGGTATGCTAGATATGTGATGCTGCTGAGCTAGCTCAAACAGCACTACACTACGAATCCAAATTTGTCATGTAAAACAGCCAAAACTTGTGGATTTGTCTAGCCGATTTCCCATCTTGACTATGGTGTGGGTACGTTTTTACTCAGGATAACAAACCCGGTTTCCTCAGCGAATCCTCTTCGGTTCTGCAGACGAGAGAAAATGAAAATGACCTTCAGGACGTCGAAGAGGACAAAGACTCCACGTTGTACGTCGATGAACAGGGGGATAGCACCTCGAGCGTGGCAGAGATGCAGGACAGCGACCAGGTCGTGGACGACCTGCCGGGAGCATTTCACGAGGAGGGAAGGATCAACCCCGAGGAGACCAACAACGAGGCTGAGGAGAGCAGTGCTCTTGGTTCTTTCATCGTCGACGGATCAAATGATAACCGGGGCGAGTCTATGGAAGCGTCAGGTTTGAAATCGTCAAAGTTGAAATAATTTGCAATGCATAAAATGCATGGCCCGCGGTACGTGTGTTGCAGAGCAGGCAAGTGAGGCCTATTGTAAGCCTGTTTGGGGTTAAAGCTCGAGCTGCTAAAGTAGCATGAGAGAATCGCTCGTCTTTGCCTAAACAGCATGACAAACTGGATTTAGGGACCGCCGAAATTTGTCATGCGCCACTTGGAAACTGGGTTTGTGTAGTGCGTTTACCTTCCCTTACAGGTTGTGTAGTGCTATTTATTCCCTTTGTGAAACTGGGTTGGTGTAGTACTATTTTTCCCTATACAGGTTGTGTAGTGGTTTCGGTCGGTTTAGCATGACAAATTATTTCAACTTTGTCGATTTCAACTCTGACACATCCATAGAGTCGCTGCCATCAAGCATGCTGGAGGTGGTTCCAGACATGGGAAGTAGTAGGAGTAGTGGTACAACGTCGGGAACAAGCGCCGCAGCAGCAGGAGGAGGCACAACTACAGCGAGAGACACAGCCGACGCAGTGCCGCCTACCTCCAGCGACTTTCCAGCAACAGGGGCACCACTGCCAGTCTCCCTACCGGCGGCGTCCAACTTACCCTATCTAAGCGCCAGCACCAGCACGCAAGCCAGAACTTTGGGTCGTGATGATGACGGTCATCTTCATCGTGGCTTCGTTTCCCGCAAGGGGGCAGCAGATGCTCCTGGGAAAAGAACTAGCAAGGGCATCTACGATCAAAACGGTGAAGATTCTACTTCTACTGACGGGGACGAAAACCTACACACCAATCCTAGCCGGCAAAGGATCATCCAGCAAGCGAAAAGTCTGCAGATTGCACCTGGTAATGGAATTTTGTACAGCTCCACGGGTGGTGAGGAAGTAGACGCGCAGGATCTTCCGCCTCGCAGCGGAATCACAGGACTATCTGAAGCTGCTGGTGCTCCTTCACGACCCGCCGATTCTAAACCCGCACCGATCGGCGTGAAACTTGTGACCGAAAGCAACAAGCTGCATTTCCTCGGGACGCAGCCGATCAGCGTTCTCCTGCGATCCCAGAGTCCCGACGCCGTGAAGGTGGCGAGCCAGCTGTATTGGCTGGTATTCAAGGGCAAGTGTACGGGGAAGATTTCCACCCGAGCGGTCGCAGGGCAGGCAGGAGCGGGAGGAAAAGCTGGAACTTTTGCACAGGGCTTCTCAACATCTGCGACCGGCTCAGAGGACTCCTCGCCCTCCTTCCCTTGCGCCATCAAAATGAAGCGGGCAAGCGGGAGAAGCAGTGGAACAAGGACTACACCAAGTTTAGAAGAGGCAGGACGAGCTGGAGGGGTGCTGTTATCTTCGTCCAGCGCCGGCAGTATAACTGGTGTTGACAGGAACCACGACTTCCACTTCGTCGAGGCGGAAGTCGAGGATTACCTCAGGGATACGTGTCGGTTTCTCCAGGACAAGTTCGCCGCGGTCAACATCAATGCCACCCCGGAGTTTGTCCAAAAGTGCTACTTCGCGGGGAGGATCCGCCCCGGAAGTCTGGCGCAGGGCGTGCAGCTGTTCGAGAAGCTCTTGTTCCCGATATTACAAGGAAAAATTTTCCCTCGTGGTCCCCATATTGAGCGAAAGCGCATCCGTCTGGAAATTCGTCATGCAGATTTGTGGCCATGTCTTGCACGAAGGAACGCAAATTCAGAGATTTCGCCGCGTTCGTTGTGCAGGCGATTTGTATCGCTGCCACGCTAGTAGACGTCCGCCCACAGGGCAGACGTCTGCCATGCTAGGTACCTAGACTAAAAGATCCCGGCCTAGGCTTTTGATCTGCGTGAAGTCCTCTAATGCAAGAACACAAGTACAACAATTAAAATCCCACGTCACAGATTTCCATCTTGATATGGGAAGGGGGGGCTTTTCATTTTGATGCCCGACACTGAACAACTTCGACGAGAGCGGCAGAAATGTCGCCGGGACTACTGCAGCTCCCGGAAGTGAGAGCAGCAGTAGTTCGGGTAGCGAAGAAATCTTCATCGTCGCAGAGGAATGGAACCACGACGGGGAAGAGTGGATGAAGCTGCCCGAGTACTTATCCCGTGTATTTGAAGACGGGGCCACGCGCGAGAGTCAAGATGGGCATGCTTCTCCACAACTCAACGAGTAGTTTTAGCTGTGGCGCATGACAGTGTAGTCGTAGTTAGCTGGTGCGGGAGCGTCACAAATTGATGCCCACATTTGTCTCACTGGAGTGTGACAAAGTTCCTGACAGCGTTGGAAAATCAAAATGCTCCGCATGATGTAGTTGGGGCTGTGCATGAAAAAGAGTTTGGGGCATGCAGGTACGAATGAGACATCTTGGGTGGGGACGTTTTATTTCCACATGATAGTACTTCAAAACGGCGTCGAATGAGGGGAACCTGCACCAGCAGCTCGACGGTGTTCTAGATCAGCTGCCCACGACCATCCCCCACCTGGGGGACCTGCAACTCGTGACAAAGAAGATCTTGGAGTGCGCGGACTTCCTAGCGACGCGGTTTTTCTTGAAAGAAGAGTTTGAGCTGAAAACCGCGGGCTTCAATTTTCTGGACCATTTGATTCTGGTTGCGGGACGAGGGGGGAAAACTTCTAAAAACGGAGGAAGCAACAGAGGGGACGCTTTTTACCAAGTGAAACTCTCCTTCACCTCCGGTTTGCTGGTCAGAATATCCCAGAGAAAAAAGCTAGAATACCACATTTGTAATGCAAAAATAAATGCACAGAAAAAAACAATTAGCAGGCATCCTCTGCGCTCAACCATGGCAGATTTTTTTGTGGTGTATTTGTTTTTGCATCACAACAAGTAGCGTTTTTCTCTGGGATTCGGAACCCCGACGTCAAGCACCCAGATCCCGAAGCTACTACACCCGCTGCTGGATCCGGAAAATTCTCCGCTGAAAGAGCGCAGTCCGTACAGCCCCTTTCCCACGAGGTTTCTGCGTTTCGTGGAAAGTTTGTACCTCTTCGTCCTCCTTCCGTGCTATTACAGCACCTACGTGAAACCCCTGAGCGGGTCGTTTCTTCCCGGGGTGAGCGCGGGGGGAGAGGCGATCGTTTCGCAAGCCGTGAGCAACCTGGACACGGTACCGGAGTTTGACAGCAGTTTTTCGTATTTGGAGAACCCAAATTTGTACCTGGTTGCGCCTTATGGATTGCAAAAATGTCTGGGTCTGGAAGAATGCAGGAGTTTGTCATGCAGATTTTGCATGACCCATGAGGTCTGTGATGCATGCCCTAGCATCAGAGATTTTGCGAAGGCTTTCTGATGCTCATACCGCATGAGAAATGCCCTCTCCGCGTATCACAGCTTACGCCTCTTTTGCTGTTCATGCAATACAGCTTTTATGTGGAGTCCAAAGGAGGTAGCATTACAAGTTGCATCCTTCCAGACCCAGACATTTTTGCATTTGATGCGCCTCAGTCCTACCAGAAGCCGCAGTTCGTGGACGAATACAGCCGGAACTACTACTGGAAGTTGCTGGTGGACTTTTTTCACATACTCTCTGCAAAAGCAATATCGTACTCGTCGTATAAATGCATTACAAATGTCCTCAGCATGAGAACTGGACTTTGTCATGCTGTTTCCTCTGAAGGACAAGATTTCAAATCTTGTCCTTCAGAGGAAACAGCATGACAAATCTGATTTGTGATGCATAGTTGCAATTAGTACGAGTACGATACTTTTGCAAGGCATATCACATGATCGTGCCCGTTCTCGAACTGGAGCAGGCGAGAATTGTGCCTAACGGCGTGCGGAGGCTTTTGCAGGGGGAAATTTTGGACAAAACCAAGCAGAGCGCCCTGACCCGGAACGTGAAGATGCAAATCACGGACCAGCGTTATCAAATGTAAAAATGTCTGGGTCTGGAAGATTCTGACACTTGTCATGCACGTTTTGCATGAGCCCTGATGTCTGTGATGCATGCCCTAGCATCACAGATTTTTTGAGAGCTTCTTGATGCCTATTCCGCATGACAAATGCCCTCTTCGCGTAGCAAAAATTACATTCCTTTTGGTACTCATGCAATACAGATTTTTCTGGAATCCAAACGCAGCATCACAAGTTGCATTCTTCCAGACCCAGACACTTTTACATTTGATAAGCGTGACAACCTGCTGAATCTGCTGAAAAACTTTCAGCTGCCGAGAGTAAAAAATTCCGCTACTACAGCAGGATCTAGTACAACGTCCGGCATGAGCACAGCAGGGCTCCTGCAGGAAACTACAAGAAAGGCGAATCCCGCCCCCTACGTATCCAAGAAAAAAACTGTGTTAGTGTAACTATCTTTGGCTGACAGCATCACAAATTTGCTCTACAAGACAGAGAAAACCTGTCATGCGTGGTTTGTAAGGGAAAACACACATGAAAAGAAGACTGCATGGCTGTCTGGCATGACAGGCGTAACTCTGCTGCGTGTTCTGCATCACAGATTTACACTTACACAGTTTTTTTCTTGCATACTACGGGCCAGCGTACGACTGCAGCAACCCGCGGTTTTTCAATCCCTACGACTATCTCACGCCCGCGTGGCACGTATTTGAGGTCGAGACCAGAGTTTTGGAACGGGAAGGGCTGGCGCTGACGGAGGACGTTTTCGGAAGAGCTACTAGTTTCACCAGCGGCGGGAGTTCAGGGTCATCGCGGACGTCGGAAAAAACCTCATTCCCAACTACAGGCTCTGGAGTGGTGGCGGGACGAGCTACTACCGCCAAAACATCTAAGGAGGCGGCAGGAATCGACTCGGACACGGAATCTAATGATGCACCACGACCCGCCCGGTCGACAGCTGCAAATAAGCGGGTCTTTGCGTTCCATGAGTGCTACAGTTTTGACCCGAAGATGTTAGGAACGTCATCAAGTGGTGAAGGTCGTGAGAGCGCCCAGCAATTTATCCACGAGTTGCAGGAAGAAACGGGAGAATTTGTACCATGGCACGCAGTGAAAACGCGGGTGGGTGCGAAAGGGCAAAGTGCCATTCCAAAGTACGGGAGGGAAAAGATTCAGGAAATCAGCACGCGGGTGCAGCAGTACGACCTGCGGGGAAAGTTGCTGTACTACTTCGAGTCGCCCGCGTACGACGGTCGTATGCAGCGGCTTTCGGAGAAAACCACGGGAGATGGTTATCCTGAGTAAAAACGTACCCACACCAGAGTTGTCATGCAGATTTGCCATGACAGGAACATTTGTGATGCGCAACCCCATGACAGGCATTTTCAATCGTGTTTGGGAACTTGTAATGCTGTAAACAGGATCAGCAGATCGATTTGTGGTGCGGCTTTCCTTGCTAACTTGCACTACCTTACGGACTGAAGCTCGTCATGCGTGACTCCCAAAACTCCTAGGTTTGTGTTGCAAAGTCCCCATCTTGACTCTGGTGTGGGTACGTTTTTAATCAGGATAATGGTAGTACAAGTCCGAATAACAAAAATCTGGTCCTGACGGAGGAGAATTTGAAACTGCTCCAGTCGTTCCCACCCGATTGGTTTTTTGAAGACCCCGGGGAAGTCGTGCAGATTCCGTTTCGGCGGAAAACTGTGTACCCGGTGGGGAAAATTCTGGATTACTACACCGATGTGCTTAATGAGAACGCAGATTACACGACCAGCGAACAGGTTAACGGCGGTAATAAACCTGCTGTACAGCAGCAGCAGCAGCAGGTGGAGATGAACATACCAACTCCGCAGCTCCCGAAGTTCAGAGATCCTGCCACCTTGAACGGTTTCGAATTGCTGCGGTTTGAGAACGGCCAGAGACTTCCGATGCCGTTGGTAGAGAAGGTGAACAGCGAGAACTACCCGGACAAAGCGGAACAGATCCTGCAGACTTTTTTCACCTCTCAGCGGGCGTCGGTGGCAAACTTCGGGTTTCTCGCCGGGTACGATAAGACGACCAGCATGGGGAGTAGTAGAATCTTCGCTACTCCAAATTCCCATTCTACTAATTTTGGAGATGCAGGAACAAGCGGCGGATTATTGCAGTTTTCAACAGGAGCCGGTGAACAAGCAGTTGTGCCTTGGACCGAAATTCCGCCGGAGGTAATGATGGGGAACAGAATCAAGCCCCGGAAGAACGGCGGCAGCTACGGCGGATTAGAGAAGATCGACCTGCAGCAGAAGGTAGCGTTCTGGGTCGGCGCGTTTCTGGAAGAAAACGTGTTACTAAACCGAAATATTTTACTGTTCTTCGGTGCAGTACCAGGTGCACGAAGGGAAGAAGGTGGTATGCATAGTACTACAGCACAAGAAGGTACTTCTGCGGGAAAGGAAGGACAGCAGAATCAAGTGACCAAGAAACAGCAGCGCCTGTACCAGCGGGTGGTGAACTGGCTCAAGGTCGCGCGGGACACCGAGGCTGCGTTGTTGACGCTGCACCGGGCTGCGGTGGGGGAGAACCTTTTCGGGAGCGTGTTGCCGTACGAGAAAATGGAGTACTACGGCACACCCGTCGTGAGCAGTAGTACTACGAGAGGCGATGTAGGTCTACAAGCGCCCGCCCCGGCGCTGGGAAATGACTTGTACAAGACGAGCACCGGAGGTACCGCAACTGCCAGTAGTTCCTTCTCTTTAACGCTCAGCGCCGCGAAGATTTTGGCGATGGGAGAAGATGTCGATGAAAATTATGCAGGACAAGAAGCTAGAATCCTTGTTCGTGACTGCGGCTGTCCCGACGGTGCGCCCTCGAGTTTGTTTCTGATCGACCTGAATGTAGACGATTTGGTGGTTTCCAGTGACACGAATCACCCCGCGGCTCTCTCGAGGACGTCGGCAGAACAACATCAAGGAGGGCCAGAAATAAACCTGCAAGCGCAAAAATTATCTGCTTCGCAAGTTGATGTGGCGTCGGACCGAGTCGTGTGCGCCTCGGATGAAAAGAGTTGTCCGTTTCTGCAGTTCGTCGAAAGTGGTTACTTGCGGAACCCTAGTACTTCCTCCGTGCATTTCTACACGAAATACCAGGACCCGGAAGCCGCGTTTCTGTCCTCCTCCAAGTGTTTTCACAACCCTACCGCGGGCTTCAGCTACCCGTCCTTCTCCTCTTCTTTTCACGAGCTGCGTATGCTGATCGAGCAAGGGATTCCGGCGATCTTGCGGGAGGAGCGGTCCCGGGACGGGATATCGAAAGGAAAAACATCCCCTCCCCATATCGAAAACGGAATTTTTGTTGCTGTATTTGAGTACACAAATCACATTTGTCTTGCAGTAAAGGACTGCACGCAGTAGATCGTAAGCCTAAGGGGGGGCCTCTTGGTCTAGGGGACTAGCATGACAGACGTCTGCCCTATAGGCCTTGCAGCATTACAAATCGCCTCCATATCGTGGCGGAGTCTCTGAGTTTGCCCTCTTGCAAGAGAGACAGGACTTGTGGCCACAAATCAGCATCACAAATTTTTAGAAACATTCCTTTTCAGTATGGGGAGGGGGTATATTTCCTTTTGATACGGGAAACTAAGCGTGAAAACAGCCTTCGCGTTCGTAAAATCCTTCGCAGATGAAGTATGAAATGCAAAAGTGTCTGGGTCTGGAAGATTGCCAGGTCTGTCATGCATATATTGCATGGCCCATGATGCCTGCAATGCATGGCTTAGCATCACAGATTTTCAGAGGGCTTCCTGTTGCCTATTCCGCATGAGAAATGCCCTCCCGGCGTAGCACAAACCGCACTCCTCTTGCTGGTCATGCAATACGGATTTTTTTAGAATTGAAAAACAGCATCACAGGTTGCAACCTTTCAGACCCAGACACTTTTGCAGTTCATAGGAAGCAGGAGATGCTGATGGTGCGAAAATTAGAGGAACTTCTGGCGCGTTCGGGAGACTGATTGTGCTTCCGGACTTGAAGAGCTCTTCTTCGACGTCATCTCTGACCAGAGAAGGTGCACATCAGGAAAAAAAAACACCGGGTCGTTCCCGCGTAGAAGTAGTACAGGACGTCAGCGACCTGTGGCACAAAGAGCTTGCGCCGCTCGTGTTCCGGAGCATGGCGCACTGGGAACAGGACATGCAGAAAGCCGCGAGGAGGAGGACTGGGTCGTCGTTATCGCAGGCGGTGTCATCGTCGACCACGACGGGTCCTGCAAAAACCAAGCCGCCCATCGTTCTTTCCATGGAACCCGTCGTGCGGGCGATGTGCGCACTGAAAATCTTCCCGAAGTTTGATCCGACGGCCACTGGTGGGGCTTCGACAGGAGCTCCTTCTCCGTTAGCGGCGGTCTTGCACTCCATCACCCCCGTTAACATTCCGGGCGTGGAGCCGTTTCTGCTCGAGGAGAGGTACTTCGGGGCGATTCTGGTGGAGTACTTCTTCGACGAGGGAAGCGACAATGAAGCTGTAGCTCCTGCCGACAAAGAACAAGATGCTGTAGAGGTTGATACTGCTGCCGTCGAGGACGACAGGAAGGTTCTGCACAGCATGATCCTTTATGGGAAGGTTTTGGAACTTGGTAGCCCGACCGACGAGGCGCCCGCCGGGAGCATCGTGCTGTACGTTCCGGAAAAGGATGAGGAGGCTATTAGCTCTCATCTCGCTGGTTTCATGGAACTTTTTCCCTTGGACAGAATGGAATTTTGCACCGAGCTGTTTTTCCTCTGGTTTGCCCACAGCGCGACGGGGAAAAGGGCGTTCGATATAGTACAGCAGCCGGCTATTTTTACAAGTACAGGGGGTCGTGCAGACACGGGTTGGGGTTCGGCAGATCCAAAACTTTCGGATGAAAACAGAAAGAACCACCCGGACAAGAATTTCCCAGAAGAGCAAACGGGGCTCCTGCAGCAGGGTAGAAGTCTTCCCGTCTTTACGTACCCAAGGGGAACGCAGAGCCGTGCTGTGGACGACGGGGGAAATAGTGGTACAACATCCAACACTGCAAAGTACTTCGCATGGAGTTGGATAGATCTGCTGCAAGCGCTGGAAACTTCTACGGAGATCAAAATTTCTGGACGCGTAGAAACTTCTTCTGCCAGCCTCACAACAAGAGGAGGAGCATCGTCTACCTCAGCCGACGAGGCAAAAATGGCTTCTAGCGAAGATGGAGGACAAGAACTGCTGCACCTGCAAGAACCTTGCTTCCTGTACCCGGTGTGCTTGCCCTCGGACGGCGCCACGATTGATTTGGTCGGAGTTTTCGAGAGCGGTGACGAACAACAGAGCAGTTTGAGAACGGAATTGCTGTATTTCCAGGGCGTTGTCACCTTCGTGCACGACTTGATGTCCCTGCTGCACAGAATATCAGAGTGCACAACTCGTCCCCATAGTAAAAACCCTTGTTTGTCATCCAAAAATCCAAAAAATCCACTTGCTGAGCCTTGTGGCCCTGTTTCTTGCATGAAAAAATTACAAAAAATTCTGCTAGAAGCCCAAACAAAGTACAAAAACTTGTAACAGAAGGGAGGCTTCATGTCCCTCGCTGGTTTTTATTTTCTATGCTGTTTCTTCCTGCCCATCAAGTCCAGAGGAGGAAGGCGGGGAGTTGTGCACTCTGATACGGAATCCAAGTTCTGCACTGGGACAGCCTGATATCTCATCACGACCAGGGTGCTTTGCACACCAACGCGGCCGTGCAGGAGATGATCCGCAGCCTCTTGTCCGTGCGGCGTAAATCGATTGGAGCCGCGAGACAGGTAGCTACAGCGTCGTCTTCCTTCAACGCAGTAAACGTAGCAAGCAGAAGTACTTCTATCCCTCCGGCGTCTACTTCATCTGTTTCATCTCCGAGCGCAGACACGGACAAAGACAGCAGTATTTTGGCCGTGTTGGCCGAATTTTTCCAAGAAAGAGACAGCGCCGAGAAGGCGGCCGCGCGGGCAGCAGCAGGACGCGCGAGTTCCACTGCGAATACGGAGACGAGCAGGGCTAGTACAGGGACCCCACCTGGAAACACCGACGAAGATATCACCCATGTCGAGGAAATAACGTCCTTCGTGCAGTTGGGATTGGACCAGTTGGGATTGGACAACTCGGGCGTTGAGTACCGAAAGCGCATTCTGCAGCAAGCTCTGCGGAACTTCCAAAACGCGATCGACCATAATAACGGTGGCAGCGGCGGGGGAGGAGCTTCTAGTGCAACCACGCCAGTCGGATCCAACACCGTTTTCCTTCCCGGCGTGGGCTACTCTGCAGACAGCCCCGCGAAGTTCTTTTTAGCGAATATGGGAAAAGAGTTCTTCTCCGGGATTTCCCCCGGCGCTTTAGTTGACTTAGACGTGTTCGAGAAAACGAACTTGATCGCGGTGCAGCAACAGGAGCTAACGGCACAGTCTAGGCTTGCTGCGGGAGGATCTTCTTCTGGTTTGCCGCTGTCTCCCGAGGAAAAGGTACAGCAGCGCCACGTGCAGACGTTGCGGAATCTCCCGCCGGGCATCGCTGCGAGTATGGTGGCCGCTCCTGGGACCGGTTCCCCTAGTACTAAAGCCCTCCAAGAACAACAAACCACGTCCAACAACATGCTGGCGGTCAAGGCGCTCACCGACAAGGTGCAGCGGGAGGAACAGGTGGAAGAAGTGCAGCAACAGGCACTCCAGGAAGCGGAGCAGCAGGAATCCTTCGAGCGCACGTCCATCGACAACTTTTATTACAATGAAAAATGCCCCCATCCCCGAACTTGAAAGCATTTGTATTGCAAACCTTTCCAAATGAAACATTCGCCCTCTTGCATGTATCGGAAATCATTTCCGATCGTGAATAGCAAAAATTTATATTGCAAAAGATCCCACCAGCAAGAGCGGTGCTTGTCATTCAAGCGATGCGAAACACCACTAGAGTCTGCATCAGAAAGATTCGTATTCCTTTCATGCATGACAAAAAGTTTTCATTTGGAAACTTCGCATCACAAATAATCTTTGCAACTTTGGGGGTGGGGGGCACTTTTCACTGTAACAACTTTTACGTTCTGTTTTTTTTCCTGCACGGGATCGTCATGCTCTACTATCCGCTGAATAAGGAGAAAGCTGCAGGAGCTGGTTCCGGACAAGGAGCAAAGGGGAAAAAAGATCGGAAGAAGAAAAAACACCGCGACGATGATTCGAAAAAGATCAAGCACCTCGCGCTCATTTCCGCGTTGAACGCTTTTCTTTACGTGTACAGCATTTTCGAGCTCTTCATCCTGTTCAACCCCTTCGAGTGGCCCGTGTTGGCGAGCACGCAGCAGGAAGAGCTCCGGCTGCAGCGGCAGAGCGCCATGGCGGTGACCAACAACATTTTGGAGCAAATTTTTCCGAAGTCCGGCACCTCCGGCCAAACGAGGGCGAACAAAGTCACGTACACGGCGAGCGGGTCCGGCAGTCCGTTGTTCGACGAACTGCAGGGCAAGCTGGAGTCCCTGTCCGATTCGCAAGTGGAGGAATTCACGATGAAGGCCACGCAGCAGCAGCTGGAGCACGGCGGCGTCGCGACGCGGACCTCGGCTGGTGCAGACGTGGTGAAACCCTACTCCACGACGGCGCACTTGGCGATGAAGTTCTTACTCAAGGTGCTCCTCCCCTTGGTGGCGGCGCTGTTCGCCTACACGCACATCCTCCACTTCGGGCTCTTCTGCCTGGGTGCTTTCGCCGCGACCTTCGCGTTCTTCTGGATGGTCACCTCATTCTGCTGCGTCATCAAGTCGCAGAAGTGGATCACCCACGGGGACGAGCCTTTTTACGCCGCGTGGGGCTGCATTTTTCTCTTCGCATGCCAGCTGTTCGGGGGGTCGGTGCTGCTGTTCACGGGAAGTGTCTACCGGGTGAAAACGGAGGAGGAGATGCTGAGAGACAAAATGCAAGAGTTATCATCTCAAGAAGGTCGTGGTGACGACCTCCATGGCAAGGACGATCGGCAAGAAATGTTGAACCAGAACAAGCTCAGTGGAAGCGACAGTTCGGATGTTGAAAATGACCTGCCGATGAACGGATCCCCGACGTCGCGACGAGAGGAAACTGCTGTTCTGACGAGTGACGACGACGTACCGACTAGGAACGACGAGCGACGTCGAACCAGGGACCACCTCTCGCGGCTGTACCAGCTATGAATTGCAAATATGTCTGGGTCTGGAAGAGTGCAAGTTTGTCATGCTTGTCTGGCATCATGACTCGAGAATCTGTGTTGCATAGGCACGAAAAGGCACTCTTACCTGTCATGCAAAAACGCACCTTGCCATGCGGAATACGTAGCACATGGCAGCCAAAAGATTTGTCATGCATAGCTGCGTATTGCAGTGCGTCTATCATTCACTTTTAGCATTAGACCCAGACTACATATTTGCAATTCATACCAGCGGAACCCGAACAAGCAGCGGAATTTTCCCGCCCCGCACGCGATGACGGAGACGCACGGTGGCGTGCACAGTTCCAGTCTCGACGCCATCCACGTGATTGACGATGAGATGGATGCCGCGATGATACTCGCGGTGGACCGGAACGACCCCAGAGTCACACTGGAGCTGCGCCCGTGGTTCTATCAAATGCAAAAATGTCTGGGTCTGGAAGATTTTTAGATTTGTCATGCATATTTTCCATGACCTATGATGTCTGCGATGCATACTGTAGCATCACAGGTTTTTAGAGCGCTTTGTGATACCTCTACTGCATGAGAAATACCCTCTCCGCGTAGCACAAACCGGAGTCCCCTTGCTGGTCATGCAATACATTTTTTTTCAAAATCCAGAGACAGCATTACAAGTTTAGAATGTTCTAGACCCAGACACTTTTGCATTTCATAGGTTCGTCCGACTTGCAAAGGTCCTGGTGGTGGCGGTCTCGTTTGGCCGGGGGTGGGTCCGGTTGGCGAGCTTGATTCAGTACTACTTAATCAATTCCGCGGATGAACTCGCCGATGTGTCCATAGTGGACTTGCAAACGACGAATCCCGAAACACTCGGCGCGAGGCACGCGGTACCGCACCAGATCCTCCTCCCGCCGAACGATCCAACGGAAGTGTTTGACTGTTTTGGGTTCTACCTGATGCGGTCGTTCTTGCGGTTCATATCGAAGGAAAAAACTGTGTTTAGTGTAAACTTTTTTTCGCTGACAGCATCACAAATATGCTGTACATGACAGAGAAAACCTGTCATGCGTGGTTTGTAACGGAAAACACACATGGGAAGAGGATTTCATGGCTGTTTGGCATGACAGGTGTTACTCTCTTGCATGTTCTGCATTACAGACTTACACTTACACAGTTTTTTTCTTGGATAGTTTAAGCCGGAGCACTACCAGATGTACCACACGCCGCGCAAGCACTTGCTATGGATTGCAAAAATGTCTGGGTCAGGAAGATTTCTAGATTTGACACGTATATTTTCCATGACCCGTGACGTTTGTGATGCATTCCGTAGCATCACAGATTTTTAGAGCGCTCTGTGATACCTCTACCGCGTGAGAAATGCCTTCTCCGCGTAGCACAAACTGGAGCCCTCTTGCTGACCATGCAATACAACTTTCTAGAGACGGCGTCACAAGTTTAGAATGTTTCAGACCCAGACATTTCTGCATTTGATACTTGCCGCGGCAGTACCATTGGCTGGGGATGTATTTAGTGGTCGTGTGTCTCTGGTGCTGCTTCGCCGTCGTGGCGATCGAGGTGGTGTCGAATTACGCTTTTGGCAGACTGGTCCGACGGGCCGTCCGATACTTGCTGAGCGGGAAACTGTTTATTCGCGGTGAGGAACTAGTACGAGGGGCAAATCGCGGCACGAGCAGTGCGGATGATGTTGATCAGGATGGTGACAAAAAGCAGGTGGAGAGTAACACGAATAAAGCCGCGGAAGCAGGAGCAGCAGCGGCTGCAACAGGTAGTGAGAAGTCTTCGCAGGCGAGGAAGGTTACGATAGAAGAAGATCCGAAAGATCAAAAATTTTACGAATACGACTACGACGATGAAGAAAATGTCGAGGCGAATCTCGCGGCCGAGATGGAAAGGATGAGTGAGAAGATCAAGTCGACTGTGGTGGACGAATTTGAGAAGAGAAAACAGCAAAGAGAACTACGAGGACCCGCCCCGGAAGAACTACAAGCTCCGGTGGCTGCATTGAACAACTACTCCACAACTGCAAACAATAGCACCGTGGTCAAGCGCGTCTCCCGAAGGTCACGGAACAGCGCAAGCCGCAACCAGCTGCTGATGCCAATAAATTACGGTGCAGCTAGTAGTACGCCGTTGCTCGGGGATGACGAGGAGGGTGCGCACGTCGACGTGGAGCATTTGTTGCGGAATAGTGCAACGAACAGCAGGCAAGAAGAGGAAGAGGAGCGAACGTACGAACTCGATGATGTTGAGCAGACAGTTGGATTAGGGATGAACAAGAAGCAAAATAATGATCAGCAGCAAGCGGGAGTCCGGCCAGCGACCTCTTCCAGCGAGGAGCAGGAGGAACATCAAGGGGGAGATCATCTTGATTCAGGTCGGGAAACAAACAACAACAGCAAAAACAACAATCCCGTGCTGTTTTATCCGGAACATTACGCCTCCTCGAGCAGCAGCGACGGAGGACATGAGGATGTTCTTGAGCAGGTTCTAGATCTAGAAGAAGGTGAAGGCTCCTTCGGCTCCTGCTCAGAAGAAGTAGAAAATTACTCTTCGTCCATCTCCCCCATGGATACGAGGCTCGGCGTAGAAAAAGCTGCCGCGGAGGTTCTGAAGCATAAAGACCTTGCAGCTTCCGGTGTTGAAACAAGGAGGACCCAGTTGTACGCCGCCACCGCTGGCGATCAGCCATCCTCGTCCTCGTTCGGTCCGCCGGTGGTGTTTCCGAAAGCGAGGGATTTGCACACCGAAGTTCTTTCGTACCTGACCGCAGTGGGAGATGAAAATTTGGATCGAGGAGGTTTTCATCCTGTGGTGAGTTCTTGTAGTAGGGGTCGTGGAGGTGGCCAGGACTCTACTGCTGATGTAGTTCCAAGAACGAATTATGCAGCTGCAGCAGATTATAATGCGGATTTTGTCGGAGTCGGGTTTGCTGCGCCTGGTGAGCAAAACATCGTAAAAGGGGGTCTTTGTACTGGTGCAAACGGTGAAGATGATGGCGGTCTTTTATCCAGCAACATTCTCGAACAAGACCACGATCTGGATGAAAATTACACGAACTTCTACAACAACTTTTCCGTTGAATCTAACTCTTCTTCCTCTTCCTCAACCAGCGAAATTCACGGCGGGCAGGGTACTTTCAACCCGAATGCACTGCTGCAAGAGAGCCGCCGGAGAACCTATAGTTCTCGGGGTAGCAATCAGGTACGGCCGGCAGTTGGGGATGGAGGTAGTGGTCATGTGAATTACAGTGCAGCGCCGATGATGTTGAATGGGTCAACGTCAATGTCACCAGGTAATATGATTTCTGAAGCAGATGATCTGGCAATGGCAAAGGAAGGAACTGCTGCGCAAGAAGCTTGTTTCCAAGAATTCAGAGGCGTGGAATGGGAGGTTTCGTCAGATTCCTCAGACGAAGACCATCCCGGAACTATGAGAACACAGGAATAGAGGTCTTGAACAGCTTGACTAGGGTACGAAGGGAATAAACAAAAGACTACGATCAGTAGTTCTTGCCGGGATGAAATATCATTGCGTCACATGATGCAGCCGAGACGTGCAAGCTGCGATTGCGAGGTGCAGTGTGTCTAGTTCATCCGTATCTACAAGTAATTTGCGCAGGAGTTTTGGGATTGTGCTGGTGTATTCTGAAAGCACGCCCCACCGGTGCAGGAGAGCGACGGGAGCAGAAGATGCAAGCACTGGTATTTTTTTATAGGAAATGCGTCAGAATTAGAGTAGACACGAGCGCAAGGCATTTCAGTGTAGGAGCAGAGCAGAGGTGGCAAACAAGAGGGAGAGGGAGGTCGTACGTAAGTACTTACTAAGTTTTTTCGAGAGTGCGAGACAATCTGTAAAAATTCTGAAAGAACTACATTAGAGCACAAGTCCTTGCGATTCCGAAAGCAATCACCAAAACGACCGGCGCCCAGCACCATGCCGGAGATGTTCCAGCGCGTGGTGCTTCCGGCACCGGTGACGCAGTACTTGGACACGTGCAAGCTCGACACGGCGCTGGCGGACGCTATGAACGAAACCACGACCGCGTTGTCTCCCGACCCGTTTGGCGATTTAGTGCTGCGGCTCAGCGAAAAATTGGCGGATACACCGGCGGCACCAGCCAGCGAATTTGAAGGTGGAAATGGTAAGGGTGCGAGCTCTAGCTCCAGCGCATCAGGTTCTGGCTCGTCCTCTTCCTCCTCCTCGTCGCGGCAGAAGCCGCTCGGCGGCCCGCAATTCGGTAAGATCCGGGTTGTGAAAACACCCGACGCGACAAATCCAAGAAGGGTGCTGGAAGTCATCATGAACGTGCGGGGGGCGCCGGTAGACATCAATACTGTGTCGGTTTTGGAAAATTTTATGTTGATTTTTTTCTAACGTGGCACTACTGGTGCTTCGTGGTTTTGCAAGTTCGTTGGTTCTTCTCGTTCGTCTTCAAGAAAGAGCCCAATGATAAGTACCCCAGAAATCGCAAAAATCGCTCCTTAGGTTCGCGTCCACAGTTTCGGGTTAGACGTGCGAATACCGCCACCGCCCGCCGCCGAGAACTACGAGGGTGCACACAACCAGTTTCGCCCCCTCTCATGAACAGCAACAGAAACTGTGGGGTGCATGTTTTTGGATGACAGAGGTCACCTCCATGGGAGAAGTCAGACTTTCGTACGGTCGTAAGTTTGCTACAGCATATTTTTTCATGCAGCGCGTTTCAACAAACAGGGAACTTGCTTCTTCCGAAGTAAGTCTGAATTGCTCTTTCGCGTGACAAACGACATGGGGTCGTGGCAGGCCTTGTGCACTGTTATAAAGCCGGATCCGAGGGGAGTGGTGTAAAGTCGGCGAGCAATCCGGGCTCTGGGACGGGAAGCAACGGCAGCAGCACGGGCGGCATGTTCACGCCAACTGTTTTCGAGCTGGAGTGTTTCTGTGGTGCGTTGTTCCAAAGTAGCCGCACGGAGCTGCTGGATTTAGGACCGGTATTGATTCATTGTAAATTTGCATTTTCATTCTCCCTTCTTCTTTTGGCCTGATTTTCGACTTGGCATGCAATGCGAATGCCTATGCCAAGCAGCGTAAGCAGGAAGCTTGTCCCCCTGTCGTGCGTACCCACAAGTAGAGCATGGAGCTGCGTGGCTCGCAAATTTCATTGCGATCCTCTCATCTTCCCCACCGCGTGTTCTTTTTTCAACAGATGTTTCTGCCCGAAGTGTTGGAGTCTCTGTTCCCAACCTATCAGAATGAAAAATCCCCCCTCCCCATATCGAGAAGGTATGTTTCCGAAAATTTGTGTTGCTGATTTGAGGTCGCAAATCGCATTTGTCTTGCAAGAAGACAAGGGCAGAAGCTTCCGCCCCATTATGGAAGCGATTTGTCATGCTGTTTGGCCTAAAAGTGGGCCGCTTGCCGTGCTGAACAACTAGACCCATACGCCCCTACCTAGCCTGGGGATCTGGCCGCAGTGCCTCTCTGCAATACAAACCAGATTTGTGCACTCAGATGCAGCATCACAAATTTCGTTTTCGATATGGGGAGGGGGGATTTTTCCTTTTGATACAACCACCAGCGGCTCTTCCTCCCGCCCGGGCACCGGCATGACGCGCCCGGTTTCACTATCTTGAGTAAAAACATTTCCATCCCACCAGAGTTCTTGTCATGTCTGTGTATTCGCATGCCCAGACTCTTGTGTGTCATGCGCAGTGGTCCCATGAGGAGCATTGATTTTCTCATGCTGTCTGGAAGGATAGGGACAGCTTGATTTGTGACGTGGCTCTTCCAGCCAGCCACGACTACACTGGAGACCCAAACCTGTAATGCGCAACAGCCAAGATGTTTTGGTCGTCATCTTGCCTCTGGGTTGGGCACGACGTTTTCCCACGTGATAATCCGCGGCGAGTCGCATGCTGTCCGGATCGGACACCGAGCGGCCGAAGACGGGGTATGCATTGCGAATGTGTCTGGGCCTGGAAAATTGTTAGCTTTGTCATTCCGGTTTTACTTACATTCCCCATGGGGCCTGGATGCTGGACCTACCATGACGGATTGTGTGTGATCTTTATTTTTGTGTGACCACCGTCACGACGGCACATCAGAAGTTCGCACTCTTCCAGACGATCCAGACACTACATTTGGAATGCATACGGGGACAAACCGCACAAACTCCGCGCTGTCCAGCCGCGCAAGAAGACAGAAGTACCAGTCGTTTAGTCTCCGGATGCAGGGGAATCTCTGTCTGGCGTTATCAACTGCAAAAATGTCTGGGTCTGGAAACTTGTAATGCTGCGTTGGGAATAGTGAATGCTCTGTAATGCACAGGCAAGCGTGAGAAATATCTGCGCTTCTTTGTGTTGCGTTTTTCGCATGACAAACTGCGTTTTTGCATGCCGGTCATAAGGGTCTCTTCTTGGACACGCATCACACACTTTTTGGTCATGCCAGACAAGCATGACAAATCTCAAATTCTTCCAGACCCAGACGTTTTTGCATTTGATAGGCGTACTCAAAAATCAACTCCGGCGAAACGGTGTATCACAGAGAAAAAAGCAGGCAGGCCACATTTGTAATGCAAAAATAAATACACAAAAAAATCTGTGTTGCATATCCTAAACTGCATGGTATGGGGCCCCCCATGGCCGATTTTTCTGTGTTGTACTCATTTTTGCGTTACAAATTTGCCCTGCCGGCTTTTTTCTCTGGGATACGGTGTTCGAACTGCTGATGAGCAACGAGGTGAGCAGTGTGGTGAAGCCAAAAACTTTGGACAAACGGCTGCCCGAGTTTTTTTGCGGGATCGTGTATCTGAAGTTGCCCGAGGGGTCTGAGTATCAAATGCAAATATGTCTGGGTCTGGAAAATTCCGAGATTTGTCATGCAGTTTTTCCAAGCCTCACCAAGTCTGGAATGCAGGGCCTAGCGTCACAGGTGCTGCAGCCCCTTGGTGATGCCTATTCTGCATGAGAAACGGTCTCTCGGCAGGGCTAGAAATGGGGACCTTTTGCAAGTCATGCAGCACAGATTTTTGTGTGATCCGCGACACGCATCACAAGTTCGCACCCTTCCAGACCCAGACATTTTTGCAGTCGATACCGAGGACGGCGGAGAAGAGGAGCCACCGGTGCCGGACGAGGAGCCTGCGCTGGAGGAAAATCCGAAGTTGCCGCTGTGGGCAAAAAAGGCCCCCTTCGTCGGGGTGTCGATTCCCTGGACCAGTGCGCTAGCGGAGGGCGTTGGGGACGAGGCGAGCGGGTTTGCGAACGGAATCGAAGGCCGGACGAGTATACTAAGAGGAGCGGTTTTGATGTATCTCTAGTGCAGATGATAGAATTTTTGAACTAGCTACAGCTATGGTTTTCCTTTTCTCCTCATTGTTTCTATTGCGTTATGATGCAACTTATTTTCCACTGCAACAAGGTATGCCGACCAACGCGTGGAGCCGGATGGCGATGATAACAGAAAAAGTGAATGAGGCGCTCAAGGGTTTAGTGGGGGAGCAGCTTGTTGTCGAAGATGGGATTTTAGTTTCGAAAAGCATCGAGGACGGCTTCGCAGTCGTTAGGCAGGCGGCGGAGAGCGTTTTGGTACTTCCTGCGTACTAAAGCTTTACCTGGTCATTTCTGTTTCATAGTCGCATGAGAATTTTTCAAGTACTGTGGAAATATTTTGCACTGCAAGATACAGGCAGGTGCAGGTGTAGTTGACGTAGTTTACAACTTTGTTGTGCAAAGAATCAATTGCGGCGGAATTGCAGCAATTTTGTATTCGTTTTCATCATTACAGGCACCTCCTTCCGAGTCCTTCAAGATGCCGTCTAATACGATGATAGAAGAAGAAGACGAGAAGTTTTCTTTCACGCCGATTCTATCCATTCCGGACGAATTCACCCCAACCACGGCGCCGCTCGAAATCCCGGATACAGTTCTGGAAACGAACCCAAATCTCAGGATTTTTGGCTCCCCGCTGGCCTACAAAGCTTTCGACGTGGAGCGCGTTCCAGGTATGATGTTGAGTGTGAACAGGAAATTAGAAAGCTGTATTTTTTCGTTTGAAAAATGTGCGTGGCTTTGTGTGTTTGTCATGCAGTAGTGCTAGAAGTGTCCTCGCAAGGTCCACCTCCGATACGCAGAGAGTTCGGGTCGTGCAAACATCAAGCTGAATACATTCCTACCACAACGCGAACCACAGCCGCGCTCCAAACCACGCTGGCGCCCATCAACTTCGACTCGCCTCTGGCCTACGCTCAGCAGGCACTCCGGGAGCCCTTGAAGAAGCCGATTTTCGGCTTCTCCAATGAACTATTTGTGACCTGCACGGTATCCCAGAAAAAAACTGCGTTAGTGTAGGTGTCTTGGGGTGACAGCATGAGAAATTTGTTCTGCATGACAAAAAAATCGTGTCATGCACAGCTAGCAAGTGAAAACACGTTTGAAAAGAGGGCATTATGAGTGGCCAGCATGGCAAGTGTAACTGTATGGCGTGCTTTGCATTACAGACTTACACTCTCACAGTTTTTTCTTGCATACACAGAATCCAGTGGGGTTCTTAGCACGGGCGACGACAGCCTGAATTACCCCTTTTTGGACATTATTCTCGCATCTGATTTATGCATCGCAAATATGTTGTCATCTTGGTCTTTGTCTAGAAGATTGCAAGATTTGCCATGCTTGTGTCTGGCATGCCTCTACTGATTCTTACAGGCCTGGCGAGATCCTTTTTTCCATTGTCATGAAAACTAAGACGCTGGTCGATCCGGATGAATACAAAACACATTGGCACTCAAAAATAATTGCAGTGAGCTCATAATTGCTTTCAGATGACTCGCATCGCAAATTTCGAGACCCAGCAGACCTATTTGCACTTGATAGGATTGCGCGGTCCTTTACCTGGCCGGATCGGGCATCAGCAGCGAAAACGCGCTGGAGAAACGGTTCCAATTTCTGATGGAGAACGTGGACGCGGATTTGTATCTGCCGGCGTTCGTTCCAGTGATGGAGCCTATGGAACCCTTTGGCGGCGACAGCAACGTCGGATCCGGGGTAGCGGGAAGCGGAGTCGGTTCGGGCGTGGGGAGTCGACAAAACACACCGGCGGCTGCGTAAAAGGGGGAGCGCTTTCGGTTTTTTTGTGAATAATTTCTGGAGTGACGACTTGTATAGAAGAAGAGTATATTAGTATGCGTTTCCATAATTACTACACAAGGAAGTGGGGAGAAGGCCTGAAATATTTAAATCCGAAGAAATTGTCACCACACTAGTTGTAACGCGTTTCTTGCTGCAGTCGTTACGAAGGGAAGAAATTAGAGAAAACCCATTTATACACAATTGATGGAGGGCGAGGGTCTTCCTACTTCAGAACAGTATCACACTCACCGAGCAGTTCGCTATTCGGATCCAGCGCTTGTTACGGCTCACGGATAATGCTTCAGCAAGGTGCTGGCGAAAAGGAATTATGTGAGGGTTGTAAAATTAACGTTCGTGGTGTGATAAGTCGAAACGAGTTCCGCTGGAGTAGTTCCGGCAGTTTTCATGCAGCCCAACTGGATTGCGGCGCAATCTTCCACTCGCCGCAGTCATGGCGCACGCACGTCGTGCTGCGTAAATTCATGGTATTTCTGGGTCTAACTTTGCTGGTTTCCGTCGAGAGAAAAGATGTCGTGTACTACGTATGTAAGGCTTTCGTTTAGTATTTAGTGGAATAATCGAAAAAATTCGTTCGATGGATAGATTTTCATCGCTATCGTGTACGTGGTGAGTTGAGAGACACTACATTGTCACCTCCGTAGTGTGCTGCCAATTACCGCAGCAGAGGCAGCCTGCGCAATCCGTCGTTTAAGATAAGGAGTCGCTGTCGTGTAAGCAAAAAGCCGTAGAAACTTTGCGGTCGTCGTGATCAAGTTAGTTTCCATTTCACAACTTTGTCGGTAACGATTAACGTAACCTTTAGTCACTTAACTCACTTCTGATTCAGATTGTTGCTACTGCCGTAGCTTACTTTGAAGTGAAGACCTCTTGCTCGTTCTAGGCAGAAGACCAAGTTGTTGTACGACCGCGAGTTCAAATTATTTTCGTCTGTTGACCACAGCACGGCAAAATAAACATTACAGTTAGCAAGCAACAAGAGAAAAAAAATGACGGACATCGTGCTGCTCGATTACCGAGAGGAGGACGTGGGAAAGACGATCGGGAGCTCAAAAAAGCGGTACACCTGGAAGCTAATGCTGAGCAACCGGGAGCAGGAGATCGTGTTCACCAACACAAAATTTACGGGGAAAAAGCGCATACGGGTGAACGGCTTTCTGCAGCACGAACAGCAGGTCTTTCAGTCCTCAAGGTTTTTCTACTCTTGGCCGCTGGGAAACCATTTGCTCTGCGTGTCGCCAAACAAAGACTACAAGGCGCAACTGGATTCAGGTACGGAATTGATGTCTCGGGTTTACTTATAGCTTATGCTTTTTTTTTGTGTTTGTAGATCTGCGTTCGCATTCTGTTCTAGAGAGAAAGAGAGTCGCGTTTTGGTGAAGTAGAAGAAGTATAGAACCAAAAGACCCATTTAGTACACGGTACTACCACACGACCAGCGTTCATCCTGTCCATCGACGGTATTCCGTTTTTCGAGTACCTGGGCACTCGGGAGATCCGTGGCCTCGCCATGCTGATCGGGTTGCTGGGGCAGGCGCAACGGCAGCGCGCGATGCAGCAGCAGCAGATGCGGAATGCCCCGAGTCCCGACGAGTTCGACCCCAATGCGTACGAGAACTCGCCGGAGGTCCAGGAGGAGCTTTATCGCAGCTTTCAACAACAAAGGAATAGCAACCAGCAGGCCGCGTATAGTAATCAGCCCACGACAGGAACTACTGCTTTCCACGCAGCAGCGCAGCAAAATCATGCTGCGTCAGCAGCACCACCGCCAGCACCCCCGTACTATGCGAGCAATTCGAACCAAGGGAGCATGCCCCCGCAGCAGCAACAGGGCCAAGAACGGCAGGCCGGATCTTCTTCGCCTCAGCGGTCGCCGCACGCATACAGCTACACGAACAACACGCCATTTGCGATCATGGACATCGGAAGGAAGAAAACCCCGGAGCCGCCCCCCGACCCGCTCTTACCATTGGAGAACGGCAGTGCGGTTAGTTACCACAACCAACAACTCGCTTTGGTAGAGCCGAAGCCGTACTCGCCAAAAACTTTGGCGTTGACCAACGGGCCAGCTGCCGCGCTGTTACCCGCAGGAGCTCCGCAGTTGGGTACAACTACAAGTGCTAGGCCGCTCGTGGTGGCACAGAGCAGTCTGGTCAGGAGCAAGGAGGAAAACAATAATTCTTCGTCGGAGCAAAACCAAACCAGCAGTAGCGCCGACGAGGATCAACAACATCTTCGTGCTGGTGGGAAAAAACCCTTGCCGTTGGAGGGAAGTACTAAAATGAATGTCACAGTGAACAGCACAGCAGGTTCTTTGTTGAGTACGACGGCGACAGCTGGTGGCGTAAACAGGATCGTGCAAAGACCGGTTAGCGAAGAGAAGTCACTTTTCGACCGGGGAAGAAATAACGTGCAGCAACAGCAGCAAGCCGCGAAGAGTTCCTCTTCCGGGGAAGAGACTTCCTCCTCAGCATCGGAATCCGGCTGTATGCATTGCAAAAGTAGTACTGTAGAATCGTACAACTACGTGTATAAGTAATGCATAGAAGACTCTCTAGGTGATTAGTGGAATGTGTACCGCTGAATAGTTTTTACCAGATTTGTCATAATGCAGTATTGCCATAACGACGGGTCTGCGATACAACTTTTGCAAAGGATAGAATCGTCGGAGCAGCAAGACCCGTTTTCCGCGAGTAGCTCCAGCAGAGGGCCACCAGCAGCAGGTGGCCCTCCGGGTGGTCGCGGCAAAAATCACTCGAACGGTCCAGCGCAACTACAACAGCGCGGCCAGCACTTCGCCTCACCAAACATCAACCACAGCCTCGGGCCGCAGATGATGCGGGCAGGGCCAGGAACTACAGGTGGGCCGCCTTCGCACGGCTACAACAGTAACCAGCAGGCACAGCAGATGTCTACTTCGTACAACTCGCCGCAGCAGATGAGCCGACCACCCCCCGCGGTAGTGCAGCAACAGTACGGGAACACAGCGCAGTACAGTTACCCACCAAATCAACCCTCACCCGTGGTGAACTACAATATGAACAATGCGACGACCCAGCGGCAATCCCCCACCATGGGCAACGCTTACGCGGTGCCAATTGGTGGGAACAACAGTAGTATACAGTCACCGCCACATCAGCCGGGGGGAACAGGTTCTTACATGCCACAGACCCCGCCGAACAGGCAAGCTGTGCCGATGATGGGTGGAGTTCCCGGCGGTGCTTCTCTGCCGCAGTACGCAGGGCCGCAGCCGGGCCAGCAACTAATATCTTCGGGGGGGATGTACAACTATCCTGGACCACAGCAGCAACAACAGGGCCAACCTAACCCGAACCTGTCTCCCGCCATGGGCGGAGCAACGGGAAATCCGAACTATCCAAACGTCGCCCAAATGAACCCGAATTTGCGCCAGCCGTACAATCCTTACCAGTGAGGAGATCGCATCAAAATCAAATGAAATAAACCTTTAGTGGAGCAATATTACAACGCGGCTCGCGATAGTACTGTAACTTTGTACGCGGGGATTTTTCCATAATCTGATGGCGCGTCGGTTCCGAGTATGTCAGCGTTTTCCTGGATGCGTTTACTCATCGCTCGAGCAGTTTTTCGACGTTGCGAAAATGCTATATGGTATTGCGCAAAATTTTGAGAACAAGATGAAGAAATTCAAATGAAATGTTTTACAACGCAGAAAACTTCTGAGGATGATGTCAGAAAACCAAGCCGCGAGTCGCGCATCGCTTTCTTTCGCTCGTCGTTCCAAAGAACCTTCAGTACCGCAAATATTAGCTTTACGTATTTCATTCGTGTCGGTGCGCGTAGAAAAAAGCGAAAGTACTAAAAATAAATATCAATGCACCACAGCGCCCCGTCCTCGCTAGTACAGGAGTTGTCCTCTGCGTACTTCTATGACACCTTTTGTGATCCGGATGTTCATGACCTTGATCGATACGCAAATGATGTACAGCCTAAAGTTTTGTCATCAGACGCAAAAAGTCAAACACATATGGATCCGCAGTTGTCCGATACGGTTCGAAAGTCGATCCTGCGACGCAAAAACACTCCAAGATCTACTTCAGCTTGCGATTCTTTTCCAATACGAGTGCTCATAATATTAAGCGGATCTGATAGCGGACGTGATGAAATGAATTTTTCCGTGTCTTATCGATGAACGAAATTTCATTTTCCGTTCAACCCGCTCTCGTAAATAAAACCGTAGCTTAGCTGTTGCCACAATTTTATCAGGTCGTACTAGCCGTAGATCGATTTGGTTCACTAGGCTGCGGTACGGAGACAGTAGTAAGAAACAGAATGTTTCACTAATGAAGATTTCGCTTGATCGATAAGGATAACCACTTCCATATTTATTACCAGCGACAACTTTGCTCTAACTGTAGCGACCTGCGGTGTAGTAGTACGTAGGAAGGTCGTAGACAAGGAGTTAACATATTTTTACGCCTTCCTCGTCTACGACATATACTTCCGACCCACGTGTGGAAAGCAGAATCTTCGACTGTGGTAGTGGTTTTACTTCTTTTATTTCTGGCAACTTTTTGTTGAGCAACCATTTGAATAAAGCAGAAATAAATTCCGCAAAAATGGTGGAGGAAAAGAAGGACACCTCGGACCTGATTTTTCCCCCGCCCGACATGCGGGGGATCATCGAGAAGCTGGCGGACCACGTTGCGAAGCACGGTGTCGACTTCGAGAAGCGCGCCCTCCGGGAGAACAACGAAAAGCTGGCCTTTCTCCGGGAGAACAACCCGTACCGCCCCTACTACGAGTACCGCTTGGCGGAAATAAAAGCAAACCACGACAACTCGCTCGCCAACGGGATAAGTGGCGTGGCGCCCTCCAAGCCCGTCGCGTTGCAGGAAATCGAGCGGGAGGAGGAAGAAAAAAAGCGGAAAAAGGAGGCGAAAAAGCTAAAGGGCGGCAAGGCCGCGAACGTGCTGCCTCTCGCGCTGGCGGACTTCGCGGCAAACCCGAGTTACGACACCTCCGCGGACCAGGCCACGGCGAACGGGGCCGCCGCGGCACCAGGAGCAGCGGGTCTCGATCCGTCCCAGCTGCAGTTGGCAAAGACCGCGACGAACACCTCCCACGTGGCGGTGTCCAGCAGCAAAGTGCCGTTTTACGCCAATGTGCAGGAACCAGCCGCGGACGAGTACACGGTGCCCTACTTCAAAATGGCCCCGCTTGACATGGACATCATCAAGGTGATATCCTGTGTAACAACGTCCCCAACCCAGAGTTGTCATGCAAATCTCCATGCTCAAAATGTTTGTCATGCGGAGCCCCATGAGAGGCATTCTCTGGTCGTGTTTTGGGATTTGTAATGAGCCAATCAGCATGATGCGCTAGAAGATCTGTGATGCTGCTGCACAAGCTGAACAGGATTACACTACGAGGCCAAACCTGTCATGCGCAACAGCAAAAGCTGACAGATGTGTCTAGCAGATTGCCCATCTTGACTCTGGTGTGGGGACGTTTTAACTCAGGATAGAGGACCGCGCAGTTTGTCGCGCGCAACGGGGGCAGTTTTCTGGAGGACCTGGCGAACCGAGAGGGCGGGAACCCGCAGTTTGAGTTCCTTATCAAATGCAAAAATCTCTGGGTCTGGAAGAGTGCGCGACTTGTCATGGAGCTTTTCCATGACCCATGAGGTCTGGAATGCAGGACCTAGCATGACAGATGCTGCGCGATCTCTCTCATGCCTATCCTGCATGACAAACTCCCTCACGACTTGGTCAAAACTGGCAGACCTTTGGTAATCCTGCAACACAGATTTTTGCATGCTTGAGATTTAGCATGACAAGTTGTATTCTTCCAGACCCAGACATTTTTACAATCCATATTCCTGAAGCCCACGAACCACCTGTTCAGTTATTTCACGGGCATGTGTGACGCCTACACAAAAGTCCTGACCAACCCAACGACAAACCAAAACGGGGAGCACCTGATAGAATTGAGGAGACTCGCGACGGACAGAAATTACGTCATCGAAAAGGCGGTGGAACGATTCAAGTACAGTACGAGATAGTTGTAGTTTTCTTGATGTGTGTGATTTTTCTATAATTTTTGTACAAACACCGATTTCTATTTCCCGAAGATTTGCATACCTATGCATGATGTTGTCACAGGCAGTTAAGTAGAAGTACTCCTTCTTGCATCATAAGAAGTGAACTTGTGTTTGCCGATCCAATTATTTTGTTCATAACTACCCCGTCACCACAGGTGGGACGAAAAGACCAAGCGGGAGAAGGAGACAAAGGAAGTGCTCCACCAGAAAGAGCGTGCGGTGATGGAGGCGATTGACTGGCACGATTTTGTGGTGGCAGAAACCATCACTTTCACCGAGGAGGATGACATCATTCCACTTCAAGCGCCGATCGACTTCAGAAAATTGGAACTCCGCGCCGCGAAGGCCCTGGACCCGGAAATGAACCTGCCTCAGGTAATCGCGGAAGAAGAAAGAATGGACTTGAGCGACGAAGAGCTAGACGCAGACGCGCTCGGGGAGGACGTTTTACGTACTTTGTCTACATGTTTCCTCTGGTTAATTTGTACAACAATGTACACGGTTATAAAATTGTTCTTTTTGTCATGCAAATGGATTTGAATCTGCAACTTTAGGGCCGCGTACAAGAAGGTCAATGTCTTTGTATGGGTTCATACTTGATGTGCTACCCGCAAGCTGCTGCGTCGCATTTAGAACCGCTTTTTATCGATGAGAACAAAGAAACGTATGATAGCAACAATACTACAACCCCAGCCGTCGTCGATTTCGAGAGCACCGTCGCGTCCGGGAAGCTGCAACTGAAGCAGCCGCCTCCCGTGCCGGAGAAGAAGGTCGTGGAGAAGCCCAAGGAGCCAGAGGTGCTGGATCCGCAGACCAAGCTCCCGAAGGTGCCGATTCCAAAGGCGAAGGGGCAGGCGCTCACGTATCATGAGAAAAAAGTGTTACAGTTACACATTTGTTGGAGTTTCTGCATCACAAATTTTCTCTGTATGGCAGAGAAAACTTTTAATGCGAAGATCATAAGGGAAAACAAACAGGAAGGAAACGAGGCTCCCAAGCATTTCCTGCATGAGAAAGGTTGTCTGTGTTGCCGGTCTTGCAACACAAGGTGTAACTGTAGCACTTTTTTCTTGCGATATCACGGGGGCGAACGTCAGTCGAGCGAAGGAGGTACTGGATGAAGAGATCGTGGTGCCAGACAACGTGGTATTGCAAGGAAAAATCTCCCCTCCCCCTATTGAAAACGCATCCGTCCGAAAATTTGTGATGCAGATTTGTGACCACAGATCGGGTCTGTCTTGCAAGAGCGCACACTCATGCTGTCCGCCAGCACGCTATGCAAGCGATTTGTAGTGGTATAAGACCTACAGTGTAGCCGTCTACCATGCTAGGCGCCTACACCAAAAGGCCCCGCCTAGGCTCAGAATCTGCGTGCATTCCTCTAGTGCAACACAAATTTGATTTGTGTATCCAAATCCAGCATCAGAAATTTCGTTTTGATGTGGGGCGGTGGGATCTTTCCTTTTGATACGTGGTAGACTTCGAGAACGTCGTGGTCCGAACCGACTACGTGAGGAAACGAGAGAGGAACGAAAACAAGGCGATGCAGGTGTGTCCCCTGACCGGGCAGATGGTGGCCGCGGACGATATGGCTGACCACATGAGGATTCTGCTGATGGACCCAAAGTACTTGTGATGTTACTAAACAACTCTTTTTACGACTTTCAACTTTCACGACTGGTGAAAAGGTCAACAAGAAATTCTATCTCTGTATGAAAATTGATAGGAGGTCTTCATTTTTCGAGCATGAGCAACAAACTGTTCTTGACCACGTCTCTGCACAACTGCGTGTATCGTGATCTCTTTTTCATAATACCTTGTCAGGTACAAGACGCAGCGGGATAAGGCGTTGGAGAAGGCGAAGTCAGAAAATTACTACATAAACGACGTGGATTCAAACCTCGGAGCCTTCGCCGCCATGAGGCCCGATTTGTTCGGTACCATCGAAGAGGAGATTGCCGTGGCGGCAGACGAAGACGAGGAAGCCATGGCCAGGGCAGCAGGCGCGGATGCAGGTACACAGGAGTAGTCGATTTTTCTTGTAAGGATACTAATTATGCATCAGAGACGAGGAAAAGAAATGCGAGCCGTTTCTTTTCTCGTAGTACGATTTGATACGGGAGCACCACTATCTATGAACTTCGTAGAAGCACTACTAGTACTAACTTGATGTTTCACACAACTTCCGCCCAGGTCCCGCCCACACCGTGTACAACCCGGACGCCCTCCGGGGCGGCGTGCGCCGCGGCCCGACCGGCGTGGCCGTGCCCACGAACGAGGCCCCGGACTCCGGTGAGGAGTCCGACGGGGAACCCCCACTGAAGCGACAGAAGACCATCCAAAACACGTTGATACTCGAAACCGAGTTCATTTTGCGAAATTCCGACGCGCCCGCGGTGTTGCTCATTCAGGTGTCGAAGGACCTGCAGTCAAAAATCATCCAGTCCTCCGACGGGCAGATTTCCATCCCGTCCGAGCTGGAGGTCACGTTGAAGGTGACCACGAAAATCGGAGCGTTAAAACAGTCGCTCTGCGGATCCCTCGGGTGCGAGCCCGACAGCGTCAAATTTATCAACGCGGAGAACGACATGGTGCTGTATCCTGTGGAAAGACATCCCCACCCCATAGCTGTCATGCAAATCTGCATGCTTAAAATGTCTCTCATCCGGAGCCCCATGGGACGCGTTTTCTAGGTGTTTTTTGGAATTTGTGCTGCTCAAATCAGCATGAGGTGCTGGATTTGTGATGTTGCTGTCGCACTAGCTAAACACGAGTACACTGCTCGCCCAAGCTTGTCATGCGTAACAGCCAAAGGTTGTTGATTTGTCTTGCAGATTTTCGAACTTGGCTATGGGTCGGGGACGTTTTTACATACGATATGCTGCGCGCCAACCGCACGCTCGCCTATTACAACGTCGGAAAAGGTGGGCGGTTACGGCTCGAGGCCCGGTCCAACTTTCTCATTCCGCCGAAAACGGCCCCGCCCGTGGTGAACATGGCGCTGATCCCCAGTGGCCAAATGATGGGCTAAGAAGCTGCAGCAGGGACGCCATGAACGACGATCATACGAATACCATTATATATACCAAATCGGCGAATATAAGAATTTGATTGAAAAAGAAAAGATACCATCAGGATATTTCACATCCAACGACATGTCAAAGTAGTAAAGTGCGGTACGATGGTCGAGCGATCAAGTACCAGGGCCCAGTTGATGATTGAGAACATAAAAACATCTTCACGTCCTCGCATGTGAAAAAAATCGACGGGTCTGGTAGCTTTGTACTGTGCGCAGTGCAGTCGTGCCACCGTAGTTGTAGCAGCTGTTATATTTTGTCTCGATGATTTCGGGGCGCCGGCCGCAACATGATCAGGCAAAGACGTCGCTGTACTGTCGCTACCTCACGCAGGACAAGTACAGGCAGTTTGTTTGGGGAGATCATAAATTTTCGCTATCCGAGTAGATGTGGAGCGAAAAATACGATCTCTTCATATTGGTTCCCCTCAGAGAGGAGCAGATGACGGCACACGAGATGATACCAAAGCGGGCTTTATTTGAGAGGTGTTTGCCATGCGAGCGGACTGTTGCAGCGCTGTGGAACCACGAGAGGTGTGGTCCTTGCGTTCTTCTTCTCCCACCTGCTTTATTTGCGGCGTTACTTGTTGTTCGTTGAACGTCACGTTTTGTTTGTGCTCGCCATAATCAGGTATACATAGCAGTATTCTGCAACATTATGTCGCGTTACCAGGAGCAGCGGCTGTGTAACTGCTTACACGCGTCATATATTCCGCGGGGCGTCTGTGCCTGCGGGCTGTGCACCAGAGCAGCGGGTTTGTAGCCGTGCAGCCGCGAAGGCCCCCAAGAAGACAATTTTTCGGGTCCCGGGGGACCATGCGCAGGATCCGAATTGGATCTTTTCCGATGCGTGTGACATTATGGTAGTGAAGTCTGCTCCAGGACGAGGAGGTCGTGCTCCAGAACCGGAGCTGAGGCTGGATTCTATGGAGCGCAGCAAAGTACTAGACAAGGAACTGTCAGCCCAGGTACCTCTATTTGGTGGAATTATTTCGAGTGATCTTTTACATGGATTTGGTTTTTTCGTTTTTATTATTGCGTTGCTTTTGTTTTTGTTTTTCGAAGTCAACCTATGTATTTGTCTCTGTAGTAGAGTGCTGCATCGTTTCCCCAAAGGCACAGCAGCCACTCGAAAAAATGAAAAACAGACGCGAGTCGTACGACAGCGCCGAGGGCCTCATGGAAGGATTGCCACGAGGCCTCCGACGGTCGGCACCCTTGGGGCAGGGAAGGACAAGGACGATGAAAGGGGAAGAAAAACAAAAACATACCCGGCCGGAGACGCGAATAATTCGGATCAGGATGATGAACACCGCACGGGCAGCGGGGACGGTTGTCGGGGTAGGGCGCGCAGTTGTATGAGAAAGCGACTGTCTGCTTCTTCCCGAGGGCGGCCCTGTTTAGGACATGCCAGATCATCGGCAGGCAGGTCGTCATTTTTTTCTTTATCCTCAAGGTCGGGTGCACCACACACGGCAAGTACAACCACCAGTACAACAGACGAAGTAGATGCTAGAACACCCGGATGTAGTGCGGCCACCAGCAGATCCCGGAACCGGCGGCAGGCGTCGCGGAGCACATCGGCGTCGCGGCGGGTCGCGAGATGCTGCTTGTTTTTAGCGGACAAGTGCGGGCGGCGGGAGAAAACGAAGATCATTTCGTCCGTTGTCGGGGCGGCATTTGCGGAGCCGGCTCACGTTTCGACGAACGCCGGAGATAAAAAAACGAACGCGGATAGCATTCAAAACGGTGATGTAGTTCCCGTGCCTCTGGGCCGCGATCAAGACGAAGATGAACCTGGGGAGATGAACAATGAGAATTTATTCGCAGCTCCTCCTGCCGCAGGTCCTGCTGCCAACCCGCGATTGCGCGGCGCCGCGAAGCATGTTGGTAGAACTGCGCCACCAGCAGCAGCATCTGCATCGTCATCCTCAACCGCAGAAGTCGTAGAGGACGAGGAATGGGAAGGAACGGATTTTTCATCGAGTAGTTCTTCGTCTTCGTTTAGCGAACGCGATGAAACTAGAGGAACTGGAGGACCACGACCTCCGCCGGAGAGTAGTGCAACAAGTAGTGCTCCTGCAAGTACTCGTGAGAAAATATTAAGTGGTGCACGAGAGAGATCTTCCTCTCAAAAGATCGGCGGCAGCGAAACCTTCGGCGGGTCCAGCTCCAGTGCACGGCCAAGTTTTCTCGAACAAGACGAAATCGACAACGACTACGGGGTATCAAATGTAAAAATGTCTGGGTCTGGAAGAGTTATGCTGTTTTTGCATGACACACAAGGGCTGGCATGGAAGCTCTATCATCACAGGTTTCGAAAAGCTTCCGCAATGCCGAATCCGCATGACAAGCACCCCATTTTGGTGACAGAAAGTAGGCAGCTTTTGCTACCTATGCATGAGAGATTTTTCTGTGTTCTACAATGCGCATCACAAGTTTGGACTCTTCCAGACCCAGACATTTTTACAGTTGATACGGGGACCTGGAGCAGCAGATTAACCTGGCCGCCGAACAGATTCGGTTCGAGCAGGATCAGGGGCGGGCAGGAGGACAGGAGGAGACGGGCTTTGAATTTATTGCGAGGAAAGAAGTAGAAGTAGAGCAAAACCGAATTAGGGGAGAAAAATCCGGTAGTAGCATCAAAATCTTGACCCGTCCAGAACACGCGAAAAAAAAAAGGTTGTTTTTTGAGGGTCTCGCCTTATTTGTCAGACCTCTTGCGGGCCCCGCAGCGCCTGCAAATTTACCTTGCGGCTGTTGCGTTTCACATAAATAGGAACTTCAGCCGGAAGCCATCGGGCAGGAGCAAGCGGCGCCGCCGGGTGCTCGCCCCCCCGTGTTTTCCAGGTGCCGAAGGCGGTCCGGCAATCGGCCCGGTCCCAGGACCGACGCAGCCCGGCGGGCGCATCAAGTCCAGTCCTGTTGTGGCCCGATTGGTCTGACAGGAAGAATCAGACCTACGAGGCCGCACGTGCCAACAACAAGAGCCCCAGAAGCCATCCCCAAAAACGACCCCCAAAAGCGACCCCCTTCTCCCCTATAGAATCGGGCGATTTTAAGTACCCCCAAAACCGACCCCCCTAGCAACCCCCTTCGGGGCCGGGCAGGACGAAAACTGCGGGCGCTTTCTTGTTCTTTCGAACACTCTCGCCTCGATAACCCGCAAGCGCCATCGGCAGTGGCGAGGAGCAGAAATCCTGAAGCCTTGCTAAGGGCTGCGCGCTCACAGCCGGGGCTCCCTCGCCTTGCACGGCCGGCACATGTGGAGCAAGACAACAAGAAGACCCGACAGCCGAAGCAGCCACAAACCACGGCTGCTCAGGCGGGCCCGGGCGATTCGGAGTGGCTGCGCGAAGCCTCCGACTGCCTAAAAAAAGAAAAAGTTTAAAGCTCCAAAAAACAACCTTTTTTGTTCGCGTGTTCTGGACGGGTCAAGATTTTGATGCTACTACCGGATTTTTCTCCCCTAACCGAAGAAATAACCTGCGCGGGGGCGGGAAGGTGACCACTCCGTCAACCGCATCATATGATGAACAAGACACTACTGCGGTTGATGGAATGAAGAGCGTCCACCAGAGCATGCTGCAAAAAAGGGAACGCGAGTTGCACAACAGAAGAAATCTTGAAGATCACCTGCAGGACGAGCAGGAGCATCATCAAAGTAGAGATTTTGATCTTCTCTCCTTTGCAGTACCCGCCGACTTTGCGCTGGCACAGCTGCCGGAGCGGCCTTTGGACGAATTGATGCCAGACGACACGGAAGACCTGTTTCGGGCCATAGACGAGCGGAAAGAAACGTTCTTTTCGGGGAAAAGACCAGAAAACGTGGACGAGGAAGACGGCAATGTCGTGGCAGAAGCCGGACCCGGGGATCATGAAGCTTTGCTTTCGTCGGACGAAGGACCAACAAGGTCTTTTGTGCAGCAGAAACAAGAGGAGATTGACGGAGGTGGGAACCTCTTGTCGGGGTGGGAGCAGGAGCAAAAACGTAGTCACAGTGACGAGGCTCAAGAAGTCGAGGACCCCGGCGAGGAGCAGGACGCGTCCGGTGGAGGTACTACAGCAGGTGCGAGTTCGTTTTTCGCGCAAAAAAACCCTGTGACCGCTTTCCGAGACCGGAGGGACAGGAGGCAAGACGCCGCAAAGTCCTCTATTTTCGGGGAAGATGACGGGGATTACACTGTGGAGGACGAAGATGACGATGAGGTTGACGGGCAACAAATAGACTACGATCAAGATGCGAGGCAGCGGGCCGTATGAAATGCAAATATATCTGGGGCTGGAACTGGATGAGTGCAACAAGGTTGGTCATGCTAGTTCGGGGGCATGACTCTAAACTCTGTATTGCGTGAGCGCGAAGAGCTTCTCTTGTCTGTCATGTAGAAACGCAGTTTCATCTCATGCGGAGGACGCAACTCAGAACCACGGGAAAATTTGTCATGCTGGGCAGTGCATTGCAGTGCACTTACTATTCCCTTTCCTGCATCACAAGTTTGCAGACCCAGACATATTTGCGATGCACATGCCGACTCCCTGGTGGAGTTTGGTCGGTATCTGCGACGACTGGAAGAGGACCGAGAGTTGCAACAGGACGCGGAATTGGAGGCGCTAGACGAGGACGACGAGGAAGAAAGGGCGGTAACGATGAACAAGAACGACGCAGTACTAGAAGAGGGCAGCTCAACTACATCTTCAAGCAGTATGTTCTTGCAACAAGATGAAGTAGTTTCTCCGCTGGAGGAAGTCGAGAATCCCTTTCTCGAGGAACTGGAGGAGGGGGAGGAGGGGGAAGATGACGATAGTGCTGCTACCTCCTCGTCAGTACTCGAACACGGACGAGCTGCGGGAACGACGAAGAAAGAAGCTTCGGCAGCGACAACGAAGAGGAAACAAGCGGGGGACACCAGCACCACGAGCAGCGGCACAGCGGACCCCGCCAAGGAAGCGCAACAGAAAGTGAGCAAATTGGCCTCTCTGGTGCAGCCGGGCGGGTCCGGGGCCGTGTCCACACTGATCACGATCGGGCAGAAGATCGGCGAAAAGCAGGGCCCGAACCCGGAGAACTTCCAGATCCCGCGGGAACTGCAGAAAATCTACGACGATATCAAAAGGAAAAATCCCCCCCTCCCATATCAAAACGGAAATCTGTGATGCAGATTTGTTGTCACAAATCAGCTTTGTCATGCTACACGGGAAAAGATGCGGACTGTAGTGCTGGGTGGCGTGGGGGAGCCTTGCATCTTCAGCATGATAGGAGGCAGCTGAGAGTGGGAAACAGCATGACAAATTGCCTGCAAAAGGGACCACGACTGCGGCTCTTGGCCTTCTAGCATGACAAGTCCATTTGGTACCTCAAATCCTGCATCACAGATTTCCATTTCGATATGGGGAGGGGGGATTTTTCCGTTTGATAGACGAGAAGATAAAACCCCTGGCGATGAAGGTGCTCCGACCTGACCTGGCGGAGAACTACGGGCTGGGCGCCATCATTGCCCAGCACGCGAATCGCTGGCTTTCCGACGCGCACATTCCCCCGACAATCGGAACGGAGGGCGTGGCGGTGCAGATCGTGTTTCCACCAGCCGGCATTGACGGGCGGCACCTGCACCCCGTGCTGCCGAACGACCTGAACATTGGCAACAAGCTGACGATGGAGCAGAAGGAGCAGCTCGCGGCGATTCTGCAGGGGCAGGTGGGCCGCATCCTGCAAGCGCCGGCGGTGGTGACGGCGCCACCGTACCGGCAGAACAATAATAGCGGCAAGTCGTACTCCAAGAGCTTTTTGCAGCACCAACGGCAAACCAGCGGGATCGTCCTCCTCCCCTACGCCGTGGAGATCGGGGGTTACACCTTCACCCAGTTTGAGATTCCGGTGCGGTTCCTGTTTATCGTGAGAAAAAAGTGTTTCCCTGTAAAGTTGTAATGCAGAAAATGTATCTCACAAGTAATTGTCTTGCTACACATGATGCAAGACAGTGGCTTTTTACCTGCGTTTTCCCTTAGGAACCTGGCATGGCAAGTTTTCGTTGTCATGTAGAACAGACTTGTGATGCAAAACCTGCAAAATCCTTACAGTGAAACACTTTTTTCTCAGGATACTGCTCCCCGTGCCCAAGGTGAAGCAGCTGGTCACTCTGTTGACCGCCGTGGAGGGAACGGAGAAAAATACGGTGACCAACCTATTACAGTGAAAAATGCCCCCCACCCCTTAAATTGTAAAAATTTGTGATGCGAAGTTTCCAAATGAAGACTTTTTGTCATGCATGAAAGGAGTATGAATCTTTCTGATGCAGGGTCTAGGCGTGTATCGCATCGCTTGCATGACAAGCGCCGCTCTTGCTGGGGTCTTTTGCAATACAATAAATTCTTGCTGTTCACGATTGGAAACCTGTGATGCTGATAGATGCAAGAGGGTGAGTGTTTCATTTGGAAAGGTTTGCAATACAAATTCTCCCAAGTTCGGGGGTGGGGGCATTTTTCATTGTAATACAACCAGGAAGGAAAACGGGTGGTCTTTCATCCGGGAACCATTTTCGCGGTGCGTGCGGTGCGCGCGACGAAGAAAAAAGCAGTGTCGACGGGTAGTAGTGCAGCTGGGGGTGGAGGGGGGCTCAGTAGCCTGTTTGGGATGGGCAACAAGCCCACGCGGGTGGTGACGGCGGCACACCATCTCGAGCAGGGACAGCAGGCGGGATCCGAAAATCCATCAACCTACGTATCCTGATTAAAAACGTCCCCACACCAGAGTCAAGATGGGGATTTTGCAACACAATAAACCTAGGAGCGAGTTTTGGGAGTCACGCATGACAAGTTTCAGTCCGTAAGGTAGTGCAAGTTAGCAAGGAAAGCCGCATCACAAATCGATCTGCTGATCCTGTTTACAGCATTACAAGTTCCCAAACACGATTGGAACTGCCTGTCATGGGGTTGCGCATCACAAATGTTCCTGTCATGGCAAATCTGCATGACAACACTGGTGTGGGGACGTTTTTACTCAGGATACTACGCCGACCACAGTATCGAGTTGGTGCCCCTCACGGAGATGACCGAGGTGGTGGAAAGCCTGGGACCGCAGTCTGCCAAAGATGCGCGGAAGGATCCGACGCGGAAGGTTGCGAACGACTTTAGTCCCACTTGGTCATCCACCGTGAGAACCAAGAATGTATTGCAGGTGCTATCGTGAGGAAAAACGTCCTCATTCCAGACTTGTTGGCATGCAAATCTGCAAGCCCCCACCCCCTCCTTAAAAGTTGCTCATGGGTACTAGTTCTCCCATAGCGAGTGTTTTCCAAATGCTGTCTGCGACCTTGTCATGCTAGAAATAGAATCAGCCTGAGACGGCCTCTTTATCATGCAGCTGCGCTAGCTAAGCACGACTCTACTGCAGGCCCAAACTTGTCGTGCACACGAGAAAATGAAACTTAATTGGTTTGTGTAGCAAAGTTCCCAGCTGCAGCATCATGCATCTCGCTGGAATGGGGGCGTTTTTCGTCAGGATAGGCGAGCACGAAGTTGCTCGCGAGCCAGATACGGGTTTTGCAGGATGCCGAGCGAGGAGGGCCAAGGGTGTTTGTTCGCAAGCAGACCGGCGACACGGCTCGGGGCTCCCTTCTGCCGAAATTGTACCAGCTGCGTTGGAGCCCGGCGACGATCAATGCCATGGTTGACAAAATTCCGGCGGACACTGCTATAACGTGCTCATTTGTGACAATTTCAAACGTAACTACATGTAGAGAAATAGAAATCTGTGATGCGAAAAATGGCATTATCCAGCGTACACTCGCAGGATTGCGCATGGCAAGCTCCGGAACTCCAAGCCCCATGAGCAGAATCTGGCGAAATCTGTATTGCAGATGCGAAAGGCGAAGGCCAAAGCGCAAGGCTCTACATGCTCTCTATGCGAGACAAAATATAGACTCTATTGTAACGTTTCTTTGAGATGATCGAGATCGTAACAACTGAGCAGGTCATAACCGCACAAGCGAGCCGCGTGCCGAAATTTGAACTGGTGGAGGACACCCAGTTTCTCCGAGATTTGGCACGGGCAAAGATCGCTATTGGCGATTTTCTGGAAAACTGGTTCACGGAAAAGCTGGAGACGGACAAGCCAGAAGAAAAAGCGAAAACCGGAAAAAAAATCAAGAAGCTCATCGATGAGTTGTTCGTATCAAGTGTAAAAATGTCGGGGTCTGGAAGAGTGCGCGATTTGTCATGCAGCGTTTCCATGACCCATGAGGTCTGGAATGCAGGACCTAGCATGACAGATTCTGTGCGATCTCTCTCATGCCTATCCTGCATGAGAAGCTCCCTCCCGCCTTCGTCAAAACTGGACGACTTTTTGTAATCATGCAACACAGATTTTTGCATGCTTCAGATTTAGCATGACAAGTTACATTCTTCCAGACCCAGACATTTTTACATTTGATAGTTCGCGGCTTTTGTGCAGTTCGCCCTAATGGGCATGGATCCCAATTCCGGAACCACCTCCGCGGGAGCGCAGGTGCCAGCGCCCGATGGCGTCCGAGTGGCGCTGTTCCCCATCCAGGACACCTTTGCCCTGCTGCCCACACAGAAGAAGAGTGCGGGCATGATGTCGATGAGCACTAAGGCCAAGGCTGCCTCGCTGATGGCGGACTTTATCCGAGGGGAGGAGATAAATAAAACGGGTTTCTTCACTTCTGAAGATGTTTAAACGTGATTGTGTATTGTCATCCGCGTGACCAAATGTGGCTTTTACGTCAATCCTGACACAGGTTAGTGACAATATCCGCTAACTATGTGTAATGCAGCGTGCTCCTTCCACCTATGGGAAACATGAAAGATCACGGGTGGGAATGGCCCTTTTCATGTCTTGCATTTGTTATATTGCAAAAATCCTTGTTGCTTTCGCAGCCGCCTGTTGTTTTTTGGGCGAAGAAGTTCTGGTGCGTACTTAAGTGTAGATCCAAGTGGTGCAATCTCCTCTACCTTGGATAGACTTTATGGGAGATCTGATCGCGGAGCGGGATAAGCAGGAAGAGGTAGATGTGGCAGACCTGGAAGTATCGCCGAGAAAAACGACACAGGCAGGTCATATGATTTGTACAGAAAAAAAATCTGTAAAAATGGGCGAGCCCATAGCATGCTGTTTAGGATACGCAATGCAGGCTTTTGTGCATATGATGTATTTTGGCATTTACACATATGTCCGGCCTGTCTTTTTCTCTTGGATAGGAGAAGTTGCAGAAAGATGTATCCTATGCGAAAACGTCCCCAGCAGCACCCCACAGTCAAGATGGGATGAAACCTGCTACACTACAAATCCAGAAGCTTTGTGCGCCCCGCATGACAGATTTGGACATGAAGTGTAGTTGTTTGTTGCGGTAGTTGTATAAGAGCCGCATGAAGATCTCGACATCAAGTTAACCCCCTCGCCCTGAGTAGAACATGACAAATTATTCCAAAACATCACGACTCCAAAACGCTTCTCGAAGGCGGGCTGCTGCGCATCAGACACGCACGTGGTAGGCATGCTCTTTTGCAGCTGCATCGACAAAACTGCGGTGATGTCGTGGGCTTCGTTTTTTCACAGGATAACACGGCGTGAAAACGCAGAAACCTCCGAAAAAGACGCAGGTCGCTGCGGCTGCGAAAATGTACCAGCTCGCCATGGACATGATCGATACGAAAGCCGCAGTCTCGTCGGTGGACGTGCTAACGCCGCTGGTGCTGCGGTTGTTTGCCAGGTTCAACACCGCCGGGCGGCAGGCCGGAACAGACCCACCAGATGCGGGCAACAAGAACCCAGTTCAGTTCGGAACAGGCCGCCACTTCCAGCCGGACCGCGCGCTCAAAGAGCTGCGCGAACTGCTCACGGCAACGCTTGCCGGGACGCAGCTGGGTTTATTCAAGCTGAACGAAAATATGGGATCGTTTCAACGATTAAAATTAAAAAAATTAATTTTTATTTATTCAAGAGGTCATACAAAATGAAAATCATCAGAGTGCGACGTGGAAACTGCCGTCGTCGCGGGCCTCCGAGGTGAACGTCTCCGGATTGTGTTTTGTTTATGGTAATGAAATAGCTAGACACGTCCCAACTTCAGCTAGTTAAAATGGTATGTAGTTGAACAAGGTTTAAGAATGCAAAGGAAGCAGGAAGCTTGGCTCCGTCTTTGCGGCCCACAAGCTGGGCGTCTGCGTGGTCCCTCGCTCTCCGGCTCGTCTGGGGCCCCGTCACGTAGCAGCGACGCTATGCTGGTTTCGACCGGTGGAGTTTATGGGGCAATGTGATGGCTTTCGAATACATCCCAAGAGGAAGCTGGTGCGGCAAAGCCTGAAAATGTGTGGCGTTGTAGTATTGAGATCTCGCACCTCAACGGACGGAGCAACTTTCGTGGTTTTGGTCATCAGTTTCAGAGTGGGAGTTCCTGAGTTCCTTTTAGAGCTGGAGGATCGCGATTAATTAGACGCCCAGAGACGTCCAAGAAGACGTCTATTTTCCGCGATATGGAAATGGATTGACTAAGTGGGAATAGCCAAAGTTAATGACGTCCCTGGGGACGTCTCTGGGAGACGTCCCGCAAGCTCATTTTTGGCATCAAAATGAGGCGCGTCAAAAGTTGACGCTTTTCCTTACGAAAAAGCTACTCTTTAGGATGCTTTTGCCCAACATATCCGCAGCGTCGCCTCCTCCACCGTTCTGCTCGCGATACTCCTGCAGGGCCTCACTGGGCTCCGTGTCGGTTGGCGTCGCCTTCTCCGGGCCCAAGATATCGGCCAGCAGCTCTTCTCTGCGCGCGTGGATCCCCCCCATGTATTTCCGGCGTCCGGAGGGGGCGCGGAGGAGGGCCCGGATCGCCCTGGCGACGTTCTCCATACCAAGGCGCTTGGTATTAGAACTGCTACTGCCGCGATGACAGACTCCAGCTTCCATATCATTTCAACTAGCTTAAGTTGGGACGTGTCTAGTTATTTCATTACCATGAACAAAACACAAGCCGGAGATGTTCACCTGGGAGGCCCGCGACGGCGGCAGTTCCCGCATCACCTTCTGATGATTTTCATTTTATATAACCCCTTGAATTGCAAAAAAATAATTTTTTTTATTTTAATCGTTGAAACGATCCCATAGAAAAATACAACACGGACGAGGAGGCAACTCCGGTATCTCTTGCCCAGCTGCTCAAGGAACTGCCGGACTTTACCGCCTTTCTGCCGGGGGCCGTAATGAGAAAACGCGAAAATTCGCTGACGGACGCAGTGCAGCGAAGTAAAATGTTCAAAGAGTGGGGGGTTGGGAAGCGGTCAGAGACCCTGGCGACTTCGACTCCGGAAGCCATGGCTTTTTCGGCGGAGAAAATGTTTTCCTCGAAGATCAAGGTGACGGCGGCACCGCAGCCACCCTCTTCGTTTTTGGAAAAAGTAGGGAGTGCCGCTGCGTTCTTGGAGTTTGGATCTGGGTCTGGGCGAGGGCCGGAGTATTTCCCTAGTACGGGGTCGGAGAAGTTCAAGACCCTCCGGAGGATACGACGCCCCGCGTCCTCTTTCGTGGTACAAGCACCCCGCGTTTGTTTCATCGTTCGTGATACTTACTATCATGTCGAGAATAGTTTCGAAGTTATCATCATGCTTAGCGGGGGCCATTTTTATAGTACATTCGCGCTATAATTCCTAGCCCTAGTTCTGTCTTCATCAGCCAAAAAACGCTGCGCTCTACTTTCTGGGACGCATGTAGTACTTCAGCGTGAAAGAGTTAACATGGCTACGACCGCGTTCGCGGATGCGGACCAGAAGAAGGTTGAAATTTGTTAAAACGTTATCATACAGCACCTGCGCGACAGATACGGCAAGCCACAACCTTCAGAAGGGAAGAAAAGTATTACGCCAGGGAAAAAGTCTAGCTTTGTCAGCACAGGTAGGTCGGTCCTCTTGCGTACTTACTAGCTAAAGCAGTTACAACATGCTATGTATGGGGATCATCCCCTTGAAGAGCAAGAGAGATCATCTACTCATCCGTTTATTCGTTGCATGCATGATACACTGGCTTTTTTTCTGTGTGATATTGGGGAAAAATCCAGAGAGAAGATCGAAAATTATCAAGAAGAAAACCGCGGCCCCCATCTCTACCCACTGCAAATATGTCTGGGTCTGGAAGATGGCAATTTGTGACAGCACGTCCTGTAGATTACACAAAATTTGTCTGGCGCGGGTAGCACAAGCTGCCCACTTTTGGCTACACTATACCGGTATTTCTCATCATGCGGCATATATGAATTGGAAAGCTTTTACACCGCCTGTGATGCTAAGCCCAGCATTTCAGATTCAGTCCTTGCGGGGCATCCAAAATCTGCATGACAAACACCTGCAGTCTTCCAGACTCAGACACATTTGCATTTGATATACCTCCTACGCAGAACAAATTTGTCTACTAGGATGGTGTGTGTACACAAGAAAGTAATATGATTGATGTGTCAATGTCATGATGGCAGAAGCTGAAAGGAAACCATGCAGAGCGCAGTAGCCGTCGTGGGTAGCTGCACTGCAGCAAACTTTTTTATGTTGAAACTGCGCATGATGACTAGTTTTAATAAATTGCGTACTACGGACGTACTGTCCATTGAAAGTGTGTCTGTGTCTGGGCCTGGAAATATGATGCACTGATACTATGATTGCTGAGCTCTTCATGAAAAAGCGGTCCGGCTCCGGTTCTGTACGACACCTGCGCAACATGACAATTTTTTCGAAGTATTTTGCGACGGCATGAGTGAGTCTGGTTGCGCATTACATAACATAGCAAATTCGTGAAGCCTCTTAATGCATCACAGATCTTGCTGTGCTGCACGTCCTACGACATCACATCAAATAAATCGAGACCCAGATGACATAGACTGCAATGAAGAAAGGTTGAATTATTTGGGGAGATGGGGGACCGATCTTTCCCGGCCAAAACTGGGGGACGCGAGAAGAGACCGGATAAGCGGAGGAGCAGCGGGAAAAGGAAACGGCGACCCAAACCGAAGTACAGGGGATATTTATGAAAAGAAAAAAGTTTGTGTTTGTCACACTTGTTTTTTGCCGGACACGAGAGGACCTCTTTCTGCTAAAGCAGCTTTCTCTTGTATTGCAGAAGCACGACTAGTACAACCACAAGTCGGAAGCAGATTACGCATAGCTGCAATGTGAACATGCATTCTTAAGTACGCATGTCCGACGTTTTGCAAAAATACCAATGCGTGATTGTGACGAACTTTTTTGATGTTGGATAATGGACGCTAGTGGCATGGGCGAATTGGATTCGCGAAAACGGACTGGAGGGCGTGCCAGAGGGCCTCTGGAACTGGGTCGAGACAATGAAGGAGAAAGGGAAAGTGAAACGTGAAGAAGTGAAGTACTTTGACAGGTACGTGCAGCGTATGGAAGCGTCAGGATTGAAATCGTCACAGTTGAAATAGTTTGTCATGCGTAAAATTCAGCCCGCAGAGTGCCTGTCTTGCAGAGGAGGCAAGTGAGGCAGACTGTAAGCCTGTTGAGGGGTAGAAACTGAGCTGCTAAAGTAGCATGACAAAAGGCGTATGCCTTACCCAAACAGCATGACAAACTGGATCTCGGTTCTACCCAAATTTGTCATGCGCCACTTAGAAACTGGGTCACAACTTTCATCCATTTTCTGCATTACAAGTTATATCAACTTTGGCGGTCTCAATTTTGACACTCCCATGCAGCGCGCCGAGGATTGGGCGGATTGGGGGGAGGATTATTCGGCGGCTGAAGGAGCTGCGGTGCCGCCCGGACAACGACCGCCGATGGAGAATCGCGTAGGCCCAGTTACCCCGGCGCGACGCGATCTGCCGGTGCAAAAAAACAACGAAGGAAATGGGGAGTGCTGCAAATGCGCGTGGCTGGATGAATGCTGCGCAAAGTGTAACTGCTGCGGCAAGCGGAACTGCTGCAACGAGGGGAACTGCTGCAAAGATTATCCTCTTTATGGCGTCTTTGTCCGTCCCGGCATACTTGTCATGAAAATCAAAACTCGACATAATTTGCAGGAGCTGAATGTGCTTTGTCCTTGTGTTGAAGCTGGTCCAGAGACGAGGCTTAGGCAATGATGTGTGGAAATTCATCGCCCCGGCAGAACCAAAACCCTAGGGCAGCGAGAGGCAGAGGCCGGCTCTGTGATGAAGATGCAGCCTCACAAAGGTAATTGCGGCTTTTTCCCGGCAAAAGCAAAGCCAAACTTACGTCTACCGCAGACGTAGTGTGCACTTCTAAAAACGCCAGCTGGGGTTCTCTCTAGTCTGAGCCATATAATGACATGGACGGCTTTTCAAGAGGATCGGTATGACGGGTGCTGTACGGAATGCATGGGAGACTCGAAAAATAATGCAGCAGCAGTAGGTGGTGCAGTTGCTGCAGGGGGTGCAGGTGCGGTAGCAGCAGGTGGGAAGTGCGGCAGGTGGTGCAGATGCTTCTTTGGCGATATTTGCTTCATGCTTTGCTGTCTATGCTGCAGAACAGGGTACTACTCCACCGCATGTGGTATTCGAAATTACTTGTCAGGCGTTGATTGATCTCGTGTTGCCAGCAGAAGATTGTTTTTCTCCTTCGGAGCAGTCGCATGATTGCTGTGGTCTTCCCGACTTTAAGTCTCACAAACCACCTCACTGTCTGGCTCAGCAACAGAGCAACTACAGACGCGCCACAAATAATTTGGCATACGGCAAGGGAGGGGCGCTTTTCTGCAGAATAATGTCCGACCATGGATCAGCGAGAGAACAAGGATCAGGATAATGGTTATATTGAGTTTTGTGGGTGGTTCTTTTTTAAGCTCGTTATAGGGGGACTACTTGTGGCGTATTTGCTTGACTCCCTCGCCCACGCAAAATATGTACCCGAATTTGATGTATACGATTTTCCGTCCGGGTTTCCTGTGGTGACTGACCCCATAGTACTCGTTATTTGTATAATCATCCTCTCAGTTGTCACCTTTTTAGTCGTATTTTGTTTCGTCTGCTGTCCAATGCGGCGGGCTTGTGCGTCGACAAAAGTCTGTAAATGCTTTCATATTACTCGTTGTCGTTGCCAAGAATGTTGGAGCTCTAAATGGTGCAATTTGGACCTGTGTTGTCGAAACTTTATGCTTCATCACTGCAGCTGTTGCTGTACCAACGAGAAATCCATGTTCGCTGATCGCAGACCACGACCGGACTCAGCAGGTGGGGCAACGTAAAACGGTGCTCCACCCGCGACACCGGCAGTGGGACGACGGAGTTTCCGCATATTGAAGATTCTCAAAATCATTGCGACCCGCATTTTTTTAGTATTAATTTTCATTTTCTTGCAAACGAAATGCAAAGTAAAGATTGACAAATTGCGGCAGGAAAGAATACCGAAAGAGATGAACAGAAGGCATACTAAACTATAATTATAGTACGTTTTCTTCCCACGGTCGTGTCGCTGGTCACTGCCACACCAGCACTTTGATCGTTATTTGGGACAGATTTATGGATTGCAAGTATGTCTGGGTCTAGAAAGGTGTCAAGCGACGACCGCGTGGAAGATGATAAGTACACAGAATACAATAGGCAGCAACGCATGACAAGATGTTGTCGAGTTTTGATGTGTAGCGTCTTCCGCATGAGAAAGTCCATCTTTATTGCAATACAAACGAGCGACGCTCATGCGCAACGCGCATGACAATAATTTCTACTGCCATCTCAGAGGACAAGCATCATGAAGTCTTGTAACTTTCAGACCGAGACATGTTTGCAGTTGATGGACGTTCTTTATCGAAGAAGAAAAACTGCTTACTGACGAGGACTAACGAGGAAAAAGTGCGGACCTCTTTGCAAGAGCGGATTCGTGTCGGTCTTCATGTAAAGACGAGCTTTCGAGAAATACAAATAAAGAACCAGAAGCAGAGGCTTAGTACGCAAGGCATCATCTATGACGGACTTCAGTACGCCAGTCATGGTGCATGTGTTTGTTTTCACGAGCATTTCTATGCGGTACAAAAAAATGCTGCTGCTGTTGTACTAGTACTCTGTCAAGATGCAAGACGTAACACGACAAATCGTATGCTTTGATCTAGACGCAGACATGTTTAATCGTATGTAAGGAGTTGTTGTTTTTTTTTATTTTTTGTAAATATCGAAGGGGCACCACCAGCCACCCTGAAAATTCGTTCCAATCATACGGAAAGAGAAAACTCTAGTAGTGGTGGGTGAAGATCCACTGGGCAACTCTAAGTAGTACCTCGGTACAAGAATGAATCGTGTAAACGCTGAAGCCATCTGGAAGCTCCTGCAAAGGCAATTATTCCAAGCAAATACAAAAATATGACGCACGAGGAGGATGCAGAGGCCTCGGCGCCCAGGTCAGGTACTCCTGGCGACAGGGTGTTTTTTGTGCTTTCGAGTTCATCGAGGGGCAACGCAAACGGCAAATAGCATTTCATTGTCATGTTCAACATCTTGATCGCCGCACCCGCACATAACCTCCAGTTCTTCGTGAATCGTTCCCCTCATTCATCTTCAAGTGCTGATGTGGAGTGAAGATGTCTGCGTTTTACAAAACTAGTTCTGATAATTCATCTCTCGGTAGGTGTAGAGGACAGAAGAAGCGGAAGTAGAAGACGTGCTGTAAATATGCGGGTAGTTGTACATCACGCACTTCATTCTCAGACCTTACCTGCGCTTCTCTCTGAACCGGATCTGCGCCACGATGATGGATAGTACGGGCAACTTTAATATTTTTCAGGGACGACCAGTAGCACAAACACGCAGAACGATTTTATGGGGACGAGACGAATACCTGCTGGCAACGATTTTGAAATAGAAAAGGTGAAAGTAATTAGAGTACGGCAAGTGCTGCTTGCAGCCTGCGATATTACGCTGCGACAGATCCTACCTTGAACACGTAGCAGCTGATTCGCAGAAATACAAATTATAGATAGAGACTTTTACTGTCTTGGTCCTTGTCTAGAAACCCTGCGCTGGCACCAGATACTTCTCGACCTGCATATACAACAAAACGATCGTAGGATAATTCGCGTTGGAAATACGAACTCTGTTCTGCTTCTCGAGTGAGTAAGTACTTTTATATCGACCTATTACTATTGCTACGGATAATAAAGCTGTTTGCTCTTGCTGCTACGGAAATCAAATCAAACTAGAGAATCAATCGGTTCGTGAATTGTAAAGAACTCGATGAAGTTGTCAATCGCCGGGCGGAAAAACTGGTAGAAAACCAGATTGAGGCACTGGAGGTGGACCAAGTAGTACTTCGCGTAGGAAAACATGGGCAGAAGGTGCGAGATGAGGTGGAGCGACAGAAGAATCTCCAGCGACAGCACCTCCTGCTATGGCGTTCTCAAATGTTACACTCTCAACTGTAATGCAAGAATGGCAAAAGTCAAAGAAGGGAGGCTGCACCTTTAGCATGACAAATTCCGCACAAATTAGGTGCTGTTTAGCCTTTCCAAAATTTGTCATGCGAAGTAGCTTCCCTGTGTGGATCGGATGTTGATGCTAATTTCGCATGACAAATCATGTAACAGTTGAGAATGTAACGTTTAAGAACGCCATACCTGCTGGTCGTTCAGTTTCACGTGCGTGCGCGCGTAGTTCTTGCACCTGGGCACCAACATGGCCATCAAATTATTCAAATAGTCCTGCCAGAGAAACAGCACATCCAGCCGGGACTTTGGCACTTCCGCGGGCAAAACCTCCCGCAACTGCTCCAAGTCTCGCGCCCCGCACTTGTGGGACAGGTTCAGAATCCGCAGAAATTTGCTCGCCACGTGAAACTCCGTGCAGTCGGACAGCGAGTTGACCAGCCGGAGTAATCGCTGCAGCTATGACAGTGACAAATGTCCGCACCATGGAATTTTTTGCAAAACTTTCTGTTTCTCATGCAAAGTTTGCAAATGAAAGCATTTTGTCTTGCATGGAAGGACTATGACTATGAGCCTTTCTGATGCAGAGCCTAGGCGTGCAAGGTATCATCTTCTGCATAACAGATCCGCCTGCTATTGGGCTCCTCTGCGCCACAAATTTGAGCTAGTCAGCTCGGAAAATTTGTGATGCTGATCAGTGCTGGGGTTGTGATGCAACTTGTCATGCTAAATCCGAATCATGCAAAAGTCTGTGTTGCATGAGTGCCAAAAGCTGTCCACTACTTTCGACCAAGTTGGGAGAGAGTTTCTAATGCAGGATAGGCAGGACAGAGACCTCACAGAGTCTGTCATGCTAGGTTCCGCATTCCAGACCTCACGGGTCATGGAAAACCTGCTAGTGTTGGACACAGGTCGTGACAAGCGCTAACTTGCGTCTACAGGAAGAGGCGAGGTTCTCTCTCGCCTGCGCTTCTCTCTGAACCGGATCTGCGCCACGATGATCATCAGCGAGCTGAGTTCAAAATGATCCTCAACATCCTGCCATGTGTTTTTTGTTTTCCGTCGTGTATACCAATCTAGAAAATCACTAGTACTTTATTGCCACTTGACGAATTATGTCGATGATCATGCGTCTTCGTGTAGCAGAACGGAGACTGTGTTTTTAGAAACTGTAGTCAGGTTCGATTGCGGATCTTCTTTGTCGACGAAACGTTGATCATTCGCCTGTTGTGCAGAAGATCAAGCGCCATCCTTTTTCATCCGCGTACTATTGGTTGCAGCCCGCGAGCTTGTGTATGATTGTCAGCTGCACGTACGACTTACTGGGGCTGCTGGTAGCACAGTCTCTGTTGCTTGTGACACCTGATAGGAACTGTAGGCTGCGAACGCGAGGTCGTTATGACTAAGTGAAAACCTGTATTTTTTGTAGTACCTCCTGCTGCATCTCCACATCGACAAAACGAGACAATCCAGACTCAGCATGCGGCGAATTATGACATCAGCAGGAGCCCTCTCACAGCAAGCCCATCAGGTTCATGTCCTGTCCAGCCCGTTTTGTGTACCACGTCACTTGGGGTTTGAAGCGGTCGGGGAGGAATGCAGGCAGGGGGCGGCCGACTCCGAGCCAGCGTAGACGGCTGCAGCAGTTTTTTTAGCTGTTCGTCTTATGGCGGATCGGGCTCGGCTTCAATCGGCTAGCGAAGGAAAACCGCGTCGCTTGGTTTGCGTTTGTGCCTCTTTCCAAAACAATCTGACGAGCTTTCTTCGCCCAATATGGCCGTTTGCTTCCCGGACGAGTAGCGGTAATGCAGACAATGGACAAGCAAGCGTCCTTCTATCCAAGGAAAAAACTGTGTTATAGTAAATTCCAGTACTCTAGCATCGCAATTTTTTTTGTTCGGTTCGACAGCAGAAACGTTTTGTTCGCAGATTGTGTGTCGCAAACGCAATTAGAATTCTCCATTGTCTTGATCGCGACTCAAACAAAATAAAGAGCCTTGAGCTACTGCTACTGGACGCTTGGCAGGATAAGTGATATTTGTTTAATTTGAACTTTTCTTCACACAGTTTTTCTCCCGGATAGCTTCCTCCTGTTATCAGACAAAATAAGTTTGTCACGAGCACTCATTGGCAATTTTGCAATGAAACAATGTTTTTAATGCGTAATAATGCATACAAAAAAGCTGAAGCTTTACACGTGACCCTTCCCTCGTATTTCTGCAGTACAATTTTGCTGCCAGAAAAATTTATTATGCAAAACGAAAAGCTGCTGCTGCATCTGCGGCATCTGCAAAATACAAAGTGACAGAAACAAATAGCGCTTTTCTTTCCATACCCCTCAGCCATTAGGCGTCGAACGTTCTCCGTGGATATCGTACGAAAAAATTGTCTCAGTCTCAAACCTTTGCAGATTCAGCCATTCAAATTTGCTCACCTGTGCTAAGTGCGACACAAGCAAAAACACTTACGAAGGAGGACTGTCTCGCATGTCGAGCTTGAGAAAAAACTGTCTCGAGGAACAAGTTTCGCATTACAAGTTGAGACTTCTGAGATAGTTTTTCCTCACAATAGTGGACCAGCTTCAGACCCGGGTGCTGCAGTGTGCTATCAAGTGTAAAAATGTCTGGGTCTGGAAGAATCCGAACTTGTGATGCTGCATTTGGATTCTAAAAAAATCTGTATTGCATGACCAGCAAAGGGAATGCAATTTTGGCTACGCGGAGAGGGCATTTGTCATGCGGAATAGGTATCACGAAGCCCTCAAAAAGTCTGTGATGCGAGGGTATGCATCACAGACATCGTGGCCCATGCAAAACGTGCATGACAAGTTTCAGAATCTTCCAGACCCAGACATTTTTACATTTGATATGTGCCGATAGCTTGCCAGTGTCCGATCTGGCTTTCATCGCGAACGCTTTGTCTCACTACGCTCCGAAAAATGTTCCCCCGAGTTCAACATCTTTTGGTTGCGCCATGGTGGTGCCGCAGTCGCGCGCCCCTCCAACCGCGAGAGCAGGAGACGCAAGCACTGCAACCCTACGCGCACCATCTCCAAGGGGAAGCAGCACCAGCAGTTTCTGGTCTGAATTCGCCAGGAAGTGCGCTGCGAGGGTGAAAAAAGACGCCGCGAACCCTGCTTCCCGGACGGGAATAAAATCGTCAGAGGACCAGGAAAACCATGTGTCATCGCTGGACAGTCGGAATCTGGGCCTGCTAGCGAATGCGTTCACGCGGGTGGACTGCCTCAACACGGCTGGTGGGGGAAGGAGCGGAACCGGTGGTAAAAGCGGCAGAGCTGAGCATGACGAGGAGCGTGCTCCTGGTCCTGGTCGGAGTTTTGTCCTCGACGGTGAAAATAACGTAAAAGCTGCCACGGAGGAATCCTCAGTTGCGCCTCCCACCGACAGTGTCCAGGAGCTGTTCGAGGCCATCTCAGACGCTTTGGTGGGTACGGGTCCTACAAGTAGCGGCGCGACAAAAACGCAGGGTCGGCCCGGGTGTTGTGAGCAACCAAACGAGCAGTCTAATTTTCCCCCCCGTCTGGCGCGGTCAGGAGCGGAGGGAGATGACGTTCTTCCTGCCACGTCTCCGCGCGACACCACCGAAAGTAAGAGATACAACTACAACCCGGAGGAACAACGCAGAAGTCGCACGGTCTCTCCGAAGAGCCTCGCCCTGGCGCTACGTGCGAATGTTTTCTCTTCGCGGCGGCCAGAGGTTGCAGCTTCTAGCAGCGCGACATGGACGGGCCGAGGCGAAGACGGTGCGGAAGGAGCACTTGTTGAGCCTGCAGCCGTTGGTCGCAACAGGTCCACCTGTACGACGGATCAGACGATAGCGGCCGTGCTTGACCACCGAGGTATACAATGTAAAAAGTCAACAGAGCGTTCTTGCCCGGCCGTTCTCGAATTTGTATAATTCATGCGGACTGAAGTAGTGCTAGTGGTGGAAGTGCAGCTCCACGTGGACCGGCACTGCAACGCTAAGGCAGGAGCAGCTACGACAGGTGGGTCGAAGTCATGCACTCAGTTCTTCGTGATCGCGACGCAAGAACTTGCCTTGCGGATAGTACTAAGAGTACATCCGTAGAAGTTCTTGAGTGGCCCTTCCAGGTGCTGTATTTCTATGCGAATACAATTTTGGAATGGGAGGGGGGCGAACGTGTTTCTGTTTTCTACATTCCATACGAGACGCCAACAGCACGGACCTGCAGATGGCGCTGGCCACAGCGGACCGGGACTTTGTCTTGAACAGCTTGCTATGCATAATCGACACGTCACGCAGTGTGGTCCTAGATTCTTTGTAAAAATCCGCGACTAGTTCTAATTGTACTAACAAGTTGCGCGACGGCGCCCTGATCTGTATGTGCCTGGGGTATAAGTTTACCGAGGTAGTTTATTTCTGCCTTCATGTTGCTGGGTGGAAATTCGAACTACGAATACCCATGAAGACGCAAGAACGTCGTCGTTTCCAAAGCTCGGCATTTGTTGTTCATGCTGTGTGGCGGACCATTCCACCCTGTCAGCAACACAAATCAGCTGCATCCTTCAAGATCATCTTCTAGGGGACTACATATTTGCAACCCATACTTCTTGCTCGACACTGATGCCGCCGACGCGAATGCTCGCTACTTTCAACGTGAAATAACGACCACAAGCGCAGCATCTGAAGATTTTACCACTAGCTTCACACAACCACCGCGACCTTCCGCGGCCAATACCGGAGCCTGCAGCACGGAACCACCAGCCGCATCAAGCACCCAAGAACCTCGCCGTGGTGGATCGCGTCTCGCACAGCTCGCCCCCCGCCTCGATGCGCCGGCGATCGCGCGGCTGCTGCAGGCGGTAGCCAAGGTGAACAACGTGCGAGCAGCGCAAATGGTACCTCCCGGGGAAGAGAGCAGAACTGGGAGAAGTAGTAGTGCAGCTGCCAGTGTTAGTGTTTCGGAGCAAGGAGCAGAGGAGGCGAACAGCGAGCTTCCTTCCCGGGGGGATCTGCGAGGTGGAGCAGGACCACTGGAAAAGACGATCGCTTCTAAAGATGCGGGGAAACAAGGCGCAGGAAGTTATTCTGTCCATCCTTCTTCGTCCCGGGGGATCCCCCACCTGCACCATGGCGCCGGTGGCAGGGCCGATGCAACCAGGAAGCAGAACAAAGAGAAGGATGACGCCGCCAAGGAGACGCAGTTGTTTGACTTGTTTCGGCCCTACATTTTGCAGTTGGTGCGGTCCGGAAGTACTTGTGCCACTTCTACTCCAGCCACGCCCGCAGAGGTCAGGTCGGGTGGTGGCGTTGTTGTTCGTTCCGGTCCCGCTGCTGCAACAGGTGCGGCTTTATTGCCAGTGTCCAACCACGAAAGCAACGTTAATATACCGGGTGTTGAAGACTTAGAACGCTCTCCTGGCGCGCCGGCCGTGCCGGAGAACAGTATAGCAGTAGAACACGGTGAACGATTTTTGTCAGCTGCAAATGGTGCCTCTTTGAAAGAAGTAAACCACGCCATTGACGTGCAGGCACTGTCCATGATCATAAATGCGTACGCCCGCCTGGACAGGAAGGACGACCTGGAGGTCCTGCGCGCCCTGGTGTGGCGAGCGAAGGAACAGCTGAAAGAGTACAACGAGAATAGTAGAAGCATGGCAGAAGACAATATTACGCATTTTCGCAATTCTTGTGTCTAGGTCCGGAACAGCGGTGAAGACGCAGGCAATTTTTGATGCTTTCGTAGTTCAGGAGATCTGTATCATTGCATGCATCGCAGCTCCTGCTGTGCCTGTGGGCGCTTTCATTTACCATGCAGCGAGCCGCGGCCTGTCCTTTGAGTCGACGGGGGCCCGGAATCGAATGCGCAGCGAGCGTAGGGAATTTTGCCCTGCTGCTGTCGTGCCGCACAAGAACATCACAGCATGCTGGAATATTGCAATAAAAACAAATTTTCTACAACTGCACTCATTTTCCCGATCTGAAGAACAAGTTATTTGTACTCGATAAACTACAAAACCCTTTGTACTTGGCTGACAGCTAGTAGTGGTACAGCCACTCCTCGGGACGTTGGAAGCTCGACCATGGTCGCGAGCGGGAACACACCGCCGCGGGGACCTCCTCCTCGGGAAAAGGGGACGGTACATTTGTGTGGTGGTACGGCTTCAGAACAGTCTCCCCTTGTGCCAATATCATCATCGTCGTCATCTTCACACGGCGGTGCTAATATGGCCTCCAAAAAGCTACAGAGTGACAGCACAACTACGAGTTGTACGAATAAGCCGTGTAAGTTTCCTCCCCCGCCGAAGATGTTTGCAGCGCCGCCGCCGAGAGGACATTTATCGCAGGAAAAAAGTGTAGTTGTCATCTTGGCGTGCGCCAGCTGCTGTTCTCGTCGTGGATGCTGCAACACTAAAGAGCAGGCGTTTGTTCTGGCTACTTGCTAGGAATGTTTGCAAGTACTGTTGGCGGCTATTTGCATTTCTGAGTGTGTTTTCATCCCGCTTTTGCGGGAACCAAACACGGCGGATTTGTTCTTTCCCTGTCGTGATGGCTTGATCCAGGTCCTTAAAAGTCAAAATTATCCTCACAGTGAAGGAGACATACTTTGTTTTTCGTGCGATAAATCGTTGCTGGTCGAACTGCAGCGCCGGCAGCTTCTGCAGGCATAGAGGACGGCGCGACGCGGCGCTCTGCGACCGCTCCAGGGGGTGGTATACTGCACGGAGTGGGTGGCAGCTCGTCACATCTGTGCTGGCACAGCAGTAGAGCTCCAGGCCTCCTAAAAGTGGACCATATTGCCGTCTCGACTTTGTTGAATGCGCAGGTCAAGCTATTCAATGCGCAAAATTTCGAATGATCTTCACCCTTGCAGCTACTATACTAAAGTAAAAATTTATTGAATTTGTACAGCCTGCATTTGTAGTACGAATCATGCGAACTACCTCTACCTGTTGTATAAAAGATGCGGGCACCATTTTGCATCTTGCAAACAGAGGACAAAGTGAAGATGGGAAGCGGGGCAGTTGTTGTGAAAATTTTGCCTAGGATAGAAGCTGCAGTTTGTGGATCTGGGCTATTTCAAGGAAGCGATGACATGGTGCCAAAATGAAGCGAACTTGCAGTCGTGCAGTCCGCAATCGCTTTCGCTATTGCTCCACGCGTTCGCGAAGGCCTTCAACGGCGTTAGCTCGCTGTTGTCGCTCAACTGCCATTATGCATTGCAAAAGTATGATTATGAGATCGCTATATCTACAACACCAGATGCGTAGTAGTTGTGATTGCATGACAATTTTCCCAGAATGAGAAAAAGAGTTTCGGACGCTTCTTGGACAGATGGCACACAGCTATATACAGATTTTTGCCTTTTTTTCGAATCAGTACGAGCTACTTTTGCGATGCATACCAAGGACTTCTGCCACGAGGACGCGCTGTCCCGTATCCTGAGTAAAAACGTCCCCACACCAGAGTCAAGATGGGAAATCTGCTAGACAAATCAGCCAGCTTTTGTCATTTGGCATGACAAGTTTCTCCTCGTAGTGTAATCCTGTTTAGGTAGTTCAGCAGCGTCACAGATCTAGTACATCATGCGGATTATAGCATCACAAATTCCAAAACACGACTAGAAAATGCCTCTCATTGCGCTCCGCATGACAAACTTTTTTGGCATGCAGATTTGCATGACAACTCTGGTGTGGGTACGTTTTTACTCAGGATATCCCGGGACGTATCATCAATGACTGCAGAGCTGCATGTACCACCAGCTGCTCAACTTGATGGTGACAGTTTCCGCCTCGCGGGCGGACCCTCAGTGGAACCGCACCACGAACCAGAACAAAACGGGGCAACCTTCTACTTCCAATCGCCCAGCGCGGGCCGACCTGGAGAATTGCGAAAGCCAAGCGTCAGCCAAGTGTCCCGCTCCGTTTCGATTGACGAAGGATCCTGCCCCGCCACGGCAGATGAGGATGAGCGCGCGCTTTCCACTGCGACCGACGGCTCCGCAGCACTGTCAGAACTTCTTCCGCCACCGCGTCGCCGCAAGGAAATGCATAGTAGTACTAGCTATCGAAAGCAAAAAATCTACACGCGGGGTCCTCGTCAAAGCTTGTGCTGCCAAGTAAGCTCTGCATGGCAAACAGACTGCAGTTGGCAGCCAACAACGATAAAGTTTGGGTGGGTTCTGTGAGGATGCGTGTTGTAGCTTCGTTTTGGCAGGACAACAAAGACCACAGGCCTAATACGTTCGAGCAGCGCATTTACAGACATTGCCATGCGCTGTAAAAAAAACTGTAGCTCTACCAGCAAAACAAGGAGACCCCGACGTGTTTGCAATGCATCTCAGCCCGTTGAGTTCGACGAGTGCGAGCGCCACCTCTTTCCCACTTTCCGCCAACGTGAAAGCAACAGGCGTCCCCCAGCACCGCCAGCCAAGTAGAAATCACAACTTCAGCTTGCCGAAGCGGGCGAACAATCGAAACTTTTGTGATTTGGAGGAGTTGCAAGCTTTGTTTTCCCGCCATTTCGTCCCGTGCCTGTTGCAGAAACTGCCGGAGTTCACACCCCAGAACCTTTGCAACGCGGTCGGCGCCTTCGCGGCGGTGGGGGTGGTGTATAATCGTGGGGACCAGATGAAGATGTTGAACGACCAGTTTCTTTGCAGCTCTTCGGCTGCCAGCAGTCAAACTACAACTCAGTTTTTCTTCGCAAAGGCCGCCGAGCGGTTTTTGGAATTCGCAGCGGCGACCGCTTCCACATCTAGTTGTAGCATGACAGCTAAAAGTGGTACTTCTACCGCTATCCACAAGCTGAATCCGCAGGACGTGTCCAATTTCTCCACGGCGTTTGCAAGGTATCTGACCGGCGGCAGAGCTGGCTCGGGTCCGGGGGATCACGATCGAGGTCCAGAGAACTTGCAGTTCTGCAACACGGCCGCGGCGGATCACAGTCTGCTGGAGCCGGCGATTCAAAAGTTGCTGCTCATGCTCGCGAGCTACCGAACTTGTAGAAAAAATATAATCTTCGGAAGCAGTCCTTCTGGCGGTCCGCGAGGGACACCGCAAGACTCAGCTGGTAGGGCAGTTACAACTACTTCCACCTCTACTGCAGGTCGTGTGGTTGGAAGTAGTAATCTACCACGCGCTGGTAGTACTTCGTCGCCCACGACTGGCATGCGACCCTTCGAGCTCTCCGCCTACCTCAACGCGCTAGCCTGTTTCTACACGGAAACGGCTTCTCTTTTCATGGTCACTGGTGCTGGATTGGGTTTGGGGCAGAATCAGAAGGCGGCTGGAATTGTGGATTGTCATAATTCGTCATCACCCAGTTCTTATGCTGCATTGCTCAGACAAGAGATCGTAAAGACATTCGACGTATGAACTGCAGAAGTATATCTGTTGGCGGGTCTGGAACACGAAGGTTGCTTTGCCATGATCCGTAAAAATGTGCATCCTGCGATTATTTCCAGAACAAACTCACCTAGCATTTTGCTGAAGCAGTTGATGGGAGGACAAAAAGTGAAAGGCGGCTTTCGGTGCTCATGCGAGACCGACGTCTTTGTCGTCCTTTCACAAGGATGACGAGGAGCATCACAAATTTGCATTCTTCCAGACCACCAAACGATACATCATTTGCAATGCATAGGACGAGTGCAAAAACGACGTTTTCAGCAGAAGCCTGCGGATTTCCAGTTCCGAACTCGCGTTGGTGCTAAATGCCTATGCCAAGGTGTTTATGCATTGCAAATATGGCTGGGTCTGGAAGACGAAAAATGCAACTTGTGATGCTGCCTTTGGACGATTCTACAAAAGAACAGCAAGAGGAGTCCAATCTTTGCTACGCGAAGGGGCGAGTCTCATGCGGTATTGGCATTAAAAAGCCATCACAAATCCTGTGATGCTAGGGCGTACATTACAGACATCATAGGTCATGCAAATGCATGTCAAATCTTGCAAGCTTGCAGACCCAGACACCTGTGCACTTGATAGTGTTTCCGCTCTTCAACGAGAATGTTTCTGTTGCTGAAGCAGAGAAGAGAGCGGTGAAATCTGTGGACCGAGAAGCTGAACGACCAGGTGCGACGTCTTCTTACACCGCCACTATGGCAAATGGTAGTGTGATGTCATCGTTTTCGACTTCGGCCCCCACCACCAGCAGCAGAGCGGCCGGTGCTTTTTCCTCCGTCAATCTGGCAGATTTCGTGGCGAAGTGCATCACCACGGCGCATGAGCAGCCGTTCCAGGGCCTGAACTTCGTGCTCGCGTTCAACGCGATTTGCAAGTTGGGTTTTAACCCGGACCTCAGTGCATCTGATACAAGTGCTGGCACGTCAACATTAACGACGTCAAAATTTTTCACATCTACACCCCGTGCCTCACCGTCTCCTGAAGGGGATCTTTCTTCCCCAGAAAGGACTGTTTGCCCTGGTGATGAAGATGATAGTACTGCGGGGGCACCAGAAGCGACGAGGGCACAACTCACAACACTGAGAAAGCGGACTGCCCTACTTCAAACGAAATGGTCCGCCGGGTTTGCGAATCTGTCGAACGCGAACAATCGGCGCACTATACGAATTGGAAAATAAGCTGTCTTGCCCCGGTTGCAGCAGGCCTGGCAAATATTTCTCTTGCGAAGTTCGTACATTGGCTTGCATAAGAGGTCTGCGGATGTCTTTCTATTTCCAAATTGTTGCCGTGCAGTAAAGACTTCGCGTGACACGCAACGCCCAACAAGTACTGAGCGCAAGCCTTCAGCACAGATTTTTTGCAAATGTGCATTGGAAATTTGTGTTGCTAACATTTGGAACTTCGCTTCACGAACCCCTCTTTGCTCCGCGGGCGGGACACGTCTTATTTTCAGTTTGATTCAGTATCGACACCATACACATCTCTAGTCTGATGAACAGTCTCGCCCGGTGCCAATTCTCGAACAAGCACAAGCAGTGGGTAATCGAGTGCCTGAACTACAGTCGCAAGTACCATATGATAGTAGTGGAACAAGGACAACCAGCAGATACTAAAGGACAGGCAGAAGAGGCGGGCGCTACAAAACTGGGTTCTACTTCGTCAGTAGCACGAAAAAATCCTTCCCAGTACTACAACAAGAACCTGCACCAACATTCTTGGACCCTTTCCTCCACCGCAGTGTATTTCCACGCTCTTAGTATTCTCTTGACCCAAATGAAAGACGCCCTGCTGATTGCGGACAAGTGGTTGCCCGTTTTTGACTTCTTAGCGGACAGGATAGCGAGAACGACAGAAGTTGTGACCAGGATCAAGAAAAACAGCGAGGGCGGGCGGAACACAATAACTACAGTTCTGGGGGACGGGTGCGAAGATTGTAACCGTGATGTACTCGAAGTAGAAGACCATGGTTTCCCGAATTATGCACAGTATCAGCCAAGCGACCAAATCTCCGGGAGGCACGCGAACCAGAAGAAGTGCCAGCGGCAGATCGTGCAGGCGCTGTTGCATTTCGCCGCGGGATTCAACTTTGAAAAGCTCCGGCTGGGGACGGTGCGGAACCTGGAAAAAGTTTTGATAAACGGAGGCGGAGGTCTTGGTTGTGATAAGAGAAGTAGTCTGAAAAGTGCCAGGAGAAATTCATCTAAACGCGTAGAAGATGATCAAACAGCTGATAAAGTTGTAGGAACTGCTTCTTCATCTCTACTTTCATTTACACACCCCAAGAACGGCGCTCTTGATGTCCACGGCCCCGACCCGGTTGCGTGTTTCGGCTGCACGGTAGCGGCTTCGGGTATGCACGTTGGGTCTTCTGTCTTTTCCGGGACATCAGAAACTGTACCAGCAGCAGCTCGAGACGATGATGAAGACACGAGCAGAAAGAAGTCGGTAATATCTTCGAAAACAAACGGTAACGGAATGAAAATAGCGGCTAGCTGCGCTTCCGATTTTCCGTCCCCGTTACACCACCCGGCAGCCGGCCCTGTCATCAATCACGGGAACCTCGGGTTTCACCAGGATTTGCTTCAAGTACTGCAAAGCGTTTTGGCCACGACAGCATCAGGAGTAGTAAGTAGCGGAGTTGGTAGTAGAGGGCAACATCATGCTTGCAAAAGTACTTCTGCATCAAACGATCCATGGAAAAACACAGCACTACACCTCTTTCCGGAAGTGGACATTTGCGGGGTCTACTCGGTAGATGTTGTGGTTGCTTGTTAAAACGCGTTTGGTCTATTCAGCACTAGCAGTACTGCTTGCAAGTGCATTGGATTGCTTTTACTGAATGATTTTGATGAGGAATTGGAATACTTATCTCGACGGACTGGTACATCCTTACAATCGTCAGTGTTTAGAGGCATTGTTCCCTGGGTGAGGGTGATAAGTAACTACTGAGTTGAAGACGAAAGACCGACTCGCCTACCGGCTGTAGTCGATGTGTGGTCGAGCCGAAAAAATCCTGAGTGCAGCTGACATCCTCATCTGAAGAACAAGTGTCGCGATTACTACTCTACTTGTTTTAGTAGAGGCTAGCACCAGGTTCAGTTTTCTTTTTGACGGGGGATAATTATGATTACCACTCGGAGTGGTCGTAACACGGGGACTACTACCGAGGGTGTCTGAGAGGGCAAGAAGTGCGACGTTTAGGAGTGTCGTTTTTCTCTCACATCAGCACAGCGATTAGCGCGTTGCGTTTTCAGTTGCCATTGGTTCTTTTCCGCATTATATTTGGAGGAGGTGGTGCTTTTACTTATCAATATCAGGCGCATTTACTACCTGCTTCTACGGAAGAAGAAGATGGGGTACCGGCACTCGCTGAAAAGCTCCGCGAGCGCAGCGGATTTCCCCTGGGCTGCAAATAATAGTATCTCGTCTTCCCAAGACCACCGCGGAAACAGTGTCAACGACCAGGTGGTCGCGAGAACCGCGAGCAGCACGAATGCAGACCTGCAGATTGGCATGAACTTCTCCGCCGCTCATCCGAGCCAAGGCACAACATCAGGAGCAAGGACAACTAGTACTTCTTCTTTCGCGTCCCCGAGTGGTGGAAATAAAGTGTCGAAGGCAACTACATCAAGATCCACCTCCAGTGTGCTCCCGACAGGAGCTCCTTCCGGGACCACAAAGCCTTCTGGGGCTGGTACTAGCTCCACCACGGGTCGTGCGTTTTGCCCCTCGCAGCACCACAGCTGCAATTCATCTGGGCAAAGTTCAGCATCCGTCATTCCAGCGGGTCACACCCGAAGCGAAAACGCCCAGAGCGGCCAGCAGCAGCATGCGAAGAAGAAGCTCCGCGGCTTATCCTGAGTAAAAACGACGTTCCCACACCAGCGTCAAGATGGGATATCTGCTAGACAAATCAGCCAGCTTTGGTTGTTTCGCATGACCTGTTTGCCCTCGTAGTGTGATCCTGTCTAGCTAGTTCAGCAGCGTCACAGATCTAGTGTGCCGCGCTGATTCTAGCATCACAAATCCCAAAAGAGAACTAGAAGACGCTTCTCAAGGGGGTCCGCATGAGAAACCTCTTTGGCATGCAGATTCGCATGACAACTCTGGGGCGGGGGCGTTTTTACATATGATACGGCTCGTACGAGTTTTTGCAGGAACGGGTGTTCGCACTGTCGCACTCCCGCTGGTCGCCGACCAAGCACTCGCCGGAGCTTCCCGAGTTCGCGTCCTACTCGTCCCTTTTAAACTACCTTCACCGGTCGGCGGGCATCTACAGTTCGGTTTTGAAATACATGCTGCTAACCACGATCATTTCGATCGTTTTCTTCAAGCTCGACGAGGAGTTTTCGGTATCAAATGTAAGTAAAAATGTCTGGGTCTGGAAGAATCCGAACTTGTGATGCTGCATTTGGATTCCAGAAAAATCTGTATTGCATGAGTACCAAAGGGAATGCAATTTCTGCTACGCTGAGAAGGCATTTGTCATGCGCAATAGGCTTCAAGAAGCCCTCAAAAAATCTGTATTGCTAGGGTATGCATCACAGACGTCATGGCTCATGCAAAACGTGCGTGACAAGTGTCAGAATCTTCCAGACCCAGACATTTTTACATTTGATATTCGGTGATTACGGACAACTTCAGCAGTATGCTGAGCGCCAACAGCGGTAATTCCACCCCCTTGATTTCCATTTTCACGGGCGTGCTTTCCTTCACGCTGGTATTCCGCATCAATCTCGCCTACGGTCGCTGGTGGCAGAGTCGTTGCTCGGCGGAAAAATTTGCCGTGAAACTGATGCTATCCAATGCAAAAGAAAATGTCGAAATCAACAAGATCATCTGGAAGGTTAGGTTATCGACGACTTACGATGCTGAACTTGTCCTCCTTGCGATGCACCATGCTGCGCTATAGTCTCGTGCTGCTCGTTATTTATGATCATGCACAGATGAACATGAACAACGCGGTGTTCTTCTGTCAGGCGCGTTCGGAACTATATGTCTGGCTGCACACTCTTGCGAAATGTCGTGTCGTCATTTTCCATGTAGTAACTGCTGTGTATACTTTCCAGTTCTGAACATCGACATCTTTGCCATGGTGCATAGAGAAACTGCGGACTGCAGGCGGCGGTGTTTGACCAATTTACGATCGCGCGGACGACCGAGCCGAGAAACGCCAGCAGAAGACAAGACGCGCTGTTCGACTTCCGAGCGCAAATCTGCGCTTTGATCTCGTTCGCACACGCGGAGGCCGTGAAGGAGTGGGGCGGTATTGTGGAAGTCGAAAACTTGACGGAGTTTTTTCTCAAGGATTTCGAAGCCCTGAAGAGCAACAACGATTGCCGCTGCGGGGTGATGCAGGCATACACGTGGATCATGATGCTGCTGACCGAACGCTTTTGCCAGCATGCGGTAGTGAGAAAAATAAACTCTGTTTCATGTACTGCTCCTGCGAAACAAAACTACGAAATTGAAATTATGAAGAAGCAGTAGAACTAGATGCTCCTAGTACCATCATTTTACAATCAATGAAGCAGAAGTTGTAACACGATAGCGAAAATCAAAAGAAGTACGGCACTGCTTGTTCAATCAAGGTTCCTTCTCCCATCATCGCGCGTTTGAATTCGCTGCTCGACGAGGCGGTGGAGGCTTACTTTGATGCGTTGCTGATCCGAACGACCCCCTTCCCCAAGCCGTTCACGCAAATCATCAACATCGGCTTGTTCTTGACCTTGTTTCTGATCCCGATCGTGATCCACGCGGCGCTTTTCCCGAACCTAATCTCCATCATCCTTCTGAACAACTGCTCCTGTTTTGGCTTCTTCGCGCTCGCCCAGGTCGCGAGCGAGCTAGAGGATCCGTTCTATGACTTGCTCAAACGTTACAATCTCAAACGTTACAATAGAATCTGGAATATGTGTTGCATGATGAGCATGACAGACTCGTCGCGCAGCGTTCCACCTTTTGCGATACAAATTTCGCCAGATTGTAGTGAGGGTCGGGGCTCCGGAAGTTGTCATGCGCAATCCTATGAGAGTTGGCTAGATCATGCACTCTTGCATCACAGATTTCCATATTCTATCGTAACGTTTGAGATTGTAACATCTGAGCGGGTTATACCTTCGGCGAGGATTTTTTTGACCACCCCCTGGAGCATTGGCAGTCCGACTTCGACCTAGTATTGAAAGGAAAAACTCCCCCTCCCCATATTGAAAAGGTATGGTTCCGAAAATTTGTCTTGCTGATTTGAGGTCACAAATCACATTTGTCTTGCAAGAAGACAAGGGCAGAAGCTTCCGCCCCATTATGGAAGCGATTTGTCATGCTCTTGGGCCTAAAGGGGGGCCGTTTGCCATGCTGAACAACTAGAGGAAGACGCCCCGACCCAGCCTGGGGTCTGGCCGCAATGCCTCTCTGCAATACAAAGCTGATTCGTATACACAAATCCAGCATCAGAAGTTCCGTTTTGATATGGGGAGGGGAGATTTTTCCTTTCGGCACCTAGTTCTCCTCGATTTGGTGTTTTGCCGCAACGGCTTTTCCTTCCAGGTGCCGGAAGTCATCGCGAAAACAACTTCTACTTTCAGCGGGCCAAATTTCTCGTCTGGCGGGCGGGCTTCTTCCGTCAGTTTCGGCGACGACACTGCAGGAGGGGAGGACGAGGATCACAATTCTCTGGTAGCCAACCCGAGCGGCACCCGGAGTAGCACAATTGGGCGAGCGACAAGTCACCATGCAGCCGAGGAATTATTTCTTGGGGCAGCATTGGATCATTATACAACTTCTTCTAGTAGGGAACAGTACATTATTAATAATCCCTTGATGCCGCCAGCAGTACCAGGAGAGCAGCAACGATCTTCATTACCGCCGGTCATGGCTGCAAATGCGAAAACTACAGGACGAGACAATGATGTACTACAAGGACAACCAATAAATCAGAAACAAGCGAATTTCAATTACGACTACGACTACCCAGCGCCCACGTTGCTGAAGGCGAGTCCAGCCATGTTCACCTCCCAAGTAGTAGATGAAAGGAAACCACAATCAAGTGTATCGTCGTCCGTTTTGCATAAAGACGCAAACGGTCATCGTGAGCTGCAGCAGCGTGGTCAGCAGCGAGTACTAGCAGACAACGCGACGTCGGAACAAATAGAGAAGAATCCTGGTGGGCTTCAGAATACGGGAATAAATAACAGAGTGCAGCACGACTTTTCTTCGTTCCCCAGCGAAAAGAACGAACGGCAAGCAGCGCAAGAGCCACGATCCGCATCTTCGAGTGAATTTCTTCCTGGAGCCGCACCGCAGACCCGGACGCAACACGGGTGCACTTCTGTTCCTCAAGCGCAGCAAAGAGAAAAACGGCAGCCGGGCAGGACCGCAGAAGACAGCACGGACAGCCCGGTCATGACTCCAATTGGGCAACGCCAAAATGGTACGAACGGTAGTGGGAGAAACGGATTATTTCCGCGATCTGGAGTTGCGGGAGGCCCAGGTCCAAGCGACCTGCAGCTTTCCCAGCACCATTCTTCAGCCTATTCTTCACATCACATGCGCCACATGAGCAACCAAATACATCTGGATGCAGATGATGCTGACAACAACGTGGTCCAGATAAACAGTAATACCAGGTCGAGTAGTCCGGCCTCGCACAATTTTAGTTCGAACTACCCCCCGTTGCGTTTAGCCGATGACGACAATAGTGCACACCGCGGCCCGCAGGAGACACCGCATCGTGCTGCGTGTGGTACAGAAGACGATGCGGTAAATCGGAATCGCGAAAGCGCTGCGGGTTATTTGAGAGTATCTCCATCTTCACAGCAGATGCAAATGTTGACGACGCAGAACCAGCATACTAATCTACGACCACTTGCGGACCACGCTTCGTATTTGCAAGACGGTCAACATCAGCAGCAGCCGAGCGGTCTGGTGACCAGACCGTCGGACAAAAATTTCTACGGTAGTTGTAGGACCCGGAGCGAGTTCTCAGCTAAAACTGGGGGCGCACAGGTCGTGGATCATGATAGCACGGCCATGTTGCAAATGACCGCCCCTGCGATGGGAGGTTCGGGAGGACACGGCGGACCCCAACCGTTTCTCAGCCCGTTCAAAAAGAGTCGCGGAGAACAAGTAGAAGTTGTGCACGCGGGCGGCGCGAGCAGGGGCTGCGACAGTTTCCCTAGCGCTGGGGAGCGACCGCAGGCGGGCATAACAACGCCTAGACTCACCGATCCTGGTGCAGCAGCTGTGCCGATGACTTCTGACCAGGCACAGAATCCTTTTCATCGTGGCAATAGTACTACGATGGGTTCTGGCTCTGGCAGCGGCACGGGTCCGGAAAATAAATCGCCCGAGCGAACCATGCGATTTAGTCAGAAGTAACAATGAGCAGTAGCTCGAATGTCTTGTTCGGAGAAGTTCTTCAGCGGCATTCTTGCCATTGGACAATTTTTGGTAAATTTGACTTTCAAGATGTTGAATTCGGGTGTGTTTGTCGTGTACTACATTTACGGAAAGGAAAAGTAGTAGAGCTGCATGTAGACCTCCTGTGAAGGCCGTCGCCTGAGGAGATCTCCCGGTCGTAACGTGGGGAGAAGCAGGCCGCATGCTTATCAGGGCAAGCGGTTAGTAGATCTGGTAGGTTGAAAGAGTGGCCCCAGTGAATGAGGGCCACCGCCTCTCATGATGTCACCTAGTAGACCATATATATACGCGCAGGCCTTGTTGTTCTGCGGAAAGCAGCAAGCAGCTCCATGGCCCATGCGCGTGCGCTGCTGCGCAGGTTCGCAACAAAAAGGCACGCCGCCGCTGTGCTGTTTGTTGCCTGCCACTCGGGTGCCGCGGCTGCACCTCGCGCGTCCGCGGGACGCGACCGGGCAGCAAGCCGAGTGGCACCGCCGACGAGCGCAGCTGCGCTACCGTTAGGGGAGCGCAGCCACCCAGATGGCTGGCCACCCCACCCTCCCGGATGCCGCCCCTTATCCGAGCTCGGCCAAGCCCATGCCGAGAATTATAGCGCCGACCGTTGATAGTGCGCGGCCACCCGGTTGGTCGGTACTATGAAGAGCGCGCCACGACAGGCGAGCCCTGTGGCACCACTGAAACGGCCACACAGCAACACACTGGCGGCGCACAACCGCCCACGAGTTGAGCGCCCCCAGACATGCAAATGCTTGCGGTGGCTACGCAGTGCAATTCCAAATCGGACGAAAATCAACGGCAGTCGTGGGGAGGTGTTGGTGTTCGCGAGGCACTACGTCCGACGCGCCTCCGAGCCGTGAGGGCACTCCTAGGGATAGGAGAGAGGGACCGAAAGAGCACCTACTCCGGGTGCGAGAGATCCTGCCGTGACAGATCCTACGATGCACTGAGATCCAATGGGCCCCTTGTACGTGCGATGTTTGTGCACAGTGGTCGGCGTCACCTGTGGCTTCGATCATAATAATAGAGCTGCATGTAGAAGTACGCACCTGCAAAAGGTGCGAACACAGCTTCTCATCTTGCAAAGTTTCGGACACAATGGTTTTTCTTATACAATTTTCGTTTTTTAGTGACTTGATTTCAGTTACGAAGACGGTTGGCGTAAGTGCATAACGCGTGCAGTTTGCGATTGCGATGGCAACAACTAATGAGGAATTCATTCTAATAGTAATATCACTGAAAAGGCGGGACGACCTGGACTAACAACTAAAGACTCACGCCACTTTCTCAATTAGACCAGCAGCTACAAAAGATCGCTCTGCTCTTGGAGTAGATTCCTTTTTCGCAGCTTCTCCCAACCGAATACCTTTCTAGTTTGTTCAGCTCCGTGGATTTCGTGTGTGCGGATCGATGTGCATTTGTCTAGTAAGTACGATGGTGTAACTTGATAGTGTGAAGAAATAAAAGTCGGTCTCGGTTCTGAAGAAGAACATTGCTTGTGAACGAAATCGGTGCGGTCCTTGGGAAGAGGAAAATTAGTCGCAGCAGGCAGTCGGTCGAGATCGGTAAGACAAACGTGCTCCGTCTCGTGATAGTCCTCCTTCCACTGTCTACGCAATTCGCTGCCGAAGCGACGATCTTCAGCACTGTGCGTAACTACTTAGTTTTCGGGCGAACAAAAAACCCGCCTCGGTGACAGCATGCTCTTCTCAACTAGCAGCAGAAGACGTCGATAATTCTGTATGTTATCAAAATATCCTCTGTCAGGACCACACTCTCCCCATTGTATCGTATCCCTTGGCGCAGTCACCTATGTTACTGGATGTTGATTTTCATGTGGAAACGCTATGTCTTTGTCTTTCCCACTCACTATTGGAGTGTACGATAGCATGCATGCAGGCTTTTGAAGAGAAACATGTGTACTTATCAAACAAATCATTATCCCAAGATAAAAACAAATTTTGCTTGCTGATTTTTTTTGATCCAAGAATTATTACAAGGTCCCATTGCTGGACGCCGACGCACTGCTACCGCACGAAAAGCCAAATAATTACACCAAGACCCCGGAGGACTTCATTCAATCGCTGCCTTTATTTTTCCACGACCGACTCGAGCCCGTCTTCACTGCCAGACGCCGGCTCAGCGTGTAGCAGCACACTGATCAGTGGGTACGACTACTACGAGATCGTCCTCTGATCATGCCGGTGATTATGTAACTGGGACTTGAAGCTGAAGCTGCATCAAGGTAAAAAAGAAGAAAATGGCGCAGGAAGTAGCGCATCAGCAACAACACCACCCCTCGCACGCGGAGCTGCACCCGCCAGCGCGTGTGGAGCAGGAATTCACTACGGAGAGAGATCTGGGCAAGGTCACACTCAAACTCCCAGCCAGTGAGAGGCAGGCGACGGGTATTCTTTATCTATCGTTGTGAGTACTAATTCGTAAAAATTTTTGAATGTAAGTCCTCGTTCTCCTCGAGTACTGAAAGCACTACGTAGACTAGAAGAAGAAGGTAGTGCACCACAGAGGTCCTCTACGTACTCAGATACCACAGAAGTATTAGTGCACCAGTGAAACGATGACATGAAGTTGCCTCCGACGGCAAAGAAAAGAATAAATCTCATCCTCCACATCAGACGACACCGGCAAACTTTTGAACACTCGCGAAACCATCGGCTCGCTCGGGTACGCCGTTCCTTTCTTCGCGCTGACTGCGTCTCGCTGGTCCCCGCTGCGGGAACTGTCTTACGACGATGATCCGGAAAACGAGACCTGGTCGGAGTGGTTCACGCGGCAGAAATACGGCGTCGGCATGTACCAGTCGCTCATGTACCACAATTCGCTTTCCGTCGTGGCGCTCCTCCTGTTTCACTATGCCGAGGAATGGTCCCCCGGGGAGCTTTTTCCGGCCATGCTGGACGAAACCATTGTGACGCTGTTCACGGGCATCCTGGCCTTCACGCTCGTGTTCCGCATCAACCTGGCGTACATGCGGTGGTGGGACAGCCGGCGACTCTGCGATCGGTTTGCGTCGAAGCTGATAAACGTGCACTTCATGGTATCCCATGTGTAAAAACGTCTTCAACACGACCACAGGAGAGTCAAAATGGGAACTTTTCTGTTGCGCATGACAAGCCTGGGCCCGCAGTTCAAATGTGTGTAGCTAAAAATGCAGCTGCGTCACAGATCCATCGATCGCTTCCTCCTGCTTCTGGCGCCACAAACTGCGAGACACACAGCATTGCAGAATGCTCTTCATGAGGCTAAGTACGCATGAGAAACGCTTTAGGCTTGCAGATTTGCATGACAAATCCGGTTCGGGGACGCTTTTACACAGCATACTTTGCGATGGCCTTCGACCAATACTCCGTGGTCTCCGATGAGAGCAAGGCGGTTTTCCGCACTATGCATTGCAAATCAATATGTCTGGGTCTGGATTTGTGATGGGAGATCTGAAGAAGAAGAACAGCAAGATCTGTACTATGCATGAACACGATTGGCCAATCTTTCAATTTTTTTTCGGTCTGGAAGCCAGTGTGTCAACATGTCTTTTGCGATTGAATGAATCTGCATAGATCCTCCTACTTCTACTTCTGATGCTGCTATGCCGTACAAGCGCCTAAGTACTCTGGCATGCGAGTGTCAGCAACGCAAGTTTACAGGCCCGGACATGTATTTGCATTTGATACGGACCCGGCTCGCCGCGTTACTGTCTTTGTTCCACGCGGAGGGCAGCCGCGAGCTCGGGGACATCAAGGAAATGAAGCAGTGTCTCGGCTACAGGTTGTGCGAGGAAGCCGAACTCGAGTATTACCTCGATCGGGCAAAGAACCCCGACACGTGCGCGCGTTCCGGGCCGTTGCAGGTCTTTCTGTGGCTGCAAATGCTGCTCACCGGCAGGTTCCACGACGAGCACTTTGTGTCTCCCCCGGTGATTGCAAGGCTGTACACTAGTTTAGACGAGGCACTTGACGCGTTCTACGCGGCTATGGTGATCCGGTCCACCCCGTTCCCCAAGCCGTTTGTGTTGATGCTGAATTTCGCGCTCTTTCTCGTCAAACTCGTGATCCCTTTATGAAGTGCAAATTTGTGTGGGAGGCCTGGAATAAACTTGTGGTGCTGCATCTGCTTGAATGATCGCAAGCATGCCTTAGTTGATGGCCAAGTCTGACCAGTTTCGGACTTAAGTACTATACCTAGTAGGTGCTGCCTATTGACCATGACAAACTGCGTTTCTGCATGATAAAAAGATGCTGCGGTGTGGTACTTAACGTGCTTGACAGACTTCAGAGTCATCTTAACCGAGCATGACAAGCCGTGCTCTCTTCGTTTTCCAGACCCGCCAGACATTTATTTCCATTCCATACCCCATGGTGATCCACCAAACCGGTCTGGCGCTCCACTGGAAAATTCCGTTGCTTTGTTTCTGCGTCTACGGGTTTTTCGGAATCGGGCGCGTGGCAGTGGAGCTGGAGCACCCGTTTGGGTCCGACTTTTACGATCACCCGCTTGAGAACTGGCAGTTGGACCTCGACATTACCCTGTTTGACGCGATTCACCGCTGTGGGCACACGGTGCCCAAAATCAAGTGCCAAGTGGTTGGGAGTAGAACTGAAATCGACGGAGAGTTAGAGGACACAGACAATTTTGACACCGTCGCCATGACCGACGCAGCCTTGCGGTGCCGCGGGAAAAAGCACCTGCATGGCTGCCAACCTGTGAATGCCGGCGGAGCTCAACTTAGGGATGAAAATAAGTTCGCAACTAGGAATTCTAGCGCTGGTGCCAAAGCAGCTGCATCTAAGTCAACAACGGAAGTGGAGACCAGGGATCTGAACACTCTTCGGAGGATAGACCGACTGAAAAAGAAGCAGAAACAAAAGCAGTTTGATCAGATTGCGGCAGAGGACCACGCGGCTTCAGGTGCCGATCAGGTGAGGCTGATTCAGGACGGTGAGACCACTCTACATAGCCCGACCAATAATTACAACGCGAGCAACTTGAAAAATACCTTCCAGCCGGAAGACCGGCGGCAGAGCGGCCAGCAGCGGGGACGAGGTTTCAACCCGCCCGGCACCGTGATTCAGTACACTTTGCCAAGTCGCGACTCTTATCAAATGCAAAAATGTCTGGGTCTGGAAGAATCCAACTTGTCATGCTGATTTTGGATTCTAAAAAAATCTGTATTGCATGAGCAGCAAAGAGTGTCCAAGTTTTGCTACACGGAAAGAGCATTTGTCATGCGGTACAGGCATCAGGAAGCCCTCACAAAATCTGTGATGCTAGGGCATGCATCACAGGCATCAGGAGTCATGCAAAATGTGCATGACAAACCCGGCAATCTTCCAGACCCAGACATTTTTGCATTTGATAACTCTGATAATTCGACGCAAATGAGCCTGAGTCCGAGAAATGGGTCATTCGGGGGATACTAAACCAAGTATGTGCTATCTGTTGTCCTGCTTGAGCTTGAGGTTGATGAAAGTTGCGACCGATGCTCCTGCGCCTGCTGCTGTTGCTTACTATTACAGCTACAACGAAAATAAAATAGACCTTCGAGTGATTCAGACGTTCATGAGTTTTTTCACTTCAGAAACTGAGAGTAAACGTGCAGGTATTCTGCACCCTTACGATGCTGGCAGTCTTCGTTCATCTGTGCGAGTTTTTTCGTGCATGGTTTTTTTTGGGTTGCTCTTCGTACCTAATTTTTTTTGGGCAGCGCTAACGTCGTAAGGAAAACTACAGAGGCTCTGCCAAAAATTACTACGGTGTTTTTTTTTTCATCAACCCTGAATGGGAATGATAGTGCGTGGTGGTGGTGCCGTCACTTATGTGGACGCGCACATTATTATACCCGAAAATGCTAGACCGAGTTGTGAGTTGAGACTGATTCGCAACGAATTAGCAGGGAGTACCAAACGTACACTAGGACTAGGAGCTTGGATTTGCGCTCTGATCTACTTTCCCAATTATCGCAATGTGTCGTACGACCTGAAGATGAATTCATGGAATTCTACTTTTCACAACTGCAGGCGAGGAAGCACCCAGCTTTGTTGACGACTCGGAGGACAGAGTGTTCTTCACTAAGTTACTTCTAATCTGATCGGGATAAAACCCCCTTCCCATTTTTGCTTCCATCTCAAACGTCAGACTACTGCAGGGGATTGGCATTTGTTTCAAAAGCCGCAAAGGAGCAAACTACAAGATCTACTCAGGTACAACTTAGGACAGCGAGTGCCGGACTGTCAAAAAGCACAGCAAAGTAGAACAAAGTACAAGTAGAAATACACGAACCGAGACAATAAGGAGTTGTTGTGTTGTCCGCATCGGCAAAGGCAAACGGGTTGTAGTTCGAAGAATTCCAGTACTTGAAGTTGTAAACTCACCTGACTTCAAGTCAGAAAAGGTCTAACTTTCTAGTTCAAGAAAAAAGATACTTTTTGCAGACTTGCTTCGTTGTGTACACAATAGCGGATTTGCGCCCGGTTTTGTTGCCACATACATGAAGTTATCTTTATTCCGAAAACCCGACCAGACAAACATTTGAAAAGGCGAGTATAAAAAAGTTGTTTACTCAAAGAACTTTTGAATATCAAACAAGCTGTGAAATTTTCTGGACTCCGAACACATTCTTGTATGTAACCCAGTACAACCAAAAAATCACTTTCATCACTATTTCGTAGAAAGACAAAGAACTGTAAAAATAAGAGTAGCACGACTACGTCACGAGAAGAACAAAGCTTAACACGCGAGACAAAATTTGTCGCTGACACTATTCTGTAGTTTCAGCAAAAAATACAAAAGTGTAAAGAAAGACGTCGCTCAACACAATTTTCAACCCCCCACGCACGGTAAGAAACGGAAAGTCCTCGCTAGTACCCTCCACTCGATCGATCGTCGCAGAAGCAGCAAAAGCAGGAGCGCAACTTGACGAGGCGCGAAGTGCTTTTGCATTGGATAGAGCACTTGCAAACGCCTGCCGGTCGTTTTACCCCCACTCGCCAAGATGGATAAGATTCAGGAGCAGAAGATCGCGGGCGCGGAGCACCACCTGAAGAAGAAGGTACTTTATTTATCGGAAAATTTTCTTTGGCAAATTGTGCATGACAAAATGATGAACTCGTGACTCCGACGCATGACAAACAAACGCGACATGTACTTCATGTTTCAGGTGTACCGGTCCCAGAAGCCGGAAAAGGATGACTCCGTCATTGACTTCTCTTCGCACACTACGATTTCAGGGAAAGCGCTAGGATAGAAGGAAGCTTACAATCGCAATTTGTTCTCTGCAGAAAATTTGTTATTAGTATTCCCAATCCCGATGCCGATGCATGATGATGATGATGTTGTGGCTTCACATTCATGCTTTTGAGGCTAAAAATTCGATGCTCTGTCATCACAATAAACCGATCATACGTCGGTTATGGTTGTGCTTTTCCTATACTAGCAATTTTCCGCCCAATACTCTTCCACGGAGACAACGCGTTCCACCATACCCGCACGCACAACTTGAACAAGCCCCGAGACGGTACCATTTTATTCAGCTGATACGGGTAGATTTCTAATGCGCAGATCTGCATCACTGTCGTGGTCTGTCATGTAGAATGCGTGGTGAGTATGGGATGGCAGCCTTGAATCAGACCTCTTTTTTTTGATTGTGCATGTGCAATGTAACCAGGTAAAGCTCCGCGTTCCGGGTACCACCGTGCTGAGAAAATGGCGGCTGGATACGCGAAGAAGCTGGACGTGCTGCCATCCGAGATCAACAAGCAAGTGGCCGAATACGAAAATGAAAAGCAGCTCTCGCCCGAGATGAAGGACAAGGTGCCCGAGTTCCTGGCCGGCAACGAGGAGGACGAGAAGCCGGGCAAGCTGAACTCGAGCGGGGATAGCGTGTATTCGATTTTTGCTCTCTTTTTGCTTCAAAGGTTCGATGATTTGTGTTGCGGATGGAGCATTAGTTACCATGTGGGGATGGGTTAGTGTGCCATGCATAACGAATTTCATTCATCAAATCGAAAACGAAAACAGATCTTCCATCGACAGTGCGCCGGCCGTCGTCATCCCGAAGGCGTAAATCGACTGCTGTAAAATCTCGTCGTGCCTGCGGCGTGGTTCCTTCTCCTTCTCAAGAACTCAAATTTTCCTGTTGCAGGTCTACATGGTCTAGCGAACAAAGATTTCACCAAGTGAAGAAAGACGAAGGTCCAAGGAATGCAGCTTCTTGTTGCCACAGTATCACAAGCTCGACGACCCCGCTACATGAGAACGCCGCTCAGGAAAAGAGAAAGAGGCAGACGGAGGCTGCAAGGATCGTAGCTGCCACTGACGCCACTTGGTGCGACCGTATCGCTTTCAAGTTATCCTCGCGCTCGAATATTGAGATATACACATTTCTTCACATGAGCCATCTGTTGTTACAAATTTTTGGACAAACATCATGATTCATTTTCATCACTCATCGCGTTCTACAGAAGATCTAGTCACTTTCATTTCAAGAATATCAAACCAAACGCTGTAACCCAAGTTTTTTTTGTCTGCTCTTCCTTGGAGATAGTAAGGCCACCAGCTCTAGGTTTCAGTACAGATGCAACTGCAACTACCTATGTACGCTACTATTCTGGTGTCTACAAGCACAACCCAGTTGTCCTGTGCATCGTAGAAGTCAGGCGACCTGCTAAATGGAGTGTTGCCAGACTACATCGCGGTTCCTAGGACAGAAGAGTTTGTAGACGCAGCCGCGAAGCGAGGGTTTGTCAGAAATTTGTGCTCGAAATCATAGGCGGTTACTCCGAGAAGGGTGGAGTATGAAAAGGCGATTTGTTGTTTTTCTGAGTTCGTTTATGTTCCGAAAGAGTGTACCCGTGGAAAGCGGTTTGGTTCTACGGACACTTTTATTTGTTGTTTTTCAGTTGTATCACCCGATTAAGATGGTTGTGTTTTGTATAAAGTCAAGAAAAATTGTAATGTATTTAGAACGATCGCCCGCGATCGGATCGCTAACCCAAACTAGAATAAAAGTATGGATAAAAGAAAGTATTGACCCGAATAAAGTCCTGAAGTGTCACCAAGGAACCACGCGGCCGAAAGCACGAAATAGGCCCACGACTACTTGGCGCGACATGGTTGCGGTGCGGAAACAAGTAAGAGGGTCGTGTCAATGTTTTTGGCCTATTGCACTTTACCCAGTAATTTAGGTCCAAGACACCGACAAATACAGGAGGACGCTCTACTCCTAACGCTCGCATCGCTACGATGTGCTAAAAGACAACCAATTGGTCATTTTCGTTTTTTGGAAAAAAGAAACCCGGAAGATGAAAAGAAAGTCGCTCGCGCAAGGCTGTTGAACAGAAAACTAACATAATTCGGCATGGAAAATACATTTGTGTGTCCCGTAGCTGTGCTGCTTCGGTTTGTTGTGTACTTACGTCACTGCACCCGTGTACGTTCATGATTTTTTCTTCTGTTCCTACTTGTCCTTGAGCTCCTCTGTCCTCATCAGGTTCCGTCCTGTTTGCGGTAGTTACAGGGCCATTTTTTATCGTGGTAAGTCTCCATTTCTTTGGTATTTCGTTTTGCAAGGAAAGTCGTGGATAGAAGCGCTTAATCAATCCTGATTCACTACTTCTTCGTATTCGTTTTTGGGTCGTTTTCTTGGAGACTTTTTTGATTCGTGGGAAATGAAGGCCATAGCTTTCGAAAAATGTCCCCCCGCCACCTTTTCTCGTTGCATGTTTCGTAGTATAGCTTCATGTGACTTCGGATAGCATTAGCAACGAAGTTTGCTGCATTATCAACATTTCTCGCCCCACCTTCGTGAATCGTTTTTGGTCAATGTTGTGGTTCGTGACAAAAAGTCGTTGATATTATTCGGACAGCGCCGCACAGGCTTTTTTTTGGACAAGTTGTACACTATTGGGATGGGGAGCTTTTTTTCGATAACTGTAAAAATTTGATGCACTTTTTGTACTTTTTGATGCATCTTCTAACTGCACCTTGCTGTAAAACTTAAATCCGAAAAATGGTCCTCTCGCCGATCCGCGAGGCCTCCAGCGGCTCCCGGGGGGGCCAGCACCACATGGCCCGGCCGCAAACGAACACAAGCAACCGGGTTCTGAACGAGCAGGGGGCGCGAAACCGGTCCAGGTCGCCCATTTCGGTCGAGGAAAACTTCCCGCGACCGCAGTCGCCGTTGGACATGATGGGGATCGGGCTAATCCACCACCCGGACAAAGCCGTGGAACAGGTGGAGCACCCGCCGACGCACAAATTGTCCGATCACGTGATGCAGAACATGCGTGTCAAGGAGATCACGAACGCGCTCCACGAGGTCGAGTCCGTCGGTTCCTCCGTTAACGTTTTCCAAATCGACGGCGGAAAGATGTTCCCGGACGATGAGCCCAACCGCACCGGGCGGCCGAAGCGCAGCGACCTGGAGCTGGCGGCGATGCGGCGGCGGGGGCTGGGTACGGCCGGGAGTCAGGGCAGCACCAGCCGGTCCCGCTCGCAATCCACGCAGAAGGCGGACACGCTGCGCCCCAGCACCGCGGAGTCCAAAAAGTCCGCGGGGAGCATCGGCGACCCCATGCTGGACGACCCCGCGATGACGTTTCAGAAGCTCGTCCGGGTCTTCCGCAGGGTGAAGACCGACTACACCTCGCCCGGTGTGTGGGCGGAGGTGCAGACGGCGGACCAGCTGAAACTCCGCTTGATGGACGTCGGAAAGCAGTTCGCCGGCGTGGCAAACTTGTTTGACCGCGCGTTTTTTCACTTGGCCTGTTACCAGGACCGGTGGCAAGAGTTCGGCGGCTTTTTGAGCTCCGCCGACCCCGATGCATTGGACGACGTGGATCAGCTGAGGCACGCACTGAAACGAGCGCAGGCGAGAGAAAAAGAATTGGAGGTATAATGCGAATGTGTTTCAATTTTCTCTGTTTTCTGATGCAGTTTTAGTTTTTCACCATTTGTTCTTTCGCATGACCTCCCATAATCCGCTGAGTGCCCTGTGTTTATGCATGACAAGTACAAAAAAAAACTGAAATGCATATTTGATTTCTATCAGGATCAACTGGTCGAGTCGAAGAAGCAGACCTTCGACCTGGAACAGCAGCTGCAGGAGGAAAAATTCAAGTTTGAGCAAGCGGAGCGCGCGAACAAGAATATCGTCGAGATTCGGAAGAAGTTGGAAGACCAAGTGGACGAGTTAGAAAACAAAATCGCCTATCTGGAAGACGGCCTACAGAAGATGGAGTACAGCAAAATGCAGTCGCAGAAGAAAATCGTCGAGAAGTGGCGCGAGGGCGCGGCGGCGGCGAACGTGAAGGATGTGTTTATGCACTTCACGCGGCAGCTGGAAAAGGACATTGCGGTGCGGAGGATAAACGAGCTGATGGACGCGACGGGCGGGCTGCGGGAGGAAAATGAAAGGATGAAATTAGAGATCGAATCGCTGGACAAACAGTTGGAAAAGGCGAATAAGGGGGTGAAATTAGCGAACAAACAGCTGACGAAATTGCGGAAGATGTGCTACAGCAAAGCGACGTCGATTCTCTTCCGCTACCAGGGGTCTTTGGAGCTCCCGGACTTGTCGCAGAAGCAGCGGAACGCGCTGATTTTGCGGCGAGGCTTTTACAACTGGAAGTGGCTGTTGCCGAGCTTGAAAGCGGAGAATGGATATCCAAGAAAAAAACTGTGTTAGTGTAACTTTCTTTGGCTGACAGCATCGCAAATTTGCCTTACATGACAGAGAAAACCTGTCATGCGTGGCTTCTAAGGGAAAACACACACGGAAAGAGGACTTCATGGCTGTCTGGCATGACAGGTGGAACTCTCTTGCATGCTCTGCATTACAGAGTTACACTTACACAGTTTTTTTCTCGCATAACGGACGATTTTTGTTGATTGAAGTGCGGCAGAAATTTGCGGAAGCGGCGTCCGAAGTGCGGCAGTTGCGGAAGGTCAAGGAGGAACTGATGGAGGCACAGCATGACTTGAACAAAAAACTCCTCGACCGGGCGGTCGACGGCATGGTGACGCACATCGTCGCGGTAATGAAGACGCGGGTGAAGATGAAGAAGCAGTTCACCGCGGTGCAAGAGGCCATGATGGAGATGCACGCGCGGGAGATAGAAAAGAAGAACATGAAGCTGCAACAAATGCAGCACGACATGGACAACGACGTGACGGTGCAGAACGTTGGAAACGAATTGGAAGAGCTGAAGTGGCAGCTCTCGACGCTCCCCGGCGTGCCGCCCCGGAAGGTGACGCAAATGGACCCGGCTAAGTGCTGCATGGCGTGCAAGAAACAGATCGTGTACCAGGAGTACGTGCACAGCCAGACCAACGAACTGGAAACTATTTCCGACGTGCCGGGGAAAGCGTACCTCGAGCACCTGGACACACCGTATCAAAAGTAAAAATGTCTGGGTCTGGGAACTTGTGATGCTGGGTGGCGTCTCATGATGAGGCTACAAATGCTAGCTCAGCATGACAAGTTTCTGAGCTGCTAGGTGTTGCCTATTCTGCATGACAAACTGCGCTTCTGCATCACAGAAAAACGGAGCTCTTGGGTAACGTGCATGACAGATTTAAGAGTCATGCCAAACAAGCATGACAAAGATGAACTCTTCCAGACCCAGACATTTTTACAGCTGATACACCGCAGACCAAGCCGAAACACTTAGTCCGGGCCATCTTCCAGCAGCCGAATGCGGTTCTCGAGGGGAACGACGGCGGGCTGGGCCGGCGGTCCCGCGTTTTGTCCCTGAAGGAGCAGGCGGAGCTCGAGCAGGGGATTTTCAACCCGAAGGGGGAGGGAGTGTTTGGCACGCGGTTCAACCGGAAAAACGAACTGGACCCGGTGCGACGGAAGGTGTTCGGCGACGACAAAACTGAGGGGTACTACAAAAAGGAGGACGAGGAAGACTCGGCGTCCGAACCCCCCGACTCGGCCCGCGTGCACACGCTCCAGGACCGGGTGGAGGCGAGCAACTACGATTTCAATCGAGAATTGGAACTGAACGAGGACGACCGTGTGTACCGCTACGGCGAGTTATGGAAGTGCACAAGAACAACCGTGGTCTCGCTTATTTGTCATGCAAAAACGCCAGGACATGAACACTGTTGGCTTGGCATACCAGATTGTTCCAGCAGGAAAGACAGTAAGTACTGCAGTACCGCATGACTTTGTGTTCGTTGCAGGGCCTGCGTCTTTGTTTCTGGCGCTTCTTTGACTTTGTCATCCCTTGCAAATGACGGGTCCCAGGGGGTCTTTGTGCACTCTGATACAAGTTTTATTCCGGCGGGAAAACGCAGGAGTACCGGGACCTGCTTGGCCTAAGCGAGGCGTTTGACGGTGCTGGTCCACGACCCGGGAGCCGCAGCCGTACACCGTCGCCCCACGAGCGGAAACACAAGCGGAAAGACCACGAGAAAGACCCGTCTAGAAGACCGAAATCCTCGGACAAGAAGTTGAAAACGCAGGAATCCAAGGGCAAAATGCGCACGAGGCCGGGCTCGCGAGGACAACACAGCGCTTCCGGTGGACAGCAGCAGCAAGTCCTCTCGCCGGGGAAACAGAAACAGGAGGAGGACCAATTCCCGACAACCGGCGGCCCCTGGGCGGAGAGGATCCGGTCGATGGGCCGGCCGGAGAAACTCGGGCGGTTCAAACCCGACCGGCACGTGCCGCTCGGAAGCTACAATCCGAAGCAACTGACCGGGCTACCGTATTTGCCAGAGCCGGACCACGACCAATTCCGCCCGGACTCCAAGGAAAGTAAGCGCAGCAGCAACCGGAGCGGCGGGAACGCATCGGGCAGCGGGAGCGGCGAGGGAAATAATTTCACCGCGACCGCGTCGGGGTCAGGCGGGTTTTCGACGACCGAAGAGACGTCCGACCGGGTCGGCACCAGCTCCACGCTGCAAAACGTGACGGGGGGCAGTAGTCAGTGGCACCAAAATTTCGGCGCTTCGTCCTCCCACGCGCGGTCGTTTTCCCCGACCGGGGGCCGGATGATTCGCGAGCGGTATTTGCCGGCTCTGGAGCAGGCACGGCGGACAGGGAGTCGAAGTGCGTCGCCGATCGGGTATTCGCCAACGGACGACCAGTTGGGGATGCGCGGCACCCACGCGTCCTTCGGGTCTTCCAACCAACCTTTGGTCCTGCAGTCCGCGCAGTCGACCAAGACCGGATTTTTCAACCGGGAACAACGGCAGAACGGCAGGAACGCATCGCGGTCCCCCTCCCCGAAACACCAGTTTTCAAAGACCTTTGCGAACGGTTTTGATTTGTCCGGCGGGTCGCCGAAAAAGACCGTGAACTTCCACTCCAGTCCGAGCAAGCCCCCGGGCCGGTGGGCGAACGTGAACTTTGACAAGAAGCACGAGTCCTACCGCTCGTCGGGGACCAACAATTCCTCAAATCTGACGACCAACAAGACGAATTACACGACCACTGGCAGAGACTGGCGCACCAGCACGGACGGCAGTTTCAGGGGCAACAATCACGGAAATACGAACTCCGGCATGCAGACAACCACCAGCTCGCTGAATCTGAAGAAGGATAGCGCATCTTCAAATAACGCTGGTATAACCACCACTTCTTTGCGGGGGCGAGGAACGGGAGCAAATCGCGGTTCGGCGAAGAAGAGTTTCTATCCGCAGGAAGGGGGCATGCGGGTCACATCTTCCTCACCCCTGCGGGAGAATGGCTCGATGATGGGCATGGCGCCGATGGTGCTACCTAGGAGGTCCGCGAAATGGAAGTGAGATGAGCAAAATAATTTGATGTTGATGAACAATTTGTAGAATTCATTGTTGCTGTCGATACCGATAGTACCAGGCGAGGCTATTCTGCATTGCGCCGGATTTGCTCTGTTACGCTATACCGATTTTTGTACTTCCTTGTATCAAAGAAACACTAATTTACAATTACACTACAAAATTTGTTGGCAGACAACTTTTCACATTTTGACTTTTGATTCTGGGTTTTTTGTATTTATTGTTTCAGCGAGATATTGTCCTCAATGAAATGCAATTGTATCAAACTTTGACCATAACTGTCACTGTGTTTAGACGAAAGCCATGTTGATGTCATTGTTTTTTGCAAGAAGATAACGAAACCTGTTTTATTCTCACGCGAGCGGTTCTTCCACCCTATCAAAATAATCGTAGAAAGATTTCATTTCATCATCAGAAGGCAGACCGAGTTCCCAAAGAGTCGTCTTTCATCAGGTCGCTACAACTAAGGAGCAGGTGTTCTTACTACCTAGTCGCCACCAGTCTCTTGGAAATGGTCCGAGAATGGCGCACAAAAGTGCTGCGTGTCCTCCTGCACAGGAAAGAATTTTTTTCGCTCCTGTCAACTACCTATATTTTCAGCCAGAAGGTCAAAGTGCGTATATACAACAGGGCACGGAGCCAGAAGATAGATCTTTTCTCACTTCGGCAGCGTGTTTTCCATTATACTTCTCCTGCGATGAGCCAAATAAAAACGTGCAACCGCTTCCAAAAAAAGGCTAGAGATTGAGGACAGAGGAAAATATATCCACAGCGTATTCCACCGTTGAGTAGCAGTTTCCCCCATTTTTCAGTCGTAGTTCCATATTTCGCTTACCCTCCGCCTTATGTTTTTCTTTGCGCACAAATATTCAGTTCGATTTCCACGCGTTATATCCAAGCTGCTGTTTTTTCTTTTCGCAGCGAAGGAGATCTTTTTTACGTCGCTACTTCTTCCTGACACAACGACCACTCGATTTTATCCACCTGATCTTGCTTACGGTTTCTCCCTTATTCTCGCGCGACGACGGCGTAGTTCCTCTCAAGGAGGTGCAGCATCGTCTGAGCAGGAGCACAACAACTTCTTCCCTACTTCTACTTCTATCCAAAGTACAACTATGGCCTCGAGGAAGAACGACGCAAAGAAGAAGCGCCGGCGGCGGCAGAGCTCGGAAGGAGCGGACGATATGGACGACGATCTGGACAACCTGTTTTTCGACGACGACGATGACCAAAGCGGCGCTGCTGCTCGTGCCGCGGCCCGCCAGCAGGGCGGTAGCTCCTACGACCACAACCGACTCGGCTTGCACATAGGCGAGTTTGTTGACAGTAGTAGAAGTGGCCCAAGTAGAAGTCCTGCTGGTGCGAAGAGACAACGCTTGATTGTTCCTGATGATGACGATAATTTTGAGCAGATGAATGGTGCTGCCTACGACGAGGACGCGGCTTTGAGAAAAGCACTGGAAGAGAGTCGGCTGGAGGAGGAGCGGAGAAACAAAAAAGGCGGGATAAATAAAGTGTCCTCCTTGTCTTCTTCTTCTGCGCAAAAAGATGACAGCCATGGAAATGAGATTAGCCCAGGACGTCGAGATCATCTTCTCGGGAACAACGGACAAATCGACGAGGAGCAGGGTAGTTCTGCACTCTTCTCCCCGCCCGACAATGAGGAGGAAGACGAGGAATTGAAACAGGCGCTGAAGCTGTCCGAGGAGCAGACGAAGCGGGATGAGGAGAACCGGAAAAAGCTGAACGAGGAGTACATTCAAAACGTGAACCAGATCCAGCAGGAGTCGCACGACCTGGGGGAGGAGGAAAAGTTGGAAAAGGAAGTCAGGGAGAAGGCAAAGTTCTTCGACACGAAATCCGATTCCTGGGTGGAAATGCTGGAAGAAGCAGCGAGTGGACTCCGGGAAGCGCTGGCAAAGAGTGCGGGGCTGGTCGAGGGAGCAACCACTTGCTCAACATCAAAAAGCGGGAAAGAACAAGTAACAGTAGCACACGATGAAAATCTGAAACAGACTAAAAACAACTTTTCCTTTTTCGAGATCCTGGACGGCAAGCTGGCGGATTTGTGCTTTTCGGGAACAATATTCGCCCGGGAGGACCTGTTCCGGTTGTACGACTTTTTGAAATTGCGAAACAAGGGCGCCAAGTGGTACGGGATCTGTGCGGCGAAGTACTGCCAAGAAGCGTTCCAAAGGATTGTGGAAGCCGCAGAGGTGGAGCAGACAGGAAATGGTAGTGCAGTTGTCTCTGCAACAGGAGGCGCAGGAATTTCTAGTAGTAGTGCAGCCAGTACTAGCGCCGCAAGTTCTTCAACAGGACAACTCATAACACCAGCAGGACCAAACAGCAAGGCGCCGCTCCTGAAGGGGCAAAAGCAAACCACAGCAAAAGGAGATCCGAAGGTTGTGTTGCAACAGGAGTTCGAGCAATTTCAGTCCGGGATGTTTGAAATGCCCGATCTGGACGAACTGTGCGTCGTGCCGAAAATCTTACAACCCTTTCTACCGGATATGCTGGGGACCGCCGCGGGGAAAACGAGCAGTAGCTCGGGAAGCGTTTTCCCGACATCAACATCATCTGGGGCGAAGTCGTCTTCCTTGTTGTATTCAGCTCTGCAAGAAGACGACGATTGCCAATTCATGGGCAGCTGTACGAACAAGAAGCGACCAGAGGGTAATAAAGAAGGAACCGCGAAAGGTGGTCCCACTGGATTGTTGTTTTCCTCGACCAGCGGTGCCGGCAGTAGTTCCTCCGCGTCCTCAACCGGCGGAGCTGCAGCTGCACAGGCTGGCGGGGGGACTAGTTCGACGAGTATCGGGGGGACTAACAATCTACTCGGTCAATCCTCCACGGAAATGATTGAGTTAAGCGACTAGATGGAAGGAATATGGAGAGTTGTTGAATCCATGTCAACATGCGCTGCGAGAATACTAGGATCCCACGAACAAGAAACATCAAAAGCGACATGATTTATTGTCTTTTGCTGAGGCACACGACTCATTTCCGACCGAATTCTATGAAAAATGAAACTCCATGACTTACCTCCAAAGCCAAACTACGGGACAATACATAAGAATTCCCGTTCTTCTTCTTCTTAATCGATACCTGGAACAGGCTGCAATTCATCATGTATATTCGAATTCCAATGATTTCCATTTACGAAATCATCAATGTGATTGAGCTGCATAGGAAGAAATAAAGATGAGATAGAAGCCGAATGTTGGATGCAAAATGAATCATGATGAAGAGATGCAGAATATCTTGCAAAAATGTTACCTCGGATTTGGATTCATAGATATATTCTTCGAATTTTTCGGTTTCCTCAGAAATTTCTCCATCAATCTATCTTTGAGAGAGCGACAAGATGATGAGAACGAAGACAGACTGACAACCTCGGACCGGGCTTATGAGACAATTTGAATGAGTCATGCCCAGAAATGACAAGAAAGTAAGAAAGAAAGAAATAATCTGTGGGAATTTTTCTTATTTTTTTCATTTCGATTGATGGATGGATCGATAGATGGAATAATCTGAGAAATAAGAGAGATTGAATATTTTAGTATTTCTTCATCGATCTATCTTTGAGAGAATGTGAAGAAAAAGAGATCGAAGAAAGACAATCTCGGATCGGATCTATGAGATAATTCGAATCATATCCAGACATGACAAGAAAGAAAGAAAATGATATGGAATCTCGATATCAAAGGAGGTTTTCCTATAAAAAATTTTCATCCATCTGAAATAATCTGAATGAGATCATATGATTTGTTATCTCTCTGGGATCAAAATCGAGAATTTCATTGATATTCTAAAAGAAATTTATATTTTCGATCTCTAGAAAAATTTTCTCTCATATGATTCTAATATATTCCTTCGAAGGAAAAAAAAATTTCTCTCTTGAGAATCTTATATTTATGAATCTCCAAGAATTATTTGGGATTTCGGATGATCGAATGATGAACATCTATCTGTCCACAATTCAGATTCATAATTCCAGGAGGAATATTCATGTTTCGTTCAAAATTTCTTCTTTTTTCAACAGACAATAGAACAAGAGGAAATCTGAAAGAGAATGAATCCAGAGAAATTCATCGACAAGAAAGAGTGAATTTATTTCGGAAATTTTTTGGGATTTTGTCTTCATCCTGGAAAATCATGGATTCTTTGTTTCTTGTCATGTCTGGGCATGACTCAAATTGTCTCAAAGGCCCGATCCGAGAATTTCTTTCTCCATTCTCCTCATCTTGTCGTTCTCTCAAAAATATATCGTGGAGTCTGGAAAATCATTGACTCTCTCTGGAAAATCTAAATCATGGCAAATATATTCGAAATAATATCTATGTCATTTTTTTGGGATTTTATCATCCTGGAAAAAATTCATTGTAAACTAAATCATCATTCTGGAAAGTCATTAAATTGGTTCGAATTCATAATCCTATATCGATAAACCTGTGGAATCGAATGAATTTCGGAGATTTTTTGGGGTTTTCGCATCCTGGAAAATCATTGCAAATCATCATTCATTGGAAATCGGAAATATCGAGAAACTTATGGAATATTCATCGAATGCATAGAATGAATTTCGGAGATTTTTTAGAGTTTTGTCATCACTCTGGAAAATCGGAAATGTATGTCGACAAACCTGGAAACATTGAATCTTGAGTGGCGAGAAAAAATATCAAGAATCGACTCCTCGAGTTTTTTCTTTGGTCGGAAAACGGGTTCGAGCCATTATGGATCGTTTTTGAATTTTCATTCATTCAATAATTCTCAAGATTGTTTTGATACAAGTGCAAAAACAAAAAGTATTTCAAAGCAAAGCAATACAAAGTTTTGATAGATTCGTTTTCGTGGTGCAGATATTAGTGTAGATGAAACAGGTTGAGTATTATCGCTATCGGTATCCTATCCGGTAGGTGTGTGTATCATACAGCAAATTGAAATTTTCATATTCTTCGAATTGTATAGAAGTGTAGTGGAACTTGCGTATAAGTGTGGCTCTAGCTAGTAGCAGAAGAAATTTTTCTGTTTTGGTTTTTTCATTCCACCGCTACAGCTCGACTTTTCATCAATGGTCGTCATCGTGAGTGTGTTGTGGGTGCAACACTTTGAATTCCTCTAGCAATTGCCCCACCACCTGTGACTTCCGATCGTCCCCTTCCGCTGTTCCCTCTTCGATCTTTTCCTCCAAGAACTCAATCATTTTTTCCCGTTCGTGGTCTTCCGCCTTCTCCTCGCGCGCGGCGATTTGGGCCGCCAAGACCGTTTCCCCCACGCAGATCTTCAGAATGCGCCACAGCCGCAAGCCGGTCACAAAAGACGAAGACTGCATTTCGCTATCCAGTGCAAAAGTGTAGTGTGGTCTACCTCCGGGTCTGGAAAAATGAATAAGCGCTCTACACGACAAGCACGTTGATTGATCCTCTTGATGGAGCATGAACATCAGGGGATCTGGTCGTTATTCAATTATCAGGAAAATGCGCATCATATTAAATCCAGAACCAGATCCATGCAAGAACTAATTTGCACTGCATAATCTTCCGCGAGGAACCACTCGGTGATGAAGCTGAAGGGAATCACAAACGCGTCCAGCCAGTGGCCGATGATCAGTAGCTTGGACCCGTGCGTGAAGTGGTGAATGACCCCGTGGCAGAAGATGTGCAGCGTGAGCTCGATCATGAACATGAGCGCGATGATCTGCCCGCAGAAGTGGAGACCGTGCCGGAAGCTTTCCCACTTGTGGATCTTCGTCTTGACCTATGGAGAGAAAAAAGTTTATCACAGTCACCAATTTGCAGGGTTTGCGTTTGCATTACAAATTTTCTTAGCGTCAAAAATTTTCCTTGTATTGCAGAAACACTAGGGAAATCCCTAACGAAGTTTGGCTGTGATGCATTTTTACGCAAGGCAAACAATTTTGTATTGCAAAAATGCGCATGAATGATCGTGACGAACTTTTTTTGTTTGATATCACCACGTCCGCGTGCGGCATCGCCAGGGTCGGCGGGATTTCCTGTGCCACATGGTAAAAACTGTGGTTGTAAGCTTGGAAACCAAATGCGCCGTCCGGAAACGACAGCCGTCCGGAAACGTCTGTAGTCTGGGGTGCAGCTGTGGTGGCGTTGCTGGCTGCTGCAATTGAAGTATTCAAGAGCTTCATCTCCGCAAAATTGTCGAGCGAATTTTCATCGTCGTCGTCGCTCGCGTCCACGCCCTGGTGCAACTGGTCGCGTTTTTGCTCATCGTCTCGGCCTGGGTCTGCCGCGTGATTCCGTATTTCGTTCAGCGCGATAGTTCCACGCGGGGGCTTTTGGACGACACTTTGACTGCTTTTGGTCACGATGCTGGGGCGGGTCGAGCGTGAAGGGATTTGTTCACCACTACTCTGAGTACGGGAATAAGCGGCAAACCCGGCCACTCTGTGAGAATCCAACTTTCCACGATCTCTCGCCCAACATTTGATGCGATTTCTCAGCGATAAGCGATCCCTAGAACCCTGAATCGGGATTCAGGGCGGACGCTAATATTGCAAACAGGCTCGAAGTTGAGCTGACCCGTGAATAGGGACACAGGAGCGCAAGGGCAAATGAGTACTCCCTGAGTCCCGGACTCCCTGAGTCTGCCGGGAAAAAAAACCGCTTAACATGACCTTTGCATGGCCAAAGGTCGTGTTAAGTAGATTCAGTATCCCCGTAACCCAGGCCGACGTTGTGTCCAGGAATGGACCCTGCGCCACTCCGTTAACCAGACCTATGGGTACCCAGAGGTCGTGTTTATCGCGAGCTGTTTTTGGATTTTTGGCTGCAGACCCAAAAATCCAAAAACAGCTCGCGATAAACAGAACCTCTGGGTACCCCGAGGTCTGGTTAACGGAGTGTCTGGGGCCTCATTCTGTGACAAAACGTCGGCGCCGAGGGGCGCACCAGCGGACGCCCGGGCGCGCCCGCCTGCTCTACGAAGCCTGTGCGCTGAGGCGGCTGCGTTTCAGACTTGTCACCTGGGGCAGGCAAGTTAGGTAAGCCAGGCCCGCGGCGACGAGCAACGTCACAGGTTTGCTGCATTTGGACAAAACGAAGCATGCAAGGCACGTTTGCCAAATTTGCAAAGTAGTTCTGCTCCAAGATTTTGAAGCACGGCCGGCAGGCCTTGATGCACGAGGGTCATGGGCTTTTGGACTTCACAGGGATTACCGGCTTTGCCGCTAATTCAGCGTTTTAGAGTACTTCTTCTAGAGAAACTGCTGGTGCTGGTTTTTGCGTGAGTAGGAGAACCAGCTGCGCTAGCTGTAGACTCCTCGGTCGTGGTGGGCATCAGCTCGCGGTCATGAGCAGTTTCTGGAAGTTGATGTTGATGCAACTCTGGCGAATAATCGCTGCGCCGGAGCAGCTGGAGCTGGCGCTTGTTGCGTTCCAGATTCACAGGAAGAGGATTTGTTGCAAAGTTCTCGTACTGATATCCATCGCTGTCTTCTTCTTCTTCTTGCACCGGATCCCCGCCGGAACTTTGTGTTTGCAAAAACTGCACCAAGGATGCTGTTGCATCTGTGTTGGCAAGTTGTTCTTCAGCTTCATCTTCATCCCCGGGCGCGAATATTTCTACCGCAGTTTTTTTACCGGGACTATTTGTGTTTTCTTGTGGTCCAACAACATCTTTTAGTGGTTCGTGTTCATCTTGTTGCGGGGACAATGAAGTTCTTTCCGCGTGTTGTTCTCGTCTCAATCTGCTTTTGCTGTTCCTCGCTTTAATGTTATGCAAACTGTCCGCATTTGTTGATGTAGTAGCTTTGGCATTGGCTTTCACGAAGCGTTGCTGTGACGACGAGGGCGAGACATTTTGTACCGAAACTGTGTCCTCAGGTCGTTGTGAAGAGGTCCATGCCGCGGCCGCGCTGTCTTCATGATTCAGCTGCAACTGCAGCTGCCACTCCGGTGCCGCTCCTCCTTCGTCGTGCCCGTCGTTCTCTCGCATCAAATGTGGGAGAAGAAAGTTGTGCGAATTTTCATACCGGCGCTGTTTTTTTCGCAACGACGACCCGGGTTCTGTCGAAGACGACGAGGTTGCTGTTTTTCTTTCACGGTTTATTTCGTCTTCCCTTCCGTCTTGATTTTTGGCCTCGATTGCCGTTGTCGAACTCAGGACACTCTTATCGTCCATTTTATTATTTCCGTGTTCTGCCAAGAACGACGTTGCGGTTGTCCCCCCGCTACTCCCGCTGAAGCCGCTTCCGACCAGCGCTGAACTGCTGTTTGATGTGTTGGAAGTAGTGGCGTTTTCGTATGAAAAGGAAAAATCCCCCCACCCCATATCAAAAAGGAAATCTGTGATGCTGGATATGCGTACACAAATCAGATTTGTATTGCAGAGAGGCATGGCGGCCAGACCCCCAGGCTAGGTAGGGGCGTATGGGTCTAGTTGTTCAGCATTGCAGACGGCTGACCTTTAGGCCCAACAGCATGACAAGCCGCTTCCATAATGGGGCGGAAGCTTCTGCCCTTGTCTTCTTGCAACACAAATTGATTTGTGACCTCAAATCAGCAACACAAATTTTCGGAAAGATACCTTTTCGATATGGGGAGGGGGGATTTTTCCTCTCACTATTTCGCCCGACAACGCCGACTGGATTTCGTGGTAGAGTCCGTTCTCGTAAAACACGCCCGGGGACCCCTTATGAGATGTAAAAGTGTCTGGGTCTGGAAGAATGCAAGTTTGTCATGCTTGTCTGGCATGACTCGGGAATCTGTGTTGCATAGGCACGAAAAAGCCCTCTTACCTGTCATGCGAAAACGCAGTTTGCCATGCGGAATACGTAAGACATGGCAGCCAAAAAATTTGTCATGCATAGCTGCGTATTGCAGTGCGTCTATCATTCATTTTTAGCATTACAAGTTTCCAGACCCAGACATTTTTACATTTGATACCCCTCGTAGAACTGCAAATGGTGGCGCCAGTTGTAGACTAGGGCGAAGTCCCGGCCCGGCTCGAACTTCGGGTCCGCAATATCCTATGTAAAAACGCTTCCAGCCGATAGCTGTCATGCAAATCTGCATGCTCAAAACGTTTGGCATGCGGAACCGCATGAGAAGCATTCTCTTTTCGTGTTTTGGAGTTTCTAGTGCTCTAATCAGCATAGCAGGCGAGATCTGTGACGCTGCTGACCAGGCTTGACAGGATTACACTACGCGGCCAAACTTATCATGCGCAGCAGCCGAAGCTTGTTGATTTGTCTAGCAGATTTCCAATCTTGACTACGGTGTGAGCACGTTTCTACATAGGATACGCGTCGAACGGAAACTCGACGATGGTGTCCAGTGTCGCCATGGTGTATCAAGTGCAAATAAGTATGTCTCGGTCTGGAAACTTGTGATGCTGAAATGTACACGACTAAAATACTTCCCAGAAGTGCAGCCAAGCATGACAAACTGCGCTTTTGTATGACAAAAGGAGGCGTCGTTTTGTTAGTCATGATGCAATACAGATTTTGCAGGAATGTTGGACTACCATTAGAAGTTCAATGTTTCCAGACCCAGACATATTTGCAATGCATATGGTAGCAACCACCGCGACATCGAGGATGATCAGGAAAATCAACCCGATCTCGAACACTGGTTGTTCGAAGATGTTGTGTTCAAGCCAGTACCGCAAGCCGTGGTGGTCGTGGTCACTGTGGTCGTCGTCGTCGTCGTGGGGTGCTGCTGTGGTTTTCGCAGGTGGAGCTGAAGACCTCTGACCACCTGAACCTGCCGCAGGTGTAGCTGCTGATGGTCCGCCCGGTTTACTACCTGCTCCCGATTGTTGCGCGTCCGCACCTGCCGCGTTCGGTTGCTCCGCACCGGCTTCTTCCGGCGCAGCGGCAGCCGCGGGCTCCTCCGCGCCGGCGGGAGGTGCTGGCTCTTCGGACATACTTGTGGGGTTTTGCTGCGGAATAGTCTGGTCGGAAAAATTAACTCAGTTTCATTCCCATTGCAATTTTTTTACATTCTCAAGGTTCTAGTTGTAGTTCCAGATCTACATTCCTCCTTCTTCTATTGTTCCCAAATGGAGGGAAATCAAGGCAAATATATGCCATCGCTCGGTGGATGCGTTTTCTCGGTGACACGAATATGTGCGAAACAATACGCGAAAAATCGACTGAATGAAACATTGCGATGTCAGAGACGAAGACGATGAGAACTTGACATCTCGAGTATTCCTCACACTCTTGGAACTCTCATTCGCACCATTTTTTTTGGGTTCTTTACAACCAACTACGAAACTCCACAACGTAACTGCGCGGGGGCGAAAACAACTACTGGCAGACGCCACACGATCATGTGACCCCAGCTTGTGTCTGCAGACACAGCTCGTTGCCCCGTGATTATAGTTTCTAGCCATCAAACCGCTTGGCCTTGTTGGGCTGCACAAATCAATACACCTCCGAGCCGCACGACAATTGACTGCGATGCGCCCTCCACAGCCACGCGACGCCATGCTGCCCCTGTCTAATGAACGAGAACGGGGGCAGGCCCAGGCGCAAGGCTCACATTGACAAGACGACCGAGCAGGAACAAGTTCGCTCACACAAACAAGAACAACTAACCTCGCATTGGGAAGAAGGGCTGCACTGTTACTTCGCGCCCCGTTTCAGTTCTTTTGTGGCACTATGCGAGTTATAGTTTCAATAAACAGCTTGGCATGTGCTTCCTCGACGTAAGTAGATCACTCACAGCAATCACACACTTCAGTCGTCCTCCTGAAATTCCGTGCCTAAGTCCGACGCCAGCGACCTGGGCGTCAAGGTCGAAGCGCGGGACATGGGCACGAGCGCATGCAGGGCGTTGTTTTGGTTTTGTAGATTTTGGATGTTCAAATTGTTCAACTCATGAACCACAACATTCTGCTGCTGCAAGTCACTTTCCGCTTGTCGTATCTGCGCATTTGCGATTTCCTGCTCCACGTTCCTGATTGCTTCGTGCACCGCGTTGGCGGCGTTCGCCGTCAAGGCTTCAATGGCGTTCTGCAGGGCGTTCGTCGTAGCCAGTGACCGCTCGTAGTCGGCCATGGCGCGGTCCCGGAGCTGCTGCGCCAGCTGGAGTCGTTCCCGCAAGTCCTGGATCAAATGTAAAAATGTCTGGGTCTGGAAGAATCTAACTTGTCATGCTGATTTGGGATTCTAAAAAAATCTGTATTGCATGAGCAGCAAAGAGCGTCCAAGTTCTGCTACACGGACAGAGCATTTGTCATGCGGTATAGGCATCAGGAAGCCCTCACAAAATCTGTGATGCTAGGGCATGCATCACAGACATCAGGAGTCATGCAAAATGTGCATGACAAACCTGGAAATCTTCCAGACCCAGACATTTTTACATTTGATATCTTGGATCTCCTGCCGTCGCGTTTCCAGCTCACTGTTCGACCGCTCGATTTCCACCTGCAAGTCGCTCGCGGAGCTGGCCAGGTCGGCGACGACAGCGCGGTTGTTGTGGTAAAAATCGGAAATCGACTCCACGCGGTTCTGGATCCTTTGTGCCCGTTGGAGCAGTTGGCGGTCCTGCATCGCGTTCCTCTGGGACTCGGAAGTGCTTGCCGCGCCAGAATTGGCCCTTGCCGCCGCCGCGCGCGCGACGGAAATGGCGTACCCGTTCGTTGCGGACGAAAGCGAGCGGCCACGACCAGTGATCGAGAGAACACTCGAGCTCGTCGTCGCCGGGATAGAAGTACTACCGCTAGAAGTTGCTGTTGGTCTTGCAGCTGCGCTTGTAGTGGTCAAAGATGCCGTGCTTCTTGAAATAGCGTTGACGGCCATAGGCGACGCCGTCAGGGACGACGAGACACTTCTGGATGTCGGATTTGCAGCTGTAGTTCCTCCGTTGGTGGCACGGATGGAGATCGCACCAACTACGGAGCTGCTCGAGGGTGGGGGGTTGGACGAAACGATTGGCATAACTGAAACTGGGCGGGGTGATAATTTCTCCGGTAATTCTACTACGGTATAGTAATTACTGATATTACTTAACGTCCGGATCGTTTCTGTGGCTTCTAGCGAAGGACTGTACACATATGTAGTTGAATATGAAATTGGGGAGCAAGAATGGCGCGGCCCGTAGAAGTTGAATAGATTGAGAACTTCTGCTCAATTAGTATATCGAAGGAGTTGCATGACTGCTACCTGAAAATTGTGGTACTAACACTATTCCTAGGAGGAGTAATACTTATACAGGGTGGGATTCTACGTGGTACCCTCATTGTGTACCATTTTTGCCGTAAGCCACCGACCTGTGCACGATGAATGTTTCAATACTATATCACAAGCAGAGCCTGTGCCTTATATTATTCAAAGCAGCACGACTTGTTCTTCCTGTTTTTCTTGCTTTTCCTGGAGAAGGAAGGAGCGATGGATTCTTCTACTTCTAGGATAATGACAATGTGGACGATTTTTCTCGTGCGCGATGCTTTTTGGTAGGCTCTGCGATGCAGCACGACAGGAATGCAATGTCTTCTATGTAATCATCGCGATGGCGACTACGTACATAAGTGGAGAACGAATGGCGACGATGTGTACTCTTTGTATTTGAACGTTCTTTCGAGGACGGAAAGGTTCAATCATGGTCTGGTTTAGATACTAGAACTGGGCCGCACATCAAATAAAAAACCGAGGCCGGTGGTGCAGATGAAGCTGCTATGCTTTAGGCAAGATCTTTCCGGACAGAGAGGAACACATTCACATCGAGGTGGAGCAACAAGAGAGCCTTACAACACAGGTCCAGAAGCGACCAGTAGTCTCGGCGGTGTTCCTCACGAGAGATGATAGATGAAGACGCAACTCGACGCCTTTCAATCAAATTTTTTTGTCGCCAGAAATAAAGGAATTCCAATTCATGGGTGTCTACTGCTCTTCATGCCACAGTTGATAGTTAAGTATCTGAGAAGTGAGTGCTGTCTTTGCGATAATTTGAAGAAAACGCATTATTCAACAAGTATACCAAAATCATACAGAAACCACCAGCGCTCCGTAGTTTTTCGTCGCACCTCGGGGACTAAACATCACGTCTTCGTGGAAGTTGTAACCTTTGCGCGTCAGTAGCCGTTTTATTGCCGGCCGCAGTTTAGCTTTGTTGAAATCGGAATGCTGCCCCTCGCCGACCACAATCATCACTTCTTTTCTTTCCAGCTCGTGCCACCGTGTGTTCTGCTCTTTACTGAACTCTCGCAGAAACTGCTCCACGACGCCCTCCGCTTCCTTGACGTTATCAAATGCAAAAGTGTCTGGGTCTGGAAGAATGCAAGATTTGTGATGCAGGTTCTTTCCCAAGACCGATGAGGTCTGGAGTGCGAGACTCAGCATGACAGATTCTTTGAGGTCTCTATCATGCCTTTCCTGCATGAGAAACTCCCTCTCAACTTGGTCAGAAGCGGCCAGCTTTTGGCACTCACGCAACACAGATTTTTGCATCATTCAGATTTAGCATAACAAGTTCTAATCTTCCAGACCCAGACATTTTTACATTTGATACACGTACAGGCCATGCAAATCCAGCTTGTTCGACCGAAATTTGGTACCGTCACTTGGTAGCATCTGCGGTCTCAGCACGACGGCAACGGCTTGCCGGTTGTAGTGCTCCATTTCTTTCCGCTTTTCCTCTTTCAGAAGGGACAACTCCTTGGCGGCTTTCTTATCCCCCTTCCGCCACTGCTCCTGCGACTTCTGCGCGTACTGCCCCATCGCGTCCCCAGCGAGCTGCGCAAAGTGCCGGTTTTTCTCGTACTCCTGGCCGAGGTACCGCGAGTTGTCATCCGTGTAAACGTATGGATTGCAAAAATGTCTGGGTCTGGAAGATTCTAAACTTGTCACGCTGTCTCTGGAATCTAAAAAAAATTTGTATTGCACGACCAGCAAGAGGACTTCAGTTTGTCTTTGTGCTACGCGGAGAGGGCATTTGTTTCTCATGCGGTAGAGGCATCGCAAAGTTGTCTAAAAATCTGTGACGCTAGGGCATGCATCACGGACATCGTGGGTCATTCAAAATATGCATGACAAATCTCGCCATCTCCCAGCCCCAGACATTTTTGCATTTGGTAAAACGTACTGGCCGTACTTGTTCGGTGTGACCTCCCGCGGGGTGTCCGGTTGCCCGTCCGTGCGACGGCGTTGATTGCGTTCTTCGGGACGCCCACGCGGGGTGCTGGGCTCCGGTCGCCCACCACAACAGACATTGCCCATGGAGTCGTGGTCTTATTCGCGAGTAAGGCAGATGAACGTAGCCGAAAATTACGAATCAATAAAACTTCCACAAGGACATTATCGCAGTTATTTCATCAAAAATTTACATTTTCGTGGAATCTAAATGTTTGCTTAAGCTTATCGCGTACGTAATGAAATTCAACAAAATTCGACTGCTCATCCTGATGCATTCAAGACCGTCATCGCGCACTTAGCTTTTCAGAACGATTCTACTGACATGATTTTCTCTCGCAGATGAGAATCTGCATTACTCTCCAGAAGACGTTGCAACTCCTACTTTTCGCTACCAGGATTTTCTAGATTTTTGCTCCATGGATCGTCAGACCTGATTGCCCTTTTCCTGTTGGATAAGAAATGGCTTTATCGTTCTACTTGGAAAACACTACCTACCTCGAGGCCTGCAACTACAACAGGCTTGCAACTACAACGCTCTGCAGTTGGCAACGCGTGCTGAGTGCAAGAACGCCATCTCAAGATGCCTCCTTGTGGTTGTGCTGAGCGCTTCAACACCAAGATAAATTTGTCTTCGGGAATAGCAAAGAAGTACTTAAGTAGATGTCAAGGGATACTAATCGACCACACTTTCATTGTGCAAGACCAGCTGGTTCTCCTACGACAGACGAGCCGCGCATTATCATTGGAACGTTCTCGCAGCCACGACGACGACAGGCTCATCTTCTAGTGATGATGTCTTTCCGGATTTATCGTCAGTGGGGTATTTGGGCTCAGTGGACCGAGAAGGAGCAGCCGTGGCAGAAGCCGCTCGCGGTGCCTTGATTGCATGCGCTTGCACCGCTTCTATTGCCGGACGAGTGCAAGCAGGAGGTGTGCATCTAGTACTCCCCGGCATGTTGATTGTTTCTGTGTCCCGCAAGAAGGCCAATGCGAATTCCGGCGCTAGAGTCAAGAGCCCTACCTGGGACATGGTTCCGTCGTTGTTTCGCCCGGCATCAAATTTGGGCTATTGAGGAGAACAACTCTCTTTACAGGGATACTAAATGGATTGATAAGTCTGCCGTGCGTTGTTCCATCTCGAAAATACCTATCCCGACCTGCTGTTGCAGCTTTCATACTAGCTGGCGTCCAAGACGACCAAGATAATGCATAACACACAGTAGCACAGCATGGGCACCACGCGTCTTCCTCCTAGCTAACACATATTGTGTCAAGCGTTGTTCTTTCTTTATGGATATTCTCCCGTTGATGGTTATTTCCTCGTCCTCACTGGTGCTTTCCGTGCCACTTTCTTCGGGAACTTTGCAGGTCGCAATGCTAAACCTCACCGGCACGAGCTTCTCCAGCCACTTTTCTTTTTTGTCGAAGTGCAGCCGTCTGCCATTGCTCGGATGTTGGGAATAATTTCTATCAGTGCCATCAGTTTGTCGACGTAGCTCGAGTGGACGTCTGATGTCCGATTCTGTATTGTGGCTGACGTGTCCTCTTGAATACGGAACTAAGCACAATGATCCTTGTTCATCTCGTGAAGAATTATATGGTGCGGGAGCCGCTTCTACTCGTCTCTGCTGGTTATGTTCGTCGACTGGCTCCTCCTCTGGGTTCACGACCGGTGGAAAAAGGTACTTCCTGAACCCTTCATAGCGGTCACAATTGGATTTCCGGAAATTTTGAAACACGTCGCGGGAGATGGGAAAAACCTGCCTTGTGTTCCCGTCCAGCGCATAGAAAATGAAACGGTTGCCGCGGACAGGCTGATTTGGTTCACGACCTTCATGGTGCCGTTCGCTTCTACAAGTCGGATTGGCATTGCCATTCTGCTGCGGTTTCAATCCGCTCTTCTGACCTTTCTGAACAATCCCCAGTCCCTGCAGAAACTTCGCGCTCGCAGCTAGGTGCGGTCTGGTGGTCCCACAAACGGTTTCGGAAACGCGTTTTCGCAACAGAAATCCAGATCTAACCTTGTCTTCAAACGGCGCAAAGGTTCGCTTGCTTTTTGAAGTGGTGCTTTTTGCTTCTACAGGTACAACTGCTGATCCGTCATTTGCAGATTTGGAGCCACGGCAGCACGTCTTGTTGCTCTTGTTCCTTCTCGATCTGGTGAGTCCCGCGCTTTCATGATCAGACAGACCATGTTCAAAATGCGTATGCAACTGGGACAGCTGGGTCTGGACCGGACGGTTTAGAGCGGCTTTCTGGCGCCGGCAGCGCGGCAACTTCGAGGAAATCGCAGAGCCGTTCTTGTTTTCCTCACCTTGCCCCGGCGCTGCAGGTAATTTTCCAGCAGAAGGCGATATCAGCAGTGCGGCAGCGTTGGCAACTGTGTCCGTCTTGGGTGCTGAAAGATGCCGGTCCTCCCCGATCTTCTCAGGCTCCTCGCGTTCCTCGCGTCTCATCTCTTCCCCACCACGTATCAGCTCCGGTGACGAAAATGCTCGCGGCTCATTCTCTGGCTCGAAGAGGTGGGTGGTGGAGCCCGTTTCCACGGGCCGCACTTGAGCCGCATTTTGCTTTTGGGGAGCGGAGCTCAGCATTGTCCTACAGTCGTGGTGGTCCTTGTCGGATGGCAACACCAAGTGCTCACAGTCTCGCATGAGCTGGAGTGCGGTCTGGGACGAAGACGAGGCTGTGCCACCTTCCTGAGAGGCACATGATTTCTTGTCCGAAGAAATTCCGCCTTCTAGTATCTTCTTCACCGGACCGGGTTTCATGATATCGTCAACCAAAAATTTCAAATCTTTTCTCCGCACACAAGGGGCATCGCTCCCTCTACTTTGCGGAGTCGGGATTTCCAATAGTGTCGGAGGTTTTTGGGCCGGTGATGTAGTAGTTCTTTCGGCGCCGATACTTTTGTCTCTTCTTGCTGAAATGGGGCCGACATTGCCACGTCGCGGGGCAGCTTGAGCAGTGTGTATGTCCTGGTGATTGCAACTCCTCGGGCTGCTCAAATTCAAACCTAAAAGTTCATCGGGCGGACCACTACCGCCTTGTATCGTGGAAACAGACGCGGACCTCGACGGGCAAGATGTGGAGGAAGTCGGGCCATCAATTTCTGTTGGCGCAGTTGTTTTTTCAACAACCGCTTCTGGCGCAGGTCCACCTGTCTGCGCCGCCGTTGGTGTCTCAACGTTGGCGGACGGCGTAGAAGAAGTACAGGAGCCACTGATATTTCTGTCCAATGTCTTTTCAGTTCCACTGTGGCCACTTTCACTCGCCGTACCATTTTCGGTAAAAGACAGCGTTGTTGCACAGTAGTTTGGCTGCGTCTGTAGCCATATTTCCTGTGGATTGTAGGCGGGCTGCTCATAATGCACTGCATTGCCAACAGGAACAGAAGTAGAATTTCCGTGCGTCCTGTAATTTTGCATGTGCATGTCCCGCTGGCCCCATGAATTTTGGACCTCGTGACTCCACGAGCAGGACGAAGCTGATGCGTGTGCGCCGTCGGGCATGTGGTTTGTCATAACCACTGCAGGATGCTGTTGGCCAGCATTGTTCCCATCGTAGTAAAGGTAGGGCTCCTGAAAGAACTCATGCTGCTGCGGGCTGTAGCCGTAGTTGCTGAAGACCTCGGCTTGTTGTGGATCATCGTAAAAACTGCAGTTGTTTGGATAGAATACCGGTTGTAGCTCCATACCAGTTTGTGTTTGGTAAAGAGCATTCGCCGGCGGGGGCATAGGACCTGCCACAGAGGGAGCTGCCCACGGGTTGTGGTCTTGTTCACCAGCTACATGATTTTTCACGTCCACCATGACGGTTCCGAAGCTCTGGTGATGCTGGTAGTCCGCGTCAAGATTCGCTGCGGGTGGCAGGGCGTCCCCGTGTAGTGGGTCTTCTTGTTCCGTCTTTTGCTCTACAATTATTTCGTTCACCTGGTCGGACAATGTTGATCCAGCCGCGAGGACGTCGGGATGTTCACGGTCAGGGCTACCAGGAGCAGAGTTGTTATCACGAAGGTGCGGAGAATGGTTCGGTAGTGCTGATCCGTGAGCAGAAAAATCATGTTCTGGAAGTTCTTCGGCTGGTGCAGCAGGTCGTCCTGGTCCCAGTTCTGGCGCGCCCAGTCCACGTGTGGTCGGAGATGCAACTACATCCGCATCGGTCAAAGAAGAGTCTGCCTTCATGTTGGCCGGGACTTGCTTCACAGGTAGCTGTTCCGCGGCCAAAAATTGCAGAGTGGTACAAGAACCACAACCAGGCTGCTCGACGCTGCTACAACCAGTTGCAGTTCTCTGCAGTTCGTTGGTAATAGCGTGTGCTGTCAATCTGATCTAAAAAAATTCTCCTCAAGACTGAAAGATGATCGGGTTGATCCATGCTGAACTTGTTGCGGTTTGCGGTTTTGGTGTTGTTCTTTCTCGTAAAAGCTAATATAAGAAATTAACGTGACCGCCGACGAGGAGGAACAAAATAACCGATGGGTCAAATTAAGACGGAACTGAACGTGAACCTCTCATAATGATTCGGCATACATCTCCGCCTGCATCTGCAACAATGCAGATGACGAACCATATCTTTACCTCAGGTGCAAATAAACCAAAATTTTTTGAATCTATTTCTCAAGCAAACTCTCGGCGCAGCAGCTCGAGATCATTAAAACCACATACCATGATGTTGATGCGCGGAAATTTGTGCTTGCAGCATGAAGGCAAGTCCAAGTCGCTCATTGTTGTTCTAAGCAAAATTCCTATGTGTATGTCAACGGTGTAGTATCAATGAATAAATATGTTGAGTATCCACGTCTCTATGAAAAATGGTGCAGCCATGAGCAATGCGTATGCGTTTATACGTGTGGCTTCTCATGATCGCATGAAAAAAAGCGAGATTCGGGTCGTGATCACTTCTAGACGAAAAAAAATAATTGAAAAAAAAACAACAACACGTGTCAGGATAATGGAGCATTGATTCAATTGAAAGCTGTAGAGGAGGGGGCATTGAAGTCGGTTGATAAAGCAGTAACCCTGCAAATCTCCTCGTTTCGGCTCCGCGAGTTGGTCATAAACTTCTCCCTTGCTGTATCACGTGTGACAATCCATCGACTCCTCTTACTGCTGCATTTTTTCGAGAAGGTAACGATGCAAAAATTTGTATACTTAAGAACGATCTGCACTGCTTTTGCTTGTCAAAGAACGACTGCGCACGCGCAGCTAGAAGACCCTTGTTTTGGGGGCACCGCATGTGCCCCCCCGGCGCATGAGATCATTATCACAATCACAACAAGTTTGAAGCGACAACATAATCGATACTTATCGATATCGAGGGACAAATGAATATTGTCACACGTGATAATGCCACGGCTTCAGGACTGGCACCCGGAAAACCACGCCCACTGCGTGGTACTCTCTTCTGAAAACGTCGGCGTTGCAGCTGGCAGGATTCGTCAAAAAAGTCAGAGTGCTTGCTGTTTCGTCAGGAGATGCTGTAGAAGAGGTAAAATCGTCCGAGTTGATGGAAAGCACAGCGTCAAGCTTCTTGTCTTCCTGTCGTCCAATTGATGCTGACATTTCCGCCCTGCTTGCCGCCGCAGCTGCTTCGATATTTTCATCCACTTCCCGATCAAGATCAATTCTTCTCTTCCTTGATGGCGACAAAAGTCCCTCGGTGTAGTAGTTCCGGTCGCATACTGATGAATTCTCTCTCTGTAGTACACCAGCTTGTTCGACATCGACTACTTCTGCGACCTTGTAGACCTCGCAACGACCACGACGACAGGAATGTTGCCGGTTGCGCACCGCGTCCTTGTCAGTTTTCGAATCCTCCACCGTGGCTTCGGTGGACACCGATTCAAGAGACGGAGTCGGGTTCTTGGAAGACGAAAATGAAGTGAATAAAGAGGACACGACTTCTTTTTCCTGTACGTCTTCTGTCGCAGAAGAATTGACTTGTCTGGAAGAACAAGAAGTTGAAATTGCAGAACTTGAACTACAACTGGAAGATGACCACGACCTTGTGTTGCAGATGTGGTCTCCCTCTCCGCTTTGTGTTTTTGCATTTTCACCAGAAAAAGATCGCGTTGGTTCTAGTCGAAGATCTTCCAACTCGTTGAACACGGTCGTTCCGTCTGCATCGTGTAACATTCCACTTCCACCACTAGTAGAACAAGATTCCGAACTCGTCAGCCGCAAATACCTCGGCATCAGGGTCTTCGGCACGCAGAAGCACTGACCCCCGGTCCCGGGCTTGCCAAACTTCAGACTGGTACAGCAAAACCACATTTTGGCCGCAAAGTCGTACCGCAGGGTGCCGCGCAGCTTCGCGATCCAGTTCTGATCCCGGGAGCAACGATTGAGCTCGAGGATCTCGGTGCAGGCGGGCGGGAGGGGGGTCGTGATCGAGGTTGACATTGTTCTGTAAAATGATTTTCTTTTCGTTTTCTTTGATGAAAAAGAAAATCCTACATCTACTAGAAAACTGGGCGACGCTCCGTGACCCTCCGAACGTGAAGTAGGCAGAAGCACAATTCGCTCTAGACAGGAAGACAGAACGAGTGTGTTTTTACACGGCACACAAAATTTAACAACTGCAGCGCACAGAGCAGTTGGAGGTAGTGTAGTCCAAAGCAGAATCATAATCATGATAATTTGCGGCTCATGTACATGGACCGACTGCACGTCGTTGACAAATCAAAAGGTGGTAACAATAACGTCCGATGAAGAAAATTCAGAAGCGTGTGCACCTCCGCCAGGAACGCGACACCGCCGTCCTGCAGGTCAACAGGTCGCTACACAACTTTGACTTCCACGAATTTGGAACAGAACGCACAGAAATTCTGCACTGCTACTTACTAAAGACAACTGCAAGAGCAAGTGCGCGTCCTCTCAGGCGTCGCTTTCATGATTCACATTCTTTCCAACCTTCATTTCGTCAGGGAGTTGCTCAGCAAAACTACATTTTCAGTCGTCCATTTTTTCCAGATACTCTTTCATTCGGGCTAATTCCGGCTCCCAACCATTCACGCGACAAAGGAAAAAGGGCGTAAATTGTTCATTTTCATCTTCCTCATCTGTAGTGTCGTTTTTGTTCGTTTCGTTCTCTGGTGCTGGATTGCTATGTTCATTTTTCTTCTCCTCAGCTGTGTCTTGTTCAGGAAACATGGCAGGAGCAGGACCGTTCGCACAACATCCGTCTTTCGTCAGAGGAGCTGCTGCAGTTGTCTTTTCTGCCCCCGCCTCTGCAGTTGCGGTAGAAGGATCGGGAAGATTCTTATCCTCCTTGTTCACCCCACCGCACGAAGGAGCATTTCCTGAAGTAGGACCATTTTTTTCCGCTGCCGAGGAGTTGTTTTTTTCGCTGTTAAAAAGTCCCGGGACGATCATCTCTTTCTCCACGATCCACTTCCAGGGCCGCTTCGTGGTGGGAAAGGACAGCAGTTCGTTGACCACCCGGCGGTACTTGCGGTAACAGGCCTGAATGAGCACGTTCCACGGGATGGTCCGCGACAGCTGGGCGGAGGACCAGGCGAGCGTCCCGGCGGCGAAGGCGTTGCTGTGCGGGAGCAGCGGGTTCGTCTTCGTGATGGCGTTCACCGTGTTTTCCACATCCAGGTAATCCCGGTACGTGGTGAGCAACTTCAGCAGCACCTCCTCATTCCCCGCAAACGTCAGGCAGGTCTCGTTGTTTTGCGTCTTGGCATTCAGCATCTGGCGGAACCGAAGCTGCGGCTCGTGTTCCTGGAGTTGCATTTTTCGCGAAGGAGGTGGACCATACTGCACATTGGTCAGCATCATCGTGGAAGCAGATCCAGATGAGTTCTTGTTGTTGGATAAACAATCCTGTTGTAGTCCCGCCCCGCCTTCCGCTCCCGCCGCACCAGCAAGACCCCCCGCTTCCGATGGATTCTGAGCCAACATCAAGCCGGTTGTACTACTAGTTGTGCTGCTTGTCAACCCGTAACTGGCGGAGAAGCGCTGCAACACCGAGAGTGCCGGGTGAAGCAGCTCGTTGTAGTCAAAATCGCGGTTGTTCCGCGCGGTCGTTGTAGTCACCACCGAGTACTCCGAGCACGCCGAGGTGTTGTTCATCGCGTTTCTGGAAGTTGTGCCGCCTGTGCTCGCGTTCATTAAACCATGCAATGGCGGGTGCGGGTCTTCAACAAGCTGCTGACCACCACCGCCGCTGCTCGTCTGGGGCCCTGGGTTCTGCGTTGTAGCAGGATTATTTTGACCACCGCGAACAAGATTCATCTGATTCGTACCAGCTTGTGTTACGTGGTTATGGCTTTGCCTGCGCAACTGTTGCAGAATCAAATTCCTTTCGTCGGTATTGTGCTGGTCCAGGTTATGATCCGAGCGGACTTCCAGACGCCGCAGGCTTTCGGGGGACAGGACCGCGCGTTGATTTTGGTTTGCGTCCTTGTCGTGTTTTATTTCTCCTGCTGTCGTGGTATCCTTTTGTCTTTCATCAGCATTTTTTGACTCCACGACGCCCGATGGCTCTGTCTGTTTTTTCCCATTCTCTTCCTTTTCAACAGCTGCCTCCGTCGCATGATGATGCCGTGAAGAAGTCGCCGGGAGAGAAAATTTATCGACAGCGGCTATTTGCATCTCTGCATTGGATGAGTTCCTTGCTTTCGTCACGGTTTTTGTACTGTCAATCGGCTCGTCGCAGTCTTCTGCTTGATGTACTTTGGAGGGGTCGCATGTGGAAGCTTGTTCGGCTCTAGTTGTTTCTTTTTCTCTTCCTGAAGCAGGAGCTGTTCCTCTGTCACCAGATGAAGCAGCGGCCACAAGGGGGTTAGCGGCACTGCTTCTATCCGTCGTCACAGCTTGATCTGCAGCTACTGCCACAACTTCATTCCCTTCTGCGTCAAAACGATCTTCCTTTTCTTGCCCAAGTCCTTGTCCCTCAGCCTTATTCTTGCTTTCACCTGCGGAATCATCGTGATTTCTCGTTCTTGTGGCGGGCGAGAAGGTCCATTCTGTCTGCGTCTATCAAAAGGAAAAATCCCCCCTCCCCATGTCGAAAACGAAACTTGTGTTGCTGTATTTGAGTACACGAACCACATCTCTCTTGCAGTAGACGACTGAAGGCCCATATCATGCCCATGGATGCGCAGAGGTTTTGGCCTAGGCACTTAGCATGGGGAACGTCTATGCCGGAGGACCAGCAGCATTACAAACCGCCTGCATAATGGGGCGGAGACTGTGGCGCTGCTTTCTTGCGTCACAGATGCGATTTGTGGTCACAAATCAGCATGACAAATTTTCTGAGGCGTTCCTTATCGATACGGGGAGGGGGATTTTTCCTCACGATAGCGTCCCCGCGGTGTTCAGCACCACGTCTACAGCTTCCGTTTGCGCACCGTGCTTGGACCCGGGGTGCTTTTCGTAATGGCCGGCGGTGCGCAAGAGAAACGTGGACGAACTGCAATCGGAGTAGGCGGAGGAATGTTGCTCTTGCAGCTTTGCAGACAGGCTCTTCGACGAAGAACGGCGCGATAACGAGGCTTTTTTACGTTGAGTACTCGACGAAGCAGTTGCAGCAGAATTACTAGGGATAAGTCTCCGGGGCGTGGTCGTCCTGGTTTTATTCCTGTCGCTCGCAACCTCTCGCGGCGTACTCCAGGCACTGCGAGAATGGAAACTGGTTTTCCCTTCGCTGGCGTTGGTTCGGGTCAGGATCGCGCGAGCCGGCAGGTCACGGCTGTGCGGGCGGGAACACGAACCGGTGCTTGCCATTAATCGTAGGTCGTTGTTTGCCTCGTGTCTTGTATCGTGAGTAGTTCTGTTGGCCAAATTGGCGGTCTGCTCCAGGTGTTTTTGAGTATCATAAGCTAGCACTTCCTGATCCGCATGATCTTCTTTCCCTGCTACACGCTTACGAGCAGAGCGCTGGTGCGGAGTGGTTAGTATGGACGTCGCGGCGCTAATATTGTAGTTCTGGGTCGTCGTTGTGTGATCATTTACAACTCGCGAAGATGCTGAAGCAGAAGATTTTCCGGCCTGTTCAGGATCATCTGCGTGATCGGATTGCTGTGGATGTATGGAGTTGTCTTCCCCCGCAGGTCGTACGTCTCCCTGTGTACTAGTACTCGAAACTTTTTCCGTTGCGGTGTTCCACGGGAAACTACTCAAATCGCCACTACCCGCGGTACCGCTTTTGTCTTCAAACCTTCCGGGAGCACGCGGCGGGCCAGCCGGCTGACCGGCCACTTCTATGTGGTTTGGCGTCTCCTGTTGCTGGTTCTTGCTGACCCCCGCGTTGGAAGCAGTTGTAGTAGAATCTGTGGCACTAGAAGAAGATGAGCCACCGCTCGCGTGCGCAGCTTCGTGTGAAGAGGCCGCCGACGCTGTAAACAGATCTACTTTCGTCGCGCAGCTCGCGGCCACAGGAATAGGCAAGTGGGGCTGTTTTACGCCGCTCCCCCCGCCCCCGCGCGGTCGCAGCGGCGGGGAGAAGAACGGAAAGCGCTGGCCGAGGGACCCCGGCTTCTGCAGTTCGTCCTGGAAAAATGCCTGCGCAGAGGGCGAATAATCCTCGTCGTCGTTTTTATCCTTCCGGAGTGCCCTTTCGCCGCCGTCCTCGAAGGACCGCGCAAGACCTTTGTAGTCCGCTATGTTGTCACCAAGGATTGCTCCTCCAGTGCCCGGCGTTACATGATCGTCTTGCCCTTCTTCTTCCGGATTTTTTTCTCCCCCTGCTCGCGTAGAAGTTGCAACAGGTCCGGCCAAGAACTGCCTTTGTTGTTCGGGGAAAAACGGAAAGCTTTCGTCCTCGTACAGATTGTTCGTGTTATGCAAACGGAAGGGGGTGTTCCCCGCGTGCTCCTTGTGGTCGGGGGGTTCCTGCGAGAACAAGTCTTCACTACCCGCGTCCCGGCCGTCGAAGCGCGCTGGCGTCGTGTCGTCGTGGAAAAAGCGGTTGTTCGGCCCTCCGGGCGTTGTGTACATGGACTGCGACTCATCCGCCTCATCCTCATCCGGGAGCAGAAAACGCGTATTCAGTTGCATCGTCACAACCTTGGTCGAAGGCGCGGCGCCGAAAGAACTGTGCACATCCGCGGAACCGTCGGAGATCAGGAACTTGGCGGAGGGCTCCTTCATCGAGGATATAATCGGCGGCGCGGGGTTGCTGGTAGTACTGGTCATTGCACCAGCCGGCATTATGTACGACTTTTTCATTGTGGTCACCGGCAAATTTTGGTCTGATATCGTAGGCAAGAACATCGCGGTGGCGGCGGTAGCTTCTCCGCCACCACCACTTCCGGGGAAGATTTGTTGACCGGTAGTCCCTCCTGTCACGTGAAGATGTTGCGGCTGATAATTCTTTACGTTACTCGAACCGTCGGACGAAGATTCCGCGTTGTCATTATCCCCTCGTGAGAACCTAGTTTTAGAAGCGTGGCTCGACGGTTCTTGTTCGACCGCATGCTGACTGGAGGAATCCGAGCTCGTATCGCAGTTGCGAAAATGCGCGTTTAGTGACATGCTCACGTGCTTCTTGTGGCTGGCGTCACTGCTGGAGGCGATAGACCCCCGGCTTTTGCGGGTTTTCACCACCGGCACCAGAAGCGGGAACGGCTGTTCTGATGCACGGGCGGCGACTGGTGCGCTTGTTCCTAGTTTTATCTGCCGGGCTTCTTCATCCACTGCGCTGCCAGTAGCTCTCAGAACAGAAGAAGTGGCCGCGCCTTGTACTCCTCCTGGAGTACCAACACTGCTATTCATCTGTTCTTTGGTTTGCAGCTCGACATCTACTTCGTCGTTTGTTCCTTCGCTCCTTCGATTCTTCAAAGTTTTCCCAATTAACGTGCTGTCTACCACGTGATCCGCACTGGACGGTGCGGCCATACCTGCATTCTTTGAGCTGTCCGGCGGGTCGAGATCCCGTGACAGCAGAATTCCGTGCTGCCCGGCTCGTCGTTGGTTGATCACAGGCACTGGTTGCGCCAAATTTCGCAAATTCTTCGCTGTCAGTCGCGTCAGGTCCGCGGGTTTTTTGCTTGTCGACGGTCCTTTCGCACTTATTTTTTTCATAGACGAGGTTGTCGTTTTGCTGTTGGGGTCGTTGTCAATACTTGTTCCCTTTAGAAGTGTACTAGAAGTCGCTTCTCGTCCCTGATTCGCAGCCAGCACAGTGGAGGTTTCTGTTTCTCTATCTTTAGTTTTTTTCATGGCACTCTTCTTGGACGCAGAGCAACTGCTGCTACTGCTCCGGCGCCGGGACGCTGCAGAGGCGGAACCAGACGGGTCCTGGTCAGGAAGATGCTGGCTCACTGGACTGTGCTTCGAGTTCGTGTGCATTTCGACATTTCTTTCGCCAGCATTTTTATTTCTTCTTTCCAGACTTTCTCTACTTTGTTCTTTTTCCTTGGAAGACGAAGCAACCACCTGATCCACGTTTTCCTGGCGCAACTTCGCGAGTAGCTTGTTGTTCCGCCAATCAAAAACCTCCATATCCTCGCTGTCTGAATTTAATTTCACTTCCTCTCGCAGTTGCGACGAGAACGCGGTCTGCTCCACAGCGGGGTCGTGTATCTGAGCAACGATGTCACCGCGTCTTGATGTTCCAGCCTGGTGGAGGTCTGCACTTCTCACAACCTCCGCTGGTCCTTCCTTGTAATTTGCACTAGTAGACTTCTCGTGTCCAGGTGTAGTTGGGTTCGCACTTGCAGGAGCGTTCCTACAACTGTTAGCCACGTGAACAAGATGAAGATGACCCTCGTCCTGTTTCGTTGCCACCGACGGTAGGTCTTGTTGCTGGTGAGAAACGACACCACTGTTGTTCTGTGCCTGCGCGTATCAAATGTAAAAATGTCTGGGTCTGGAAGAAACCAACTTGTCATGCTAGATCTGAATCATGTAAAAAATCTGTGTTGCATGATTACCAAAAGCTGTCCACTTTTGACATAATCGAGAGGCAGTTTCTCATGCAGGATAGGCATGATAGAACTAACAGAGAATCTGGCATGCTATGTCCTACATACCAGACCTCATGGGTCATGCAAAATATGCATGACAAACCTGGCATCTTCCAGACCCAGACATTTTTACATTTGATAGCGCAAGGAAAAGGCTGGTTTTCGTGGTAGTACGACTCGGCATATCCTGTGCAAAAGTATCGTACTCGTACTCGTAGTAATTGCGATCATGCATGACAAACATCCCTCTTTAGGTGAATCAGCATTACAAATTTCATTTCTCTTCTTGAAAAAACTTGTGATGCAATTTATACTAGTACGATACTTTTGCAATGCATACGGCACGCTATCCATGTCAGACTCATCCTCGCTGCTGGCGGCCATCCTGGATGCAGTGGAAACGCGTCTGGGTCTGAAAGGTGAGAGATGCAAGAAACGTCGGGTGCGCCGCGTTTCAAGTCGCACAAGAAAACTCTGTCACCCATGCACAGCAAAAGTCCGCCATTTATGCAGCAAAAGTTGCCTACTAATTCTTCTTGTTAAACCGAATAGAGAAGGGATTTTTATCCGTGCGGATTATCCATTGCGAAACATCATTCCCAAAACCTGTGATCCCAGGACTTGCAAACATGACAGGCCTTCCGTTCCACGTCATGCAAAAACAACATGACAAAAATCTGCCTTGTTCTTCCTCCAGACCCAAACCTATTTGCATGTGATATCCGGCTAGCCGCAACAATCGGGGTGGTCATCCAGCATGCGGACATAAAGGCGGATAACTCTAATGACGAGAAGAGTGCGTTTCCCTGTACAGCTCCTCCTGGATCGTGCGTATTGCCGTTTTCTTCTCGACCACGAAGCGCGTCAGCGTCGAATTTCTCGTCATGATGGGATGATTCTTGTAGTTCTACACCTGTATAATTCGTGAGCCCGCTCACCAAAATCTTGTCCCATGGTCCGTATTCGGCCAGGGCGATCGCGAGGTTCGTTTGTTGCAACTCGCACCGTTTGCGAAAGAAGGTCGGGTAGTCAAAGCCGCTTGGAACAGAAGCAGGGGTGGGTGAACCGCTTGCTATCCCAGCAGGAACTACAACTGCTGTGGAGTGGTCCGCGGTTGATGTAACCTCTACGCGCGTTGGCTCAGCGACACTTTTGGTTTCACTCTGGATGCCCACCTGTTTACCTTTCAAGTTAAGAAATTCTTCCTGATAGACCCATTCCCGACAGGCCGCCAGCCCGAGCCGGTTCAGGTCTTCGCACAGTTTGTCTTCATCGGCTGACTCATCCAAATCTTCGTCGAAAGGCTGCCTCTTCACCAGATACCGGTAATAAACGTGATCCGGCTGCTTGGTCACACAGTAGTTTTGGGGGCGCTGCTTCTTCGCACAAGTACCTGATGTCGTAGTAGTGTCGAGATCCTCTTTTCCTGCGGGCGCAGCAGAACCACGACCTCCTGCCGCCGGTTGTTCGCGACTGTTCACGCCGCAAGACGACCCAGCTGCACAACTGGCGGCAGAGCTACTTCCACTGCTCCTGTTCTCGGTGGTTGTCGCTGGAAATGAATTTTTATCCGCAAAGAATTCGCTTGGATTCCCAATCTGCTGCAACAGGAGGTCCGAAGCCGGCGGCCCGCCGCGGGGGCTGCTTTGGATTACGAGGTGCGTGTTGTTCGCGCTGGCGCTCTATGGATTGTAAAAGTGTCTGGGTCTGGAAGATTGCCAGGCTTGTCATGCACATTTTGCATGACTCCTGATGTCTGTGATGCATGCCCTAGCATCACAGATTTTGTGAGGGCTTGCTGATGCCTATACCGCATGACAAATGCTCTGTCCGTGTAGCAAAACTTGGACTCTCTTTGCAGCTCATGCAATACAGATTTTTTTCGAATCCAAAATTAGCATGACAAGTTGGATTCTTCCAGACCCAGACACTTTTGCAAAGCATACGCTCACGGCGTGGGCGGTTCTGGGTGTGGACGTCGTTGTGGCAGCACCGGCTTTATCAACCGCAAAAGTGTCTGGGTCTGGAAGGATGCGAACTTGTGATGCGTGTTGCGGATCATACAAAAATCTGTGTTGCGTGACTTGCAAAAGGTCCCCATTTCTGGCCATTCTGAGAGGGCATGTCTCATGCAGAATAGGCATCACCAAGGGGCTCCCGAACCTGTGATGCCAGGCCCTGCATTCCAGACTTGGCGGAGCTTGGAAAAACCGCATGACAAGTCTCGGAATCTTCCAGACCCAGACACTTTTGCAATGCATAGGCTTGTGATTGGACGACACGAGAAGAATTCGCCGGGAGATGCACCGAGGTCGTGGGAACAAGTTCCAACACGTCTTCATCGTCCAAGATCTTCTCGTGCGGCTCTTCTTCCTGCTCACTTGTGGGGCGCGAAGTGGTGTGCTCCAGAAGTGCTTCGTCGTTGCTCGCTACAGAACCGTGGTCCGCATCTACTTCCGGACTGTCGGTTTTTAGAGGCCTCATTCTTGTCGCGGGACTCGAACAAACTGCACAACCAGGAGCAGGCGAGGAATCTAATTCACGGTCGAGCACAACATCGGCACCTACGTCCTCAGTCGTGGTCCCATGGGTCGCCGCCGCAGCAGCAGCAGCTTCATCCTGGTCTTCGACGGGAATCCGCACCTCCATGATGACGAGGAGCGTGACGGGAATGCGAAAATGCTTGGAAATTTCCTGTTTCAACTGCTTCACCGTCGGCGCATGCTGCTCCAGGATCCAATTGTTTGAGGCGCTGCTCTTCAGTTGGTTCTTCAACGTGTTACTCACGAGCAGCAGGTCGTCGGAAGTTTTTGCCAGGTGGTCGCCGTCGTCGTGCACAGTCGTGGTCGTGGTTCTCTCGCCGATTTTCGTCGCAGGAAGATGTTGACCTTCATCATGTTCTTGGCCAGAAGAATTCTTGGCATCCGGATCTTTGAGGGAACAAGAAGATTCCAGATGCTTTGAGGGGTCTGCGTTCGGCTTTGGCGTGCTGCAGTTCAACATAATTTTACTGCTGTCCTCTCCGAAGCTCAACGTCGCAAGCGCACCAGTCGGATTGTGTGCCGTGTCGTCTTGATCTTTATTTGCGGCGGATACTAGAGATGGAAGCTGGCTACCAGCACTGTTCATCATTGCGCTTCCACCGAACAAGCCGTCCTGCACCATTTTTTGCAGCGCCAGCCTGGGCACCGACTCTACTTCGCGGGGAATATCACCAGGTTGTGGTGGTAGTTGTCTCGTCCCCGATGTTGAACTAGCCAGACCCCCGCCGCTGGACGCAGTGGAACGGGCCGAGCGGGGTAGATGCGGACCACCAGGTGCTGCAGAACCTCCAGCAGCTCCGCCCAGCGCCAACACGGCGCGCGGAGTGGATTTGGACGTGTTGATCAGGGTATTCCGACGCGAACTCTTGCGGATGATGCTCTTGCGACTGGAGTGTTTCGTGCCGCCCGTCGCGGAGGCCCCGCCCCCGACGCTGCGGGAATACACCCCCGACCGGCTGGACGCGGAACTGGCGGAGGACAAGTGGCCCGCCTCGTGCGGACCGGCGGAGGCGTGCTCGCTCGCTGTGGTCGACGGCTGGACGCGGTTGCGCCGGAAACCGGCATGATTATTTTGGTGCAGCTCGTCCCCGCCCGACGTGGTCGCGCTGGAGGACGCACTGTTGGACCGCTTGTTTAGTTGCAAGCGCGAGGACGCTATCAACTGCAAAAATGTCTGGGTCTGGAAGACTTGTGATGCAAGGGAGGGAATAGTGAGCTCACTGTAATGCGCCGCCAAGCATGACAAGTTTTTTTCATGGTTCTGAGTTGCGTATTCCGCATGAGAAACTGCGTTTTTGCATGACAGGGAGGAAGGGCTCTTTGCGGCCACGCAATACAGAGTTCAGACTCGTGCCAGATTAGCATGACAAGTCTCAGAATCTTCCAGACCCGGACATTTTTGCATTTGATAGACGTCGAGGGATTCCCCTTGTTCGAAGGAGAAATATTTGTATTGTTGCAGGTTTCCGATTGTGGAAGAAGGTGTCCGGCTCGGGTGGACGACGACAGTGCGGAAAGCTTCCACCGCCGCACCACCTCGCCGACTTCCACTTCTGGCACAGCGGGTGTGCGCTGGTCTACTAGGGGAACATCGTGCTCGATCGGAAGGTTTGTTGTTCCATCCGCCCGCTCAGCTGCTCCGCCGGTGCTTAGCAGCCTCGTTTGCGTGCCCATCGTCCTCATTTTGATGCTGCGAGGCTTCTTCTGCAGCAGTGCGGACGCGGAGGGCTTCTCTTTGGAGGTGGCCGCACTGCTGCTGTCCCGGCCGATTTTGAGCCAGGACCAGGACCGGTCCAGCGATTTCTGCTCCAAATTCAGAATTTTCGGGATGTGGATGGTCGTTTTTCCGTTCCACTTCTCCTTGCTCGTGGAGGACGAATTTCGATTTTTATGATCAGCAGCTACTCCCGTAATCATACCATTTTCAACAACACCGTCCTCGCCGTCCCGAGCAACACTTATTTCAGGGTCCTTACTAAGATGATCCGGGTCAGTACCATGCTGGCTGTGCTGCTGACTCGCCAACAGGGCAGCAGTATCAAATGTAAAAATGTCTGGGTCTGGAAGAATGCGCGATTTGTCATGCAGCTTTTTCATGACCCATGAGGTCTGTAATGCAGGACCTAAAATGACAGATTCTGCGCACTCTCTCTCATGCCTATCCTGCATGAGAAACTCCCTCCCGACTTGGCCAAAACTGGACGACTTTTGGTAATCATGCAACACAGATTTTTGTATGCTTCAGATTTAGCATCACAAGTTCCATTCTTCCAGACCCAGACATTTTTACAGTTGATAAGCAGACTTGTGCTGAATGAACATGTGCTTCGAGTACAGCATTTTCCCAATCGGCCCGCAGCTGTCGAGCGCCAGATCGCTTTCCTCCGTGCTGGTGGAGCTACTGCTCATACCGTCGCTGTGCCGGTGTTGAAGTAGATGCTTATCGTGCAGCTCCACATCGGAAAGAACTTCCTCCTCATCCGTACTCTCGCTGGACGCCGGCGAATCGTGGAGGTTCTTCAACAAGTTGAAATTCTGGAGTAAGTGGTCCTCGTCAGAAAAGTCCTCGTTGTCAGAAAAATCCCACTGCCGCACGAACGGATCGTCGTCGCGATTCCGGAGACAGCTGCCCCGTTCCGAAAGTAACGTCTTGCGGCTCACGACCGAAGATTCCCGCGTCCGCGAGTTCTGCTTCATCTTGCGGCTGCTGCTCGTCGCGCAGGACTTTGATTTTTGCAGCTGATTCTGGTCCGCCAAAGACGGCGGCCCTTGGCTGTGGGAGCCGCTGCCCGCAGAGGCGTTGCTTCGTACGCCTTTATTGCGCGCTCTCGTAATGTCACATCCTTTGCAAAAATGTCAAGCTCGTTCGTACTAGCTGCAGTCTTGCATGACATATCTGGCTGCTTCCTACCTCATTCAGCCTTACAAATTGAATTTTTCGTCATGCTGATAAAGTGTGGTGCCATGCAAAAATTACTACAACTCGTACGATAACGATACTTTTGCGATGGATATGTAGTCTTTCGAAGATGATGCTCCTGCCGCTGTGAACCCGGCGTTCGTGTTGTCTGAGAAGAAAAAGTCCTCGTAACGGCTGTGGATGTTTTGCACCGCACCCGGTGCCGTGTGCTGTAGGTTAGAAGCCGCGCCGCCGGTCGGGTGAAATAAACTCCCTCCTTCTGGGTCAGCGTTGTTGTAGTTTGCAGCGAGATGGAATGCGCCGTAGTTATTGTTCAACACTCCGGCCGAGGCAGTTGTGCTCGTCTGCACGACCGGGGTGGGAACGGCGATGAAGTAGGCACTGCCGCTCATATTCACAATCGGAACCCGGGCGTAGTGTCGGGGCTGCTTCTCGCGGGGCGTGTTGCTGGCCCGGGTGTTCACCGTGCCCCCATAAAAGGAAGTGGTGGAGGACATGGTGGCCGTTACTGTAGGAGCAAGAGCTCAAGTGTATAAAAATCAAAACCAACGAGAGATATGGCCACTTTGTTCTTCTCCAAGCGGCAGAGTAAAGAGTAGCTCGGGCGTTATTTCGAAATCGAATATCATCATATGTACACGAACTTCTATTTCAACGTAACTACAGACCGAGACCGGAAATGCGCTATGGAAAAGTTATGTCTTTATCACGTACATGCGCACGGAAATTTTGAGAAACTTTCAAGCCATATTTAACGAAACACCGGCTCATTTTCATACTCATAGACTTTTGCCGAGCAGAAGGGGGGACACACGTCAGACGTTGATCGTTTCGAAAAAAGGCAACGATCGAATATGCATGCTATGATATGATGGGTCCTGCAGAAGATAAATGTTTGTGTGTCATCTACTACCCATTCTTTATTGCATTTTGATTTTCATGTTAAGTAGGACAAAAAAAAATGTAGCAGATCAACACAAAAAGAAAAACTAGATCATCTGCTCCGTGCTAAACAGTGATGTGAATCCACATCATCCTTATTTGGTCTACCTCTGCACATCTACCCCTTTGCTTCGTGCCTGTTTAAAACAATCCAAATCCAATTTGGCTTGCTGATACGCAGCGCGTGCAGCTGCGCTCACTGAGTAGTTCCTCCTCTCTCGAGATTTTTAGAGAAAAACAGAACACAAAGAAACATTCTAAGGACCCTGCACACCATGCCATGACTTCGAGTTGTACCGAACCGAATAACGGGGCCGAGAATGTTTTCTTTCCAGGTGGCTGCTTCTGGAGATTCAGATTCTGACATGAGAGTAAAAGATAAAAGCACAATTGCATAGGATTTACACGACGTGCTGAATTCACGCCACACAGCAATGGATGTACAAAGAGAGAGCCCTACTAGAAAAGCGGAAATGAAGAAGTCTTCTCTTACCAGCCAACATTTTTTTCTTGCAGAAAATCAGTCTTGCTCTTTGATCTTATGTTGGTTTTCCATGTTGTCCTAAAAATTCCGAAAGCAGAATTATCTTTACTTCCTTCGACTCATAGAGCGAAGCATACTGTAGTATCAGATTGCCACCTATTGGATTCATTCAGCATTCATCTACGTCCTAAATCATATACATTGATGGGTGTTTCGTATTTAATTTGGTATAATTAGTGACATCCTCGCCGGCCACGAGAAAGAACAGGAATACTCATCACGAGCATTATTCATCGTACACATCGCCAAGGCCTATCTGAAAGTGTGGAAACTTTTCAATTTTGTTTTTTTCGCTACAGCAAGGTCAAGGTGGAGATTATTTGCACATTATTTTACTCAATACAACGTTTATCGACTTACACTTCTGGAAATAACAGCAGCTGGCGCTAGGACAGCACCAGTCGTCTCTTTGCTGCGGGTCGTGGAACCACCGAGGAGGTGTTACCATTGTTCCCACTGCCGTGCTGACCGCCAGGTGCAACTACCGCCGCGCCGCTGCTCCCGGCCGCACTCGACCCCCACTGCCGGACTTCCCCGCGCACCATGCGCACCTTGTCGTCGTGGTACAGGGGCGTCATCATGTTTTGGGCGCGGGGCCCCCGTGGCACCGGCGGCACCAGTGCGATGTCACCCGCGTGGTCTGGGGTGGTTTGCGTGGAGGCGTTTGCCGTGCTGAAGTGCTGGAGGACCGCGTCGAGAACTTTGCGCGTCTTCGGTTCGAGCCTCTTGTGCACCAGCTTCTCAAGCAAAAACCGGAAAAAGGACTGCCGTTGCTTGTTCGTCAGCTGCGTGAAGATGTGCTGACCCGGATCGATGATCTGCTGCTGCTGATTCGCTATGCAGTGCAAAAGCATCGCACTTGCACTGGTGATATTGCAGTCATGCATGACTCCCAATATGAATCAGCATTACAAATTCCATTTTTATTCTGCTTGCCAAAATTTGTGACGCAATTTGTACTAGTACGATACTTTTGCAATGCATATTCGCCAGCATGAACGGATTCTGATTGGCCGAAAACCCGGACAGGGCGAGCTCTTCGCGTTCGAAAAAGGTGTCCAGCGACCCCTGTTCGGTATAAGAAAGTACATATGGATTTTTGTTCTGCGCAACACAAACTACTACAAGTACGCATTCAATGATAGAGCAACATGCATGGTATCATGAATGAGAATGCTGCAGATGTTGATCGTCGAAAGCGAAACTCAAACTGCAACTACTTACTTACCTCTTTAGTCGCCGAGTCATCCATCGCCCGTTTCAGTTCGTAGAGCTCCAGGATGATCATTCTGGTTGCGTGGTCACTCAAATTCAGCACCGCCAGGTGGTCCCGGCGAAACCTTTTCAGCTCGTCGGTGGACTGCTCCAAGCGTCTCCGCAAGCTTTCGATTTCTGCCTGCAGTAGAGCCCGCTCGTCCCGTGGCAAATACGCCGGTTTATTATGGTTGCCACTCGAAGAAGATGAACTGTGCGACGTGGCTGCGCCGCCACTCCCATGCACCCCTTGATGCTCGGCGCCGTCTTGCTGATTCTTTGCGGCGTCTACTGGCGAACTGGCATTGGACTGCGGATCGCTCTGCTGCCGCGGGGAAGAGCCACTTGCTTGATCTTTCCTTGCCTGCTGCGAAGCCGCTGCATTATTGCCTGCACTAGTTTTACTATTTCCGTTGCTAGAAGTCGCTGCACTAGCGTTTGGGTTATTAAAGTAGCCTGGACCCTTTTTCGCCGCGGCGCCGGAAGGTTTGCTGGATGAAGTGGAAGATCCGCTTGGCTTGTTCCCGGAATTTACAAAATTGTTTCCGATCTTGTTACTCTGCAGCGTCACGGTCTCGGTTGCGTTCCGGGCACTGTTTTTTGCACTTCTGCTCGTTGCCTCTTTTTGATGTTATGCACTTTCGCAAAAGTTCTGCGTTTCGTACATCTTTATTTCTAGTAAGTACATCACTTGCTGCACAATACGCGTGATAGAGAACCTCTCCATTCTGCATGTAGGTGGGGCGAGCTTCAAGAGATAGAGTGAGATCGGCCAAGTCAAGCTGGAGCCAAAGCAGGGGGACGCAAGAATTGGATCCCGTGTCCTCTTATGCAACAGGACGCCGAGAGGTCCTTATTTAGTCGTAATTCCATTTCCATGTCCATACCACGCACACCCACGACTTTATTGTAGATTCATCAAACACCATATGCTATGGTGCACTAAAGATATACGACAAAGAACTTAGTCGTGCACTGGATCATATCAACGCGGTGTTGACGTGTGAGGCCTTGGGGGAGGCGAGGATCTCGGTGTTGGTAATGTTGACGGACATTTCCACTGTATTCGGGGAGGCAGATTGGTGCTTGTTAAGGTAATTCTGCTCGTCCTGCAGCTCGTCTACTTTCGCCTCCAGACCCTCGACCTGACAGTGGTGTGTGCAACGTGTTTGAAATGCGAAGAAACGCAGCACAATCTTTTGAAAGGTAAGCTGCATGGAAGCCTCCTTACATACTTTTCGAGTTGTACATCACTGCTGAAAAGATTTATCTGGTGATATGGAAGTAGAAAATCCAGGGTCGAAGAGACACGACTAACATACTCTTGTTCCATCCATTCTACGTATTTACTTCCTACACTGAATTTACTACTTACATGCTCCTGTGCTAGTACACCGCACGCACGTCGACCACCAACGAACCTCGCCTGCTCCTACTTTTGACGGCGGGCGGTGAGATCAAAAAGAACAAAACTACGTGCAAGTTCCTGACTTTTGATGTGAAGCAAGATCGTAACAAGTACCTTGGTGTTGAGTTTCTTGATCAATTTTTGGTAGACATGAGTTCGCTTGGCCAGCTCCTCCTCCAATTCTGTGTGCAGCTCCATGTTGCGCCGCAACTTGGCGTTTTCTTCGGATAAGTGCTTCGAGCGGGTCACGACTTTTTCCACCTCCTTCCGCTGAAACGCAAGCTCGCTGCTCATCTGCTCGTTCTCCATAATCGTGCGTTTCGTAATCACGTCCAGCTGCTCTTTGGTCTTCAGCCTGAAAAAAACAAGTCAAATGTTGATTGGCTTTTGACCAGACTGCTCCGTTTGTTTTGAGCGAGTAGAGGAATACATCTATGTAAGAAAAGTAATCGTAGTCGTACATCTACATGTAGCTCGAAGATGAAAAATCGACTAGATAATTCACTTGACTTTCTCATTTACATACATACATACGTCAAATTCAAGTCTGTTGCAACAGTTGGCACGGCACCTCAAGCTATCCCGGGTGTCTCGTATCCTTGCGAGCATATCCTTTTTCAACTGGTCTATTTCCATGGCCTTTTTTCGGTCCAACTGTGCCACCTCGTTGTCTCGCTGTTCGTCCTTTTCCTTCAGTTTTTGCTCCAGCTGCTCCAGGTTCTCTTGCATCATCTATGCATCGCAAATTTGTAGTGGAGGTCTGGTACAAGGTAGTCGCAACCAAGAAGTAGCCTTGCGCTGATTTTGCGCTCGTCACGGTAGCTAATATTTCGCCTGTACTACACTGTCTCTACGATGCCTGTACAGTTCTTGCGGAAAAGCACCTACTAGTACCGCTGTTGCGGGAGATGCGACAGCGCCACTTATTTACAAATTGCCTGCTTATTGTCTTGATCTTTCCTGCACACCATGAGCATGACCATGCTGCTTCTATCACCTCGTCCAGACCACCTAGACATTTTTGCATCTGATATCTCGTTGCGCTTTTTGATATAGGATTTCACGCCCTCCAGCGCCGTCTGGAGATCGTCGATCTGGAAATTCAGTTTTTATGAAACTTTAACTTTTCAGTGTGAAGTTTTTGCACTGCATGACACGGGATATGCACATGTAGTACACGGACATATCTCTAAAAGAATACGGATTGTGGAAAGAATTACCTTCGCCTGTGCTTCCTGCAGTTTCAGACTCCACATTTCGTCCTTCTCCACGGCCTCTTTGCGGATCTGCTCCTGGTTGTCGTCCATGGATCTGTGCAGCTGTTCGATGAGCATCTCGTACTTGTCGACCTTTCCATACTGTTCCTCCAAATTTGTCTTCAGCGTCTTCAGTATGTCGGCCTGTGTATCGCGCTGCGAGTAGTACTGCGACTTCAGGATTTCATTCTTTTTCTTCAGGTCCTTGAAGCTGGTTTCGTACAAATCGCCATGCTATCAAATGTAAAAATGTCTGGGTCTGGAAGGTTAGAAGTTGTCATGCTAAATCTGAATGATGCAAAAATCTGTGTTGCGTGAGTACCAAAAGCTGTCCGCTTTTGACCAAGTTGCGAGGGAGTTTCTCATGCAGGAAAGGCATAATAGAGACCTCACAAAATCTGTCATGCTGGGTCTCACATTCCAGACCTCATGGGTCATGGAAAACCTGTATCACAAGTCTTGCATTCTTCCAGACCCAGACATTTTTACATTTGATACATGCTATGCAGTGCAAATAGGGCTGGCTCTGGGAATAAGAAAATGAATTTGCATTCTTGATGCGACCCCATGAGGAAGAGACAGAACTTCATCAGTAGCTACCGAAGCATCATGAAAAAAATACCTTTATGGAGTGCACAGTGTGCTGCAACTAATAGTACTAGAAGCATGAAATGATGATTTCTGCCTTTATTGCATGACACACAAGGTTTGCATTCTACTTGTCCTGCAGACCCCGACACATTTGCAGTGCATACGCGCTCCGTCTGCTTGCGAACCTCGAACCGCATCTTGACCTCATCGTACACTTCGAGTGCGGTGAGGCTCTTGCCCCCGCTCTCCTTGTTGCCCCCCTTCTTCTTGCCCATCTTGCTGTTTTGTTGGTGGAAAAAATTACAGGCGAGGTCGAGGTCGAGGACGTACTTACTGCTGTTGCGACTGTTGACTCTGTTGATGGAGGAGTACTCAGCTCAGCGTCGGGCGTGCGACGAAGATCGCCGGGTTTGCGCGCTGCTTGGCTCAGATCAAACCGCCGTGGAAGAGGTTTTATTGAGACTATAGCTCGTCGGGGCAGGGGTTCAAATTTCGCACCGTGACCTCGCGTAAGTTCAGCAGGTAAGCCCCTGAGGATGACCTTTATTGCCTGAGATGAAAACGGGGCCTCTCCAGCCGCTTCTGTCGTCCTGGAGGTGATGACGTCGTTTCTTCCCAGTGTGTAACTACGCTCGACCACGCCTCCGCTTCAGCTTCCCGGGCGGCAAGGGACGAACTACAGTGTCTATGGTACCTAGAAGCCTCATCTTTTTGTACTACAACTTGGTAGAAGCTGTGCGCAGATCGGCTGGTCCTTATACTAGTAGAAGCGCTAGTAGATCTAGCAGTTTCTTTCATGAGATTTGAGTTTCAAGATAGACCACGACGATCATGACTACGTGTCTGTCCGGGGATCACGATTAAGATCTTGTAGCGCGAAAAAAACCCGAAAGATGTACCAGTACGACACGATTGCTGCTGCGAGAACTGCCACTCATGGTTCTCTCGTGACGCGACCTAATGCTGGGCGATCACCGGCTCGCTTGGTCGAAAACGATTGTTGACTCTTGAACGAAACGACTGCGAAGAAGACCGTGCTCATATTATCATGTTGAAACGACCGACAAATGCGACAAGAATCAAAGGAAGACGAGTCGTGGCGCTAAGGAAATGTTTCAGGAACCGAACACCAGCCGCTTTGCTAATAGTACCAAAAGATCATCTGCTCTACTTCACTTCCAAGAGCATCCATACTCCTCAAGACAGCAAACTTCGGCCATTTCTAAATTCATTCAGTGCTTGCTTTATCTAACAGCTAGTTAATCAAAGTCTTTCGTGCTGTATTTCGTGCAGCTCGAAGTGAATAAAGTCGTGACAACGATGAACTCGTTGCTCTCGTTTCGTTGCGCGAAACAGAAATAGGAGAATTTCCAATACAAAACTACCGCCGGCAAGAAGTTCTAGGAAAAAGCGGCCAAAAAAAGTTCACAACACATCATCGGCTCCGAGCTGATACAAAAAATCAGCACTTCGTTGAAAATAACGGAGTAGTAACGGCGCAACGACCCGCCACTTAGACTTACTTAGTTCAGAAAAGGGATAGCAACCTTTGAAACTGCGAGCGCGCGAAAAGCGCTGGAGTTCACTCAAGAAGTCGTGGAATTGAAGCTCATAATTGAAGGACAGAAACTTGGATCTAGTCCTGCAAAAGCCCAGACTCGTTCTTTGATATGGAAAGAAAAACCAGCTCACTATGTAGTTCACGACTTTTTGCGTTTGCTGCAAGAAAGCGAAAGTGTGCTCTGATGTCTGCACGAGTTCATTTTGGTTTTGCTAATCGGGTGCTGGCCTGTTCGATCATTGCAATAAATATTGATTTTATCCTTATCTTACAAACGCATACTAGCCAACAAAAATTGTATTCATTTTCAATTAATCAAGTCACAATGCCACGACCGTGGTATGTTATCTCCCCGCTTCTGGTCCCTCCACAAACACCTCCACGCCGCGAAGGCAAATCCAGGGTCCGGCACCGTGGAAACGGAAGCTCAAGGAGTGCAGTTGTCCGTCTTTGCGCAGAAGATGCCGTTTATCCTCACCTGCTTCTTCTGGCAGCTTGCCAACATTCTTATACTCCTTGGTCTCACGGTTAGGGCCGAAAGAGGAAGAGGCCTGCTCGTCCACGTCCTGCTCGAGAAAGAAGTCGTGCTCGGTCGTCGTCGTTTGTCCTCCGCCGGGTACAACTACCCCGAGAGAGGACTCGTCGACACCAACAGGAGATGTCGGCGAATCCTGTCTCGCACCAGGAGCAGTCACAGATTTTTCCCGATTCGGTATTTCTCCTTGCTCGTCCACAAAATGAAACGTTCCCAAGTGAAACAAGTCGTTCGCGATAAGGTGAAAGTGCGTCGGGTGAGGTAGCTGCGCGCCGCTCTTCGCGTCAGTCCACGTCCACCCCTGTACTTCGGTGTTTGATGTACCAGCACTATCGAGACTTCTACTTGATGTTCCTGTGTCAACGCGATCATCTTCCGCCCGACAGGTGCGCACACGAATTTTCCGTACGTCTGCGACTCTTGGCGTAGTAGACATAGAATGATCAAGCAGCCCAGCTCCAGAGGACGAGGAAACTTCGAATGGAGGAGCTGCAGCAGTACGACCTGGAGCGCCGCTCGGGGTTCTTTCGTCTTCGTCCTGCAAAGCCGGCGGGGGCACAGCAACTGCCATGGTCATCTGCGCGACCTTTCCCATTACGACCCAGTTCCGCTTTTCCCTCGCCAAAGCAATGAGTTGCTGGTAAGAGGAAAAGTGGTTGCTTGCTCGCGTCGAAAAGTACCAGCTGCCGAATTTCAGCAGGTAGGAAGACCAAAAGTCCTCACCTACCGCGGTTGAGGTGAGGTGGGAGTTCGTTCCCGAAGAGGTTCCACGTAGAATTTGGATGTTCAATGGAGTGAGGGCCAGGGGGTTGTTGTCGTGCGGGTGCGATTCAAAATTACGTCCACCTGGTGCTTCGCAGGAGGTCGTGATGCGTTGTACTTCCTCTCTGCGGGTTTTGGTGAGTTGGTTGCGCTTGTACATGGTCCTGTTGGCCGGCGAAGCAGGACCAGTGAGGTTATTTTGCACACGAATATGTATCTCCTCTTCATCCGTTCTTTGCGCGGCCGTGTTCGGTGCAGTAGAGGCGACAGCGTCGACTTCCGCGAGTGGAAGAAGATCATGATGATCTGTGTGCGTTTTGTTCTCATCAAGGGCTTCCTGTTCGTTCTCATTTTGATCGACCACAAGAACGCGACCTCGGAGAGATGCAGCTGTCGCTTGGTCAGTCTGCCGTTCGTTCGGATGGTGGTGATTTCTTTCCCAAGTCGTGACGTTCTCGTTTACGATGAAATTATCTGGCATGCGGGTCACGACCGGGGTCTCAGAAGAACAACAAGCAGAGGACTCCGGCTCGTCTAATACATCGGCGATCCCGGCGAGCTCGTCCCCGACGTGTTGCACAAGTTTTTCCGGCTCCGAACCTTGCTCCAAGTGGGGGCCACCACTTGTGGTGCCGTTTGCGTGGAAGAAGAAAACGTCGTTGTCGGAAGGGGCAGTGTCTGCATCTACTTCCGCCACGGAGTTGTTTTCGTACTCGTCCTGGTGCCCGTGGTCGGATAAAAACAGCATGTCTTCTTCAACGTCTGCTCCTAGTGGCAGCGATAAAAACTCCTCCTTGATTCCGTAGAACTTGAAGTCAACCAAGGTACTACGCTTTTTTCGTCGTACACGACGGAAACTTGATGCTGGTTTTGTAAGAAGATGACTTTGAAGATTTTTTTCGCCATTTTCATCCTCCTCGGTCTTTATTCCAGTAGACCAGGCGGGCGCAACCGCTCGCATTCTCTGCAGGAACTTCTCCTCCGGGGATTTCTTCTTCAACAAATCCCTGAAGAGGAGGAGATGTTGATCAGTTTCTTCTCCGTCGCGGCCCTCGAGGATTTCGTAAGACGGGAGTCCTCGTGCAGTGTCGTCGTCTTGGTGCATTACCGCCTTTTGTAGAAGTACTGCTGACTCTGCGGAGGTGGTTTTTTTCTGCCTCTTGGTCGCTCCCGAAACGACCTTGTCCATCGGCAAATGAAACGGAACGGAGGCGAAAAGCGGCTTCGGAGGAAAAACGGAGGTGGAGGTGTGGTTCATGTTACTATCAAAATGCTGTAGTTGCAGTGCCACGACCTCGTCCGAGACGAATGTAATGAGCGCTTCTTGGAAGAAGTTGTTCCGCATGTCAAGGGTTTTCACAACCGCATGAAGTTGAAGGTCAACGTCTACTTCCGGAAATAGTAGAGATGGTGCGGCGTGGAGGTCGTGGGAGAAAGCATGCTGCTCCTGCTGGTCCAACGCGTGTTCATCGAACCCGAGTTCTTGATGGTCTACTTCCTCTTCGTTCAGATGAAAATTGTATTTGCTTCCGCTTCCGCTGTCGCCTTCCTGCACGCCGACGCCGGCAAGGATTTTATTTACGGTCCTCGACCACAACTGCCCGGGAAATTCGTCGCCAAACCGCGGCTGCGCGTCGCGGATGTAGTTGTCCTCTCTGTGCAGGCTTGCGTCGTGCTCGAGCGTGAAGATTGTAGAAGTGCCGGACAAAAACAGCGAGTAGAGGGAGGGAACGCTGGTGAGCATCACATCTTTGACCAACGCAACTGGAGGAGCGGCCGTGGACGAGGGAAATAGTAGCAATAGAATCGCGACCGCGACAAAAAGAAAAACCAGAATGCACATCAAAAGCCGCCTCGTCCGCTCCTGCCACATTCTTTTCATCTCGAGACTTCGACAAGATGATGACAGTGAAACATCCCAGCCTTGCTGCGGGCCGCGGGACGCTTCTGCCCCTTGCTTCGTCCTGTCGTTCTTCTCCCGCAATAAAGGCGCGTAACTGTGGTTGTTGTACCGCCTCTCCCCCATTATCCGGACCTGCCGGGATAAGATTTTCCGCCAAATGGCAAAGCAACTCAGCGAGTTAACGTCGACGACTCGTTCTGGATCACAAAAAAGTAGATGTTGTTCTTCAACAGCAGGGGCCCGCAGGGTGTTTTTAGAAGTTGATGTAGTTCCCGCTCGTTTATTCAAATAATCGAAGTTCATCTGGTCGGTACTATCGGTCTTCATCTCCGCAGCCAGGTTGTGTTTTTCTTGCAGATAGAAGAATTCTACTTCGGCGCAGACCTTGTTCAAAAAGTTCCACTTTCTTCGGTAGTACTGCAGGGTGAGCAGTTTTGCGAGGTAGGTTTTCCACTTCTTAATCATTGCTGTGCCGGTATTTCTTTTCGAGAATTTTTTGAATATTGAAGAACCCGTTTTTGACGACGACGTTTCGTTCATACCTCGGAAGCAGGACGAGCTTTTCCTTGTAGCGCCTGTTGCTCCGTCCCCGTCGTCGTCCTGTTGTTCGACTTCACGGTCCCCCTCGCTGTCTGGATTGGAGGAACTATCCGAGTCCTCGTCAGTGAGAAGTCCTGCAGTTCCTAAATCACATGCTTCATCGTCTTCGTAGTCGAGAAGCATTTCTTCCAGAATTTCTGAGTCGGTTTCCACGTCGGAGTCCTCCTCGTCCTCGGAAGGGAAATCATCGGAATGGTCCTCCGAGCACGTCGAGCGATAGCCCGGGAAGGTAGGCCGCTGCACCATGCTGTCCTTCAGCGACTTGTTGCTGGGAACAAGAACCGGCAGTAGAGGCGTGGTAGTAATTGCCGAGTGTTGTAGTAGTGGCCCTCCAAGAACGGTCGTGTCGTTTTCTACTCCTTTCGGGCCAGCAAATCGGGCCACTGAGTCTTTCCTTTGATCTTTCGTATCTGTACCGGTTCTGGTAACAACAACTGTTTCATCTCCCGCAATCTTCATCATTTTCTCTTTTCTCTTAACCTCCGTCGCTTTTTTTGTTCCGAGCAGCCACGCGCCCCAGTTCTTCTGGTCTGTGCCATGTTCTACTTTTGGTACTGGCGCCGGCTTCCAGCTAGTACCGGTGTCATTGTCAGAAAAGTCGACGTGGGGGTTCAGGTCCACCGCATCTGGAGAAGGAGAAGTACTACTCGTCGTAAACACATCCAAGCGACGGGAAAGGCGCGGCTTCTGGAGTTGCGCCAGCGCATAGGCGCCCCAGGACTTCTTTGGATAGTGGTTGTACATCAGGATTTGCAGGTCTTCTTGTTTCATTTCTGACGAAGACGAGTCGTCCTCTGTGATAATATCGGCTTGTCCATGAATGCTGTTGTAGTCGCGACCTTCAATGTGGTCCTCGTGGTTGCGGACGTCGTCGTCCATATTTTTACTTCTAAGGAGATCTCCTTCTCCAAAACCGTTTTCCAACTTCGCATCACTTTTCACGTCTTCGCAGACTAGCTTTTCGACGTTCGCGTCGTGCCGGTCACCTTCTTTCCGGTTGCTGTTCTTCGTCTGTTGAAAAGGAAACATGTTTCCAAAGAGGGAGAAGAACCAAAATTTTGATGCAGGGGGGCTTTTTGTGGAGTTGCCTCGCTCCTCATCATCTTCGTGAAGTTGCAGATCATCTTCACTACAGCAAGAACTACTCCCGCGGCTGCTGACGTCATCCACATCTTCATCTTCTTTGTCACTGTCCTGTTCTTCATTACTATTGCTCGTTATTCCGGCATATCAAATGTAAAAGTCTCTGGGTCTCGAAGAATGCAACTCGTGATGCTGAATTTGGATTCCAAAAAATTAAAAAATCTGTATTGCATGAGCAGCAAAGAGAGTGCAATTTCTTCTACGCGGAGAGGGCATTTGTCATGCGCAATAGGCATCGCGAAGCCCTCAAAAAATCTGTGATGCTAGGGCATGCATCACAGACATCATAGCCCAGGCAAAACATGCACGACAAGTCTCAGAATCTTCCAGACCCAGACATTTTTACATTTGATACGGCACCAAGTAGTCTTTTTCCAGCTGCACCAAACGCCGTGAATCTACTTGCCCTCCTCTTCATCTTGTTCGATGCTGGGGAACCTGAACTAGTAGACATCTTGTTCCGGCTGATCATCTTCTTTTTCACGGTGGAAGTAGCTTCCAACCCAGCCCCCGAGAACCGACGCCGGCAAAAACTGGGGCTGCTGTGGTCACGCGGGCCAGCAGCGTGAAGAGGGTCGTGACCTGGAGATGCATGAGGGTCTCGGTCTTGTTGTTCTCGGTCCGCGATAGAATTACAAGAAGCGCTGGGAAGAAGATCAGCAGCAGCAGCTCCTGGCAAGTTGTTGGAGTTGCGGCCGAAGAGGGTTCTTTTGCCAGCTGCACTTCTAGGCGTTCTTTCACTAGTGAAAGTGTTCTTGTTTCTACCTGGGGACCACGAAAAAATGGAACCACTGCCCCCCGCGCCGGCAGAGTCCGCGGCTGGGGTCGGTTGTGGGGTGAGTTTCGCCGGGGTGGAGGTCGCTGTCATTTTGTTCGTTAGGCGCTGGAGCAATCCCGCTTGGAGGTGTCGAGGTTGTTCGTCTTCAGCATCTTCTAGTACTGGCGGGGCATTCATCTTCATCATCATGCGCGTCGTCCTTTGCCGTGCTTTGGAGTTCGGAGGAGGGGATACTTTCTGATTGTTGCGCCGGGTGCTGGAGGTGCTCTCGAAGAAGATGCGTAGTTCACGCGGTCATTGTTAGTCGAGAGCCTGAAACATCTGCAACAGTAGTTGTCGGCTACTCAACTTAGGCTTCATTGTACGTGACCGGAGAATTAGACTCTTTTTAGGGTGGTCTAGGGTATCAGTATCTTCTTCTATTTGCAAAAATTCAGTCAGAGGGGCTAAGCCGGCGTTTCTACTAAGTCCGTCGGTCTCCTGTTGATGACGATGAGCCGAGTGCCGCTGTGGTTCTAATTCTATGAAGATCGCGCCCGGAGGGCGATATTGGTAACCAAATGCGTGCGCGAAAATCTAACCAGCGCGAAAGCCTAACCAGCCGCGCGCCAAAGCGCGGCCCTGCGGGCCGCGCTTTGGCGCTATTTATTTTTGATTACAGTCCCACTCCTTCCTCTTCAAGCCCCCTGCGTGAGAAACTGGCCCCCTTGCCAGGAAGGTACCTGGGTCATCGGGGGCTTCCGGATTCGCATTCACCGCGGGCTCCACCACTTCCCCGCGGCCCTAAAGGGCCGCGGACAACTACTGTCGCCCGCGGCGGCCCGCAGGCTCCTGCGATAAGCATTGAAGGCGAAATCCGGTCTGCTATTTCGCAGCGGGGCATCCTTTCTGGCCCCCTGCATGACAAACTGGCCCCCTGGCCAAGAAGGTATGTGGAAAGCCGAATATCCGCGGACCCTTCCGGGCCACCAAAATCGGGCATTTCAGACGCGGCGGAGGTGCCGAATTTGTGCCCCCAACCCCTGGCAAGCAGGGATTTTGTGACATCCCTCCGCCCGCTTCTAGTGCGGTTTTTTTTTCCCAATCGCGATGGTACGGCGCAAGCGCGCGCCCGCCGGACCGCCCTTGGTGGCCAGTTTCTAAGCCTGCCGGGGGTTCTCGATTTCTTTTAATTTTCGCGTTTTTTTCTGGTTTCCAACTGGCCCGGGCGACCTGCACATTTTCACCGCCCGCATCTGACTGGCAATTTCGAAGCCTGCGGGGGGATTGCGCTTTTGCGCAATTTTTCATCTTTTTCTGGTTTTGAAGTGGCCCGGGCGACCTGCACATTTTCACCGCCCACATCCGACTGGCAGTGTTGAAGCCTGCGGAGGGATTGCGCTTTTGGGCAATTTTTCATCTTTTTCTGGTTTTCAAGTGGCCCGGGCGACCTGCACATTTTCACCGCCCACATCTCACTGGCAGTTTTGAAGCCTGCGGAGGGATTGCGCTTCTGCAAGATTTTTCTTCTTTTCCCATTTTCCAAGTGGCCCGGGTGATCTGCACAAAATCCGACGATTGCTTCCACCCACGTTATGAAGCAATTTTTTGTCATTTTTTTCCAACTTTTTTCACGTATCAAGCGGCCCAAGGCTTCCGGACAGGTCGCGGGCCTGCTTCTCCAACGCAGCTGGCCAGCGAGCGGAGCAAAAAACAGTCCGTCTTTTTTTCAGATATCAAGTGGGCCAAACCGCAAAAATGCTCTTTTTTCACCTTCTCCCGCTTGGTTTCTGCCGTTTTTGCGACATTTTTGACCTCCTGGCCATTTTCCCATCTGGTCCGTTTTTTTTCCCTTCTCCCGCTTCATTTCTGGCCATTTCCCTGACCTTCACGCCTCCCGGCGGTTGCCCTATATGGTAACGGCAACTGCCTTCGCGCTGCGTTTGCTAAGCAATATCGCAAGCGCGCAGAGCGCGCGCGCCGGCTTCGTGGGCCGGCGCGCGCTCTGCGCGCGCGCGCGCACGCATTTGGTTACCAGATGATGGCAACATCAATAAAAAAGATAAAACTTTTGCTTGTCAAAACGAAATGGCTTTTTTTTGTCTACTCCCGTCCCTCGCCACGAAAGCAAAAGAGGGCGCTTGTTTGCGATTTTTTGCTCTGTACAACACCGTATCTCTCTTCGCCTTCTTGGTTCACGATCACGACAAGGGTCTCTCTGTAGTATAATTTGTCCAAGTGAAGTGGCCGCGGCCATCAAAAAGGAGCCATTATCTGCACTTTGACTCCCAACATCCGACAAGAAACGCAAAAAAAAATTTCACGGGTAAAAGAAAAAAAACCGAAGAAGAACTCGATTATTTTTTCCCGTTACAAAACAAACCCTTGCAGCCGAGACGAGCACTGTCGTGTCTGTGCTTGTAGTTGTACTTGGTACGTGATGTCACCGCCAGGCGAGATTCTTTTTCTATCTCTTTCCAAATCAGGTACACAGAGACATGCATCAATGCATGGTCCTCCTTTACCTTTCCATGGTTGATGAGACGGAATAAAAGGTTTTTTGTGGTCACAATCATACAGAAAGAGATACTTGTACTGGCGCTATGTACTTACAATCATACAATGATACACATACTGGGCGGGCTTACTTTTACTACAACGATACAAATTTCGTAGCACAAAACGCACTGTGAAGTGGCTAACTTTCTAACAAGCTGATGCGAAATTGCTGCGAAAATGTTGGTAGAGAACATAATAAAAGAGATAGAAGTCGGTAACAAGATCGAGCTGAATATGTGTGGATTCTACCTGCGATCTTATTTGTTACAAACTCAAACAAGGTCATATTCCACCCTCTAATATCAAATCACGTGCACGTCATCAGCGCATTGAAGCTCCAATACGTGATCTGCCGAGACGGAATCTGAGGGCCAGGATGTAGTACTTGCCGCACCACTACCAGTTGCCTGTACTGCTTCGTGGTCCAGCTCTGCCTTCAATACGTCCAGCTCTGCCTTCGATACATTAGGCAGACGGATGCTCATGACATGGGAAAACCTCTCGGGGCTTTCTAGGTCGATCCAGAATTTGAGATCCAGCAACCTTTCAGGTTCAGGGGCAAGAGACGTCTCGAAGGAGAGTATCAATTTGCAAACGGGGGGGTTCCGGGCAGCTTCTCTCTCTTTCTCGTCTCTATCTTCATCCTTCGCAGGTGGATTTCCACGGCTGCACAGCCAAGTTGCAACCGCTCGAACCCGCTCCTCCTGTGCTTGGTGCGCGATTTTGTCCAGCTTACGTCGAAGAAGAGGAAGCAGTAGGGGACTAGCGTCATGATTGATGACGTCGTCAAAAGCGACATACCGTCGTGTGTCGACGAGGAGCTCTTTAACAGCCGATATCAAAGTGAAAAGTTCCTCACCGTCAGAAGCCGCGCAAGTAGTTTGCAATGCAAACTTTCCACACCACGGAATTTCTTTTTATTCGATGGATGCGACGCATTTATTGTTTATAAATTTGTTTCAGCCAGTGACGCAACTTCAGCATGACAGACATCGCTTATATACTGTCACACTGTGCATCAACTGCAACAGGAGACGACACTTTCACTAGCTGCCCTGGCCGGAACATTTCTCATGCTGATACATGCCAGCTGGCAAATGTTTTCCTTTAGAACTTTTGCAATGCAAACACTTCCACATTTGGGGATGGTAGCTGCACTTTTCACCATGATAAGAAATGCTCGCACTCTCCACTGCTCGCAGGCAGATCGCCGTGCTTTCGAGGGGCTTGCGCGGTTATTGCCATCGTGAGGTCGGTTGGTCGTGTCGTCGTCGCGTCGTACCGGCAAAGCACCCAAGAGCTCGTCAACTTTTCTCGGACTACTAGTTTTACTGAAAAAGTACTCCGCAACCGATCGCACCAGCGGCGAATCTTCTTCCAGTGTCCAGCCATTTTCTACTTGGGTGGGGGCGAATCCCAAAGAAAATAAGTGCCTGGGCCCGAAAGTCGTCGACGCGGTAAGAATTGCTTGCACAAAGTTCTCGCCGAGAAGCGTGGCCGGATACTCCCGCAGGTGCTCCTTCCGGAGCACTTGCTCCAGAAAAAGCGGAGTGTCACGAGAATTGTACGGCCATTGATTCTGCCAGCGTCTCTGCTCATTGAAGAAAATTTCGAGAGCCTCGGGCCCCCGAGAAGTTTCTTGTTCCGAGGACGGTTGCAATGCCCCTCCAAACCTCCTCTTCTTCCGAGGCGGCGACTTCGACGTCGATGTCAACCCCACCGCGCGGACCATGGCAAACAACGAACCACTCGCGGGGGCCCCGAAGTGCAGCAAGTTTCCGCCCCAGCAGGCCACGAGGACCAACAGGGAAGTAGTATGCGCAAACAGAAACATGGTTATCTTTGTATCTATACTTTTACTAAGTATGTGAGTGCGTTCTCCTTGTTTTTGGACTGCCAAGAGATTGTTCGGCCCACAGAGTGCTCGCGTTCGAAATCGCCTCGCGCTTTTATTTTGGAGCTTTATAATCACAATTGCTTTTTCCCGCTTGTAGAAGTTGTAGAAGACAATGGTACGAGTGGGTTTAAAGCACTACGAGGTGACTGACAGACTTGACGCTAGTTGTACAACAAGAGCGACTTGACAAACTGGCCGCTAGTACACCACGAGATGAGATTTGACTACAAACTTGTACTTTTGGATGCGAAATAGAATTAGAGTGTTGATTGCAAACGCTTTTTAGTAGAAGTACTACATATATGATAAGAAGTCTCGGCGTCCACTGTCGTGCCACGACACATCCAAGACTTTTTGTCTACCAAGTCTTAGAAGCGCGTGTACTTCGCAATGATTGAATCATCGTTCGATCGTTCCTCGACATACTCATTTGCCAGGAGCGGCAGACGACTTTCTTGACCGACTTTATTTTCCCAGTCATACAACATGGGTCGATCTTCCCGGCGGCGAATATTGAGTGAGGCATGCGTTGGGAGATTTGACACAAATTTGAACCTCGATGTTGGACGGAATGAATTTCAATTTTTGGAACAAAATGGCTGGATCTTTCTCTTCACCTTGAGATCATTCCGGGATCAATGTGTTCTTTTTCACTTTGACCGACATTGCTAGTAGGACGAACATGCTCTTCCATTAGACATTTCGTGGCAATTTCTTAGCAGCAAAGGCGTTTTTTCGCAACTGTTTTCGTTTTGCTTCGGAGAAACATCTTTCATCATTCTCTTCCAATTCGAAAAATATCTCGAACGAAAAGGAAAAAGAACGCGAAGCAAAAGAGACTGTGAAACCTACTTTCACCTTTACCAGGATGCTAAAATTCGAATTTGCTCCTGTTCGGAGATTCTTTTTGGTGGACAGTATCGGAGCACAAGAACTCGACGGACCCTCGGGAAGCCCGATTTCGATTTATCTGTAACTGTATTCCGTACTTAAATGATCTCTTCAAATAAAAGCACAAGGATTGCGCGGGCGATGAAACAACTGACAGCTGAAATAGAGTAGGCGTACGTTCTTGCGAATTTGTATCAAGACGGAGTGTGGTCGCGCTAGATGGGCTTTTTGAAAGTTCTCAAGATTCTGATGCGGGGAGACGATACGGACAATGAAATTTTTCATTTTTTCATTCATCTGTAACAGAAAATTTACAGGAACAGGAAAGAACAATCCTGCGACGAATACCTGTACATCGAGACAATCGAACGACAATTCCCTAGTAGAAGACAACAAGCCTGGTGCTACTAACTTAGTGTATTATATGTGCGTCGTGGTTTTCGTTTTTGTTCCCATTGTCAGGCTCTACTTCACGAGACTGCTTATTGTTGTTTTTTCGTTCTAAGTACTTCGCTTCTCTTCTCACTACAACTACACTTCCCCGGTCCCTTATTGGTCCTCACCGGAGGAGGAGACAATAGTGTGCGGCCGACCGGAGAAGGGCACGAGATTCTGGGCGGCCGCGGACCGGTGCATCTCCGTTCCTGGTAGAGCACCGGGGGTTGAGGAGGAAGCTAATCCACCTGCGAGAGCCGCGTTCTGCTGCGTTATGTCGAGACTGGTGTCGACGAGCGACCCACTGGCTGAGTGCATCCCCTATGCACTACAAATGTCCCCCTGCTCGGCAATTGGTGATCATGCGAGATGTTGCACTATTTCAGTACGCCGAAAAAGAAGATTTCCGTAATCCCAACGAAGACGATCTCCTGCAAAATAGGCATACGAAAGATAGGACCTGGCTTGCTGAATTAAGGGTCTGTGTTCTCAACGACCGAAAAATTATGTCGTGTCTTGCAAATGATCAACGGATGATGTTTCATGTGGTACTGTCCATGCAAGACAATTCTTTCAATTTTTGGCTTTGGGCGAGGGGACAGTTAGCTAGTATATCGCCCGCAATTCCTTCAAAAGCTGGTGGCTGTAATACACGCCGGCGAAGGAGCAGACCGGCGCTGCTAGCACCACCGCGGATGAAAGTGGACAACTCGACAACAACCCTAACAAGCATCTCCCCCTCATTTCAAGAACTCCATCACTAGTCAGTACAACGCCAAAAACAATACTAGCAAGACAAAGAAACTGTGTCAGGTTCTGCGCAGGACAATTTTTCAGCGGGCAGAACTTGTCAGTTCGTACTGCCAAGAATAAAAAGCCACAACAGCTGCACGAGTAGAGATGCATTTGCATTCTTTCGATTTTGCATTTATTGCCCCACAACTACGGGGGGCACCGACAGGCAGCACGGGAAGTCAGGTTTTCCACTTTCATACCGCGTGCACGAAATTCACGGCGAAGGGGTTGGTCAGGGACAGAAAAGCAAACTTCGAGAAGGCAATCTGTGGTGCGTTGGCAGTTTTTGATTTCCTTCAAACTCATTTACGACAACTCAAATCAAGACCGAGGAGGCCGAAGCAACAGCCCCCGAAGAATGAGCCTCCTTATTTAATCATATGATGTTGAAGAAAAGGAAAACACACCCACCTCATGAAATGAACGCACTTAATCACAACAGAACAACTAAAGAGGGGGTTGCCAGCATCACACGAGGCGCCCGTGAGAACCATCCACCGAGGAGTTCTAGTTGACATACCTTTTCCAGCAGACTGAGCGCCGCCACGGAGCCGTTGAGGAAAGACAGCACCGTGTAGGTCGGCAGCCACGCGATACCTTGAGGGGAGGTGGCGTAGCTTCCGCACGTCGCCATCACGCCGCCCAGAAACCCGCCCAACAAGTCACCCAGGAGGAGCTGGACCAGGGAGACCGTGCCTTGTGTCATAGTCAGGACGATCAAAGTCTTCTGGAACTTCGTCGCCCTGGGATCGATCCGATTTCAGGAAAATTCTATTGAAATCCAGCAGTAGAAACCTCCTTCAACATAAAAATAGCCAGCACTCTGTTGTAGTGCTCTATGCAGTTGCAGCAAGGATTCTGACACTCATCTTGCATTCATCCTAGAAGCTTTTGATTTTTGTGCAACATCAAGCCAAGTGACAAATATGACGCAAGACAAGCTCGTCAACTAGCTCAGCATATATCATTATTTTCAACGGAAAAAATTACTAAAATGAAAATCCAACACTTTCCTTCGAAAAAAATACCGATCGTTCAGCGGAAAAAAGTCGATGACGTTCTCGTAGGGCATGGAAAACGGCACGATGACGGGGATGCAGGCGAGGCTGAGGATCCCACCCGTGCTGTCTGCCTTCGCAGAGGCGTAGGCGTGCAGTGCAGCGGAGCCCTGCACCACGGCAACCTGTGCCACCTGTTCGCCGTCGGGACAGCAGTTTATGATCGCAGTTTCATGATCTTCCTCCTGCTCGTCCTCATCCTCTTCCTGAATCGCTGGCAGCCGCTGCAGCTTGTGCGCGGGGGGTGGTTTGTTATTCTTTAGGAGAGTAGTGATCTTCATCTTCGTGATGTTTTTGTCATTTTCTGTTCCAGGAGCGGTGACGGTGACCACACTTCCATCCGGAATGGGAGAAGAAGCTGTAGCTCTAGTTCTTCTCGCAGAGGAGGGAAAAGAAAGACTGTCTGCTCCTTTTCGACACGAAATCGCCAGCACACAGCTCGTGTCGCTGTGACCTGTCACCAAGGGAGATGGAGATGAAGAAGATTTTGTCCTTTTCGTCCCATCATCATCTTGCTCTTCCTCGCACTTCCGGTCTTGGTGTACCGCAACTGCACCTTCTAGACTGGTTGTCGCGTCGATCAGAAACGCCAAAGCCGCATCGCGGCAAGAACCCACCGGGGAAGATCGTTTCTTCTTGTTTTTCATCTTCGAGAAGTGTTGCAGAGTGCGACGACCAAAGCTATTTCCGCCCGCGTCATCGGCAATTGCGATTGCGACGGGTTCAGTTGTAGAAGAATTGCTGGCGTCCTCTTCTTCGTGATTCATAATTCCGCAGCGGGCATCTTTTTCACCGTCGTCAACGTCATCGCTTCCACAAGGTAATTTCATTTCCTTGCCCTGAGTAGAAGCAGATGCAGCAGCCCCAGCTGCCGTGTGTCTCATGCGCCGGATGATTCGACGCTTCTTGGCTGGTTTGTTTTCAGTTGTAGCTGGAGAAGGAGCTTCTTGGTTCATTTCTGGTGGAAGATGGTCATCAACTCGTCCATTCTCATTCGCTGGTGCAATGTTGAACAGGTTCAAGGCGGCTGTGAAGAGGGAGGACGAAGATGTTGCAGTAGAAGTAGGTGTCGCATTGGAAGTGAATGAAGCAGAACCACTAGTACCACTGCTCGCACTGTTGCAAGAGCAAGTTCCGGAAGTTGCCGACGTGGTCATTATTTGCTCGAAAGACGTTGAACAGAGGGCTCGTGGTTTCTTGGACTCATCATCATCGCACCCAGTTCTAGAAGTGGCAGCACGACCTGACACTGGAGCCTGACTAGTGGACGATGCTGCAGAGGTGGACTGCGAGTGCTGGGACGCCGCTTGTTGTACTTGCGTCATCATTCTCGTCGTTCAACTGTTTTCTATGGTTTCGGTTATTGATTTAAGTATATAGTCGAAACAAGAATGAGACGCATGTGCAGCTTGGAGGCAGGTGCAATTAGCACAATGAAAATGTACTACGCTCACACTGCCGAGGACGACGAGTGGACTCGAAGTTTAGAGCGAGTGGATGCAAGAATCGACGAACGATCTCTGGGCCACGGAAGTTGTCCTAGGTCGTTAAAGATCATATTGATAATAGAGACAGACGACGACGACAAAACGAGAACGACACGAAACACGGACATCGCTACTCTCGATAATCACTCCAAAGTAGAAGCAGAGAATTCATCTTCACGACGGCAACGAAACGAAAGTCGAATTCCGTCCTCTGGTCTCGTCATGCCGTTTTGTCGCGGAGTACCTGCATCAGCATCTGCATCTCTCTCGACGTCCAACCAGGTTTGACATCCGGGTCCGTCCTGGTAAATCATTTCAGTTGGACATCGACCACGGTGATGGAGTTTGCGATCGAGACAATGAATACGACAGCGGCATAAACGAAAACCACGACCAGGAATGTCGTAAGTAGTCTCATACGATTATACCCTCCAATCGCCCAATTTATCACCACTGTTGGCAGGCGTCAGATGAGAGGCCAAGACATCAGTGCGAACAAAAACACTAGAACAAGGATGCGGCTTCATGACAGAAGCACATTGACTTCAGTTCTTGCAACCATTTTTTGACCAAGCAGCTTTTTCGGCGTTACTCGAGAAAAAAATTGCCACCACGGCAGCACAAAGAAGTCCGCTGCGTCACGTCGAAATAGAAGCGTCGACTACCCTTGCATTTCTACTGCATTCATGGGGCGTATAGAAATAGTTGCATCACAACCGGCGATGAAGTTGTGTCTAACGATAAGTACAAAGCAAGTAGTGAAACTATGATTTCTGAATCACATCACTTGCCCCGTCTTCATCATCAGCACTTCCTCTTCTCTTGCGTGTCACTTCTGCAGTTTCCCGAGGTGTTTCACGAAGCCCTTCTTGATTCCGACTTTCTTGATCACTTCGCGCTCGTGCAGCATGTCGAACTCCTCCGTGGCGTCTTGCCCGGCGTAGTTCATGATGGGTTTCACGCCGCCAGGGTGGTTTGGCAGCCAGTTGGTGACGTCGTACACGTCGTCGCCGATAATCACCTATCCTGTGCAAAAGTATCGTGCTCGTACTAATTGCAGATGTGCATGACAAATCCAAGTTTCCACCTGAAATAGGATGACAAATTGCATTTTTGTTCTTCGGAAAATTTGTAATGCAATTTATACTAGTACGATACTTTCTTTTGCACAGGATATCACCCAGCAATCCGCCTGCTTGTTGTGCTTCCCGATCTCCGACGGGGTCAGTGCCATTCTTTGTGAGGCGAAAGGTTTGCTGATTTTCACAACGCCGAATCGTTCGCAGTAGCTGCAGAAGCAGAGGAGCAAAGAAATAAAGCTCTGAAGGAGCTCGAGGAAAATCCTTAACTGAAACTGTGTATCAATCTACAGTTGTTGCGCTAGCAGCAGGGGTAAAAAGCGAAAGAGCCCTGGCCCTGCTCGTGCTGCTAAATTTTCGATTAAACATAAACAGATAAATAGATTCGATTACGCCGCGAAGCGTTGTCGTCTACACGAACAGAAATTCTGTTACCACCGAATAGCCATCACCAAAGCCGACCAGATACAGTTACAGAATCAGAGAGGGGGCAGGAATAAGAAAACAGGAAGTAACTCAAAAGCTAGTGCAAGACCGAAGTAAAAGTCTGTTTCAATATCATCACGGCACGACCGAGGGGAATAGACTTGTTGAAGTGACCGAGAGCGAAAGCCTTTGAGTGCTGACATGACACGGCAATAGATACCGATGGGCTTCTTGTGTCAGGATCGACTTTTATTGCATACCGCAATCTGATCGATTCAGTGACCCCCTGAGCCTGGCGTGGTTCCAAACAGCACCCTCTTTTTTCTTTTATCAGCATGAGCTGTAACGACCCTCCTGGACGAGAAGCGCCGGGGCGGGTCGAGTCTGGTGGTCGTTAAATAAAGCGTTTTTTGTTCATCATACAGTACAGACATCATCTTCGAACTTTTCACTTCATTTTCCGTGAGGTAATTCTCACGAAAAGCATCCTTGTCCGCTCGCGATTGTTGGCTGAAGTAAAAATTTGTACTTCTTGGTTCATGATTTGATTTTCGTTCGCCAGCTAGGGAAAAATTATACACACTTTCACTTGCCGCGCTGCAGCTTCCGTTTGCAATATCTTCCTCAAGAAGCTCATTCAACTACAACAAAACGCAGTCGCAGCCTTCGTCTAGAACTTTGCCCACCTGGCGTAAACGAAAAATTCGTCGTCGTAATTCATCGAGTTGTTGTTTCCTTCGTACGGCTTGAAACACCGGTCATCCGCCTGCATTTTCTTCCGTGCCCGGCGCATCTTCGCATCGCACTCCTTCAGCGGCGGGAGGATGTGCACCCGGGTGGCGGACGCGGGCGCAGAGGATGTCGCGTCTTGATCTTGTTGTACTTCCTCCGTAGTTTCTTGTTGCTCAACATTTTGTGCTGCTCCCGAGGACGGGGTCTCTCGATCGGCTTGTTCCTCTTTCGCTCCGTCACTTGTTGATGTAGTTGTACCAGCTTCCTGTTCGTCCGACGGCGACAGGAATTGTTCCATTTTCACCTCGTAGACCCGCTGCAGCTGCGCCGCAAACTTCGCGAACTGCGCGTCCTCCCGGTTTTTCCGCTCCTTCGGGTTGGTCAGAAACGACGGCAGCAGTTTCATCTGCAGGAGGGGGCGGGTAGAAGTGTCCTCGTTCTTCGACGTATTTTTAGTACCTCCTGCTCCGGTTGTCGACGTTGTTCTGCCGGGCTTGTACTGGTTCACGAACCGCTTCCACAGGTCGGAATCGAAAAACGCCTGCTCCGGCTCTTCGAACTTTTTGTCCTCCTCGTTTGTGGTCTGGTCGTTGTTATTGTCACCGCCCGGAGATGCAGTGGGTGGCACGGAGAGGTTTTTCGCTTTTTGGTTCATCTCCACGATCTCTTTCCGGGTGTTCGGCAGCACCGTACCGAAAAAGAAAGTCAAGGGCCAGGATACGGCGTCGTACTCGTTGTACACGAAGGAGTTGTATCCAATGCAAATATGTCTGGGTCTGGATCTGGAAGGATGTTGCCAGATTATTTGTCATGCAGGTTTTCCATTACCCATGAGGCCTGAAATGCAGCACCTAGCATGGCAAATTCTGTGAGATGATCTCTATCATGCCTATCCTGCATGAGAAATTCTCTCTCAACGTGGTAAAAAAGGACGGCTGTTGCTAATCATGCTACGCAGAGTTTTTGCATGATTCAGATTCAGCATGACAAGTTGCAACCTTCCGGACCCAGACATATTTATTTGCAATGCGTAAGTTGCGCACCAGGGAGTGCTGTTTTTCGATGGTGTTCTCCGCCTCCAGCATGACGGTTTTCTGCACCAGCTTTTCCGGAATCCGGAAGCCCTTTTCGTTGTCCCACTTCCTGTAGATGTCCTATGGCATTCTCAACTGTTACATTCTCAACTGTTACACGAATTTGTAATGCAAGAATAGCAATAGTCAAAGGGGGGAGGCTGCACATTTAGCATTACAAATTTCGCACAGATTTAGGTACTCTTTGAATGTAACGTTTGAGAACCCCATATGTCCTGCTCGGAAATAAGGGTGGCCGGGTTCGACTCCGGGTTCAGCGGGTTGTAGTGAGTAGTAGTTCCGCCGGTCTTGTTCGGCGAGCCCGCTTTTTTCGGCGACCGGGAGTTGGACCGCTTTCGGGTGGTCGCGTTGTTTCGCGTGCCAAAGTATGCCTTGCAAATATAAATCCGGGTCTAGAAGAAGAAGAAACTTGTGATTACGCTCATTGAAGAATCACGACAGCGCCTCATTTGTCCGTCGGCCGCCAAGCACATAGATATTTGTACATATACAACTTCTTGAATTCCTAGGCGGTGATGTCCACTCTATTCCCCTATTTCTTAGTGCATATCAGAAAAATGTCGCTTTCGCAGCGTTGCATGACAAACGACCCTTGCATTCTTTCAACCCCAGAGATATTTCCTGCAATGCATACGAAGCACGTGCGGTTGCGCTTTAACAACCGGAAAAAGCGATCGTCCTCCGCCACCATGCCCTTGAGCAGAAGTTGACCCCCTTTGGTTGGACTGGATTCACCTCCTGTTGTTGTAGCATGATCTTCACGACCGGTCTTGGTCACAAAATTTTCGCCCCGGTGCACCGGATTATCATTTTCCTCAAAGCCCGTAGGAGTATTCGAACCCGTCTCCTCGCTCCCGTCCTCGTCCTCTTCGCTACTCGGCTCGGGGGTTTCCTCGTTCACATCCCGGAGCCACACGCTGTAGCCCGGAAAATGCGGGTTCTTGCCGAAAAACGTGTCCAGAACGCCCTCCAGGGTGTAGTAGCCACCAGCGCCTTCGTAGGCGTACAGCGCGGCACGGTAATCCTGAAAAGGTCCAGGGGTTACGATTTGATGTCGGTAGTCCGGTAGAAGGTCGCAGATGTTCGGTCGGTGGAAGTAGATAGTACTACTTTTACACAGTATATCAGATGCATCATTTTTTTTCTCAGCCTTCAGCCTGTAGTTGTACGCATGATCATGATGGTCACCTTGAACAAAATAAGCGTCTTGCAAGATTCATGAACATACCTTGGGCACCTTCACCACCTCCTCCCTTCGCTCGTCGAACAATTCCGTGACGTGCAGGGGCGGAATGCACGCCTTGGTCACGTTTTCCCCGCTGCGCCAGTCGTGCACGGTGCGGCACCGCTCGCACCAACCCTTGTAGGAATGCTGCTTCTTGCGGTGCAACCGGCTCGGCGAGAGCGGCTCCTGCGTGAACTGCTGCTGCGCTTTCCTTGTAGAGATCAACATGATGTTGATGTGTACAATTTGGCTCTTCCTCTTGCAACACAATGAGTACCCTGCTTGCTAGTCTAGTGATTCTAGAACTGCTCCTCGAGAATTTTCTTTATAGGAACGAGAGCTCTTGACCATTCATTTTCATCAGAGTAACTATGACATTTGGTGTAGTCGTCAGTGAAGGCCCAGCAAGATCGGAACGATCCGCCGAACCAATCCGACAGACTAAGAAACTTTCATCATGATAATTCTCATTTTCATCGACGTAAAACACATCAAGAAGCCATATAAATTGAGGTTTTTTGCAAGAGCCCCGACGAGCAAACTCCCTCTTCCTCGTTCTGTCTTTTGCTCCCTCTGTCTGGTTCATTCTTGAAGACGAGAACACAGCTGCCATAATTTTTCGAAAATATCTTCTCTCGTACGTGCACGCCTCTGGATCTCGAATCATCGAAACATGCAGGACGTCGAAGAAACCCTTTAGTGATACCAAACAGCGAAATAAGGGTTGAACGAGGGAACAAGTGGTTGTAAAAAGCTCTGCTAATGCGACTTGACGAAGACGAGAAATGGGAATGGCAACAGCAACACATCTTCATACTGCTGTAGAAGTAAATGCTTGTTGTCTTTTCAATAAACTTCGATCATGGACCGCAGTGGCCAGAAGTCGCGGGCTGTAGGTAAAAAAAATGGTGCAACATAAACACGTTTTATTTTCTTTTCTATGACCCACCATAGTGGACGCGGCAATCGCGTCGACCCGTTGTAATCTCGTCGTGTGCAGCAGCATGGCAGCTGTTCTTCTGCATAATACAGGAGGCTGACGATCTTTTTGGTGATCTTTGCATCATCTCCTCGTTGATTATATCCTTATCGATTTGTGCGGGCGCGGCAATCTCTTCCAACAAGATCTCCAGTCCCAACTGCATCTCTTCCAACATCGCGTCGGAGAATTTTATCTCCTCTGCGTCGTACGCTTGTAGAATCTTCAAGAGCATCTTCACGGTCAACACGTTACTGGTGCACGCCACCGTGAAATCGTCCAGATTCAACACGGCGTGATACCAGTCCGGGGGAATGTACACCGTGTCGCCGGGATTTTGCACGACTTCGTACAGCTCGACCGTTTTATCCTCCTTAATTTTCGGATACGCTTCCGCCCACCAGTCGAACGGAGCGCTGTCGTTGTAACGGGAAGGTTTTTTCTTCTGATAGGAGTTACAACTTTCAGTTTCATCCGTAGTGCTACTGCAGCTCCTGCTGTTCGTCGACGGAATTCTACTACGAGCACCGTCGTCAACGTCAGCTTGTGTAGAAGTTGATGTCTTGCTCGAAACACTCTGCAGCCGCATCTCTTTTTCCCCCGTCCCCGGTTTGAAAAACACCCACCGTTTTCGGCCGGCGAGCAGTAAATTCCACGCCGCGGTGTGCAGCGGATCTTGGTGGACATTCGCGCCGGTTCGCTTCCCCCCGAGGATGACGAACCGGTGGCAGGAGTAGGGAAAGAATTCGTGGCGGAGCCTGCTCGTCAGCTCAAACACGTCCTGGATGCCGAAGAGTTCCGGTAGCGGTTGGAAATCCTGGAGGAGAAACTCCCGGTTCTCCTGGTCGATTTTCGCGCCGTGGTTGTTCTTGGTAAACACGGTCGTGTCGAAGTCGCGCTCGAAGGGGTACCAGGGAAAATCCGCTTGCGTCTCGCGTGCGTAGCTGATGTAGTCCTTGATCGGAATGCGGACCTTGTAGGGTTTCACGTTGCTATCTGGCGGGAAGAATTCCGTGATGTGGATCGGTGTGTCGCCGTGGTGCTTTTGGAATTCTTCGGGTGTTTTCCACTTGTCTTTGCAGGACCAATTTTCCCACTCCGCCATGTATTTCAGGATACACGGGGTGGCAGCGTAGGCGCCGGACGAGGTTTTTGCCGGGGGTCGTGGGCTGCGCCGTCGTCGTCGAGGAGAGTCTGAGTCGCAGCGGAGCGGCGCGGTTGTTGTATCTTCAGAACGGCCTGCTGGTGCAGTGGGTTCGTCTTGTGATGAAGATGATGGTGTGCTCGTGTCCTGGTTCTGCTCGAACTCAAATCTGTACGCGGGCGAAAAAATTTCGTCCTCCCTTCGTTGCCCCTTTTCGCTGCTCTCGACGTCATTCCGCTGCGGGCCGGAGGTGCGATATAATGATCGGGCCAGCATATATCGTATTCTTGCCCGAGTGGCTGTTCTAGCGGCCTCCCCATTTTCGGTATCTTCACCTTCGTCCTGCCGCTCGTCCTTCACGTCTTCTTGTCCGCCTGCTGGTGGGGCCCTCGCAGAGGAAGAAGTTGCAGCTGCTGCCTTTCGTCTCCTCCGCAGCAACTCCTTTTTAACACATTCCAATGCTTCCCGAACGGTTTTTTCGAAGGCAGTCCTGTGCTGCACGAACTGGCAGTTGCTGCCTGCTTTATCAGCTTCTTTTGCCCCATTGCCATTCTCGCCTGGAGATTGTCTACTCGCGACCAGCTCTTCATACTGAATTTCTCTCAACTGTAAGTCTTCCCGAATGTGATTTAATACTCCACGACCGCGGCACTCTGCCGGGCTCATAGAACTGTCAACATCTTCGCAGATTGATGTTTTGAAGCACAAGAACTCCTTTTCCCGTTTGTAGTACTGTTTTTTCACCGAGTTGTGTTTTTCATCGTTCAACATGAACTCCTTCTCCCACGTGAAAAGCTTTTCTGAGCGGGTCTTCAAATCATTTTCGTGCAGCCGCCGGTCGTCCTCCGAATCGGTGAAATCGTCGAAACTCGATGGACAGCTGTCGGAGTCGGAGGCGACAGAGTTGCGATCGGAACTTTCACCGGGAGCCATGTTTATTGTTCTAATGTACAACAGGCTCTTAGATATGTTAGACGAGGGAGGGGACACACTATCTTTCTACTTCAGCAACTACTTCTTAGCATCGTCGATGAAGTGCAAGAATTATGAAATGGTGCCTATAATGCGGTAAACATATTCTTTTTTTTGCGCGAGCTTGCCAACGCCCCAGTGCTACTTCACCTGGTGGCAAGAAGTTAATGAAAAGCATTTACAGAAGATGGAGCACACAGACATGCGCTATGTACCAGGATTGGTAGCAGATCAACAAGAGATCTCGCGCCACGACCTCAATCACAGCCGAGGACCGCCACGGGTTTTGATTTTCAGTTCGAAGACCTGAGTTCGGGAACAACAACCGTCTTCATGATCTTGTTGATGCTTAGTGGCACTGCTGAAGATCCTCACATCACGATGGATATTTTTGGATCTAACTACAGACCAAGCGTGGAGATCGACATCTGCAAGATCTGTGTCCTCAGACACAAGCCGAGCGCGTTGTTCGTGGAACTTGTCTTTCAGCGACCTCAACAATCCCAGAACAAGGATTGCACCTTCATTGAGAACGTCACCGGTGCTGCTGTCGAAGCACAGGAGCGACAAAGACACGTGTTGTCATTTGACGCAGTATGTTAACCACATCACATAACGCATGTTCCTCTCCTGTAACTTTGCATGTAAAATCAGAATGATAATCGTAAAGTTCGCGTTCAAGATAGGAGCGCAAGCGCCCTGGTTCATCTACTTCTCGCACCGCCAGCACACAGATGGAGCCAAGATGAAGCTTTATCTTTTCTTCAGCAATTTCAGTGCTTGGTTCTTTTTCTCTTTCCTGTTTACCCGTTTGGTCTTGTTCTTCTTCACCCGTCTTGCCGCGGCGATCTCCGGTTTCGCCACCTTCGAGGCGGTTTGCGCGAGTTTTCGCTTGAACTTGCGGTCCTGCACGAGTTTTTGCACCTTTTGCTTCTCCTGCTCGAACAGGTGTTTCAGGTTGGGATCCAACTCCCCCGCGTCGGCGAACCTCTTGGTAATCATCTCCATCGCCTCACTCGCCCAGGTACCCAGCGTGAATTTCACACCATTCTCCGACTGACGCGCCAGTTCCTCCATCGTCACCGCAGCTTTCAGTTGCTGGTCCTGGTCGGGAGCGGTCACTTTGCCCGGGCGACGGACGCCTGTGTGTGGATTTTCATCGAGGATTGTTGGAAGTGGTTACGTAATTTTGATTTATTTTGCGCCTATGATTTTCATCTAGATGCAAGTAGCATCTGTTTCAGGCAGTTCTAGCTGCACTACAACGGGTGAAACGAATACGAAAAGCAGGCGAAAAAAACGCGAAGTCTAGCGCTAAGTAGGTGCTCGATTCTTGGCCTTGCCCGAACCTCCCGAAGAGGAGCAAGGAGAATAAAGCTACGTACGAAGATGATAGAAAAAAAAATAAAAAAGCGAACGCATGAAAAATAAACTAAGTCACTTTCAGTACCTCCACTCGTCCCGATTTGACTGCTGATTTGCAGCAGATCCTGTTCGCAGAACTTGCTCACCCGCATCAAGAGGCTCAAAATCGCGTGCAAAACCTTCTTATCGGCCAACACGGTTTCTAGATCCGCCATGGCGCTCAGGTGTCCGAAGAACCGGAGGATTGCCGTGAGACGGAAGGCGTGCTTTCGGGTCTCTTTGAGAAAGCACCTTGCCTTGTAGGAGAAGTGGCTGCAGGTCTTCTGGATGAGGAGGAGGAAGGTCGGGGAAGTTGTACCAGTAGTATGCGTAGCGAGATGTCGTTCTTTATTTCTTTGCGTGCTGCAAGCAAGATCCTCCTCGTCCCGATGGTACAATTGCTCCAACTTCGCTGGTGCATCTTCTCCATTATTGTTCTGTCGTAGCAGCAGGCAGTTCGCGACGTCGACGTCGTCGTCTTCTAAGAGCTGGGCTTCCAAATCTTCGTCCTGATCGACGTCAGATTCGTTTTCGTCGAAATCGGAGCTAGACTTGTTGTCTGCTGCAATTTCTGCGTCCGCCCCTTCGGCATCCAGATCCCGTGCAGTGTCTCTATTTTCGTTGGTGGCTTGATCTTCTACCACTGCGTCCTCCGCAGGAACAAGCCCTTGCTCGTGTTCCACTTCCATATCATCATCCAGCATATCATCCTCAAGGGCGGCTGCATCGTCATCGTTGGCAGCCGTTGCACCATCCACTGCTTCTTCACCATCAATATCTTCCCCTTCCGGTTTCGCATTTTTGCTGTTTCCAAGCAACCGCTGATACTGTGTCTCCCACGCCGTCCCATTCTTCTGCATGCAGAATACCACGCGAATCAGCGCTTTGACCGCCACCAAAGTAGAATTGAAGTTTTGCTCCAAATTTTGGTCCAGCATCAGTTTCGAAATCGCGTCTTTCCAACTCAGAAGCGTGGAGGAATCAATATCGTGATTCTGCTCGTGCAAGTCCAAATGCTCCTGCAAGAACACTTCACTGCTTCCGATCAACCGCAGCGCACAGGCCGAAATCCACGGCTTCACTTCCGGATCGACCTCGAGGAGAAGTTGCTTCCGAGCAGCGTGCTGTTGTTGCTCTACAGCGGTGACGGTTCCCATTTTCTCGTCGGCATCATCATCACACAACACCTCGTCCGAAATGGAAATTGCCTCTGGGGAGAGCAACGTCGCGGAGAGCTCCCTGTAGTAGAGCGAATTGGTTTCGTCCTGCGCGGCCACCAGGGAGAGGAACGTGACGGGATTTATTAGGGTTTTTTCCTCGCTATTAGAGGCCGATGCCCCCGACATATTAGCACTATACGAATTCGCCACCAGCTCCTGGAACCCAAGCGCGACACTGTACATGATTTTGGACTTTGTGCGGAAATTCGTTGCCGAAGTCGCGTTGTGGGACAGAAAGGTCGCGAGATTTCGCAACGATAACAGAGATACCCGCTGCTCTTCCGACAGCTTGTTCTTCTTGTTCCTTCGTCCAGTGCTGTCAATATTAACAGCACTACCAGCCGCGACTACTCTGAACGCGCCGATCACTTCGGCAAACGCGGGGATGATCTTCGGAATCGTGTTGACATACTCCAACATCAAATCTAGCAATTGCTTCCGGTTGTCCGCGCCGATTCTTTTCACCAGATTTTGCACGAAAAACTTCAGCATCTCCCGCAGTTTTACGTCTTTTTCCGTGTTCAATCTTGCCGTGGCGGTGAGGAAGAAGAGGGTCGAGAATTCGTGCAACAAATGCTCAGGGAGTTGCTGCGTTAAGCTGTTCAAACAATTCAACGACGACTTCGTACCGGCAAGCTTGCTGTTTAAGAAGTCGGAGCTGTTAAGACCACTCGACGTCGACGTCCCGGCACTGACGGCCGCGACGAGTTTTTGAATGCGTTTGTTCAGCCCGACCTTCTCGTGCTCGAAATCCAGTAAGAAGTCGACGTACAATTGCCCCGCGAGCTGCGCCGTCAGGTCCTGGTTGGAGCCGTCGGACACGACCCCGTTGCACACAATCTCCCCGATGCTGTCCAAAAGCTGGTACACGATGGGGAGCTGTTTCAAGCCGGCGGTGGTTCGTTTGAGCACGCGTTTCAAAAGTTGCAGCGCGGAAGACCGGAGCTTCGCCTGGTCCAGACTCGCGGAAATCTGGGCGATGAGCGCCTCGAAAAAGTAGCTGTGGGCTGTAGTGTCGTTGTGTTTGTTCTTCGACGAGCTGGAGTTTTTGCCCTGCGCGGGGGCGGCCCCAAACTGGTTTTGCTTCTGCTTTCGCTTGCTCGACGTTGCGCTGCTATTTGAGGAGAGCAAATCAGTAGAAGAACCAGCATAACACGTCGAACTGTTTGTTCTCTCGCTCAAGTCCTCAATCGCGCTAAAGGTCGCCAACCTCCGCCTTTTGGCGGCCTGCAGCTGCTCTTCGTCCAGGTAGCTGTCGTCTAGAAGCGCCTCGAGAAACCACTTGGCGGAACGGTTATCAAATGTAAAAGTGTCGGGGTCTGGAAGGATGCAAGGTTGTCATGCATATTTTGTATGATGATTGATGCCTCTAATGCATGATCTAGCAACACAGATTTTTAGAGGGCTTCCTAATGCCTATTCTGCATCAGAAATGCCCTCTTCGCGTAACACAAACTGGAGTCCCGTTGCCGGTCATGCAATACAGATTTTTTTAGAATCGAAAGACAGCATTGCAAGTTGCAATCTTCCAGACCCAGACATTTTTGCTATGCATACCGGTTCTTCGCGAGCAACGCAGATAGCAATTGCGTGACGCAGGGAATCACGTCGATGAAGTGGGCGCGCTTCTTGCGCAACCGGATCGACAGTTCCTGCTGCACGCCGGCGTGCTGGAAGGTCTTCAGGATTTGGTTCGCGATGATTTTCGCGTACTTGTCGTCAAAGTCGTCGTCCAAATACGGCTGCAGTTTGTGCAGACACTTCGCGGACGCGTGAAACAGACTGTCCTGCTTGCCGGTAAAGCAGGTGTGGATCAGATGCGGAAGGATGTTGTCCTTCAAAAGCTGGCGGCAAACGGTTCTTGTTTTTTGGTGTCGCTGATGATCTCGTTCAGTAGACTGGTGTAGTTGTAGTTCTTCTTCATCACCATCAACGTCCGTTATTTGCGATGTAGTAGCGATTGCACCGCCAGCTGCCAAACTGAGCATTTCCCCGCCGGCCGTCGTTTTCAGCAAGTGCGTCAGCAACCGCAGCCCCGTGGCGCCAAAAATTTCGGCCCGCGCCGTGGCGTCGAAGCCCTTGCGACTCTTGGCGATCTTCCACTCCTGGTTGCCTCGGGCCGCGCCCGGCTGCACAGAGTAGCAGTTCTCCTTTTTGAAATTGAACAAGGTCGACACCGTTGCTTGTTCCTGGTCGGCCGGGGCTAAAGAGAGATCATCGCCGTTGGTCAGCATCGCAGTGGAGCTAGCGCCTGTTCTTCCGCCGGTTGTAGACGAAAGAGCACGGTTAGTGGAATTACTATTCTGCATCAGCTCGCTGCAGCGGGACAGGCTCGTGCCACACACTTCCAACTGGTGCTGCACCGTAAATTGTTTGTTTTTCATCAGGCCCTGCACACTAGCGTACAGCAGTTCCTTGACCCGGTTTAAGTACTTCACCGAATACGCGCGGCCGATTGACATCTCCTGCACACCGAGGTTCCGGTCCGCGAAGGTTTCTGCGGAGAGTAACTTGTACAACTCTTCGACGACTTCTTCCAGGCAGTTCTCGACCGTCGCAACCGAGCAAATCAGCTTCAGAATCTCCGGGCCCTTGACCTTCTTCGCTTCCAGGCACAGATTTTTCCGGTGCGCACTCTCCACGTCGTGCTGGCCCTCGTCGCCGTTGTCAGGTTCCGCCATGCGGTTGAGTTCCTCAGTGATCAAGGATCGCAACTCCGGGAGGCACGCGTCCAGAGGGTGATGCTCAGCCCTCGCTTCGTGTTCGTCGTCATTCTTGTTGCCGTGAAGATAAAACGCTTCCACCACGGCGTGCAGCGCGTTGTGCACGGAAAAAACCAACACCGCCTGTTGATACCCGCCTTTATTCAAGCAGGTTTGCAGTTGTTGCACGATGTAGAGGAACCAGCTCGGTCCCAGGGCCAAACAGCACTGCTGCAGCGCGGACCGGGCGGCGATCCGGAGATCCAACTGCCGGGATCGCAAGTTGTCGCACAGCTGCCGGATGAGTCGCGGCAGCTCCTCGTAAAAGTCCCGCTCTGCCAGATAGGGAAGTACGTGCATCAAACACCCCACAACCGGGAGTCGAACCTGGCCGAGCGGCGGGTGCTTACTGCCGGCCGAGGATGCGTTCTTTCCTCCTGCCGCGCTGGTGCCCGAGTTGTTCTTGTTCGACCCTGCGTCGTCGGCTTTGGATTTGTCGAACAGCAGCTTTTTCAGAATGGGCAGCACCTGCTTCTTGAGCGAGGCTGCAACTTTCCGTTGCTCCTCCGTCGGCGGGGCCGGCTGTTCTTGCAGCTCTACTTGTTCAACATGATCGAGGGGATGATCTGTATCTGCTTGTTCCTCTAGTTCTTCGGCAGCAGGAGCAGTAGAAGCGTCAGCTGTGGCAGCCACATCACCTTCTTTTGCAGCAGGAGCAGCTTCAACACCTGTTGCCGGCTTGTCTAGTCCCGTCGCTGCACCTCCATCGGCACTGCTACCTCTGTCACCAGCACATTTCGCCACCACCTCCTCCGCGGTCAGTGCCTTCGCCGATTCAAACAAACTGGATGTTGAAGATGAACTAGCTCCGCTATTTTTCTTGCTTCCCTCTTCTTGAAACTGGTACGAATTCAGACACGCGACAACACCCCGGATCAAGTACCGCTCGTGCACTTTGTCGTTGAAGTCCTTCAGCGATTTTGCGAAGAACTTAATCTGCTCCAAAATTTTGTTCCAACAGGACCTCCCGGAGTTTTTGAAGCAATTCGAAAGTAGTTTCAAGCTGACGTCCGCGTACCCAATGTCAAAGCTCTCTTTTGTCGCCTGCTTCTGCAAAATCGCGATCGAAGCTAGCGGCACGCACAGATTCAGCAGCGTGGACTTCTTCAGCTGTTTCTCCTCGGCCTTACTCGCCAACTGCTGCAGCGCGCGGGCGCGCCGGTGCTTCTGCAGGTGGATCAGGTTTTCGAAGATGTCGCCTTCTTGCGAGGTGCTGGGGAAAAACGTGATCAAGTCGAGGTGCAGAAAGTTCGCCGCAGGGCTATCCAGGTCAAGAAGGAGAGTATGGGACGACTTTTCTCCGTTTGAGAAAAGCCTTTCCAGCTCTTTCTGCGTTTCTTCGTCAGTGAAAACTTTGTCTGCATGAATCAACCCACTTTGCACACCTTCGCGGAAAAGGAGAAAGTGGTCGAAGGAACTGAGGTGGGCGGGGTAGGAGTGTTGTTCCTGATCCCGCACTTGCTTCGCCACAAAGTTTCCCCGCGCGCGGTGGAAATCGATCAGCAGCCCGAGGACGTGGTATTTCAGGGAGCTCGAAGATATTTCCGTTTCTTCCTGATGTCGTGCCAATTTCATCAAAACCGCATCGGTTTGTTCCGCGAGTCCGCTCTCCTTTACCGCGAGGAAGAAGGCCCGGAAAATCCTAACTGCGGAATCTACCACCGCCGGGGAGGTCTGAGCCAGGTTCGTCAAGTTTTTCCGAACGGGAGGCAGCGCGTGCTTGAAGAGGAGTTCAAGAAGAGGAGTTCTTGTGCAGCTCCTGGGTTTTGCTGATGCTAATGTACCAGTTGTCGCTGAGTTTGTATAATCATTTGCTCCCGATTTTTTTTCCATGTCGATGTCCTCCATCTTCACTTCTGATGAATCAGTTTCCCTCCTCACAAACGGCACCACCGCCTCAACCGCAAACTGTTCGTAAAGGTGTTCGATTTCCGTGCGAACCGCGTGGTCGCACGCGGGCTGCGACAGGATGAAGCAGAAATGCGCGAATAACGGCTTTAAATGGTCGACACAGTTATTGAAAGAAGGGCTATTCCCAGCCGTTGAACTTGATGTGCTTCCCGTCGTGGTCACAAGCAGCACCTTCCTCTGTTTCAGCGCTACCAAAATTTCGCAGTGCAGGTCGTAATCGGGCTCGACGGTTGCCTGCCGTTTCGTCCAATTCAAAGCCAGGAGAGCGCGGGCCGCGGTGACCGTGTTTGATGTTTTTGCTTGTACTAAGCTTAGGAGTTCTTGCGGTTCTGTTTTGGAATCATGTTCGAACTCGAAAACCCAATCCTTCACGGCAGCGTAGCAATCTAGTTGAATCTCGTCGGAACGACTGGGGTCCTTTGTTTGCAAGCGGCGGTGGTGCAGGAGGATGGACTCGAGGCGGTTTGTCGCTCCCTCGAGGAGAGGAGATGAAGTCACGGGGTTGATGCGGTTTGTACTATCAGAAGCGCGACCGATTTCTTCACTGCGTTTCTTTTTCTTCTCGGTCTTTTTCTGGTTATTTTCTGGTTTGAAATGATTTTCATCATCATTCCGAGGTGTTCCGACACAAGAACCTCCTTCTGCCAAAACCAAGAGCAGCTGACACAACTTCTGCCGGCTCATCAAGTCCCGCATGGCGCCCACTAGAATTTCCAGCTTTGCGAAAATCTCGCGCAAGAAGGACGCAGTGTCGTCGTTTTCTTTCTCGTCACAGGAGGAAGAAGCTGCAGCAGTTCTCGTTCGCACAACAACGATCACGTTCGAGACCAGTTTCTCCAGCGCGTCTAGAATTTCGACGGTATTCTTGTGGTCTTTGGCTAGACCGCAATCAAACAGCGCTTGGACGAGCAGCAGGCAGAGTTTCTTGGCCGTTTCGACGTTTTCCAGCTGGAAAAGGTCCGTGAGCTGGAAAATCAGCTGCAGTTCGGCCGGCGTGACGATCTTGGTGCTGTCGAAATAACCATGACTCCGGTAGTTGTTCGGAGTTGTACTACCCGCGGTGTGAAAGTTCTTGTTGTTCCCGCTGGAGACTAGTAGTACACTGCTTCCGTACTCCTTGCGCTGGCTGAGCAACTGCAGCAAACCGTCGCAGATCAGGTCGACGTGCGGCTTGATCAAGGAGAGGCCGAGTTGCTTCTGCCTTTGGAACAACTCTTCCTCTTCGGGAGACCGGACGCCGAGAAGGGCGAGGGAACTTTCTTCCAGATCAACATCTTCTCCCGTAGTACAACGACCAGAAACACGACGACCATGATGATCTCGTTGTTCCATATGATCCACGTCGTTATCACTGTCATCTGCTCCACCAAATTGGTTCAGTTTCGCTTGCACTTTAGTCTCGTCGTGGTCAATTTTCTTGTTCCCAAACCGTCGTTGGTTCTCGTGGCCCGCGTAGGTAAACGCTTTCTTCTCCTTCGCAGTTGTCATTAAAATTCCCGCGTTGCACAGCCGGAGCCCGGTTTCGACTACTTTCTCCACCACAAGACCGCCGGAAGGCGTATTGGAAGCAGATGATTTTGGACCATCTCCGCCTTGATGTGCGCCATGGTTCGCGATCTTGGCCATGACGGGCCTGGAGCTCAACACCTTGAACCAGTTGGTCAGGAAGAAGGGGAATTTTTCGAAAATGCGCCACAAATTCGGGTTCGACCCGATCATGGCCAGCAGTTTGCCAAACGCGGAGAGGTCCACCGCTCCGCCCCCGAGCGGGAGCTCTTTCGCAAGGTGGTTGAACACCGGGTAAAGAAAGCTCAGCTGCGCGTCAAGGGTTTCGTGGAGCTGGTTCTGGTGGTCGAGGTCACTCTGATTGTTGTACAACTTGGCCAGTACATCGTGCAGCCGAGACAAACAGAGCCGCACGAGCGTGCGGTCTTTGTCTGCGAAATGCGATAATCTTTTGCTGGGAAGTTGTAGATGAATAGCGACTTGTTGCTCTTCCCGCTGCTGGTCATCATTTTTGTCATCCGGGTCTTCGATCAGTAGACCAGAAGCTCCTGCACCTGCAGCCGCACCAGTGTAATTACTCTTCTCCACTTCCTCAAAGCACTTTTGCGCCAGTTGGGTCTGCGCCAAGATGCTGAGGACCAAGTCCGTGAAAAAGCCGGCGCAGTTGGTGCCGATCACGCGCCACATCTGGTTCACCACGTCCTGCAGCGTCATCAGGAAGGGTTGGTAACGGTTTTGGAAATCCAGGTCCAGCGAGATGATGAGAGGACTTTCTACTGTTCCTTTACTACTCGTTTCTGTTCTTGCAGCGGAGGGAGATGAATCACAAGTGTTCATCAGGAAGAGGATCCGCTTCGTTTCGCCGCATTGCTGCGTTCTGTGTGGCATAAGAACTTGTGCAGTTGTAGTCCTCGACGCAGTAGTAGACGTGGAAAAATTGGCGCAGCAGTATTCCGTCAGAAATTTCCGCAACGTGCTCAACTGCAACCGCTGCGCGCGGATTTGGTTCGCGTTCCGAGCAGAGCGGAAGATGTCAACATCGACATCGTATCAAATGTAAAAATGTCTGGGTCTGGAAGAATGCAACTTGTGATGCTGCGTTTGGATTCCAAAAAAATCTGTCTTGCATGAGTACCAAAGGGAATGCAATTTTTGCTACGCTATAGTAGTAGTAGTAGTAGTAGGCAATTTTTGCTACGCTGAGGAGGCAGTTGTCATGCGGAATAGGCATCAAGAAGCCCTCAAAAATCTGTATTGCTAGGGTATGGATCACAGGCATCATGGCTCATGCAAAACGTGCAGGACAAGTGTCAGAATCTTCCAGACCCAGACATTTTTACAGTTGATACATCGTCATTTTCCTCCCCTTCCCGCCTTACAACTGTGAGCAGTCCGTTCATCAGCACCAACAGAAACTCCGCCAACTCCGCACTCCCCTCCCGACTGTTCTTGAACCCCTCGCTGAGCAGCTGAAAGACCGCGCGCCTTCGGCCCTCCGTGTTGCTGTGCTTGTCCAAGGCGCGGGATTTCTTCACGATTTTCGCGTATAATAATTTTAGCAAAATCGGGAGAATCTGCTTCCGATGCTTCGGGTTCGGGAAAAGCTTCCTGTTTACCCCGTTGTGGGCCCCCTTCTGCTTCTCGCTTTCCGTCAAAATACTCTCGTCCAACGTGATCGCTGTCAGCTCCTGGCGGAACTTCTTGTCGTCGGTTAGTCTGGTAAGATTCTCGCTGTAGTTTTGCAGAAACCAGAACCGTTCGGACGTTTGCAGGATCCGCAGGGCCAGCTGCTGCGTGCTGCTGTCCTCGGACGGGAGAAGAAAGTGTTCCAGGGCGAACAGCAGGTCGGCGATCAGTTGCTTTCTTTCAGCAGTGGTTGAAGAAGACTCTACATCCTTTTCCCTCGATCCGACACTAGCAGTTGATTCACTGCCGCCCTTAATCCCGTAGTACGTTTCCAGAGAGGTGGTAGCAGAAGGCGGATTCTTTTTGCCCTGCTCCTGAACCCCATCCGCCTTGCTCTTCAAATGCGCTAGATTCGGCGCGAGGCACTCCGCGATGGGCTGCAGGGCGTGTTTGCACAGAACTTTGGACTTGGTCCCGATCTTCCAGAAGGTGTTCAGATACTCGACGTTTTTCTGCAAAACCCACAATTTGAAGGTATCGAGACTGGAGAGAAGTCGTTGTGCGTCGTCAAGCTCTTTTCTGCTCTCCACACTCGCTAGGTCGGCTTCACCGACGAGCGTCATATCAGCTCCTGCAACCGACATCTTGGTCGGACCGTCGCTTGTTCCAGCACGATGCTCAGCATCGTCCGCCCCGCTTTCAACCAGAACTCGCGTCGCGGTTTGCCAGACCAGGTCGTGGTAGGTCTGCCCCCCGATTTCGTGTTCCGAGCCGGACCTCCAGAAGGGAGCGAGGAAAAGTTGGTGTGACGCGGCACAAGAACCGCTGGCGTTTTCATCTGCGCCCTCGTTATTAGCAGTACCTTGGACTCCTGCTCCCGCTGCTGTTCTTGTTGCGAAAAAGCTTTCACTGCTGGCGAAGACCTGTTCCAGGTCCACGTAGCGAATGTCCTTGTTTTTCTTCGATCCATTCGAAGTATGCCTGGAGGTCTGCTTGTTCGCGTCGTGCTTGTTATTTTTACCCGTGCCTTTGCTCTTGCCCTCTTTACTTGCGTTCTTTTGCATATCTTCGCCCGGCAGCTTTTCTATCTCTGCGTCGTCGTTTTTCAACTCGTCTAGTACAACCGGTTTCTTAGGTTCTTGGGTTTCAGCATGATCTGCTGTCACAGCGAATGCTGCCGGCGAGGATGCGTCCTCTGCATCAATGAGCTCTCGCTTCCGCTCCGCAAAGGCTGCCATAATAGTGGTCTGCAGCAGTGTGTGGACGCAGTGTCGGAGTGTAATGGCGCGACCGGCTCCTGCGTGGCTGTCACAACTTCCTGCATTTTTTCCAGAAAAATTATCCGTTTCACAAGAGCAGTTCGCCAGTTGCGCCAGCGCTTCCTTCGTGGGTTTCCAAAGCGGGGAAAACCGGTTCTTCAACTGAGAAAGCAGAACCTGAACCGCGAAGACGACGGCTAGGGGCAGAGAAGAAGTTCTACTTCTTGCGGTCGTGGTTTTCGTCGTGCTGTCATTCACCAAAGCCAACACCTGTTCCACGATGGAAGAAATCTTTGCCACCTTGAAACGCTCCTGCTCCAAACAGAATTCTGCTTGTTCCAACTCGTAGCACGTGTGCACGAGAAATTCGATTTGGTCCTGCAGCTCCTCCTCGTGGCCGCTACTTGTTGATGTTCTAGCGGGGCTTGCTTTTTGTTTGTTCTCCGTTGCGCTTGCGACGTCGTGGTCCAACATCTTGATCATAACATTCTTGGGTTGTTTAGAGGCTGCTGTAGTTGCTGCACCGGTGGGCGTTGATGATGCAAGAACCGGCTCCGAGAGATCAAATTGGCATTCCCTCGCGATTTGCTGCACCGGCAGCTGTATCAAATGTAAAAATGTCTGGGTCTGGAAACTTGTGATGCTGAGTGGCATCTCATGATGAGGCCACAAGTGCTGGCTCAGCATGACAAATTTCTGAGCTTGTAGGTGTTGCCTATTCTGCATGACAAACTGCGTCTCCGAATGACAGAAAAATGCGGCTCTTGGGCAACGTGCATGACAGATTTAAGACTCATGCCAGACAAGCATGACAAACATGCATTCTTCCAGACCCAGACATTTTTACATTTGATAAGCTGCCTGAGGATTCGCAACGTGCACCACCTTACCCGAGCGTCTTGGTGGTTCAGTAGGAGAAGCAGGCTGGTGTAGAACTGTTCTGTTTCTTCCTCACCACGATTTAGTTCGCAAGTAGCTAGCAAGCAGCCGCGAGAAACAGGTTCGCTATTGTTTTCCAAAAAGGCCGCAACGGCCTCTAAATTCAACGCCAACGTGGTGTTTGCTTCTTCCTCGGGTGAAGGAGTGTCTTCTTGCCGGCTGTCCAGTTCTTCAGATGTCGCTGTTCTTGATGATGAAGATTGTTTAGCACCCCAACCTGTCAACAGAAGCGGCCCACCACCATTCTCCACGACCTGCCTGACCACTTTGGAGAAAAACATCGCGTCTTCTTGCTTTCTGGTTTTGCCCTCCTTCAAGTCATTTTCTTCCCCCTTTATTCCGGATAGCGAGGCACAGGAAACCAGGCACAGCTCGAGAAACAGTGTGTTTTTGTAGTCGCTGGCTTCAAACTATCCTGTGCAAAAGTATCGTACTCGTATAAATGCATTACAAATTTCCTCAGCATGAGAAATAAAATTTGTAATGCAGATTTCCCTTGGAAACAAGATTTGTAATGCAAGACTTGCATTTGTACGAGTACGATACTTTTGCACAGGATACAAACTCGGTCCAGAAAACGTTTGCTTTGGTACGGTCCTGCTCGCTGTCGAGGACGCTATTGCAGGAGGCAGTAGAGAACGCGGCAAAGTGCTTTTTGTATAGCAAGTAGCACTCGTAGTGCAGGTTGCTCCGCGAGGACGTCGTCGTGGATACATCTCCAGGTACCTCAAAAGCAGAACTCGTCCCGGTTTTCGACCCGGATAGCGACGTGTAATTCGTCCGCATAAACTTGTCCAAGGCATCCACGACGATTCTCTGGCCCACGTCGAGACCCCCACCCAGGTCTTCCTTTGACAGTCCCTCACTCCTTGCAACCACCGGCATGGTCAGCGCGAGATTTTGCAGGCAGAACAGCAGGCAGTTGTAGTCGGTGTGGCTCAACAAGGGACCACAAGACGCTCGCTCTCCCTCTGCTGGTGCCCGACCAACGGTCGCTAAAATAAGCAACACGCACTTGCTGAGCACGGTCCGCCCGGTTCGCGTCTGGGTTAGAGGGAGGAATTCCTGGAACTTCGACGTCTTGCCAGCATCGGGCGAGACGAACAGCCGCTGGAAGGCGGTACCAGAGCCTTGCTCCCTCTCAAATTCCATTTCTTCTTGCATCAACTGGATGAACCTAACCGCGGTTTGTTTTGTCTTAAGGGAAGGCACTAGGACTTCGTCGATTTCGGCGCCGAAGCCGTAGAAGAGCGAGCGGATCAGAAATTTCGGAAAATGGGTGGACCTCAGGCTACGCTCGAAGTAAGGAAGTGGGTCCTCTTCGTTTCGGCTGTCTGCATCTTCACAGAGAGGCACGAGCCCCTTTGGTGGATAGTGCAAGGCCCAGCGAAGATCTTCTTCTTCTTCTGCAATATCGTTTCGATTTCTACTGTCATCGACCAAGTCCTCCACGTCCATAGCGTCGGCAGGAAAACTTCTGTTGGAAGCGGACGCGACCGCGGACATTCCATTCGAAAAAATCGCCTTCCCGCACTTTTGCGCTACTTCCGCGAGGAATCTCCGTGCTTCTTTCGGTACTTTCTTCCCGTCTGCATATTTGCCCTTAGTGAAGAAACTACGGTAGCACGCCTGAATCGTGTCCAAGAACCATAACAGGAGTTTGGAGTCAGGTTTATCATTAGGAGCATCGCTATTTTCTCCCTCGCCATCTTCAAAAACCGCCGCCACTAGCTCTGCGCCAAGCGGCGACGCGTCGCTGTCCGTGGAGAAAAAACTTGCCTCGCTGTACTCAAAAAAGCGCTGGATCAGGATTTTGGCCACGTAAAATTGCAGGGACTTTCGGGTGGTTTCTTGTAAGGAAGTGTTGTCGTCCTCGTCCACCATCTTCTTGGTGGTGAAGCTGCCCTTCGACGTCTTCATCCCCTCTACCAATTCCCGCAACAACATTTGCGCCTGCAACCGGAATTGGCCGTCGACGGAGCGAGCAGACTCGAAAAAGGCGATAGACAGTGTGTCGACGATCACGTGATTCGTTTTGTCTACCTGCCGGCCAAGCGTCTGCTGCTGCTTCCGCAGAAGCGCCGCAAAGTGGCCACACATGGTCGTGACGAAGCTGCCGCTCTCGGCTTCCTCGTCGGCGACACGGTTCGCTGCATAATTAGCCATTTTCTTCGTGATCAGCAAAGCGAAACACTCGCCCAAGGGCTGTCGCAGCATCGCGGTCTTCATTGCCGGGAGACAGGCTTGGAGTAGGGCGGAAAATGACTGGGATGAACGGGGCGGGGTCTCATTCTTCGGATCTTGTTGTACTTCTGCTTTAGCTCCATCTTCTTCTACCTCACTCGATTTATTTTTTCCTGCACCACTGCAAATTGGTTCTTCTACTTGTGCAACATCCACTAGCGACCGCATGTCGATCCCTTTATGCAGGTACTTGAATCCGCTGTTGCAGAAGCGGAAGATTTCCGCGATCGCCGTGGCCGCCGACTCGGTTTCATGGTTGGAAAAACTCTGCGTGATAACGACGGACAGTGGCATCAGCTTCTCCAGACACTTCAGAAAGGAGCCGGAGGCGAGAAAATCCTGTCGCAGGTCCTGCGTCAACGCGGAGAGTAACCGACAAACAGGCTCTAAATGCTCATAGTTTTTTGACCCACAAGAATTCGAGGTGGCATTTTTCGTCTCTTGTAGGGAAACTACTGGCTCGTCGAAGCCAAGAATGGCTTCCACCAGCTCCTTCTGCATGAGCAGCAGCTGCGGCAGGGACCCCGTCACCAGTTTGTTGGATGTTCTCTCGTTTTTATCCTGCTGGCCATTGTTCACGCACAGTATCCGCCTGATCCGCGACACAATCTTCGACCATTTCAACACTCGACAGCTGAAGGCATAGCGCTGCAGCGTCTCCGCAAAGTGCGTTTCGGCCTCCAGGATCCGCTCGATAGTGATCTTCTTCCCTTCTGGGGTAGTAATATCGAGCGGGTCTTCTTTATCATTGTGCAAATAATCCACGTGTGGTCCTCCTGCCCTACTTGTGTAGCCGCCGGCGGGTTCTGGCAGTGTCGTAAAATTGTTCCCATCGTCGTCTACTTGATCAGTATCGAATAACTCCTCGCCCACGCCACCGTCTGCGTCGTCTTCTGCATTCCTGACGTGAAAGACTCGTGTGCTCGGGCCCCAGTGCTGCTTGGCCTCGTGCGCCTGCTTGGCAAAAGTACTCTCCAGGAACTCCCGCGTCGTTTGCACGTTGCTGCTCCGCACCCGCTCGTGGAAAGATTTGAACCTTGTTGCGCCCGACTTCTTGGCGTACTCGGCCTCGTCTTGCTTGCGGTGTCCTTGGGCCTGTTCCTGGTTTTTCTTGGCCAGCGAGGCGGCCCTCTGCTTGTTCGCCTTCTTTTTCGTTTTGCCCGCCATGGTTGCACAGCGTTTTTATATTTCCTGGAGGTCTTCACGATAGTAAACTATACTATCAGCTCGGGCTGGTGCTTCTGCAATCCATGATACACACTGATGTTGAAGTGGTAAACTCTCCTGTTCATAATTTCTACGTCGTGTGCAGGATTATACAAAGGTGAGTCGCAGTCGCTTCTACGCAACAGGTCTAATGTCTCGTCTAGGTCTACCAGGCATGATAATAATATTGTCAGGAGCGAAAATAATGTGTCAGAGTCTCAGTAGATACGACGGACCATTATATGTGCGTGGTGCTGGTTCTGGTGTTACACGAAAAATGGGTTTCACAAAAATCAAGAATTTATCCGAGACAGCTTGCCTAGACGAGGACGAGCCGTCTCGTGCAACTAGGCATTTTCTGCTTCACTTTTGCGGCTCCTTCACGGACAATGATCTTCTGGCAATATCGAACCGGATCTTGATTTCACGTTGACGCTTTCGAACCAGTGTCTGCCATAGCGTCTAGCAGGTGCATTATACTCTACGATTTATTGGATAGGAATACATGATCTGAGCTGGTGGAGCGCCGTGAGTAACACTTACATTCCTTTGCGATCGATGATCAACATCGTGTTCCTCGCCTTCATGTTGATCTTAGATTCCCACGATCACGAGAAGAAGAATCGAAAACGATTTTCTTATTGCGGCCGGTGATCCAAAGAGATTTCGATTTGTAGGATCTTTTGACATCATGTCCTTGTCGAATACGACTAGTTCTGTGTGTGTCGTTTCTATGATCTTGTTCCGTCTAAAAACAGTGCTTCTTCTTCTTCTTCACCCTCTGCACTACGATCCAGGTCGAGGACATTGACTTTGACCTTCGTACTAGATGATCGCATTACACCTTATATACGTAGTGTTCGATAAGCCTCATATACATAGAGCCACATCTCGACCACGCGCATATACCACTACGCATCGTCTTCATTGGTTTGAGAAATCAATACTGCAAACCTCGTAGTAGAGTTTCTCGAGAGTCTTGCCTGTGGCATGTCTTTGTTTCTCGTGCAGTTTGGCTTGCGTGCCGTTGCATCTTTAGCTTTTAGCACAAGACGGAAGCCGGTTCTTTGTAAATGCGCGACCCCGAGGTGACGTAGAGAAGATAAATTTAATATGGTCGGAGCCTGCAGGGCAGCACCGAAATACATATATCGCACAGCTAAACAATTCAGGCACTACACGTTTTGCTTTTATTACGTAACCAGTTAAAATTCGAATTTGTCATACAACAGCCTCCGCATTCCGCGAAAACTCTAGCAGCACAGAGCGTCGATTTGATGTAGGTCCGCACGTCGTACACATAATTCGAATACCCAGATGAACATTGGTCAGATAGTAGATGATTAGACCCCGCATATGCCACTTACTTGCCATTTGTCTCTGCATCCACCAAATCGAACACTTTGACCTCACCTTGTTTCACTTACTTAGTTTGTCCTCAAAGCGTGATGGTCCACCCGCGGCCGTGAATTTCAATCAGCTTGACTTCGCCCTTGTGGGATGAATAATTGTCATCCGAACTGAGGATTAACCGTAGATGCGACGATCCTGGTCTACAAACAGCGCAAATCGACTCGGTTCAGCCCCCGGTGGCGTCCAAGCCTGCACGTCCTCCTCGGTCGGGCTACGGTGACGAACGCGCCCGTTTTGCCACATGAGCCCCAAGAGTTGCAGCTCATCCGTATCCAAACTAGCACTCGGCGACAGACTTCGACCCCGACGTGAGGCCGGTCGCTTTCGTCGCACGGCCGCTTTCGTTGGCACAGATTTCGATCTTCCGCGCACGGCCGCTTTCGTTGCCGTTTTCTTCTGGTGCGATATTTGGTGAAGCCTTTCACCAAATTTCAAAAAATCATGCACGACAGGCTCGGAAGCACGCCGAGTCTGGGTCACCTCGCCCACCTCTGCGGCCTTTCACACGCGCCGGCGCACTCCACCACCCCAATAGCCAGTGCCGTCCTTGGTCTTTCCTGACTCTAGCTTTCTTGCAGTGCCCGCGTCGTCGTATACCAAAGGTTTCGATTTAATTTCGGTCGGGGCGCCAAACAGCGGGATCGAGAAGCGGATAGCATCGCCTGCGCCATGGTCGATGTGCCACGAGGGATAATAGCCCTCCCGCATCTCAAGACGCAAACTTGCCCGCCACACAAAACTGCACGCCATCGGCGTTGCGCCTTCGCGACGAGGGCCCGCGTCTCTCTCTTGTATCTGCTGCAGAGCTGTTATGTACCCCCGCACGCCGGCGGTGATCATCGGCCAGATGTCGACTGTAAAAAGTGAAAGCAAATGATCATAGAGCTTCCAGGAAAAAGTCTCCGGGTGCTTCTCGGCAAAATTTTCCCACAACGCCTTGCGATCTCGGCCGTTGTTGAGCTGACTAATTCGGCTGGTCAAGAACAACTCATTTTCCGGTGGCATATCATCAGGGTCCGCCGATGCAAAACGTAACAAATCATACCCAAGTCCGGCGAAGAGACAATACAGAAAATCGAAGTGTATGTGTTTCTTCGCTCGAACGCCACCACGGGGTCGAATTTCCACCAGCGCAAACCCCGAAGCAGTTTTGCTAGCCGCGTCCTCCGAAATGGAAAAGGGATCGACCTGTGCCTGCTCGTCTTGTGGACGTTCTACATTCTCATTCACGGCGACCAATTCCGTCATGAGCGAGAGCCTTCCCCCGAACTCTGAACAAACCTCCGGCAGGGGCTTCGTGTTTTGGTGCAGGTGCGCGAGTTTCTCAATCTGTTCCGAGCTCAAACCGGAATCAACGAGTTCTCTGACAAAATCTCCGCGTACGGGCATGGACGCGTACAGGCAAAGTATTACCCACCCGAAAAGCCTCAAAACGCTGGACGGAGCGATCCGGTTCATACGGGACATTTTGCAACGAAGATTCTAGTATCACCAAATAGCGACAGCTTGATGTAGAAAGAAAATAAACAAGGACATCCCCGCGGCCCTAAAGGGCCGCGGACAACTACTGTCGCCCGCGGCGGCCCGCAGGCTCCTGCGATAAGCATTGAATGCGAAATCCGTCTGCTAGCTCGCAGCGGGGCATCCTTTCTAGCCCCCTGCATGACAAACTGGCCCCCTGGCCCGGAAGGTATGTGGAAGGCCGAAAACCCGCGAACCCTTCCGGGCCACCAAAATCGGCCATTTCAGACGCGGCGGAGGTGCAGGATTTGCGCCCACAACCCCGGCCAAATGGGGATTTTGTGACATGCCTCCGCCCGCTTCTAGTGCGTTTTTTTTTGCACAATCTCGATGGTATGGCGCGACCACGCGCCCGCCGGACCGCCCTTGGCGGCCAGTTTGTAAGCCTGCCGAGGGTTCTCGGTTTTTTTCAATTTTCGCTCTTTTTTCTGGTTCTTAGGTGGCCGAAGGGCTCCGGACATTTTCACCGCCCCCACCTGACTGGCAGTTTCGAAGCCTGCGGAGGGATTGCGCTTTTGCGAAATTTTTCTTCTTTTCCCATTTTTCAAGTGGCCCGGGTGATCTGGACAAAATCCGCCGATTGCTTCCACCCACGTTATGAAGCAATTTTTTGTCATTTTTTTCCAACTTTTTCCACTTACGAAGCGGCTCAAGGCTTCCGGACAGGTCGCGGAACTGCTGCTCCGACGCAGCTGTCAAGCGGCCGAACCAAAAAATACTCCGTCTTTTTTTCAGATACTAAGTGGGCCAGACCGCAAAAATGCTCTTTTTTCACCTCCTCCCGCTTGGTTTCTGCCGTTTTTGCGACATTTTTGACGTCCTGCCCATTTTCCCATCTGGTCCGCTTTTTTTCCCTTCTCCCGCTTCATTTCTGGCCATTTCCCTGACCTTCACGCCTCCCGGCGGTTGCCCTATATGGTAACGGCAACTGCCTTCGCGCTGCGTTTGCTAAGCAATATCGCAAGCGCGCAGAGCGCGCGCGCCGGCTTCGTGGGCCGGCGCGCGCTCTGCGCGCGCGCGCGCACGCATTTGGTTACCAGATCACCAAATAGAAATAGCGACAGCTTGATGTAGAAAGAAAATGAACAAGGACAAATGCTAGCGACAGCTTGTAGAAAGAAAACGCGAAGAGGAAAAGAAGTTTCGTGATATAGGATTGAAAATGAAATAGCTCTACTTCCAATAATCACTATATAGGATTCAAAATGAAATAGCTTCTACTGCTCGAAATTGAAATTGTGCACTTTATTTCTTGACATATATTTTTGCGAAAAGGATCGTACAGAAATTGAAGTGTTGTCAATGCGAGTAGTAGCTAGCACTTTGCTGCTTGCACTTTCGACCGAGGTGTTATTCTGTTTGCACTTTCTGCGTTTTGGACGAATCAGTTAGCCATAGCGACGTTTGGACGAACTATTACCAGCTGAATACTCTACGATCTGCTGGATATGAATACATGATCTGAGCGTGAGCATCGTTAGTCACACTTACATTCCGAATTGCGATCGAGGATCATCGGTGAGTGATCGCCTTCATGTTGATCTTATATTGCCACGATCACGAGAAGCACTGAAAGCGATTTCCTTATTTCCTATTGCGGCCGGTGATCCAAGAAGAATTGTAGGATCTTTTGACATGTCGTTGTCAACGACGACGTCGATTCAAATTTATGTGTGCGTCGTATGATCTTCTGCGATCTAACACTGATTCTTCGTCTTCACCCACTGCACTACGTCGATCCAGGTCGACATTGACCCTCGTCGCGTAAATGATCTACTTCCTTATGATACGGATTGTTCCAAAAAGTCTCCCTGAGCAACATCTTGACCACGCGCAAATTATAACATACCACTGCGCACCCGCACCGTCTGCATTCTTGGTTTGAGAAATTAATATTGTATAAGTAATCTCGCCGTAGTAGAACAACTTTAACACTGCGTATTTCTTTTTCATTTTCTTGATTTCGCTGGCCATAATCTGCACTGTTTTTTTTTTCAGTAAGGCTTGTCGTACGGACGAAATTTCAAGCCCATCTCCGGGACAGGGCCCCCGTCAAACAGCGGCTTCGTTTCGCACCCGTAGCAGAAGAAGGCCGGCTTCCCCCGGTGCTCGTCGATGAGCCTCTGCATTTTGGCCTTTTCCGTCGCGGTCAGGCTGCTCATGGCGCTCAGCGAAGGGGAGGGGTCCACCACATGTGCGGGCACGTCAGACTTTTTGCTCGTGGCGTGGACTGGGCTCGCGCCAAAGGTATGCGAGGGAAAGAAAAGGTCGCGGTTTTAAAGTCGGTAGACCCAAGCAGCATGCGAGCCAGCCCTGCTTCTGATATTATAATCACTGAGCATACAACATTTACATGTTGTGGTAGAGCGAGGTGGTCGTCCTTTTGTTTTCTGATAGGTAGGCATCCATGCATGATTTCGAGCTACTTGTAAGTAGTGTACTACTTGACTCTACTCGCCGCGACCTAAAGCTGCGCCAGAATTTCCCTTCTCATAAGTAACGGGATTCGGGCCAGTCACGATCGGGATCTGGTTCTTGAAGTCCTCTTCCTGCCCCGGTGTGGGCATGGTGTACCGCTTGATTGGCTTCGGCGGGGGATCAAGGAAGTTTAACGATAGGTAGGAGGCGTCCAGGCATTTTTTGCAGTACCAACGCCGGATAAAAATCTTCTCCTTCCGCACCGAATTCTGCAGCGGCATGTTGAAAGAAGCAGAGCTGTGGTCAGGTATGTATTAATGTTCTTGGCGCAGTTTATTATGGACCACGGTTCTCAAATATTTTTACGGGGATAAGAGAGAGGTCATTGATCTTAATTTTTTGTACTTACAAGGGGGAAGGCCCAGTTACTTCTTTAGGTAAAAGTTTGTACGGAAAACGAAAAAAGAACGAGCGGAAAATTATCTTTAAACTACAGAAACAAATGTCAACAATCAATCGCGGGAACTGTGGAAAAGAGAGTACGGGGCCGACACGACAATAGTGATGTCAGTCTCATGACGTAGTGCAAACACTAGCAAAGTACAGGAATGCAGAAACCGAGTTCATCAACAAGCAGTGCCTGATTTTTTCTGATTCTGCCATTGATTTTCTTGTTGACCGAGCAAAACTACAAGAAGCACCACCAGCGCCACTGCGCTGGACACCGAGACTGCACAAAAGACCTACGCAAAAATTAAGCACCAGTGCCATTCTACGTCAACCGAAGAAAAAGGTACATTTCGTTTGAAGAAATTGCATCTTCGTAGTACTACAACTTCTACCGAGAGCATCACTTTAGTTTACTACTATGATAGCGGGTTAGAATTATTTCCACTACGCTGTGGCGATTCGAAGCCGAACATCGTACTTATAGAAGTATGCAATACATTTACATTATGCGATGCGGGAGTGTAACCAGCTCCCGCCCTGCATATGCGAATACTGGTGATTCTCAGTACGACTGTAGGCAATTTCATGTCTCTCCCGAGTTCCTGCAAGATGCAGAAACTTCTGCACGTCGACAGGGTGGAAATGGAATACAAGCGAAGCAGTGCATCATTCTGGCTACACATCACAGTATAATGCGCACTTCACTTCAATAGGTTGATACTTCCTGCAGTTGTTCCATTTCTTCTTCTACACACTTTTTGCACGAAGTTGGTACCTACATGTTGTCCGAGAAACAAGCGCGAGAGTGCGTCGAGTTACGAAATTCATGTGAAGTAGCCATGCGGAGTACTGTAGAAAGTACAGCAACATGTGCGAGAGTTCAACCTCGCTCCTCGAGCGGAGGAGCGAAGATGCGAAGATGGTGCCCTCTTCCTTGCTCTTGCAGCAGCTCGACATCGACCAGCGTCGAATTTCATTTTCAGCTAGTACAAGTCGAAGACTCCCCCGGTGCTCCGATTCGCACCGCTTTCTATCAAACAAAAAAGTGTTAACGTTAACGGTTTTCCTGGATTGCAAGTATGCATGACAAATTGTGCCTAGCATGCATGCTATGCATGACAAATCTGGGCACGTTTTGCGATGCATTACTGCATTACAAATTCCGTTAACGTTAACGCTTTTTCCTGTGATACTTTCTTCCATGAGGTCATCTTCCTCCTCGTCCCCCTGCTGCTGCTGCTGTATCAAATGCAAAAGTGTCTGGCTCTGGAATGTTGCCGGGTTTGTTATGCATCTTTTGCATGATCCAGGATATCTGTAATGCACGACCTAGCATCACAGATTTTTAGAGGGCTTCCTGATGCCTACTCCGCATGACAAATGCCCTCCCCGCGTAGCACAAACTAGACTCCTCTTGCTGTTCATGCAATACAATTTTTTTGAGAGTCCAAAGGAAGCATCACAAGTTCCAACCTGCCAGACCAAGACATTTTTGCAATTCATATGCTGCACGTCTACTGCGACTCTTGCGGCGGAGATTTTTCCTGCTCCACTGGCGGATGCGGCCCCCGGATATTGGAGCGGCTGCGCGACCGGCGAGGGCTTGGGGTTCGTGTTTCTTATTCTCTGCTCCCGCTCGATGTCCGTGGGGAGCTCGTACTGCTTTGGCTTTCCAAATTGCTTCTTCGACGCACTGAAGTCCTCCTTTGGGGTAATCTGTATTGCGTAGTTCCCGTAGGCGTAAAAGGCGGGAATCTGCACGGCCCGCTTCAACCATCCGCCCTGGTTCAGGTGCGAGAGCATGCCGGACCACCTGGAAGTGTTCAAGTCAAGTCAAGTAGTATTTCAAGAAGCACTCGAAAGAGTGTTCATGAATGCTCGCTCGAAAGCGGCGGTAGAAAATTAGTGTAACTAGACAAAAGCGATAAGAAAAAGTGAAAAAAGGACAGGCACTGTGGTTGTTGAACTGGCTTATTTATACTTTTTGGTCGATGCTATTACAGGAACTGCAGGGTAAACATTTAACCTTACCCGATCTCTAGACTCAGTCTTTTTCAGTAGTGCTTAAAACTTCGCTGAGCGTCTCGCAGATCTAAGCCTCCCCTCATGTTGGGAACGATGACACATAATTGGGAACGATGTTGGGAACTAATTTTATTTCATGTTGGGAACGATGACACATATAGTAAAAGGACAGGTGCTGGAGTACACATCATGTAGTTCAGTTACACATGTTCATCACCTGGAATCCCTGATGGGAAAAATGCGGTGGAAAATAAATATCTGCAGAATTATCAATACTCGTCGGTGGTTTTCTCTTTGGTGTACTCTGCTTCCTCTTCGGTGAAAAGCAGTTCTGGGCAGTTTGGGCAGCCCAATCGCATGAACTGCTCCATCGTCAGTAAAAGTCGACACTTGTTGCAGGCCCTCCAATTTTTCGCCGGACCTTCTGCGTTGTAAGCCTTGGTGTCCCTCGGTTTGTCTTTACCAACATCCTCCACCTCGTCGTCCACAATAAAGTCGCCCATGCCCCCCATTTTTTTTCTTTGCCTATGAGGGTTTCTTTTCAAAACAGAACCCCCGGAAGAAGAACAAAAGTGGTCTAGTACAACTAAAAATCGCGGATGCTATTACAGCGTTGGTTTCTAAGAGATACGTCGTGGTCCTGGTCGCTTCGAACCACGGGTACTATGCCGAGTCGCCGAAAAAAATCGTATTCCTTTGTAGAGGAGAAATCGTGGTGCTGCAACAGGTAAAACTGTTTCTAACTGCAAGGAACTTTGTCTGATCGATGTGACACGGTGGGGGTAGAAATCTTTTCACGGGACTTCGTGCTACGAGGATGGAGAACGAGAAAGTCTAGTACACTCTAGTTCGCCGAAACAGATCAGGTCGCTGTAGGTTTTTTTTTTCGAAATCATAAACAGACGAAGTGAAAATTTGGCAAAGCTCGATTTTTGGATACGGCTATTAGTTCTCCTATCGGGCTTCTACTAGTACCAAGTTAGCCTTACTTGAACTCCGGACTTTCGATTGATTTCCCGTTGAGAAAAATATTTTTTTTTTCGATTTGCATTTTTTAGCTTCTGTGTTTTTTACGTGGAAGACGCAACTGCGCCTCCGCTTCCCGAGATAAGTAGAACTATAAATCAGCTCCACTCCACAGAGATGAAACTTACGCAGATCGTCTATGGGAAAAAACTGAAAAAGTCCTACGATTTGAAATCCGACAACGAAAGTGCAAGCCTGTAGCGATGCGGGGACGATTTTTGCGCGGATCATAACGTTGAGCCAGGGTTGTATCGGGAACAAATGTATTGCACTCTCTTCAATATCATTTCCGATCTGTTTCTAGCTCTGTCCATACGTTGACATGCGCATATCATTTCATCCACACGATCGATATCTTTGCATTTTCGTGACATCTTGTTCAATTTCGTTTTTGCAGCAGGGTGGTACTAGAGCAGTGTTTCATCATGAAGTCAGACGCTCGACGAGATGAGGGAGAGACCTCCGGTAAAAACGCGCAATTTGTTTAGCTTCAGCTTTAATATTTCAACATCGCTAGTATAATCAATCTTTTGATTTATTCGAGATCATTTTCTGTCTGTGGTCGTATGATTTCTTGATGGACGCGTGGGCGTGGCTGAGAGGGCGGCGCGTTGTGGCCATCAACAGAAGTACTTATTGCCGTCTTCTTCAGTTCTCCGATAATAGTAATACACAGTTCTAGTTTCATCTGAAAGAATTGGTGTTTGCAGGAGCGAGTGATAATTTCGAATGCCTAGTCTTTTCATGATCTCTTTTGCGAAGAGTTTCTTTTCGTTTTACGTGGTATTTTTCTCGGAAAATGTATCACAGTTAAGTTCAATGACGGTCGTATCGACTCAGTGTCAATCACAAGTTAGTTTATGAGTACCATACAGCGAACGCATGATGATGATAACCAATTGATTTTCTTTTTCCTATCTTACACACTTCGACGAAATCTGCTACAGTCGGCAATAAACGCCTTATCGAACAAGAGAAGAAGTTGCCGTTGATTTATCATGTAGTTCTAGAAGATGCATGCCCGACGGACCGTCGTGTTTCAACAGAAGTCGCATGTGTATGTATGAGTACTTCTATCAATGGGAAAGTTCATCTTGATATGCATTTACAGTGTTGATCTACTTGTTGCGTCTACAAATACGGGTCCGGTCCCTGGGCCTTCTTGCAGCTTCCGGTTGCTCGTCCAACGCCCTTGAGATAAAGATTCTGGTGCTGATTCGTCCCTTCTTTTTTCGGTAGAAGAACCGACAGAAAGTTGCACTTTTCTCTGAAGAATTCGCGGCTGGATTGGAGAAACCCGCGGCCGAGCTCGAAGGGGCTTGATGTTCTTTTGCCGTGATTAGAATTTCCTCCATGTTGACCTGCTTGTTCTTCGGTGTTCATCTTGTTCTTTCCGTTACTTCCAGTAGTTTTCCTATCCCCGTCCTCACTCGGGCGCATGTGCAGGAGAAACTGCTTCCGATCTTCGACCACCGTGTAGTCGTCCATGTTTGCAATCTATGCATTGCAAAAGTAGCTTTATTTTACCTGCTACAACTAGTATAAACTATATTAAACCTCCCCCGCATGACAATTTTTTCCAAAAGGAGAATCGAATTTGTCATGCAGACTGACAAAAAAAAGTAGATCTTTATTCATGCAAGACTGGGACTGGCATGTATTAAAAACCGGCGCGAACAATAAAGTACTTTTGCACACCAGGATACAAACAGCTCCTCCTCCGTCTGCGCCAAAAATTTCTTTCCCTTGCCCTTCCCTTTGCCCTTTCCCCACGACAAGTTCAACACATTCCCGTCGTGCGGCACGGCGGAGTCCCCCTTGCTACGCTTCTGGCAGGCCTGGAACTTGTATGACAGTGCACAACTTCCCCTCCCCCTCATTTGTCATGCAAAATACCCAATCTGCCCTTCGCCTCGTGGCACCGTTTGCATGACAAGTTCTGGTTGTAGACCAAATAGCACTACACTCCAGTGCAGGTTTGTCATGCAAAGCCGGCACTTTTGCTGATGCTTGTATTGCCGTTCATGCTATACAAATGAGGGGGAGGGGGAGTTGTGCACCCTCATAACTCGTGGAACCGCTGCTCCCAGGGCCAGTCTTCCGTGTCCCCGAGGAAGGCTTTCAGCAGCCGCTTCTTGTCGACAACTTCGTGCTGTAGAGGGTTTTTCACTTCGTTGAGGTTCAACAGGAAGAATTCCTTCGCAATCTCCTCGTCGATTTCCCGATCTTGCTCCACTTTCTGCTTAGTCTCTCGCTTATTCAGATCGTCCAGGGACTTGGTTAGTTGCGTCCGCAACTCGGTGATGTCGTGCAAGTAGTCGAGTTTCGCCTGTTTTTTCTGCGCTTCGGTCTCTTCCACCTGGGGTGAAAAGCGAATGACACGCGGAGGCTTGATGTCGGAGGTGTTCATCGTGGTCGTGTTAGTACAGCTCGTGGGTGGAGCATCAGCATCTTCGTTTTTTGTCGCGGCTGCTTGTTGCGCTGGCTCTCGTCGTGCAGCTCCACCTGCTGGTGCAGAAGTCACAGATTTACGAGAACGAGGTGGCTGCAGCTGTCCAGCCCCGCCAGTAGAGGCCGTCGAAGAACAACTCGAGGACGAGGCTCCGCCGGCGCTCTGGGTTCTGGTAAAGGGTATGGAAAGAAAATGTTGAATTTGTTGTATGGGCCGCTGGCTATCGTGGTCCCTGTTGCAGCCGTCGTGCCAAACAAAAGGATCTTCTTCATGCTCCCCACTTTCTTCATCTTCACCGGCATCGGACGAACTAGCGCTGCTGGGCACGGTGCTGGTGCCAGAGGTGGGGGAAGAGGGCTCCCGCGCTTCTAGAAGTGATTCCGCCGTGGATTGTGCGGCGCTTGAGAGGAACGGAGAACTTCTGATATTCCCCGAGTTCTCTTTCTGGTCAGTATAGAACTTGTGGAGAGCAAAAGCAGACACCTCACTATCCTCGTGGTCTTCGGTACGTCCGGTGTCAGACCTGCATGTTGACATCATGTCATCTAAGTCGCAATGGTCGTACAACTGATCCGCAAAAATCCCTGCTGGATGGTAGGCAACCATCCAGGAGTCTTTGACTTTATCTTGGTCTAGAAGATCCTCCTCATGGTTTAGATCCAGGAGTTGTCGGGTGAATGCGGTCTGTTGCGCTGCGTCTACTGTGTTGGGATAACTACAAGCGCCGTCGTCTTGATGCTCCTCGTCCACCTCCGTCTCAGTACTACTAGTAGGCCGCAGTTCTTGACCTTGATCCACCTCCGTCCCGGTACTGCCACTGCTCCTCAGCGTGGCAAGAAAGTGCACGCCCGCCTGGTGGCCCGAGCTGAGTTGGATTTTCTTGCCGAGCGCGCAGCACCACTGCTGCTGTACTAGCGCAGAATCGAGGAGAAGGAGGGCAATCGCCGTTGACGTCGTCACCTTAATGGGGGTCGAGAGCGATTTCTTCAGTTTGCGGCCGCAAGTTGTAGACAAGGTGCGACCTCCGGGTCCGGTGTGAGAAGTGCGAGCGGTAGTTGCTTCCGCCGCGTCGGAGGAGCTCCTCATACTGCTTGCATTCGCGGTGGTCATTTTATCGGCAAGCAAACAGAATACAAGATGGAGAGGCAGATTGATGAAATTGAAATTGCGAAGAGGCGAAGTATACGGAAAATGCTAGCTGCCCTATGTTTACACGATGCCGACAGGCGAAATGTAGTCAGTCACAGTTTCTTTATGGCAAACAGAAACAACAAATAAAAATCGGGAGCGGCAAAAGTAGCAGAAAAAAAGTGTGTGCTGAGCGGAGCCACGACCCTGACAAATAAGTAGAGTCGTATAGAGCGCGCCGTAACGTTGTGAAATAAGAAGAGGAACTAAAATGAGACGTACCGCCCAATAGTGATAGTTATGGTTTATGTTAATCCAACAACAACATGCAATCGATGCGGCCACCACATCTTAATCTTTTCTCATTCACAAATACAGGTTTACATTGGATCGAGCCTCGTGAGCATGATCTTGTTTCTCGTCCGCATCCCACAAGAAATGCCTCGACTTTCGACTCTGCCTTCGTTCAATCAAGAAGAAGAATTGCAGATCTCCTGCACTTGTTGTTGCGTGAAAACTGTGGCGAGACACAAATCGCACAACTGCACCAAGATCAAAAGCCCATACAGATGATCTTGATCTTTCTTTTCAAGAGAGCTCAAGCGATCTACGTGATGTACTATCACGCCTCGTAGCTTTAGAGGGATGCAGCGAAGGAGCGACGGTGAACAAGAGACTTCTCAGCTTCATCGTCCCAACAACGGAATCTGATGCCTGACGCAGGTGCAGCTCACCAGAGTGTTTTTTTCAAAAATATCATTTACGTAGTGATACGCACAGGTACTTAAATATTCTTGTACAGGGGTGGGAAGTGAATGTCAAAACCACATGGAGAAGAACCAAAATAAACCAAGATGTGGTGCCCTCCGAGAGCTCGTCTGGAGGCAAAAGCTCGCTTATTGATCATGTGTTGCTTTTTGTTCATCCATCGGTTCATCCATCCGGGGTTGTGAACGAACTAGAAGTTGTACTCCTAGCGCGAAACTACATGTCGATGAAAAGTAGAGGGTTGAAAACGGTTCATTGTTCGGCCCCATCAAGTGTATTTCCTATGATAATCTTGATCATTCGTCGTGCTGGTGCTGCTGTGTTTTCACTCATATCATTTTTCCTCGTGCTCCCGGTAGTTCGCTTTTCACTTATTTCACTGCGAATCTACAAACTGCATGTCGTTCTATCTTGTTCCCGCTCTCTTCATCTAGTACGGCCGACTGCGCTGCGTGCGGTTGTCGTCGTGTGAGGGACCACGCCGGTAGCTGTCGCGTTCCCCGCCCTGCTTCCCAGATGAACCACCTTTTTTTCCACCCTTGCCGCCCTTCTTCCCGTCGCCCTTGGTCGTTGTACCCCTAGATCTGTCATTCATATCGGCCACTCGGTGCGTAAAGCCACCACCTCCACCCCGATCGCGGCCCCCGCCCCCGCTGGTCTTCATTCCGCTCTTATCCGGCGCCACCCACACGGGCGCGCTGCACTGCGCCACCCCGGTTCTCTCGGACACGTGCACCTTGAAGCGGCACCGGTCCCCAATGATCAACTGGCAGCGCTGCACGACGGACGCGTGCACGTAGACGTCGCGGTCGTCACTGTTTTGCAGCTTCTCCAGCAACCCGGTTCGGTCGTTGGAGCGGTTGAAGTCGAGCTTGATGAACCCGTTGCCGCCCCGGTTCACGTTCGTAAACACGCCCTCGAACGGGCAGTCTTCGAAACCCAGCCACTGCCCGTCCACCGCGGACACCACGCCCTGCAGCTTGAAGGTCGAATTCCAGTGCTCGTCGAAGTGCTCCATGTCCACGTTCCCGTGTACCATCTGGCCGGTCGGGATCATGCTGTTGAAACTGCTGTTAGTTTTCTTCGCCGGGTTAGCTTTCTGGCTGTCCAACAGCCCGGACAATACTTTCTGACTGATGGAAGGCGAGGAATACTTATGGTTGTGGTCTCCACTAATATCATACCCGGCCGCCCGATGCGTCTTCTGTTCCCGCACACCACCACCTCCGCGCCCCGGCGGCGGCCCGATCACATCTCCGCGAGGACCACGGGAAGAATAATTATTGTTCGTCGACAGCTGTTGATGCCCGGAAGTTGTAGATGGGTGGCCGCCTCCACGCGCGGCGTTCGCGGACGAGACGTTGCCCGGCCTGTTGTTCGTGCCAAACTTCTTCCGCATTTCCACCTGCCCCTCGTTGCAGAGCCGCCAGCAGGGGGCGGACACCTGGGGGGTGCCAGTCTTGGAGACGTGCACTTTGAACATGACCACGTCCTCGACCTGCAACTGGCAGGCCGCCATGATGCGGGAGTGAATGAAGCAGTCCTGCTTGTGCTCGTTCTTCATCGGTTCGCACTCCACGAACCCGTTCCCGGCGGGGGACAGGTTGATGATCTTCCCAATGTGGCACTGCTCGCCGAAGAAGGCCCGCTGGTTTTTGTGAAACGACTCCGTCAGTTCCCACACCGAGCTGTCCGGAATGTCGTCCGCGACTAACGTGTATGGACACGAATAAAAACTTCCCGTACATCAACAAAGCGGCATACTTACACTTCAAGAAATGCTGAAGATTCATCTCCATGACAAAATTTTCCGCTAATCCTATTCGGTATTTTTACCACAAGTGGTATCTTGTGCAACATGGTCGAAGTTGGAAAAATTTGTGACTTTGAGTTTCAAGTAATGGAGGTCTGTACGGAAAATAAATTTTTACTAATTGCATAACGGGTGCCCATCCTCGTTGAATCCGATCTGGAACGCGATCATCTTGCCCCGCGTGGCGCTCAGCGACTGGCCGAGCCCCAGCTCGTTGGCCTTCAGCCCGTACTTGTTCAGGATTCGGTTCTCGGCGTACACCATCTGGTATTTGGGCTCTTCGACGTGATGGTCCAACTTGACCGGGTATATCACCGTGTGGTCGCCGTCCGGCGTCAGTTCGCCAATCTGCCCAACCATCCAGGTATTGGGGTCATTATGCAATGCAAAGATCATGCAGGAGCCTCCATCGCACCCTCGAAAGTAGAAACTTGTGTTCGCAAAGACGGAGAAACAGTTGTTCGCAAAACCCATTTTTACTAGCGGAATAAAGTGAGATGAACGCAGTTCTTGTGCATCTTGTTTGAAGAGACAAGTCGCTTGAAGCTGACTACGAGCTCCGCGTGGTCAACACAGAAGCAAGCCACAGCTCCGTGTGCTTCTGCCTGTCGCTGCATTTGCATGACATCAAACCAAGGGCGTGGACGCTACATTTGTTCTGTTTATTTTTCATAGTCAAAGTCGTTGTGCCACGGGGCCAGGATCTGCTTGGCCTCCATGCGCACCTCGTCGGTCGTCTTTTCGGACGCCATCGGGTTTTGCCCCGGCAGCTTTTTCAGCGCACCTCCGCCGGGTTTCAACGCCGCCGACCCCAGGCCCGCGGTCTGGTTCAGGAGCGCGCCCACCGTGTGACTGGTGCTCCGGCCCTGCACCAAGCCGCTCAAGGCTTCCACCGGCACCCAGAGTGGGGCGGACGCCTGCGCCTTGTTGCTCTTCTTGCTGACGTGCACATCGAAGGCGATCTGCGTGCCAATGGGGAGCGCGTTCTCGATCATAGCCCGGAATACATAGATCTCCTGCCGGCCCGGACCCTTCAACTGGTCCGATTTGCAGAACGCGTTGCCCTCCCTTCCGTACCGGGACACGCGCGCGACGCAGTGGGGAAAGTCGGTAAACTGGAGCTTCGAGAGGAAGTTCAGGTTCGGGTTGCCGTTGGCGTCAAAGTCCGCGCTGTTTTTGTCACCCGTCTTCCGGATAAACTTGCTCTGCAGCGAGGAGGGAAGCAGGCCCCAGACAATGCTGTTCGCGGCATTGGTCGACTGGAAATCAAACTCGTCGGACCGCTTGTACGCGACCAAATCGCCCGGCCGGAGGAGAACGTCTTTGGGCAGGGAAATCTCCGCCTTGTTTTCCAGCACGGCAAGCTGGTCCCCGATCAGTTTCACCTTGGAGACCGTCATCAGTTTTTGGTCCGGGTGCGGCTCGATAGAACTGCCGGAGCCAGGAGTTGAACCCGCTGCACCCGAGGTGCTGTTAGCGCCCGCAGAGGTCGTGGGGAACTCTTGGTCGTCCGGAATCTCGTCGTCCATGTTGCCCCCCATCAACATTTCGACGTCATCGTTATTTTCGCCATACTATGCATTTTGCAAAAGTATCGTATATCAAATGGTACAAACAAAAACAAATTGCACCAAAAATCTTTTCACGTTGAAAAATTTGAATTTGTAATGCTGGCTCACGACCTTATGATCTGTGGTTGGAGCTGAAATTTGTCAGGAATGACTGCGATAATCAGTACGAGTTTACGATAGTGCTTTTGCAGCCAATACATACATCGGCGTGTTCCCGTCGCCATCGACATCGTCCTCGTCGTCCAGCATGATTGCGTCGTTCACCGGAAAAGTTATTGTGAAGAAAAATCCCCCCTCGCCATATTGAGTAGGTATGTTTTTGTCTTGCTGATTTGAGACCACAAATCGCGTCTGTCTTGCTAGAAGACAACTCCACAGGCTCTGCCGCATTATGCAGGCGGTTTGTGATGCTGTTGCTTTACAGCATAGACGTTTCTCATGCTAATCGCCTAGGCCAAAAGCTCTCTGCTCAGGCTTGGCAGGAGCCTGCTGTCCTCCAATGCAAGACAAACCTGATTTGTATACGCAAATCCAGCATCAGAAACCTCCTTTTGATATGGGGAGGGGGGATTTTTCCTCGTGATAAAGGTAAAGGGATTGTTCAAGTCCAGGTCCAATTCCTTAGCCATATCGTCCATTTCGGCGCCGTATCAACTGTAAAAATGTCTGGGTCTGGAAGATTCTGACACTTGTCATGCACGTTTTGCATGAGCCATGATGTCTGTGATGCATCCCCTAGCAATACATATCTTTTGAGGGCTTCTTGATGCGTATTCCGCATGACAAATGCCTTCTCAGCGTAGCAAAAATTGCCTTTCCTTTGGTACTCATGCAATACAAATGTTTTTGGAATTCAAATGCAGCATCACAGGTTGCATTTTTCAAGACCCAGACATTTTTACATTTGATACGCCGTCAAACCCGACATGGTTACCCTGCGCCAGGCTGTCCTTACTGCTCGCCGCCGCGAAAATATGGAATGGAGATGGATGAACCGCATCACTAGCACTCTACTTTTGCATAGTCCCTCTGGTTTATTTTCCAGGAGTTCAACATCGCTGTGCAAGACAGAAGTGCCAACTAGCATGGATGTCGTGCGGCGACAAACAATGCATTGTTACAATGCTTCTATGCATGATCACTAGTACAAAAATGAACACGACGCGACTCATTTTCGCGCGCTTCTAATTTAGGGGAATTTCCTTTTTCGGTGCAAATAGCAGTAGAATTCATCCTGCCCCAAAGTGGAACGTTAGTGACGGTCATCTTCAGGAGCATCTCCATAGCCAAAGGGGTTCGCGAAAGGGTCATCGGAAAGGAATGTCTTGACCGGACTATCTTGTTTAAGATTGTCCTCCAGAGGGACAAGACCGGCTTTTTTCTTCTGCGGCGCCGGGAGGGGGCGCAGTTTGTTCAGTGCCTTCAGGGCAACCGGCGCGCCGGCCTTCTTGCCCATCGCCGGGACTTTCAATTGTGCGCTCATGTTTATTCTTGGATGGTGCGTCGACGTTTATTGCTCACTTGGAGGACACGACGGCTGTACGGGTGTATCTTTTTGCGCCGATGAATGGTCCAGCAAAGTTTTCTTGCTCTTTTGTTTGGCTGCGTTGCGTCGAGCCGCTAAAGAACTTTTGTTCCGCAGGGTTTGCTTTTCGATTTCGCTATTTCGAAACGTTGCAGCTGGCGTTATACCATTAAACGGTAATATTTTTCCTGGAGCTCAGTCGAATCTTCCCTATTTTGTTTGCTGGACTTTCAATCAGAATAACCACCAGCCATTTCAGTTTCGATTTTATTTTGCGTGCAATTTTGCTTCAGTACTGACAATGCTGTGCTTTTTATCTTGATTTTATGAGGTAGTCTTTTCGAATGCAACCTTCAGGAAAAAAAGATGAAGGTGCACTAGACAATCAATCTCAATGGTTTTGGTCGCGGAGAACATTTTTTGAGGACTTTTTTTAACATGGGGGGTCGAACATTTTGGCCTGAATTGCACGGCACTAATAGAGTATGCGAGATCGCCACGGTACTTTTCAACAATTCAATTTCAAAGCTAGGTTTTTCTTTTCGCAAGAAAATATATGCGAAGAAACTACACATTGAATTAGTGCATTTCATCGTGCGAGTGCGTACACAAATTTCCGTTCTTCGCTTTTATTGATTGATCCGCACGAGCGAGCGATAAATACCAGTCGCATATCTGTTACGCGCATTTTTGGCTCTTTTCAGCCTGAACTCACGCGCAAAAGAAAATCGGATTCAGCTTCGATTTCACTATCTTTCATAGAGTTTTTGATGTAGGCAAAAGTTTGGCAACAAAAAAAGGCCGGTGAGGCTCTTTCGGTTTTTCTTTTGTCTTCCGCTTCGTTTGGGGAATAATCTATCAAGACGAAACAAACGAGCAGGCCAAGAATAGCATTTCTCGCTCATCTGTCGACCAGAAGGGAATTGCAATAAGTAGTAATCTTCTACTAGTAGCGGTCCCGCATCGATTTCTTACCAGGTGATTCTACCAAGGCATGATAATGATCTGTTGGTGGATCTACTACATAATTTTTGCTTTCAAAAGAACAACGTTCCGGAAGCTAAAACTAACAATCACCCTATCAATCACAGAAATCGGAGATCGTTTGGGAACATGAACACGCAACATCATGGTCAGGTCGATGTTGGAGTTGGTATCAGCATGAAAATCATAATTGGGCGTGGAGCACAACAGTCTTCAAAATAAGGTACTACTTCTTCTTGAACACCTACTTTTGGAGTATGAAAATGTGGAAACAACTCCACGGCGCAAATTAATAATTTGCAACTCCAATCCGCAAGGAAATTTCGCTTGTTTGGTGCTTCAGATAAAAATTCCTCAAAATGTTAGATCTCTTCTATGGATTTATTTTGGCGCAACATTTTACCGTGGCATTCGCAATTTCGTTGGTTCAAGACAAAAATCATCGTCCTGTATCACGCGCAATTGGGTTCTTCAAACACAGTGACTCACTTGATGTCTTTCCTCGGCGTGACAATCTTCGATAGCTGCAATTCGTATCGCACTTAAGGTTTGTGTCTTGCTCCTGCAAGTCGAGGTTCATTTGAAGTTAAAGATATAGGCACTACAACTTCTATATCGAAACAGTCTCTATCTTCCCACTGGAACAAGTACTTGCCATAAAAATCCCAGTGATAGATGAGCGACTATCTCACGGGGGTCGTGGTCGGCATGCAGCAACTATGTGGAGGAGCAAGAATGGTGCTGAAGCTTGTAGTAGCCGCACGGATGACTTCCACTATAATTCAATCAGCCCCTACATAAAACTCCTGCAGCAACCCCGTCGTGGCTAGTACTACTATAATTTTGCAGTTTACAAATCAAGATGAACCCACAGCGTCCGTCGACAGTAAGTGACACAACGAGCATCATTCAGGTAGTAGTTGTAGCAGGTTCGACTCACAACGACTTTCGCTTATTTTTCCTGTTCCTGCTGGACTCGATTTCATGTTCACAGCATGATGATGCTGTCACTGTCAACCCCGTGAAGATAGAAACTAATAAATATGTACAGTTCGCGCGGTCGTGTGCTAATGATCGTGAGCCCGATAGTTTAATGCAGGCACCTCGCGGGGGGCGGCATCGGCAATCCCGGTTCCTCTTGTCGCTGCACCGCTACAACGAGCACTTCGTTGCTCGTTCTCAGGTCTACTATAACCGTCCCTGCTAGTACCTGTGCCTGCCACGGCTTCTTTCTATCGAGTCTGACACAACACAACAGCAGTTAGTAGCCTGTAAAATTATAACCTATGCTAGTAGACACTATCTCGTTCTTCCCCCATGAAATGAGCTAAATAGAAATCTAAACCTAAATCTGTTAAAGTTAAGATAAAATCTGTTGAGGTGCACGCAGCTACAGCGAGTATTTGGCTGTAACTTTTAACGTTATCGCGAGTTGAGTTTAATCTATAAACCTGGGTTTTTATATAGCCTCTAGTAGGTCTAGAGGAGCTATAGCTTATATAAAATCTGTTGAGTTGAGTTTTGGTACTACTTACTGATTTGTAGATAAGTCTTTATCTGTCGAGTTGAGTTCTTGCTTGTCGAGCTGCGGGGAGCAGGTGTATGAAATGTAAAAATGTCTGGGTCTGGAAGAATGCAACTTGTCATGCTAAATTTGAAGCATGAGAAAATCTGTGTTGCATGATTACCAAAAGTCGTCCAGTTTTGGCCAAGTCGGGAGGGAGTTTCTCATGCAGGATAGGCATGAGAGAGAGCGCGCAGAGTCTCGTCTGTCATGCTAGATCCTGCATTACAGACCTCATGGGTCATGGAAAAGCTGCATGACAAATCGCGCATTCTTCCAGACCCAGACACTTTTGCATTTGATAAGGTGGTAGGTACAACAAAAAATCTATAGGAGAACAACGCTACTTTTACAGCTCATCGAAGTCGATCCCCAGCGCTTTGTAGTCCTCGGTTTTCCGTTTCTTCGCGCCTGCGTCATCGTCTCCACCCTTCGCACGCTTTTCCGGCGTACCGCCTGGTTTTCTCACGGGGGATTTTATCATGGCCGCCAACGGGTCGGGAAAGGAACTTGCAGCTGCACCCGGCTTCGGGCTGGTTATCTTGTTACTTGCCCCACCTGCTCCGTAGTCGAAGGAAAATGCGTAGTTGACACTTTCGTCTGCCGCTGCCCCACGACCAGCCGCTTTATTTTGATCCCCGCCTGCTGCACCGAGGTGGCTGCTGTAGCCCATTTTGCTCCACATTGGATCGTTGGCCGACTTCGCCTGCTGGTAAGTGGGATTCTTACTCGTGTCGCGTCCCGTGACGTCGTTGTAGGGGAAAGAAGAAGACGAGACGTGCTGTCTATTTGTGGCCGCGTCCTTGTTAGGAGCTCCTGCTGGATGGTCTTTATTATTTCTTTTTCTCTCCTCTTCTTCCTTCATCTTCTTATCCTTACTTCGCTCGCCAAAAATTTTCTTCTCCTTCTTGCCCTGTGCTCCGTGCGGCGTGTACTCAATGAGGTCCTCTGCGCCACCCTGGGTGAACTCGAAGCCCGCGGGGGTGAATTCGAAGCCCGCGCCACCCTGGGTGAACTCGAAAGCGGCGCCCGGCGTCACCTCTGCGGCCGCACTGCCGGTGTAGTTGGGCCCCGTCAGTTCGCCTACGGAAAACTTCACGCTGTTGTTCTCCTGGTGCTTCTATCAAATGCAAAAATGTCTGGGTCTGGAAGAATGAATGCAGGCGTTTGTCATGCAGATTTTCCATTACCCACGAGGTCTGTGATGCATGCCCTAGCATCAGAGATTCCGCGAGGGCTTTCTGATGCTCATACAGCATGAGAAATGCCCTCTCCGCGTAGCACAGATTGCACTTCTTTTGCTGTTTGTGCAATACAGATTCTATGCGGACTCCAAAGTTAGCATCACAAGTTCCAACCTTCCAGACCCAGACATTTTTGCAGTTGATAGCTTCTTGTTGTAACTGCTGGATGCTGTTGCTGCACCACCTGCCGTTCCTCCTGCGTTATTACTAGGGTCCCCGGCAAGAACTACGTGGCCGCCAGCACCAGAACTCTGGTTATTGATGTTCACGTTGCTCTTCCCCGTACTGTCGCCGCCGCCTAGCAGCTCCGCGGCCGTGAGTGGTTTCTTCTTCTCGGCCGCGACTTTTGGTGGCGGGGGAGCGGGCCGGCCGGCGCCAGGCGCCGCTGCGGGAGGGGCCGGGGGTGCGCGCTTCACCATGCGCTTCTGCTCCGGAAGCATTTTCAAATTCGCATTCGTCAAAGCGGTGCTGGAGCTACTACCTGTAATTGTTATAACTGGGCTGTATTTTTACAATAGGCATAGAAGTCATCGCACAGGAGAAGTTTTACAATTTCACATCGACATCTTGATCTTCTTCGACGACAACTACGTCACGAATCTTCAGTACTTCTTCGGCTTCACAAAAATCTTCAGTACCTTTCTTTTTTGGTTCCTCTTTTTCTAACCCGAACTTTTCGCGAATGCCCTCTATCCTCGCTTGCTGTTCGGCGGTAAACTTATTTTCTGGGATCGGTTTGCCAGAAGAGAGCATGTTCTGCTTATGCTTCGTCACGCACAGCCTGCAGCGGAGGTTGTATATTTTTGTGCATGTGGTTTTCCATTTAGTCATCCGTCGAAACAATGACAAAAACTTTTGGAATTGCGTTGCCCTTGGATTTGCAATGAATTACGAAAATAACGAAATGAAGCTATGCGTTATTAATTTTTGTACCTTATCTGGTCGTCTACAAATTCCGCGCACTTTCTCGCGCCTATCGGATTGTCCAGAAAATCCTTCCAGAACCCGTTTATCTTGTACTGCTCGTTGTCCTTAAACGCCGCTTTTGTTTTGTGGTACACGTAGTCTATCGTTTTCCGCATCGACATCTTGTGCTGCGCCTCGATGCTTTTGTGCTTCAGCATGCACTTTGCCTCGATGAACTTGTGCAGGGCACGCGTATCTTTCGGCGCCTTGTGAAAGCTGGCCGGGAGACCCATCAGCCAACTGGTTGGTAGTTGTGTGGTTTTTATTTTATGTAGTGAGGGAGGTCGTTATTTATGGAGCAGTTGTCCTGTATTTTGGTAGCAAGAAGTTGAACAAGTGGACGTGATCGTAGAACTAGTTCGACCTGGCGCTTTTTGGCTAATCATCCTTTGACAACTACAAACATGGGGCAGCACTTGCTTCTCCTTCTATCTGGTCAAACTCTAAGGCTGGTACTTATCATGGAGCAGGAATGGTATCAACAAATTCACTCTTCTGCACAAAGCCAAAAACACGATGAATTAATATAGTACGTGAAAAAGGTCACCCGGTTCTTTATGGGCGAGAGGTATTCCGCCCATTTTCCGACAGGGATCTGATAATACTCTACCGCTCTGCGCTGAATTTGTTCGTACTTGCTCTTGTCCAGGGTCTTTGCCCGCTGCATGGCTTCGACCAGCGCCTGATCGAAGGTATGTTCCAACAGCCCAGGCACGATCGCGGGTGCCGGCGCCACGGCGTCCGTAAAGTTTCGCACGCCCAGCGCGTGCTGGGAGTTGGGGTCCGCCTGCCGTGCTCGCTGGATGATAGTAGTGTAAGTGGCGGTTGCTGGAGCGGTGGCGTGGTCAACTTCAAGGAGGTTTTGATTACTATTGTTCTCACCTCCATTTATTCCTGCACCCGCGTGATTGTCCTCGTGCAGGAGACCAAGAGCATTGCTCTCAATGTTGGCCGCTGTCTATCCTCTGCAAAAGTATCGCACTCCGATGGCAATTGCATTCATCATGCGTGACAAATCTAACCTCCGAAACACCTGATCTAGCAAGTGCAAGACAAATTGCGTTTTTGGTCCTGAGAAAGTTTATTTTTGCAAATGCAGGCTTTTGCTTTGTTTTTTATAAAAAAATACCACGAAGTACAAATTACCACGATAGTACAACTACTTTTGCAATGCATAATGTACTGTCGAGGTGCTGTGGTGGCTGCTGTCCCCCGATTTCGTCGTCCTCAAGGGGCGGAAGAAGCGTCGTCATGGTGATGGTTTTTATTGCGCTAGTTTGTTACCACAGTACGTCTACGTACTAACTCAAAGTAGAAGGTCCCTCTCGATGCAGTACGCAAGCCAGACGAGGCCCTCGTGGGAACGAGATGATAACGAATATTGATACAGACGACCTAGGTACAGGAGCAAAGTTAGCTTCAGGGAGGAAGGGCAAAATAAGTAAAAGCGAGAAGATGAGACGCACTCACTCTTCGAAAGTTAAAAAGCGGTTAAAGAAAGTAAACCTAACGAAGAAAAGTCGCTTGAGAGGAAGAATATGATGTCGCAATTAGGAAAAAATATACGGTCTCGACAAGCTGCATTGCAATAAAGGACAACTTTGAGTTTGAAGATTTCTTTTTTTGAGATAAAAATTCTGAGGAGGAGGACACCACAATTTTTGTATCGACAAGCGGGGTAGGAAATAAAGGCAAAGAAAGGACTGCGTGAGCAGTCGTATGATTAATGCAGGCAACTATGATAGATAGGATACTTCTACTTGCTTTTGTCGCGGGCGAGCAGCTGTTGGAAGGATCGATCGTAGTACTTTCACAGGTCGTTCTAGCACTTATTCGGTCTGCAGCATCTGTTCGTGGCGTTCGCGCAGCGCCGAAGAACGTCGCTCGCCGAGAAATTTCGTTCTTTTGCTCCGACCTGCAAAAGAAACCTCCACAGGGAAATGCAATGAAGTACTTGTTTTCGACAGAGCTCCTGCTGCACGGGGTAAAAGATCGACAGGAGGGGCAAGGCGAAAATGCTAAAATTTATGGTGACCGCAACCAAATTAGCTCAAAGAGGGTTCTAGAATGATTTATTTGTTCTATTTTCTGCTCTGTCTTCTTGTTCTGTTCCCCGTAGTGCCTCTACCTCGATAGAAGAAATTCTGCAGCTAGCACTAAGGTTTTCGTTATGCAGCTGCTCCGCTTGTGCCCTTTAGAAAAGAAAAAAAAACAATCCAGTTCCCTAAAAAATGATGACAGACGTGGTTCCTTCGAGTCAGACAGAATCCATTTCATCGACCACTGCAATATTTCGTATATTTCTTCTCGCTCGAAAGAGAGTTTTCGTCTTCTAATAATTGCTGATGAAACTGACAGCGACAACAGACACTCGGTGGGACTACACCTGCAAAAAATATTATCCTATCTGCTGCTCCTTTTCATCACGATCACGGTTTGCTTTCTGTTTCTCATCTAGGAGAAGTAGTCAACGATCGGACGAGGATGAAGATTCAAGACATTATTTCTGTCAATGAATCGATCTCATTTTCTGCTGCGGGATGATGCTTACTAACTTGTCACTTCACCCTTGGAACGCGAAAATTTTTCGGGTCTTCTAGTTCTACGGACATAACGACGCGCGATGATATTACCAATTATAGCAATATAATGACGTACTGTCGTGCTGCGATGGATTTGTTGTACTATTTGTGTTCTCAATACCATGTTACGTAGAAACGTCGATGGGCGTAAATAGGTTATTTTTCGCACAAATCGATCTTTTCGAATTCGACTTCGGAGGTCGGAATGTAATTGTGAAGACCAGAGTTCAGGGGAAGGATTGTTTGGGTGGAGCACCACGAACAAGTAGACGGGCGGGGAACTATTATTTCCTCATTTTCTAGACCAGAAACTCACTGTTGTCATACATTAATTCACAATATCCGGAGGATCATGATCAAATATGAAAAGATGATAGCTGATACAGTCAGTTCCTGTAGCGATCGGAAAGTATTTCTATGTCGCCTTGTTCGATAGTGGTCTTGTGGGACGATACAATAATCGATATGGATCATGTTGAACAAGTACTAGATCAGCTGCTATGTTGCTGGTGCCCCGGTAGTACGGATGTTTTATCTTATCTGTGGTCACGAGTCGATATTTTTCCATTCCACGAGGACAACGACGGCATCACGAGATCGCAAGTACGAAACAGGAAAAATCTTCAGTTCTTGTTCTGGGGCAGATATGGTTTTCTTCTATCTCGCGCACTGTATGCACGAGGGTACGTACGTAGTAGAGCTCTGGTGCGCGTGTGCGTGACTATATTTCTTGGACGTGGTATAACTTTAGTTCTATCTATCTTCGGATCTAGCATTTTGCTTTTTCGTGCTCTACTTGTCATATTCTTGATATTCTTGATGACAGACACTCTCGCAGGTAGCACGACGGGAAGGTCCTTTTATTATCATCACAAAAACAAGAACGCAACACGACGACATTTTTTGCGATAACGACTCCAATGAAACAAAGCCCGACAGCAACCAGATGGAAATTGGACGTCGAATGGAAATTCAAATTGTCTCTACGAGGGTGAGCCTTCTGAGTGCGGCGCACGGAGTTCTTTCGATAAAATTGAATTTTTTGGGTTCTTTCGATAAAAACTATAGACGATACTTACAACGCTTATAATTCGGCATGAAATAAACCAGCAAGATGCAAAACAGGAAGAACAAGAAGCCAAGATAGACAAAGAAAATTTCTGTCGATCTCGTTGGGTAGAAGTTCCGGCCTCGCATAGACCCCCGCTCCGGAGCCGCAATGCGAGTGCGAGTAGTACGGGGAACACATGATATCAATCATGGCAATACACCTTTTTGTCCCATCTCGTCAACTACACCGAGGCAGGTTCGACCCTTGCCTCAGAAGAAGAAGTGGCGGTGCCTCTACTTGGAGTATTTTTTTTGTAATCTTGAAAGGATGAAGCGTCAATGAAAAAGCGAATCAGATTGTCCATCGACAGTAATGTTCGCCGCTAGAAGTAGGAGCGACGTCGTCCAGCTCACGTTTTACTATCTGCGCTAACCCACCATTCATTTCGGGCGCAGAGTTGTAGTGACGAACGTTCCTTTCCTACTGCTCTGGGGAGATATTGTCATGTTCATTGTTGCTTTGAAAGAAAAACTCTTTCATCTCCTGTCCTCCGAGTCGTAGACTCAGACATCATGCTACTCATCTCGTCTTCACATCATGTACACTTTTTTCATGCGGTCCTACAGTCTGAATACACTGCCTTTTAAAATTCCAGAGGCGTTATACATTCAATACTACTGGTTGTGGACCTACTTATTTTTACTGGTGCTCTTGGAGTGGTTTTTGGTTGTTTTTGTAGCTGTGATATGTGTAATCGGCCTCTCGCCATGATCCCGTGCACTTTTGATATCATATCATGTCCGCCTCGACGATCATTTTTATTTTTTCAGGTCGTTCTTCGAGAAGTTTATTTCGCTGTGACCATGCATACTAAACCTATTTGTATTTGCTGACGCTGGTTGATATACATTAATAGCTTATTTTTGTTTTAATTCCACCAAAAAATTATAGCCCGTTGCACGCATGTCCTCGAAGGAATGCGTAATTTTCCATCGCAGTTTCTTTCGTGGCTTCTAGCAATTCGTTGTTCTTGTTTCGGCTCAGCTGTGTTGAAAGCTGTGTTGTATTGGCAGGAGCTCCTGGATTGTGAGCACAACTAGGCGGGTCGTCGTGGTCTACTTCGACGTCAAAATGTATAGGCCTCGCCACATGGCTGCCACGAAAGATTAGCATAATTTCGCCGTGAAGTAAATTGTAGAAGTAGCCGGCCGCAGTGCAAAACTCTTATTTTCCAAACTTGTTTCGGATTACAATTTGGTTGCTGGTTCGCCAAAGCAAAAACTATCGTCGAGGAAGCAGGCTACTGAGAATACTAGCATAATAGCGAACAGTAGTTATAAAGTCTCTCCATGACCATCTTCAGAAGAAGGCTAGGAAGAGTGAGAAAGTTGCCCCGGAAGGTGAATAAAACAAATTATTTTCTAACAGGGCAGAAACACTTTCCCACATATGGATGTACTTCTAAAGACCCTGGCCTAAGGTTATTTAGAAATAGAAATACTTTCGCTTTTGCTAGCCGCAGTGCCCTTCCATACTTCTGGAAAAATCTATGTAAGTAGCCTCTGCTCGTTGATTCGATATAGTAAAATCAATACCGCAGTAGAAGAAGAAGCGAGACTTCCCGTCTCATGAGGCCAATTCTCCACGCGATAGCAATACTGTCCACGTTTTTTCAGTAGTTAAAGTTTTCCAAAAAAAAGCTTTCGTCGAGCGAAACGCTTCCACAATATATAAAAGATGAAATAGGTCGTAATATTGACAGCGTGGCCGTCCTAAAAAATATGATAGTCGTTGTTATGCACAATGCTGAGATGGAGATGGACTTGCGGGAATTTTTTTTTACGTTTCTTTCCTTGTGATTTTCAGAAATACTTCAATAGCTCGTCTGAAGTACTTGTTTTCGACGCAACAGCTTTAACAACTAAGTACTACTTCTCCATGTCCAAAAAATCCTCCGGTCCAAAAATCAAAATCAATGCCCTCTTCTTTTGCTGATGTGCCAACAGTAACAGATTGATTTCTCATGCTCATTATTTCGATCGCCTATAATTCTCCACTTTCTGTATGTAACTCAAGGCAGGAGACTTACAGCTCCGTGTCCTCCGTGTTCTTCACCTTCACGACTGGGACATAAAGTGCTGGAAGAAATAAAGTATCTGTGCTTGAGTTGTATCATATGTTGTAGTCTATGGGCTTGAACGTCAAAAAGCATCGATTGCAGCTGCCACGGCGGATGCATGCAATAGCAACAGCAATGAGCAATGGCCTGCTCTACACGTAAATGATAATGCATGAGTCTCCTATACTGGTCCTGGCTGTACTTATTGGTGGTCGTCGTTGTCGTGATTTTTCGTCTGGTCACAACCGCAGCATTGTTGCGTCTTTGGTCGGGCACTAGCTAGTACTTAGTGGTCCCTTCGGAGCAACCCCCTGCTGGCACAGGCGACGGAAGCACTTAAAAGAAGGTCCACCTCACACGACACTAGCTTCTCTTCACAAGAGGGGGGAAATATTTCAACATCTGGACGAGCCGATTGCTGTATGTTGTTTAGAGGGACACTTATTGGTAGTAGAGTTCCTAGTATACCAAACCAACAGAGCGGTGTAGAAATGTTGATGTTGTACATCAAGTGATAAAAATAGTAGGTTTTGCAACTGATGGCCCGAGATCCAACTACACGATCCGGTCATCAATAATCTGTTCGACTCCTGAGATGATAGATGAAGTGCACAAGTTCTGAATCTTCTAAACACTTTCGTATTTTTCTTACCGGATGAAAAAGAAAAAGTGCGCGGGCGCGCTCTGTCTTCATAAAAGATAAACCAAAAAATGAAAAAATACTACCGGATTCCTAAGACTGATCGGGAAGATCGAATGGGAAAAAGGAAAAGCGGGTTTGAAGTAGATGTCGATATAGATGAGCCAGATTTATTGCTCGTCGTGGAAAGTTTTCTAGTATGCTTATGCCGAAAGAGAAAAAGAGGAAGAGCACACTGTCATAGTGCAGACTCCGGCACTCGCACAGCTGATTATTGCAAGGATCGCCTCTTCTACGTAGTAAAAAACACGAGAGCCGTATTTTTTACTTCCTTCTATCTCGGTTCGACATTCTTTCATTGTGCAACTGTGTATCTATAGTGTTCGTTAGCGCAAGAAGACATACCACGTATACTATAGTAGTTTTGTCATCTGGATCATCGATCAACATCAGTCATTTGATCTCGCCGCTTGTTCTGTTCTTCCGTAAGTCATCTGCAATCACCGTTCAAGAAGTCGGCTGTGGCTGCCAACTCGTTTTTTTTTTCCAACCACACAACAAGGATTACTTACAGGCCGTTCAGTACCGCTGCGTGCGTGGCGGAAACCGGCACGGGTTCGGACACTGAGTGGCGAAATCCCGCCGGCAGCTCCTCCTCCTCCTCGTCCTCGTCGCCGGTGTGATCGGCTGCGCCGGCTTCTCCGTTGCTTTTTGATGCCCCGCCAGCAGTTCGTGCTCCGGTTCCAACCGCGCTACTAATGAAGCCAGCGCCCCCTCCCTCCTGAGTCAGAAGTCCACTGCCACCCGCAGGCGCGCTTTCGAACAAAAGCAGACTGCCGTTCGCTGCACTTCCAAAGGGGGCCACGTCCGACTCGGCTTTTTTGCGGCTCTTCGCAAGCGTCATCACCCCGCCAGTGGGGTCCGAGGACTGCAGGATTTCGCGCTGCTGCGTCGTGGTCACCGTAGAGCTGGTAGAAGATTTGTTGGACTGGTGGAGCCGCGGGTTGCTATTCTTCGGGCTCGGAAGCGCGGCCTGCTTCGATAGCAAGGCTTCGTTGTGCAAGAAGCCCGGCGCGGACTGATGCAAATCAAGATTTCTGCTGGCCGTATCTTCACCTGCGTGTTCTTGTTGCGCGGCCTTTTTGACCGTGGTGCTGATGGTAGAAGCTGACATGTAGTTCTTGTTGCCCTTGACCGCAGCTTGTTGCTTGGAAGTTGATGTGCCAAGAACAGTGCTCTCTCCTACTGCAACTTCCGCGTTTTTGCTGGTCCCACCTTTAACGGTCTTCTCCTTTGCCTGATTATAGCCCCAGAGCGACCACATGCCCATGCCCGGCGGCTCAGAGGCGGTCACCAGCTCTTTCTTGTGCTTGTTCGTGGGTGTGGACTCGTTCGAAGAAGCTGGTGGCCTTGTAGTTGTCCCTGCAGTCCCGAGGAAGGCAGGAGGCGCACTTCCCCGCAGAGGCACGATCTCTTCTTCGCCCATGGGGATGCTCCGCGTCAAAACGTCCTCCGCTTCGGCGTCCGTGCCAGCCAGGTCCTGACTGATGTCCTCGAGCCCGGGAGGCGGCGTGAAGGTGCCTCCATCGCGGTGCGCCATTTTGCTCCGGTTCGTCGGCGTGGAGGAGTGACTCAGCTTCTCCAGGCGGCTGTTTCGCGCAGAACCGACGGACAGGTGGTGGCTGTAGCTGCTGGCGTTGTTGTTCCAACCGCCGGCCGCAGAGGTGTTGCCGGACGTGTGACTGAACCGGCCAGTCAGGACGACGTCGCTGGGGCGGTCGAAAAAGGAGGTTTTGCCCGGGGGCATGCTGCGGCTCGCGCCGTAAAAATTATAGTGGCCGGACATCGGGGAGATGGAGGCCGGGCTGTGCGTTGCGAAGGTTGGCGTCGGCGACGCGTGCGGCCGGGTTTTCGTCATGTCGCCGTACTGTTGAGCGTACTGCTGTGCTGAAGTATAATTCCTACCGCCGCCGGCGTTTCCACCACCTACCGGGGTCACAAATCCTCCGTTTTTGCTGCTCAAATCACCCGGATTCGTCGCGACAGACTCCGTTTCGCTGTTCTTGCCGGAATTATTCTTCAATATCTGTGCACCAGCGCCGTTGCCAGGCATTTGCTTGTTGTTCCCGACCGCGACTAAGTTGATCAATTTTTTGTCCAAAGCAGACTGCGGGCTCTCATGATCGTCCTCACCTTCGTGCTGTTCCTTCAGATCCTTTTCCCGCTCCACCAATGCTGCCGTGTCGTTTTTGCTCAGAGAGGATTTCAGCTGCTCTACCTCCTTCTTGATTTTCTCCAGATCGACCACAGGAGATTTGGAGGCTTGTTCACCCGTGCTGTCCTTATTCTCCACAGCACCGCTCGCATCTTCTTCGGCCTTCTTCAGAATCTCTTCTAGCTCCGCGAGCTCCTTCTCCGCGCGCTCCCGCGCCCGGCGGTCCCGGCGCCGCTGCCGACACGGCGTGTCTTTGTTCTGCCGCCGCGCCCCCTTCTGCAGCACAATCCCACCGCTGGTCACATAGGTCGTGCCGGAATTTTGGTGGCCCCAAGAAGAGGTCAGCATGCTGTTGCTGTTCGTAGTTCCAGTCGCGCCGGTCATCATACCACTGTACTGGTTGGCTGGGTACGTCGAAATATTGTTAGAGTGATAGGAGCCAATGCCAACATTCGCCGCTCCCCCGTAGTGCTGGGGTCCGTGCCCCGCACTCGCAGCGGTTCGGGAATTGATGTTCATGCCGTAGTGCTGACTGTGACTGCCCACCGTGTTGCTCGCCACCGGATTTCCATTGTGATAAGCGGCGTGGTGATTATGATGCCCTCCCGCAGCTCCGGGATAGTGATGATGGCCGGCAACTGCACCTGCCGCTGCTGCGCCATGGGTGCTCGCCAGCATGCCGCTGCGACTCAACTGCTGCAACTGGGTGTTGATGCTTTGCTGCGCAGAATGGTGGTACGAGTGTGGATGAGCATGGTGTGGTCCTCCTCCAGCCCCGTAGACCACATGGTCTCCTGCAGCTGTGCCATAGTAGGCACTGCTGTGATCAAGGTCGTGCGGAGCAGGCAAGTACGGTCCGGCCGACGTGTAGCTGTAGCTGCGGGAATGATCGAGATGTTGCACTGCAGGAACGGGCTTACTGTTATTATTTCCCGCCGCGGGGCCTCCTAGTGCTAGTCCTACACCACTTGCTCCGGACAACTGGGTCGCGGAAGATGCGTTCATTCCGTAACTCGTGCCGCTCTGAAGATGGCCTCCAGTTGCCGTGCTCGCCGTCACCAGACTGTGGTCGGCCATAGGGTTGTTCTGGTGTTGGCCAAAAATACCAAGGCCAGCCTTATTTTCTACGCCAGCTTGCTGGTACACGGCGCTCGTCGTCCCAGGAGCAGGTCCGGATGGTGCACCACTGTAAAAACCCGGTGCGCCGTAAGAGGAACCATGATCGGCAGCACCGCTGTGCTGCTGGGTCTGCAAGTAGATCAATCTTGCCGCTGCCAGAATTGCCTGGTCTTGGTCGTGCTGACCACTAGCCGCAATTGCTGCACCGTCCGCGGTGGATGTGTTCGTCGCTTGTTGTGAAGTAGACAGCGCGCCGCCGTTGCTGTCATAAAAATTGGGCGAATTCATATTGTTTTTGAAGCCACCACCAGCTTGCTTGTGCATCTTTTTCAGAAACTCCGGTGCCGTCGGGCTGCTGTCGCCGCCAAATCGAATCGTGCCCCCGATGGGCAGCACGTTATTATTTCCGCTGTCCCTCGAAGATTTGTTTTGACCACCACCGGCACTGCTAGGCGTGTTTTTGTCAGTAGAGTTCGTCCTACCTCCGCTGAAAGATTTGTTCAACGTCGCCCCCGGCGCCCCGCCGCTGTTCTGCCGGCTACGCGGCTGTTCCACAGCGTCGCTGTGCGCGGCATTCATCGGGCCGGACTGTATGCTGCTGGTCGTGCCCGTCCGCTGGCTCGAACGCGTCGAGATCGTCGCGGGAGTCTGCTGCTGTACGTTGCCGTTTATCGGAAGAGCAGACGTCGTACTGGTGTCCTCTTGTTCCTTGGCACGGTGCCCGAACTCGTGCATCATGCGCTCGATCTCCACCATGCCCTGCGGGTCGATACCGTACCGAGCCGCAAAGTCCGCCACACGATTCTCCAACCCGAACATGGTGAGGGTTGTGTAGTGTTGATGTGAGGTTAGTTCTTGTTAGGGTTTACTTTTTACCAGATTAGCAGCTCGCAAATTTGTAGTCAGGATGTACCTCCAGTGCTGGGCTCTATCTACTTGCGATTGCCGTTTATGGCAGGAGTTATTGGCTAGGTTGGTCGTGTAGATGTGTTCTAAATTTTATCGAAATCTTAAGTTAACGCAACAAGAACGAATTTATTTTCAAATATTACTCCAAATTATCTAGTAGCGTGGTATAGTTGTAAAATGTATTTCTTATTCTTGTAAAAATTACACAGATGAACAAAGCCCAAACAAGGTCTATGAAGATCAGGTCGAATTACAAGAGAAGAAGCGTCCACACAGCAGCACAAGAGGAAAACACTTTCCTACTGTTCCGCGTGGTTCTACTTCGCTAGCAAAAAGACTTGTGCCGGTGTTCGTGCTTGCTAGTACCCTGGTTCTACTCTGTTTTCCTCCCGAACGATTCGCAAGGACCAATCCGATTGCGAGTTCAGAAAAAAAAAACACCTGTTAGGACGAGTCGAATGCTATGTAATAATTTTGTTCTTCTTCGTTCTTCTACCACTTCAAACTGGTGCGTCAACGGTTTTTTCTGACCAGTACCTCGAAGGTTTCGAAGAGGTCCACTTTGATGAAGATAAGTACGGTGTTTATTCGCGACGAATTCTTAACGTGGTAAGTTGTGCTAATACGGCTTGTAGGAAGATTTTTCTGTGCTGCAATTTGGTCCGCCTAGATAATATGAGGTAAGTAATACAAGCTCCTAAAAATAAATCTGAAATTGCGTCTCGATTACGAAGAATCGGCTGAAATAGAGTTGTCGGCTGGGCCGCTGAAGCTGATGCTATTCCTCGTAGGGATATTCTCGTGGTCCTTTCTGCTTGTTACTGAGGCAGGCCGCGAACGCGCGTGGCAGTATTACTTCAGAGAGAAGCAACAAAATATCTCCTCGCCAGTTCCAGCTATGCTCTAATTCTATGCTGTTAGAAAATAAGACACTAAAAAAGCGTAGCAAATTTATGGCAATGTCGGACTTGCAGAAGAGACAAATCTGTGGGCGCCGGTGATGTTTGGACGTGTAATACGGGAGGCAGCACTAGTAAGTATTTCGTTGATGTTTGTGCAAATAAAGTGGGTGGAGAGTTGTAGTTTTTACTGCAGCCGCCAACTTGCGCGTGGCTTATTTCAGTCCCGGTGAATTTCCAGTCGTAGTGAGTGAAAAACTACTGGCAAAAATGAACTCCCGCTACAAATAATGCGGCAGCGAAAAAATTTGCGCAGCGAAAGAAGTGACTCCTCGTGCTAGAAACTATCCCAGCGACGCAATACTTCTGTACAAAAACACTACACCTCGACTAGAAAGAAAAACACTAAGCCAACTCTTTTTCCACTTCTGTTTCCGTGTGGAATTCAAAATTACCTGCGAGTGAAGATACGGAAAAATGTCCAGCTCTGGATGGAAGCAATTGCTTGGCGCCTTTTACTTTCTCCTTATTCGATTTCTTGGTCTTTTCCAAAATTCTCTACAATAGTTAGTGACTGCGGCCACCCAGCAGCGCTAAATAAGGCCGTACTCCGTATAATCTACGATCTGTGTAGTAACCCTGCTTGAAGAAGAGCTACTACTAACAGATTGAAAAACTAAAACTTGTGCTGTCCTCCTGTCGACAATTTGATACTGTCTCCGATATTTTTTGTTTTTTGGGGTAGGTGTTGAAAACGATACTTGAATAATATACTTTTCACGGTTCTCTACAACTTCTGTCCTTGACGACAGATGCGGGGTAGATGTACTTTTTTCCTGTTTTATTGCCCGGCCCTTCTTCCGGTTACCGGGTGAATAAAACTGAACAAGAACTCAATGAGGAGACTGGGACTGCCTGGCCTCTATCGGGTAGTTAAGATAATGACTTTTAGAGTAGTGGGATCCTGAAGGTGATCTCTTATTCAGCGTCGGTTGGATTGAGAACAGCGTCGGCAGAAGGCATCAGAATTGTGTTGAATTTTGAGTGTGTTTTTATTTTGGTTTTGATTTGTCTTGCTCGTTCGAAACGACAACAAACAAAAGGTTTACGATAGTGGCGTCTATCGCGGATGTGTTTTTCACGGGTTCATTTCATGTGTGAGATTTTGGCATGAAGCATTTTTGTTCATTCATGAAACCCAAACAAAACTTGTTGTGACTCTCGTGAATTTGAAGCAAAGAAAACATCAAGAGTTGTGTTCAAAGAAACAGTTTCTCCCTCAAGACAATTGTGGTAAAAACTTTAACATAAACAAACGCCCGATGACTTTTCTTCCCCTCTCTTTCTCTCAATCAAACAAAGTCAATCCAACCGACACTAAATCGAACATGACCTTCAGAATGTCATATCGACAGTGCCCGGGGGGGAGGAAAGACGATGAAAGAAAGAGGAAAGACTCCTGACATGACAATGTCCCGTCACCCGAGATCTACACCGTTGAAACCGCAAACAGAGCTGACGTGGAGATCCGCATTCCCCGAAACTTCGAGACGGTCCCGCATTCGTAACAAGTAGACCTACGCCAATCTTGTACTGGCTGGGTTTTGGTGAAAAGGACTGCCGCTCGGTTCAAACCCCTCCGGAAGCCTGGTCTCCTCAAAATTCCCAAACTATTACCGGTGGAGCTTCTCGAACCAAACATCCTCCTCGGTTGAACAGTTGGTTTACTGCTTTACTTTTTCGTACTCTTCATGTTGTTTGGATGACACTAAACGCGGCAACTTGAGAAAGAGCTGGCCCGCGAGTAACAGATAGGACTTACCCCAGAAACATCATGTCGTTGGATTTTCCCAAAGGAAACGTATGGCCGGATCGTCACGGCAAAGAAACGGACTTGAAACATGTTGTACTCTTCCTTGTGGTCGCCATGAAAAACTTGTCGTACTGTTCGTAGTGCTCCATCTTACAAAACAAAACTTGTAGTGCAGATTGTACAGGATTGGTCGCTCTCGAGAAACTTGATCTCCATGCTGGTACTTTTAAATTTTACAAAAAAAAATCATACAGCTTGTTCGGCTCCAAAAGAATTTTTCTACTTCCAGAATTTTCACGTTGGTTAAATTTCGGTCATACCCTGCGGCAACGGTTTCTCCCAAGAATATGTCCTCTCGTAGACATAGACTTGTCCCAACGGGAGATGCCAGCGTCCACGCATGATCTCCAGGTAGTCCTGGAGTTTGAAACCCGTACTGACTTTGGTCAGGGAATCACCGGGATTGCTCCTGTCGGTGATCGAGCCTAACTCCCAACTTGCCCTGTAGTACGCAGATTTCCATCTGGCTAATCCCTTGTAGACTGGCGCGTCCGACATGGATATGACGGATTTCGACAGCACACGGCTGACCGCGGATTTGGAATCCGACAGGATTACTGCTTTACTGCTCATGTTCCACTCTTCCATTTTCACCATTACGGCTTCCAGTACTGGAAATGCTTCGCAGCCAGCTTTTATTTCTGCTGCATAAGAAGACACTTCCTCCGTGCTGCAGAAGATTGTGTCGCTGGCAATGTAGCTGCATCTCAACGTCACTTTTTCCAGAGCATCAAATTCTTTCAACGTCATGACCCTCTTGATCTGCTTCTGCTTTCGCTGGTACTCCTGCCAGTCGTCAAGAGAGACAGAAAGCAAAACATACCCAAGAATCGGACGCAGTTTTGTAGCTCTTGCAGTAATGCTGTCTTCTTCGTTCTCCGGAAGGTTCAGTGCTGCGAATCGTTTCCGCTCACGTCGTGCTGTCTCGGATTTTTCCGCATTCGCGTACGCCTGCTCGAACTGGGCCTTTCCTGGTAGAAGCGACTCTCGCTGGTTGAAGAATTCGGTCCTGGCTACTTCCCGTCGTGCTTCCAGCTCCTCGTTCGAAAGCACATACTCCTCAGGTCGCGCGTCAAATTCCTCATACTCCTCGGTTGCTCCCGCTTCGTCTTTTACCGCTGGTCGTTGGTACGACGCATCCGGGCACATCACCAACACTTCGTTTTCGTAACTCAGGTCGATTTCCACACCCGCAGTGTCCTTTTTCAACCGCTCCGTCATGCTGTTGTGCGCGGTGAGCCAGGCATTGGTTTTGTGCTCGTCAGCACCGAGCGCGAGGGCTCGCACCGGGAACTTAATCTCGGTATGCCTGCGTGCGATGAACAGGAGGGAACCGCGAGCAGCTTTGAGTCGCGAAACTCCCTTCTCGCCTAGCTGTTCCGTCTCCTCGCCTGGGACGTTGTTCATCTGCAGCTCATCTATTTTCGGCTGCATGTGGGTGCGGATTCGTTGCTCTTTCGGAAAGTGCTGCACATGGATGCCCGTATAAATCAGACCTGCCTCGCTGTCAGTCCAATTTTCGAGCTTCCATCTTTCTCTCGCGGCCGCAGCAAATTCGTCAAACCCCGGCTCGTCACCTGCGAACAAAAGATCGTCGACGTGAATCGTAATCTTGTTCTGTCCTTTTACAAAGACGCAGGGAGAAGTGGTAGAAACAGACCAACCGCAGCTGATGAGCCATTGGCTGAGTGTTCGATACCACATGAGAGCCGCCTCCTTTAGCCCATAGAGGCTTATGTTCAAAAGGAGGACTGTTTGCCGGTCGATCCCGAAAGTGGTCTTCAAAGCCGATAGGACATCATCCTGGAAGATGTTTGACGGAAACATCATCCGCGGACGATTCTCAGCCTTAAACCTCAGGTTTTTCAAGAACGCTCTCGGAACGTCGCCGGATCGCAGGATCCTTTTCCCCTTGATCTTGCGCAAACTTGACAAAACCAAATTCAGGTCGACTTCCGACACGGTGGGCGACTCGGCGCTGGCGCTGACGCTGCTCTTGTGACCTCCCGGCACTACTCGTACCGCCACTTTGAAGTGGGTGGGAGTCACCAGTTTGAGGTCAACAATCGCCCTTGAAGGTAGGATCTTCTCGGAGCTGCATTGTTTCCCTTCGCGCCATATCTCGACCAGTTCCTCTTTCAGCATGGAGTTCCACTCCTTCAGGTGGGCTCGCACCAGGACTGCAGGAACCGCCAAGCCGTTGCTGGAAGCTACGAATCCGTGGTCCGTGTCCGCGTATTTCAGCGCGCCCAGGATTTTCCGTACAACTTCCTCGTGCTTCGCGACTTTGGGGTCGTAGACACTTAGTAGTCCCAAATCCTCGTAGGACTTGTGCGCAAGCAGGCTCCACAGCGTGATGCGGATCAGCTTTCCTTTTCCTGCCTTCTCCCACGCTTCGACACTGTTCACGAAGCACAGCTTCTTTGCGGTCCACGACAACACGAAGTCTACCTGCAGGTCTGGATTGCTAGACTGTGTTCTTTCTTCCTTGCTGTAGAAGCGGTCCCAGACTTCCAGATTGGCCGGAGAGATGCGAAGCCCATTTTGCTTGACAAAAAGTGTGTGCTCAATCAAGTTGTACAGCATGTCGGACCCATCGTCCTTCAGAACTCCGCTGCGGTTCTGACGGATCACTTTGGCAACAGCACGACGATGGTTGCGCGCGGGGAATTTGATGAACTCATGTAGCTTGTTGAATTCTTCTGGCATTGTTTCATCTTCTTCTCCTCCTTCTGCCGCATCATCACCGCTCATCTGCTCCAGGAGCTGTTTCCACTCTGTTTGTTTCTCCATCTCACCCTCTGCAGTGGCATGAACTTGTTCCGTGATGTCGGTCATGTCAAGTTCTGCTGCTTGTGATGCATGAGCTTCTCGATTCTGTCGCGCGCGTTTTCTCTTCTGAGCGCCAGAAGCACGTTGAGAGGAAGTGGAGGTAGAAGAGACTTCCAAGTCACTGGGACCCTCGTCTTCAAAGCGAACCTGCTTCAGCACGTGTGCTGTTTCAAACAGGTCATCATCTTCCTGCAGCTGGAGATCCTCTTCAGGACGAACGTCATCGCCGGGATTTACGTTCAAATCTCCTGCAGCATCCAGAAGTTCCTCACCTTCGACATTTTCTTCAGAATGGGCGTCCAAAGCGGATTTCTTCCTTGAATCCCTCTCCGCCCGGGGGGCCAGAAGGAAAAACGGTTCACCACCAGCATGCGTTGATGGTTGATGTGGCTGCATTAGCTCATTTTCCCACTGTTCCCTTCCCGTGCGATTGCGCTCCTGATTCTCGAACATCTTGCCACCGACCTTGAAGTCGTCCTCTTGCAGCGGTTCCGTTTCCGGCAGATCGTAAAGACGATCAAAATTCACCACCGGGCAGAGCATGTTCGGATTGACGTTGCTCAGTCCACGCCGGGTCTGCACCTGGAAGGTGTAACCGGAGCTACCACGGTTTGGAATCTTGTCTGTGATCCGCACGACATCATCTGCTTTTGCTTTGGGATTGTATTTATTTGCACGTTCCCCGATGTTGTAGTCGTTATCGTTGGCGATGCGAAGCCTCGCACGGCAATTTTGTAGAATTTTTTCTACTGCTTCCACGAACGCCTTGTCGGACATCATGAGAAGCGCTTCCGCATAGATGCGGAGCCGAGCTTCGTGAATCCGGTGGATGTTGTAGTCCGGACTCCCCTCGGGAAAGAATGATTCGACACCGGCATCGTCCGGATGGAACAGAAACTCCTTGGCTGATTCTTCCACGCCCCAGAACCACTCATTTGCCGTTCTACCGCTCTTCCCGCTTGAAGTCATGTTTGCAATTACTTCATGCGCTTCATCCAGAAGGACTTGGAGCGGCATCTTCGCGAACGACGGAATCCGCCTCAAACGCTTCACCAAAGTCTTTAGCGTTAAGAAGCGTCTTTCCAGCGCGTAGACTGGAGTACCGGTCGGCATGAGCGTCACCTCACGCCCGGTCCGCTTCAGAGGCACCCAATCTTCGATGGAAAGGTTCTCGACTCCGGAATCCGCATAGATGCGGCGGCGCACAAGTTTCTGGCTCATGAAGTGGTAGAGGGACCTGATCACGTCCTGTTGACTTGGCGAAGCCCGACCTGCTATCAGCCGTTCACCGACGCCGTGAAACATCTGGCACATCACTCCACCGAGCAATTCCTCCTTTTCTTGGTCGCTGAGATTCATGTTCTTCATCATTTCCCGAAGTTTCCACTTCGTTCCACACACGTAGGAAGCCGACCTGGAATCCGGAATGCTCAGGATGCCGATGCACACGAAAATCACGTCGTTTTCCGTGATGAAGGTCGTGTCGATCAGGCTAATCCCGCCCTGCATGTATGCTTGGCATGGGTCGTACGCAGCAAGGTCTTTGCGCCGCTTCTTAAGACCAAAATGCAGGTGCGCCATGGTGTCCCTTCTTACCAGTGTTACCAACTCCTGCAAGCTTTCTTCGGAGATGTTGCGAAGTTTCTTCTTTACCTGTTTGTAGCATTGCTCTTCACTTGCAATCTTCCCCGTGCTGCAGAGAATTTCACGGATGGCCTGCAGTTTGTTTCTCACCGCAGGAGAGATGTCACGAAGAGGAGAAAGCACACTATCCACTCGGAGACGTTCAAGTTTGCTGTAGCGGATTGCTTCGCCACTCGTGGTCAGAGAAAGATCGTGAACATAGAGTTCTCGCGCGGCAGATGCGTGGAAGATTTCATTCTTCGGTCCCGCCTTTCTCAACCTCTCGCCCACAGCACAAGCTAATCCTAGTCCCGAAGAGTCGATCAGCACCAATTTCCGCATCGGATTGCTACGCAAATCTTTGGCAAGCATCGTGATGTACTCCTTGGGAACGGCAGTAATCATCTCGTCGCTGAAGCCGGTCAGACTCTTCTTTGCCAGCTTGTCGATGAGAAAGTCGGGATGCTCGGCGAGGACATCAGCAAGTTCAGGATCTTCTTCAACCCTGATCCTTTTCCCGAACATTCGCATTCCCGCAGGTAGATCCTCCACATCCCTGCAGGTGTAGATTCGTACTTTATCCAGCTGCACGGGCTGCCGGAGTTTTTCGGTCACGATGCGGTTCGGGTTATTCTTTACTGCTGGCCGCTGTTCTCCTTTTCCAATCTCACCGTACTCAATTTTCCCTTCAACCTTTCGAGCAGTAGGGTGAGTCTCATTGGAAATTTTCCCTCGGAGCTGAAAAGCGCGCTGCTTCTGCTTGGCAGTAAGAAGGTTTCCGCCATCGTCGGCCACGTGGTAGTAGTAGTCCACAGTCACAAACCTCCCCTTCTCGTTCTGCGGAACCGGAGTAACACCTTCGCGGTTCTGCTTCTTCGACCAATCGTTCACCCAATCTGGAACGAGGCGGGTCTGTTGCTCGACGTCGACAACACGACGAAGACGCACGCGATCCTGCAACCACCCGGGAGTTGCTGGTATTTGTTTTGGTGCAAAGATGACATCTCGAAAAACGGAGTAACCGCCACTATCGCCCGTTCTTTTCAAGCTGTCTTCTGACACCGACCAAATTCCCGGATCCAAATCAGCAGGTTCAGGATTAGCAGCAGCAGGGGGATTTCGAGAGCTAGAACTTCCGCCTTCCTGGTTGGGAGCTGCATCTTCAGTGTCGCGGTTAACTTCTTCGCACAGGATTTCCCCGTGGCACCGCATTGGGAGACACCAACAGCCAAGAATGCAACCCGGCAATTCGGCCCTCGCCTCTTCTACTAAACCCTTCTCACGGATCCAGTGCCGATACTTTTCCAGCACTTCCTCGCGGTCTCCGTCCACGCCGATCCGAAAAGGATTGCCCCACTTGGATCCTCTCCCGACATGAACATGCCGATCGTCCTTACTTTCCCAGTTCTGGATCGAATCCTTGTTGCTCCAATCACAGTTGTGCTCGAGCAGGTTGACTACTGCTGCTTTTCCGGTCCGCACTGGTTGATCCTCTATCACCATGGTTACGCTTCGCTCCTTTTCGCGCTGCAGCTGTGCCGCGGCTGCTTCCAAATTGTAGTCCTCTTCGATAACAACATGCGCGAACTCGCCCTGGCTCACCAGAAGCTTCCCCTTCTTCATCAGTTTCAGATATTGTTTTACAACGCGGGGATCATGAACGAAACGAAGTGGTTCTGGACCCTTACTACGAACCTGGTCCGCAAACACCGGACGCATCCACTCCGACTCGGAGTTGTGTTGCTGGACTGCACGCAGGATTGCGTAGTCGTAGCTGGTCAGGTTGAAGGCTTCTTTCAGGATCTGAGTCTGACCGTTAAAGTTTACTACAGCCTTCCCGTTATGGCCTTCTACCATTCGCGGGAGTCCTGGCTTGTGAATCACGCTCAGAAAGCACTTGTCGTGCAATACCAGTCCGAGCAGGTTCGGTCCCTCCTTGGTAACTGTAGCCATCTCCATCCCCAAACAGTAGAGATTTCCATTTGTGTCAAGCAGCTTATACGGAACCACCACCCGTTTGATTATTCGTCGCTTGCTGCCGCCAATGCCATTGGCATTTTCGTTGTGGCTTGCTTCCTCACGAAGACAGAGCCCGTGCTTCCGTCCCAGCTCCGCACCGCGGTCTGCTGTCAGAAGCGTCAGGTAGTAACAGTTGTTGTAGCCTTCGTCAAATTGTACTTGAGTGGTTTCGGTTGTAAAAAGTACTGATTCTTCTTCACGTGCTGATTTGCAGTTCTTCTCGTTCGGCAAAGTGCCATCGGAAACATTGACTGGTAGTGCTTCTTTTTCGTTGGTACGGCTCGTGGTATCTTCGTTGTTTAAAACTCGATATGTAAAATCACATGGTCGACCGGAAGACTCGTTTTCTTTTCGTATGTTGAGAATGATGGACTCCGCCGCAGGAAAAACACACAGGTCCAGATTGGTTTCCGCGTTGGAGGCGTAACAGGAGCGTTGCAGTGCTGCACAAATGAACTCGTTCAACTTTATCATACACGGTAGTAGAGATTTCGATGGTGATAGTTCTTTGTTTCGAGATTCGTACTGATTGGAAAATTTGTTCTCGTCTGCACCCGGAGAACTCGTCACAAAAACATCTTCAATTGTTTCACTTGAATTTTCGAATTGTTCAGAATTTTCGTTCGTCGGACTTACCACAGACTGCTGGCGCCGCTGCCGAAATCCTCCTCGTCCTGCACCGGATAGCACTCTTCCCGCGTTTCAGTGGTGTGAAACACCTCGCAGTTGCACAGGCAGGTTACAGCAGATCGCTTGTTGTCCTTTTCGTTCAGGACAAAAGACCGCTCCTTGTCGTTGCGATCGATCACGTTCAACATGACCGTGTCGATGTTATTTGGTCCAATTGCAGCAAGGAGAGCAGCGATCTTCTCCTCAAACGACTTCTTCTCGAAGTCTGCCGCCATCACCACCTGCGTCGCTTTGTCATTGCTCTCTTTCAGTAGCGGGCAGTTCTTCTGAACATGTTCCGACGAGAAGCAGCGACCGCAGACACGGGTGTCGTACGTGCACTCCGACGTTTTATGCTGATCAGAATAGCATTTGCGGCAGCGGGTCCTCGACTCACCTTTGATCTGAATCTCCGTTTTACTCCCCTTGTTCCTCTTTCCCTTTCCGTTTCCCTTTTTTACACCCTTGCGGTTCCCGCGCGACTGCCACGGTCCGACTGGGTTGGCAGGGTTGTACTTGTAGTTGGAATCGGGATTCGCCTTCGCTGCAGCAGCATTTTCACCTTCATCACCATCCTCGTCTTCCTGTTCCTCACCATACCAGTTTCCATCTTCCTGCATCCACTGCTGGAGAGCTGCGACCTGCTCTTTCAAGGCCATCACCTCCGGAGAGAGACCAGTTTCTTCCTTGTCCGACTTCCCTGGTTGAAAACCATCAAGACCTTCCTCCCAGTCCAAGTACCGCATCAGGTTTTCGAAGTACGGGACGTCCGGAGAGGCGAAGCTGTGGTGCGACATGAAAGCCCGGGTCACACTGCGGGGCCAGTGGTCCTTCACCTTGTGCTGGAAGGCTTCCCACAGGTTCTTGCGCTCCAGGTGGTTCCTGGGGAACATGTTGATCCGGATTTTTTCAGCCAGCCCCAAATACCTGGTCAAGCAGAGTTTCGGGGTTTCTCCCTTCAGCATCTTGAAGTCGTGAATCTTGTTGGTCTCGTCCCGGTTCACGATGAACGCTTTGGGATACTGCAGGTAGTATGCCTGGACCAAATTGCTGAAAGTGAGAGTTGTCGGATCATCACGATCAAAAATCCCCGTCGCCCGCAGTTTCTCCTTTTGTCCTTGCGCGAGACAGTGATTGAATCGAGACGCCTTTGCTGATTTCTGATTTATGTTGTACAGCATCTCTTTCACGTACTTCGACTCGTAGCTGTGCGGAAACAGGTAGCGTTCGCCTTCCTTTTCGTAGCAGAACTTGGTCAGCTCGCTCTCGAGCGCAGTGAAGAAGCCAGCAAGAGAAGTATGTTCTTCCACAGTGGGCATGCCTCCCTCTGGCAGGCGGTCTTTCACTTTCAGGAGGAGATGTGGGTGAGCACCAGTGGTTCGCAGGTCAATACCGCGTTCTTTGCAGTAATCGGACTCAAACTGGATGAGACTGAAGCGAAACTTCCGACGCTCAACACCAAATCCTCGACCGTTTCCACCGTCACCTGGTGGGCTGCCGCCTGGTGGTCCTCTCGGATTTCCCGGAATGAAGGGTGGTTCTTGATTGTATCCACCCATCGGTGGGGAACTCGCTCCACTGTCAGGCGACCCTGGTGGGCTTCCACCGTTCGGGGGACTACCACCCCAGTAACCACCGCCTCCACCAGGTGGGCTTCCTCCAAAACCGCCGCCCCCTGGATGGTTATTCTGCCCGTTGTTGTTGAACGGGTTATTTGAATTCGGAATCGGCTGCTGATTCTGTTGTCCCGAGTTGTTCCCGCCGAAACCTCCACCATTTCCACCAGATCCAGATCCACCCACGGCACCAGTTTGGTATCCTTGAGACCCGTAGTTGTGGACATATGGGTTATTGCTGGTGGCTGACGGTGCTGCACCGTTGTAGTTCTGGGCTTGCAACAGCATGGTCCCGTTTCCGTTCTGATAATTCAGAAGCCGCTGCTGGTAGTTGTCATGCAGCGTATGGACACGTGATGCTCCTCCTTGTTGCATTGCAGCACTGACGTGGTTGAGGTTTGTGGTATTGAACACTGCTGGTGTTCCCGTTCCGCTTCTTTGCTCATGCGACACGAAGGAATTTTCCGCAGCGAGATTGACAGAATTTCTTCTGCTTTGAGTCTCCTGTACAACTCTCCCGAAGTCTTCCTTGCCGAAGACCGGAGTCTGCTGCATCATGGTCTTTCTTCCTTCCTCGGTAGCAGGCTGCATGCCGAGTCCCCACATGATGGTGCCTGCGTCAACTCGTCTCTCAGTTGGTAGCAGGTTTTGGAACTCGTGGATCAACTCCAGCGCCTTCCTGCGCTTGTCCCGGTCCGGATCCTCACTGTAGATTGAGCCGCCGTCCTTCACAGGCGAGACGTGGATGTAGTCCTTCTCCGTATTACTACTTTCCTTTCGTGGAGCACCCAGATGCAGCGAGCTGATGCTGGAACTGGCAGAAGATCCAATGTTGTACTCCTGTATCGGTGTCGGAGTTTGCAGCAACGGAACCTCGCTTGGTACCAGGTTCTTTCGCAGAGCGCTCACTGGACTATTTGAGATCTTTTCAACCCGGTTCCGTGCTTCCAGCAGTTTGGAGACCACGGCTTCCAGTTCCTCTATCTTCTTGTCACGCTGCGCGTTGTGGTCGTGCTGTTTGCTTGCGACCTCATGCACACTGCTAGCACCGAGGGAGAGCAGCTGAAATTCCTCTTTCATCTTCCGAATTTGATCCTCAGTTGCAGCGAACTTCTGATTCACGTTCTGGAACGTTCTCTGAGTCTGATCATCCGTGGCTGCAAACTTTTGATTCAGAATCACGCCGTCTTGCTGGATTGTTCCCTCCTGTGCTTGCCGGCGCTCTTCAAGAAAGCGAATCTGATTCTGTTGCTCTTCTTTCTCCTTTTTGAGTTGCTCGGTTAACTGCATGAGAGCAGCAAGCTGTTCCTGCTGATTCTGATTCTGCGAGTTCAGAAACACCGCGGCATCAGCAACCTTCTTGACTTCCTCGTGTCGTTGCTGATTTTCCTGATTCAGAAACTGCGCGGCTTCAGCAAGCTGATTTTCCTGATTCCGCAGAATCGTGGTCCGGCGCACCAGTTCCTCACGAGTATCCACAGCGTGTTGGCCGATCATCTGGTCGTAGATGGAGGGCTTGCCATGACCTGGAATCCCTTGGTCGACGTTGATGGGATTTCCCGCGGATCCCAGTGGAGCAGGACTAGCTGTAGTTGACAGAGTCGACCCTGTTATCAGCTGATTCTGGTTGTTCACAAACCCCGGCGGTGGCTGCACTGGAATCATTCCAGTTTCCTGGTTCATAACCGCTACCTGCTGGTTGTTCAAGTTTCCTCCGAGCGGAACGAGTGGTCCTGCCTTCGGTTGGGCCGGAACAACTTGCAGCCCCAGATTCCCGTTCTCGAGCGGGCCATTCCTTGCCATTGGTGGCAGTAACTGCGGAAGAGCCGGAGGAGGAAATGGGGGAACTCGTCCATGGAGGGGAACGTCATCTCCTGGAGAGTTGTTCACGGTAGCTGACTGTTCACTAGCAGCCGCCACATCTATTCCCGGTGGACCGTTTATTCCTGCACTCCGCATGCTCGCGTCCGACGGAGTGATGGTGTTCGAGGCCATCTCGACGTCGCCGTTCTAGTAGCTTAGCAGATTGGGCTCGTATCAAAGCTGCGACGGAATCGAAGCGTGTTATCGCTAACCTTCGAGTCCGCTACCACTGACTTTTAGAGTAGTGGGATCCTGAAGGTGATCTCTTATTCAGCGTCGGTTGGATTGAGAACAGCGTCGGCAGAAGGCATCAGAATTGTGTTGAATTTTGAGTGTGTTTTTATTTTGGTTTTGATTTGTCTTGCTCGTTCGAAACGACAACAAACAAAAGGTTTACGATAGTGGCGTCTATCGCGGATGTGTTTTTCACGGGTTCATTTCATGTGTGAGATTTTGGCATGAAGCATTTTTGTTCATTCATGAAACCCAAACAAAACTTGTTGTGACTCTCGTGAATTTGAAGCAAAGAAAACATCAAGAGTTGTGTTCAAAGAAACAGTTTCTCCCTCAAGACAATTGTGGTAAAAACTTTAACATAAACAAACGCCCGATGACTTTTCTTCCCCTCTCTTTCTCTCAATCAAACAAAGTCAATCCAACCGACACTAAATCGAACATGACCTTCAGAATGTCATATCGACAATAATATTACAAGAAAACTATAGATGCGAATACGTGCTCTTTTCTTGTTCCTACTTTCTCGAAGTCAGAAGATAGTAAATTTTCAACAACTACAGCCTATAACAATTGCACCTGCTCCGTAGAATCTATCCGAAAGCTTTTTCGCAACGATCATACAGAAACTCTTAGTTTCGATCTAGAATTGTTATAGTCGGCGAGTAGAAAATTGTCTAAATCCTGTTGTCTCGCTGGTGGTGTTTTTGTTTTATTATTCCAATGTTTCGTGTTTTTGCCCAATTTACGAGAGCGAAAATGTTGATCATGATGTAGGGGAAAGAAAAAAAATATGAGCAGAGGTCATGCGGTGAAATACAAATAGAAATAGATATGAAGATCGATGCGGGGTTCTTGAGTATTGTATTTTTGCGAGCGAAATTCTTGATCGAAATCACGTGCGTTTTTTTTGGGTGGAGTTCAAAGTGAGTCCTGTTTTTATGAAGAAATTCGGATCGCAATTCAAATAAATCATAGCTGATTGATGTGAACCGAGCTGCATCTGTTGTCGTGAAGAACTAGTGATCGATTTTTCATCGTATTTTTCTTTCCGTTTCCTTTTTGCGCTCACACATCACTCCTTTTTGCGTCTTCTACCATAAAACTATCGCACAAAGTGGAAATTGCTGAGTCTTGTAGTTCGGGATCGATGAGACATTATTTTCCTTCGAATTCATTTTCACTTTTTTTCCGCGAAAAAGATCATGATCACTCATCAGCAAAAAAAACGACCGACGTTTCGATGGTATAATATGTGTATCCGATTCATCTTGCTTTCATTCCGGTTTCTTTTTTCACTTCCCTGCATTATAGCAGCAACTATGTTGGTATTCCGTCTGAGCCAGAGCCTGCTCAGCCTTGTACTTTTAGTTGTTTTATTTCGTACTAGCTGCTGCAGCGAGCTGCTGCTTCCGTGTCTGGGTCTATCATGCATAGCACGGCGCACAACATGCAACATCAATCATTGACCGCGACTCATGGCCTATTTCTGAAGCGGACTTTCGATTGTTCTCATTCTGGCGCCCCAAGTAGACAAAGACGAAGAGGAACACAATGTCGAGGACATGAAGACAAGATAGACACCTTCGCCAACATGAAACAAAACGAAGGCCTTCACTGCAGGAGTCATCCTCCTGAAGAGTAGCGTCAGCGTAACTGGGCTTCAACACTTTTTTTTCTTTCAGCGAATCAAAGTATTCAGTATGAAATTTGCGGCAATGTTAAAGCTCGTTTTGAGACTGGAAACTTTCTTTTCCTCTGTTCGTTACTCCTCCCTACAACTCCTCCCTACAACTTCGTTAAAAGGTTTCTTCGAATTACCTCCGGAGCTTACTGCAATCATCCAACGACTTGCTTCTTTGCCCAGCGATACGTCGCCGAAGCTTGTAGTTCTCGTTGATCCTGGTTGTAGATTTTTCGAGTCCGCGTGCTGCGGACTCATGCAGACAGGACTGAAACCACGAGTCTGTCTGCATAGCAACGCTGTAGATTAGAGCTACGAACAACATGAAAATACTGTCTCTACATAAGTACATATACTACTTGAGGCTCTGAGGAAATGTGTAAAGCCGTTTGCTACGCGCTTGATGTAGTAGATCAGTCACTCTCGTCTCTACTACACGAAGGCTAGCACTGGATCCAGCTGACGCAGTTGACGCAAGATGAAAAGAAAAGTTCTTTACTTCTTTCCTGCTCAAGAACCCAGCAGCATCAATCTTTTTCTTCTTATACTTGATATTTTCGGTGATACAAGTTTTTGCATATTTGTTCCCATAAATACAGCTGTATTCCCTTTGAGGATGAAACTAAGTGTACATTTTCAACAATTTCGATTTGCACCTCCCTCTTCACCAATTTCTTCCCGATCTATCTGTATCACGTCGCCCACTCTCTTCTACGCGAACAGATCCTCCCGATCTGCTTCCTGTGCTTTGTCGTTTTCCTGTTGGTTCATACTCTCCGTGAAGGTCAAGAAGTGCTGGGGTCGGTGGATTTCGTGGTGAAACTCATTCGGCGTCTCTAGGACGAGGGAGTACCTGTTGGATGTGCATGGCAATGTTGGTTTTTCCTTTTTTCTCCACGATTTTTTTTCGTCTTCTAGGTCGAACGCGAAACTCATGTTGCTGCACGCGCGCGTTGGAGCGCACGGCCACCTGGGTTTCTTGCGTAAGTACTACCGCACATCAAGCGTATGGACTTTGACACACCAAAATTTCTTCTACCATGAAATGACAAACTGATGCAAAATTAATAAATCACAACAAGTAGTAGTAGCACGTACTTCATGTCCGGTCGCATTTTGGATCCCATGAAGTGGTAGTTCCACAGGCCTCCCTCCGGGACCATGAAGAAGCCCAAAAAGATGTCCGAGAGCAACAGCTGCGCTTTTTCCGCAAACTCGGGTTTGTAGCCGGACGGCTGCGGGTTCTGCACGTCCTTGTTCGTCTTGGCCCACTGGAAACCCTGGGACGTGAGTCGCCACGCGGTCAGCGAACAGGAACCCGGCGTGAAGGAACAGGTACCTAGTTTATTTGGAGAAACGTCCGAAATCTGTCCGGCGGGCGCGCGGTTGTGTTAGTGTAGTCTAGTATCTCTTATGTTCTTCACCACTAGAAGTAGAGCCAACATCTAGTCACAACGAGCAGCCAAAAAAAATAAAACTTCCATCTTATAGAACGTACCGATAATCGCCTGATCTGCGAGCCAGCTCTTGTGTTCGGTCATGATTCGCGCGTGCTGTGTCATGTCAATTGCGGAGCAGTCCTTGAATTCTGCGGATTGCGTGTGCAGCCACCCGAGGGGTTCCAGATCCTTCAAGAATTCGCCCGTTGCAACCTCTTCCGGCAGCAAATTCGGTAACTGCACGGACTGGTGCGTCCCCAACTGCGGCACCAGCACCATGCACCAGATTTCCTTGACTTGCGGGGAGTCGGCCGGAGACTTTCCGTACAGATACACCGCCACCTGGGTGCGCAGGTCGGAAATGCAGATAAACTGTCGCAGGATATTCTTCGGCATCACGTAGGTGTATCCGGACTCTCGAATGTCTTCGGAGTTCACGTACAACTGATTGGTACGCAGGTGCAACGTCGACGCGGCAATGGCCCGGACGCGCCACTCGGTTTTGGACGCGAATCGTTGGTTTTCGTAGGGAGAGACGGTGGTGATCACCATTTCTTGCCCGTGCACGTTCAGAGTCTTGGTCGTGACCTGGAATTTTTCGTTTTGAAAATAAATTTTTATATAAATTTGTCACATACTTGCTATTGGTACATGCACATCATGACACCACTGATGACATGCTGCCGTGCGTGGTGTGCTGCCTCCTCGCGGAATTTGCAACAGACGGCGGGGACGGCAGTAATGCACAAGCTACAAGAACTTACTGATTCTTATTGTGGTTCTTCGCCTTCCCCTTCTCGCACTCACGACTTACACTTTCAACATTTTAAAAAATCTATACCGTCGTGATTGCGTTGCTTTCCTTTCCGCTCTTTTCCAGCTCCTCGATTTGTTGTTTCTGCAGGGTCGGCGGCGCGATCTCCATCCCCAGGATGATGTCGCGGATTTCGTTCTGCGTGAGTGCCCCGACGTTGATGTTGTGTCGCTTTCCGTAATCTGCGAGGATCAAATCTCGCATCTGCACCTCCACTTGCATCCACTCCTGCTCCGTCAACGTCGGCCACACGTGGTGCTGCTGCGTGATGGTCGTCTTGTCCGGGCGGAGGATGACCTTCGTGCGGTCGGACGCGACACGCAGGGCACGGAGGATCAGCAGCAGGCGACTGAAGGCGGTGTAGGGGGAAATCGTCTTCAGCCAGTCGTCGTACAGGTTGAAGAGAACCATTTCCGGCTGCGTCGCTTTCAGGATCAAATCCCCGAACTTCTCGATGCTCATACAGGACATGAAGGGCAGCATCAACTCCGAACCCTTGATCACGATGTTGGGGAAGTCCAGCAAGTGCACCTCCAGCGGGTCCAACATACCCTTTCGCGTCACGATCAGCTGGCGTGGCTGTTCCTCCGGCGGTAGCGACCGAATCAGCGCGGCGACCTCCTCCGCCGTCTTCCACCTGGCCAACTGCGCCAACCGCTTCTGCCCCGCCCACACGGAGGTGTGGATAATTTTCAGGAACAACTGCCCGGTCCGCGGGTTGAAGATGAAGATCGCCCCGTTCACGGGTTTGGTCGTCATGTTTCCCTCGAACGTTCGGTGGATGGTCACGCGGTACACGTTCGTGTCGTCGATGAACCAGATAATCTGCGAGCTGAACAATTCGCCGAAATTGGTCGAGTTCAGGTACGGTTCCGTCGCTTCGGAGGAGTAGAGTTGCAGCCCCTTACGGACGCGTTCGCGCATCACGTACATCGCCGGATTTGCCTTCATGATCTTATTCATCGCACGGTGCAGCAACGGCTTGACGCCCGGAAACCAGTTGCCGAAGCCCGAGTGCAGGTTGTACGCCAGGTCGACCGCGAGCAGGACGCCGGTGGGCGAGGGGTAGATGGACATGTTGTCGGTCGTGTAGTCCAAAAACTTCGCGCGGCAGTACCGCTCGATGTCGTGCGAGTCGTAGTCGCCCCACCGCATCTGCATGTCAACCCAGTACTTCTGCGACACCACTCCGGGGTCGTTTGCGTCCTTCGACTCGGTCAGCAATGAGGGTTTGGAAATGGGCCACCGGTGCGAGGCGAACAGCAGGATGTCGGCGCACGAGGAGTTCATCTTGTAGGATTTACGCGGGTGGATCGTTTCCTTCTGCACCATCTCGATTTCAAGTGTGTCCAGCTCCAAATCAAACACTTGACACAAATCCATCACCAGCGACTCGTGGATCTTCTGCCACAAGTGCGCGCGGAAAATCTGGATCAGCGAGATCTTCAGCGTCGGAATCTTGCCGTGCATGAAGATTCCCGTTAGATCCAACTGCACCTGGAACCCGACGTACACGTTCGCGCGATTGATGGTCGGCGACCACCACAGGGTGAACCGCCGGTTGGGGATCTGGTTCAGACCACTGCGTTGCGCGTTGGTCAGCGACTTGAACTTCATGGCTTCCTCGAACCCACTCGCCTTCTCCCAAAACAGACCCTCCCAGGTCGGGAAGTAGGTGCCCTTGAAGAGCGTGTGCTCCAAAATCCCCTCCACACCCCCGAGCGCCTGGATCATATCGGTTCGGTAGTTGTTCAGATTCCACAGCTTCCCGTCGTGTCGCTGGTGGGTCCAGGAAAAGGGGTTCATGCGGAGGATTTGGTACTGCTTGAAGTCCTGCCGAATTCGCCACCCCTTGTCAAAGGCGAGCGTGTGCCGGTCCTTCTGGAACAGCGTGTTAATACGCGGCACCCCGCGGTCCCAACTGTCCTCCAAATCTTCTAAGGTTAATCTCCGGTTTTGCGTGTTCGCCTCCTGTTTCTTCAGCGCGAACTCAGCCCACACGCGCTGACTGTCGAGGAATTCCTGCTCCCAGGTCTGCATGTACCGGTAAAGGTTCGGAATCAGCTGATCCTCCTCGTGCGAAAGACCCGCGCGGAAGTGCGTAATACCCGTGTCGGTCTGCCGGGTGTACCTGTTTAAAGTTTTTTCGTGGCGCATTAAACTTAGGAATAGAAGCAGGAGTAGATTCGCTGTACTCAAATTAGATCTGCTTTACTCGAGAGACATTCGCTGTCATGTAGTACGGTGGGTGCTGCTTGTAAAAGTAAATCACACTGTAAATAATCACATAGCCATCACATGATGCAGTTCTAAGTCAGGATCAGTGTCATCAGTACCTCAGATCGCTTTGCGGAATGAGGATGTGTCCCATGGACAGCATACCCAACCCCCCCAACTCTTTCGGTGTGTAAAAGACCACCGGCGGGAACCTGGACGGCATTTTCGAGTTCAGGCCGATCTTGATGCGCGTTTGGATCTTGTTCTCGCACTTCACCAGCAGGTCCAACAAGACGTCCGTGTGAATGACTGCCTCGCGGTAGTAGGTCATGAGCCCGATCAGGGCGGTGTTCCACTTGTTCGCGATTTTTGTGAAGGTCGTGGATCCGGAGGCCATCAGCACCTGTCGGACCCGGTTCTCAAATTCCTTGCAGCCGTCGTCCGCGACCCGCAGGAATGCCTGCGCGGTCATTTCCTTCGTGCTGTCGTTCTGCAGTTTCCACGCGCCCTCCTTCATGGAGAACGTTTCCTGGTACGTCCGGATTTTCGGCAAAATCCGGACCTCGAACCCGCACATGTCGTAGAGTAGATTTGGATTGTCTTTCGAGTACACGGAAACGAAACTGTTGTCCCAGTCGAGGAAGGTCAGCGACCGGGGTAGTCGGTTCTGGATCTCCCAGAAGACCGCCCGCCCAAGATTCACGTCGTGCTTGATTCTCCGCATGCGGCAATCCCGGGGCCAGCAGGGTTTGTTGTTGTAGCCGACAATGTTCTCGTTGTTCGGATCCGGGTTCTCGGTGAGGTACCGTTGAATCAGATCTCTTGACTCTTCCTTGCTGAACAGAAAGACCATCCAAAATTTCTCCAGGTACCGCACGTAACACCTGACCGGGTGTCTTGTTTCGGTCTCCACGTCCGGAAATTGGAGGAATTCGTTGGGCAGTTGCGGCGGACCGGCCAGCTCAGACGCGCGGGTCAGCCCGAGAGACTGGGGTGGGTTTTTGATTTAGTTGATAATCAAAGGGTTTCTCTTGTGTGTCTAAAGCGCAAAAAAAAACATTTTTGGAAGTAATGAAGTAAACAAGAGAAAACATGAAAAGTCCAACAGAGAAGTTGTTTCTATACCAGCAGATCCAGCACGAGACACCAGTACTGGAAGACGAAACTGGAGAATTGCAACCCGCGGATGATCCCGTAGCAGTTGGTGTGACTCATGTCTTTGTAGTTGATGCTGCAATTGTTTTTCCCACTCATGTAGTCTGCGATGTTGTGATCGACGATCAAGCGCAGCAACCTGTTCAGCAGTGTCAAGTCGATTTTGGTCGCCACCTGCTCGAACTTGGACTGCATCATGACCACACACTGCCCGTTGTTCGTTTCCCACACCTCGTTCAAGTTGTTAATTCCCTGCGCGAATTTGTAGACCAGCAGCGGCGGCGGCTCCGAATCGGCCGGTTTGATCCAGTTCGGGAATAAGCCTCGGGCGTCGCCCTCGTACCAGAGGTACTGGTCCAAGTACGCGTCCGTGATCTTTTCCAGCGGCTCCACCTCGTAGACCGGGACCAAATTCGCGTACACGTCCTGGAATTCCACCGTGAGTTCCTTGAAAGCCCGCATGGTCAGCAAGTGCCTTTTGATGCGCCCCAGGGACTCGTGCGGATTGTCGTAGGCTTGTTCGATCAGCCCGAGCTCCTCTCGCTCCTGCTGGTTCAGCCGCGCTTTCATGCCGAAGGTCTCCTTCAAGCGTTCCAACGCCAGAATCAGCAACTTCGTGTCGTGTTTGTAGTTGATGGGCGGGAACTGGATGGGGGCAAATTTCCGCGATTCCAGCCAGTGCACGACGGAGGTGTAAATCGCCACCGCCTCTTCGCCACTCAAGTACGGTCCGTCCTTCAGGTAGTTCTGTTGCCGTTCCTGTTCCGTCTTCAACCACAACCGGGTCAGCCGTCCCAGGTTCTTCTTACACACGGTCTTGTCGACCGTGGCACCGCGGCGGATCCGCTCGCGGTTGTAGTAGGCCGCGTTGGTCCACCAATCGGCCTTGGATTTCACGTACCGCAAAATCATGTTTTCGATGGGCGCGGGCAGACCCGGCACCTTCCACGGGATGTTGGCCTTCCAGCACCGCCAGGCCTCGGACAAGTGCTGCAAAATCGTCTTGGACTTGCTCGCCTTCAAGCCCTGCGGCATCATGTCAACGATGTCGTGCATCATATCAAATGTAAAAATGTCTGGGTCTGGAAGAATGCAGATTTTTGTCATGCTGTTTTTGCATGACACAGAATGTCTGTCATGGAAGCCCTAGCATCACAGATTTCGAGAAGCTTCCGCATTGCTTTATCCGCATCACAAATCCCCCATTTTGGTGACAGGAAATGGGCACCTTTTCCTGCCTATGCATGAGAGATTTGTCTGTGTTGTGAAATGCGCATCACAAGTTCCAACTTTCCAGACCCAGACATTTTTACATTTCATACATCACGGACGCGCGCAACTCCAGGTCGTACGTGGATTCCACTCGCTGTTTCGTGTATTGAGAGGAAAAATCCCCCCTCCCCATATCAAAACGGAACTTCTGATGCTGGATTTGTGTACACAAATCAGACTTGTCTTGCAGAAAGTGCTGGGCGGCATTTTCTGAGCCTGTTTGGGTATGCAGAAGGCTAGCAATTGCGCATGGCAAACAGGTTTGCAGCATTCGAAAGCGCATGACAGACTTGCTCTGGAATGCGTTAAGTGGCTCCTATGACCCTATACGCAAGACAAAGATGATTTGTGGTCACAAATGTGCATCACAAATTTCCGTTTTAATATGGGGAGGGGGCATTTTTCATTTTGATATCGTGATCGTTTTCGCTACACCCTTGCTGACACGCCCCTCAAACTGCCTCGCGAGCAGGTTGCCCAACCACCGCTCCAGCAGGGGGACCACCCCGCGGAGGAAGAAGAGCCACACCCGCCACCCCGGGGCCCAGAACCCGCAGCCCGGGCCCTTGCCCACCGGCCCGGTGTTGAAGCGGTAGTAGAGAAGGTGCTTCAAGTCCTTGCACATCCGCACCTGCCGCATCAACCGGTACTTGTAGCGGTACATCCCGGTCAACTGACCGACGTGCGCGAAAATGTACTGCAGTCCGTCCGCGAATTATGAAAACGAAAAATCGTCGTTGGTAATATCTCGAGATCTTTCAAGATGCATTCACTCATGTCCATCTCGCATCATTACGGACGAGATACCTGTACTCGCACTAGCGGTAAGCGCACAGCCACAGCACGCAGGACCAGTTACTTACTTCCTTGTTTCATAAGGCGCACAAAATCAGCTTCCTTTGATTATTTGCAACGCAGACACGTGCTCGTCATGCCAAAATGATGCAAACATATGCTCTTGCAACTAGAAGTAGACGTCGAGAACAAGATACCCGACGCAATTTTTTTCGTTTTCGTATCAACTGGTAGGCGTCGACGTTCCCTAAGCGGTACTGGACGTGGGAATCCACAACCAATTTCGTCAACCGCAGGATTTCTCGACACAGGTGGAACGCGTTCCCGAACCGGGACTTCTTTCTTTCCTTTGTCGTCAACGTTTTCACGGGTTTCAAGTTGAAGTTGTAGTCCAAATGCAGGTAGTTCAGGTTTTTCCGGTGGATCAGTAAATTGAGCATGTTGTAGCCCTGGCGACAGACCTGCAACCCGACCTCCACCCAGTCCAGCGTGGTTTTCTGGAAAAACTTCGTCGCGGCGAACACCTTGAACATGTCCCTTCGGTTCTGGCTGCGCGGCTGCCGCTTGTGCAGCGCGTTCAGCACCCAGCATTTCAGCAGCTTCTGGTAACTGACGCGCACCTTGATCGGGTTGGTGCTGGGGCAGTGCTCGCGGAACCACTGCTGTACCAGCGGCACGTCCTGGGCGCGGCGGGTCATGCCGGCCTTCTGGTTGAAGGGGTGGGGGGCCCAGTACAGCAGAATGCCCTGCGCGGTCTCCTCCGTGAACAGCGGGGTTTCCTCCAGGAGCGGGCTCACGTCCTGCGGCAACTCGAAGTCAGTCAGGAGAGACTCGATGTACTCCTCTTCCTCCTTCTGTTCCTTTTCCTGTTCCCCGGACACCGCATTGGTGGACAAAGTTTTGTAGGCCGGCAGGGGGTGGATGATGGGGTCGTAGTAGAAAGCCGGGAGGTCGGGATCGTCGGCCTTGATGTAGCACACGTGGGGGGTGAAGTAACGGACGAGGGCGACCTGAGTGGTGATGCAGAAACAATGAAATAGAAATTCTATTTTGTAGTATATAATGTTGGCTACTTCGTCACCTCTTGTTGCTATAGCGGAGCTAGGTATAAGCCTATTTTTCCATCGCAGTCGCCAGATTCATCAGGCCCGAATGTTTCTTCACAGACAGGCTGCACGATCAAAGAAATAGAAATCGAAATCAACAACAAGCTCCTCTACAATAAATCAATTCCTGTCCTCTTACCTTTCTTGGCCGGTTGTTGTAGACGAAGGGAAAGGCGATTTTGTACTCGGTCCGAATCGGGTGCCGGATGATCAGTTTTGCGATGTCGTTGAATTCGTTCCAGTCCTCGTCCTCGGCAAAGTTGTCGCGGTACAGCGGCTCAAACTTCGGCCCACCCGGGATCGCAAGGTTCAATGCCTTCGCCGTTTTGAAACTCTGGAGGTCGAAGAGGTAAAAGTAATTGCGGTCCAGCAGGTCGGACACCAGTTGGTTTGCCAACCGGTACAGCACGCCCATCTGGGCGAGATTCAAGAACCACTTTTTGTAGGACTTGCCGTTGATGTGGTTTTCCATATTCGCCAGGGGTTGGCTGTCGTAAAACCAGTCGATCACCGGAGCGGCTTATGGAAGGGGAGAAATGCTGCTTCGTTCTTCACTGCGATCAACTTTATGTGCAGAAAAGTCAAAACACGAAAAGCGGCCCTGTTGTCTTCCTGTTGTCCGAAACCGGCATGTCTACAGTTCCTATTTGGTTTTCTGCAAGAATGTGCTATATGCATTGCAAATGGAAATGTCCAGCCATGCTTTTAGATTTTGATTTTCAATATTATCACAGAAATGACGAAACAGATTTTTCTCCTCCCGATACGTCCTCCTGTTCGTCCAGTCGCATCTGAATTGCCTCCAATGGCTCCACATCTAGGACGTTGTCGCCGTAGTCGAGCGGCGGCTCCTCGTCGTCGAAGGGTGGAAATCGCATTCGCTTAAAATGTCGCCGGTCGCGCTTCTCGCGGCGCATCATGATCCACATTGTGGCCCACTGCGCAATAAAAATAGGCTCGACCACCTTCGGGATCGACGCGCAGAAGGTGATCGCGCCGGTGATGTGGTACACGACCTGGAGTGTGATGTAGTTTTCTTTCCAGAGTGCAACTCTTTCTATATTTTCGATTTTCAAGATAGTGATTTTTCCTCCGTCCCCCTGTTCATAGAAACAAAATCATCAGAAAAAAATTGAAGATATCCTTCCCCAGTTCCTCCATTACCTGCACATTTCGGACTTGCTCCCAGGGGTATGGCATGTTTTCCAGCAATTTGTATACTGCGTGTGGTACGTACTTCAACGCACCCAGGTAGACCCTCTTGTCGTGGCGGAACTTCCGACTGGTCATGTCCCCGTGGTCCTTGATGATTTTCCGCAGACTCGCGGGGTGCATTTCCTCCTTGCCCTGGTCCGTGTGGCCAAATTTTCGCTTTTGCCCGAACCGCCGCGCGTTCAGTGCCTGCCACTTCCGCGCTTTTTCGTCTAACGCGTCCATGCGTGCCTGCTCCTCCGGGTCCACCTCCATCGGGTCAGAGGAAATTGGGCCAGGACCGAGCAGTGACTGGTCTGGCATCATCTGCATATTCATCATGTCAGCGGAAAAAGCGCCGTTTATGGTACCACCGGCGGCCATCATACTAGGGTCCATTCCCGGTGGGGGCGGGACCATCCCGGCCGGAAGACCGCCCATTCCCGGAGGCATCGGGATACCCGGTGGTAGGGGAACTTGGCCCTCGAGACCGGCCTGTTTTGACGATAATATCAAGGTGTGTTGCGAAAGTCAAAGTTTATTGACGATGAGTTTCCTTCGGCTTCGCGCGAATCTGCACATAAATTAGTCTTAGTGTAGTTAGATGTAAATGTCTAAGATCCGATGAGAACTACACGCCACGTTCTCGCGGTTTTTGTGCAATAAAGCCCGGCTGCACGTGCATGCATTCTGCCCCGTTTTCACATGATCAAATTGAAGTTTCTTCAATCGTTATCACGAGAAGCAGCTACAGACGAGCACTAATGGGATTACCAATTCAAGATTCCACAGGTACATTCCTGTGGCACGCTATTCAGTACAGCAAGCAAAATTGCCATGGAAATATAGATGCAGGTCTACTTTCATTTGATTTAAGCAATATTATACCTGTCCCGCCGCCTGTTGCATTTGCTGGAGCATCATTTGCTGCATTTGTTGCAAATCCCCCGGCGGCGCCACGCCCGGCGGGAGGGGAATCCCGGGAGGAAAGCTCATGCTGCTGGTGGTCGCCGGGAGATTACTATATTTTGATGACGTCGCTGGTCACGAACTTGTCAACTTCCCTCTTTGAATCAAAACTTGTTTGCCCCGGTTCTGGCGGTTTTGGTGTCGGCTTGGAGGAAATTCTACGTTCACCTCCACGACACGAGGCGTCATGGATGTACTTGCGCGAATATCAAAATGATTCAGAGTGGGGACAAAGATGAAAAAGGCGAAGTCTAATGAATGCTATAAATATGCGGAGTGTACGTAGTTTTCTTACGGCCGCCAAGGCAAATGCGGTACTTCTACACTAAGCAAAAATAATTTCTTGGAAATTTGTAAACCTCGCTACTGCCTCGGACCAAAATTGATAACTAGAACTCAATTCAAACCAGAACATCAGCATCTTTCCGCTTTGCTCTGCATGTCCATTCGGTGAATTCTCGGTGAAGATCGGAAGCTGGATATCTCACTAAAGCGCGGGTCGCTAATTGAAAAACTGGCATGTGCTGATTCCGAAAATCAACTACAATTGTATAAATTACAATTCTGATCACGATCTACTACAACATGCTTCTTCTCTAACCTTAAAATGAAAAAGGATCTTCTGTCTGAGTTATCAGAGCGGATTTATTCTTCACATGATCATCATCACGCTGAACAAATGAGCGAAGGATAGCACGCAATTAAAGCATAGGCATTTTGATTTCGTCGACATGTGTGCTTGGGGCGTCTTCGGCCCTTGTCCGCCTGCAAAAAAAGCCAATGACATGCGAGACGATCCATGTTGGACGGGACAAAGGTCGAGGTCTGGGGAACGGAGCAACATTCAAACCTTCTGATTGGTGATCTTTATCTTTCAGTACACAGCGTCCTAAATTTGAATTTCCTTACAACATCATCTATGATCACTTTTTTGAACCAATGACCACGAGTAGCACAGACTTTTGCGAGAAACGAGCAGGTAGTTTCTATGTATCTCCTCCTTCTTGTTCGTAATCTGCATGTACATTCTACGTTCCCACTTCAAATTTTTTTTAGAGCTTTATCTTTAGGTGGCGCGCCCCGGCCCTCGTAGTTCGCACTTCTGATGGTGAGTAGACACTACAAAGGCCGGCGAGTTCCGCACTTCTGTTGGTGCGCGTGAGGTCGGCTGCCAGTGCAGCCAGGATAATGTTCTTTCTTTACGTATATATTGTTTATACTCCCAACGATTTGAGAATCATGGGGCTGTGATCTAATCGACACAACCGCAAATTTTTTGACTACAAGTAGTGTTGTCAATAAAATAAAAATTACGAGGACTTCTAAAGTTCTTCTGGTTCTTGCTTAGTCTTGGCTAACACACAACAAATTCAAGGATGCAACATATTTTCACTTTGTTCGTTTGTTTCCTGCTCTATGTGTTGATCGCGCGAAAGGTCCATACATTGCAACTCGATTTCGCCTAGAAATGCGAGAATCAAATAAAAGTGGTTGCGATTGGTCTCGTGTGGATTATCTTTCTTGTGGTCCAGCTTCACAAGGTAGTCGACCCCACAATAGATTTCTATGGATCACATGATCCGGGAGTCACGACGACCTACAGATCTCCTGGTCTCGGAACATCGCCACGATTCATCGTCGTCAAAGATTGCAATGAGAGAAATTTGTTCTCCAACTTCGAGGGTATTGGCATGACCATGACCGCAAGGCTCGCGACGTCGGTTTCCATTCTTATATATTTCGAAGTTGTAAAAATGTAAACTAGTCGGCTTTAAATTCAAAATTTTCTCCCACAAACTGGCATCAAATAACCCAAACAACAGCCGACCTGAATGCAGAAACCTAATGCCAGAGAGGAGGTCATCCTCGTGAAATCCATACATAGAGACTCGATGAAGATTCTCTTCATCTATAGCGATGGATTTTGTTTGTACTGCGCATCATGAAATCGAGAATCACAAAAGGAACATTCGCTAGAATACTTCGTGGGTACTTCATTTTTTCGGGATGACTTCGGCACAACTACCGCAGTGTCAGTAATTTGAAGACGACAGGAATCTTGTACCAGTCCTCACCAGGCGTTCCTCGTTTACAGTCACGGTGAGGAATCTGCTGTTGTATAGTTTTCCTTCCTGATATTCACCCCGCTGCTCATCTCCTTCTTCGAGCAAGTTCCTACTCGTCCCCTCAGCCACAATAGCTGCGGCAACCGACCGTGAGGTTTTCGTTCTGTCGACCACCGTGATCAGGAATTTGCCTTGCGGGTTCTTCTCCTTCTCGTCGTTGTTCACATAATTGTCCACGTCGTTATTTACCGACTTGTGCTTGTCATCTTCCCCTGACTTGTCCTCGCGACCCAGCAACCGGATCTGAATGTCAAACTTCGCTTTATTTTCATCATTTTTCTCCGAAAAAGTAGAGGCGGACAGCTCCCCGCCCTGGCCCAGAAACCTCGGATCCGGGTGCGTCAAGTGGCTTTCTATCAGCGTTTTCAGATCCGGGGCGTATCCCTGGTTTTGCTCCCAATACGCTTTCTGGGCGTAAAACAAGTGCATGGCGATCAAGCGGGCGGGAAAAAACGGGTCGTGTTTAGGAATGCTCAGCAAGCGCGGGTGATTGTGCGTTATTAGGGGCGTTGCTGTTACTTTTGATGAAGTGTTTTCTTCATCCTGAGCCTTCGCGAGAGTTGTACTATGTTCGTGCTTCTCAACGTCAACACCGTCATCTCCCTCGACTGCGTCATTTTCCAGCCAGAGGTATCCCCAAGCGTCGGGGAGGTGCATGTTGATCATGCCCTCAAACTTCTGCTCCTTTGCGTTCTGTATTCACGAGTGTGAAGAATGCAGACCGTCGCGTTGACGGCGGTAGTTGAATCAGGGAAAATACAAATGCACAGGCTGAGCCGCGACCAGAGCCAGGCTGACGCTTCAGCTGCTACTTCAGCTGCTGTTGGTGAAAAAACACAGAGACAGAAGACTTTGACTTTGAAACAAAATTTTTATTTTCCCCAGGTGAACCTTCGACGGACAGCGACATCTACTTCACCCTCATTAGCAATGCATATTCCACGCAATCTGCGGGCTCCAAACCCAATTTTTGTCTCCCTTGTCTTCAACGCGAGAGAAGTTGATGCGGATGTGGTTCGGCAGCGGTAGTGATTGATGACCTTCGCGCGGATTCAGCACCTCCATATCTCCCTGTGGCGCTGCTCGCCCAGAAGACGTTGCATTGGTACTTCCAGGTGCAGCGGAGCCTTTCTTCGCAGCATCCACATCTTCTTCGCCCGTCCGTGATAACAAATCGGACCATGACAGCGCGAGCTCAACGTGCCATTCCGCCCCGTCCTTGTTCCGTTGGTTGTATCGGACGAAAAAATCGTTGCGCCTTTCACTGTTACTGTTACGAAGCGACGTTGGGGCGCAGCGGCATGCATACAGACAGCCCCATCTTCCTATGTTGTAGATCATGTTCATGACATCATCGACATTTTCGATTACATTTACATTTCTGACGAAAAACAGAAACACATTCACCGCCGAAAGTAGTAGAGCCCAAGTGACTCAGGCTCAGTGCGTTGTTCCCTCCTCCCATACGTTCACCTCGCCCCTGACTATCTTCACCGCGGTTTTCTGATCTTTCACCCCCCAGTACCTCGGATCGTTTTCATTCTCCCGCGGATCAGTGACGCGGCCCGAGAACTCCTCGCCGTTCTCACTGTAGGGCCTGTTCAGCATTAGATTCCAGACGGTATTCAGCGCGTTGAGTTCCAATTCCTTGTAGTTCTGGTTCGCCCCAAACACGTCGACGAACACCTCAAAATCCGAGTCCTGCTGGTAGATCGGGTCGTTTTTGGTTGTGTAAGATGCGTGGAAATGACTGCTGTAGTTGTCCCTACCGTATTTCAGCTTCGCGGCCACGTAGAGGTACTTTGCATCGTAGAGAAGTTTCACGCGTGTTTCGCAGTCCGCCGGCGGCGCTTTGTCGTTGTCGTTTAAATCGTTGACGCCCGTGATATCGCCGAAGGGGTCCGACCAAGGGGTACTATCGTCATTCCACTCAGCTTTCCCGTCGATGTCACCGTCAATGCGGTCGATTAGCGGCGTTTTACTGGAGTCCGAACTGCTTTTGAGCTTTCTCGCAGTGTACTGTTTCGGGTAGTGCTGGTAGTAGTCGTAGTCATAGTCCTCGTCTACTCCGAGCAAGACCATGTTGGCGACTGCGGAGGTTGCTGGCGGCGATGAAACAGAAGGGGGCTCCATCTGCTGCTGTCGTTCCTTCCCCTGTTGCTGCTGCTGCAGGAGGTCTCCTTCCCCCATAGCAAGCCTTGCTGTCGGTACTCGTCTACCGGGACGGGCCTGTTCCTCGTCTTCACTAGCTTGCTCTACGAACGAAGCAGGGGAAAAGGTCCCCTTGGTGGGGCTGTGAAATGATGTCACACTAGTGTCGATTCCCGCTGTGCTGCTTTTGCCGACACCCCTAGGAGTAGACGAGCTGTCTTTATCGCTTAATGGGGAAGTCGCAAGCGAGGACACCAGTATGTGCCCGAGTCGCGAAAATACCACGGCGAATGTAGGTAGTAGCTTGTTTCTGCTTGGAGGCAGGAGGGGAAAATACGTCATTCTTCACTAGCGATGCAACCACTGAAAAATGACATTCCGGGGCGACAGCTTGTACAATTTGATCGACACGCACTTTCTATTTATTGATGGGTTGCGTTTTTCTTTCTACCACGAAAGCGCCGACAGAATTTATAGATCTTGTAAGCTCTTCCTCTTCATGATCTTTCTTTGGTATCGTGATCAGCCTTGTTCTTTCCTCGCTCGGATGGACTGAAATAAAGGTCGCGCAGGGGCGTCGAGAACAGGTGCTCTTACAAACGCATTGCATTTCCTCGCTTCCCTCTGCGACGACTGAGGATGGCGCGCTTTTCACAGTGTGGAGTGCGAGTGATTTCCGTTTATAAGAAAATGTTGGTCAGCAGCACGACACAGCAGTACATTGCTCCTTCTGCCGAAAGTAAGTAGATGACGACAAGTCGTTACTATGCCACTGCAACCCGCTTCACCTCAACAAGTAATGTTGCGGAAGTAGAACGACGTCGCAGATGGGTGGCGCCATCTCCATGCACAGAGCCGACCTCCCATGGACTCGCAGACTGGCGTGCATCCCCGTGATTGCGTGTGCCGCTTAGTGACTTCGGTATTGTTCGACAGTCAAAGATGTGTGTTTCAGGGTTTTTTCTTTTTCTCAGACACGGTAGGACTTTCACACTCGCGTACGACAAGTATAAATTTATGACGTTAATGTTATGTTTTTCATAGAGTTTCGCAGACGATTCAAACCGAAGGTAAATTATGCTTCTGATCACGATCATGCTCTCCGCAAGTTTTCCACTGGTACATTATCGTAGCCGACGTGTCCCACAATATGAAATTGAAGAAAACCTCCACCGGACACAAACACACCGCACGATCACGATCTGTACCTGCACATCGGTCATACTGCAATTACGTAGAGAAAAGTTTGATGGTCGTGCGATTACAGATGACGAGCCACCTAAAATTGCAAAAAAAATGCAAAGATTGACCAGGCAGAATCTTGAAATGACCGGCGGTTTTCTTCCTTTCCCTACCACCCATCCACACTGCGCACCGATACCACGTATCGCCCGTCCCGGTAAAATGGCTCGCCACTTCCGCTGATCGTGCCCTCGCGTCCCCCGAACCACCCACTGATCTTCACTTTTGTGCCGGACGGGATGGACCGCGGTTTGCTACTGCCAGAAGAGGACGTCGAGCTGCATTGCGTCACACGCAAATCTTTGACGGGCACTTGATCGTATTTCACGTGGCCGCCGATGTCGCGCGTACGTACCGTCACCCTTTCTTCGCCGTCCTTGTAGAAGCTTTGCGAGGACTCCACCGTGCCGGAGTTTTGGTTCAAGATCCCGTGCTTCACCTGGTCGCCCTGCACGGGGAGCATCCTTTTCGATACCTTTATTTTCTTGTGGCGGACCGTCAGGGCGAAAGTAGTGTTGTGGGCAACAAAGTGGCTGCACCACGTGATGGCAAGCAAAAGTTGAGAAATCAACGAGATGACAGGAGAATGCGGCCGCGTGGAGCAGGTGCTCCTCTTCCTATCTGTCGACCTCAAAGCACCGTTGTAGACAAGCCGAAGAGACGGCACTGGACCTTGTTTCTTGCAGCCCATGGTGCGTACTTGCTTTTCTGCAGATCTTTGATCAATGAACCAATGAATAAACAGAAACAGAAACACCCCGAGGGGCAATAGACTCAGACCAGCAAACAACTGATAGCGGATTTCGCACTCGCTCTCAACATTCACTCTACTTCCATCACACGGTGCCATTTGTTCATACAGAATTGAAGAATCATCGGGATGGTGCATCACGCTCGTCCGCAGAGAATGGAAGAAAAAACCTCAAGGGATACTGCACGAAATGGAAGAGGATAGAAACGACGAAAAGACGCGTGTCCTGATGCTGATTTTTGACCTTTCATGTCCTCCATCACAGCTGCGACGAGAAGAACTACAAGTGACCGGATACACGAATCAAGATCGTGAATTATCGTAGTAAGTACACCAACATTATTTGCATGGTATGTTGCAACGGGATCTGGTTCTGCTTCTGGGATTGATCATTTTGCATCATGAAAATGAAGAATATCCTTGATGCTGGGGGCAAAGTCTGCGCGTCGCACTTTTCGATAAATTTGGTATTTTTGGTCGCTTCGCGTTGTAGCTCGTAGCTGTTCGATCCACACAAAAAATAGATACATAGGCGTCGTCTTTTTCATCTTTTGCTTGGCAGTGAATCTGAAAGTCAAAGTTGAAGTTCGTCATTCATGTCGTGGGGAATAAAACGAGGTACAAGAGGGAGAAGAGTCAAGAAAAAAGAACTTGTCGAAAGTACATGGATGCGATCACTTGTATCTATCCCTATCATATGTCGTTGCGAATTTCGCTCTCTCCGTGTGCCTGGAGCTGCATGCCGTCCGGCGTTTTGTCTTCCCCCTTCAGCAGCCCGTCAATCCAGCTAGTGATCACCGTGAGTTTGGCTGTGATCGGCGCCGGATCGCGCCCTTGGCCGAGAATCTCCTTGCAATGCGGGATCCAAGTGCTGCGGATGTACCTGAGAATCATGACCATGATAATGATATACGGCAAGGTGCAAAACGATGTAAGTGGGCGAAAAGTTGATACTGAAGCAAAAATAGTCAGCCGCTTCACAACACCAGTCGTGCGAGAAACAAGGCGAAGGGGAAGGCCCGTTAAAAGGTGCAATGAAATCCAACTGTTGAGCGAAAGAACTGCAAAGTAAAAAAGCAAGGATGGAAACAACAAAGATTTCTAAAATGCTGATTATGCACTCTTCATCTTCAATCAGAAGCAAGACGTACTGCGTGATCTTGAGGAAGCTGTGTCCAAAGCGTTGCCGCATGAACATGCCCGCCATCTCGAGGAAGCAAAACAGCGCGAAGGGCACGAAGCGGCAGCTGCTGTCCGCGGGGATTCTGGAGTTGAGCAACGCGGCCACGTACTCCCACAACCGGTTGGCGTCCTTCGCCAGCACGAGCGATCCGAGGTAAAACCGCAGCAGATTCGTTTGGCGGTTGAAAAACTCCTGTTCGCCCTCGCCCTCTTCCGCGGCCTGCTTGTCCGCGACGGTGAGATCGGGAATGGACAGCGGGCAGCGGTGGTGGATCATTCCCAGGAAGCTATCCCGGAACTCGTGCTTTGGCAGCTTCCGGATCAAAAACACAATCACGTAGCAAAAGGGCCACGCGAGCCGGCTTTCCGCGGGGGGAATGTTAGACCACTGCTCGCACAGCGCGTCGGAAATGCGCCACCGGGTGTACTCCGTGAAAGTCGGATTTTCGGAGGACCTGGAGAGTTCAATCAGCTCCTTCAGCGCCTTTTGGCAGGCAACGGCAGTTATGCATTACAAATGTGGTTGGGTATGGAACGTCATGTGAAGACTCGATCACAAAAAAATCTGTGTATGCATGAACTACGGTAAAAGTTGGTGCCCATTTCTTGCCAGGACAAACAAGACGAAGGCGAAAGGTCTCGCAAAACCTGTGATGCATGATCTTCTGTGTTCATTTTTCCAGACCATCTGCGGGAACTGGTGATGGTCGAATCACGACGAGATGCATGTACAAATCTTGCACTCTTCCAGACCCAAACACCTTTTCAGTGGATAGTGGTCGGCGCCTGGTGCGACACCTGCCCGATCTTCGTGTTGATGGCTTTTTTCAGGTTCACGCGTCGCTGGCGGATGTCTTTCTCCTTGCTCGTGTTGAACTCCTCCAGGGACTTTTCCTGCTGTTTCGCCTGCTGCGCCAGCTGCTGCAGAAACGCGGTGGTCGTGCTGCCAGGGCTGGAAGAACCTGTTGTGGCACTCTTACTTGTTGTACCCGGCGCAGCAGTAGAACTAGCCTGCTGTTGCTGCTGTGCTAGTTGTGCAGCATTTGCTTGCTGCAATTGTTCCTGCTGTTCCTTCATTTTCATCCGCTCTTGCTCTTCCTTCTGCTGCGCTGCGATTTTCTCGGCTTCCACCTGTCGCTTCTCTTCCTCGGCCGCAGCAGCGCGGGCCTTTTCCAGCCGGTCCTGCTCTGCCTGCGCGGCGGCTTGCTGCTGCAGTTCCAGTTGCTTCTGTTGCTCTATCAGTTCTCGTCTCTTCCGTTCCTCTTCCTCTCGCACCTGTCGCTGCCGGTCCAGTTCCATCTTTTCGACTCTTTCCCGCTCCGCCTTTTCCAGCCGTTTTCGTTCCATTTCCTGCTTCTCGATCGCCTGGATCTCCGCCATGGCCTGCCGAAACACGCGGTCCGACTCCGCCAGAAGCTGTTGGTGGTAGGATTGCGCCTCCTGCGCGATCCGGCTGATCTCCCGCTGCTTCGCCCGCTCCTGCTGGGCTCTGTCGCTTGTGCAGCTGGTGCCAGAGGTGGATGACGGCCCGGAGTTGTTGCCGACGTTTGGGTCTGCTGCAGCTGAGGAAAAAGGGAGAGTAGCGGCTTTGATATTTTGTTCTACCGCCCTCGTTTCCACCATGACACAGAGGTTTTCGAAGCCCAGCATCTGCCGACAGCGTGCGAGGTTCAGCTCCTCGCGCCGGCGCTTTTCCCTCTCCTGCTCGGGGGAACGGAGGGGGTGCCGAGGAGGGTTCTCTCCTCGTTGCGGGGAGGAGGATGCTGATCTTGATGTTCCGGGTAGTTGTTGTGCATTATTAGCTTTGAAGGGTGACTGACGGGCCGTTTGGTCAGCTTCGAGGTGACGCTTTGTTCCGTCTTGTTCATCCTCTTGATGCTGCTTCATCAGCCCTTCGTCAAGAAGAACTTCCTCGTCGATTGTACCAACACCAGCCGTTCGCGAAGAGAAGTCGCGATTCCGGGCCCGGAGGCGGTCCGCCCGGGTTTTGCGCATGGTGGAAGAAGACACGCTGCCGCCGTCCTGGAATAGCAGCCGTTGCTGAAGACCGTTGTTTTGCGCCGGAGGGACATGACTTAATATCCCATTTTGCGAGAACAAAGCCCCGCTGTCCTGGAGGTACTGGGGAAGTAGTTGACCTCTTCCATGCTGCTCTTGCGTAGTAAAACCAGCGCCAGGTGCCGTTCCTGTCGGGATCGGCTGTCCTGCACCTCCATCGTGAAAATCGTGTGGCGGAAATAACGAGCCGCCCGCGTCCACTTTGGGATGTTGAGTCAAAATCCCGTTGCCAACTACCTGGTCTCCTCCTCCAGGTCGTTCCAACAGTACAGAGCTGTCGTCCATTGCAGACTTTAGCAGGGATTTCCCGTGCAGAAAGAACGAGGGTTCCTCGGAGTCGTGGTCATCTGCGTCCTGCTTGCCATTTACGTTGTTGCTATACCGGCCTCCTTCTCCGGGATTCGTCTGCTGCATTTCCCCGTCGATGTTCAGACTTGAAAACCGGCCCACGTCGAATGGGTCACCGTCTGCTGGTCCGTCTTCTTTCCCAAACTTGTATGGCGTCGGGGAAAACACGCGGGACGTTGCGCTAGCTGTGCCAAAATCAAGTAGCGGACCACGTCCGAGATCTTCTCCGTGAGGTTGTTCTTGTTGCAGCCCATTGTTCATCCGGACTTGAGGTTCTCTCGCGGCGGGTGGTCTACGAGCCACTACTCTTTCATCGGGCGAGAACACATCATGATTGTCCTGTTCTCTAGTACCTACCTCGGCCGCTGCCACTCCCTCGTCGTCGACGAACCAGGCCTGCAAGTCTTCGGGGCGCAGCCCGAAGGTTTGCGTTCCGCCGGTCGTGTGCCGGGTGTTCGCTCCAACACCCCCGCCCTCGCGGGTGAAGGAATTAGAATGACGGTTCTGGTGGGGATGATTTTGACCCTTAATTTGTTCCGCGAATAGTTTCGGCTCGTTTAAAGGCACATAGTCCTTCAGAATATTGTCGCGCAACTCCTGTTCCCGCAGTTCGCGAAATTCCAAGTCTTTCTGGAAGTACAGCCGCCGCAGTTGCTGCTCCTTGGTCGGCGTCGGCGGGTGGGCACCAGCCGGGAATAAAGGAGCTTTGTGGTTCTTTTGCGGGGGCATTTTCATCTTCAGTGGCGGGGCGGTTAGAAGTCGACGAAACCACGCGTCTTCCTGACAGCGAAGTAGGAGTAGAGATGGAAAATGCGCTACTGGTCCAAAAAGTTTTGGTGCAACTGCTCAATGAGCAAGGATCGCTCGTGATTTTGTATACATCAAAATTATACGGTTATGGGTGTAAATCAGGCAACACGGGCGCTTTTCTTTCTTCACGGTATCGATGTCATAACAAGTAGGAAACAGGGGCGGTCTACTTTCTATGAGGAAATTCGGGTGAATAATAGGTAAACAGATGGAAAAGACTACCAGGAGCTTCGCGTAGTTCAGGAAAAAATCATGTCGTCGGTCTTTGTATGAGGGAAAAACGTCTGTCGCTGGAAGAAGAAAACGAAAAGGAAAAATGAAAATCGCACTCAAGACTAAGTAAATCAAAATCATTCGTGTATCTTCCTTTTTCATGAAACGGTACTGGGCACCGGTTAAAAGTTGGATCGGTGTTGCGCTAATAGATTACGATTACGTCGTGGTGTAGTAGATGTAGATGAACTATATTTATTTTTATCCGATGCATATTTACGAAAATTTTTCGTCGACAAGAGGAAGGCTGCACATGCAGTAATCCGATCGTGCCGTACTTTCATCTTCGTCGCCGGAGAGTTTGAAAGTCTTCTACTTACTACTTCTATTAGATCGATCGTGCGAAGAAAGGAGGTAGTCTTCTAGTTGAAGATCATCATCTACTCCTTCCGGATCTTTTGCAGTGTTCTCTTCGGTTCCAGTACCAGTTCATCCACTTGTCATGATCTTCATAGCGAGCAGAGTACTTTACGTGAAGAAATACGTCGGTCCTTCGATGGTCCGTTGTAAGACAAAATCTGTCTTATCTTTAACTGTGTCACATCGAGCAAGGAACTTCATCTTTTTGATGCTCGTCATTGCTTCATCAAGGCCGTGTACAACATCTACCTTCGGAAGAATGTTTGATATTTCCGTTTTCGTGACAATCTCCGCAATTTCCTGATCCCCCACTGCATTTTTCCAAGAGAGGAGGACTACCACATGCAGTTCGCAACGAACAAGTGCAACAACCTTACTATTGCAGATGCTGAAAGGGAAAGACAGGAAGAAGCGAAATGCAACGTTCACACGAGTTGGTTGTGGAACTGACACTTTATTCTCAGCTACTTCGTCGCAAATGCTGGCTCATCAATTGTTCTTCATCAGGATCTCGGGAGAGGTAGAGTAAAGTTCCTTTTTTTGAATCCATTCCGCTTATAGACCAACTGGAAAGTTGTAGACTACTGAAAACTATAAAAAGGTTTGACCATTCAATTCCTACAAAGAGAAAAAGCATTTTATTTTGTACCCGCATAAGCATACATAGTAAAAGTGACAGTGGTGCTGGAGCACCAGCGTTAGAGAGCAAAGAGCATCGAGAGGAGAAGCCCAACGATAAAAAGTTGCATTTTTATTTGATCTGCAGCAAACACGAGAGCGCGCCGACATGTAGAGTAGACAGCTCTCCTTCTGTTCGTCGTGTACATCTAAGTATCTCTGTGTCAACATTTTCATTTTGCAATTTTCCAAACTTCAGCTACCTGTTAGTTTTTGGTTTGAGCTTCCATTGGCATTTCATTTCATCTACTGCGTTCCCTGGACTCGAATACTTATCCTCCGCGGGATCGTTGGCAATATTGAATCCCAACAAGCACGACCGCATCGTCAAGCTAGATCATGCACGCTAATCCGGACTTTGGCCTTGTTCGCCGTCCCCGCCTTGTTTACAACGGCGCCGTCGTTGAAGACCGGCTGTGCGCCGAATAGGTGCATGGGTTTCTGTACACCTGACGCAGAGGAGGAGCCACCTACTTGGTGATGCGCCAGGTCTGCAAGAAACCCGCCCCCGTTCGTGCTTCCAGCAGCAGCCGCACTCCGACTGCACCCCGCGGTCCGGGGTCTGTTCGCGTACGGTCGGGTCATCGTGCGTGGTGCCTTTACCTCCACCGCGACGGCTGCGCTCGAGGGACGCGACATGTTGACTTGTTGGTGCAGCTGGTGTGCAGCAGGAGCAGCCGACGACGTGGTGGAGCGTGAAAAAACTTTGTTCGCTGGTACTATCTGTGGTCCGGATGTGCTAGCAGAGACAGCTTGTACCTCTGGAGGTTGTACTTGTCCAGCACCATGTACTTGTCCTGTAGTTCCTGCCACGCCACCAGAGGAGCTGCGCATGTAGTCGACGTCTTCTTGTTCGTAAATGCCGTTCCTGTTCAGACTGCGCGACCTGGAGGCAGAAGATGATCCACTTCCGCCCGTCGGCAGGTGCTGACTTTGCGTCAACCTTTTCACCGGCACATGCTGGGCTGCAACCATCTGTGGCTGCTGGGAACTGATATGTTGTTGGCCGTCTGCGTTGCTACAAGAGGAACCTCCGCCCGGTGCTGTCGTGGTCTTTACGGCGCGAGGGTCTGGGGGGCGGCCTCTAGAAGTTGTAGTTCCACGGGAATGATCGTCTGCATGACCATACTGCTGGACGTCATCGCCTGCAGCACTTCTTATCGCCGCGTTCGACTTATGGATTGCAAACATGTCTGGGTCTGGAAACTTGTAATGCTAAAAGTGAATGATAGACGCACTGGAATACGCAGTTATGCATGACAAATTTTTTGGCTGCCATGTCTTACGTATTCCCCATGGCAAGCTGCGTTTTTGCATGACAGGTAAGAGGGCCTTTTCGTGCCTATGCAACACAGATTTTCGAGTCATGCCAGGCAAGCATGACAAACTCGCATTCTTCCAGACCCAGACACTTTTGCATTTGATACGACTGGTTATACAGGGCGTATTGCTGTTTGATGTGTCGCGCGGCCAAATCCATGTTTTTTCCCGACTCTATCAGTTCCTGTTGCGAAAACGAATTAAGTGGAGCTGCTTCCTCGGCCGCGATATTGCTGTTGTAAAAACTACCACTTCCATCATGTTGATGGTCTCTACCACGGTTCTTGTGGGATGAAGCAGGATCGTGATTTTGCTGGTTGTTCCAACTCCCACCAGCCGGATACTTCTGCGACCGCGCACCAGTTGCTCCGATTCCTCCGGATGTTTGTTCCGCGGTGGTCGTAAAGAACGCATCATTTCTGGTCTGCTCCGCCGTGGTGCTATATGACGCCGTTGGGTCGTGGTTGATTTTCGCATTGGCCATCCTCGTCCCGTAGGGCTGTTCTTGATGTTGTTGCATCATCTGCACCATACTAGCGGCATTGGTCGTCGCGGTGGTGCTTGCGCTTGCTGCAGTGCTCACACCAGACAGTCGCTTCTGTGTAATATTACGATGACCTGAAGCTCCTGTACTAGTTATTTGCGCTCCTTCTCCAAAGCGGTCGGGTGGCTCTCCACCCTCCGCAAGACCGTTCCATTGCTGATCAACACCAAGTACATCTGCAGCAGTACCACTACCGCCTCCGCCAAATTTTGCCGGGATCTTGATGATTCGATGCGACTGAGAATTTGACCGTGACCTGGCCTGCGAGGTTGTCTGTGTCAAACCCTCGCTTTTACTTCCACCGCCTAGCACCCGCGCGTGGTGATTTGCATATCCACCTGGGGAAATCGCATCCGCACTCGACCTGGCATTCACTTCTTAGCGAAATAAAGGAAAAATTGAGTTCAACACATAATTCTTTGCCCGTTTACATATTGATACTGAATTTGATTTTGATTGACGAGGTGCAGCTATATTTTGCATTATACACGACTCTGCAGCAACCATCAAAGGGCGCAAGCGATTTCACATGACATATTGCAACCGCGGTTTCTATATCGTCGTCTACATTTCCGTCGTCGTCGTCAATAATTATCTGCGCCGTCGTATTGTCTATCGTGTCATTCACGTCGTTGTACTGTTGCTGCACTTGTTGAGTCGTCGCCGAAATGGGGCGATTCATGATCTTCACGCTAGAAGACGATGTTGCCCCACCAGCAGCATTAAATCTCGCAGTGCTGCTCGAACTGCCGCCCTGCTGCACGTTCGCCATCATCTGCATGTGCTGAATGGGATTGTTGCTATTCTTGTTGTTACTTCTCCGCGTGTAGATTTGCGGTGCGGAGAGCGGGCGAAGGTTTTGGTTTTGACTTCTCATCTCCCCAGGAGGAGCCGCACCTGACGTGATCTGCACCTGTGCAGGGTTTGCCGCTGTAGGCGTCGGGTTGTTCCTTTGTTGAGGGTGGTGTTGTGCGGAAGAGGAGGAGCCAACTACAAAGTGCGGATTTTGTGAATAGGTTCCACCAGGAGGACCTACGCCCACTTGCTGATTTGTTCCGGTTGTACTATTTGTCCCTACAGTACCTCCCGGCACTGCTCCTGCTGGTATGAAGTGCACTCCATCGTAGTTCATGTCGGCCCGATTTGAAGAAGAGGATGAACCAGCCCTCGCGGCGGTGGAAGTTGCACCGGATTTGTTGTTTTTTTGTTGGTTGACCAGCTCCAGCGGGACGGGCGGGGCCTGATGGCGAGGATTGTTGTAGTGGTTGTTATTATACTGGTCAACTTCGATGATGTGATCAATCCTGTTGCTTTCTACGGCTCCTGCTACAACTCCATGGTTGACGATAAATCCACCTTCGCCGTTGTTGTAAAAATTGCTGGGTTTATTGTTCTTGTTAGAATCCTTACTGGTGGTGGAAGACGAGCTGGTGCTCCGACTGTGGCCAACCAGGGTCGGAATGCCATTTTTGTTTTTCTCTTGCATGTTGTTGTGCATCTGGTGCTGGTTCAGATTCTCTTGCTGCGCTTGCTCCCGCTCCAGCAGCCTCGCGGTGCTCGGTCTGACGTAGGCAGACATGGGTCGCTTGTTCATCTGCGCAACTCCGCCGGGATATCAAAGTGCACAACTTGTGGGCCCCCAGGCCCCTAAACACTTGCCGTAAACGTCGATGAGCTGCAAGAGCAACAACACAAGCAAGGGCAGATATCTGGCTTCCGCATGACAAACCTGCTCACTCATCATAGTAATTCTGAAGAGGTTCCAAAGCTTTTCATCTAGACACTTGCGCTTCAAGGCAGTATGTGGATTTGGTATTTTCGCATTGCAAATGAGGGATAGCAGGGGGCGGCGTTGTGCACTGTCATATGGGACCTTTCACTTGGCGCACGGAGGTGGGAAACTCCTTCGGTCCGTCTGGGTCGAGAAAACCTGAATAAGCATATAAGCATTTGTCTACTGCGTTTTTTTCATTGCACAACTTGCTCTTTATTTACAGTTTGATGCAGATGATCTTCACGTAGGGTGTGTGATCATGATGATCAAGTTCATGCATCTTCAAATTGACACGAAAACAAGGGCACCTCTGGCTCTACTGTGCGGTCATGTGCTCTGTACTAGTACGAAAACGAGCACTGCAACGTCAAAACGCGCCGACGCTTGTTTCAAAGTAGACTGTACCAACATTCTGCCCATTGTTTTGTTGCCCAGAGGTTGTCGATGCACCACCATGGTGTCCTCGCGTCCTTCCTCCAGCCCCACTGCCACCGTTGTTGGAGGACAAAATGCCGCGCGACCCGCGCAGCGTGGCTTCCACCGTGAAAATGTCTGGTCGCTCCTGTGGCCGCTTCGTCAGCAGTTGCATCACCAGCGTGCGCCACTCCGGGCTGTAGCCGGTGCTCAAAGGACGGGGATTTCTCCGCACAATGTCGTTGCCGAGCTGGATCAGGTTCTGCCCGTGGAACGGCGGCTCTAACGCGGTCAGCAGGTAGAGCAGGCAACCCAGAGCCCAAATGTCCACCTTGAAATCGTACCTGATGATGGAAGAGGCGGAGGAATTTTTTGCATTCTTGAAATGGACAATGGATATAAGTATATATGGATCTTCAACTACGCTCGAAATTGCGGTTTCTCTGCACTTCGGCACTTCTCAGGACTGTCTCTGTCTGTCATGCTGTCAATATTATCAAAGTTGAAGTTCTCACTCTAGTATGTTGCTATCGTCGCTGGTCTACCAGCGGAAAATCCGAAATTTCGTTTCCTACCCTTGATGCTTGATCTGTTCCGGCGCAAGGTACAGTGGCGTGCCCACTCGCGTGTGATTCTGGTCGAATTCCTCTACCAGTTTCGAAACACCCAAGTCGCCAACCTTGATGCGGTCACCCTCGGCGAGAAACACATTCAAAGGCTTCAAATCCCGGTGGATGATGGAATTGCCATGCAGGTGCCTGTAGTTTGTTGAAGATGTGAATAAGTGTTTGTTTTATGTCTTGCGCTTCTCAGACATTGACGAAATTTCATCACAACTCGCATAAAAACAAGAGTGATACCCGAGAAAACGATATCTCTCTCCTGCAAAAGAAAGGAAACTGATTTATGATTTCGATATTTTAAGTTTTTATTCTCAGTCGTGTCCTCAGTTATCAAATGTAAAAATGTCTGGGTCTGGAAACTTGTGATGCTGGGTGGCGTCTCATGATGAGGCCACAAATGCTGGCTCAGCATGAGAAGTTTCTGAGCTTCTAGGTGTTGCCTATTCTGCATGACAAACTGCGTTCCTGCATCACAGAAAAATTGAGCTCTTGGGTAACGTGCATGACAGATTTAAGAGTCATGCCAGACAAGCATGACAAACATGCATTCTTCCAGACCCAGACATTTTTACATTTGATATCAGTAGTTAGTACGCAATCGCAGCGACGAGCTGGTCCCCGAATTTCCAAAGCAGGTCCTCTGTCAAATGTAAAAATGTCTGGGTCTGGAAGATTGCTATGTTTGTCATGGATGTCTGACATGGCTCAAGAATCTGTGATGCATGGGCACAAAGCTGTCCTCTTACCTGTCATGCAAAAACGCAGTTTGCCATGCGGAACACGCAACACATAGGAGCCCAAAAATTTGTCATGCTTGGCTCCGTATTGCGGTGGAACTCCCATTCACTTTTAGCATTACAAATTTCCAGACCCAGACATTTTTACATTTGATATCCTCTGTCAACTGCGCCTGCCTCCTCTGCCGCTTCTGAATGAACTGGTGCAGGTCTCCGCAGCTTGCATACTCCATGCAGATAAACAGGGCGCCCTTATACGTGAAGCTGCCGTAGTACCGAATAATGTTCGGGTGCCGCACCTTCGCGAGCATCTGGACCTGAATAGAAATTTCATTGTCTTGTTGATAGATACGACCCGACCGTGACAAATGTTGGAATCTACCTCGCATGTGGAAAAAAGGAGACGAAGTTTCATTTCGAAAACAAAAAACCACCTATCCACATGCACATCAACCAGCTATCTTCTGCACCTCTTTTTTCGCCGCCAGCCGGTGTTTCTCCTGGTGCCAGGGCTTGAAGTCAATTCGCTTCAACACTAAAAAGGGTTGCGCGTCGGGGTCTCCACCAGGCGGCCCCGGTCGCGTGCTGGTCGGGCGCGAGGAGGAGGATCCCGGGTGCTGGTTTTGGTTCCATTTTGCCTTATACACCGTGCCGAAGGACCCGCGGCCGAGCTCCTGCACGATCCGAAAGTCGTGGAAACTGGCAGATTCCATGGTGACCACGTCGGCACGAACAAACAGGGAGGAGCAAGACGAGGGCTTTCAATGTTCTTGGGCGTAACCGTCAGCAGTTGTCGACGTTATCGGAACAAGTAGTGCGTCTTCGTGCTGGCGCTCGTGTCGTGCTGGGCCCCGCCAAAGAACCGCTTATTTCAATATTATCAGTTGACAATCAGCGCGGTCCGGGAGAGGAGTGCTGCATCTTTTGAGGTTCGATTCTAATTCAAGACAAGAACGAAAACGCGATCGACACAAACAACAAGTGCATTTACATTTACAGGTGCTGGTTGCATAAACTTTATGTTTGCATGTTTTTCACCAGGTCGTTCGAGTCAAAATCTATCTCCTTCGAAGAATTCTTTTTCAGCACACGTCTTCGCTCACAAGACAAACGTATAGCAATTGCAGCCTCGTCGGAGAAGTGGATGTGGCAACAAAAAAATCTCTCTCTCAACACTGCGATTGAATGTAAGTATATCAAAACTCGTAAAATCACTCAACAAACCGAAAACGACGCGGGATGAATTTGGTGGTGCTACTAGTTCTAGTACCATGTGGCTGATATCACAATGTAGTTGATTGTCGCGCTTCAAGCGAGAAATTACAACAAATCCATTTTTCACCTTTTTTTGGCCGCACTACGATAGGCACCACCAGCCCGTCGTGAGGACCCCTTGGTTCATCCCTCATTTTTTTCGCTCATTAAATACCACGATGGATCCGGCACTCTAACTCAATGTGATTCTGGAAGTAGAGTGGTCCTCATCAATCATATTCATGGAGCTCTGCCAAAATTTGCAACGCCGACCACTCCGGAGGTACTAGACGTAGGCGCCAATAAGGCCTACTTAAACTCAGAACTAGTACCAAAAGCGCGAGAAAACAAGAACAGTCACGCACACCTCATGAAGGCTCTTGACAAGATCCGGTGGTGCAGGACCGACAGGTGCACGAACACCCCTTCACAAGCACGACAGTCGGCGAAGCGTGCAGCTACAGAGTTGTTTTGTTTCCATAAAACACTATTTCTTTTCCAATTCTAAAGCGACAAGCGTCCTTCGAATCCGGAGAGTGGTGTTCATTCTTTCAATCTGAGTGCTTTCTCGAACAAAGAAACGGGGTATAGGAAACGTAAATAATTCATTTCACGTGCAGCAGCTGCCACGTGGCGCGTTTTATTGTACAACAAGATTCAACAACAACATCGACGTGAGCAGGTGCTGGACCTGGCCCGTGAAGTAGAAGATGCTGTCTAGCACAAAATCTCCTCGAAGTCTGACTCCTCCATTTCTCCGACATATTCCACCATAAACTCCATAAACGCCTGGTACTCCGTGCTGGCGATGAAGGCTTTCAGTAGCCTCTTGCACTCCAAATCGATGCCCTTGGATTCTGATTTTTTATTTAAATTTGAGGTGCGTTTTTTGCATGTTGAAAAATTGTACAACGAGTGTGGATTTCTATTTCATCTTTAGATCATAAAGCCCACACGTACAAAAACGAGTAGCCGAAACATCTCCTCTCCAGACTGCTGCGCTCCTTCTACGTACACAACTGCACTTAGTACTTGTACCCGTAAAAACTACACTTGAAAAAACTTCAACTGAAACACCACTGAAAACAACAGATAAAGCAAGATACTCTTTGCTTCGTCCTCTTCGTCGCTTTTCACGTCTAGGTACTGATCAATCGTCGCCTCGAAGTCTTCGTGGGGGAACCTTCTGGAGTGGCAGAAGTCGACCAGGGACTTCTCGATGGCTCGGTGGAACACCCCGAACAGGTCGTGGTATCGGTGCTTGTGCGTCTCGAAGTTCTGGCTTGCCACCTGCTCGTTGATGAGTCGCCGGAACTCCACCGCGTACTCATCCGCGTAGGAGTGGAGGGCCTCGCTAAAGTCCTTTTCGAGGTAGGTGTTGAACATGGGAAGAAACTGCTCCGTGTCCATCACCTGTATCTCCCGCGGCTTTTTGTCCTCCTTCTTCTTTTCCTCAGTCATCTTTCTTGAGCTGGAAGGAAGATTTTTAGTACCGGACAAAAGTCCCTAGTTCCTTATGTCTAGTAAAATGAATATGCGCAATGGATAGACATAGATGACGGGCAAAGAGCACTGCAAACTGGCTGGAAAACAGGCGGGTAGCTCAGAACAATCAATACAATTTGGAAAGACCTAGGAGATGAATAGGTTGGCAAGAGCGAGACCTGCGAATCATAGCTTTGTGTGGTCAGAAGATTGTTCTTTTCTTTCCTAGTAAAATTGTGCCACTTTTCATTCCATCTGGACGAAAGCCAAACTACAGTGAGTTCCATTCATCGAGGTAGAAAATAATCCTCGCTCAAGTAGAAAAAGACGACGGAACTAGAAACTACTTCCACCTCTTGCACGTATGTATAGTTTGCACGATGTTGACGCAATGATATTTATCTTCGGAAAAAACGATCCGTCACCGAACTTGGTTCTTTCATTCATGTAGTTGCACGAAAGGTGTAGTGCGCACGAATGATGTACTAGCTGGTGCAACTAATGTTGCAGATTTTTGAAACCGAAACTTTTGGCGCAGCTGCTCATATGCTGCGACCACTTTCCGTTGGCACGGTTACCGGAACCGATGGAATTAGAAATTCACAAGTGTTCGCATGAATAAAACGCACGTTTACTTTTTTTGTTCTACAAAGAAGCGATACTCCGACGCGTTCTTCGGTGCTTTTGTAGTTACTTATGCAGCAACTCTACCACTTACTTGGCCACTCTGCTGGATTCTTAATCTCGAAGCACATCCACATCGTTGTTCGTTGCATGATCAAAAATGAACACATGCGAACTTAAATTGAAGTGGTGCCAGCACAGCATGGTAGCTCTCCTTTATCATGTGCTGCACCAAAGAACGACTACAGAAACAAGGCTCTTCTGAGCGCGTGGTGTTGAAACCTGGTTGATAATTTTACAAGAGGCGGACTGCGTTTTGGTTCTTGGTCGACGTTTTGATGTAGTCAAGAGAGTCATACAGTACAACAGTATACATAGGTATCAAAGAAAATAGAAGCTGTGCTTCCAGTTATATTTTCACAAGCTGATCGCCGCGTTTGTCGCCATCGCTGGGTCTGCGGGGAACTACGGGAACAACGAAGGGCCGCTCGTAGTGATCATCGTGATGCGCCGTTTTGGTAACTACAATGGTGCGGGAAATGACGGGAAGACACATTTCGGCGGGGCTGCTAGACTAATTTTTGTACTTACTCGGTGACTAATATCTATTTGAAAGGGAGCTGCGAGGAGGGGGTTGATACTAGCGGGGTCGTGAAGACTTCGGGGATGAAAACGGGGGGAAAGCGAGGACTACATCACCACGAGGAGCACTACATCAGATACCTATTTGTTCCTTGGGGTTGGGCGGTTTGGAAGAATTTGTGTACTTATGCTGCTCCGCGACCGCGTCATGTGGGGGTTGGTACATCAACGGGTGCGTTTGCCTTTGATGTCGCGTGGTGTTGAGTAGTTCGCCGAGTGTGAGTATAGTTCTTGTTTTTTGCGCCAACTCCTCGTTTTTATGTATCAGCACTTTATCTGCGTCTGCCGACGTCCTTCCTTTCGGTTGGTAACTACTTCCGTTTCCTGTTTCACTTTGTGCTTTCCATGGTCAACAAAGGCAGGAGAATCAGGCCGAGCCGCCGAATCTTTGCGGCGCCTGCGCGACGTGCTACCCAGTACCTCCATTCCGCTAAAATTCCCTTCCTTTATTACCCAACTTCTTGCTTTAGAACTAGAAGACTAAGACTGAAGACTAAAAAGAGCGGCGTGACTGCTATAAGACTGTTTAATAAAACTGAAGCGTCCTTTATTTGCTACGTAAATCATAATCGAAAGAAGACTGTTTTTGACTCTGTATGCTTTTGTAAAAAAGAAGAAGACTGGAAATCCTTTGTGGACTCGCGGTAGTTAAAAATTGCCCCTGCCGCCGCCGAGAGTGGTGGCATCCATGACCTCATCAAATGAAGTAGTCAGGGATGCGTTTCACGGGCGGCAGCTGCTCTGGTGCGCCGTCCTGGGTTTCTCGCGGTGCCGCGTCAAATTGGAGCAAGGTGTATTTCAGATGCTCATCGATCTCCATGACTGCAGCTTGGTTACCTGATCATGTGAATCAATTTTGGTGGTAATTTGTGTTGCACAAGAAGGAGGCCCTTTCAAAGTCACGACGTAGCACTCGGTAAAGAGAATTATCTGCATGACAAGCAGATCAGAATAACAAGAAGATACCGCATCGGTAGCAGTAGTTTGGCGCGCTGAAAATGGTGACCACGTTTCTTTTATGGATTGCAAATATGTCTGGGTCTGGAAGAGTACAAACTTGTGATGCGTATTTCAGAAAACAGAAAAATCTCTGATGCATCGGTAGCATCAGCTGCCCACTTTCTGTCACCAAAATGGGGGATTTGACATGCGGCTCCGGCATTGCGGAAGCTTCTCGAAACCTGTGATGCTATAGCTTCCATGCCAGACCTTCTGTCTCATGCAAAAACAGCATGACTCTTCCAGACCTAGACACTTTTGCAGTTGATATCTTTCGTGTGACCAGGTGTAGCCCTCCATCACCAGCTGGTGTGCTCGGCCGATCAGCTTGAGCCCGTTAGTATGATTGAACCTGATAAAACGGTGGTTTTCTGCATATTGTTTTTCACAGTGTACCTGTACTTCTAGACGTTTGTTTCTTAAGAAAGAGCCACACGTCCTCGTCGCACGACACGATCAGTTGTGCAAGATCCTGCACGACGCGTTGCAAAAACGTTATATTTGGTGATCTGATCACAACCTCAAGGTCACCTCATCCAGAAACGTAAGCGTGAGAAAAAATAGTACGTCTCGCTGACATCCTGGCCGAAGGTGTAGCCCGCTCCTCGTGGGGAAATGCCCCAGCCGCACCTCTCATCTGGATCGGACCAGAGGATGTCGCACATGGGCCCCTCGTGTGGTACCTCCACCATCCGGTCTAATTCGCGGATATTGTCCAGGGTGTCGATGCCTGACAGTAGTTTCAGTTATTACAGTTACTTACATGAAGATCTTCGTGGATTCGCAAAAATTTGGTGCGGATGCCGCTAGCTTCCTAATATTTTTATCCCAGCATGATCCTGCGTGTCCGTCATGACCATGAGTGATTTTGTACGAGTGATATTCTTTCGGTTTGGACGACGACCTCCACGACACCACCGGGTACCATAACCAATAGAAAACACGACCTACCATGATCAAGCAAAAAAAACGCTGAGAAGAAGAACTCAATAAAGTGACAAACTCACATGATTGCATACCTACGTACGCGGGGGGAATTGGTAATCGTAATGCAACATCTGTTGCAATGGGCGCGCGCAAGAATGCTTTGGTCATCATCTTCACCGAACAGAATATGGATAGCACGTTTGTGCACCTCCAGGAGATTTTTTGGCCCATGGTAGCGCTTGCGCCGGCGTTGTTGAAGTGAAACACAAATCGGGCGGCCGCAGCGCGTGCAAGATGAAAGTGCGGCTGTGAAGTAGAGTTGTAGCAAGCATGATCAGGCTACTATAGCACAACAACGCGGGTCGCGGGTCATCACGGGGAGGACGAAGCGCGGAAGAAAGCCGGCGCGTTTCAACACTCTCATCTGTTGGAACATGGCAAAAGAGGGCCCGGGTGTGGTTGTCATTGTTCACGAATAGAAAACGGAGCATGTTGAATAATTCCAATACTTGGTGAGAGGCCGCCGTGCTGGCACAGGATTTGGTCTTCGATAAGGGCGGTCAAGGGGAGCGCGTCGAAAGCGTCCGTGAAACACCTGTTTTTATTTCATGATTGCATTCATGCATCACAAACAATTCGCGCCTCAAAACTAAACAAAAAAGCTGCAGGGTATAAAAATAAATTTCCATGATTGCAATAAAACTTCAACATAGGAATAGGACAATAAAGACTCTACCTCCATATTTCGCTGCTCCCGTATGTCCGCACGCACTCGTCGAAAAAGCCGTAAACCTGCGTGACTTGCCTGCTTTCGTGGTTCCCTCTTATGATGCACACCATGTCGCGATATCTGTTGGTTATCGAAAATTTTTTTTCAGTCTTGCAGACGAGAACAGTTCTTCATCTTCATGCAAATGATGTGTAGTTAACAGACAAAGTTTTGTTTTTGCCTTGCGTCATCATTCAGAATCACGAACGCGATCATCGATCATGACGTAAAGAATAGAGCCGAAATCAAAAGAACCATGAATGTAGAAGTTTTGTACCTGATTTTGTACAAGAACATTAACGTCACGGTGAGCACGGAGTAGTAGCCTCTGTCGACGTAGTCGCCTAGAAACAGCAGATTTGTCTCTGGCGGGGACCCCACTATTGTGAACAGTTCCTGACAAGATTTTGTTTTTGTTTGCTCTTTTGCTTTTCAATGTAATGTAACGTTAAGGTTAACGTATTATTTTTATAGATGCATATGGAAACTACGATCTGCATCTGTCATTGGCATAATTCAGAATCACCGCATAACACCAGCGCCGTCACCATAAGAACGATAAAAACTGCATAGACATACCTTTAGGTCTATGAACTGGCCGTGCAAGTCGCCGCAAACCGTGACTGGGCACTTTACTATTGCGACGTTTGACTCTTCCGCTAATATCTCCCTTGTTCGCGCTGCGAGCTCCTTCGTCTCTGCCTCCGACAGCTCTTTCATACCAAGCACCTGCTCAATCTGCTTGTCTAGCCGGACCGCCTCGCTCGGCGTCAGCCGGGCAGTTTGCGTCTTCGTGCCGGCGAGCGCCATCTTCTTGTGATGCGACTGATAGTATCTATACTAGGTCGACGGCCGTGGAGGGGTCGTAAGGAAGTTCGACTAGTAGTTGTACAGAGTCGTCGTGTTCTTGCTGCGGCCAAAAATCTTCTCACTGTGGGACCTTCAAGTGAACCAGTGACAGCTCCTTGAGAGTTTCTTCCCAACTCCAGCTGCTCCTGCTCCTGCTGCTGTCGCTCGGCTTCTGGAAAACTTCTGGTTCTGCTCAGAAACTATAGAAGTTCTTGAAGAAGTTGCTCCTACGCGTTGCAGTGGTGATCGAAGAGACGTCGAGATCTTGATCCTCGAATTGTTTGCGGCCCCAAGAACTGGGACTTCACCCGGCAAAATCTGCACCGCGGTGCGTTGAGCAAGAAGAGTTGAGCAAGAAGAGGTGCGGCCGCCGCGCGGTGATGAATATATTCCTTTTGACAACCAGTTGTACTTGCGGTGCCTGTTGCCGTTGTTTCACTGTGCGTCCAAATTTGCTTCCGGCTGATGTGTTGATGTCGACTTTCAGCTGCGGACCGAGCTTGTCGCTATGTCGCACAATTCTGTTTCGCTGTGGAGAGTAAGAAGTCCTGCTCGCTGTTTGTACAAGTAGAATTCCTTGTCTCGATCTACTGCTGTAGTCCGATGACGGGGATTGCAGACCTCCCGGGTCAAATAACAATCGAAACTTCGACTTGAAGAACTTGTCCGGAGGTTCTAGTACCCTCGTCCGAGAATGATCGTCTTGGGTTTTATTCCCTTATTTGGCGCTCTACTTATTTCCCGTCGTCGTCCCTAGAGCAGCTCGGTGGAACAATAGAACGCAGGGCTCGACGTCAACAACTGTCACGCAACAGCGTGGCGCTGCGTCGAAACAAAGATGAAAGAAGGAGCTCCTGTACTTCTTCCAGAAGTACGGACGAGGGAAGCAGGTACAAATTCGGTTTGAAGTCGTACCTGTCACGCAGCTGGAGTCGAAGGAATGGAAGTTCTTGTGGAGAACAAACTTGAAACCGGCTGTTGCTCAGCACGTCGGCTACTACGGGCGAACCTGCTACTCCACGCTACTCCACCGGATGACAGTTTCCTTCGTTAAGCTACGAGTACTAGAAGCCGTCGGTTCGGAATACGAACCGCAACAGGAAGTTGACGCTACCTTCGCTTCTGAAGAACGTGCTCCTCCCGAGCCGCAGAGCATTGTTCTAATTTGCTGTGATAAAAATGCGAGAAGCTACTAGCAAGTACTAGTAGTACCAAAAAAAAACCTTCAAAGATTTCAGTAGCGTCGCACCCTATCTAACTTCACTGCCTTGTTCTGATGCGTATAAAAATTGATGCGACTAGACATCTATCAGGTTAAGCAACTACATTTGCGTATGAGAAAAAATTATCGTGCTTTCTTTCTCGCCTTATGTCTTAGTCTTTCTCAGGCACTACGTACAAATATATTATGTCGCTTCTCATTAGTAGGGTCGCCTGTGGTCTGAATATGATTCAAGTACTTATAGAAGGACAGAGTCCACCGTCCTTGTTCCTCGATAGCTCAATCATCTCCGGAAAAAAAGTGGTTGCTCTCAATAGCGAAGTGCATTGCGTTGCCGGCTGAGCAGAGGTCTCAAAGTAGATAGTCGCGGAAGTGCATATTATAGCTCAGAGCAGCAACTCGGTCGTCTATGAGGTAAAGAACAAGATCTGGATATAAAAATGTAGCTTTGACGGTAAACATACAATCTGAAACAGCGCTGGTCAATACACACATACAGGATGTGGTAAGTTCCACTTACCAGCAGGCATGACCACCAATGCTCTGTGCTTTAGCGGCGCTACGACCATCTTCATGCGATCTCGTCTGTGCAGCTCGCTCTGTTTTCCGGGGTACTTCTAGTAATTCCAGAAAAATGAAGTCTACAAGGTTTGTTCCTGTTGAAATTTCAGCGAACACAAACTGACCTTCGCAGGCGGTCTACATCTGGGCGGACCACGCTGCTGGACGTATTTCCTTGAGGTCCTCTGGTGTGAGACGAGTAACACTATTCATTCTACTGCTTTTGACAAATCACAGTACGGGGGGCTAATTTGATGTAGTTTGCTGGAAGAAATTCTTGGGAATGACCACTGAGCAGGTGATCAGTTCCTCTACTACTCGGCTTTGATGTCTTCAATAAACAGATTCTGACAATTTTTTTTCAGACGCTCCTCGACCTCCTCGCATTTTCACATAAGCAGGAGCTTGTTGTGAAGGACTAAGGACGCAGGTTCTTGGAGGTGCTTCATCACAATAAGTACTTAGTTCCCGCAAGATTTGGATCAAAACTTTCCGCCACCTTGCTGTGGTCCACCCTGTGGCGGCCCTCCCTTTCCATACGGTCCCCCCACCGGTCGCTGGAAGGGTTGAAAGGCGGACTTCCCGATGATGGGCCCGCCCCCGCCACCGACGTTCGGTGCCCGGAACGTTTGCGTGCTCGGGGGTCCGGCGCCGGGGGGTGGCGGTCCACCGCCCTGGTTCAGTCGTTGGTAGGGGTTGTTATACCCGCCGCCCCCGCCCGGAGGGGCGTTGTAGGGGTTCGCACCCGCCTGTGCGTAGTGGTAGGGGTTCATGCCCGGCGGCCCGGGGGGCGGGGGTACGTGCTGGTAGTTATGCTGCTGGGCGGCCAGTTTGTTCGGGCTGATCCACCGCTGCGTGCCCCCTTTCGAAGTTTGCTGCTGCGGCGGCACAATCGGAGGCTGACCAGGACCACCTCCCGGGCCGCGCGCAACCGCCTGGAAGGGCTGCTGTTGTGCTGGTCCTCCCGCGCGGAAGGTTTGTTGGACGAGCCCGTGCTGGGCGAGGGTCGTGTTTGGGCCACCTGTTGGCGGGTAGGCTTTTGACAGTGGCTGATTCATCATGTTCTGCGGCCCCCGATGCGGGCCGCCGCCCCGACTGCCAATCTTGCCACCTGCGGTTGTAGTTCCGTGCTGGTTGTAGTTCAACATCTGGGCCCCTGCCGCGTCTTCGAAGCTGACCATCTTTCTGCTTTTTCCCCCATGTTGGAAATGTTCCATTGTAGTTCCACCGGCTCCGGTAGAGGCTGTACTACCCGAATTATTGTTACTCCCACCTGCAGCTCCACCGCTGTTCTTCAAATCAAAACTGGAGGTCGGTTTCAAACTATGAAGATCATTAGTTGCACCTGCTGCCCCCCCAGCGAGCTCCTTGCTTTTCCGTTCCCGTCGTTCTTTCGAAGTTTCCTTCTTGCACTCAAAATTCCGAATTTCCGTGTACACCGTGGACAGCTCGCTGCTGATCTGCTCGAGCTTCTTGTAGGTCATCTCCTCTTCGAGGGCGTGCTTCTCCCGCAGTTTCTTCGTGTTCTCGATCTCGGATTCCACCTGCTGAATCTGCTCCTTCGCTTCATGCCGGGGCATCTTGGTCGTGAGCAGCTGCCGCCGATACGTTTCTTCCTCCTCTCGCTCCCGCTTCTGCTCAAACATCGTCTGGACCTGAAGTAAAAGAAAGTGGAGTTACAAGGTCAAGATGAAAGCGTTGTACCATGATTATAGTAATGGACGTGGACCAGCACAGGAGGTACCGAAGCAAGAGAGCTGCTTGCTGCAACATGATCGGGGGCTACATGAAAATTTATTTCGGCCTCCGAAATCGCGAACTTCAGAATGAGCTCAACGGGATTTTTCCCATCTTCACAAAAATCTCGTCCTTGTTGGAAGGAAGAGAGTACAAGATGAACAATGGCCGCGTTTTTAGCTGCATTGGATCAGACACTTCGTGTATTTTTGGGACGCCAAACTTAATTTGTAACGAGTCAGCTTGAATGAGTAAGTACCTCCTCCTGCAGCATGTTGATCTTGGTTTTGTGGGCCAGTTCCAGTAAAGACGTCGTTTCTCCGATCGGCTCGTCAGTGTTTTCGTCCCCGCTATGCACTGCAAAAACATGAAGATCTTCGCGCTACTAGCTGTAAATCGCATGACAAATTCATATTTTGTTCATAGAAGAAGAAAATCGAAGTTTCCGTTTCGTTTGTCTGTCATTTAGACAGACTCAAGTCGAAAACAAGCAGATTTGTCGCGCTTGCTCGCATCAATTACATTTACAACTAGGAGCATCGGTGGATCATAGCACTTTTGCAGTGGATACTCGTCATCAGAGGACACTTCTTCACCTGCGGCCCCCGCATCGACTTCCCCACCAGCTTGCTCCAACGCGTTCTTTTTCTTGTCGCTTACTAAATCTTCCCCAACCGCCTCTTCAGCGATGAATTCCAAGCTCCCTGCTACTTCCTGTTTTTTTTTTTGCACAGTAGAGGTAGTGAACATAATCATAAAGTCTCGGTCTCCCATGAAGTAGATCATATCTTCCCGATGCAGGGACGATGGGCACCGGCACACGATGAACAACGGGGGTCGCCCCTCGTCTGCATGGGCAAGAGGTCAAGAGCAAGACCAATTATATCAAGATCTGGTAGGACGATGAAAGCTCAATCTGCTAGTACCGCCTTACCTTCAACTCCTCAATCGCCTGTTCGTGCCCGAGCAGTCTATGCAACGTAAATACGTCTGGGTCCTCTGGAAAGTTGTGATGGCGTCGATGGAATCGTGCCAATGAAGCTTCTTAGACAAAAACTAATTGTCAGAAAAAACAAAAAAAGCGCGTAGCGATGCACAGCTAAGCATGACCACAGGTTTATTTTGCGTGGCTCATTCATATTACCTGTTCTTCTCGCGTATTGGTATTTCGCAGAACAATGAGCTGGGTTTTATAATTTGGGTGACAGATTCATCCTGGAGTACTATTTCGTGAGCAACATGCAAGACAGCAGCAGCGCCGACTTGTCAAGTCATGCTCAAATGCCGGACACGCCTGTTGATAAATTAACTTGCAACCTTCCAACCCCAGATCGAAATTTCCCTTTGATAAAGACCTTCCAGATCGAATTGCTTGGAGTCCACCACGTCGTTGAGCGTCTTTCCAAAAAGCTTCTTGGTTGTCGCCGTTTTGGCAGCTGATGTTGTGCGAGAGGAGTGGTCATCTTCATCCTCACTTGTCGTGCTGCTCGTACCATCGATGTTCATCTTCTTCACGCCACTCTTGTTGTTTGATAGTACCTTGGTAGTTGTACCTCCTGCCGTAGATAAAGTAGCCTTCGTCGTGTCCTTTTTTTCACCTCCAACCGCATTTTTACTACCAGTGTCGTCCACGAGTAGCAGCTCCCCCGTGTCGACGGATCGTTGCCCAAGGACCACCTTGACCTTCTTTTCCTCTTCACGCAAAGCTTTCAACTGGTGAATGTAACTGCGCTGCTCCAACTGCAGCCCGTCCAGTACCTGCTCATACGCTTCCAGGGCCTGCAAAACTTGTTGCTTCGCAGTCTGCTGCTTCAGCTCGTGTTCCGGCCGTAGTTGTTTTATTCTCGACGCTCTTTCATCCTCGTTGTTCAACATCCCTTGTTCGCCCTGATCTTCCGCACCGAAGATGCGGACCGTGGTGCGGAACAGGTTCGTGAACATGGTCTGAATCTTCACCACAGGCTCGGGCTGCCGCACCATGTTCAGCCCCACGAACTTCGAGATCTATCCAAGAAAACAACAACTGTGTTGTAGAAGTCGGCGCAGCTCTTTTTGCTTTTGCTTTTGCACGAGGAACACAGCGTGACAAGAAATATGATGTTGATGTTGCGCATAAGTCATGCACAGATCATAGTATGTGAATGTGAACAGCACACATATGAATAAAGAACTAGGCTACAACGATGCATGTCGACGAGCATTGTGCTGACCTCTACTTATGCATCTTCTGCAACTACACATGCACATCAAAGGCAGCCTTTTTACACATCAGTTTTTTTCCTCGATAAGATCTCCGCGTCATTCAGTTGAATACGCTCCTCCGTGTACTTCAGTGGCTGCAGTTTCTTCTCCTGCTTAGGTTTCGGGGCCGACTGCTTCGCTTTCGGTGGCAAAGTAGTACTACTAGACCCTGCGGTTGTACTAGAAGTTGTTGGCTGCGCGGCGGATCCACCAGCGGTCGTGGGGGGCTTGGTGCTGCCTGTCTGCTCTGCGACCGCAGAAGCGCCAGCTGCACCCCCTCTCGGAGTGGGTTTAGAAGCGCCAGCATTGTTGTTCCCTGTTTTGATGGGAACCTTGGCGGCAGTGATGTCACCAGACGACTTTGCTGCAGCTCCACCGGCAACGATAGTTGTACTGCTGGAATCTACTACTTTCGGAGATGGTTTACTAGTACTCATCCCTTTATTTGAATCTGCTGCTGCGTCCACTGCTTTTATCACGACGACACTTCCGCTCCCCGCCTGCGAAAGTGGTCCGGGTCCGGCACCAGCAGCTGCCCCTGCTTTCGGGGACGCCTTTGGAGAGGCTTTGGGGGTACCCGTGGGCTTAGAATTTGTAGTGTTCTTGTTGCCTTGCGCAGTTGTACTACCCGCGGCCGCTGCAACAGCTGCAGTTCTAGTACCGCCTGCAGTTGTTGTACTGCCACCGGCGGATGCGACGGCGGGTGCGGCCGCTGTAGCTGTTGCTGTTGCACCAGCACTCGAGTTCTTGCTACCTGTCGGTCCTCCTGCAGCCGCCGGCGGTGCAGTTGCCGCGCCGGCGGCGACGATTCTCACCTTGGCTGGGTCGACAACGGTTGCTGGGGTCGCTCTCGGGGAAGGCTTGGGGGCGCCTGCATTCTTTTTAGTGCTGTCCGCGCCGGCGCCGGGTTTCACTTGTTTCTCGGCCATCTTGCACTTCTTGACCTGCTAGTTCGTTGAACGTAAAAGTTAGTACTACTTATTCGAATAACAATAAATCGAACACAAACGGTGAACATTAAACTAAAGACCAACTTGTTCTATCTTGTACTGTTTTGTCTACACGGTCGAAACGTTCGGACATTTTCTTCTTTTTGTGTACCTAACTAGGTGTCGCTGCGAGAATGAAAATCACGGAGGAAGCTTTTGGCTTGCTATACGTGAATGTCGTTGTGAATGTGAAATAATTCACTCAAATCTTAAAATACATGTGAAGTGCGACGAACGTCGAGGTTAAAACATAATAAATTGATATCACAGGCATAAGCACACGAATCAGGCGTAGGGTCGCGGGCCAACAAAAATCCAAAAAAGTATAGTGATTTGTCTCCACCCGCGTCCTCGTTTTATTTTCGTCGTGAGCGCTAGGATCTTGGTCTGATATTGAACAATCAGGTTTTATCAAATGTTACATAGAGGGAGGAGGATCCTTCGCTGCACCTGTTCCACCAGCTAATATACATATTGCTGTGTGCATGACCTTGACCACCGTTATCTTATTTGCTGCGAGTCGTGAACACCACGTCCAAAAAAGGCGCACCGCTACTTTGAGGCTGTAGTTGTAGGACCAACTGGTGGACAGTAGAAGCGTTGACCTGCACCTGCTCTCTACGACGACAAAGAGATAATGATCCTAGGGGAAGGACTTTCATCGACTGTACAGAAAGAAGAAGTTCAAATTTTTGTGCGATTTCCTGACACACCTCAATTTGCATAACTTGTCGCAGGCTCTGTCGCTTGTTTTTTCGAACCATATCGCCTTGGTGCACGTCCGACCTGTAACTACAACTTCGAATCATCCTACATCTCGTGTCATCTTATCTAGTACCAACGAAACGCTACAGCATTCTACAGAATCGATCATTTATTGTTACTACTTGTACTTTCAAACGAAAACTACGGCAAAGTTCTTCAAGCGAAGGGGAGCGCGTACTCGTTTTCGTCTTACTGGTGAAAATTAACGCTTCTTCGACGGATCTTTCTTAGTTACCTCTTCGTCCAGAGGTCAGTTTTACTAAGTTTTACGCGGAAAGATGTTGACTCGTCTAGAAGTATAGCGCTGTCGATCTCGATTCTTGTTCGAAATACTATAGATGACCAAGATGTCGATCGCGATCGGTAATAGAATTCTTTTAGTCTTCGAAGTCCTCATCGGTATTTCATTTGACTGTCAAACTGCGGCGAGCGCGAGCACTCCTCGGCACGACCAGCGTCATCGATTCTGAGTCTGCTACAATTTAAACAAATCAATATAATGGTTATGCATGTGTATTTCAAAAGGTGAGGTGGAGCAAAGAAAATCTTCGGCAGACTGAGTTGTGACGAGTCTGGACTACTAGTACTAGCATAGTATTTTTACCAGGCAGCACCTCCAAGAAAATGGGCATCAGACAATCAGTACAACAAGATGATGGACTGATCAATGATCGCCAATGTTCTTGGTGCGGGAGCACTAAGTAGTTAAGAACTGTGCGGAGAAACTGTCCAAATGTCACACTCCTGCTATGAAAAAAGATTTATGTCGTTCAGTCTTAAATAATGAAGACGTAAATAAAAAAAACGTGAAAGAATTCTTGCTGTTCCAATGCAGCGGTTGACCTTGCGGTTGCACGCCCTTCGACTTTTACAGTACTGTTGTTGCTGCACCCTAAGTTTTTACATCGATTACTTAAGTGGCGGGGGGGAATAGATTGAGATTGTTGTGCCCTAGGTCTCTTGTGTTATTGCGCCTCGGCTCTTGATCCTTCGATCGCAGGGAAGATTGTTGTGCTTTGCCACAGGTGTCCACATCGATCAGATGAGGTTGCTTTTTGCAACACCTTCACCTTGTTTGTACGGTTGCTTTCGCTACATCGTTCAGAAGAGAGAATCTAGAAGGTGCTCGACTTCTTTCTTGTTCCTGGGGCGGGGTGAAGCACAAGCACGACCGACACTGACAGACGAGCTTACAAATATGACAGAATAACTACACCCAGTCTACTCAAAAAATCTTGCTACGTGGCCTCTTTCTTGCAGGAGCGTGCTTCTCGATCAGCATTTCAATTTCTACATCTCGACCACCTCGTCCGGTCACGACACAAAAACGCTCCTGCTCGTGGGGACTGGTGTGCAGATGAGAGCTTGTGCTTGATGAGGAGCTATGGAACTTCTACTCCTAGTACTGACTCTCATGATGGTGCCGACAAGATAGATGATGGTGCCAACAAGATAGATTACATGCCATGTTTTTCCTTCGGCGCAAAGCCAAAAGCTTTTCGGAGGTTTGCAGACTGGCCAGGCTTGTCGGAAAAGACAAGAGGGGCGCGCTCTGCTTGCACCCAGGCGGCTTAGTATTTTCATAAATCAGCTGCGGGGCAGAACCCGGTCGGAAGAAGCAGCAAGGGCCGCTTTTTCCTTGTAAGTAGACAGGCCGCTTTGTCCTTAAAGCGTAGCTGCTTTCCCTTTTCTTTCGCTCTTTTGCCAGAGGAACCCCAGCCCGATAGCAGTGAAAGCTGCCTCCTCTGTCTTACAGAAAAGGCCCGAGTGTCTGCTTTTCCAAAGGCGGGCAGATTCTGACCAAGCCAAGCAAGGGCGCCGCTTTCAAACTTCGAGAGAGGAAGCCTGTTATTGCTTGTTGCTCAAGCCAGAACCGAAATACTCCAAAAGCGCAGCTTTCCGGATCCGCAAGAAAGTAGGAAAGCCATGCGCCCCACCGGCCAGCGCTGGCCTTTTCTCGAGCATTTCCAAAAATAAGTGCCCCATGCCATGTCCAATGGAAATACGTAAACAAGGAAAAACACAAAGAAAGCGGCTGCAACATTCTCTGGGCTGTTCTCCAAATCGCTTGCTCTTCACCTGCTGCTCGCGGCAGCCTCAGGCGTGAACAAGCGAAACAAGCCGCGGCCCCCTTGGTTTTTGAAAAACTGCGCGCGGTCTTTCTTTGGGCCAGGCAAGACGGGAGCCGGAATTGCAATCCACTCCATCACTTTCCCTTCCTATCCCCTGAGCGAAATCTGTTCTGCTTGCTTTCACCTGGCAGGACCAGCTAGAACTATCGCACACAGCGACCACGGGCGCCCTGGCCCTTGTTTCTTTTCGGCCAGTCATATGATAAGGGTAGCCGAAAGAAGCTGAAGCGGCTGGCGACGTTCCGAGGTAACCAGCCGGAAAAGAAAGAGCCGGGACGAGAACTGCGCCCGCTGGTTCACTGAACCGACTTGCCGCCAGCGGGGCGAAGTAGAAAGCCAAAAAGCGCAATCAACAAAGGAAAGGCCTGCCCCTTCCTGCCATTTTGCGGCGGCAGCGGCGTGGCTTGTTGCCTCCCGGCCTTTTCAGGTGTTGCGCTTTTTGCTTTTTCGGCCAAACAGGCTTATAGCGCAGCACTTTTCTTCGTCCGCGTTGCCTGCCCCTCCTATTTTCTGTAGCCCAGTTATCGCCCTCGTGCGTTTCTTTTGCCCAGTTATACACACCGCCTTGAGCCCTGTTGTTCTATTTGTATGCGTAAATTCCCGCGCCGTTGTGCCTCCACGGCGGCGCGAGTGAGGTATACTGACTCTCATGATGGTGCCGACAAGATAGATGAAGCCAGTAGCTGAAAAAAAAGTAGAAGAAAATGGGGCCTCTAATACACAAGAACCACAACCACTTTTACCAAAGTCGCAGCGAAGCGCTACTTGTGATCGAAGTAGAGAAACCGATCGCGGTTGCAATAAATCACGTGGCCGGCCCGTCAGTCGTGACCACATTTTTGCTTTTCATCTTCGACGACGCGAAGTAGACTACTTCTGCGATCATTCTTGCCAGTACTGTTCTCGTGCGAATGTTTATTTGTGTCAAAGAACAAAGTCACAACAAAGAAGTCGTGTCATTTTTGTCATCGGCTTGGTTCCGATATTAGTACTATTAGCGGTTTGCCCAATAATACAATAGCACCAAACTCGTCCTCCTCTTCATACTAGCTGTAGTGCCCTGGTTTCGAAGAATGGAAAATTTTTATTTTTTTATTTATTTGATCCACTCTTGTTTCAAACAGACGCGGTGCTCGCTCTTTGATCCTGCTGTTCTGGCAGCGACCCACTGAACAACGAGGTTGTGGAAGCACAGTGAAACGAAACCCACCTACGCAACGCGACATCTAGACGTGAGGCTGGAGGAGAGCATCGCGCTGGAGGGTGTGACCATGGCGGGCCGGCTCTTGCGCTGGTTCCTTATAGTTTCATCAATCAGAGGGCGCACTCCTGGTGCGCAGCACAGAATGACTATACTACGGTGTGTAGGGAGACGCTGCCTGAGCGGCACCACGTGCGACTGGCACCAGGCCAGAAGGAGTGACGGCTGTACGTTCATGGTGGCAAAATGCCCTACGTGCTCAAAAATTGCCCCTGTGCTGGGGCGGCGGTGGCCCGGCTGCGTCGCCGCCGCCGGCGGCACGGCGCCGCCCGTCTTGGTGTGCGCGCGTTCCGTATGTGACGTAGGAGAACAGGCGCGCCAGGCGCTGCGGGTCCGATAGCCCGCCAAGGTCCCCGACTTCGTAACACTCTAGGAAGTGGGCCGGCGTGTCCGCAACGGCGTCGCACTTGGGACAAATACGGCCGAGAAGCCCGGCCGGGGTGAGTTGCTTGAAGCGGGTGGCGCCTAGTAGGCTTGCCGCAGTTACTTGAACCTCGCGACTTTCGCCCTGCGCGCTTAGTTCTTTGTGCAGTTTCTTGCAGGCCGGGCGGTCCGGGAGGAAGACACTGCAGAGGCTGCCACTGACGGACGGGGCCGCCCGCTTCAGCGACTGCATGGCGTCCACTTCTTGCCTGTCTAGTTCCGCCTTGACTAATCCTTTCACGTCGTCCAGGGTCGGTGCCTGTGGCCACTCAGCTGGCGCGGGACCGAGGGCGGCGGCGTGGTCAGCCAAGGCGTCCGAGACTTCGTTGTGGGTGACCTCGGTGTGGCCGTACACATGCTGGATCCTGATGCATTTGTAGAGCCGACTGACCCGCTCCAGGCGGGCCAGCATCTCGCACTCTGCATCCGTAGCCAGCCCGCCGCACTGCGCAAGCGTTTTAATGCGGGCGAGGACTGCCTGTGCGTCGGACAAAAGAAGTAATTCTTGAGCGGCCGTATCTTCTTCGGCGGCGGCCTGGATGGCGAGGCCGAGCAGATCCATGAGGGCCGTGAACTCCGGGCGGTAGGAGCTTTTGTTCCCGCCCCAAGCTCCTGTAAGCACCCTCGCTTCGCGGCTGCTGTGAAGGTAGGCAGCCGAGGCCCCGCGCCCTGTTGCTGCAAGGTGTGCCCCGTCGCACGCCCCGGTGAACTTGTAGCGCGCCACTAGTTCATCTCTGGTTCCGGCGAGCTCATGCGTGTGCACCCGCAAGTTCTCTAGCCGCCCCACCTGGGGGCGGTAGGTTTGGAGGCGCTGCACCTGGTGCCGGCTCCAGCCTGCACTCTCTAGGGTCTTGACCGCTTCCATAGCCCAGGGGGGACACTGCGCAGCCGGTGGCGCAAATTGTCGGTCGGCTCCCTGATCCGATTCCAGCTCAGGGGCGTAGGTATGATACACCCGGCGGGCCGGCTGCTGGTCAGCACTGAGGCTTTGTGCAGTTGAAGCTTGCGCGGGAGGCAGGGCCACCCAATGTGTCCAGGAGGTGACCGCCGTTGTGTACGGGCAGTCAGGCCGGAGCGCCGCAAGTTCCGTCGGGTCTTGCGCGCGCATTTCGCGCGGGTCAGTAGTGCCCTTGTTTCGAAGAATGGAAAATCGCCCTCTAAAATCCTACTCAGGTTCATCAACATATAAACGCCTTCACTTGATGATGTCTGATACTAAGTGATGTCGTTCGTAGAGGAAGATAAAGCTCTTGCAACAAACGCAGTAAGTACTTTCGTCCTAGAGGTCTTTGGATGATTCTCATACAAAATCATTATGACCAAATCTGTTTTGTTGTCTTTTAGTTTTATCAGGAGGTGGAGGGTGCATTATTTTTTCCGTACGTAGATCTGAATTCGTCGCAACAAGGTTCGTGCTCTGGCGTGCTCGTCTGGTGGTACACAGAAGTCGCAAGTTGTCCCGTACTACTACCCGATTGCGCAGCCTCGTGCTGGGGTAAGTACTTTTTACTTCCGCGCGGTCAAATCTATACTATATGTCCAAGGCCGCGGCGCGATTAGGGCGGTCGTAGTCGTTGTGGTGTTGATGATGCAGCTGCGACCTTCACAAATCTAATTACCGCGCCGCTTGCATTCGCATGCGCCCCGTCCGCAGGCGGCAGGGTGTTGTTATACGCGGCCGCTAACAAGTGCTCAAGCTGTAATCATTTCTGCGGTCCGTAAAAAAAAAGCCGAATCGCGAGGGTATGCTGCGATTTTTCTTCGGTTGATGATCATGTCGGATGATCACCGTTTCTCCTTCTGCAAAATGCTGATCATCGCTACACTATCAACCTTCACAATAAAAAATGCTGACTGAGAGAAAACACAAAGGGGTAAAAATAGACAATCACAACTACAACGCATGGTCACGGGGACGAGGTCGCGTTTGCATGTGGGTGCGTTTGCCATACCGAAAAAAAAGGGTAGTGCTTCTGAAAAATATGTGGCAAGAGCTGCTCGCTAGTAGTGACCATCAGTCGTTTTATGATATCAAATTGATTACCACACATAAAGTACTTCTGTCGTTCTAGTTTGTTAAATTGGAATTGCACTTGCACTTGCAGCACAAAGCACATTTTTGCTCTGATTTTTTACAGACGCAATATATTTTTCTTTTTTACTTATTACTCAACCACCCCAACAAGTTTTTCTATAACTGAGCATATCCAACATCGTGATCGTGGCTCAAATTCATGTATTGTGACGAAAAATATCGCCCGTGCCCATATTCAAAGCGGATTGCATTAGTGTTGCTGAATTGTGTACACAAACAAATCAACTGTCCCTCCCGGAAGGTGGCAACCCAGAGGTCTCCGCCACCTTGAGTGGGCGATTTCTGATGCTCTCGGGACTACAGGGCAAGTTGCTGGCATGCTAAACAACCAGGCCAAGGGAGCAGTCACTACTTTTGTGTACACAAATCCAACATCACAAATTTCGTTTTGAATGTGGGGAGGGGAAACTTTTCATTTTGATATCATGCTCGCACGAAAAGACGTTCCTCAAAATATCAACCTATCATGATCATCTTGCTCCGGCGTAGTTATTTCCTCGATTTTGTGGGCACCAAAAGACTTTTCCCTTCATCTCAGGTCTACACTAGTACACTATAACTTTGGTCCTCTTTCATGGCCGTCTAAGTTGTTATTTGCTATTCTGCGTCCTAGTAACAAACGGCACGACTGGCATCGCATCATACAAGCAACTGGCGAAATGAAAATTATTCTGTAATTCGAAACGCCGCGAAACAGAAAGCCTAGTAGTTACAACCTTCGTAATACTCAAAGGATCATTTCCCGTCGTGCTCTTAGCCTTATCGAAAAATGAATCGCATCGATTATAATGCGTGCGGCCGGTCCTAGCCCTTGGAATGTTGCTCGTAATTATATTCGTTGATAGTCCGCTAGGCGACCTAGAAGTGCAGCTCCAGCTCGGAACAAATATTATAATGCTGTCGCTCTTCATACTAGCATCTGCGATCATCTCATCTGCCCCCGGCTACTTGCAAAACTGCAGGCGACGAGGGCGAGACAAAACAGTACTGCGTAAACAACATTAACATACCGTTACTGTCCGACTCCGATGACACTTGTATTTAATTATATCCCGATCTTTTAGAATGAAGCACTAACCTTCAGCACAGCTTCTTCATACGCGTACTTAGTCGTGATACCTGGATATAAGAATTTGGTCTACCTCGATGTTCTTTAGAAGCCCTGCTGGATTCCTCACCTCAACTTCTTCACCGCGGCCTTTTCTTGTTCCAGTGCCCTACCGTGATACCACTATTTCTGCCATTCACGTCTGCTGCACAGATAGCGCTACAGCGGTAACACTTTTTTTTTCAAACAGGGAGGCACATTCGTTAATCATACTTAATTCCCTTGTTGCGATAATCCCACCCATTTCCATCCTAACGTCATACTTTTTTTCGCCCGCCGGAAGAGGTGATCTACTGTGCATACAATCGTAGGTCGATTTTTGTTCGATAAAGCTGATGTTGTGACGAGTGTACTTCTACTTGACCACTACTCGGACTCTCCGTGAGAAGTACAAGTTCCATAGTATCCTTTGCTTGGTTGTACTACCACCCCGTGGGGGTGTTCTCCAAAATTTAAATTTGATGTTGCGTCAAAATCAAATCATACAAAAACACAAGTATATATCTTGTTGATTTGGATTTTCATTTTTACATTGTCAGCTGCTGTCTGATTGAAGTCCGTTGCGATGCCTGCTCCTAGAGATCATAGGAGAGAACTGCAAGGGGTTCCTGCATTCTTATCGTCGAGGAACAGTCTCTGTAAAAAATACTGGGGCCGCGGCTGCTTGAAGATGCAGTGGCAGATAAGTATCTGCACCAGCAGGAGCACGCAGACCCACCCGCAAGCAGCTACAGTGGTGAGAATAACGTAAACTAAAAAGTATAATTCTAATTGTCGCTAGATTCGCTAAAAGGTATATTGTTATTTGTTCTTCTTTGTTAAGGCAACAAGTGGGAGGCAAAAAGTGGGAAGTGACACCCACAAGAATTGAGATGCTGCGCTGTGTGTGAAAAAATGAGACTACGCTTCAAGAATATCAATGGACTAAATTGAGAGTATCCAGTGCAAAAGCATCGCACTCGTATGAATTGCAGGCTTGCGTCGAGACAAGTGTCTCATCGCCATCTCTTAGCAAAATAATATGAGATACTTAAAGTTGTGAATGTGATGCAATCCATACCACTGCGATACAACTTTTGCACTGCATAAGTGGTTTCTTCAATAAAATTCCGGCTCCTTGTTCCGGAGTGTCGTCAACTGCTTATCCCCTCGAGGACAACTACGGCGCAACAACCTTTTGGGCTCACCAAGCTGTGGAGGTGGACGCTGTCCGGTAAATTTGCTGCAAATGCTGGTGAAACGAGAGATGCGGCAGGAGCCATAGGCCGTCGCTGAATGGTTATTTGTCGCTAAGTAAAAGCACAATAACATCTACATTTTTCTCGATTATTCTCGTCAGAAATCCCTATCCCAGTCTGGATCGTGACCAGGTGCGTGGGGATTGTAATCCTGCGCCGGTTATGGATTGCAAACCTGTCTGGGTCTGGAAGAGACGCTCTGCTTTTGCATGACACAGAAGGTCTGGCATGGAAGCTATAGCATCACAGGCTTCAAGAAGCTTCCGCAATGCCGAATCAGAATGAGAAATGCCCCACTTTGGTGATGGTGACAGAAAGCGGGCAGCCTTTGCTGCCTATGCATGAGAGATTTTTCCGCGTTGTGAAATAATGCGCATCACAAGTTTGCACTCACTTCCAGACCCAGACATATTTGCATTTCATACCGGTGGCGGTTTGTTCTTGGGCCGGAAGTTTCCGCAGTCCTGGTTGGTTTGCACCCGGGGAATGAAGGGGGCTTCCACCGTGCCCTGCCACATTTCCCGCCCGATATAAAACAAAAAAAAACACCCTCAAAATCACAACTATTTGATACAGGCAGCTCTTTTCATTTTCTTGCACAATATCACAATTTGTTTGCAGGAGCAGGCTCTGCTGCCTCACATGAACTTTGTCTGGCATGGCAATAAAGTTTCACATCACACATTGCAGAAAAACAACAGGACAGAACGAGGGATAAAGGTGTGAAGAAAATGCATTTACATTTCCGCATGACCACAGATGAAGTCCGTCGGAAAAAATGTCAGAAAGAAAAGCGCAAATATTCAAGTGATCACGATGGTGTTTGATTTTTCTTGGGTACCACGGGAAGTGTTTGTACCACGGGTGTTCGCGCAGGTTCTTCAGCGGTTATCCTGTGTAAAAACGTCCCCACACCATAGTTGTCATGCAAATCTGCATGCTTAAAATGTTTCGCATGCGGAGCCCCATGAGGAGCATTTTCTAATGGTGTTTTGAAATTTGTCATGCTCCAATCAGCATGAGACACTAGATCTGTAATGCTGCTGAACTAGCTCAAACAGCACTACACTACGCGTCCAAATTTGTCATGCGAAACAGCCAAAGCTTGTGGATATGTCTAGCCGATTCCCCATCTTGACTAAGTATGGGGTGGGTACGTTTTGACATAGGATAGTGGTCCGCCCTTGCGCATCGGCAGCCGACGCGCCGCGTCACCCTGCAGCAAACCCACCACTAGATCGACGCAATCCGGTGTCACAGTAAAAAGTGCCCCTTATCAAATGTAAAAATGTCTGGGTCTGGAGGAGTGTCGACCTGTCATGCTAAATCTGAATCAGGCAAAAAACTGTGTTGCATGATTGCCAAAAGATGTGCACTTTTGACCTAATCGAGAGGCAGTTTCTCATGCAGGATAGGCATTAGAAATGTCCCGCAGAATCTGTCATGCTATGTCCTACATACCAGACCTCATGGGTCATGGAAAACCTGCATGACAAATCTGGCAATCTTCCAGACCCAGACACTTTTACATTCGATACCCCTCGACATAGTACTTACTTACCCCAGGGCTGCTCTTCAGCACTTGGAAAAAGCATTTGCGTTGCAATTGCTAAAATAAGGACCTAACATAACAGCGCTGGGGCTTGGCATGTTTGTAGTAGATGGTTTGGAATCTGAATCGCAGAAAGAAAAAGAATCTCTATGCATGAATTAAAGTCTTGTTCTGCATCAGAAATCATATTAATCAATATGAATATTTTGATTTTCTACTACTTCTGGGGGTGGGGGTGGGCGTGGGGGCCGTGGGGCGCTTTTCAATATGATATCCGGCGCACGACGCTGGAAGCCGTCAAAGTTCACGCGCGACACACCTGAGGTTATTTTTAAACACGATTTGCAGCCTTACAACATCTACTTCATGTGCAGTTTCTAGAACTTCAGAAGTAGAAATAGACGAGAGTGCAATAATTATATTCGAGCTAGTATGGCCGCGCTTCCGCAACCGCATCAGGAGTGACAAGGAAATCCACTTATTTTTACCTCGCACAATGCTATTACAATGAAAAATGCCCCCTCCCCATATCAAAACGGAAATCTGTGATGCAGATTTGTGGTCACAAATCAGCTTTGTGATGCTAGAAGGCAAAAGATGCGGACTGTAGTGCTGTCCGGCGTGGGAAAGCCTTGCAGCTCCAGGATGACAAAAGGCAACTGGAAGTGGGAAACAGCATGACAGATAGCCTGCAACTTAGGCCGCAGCTTCGTCTCTTGGCCTTCTAGCAATACAAGTTGATTTGTGTACTCAAATACAGCATCACAAATTCGCGCATCTTCCGTTTCCGATATGGGGTGGGGGCTTTTTTCACTTTGATAAATGCGCTGCATGGTTCGCTGCGTGTCCGAGGCTTCAAAGGGCGCGTTGCCCGTCATGAGTTCGAACACCAAGACGCCGAGGCACCACCAGTCCACCGCCAGCGTCTGCCCCTCGTGCTTTACGATTTCCGGCGCAAAGTAGTCCGGCGTGCCGCAGGTCGTGTACGTTTTCACGTTCCCATTCGTGCCGATGATCTTTGCCAGCCCCATGTCCGTCAACTTGCAACAGCCGCGGTGGTCCAGTAGGAGGTTTTCGGGCTTCAGGTCGCGGTAAAGCACGCCGCGCGCGTGGAGGTACGCAAAGGCAGCGATATCACACTGAAAAAGCCCATAGCATACCATAGCATGCGTAAAAGTAAAATTACGCTCTCGGCATGATGAAAAGTGGAGTTTTACTAGTGGGCGTGCTGGTTTTTACTTATTTACCTTGATGGGCGAGACCTCCACTGGGAGCACGACATTTCTTGTCATGCACCACTTATATCGTCTGGAGTTATTTAGTACAACGAATATAAGATGCTACTAGCTTTTTTCTGCAGGATAGGTGATCACCGTTGCCGAGTAGAATTTGGCCTTGGTAATACTTCCGTGGTATTTGAATCGGTGGTACTGGTAGAAAAGTTCCCCGCCCAGGCACACCTCCATCAGAAAGTGCACGTACGCGTTATAACCTGCTCAGGTGTTACAATCTCAAACGTTACAATAGAATCTGGAATTTGTGTTGCATGATGAGCATGACAGACTTGCAGAGCGCTCCACTTTTTGCAATACAAATTTAGCCAGATTATAGTGCGGCTTGGAGCTCCGAAACTTGTCATGCGCAATCCTGTGGGAAGAGGCTAGATCATGCACTCTTGCATCACAGATTTCCATATTCTATTGTAACGCTTGAGATTGTAACACCTGAGCGGGTTATACGCGTTGTCGCGGTAGGTCTGAAACGTGCGTACGATGAAGCGGCACTTGCAGAGGAAGAGAATTTCCTTCTCCCGGAACACAGCCGACTCCATCCTATGAAATGCAAAAATGTCTGGGTCTGGAAGGTTGGGACTTGTGATGCATGTTGCGCATCATACAAAAATCTGTGTTGCGTGACTTGCAAAAGGTGCCCATTTCTGGCCATGCTGAGGGGGCATTTCTCATGCAGAACAGGCATCACAGAAGGGCTGCACATCCTGTGATGCTAGGTCCTGCATTCTAGACTTAGTGGAGCTTGGAAAAACTGCATGAGAAGTCTCGGAATCTTCCAGACCCAGACATTTTTGCATTTGATACATCCGTTTTCTCTGCAAAAATCCCTTGGAAATCGACTTCAGCGCAAACGTGCTCCCGGATTCCACGTGCACGCGCAGACTCACACGACCGAAGCCCCCACACTATGGAAATGAAAACTGCCCCTAGTACCCCAGAAACAAAGTCAAGGTGAATCACCTCCCGATGAAATTGAAAACAATCCCCATTACAACTTCATGCAGCAACACAAAGTATGCCGACCTATGCAGAAAAGCAAAGCTTTGTAAACAAGTTGCAAAAAGTAAAAGTCCTAGCAGTCGCAGAATTTGTCAACATGTAGAAACGGCTTCAAACACCTGTATTAAGCTCTCGATCGGGAAGCCGCGTCGTCCTTTCATGCAAGACAAATTCATTTCCATATCCATTTGGAAAGGCAACTTGTCTTTAGCTTTGCCTGAGAAATATTCTCCACTTCTGGGAAAGGGGCACTTTTGATTTTGATACGCAACCAAGCACGTTCAGTTCCTTCAGCGAATTCAACGGGATAGGGCGCCAGTTCTGGTTTTTTTTTTTTTGTAAACATAAATTTCTTTCTTTCTTGCTGCTGGTGTCATTTCTTTGATTCGCATGATAAACAAGATGAACTAATAAATAAGCAGCTGCTTTAGCAACCTAAGGCCCGTAGAGCCTGATGTAGTTTTCATGAATATGATCACGGCATGTTCTTGGTGCCATGAACATGATGCGGCAGGCAGGCAACTACCGATGATCTTCCTACTTGTATTAACATGCTGGCCAGATCAAAAATACCAGAAACAAATCCACATCCTGGAGAATATCGTGCTCCTCCGTGTTTTCCTGGGGTTCCGACCGTCGCTCCACGCCGGCCTGCAGCATGCTCTCGCCCAGCGAGGGCGGGAACACGCGGTAGAAGGTACTCGGGGGGACCACCAGAATAGTCGCGCCCTGTAGACTGGTCACGGTGGCCTTTGCGTACATCGGACCACCGCCCATGGTGCCGGCGCGGCTCCTGGAGGAGGAGGAAGCTCTACTTCCTTGCGGCAGCGCCTTGCTTCTACTCCCGGCACTTATGTCCATGGGGCGAAGCAGCGTTCGCTCGCCGAAATACTGCAGGTGCTGAAGCTGCTCGATGCGAACCGCAGGATTGTTATCCTCGTTATTTTCATTCACTTCCTGCTGCCGGGGCAGGGGTTCGACCACCTCAAGTTCCTCTGCATTCTCTGGTTCTGGAGGTGCAGCAAGATTAGTAGAATCTTCAACAAAATCGTAATCCTCTCCTATTGGACTCTCATCCTCTTTGGAAAGAGGCACAGTCGTGTGCGTGTCCCGTCCCTCATACGCCGTGTCGTAGCGAGTTGTCGTCGCGTCGACGGTCGTGCCCTCCGCAATCTCCGCCGAGTTCTTGGAAGTTCTACTTGTGGCTCCTGCTCGTCCTGCTTTCTGCGTAGTTAGCCGATTATTTGCGCCAAAGCTCGTGGATTTCCGTCGCTTGATTCTTCCCTTGATAAACTCCCGCCGCATTTCGTCCCAGTCTTTGGCCTCGTAGGGGTCGTCTACCTCGTGGTCTTCGTATTGGAACATAGAAACCAGTCGGCTGCTGTTGCCGCGCAAGACCACGACGGGGTCGCTCATCGTGTACCCGATCCGCTCCGCCTCTTGGTACGAAATACCGATGTGCGGGTTGTTTTTTACCTCGTTGTGCTGCGGCGGGTGGTTGCTCCGGCTGCCGCTACCCTCCACGGTTTTCTCGGGATTCAGGTTCGGACCTCGGATCTCCACTTCCCTATCAAATGCAAATATCGAAGATCTGGGTCTGCAAGAGGGCGACGTTTTTCATGGTCGTGCAGTTCGTGGATGACAAAGATGGCCTGGAATGTCGCATCCAGAAGCATCTTCACAGATTGCGCAAGAGCTTCTTCTTGTTCCTGCCCTTTCGGGAAGAGAAGTTCGCTCGGCTCTCTATTGTGTGGCAAGAAGTAGACAAGAACTACCTTTGATGCGGTTCATGCAACATACGCAGATTTATATATTTTTGTGCACTGCAGGTTTCAGACATTTAGCATGACAAGTTTGGATCCTTCCAGACTCAGATCGATATTTGCAAGGCATATTCCCCATTGAGCAACAAATACAAGCTGTTGTCCTGCTGAATGGAGTGGATAAAGTCCAGATTCATCTCCTCCTTGCGGTTTCGCGCGCTATGCCCGTTCGCCGTTACGTGGGCCTGGTACGACCGAAAAAAATTGTCGGCAGCGTGATACAGCGGATCGGTCTTCAGCTTAGAAGGGGATGAACTACTGCCCGTCGCGCCACCACCGTCTGCAGCTGCAGGACCGGATCTATTATTTTGGCGGTTCTGATGTTGCCCGCCTCGCCCTGCTCCTGCGAAGAAGTTGTTATTACTGGTGCTCATGGTGGTCAGGTTTTGCATCGGCGCTGGGGTTCCATGGGAGTTGTAGTACGCCCCCGTGTACATCATATTTCTGTCCGTGCTCACCTCCCCGGGCGAGAGCCCGAACCCGCGAACCCCGCCCGTCGTGGAGACCACGCCGGAAGGACTGATTTGCGTACTGCTGGGCCCGGCCTGGCGCGCGGCCTGCGCGTGCTCCTCCTGTTGCCCCAAGCCCATCTCCCCGCTCACGGCCTGCTGTGACGCTTGGTTCATCTGGACCTCGAAATTTTGCCCGAACTTGATGGACTGGTCCTTTTCCAAATGAATGATTTTCGACGTGGCTGCGAGCTCCAGCTTCTCGTGGTGGTTCAACACGGACAGCTCCCGAATGTCCGTCAGCGTTTCCAGAATCTTCCGCATGTTGGTTTTCTGCGAGGACAGCAGAATCGTCTTGAACGCGAGCTTATGCTCTGCAAAAGTATCGCACTCGTACTAATTGCAAGTATGCATGACAAATCTCCTTCCTACGGTAAAACAGCATTACAAATTCCATTTTTCTTCTTGCCAAGATTTGTGATGCAATTTATACTAGTACGATGCTTTTGCAATGCATAGAGCTGCGGTATCACCCAGCAAAAGCCCTCGTCCGTTTCGCACTTCACCGAAAACGCGGGCGGAATTCCGTACAGCACCGTGTACTCCCCAAAAATGCCCCCCTCTTGGTTCTCCTTCAAATGTCGGGATTGCTGCTCGCACTCCGCGAGACTGAGCATACCCTGGCTGAACCGCGGGTTGGGGAAAAATTTCGCGGTGGATTTTCGCGGCTTCCTGTCCTCGTTCTTCGTCCTCGACATCACAGCCGAGGACGAGGAGACCGCGGTGTTGTAGTACTCGAGCTCTTGTTCACCTGGCGCGGCGACGACCTCGGTATAATCCTCAGCATCCTGCTCCCGCGGTGAAACAACTCCACCGCCGTCCACCAGCAGCTCTTTCGGCGTGAAGACCAAAAATTCCCCGGACTTGACCAGCAGCATTTTGTCATGCTCCAGATCGTTCGCCTTCACAATCACCTCGTTCTTCGTGAACTTCTGCAGGAAGGCAACGTCCGCCAGTTGCTCCAGTCTTTCTTCCGTCAAAACGTCGGCCAGTAGCTGCCGCAGTGCCTGCGACTTCCGCAGCATCTTGATCAGTTTTCGTTTCTCTTCCACCGTTTTCTCGTGGATGTTCAGAAACCGGCTGATCGGGGCGTATTTAAGGGGCGCCGTCTCGTCCTTTTCCGTAAAAATCGCCGTCCGTGGAGTGATATCAAATGCAAATATGATGTCTGGGTCTGGAAGATTCCGAGACTTGTCATGTAGTTTTTCTAAGCTCCGCCAAGTCTGGAATGTTGCAGGGCCTGGCCTCACAGGTTCTGCAGCCACTTGGTGATGCCTATTCTGCATGAAAAATGCCCTCTCAGAATGGCCAGAAATGGGAACCTCTTACTCTTGCAAATCATGCAACACAGATTTTTGTATGATCCGCAACACGCATCACAAGTTCGCATCCGTCCAGACCCAGACATTTTTGCATTTGATACGTGATGGACTCGGAGGTTCCCTGGCCCGCCGGCGTCTGCGGCGCGGACAGGGCCGGACCGGTAGTAGATGTTGTTCCGGCATCGTTTTTGTTCTTTGGGGTAAAAGAGGTAGTTGCACTACTACTGCTCGCCGCCTGTTGCTCGTCAAGCGTCACGTATCAAAATGAAAAATCCCCCCTCCCCATATCAAAACGGAAACTTGTGATGCCGATTTGCGACCACAAATCAGCTTTGTATTGCAGAGAGGCGCTGCGGCCAGATCCCCAGGCTAGGTAGGGGCGTATGGGTCTAGTAGTTCAGCATGGCAAACGGCCCCCCTTTAGGCCCAACAGCATGACAAATCGCTTCCACAATGGGGCGGAAGCTTCTGACCTTGTCTTCTTGCACAACAGATGTGATTTGTGACCTCAAATTCGCAACACAAATTTTTGGAAACATACCGTTTCAATATGGGGAGGGGGGATTTTTCCTCTCAATATCACGGCGGCGCCGACGCCGCGGGGGGTCGACAAGCCGGTGATGGTCCGCTGGGCCGAGTTATCAAATGCAAAAATGTTTGGGTCTGGAAGAATGCAGATTTTTGTCATGCTGTTTTTGCATGACACAAAATGTCTGTCATGGAAGCCCTCGCATCACAGAACTCGAGAAGCATCCGCATTGCGTAATCCGCATGACAAATACCCCACTTTATTGGTGACAGGAAATGGGCACCTTTTGCTGCCCATGCATGAGAGATTTGTCAGTGTTCTTGTGAAATGCGCATCACAAATTCGCATCCTTCCAGACCCAGACATATTTTCAATGCATACGAGTTTTGCAGGTAGACGGCGCGTCGCGGACCTAGCGGGAGCTTGTACGGTAGGCCCAGCGAGCGGTAGGTGTTCTTCGACATCGTCATTACCGCGAGATCGGCTTTCTTCCCGACCACCACGGTCTCCCCCCGCTCTTTCGTGCCAAACATTTGCTGCTCCCCAAAGTAATCGCCGGGGACCAGTGTGGTGATGTAACGCTCGACTACAGGGTCGTGGGCAGGCTCGATTTCTGATGTTGATCATTTTGCTCTTCAATGATGTATAGCGTGTTTTACTTGTAGTTGTAGCGCTCTTATATATATAATTTCGCACAGTAGGAATAGCTGCGCAGATAGAGGTCGTATTACAGAGCAGCTTAATGAGAATGACTTTTATCTTCGTGTCGACAATTCTTGTTCGATCGAGCGAACAAAGGAGCAACAAATAACGGTATGATCGTCCATCTATCTTGGTTGTCAATTAGGGTCGAAGTTCTTCGTTGTATGTATATATTTATACCGTTTCCCCAAACCCGTCCCCGCTGCTTCCTCGGCGGTTGCTGGGAAGAGGAGTCTTGTGTCGTGTTTTGACTATCGTGCATCACCTCCACTTTCCCGGTCAAGTCTTGGTCTTCCAAGACTGTGATGGTGAACGGGAACTCCCGCGCCCCGTCGTACTTGTCGATCCGCGCCAAGGTCCCGGGCAGAAACCGCTTCCCGGAGAAGTGCACCGCTTTCCGAATTTGGACGGTAGAGCTATCGTCTGCAAACGTAGTTGAAGATCGTACTCGTAGTAAAAATTTTTGCATTCATGTAACTATGACATGTGTTTTGCTAATATCTGGGGATTTTTTATCTGCACGACAGGAGATTCCACTTCTTGTTTTCCTTCTGACAACAAAGATTTGTATATGGTAATTGCGATTTCTACTACAACTAAGACGATTTTTTACAACTTATTTGCAATGCATAGTCACCGACGTGCAGTAACTTCTCGTCCCGCACCACGACGTGGGCCAACCCGGAGAGGATCAGGAACATCCGGTCCCCTGGTTCCCCTTGGCGGTAGACGGTGATATGGAAGCGTCAGGATCGAAATCGTCAAAGTTGAAATAGTTTGTGGTGCATAAAATGCAACGCAGAAACTGCCTCTATTGCAGAGGGCGCAAGGGATGCAGATTGTGAGCCTGTTGAGGGGTACAAATTGAGCTGCTAAAGTAGCATGACAAAAGGCGTCTTCCTGACCCAAACAGCATTACAAACTGGGTTTCAGTTCTACCCAAATTTGTCATGCGCCACTTGATAACTAGGCGCCAACTGGTATCCGTTTTATGCATCACAAGTCATTTCAACTCTGACGATTTCGATCCTGACACTTCCATAGGTGAGCCCCTTCCCGTACATTCGGCCCGCCATGGACTTCGCCGCCTTCTCCAGCTGTGGCCGTTCCAAGTGGCGCAGTAAAGGGAAGTTCCGCATAAAACCAAAGTTCTGGCGAAGGGACCGGGGAACAACCGCGCCATTGTTTTGGATTTGGTCCTGGTCCTCCGGCGGAGGATCTCGATCTCCTCCTGCTCGCCGTTGCTCGGCTGCATCATCGATATTGTTATTTACTGCGGTCACCGGATTCTCTAGCTGCGAGCGAAAGAAATTACGGGAAAGGGCCCGTTGCTTCTCGACCAATGGAATTTCGATAACGGAAAATCTGGGATAGTATTGCTGGGTGGTCGAGTCAAAAACAGTAGAACTGGCCGTACTGCCCGACCGAAGCTTCATATTCTTGGCACTACTAGCCTCGTCTTCGTCTTGTTCTTGCGAAAGAGCAAGAGGACCCACGCCAGTTCTTGAAAATTTATTCGTCGCAGAAGTTGTATCGCCGTCAAGGGCCAGTGATGTCGTGTGTGCAGCCGGCCCTGCGGTTGTACTAGTCGCTTGTTGTACTAATTCGCCAGTTTCCAGCTTGTTACTAGAAGGCGAAGAAGATGTCGTTTGCGCTGGCGGCCCACCAGGTCCAATGCTAAATTGCGAAATTTTCGGCATGGACACCTGCAGCGAGGAAGCGGTATTTGTATTTTCGGGCACCAGGAGAGCGGCAGAGTCCGTTCGCGGGCTAGGGGTGCTAAACCCGAGGCGCACGGCCTGCTCAATGTCCGGCGACGTCGCCTGTCCGAAGAGCGGAGGCACCTGCGGCTGGCCCCCCAGAAATTGCGCGTGCTGCTGCTGTGGGGTGGTTCCGAAGGGGAAAAAGAACTCCGGCGCCTGCTGCTGCGCTGGTGCGTTGCCGGCGGCGGTGGGGTCTTGATGTGGAGAAGAACCTTTTTTTGATGGGACGTAAAAGATAGATAAAATCCGACTCACCAGGGCGGCGGATTCTTCTTTGAACCCGTCACTCTATTTACATGAATATGTTCTCTATGCCTTGATGTAATGATCCAGCAGCAACAGGAGGGCTCAGACTTTCAATTTTCGCTTACGATTGTTCAACCAGATAGATTGTGCAGCCGGGAGAAGGTCGTAGCTATATTTGATTTCGTTGCCGCAGGAATTATCAGAGCGGAAACATCTAAGTAACTACCGATCGAGGTGACAATTCTTAATACGAAAACAAATCCTCAGCTCATTGTGCTGGCAGCAATCATATTAAAGCGTGGTGCCCGAAAGTGAAAGTTGTACAACTTCACTGGATCTGCACATGATCCCGGTACAAAGCAAAAGGAGCCTGCAGTAAAAATATCTGAATGTAGGTTATCTAGTAGAAACCTCGCCTACCCATGCGACGAGATTTGCCTTTTTCCCCGCTCCGCTGACGCTGCGCAGCGGGTCCGCTTCGCGCTTCGTCCGTGCGGAGTTTTATAAATTGCAAATATCGAAGATCGGGGTCTCAGTGGACGATCGCAGACTGACACTTGGCATGCATTTTCTGGATCTGCAGGAAGGTCAGCGTCAGGTTCACTCGAAGGCACGGAGCATGACAAGATCCGAGAAGGCTTTTGCTTTTGCTTTTGCATGCCTGGGTGCCTGCATGAGAAGTCTTCATGCCCTCTACTTCGGGAGACACAAAACCGCAGCACGCTTTTTGCTGACTTCTTTGCAAGACAGATTTTTATGTGCTCCGGAAAATAACTTCTCCACAACATCACAAAAAAATACCATCAATGGAAAAATCTACTTCCAGTACACGACCCAGATCGATATTTGCAAACGTGCATAAGTTTCAGCGGGCCAGCATTGTCTTCACGTTGTTCGTCGTCCGGTTTCTTTTTTGTCAAAGCCGCAGCCTGCTCTTCAACCTTCCGCACGACGTCGCGAGCATGCAACAGCCGGTCGTTCCTAGTTACCAATGCTGTTTGGATGTTGTTCGCATCGTCTTTGCGATTCATCTGCTTCTGTTTGCATGCCTCTCCAGCACGGGCGGTGGTCGTACCATCAACTTTTGTTCCTTCCTCCGCAGCGCAACTTTCCGGCGGAAGCGATGAAGTTTCCATCGCAGCCAACTCGGGGTGGTGCGCGAGACGTACAACGTTGTGGTGCGGGCGATCAGGCTCGTAGTGGTGTTGAGTGGTCGTGGCACAACCACCTTCGCCAGGAATTACATTCTGCGCAGGCACGGTCGCGAACACGGGCTGGCAGTCCTTGCTGGTACTATGATCATAGCCTGGTGTGGTAGTTCCGTAAGAAGAACAAGGGTTAACATCGTTCCTGTGGCTGCCTGGCGCAGTTGAGCAATCGTGGCGGCCACTTTTGGCAGAAGTAACAGCAGTTGCTCCTGGTGTTGTTGCGGCATGATAGTATAATTGTTGTCCTGCTGGTGGTGCAATAGAACCTCCTCCTCCACGTGCCGTGGGCCCACCCTTTCCTCCGACATAATCTTCTACAGACATCAAACCTTGTTGTTGTTGTTGGTGTTGTTGCTCGTCCTGAGCAGGGACGATCATCGCAGTGGCCGTGTTCTTGTTGTAGCCGGCGGCAGTTGGACCACAAGAGCCAGGACCTCCACCTAGCGCGTTGTTGGTCGTCGTTTCGTGGTACTGGTTGTGATAAAAATTCTCCTGCATAGGCTGAACCCCAGCACGGCTAATAAACTGCGCACCATTGCAATCGTAGTTTGAAGATGTTCCATCGTGAAGAACATGAGAAGTTGCTTGAGAAGTTGTATTTGTGTACGGGGACATCGACATGTTGGACATCCCCCCCTGCTGCTGTGTTGTCGAGCAGAGCGTGGCCCCCGCCGCGTAGGTGCTGTGTTGGTCGTTGGCCTGCGCCTGGTTGCGCGTGCGCTCGTGCTGGTGCAGGTCTGAAGGATAAAAACCAGAAGTAGGCTGTTTTTTCTCTACGTGAAGATGTTGCTGCTCGTTGGACCACTGCCGACTAATATTAGTAACCGGGAAATGTTCTTGAGAATGATACTCATAATCCGTCTGCTCCTGCTGCACACGAGGATGATCATGACTCCAATTCCTGTGGCTAGTAGTAATACTACCAGTGGAATTATTTTCCAAGTGAAACTCCCTCGATTTTTGCCGGGCACTGCGCAAATACTCCTCTGTCAGTGGTGGAATGGTTGGACTGCGCTTGTTGTAATAATCATGGTGCTCAAAATTGTTCTTGTTGTTGCCTTTGCTATTCATGCGATGTTGGCCACTTCCTGGTGTTGTGGGGATAGTAGTCCCAGGTGAGCATGAATTTCCCCCATGATGTTGATGATAGTGCCCAGCATGATGGTGTTGAGATGAACCACCGCTCCCGCCACGTCGACCACCGCCCTTATTTGCGGCCTTCGACTTCATACCGTACGCGTGCGTTGGCGTCGGGGTATTTGCACCTCGTTCAGCTGTACACGATAAAGACGGGAGCATGTTCTGGTTTTGGTAGGGAGACGAGCAGGACGTGCCGGACTTGCCGCGCACTAGCTGCTGTTCGTGCGGAGTAGATGGAAGAGACGACCCCTTGATGACGCAACCTTTATTTTTTCCGACCACACCAGAAGCTGCGTTTGGTTACTGGTGGAACGGACCCCCAATTTTATGGAGATCGAAACTTGCAACTAAGTTGCCAAAGACTTGCGCGACCCATATTCGCGAGGGTCGCGACAGCTTCAACGTAAGCTGCTCTGTGAGCGCGCCTGTGAGTGTGACGCGCCCAACTTTGAAACCAACAACAGGAGGACAAGCTGCGGAACGGTGCGACGCTTTTTGTGCATTTTCATACTGTTTCTCACGTTTAGTGCCAGGAACCAATGCCCGTTTGCTTTGAAATCAAAACACGACCCGAATCCGGACAATTGGCCGCTCCAACCAAAGCTGCCTATTGTCGAGATTCAGACCGGGCGTAGGTTGTTTTGGGTGCCGCCTTCGCTGCTTTTTCGTTATAGATACCCAGAAAAAAAAACGCGCCCGCCGCTAATCAGCCCGCCCGACCGCTTCGCGCAGCGGCGGCCAATGCCGAAAAGGCCGCCGAGCCTGATACCCCAAAAAGGCCGGCAGGCCGTACGGTCGGAGGGGGCGCGCCGGCCAGCCCGGGCGGGCGGCGTTGGGCGCTAGGGGTGGCGCGCTGGTTCGCCCTTTCCTTTGTCCGGAATAGCCCAAGGCGCCCGCGCGCACAGCTCGTCGGAGCCCCCCCTGGCGGGTGGCCGGCGCAACCGATGGGCCTGGAGCGTGCGGCCGCGGCGCGCCGGTAGAAATCACGAACCAACGCCGTGGGCCGCCGGGGCGGGCGAGGGGGCCGGCCGCGCCCAGGCCGGCGGCGCCAGCGGGCGCGGCGTGCTTAGCAAGCAGCCGGGCGGCCAGGCGGGAAGCGCGGCCGGCCATACCATGGGCGCTGGGGCGTGATACTTTTTGGCAGGGCGGGCACGCGGGCGAGGCTTTTCGCTTTCGCCATCGCGGCAACCTGCGTTAGCAGTACCATCGGCGCCAGGGTGTGATACTTTTTACCACGGCGGCACCATGGGCGAAGAAAACCACCAAAAATCAGGAATTTACCCCCCTTCCCAAGTTCGGCCGGCGCCTTCGGAAGGCGCCGCCGCTTTTGCGACTCGCGAATCGGCTCCGTCAGCTCGTGGACAGGCCTCAGGAAATGGCCCAAAACTGGGCACGCCCGCGGGCGGCCGGAATCGCAACAAAAACTTGAAATAAACTTGGAATAAACTTGCAAGCCGGGTCGCGTGCTTGGAAGCCGTCGCAAGCTAGCCCCGGTGGTATGGTGGACGGGGCCCTTCAGATTTTGGCCCAAAAACGTCGCCAGATCCAAGTTTTTTTCGCCTGCTGCCGAGATGCTTCGGCGGAGGTGGCGCATTTTCGCCAACACTTTCCCCGGGTTGCAAGTTTGAACGCCGTAGCAGCCTGGCAAAAAGTATCACAACCTAGAGCCCACGGCATGGTCGGCGCCGCTTTCGCCATTTTCGGCCTCCGTGGACTCATCCTGGCAAAAAGTATCACACCCTAGAGCCAATGGTATGGTCGACGCCGGTTTTGCGTGTTTTTTTGCATCCATGACAGCACCGCGGCAAAAAGTATCACACCCTCCGGCCGATGGTGTGACACTTTTGATTTTCTTCATTTTCGAGACCGGATCGAAGGAACCCGTGCAAACACGGCGCGCAAGCACGGGCCGCCTGCCCACACGCGTGGGCACCCCTATGCATACAAGCCTAGGGGCCCAGATGCTGCTTGCGCAGAGTCGCGCGGGCCGCGGGGCTTTGCGTATTATAAAAGGGCATCCGGGGGGACCCGGGAAGGACGGCCCGCTGCGCCGCCTGTGCCGGCAAGCCCTCCGAGTGGGGCCGCTTCGGCACTACAAAAAGGCCTCGCGAGAGCCAGAACCCCACCAGCCCGCCAAGCGCGGGCACCCAGGCAGCCGGAACCCGTGCGAAGCAGGGATTTTGAACATCCCCGCGAGCGGCGCAACCAATGCATCGAGGCGGCCCCCACCTAAATGAAGAAGAGCCGCGCCCCACGACCGTCTAGTTCGTGCGAAATGCTGCCCCATTTCTGCGGAAAATATCTGCCCCTAGTCGAACGCATAAAGTTTTGAAAATGGCGCGCCTTCGCGTGAAAATTATGCACGACTATTCCTGCGGCACAAATTTGGATTTTGGCGCGCTATAAAATGAAAAAAAAGCCTCCCGATCGAGTCCTTGGATTTTTAATTTGCGCCCGCCCTTCACCTAACTTAGTTTTTCAAAATCGCCGCCGCGATTGTTATTTTTAGAAACCGGAAATCGCGTCCGTTCCGTGCCTTTTTTTTGTCCTCCGGTCGCCCCTCTTGATTTCTGCTTTTTGCAATGCCATAAATCAAAAATGCTCAAGTTTTTTTAAGGTTTTTTTCAAGTTTCTTCTTCTCCTGTTTTGGGGGCCCGTTACTGGAGTAATTTGGGTAAAAATTGTCGCCTGCTGTCGTGTGTTCGGTGGACGTGGAGTGGTAGCCGTAGCTGCTGGCAACATCAGCTGCAGGAGCTCCACCTCCTCCTCGACGTCCACCAGAAGCCCCTTTGTTGTAGAAGTGGTTGCTAGTACTGTTGAAACCAGTTCCACTACTGCTACACTGGTTGTGATTTACGTAATACTGGTGCACCACGTCGCGTCCCGCTGGAAAAACCGCTCCCTTTGAAGATGGTCCCTTCCAATTTGGTTCCCCCGCCGGGATCTTCGGGAATGATGTCGGATACTCTTCAAATAAACGCTGGTGCTCTTGCTGAGGTAGGGGATACACATCAATTTTTTGAGAGTATTGCTGTTGCTGCTGTTCCGTTCCAGCACTTTTCTTGTAGCCATAATTTGCGACAGGAGCGGCCGTGGTCTTGTTCATAGTACGCCCTCCAGAAATCTGCCGTGTCACATAAGAACCAGGTGCGCTAGGGACCGCGGACGAGGCCCCACTGGTTGGTGAAGCTGTGTGGGAGATGCTTCTCGTCTTGCCGAGGTTGATGTAGTTCTGCCTCGGGCGATTTTTGCCCGCTGGAGTAGAAGAACTAGAACTATATTTGCTGGCGGGTGCTGGATAAAAATTGTTATTCGATGCACCATCTCGCTGCAACTCATCTTCGTGCTGCACGATGGCGGGCATCTTGTTGTCACCCTCCTGCTGCTGCAGCTCGTGGTCGCGGTGGTGGTGACGATTGTAGTTACCGTCGTGGTACTGAATCTCAATCGACTTTTTTGTGGTGGTTTTAGACGTAGATACAACAGCGCGGCCTGCCCCGCAGGATGTTGTGCCCCCTTTAGATGACATTTTCGTCCGCGCGGTCTCACCTATCGTCCAGGTGGTGGTCGTCGTTTTTGTTTCGCTCAGTAACGTTATCCACGAAAAAAAGCATGCTGCAAGCGTCACTTTTGTAATGTATGTAAGGTAAACTAAACAGCATCACCAATTTGTTTTGAATTAGAATTTTCATATTTTTCATGCGCAGCTAGTAAATCAAAAGAACTACACGACGCATGAAGCAGCGAGCCTATGGAGATCATGCACATCCAGAACAATGACCACAGGTGTGACTCCTGTCAACATCTTGCATCGTCCGCAACCGCAACACAAAGTGAAACTTGAGTACTTGCACGACAGTTTTTTTCTTGCATAAACATCGCTTGCTGAAGACTAATTTTGTCCTGGCTCAGCATCTCCTGTCGCTGCTGCACTTGCTGCGTGTCAATTTGCTGTGGTCCTTCATCGCCGCGCACGATCGCTTTTTGGTCCTCTTCACAAGCGTCAGCACGTCGTGCTTTTGCATCATTTTCCACTACCTGTTCACCTTTTTCTAGCCTGTGATGCTCTTCCTTCAACACGCCAACAGCTGGCTCTTCTAGAAGGGTCCTCGTCGACGTAGGTTGTGGTAACTCTTCCTCTGGGCAAGAGCTGCGAGCTGGAAGGGATGGGTCTGGATCCCCTTGTTTCTGTGTGACGTGAAGAGTGCCCGCTGCTTCGTTCTCCCCAACTTGTCGTGGATGAAACACCAAAGCGGACGATGATATCCTGCGCAAAAACTTCCCCGCCACGGAGATGAGTACGTATTTAATTTTGCTACACAAACCATCAACGCAACAGAACACCCTGTGGTTTTCGCGCATGACATCAAACTTGGGCTCGTAATGTAATCGTTCTAATACTAGCGAGTGTACTAGCTGCGGGCGCGGCATCACAAATCAATCGCCTCGCCGTCGTCCTGCCTCTAGGTCTAGTATGTTGACAAACCTTAACCTTTTTTTTTGCAAACTCCCAGAAACGACGAGCATTCAAAACCGCTTCTCATGTGGCTGCGCAAGAGAAATTTCATTTTGGTTTGATTCATGCACATTTTTGACACATCTCGGGTCGTGGGACGACGTTTATTTCAACAGTTTCACGGAGGATAGATGAGAGCCGAACATCATCTGGAACTTCGTCGTCTCCGCACTCCCCGAAAACGTCTTCCCCGGCCGGACGGTTGAACTGCCCCGGAACGGTCCGGATCGCGATGTCCTCCTCTGCGTTGATCCTTGTTTTGTGGTCCAGGTCGTCGTCGTGGTGGTCTCTACTCTGATGTTGACCCAGAAAAGGTGATCGCTTAACGTCCTCTTCAACAACGTCTTCACCAGCTATAGCAGGAGGAGCAGGAGGTGGAGGTGGGTGCTCTACTACGTCTACAACTTCTGCCCTTATTAAAGAGGTAGGTGATGCGCCGGAAGCGGGGGAGGAAGCCGTGTCGTTCAAAATTTCTAGCACCCTTGGCGTCGGAGGTTCCGGCAGGTGGTGAGCTGGTGCCCCTCCTCCCAGAAGATCGTCTCCTCCGACGGCCAGAGAACCAACTGCAAGAACTCCTCGACGACCACAACCAGAGCTGGTTATGAAAGTAGTGCACAACTCGACCCCCGCCTCTCCCTCGCACTTGTATATGCAAAATCAAAATACCGAATCCCCCTCCTGTCTTTAAGCACTGTCCGCATGACATGGAACCTGTCAGACAGTACTAAAATTCGTGTGCAGATTTGTGATGCGGAACCAACATTCTTCTGTTCTTGCCATGCATGCAATACAAATGAAGGAAAGAGGGAGCAGTTGTGCACCACTCTCATACTGGTGCGGCTGCCCGTTGTGCCAGAACTGCCGCCCCGCCGGAGCTGCTGCGCACGGGCGACGTAGGAGGAGCTGCGATGGAGAGGACCACGAGCACCAGAGGCTTCTTCATCCAGAAGCAGATCAGGATCGCTCTCTCCAGGAGATGATGGTGTTTCCCTTTCCGTCTGCTCGCCCTCTGCCACGACTACTAGCGGGGACGAGGACGACGATTTGCTGGCACTACTAAAATCGTGCCCGCCGTTTGCTGGTCGTGGTGTATCTTCTCCTGGACCAACATCACTTGCCGTATCAGGAGTCCCCGCATCGCCCGGTCGTCCGCAACGAGGAGATGAGAACTCCTGACGGTTATTTTGTAGAAGTAGCCCCCTTGGAGGTGTTGTGCTCGGTCCCCTGGACCACGTACCAGTATTTTTCTGGAAGAAGCCCCCCGCTCCACTACTGCCATGATGAACGCCGGCGGGCGACAGCTTGATATTCTGGATCGCGGTCTCGACCATGCTGTCACCGTGCGCGGCGCACCGTGACGCGTATGGAGTTCTCAAGTGTTACATTCTCAGTGGTTACATGATTTGTCATGCAAAACTACCATTATCATCTACACGATCAAGCTGTTCTGCATGACAAAGTCTGGAAGGGCCAAACAGGCTGACAATCTGTGCCAAATCTGTCATGCAAGACGCGCAATGCCCCCCCCTTTCATTTTTCCCATTTTAGCATCACAAATGCAAATCCATGTAACAGTTGAGAATGTAACGTTTGAGAACACCATAACGCGGGGATGTTGGATGGACTCTCCTCCTCGATCGAGGGTTGTTGGCGGTGTTGGAACCTTCCCTGTCGCATCCTCATCACCATCCCAGGTTGGTGCAGCTCCTTTGATGCTGGTGTCCCGGCGTTATCTAGAACGTATATTTCTTCCCCTCGTCCCACACCAGCACAAAACTGACCGTCCAAAGAACTCTGGTTGGACTCGCCGCGGAGGAGCAGGGGTCCCAGATTTGGCAGCGACTTGCCGTTCAAGCCCCCGTTGCTATCTTGAGCTGAGTTCGACATGGAAAACAGGGTTCGGGGAGCGATTTGTACGGCAGCCGATGGTGCTGACGTCGCCCTAGTACCCGCGTTTTTGCCCTCTCGTTCTTGATGTAGTTCATCCCCGCCACCAGGAGAACTACCTGATCCCACCTGCCCCTGATGATCTTCAGAACTATAACCTTTAGGCGTGTCGATGGGCGGAAATTGCATGACTCTCGGCGTGCTGGCATCCTCGGAGGCCTGCGGGGAGCCGGCGGGGATGTGAAAGCGAGGTGTCGTGTGGGAGCGGTCTCTTGCCATGGGAGTGTAGTTGTGGTAGTGTGGGTTGGGAGGCGTCTGGTGCGGCCCATAGGAGCTGCTGAGCAGTTGCAACCCCGTGCTGGCTGTACTGTCGAGGGATATCAAATGTAAAAATGTCTGGGTCTGGAAGATTGCAACTTGTCATGCTAAATCTGCAACTGCAGCATGCAAAAATCTGTGTTGCATGATTACCAAAAGTCGCCCAATTTTGACCAAGTCGGGAGGTAGTTTCTCATGCAGGATAGGCATTAGAAAGTTCTTGCAGAATCTGTCATGCTAGCTCCGGCGGCATTTGAGACCTCATGGGTCATGGAAAAGCGGCATGACAAATCGCGCATTCTTTCAGACCCAGACATCTTTACACTTGATAAGGGAGTAGTGACGACGATGATGCTGATGCTGCGGTTGCTGGTGACCACCGCGACCACCGCCGACAAGAACACCTCCATTTGTTGTCGTCCATTGCATGGTCATGGTCTCCGCCGAGCAATCGCGGGACAGAGACAGCGAGGGCTGCAGATTCGGGAAGGAATAATGCTGCAGCGTGCTGTCTTGCAGATGTTGTTGTTCCTGTCCGTGCATGTTGGTGCTCGTCGGAGTCATCATCAGTTGCTCTTCATCAACGACCTGCGTGTTGTAGTTGTTCATCATAATCATACAACCTGCACGGCCGGTTTTGGGCGAAAAGAAAGCAGCTTCAGTTCCAGGTCCACGACCACCTCTCTGTGGTCCAAATGCAGGTTGCCGCATGGCCGCCGCGCCACCACCTCCTGCTGCCTGGTCGGCCGCGACCGTGGAAGATTGTTCGACAGCTAGTACTCTGGGATTTTTATCATGGACGTGGTCGTCGTCCCCCTTCGTGTCCTTCTTCTTCTTCATTTCCTGGTTCAGCAGCTCCACCACCTTTTTCCCTGCACAACTCGGTGGAGCTCTTGGAGTCGATAAGCTAGTACCAACAAACCTGGCATCAACCAACAAATCTGGCGCAATATTCATCGCTGCCGTCGGGGTACGACTAGACCACGAGGGCGACCGCCGCCCCGAGGTTCTTCTACCACTACCTGCCGCGACGTTGTTCGGATCCGTGACGATATCGTCCGTAGTGCGAGGACGCTCAAAATTCGGCGTCGTCTGCTCCATCGGAGGTGTAGCCGCGGTACAACTGCTCGCCCGAAACAAGATCTGCTGCTCGATCTTCTGTCCTGGTACAACGCCCGCTCTTGGGTGAATCACATCGCTCTGCCGCAAGTTCATGCCCTCATCTTCGTCGCCGCGAGGATCACTTCCTTCTGATACTTGTTGTGCAAGTGCATCAGCCGAATTATTTTCTAGTACTTGAACCGGACAGCACTTCTCATAGGACTCTTCTTTGTTTGCCTCGTCGCAGTTGGTCAACAACATCTCCGCACCGACTTCTGATGAAAAAGGAACTCCTTCCTCGCGCAGGAGCTGCTGTCCCGGAGGAACAAGAGATGACACTTTCGTTGGTGCAGGCATGATCAGAATTTTTGTGCAGTTGGTTGAAAAGATTTGCTGTTGACACAGTAGTTCTCCAGACGATGTTTCTTTACTCGTCGCTGCCGCCCGAATCGTAGAATTCAATACAACACAAAACTTCGAAGAAAGTTATTGGATGTTTTCCTCGGCCGGATGATATTCTCAGAAGCCTCTTCTTGATTGTCCACGGTCGTCTTCGGGCTTGGTTTTCGACAAAGTGTGATATCGGTGGAGGTCTACTGCTTGTGCAGCGTCTATTACTTCTACTAACTAGTGCTGATGGAGGAACCTCACCGCAGCCAGCAGTCCTGGTTTGACGTGTATGAAAAGAAAGAAGCACGCCGTTTGATACTCAAGCTGATTGAAGTCGAGGGAGGTGAAGAAGATGTTTTGCAGCTTGTAGTTGTACCTCCGCTTGTTGAAAATCAGAACGTCTACTTCCTGGCCAAAAAGGTCGCACGACTTCCGCCGACGAAGAAGGAGGTGGTCATCTGTGATGCAGCTCTTGTCGACATGTATGTAGAAAGAACGTCGTGTACAAATATTTATTAAAAGTAGGTAGTGCTAGTGGTAGTAGCAGGAAATAAATCGGGACGAGGCCAGGCTGCTAGTCACAAACAACAATATTCATACTCGTCAGCCGCGACCTGTTCATCTAAGACGAAAAAAAAAAATGAAATGAAAAGTACCGGAATAAATACACAATGACAAAAAATTGGAATGAATGCTCTGTAATAAAAATATCTCGCCAGTTGCTTGTATAGTTTCGAAACGCCAGTTGCTTGTCTAGTTTTAAAACATCGTTATCAATGACTCGCTGGTAGGTGCATGTGTATCAATGATTTTGATTTACGGAAGATATAGAAAATCAAGAAACGAAAGCCGAGTATCGTAGTGTCAACAACAAAAAGAAAAAATAAGCAAAGCCCACGACTGTGAGCGTGTTTGTGGTGCAAATAAGCCGTCAAATAGAAATGTGGAAACGCTGCGACAAGCGCAAGCGCCGTATACGTATTTTATCTCCGGCATAAAAATAGGTTTCTGAAGAGAAAACGCGATCTCATGAACCCTCAACCTACCTTCGGACTACGTCGAAGTCGGTTGTGAACGCACAAGGTGCGCTTACAATAACAAGGGAAAATTGTGCTTGTGGATTTGTACAAATTCGTTCCACAATCAACCAGAACCACTCCTAGTACCCTATCGATATGAGAATGATATCTATCTTTTATCACTTAACACCCGAAATATTAATATTCTGCGGGAACAAGAAAGCGAAAATAAGAATGAAAGGAGCCAAGAGCTTGAGCGGCTCGTTTGCGAAGAAACGATCCACCCAGCGCAAAGGGGCACTACAACAGGCTGCTTCTGTACACAAAAGTGATAGTGCCGTGGTAGTACGTCTTGAAATAGACTACTTATTCCCACCTTTGCGCCGAAGGTAGTTATTGTTACGGCACACGAGCTCGATTTGAGAGTCTCGATGCTTTTGGTTGATGTGTCTGATATTCAAATTCTTCAAAATACGGAAATAAAAAGTGAGAAGTAATAAATCAAGCCCAAGGGTGCGGCTTGTCAGTAAATATAAAATCAACTACAATAATAGCTCCTAGCGTGGTGAAAGAAATCTAGATGAAATCGCGATCAACAGTTCTAGCAGGGGGACAAGTCTTCTCCTTTTTGTCAATGCGGCAACTAATTTTGGTGTTTCATGGGCATCAAAATATGGTCAAAAACATTATTTGATGTCGGAGTTAGAATTTAGACAGTGCGTAAAAAAAACTGTCGCCGAAAAAAGTAGAGGAGGGTGTCAGCCTTAGCAACCAAGAGGTTTACGTGCTCGGATTTTCTAGCAGCTTGAGGACCACAATCATGTCTGATAAAACTAGTACTTCTTGTGTGGGTGTGGCACTAATAGTAAGATCTACTGTTCTTACAACGTGCAAGAAGCAATACTTCAGAAGTTCAATTTATTTTTTACGACCGCCCCCGCCTGGAGGTAATTTATTCCGATAGAAAGCGGACAGGAAAACAGTTAGAGAGTAGAGAGCCACTGTTTCTGCTTCGGAAATTTTTCAATGGAGTTCATCATACAAATTCAAATTGAGTCAGACAATACAAATACTACCTCTGGTTGTATTTCCTGTACTAGTACCTCTTCTTGCGGCGCACTAATCGGACCACGCGCCTTCTTCTACTTGATGATGTAGTAGTAGTTTGGCGTCGTGATAGTACGGCTCTTGTTCGTTTTCAAAAAGCGTTAGAGGGCTTTGCTACTGACTACCGTAATAGAGGAGGTCCTAGATGATTTTGTGCTCAATTAGAGTAGTCGGTAAACTTGAAGTACAGTAGAAGTTCAAATTCTTACCAACTTCTCTAGATACTAAATCTTAAATCTTTATTGATCTTCCTATAGAAGTACTGGTCTAGTTTTATCGTCGTATAGCAGTTGTAGTATCTGTCTGTGCTAGTGTCTCTCTAGAAAATCCTTACAAGAAATCTACTCCTCTGACTGCTTTGTGTTTTTGTGGAGAATTTTTTTCAGTTGGCAGCGGTCAACACGCCCGTGCGTGGTCGCTTGTTGAGATCGCTTCGAACTAGTACTGCAGTGCTCTGCTCCTCTTCGTAAGACTGGGATTACAAGTTCAAGTAGTGCAACTTCATGCAAAGTTCTTGTGCGCGAAAAAAAACGGATCATGATCAACTTGTTCAGCATCTTCCAGACTGCTAGCAAAAACGAACTCTACTTCGCTGCTAAGGTTCTCTATGTGTGGTCGAAAATCAACATAGTTCTCAACCGGTCTTTTTTTCGAAGTAGCAGAAGCTCCTGCTGCAAATCGCTTGGCTGGATCTCTTTTCAGGTCGGTGTAGCTGTAGTAGTAGTTGTAGATCTCGTATAATAACTTGAAGCTTCTCATCAGAGGCATGTATATGTATAACCACCCTCACTCCAAAAAAGTGAATAAAAAAAAGTTCGGAAGTATATTCATAATGCAACTTGCTAGTACAAGGATCCATCTGCGTGATGCGGTGCATGCTCGGCGCTGCGAATCAGAGCATGGAGTCTGTTGAAGACAGAGATCAAGATCTTCCTCTCCTGTGTCATCTATTTAACATCAGTGATAATTTCCTCTACTAGGCTGGAAATCTCGAGAAATCTCGAGAAATACAACGACTCTCCCGAGCATTCTCGGGATGCAAAACCAAGTGAGAAACGAACCACGAGCACGACTGCTCTAGTACTACAGTAAATCTTTAGTTATATCGGATGCAAAAAAAGAAACACCTGTTGCTGCTGGTGGTCCACCTCGTTTTTTGAGGTACTTCTTTTCTAGCTAGCAGTATCTGCATCGCTATTGCAAGTGAGTAGAAGCAGCATTCATCTCTTTTCCACCAAAACTAAATCACGAGAAAGAATTAATCACAAATCATATCGAGTCGAATTCTAAAACTATACCCGCCCGTTGCGACGTCCGCTGATGAAACACCGCTGTGGAACTTGTCGCTCCGCCGTGCTGGTAATTTGGGTTTGGGTTTTGCCGCAACGCCGTCTCGTGCGCTGACGGGATGGGGAGGAGCAATGGTGGCTGTTTCATCTGCTGCGGAAAAGATATGGTTGACATAATCGGGTGGGGATTCTTGATTTTGTTCCCGCTTCCCGACGAACTACTGCCGCCGACGCCGGTCCTCGTGGTGCCCCCTCCTGCTGCGGATGATCCACCCCCGGGCGGGCGGCCACTTGTTGCATCCCCGGGACCGGGCGGTTGCATTTGCTCACGGTGGCCTGGAAGTTGTTCTACTTGTGCAACAACAGTTGTCCAACCGCTCCTCAAAAAACTCGGATTGCTGGTGGTGCTCGCGATCGAACAGGGATGAAGCAGGGGCTGCTCGTGCTCGTCCTTGTTGTTCCGGCGCTTTTAAAAAAATTTTCAATATCGTAGTGTGCTGTTAAAAACATTCTGAGAGGGGAGATCTTGATCTCGTCTTGATGCAGCTTGTCCTCCCGCTTCAACTACGCCAGCACTATAATCAGTCTTATCTAGCACTAGCACCACTAGTAACGGAACACAACACGACTACTTTGACACGAGGAGCGACGAATGCTCAAGTGAAACAGTTCTGCAAATAGCATCTTCGTGTTTGTGCATTCACACCGTCGTGGTCTCCGTTCAATTCTTCTTTTTCTCTAGTTGTCTCTGTCGGCGTGACTTGCTCTTGCTCATCCAGGAAGTTAGTGAAATTGAAATAAGAGCAGTAGACCACAACGGGAGCAGCTCCTGCGCTCACTTCTTCTACTCGGTAAGTTCTGTGGCAAAAGGAATCATCAGCGCCGCACAATTGTGGTTAGTACCTGGTAACAGCACTTGCTGCGCGGGCAACACTACTCACGATATAAAAATATCCTGCCATCGCCTCACAACTCAATCAATTAGTTACGCGGCTTACTTTCTGAGAACTTTAGGTACGCCGCACCGGAACAGATCAATTAACATCGGAACAGACATAAAAGCCAATGACCACTCCCGCACTTATTAAGCCTCGTTCTATAGTAGATACAACAGACTTCTGATATTTCATCAGGACCACAGGCCAACTTAGAAAATACACGACCGTTACGAATCATGCTGCAGATGCTCAACTACACACTCTGGCACTACTAGGAATGCTAGACTTGTTTTTGCGCGCCGCCGCCGCCGGCAACAAGTACAATAATGAGTTTGAGATTTGCTTTTGTCTTTGTGCGACAGCGTGATAAAAGCTCGAGGCCCAGAGCCAGATAGTTTAGTGAGGGCACTGTAGTTCAGCTAAACGGTGTGAGGGCTTGGCCATCTTCACAAGAATCACAAAGAGAGACGGTAAAATGAGAAAAACCAAAACAATGCAGCAGCTATGTTTGTAAGTACATACTCACACGACCGCTAGCCCCCCAGAACCACAACGCTTGCGTTCAAGTAGTGATCGTTAAAGTCCAATTTTAGCAGCAGTTGGTGAAGGTAGTGGTCCGAGCCATATGAACTGCAAAAGTATATTCGATTCGTATAAATGCATGACAAATTCCCTCAGCATGAGAATTAAAATTTGCAATGCGGATTTACCTGGAGAAGAAAATTTGTAATGCTGCAAGACTTGCATTTATACGAATACGATACTTTTGCACAGGATAAGCCGAATTGCGCCACAATTTGCTTCGCCTGGTTCAGCAGGGTTTGCAGCTGATTGTTGAAGATCGTCTGGAACTTCCGAATCATCTTCTTGTAGTGCTCGTTTTCGAGCACCGATTGCAGCGCCAACCGGTTTATCAACTGTAAAAATGTCTGGGTCTGGAAGATTGCGAGATTTGTCATGGTTGTCTGGCATGATCAAAAAGTTTATGATGCGTGTCCAAGAAGAGGCCCTTCTGCCTGTCATGCAAAAACGCAGCTTGTCATGCGAAAAACGCAACACAAAGAAGCGCAGACATTTCTCATGCTTGTCTGTGCATTACAGGGCATTCACTATTCCCAACGCAGCATTACAAGTTTCCAGGCCAAGACATATGGCGCGCCTAAAGTAGCTTTTTCAAAAGTACTAGAATTTTTTTTTTGATGTTTGTGCGGCACGTCGGCAACTAGCTATACCAAACTAGATAGAGTTAGCTAATCAAACTAGGTGGAATTTTGCATGCGTAACCAGTTGTCTAACTCAGAGGTAGTAGCTTGCTCGTCTTCCACGAAGGGCTGGCCCACGGATCTGTCCGGAGCGCTATCGGTACGTCGTGGCGAGCTCGGACATGTTTCTGGTTGTGCGCAAAGTCATCTACTCCGGTTGAAACAGTAGGTGGGCCATCTCATGACGTTCGGTGTCTACTGCGAATTTGCGAACGAGTTCGCAATACGCAAGTGCGGAGGCCACCTGCTGCGGACCGCAGCGAAAAGAGTAACGGGCACGCAGGCCTGCCCCAACACAGGGCCCCCAAAGGGCCCGCGAAGTGGCCGGCAAAATGGCCTACGAAACACCCCCCAAAAAAATCGCCAATCCCGATGTAGCTACCCCTCCCGAAGAGGCCGATCAGTTGGCATCTGCGGAGGGGGACAAACTCGGGCGAAGTTTCCCAATAGATTCGCAGAGGTTTTTTTTCCCATGTTCGACAGCTAATGCGCCGTCGCAGTGTAGGTAGCGCCATCGTGCGCCAATGTCAAGATCTGGCTGGATGTTCGGAACCGAGTATCGGAGGTTGGTAAATTCCGCGCGGTTTTCGTCGTTTCGGGACCGTACACCTAGCCAGAGCTCCGAGTAGAGGACCCTCAGCAAGGCTTGGCGACGGGACCGCTCTGGACAGATCCGTAGACCAGAGCCTCGAAGGGTACCAGCCTACTTACCTCTCGACGCCGACGTGCTTTTGCACTTATTCGCAATAAATTTCTCATGCATATTCAGAGTTAGCTAGTTTTATTAGCTAGGTTCTGGCACTGAAGCGCTTGCAAAAAAAAAATTCTAGTACTTTTAAAAAAGCTACTTTAGGCGCGCCATAAGACATTTTTACATTTGATACGGTTATTTTCCTGGATCGCCTGCGTGAAGCGGCTGGAAATCGACGTGTTGGCGGTCGCCGCGGTGGCGGAATTCGTCGTGGAGACCAGCCCGGATCCGGGGACGGTGTTATTCATGTTGGTTGTGGTGCCGAACCGCTGAATGAAGTCCTCCACGGCCGTGGCAAACAAAACGCAGGTGGACAGAAGCTTCAACAGTATGCAAAGAAAAAAGTGGTACAGTTACACATTAGGTAGTTCTTGGGGAACAAGCAAGAGAAACAAGCCCTGTCACGCCAGATATGCTTATGCATATGAAGAGCGCAATTTCGTACTGCGTGCTTCCCCTTATGTTGATCTCTACATTGCAATCTTATTTCGTTGTCGTGCAGAGATGAAAATTTGTGTTGCTGAAATTTATTACTGTAAACTGTGTATCTTTACATTTTCTTCTTGTGATAAACAGCGTGTGGTACATGGTAGTCGTGCTACTCGCTGTCGTGTTGAAGGAGAGATTTAGATTCGAGCTGTTTTGCTCTCCTGGCAGCTGTTGGTTCGGCGACGACGCTGCACTCGTCCCGCCCCCGCCGCTGCACTCGAACAAAAGCAGCGTTTCGGTGAAGCACTTGTAGAGAAAGAGATCGTGCACTTCCAGCAGCTCGTCGACAGAGTCAATCTCGTCTAGCTGCTTGATCAGGCTAAAAAAGTTCGGCTCCAGCGAGCTGGCTTGCGAGAGGTGGAGCAAGGAGTGGACGAAGTGGTACATCTGCTGCCGGAGGCTGTAGGACTCCCGCAGGCTCTGGACGGTCGAAAATTTGCTGTTCAGCATTTTGTAGTGCTGTGCGGATCCGTTCGCGAACGCCATCTTTTGCTCCATGATCCACACGTCCGCCAGCCGCTTCTCGACGTATTTCAGGTAGATCAAGTGTCGGAAGATGCACTGGTACTTCAGCAAGTTACTCCCGTGGAACAAAAGCCATTCCGGATTTTGCGTCGTCTGAGAGGAGGACGACGAAGCTGCCGCAGTCGTATCGTAATTGTTCATCTGCTCGTGCGGCTGAGGCTGGTGGTACTGGTATGATGACCCGGCGGCTGCAGAAGAAGAGCTCGAAGAACCACCTCCTGCTTCGGTCGTGTATTGCAGCGTGAAGAATTTGATTCCGGGTTGCTGCACGTTTTTCATCGCGGCGGACGTGCTGGGGTTCATGACAATCAAATCCTCGAATGGCACCTCCTGATTGTAGTCGCCCCCTCCACTATTGCTGAAAATACCACCTGCTGCCATTCCGCCGCTTGAGGTACTAGAGCCTCCCAGGTTACTCGTATCAAATGCAAAAGTGTCTGGGTCTGGAAGAATGCAACTCCTCATGCTAAATCTGAAGCATGCAAAAATCTGTGTTGCATGATTACTAAAAGTCCTCCAGTTTTCACCAAGTCGAGAGGGAATTTCCCATGCAGGATAGGCATGATAGAGATCTAACCAAATTTTTCATGCTAGGTGCTGCACTCCAGACCTCGTGGGTCATAGAAAACCTGCATGATAAATCTGGCATCCTTCCAGACCCAGACATTTTTGCAGTTGATAACTCGAAGATTGCAGCAACATCCTGCATTTGTCTTCGATTCGGAAGGTGTGAAATGCGGGCTTTATCTGCGACAGAATCTTTTCCGTGACGTCCTTGTCAGTCGTCGGCAACCGGGAAAACTGAGCGAAGGGTGTCTTCGGGAAGTACGTCGTGTACGCAGGGCGTTCGTCTGCTGCAATTTGGTCTTCAATCACATTACCGCCTTCGTCTACTTGTTCCTGATCTTCATCTACTGTGTCTGGTCTCGCGTCATCTTGATCTTGCCCTCGTCTGCGTCCTCGTCCCGTGGCTGCTCCGGCACTTTTAACACCCCGCCCGGCGTCTTCGGCTTCATTATCCAGATGTAGTTGTTCATCTGTGTATCCTGTGCAAAAGTATCGCACTCGTAGTAGTTTTTTCTTAAGGTAAATTTGTCATGCGATTTATACTATTACTAGTACGATGCTTTTGCATTTCATACTGTGCTGCTGCTGTTTACTCGCGCGAAGTCCAAGCTTTCCTTCAACGCGGTCTGGGCGTTGACAAAAATCGGTTGTTTTTGCTCCAGAGTGTTGTTATACAGCACGTGCAGCGAGGAACTGCGAAACGACAAGTCCAGCACGGACTCCAAGCGTTGCGCATTCACCAAGTTCATCGGCTGCTCCAACTCGTTGCGCGCGTTCAAAAACAGGATGGAGACCCAGTCTGCCTTCTCCAGGAAAAACAGCGCGCGGAAGACCCGGAGCCGCGTCTTCAGCTTCAGATCGTGCAGAAAGTACTGCAGCAGTTGCTTCGAGCTCTGCTGGTAGAACTTCGTGACCTTCTGAATGTAGAAGGAGTCCGACTTGGTGTAGTAGAAAGTTCTACTTTTCGACTTGCTCGTCGGGTGGTCGTGGTGATCCGACGAAACACTCGTCATCAAGCTGGTGGCGATTTTAATACTATTTATTCCCGTGTAGTGGTCGTTGTCGTCCTTTTCGTTTTTTCTACTCGAGAAGGTCGTGACCGCCCTGGACGACGAGCCCCGTTGGGAAAAATGCATTCGTCCTGCATCTTGTTCAACATGTGTTCGTCCCGCGTTTTCCTCGTTTTTGATCCGGATGCAGTCGTTTAGCACCTTTTTATACTTCCCCGCCTTCAAAATTCGGTCTTTCAGGGAGAGTAAAAACCCGGGGATGAGCGAGGGCTCCACGTAGTAACGGTTGTGCCAGAAGAAGGGGCCAAATTTGCTCTCCGAAACCTGCGGGTTCTTCTTTACGAAAAACTCGTCGTACACGTCCTCGGTGAGTTTTCCCTCCTCGAGCCAATCCGCGAGCATGTCGAAAAAAGGAACCGTGGCGGCCGCGAGACCTGAGAGGTTGTCGCAAAAAAAAATGTCACGAGTGGGTGTAGATGCGGAAGAACCAGAAGCACAAGAAAAACGAAGGGATACTTCAGTTGTAAGAATGCGACATTGCAAGAGAATGAGAAATCCTATCCACGCACGGGTGAAGAATTTGAATTTCCCTATGCAACTATAAAGCGAATCCAAACTCACATATGTTGGTTGACATCAGGCTAGGAAGATCGACGTTTTTCTATCAATACAATGCTCCGCCAATTTTTTCCGCACGACCGAGTTCCCAAATCGTCCCCCCTGCATCACCGCTTCTAATGCCCGAAGCAAGCTGCCCCCGCTTTTTCCGTACACGGCGGTGCAGATCGCCGCTAGTTGCGACATCGTCTCGAAGGACGGCTGCAGGAGGTACCAGAGGCGATGCAGCGTGAAGTTGTTTGCTGAATTGGATGTTGCACCCCCGCCGGCGCTGTTGCCTGCGCCGGTGCTATGATGATCTTCGCGATGGAGACTCTCCAGTTGGCCGATTTTCAATCTGTATTCCTGCACGAGATTGTCTACCGCGGCGCACAGGGCGTGCTGAATCTTTCCCTTGTCTAGTGTCGAGTGGTAGTCCACGTAGTCGGTGACAGTGGCGTGCCATTCGCACAGGGGCAGGATCTGCCTTGTCAAATGGATCAGGGCGACCTTCGGAGTTTTATTTCTTGAGAAGATTTATTTCAACATCTCGCCTAAAAATTCGTGCACAGGATTTATAGCGGGCACGAGGAATGATCAAAAGTGCACGAAATATATCACTTGCACCTGCTTGCCAACAGTCTGGAACAACAGAAAATGATGAAAACTCCCTGTACCTTCCAAGGTATCGGAACGCCGCCGCCTTGCAACGAGGACCCACTTCTCGCTCTTGCCCGTGAGTTCCCGGCGCTTCCCGAGCTTTCCGCATTGTTCGCAGCGCTGTCGGTTGCAGAGGCCGGGTTCGTCGTCCCGGTACTAGCTGAGCCCCCACCAGTGGTTGCACCAGCAGAAGGAATCTCGTATTTGAACGCGACAGGCGGGTTATTATTTACCCCACTGCTGCCGGCAGATGATGTTGTCGTTCCAGTTGTAGATCCTCCTGTTCGTATCTTCTTACACTTAATGAACTGGCCATCCCGAACCCCGAGCAAGCAGAACAAAATGTCCTCCACCAGCGCTTTCTCCTGCTCCAGAGCGGTCGGCGGGTCCTCGGTAGACGAGGAGAAGAGTTGGAAAACGTTGTTTTCGCGCATAAAATGGGGCGCGTCAAACAGGTTGTCCGTAGCGTGGTTGAAAACCGGGAGCGTCGTCTCCGCCTGTCGCTGCTGGAGCAAGTGATAGAGATTGTTGGTCGGATTGTTCCGGTTTTGCGTTGCCGCGGAGAGAACCGACATGTCCAGCGAAGACAGATTCGGGTTAAAGCCACCCGCGGCGGCTGAATTTGCTATTGTTTCGGTAGTGTTGTCCGGAGGGGGCTCAAAGACCTCCCACATGGGCACAGACTTTGCGCGCAGGAGCTGCCACCTAAATGAGGTGAGAGATCAAGATCGTCGTATTTGTGTTGGATTCTTTTCCCTTTGCATCCACTTGTGCTGAAAGAGAAAAAATAGCAAGAAGTGACAGTCGTGACAAGAAGGACAGCGCCAACAAACACACCGTCCAGAAGCTCAAGTGACGTTTAAGTTTGTCGAGGTGGCAATGCCTGCAGTGCAAAATTCTATATTCATTCTGTCCGATCTTCCCTTTAATGAATTGATACTGAAAGAAAACTATTGCAAAAATGCAAAGTACCCAATACCTGACGCAACGCTCGTGGCGTAGGGTCTCCGCAACGCAGATTGGCGTGGAGGACTTTGCCGGCGCGGAGGGCCCCCCGCCAGCACCCTGGCCGAAACTCGGATTTACGGAGAGGAAGTTGTGGAACGGATCCTTCAAGTAGACCGCGTCTGTCTCTTGCAGTTTCGCCTGGCTCCGCGGGTCGTCGGCGTTCACGATCAGCCATTTGTATATGGCGTTCTCAATTGTTACATTCTCAACTGTGATGCAAGAATTGCAAAAGTGAAAGGGGGGAGGTTGCACCTCTAGCATTACAAGTTCTGCACAGATTTAGGTGCTGTTAAGCTCTTCGCAAATTTGTCATGCGACGCAGCTTTCTCGTGTGGATCTTGATGGTAGTTCTGCATGACAAATTCATGCAACAGTTGAGAATGTAACAGTTGAGAACGCCATATTGTACCCCGGCCTGGTCGCATCGCAAGAATCTCGCTCGACGCTAATCTGCTCCCGGCCGAGGGAGGTGAGGTACTCGCAAGTGTTCTTCACCGGGTCGCGGTTACGAACGAAGCAAACCTGTTTAGATATTCGCTTTCTTGGTGTTTTGGTTTTTCAAGTACATTCAACGTGCTGGTCTACACCTGTTCCTGTCGTCCTGGCCGGGTCATTCATTCTTGCAACATGACACAACAACTACTCGTCGCAGCTTACTTTCGATCGATCTCGTCGACGAGACGGATCTCTGTTGACTCGAGGAGCTGGTACTACTATACTAAATTATCCATGCTATCGTAGCACATGGTCACAGCCAGCAAGGCAAGAACGCATACACCGCAGCAATACAGAGTCTCCGCATCGCAACGTGGCCTCATCTAGAAAGGAGCTCGACGGCGGCCCACCTAGACTGTGGTGTAGTCCCCCGGCGGCGGCACGGACATTACTACCCGTGGCGGAGGAAGACGCAGAACTGCCTCCGATCTGCAAATTGGTAAACCGCTTCTCGGGCGCAAACCGATGCACGGACCATTCACTGGGCGCGGACGTGCCGTCGGTGCGCGGAAAGGGGTGGACGCCCGCAATTTCAACGGAATTTTTCACACCAGTGCTGCTCGCCGTTGTACTAGTTCCCGCAAACGAAGAACTCCCAGCAGACCCGCCTGCTGTGCCATAGTATAACCCTCCGGAAGTGGTGGTCATCGTCATCTTGTAGTGCGCCAGGTACTTGCCATTCCTCGCGAGCGAGCGAATTCCGACCGATTCGCAGAAGTGCACGAGTTGCTGCTGGTCGCTATTTGTGCCTCTACTCGTGCTGCCCTGGGCACCGGCAGCAGAGGACGAACCACCGCTCCCAGTGGGAGGAAGTGGCAGCATGCCGGCAACTCCGGAAAACATTTTCGACGCGGTTAGCAATTTCCTTTACAAAGTATGTAGCAGGAGTGGCAGGAGTTTCTCGTTTTAATTTAAGGAGATTCTATTCATTCAGATCAACTACTTGGCACAAGTCTTCACCAACAACGAGGAGCCGCCGTTCTTGTTAGTCGTACAACTTGCGAAGAGTACAACTCCATGGCACAACGAACTAGGACTAGCGCTTACGTGCTGGAAGAGTGCGGTGACAGAAAAAAAACCACCAACAAAAGACGCAACGTCGACCAGAGAAGATGTAGATGATCCAACTGCAGCATCTACTTCACAGCGTTATGTATGATTTCTGTTTCTCGACGCGTTTTATCCAACTAATATGTTCAACATGTTGATCATGATCTTTGTCTAGTAGTACTAAAGCGAGACGAGGTAGAGACACCTCAGCATTCATCGTAGAGACAAAAAAAAACGAACACTCGGGAGACAATCACTTTTCCGTAAAGATGTAGAAAAATTGTAGAAATTGCACGAGGAGTACTTCCAGGAAATGTGCGTCGTCGTGTTAGCGAATTTTCTTTTGAAACTTACACACCCAGTAACTGTTCTCAGTATGGACGCATCCGTCGAGGACTCGACGTGGGGAAAAGAAAATTTTCTCTATTCTGCTTGTAGACACAAGCATCATCTTCAAAACGGCGTAAAGCAGAAGCCTTTCATCTGAGCCATGCTCTACGGTACTGCCTTGTCGAAGTCGAGAGGACGACCAGAAAGCTGCCCACAGCCACAGCGTAAAAAGAAAAACATCACTGTTTGATTGCCTCCCTTCCCTGCTCACCGCCGGGCCAAGAAGTCCAGTGAGGAGTGCACGTCCGTTATTGTGAGGAAAAATCCCCCCTCCCCATATCGAAAAGGCATGTTTCCGAAAATTAAAATTTGTGTTGCTGATTTGAGGTCACAAGTCACATTTGTCTTGCAAGAAGACAAGGGCAGAAGCTTCCGCCCCATTATGGAAGCGATTTGTCATGCTTTTGGGCCTAAAAGTGAGCCGTTTGCCGTGCTGAGCAACTAGACCCAAACGGCTGCAGCTAGCCTGGGGATCTGGCCGCAATGCCTTTCTGCAACACAAATCTGATTTGTGTATCCAAATCCAGCATCAGAAATTTGGTTTTGATATGGGGAGGGGGGATTTTTGCTTTTGATATCCGCGTAGGGTTTTCTCACCAACTCATCCACGTCCCCGTCCGTCCCCGGACTCAAATCCTTCCGCTTTCCCGTCCACTGCTTGGCTTCCGCCATCAGCGCGTCCGCGTAGGCCCGCTTCGTATGCAGGGCAAAAGCATCATACTGATACTACTTAAAATTTCTCTTGCACGGCAAATTTCATTTTCCCTGATGCAGATGCAAGCAGAGGAAGCGGATTTGTCATGCGTGATGGCATGTTGTAGCACGAGCAGCACGGTACCACAACTTTTGCGATGCATACTTCTCGCCCGCCTGCAATTTCAACTGCGCGGCCTCCGACCGGTCCAGTTGGGCGGCCAGGGCCTCGCCGGCCTTCTCTATGGGATTCTCAAGCGTTACATTCTCAACTGTTACGCGATTGGGCGCGCAAAACTGCCATCATTATCTACATGATTGAGCTGCCGCGCATGATAAGTTCTTCACGTGCTAGATAGCATCAGAATCTGCGCCGAAGTAGTTGTAATGCAAAAGGCACAATCTTCCCCCTTTCAGTTTCACTTTTATCATTCTTGCATTACAAATTCACGTATACAGTTGAGAATGTAGCATTTGAGAACTCCATATCCTCCTTGTCGTCGGCACCGTCGGACAGTGCCTGGGAAGACGCTGCAAGGCTGTTGGCCTCGGTCTCCAGTCCCGCGGCTTGCCGCTCGTTCTGCAAAGCGCGGGTGTAGAGGTCATCTGTCGTGGAGGGGTGGTTGGAAGGTAAAAAATTACGCTGCAGATGTCAACAGAGGTTTTTATATGTTGCGATTTTTCATTTATTGTAATGGTACCTCCCACTGCTGCGCACCACAACTGCCTAGAATAAATACGAAAAGCGTCGCGCAGCACTCCATCGCCGAAGATGAATATGTCATGCGGACCTAAATCAAGCAACAAAATGGAATCAAGTGCGTTGAGTATATAAAAGTAAAAACGCTATCAATACTCACATGCGCCACGTACTGTTCCGTTTTCCTTTCCGCCACCTTTGAGTTTTCCGTTCCAAAGGTCACTTTGTCCCAATTCTTCAACAAAAAATTTTCTTCCCGGAACTTCTGCACGACGGCTTCCTTGGCCTTCTCCTTCGCGGCAGCCACCAACCCCGCCTCGCTCTTCTTCAAGTTGTCCAGCGTTTTCTTCAGTTCCTTGTTGATCTCCACGGCTTATCAAATGTAAAAATGTCTGGGTCTGGAAACTTGTAATGCTGCGTTGGGAATAGTGAATGCTCTGTAATGCACAGGCAAACATGAGAAGTATCTGCGCTTCTTTCAAAGAAGTTCTCTGTGTTGCGGCTTTCGCATGACAAACTGCGTTTTTGCATGACAGGCAAAAGGGTCTCTTCTCGGACACGCATCACAAACTTTTTGGTCATGCCAGACAAGCATGACAAATCTCAAAATCTTCCAGACCCAGACATTTTTGCATTTGATACGGCTTCTTCCGCGTTTTGCTTGGAAGAGGACTGCAGCTGGTCCAGCGCGAGTCTTTGTGCCTGCAGAGACTTCTATCAGATGTAAAAATGCCTGAGTCTGGAAGAATGAGCGATTTGTCATGCAGCTTTTCCATGACCCATGAGGTCTGGAATGCAGGACCTAGCATGACAGATTCTGTGCGATCTCTCTCATGCCTATCCTGCATGAGAAACTCCCTCCAGACTTGGTCAAAACTGGACGACTTTTGGTAATCATGCAACACAGATTTTTGCATGCTTCAGATTTAGCATGACAAGTTGCATTCTTCCAGACCCAGACATTTTTACATTTGATAACTTCGCGTAAAACCCGATCAGCTCCTCCTGCACGTGTGATTCCGCTTGGAAATTCTCCTTCCGCTGCTGCACCGCTTTCTCATCCTGCTCGGCCAGCTGCTTCAGCAGCTCGTTATCCTCTAACAGTTTTTCCGCGTTGCCAGATTCCAAACTAGAGGAGTCGTCGGCGGGAGCTTGTTGTCCTTGATAACCTTGTTGCGCCACATGGACTTCGTGCACCGCAGAAGCCGAGGCTGCTGCTGACGCAGTTGTAGCGAGCAGGAAGATCAAGAACGACGTCGTGACCGCGACAAGTGGCGGCCATCTTCCGCGGCGGGCGGGAAGATGAGCAAGCGGTAAAGGTCGAACCTTCATTCTTCGTGTTATAGTTTGCTGCAGCAGCTGCTCTTGCGCCGGTGGGCAGTCGCGACTGCAGCCATCGCGGGCTAGTAATGGGCTGGCATCTTCTTCCACAGCTGATGCGCACCTGACCTCTATTGGTATTGATGCGTACTGGTACGTACTATTCAACTCATATCATCGACATTGACTCGCGCGGTCGTGCTGTCATGGCACGAAAATTACGAAGAACAGAAGCTTGAATAAAACAAGAACGCGAAACGGAAGCGTGCTTATCACGACCACGACACTTCTGGAGGCACGAGGACGAGACAATATCGACAGCTGCGCGCCATTATTTCTAAAGTACACATGTCCTGGTGCGTCTTCTTTCTCGTCCACCACCACTTCCAATTGTACCACTTACGAAGCGCGGAAACGGACCATAGACCGAAGGAGCGCTGACATCCGGGAAGGGGTTTGGGTGATTTTGAAACTTCGAACAGTACAGCAGTGAGCAAAACTGACGATGATGAAAGAGCTCCCTTTCATTCCCCGTCGCTCCTCGCCTTTTCAACGAAAACGAGGCGGATATATGAAATGCTAATGCGGTCGCAATCGCATTTTGTCGTGGTGCACAAGGTACTTTGGAACAAATAATTCGCGTCGTAGTGCAGTAGCTCTTCCTGAGGTTAAAAGAACAAGGCTCTGCTCTTGCAAGAAAAGAACCGCCCTTGTGTTCTTGCCTTCTCATTTTCACAGCCACCATTTCCCAAAAGTGAATGGCCACCATGATTCACAGTTCTTGTCCATCAATTACACAGCGAGATTCACAGTTCTTGTCCATCAATCACACAGCGAGGGTAGATTTTCGATGGCCTTGTCCCGGTTCAGCCCGGTGTTCCACACTGTTTTCTCCAGCTTTTTCACCTCCTGCAGACACCTCTCCACCACGTCCCGGCTGAAGCAGAGCTTTGGCCGCTTCGCCCGCGGCGAAATGTTCATCTCTGACCGTGTTTCCAGGTCAATTTTGGAGGGCGAATCGAGCCGCGACGGCTTGTTGGACTCCTCGTTCAGGAGCGCAGTCGAGGACAAGACATCCTCCTGCTGCTCGATTTCCAGCACCGCCTGCGAACGCTTGAAATTGTCCGGAAGATTCGGGTATCCTGTGCAAAAGTATCGTACTCGTATAAATGCAGGTCTTGCATTACAAATATTTTTCGTAAGGTAAATCAGCATGACAAATTTTATTTCTCATGCTGAGAAAATTTGTCATGCATTTATACGAGTACGATACTTTTGCAGTTCATATCGGGTTCCAGGCCAGGATCACCGTGTGCTGACTACCGCCAGCGACGGAAAGAATGTATCTGTTTATTTTTTCGTGGGATAGATGGAATCACAACTTTTGCAGAACGACCTAGGTCGATTTAAAGTGGATATCCTAAACCCTGAAACCTAAACTAAACCCTTTCCGGATCGAACTTGTGCAGCAGGAGAAGGCGTAGATCGAAGGTGAGACGGTCGCGACGACAGCCATCCCGTGCCGGCAGCGGTGGCGGCCTACCTAAACCTAAACCGAGAAAAAAAGCAGAAATCAATGAGAAGTAGAGCCAGCGTCTTCACGAAGAAAAAAAACTCCATGCACAGTGCCTGAGTTTTTTTGTGTACGTCAAAACCAAGATCATATAGGGCTCGACGCCATTGCGTTCTTTATGGTGAAGTACTACTTAATGACCTTCAACGAAATTATCGCAAAAAAATCGTACTTGTCCTTCAACTTTTCCGCGTGCATGAGTGCGGGCGCGAGTTCCGACTTTCCCTCGATCAAATCTTTCTCTTCCTTCGTGTAGTTGTCGACGTCCTTCGGCACGTTGCCTAACTGGTACATTTCCCCACTACCCCACGCAAACACGTCTCCGTTTTCCGTTATCCGAGAGAAAAAGTTCGAGAGTGTTTTTTCGTCTCGGAGAAAAAGCATATACAAATTCTTTATGGCATAACAGCAACCCCTGTCATGATGCGCACCAGAAGATAGCAACATGCAAAAACGCGCTTTCTTCACGGGCACTACAATGCACGGCCAACATCATGTTGAAAGAGACCGGCATTTGGCATGCTGCGCATGAAGATCACTGAAAACCAAAACTCTACAACTGCACGATCGATCTTTTCTTCTTGCATATCCGTCAGCGCGAAGTTGGTGTAGCTGGAGCTGTTGAAGTCCGTGATGCGGTTTCCCGCGAAGGCCTCCTTTGGGATTTTCACCGGGGACGCAAACTCGCGGTCAGCGTTCGTCTCCGGTACGTTCATGCCGGTAAAAGGCTTCCGGCCCCACGTGTACACCTGGTTGTCGTTTTTGTCCCAGGCACACCCGTGTTGCTGCCCGCCCCCAATGTACGAAATCTGCTTGCCGCGCAGTTCCACCAGCTCGGTCAGGGTCTCGATGATGTTCGGTTGCTGCTTACCAAGACCTGTGGGAGGTTGGAGTTACCAAGGAAATGAACATATGTATTTCAACTCGACCACTCTTAGCGATAGCAGGCCTGCTTCAGTTGCATTTGCGGATGCAGTACTAAAAGTGTTGAGCAGAGCATCAAATAAACGTACGGTTTACATGGATGCAAAGGAAGTTTATGCTTTTCCAGATCAATGTATGATACCGAGTTGGTTGTCTCCGTTCAACCCGCAGGCGTAGGACTTCGCCCCCTTGGTGACAATGTAGGTTATTAAGAGGAAAAATCCCCCCTCCCCATATCGAAAAGGTATGTTTCCGAAAATTTGCGCTGCTGATTTGCGACCTCAAATCACGTCTGTCTTGCAAGAAGGCAACTCCACAAGCTCCGCAGCATTGTGGGGGCGGTTTGTGATGCTGATGGGCCTACAGCACGGACGTCTCTCATGCTAGACGCCTAGGCCAGAGCCTCTCTACTTAGGCTTAGTATCGGGCTGCATTCCTCTCCAGCAAGACAAATCTTATTTGTGTACGCAAATCCTGCATGAGAAACTTCGTTTTGATATGGGGAGGGGGGATTTTTCCTTTTGATATAGGTGCCTTCGTTGCCGCTGCCTATCCTGCTGACGCCCTCGTTTCCGGGCGGCAAGTGCATCTTGTTTGGGAACAGGTACTTTTTTTTCAGTGTCTTGAAATCGTGGTAGGCTTGCTTGTCCTTCGCCTCGTCGACTCCGCCGGGCACGGGCTGGTCCGGCGTCCTTTTCCCTTGGCCGAGCTGCCCGTTGGAATTACTACCCCAAGAGAAAACCTGGTAAGCAGTTTTAAGAGGTGTTTTCATCTTCCATATCAGGCACGACAGGTTCTCAACCTTTATCAACCACGTAGTTCATCAAAAAGATCTCGTTCAACAGCCTGCAGCTCCTGCGTGATTGATGCAAAATCTCAGTGTCGCATGAGCAGGAGCTCCTTCGCTTGTGAACCTAGTGAGTGTTAGCAAAACTAAAAGTAAAACATGCTACACCATCAAAAACAAAGAAATACCTCGCCAGTCTTCGCGAGTGCCACGGTGTGGTCGCAGCCGCAGACGATGTCTTTTATTGGGGGCAGATTTGGGAACTCCCGGGGGTAGTACTGCTGCGCCGGGACTTTCTTTGCATTACCATCCCCGTCTTTCTCCTCCTTGTACAAAATCTCTTGGAATTTCCCATGGTCCGGAAACCCAATGTAGCTGGATTTGGTGTTGATCAAATAGTGTGCATTTCTTTCTCCGAATTTGATTTTGATTTTTTCATCATGGCAAATACGGCGATGGAATTATCTTAAAAAACCTGAAAGAATGTAGCGGGGCCAGCACTAGTAAGAAATCATTCAATAGATACCCGTTCGCGTCTTTGTAGACGCCCCAGACGAAGACCCTGCCCTTCGCATCAATGGCGCAGCTGTGGTTGTCGCCGCAGGCGATGTGGTTGATCACCAGGTCGGTCCACGGTTTGCTATGCCGGGTGTTGTCGTCGATGAGCACGTCAAGCCCGAGCTTGTTTATCCTCTGCAAAAGCATCGTAGTCGTACAAATTGCAAATATGCATGACAAATCTCCTTCCTAAGGTAAAACAGCATTACAAATTCCACTTTTCTTCTTGCCAAAATTTCAATTTGTGATGCAATTTATACTAGGACGATACTTTTGCAATGCATATTGTTCGTCCCCTGTTGATCCTCGCAGTAGGTGCCCAGTTCCCAGCGGACCGGCATGGGTTCGTTTTCCCGGATACCCTTCTCCCGCCCCAGCGCGCCGTCGTCGTTGCAGCCCCAACTGTAAATGTTTCGGCTGTTGCGGCACAGCACCAGGGCGTGCATGCCCCCCACGGCGATTTTCACCACCTGTTTGTCCGACAAACCTTTCAGCAGCGTCGGCTTTTTTCGTTCCAGCTGGTCGTCCCCGAGCCCCAGCTGGTCGCACTCGCCCGACCCGCAGACAAAAACCTCGCCCTGGTGGATCCCCGGCAGCGGTTTCTTGTTGCGCCACAACTCCTTCGTTTTCCCGCAACGCTTCGCGTGGGCCACGTTCTCTGCGTTCACCGACCCCTGCGACGCGGCGGCCTTGTTCGGGTCGAAGGTGAACCCGATGCCGGCGGGAGGTGCTCCTGGGGCTGTCGTGGTCCCCGCCGCAGCTGTTCCGTCGTTTGCAGCACTTCCAGCACCCCCGGTCACGGCCGCCAGTGCGGGGTTGCTGGCGAAAATCGATCCGGACGCGGCCGTGTTGTTTGCGCCGTTGCTCGCAAAGATAGAGCCACTGGCCTGCTGGAAAATGTTATTGCTGGAGCCAGCCGCTCCAGAAGTACTAGACGTTGCTGCAGCTGCAGCGCCGAAGGAAAACACCGAGCTGACTTTTTCGTCCACGGACGGCTTTTTCCCGAAGGAAAAACCTCCGGCATTGGCATTGTCCGTGCCGAACTTTATCGGGCCGGCGCTGGCGGACGGAGCTGGGGCGCCAAATGTGAAGGTGCTCGTTGAGGAAGAGCTGCCCCCGCCACCGAAGACCGAAGCCGCGTTTTTAGCGGCATCTGTGGTTTTGGATGATAAGGGAGTGTACTAAATCTGTACTGTTCGTATTTGTTTCTCATAGTGCTCATTCTTGCAGGATCAGGAGGACCAAGACCAGGATCATCTGCACTGCAATTTTGGCAGCGCCGGAGGACCACGGTCGCGGCATATTGCATGACATCGCCACTCTCTCACGTCATACATTAAATTCGAACTTTTTTGACAACCACCTCCATAACGTAACCATACCTATACATCAAGTAGAACTTTATACCACTCGCACTGACTGCGGCTCCACTGGCACGGCCTAAGAAGCCGTCTATGGTTTTTTGCGTCTCCGCCTGGAGCTGTTCCTCGGTGAAGTCCGGGTGCGCGGCGTTGCAGGCCTGACACCGCTTCTTGTCGTTGGGGTTGATGATGTATCAACTGTAAAAATGTCGGGGTCTGGAAGAATCCAACTTGTCATGCAAGTTTTGGATTCTAAAAAAATCTGTATTGCATGGGCAGCAAAGAGGGTCTAAGTGTTGCTACACGGTGGAAAGAGCATTTGTCATGCGGAATAGGCATCAAGAAGCCTTCAAAAGATCTGTATTGCTAGGGTATGCATCACAGACATCATGGCTCATGCAAAACGTGCATGACACACCTCGCACTCTTCCAGACCCAGACATTTTTACATTTCATATGATGCCGCAGGTTGCGCACTTCCACTTCCCAGTCATGTCCACCTCCTTTTTCCGGATACTCATCACCGAGCCCCCCGTATCGCAGGAAAAAACTGTTTCACTGTGATGATTTTGCAAGATCTGCATCAGAAGTTTGTTACTTACACATGCCACAGAAAATTTGCTATGCGAACTTCCCAAGGGAAAACACGAACACCCTTAAAATAAATCCAATGTCTTGCATGTGTAGCAAGACAAATAAGTACTCCATTCCATTCCATGCATCACAAGTTCACAGTGAAACAGTTTTTTCGTGGGATACCCCGAGCTTGGCGCGTGCGAGCTGCGCTGCGCCGGCGCACCGGGAACGACGTTGAAAGCAGGAGGGGTCTTATCAAAGAAAAAAAGTTCGTCACGATCACTCATGCGCATTCTTGCAATACAAAATTGTTTGTCATGCGTAAAAATGCATCACAGCCAAACTTCATTAGGGATTTCCCTAGTGTTTCTGCAATACAGGCGAAAGTTGTGATGCTAAAAAAATTTGTAATGCAAAACCCGCAAGTTAGTGACAGTGACAAACTTTTTTCTCTCCATAGGTCTGCATCATGATGCTCGTCGTCAAAGTAGGAGTCGTCAGAGGAATGGGAATGTTCATGTTGGCTGGGGAAACTTTACAATAAAACAACAACACTACTTCCTTCAATTAAGAACTGCTCTGTCGCTTTGGCTTGCACATCATGCGCCGATCGGACATTGATTATTCAACTGGGTACGTAGTTGTCCCTAACATGAAGAGTGAAACTGAAACTTGAACTTGTTGGAGCTTGAAATTCAAATTGATGTAGGTGAAGAATCATTCAATAACAATATGTCGCTAAGGCGTTCGCTGTGCAGGAGCCGTGTTAACCAGTTGAGTCCAAATTTCAAATTTCGAAGTTGCAAACTTCTGAGTACTTATCGCTATCGTCCATGTCCATCCAATTTGATAAAAATGCCGTTTCTCGTCTGCTGCAACCACGATCTGGGCGGAAAAATCGTGATCTCCTTCCAATTCTTTTTCTTTCGAACTCTACCACGGTATGGCGATTCTTAAAATAACACGACATGTTTATCATCAGACAGAGGCAACATGAAAGCCATCGTGCTTCAATCGAAGTGAAATTTTTATAATATCTTGAGTCGATTGGAAGAACTAGGAGTAACGAACCACGCTCTTCGGAGCATTTTTTTCAAGACGACGGAAAATAATAAATTGGCGCTTTTTTTTTGTGATCTACTTTATAGAAAGAAACAACCGCCGACTCATTCCATGGGATGACGGACGGTTTTGCGTTTCTAGTTTTCTCGATCGACTTGTATTAGGGTCAAGCTGAGCCGCAGGCAGTCAAGTATTCTAACATGAAAACTGCGACCAACACCGTCATGATCATCACGATGATTTGATGTGTTGTTCGAGGGAAGCACGGATCTCCTTCATCTTCGTCTTGCTAACGGATACGAATATGACGTAAAAAAAAACTTGGAGCTAGCGGAAAGCGGCCCTCGACAAGAACACGGAACGCGGATTGCTCCTTCCCGTCACTGAAGAAGATTCTCCGCGCCGTCCGGCTGGCTCATTCGCGTCAGCGGATTTAGTCTTTTGAGTTGTTTTTCGTAGCTAAGCTACCGCTTTTTAGTTTTTTTTTTTGTTTTTGCACTATTTGATATATTTTGATGTCAAAGGATTACGGCACTGCGGGTATGGGTAGGAGGCAATGCAATTTTTTTGTGTTTTTCTACATGTAATTTTTTTGTGTTTTTCTATATGTAATTTTTTTGTGTTTTTCTATATGTAATTTTTTTGTGTTTTTGTGTGTGTTTTTATATATGATAATGATTATGCGTTTGGGTTTGCATGGAGGACTTGGAGAAACTTGGGGTTGGGGTATCGAGGCCGCGCTTGTTAGTCTGATGGGGATAACATCAAACAGAAACTACACAAGCACACAATACTAAACAAGAAACGTTCTTCCCTCAGAACAAAGAAAACGAGAACTAGAAACTGAAGCGAAAAAAATGTATACATGGATTCCTCGTAATGTATTAATGAGATAAACAAAGAGCACTTACGGACAAGACGAAACGGATACGGAGACAAAAAGGATCGAAAATCAAACAAGTACTTATGAACAAAAAAAATATTCTGCTGCGATCTTAACCTTAAGCAACGTGCGACAGCAGTCCCACTATTCCTATTCCCCCTCATCTCCTGCAAAAGTTACGTCAGCGTCAAGGTCAACAAGTACCGCTCGTGTATTAAAGTGCTGCTGTCGTTATGAATTTTTTTCTGGCAAGTATCTGCAAAGAAAACCATACAACTGGCTGAGTTGTCACAAATTGAGGAGGCTTACAAAGGTAATATACTTGTACGTAATCAACAACATAGAGACGTATCAGGTAGTTCTTGTTCGAATACGAGGACGAACTTGGTGTCTGGTATTTCTTCTTCCTTTTCTCCTCTAGTTCGCACCATCTCCCTTTCCCCTTCTCAACGCAACCCCCACGACTGCCACGACGGTTTTGGAAATTGTCGATGGGGCTGTCCCGCATCTTCGCATCTTCGGGTGCGGAAATTGTAAATGGGGTGGTCCCGTTTGTATCCTTCTCCACAAACCCCCCCGTCCCACGCAGCGCCAGCAGACCCGGAAACGCATACGTTTTTAATTTCATGCCCCTCGACCAACTTGACGTGTTCCTCCCTGTGGCAACCGTCGCCGCAGCCGTCCCAATAACCATTCCCGCATCCCTCGCAGAGTTGTACAGGTTTCCCCTGCTTTTTCCCACTGACGCACTGCACCTCAACCCCGAGCGGACACCTGCGTTTGCTGCCGTCTTGAAAATCCGGGTAAGGATTAGGCCCACTCTTCCCCGAATCGTCCACGCACGGTTTCCATCTGCCCCCTTCTGGCAATGTCACAAGCAGATCCACCAAGCTCAAGCTCTCATCTTCACATACGGTGCTTAGATGGGAGTCTCGTAGGGCGTCAAGCTCAAGCTCACATGTGTCCTGGGTAGTCCGCCCTTTCGAAGATTTCCCACGGTTCGAGTTCTTCGACGCGTCCACCTGCATCAAGTTGCTCTCCACGTCTTCCCGTCCAGCCCAAAGGTGCGTCTTGGTGGCGGCGTTCTTGTTCTTCGCCCCGGAGACAAGCGCCCCCCCCACCGCCGGACCGTCCGTGAGGAAGGCGGCGGCGGTGGCGATAGTGGCGAGCTTGTTCAACGATTTCCGCGGCATTTTTGTGCTTTTAGTTTGGCAGTTTTAATATTTTACCTCTTCGTCGAGCGATAATTTATTCGTTGAAGAGTACTAGTACACTAGTGCTAGTTAGTGTTGGGTAGCCTGAAAAACTTGGACAACTGCGCTGACTAAATACTGTATGTTAACCTTAGAAGTTTACTTTAGCAAAGGAGCAAGAGTTATGCTCTGTCACTGTCTCGTCTTCTTTCAGAAGAAACAAGATCAAGTCTCTTCAACTTAGAAGATGCATTTCAGCACGAATAGCGCACGACTACGAGGACGAGGAAAACAGAGCATTGAGGACGAGAAAAACAGGCACTACAAGAGCACAACTACGAGTACGAGGACGAAAATGCTTTTGGTCCTTATTGTTATTCCTCGGCAAAGAACGTAATTATTTCCACTTACACGTACGAGAAGAACTACAAAAATAATAAAATAAAGTCTGAACCATTGTTCAATGTCGGGAAAACAGACTTATTACGCTACACGGCAAATTGATGGCGCAAAAGAACGATGAGTAATGCATCAGGACCACGACGAGGGAGATCGAGATGAAAGCGAAGTAGAAGCACTGTACTCGGGTAGAACTTACACCGGGTTCGTCGTACAAGAGCCGAGGCCGACTTCAACAAGAACACGAAGTAAATCTCTCCTTCCACAAGAGACTCCCCGCCTCGAACCCCGCGACCTGCGCGCCGTTAAGCCGTCCGGACCCTCGTCGTCAGCTGACTATCTTTTTGAAAGAACAACGCTCCATTCGTGCCGGTGCCACTTACGTAGAAATTTTCGATTTGGCTATTGGTTCAGCGCTTCTTTTTTGACGGACTACGTGTGCGACTGCCCCTCAAATGACGTGACTACAGGAGGAGCTGCAACATGCCGTGACTACAGGGGGAGACGATAGGTTGAATGGAAGTATGGGCACAAGGGGATTATTAATAGGGCTTGAGGGTTCAAAAGAAGAAAATGTAAATGCTGGGTATCTAAGTATGCATGGGGCAAAATATTGGAGCGCAAAAGAAAACGCATTGGCGTTGCTATTGGCTTTGCGAATCCACTCAAGAAATTCCTGCTATGTAAAAATATTTCCTGGGAAATCGAAAACTTGTTTTTGGCAATAATCGTATTCGTACTCTTAGCCTGAGGGATCATAAAGATGAAGGTACACGAGCGTCAGTTGAAGATGAAGGTACACGAGCGTTTTTTGTGCTAGTCGGAGAATTGAAATGGAGATGGAAACGATGAAAAGGATTTTTTAGTAGTTAGATTAAAAGGTGCAATCTTCCCTACATCAAAATCGGTTGCGACGAGTTCTCTGGCGTCCACTCACACGAGGCGAGGGTAGTACTAAGAAAGTAAGTATTTGCAAGTATCAAAATCTGGATTGCTAGCGTTCAAAACAACACAAGATGAGGACTAACCTCGACGTAACGACAGCACGGGCACTGCTCAAGAAAAAGAACCCTTGTCGCCCCACTTGACCACGGCCACGGGCGATTCCTAGTTCTACTGTCTCAATCCATTTATTTAACACATTTTACAGTTTGGACGACAGCGCCCGCACAATCCCTGGTGCAAGTGCCGCAGTGAACTTCGCCGCAGGGATCACTTTGCTTGCCATGGCAGTCTCCACAGACTCCTTTACCGTTTTTGTCCACTAAACAGGCTGTGTGGCCATTTTCAGGGTAGTGGAGACCGTCGTCGAGGCCGCAAGGATACGAGACGACACTTGCACTGCCCGATTGCGTAGGATCGAACACTTTTTTTACACCATTTCAGCGGCGGGACGAATGAAGTCGATTTCCGACGGTTGCGGTTCGACGCGTCCACCTGCATCAAATTGCTCCCAACATCTTCCCGTCCAACCCAGATGTGCGTCGTGGGACCGCCGTTCTTGTTCTTCGCCCCGGAGACGAACACCCCTCTACCCGAACTGTCCACCAGGACGGCGGCGGCGGTGGCGATAGTCGCGAGCTTGTTCGACTTCCGCGGCATGTTGGTATTTGTTTGCACTTGCTTTCTTAATCGAACGATGACAAATGACGGTGAGTGAAGGCAACACAACACACAGCCTAGCACTTTGATCTTAGAGTAGCGAAGCAAACGCAAAGCAAAAAAAATTTAACGCTGTCTTCTGCTGCTTCGGGTTCGGAAGAGACAAGAATTATTTCTTCGACTCAAGATGATGACTCTTTCGTGGTGCTGGTCGTGCACTTAGGCAAGAAGGTCCTCAGGAACTGTGCTGTGTTGGTTCGTCGAAAATGAAAAGATGTAAGCCAGGAACCCAAAACCAAGTTACGAAGCAAATAACCAAAGCAATGTTTCTATCGGCGAACGGTAAATAGACTTTAGTACGTTGTATGCTACTTCCTTCTATTCTTTTTTGTCCGCTATTCTTGTAGGGCAGATCGTACGTAGCACGAGCCATCGGCACGACCATGTGAAACATCTTGAATGGCGGGACGAGACTACATCCTGATCCTTGTTCAAGTCTACGTATTTACACGACGTCGTACGAGAATGAAAACACGAATAGAGCACGACTACGAGGACGAGGGAAACAGAGCATGAGCACGACGAGGACTCGGCTTCTACACGACCAACATCATGTTGCCTAGTAAAGATGAATGTGCGCCGGTCTAGAACGATGCGTGACGTGCCAATAAGACGGGGCAAGAGAGGGGCGGACGATTGCGCCACTTGGTCGGAGTAGTTCTGGTAAGCACTAGGGGCTTTCAACAAGAACAACACGGAACTCGGATTGCTCCTTCCAGCCACTGAAGAAGATTCTCCGCGCCGTCCAGCTGGCTCATTCGCGTCAGCGGATTTGGTCTTTTGAGTTGTTTTTCGTAGCTAAGCTACCGCTTTTTAGTTTTTTTTTTTTTTGGTTTTTGCACTTTTTGATTTATTTTGATGTCAAAGGGTTACGGCACTGCGGGTATGGGTAGGAGGCAATTTTTTTGTGTTTTTCTATATGTAATTTTTTTGCGTTTTTGTGTGTATTTTTATATATGATAACGATTATGCGTTTGGGTTTTCATGGAGGACTTGGAGCAACTTGGGGTTGGGGTATTGAGGCCGCGCTTGCTAGTCTGATGGGGATAACATCAAACAGAAACACACGCACACAATACTAAACAAGAAACGTTCTTCCCTCAGAACAAAGAAAACGAAAAGTGCTGCCGATGCTGAAGGGTCTAAAAGAAAAACATAAACATAGGAGAAGGAGTTGTGCTGGCGGCATGACGTACATCCAAACAACTGGGGATATAAAATTGTTCAAATTGTAAAACATTGGAATGGACGGTGGAAATCATAAAACTTGCTGGGAGTTGGTTGAACAAGAACGAAGAAGAAGAGCGACAACGATGCGGGCAGGTTTACAACATAGATTGATACATACACTACAGTACGAGTTTCAGTGTGCGGAATGATGGCGATGAATTTGAATTGGAATTATGCGATGTAAAATATATAATGACAGCGTGGCGGTCGTGGTAGTGCGCATTCATACGTATAAATGTGCTCGATATGAGGTTAAGGGAGAGGGTGGAGCTGGGCCTTTGTTCTAGTTGTCTCTGGTGTAAGCGGAAAAAGTAATATATACGTAAAACTGCCAAATCGAGAAGATAAAAGCTGCATCCATTTTCTTACGTATCGCGGGCGTGTTTTAGAGCTTTGTTCACAGAATTTCCCCTTCTCAGAAATCATCACACGGTGGAAAATTGTTTGCGGACACGACTACAAGCGTCTCTCATCTTCCTCAAGCTCTAGCGCATCCCCAAGGAATGAAATATTTTTTGGTACAAGGGGGCATCTTCATTATCGTCCATGCGTACAATTTTGTCAGGACGAGGAGGAGCAGGAGACGCATGATTACGAGGTGCGCACTTGTACCAGATCCGTGAATCTTCCGGGTCGTCCCTTGTATGGTGTTGCACATACTGGCAGACAGGGGTGCAATCAATGGTCTGGGGCACGCGATCATTACCCGTGCAGCCGAGACAAAAATCCTTCGGACACGCGCTCAGATCGCCTGTCTTGTACGTATATGTCTTAATATCGTCATAATACTGTTTTTCCTCTTCTGCGTTCGGGTACGGCCCCCGCTTGGTCGCTTTCCCACGTCTCGAAGCATGCGCATCAACCTGCATCAGATTGCTCTCCACGTCTTCCCGTCCAACCCACAGGTGCGTTGTGGAGGCGCTTTTCTTGTTCTTCGCCCCGGAGACGAGCGCCCCCCCCCCCGAACCGTCCACCAGGACGGCGGCGGCGATAGTCGCGAGCTTGTTCGACTTCCGCGGCATGTTGGTAATTGTTTGCACTTGCTTTCTTAATCGAACGATGACAAATGACGGTGAGTGAAGGCAACACACAGGAGCCTAGCACTTTGATCAGATATCTTAAGGTAGCGAAGCAACGCAAAAAAAATTTAACGCTGTCTCCCGCTGCTTTGGAAAAGACACGATTTATGTCTTCGACTCAAGGTGATTCTTTCGTGGTGGTGCTGGTCGTGCACTTAGGCAAGAAGGTCCTCAGGAACTGTGCTGTAGTATTGGTTCGTCGAAAATGAAAAGATGTGGTAAGGGACCCCAACACCAAGTTACGGAGCAAATAACGCAAGCAATGTTTCTATCGGCGAACAGCAAATAGAATTTACTCTTTCTCTTTGTCCGCTATTCTTGTAGGGCAGATCGTAGGTACTCAAGTAGCACGAGCCATCGGCACGACCAGGTGAAACATCTTAAATGACGGGACGAAACTACATCGTCCTGATCCTTGTTCAAGTATACGTATTTACACGACGTCGCACGAGAAGGAAAACACGATTAATACAGCACGACTACGACCACGAGGAAAACAGAGCAGGATTTGGTTGTCCGCCGGTCTAGAACGATGCGTGACGTGCCAATACGACGGGGCAAGAGAGGGGCGGATGGTTCTTGTAAGCTCTAGTGGCTTTGAATTGTAGCACTAACACGACAACAACCACCACTACAACATCATGCGAATACGAAGTGCACTGACGAAGATCAATCTACTATCGCTATGCTGTTCTGGAAAGATCCAAGAAAACAACGTAACGAGATGTTGCAGCAAACGACAATTATATATGGTGGCAGGAGCGCTTAGCATTTCATTCAAATTTCTTTCATCTATCGCGCGCGCGCTCTTGTGAGACGTTTTGTGTGATTTTCTTTTCGAACAAGTGGGGGAGAAGCATTCCCTTTGCTTCCCGTTCGATCAACGGTAAAGCTATCATGCACCCCACCTCCACGTCTGCGGTCGACATACTTCTTTGCTTCTGTGCTTGATCAATCGCTGCTGAAATTCGTCAAATTGTAGACTTACTTGTTCTATTTCTGCAAGTTGTAGAGCTCTCTTCAATGGTTTCGCTTTCGGTTCTTGAGGAAGAGTGACTATCTTTGCTAAAGATCGATTCAAAGTCAACACCAAAACTATATCGTCCAGCTGCTATATAAACAAAAAACACAATGATGTATTCCTTTTCACTTTCGGATGAAGTTTAAATGTTTATGTTCCGTGGACAAAAACCACACGCTGAGATCCGCGCTGCTCACAAGAAACCTCCAGCAGCCGCGCGACGCGGACTGATGAAACAGAAGTGCGCGACCAGTTCTTACTCCGCGCTGCTACATCCCCGCCTGCTCCTCGCGCAAATTCCCAGCCTCTTCTACAATTCGGTGAGACATGGATCGAAAAACATACAATGCGACGATTGTCTCAGGCGGTTCCCGGAAAAGCATAAACGTACATGCTTGCAGCGATGCAAAAGTGGCGCAGTTTGTCAAGAACTTTGTCTTTCGTTCGTGCCCTGAAGCCATTACCAAATGGCGGCTTGGCTACGAACTATACATGAACATGACATCAGATCTTCCATAGATATCCTTATCCCTGCATTCTTTTTAGTTCCGGAGGACCGCCTGTCCGCAGCATCAGGTCTGTTGTCCTGTGCATATCCCAAAACAGCGACCAATCTTTTGCGTCCTGCTCGAGCCCGGTGGCGCGCTGGAGATCCTGCCTCAGTACTTCCAGCTGGTCACTGACCTTCACGTCGGATACCATCAACTTCACTTGGGAAAGGTTCATGTGCTCCAGCACGATGAAATCCGCCTCGGTAACGACCTGGTGTGGAAGATCGCGTTTCATTTTACACTATAATTGCTGCTGATCCAAGTCCACCGATCGCGACAACACGGGGCGGAAGGAGAAGCCAAGAACCGACAGTGAAAACAGCATGACAAGGAAACATATTGCGTAGGAACGAACAAGCAGTAGAAGATTTCACATGCAGATGCAGATCTTTATCTTTCAAAACCCATAAGGATTCAAAATACGTCGATTCCGCTCCAGTCTAGCAACGTAAACAACAAATTCGGCAGCTCCGATGTAGGGGAGAAAAACTGAAACAACACGTTTTCTGACTGCATACCAAAAAGTCCGAGTTGTAGTGCGAAGATTTGTATAGCCTGACTGGCCATACAAGCGTCTCCATAATACTTACATCACTAGTAACGTTGCGACTACGATTATCAGGAGTACATCTTCACCTACCGTTTGGCACTAAGCTCACGAGCAGGCCGAGACACCAGACTCGTTAATTTACTCTTGCCAGAAGGCGTCTCTGATGTTTAATTGAGCTCCTTGTGGTCATCAAAATTTATGTTCTGCACAAACACACTACATCGCATTGCAGTTTTTTTCCATTTGATATCCGCCGTTGCGTCGGGGCAGTTGAAAATCGTGCCGAATCTCCCAACAAAGTCTGCCCTGCTGATTTCCTCTTGCTCCTTGGCGATGACGTTGAAGGCTGCTGCGCAGGATTCGTATTTTTGCTTCAGAAATTTTGGTATCACGCGCAAAAGTGCGGTCGCGTTTTATTTTCATTTTCATCGTGGTAGTAGCATGACAACATTGACATTCTGGTGGTCAACCCCTGTGTTTATCGTTATCCAATAAGAATCAACCCTGGCATCATGTTCTTGAGACCAAATGCCAAAATTTCGCGTCGTGGCAATTCTTGATCCAAGGACCCGTGCTATACCCTTCACGCGTCCTCCATTTTCCGAACTTAGAAACAGCACAGAGCTAATGGTACTACGAGCTACGTCGACACGACTTTTGCAAGGCGTAGGTCTCAACAGCTGCAGCTGATCCAGAAACAGCACCAAGTGGAAATCGTGCAACTTCGTGAAGGTGCTCGAAGTCAGGTAGCCTTTCTTTTCCGGGTCGAGGATGGCCAGGATCTGTTGTGCGTTTATCTTTTCGTAAAATTTCTTAGAAAAATTGCTCATAATATTTATACTTTCTGTCGACCTTTTTTTTAGGAGTATTTTCCACCAGCACCATTTCAACGACAACGTCTTTCTCTTTGTCTTCCCCTAGGAAAAGTAAATAAAGCCGCGTCGTCTGATAAATCTATCATACCTGTTTGCACTGATCTTCGCTGAACTTGCCACCGAATTCCGCGGGTCGATCTTCCAACAGAAATTTCCCAAACGCCGCTACGGGCACTTTTCCCGGTAGCAATTGCAATACCCGGTTCTCTTTCCTGTGCAAAAGTATCGCATTCGTACTAATAAATTGCAGATATGCACGACGAATCCAACTTTCTACCTGAAATAGCATGACAAACTGCATTTTTGTTCTTGGGAAAATTTGATATGCAATTTATACTAGTACAATACTTTTGCAATGCATATTCTCCAGTACTTCCTGCACCGACTTCCCCCCGTTCTCTTCGAATTCCTTCTTTTTCTCCAGTTCTAGCTGCCGCTTTTTCTTCATATCGGCGGACTTGAGGATCTCCACCTCTTGCTCCAGTTTCAACTGATACTCCAGCTCCGAGGCGTCGCCTAGCTTTTGCTCCAAATGCTCGATATGCATTGCAAAAGTATCGCACTACGTACGATTTGCAATAGAAATTTTTATTTTTTCCAACAAATCGAATGCAATTTCCAATGCGGATTCCCTTTAATAGGCAATAGATCTGTCATGCACGACCGAGATCAGTACAAGTGCGAAACTTCTGCAGTGGATACTTGAAGACGTTCAGCAAATCGCCGAATTCAGCGAAAAGAAAGTCCTTCAACCGATATCAAGTGTAAAAGTGTCTGGGTCTGGAAGATTCTGACACTTGTCATGCACGGTTTGCATGAGCCCTGATGTCTGTGATGCATGCCCTAGCATCACAGATTTTTTGTGAGCTTCTTGAACTTGATGCCTATTCCGCATGACAAATGCCCTCTCCGCGTAGCAAAAATTACATATCCTTTGGTACTCATGCAATACAGATCTTTTTGGAATCCAAATGCAGCATGAGAAGTTGCATTCTTCCAAACCCAGACACTTTTACATTTGATAACCGGCCTACTTGCGCAAATTTCTGAAGCTGCGCATATATCCCGTGCAAAAGCAATTATATCGCACTGCTCGTAGATAAACATAGAAGTATAAAATGCAGTACAACATGACAAATCTACCTTCTTGCCTGCTGTCGGTGTGGAAGTGGAGTGAGCATTTTTACAGATTCCACCTTTTCTTTTGAGTAGCTCCTTTGGAATGGAATTTCTACGTAGTAGTGCGACACGTTTGCAATGCGTAGCAAAGATGGGGAGCTGATTCAGGTCGAGCTTCGACAACCCGGTTTGATTGGAGCTCGGATCAATCGCCGTGCGGTCAGTGTGCAGGGCCACAAAGACCTTGTCGAAATAGTGTTTTGCTTTTGTTCGGAAGCACATACTAAAATGCCCTATTATAGCACGCATAAGAAGTACAAGTAGTACTAGTGGGAGGACGAAGCAAAATAAATGATCCTGAGTCAGTTCGTTGTTGCACAACTTGCCCTGCTTTCGTCGCGTACGAAATCGTACAACTTAGTTCAACTAGTGAGTCGTACCTTCTCCATCGCATCCTTCCCTCTTCTGGCCTTCCCCGGCAAATTCTGCATTCTGTCGACGAAGTTATAATGTGCAAATATGGCTGGGTCTGGAAGAATGCATGTTTGAGTTCGTCATGCTTGTCTGGCATGACTCCCAAATCTGTCATGCACGTTACCCAAGAGCGCCATTTTTCTGTCATGCAGAAACACAGGCTGTCATGCAGAATAGGCAACACCTAGAAGCTCAGAAACTTGTCATGCTGAGCCAGCACTCGTGGCCTCCTCATGATACGCCACCCAGCATCACAAGTTGCCAGGCCCAGACATACTTATTTGCAATGCATAGAAATCGATGCAGGGCAATTTTGTGGGTGCCACCTTCACCGCCCCGGTGTCCTCCTCGTCCTCCTCTTCGTCTGCGGCCAGGGAAAAGACCGCGTCGCCAACCAATTGGTACTTGTCCGTCAAGTCCGGAAACGACTCGATGAGCACGCCCAGCAGCATCTGCATCACTTGAAAACTGGCGAATCCGTTGAATTGCCCCAGATAGCAAAAGTCGGACCGTGTAATCGTCGCCTTTTTACTCTGTTCCCCACCACCACCACCGGCGTTCAGAAACGGGCAGAGCAGGGGTTCGCAGAACCGTTTCCGCACGAAGTTTTGCTCTTCCGGCGAAATGTACCGTTTTTTGATGGAGATGGCACCACCCTGCTCTTCCAGGTCGGACGACGTTTTCTGGGAGCTCGACTTTTTACTGGTCCCCGACTGTTTGCTGCCCGGGCGGGAATTTTCGGAATTTTCCGACTTGTTCGGATCTTCGACCTTATCCACCGCGTAGCCGAGCAGCGTGGACGCAGACCGTACGAACACGTCTATTGTGAGGAAAAAATCCCCCTCCCCCTACTGAGTGAAAAGGTATGCAGCTTTTTACAAGTTTGCGATGCTGATTTGTGGCCACAAATCCCGCTTCTCTTGCAAGAAGGTAAAGCCAAAGAATCCGCCGCATTATGCAGGCGATTTGGAATGCTGATGCGGCCACATGGCAGGCCTCTGCTATGCTACGCACCTACACCAAAACACTCCTTCGCCGGCCTAGGCTCTGCCTGCAGTGCCGCACTGCAAGACCGAGCTGCTTTGTGTACACAAATCCAGCAACAGAAATCCCCGGTTCGATATGGGGAGGGGGGATTTTTCACTTTGATAACGTCCAGCGACGTCAACGCGTCCGCAAACTCCGTGTAACTAAGCTCGTCATCGGGAACCACCATCGAGGGGTCGGTGATATCATCCCGTCGTGCAGGACCTCCTGCACCGCGGTTGGCCGAGGAACTTTGGGAACTAGGCATCCTGTGTAAAAACGTAAGTACCCGCCAGCACGCCGGGTTTTTGTCATGCACATCTCAATGCTCAGAATGTGTCTGTCTCATGCGAGGGCCGCTTCTCATGGCATCGTTTCTCTAATTACGTTTGGAAATCGAAATTTGTCAACCTCTAATTAGAGGCAGACAGTATGTCTTTGACATCGCGGTCAGAAGACCACTAGCAGGCTAAGCACGACTACCACACCATAACCTACCGAAGCTTTGCATGCGCGAGTCTCGGAGCTTCGGAAAATTTTGCCTGTTAAAGCAGATTTGACAATCGTATCAGGTGGGGGCATCAAAAACACGTTTTTACACAGGTGGATAGTAGAGCTCGCACCTCTTCCCATCGCTCCACCATCGTCCACGACAGCTGCGACCTGCAAGAAAAATTGCGTCATCAGCGCGCCAAATTTACTGGAGCTGCTGGTTTTAGTACCCGCGACACCCTCGTCGGTGCCGTCTACTGCTGGTGCGCCGCCCTCGGTGCTCAAACTCGCAACCGGTAAGTCCCAGAGTCGCGCGGACCGGGGCAATGCCAACACCATCCCGAGACTCGTGCTTTATCCCACGAAAAAAGTGCTACAATATACACACTTGTAGTCAATTCGGCAACACAAATTTCTCTGCATGAGAGTATTGCAGAAATCCTAGGGAAAAAAACCCATGAAACGAGGCTTCTATGCATATCCGGCATGACAGAGAACGTCTGTCTTGCTTGGCCTGCAACACAATGTGTAACTGTAACACTTTTTTCTTGCGATATGCTTGCGGCTTTCTCCAGTGCGTCACTGTCCAACTCAATCAAACTCGGCTGCCACGACTATCCTGAGTAAAAACGTCCCCACCCCCGAGTTGTCATGCAAAAACACATGCTCAAAATGTTTCTCATGCGGGGCCAGCACATGAGCATGACAGGAGTTGCTAGCCGTGTTTTGGAATTTGTAGTGCTCGGATCAGCATGGTAGGCTAGATGTGTGATGCTTCTGAACGAGGTAAACAGGACTACAGCACGGGACCGAACTTGTTATGCGCAAGAACGCCCTAAGCGTGTAGATTTGTCTAGCTGATTTCCCATCATGACTATGGGGTGGGGACGTTTTTACTCAGGATAACGACTTCTCGCTCAGCATCATCATCTCACTGATCGTGAAGCCCGGGCCCTCCTGCATGGTGTGCCGGTAGCAGCCGTACGCCGCACCGATGGCGCCGCTCGGGTCGGTAATCACCGTCTTGGTCTTCGTTTTGGTGCCGCGGAACCGCATTTTCAACGGCTTCGAACAGAAAATCGAGGACGAGGGTAGTGGGTTGATGAGTGTGATCGTCGCAGTTTGCTCGGACTCGGACTTGTTTTCCTGCGATTTCAAGTTACTCAAGGACTCGAGCTTGTTGCAGTATTCCCCAAGCGTCTCGGAGAAATGGTCGGGCTTGGGAGGAATGGGTTCCTGTTCCTCGCCCTCAGGAGGGGGCTGCATCGAGTTCGCGGTGGAGGGCTTGGACCCGGAAAGGCGGGCGCCATACCTTTGTGAACCAATTTAACACAATTGTTTTGTTTTGTACGTGCGGATATCGTTTCCAATGTTGTAGTTCTCCTCACGGAAGAATACAGATGCACGCATGCACGCATGCGCTAGGTCGCAAATAAAGAAATCGGAGCTGTCAGTGACAACTTGTCACTGCAAGCTCCATGCATGGTAGACTCTCGAAAAAATTCATCGCGTTGTAACAGCAAAAATGAAAAAATTCAATGAATCGTGGAAGTCCTGATGTACTCCTCTATCCAAGTCGCAACCTCGGGATTTTTCCGCACGACCACCTTCGGTATTTGCCACACGCTGCCCACTATCAAATGCAAAAATGTCTGGGTCTGGAAGATTGCCAGATTTGTCATGCAGGTTTTCTATGAGCCATGAGGTCTGGTATGTAGGACTTAGCATGACAGATTCTGCGAGACCTTTCTAATGCCTATCCTGCATGAGAAATTAATCCCCTCCCAACTTGGCCGAAAGTGTGCAGCTTTTGGCACTCATGCAACACAGATTTTTGCATGATCCAGATTTAGCATGACAAGCTGCAATTTTCCAGACCCAGACATTTTTGCAATCCATACCCACTTTCGCCTGCAGCTTCCCCTCCACGAAATACATGTTTTCCGGAAACTGCAGCACGAAACACCGGCGCTCCCACTTTGCCAGGTGCGTTTTCCGTTTCTCCTCCTGCTCGGCTGCTATTCTTTGCTCCTCTTCCGGGTCCAGTTCCGTTCCCTGTTCCTCCGCCTCTTTCTGCCACGATATTACAGTGAAAAGCGCCCCACCCCCGAAAGTTAGTTGGGAACATTTCTGATGCAAAGTTTACGTTTTCACTTCCACATGGTCACTTTTTGTCTTGCATGAAGCTTTTCACATGACCTCAACCCATTTTGTCTTGCATGAAGGGACTATGAGTCTCTCTAATGCCGAATCTATCTCGGTGCGCAAAGCATCTGTCCTAAAACAGGCCCGGCGGTTTTTCTTTTTGGGCTCTTCTGGAATTAAAATTGTTGCAACGCACCATCAAAAAATTGCGATGCCGACGCTGAGACATGCGACAACATGGAGAATAGTTTATTTATCTTCAGATTGGGATTTTTGGGAAGTTTTGCCTATAGATACAAATAAAGTACTTTCAAGTTAGTTGTGGGGTGAAGACACTGTTCAATCTGATAAGCGATTCCGCTTCCTCCTGGACTTTCGCCGCGTACTCCTCATCCGGGAGCGGGTCGTATGCAAGAAAAAAACTATGCGAGTGCAAGTCTGTGATGCAGAAAATGCAAAACTGTTACAGTTGTCATGCTGGATCTGCGTCTTAGGCTACTTTCATACGTGTTTTCCTTTTCACGCACAACTAGCTGCGCATGACAGGTTTTCCTGTAATGCAAAACGAATTTGTGATCATGCTGCTCTTCCTACAAAATTACAGTTACACAGTTTTTTTCCTGGATAGCTCGGCCACGTTCTCCACCGGTTCAAACGTCTATGAAATGCAAAAGTGTCTGGGTCTGGAAAAGTGCCAGGTTTGTCATGCTCTGCTAGCATGACTGTCAAGTCTGTCATGCAAGGTACCCAAAAGCGCCACTTTTGTGTCATGCAAAAACCCAGCTTCTCATGCAGAATAGGCAACACCAAGCGACTCAAAAACCTGTCATGCTGAGCCGTCATTTCTGGCGTTCTCTTGATTCGCCAACCAGCATCACAAGTTTCCAGACCCAGACATATTTGCATTTCATAACGTCACCAAATCGACGACTTCGTCGTTGATCGTCGTGTTCACTTTGTTCATACTGTATTATCCAAGAAAAAAACGCTGCTAATGTAAATTTGTGATGCGCAACATGCAAGGTGATTGCGTCTGTCATGCTTGGCATGCATTGTAGGCTCCATTAAAGGGCGTTTTCACTTACTATTAATTTGCGCATGACAGGTTTTTGTTGTCACGCCAGACAGATTTGTAATGCTGTTCCTCCAAAAAAGTTACACCTACAATGTTTTTTTCTTGGATATGTATCGACTGGAAAACGAAAAGGCTATCGTACTTGTACTAGAACTCGCAATCATGCGTCACTGACGTTTCAGTAGTTTTTCGTTCTTCCATAACTGATTCTGCATGACAAGCTACATTTTCTTGTTCTTCTGTGGAAAAATTTGTGATGCAATAATTGCTACTAGTACGAACGATATTTCTACTTTTACACTGCGTATATTGCAGTCGACGAGAATTTCGTAGAAGAATTTCGTGCCATACGGCTTTCGCTCGATGTCATAGACGACATCCACTTCTTCCGCTTCCTTGAGGAAATTTGCAAAAATCTTCTCCTTCGGAATCATATCCTGCGGCATGGTCTCCAACCCCGGTATCCAGTGGAAACACGTCTTCCATCTTCCCAGACTTGTCATGCAAATCTCGATGCTTCAAATGTTTTTCATACGCAGCCCCATGAAGAGCGTTTTGTAGTTTCTTCTGTTTGGGGCGAGGAGTTTGTTATGGTGCTCTAGGAGGTGCAATGATAAGGTGATAGGTCTCTGCTCGTGCGAGTGCACTAGCTAAGCGTACACACGACTACTACACTAGGAGCCCAGATGCGTCATGCGCAACTACAGCCAGAACTTTTTCATTTGTGTAGCCGATTCATACCGCCATCTTGACTATGGGAAGGCGTGTGGACGTTTTTACTGAGAATACCAGACTGGTTATCGTCTTCCGAGCGGTTCATGTTCTCTGGCTCCGTGTACTCGATCCTTTTCCGACTGCGGATCCCGGCCTTCTCCTCTGATTCCGTGTGCAAGGTTGGAAACAGCTGCCTCATGGTTTTCTCCAGCATCGTGACGCCGTCCGCCAGCGTCGCACTGGCCGGAAGGGAAAGCGGCTCCGCCGCAGAGGTGGCGCTGCTAGTATCGGGGGCGGCGCCGAGCTGCGTCGCGAGCTCCGAACGGATGGCAGCGAGGTGCTTCATCGTGATCTCGAACGCGTTCAGGGGCGGAAGGCCGGAAGTTGCGGTACTGGAGGACGAACTGTAGAGGGGAAAAATTTTACTATTACTTTGTGATTGTTTTGTGAAAGGAGTTCCCGTGCCTAACGGTATTCTTCATATCCGACGAGTCGTGAAGCATCCGCTCAGAACCTCCGACGAGTCGTGAAGCATTTATTTGCGTGTCTACCGCAACATCCGTCGAAGGCCATCGATCGGACTTTTTTCTCCCTTTTCTATGATGTGGTCTTTCAAAACCAAATCAGAATCGAGACCCCGCCATGGATGTTGGAGTTCGAGTTGCGTTGGTGTCGACACTAATTTATCACATAAAAAGCGAAAAAAGAAAATCGCAAGAACACCAAACTACCTACTCTCCCCTGCTCCGCCCCCACTGTATTTGCACTCCGCGGCGAAGGGCCCGGCGCCACAGCTCCAGATGGAGAGCGCGATGCCCAGACTGGCGTTATCCTGAGTAAAAACGTACCCACACCAGAGTCAGGATGGGGATTTTGCAACACAAACCTAGGAGTTTTGTGAGTCACGCATGACAAGTTGCACTCTGCAGTGTAGTGCAGGTTAGCAAGTGCAGCCGCGTCACATATCCAGCTGCTCATCCTGTTCACAGCATCACAAATTCCAAAACACGATTGGAAATGGCTCTCATGGGGATGCGCATTACAAGTCTTCCCGTCTTTGCAAATCTGCATTACAACTCTGGCGTGGGTACGTTTTTACTCAGGATAGGCGTTTTCGGGAAGTAAGTCCGAATCCTTGCTGGAAACGAGCAGTTTCGAGCATATCAAATGCAAAAATGTCTGGGTCTGGAAGAATGCCAGACTTGTCATGCAGGTTTTCCATGACCCATGAGGTCTGGTATGTAGGAAATGGCATGACAGATTCTGCAAGAGTTCTATCATGCCTCTCCTGCATGAGAAACTGCCTCGCGATTAGGTCGAAAGAGGACAGCTTTTGGTAATCATGCAAGACAGATTTTTACATGATTCAGATTTAGCATGACAAGTTGTTTTGTTCCAGACCCAGACATTTTTACATTTGATAGAGCAGGACAAAAGCGGATAGCCCTGCTTCTTCCAGTGATCAAGCTGCAACTTCATCGATTCCCGTTTGGCGGCGTCGGAAACTGAACTGCTTGTGCTGGTTTCTATGCAATAGAAATTTACCGCAATCCTGCACCTGCTCACAACAACAAGTACTAGTGAAATAGAAATGCCAGATGATTTGAAGCCCAACAAGAGTACGGGACTGCATTTTCTGTGCCAATTGTCTACGGTAAATAACTTCGACTTCCCTGTGCATACTACTAGACGTCGAGGAGTTTTGTTTCAAGTAATCTAGCCTGCACTCCTCCGCCAGCCTCACCAGCGTGTTCGCCTCGTTTTCCTGTTTTATCCGTTCCGCCTCCTTGATATGGATTGCAAATATGTATGGGTCTGGATTGTAATGCTGTCAGTCTTTGGATTCCAAAAAAAATTGTATTGTTTGACCAGCAACAGCAGTCAAGTTTGTGTTGCGCGGACAGGGCATTTCTCATGCGGAATGGGTATCAGGAAGCATTCTAAAAATCTGTGATGCTAGAGCATGCATTACAGGCGGCATGGATCATACAGCATGCGCATGACAAACCTGGCACCTTCCAGACCCAGACATTTTTGCACTTGATACTTGAGCGCGAAGTACAGCTCCTGCTTCTTCCTTGGGTTTGGTTGCGGCTTGGCGAACTGTGGTGGAGGGAACAGCTTGTCGTCTTCCGCTGTCTTGCTTTTTTCGGGGGACGCAGCCGACGATGATGGTTCCGGTATTGTTTCGCCGTGGTCGCCCCCGCCACCGTTGTTGCCCCCGGCATCGTCAGCGATTTCTACTTCTTCCGACAAAAGCATCGACTCCGCAACTTCCGCCTTGCTGTCGGTGAGTAATTCTAGCTCCGCCACTTTCAAAGGATAAAATTGTTACAGTTACGCCCGTGTTGGAACAATTTCGGGTACAGAAACTTGCTCTGCTGTTGACGAAGAAAACTATTTACATGCACTAGCTTTAGTGCGCAGATCATACGGGAAAGCATGCCTGAAATATTACAGTAGCGGGAAAGCATAATTTCCGGCATGACAAAACTCGTTTGCCCTGCTTGTTGGTCTGCAACATCTACATCACAATGCGTGACTGTGTATAGATACTTTTGTTCTGCATAGCGACGTCGCGGAGGCTGTTGGAGCTCGTACACAATTCCCGTCGGAAGACGTCGTTCATGGGTTTCAATTCCTCATCGCTGTATTTCCGGATCAGTTCGAGCAACGACCACTATCAAATGCAAAAGTGTCTGGGTCTGTCATGCTAAATCTGAATCATGTATAAAAATCTGTGTTGCATGCTTACCAACTAAAGCTGACCACTTTTGACCTAATCGAGAGGCAGTTTCTCATGCGGGATAGGCATGATAGCACTCGCACAGAATCTGTCATGCTCTGTCCTACATACCAGACCTCATGGGTCATGGAAAACCTGCATGACAAGTCTGGCATTCTTCCAGACCCAGACATTTTTGCAGTTGATAACCACTGCAGCTGCTTCATTTCCGTTCTGGTAAAGCAAGGATGGCAATCCGCGACTGCGTTGGAAGGGTCGAACTTTTCGCCCTCCTCCTCCTCGTCCTCGTTATTGCCCGGTCCGTTCTCGCCAGCACTTCCGTGGTCTCCGAGACCACCTTCCCGGCTGCCCGGCGGACTGTTGCTGCCGTGCTGCGACCCGTGCGGGCTGTTGCCCCCGTCTTCGCTCGCGTTGGCTGAGCCGCCGACGAAGGTATGGATTGCAATTCTGGTGTCTGGCCGGGCCCTCTGGAAGCTGGTTGCAAGACCTATCTTTTTCCAAACTTGTCAGACGTAATTGATTCTGAAGACGCAGCTAAAAACGGAAATTTCCTAGAATCTCTCGAATTTGCATCATCAGAAGACGACCACGACCGGACACAGAAACTAAAATTTGCAATGCATAGCGGGCAAGTCTTTGCAATTCCTCGACCGCTGCTACGGCTTCTTCGACGCAGGTGTTCACCCTTTCTTGCTCCATATCGACGATGTTGGAGAGAATCTGGTCGAGTAGAAGAACCGCATCGCAGTCTTGACTCGTGAGGGACTCGACGATCGCCGCTAGCACGTTTGCGCAGTTCTGCTTGAAGCGGTGCTGTACCTTCACCTTCTCGACATCAGACAGCGGCACTGCGGTGAGTTTTTTCAGTCCAATCCCAATCAGCTCTATCGCCTCTTCCCCCTCTGGCGGCGAGGCGGGGTACCCCGGAAACTGGATGGTTGCGTCCTCTTCCGCCTTCACCTCGGGACAGGGTTTGAACGGGCAGGTGATCAACTCCTCAGACACGACCGGAAAACCGCGGATGGACAAAACTGGGCGGAACCCAAACTGCACAGAAGAACCGTCTCCCGCCGTAACGGAAGCGGCAGCTGCTCCGCCCTCGACGCCCTGTAATTCCCCACCATTGTTTCCCGTGCCTCCCTCGACCGTCTCCAGCGTGAAATCGATTAATTCAAAGTCCAGCCACCGTTTCAAACTCGTGTTGGAGTACCTCCCCAACTCGTCGGCCAGTGCGGTCAACGGGTCCTTCGGTCGGGTGTGCAACACGCGGTTCAGGCACTGCTTCACGACCGGACCGAAGTGGCTGTCGCGGGCCCACTGCTTCTTCTGCTGCCGCGGGTTCGCGGCTGCTGGAGTTGTAGTGGTCTCTACAGCTGTGGGAGAGGCCGTGGACATCTCGGTCGCAGGATCGAGGGATGTTGAAACGTCCGCGGATGGCATGGTTTTTCCTTCTCGTAGTAGCGCTCCTCTCCTGCTAGAAGTTCTACAAGACGAGAAGTTCGTCTATTCCTTTCTTCTTTGCTGTCAGCACGACAGACGATGAAAACAGCTGCTCCGAGATGATTCAATCACAGCGGAACCTTCTTCTGTACGAGCGAGGAAGCTGTTCTTGCGCCTGCAGCAATGCCCGAGGAAAAACCTCCACCAGGCGTTGTCGTCGTTGGAGAAGCTAACTCGACGCTCGGCGCCCCAGTACCGGCACTAGAAGTAGATGCCCCTGGCGGCGACAAAGTCGAAGGCAAATCCGTGTTCTCGTCCTGCTGCTCTCCTTTGGCCAGCTCGGTGCCCTCGAGGATGGGCGTTAAAGGAGTTGCGTTCAGGACCCGTCGCCGGTTCGAATTGTTTAAACTGTTGGTCCCCGACGAGGAGCCGTTGTTTCCACTGTGATTCCTCAGCAGAGACCCCCTCTGGCGCAGCCACTGCTCGTACCTTTTTTTCTTGTCGTACTCATTTGAATAGTACAGGATGAAGCACTGCACGCCCGCGAAAAGGAGAATTATCACAATCAGAAATCCGACGGTGCCCCAACCAACCTCCTTCTGCTGGTGCTGCTGCAGTTCCGGGTCTTGCGAAGCGGATTGTTGTCCGCGTAAGTTGCCCACCCGGGTAGAGGTTCGCGAAATCAAATCCTGCTCTCGCGTTTGTGCGCCTTGTTGGTCCCTTATGAACAAATCTGCCACTCCAGTCGTGCCAAAGTCATCTTGCAATACCATAATTGGACTCAGAATCACTGGACAAGAAGGTCTACTTTATTTACGTGGAGGGGAACATCAAGTACAGCGACATTTTTTGTTCTCTCGACGGAGACCGCGTTAGTAGAAACTTCTCTCACCATGCTGTTTCGCACCCTCGCTTCTAGTGGATTAGATGACGCTCAAGAGTTTCTATCAGAAATCAGCGGCAGTAGACAAGGCCCGTCTTCATCTCTCTGCCAGCTTAGCAAGCTACTTCTTATGCTGAAAGTACGCTTGATGTTCTCAAGACGCTCGACCTTTCGTGCGTTCTATTTCATCTCAGACGGAGGCTGCACGACCTCGAAGGTGAGCAAGGTCGTGCGACAACACAGAGTCAGAGACTGATCAACATGCTGAAGCTACGTGCCAGCAAAGCGTAACCGCGCACTCGGCAGCATCTTCGCTTGGATGTGGATCGGAGAAATATCCGGAGTACGAAAATCTACCGCTTGAAGAAGCAGGGGCTGGAAAAACTTGGCTCCAAACCTTTCATCTTGCTCTACTTGCATGATGTTCTACTTGCCAGCATCGTCAACATTGCCTACTTACTAAAGGGCCTTCATCTACTTATTTTTCTTCGCAGTGTTATCATCCTGCGGCAGAGAGAGCGTTCTTACTACTCTTTCCAAACAAAATTTCCGAGCGAATGAATCACCATGCGAATGTGCATCACTTTGGTGGTCCTGTACTTCGTCAATCATGAGATCCGCAATTATGGCTCCAAAAACCGCACTTAAACAGGTGAAAATCGAAGCAAACGTTTGAAAGTACTTCTCTATCCCAACTAGCTTCGCCGCTCGGTGGGCCGCGTGAACGGAGAGGGAGTCAAAGTTTTCTTCACGAGCTTCTCCGCTTATTCGCGACAAAGATGAAGCTGCGTGCGAATCCGTCGATAGGAGCTGCTGCATTGGCGACTCTTCAGCAGAGAGTTGTGTTGTTCTTCTTCCATCTACCGGATACAATTTGTCGCCCGGATAAAATAGATCGCCGAACATCGTGTACAAAAACACAAAGTAGCCCACGCAGCCAAAACCGTACAGAACTTGCGAAAACACAAAGCCCATTCGTGCCAGAAGTTGGAGGCTTTCAACGACGTCTGGTGAAAATTTTTTTGCGTGTAGCTGACGAGGACCATCTTCTGCTGGTGGAGAAGTATCATCTTCAAGGCCAGAAGCGTCCTCTTCATTCATCTCGCCAAATGTTTCAACAATTTCCTTTCGGGCCATACTTCGAGTGCAGTCCTCTGCATTTGGTGGATCGACCTCGAGGTCGCCTACGCTTGCCTGCCGACCTGCAGGTTTTATTTCTTGTACACCAGCAACAGGAGCAAGTCCGCTCAGTTCTGGCGCTCGTCCCATCACCTCGACATCTTGATGATCCCCGTCACTGGCACGGGTTCTACTACTTGTCTTGTTCTTCGCGACTGAACCTGCTCCGGCTCCCGCCAAGATTCTCGGTGTGACCCCAAACGCCGCGTTGATGAAAAAGCAGAAAACGTTATCAAAAGGAAAAATCCCCCCTCCCCATATCACAACGAAATTTCTGACGTACACAAATCAGCTCTGTCGCGCTGGAGAGGAATGCAGGCCCCTACTGAGCCTAAGTAGAGCGGTTTTGGTCTAGGCGTCTTGCATGAGAAACGCCCGCGCTGTAGGCCCATCAGCATCACAAACCGCCTGCATAATGCTGCGGGATTGTGGAGTTGCCTTCTTGCAAGACAGACGAGATTTGTGGTCACAAATCAGCAACACAAATTTTCGGAAACGTACCTTGTCAATATGGGGAGGGGGGATTTTTCTTCTCAATAAACGTTCAATACGACAGCGACGGAGCGAATGAACCCAATTTGGTAGTCTGGAAAGTCGTGTAGCAAGGTTAAAAGCAGTCGGACGAAGACGTGATAAACCAGGCAGAGCTTCAAGATCAAAGAGGACAATGAGGATGTGGAGAAACGGGTGGCCATCGTCACTGTTGTTTGATTGCCGAGTTTGACCAAGGCACCAAAATCGACTTTTAACTAATATAACTTCTCTGTCATTAACGTAAGTGCGCGTACTGTCAACATCTCTAGGATAGAATTTCGATTTGCAAACGCATAAAACTGACTATGACTCTAGGGACGAAGAATGCCCTGCCCTGACTTCGTGCAGATGACGAACAAAAGCTACGTGGTGTATCAAGGGCTCGCTACATGTGCTGCCTCCCACGTCGTCTTCGCCTTGTTCGGGCTCGAAATCTCTTCCACATTTATTTTTTGTCTTGGTCAAGAAACATGGAAAAATCATGAGAACTAAATTTTGTCGATTCAACCGTGTGCTTTCATACGATTTGACTTTTCCCCACATTTCAAGTCGAGTCCTCGTGGAAAAATCAGAGGGCATTCCATGACCATGCGCCACTTCCGTTAACGGGTTCCTACTTCTGTTGATTTTGTTTCCAGACCGCATTAGCACGTACTACTTTGTGCGCCAACTTTTTAGGAGGCGTGATTCCTGTGCATTGCTTTTCCAAAACGTAAACGCGTTGATGTTGAATTTGCTATAAGTTCCCTGATTGAGTACCTAAGCATCGGTATGGAAAGATGGCGATTCGATGACATTCATGTGTTGAAATTGAAAAACAACCTCTCTGTACAGAATTAAACAAGGTAAATTTTAATATGGTGGTGTTGAAGTTGACCCGAAACAAAGCGGTCACTCTCATTCAGGGAAAATTTCTGTGTGCTGTGCTGGTGTTGCTGCTTTATTTCCTGGCATTGAATCTGAAACACCTGTACAATGCTATGACATCAAACATGAAAAAAACTGGTATTCATTCGATAATATTATGATGATGATCTGTGCTAAAAGTACCCCGAAAATTGTGAATTTTTGAAACATGTAAATATAACGTGGGTGTGCACCCCGACGACCAGGAGGCCGCGGCGGCAACATGACATTCATGAATTTCTGAAACTGAAACGCGAATTTCATTTGAAGAGCGAAACGACATCAGGAATATCATCAATTTGTAGTTGAAACAAGGTAAAATGGAAATTCAAGTTGGCGCTTGAGTTTTGAAACTGAAACAAAAGTGGGTGATAAAAAAGTGTAAATCTAGCTTCTCGCGCAGAGAATATCCTCGGAGAAGAAGTCGCTACTTCTAGACCTGTAACACATATCCTGTCAATTATAAACTGGTGGTCGATGGCAAAAAAATAGGTGGAAGCTTTGTTGGTTTTCAGTTGTTTGTGAGGTTGAGAAGACGAAGAGCGAAGTATGTTTATCAATTTCCAATTTCAGTTTGTTGAAGGTTTTCGTTTTCCTGAAGATTTTATACCGATGATTTAGTATTCGACGCTTTGACTCCGAAAAGCTTTTAATATCGTCCGGTGAACAAAAATTTCCTTCTCGAAAAACATTTTCGACGAGATGCGACTGTGAACTCCGCACCTACCCGTTCTACTCTTCCTCGCCCGCCTCCTCGGCCGGAGCGGCTTCCGCTTCCTCGGGGGCCGCGGTCTCCGCTTCCTCCACTTCCACAGCCGCGTCGACCTGCTCCTGTGTGGTCTCCTCCTCGGCCACCACCGCCGCAGGACTTTCCTCGACCACCACCGCCGCAGCGCTTTCCTCGACCACCACTGGGGCCTCCACAGCCGCGACCTCCTCCTCCACAGCCGCGACTTCTTCCTCCGCAGTTGTCTCGACGACCGCGTTCGTGCTGGGCTCCTCCACGGCTGTAGCAGCGGGCACCTCGGTCTGGTCCTCCAGGACCGCAGCAGCGGGCGCCTCGGTGGTCTCCGCGTCCACCACAGCGGGCGCCTCGGTGGTCTCCTCCACCACGGCGGGCACCTCGGTTTCCTCCACGACAGTGGGATATCCCAAGAAAAAACTGCTTCATTGTGGTGATTTTGCAGGATCTGCATCACAAGTCTGTTCTGTACACATGAAACAAACAGAAACTCAGCCTTGCGCGCTTCCCAGCAAGGGTAGAAAACACAGTTACACATGATCCAAGGTCTTGCCTTTCCAGGAGCAAGACAAGTATACTTGTGTGCTGTGGGATCATTCTGTGCATGATTGCAAGTTCACAGCGAAGCACAAGCAGCTTTTTCTTGCGGTAGTGCGGGCACGACCTCGGTTTCACCCTCCGCGGCCGGTTCTTCGGAGGACTCGAGGATAACTGGTTCGGCGGACTCGACCACCGGGTCGGATTCGACCACCGGTTCCTTTGATTCGACCACTGGTTCCTCGGAGGCCTCGACCAGGACTGGCTCTTCAGATGACTCGGCCACCGGCTCTTCAGATGACTCGACCACAGCAGCCTCCGCCTCTTGCTCCACCACGACCGGAATTATGCCTTGCAAATATCTCATCTCGGTCTCTCTGGAAGACTGCAGAAGTTTGAGCGTGTCATGCAGTTCCCGAATCTGCTTGAATTTTTTATCCACATTGCACAAAGAGCATACCAAGTTCTAGTACGGAGACTTCTCAATTATACCTGACCAACATGAAAAATGCGATGCCCTCGCCTGCTCCGGTAGACAAAAATAGCAGATTCTTAGGCTGGCTATGCAACACAGATTCTTTATCTGCTCCAGAATTACCATCGCAAGTGACCCAGCCATAAATTTGCAATGCATAGGTTTCGACTCCTCCTCCTCGACAGCGACCGGTGTTGCATTCATCATCTCTTCGACCACCACCGGCTTTTCTTCTTGCGCCACCTCCTCGGCCGCCTGTTCATGGATGATGTCTTCCTGCGCAGATTCCACTTTCTTCGGCTCCTCCTCCTCGACCACGACTGCCTCCTCCACCTTCTCCTCGACCACCGCCTCCGCTTCCAGGGCCGCTGCAACCAGGGTCTCCTCCTCCACATATCAAATGCAAAAATGTCTGGGTCTTGGAACTTGTGATGCTGGGTAGCGTCTCATGATGAGGCTACAAATGCTGGCTCAGCATGGCAAGTTTCTGAGCTCCTAGGTGTTGCCTATTCTGCATGACAAACTGCGCTTCTGCATCACAGAAAAACGCAGCTCTTGGGTAACGTGCATGACAGATTTAAGAGTCATGCAAGACAAGCATGACAAACATGAATTCTTCCAGACCCAGACATTTTTACAGTTGATACCACACACGCCTCAGCCACCGCCACCGCGGCCTCGACGGCAGACGTCACGGCTTGCTCCGGAGCCTGTACTACTTCTAACGCCTGCTGCACCTGGTTGATGCCCAACGACAGGGACCGCTCGTTGGAGTCCTGATCCTGCTCGGTGTTGCGGCCACGCGTATCCTGACAGATTTTCTTGTTCACCATCACGACGAGGACGACCCTCAGGTTGTCATGCGTGAAATGCATATTAGACTTGATCTAGCTTTTGATTTTGTCTTTTTTTTTACCTGTACTTGCATCAGAAATTGAGGGTGAACATCATCATGATGGTGAACAACACAGAGTTCATCTAGGATAACTCTCCTCGTTGTTCGAATTGCTCTCCTGCTGGATCGTGGTCGGCTCACTGGTAGCGTATGGCGTTCTCAAGCGTTCCATTGACTGCCCTCGTTTTTTTGCAAGAGTTGTAGCAAACGTGAAAGGAGAAAGCTTTTTGCTCGTCTCGCAGCAGGGCGAGGGTACTATGGGTGATAGAGATAGTATGTTTGCATGACAAGTCAAGTCCTATAACGGCGACCCATGTAACATTTGAGAGTGCCATATGGCGTTCATTTCCAGCACGGCGGGTGCGGCCACAGTCGGCTTGGACACTTCTTGCTCGGCGGTATGATCTGAAGGACAATGGCAATGAGTGTGCATCAAGGCAGAGAGAAAGGCAGAAAACGTACTTGAAGAAAACGATAACGAATACAATTACGAAAAGAACATCATCAAGAAAATTGGGCCGTGGAAAAAACATATGTTTTCTATCTGAAGTGCCTACTGTAGTAATAAATTACCTTGATTCTTCGTCTCTCCCGCATTATGATCCGGCTTTAACAAGACCGGGTTTGCCGAGGGTTCGATGACCTGCGCGCCCGCAACAGTGCTCGCACCGCAACCCATTGTGTTTTTTTTTTTTGCGTTCTGCAGAACTTTTTTCCGAACGACAGAAAACGGTATATTTTTCGGTTTGCGTTTGTCGCGGACAGAAACAAGACTCGGAGCTTGTTCCTTTTCGATTCTTTGTAGCGAAGCAGACGGTGCCGTAATGAAGCGACACTTCGGACTTCTAGTGACAACTTCTAAATACTACTCTCGTGCTTGCTAGAAGTTTTATTTGGTGATGCAGATTTCTTCGACTTGTTAAGTATTTGATTCCTCTGACGCTCTTTGCGGTTTCCAACTCAACGTTTGGTCTGAATTGTACTTTCTTGAGGGGTGCAATAGTAAGTGATGTGGGTGTTATTTTCTAGGGGATGCGTGAAGTCATGCAAGCCGCAGTGACGGTTTGTTGCTGCAACTCAAGTGAGAATTCAACGGAATTGCTGTGCTGATACGGTGGAGAGTCAAAGCTCAGATAGTACACACAGATTCGCTGCAATTCTACACTGTGAAAGGACGATATCGCCCGCTACTTTTGTCTCGTGACTCGGTTTTTATTTATGTAAGCAGCAAAGAAAGAAAGACTAACCGCCGGGATATCCATCATCCGCTCTCTTGCTGGTCGTCTCCTCTGTAATCTTGTGGCTGTGGGGTAGCATATGCATATGCACAGACAAGAAACAATGAATAAACAAAAACGAAAATCCCCGCTCTCTAGTGCGCAACAACACGCCTCTCTGGTACACAAGAAGAAACAACCGATTTTTTGTGGAGTCGAAAAAACAATTCATCTCTCGGACGCGTTCGAAAAAAAGATGTTCTTCGTTGCAGTTGCAAACCAAGAGGAACGCGAACAGAAGTGGAGAATGCATTTATCAATAACGTCGCAGGTGATGCAAAACTGTGCTCGTGGCGGCAGCAATTCAATGCCACGCGCAAGCAACTTTCGTGTGCGCCGGTCGTCTACACGACTTGTGATCCTTGCAAAGGATCACAAGTCGTGTAGAATTGAATGAGCTCCACGGAACGTGGGGAGTGATAGATTTTGCGCACGCAGCAAAGAGGAGCGCTACTTATTCTGTGACGGGCGACGGCGACGCGCTTCGGCGTGCCCTTTCCTTGTTTTCTTTTGCATAGCTTTCATAGCTTTTTCGAGAATGAGGATCGCCCGCGGTGGTCCGCCCGGGCCTTGCCTATGTACTTACTTACTCAGTCGCTGCGCCACACACACCGCCGCCATGCTGCAGGGCATTGCAGGGGATCAGAACCCAAACCGCCGGCCGGGGCACTCTACCTGACCTGCTTCGCGCGGTCGACCCCGTCAAATTGGCGCAAAGCCGCCAGGATGCATGTCCGGATGGGGTAAGCGGCCGCAGAGTGGGCTCTTTCTCCGTCTCCGGGTAAAAATGGCTCGCCCACCATGTGCTGCTCTAGCGGAGGAGGACGACGCATCAACCTGGTTTGATCCGCCCGCACGGTTTTGACCTGACTTGGAGTGTCGTCGCCCATGATCACCATGTGACGAGAGCGCAGCAGGCGACGCCAGGGGATCCCTTCCTGGGTCATGAAAGGAATGCTGCTCTGATGAGGAGAGCGAGGATGACGATGTTTCTGTGTCTGTGTCTGATTCTGAACTGCTGGCACTACTTCTGCGGGCAGCGTCGTTTCCTGAGTCGCGACCAGCAGCTTCTTCACCCTGATGCTCTCCACCTTCTTCCTCCCACCAAGGCCGGCGTGCACCAGGCAGGAGCGAGGTGATTTGAGGAAGGCCTTGTAGTTCCTGGTGGATCTGCTTCGATGTCGTTGAAGTACAACAAATCGCTGAAGACGCGCCGGCATCTAATCTTCGATCGCATTCCACAATGTTTATCGTCAATTCAGCAGTTGTGCCGCGATTACCTCTACCAGCTCCGCCTTCCTCCTCCGCATACCAGGCCGCTGTTTGGTCTGGCACTTCCTCTTTCTGTTCCTTTGGACCGCAGTCAACAGTATCAGTGATGAAAGTCTGATGTTCATTTTCAAGATCGTCCACCGGACTCGTTCTGGCGGAAGAGCGTGCAGATCCAGATGCGGAGTGAATATCAAACAGCGCCGAAGTGCCTGATGCCCTGGTGCTCGTTGTGCTGGTTACGACGGGAAGAGTCGTATCTTTCGCGTCGGGAGCAAACAAGTCCGAGTTTGTAGATCTCGTCGCGCCAGCATTTCTAACACTTCCAGTTTCCTTCTTTGCTGCAGATGAAGGGGTAGGGGGCGCATGATCCTTAGTGTCGATGCTATTGCAGTCGTGGTCTGCTCCCACGAGCGACTTCTTGTTGCTCGTGCTGATGGTGTTTTTACCACCACTGTTGCTGCTCGTTTGTGAAACGCCAACAAGCTGCACCGTGCCAGGCCGGGGAAAAGGACTCATCGTTCTCTCATCGGCTTGTTCTTCATCCCCCTCCACAATACCTCCGGAAGAACTGGAGGATGACGAGAAAGACAGCTCCCTACCAACGAGCGGAAGCGGACCTACATCTGTTTCCACGACCTTGGTGTCGTCGGGCGGAAGACATCTTCCCGGTGCACGTTCTGGAACAGTCGGTGCGGGAAGATTAATCATATCTGAAGTAGATAATCGAACTTCGACTACTTCGTCAACGTCACCTTCTTCATCGGCAACAAATCGCACTCGCCGAGAGCTTTTCGCTTGTTTCCGCTGGCTATTTGTGCCGCCCTCTCTGCTCAATATCGCAGAGCCGCGAAGTGGCTGCTCCTTTCGTCGTCGCTCTTGCCTTTGTTCAACAAATTCCTGATAATGGTGAAACGCAAACAACTACAACTTGTCAGCCTCTGTTTCAGTTTCAAAAGAGAGACAAGTAGTGACTACATACCTTGAAAGCAGAATGAATTACCATATGCATATGGGCAGTGCTTTCGATTTATCCATCACGATGGGTCGGTCTCGGTAGCAAGGCACGCAATCAAATTCAAATAACAAGCTCGACAATTATACATTGCTCCCGCACGCATTCGGATCTTGACCAGACTGCATGGAGTCCGTGGTCGCGTCGCTCTGTCCATGGCGTCTTCTCCTGCGGTAGGTGAAAGAACTGTCCTCCACATACTCCTCTCGCCTTCTTGATTTTTGCCCCGCTGAGGTCTTTGTCTCTTTCCCATGTCGATGTTTTTTCATTTCCTTGTCCTTCTTTTCTCGCGGCCTGCAGTAGTCCGTCTCGTCCCTACGGGAGTCACTGCCGTGTCGAGGGCCGCGGCGAATTTTGTGTTGATGTGACCTACCAGCCTTTTTCTCAAGGTTCTCTTCGAGCTTCCGAAAATCACGCTCGACACTGCTGTTCCCCGCCCCATCGTCACTGCCACTGGAAGAAGTAAGGGGTAGGTCAAAGGACACCGCTCGACTTTTTCTCGAATTATGTTCAGTCGTCGGCAGCCGAGTTGTCAGCTGCGGGGCGTCTTCATGTTCGTGCTTCCGCTCTTTTTTGCTTTTTTTCTTTTTGTCGTCACGATGATTGCTGCGGCCCGGCTGTGTTGTAGTTGACCACGCTCCTTCGTCGCTACTGCCACTTAGCACTACACTGGAAGGCTTTTTAGACCGTGATTTGCGAACGCGACCGACCTCTCTTTCTTCAACATCATAAAAATTCCCGCGGTTTTCGTAGCGCTCTTTATTCCGATTCGACTCTCGCTCCTCCTTCCGCTTTCGCTCTTTCTTTTCGTTCTTGCCATGTTTCCGTGGTTCGTTCCTGCGCTGCGACCGGGTCTCTGACGATGAGAGTGCACTTCGTGGTGATGATGTGCTATTAGGATCTGCATACCGCACGGCCGCCTGCTCGTCCGTATTTCTTCGTCTTTTTGGTCTTTCTGGTTCTGGAACTCGAAGTAGTACGGGTTTGCTACTAGTGCTGCTACTCGCAGACGGACATCCCCGCCCGGTGAGCGAGGAGGAACTTGGCATTTTGATTTTCCTCTATTGATTCACGTTCGCTGGAAGAAGAGTAACAGAGAAACGGCTCTTGCGGAAAATCAGTTGTGCGCTCGCAGGAGGAGCTTAATCTTTACTAATTTTACTTCAACTTTTGAACCGACGACGTATCTTGCAGTCAGGAAAACTGCGTGCGCTCCTGCGGCAATCGTGTTTTTCATATGTTCTTCTGGGTCTGGCTTCTATTCGATACAATATGAATGGGTTAGTGCTTTATCTTGCGCAAATTACTTACAATGCGTTTCATATATTTTCAATTTTCAGTTCGCGCGATACATGAATAAAATGACTTTCACTGCTCATACGGCTCCCTGGTGCCAACTTCGTGTTTGAAAACCAAGTGGAATGAATCCTATGTCTGGAGCGCCATCTACTTTCAACACATTTATCAACACTAGAAAGATTCTATGGGAAATCGATGAAAAAAGTTCTCCGTATATAATTTCACCTTCTCTGCGCAATTCACCCATAGAGTGAACGCGCGCGCAACCAACGGAAGCGAATGACGTGCAGAAGCGCGTCGCAGTGATAGTCGCAAGACCTCGAGCGACAGTCACAATGGCAGCCAAGAGAGAACCCGGCCGGCACAACGAGCTACGGGTAGCAGGCCATGCAAGCCAGGCTCTCGACCCCCACAGAGCCATGCCCCGGACATAGAGGTGGCCCAAGCCGCGAGACGCGACTGGGACCGCCGAATATCTTCCCCAAATGCGACTAAACAAAGGGGGCAGCCCGCACTGTCGGGGACAGAGAGCAGGGCGCACGGGGCGGCGTAGCAAAGTAGCGAGGCTTGTGGAATCGTGCCGGGACATATCCCCGCGACACAACCCGGGAACCGGGTGAGGATAGTGGGGGCGTGCTCCCAAATGTGACTAAATAAGTAAGGCCCGGGAGGGTTCCGCGGTCTCCTCTCGTGGCGGAAGCAGCACAAAGCACTGCGCGACCGACCACGCGTCTCGGTAAGTAGACGCTATCTGTCGTAGCTGTGTTTCGTTTAAATTTCGCAAAGGCCACAAAAGCGTCCCCAGGCCCGTTGGATGAGTCAGGATCTCCTGGGAGACCCCGAAGCAGGAGAAGAACGAACCTGTTCACAGAAGCAAAAGAGCATCTATGCAGCGCTCCCTCTCGCCCCCACACCAACCGCTGAACCCCTCGACTGCGTCGACTGCATTCAAGCAATCAACACCGGCGGACCGACGCCGAGGAGCGAAGGACGGAGTCGCGAAGCCGATAGGCCACGCTCCTCAGCTCTCCTTCCGTGTCAGCACACCTGATACTTCCACACGAAGTGCTACCTACAACATGCCCTGCAAGATGTAAGCAAGCATCCATGTGGAAGCTGCAACGAAGGCGTCACGAGCTCCGAAGAGCAGCAACAACGACGTCGCGGACGCCCAACCCCACCCCAGCACCCGCAGGCGACGTCATCGAAGTCACACGCGCAGGCGAAGGCACACACCAGCAATAACCTGCGCCCCAGGCATGCGACCCACTGCTACAAACCGCCGCGCCTGCGGGGCTGTGGGGTTGCGCGTCCAGGGTGCTGGGCGGTGTGGTGTGAGGGCTGGCCCTGGTACTTAATATATCTGCGTGCCCATCGGGCACGCAGACCATTGCGTTTCGTTTCGGTGACTCTATTTGTAGTCAGATCGTAGTGTGTATGTGATGCGGCCCATCGGGCGGCCCCTGCCATTGGCAGGGGCTAAATACATGGCGCGGGGGTGCCTTGTTTTTTGCCTCGTGTTCCTGTGTGTCTGTCTGTACTTAGCCCCGGCTTATGACCGTCGGCGCGATCTTTTGCCGGCTGCGGTAGGTTGCCGCTACACTGGCCCCGGACCCCTGTGACAGGGACCTTGCGGGCATCGCCCTAGTAGGATACCAGTGGCTATTTCACAGCCTTCAGTGAGGCCTTCCCATCGTAATGGACCGCGGCGCCCCCGCTCGCGCGAATCCATTTACGACAGACGAGCGCCTTGCTACTGCATGTCTGCCGCATCGCGGCGTGCATCGACAAGCAGAATCGCGAAGCGCCCGCGACACACAGAGCGGCAGGCCGCAGACGAAGCTGCGCTGTTTTCCGATGTGTCTTGCCGATAGCGGGCCTGGCCAATAGGCCAAGATAACGCCGGGCCTGTGCCCCTAACGGCGTGAAGAACCTCTGCTACACCCACATCGTGGGCAGTCGGGTTCTCCACTCCCCGGCCAGTGGTGCTCGCGAGAACCGAGAGCGCGTCATCGACGTGTGTGTACCACTGAACGGAGATAGCCTGGAGGGTAGTCGAAGAACGCGAACTCTCTCTCCGCACTGTGAGAGCTGCACAACAACTTCCTTCCCACCGGGACATCACCCCCTGTCAGGATAATGCCCTGGCGCTCGGCGGTAGGGCCGAGCTACGTGCACACGGCAAGGCGCACGCCGTCTGTTCTGACCTGCCCATGGCTTGGGCAGCTCAATGGCAACGGGACCACCGGAGCTCTTTGCTTGCCGCACACTGCATTGATCCACGCTAAGGATCGGCAGCGCCGGAAACGACAAGGCGGAACTGCGAAGCAGAACCAGAGCGAAGGCCTGAGGCGCACAAGTACGCCTCGCTTTCTCATCGAGACACTCCTCCGTCAAATATCCACTCTCCGAGAACCGAAGAGACGAAAAAACGCAAAATCTAGGCGAGCCAAGACAATGCGGTATTTCTGGAAAAAGGACAGAGACCCAGCCGAAGCTGGTCGACACCGGGCAGCCAGCCCGGTGTCGGAGTGTGCAGCCCTCTTGCTTGATCATGTGAACTGATATAATCGCTACGCGACGCATATAAATTGCCTATTCATCTTACGTGATCTGCGGTGAGCGTCTACTTTTGTACATGTATTGTCAAATTCACAGGACACGACCGGTGAATGCAATGTACCCGAGACCTGCAGTAAAAGCAGTAGCTGTGGCTCTCGCAATTCTTGTTCTTCTAGGTAGATGCACAGTCCTCAAACCCAAACCTCCCCCCTGTTCATCCTCCCCCAACCGACCCAAGAGACCTCTCGGAGGACTCCACGGAAACCCGGCGCATCGTGCTCTTGGATTTGTCTCTGCTTAACACGTTCTTTCCCGCCCTATTTGTTGGTTCCCGAAGATGAACCTGCGGAGCAGTAGAAGCGCTAGGCCCCTCATCCGAAAAGTGGTCAACCTCACACCGCTCGCATGAAGTCGCGCGGGTTTTCTTTTCTTTTTTCATCTTCTTCTTTGATTCCAAAGCATCGTGATCGTTCCTGGCCCTGCTTGTGCGGTCACTTTCCGGTCCAGCATGCCGGTTGCCGTGGACTTCCTCGTCGTCTTCGTCCTTTCGCCTTCGCTCGTATTTCTTGTCTTTCTTGGATTTTTTATCTTTTTTCTCCTTCTTCAACTTCCGTTTCATCGGAGAGGAGGTGCTATCCACTTCAGACTTTTGATTTTGTCGACTATCATCTTCACCGTTGTGTGCTAGATCAAGATCTTCTTGAGGGCGGAGATCATGATTTTCTTGTCCCGGAGCTGCAGGCATGGTGGCCGGAACGAGATTCTTGTTCATCTCCCGAGGATCCTCAGATCTTCTCCGCGCCGGTGCGCGTCTCTCGTCGTTTCTGTCGTCCACGTCAAGTGTCCGCCTCATTGAAGATGTCTCTGCGATATGCTCCCTTGCTTGTTCTCTCTCACCATAACCTGCCTCTCGTCCTTCCTTCGTTCGGTGCTTTTCGCTCTTTGACTTCTTCTCCTTCTTTTCATCCCTTCTGTGCTTTTGCTTTTCAGTCGCGACGTCTGTCTCCTGCCCGGGTGCCCGACTTGTTGTCTCCGGCAGTGTAAAATCGTCATTAGCTACAACATTTGTGTCACCCCCGAAGGGAACGTGCTCCAAGACAGCCCCGCGGGGGTTTTCTTTACCACTTCTTCTCGACCTAGGAACTCTTTCCCGCCCGGCCGTCGTGGAGGCAGCCGCGGCTTGGTTTCTTCTTGATGCATGTGCCTCCCCGCCATCAGGATTGTAATTCCCCCGGCGCTGATTTTTTTCCTGTTCCATTTCTTCCAGCATAACGTTGATTGCCTCTACGTTCTCCTCTCTTTCCGAGTCCGCATCCGTCATCTTGTCCGACTCTGTCACGAATTTCTCCCACGCGTTCGGCTTCCCGAAGGTAATCTCGTGGTAGATTTGGAACATGGCTTCCAAATGTTCCTCCCCGTAACTGAATTGCTGCTTCAGAATCTGCTCGGAAGAGTATTTTCCGTTGGGCAAGTAGTCCTCGGTGATCATCTTCCAGCCGTACATTAGTGCGGTCCGGACCGCAAACTGTTCCTCCGGCCACAAAGTGGCGTAAACGGAGAAGTGCCCCTCGGAACGCAGACGCGCGATCTCGTCCGTGTCCCAATCTGACATGGAGGTAGATTGTCTTTTTCTTTTTGAAACACGATACTTACTTACCTTAGGTAGAAAATTCGGTAAAACAATGTTACACGAACTGAAGCTCTGTGCCTTCGGAGCTTCAAAAGAAGGAGAACAGTTCCATCCTCCTTCGCATTGATATTGATATGATATTTCAATTACTGCGCAAGAAATAAACTAACAACAACAAGTACGTTGTTGCCAGTAGGGCAGACTGTATTCCCGGATGGCCTCCCACCGCCGTCTCCGGACGTCGTCCCTGGCCGAGATGTAATCCTTCAGCCGTTTCAGGTGATACCCGGGTCCGTCATCCGTGTGGTTCACCCCTTTGGTGCACGGGTCCTGCGGGGACGCTTCGCAGAGCAGGCAGCGCAACGCATACCCGTTCGAGCAGTCCTTCAGGGACTTGCCGGGCAGTAAGATCACCCACTCGTAGGGGAGCTGCCGGTTGGGAATGCCCGCGCACTGATTCCAGTAGGTCCACCGCGCCAGAAACGCGTCCGCGCCCGGCTGCCGCTTCGCGAGTTTCTCGATTGCCTGGTGGTCCTGCCACACTTTGCTCACCCGTCCGGACTTGTTGATCACCGAGTTGTTGCTCGTGGTCACACTGCTGTAAATGCTTTCGCGATCACTGTACAGCCTCGGGTAGGCCGGTCCGTACTTCGCGGAGTTGTCCTTCGGCCTCCCCGGACCCGGGCCCATCCTGGAGAGCTGACTCAAGTCGGTTTTCGCGATCCGGTGCGATTTCTGGCTGCAGTAGGTGCTGGCCCCGGAGTATCAAATGTAAAAATGTCTGGGTCTGGAAGAATGCAAGATTTCTGATGCAGGTTTTCCATGACCCATGGGGTCTGGAATGCGAGACCCAGCATGACAGATTTTGTGAGGTCTCTATCATGCCTTTCCTGCATGAGAAACTCCCTCTCAACTTGGTCAAAAGCGGACAGCTTTTGGTACTCACGCAACACAGATTTTTGCATCATTCGGATTTAGCATGACAAGTTGTAATCTTCCAGACCCAGACATTTTTACATCTGATACGGAGGCGAAGCGGCCCCGGTCGGTGGGGACGTTCTTGCCCATGCAGAGCAGAGGCCCGGTCTGCGCGCCAAGAAGGCTGCAATCCTGCATCACCTCTTCCGCTTGGTAGATCTCCTCGTCCATGTCGCCTGTGTTGATGTGTGACAGGATTAATGGAGGCAATTTCATGTCCTCGAGCTGCGGCCTGCGTTCATCTAAGGCTGTCGTGTCACCTACGAAAAGCCCCAGAGGTCAACAAACTAAACTTCGCAATCAGATTTTTTCCTGTAACAAGGACCCCCAAAAGCTGAACATCAAGCAAAGTGAAATGAAACAGAAAAAAAGTACGTCCCAACACCGCGGAGGCTTTCTCGTTGTAGGTCCGGCGGAGGAAGTTGTAGGGGGAAAACATGTTCCATTTTTCAATGGGCGTTTTCGCCTCCTTTATCAAATGCAAAAGTGTCTGGGTCTGGAAACTTGTGATGCAAATCTCTGAATGGTAGGCGAACTACAATATGCAGCCAGGCATGACAAGTTTTTGCACTGCCATGTGTTTCGTTTTCCGCATGGCAAAGGCAAACTGCGTTTTCGCATGACAGGCAAGAGGCCCCGTTCCTGCTTACGCATCACAGATCTAAGAATCATGCCAGACAGGCATGACAAGTCCTACATTATTCCAGACCCAGACACTTTTGCAATGGATATCCTTGTGCGCCTCGAGGAAGCCTGGGGGCACCGGGTCCTGCGCCGCCACAGCCGCGTCCCACTCTAGGTTCGAAAAATCCTGCTGCAGCTGCGCCACGTGCCGCGCCGGGAGGTGCGCAGAAGCCGATTCTTCCAGCATGGACTGCGTCAACGTTTTCATGCCCCGGCCATTTCCACCGGTAGTGGAGGAAGAGTGGCAGGAGGCGTTTAGCAAGGGATTTGCTCTCGAAGTAGTTGAACGGCCACTGTGCTGCTGCCGTTGGCCCTGTTGTTGTCCTGGCACACGAGGATCAATGGTGCCGCCTGGATCATACCTCGAAGTACAAGCGGACGCGGCGGAGGAAGAGGGCGGCGGTCTACTGCTCGTCACGTTCTTGTATGCAGTGCAAAAGCATCGTACTAGTATAAATTGCATTACAAATTCCACCAGCATTACAAATTAAATTTGTAATGCTGATTTACCTGGAGAAAGAGACTTGTAATGCATAAATGCGATTACTACGAGTACGATACTTTTGCACGGGATATCTTGTTCTTATTCTGACCACGACCACCGTTATCACGACCGCTCTTGTCATGTTCCCGCCGCGACGCCCTCTTGACCCGCGAGGTCCTAGTGTGTTCGGAACTTGCGCTTTCGTCGATCACACTCTCCTATCAAATGCAAAAATGTCTGGCCTTCATGCTGTTTTTGCATGACACAGAATGTCTGTCATGGAAGCCCTAGCATCACAGAACTCGAGAAGCATCCGCATTGCTTAATCTGCATGACAAATCCCCCATTTTGGTGACAGGAAATGGGCACCTTTTGCTGCCTATGCATGAGAGATTTGTCAGTGTTGTGAAATGCGCATCACAAGTTCGCACTCTTCCAGACCCAGACATATTTGCAACGCATATCTCCCGCGTCGCGTCCGGCGCAGCCGCAACGGAGTCGTCGATACTTTGAAAGTAGCGGGCCATGGATTCCGTCATCTTCGGCGGCTTTGTTCTACTTCCGGAAAATGCTGTGGCAGCTAATTGTTGATGTCCGCCGCCCAGGGCGGGCGCGCCTCCAGGGCCTAAGAAAGAAAGCTCCTCCGGTTGGATTATGGCACTGGAACTGCTCAGGGCCGAAGTGTTATTCCCGCCAATCGCATCTAACTTCGAAATCTCCAGGGCCAGCAACTGTTTAGGTTTCTTTTGATTTTGGTACGAGTTCATGTTGACGCAAAAGTAAATGCCTTGTTTCGTTCACAGAGAAAGGAGGTGTTTGTTCGTTTACAGATTGACGACACCCTCTAAACAAGACTGAGACTAAGACTAACCACAGGAGCAGAGCAGCAGAACATAAAGTTCAGATTTTTTAGTACTTATTAGGATTAAGTTAAGTAATCCTAAATTCTAAACCCTACTTCCTCGCACACTGTATACCTCTTGCCCCTTTCTCTGCCCCTCGATGCCGCGGCGTCGCGCTTTCCAGTACGCGTATTGCCTTTTGTGGTTGTGGGAGTCCAGGTGCGTGTTGCCTCGCGTGTCTTCCGGCCAACAAAGTTTGTCGCACAGCCGGCACTTCGCCTCGAAGTAGATGTAGGCGGGTCGCTTGTCCTGGCAAATGATTTTGTACACATCGGGTTCGTCGTAGAGAAATTCCGGCGGCAAGTCCTCAATTTCCGCTTCCTTTGCGATCATGAAAACGGCCTCCTTGGTCAAGGAGTCGTGCTGCCGGTTGACGGGATTCACCAGAATAGGATTCACCCGGTACTGGTCTTGCTGTTGCCCTCCGGACCCGCCCGACCCACTTTCGTTGGAAAGGGGGACAATTTGGTTGTTGCCTCCGCGCAGACTCGTCGTGGGCACGGCGGCCACGAAGGGTAAAGTTTCTGGCCGGAGGGCCGTGGAGGCGTGCGATGTCCGAGCATCCCCCGAGAGGATCTCGGGGCAAATCAGCATGTTGTTGTCATTGCTCGTGGTTCTTCCCCGCTGTTGGTGTGCTATGATCTCTTGTTGCTCCTGTTGCCCTCCTGCTCCATTTTGATTTTGTTGCAATTGCGGTGACCTGCGGAGCGAGGAGGCTGCGGTACTAGATGGCACTAGTGCGGCATTAGGATTGATGTTTCTGCGCGGAGGTGCTGCTCCTGGTTGCTGCAGATTGGCCGCGCCATTCAGCATGGTTGTTCCGAACAAAGAACTTTGTTCGCCGTTCTCCGAGTGAACGAGGTTGTTCGACGTGTTGAAATACCCATCCATCGAAGGTGCCGGCAAGATCGCACTGATTTCTCCCCCGTCTATTTCCCCGAAAGAGCACCCCCGCGGCGGCGGCTGTTGGGACGCTACGGTAGCAGCCGACCGCCTCGGATTTTGCGGCAACCCCAGCGGCCCGACGTTTCTTGCGGAAGAGGAGGAAGAAGCAGGCAGTACACCACGACCATGGCTTCCTCCCATAGTTGTACCAGCAGGAGATGCCAAGCCGGCTCCTGCCCCCCCAACCCCTGTTCCTCGGTTATAAAAATTTTGATCGACGTTGACGCTGCCGATCTGCGCCGACGCGCCCGGGGGGAAATTCGGCGTGCACGTTCGGTCCATCTCGGTTCGCTGCTGATGCTGGACCGTAAACAGTTCTCCGCTGTATTGTGAGGAAAAATCCCCCCTCCCCATATCGAAAAAGCATGTTTCCGAAAATTTGTGTTGCTGATTTGAGGTCACAAATCACGTCTGTCTTGCCAGAAGACAACGGCAAAAGCTTCGCCCCCATTATGGAGGCGATTTGTCATGCTGTCGGGCCTAAAGCGGAGCCGTTTGCCATGCTGAACAACTAGACCGAAACGCCCCTACATAGCCCGGGGATCTGGCCGCGATGCCTTCCTGCAATACAAAGCCAATTCGTGTACACAAATCCCGCATCACAGATTTCCGTTTCGATATGGGGTGGGGGGATTTTTCCTTTTGATACACTATTCGCTTTGTACACCCGCTCCCGCGCTTCTGGGTCCATGCACTGGAGTCCGTCCGCGAGCATGGCATGCTGGGGCAGTTGCTGCTGGAAGTTCGACCCGTCGATGGTCGTGCCAGCCGGCACGCTGAACCCGGTGCTGGGCTGCCCGAGGTGGTGCAGGTTCATGCCGCCCGCACCATAATGCTTGTACTGCTCCCACCGTTTCTTGTGCATCGCGGACTCCCGGTGCGTGTTGCTGTAGTTTTTTAGAAGTTTCGCTTTTATGCTCGTGTTCATCTAGTTCCATTCAGCTAAGATAGGGCTCCGCCGGTAGATGACCTCTAGGTTGACTTCGTTGTTATTTCTGCACAAGGGATCAGATGAAAACGATCGGTCCACCATAGTGATACCAACATGCATCAAGTCTTTGTCTTGTTCTTGCCACATTGAATTTACAAGTTTTGATCGGACAGCTATAATAGTCACTCTGGCTAATATCAGGCACAACTAACAAAGAGATGAGATGCAGACCAGTACCCGAGGTGCTGTTCGGGGTAGGCTTCTTTGTCACACAGCTTGCAATGCACTTTGAAGTAGGCCCACTGCGTACCGCGCAGCTCTACCTGATATGGTACATCGAATTAGACAGTTAGAAGAGAACTACATACTCTACAAAATTTCTATACCCGCGACTGTCTTCGCCCATCTCATAGGCAATCTTTTCGCACAGTCGGCAGTACACTTTAAAATGGGCCCACTGCGTGCCGCTACCAACTACCTGGGTATAAATGATGATAAGCGTGCACAAGAGCCTGTGCGGGGTGACGTCTGTAATATCAAGACAACCGATTTTCATATAGGAAAAACCTAAGTGCTTAATTCATGTTTTAGCAAAATAATTTGATCATTCTCTTCCATAATCTCGTGTTTGTCCTCGCATAATTGTACCGAAATTTCGTAAGCGTCCGGATCATCGGTACACCAGTCGGGCAACTCTTCATTCAAACCCTCACGCATCCGCATTTTTTCCAGTTCCCGTCTCGCGTTTAACGATCGAAGCAGCTGCCGCTCCTTCTTGGCCTTCTTCGGGTCTTCGAGGCGGAGACTGGCGGTCATGATGGAGTCCACCCGGGAAGTGATGTGCGAAGAGCGGTTCAACGAATCAGATTGAAACGAGTGCTGCTCCTGCTGCACGCGCTGCACGGCGGCGCGCTCCTGCCCGTGCAGCCCCTGCATCATGTGGCTGGTCTCGGCGATCCGCCGGCTCGCCGTCGCGCTCTGCACGTGCCCGGCAGCGTCGCGATTCACGGCACGCGACTGCTCGACAAGCCGGGAGGTGCTGGTGCAGCTCCGCCCGGAAGAGGAAACCGCGCTGGCAGACGAGCGAAATTGCTGATGCGCTTGTTCCGCCATTTGCTGCTCTCGTCCTGCAGCTCCAATTCGTGAGGCGGTGGAGGATGAAGTACTACAGACATTCTGCTGGTGGTGGTGGAAAAACTGTTGCTGACTTCTCTTGTTCAGCCCATTCCGAACGACAGACTCCGTGTAATTATTATTATTGCTGTTTTTTAGAAGATGCTGCTCATCTTCTGCTCCACCAGCACCTGCTGTCGCGAATGGACCACCTCCGCCGGTAGTGCAGCTGCCTGAGGCCCCAACGGAGGTGGGTGTGGGCTCTGGAAGATCTTGTTCCGACATACGGGGGGCGGTCGTGCTCAGGATGTCTTCAGAGCAGGTCCCGCTGCGTCGCTTTGTCGTGTGGTCCGGATTTATGGTACTAGTTGATCCGGGGAAGGGAGGGTGAATCTTGCCACTCTTGACTTTCTCTTTATTGTTCTTCGATTTGACATCAGCAATGGAGTCTACTACATCTACAACTTCTTCGCCGCGATTTTTACCATTCGAGTAGTTTCTCTTCCTGACGCGTTGACGACCTTCCCCCCGGCCGCCACTTTTGCTCCCACTACACATCGAAGACGAGGTGGAGTTGCTGCTGCCGCGTTCTTGATTTCCCCGACGATTTTTGTTCTTCTTCTTGTGCTTTTTTCTTTTTCCTTTTGATGTAGTTTGCAAGGTGTGTACAACTTCGTTTCGCTTTTGTCCTTTTTGAGTTCCTTCCTTTTCGCGCCGGTGCTGGTGATGCCCCCCAAATATTCTTGTTCGGGGTTGCAGTGCACGGCTGTCCTCTGCAGATGAGCAAGTGCCAAAGGTGGACGTCGATGACTTTGAACTACCGGCGGGAGATTCATCAGAGCTGTTGTCCGAGGCGGACGAGGTGTCAACGTCATGCGCGTTTTGGCTGTTATGCGAAGAAGATGAACTACTGTCCGGTCCGGCTTCATCTGACGACGAGGACGAAGAGGACGATCCTGCTCCAAATTTCGCAGTAACGTCTTGCTGCTCCGCCAACACCGTCCGCAATGGAGAAGGTTTTGGTGGTTTGCTCTCCACCTTCTCATGGCTTTCTTGTTCCACCTGGTTGTCGCGGTGGTCTGTGGAACATTTAGCTGTACTGGTGCCGCTTGTTCCTTTTGGTCGCTTCTTTTTTCGCCTATATGAAGTGGAATCGCGTCCGTCCGAAGAGGACGATGAACGGGAAGAACTTTGTTCGTCCGCCCGTGAATGAGTGATCGAGGTCTCTGGTTTGGTTCGTGAAGGTGGTCGAGTGTCACGAACTACATGTTGACCAGGTACAACGTCCTTGCCGCGTCCGACAGATTTCGCAGGAAGACCCGCGGTCATTCCCCTTCGGTTTTCAGCGGCCCCCTCGCCGTCTTCGTCACTTCTCTGCGACGCCGAGTCGTCAAGGCGGTCGTGAGCTCGTCGTTGTAAATTCTTCTTTAGGTTCGTGTCCTCACGCCGCGGACTTGTTCTTCTACGTCGTGCAGCTCTGTCTTCTGAAGCAGACGCTTCTTTGCTGCAACTACTTCTGCTTTCTGCATCACTCGGCGCACGACTCCGACGACCCGTGCTCACTTGTTCCACGACCTCGAAAAAGCCTGCCTTTTGATTTTCAGCATCACGTCCGCTCCGGGCCGAGGCGCTGCCACGCTGGCCAGTGGCGGAAGATGTGCGGGAGGTGGAGGAGGACCCCGACCCGTCGTGTGATATTACAACTGCTGGGTTAACTTGTTCTACATTAGCGCCTGCACAAGTGCGGTTGGAATCTTTACTTCTTGAATTTATCTCAACAGCTTCCTCCCCTCCCGTATGCCGTGCTCTTTCCGGATGATTATTTGAAGATGAAACGGGCACGCCCAGTGGCGACGCGGCGATAGAAGAAGTTTTGCCCGACAACTGAAGATCATCGCCGGAACTACAAGTAGAACCATCGCGACTTCGTTCCGTCTCCTCTTCCACCATAGACAGCCGGCGGTTAGGACGAGGACCTCCGGCACGGTAAAAGTTGCTCGATGATCTGCCCACCGGAATCGTATTTTTTCCCTGATTGGTGGAGGGGGTTGTTCCGGGTCCATTATGTAATCTGGTCGTGGCACTTTTTTCTCCTGCCGCCCCAACCCGGGGCGCAATGCAGGATGTTGATGACGTACACGCAGTAGTAGCGAGCAACGGATCATAATGTCTCGTCTCTTCCCCTTGACCGGCGGCTTGTTTCTGTTCATCTTCTGCATCAAGGGGCAAGAAATTAGCTAGAAACGACTCATTTAAAAGCGAAGAAGTTTCGCAACGACCTCCTGGTCCTGCCGAAGGTGAGAAGTCGATCTCGTCCTGGGTATCGTCGCTCTTGCCCTGCTGCAGCTCAACAAGACGAACCTCTGGTCGTGGTGCATCCACTTTTATTTTCCTCGTATCATCAGAAAAATTTTTACCGTGCTGTCCAAGAAGAATTTCGACATCTTCGGAAGATTCCTCAGCAGTAGAAGGGCCCTCGGTTGAAGACATCTCCTTCTTGTTCCTTGTACTACGCCGAGGCCGACGAGACGACCTGCGATCATCATGTTCTTGACCATCATCTTCTGCTTCATCGTCGGGGTAGTTCTTTGATAGTCTGTCTCCTCGCTCACACACACCGTGGTCACCGCTTGTTGTGCTGCTTGATTTATTGTGCTTCTTTTCCTTTTTCGGTGATTTTCTTTTCGGTGATTTTCTGGAAAATGAAGGTTCCTCCTCCCCATCGTCGTCCTGTAGAAACGACTCGTCTAGAGGATTTCTTGCGCATAAATCAGAGATACCGCCATCAACTCCCCCATGATCATGCGCCGCAGCCTGTATCTTCCCGTGGCAGCTCCGCCCAGCTGCATAATTATCGTAGTGCTGTGGATGAAACTCCAGCTCTTTGCGGCTAGGAGCAAAGGTGCGACAGCTGGGACTCGTGTTCGAAGACGGCCTTTTTGTTTCTGACGTAGAACTAGAAGTACCCGTGCCACTTTTTTCATCGCAAATAAAATGACTTTGATCGGATTTTTTATTTGGAAGATGGTGGCTGTGATCGTCTTGCTGGTCCTCTTCTGGAAGTAGTGCCAGGTTCGTCTCCACCTTTATTCCCCGGCGGGCCACGCTGCTTGCGTTTGGAGACGTCGTGTGAGAAGCGTTCTTATCGTAACAGGCCTTGATGCCGCGATTTATTCCCTTGTCCCTGTCACGACGGTCTCCAAGATTTTTATCTGAGCCACTGGAGGGCGTCGCGGACCGTTTCTTTCTCTTCTTCTTTTTCTTCTCAACTACCGCATGTTCTGCGTGTTGAAGTTGTAGATCCTCCCGTGACAATTGGCTACGCCGTTCGTGCTCGCGATCATCTGACTTCAATTTTTTTCCCTGCCTCTCCGCTTTCACTTCTCGATGTCGGTGCGTTATATTATTATAATCCCGCCGCTTTTCGTGGTCTACGTTACGATCCTGCTTGTGCTTCACGCTGAGGGAATCAGAAGCATAATTTTGTTCACGCTCGTGCCCGTCCGAGCAAAGGCAAACTGAGTCCGTGTCGACGTCGCTACGACCAAGCTCCACTTTCAGTTCGTCGGCTGCAGTCCGGTGCAGAAGCCCCGACCCCGGAGTGGCACTCCGACGGTGTTTTTTGGAAGTAGACGCTCTTGAAGATGAGGAAGTTTTTGCAGCTCTTGGAGCAGATCGGTCGTCTTTCCTCTGCTCTCCAGCATCATCCGAGTTCTTGTCGACACACGATATTAACATGCTACTTGTCCTCGCGTCTTCGCATTTCTTCGCTTTTTTCGTAGATGATGACTTTTTCTTCTTTGCTTTCTTCTCTCGGTCGTCCCGCCTCGGTCGAGGGGACGATGTTGGTCTTTCTCTTTGTCTTTCCCCACAGTGCTCCGGCACGACTTCCTCGTCCTCGTCTCTGGAAGACATAGACAACAAGCTCATGGTGTGTACGTATGAACCTGAATTTATTTAGGATCTGCTTTTTTTTTATTTCTGGTGCTTCAACAAGAACAATTTTACTTCGACTACATTTGCTTATTCAAGAACCTGATCATCACGTCAAGCAATTACTTCTTGCTTTACACAAGGATGATCGAAAACACGACGACTATGCAACAGTGCCAGGGGTCTGAGAGTTGATCCTGTTTGTTCGATCAGAGCTCAGGTTCTCCCCCTGAATTTTTTGTTGAGACTGATCTCCAGGAGCTGGATGTAGTCAACACGAATCAATTCTTTGAGAACCCTCTACAGGAGCGGTAGTTCTTGCCGGGTACAATGTTGATGTTGACATCTTCATCAATCCGGGGGCGTCTTCAGAGCAGCAAACCCTTACGGCAAGAAGAACGGGTAAACTACGTCACAATAAAGGAACCTCCGTACTACAGCACAAGCGCTGGCAGCGGGATCGATAAGTATGCAATCGATCGTGGATGACACTACCACATATGTGTGTCGTAAAGCTGCCCGCAACTCACAGATCCACAAACGAACACATCACCGTTTCACCTTTTCCCGACCTGAAAATGGATGCTGCTCCAACGCCTGAAAGTGGATGCCGCGAGGAATTTCAATTGTACGCCAACCTGCAGCAATTTGATTTTATCATTTCAAGCTCAACATGATAAACTTACTCGAAAATCATGTATGCGAATGCGATGTGTTGTCAACTAAAAGTAAGCGATCTTCCTGGATTTCCGACTCCGGAGGAAATCGCAGATCAACTACGTGTAGAATTAGAAAGACTCATGGAACTCTAATTTTTGTGTGAAATAGGATTGCATGCAATCCATATTTCGTCTTCGAATAGATTGTGATAAGTAGGCCATTACCTCGATCGGATAGAGAAATACTTACTTCTCCTGAAGATGCAAGAATTCGATGTCATGCTATTTTCATTTCGAAAACGAAATTAAAATTCCTCTAAGAACGGGAATAGTGAGTAGGAACTGGATAATAAACCTAAAAGTCTGCGTCAGTAATTTTTTGAAGAAAGTAGCTCGATGAAGAGTAACGAGTATGACATTGTATTGATCTTGTCCATGACAAAAAATGCGATAGTAAATTGATGTTATGTCAAAGTTGAAAGTTTTCAAGACCCGAGTACATGTTTCATCACAAAACCCCTCCACCACCTCGCGGACAGCCCCCTTCTCTTGAAATAAACCATGATGGCATCCGCAATTCCAATTTCAACGTTCACATAGATAGAAGAACGCCGCTCTCGTGCACCCCCTCGCCAGTCCTGTTTTGGACTTGGCTCGTCAAATTTGTTCCCACCTCCGCCCCCTTTGTGGCATCGTCGTCCTCTTCGTCGTCCTCGACTTCGATCTCAACCACCTCTTCCACCAGCTGTGGTTCCCCATACCAGAACTCCCACATCGCGTTGAAAAAAGGGCGATGATCTGTGTTGCTGGCGTCGTACTGCAGTTTTTGGTCGTGCAGCATCGCAATTCTCCTCTTCGGGTCCACTGTTTGCGAAACTGTCGCGACTGCCTCCGAGTGAACCATTCCAAACACGAAGTCCATGCCCAGCGCGAGGCCGAGCGTGACCCCCTTGCACAGCATGGTCCACAAGTACTTGAGCAGCCGAAAGGGCGCTAGCACAACGGTCTTCACTCCATGGTAGGTTTTTTTCACCACCGACTTCGCTGTCTCCCAACCAGAAGCCGGCGCGACGTTGTCTTCTTTTTGTTCTGGTAGTTGTGGAGGGCCGTCTTGTTATTGTGAGGAAAAATCCCCCCTCCCCATATTGAAAATGCGTACTTCTGAAAATTTGTGATGCACATTTGTGGTCACAAATCATCTTTGTCATGCTAGAAGGCAAATGCCGAGGGATGCGCCGCATTATGGAGGAAATTTGTCATGCGATCTGGCCTGCAGTGCAGGAGTCTCCCATGCTAAAAAGCTAGACCTTTACGGTTCCCAACAGGCTGAGAATCTGCCTGCAATCTTCTACTGCAAAACAGACCTCATTTGTGTACGCAAATCCAGCATCAGAAACTTCGGTTTGATATGGGGAGGGGGGATTTTGCATCTCAATACTTGTTCGGTTTTGTTCGTGGAGGGACCAGCATCGGCTTGTTCGGTTTTGTTCGTGGAGGGACCAGCATCGGCTTGTTCGGTGTTGTTCGTGCCCTTCTGGCCGTCGCCAGCTTGATGATATTCTTGCGCTTTTTGTTCAGCAGCTTTATTATCTGGAACTTCCGGCTCGACAGCAGCTGCACCAGGTCCCTTGACCTCGACGACGTCTTCCAGGGACGTGAAAGCAGCGGAAGGAGATGTTGAATCTTGTTCGGCAAGAAGTTGCATGGCGGAAACGGCAGCAGGGCCACGACCATTGGATGACTCCGCTTCATCGGCCTCCTGCTGGTCAGGATTTTCGCATTTCGCATCCAGCACCACCGAGGGGTCGAACCCGAACAGGAAGGAGAGCGCTTGGAACACCATGCGCACCTGCACGTTCTTCTCTCCCGCTGCGTTCTCGTAGTGCTTTTTGTACTCCGCCGCATGCTCCCGCAGACCCGACACCATCACGTCTGTCACAATGGAAAGAAAGTCAGGGTTTGCCGCCTGCTCCGTCGTCTTGGATGAACTGCTTTTCTTGTCAACGAGCTTCCCGTGGCCCTGCTGAAGGTCCCCCGCTTGTTTCTGTTTTTTCACCAGCGGGAGCTGCCACGGCAACATGGTGACCACATCAAGCAAGGAGGAGGCTTCGCCAAACAAAGCTTTTTCCGGATCAAAGCGCGTCCCTTCGCGCCACACAGCTTTTGGAACATCAAACACCGAGTGCTCCTTTTTCGCTTCTTCGAGCGCTCGCGTTTTCAACCCCGCCGACACCGCCTCAAGCCGACTCGCCACAAACCTATCCCGAGCAAAAAACGTCGTCCCATACCCGAGTTGTTGTGGTGCAGGTTTGCGATTGTTACCGAAAGACTTGTCATGCGCACTTCCATTTGAGGGGGCATTGGCAGTGGTGCTTTGCAATAATTTGTAATGCTGAGAACATGATAAGGAACTGGCTTCCGGTCCTTTTGCTATTAGTAATGCTACTAGTATACCTGCACTACAAAAATACAGAGAAAAAGTTGTCGTGCTTGAGAAATCGTGTCGCAGAGTAAGAGTTCCTTACCTGACTACGTATAGGGTGGGGACGTAGTTATTTTTCCACGAGATAAAACTCCGCAATTTGTTCGGAGAAAGCGTCCAGCAGCGCATCTTCATCCTTGGAGGGAACAATTGTAGTTCCTTCCGTGTTCTGGTGCAACCGGCCACGGGTGTTGGTGCCAAGAAGACCGTCGAAGCCCGGCGGTAGGAAAATCTGGTCGTTTTGGATCGGGAACAGAAGAACTTCGTGCGCTTTCAGAGCTTCCGTCGTTGCGGCATCATCATCATTTTGAGCCGAAAAAGATAAATCCGCCGCCACCTCCGCGGCCCGCCCGAGGGCCGGCCGCAGCATGACACGCACTGCCGTGTCGAACAAATGGCCGAACTTCGTCACGGCCTCCCTCGCGCGTTTTTCCATCGTTTTCGGCAACCTGCGCAGCCGGGACTTGAGGAAAAACCGCTTGCTCAGAAAGCCGGCCTGCAGGGATTTTTCCCGCTCCGCGATGAACTCCTTCGCCTCTCGTGCGAAAATCTGCGTCAGCGCGGCTTCGATGTGCTTCTTCAGGTTCGGGAGAAAAACGTTGTCCAACTTCGCCAGAAACTGGTCGTCGTGCCGCACAAGGAAGGAAGTGCCTTTTTTTCCCGTCGTGGCCCCCGCAGGATCACTCACCTTCGGAAAGACCTGGAAAATCCCTTTGTTCGCGATGAAAATGCGGACACCACGAGGACTACCAGACGGGTAGTAGAAGTTGTGCGTCATTGTCCCGTCGTCGTGCTTCGGTGGTAGTAGCCGTTCGAAAAAACCTTTCCCAGACGGGATGTCGATGTCGATGTTGTGCGTCAACATTGTCTGCTTCGGTGGCAGAGCTTCGGAAAAAACCTTCCGGACCTTCCACGCGGGCACCCGAATCGGTTCTTCACTCCAATCTCCTTCTTTGGCGAAGTCGCCAACCGTCCGAATGGGCAGCAGACGGAGAGAAAGATGCTGGTTGCGCGCAGTGTCCAGAATCATGTTGAAGATCGCCACAACGCGGTACATATCAAATGCAAATACGTCTGGGTCTGGGAGATTGCGATATTTGTCACGCATGTTTTGCATGGCGCGTGATGCCTGTGATGTATGCCCTAGCATCACAGATCTTGTAATGGCTTCCTGATGCCTATACCGCATGACAAATGCCCCCTCCGCGTAGCAAAAACTGTACTACTCTTGGTTCTGACGCAATACAAATTGAAATTTTTGTAGAATCCAAAATTTGCATCACAAATTCCATTCTTTCCAGACCCAGACATATTTGCATTGGATAGTACAGGCGTCCCCCCAGCAAGCTCTGGTTCTCGAGCGACGTTTTCGACTGGGTGACCGAGCAGGAGGGTGTTGGTGAGTCTAGTGGTTGTTCAGTACTACTTGCATTCACCTTCGGAAGTAGATGATGCTCCTCGAAGGTACGAAGCGTTACCAGGTCGCCGAAAGAAAAGCCTGGTGCCACGACGTGAGCAGGACCAAGCTGCGGAAGTGAAGTCACTTGTCCAGTCGCAGCAGTGGTTGCTGTAACGCCCTCCGCGGCCGACGTCATCACCATGCGCCCAATGTTCAGCCCCGAGATTTTGCGGAAAAATGCCGCCCACTGCCGGAGGTAAGTCAGATTGTCGCGCACTTGCTGGTATCACAGATGACAACCTTATTTCAATTTCCTGAATCTGATACATACGTCGATAAAGCATGCTGATAGATATACTTTTTTTCTTCTATCTACTTTACTTATACTAGTCGTCTATAACGATCATCACGTGCACCACCACAAGCATAGACGCATTTCCGATGAGGAGTACGCATGTGGTCCCATGAGCAGTTGCACCACCAGAACGAAGCGTTCATCTCTGAGTCTGAAAGATGACTTCGGGGTGGATGGCTTGCAGCTTCAAATTCAAAATCCTAAACCATCGACCTAAGTGCATCTTGCAGAATGGTGGGAGTGAACAATGCGGGACAAGCGCTGCATTCTACGTTTCCTTTTATTTTCAAAGCAGTACATCACCCTCTCTCCTGCATGGAGGTCGTGTACGTGTCGTTAACAGACATACTACTTACCGCGGTCTTGCATGCTGCTGGGTGAATTATCGAGAAAGAGTGGCTTCTATCGCACTTTTTTTTTCTGGTAAGTAGGCGCGATCCCAAAATGGTATATATGCAAATCAAAATCCAATCGTGCCTGAGCGCTGATGTGCGCATCATCTTGTTCCCCCTTCACTCTCACGCACGAGTCGAGTCCCCTTGCCCAAGCAAGCCAATAAAAAGCTCGGTCTGAACAAAATAGAATACATGAGTTTGATGTCATCTGTGATAGCAAGTAAAGGACGTAGAGCAGCACCACTTCCGAGGTTTGTTTCATCTTCTTGTGTGCCAGAGTCAAAAAAGACGAGGAAACCACATCAACTTCGCCGGCAGGAGCTCCGCTACTTTCCGTGTGATTGGTCGTGAGGGTCTCGTTGACCGCACGACCAGTCGTGCCCAAACCGGCGATCAACATTTTGATTTTCTCGTTTGCCGAATGCGAATCTTGACCGCGAAAAAGATTTTTGTCCCGCCGCGCCTTGAGCTTCTTCTTCTTGCCGAAAGAAGCTGGCCGGCCGCGGCTAGAAGAAGGAGAAGGAGAAGTAGAAGCACTGCTCCCAGTACTCATCTTGACGTCGAGGGCCCCCGTTTCTTCGAAATCGGCTTCGTCCGCGAACTCGTCATCGAAATGGAACTCCTCGTCAGGCAGTTGCTTGTGTTGATGTCTTCGTTCTTCGACCAGCACAGCAGCACTTGTTGCCCCCTTCCGGCGCTCTTGTTCACCAACATCATGTTGCCGTGTCTTGTTCATCTTCCTTTCCGTCGAAACGAAAGACCGCGGTCGAGGATGATCCTCCACGACGGCAAAGTGATCTTCGGCCTTCGTCCTCTTGGAGGTGGCAGTTGTGGTGTCGCCATGCACCACGACCCACGCAACTGCATCTTCGTGCGGGTTGATGTTCTTGTTCGTTGTTTCCAGCAAATCAACTCGTTCCTCGTCCGTAAAATCTGCTTCGGGCGAAAATTCCTCCTCGAAGCTTGGGACAGAAGCTTCGGCTTTGTTCGTCGTGGTTGTTTCCATGTTTTGTCCTCGACGAGCACGAGCCCCACGAAGCTGCTTGTTCCGGGTAAGGAAACTGGAAGATGATGCAGCCTGGGACGACGTGGACCACGTTGCAGTCGAAGAAGCCCTTGCGCGTCGGAGAAAGGACGACGGTCGTCCTCGCATAGTGGAAGTTGTTGTACGGATCATGTTCTTGTTCTCCGGCAGATCAACAGCACTCCTCGTCCCAGCGTTCTGGAGATGTTCCTCCGACTCCTCGACCTCGTCCGCAAACTCTGCTTCGTCGTGTAGTTGAGCATGATGTTCTTCGTGAACAACGGGAGCAGGCTGAATTAGTCCAGCACCACCTCCTGCTGCAGCTCCGGGTTGTTCGTGGTCGTCGTCAAACTTGCTGGTCGTCCGCGTCACCGACGGAACCGAGAGTGCGTGTGCTGTCAGGAGGTTCTGTTGGGAAAAAATCACGCAGCCAAAGTTGATGTAGCCGCCCACGACGGAGTTGTAGAGTGCTGCTGACCACATCTTCACGGTCGCCTGTTTGAAGATCATGGCCGCGGGGGTCCTGCGCATTTCTTTTTTTGTTTCTTGCGCTGCGTTGCTGCTGGTGCGCGAGGAACAGTTAAGTACACGCCGAACTCCAGCAGTTGGCCACAGCAGCTTGCAGTCAACAAAGGGCGGGAAAAGCACTTATATAGCGTAAAAGCGGAGATGGAGCAAAAGATTGAGATTTCATAAAAGTCGTGGTTTGGGTTAGGGTTTCATTGTTTTGGTCAAAAGATTTTTCCGTGGTCGTTCTTTTAGCAATTTCAATTTAGTGATGGCCGCACCTTAGGGCACGTCATCTGCATGGGTCTGTGTAGTTGTTCATTGGCATCGATGAAGGCAATGATCGCAATATGCTGCATCTTCACGTCAAAGCGTACTGGTTGCACTTGCACTTCGACTTCGTGGGGCGGTTTCAGCTTGCGATGAAACTCTTCGGTCCAGGCAAGGAAATACGAAGGAAAGCTTACCGAGAAAGTAGAAACACGGGTGTCACAGTCATCACCGATAAAAGCAGCTGGTAATGTCGACGCCACGTGGAGCTGCAGGCTCTTTAACCACGGTCACGGGATAAGATGACCGATCGGTTCTTGCCGTGCACCGGGTTGTTGTGCTACGGACTCTTTTTATTACGTCGAACGAATACGAAACTACGTTATGGTTATTTCACCTGTAACAACATAAAAAACCGAGGTTCTGTCCAGTCAGTCGCGCTTTGCACGGTCGTGAACCGATAACGTACAACCATACGTTTCTACGGATCATGCACGAGAAGGAACGGACCGAGCACATAATAAGTACGCAGTCTCCCTCTGGAATCCACCGATTTTTGTGCAGGTTCCAGAAAATTCAAGCTGAAGCTGCGAGGGCAGACTGGAAAAACCTTCCTGAACCGCATCGCTGCAACAAGCATTTCTTGCAAGTTCAGACACGTAGCGACAATCCGCTCGGGGTGGTCATAAACGGTAAAGCGAAAAAAGAAACTGGAGCTGCTTGGGCTTACTCCAACTTCTGCACTCCAACATAGTGAGTACTTTTTACTGGTGTATCTGTTCTAGTTCTAGTTCTGCGAAATTGATACCATTTTGAGTAACGACAGCAAGAAGAATGCCAAAACTTCATTTTTTTTCAGCTGGGGCTGGAGAACGGAAAGCTGACAAATAAAAAAAAAAATTAACAGGACATCGTAAATTATGGGGAAAGAGAAGTACCTAAAACCTGCTCTCTATAATAAATTTCAGACGAGAAAAGAGTTGTCTGTGATTGCGTCACAAAGTGAAAGTCAAATACGAACAAAAATTTGGCGGAAAAATCTGCGTTGAAAACAAGTTGGGACCTTAATTTGTTGCGAAGCAAGACTGTGCGGGCTCGAAAAATGATCAAACTTCAACAGGTGAGAACGTATTAAAAACCGTTTAAAAAACCGCGGACAAAATGAGAAACGTCGGGGAGGAAACAGGAATCAGTCTCATACGCAAGAACCAGCTTCCTCCAAGAGATGAAACTCTTCCCAGCAAGTGCTTTGCTGGTACGGCGACGGTAAGTCTGCCCCAATCATGAACCACTTGCTTTTGGTTCGCGAAGAACTGCTCTCAATCCCGTGGCCAGGCTCCCTCTGGAAGCTCGGGAACTGCGGGGCCATCGCCGCCTTTGCCCCCATCTTGCTGTTGTTCCGCTTCCGTTGTGGAAGGGGGTGGCTCTCCCTCGCCCAAGAAAGGTTGCTCCGGCGGTTGTACTAGCGCATCGCCTCCTTCTATCCCACGAAAAAAGTGTTACAGTTACACACTTGTAGTAAATTCAGCAACACAAATTTCTCTGCATGAGAGAGAAAACTTGCACTGCAGAAATCCTACGGGGAAACACCTATGAAACGAGGCTCCTATGCATATCCGGCATGACAGAACTTGTCCGTCTTGCTTGGCCTGCAACACAATGTGTAACTGTAAACGATTTTTTCTTGCGATACCTTCTTGCCCTCCACTCCCCGTGTTCATCCCGTCTTCTTGTTCTGCCGGCGGAGCCCCCGAAGGGGCAGGACCTTCGTCACTGTCACCCGGGGCACTACCATCAGTGGGCGGCTTGCTAAGGTTCTCCTCAAGAACCGGTGGCTGGAGATGCCCCGGCTCTCGCTGCTCGTCCCCAGCCTCGTCCTCCTGAGCAGCTGCTCCCGCCTCGTCCGCCGGCGGGGGCCGCAGGGCTTCGCCGAGTTCTTCTCCGCCTCCATCTTGCGTTTGCCGTGCCTCGTCGCTTTCAATGTCCTCCGGCCGCCACGGCCGCACGGGTTGTTGCAGCTCCTCCACCTGGGGTCCTTCCACCGCCTCCTGGTCTGGAAGGCCACCAGCTTTGCTAGGCACAACATCTTCACGAGGAGGCTCAACAACATCTTGCGACCCCAATTTAGTTTCATCTTGCTCCGCCGGTTCGTTGTTCGTCCACGACGGCGCTAGTTGTCCTGCTGCTTCTGCACCGTCATCGTGATGATCTCCGCCAGCGGGATCATGCTCGTCTCGCGTCAGATCCGACACATCGCGACCTCCGGGCTGCGAATTTTCCCCCTCGTCCGGAAACACCAGCGACGGCGCTTCTTTCATCGTGGCAGAAGATGAACGAGAAGCAGATTCTTCTCGCCACTGCCGGAATTCTTCGGGCGACGGAGGACCTTTGTTCCACCACGGGGGCGGCGGCGCACCACTTTCCGCGTTCCAGCCGGGCGGAGGCGACGCATCGTTCCACCACGGCGGCGGTGCAGCCGCGTCGTTGTTCCACCACGGAGCTGCTGCTGCACCACCCGCCGGCGCCGGGGGTGTAAGAACACGACCATTCGCACTGAACCACGGCGGGGGCGACGCATCATTCCACCACGACGGCGGCGCAGTGCCAGATACGGTTTTCGCAACGCCCGAACCCGTCCACCAGTCCGGCGGCAGACCAGCACGAGACCCAGCCGGGGAGCGCTGCTCCTCGCCTTCTTGTTCCGAAGATAAAGCAGAAGGAGAAAACACTCGACCTCCACCAGCCCTTTCGTGCGGATTTTTCGAAGCCGCGCCGCCCTGGGCGGCCTCGTCGTCCTTCAACCAGGACAACTCTGTTGCCGGAGGCGCAGGCCAACCAGCCTGATCACCGCGATCCGCGGGAGGCGCCGGAAATTGCCGCTCTTCTGGCTGTGTTGCGGTTCTTGTCGCCTCGTCTTCACCGCGCGGACGTTCGGTTTGTTGTTGCGGGGGTGTTTCATCTTGTTCCGCGCCGTCTCCCGAAGGAACTAGCGCAGCAGGGGCCCCTCTATCTGCAAACCGGTCGGGGACCGAGCCGTCCTCTTGCCGCTCTCCGAAACGCACAAAATCCGAAACCGCCGGCCCCAGCTCCTGTTCCGCCGGAAACGGCCACAGTGGAGCAACATGCTCACGAGGACCACGCTGTTGGTCCTCGTCCATGTTCTCGTCCTTCTTGCGGGGCGGAGGAGCGTAGTCAACACCTTCTCTGGTGTCAACAGCGCTCCCTTCCTCGTTTGGAATTTGAGTTTGCTTGTCTTGATCGACCTGGTCGTGTTCATTGTCATCCGCATTTTTTCCAGCACTAGTACTTTTTTCCCGCACTAGTACATCATTCGGCGGCACCACCGGCGCCCCGGGCGGAAATTTGATCGTCTCCTCCTCGTCAGATGGTGCCAGGAAGTCGTCATTTTGTTTCTTCGCATAATTCTTGTCCTGCTGGTTCATCTGATCGTCGTCGTCCTCGAGGTGCAGCTCTTGGTCTTCGGCGCGATGGAGGTCGAGTTTGTCCTGGTCTTTTTCTTCGCCCTTCATTTCGCTCGTCCGAGACCAGGACGGGGGAAACCAATTCGAAGACGCGAAGGGGAAAAAAGGATGTTCGGTCGTCGTCACGCTCTTGTGCTGCTGCTGCCCGGACGACGAGGGGGAGGTCTGTAATATGGTTTTATTTCTTCAACTTTGTTGTATTCGATACATTGATTTGAAACGAGGACGAGGGCGGGAAAAGGAACGAATGACCAACAATGTGCTTAGTTGTCGTTTTAGCGGATATTCACTTCCGTCTCCACCATAGTCCCAAAAGGATTGTTTGTAAGTCTTTAAAGTAACCTACAAGCAAAACATTCGGCGGGTAAGGGTAATATGGGTAAATCTACATTCATAGGAAACCCAAATAGTTGATCCAAATCGAACCTGAGCCCATTTGTTCGCGACTTTCCAGACCAAGAGGCACCCACCCAGGAGCAAAGCGGCGACGAGGAGCGTTTTGGCCACCCCGTATAGCGCCCGCGACCAGATAACACCGCCACGCGGCCCCGTCGAGTCGGAAGAATTGACGTGCAGCGGGTCACCATGCCAAAAAAGAACCTCATCCTCGCCGTGCTTGGAGAGCGAGCGGGAGGAAGTGCAAGGGCGTGGGGACAGGAGGCTCCACATATCATTGCCGCTGTCGAGCGGGTGTTGTTATGGGGTGCAAAAAGCATGGTGATGTCGGAAGGACACCTCGGTCGAAATTGCCGTATGACAAAGAGGTTATACGTGAGAAAGATATATGAGAAACCTTTATTTTCTCTTTTTTCATTTATACACCGCGCTGGTGTGGTCTTATAGAAATCCAACAAGTTGTAGGTTTTTTCTGTCCGCCAAGGATCCAGTGCAAAAAATCTACTTCTTCAACAGCTGTTTATTTTGTCTACATTGATGAGCAAGAGATGACTGCAACGACATCACCAGTTATGCACACGAAAGATAACTTGAGACTCGCCGTCGTTCCGCTACTCCGCGGGCTTCGCTCGGTCGAAGGAGGCGTAGAGTTGGACACGGACACCAGCGTGGTCTTGCTGCTGCTGCCCGTATCGCCGCGGTCAGAGGAACTAGTGCACGTGGTGGCACTAGTCGAGCTCTGCTGTTGGCGCTGGTGCTGCTTCCTGCCCTTCTGTGGTCCCCGATGGCGATCCGTCGCATGCGAAGAAGTGGACGTCGACGTCGTGCTCGTGGAATTTTCTCGCATATCCTGGGTGACAAAATGCTCATTCTTGCAGTTGCCCTGCTCACTTTCTTTTCTTACTCCGCTCAAGGAGAAAAGGCACAGGAGTACGATCGTGATGAATAACGAGACTATTTTTAATACGACGCACGTCTTCATCATGCACATTAATAGCACATTGACCATTATATTCTTGCTGCACGAAGTAGATTTATTACCGTCCAATATGCAAAAAACGAGCGGACAACAAGGTGTGGATACTAGCAAAGAGCGGGAATAGAAAGACACTACTTTTGTCACATTCGATACGGTTTTCCGGTTGCGAAGTTCAGAAACAGTTGGCCAAGTAAGGATCGCCGCGTGCCGGATTCATTCTCCTCCTGGCCGTATGATCCTGCGTCGTCTTGCTCGCCCTCAGGAGCTCGCCCGAGAAAACGCTTGGAGGCTAGCTTTTTCGGCAGGTCTCGCCACTTGGATATGGGAGTGTCAGGTTTGAAATCGTCAAAGTTGAAATAGTTTGCCATGCATAAAGTGCAGCCCTCGAAGTGCCTGTCTTGCAGCGTAGGCAAGTGAGGCAGATAGTAAGCCTGTTGAGGGGTAGAAACTGAGCTGCTAAAGTAGCATGACAAAAGGCGTCTTCCTTACCCAAACAGCATGACAAACTTGGTTTCGGTTCTACCCAAATTTGTCATGCGCCAGTTACAAACTGGGCCACAACTTTCATCCATTTTATGCATTACAAGTTATTTCAACTTTGTCGATTTCGATTCTGACACTTCCATATTGGAGGCGAGGAGAACGGTCTCCTCGTCCTCTTCGTCCTCCGTGTCGGTAATCTTGTATTTACAATCAAACTCCTATCATTTGTAAAAACGACCCCACTCCAGAATTGCAATGCAAATCTGCATGCTGAAAATGTTTCTCATGCGGAGACCCATGCGAAGCAGTCTCTATTGGTACTTTGAGGTTTGTAATGCTCAAATCCGCATGGTATGCTAGAACTGTGACGCTGCTGCACTAGGAGCTAAACGCGACTACATTGCGAGCCCAAATTTGTCATGCGCAGCAGCCGAAGCCAGGGGATTTGTGTAGCAGATTTCCCATCTTGACTCTGGGGTGGGGACGTTTTTGCTCACCATAACTCCTCCTGCTCCTTTAGTGGGTAGGTGTCGCGGATCAGACGCCGAGCTGGTGCTGGACTTGCCGATACTCCACCCGCGAGGCTTGTTTTGCCGCTCGTGGAGGACTGCCGTGCGACTCCTGCTCCCAGCACGTTGACAGCTGCATGATCGGAGTTGGAGCTCGTCGTTGCAAATCCGTGTTGTCCGCCCGGCCTCTCCCTTGAGGACCAAGAAGAACCAAGCGGCCCCTGGGGACCACCGGTCGCCGCACTTTTGAAGCTACTCGCGCTGCAGGTGCTGCTGTTGGAGCCGTTTTTGTGTCGTGGTCGGGTCGCCGGGGCGGGCATCGTCTGATTTTGATCTCGTCCAGCAGAGGGACGTTGAGAATCAGAATTCATAGTTCGCGAAGCAGGAGAGGGTGCAACTACATCCGGGTGCGGTCCTCCAAAAAGAAGCTTCACAACTTTGGTAGTGTCACTTTTCCGCACGTGCTTATGGTCAACAGCTGTTGGATGCGCGTTGTCACCCTCCGCCGGGCAGGTAGTTCTGATGTTCGCCACCCACCGTCGCGTCTCCTGCTCAGGCGGCTGCTCTTGATGTTGCACTCCTTCTTCTGCGTAGTTCATTGTTGGCACTGCATTCCAAGTTCTCGATTTCTCTTCGGTCACTTAAACTTGCTTGTTCCGGGGGGATAGCGGCGAAGTGCGGATAGTAGCACTTAGCAGAACAAAATAATCGGGAAAAATACCAAATGCAAATATTCTTACACGCTCTTCTTTAATATTACGGGATCAAAATAACGAGGCGAGGCCTCTACCAGGAAACCTAGAGGACGAGAGTGGTACATAGACTCAGTACGGATTCCTGTCAAATAGTGTGTTGGTGGAATACGGGCAGTAAAAACGAAAGGGAAAAATGATTGGAATGCTTCGGTATAATTACGGCTTGAAAAAAATGCAGCAGTGTCGAAGTCAAGCTCAAAACGATAAGAGTGCAACCACGATGGTACGTGCTTCCGATGCACTATCCAAACCATCACAGTCTAAATTCTCAACACCGAAGCGGCAGCCCGTAAAGGCGCAGGAAAGCAACCGAGTGAGTTTGTTCTAATATTCTCGTGGCTTTGACGCAACGAAAGCACGACCGAGCAGGTTTCAAATTGTACGAGCAAATTGTCTTTCACGACGAGGGAGAAACCGACACAGTGGCCTCAGCGCCAGATTCATCTTCACCGCGACAAAGATCAACGACAAGAAGGCGGACGAGTAAGCACAGCGCACTACAAGGACCGACTGGGAAACAAAAAAAGTCGCTCGTAGTTTCACTTCAATCTAGACGCTGACCGAGTTGTCCGAGTCACATCAAGTCGCCGCATGAGCTTTTGAAGCTTTATTTTTTGTCTTGAACATAACAGGCACGCCGCTTGCTCCGCAAACAGTTTCAACTTGGTCAGCTTGGGTACAAGTTTCGTGCTTGGATTTCTTGAAGGAGCATGCAGATAGCCACAACACGTGGCAAGGAAATATTAAAGTCGCAGCGAGCGGTGCGAGTAAGAACGATCTGACTTCTGTTGTAGGTTTTCACCACCGCAGGACCCTACAATCCGCATCCAGCTCGAGCTTCGCACGTTGCAGTATAGTGTCTCCAGCTCCGACAACGTAATTCATCCCAATTTTTCGTCCGACCGTCTTCATCTCCCGTCCTCCGCTTGTACTTTCCGTTGAGATTGTTCCCGTGGTCACCAATAGCTCTCGAAAAATCGACCCCGGTGCATCATAAAGGGCCTGCAGGTCTTCTTCTTCCTGAGGCTGTGTTGATGATGTTTTCCCTATTCTAGTACGTGCAGCTTCTGTAGTTCTTGTTTTTGCCATCTCCGACGATGACGAAGGCGCCTTGTTATAGGTGCAACCAGCACTAATATTAGACCGCTCTTGTTGCCCACAAGAATTCATATGTTGATCAGCCGCGTTGATGTAATCTTTAGTATTGATTCCCCCACAGGAGCCAGCAGCTCGCACGTGCCTGATGGCGAGGGCGTTGAGCACGTGCCAGGTGCGGTGCCGAATTTCCTTCAGGTCGTCCAGCTCCAACTTTTTTTCGGCGTCACTCTTCTCCTGCACCCAGCCCAAATACGATTCGCAGCGCTTGCAATGCAGGCGGACGACGTAATTGAGTTTGGGGGGGGACGTTGTAGCTGCACAACGTCCATGATCCTGTGCCTCTTGTATTTTCAGCCCAACATGGTAGAAAAACTTTCCCTTCGAATAGAGGCTTAACGGGTCGAAAACGCAATACCCTTGTTTCTCGCTCTGGTACAAGTCAAAGTCAAGCCAGTGGTAGAGTGGCAGGTCACAGCCGTTGTGCGTATTGGAGTGAACAGTTGAGTCGAAGCAAGATAGATGTAATCAGCCTTTTTCTCCACATGAAAATGTGAATGATCGTCTCGTGCATCCTTCGTAAACATCTTTCCCTCGTGCTCGTGCAAGGAGAAGTTACAACCATTGAGTAAGTAGATTTCCGCACTCACCGTAGTCTAGGTACTACGGCAGCAACTAATGGTTACCTGCGCCGAAATGAATGCTTCACTGCTGGTGCTGCACATCTTTTTGTCATCTTTACGTATTTTGACTCAACGCTTTCCTCCAATAGCAGACGAAAAGGCTGTTTTCGTTGAATTTGAGGTTTCTCGGCCGATGAAACAAGTCCAGTTGCTTCTTTTCGACGAACGGTCGATAGGTGGGCAACCTTCCCGTCGTTTGCGTAATTGGGTCGTAGACTATGGGTAAGGGCGGTGCAGACACTACAGGCAGCTCGCGATGCGATGCGGAGAAACTCTTTTCGACGTCCATTTTTCCCGTGGTTTGTGTCTCCGGATCGTAGTGGAAATCTTCGTTTTATGCCGTAGAAAAGCAAGATTGCACTGCACGCACACGACAGCACAGGCACCTGTTGATAATGACCTTTAATAAACAGCACACACAAGAAATCTATAAATCGAGCTGAAAATTTGTCTTTGTCCAAAGATCTCCTTCCTCCCCCCATGCATGTGTCGTAATAACGAAGAAACTCCCGTTGTTCGATCAGGATGACGCATTCTGTCTTAGTGCACGAGATAGTGGTTCAATTTCAGGATGATGATTCCTGATTGAGCTCCTTTGGCTTTCAATTTCATACCGTTGCCTGCGGGTCTTGCCGCTTTGTCGTGTCGTGTGTGGTCCATACTTTTCCGGTTGGTACTTTCAGGTCGGGAGCCGCAGCAACATCGCCCGCGGTTCTCTCATTCAGCTCCATATCATCACGCGAAACGTGAACTCTTTCTTCGTCTGTAGCCGCAGCAGTAAAAGCTTGCCTCCCGGTGCCTGTTACCTGGCAGAGATTGTCATATTGAAAGAGAACGCGAGAGTTGTTTTCCACCTCCGTAGCTGTATCCTGTTGAAGCGAGGATTCTCCTTCCTTTAATGTGTCCTCTTGCTGGCCTTCTGGAACAACAGTTGGATCATCACTGATCTCGGGGTTCTCCACTTCTTCCGTTATTTCCAGCAATGCGGCCGCTTGTTGTTCAGCCTCCCTCTCAAGGTTTCGCACTTGTATCAGATAGTCACTTTCCCGCGTCCAGCGGCGCTGCGTCCACTCCGCCATGGCTTCTTGGTAGTCGAGGTGGAGCGTGCGGCCCCAAAACGTGCCTGTTTTCCACGTATTGCGCGGTTCGTCGGCACCAAGACGCAGGACGCGAAGGGCTTGAATAGGGTGCTGGCAACAACGCCTTGTTCCGCATGTCTCGAGTATCCTGGCCCGCCACTGTTCCGGCGTCTGCGTCGTATATTTCAGCACCTCTGCACGGGCGAACTCGTACTGCGGGAACTGCCTTTTCAGCAAATACGCCACCGCGGGGGAGGTGGGTGATTGGTCTCGTCGTGTGGGCAAGTTGTAGTCCTCGTCACGGGCTGGATTTTCAGTCTCGGTGCGTGCTACATGTGGTTGCACTGGAAGGAACGAAGAAATCGGGAGAAACTCATGGTGGACCTCGTTGTCCGTAAGTCGAGCAACCACCAGCGGTTCTGGCACCGACATCACTGTGAGGGCGGAGTTGTGCCGTGCGAACAAAAACGAGGCGGATCAAACCAGGTAATTCTGTACTTAAAGCGATATTAGCCAAACTTGGCCTAGGAAGAACAACCTGCACTTAGACTTACTCTCTTGCAAATCGAATGAAAAATCCACGTAGCTGTAATTTACGGAAATCAACCAAAGCTCTGTTGTTGTTGGTCGCCATATGATGTGCGATATGGCTAGAGTAGTGCGGCGCCAACCGAAAGGCAAGTCATTCTACTCATCCTCAGCTTCAAGAGCGATCTATCTTCAGGGCATAACCGAACAAAAAACTTCAGAGGCTCATACCGACTCGCAACTGGGGACACAGGACCGGCACCGAGGCAAATCCCAAGTTCTTTGCACCATCCTGGCATGATTTTTGGCAAGCAGTGACCATACGAGAAAGCAAGATGAGATGGCACCATCGCCAACACCGATTGATATAGACACAGCACCGACGCCTATTGGTGGGCGATAAAAGGCATGGCGCGATATTACCGATGCCATGTTAACAAATCGTGCACCACGGACGACTTCCTGAAATACTACCTGCACTTGTAGCAGGAGAACAGATGCGTCAATAAGAAGCAGAACACTCCTCATGTGATTCAACATTCTGATGGGAAGAGAAAATCATGGTGCACAAACGAATACTCATAGTCTAACGAAATGCCACAACCGGTCTCCCTTGCAGCCGCGTACAGCTTTGCAACATCATGTTTCTATCTCATTAAAAATCATGGATGCCCGTCGCGCTCTTCCATGCCTCGTGGTTAGAAGTTCTACTAAACGCATTTTCAACCCCGGTTTTCTCCTCACCATCGTTTACTCACGGAGCTAGAAAATTACTTTTATCACGAGCTATTGGCTTTGAGCTTCCCCTTCTCGATGTTTGCGATCCTCCGCGCGAAGGACAGCGTGGAGAAGCTTTCCTGAACGTTTTCCATGGACGGATTCACTGTGGCAATGAAGAGAACCTTCGACCATTGTTGTGACAGCACGTCCGACAACAGGTAACTCAGCTTGCTGTTCCGGAAGGGGATGTGCGCGTGCTTCGCTTCGAGTGCGAAGAGCGTGTCGCCCAGGGCGGACAGGGACTTGTTGATCTGTTTGGCTTCCTGCATCCGTTGGCCCTCCGCCTTCGAGACCTTGGTGCGCTCCGACCCCGCCAGGTCAATCACGTGCAGCGCGCCCACGTACTGCTCGACGCTGCACGACTGAGGGTCAGAGTTGCTCGTCTTGCCTGGTTGTACTCCGGAGGACGGCACTGCCGCGCCGCTCTTGGTGCGCATATCCCACAGAAAGGCAAGCCCAGCACGCCAGAAAAAAGAAGATTTGTGCTGCGGGGATTTATTTCGTGTCACAGACAGGACTTGGCTGCGCAGAATGCTAAGCAAAAGCGACGCCATCTACTCTTTGATCATACCTACTTTTTACACAGCACATGCACACACTGTCGACTGCATTAGACAGCACACACTGCCGGCAGCTGCATTCTGCACGACAGAAAGCAGCCTCTTTATTTGTGGTCTCCGCATTACGAGGGTTTAAGTGCCGGCAGTTTAGCGAACACAAATCCATTTTTTTCTGATACGGGTTTAGGTACTTTTCTGTAGGATACCGCAGACCGAGCGAGTAGATGCAGTGGGATCGCGAGCTCACGTCATTCAGCGCCGTGGCGCCGGTCACGCGGCTCTGCCTATCAAGTGCAAAAATGTCTGGGTCTCGAAGAGTCATGCTGTTTTTGCACGACACAGAATGTCTGTCATGGAAGCCCTAGCATCACAGATTTATTCGAGAAGCTTCCGCATTGCAATTGCTTAATGTGCATGACAAATCTTTGGTGACAGGAAATGCACGTCTTTTGTTGTGTGATGTATGAGAGAGATTTGTCTGTGTATGTGAAATGCGCATCACAGGTTCGCATCCTTCCAGACCCAGACATTTTTGCAGTTGATACTGCCGCGCCCGCTGCAAGATCCGGTCGGCGTGCTCCCAGGAGTGGATTTTTACCGTAGACAGCCCGTCCACGTAGATGCTACCGAATGGCGTTCTCAAATGTTACATTCTCAACTGTTACATGATTTGTCATGCAAAATTGCACTCAGATTCAGAATCGACGCAATCAAGCTGCTTCGCATGACAAATTCCCGACGAGCCCAACAGGCTGAGAATCTTTGCCAAATCTGTCATGCAAGAAGCGCAAGGTCTCCTATTTCACTGTTGCACTTCTTGCAACACAAATCCATGTAACAGTTGAGGATGTAACAGTTGAGAACGCCATATGCCGAACAGCGAGGTTGTAAAATCCGAAGGGTGGTGGTGGTGGCCACTACTAGAAGAAGAAGCATCCGAGAAAAAAAGTGACTTTACATACAGTTCTCCTTCCAGTCTGGTGCTACTGATTTAGCAATAGAGTCCTGGTCCGTGCGACTGGGACAAGAAGCAGTCGGAAGAAAACGCAACGATTCAAAGATTATGCGGGCATGACAGAGGTTGTCTGTCTCATACTCGTCGCTTTGTCCTGCAACACATGCCTTCTAGTTCGAACTGTATGTAAAACTCTTTCTTCCTTGCATAAGAGCCTGCGGAAGAGGAGTGGTACAGCTCACTGTGCTGATCCCGCTCGACAGCTGCTCCCCGACCGGAAGAAACCCCTCCACCTGCGCCATGATCCACCAAGTTGACGGGCCCGGTACAACCCGTGCTCGCAGCAACACCGTGATTGGTCACCCCCCGGATCTCCAGGTGCTGGCTGGCGTAATTCTGATGTTGCCCGGAGGTCGTAGCACTGCTGCTGACCGATCGGATGCTACTGGTGGATTGGAAGGACTGGTTCAAAAAAGCGCTGTTTGCATTCGTGGTGCTTGGCGCCGCTGCGCTCGGCGGAAAAGCGGCCGCGGCCGTGCTGCCTCCAGCCCCTGAACCCGGTCCGGAACTTGCCGTGCTCGTGCAATTACCGGCAGTCCCTGCATGAGAATTATTGCCTCGGGGGGTCACGCTCCGGGAGGACGACGAGGAAACGCCGCTGTTGCTCGTTCCAAAATTATGCGCCGTGCTCGAAGACGCCGACCCCGATCCTGACCCCGCCATATTAGTATTAGTAAAAGTAGTACCGGTGGTGTTGTAGTTGTTGTTATTCTGCGCACCGTAATTGTTGTAAGGGTGAAGATTATTGTGCTGTCCTCCACCTCCTCGACCACTTCTCTGCGTGGTCGTCTCCGTCGGTGCCTTGCGGGGAGACACAGACACGCTCCCTCCCGCCGTCGAAGAAGTGCCACCACCACCCGCCGCCCCAAAATCCGACAGATTCCGGCCGCGCTTTCGCGCGCTCGACTGTGGCTTGGTGTGAAAATTTGAGGAGGACCCGCCTGTAGCGCCGCGCGGCTTACGCGGCGAGACGGAGGACGCGTTGGTCCGTGCGGACCCTAGAATGTTCTTGCTGGGCGACTGATTGGTCGTGCCGTTGAAATTATTGTAGGTCCGGTCGGGAACCACGAAATCGTAGTCGGCATGAAAATAAGTCGAAGATGAGGCCGCGGATTTGGGAGGCTCGAGCAAGTCCCGCACCTGCTCGTTGTAGATCTCCACGATGGACAAAACCAGCTGATAACCTTTGCTATCGGCGATTTTCAGCATGTCCTGCAGAGCCGATCGCAGAATGCCCGGCTGCTCCTGCGTGCCGTCCAGGGTGTACGTTTTCCCGCTGCCCGTTTGGCCGTAAGCAAAAATCGCAAGGTGGAACCTGGATTTAAGTGGAGTCTAGCTGTCTTTGCACCCTGTTGCTTCTGTCTCCTTCGAAAAGATATTCTTCATGAAGAGCGTCGCCATGCTGTAGTTTTGTGTGCAAACTGCAAACTGCGCATCATACATCAATCGTCTTGCAAGTACATAGTAAGTGAAAGTACCAACTAAGTACCCTCTCGGAATCCCCTCGAGCAGCGGCCCCACCTCCTCGTAGATCGTCGCCTGTGTGTCCTTCTGCCCAAAGACTCGATCGAAGGCAAATTCCACTTCCCGTCCACCAAAATTGTCCCCGCTACGCAAAACTAAACTGCTCAGCCGGCGGTGACCACCTGATCACAAGAAAACTCGTAGTTAAAGTCTTTTTTCACAAGCTTCACTGCCCGCACCGTGCGGACATGCAGACTCATTTATCATTCATGTAGTATCGCGGGCACACTTGTTTTCTCCTGTCACAGTATCAACACCCACCTATTTGTGTACATACAACACAGAGGAAGAACAACTCATCTCGCAAGTGTCGTTCGAGTTCATCGTCGACAAAAGTATAACCTTACCCCCTGTCCCCGATGCTCCAGTACCGCCGCCCGGTTCCTCATTTTTTGGTCGCACTGCTGACATGCCGTGATTTTGACTTGCCGTGGCGTCCCCTAGTAAAAAAGTGCGGTCCGAACCACCAGATGGATGAAGATTGTTTAGTGGGAGCAGCTAACAACTGTAAAAATGTCTGGGTCTGGAAGATTCTGACATTTGTCATGCACGTTTTGCATGAGCCATGATGTCTGTGATGCGTACCCTAGTAATACAGATTTTCTGAGGGCTTCTTGATGCCTATTCCGCATGACAAATGCCTTCTCAGCGTAGCAAAAATTGCATTCCCGTTGGTACTCATGCAATACAGATTTTTTTTGAATCCAAATGCAGCATCACAAGTTGCATTCTTCCAGACCCAGACATTTTTACATTTGATAGCAGCCGACAAAACACCCGGACGTTGCCCTTCAGCTCCTGCACCTGGTCCTTCAATTTGCTGACCTCCAGGAGCGCCAGCTGGTAACTATGCATTGCAAAAGTATCGCACTAGTATAAACTGCATGACAAATTTTGGCAAGAAGGAAAGTGAAATTTGTAATGCTCTTTTTCCCTAGGAAAAATATTTGTCATGCATATTTGCGATTAGTACGAGTGCGATACTTTTGCACAGGATAGTAATTCTTCTTCAGCAACTCGTACTCGTTTTTCTGCTTCAGAAGCTCGGTAGACAGCAGCTCCACCTTCAACTCGTCGGAGGCAGGATCAATCCAGCTGTAAGAGACGGAGTCGTCGTCCTCGTGAAACTCTCGCAGCTCCAGTGCACTTTTTGAAAAAACTACATCCTGGTCGTGGTCCCCTTGAAAATGTTGCTGTCCACCTATCCAAGAAAAAAACACCATCACAAGCACACTTAGGAGGTTTTGCATCGTCTCGCATGACAAATTTTTCTTGTCTTGCAAAGACACAAAGGGAACTCGCCTATAGCCCTTGACTGTGATGCATTTTTGCGCATGACAAAAATTTTTGTATTGCAAAAATGTGCAAAAGTGATTGTGATGGTGTTTTTTTCTTGAATACCACCATGCTGCCTTTTGCTCCGTCGCGGAGTCAGTGACAGTGCCGACGGGGGGTAGAAGTTGACAGCACTTCCAGTAGAGCTAGTATTCTTACCTCCTCCGGAAGTTGATGTAGATGTAGTATTGTTCTGACCTCTTCCAATTATGCCGTCATTGGTAGAAGTTTTCCTCCTGTTTTTCCAAATCTGCGGAAACCCGCTCCGGAGCCAGTGGAGCCGGAGTTTCTTCTGGTGCAGTGCCTGGATCATGAACGCAGATTTTTGCCGTCGATTCTGCAGCGCTTCGGGAAGATAAAGTAGATGCTGTGGGTGTGATGTCGTGGCGGAGGACGGTGACGCTGCAGCTACTGCTCCGTTCGCGTCGTATCGCTCGGCGCCGCCTCCGTACTTTTGCTCACTTTGCAGAGGCGTGGAGGTACCAGAAGACGAAGATGATCCTGGTCGACGTCCCTTTGCTGTACTGTCCCCTGGAGAGGCCGGCACAGTAGAAGTCTTCCCTGTGCGTAGTCCTAGACAAGGGTAGTTGTCAACAGGATTTTTATGCTTCTCTTGCTTGTTCGCACCACCAGCTTGTTGAGGCGATCCCGATCCAGCCGCTCGGGTCGTCAGCGACGTTGTGTTTGGTGGTGGCGTTCCGCCAATCATCGGCTGCTCTTCGGCTATTTGGAGAATCTCGGGCGGGGAATGGAGAAACAACAATTTCAACAGGCCCTCAAAGTACAAATCTGCTTCCTCGGTGAGCTGCTGGTTCTTCTTTTTCAGGGGTAGCAGCTGCCGTTTTACTACTTCCAGCTCGTGATCGAGCAGGTTCCAGCTGTGCTTTTCCTTCTGCAGCTTGGAACTCAGCGAGCCGTTTTCTTCCTTGACCTTGACGTGTTTGTCGAGCAGCTTCTTCAAGTCCTTCTGCAGCTGGATGTTCAGGTGATTCGCTTTATCCAGTTTCCGGATCAACTCCGGATGCGCAAGGTTGAGCAACTGCGGATCCAGCTGGGAGGCGGCAGTAGAGTTTTTTTTTGTCCTGGACGATGAAGTTGTACCTCCTGCTCCGATGTTGTAATTTTGGCTCGTCGACATGAAAGAACAAGAACTGCTGCTCCGGGGCGTGGGGTCGAAGCCAGCAACAGCCGCAGCAATACGAGGCGTTGTGTTCGTGGAAACCGCGGTCGCGGATATTGACTGCTGGCTTTGGTTCAAGACAGAAACGGACCAGTTATTGGACGCAGGAGCGGCTCCTGGTTGGTCGCCGATGTCGTCATGATTCATTCCAATCAACACTTGTTCCTGTCTAGCAGTCCAACTGTTCTTATCTTCGCCATCGTTCTTCCCCAGGAATTTTTCCTTCAGCAGTTGCAAGCCGGTCTTCTCTACTTCAAGAAATCCACTCGCGTTAGTAATATTCTCTTCTTCCTCCAAAGGTCGACCTGCCTCGTTTTTTCGTGGTTCCAGAAGTTTCCACCGCCCCGTGTAGCTTTTCTCGTTCACCACCTCAGTGTTCTTTGCCGTCGTGCTGAAGGAAGTGCCGGCTTGTCCTGCCGGAACTCGAGTTGGGTTTCGAAGATCGGAGGTCCTTGGTTCATCCACCATTAAACCCATCCTGACCGGTGGTACAAAAACACCAGGATCATTCTTCTCCTCTACCACAACTTCGCTAGTACTCCCGGCCCGTTCTGCCGAGCTGGGCGGCGAAGCGATGACGACCGCGGGAGAGGGCGTTGCGATTTGGTGCTTCATTTGCGAAAATTTCAGGGGCGGCGAAGGCTGGACATCAGCTCTTTCAGTCGACTGCTTCAACAACGAAGAACCGTTGCTTGGCTGCTTGTTTTCATCAACATAGACCGCTTCCGCAGACGAGGCAGACGGGAAGCACGATTTTGTTGTTGTTTCCCTGTTATCCGAGGTAAAAAGTGCTCCGATCCTGCTTTTTTGCAGTTTGACCTGCTCCTGATCTGGTCGTTCTTGCTCTACCCCTGGTACAATGACTTGCTCCGTCGTTGTACTCTTGCTAGAAAACGCACTCGGAGCGGCAGACGCAGGCGCCGCAGTTCTTGCCGTAGACGTGGAGGTGGTACTGTTTTTGCTAGAAGAGCTAGTTGTAGCCTTGAAGAGGGAACTTGATATCGATTCCATTTTTTCCACCTGCGATTTTTTTTCTTGTTTCACAGCGTTGTGTTGCGCGTCCTCGGCGTCGTCACGACGAGTCACATTATCTTCTGCTTCCCCCAGTCCAAACTTCCACAGAAACGACTTTTCACCTTCTTGGCGAAGGTGATCATCCCTAGACGACGGGGCAGTGTCCTCCTGCGGTGGAATCACGCGAATTCGTCATGGATGTGTCAGGATTGAAATCGTCAAAGTTGAAATGCTTTGTCATGCATAAAATGCAGCCCACAAAGTGCCTGTCTTGCAGAGTAGGCAAGGGAGGCGGATTGTAAGCCTGTTGAGGGGTAGAAATAGCGCTGCTGAAGTAGCATGACAAAAGGCGTCTTCCTTACCCAAACAACATGACAAACTGGATTTCGGATCTACCCAGATTTGTCATGCGCCACTTGGATGAAGCTGGGTTACAACTGGCATCCATTTTATGCATGGCAAATCATTTCAACTTTGACGATTTCGATCCTGACGCTTCCATATTCGTGGGGGCGTCTGTATCGCGTGTAAAAACGACGTCCGGCGCTGCGCGGGGAAGTACCCGCACTAATGTTCATGCAGAGTAGAGATGACTCATTGACATTTTCTTCATGCAATAAATCCACAACGTCACCATGAGAAATTGGATTTGTCGCGAAGATGCTGCCATGGTCATGTAAACGAAGTCAAGCTACGCAAAAACAACTACACTGCGCGCCCATGATCAAAATCGTCATGTAAAAGTCCTAAAAGCCTCTGGATTTTCCCAGCCGGAGAGCCGCAATTTTTGGGCCCCCAGACGTGGGGACTACGGTTTTACACAGGAAGATACTCGGCAAAATGAACTCTTCCTTCATACTTCTCGTTTCCCTCTCCACCGCTGCCAGAATAAGCTAACATAGAATCTCGACGTGACCGGGCCGGTCACGTCCGCCCGGCCGGCCGGACCGTGACCGGGGGTTGTCCCTGGTCGACCCACATCCTGGAGCCAGTCGCTCGTGGGGGTAGGAGGTGACGGCACTGCACCTTGAGCCAAAGTCGTGCACTGGCAGAATGCACCTCGGTGCACCTTGGAGTCCCAGGCCTTAATATGTACTTAATGCGCCCGAGCGCGAGCGCATGCCCATAGAAATGGACCTGCTGCAACAAGTACAAGAAGCAGTGACTTGCTACCCTTCGTCTCTTTTTACCCCTCGCGCGCACGAAGGGTGAAAAGGGATTGGGAGAATGGAGTCGCCGCAATGTGCTTTGAGCCAAAGTCGTCCAGTGGTAGAATGCGGCTCACTAAACCTCGGAGCCACGACTTCGCTCTGGGCTCAATATACAACGCATCCGATCTGCTGATGACCATGGGCCTGCTGCATGATATTGACGCGGACATATGAACTTGGCAAAGACGCGAAGTCTGCGTCGCGACATTTTGGGCTCAATGCACAGCGCCGTGACTTCCCACCCCCGGTCCCTTTTCACCCTTTGCGCGAAGAGTGAAAAGGGCATGGGGGCGCCAGGAGGTCGTGGCGCTGTACCTTGAGCCAAAGTCGTTCAGTGCTAGGGTTCAGGTCACAGCACCTGAGAGCCACAGGTCTCAATATGCGGCGCTTCGTCCGAGCTCAGGCGGATCCAAGTGGTAGCGCCACGAAGTCTGCACCTTCGACACTTTTGGCCCAAGGTGCCGCGCGATGCATTCCTACCACCAGCCCGTTTTCTGGTGGGTGGGCGGGGTGTTTCGAGCGGTTGCCAGCGGTGTCTCGCTACAGTAGCTACTGCATAAATAAAATCCGCCCCCGCAACGCCAGCTACTTTGCAGGAGCCTGAGGCCCACCCAGGCTTTCGATTATAGGCACTGCGGGTGGAGTCGGAGCGGCTCTGCTCCGCGCACCAAATAAAACTAACATCTGGCGCAGCCCGCGCCCGGATAGCAGCCGCGGGACATGGTCTACCCCCGGTCACGGTCCGCCCGGCCGGCCGGGTGGACGTGACCTCCCCGGTCACGTCAAGGTTTTCTGTTACCCTGTTCTTGGCAGAATGAACTCCTCCTTCATGCTTCTCGTTTCCCTCTCCACCGTATCAAGTGCAAAAATGTCTGGGACTGGAAGAATGCATGTTTGCCATGCTTGTCTGGCATGACTCTTAAATCTGTCATGCACGCTACCCGAGAGCTCCATTTTTCTGTGATGCAGAAACGCAGTCTGTCATGCAGAATAGGCAACACCTAGCAGCTCAGAAACTTGTCATGCTGAGCCAGCACTTGTGGCCTCATCATGAGACGTCACCCAGCATCACAAGTTTCCAGACCCAGACATTTTTACATTTGATACATGCTTCTCGTTTCCTTCACGCTTCTTGTTTCCCTCTCCACCGCTGCCAGAAAAGAGGACGCGCTTCTTGTCGACGTCGAGGCTTGCGCATACTCCTGGTCTAGTGCACCGGCACTTCTGCTCGCGGACGCGGCCGTGGACGAAGTAGTAGCTCCTGCTGTAATCAAAGGGTTAATCCCGATGTTTACCCTCTTGATTTCGCGCGCAGGAAGCGGATGCCTATCGTACTCGTTCTTGTGCCCGTGGTTCTCGTGGTCGTTTCCGGGCGGGTCTTCGTGTTGTAGGTGGGTCTTCCTCGTCGAACCCGAACTACGAGGATGCGACTCCTGTGCGGAGGTCTTGTTGTTCCTCGACGTGGTGTTATTTGGAAAAAGGGTAGTTGCGGACGACGAAGAACTGCTTGCGCTAGCGGACAGTAAATCCGTGCCGTTCAGAATGTCCTCAATAACGCTATAACCCGCTCAGGTGTTTTACACTTACAATTTCAAACGTCAGCACAATCAGAATGGGGATTGTTTGCGACGCAAAAAGTTGTACATGATCTGGCCAACTCTCAACAGAGGAATACGCCGAAAAAGTTCTGGAGCGGCAAATGCTCGGATAAGAATCGCTGTATTGCGAAAAGCGCAAGAAGGACGAGGATCTACATTTACCTCATGCTCTTCTTCATGCAAGACAAAACTCAGAGTCTATTGTGACGTTTGAGATTTCTGTAACACCTGAGCGGGCCATAGAGGCGCTTGTTGCGCTCGTGAATCACGTCCGCCTGCGAGGGCGGTGTGGCACCCCCTGTGCTAGAAGACATGATGAACGGGGAGCGCGAGAATCAGAATACGCAGCTTCCGCTTACGACACAATCACAAGCTCCAAGCACAACACGAAAAATAATGCGCTGTCGAGCAGTAGCTTGAAAGGAGTAGAATAAAAGGCGTGAAAGTTTCGAAAGCCTATCTATTTTGAGTTGTTTTTGCTCAGCAAGAAGAGGACACCAGCGACACGACTGTAGCACAACCGACACACGCCAGAGAAACTCACAGAGCTGCGCTTCTCAAGATTTATCTCTCATCAACGCGGCAGAAAAAATCCATGCGTCGAAAGGTATTTTGCTTTGCCCTTCGCATCTTCGCGAGCCAAAAGCCTGATGATGACGACACAGGTGGTCGTCCACGTCCTCAATAAATCAAAACTACAACCACTTATAGAAGTGAGTACTTATCCATCGTTATCTTCAGCATGATGTTCGTCGAAGCATGATCGGACCGAAAACATGAGAGTGCTGGACCACCACATCCTTTGGCAACCAAACACGCGTAAACACGCCACAGTACTACGCCTGCGCGCAGCTGCACAAGCACGATAGCGGCCTCTGCAATGATTTTCGTTCTTTCCAGCAAGGGAGGTGGAAGAGGAAGAGGACGAAGACAAGTCGACAAATGAGGTGCATTGTTTCCTTTATTCCACGTTCAGTCGGGCCAGCACGTCGTTTGCGCAAGAAGAAGAATTATTGTTCTTCCTTGTGCAGCTATACTAAGCCAAATAAGGCGCGTATCGACGGGCTAGGATTCAATTTTTGTACAAGCAGGAGTCGTTCACAATAAATTTTTGACAAAACTAGTGAGAGTGGCTGCTTCGCTTTTGTTTTTGAAACGTGCATCATAATTCTAACGAAGTTAGGCTTAGGAACCGGCAAAAATTGCGCGGAGTCGTTGCTTTTAGTATGTGATCCCTTCTACTTCACTGGAGTAAAAAATCGTACAAAGTTCTTGTCGACGGCCTCAGGAGCCGTCTGCGAGCAGTTTCCGAAGCAAGTTTTCTCGCGCGGCAGACGAGTCCCTTCGACGCGGGAATACCGGGGTGCTTAACGTACTCGAACTCGTGCTCCGGCCGCTTCTAGGTAGTAGATTACAGCCGGTCGTGAGCTCCAACCTGACGGCTGCACTTTTCCTTTCTGGGTTCAACGTTTTTTTGCTGTTATTTTTGTTCCGTTGTTCTGCAGAACTCCCATCTACAGCGCATTCGTCCTCCTCTTGTTGCGCTTCAACATCGAGGTTCCTAGTAAACAATATTTCGTTCATCTTTGGACACATTGCTGCTGGTTTGCCATGGCGCCTGTTGCAGGTTCGAGAAGAACTCGTCGCGCAAGAAGAGGAAGAGCCATTTTTACTTCGCCCCCGTGCACTGTTCTTCAGAAAAATCTCCTCGATCTCGTCGGCGGCATCGAACTCTTCGCAAGAATCGTGGCCACGAGTTGTAGCGCGGTGTAATATTTCGGGAAGATGTTTCTGATTCTCATCAAGGCGTTCCTCCACTTGTAGGAAATGTTGAAGAGATGCCTCTACTCCTCCCGGGACATCAAGGTCAGAATCTTCCTGCAAAACACCCAGATAAGATTGCTCTGGCCGCGTTTGTTCTTGGTAAAATTGAAAAACCTGCTGGGCGGGGCCAGGTGTTCGTACAGCAGCGTCAGGAAGGAGATCCAGGTTCATGTTCACGTGCCCGACAGTACTGTCAGCTGCGAAGGTCCCGCCGCCGGGCACAGTCGGTCCTTCACCTTATGACAACACAAAAAAGTTTGCCACAGTCACTAATATTTTGCAGGTTCTTTCGCATGATAAATTATTTTCCAAGAGGCATCGCAGCCACTTCTTGTCTTGCAGAGACACAAGGCACATGCAAATCGCATATGAAATTTGACTCAGATGCACGTTAATGCATGCCCAGCACAGATGCTTCTTGTATTTTAAGATCACCGAAGATGAGTAAAGATCGTGACGAACTTTTTTTGTTTGATACATCGCCGTTGTTGTTCACTAGCAGCAGTGCCTGCATCTCTCTGCGGACGTCCTGCAAAACGTTTGTCAGCTCTCGGTTCGTCCTCGTTGTCCTGCCGTGCTCCTGCATATCAAATGCAAAAGTGTGTGGGTCTGGAAGAGTCCTGCTTCAAGCATCAAAGGTTTCAAGAAGCTTCCGCGATGCCGAATTCGCATGACAAGTCCCCCACTTGGCTGGCAGGAAGTGGGCAGCTTTTGATACCTATGCATGAGAGATTTTTTTGTGTTCTGAAATGCGCATTACGAGTTTGCATTCTTCCAGACCCAGACATTTATTTTTGCAGTTCATACTGCACCTGCTCGTGCAACCTTGCGCGGCAGTCGAGAAGCTGTTGGTGGAGGCAGTGGTGCAGAAAAAAGTGAGAAGAGCGGTTTTTATCGTTATGTACCACTAGTCAACACTCAATATGAAGAGCGGAACATCAGCCGAAGAGCAGTACAACTAGTCAACACTCAAAATAAATGCATTCGCTTCCGTATGAGTACCTCTTTCCGCAACTCGTCATTTCCCTTCTGCAGGTCGCTGAGCTGGTCCAGACAGGCGGTGCGCGTCTCCTGTATCTGCGCCTTGCAGCTTTCCAAAAGCAGCTGCTTATCCTTCTCACTTTCTTCATAAGCTTCCTCCAGCTGCTGGTAGGCATTTTGCCAGGAACACAGCAAATTCTTCAGCGATTGATTCTCCCGCGCAAGCTCTTCGTTGAGTTTCTTCGGGTGTGGGTTGTTCAGCTGGGAAGACAATTTGGAACCGTTCCGCTCAACTTCTGCTACAGCACCGTGGTCCTCCCCCACAAACCCTGGATCCACGGATGACGAAGTCGGCTGCGGCACGTAGCTCGGTGCCTGGAGCAGCTTCAACGTGTTGGAGTTCCGCTTGGACTGCGCTTTCAACGCAGCTAGCCGGCTGTTCTGTTTCTGCGCAAACGCTTGGAACGGAGTCGCGGCTGTAGTACGGTAGAAGTAGTTCGCGCCACTGGCGGAAGACGTACTAGTTGCCCCCGTCGTGTTTGGCGTTGTCGCGCCCAGCATGCCGGCTGTCTGGGGGGGTACGATCAACCCCGTGTGATGCTGCTGCTGGTGCAGCATCGTCAGCAGAAGTCCCGCAGGCGGCCGCTCGGCCTCAACTTAGATCAAGACAGATCACAATGCTTTTTGCCATCTCGTCCTATTGCGCGTGGTCGTGAGGAGATGTGGACATAGATATAGTATTTCTTTTTCTTTTGCTTATTGCAGCTATTTATGTATATATTTCTTTGTAGCGGACTAGGACTACGCTACCAACAATGGCTACTATAGTATCCTCACTATTTGAAAATATTCTACCGCGGTAATCAGCATGATGCGGCGCCGCGATTTTTCGATCGTGCTGTAGGAAAATCATAAGACGAAGAGGACGCGACGAGAAGGAGGACCACGAGGGCCTATATTGAATTAGCTTTCGACCGTAAGAACTACAGTCCGATTGCAATCAGAACTTTTGTCGCGCGCGGCTCGCTCTTCGCTGGGATCCTCTTTGCCCTAGCGAGACATGCTCGCAAGAACTCTCATAGCATGTCATCGCCGGGCTTCTTATGCTTTCGACTCGAAGACGACTGTCATTCGCTCAAAACAACTCTCTCTTGCAACACCTCCTACCTATCCCTATCCTACGACTCTAAGTACTATCCTCTCCTCGGGGATCGTGCGCCTCGCGATCATGTGTTGAATCAAAATGATCGTCTAAGTAACGAGTGACAGTGTAAACCTTCACACATAACATAACGATACACCAAAATCTAAATCAACATAGGTGAAGAGAATGACAGACAAAGAGGTGTGGTGGGCGTTCCTTTAAGAACGAGGGCTGGCGTCGGAGTTCCTTCGACGGAGTAGACCGTTCACACTCAGCGACCGGAAATAGCCAGGTCGGCCGCGGCTCCTAGACGGTCGTAGTGCACCGTTTCCATCCACATACGACAGTTTGTACTGTTCATAGATACATTTCATTTAACATTCGTCATCTTGTATCAAACCAAAACAGATATATTTCATTTTCTTATCGGTCTTCATTACCAGCTCTTACAAGAGCCGAGGTTCAACAGCTTAAGGGCCATTGTATAATGTGATCTTTTCTTGTCAGCATGAGGTTCCAAAAAAGCAATTGAAGTAAATTTTTAGCATAGAGGGAAAAAGAAAAACACCGCAAATGAAAAACAGAGGACACACTACCACTTGAAGATGTGAAAAGATAAAAAAAAACTACTTACATCAACATGGACAGGAGGTAGCTGAAATGATAATCATCTTCTAGTGGACAGCGATACTTATTTGCTGCTGCGCGCTATTGTAATTGTTATCTTCACCATTATTTTTTCAACAATAAACAAAACTGTTCCCGATCTTCCACATCCACTAGCTCGGTCGCGGAAGACGTTACACGATATATTAAGGGATAAAAATTAAGCATCCTTACGACCACTTCGCGGTGCTGTTGGAAGTCATCAAAACTGTAATAAATTCGTCTACTGCTTGAGCTATTCCTCTACTGGTTGAGTTTCTTTTTTATTTGGTAAACATCCATCGAGACCTTGCTGAGAAAAGGTAAAGTGAACGCAGTAGCTTGGCTAGAGTGGCTGAGTCGGTCCGAATTCTTGTTCCTATATGAATCTATCTTCTGCCGTATATATTTCTAAATTTTGTTTCGTGCTGTTTATAGTAAGTACCTTGAGGTCGTGGCGAAAAATAATTCGCGACGAAAAAGTCGCTGGATTTGGATCATTCTATGCAGGAGCATGACGCAACTACGTACGCCATTGATTCCGTTATCTATTTGCGCCATTTTTTATTACTTAGAAGAAGTATCTACGTACTTCCCGAGACAAAATAGATTCTGGTTCAAATTCTGTTTGTTGTTTCCTTGTGTTTCGATATTTATCCAACAAGACAAAATCCACTACTTACGTTGGTTTCATCACTCGACCTACTCGTCGTGTTCTCGATGCACGGCTTCCTTGGCCGCTTCCGCCATCTTCTGCCCTTGCTTAGTTTGCAAGACGTGCTCATGGACAGAGACTGCTTTCTCCTGCTGGTTATACCTGACGGACCCTTCGCCCTTAATATTATTCCACTCCCGACCCATCAAAATATTCCGGCAAATTCCGCAACAACACAACAGGTAGCAGTTGCATGGTCCACAACCGCACGTTTTTGCCTTGCACGTATCGACCGCGTTTCCAATGCAAATGTGAATGAATCTGGAAAGGATGACGATGCTCGGTCAAGAATAAGTTTTGCACAACCACAATCGTATCTATATCGTTGTTGAAAAGACCTTCAGAATAATGATCCCGCATCATTTTGCTGAGCGATGGACGCACTTTTCATGCGGAATAATAACCCGGCGGAGGCAGCCCCTTCGCAAAACTGCTAAATGCTCATGTTGGATCTACTGCATGCATTCCAAAGGACTACTGTCCTATCTGCGTGAAGATACTGAAAATGATAGACCAACGATCATCGGGCAAAAGATCATGCATGCCAAGCAAGCGCACTAATTTTCCAGGCCCAGACGCATTTGCAATCGATATTGCATCCACCTCACTTCCTTCAGCGGACCCGCCGCATCTCCTCCTATCCCACAAAAAAAAGCAGGCAGGGCATATTAAGTAATTTATTTGTATGAGTCAGAGTCACGTAATGCAAAAATAAATACGCCCAAAAATGATCTGTCATGGGCGGCCCCATAGCATGCTGCCCATGATACGCAAAATCAAGTATTTATTCTCGCGCTACAAATATTACCTGCCTGCTTTTTTCTGCGCGATACCTCCCGCAGGCTTCAAAACCCTCATCGCGGGGGTTCAAGCATGTGCAGATCGTGCAGGCCGCCAGCCCGGCGAGAAAGAGGCTCAAACATCCCCCACCGCCTTCTCCGTGGCTGGCAAGCCCCGCACCAATATCGGTCAACACCCACAGGTCGCAATTGGTGAGTATCAAAACGAACAACCCCCTCTCTCCATATTGAAGCGGACACTTCTACTGCTGGATTTGTGTACACGAATCAGCTCTGTCTTGCAGTGAGGCACTGCAGGCAGAGCCTCAGCCTGCGTAAGGATGTGGTCGTGGCGTAAGTAGGTGCTTAGCATAGCAGAGGCTTGCCATGTAGGCGCAACAGCATTACGAATCGCCTGCATAATGCGGCGGATTCTCTGGATTTGCCCTCTTGCAAGATTTGTGATCACAAATCGGCATCACCAATTTTTGGAAGCATGCGCTTTCAGTATGGGGAGGGGGGATTTTTCCTCACAGTAGTGAAAAAGTCGGCACCACCGAAAAAGATGATCAAGGAGAACATGATATCCTGAGTAAAAACGTACCCACACCAGAGTTGTAATGCGAATTTGCATGCCAAAAAAGTTTCTCATGCGAAGCCCCATGAGAAGCTTTTTCTAGTCGTGTTTTGGGATTTGTGACTCTAGAAATAGCATGATATGCTAGATCTGTGATGCTGCTGAACTAGTTAAACAGGATTACACTACGAGGACAAACTTGTCATGCGAGACAACCAAAGTTGGCTGATTTGTCTAGCAGATTTTCCACGTTGACTCTGGTATGGGGACGTTTTTACTCAGGATACATGAACAACGTGATGAAGGCCGCGACAAAAAAAATGAAGCAGTACTTGGAGGTATCACTTGCAAAAACGTCCCCAGCCCATAGTTGTGATGCCATTCTGCATGCGGAAGATGTTTCTCATGCGGAGCCCCATGATGAAAAGCATGCGTTAGTCGTGTTTCGGAATTTGTCATGCTCCAATCAGCGCGATGTGCCGGATTTGTGGCGCTGGCGAACTAGCTAAAGCTGACTACACTACGAGGCCAGACTTGTCATGCGCAACAGCCAAGCCTTGTGGATTTGTCTAGCAGATTTCCCGTCTTGACTATGGGCTGGGGACGTTTTTACACAGGATAGGAGGTTTTCGCATACTTCCGTCCCAAGAACATGGTGTCGCAGCCGCAGTCCCAGTTGCAACACTCGTTGTTGCCACTCTGTAAATCCTGCCGCACCACAGCACCAGCCGCGTCGTAGTTTTGCGAGTCGCCCCTCCCGTAATTCCATATCCTATGTAAAAACGTCCCTGCATAATGATTTGCCATGAAAATCTGCATGCCCAAAATTTTTCGCATTTTCATACGCAGATCCGCTCTGAGAAGCGTTTTCTGGCGGCAATGACGTCGTCTCGGAGTTGTCAATTGGTGACTAATCACCGGGACCAGCATCATCGACACGGAGCCCCCTCGTCCTGCGGTTGGCTTTGCGACCGCCTCAGGACGTGCTGGGCAACTGGTGATAACTGGTGGTAATTTTTACCAGGTACACGATCCGTTGCCCTGCGGGTCTCGATCGGTTTTCAATGCGGCCGGATCAGGAAAACACGTCTACTGCATGCAATAGAGACCCAAGGTTGTGCTAATGTCACGCAACAGCCCTCACACCTACTTACTTCTTCGCTTGTGTAGAAAAAGTGTCGCTTCGACCATGGGCGGGAGGGAGGGACATTTCTACACAGGATAAAGTCGTCCTCGTCGGATGGGTCCATTCTATCTCAATATCAAAAAAAAAACACCGTCACAACACTACTCTTGAGGACCTTCGCAGCAATTCTGTTACGATGACAAAAGCGTATCATTGTCAATGTCAAACTTTCTTATACACGATTTCTCTATATTTCTCTGTTTCTGCAAAAAAACAAGCAAGGCAAAAAATGCGACGCCAGAAAAATTCTCCATGCAATGCCTGCAAAACAGAGACTGCGACAAAGTTTTTTCTTTCGATACCCACTCGTCCTTGTTATGCTTGTGTCTTCGGGCTTGGCCTTGGGCTATTGACAAAACAATAAAACAACATACAATTCTTAATTTCTCGCACAAGTAGTGCATGAAATGTGCTGACCAATGCCTCCCACCTATTGTGCCATGCAGTGGCTTAATAGCAAATGCGATGCGGTCGTGGAGCATGACTGAGGCCCTCCTTCATCTCCTGGACAGCCACAGCTGCACACAGCGTGACAAATAAACTGAGCTACAAACCCTCGAGCCGCATATTGATATTTGTTGCCCTTGGGCCGGCTGGAAAATAAAGCAGCGAGTCCAACTGGTCGCATCATCCGAATTCTCGTGTCTGATGCACATTGACACTCGTCACATTGCAAATCATATACCTTTTTGTTTGATGTAGTTGTACAAAAGGTAGCTACTTATCTTCATCTTGCCGACTTCCCGACTGACACTTCCATAGTGGTCCTCCCTCCTCCTGCGTGGTTTTCGACTTCCTTTCTTCTTCTTTCTCCCTCTCCGGTTGTCACTAACTTCTTCACCCAGTTCTTCCCCCTGGCCCTGCTTCGCGTAGTTGCCTTGCCTCATGATCTCGACCAGCTTCCTCCGGTTCTGCTGCCTCTGCAGGAAACTAGAGTACGAGGCTGCTGCGGCCCCGTTCTTGGCGGCCCTCGCGGTGCTGCCGGTCAACCGTGATGCCATATCGTAAGGAAAAATCCCCCCTGCCCATATCGAAAAGGCACGCCGCAGAGGATTTGCGATGCTGATTTGTGACCACAAATCGCGTCTGTCTTGCAAGAAAGCAACGGCATAGGCTCCGCCCCATTGTGCAGGCGGTTTGTAATGCTGTTGGGCCTACAGCATAGACGTTCCTCGTGCCAAGTGCCTGGGCAGACCTCGTCTCTGCATTGGCATGATATGGGCCTGCAGTCCTCTACTGCAAGACAAATCTGATCTGTGTACGCAAATCCAGCAGCAGAAGTTTCGTTTTGATGTGGGGAGGGGAGATTTTTCATTTTGATATGCCAGGCCGGAGAAGAAGCCGCCGCCCTTCGTCTTCTCCATACCTTTTCCTCCCGACGTCTTCGTCTTGGTCGGGGCAACAAACTTTTCCATCTTTACTTGGGCTATCAAATGCAAATATGTCTCGGTCTGGAAACTTGTAATGCTGAAATGTGAATAGTGTTAGTGAGTGCTCGTCTGTAATGCACAGCCAAGCATGAGAAATGTCTGCGGGGCTTAGTGATAGTGTTGAGCTTTCCGCATGACAAGCTGCGTTTTTGTATGACAAGCAAAAGGGTCTCTTCTTGGACACGCATCACAGACTTTTCAGTATATGCCAGACAAGCATGACAGACCTTGCATCCTTCCAGACCCAGACATTTTGGCAATTCATATGGGCCGGGGGTTGTTTCGGTACCTGTCCCGACGTCGCGGGTCTTCCCGCGCCCCACTTGTCCTCAATGACCTTGTATCAACTGCAAAAATGTCTGGGTCTGGAAAACTGCGAGATTTGTCATGCATATTTTTCATGACCCATGATAGTCTGTGATGTTGTATGCCCTAGCATTACGGATTTTTAGAAACCTTCCTAATGCGCCTCCCGCATGAGAAATGCCCTGTCCGTGTAGCACAATCTGGACCACTCTTGCTCCTCATGCAACACAAATTTTTTTAGACTCCAAAAACAGCATGACAAGTTGCAAGCTTCCAGACCCAGACATATTTGCGTTTGATACCTTGCGCGCGCTGTCGACGGCCGTCGTATGCACTGCAAAAGTACTATCGCTGTACTAAAAGTTCCAATACGATGAATTATTGCATTACATGCTCATAAATTGAAATTGAAATTGAAATCTATCCAATACGAGGAACAAACAGAAAATTAGTGCTCGAAGATAGACGTAGCTAGTTGTAGTGCTGTACTGCAATACTAGTACAACTACAATACTTTTGCAATCCATACTCCGAAGTTTGCTGCAAGTTCTCCACGACTTCAGCCCGCGAGACCCCCGCTGTCATCCCGCGATTAGGTGGTTGCTTTAAGCGTTTCTGATCATCCTTCAGTATGTCGTACAACTGGCCACCGTCTTTCGCGTACGTCTGCAGCATCGCCTGCAGCAGTTGCAAAAGATTTGCGATAAACTTTTGCAGCGCGGCCGCCGTTTTATTCAGCAAGAAGGACTTGCCCGCGGTGCCCGTCTGTAGCTGGACCGGAACGGCCGCTTGCTGCGTAGTCGTTTGTCCCAGCTGTGCCAAAGATGTTGTAGTTGTTGAATAGTCCTCCTGCTCTCCTGTCGTACTACTAGAACTGGACCTCCACTTTGCATCTTCAGTACTACTACCACCAGCAGCTACAACCCTTGACGCCCCTTCGAGGCTGCCGCTGGTGTCCATGGTCTGCGACCTATCCTCGTCGTCCCGCCGCGCTACCTCCAGCTCCTGCAGCAGGACACTGGTGGCTTCTGCGATCGTTGCGTGTTCCGAAAGTGGAGATCCCCCAGCCCCTGCTGTCCTCTCGGCACCGAATTCTCCTTGATGTTGTACTGAAAAATCTAATGTGGAATTCGTAGCATCAGCGTTCGCACCGTTAAGAACAAAGCCTGCATCCTCTTCGTCGACCCGATGACGGCCCTGGATATTTAGCGTATTGCGCTTACGTTCTTACTAGTGGTGGTCTTCACGACCGTCACTTACGAAGTCGATGATACGAGTGTCTCTGTTCTCTTGCTATCAGACAGAGCCGGGGGCTACCTTACTATCATCAACAACATCAAGGCACATCAAGATCAACAAAGCTATTGATGCAAAGAGCGTCGTAAAAAATTTCCATCGTGAACTTTCTAAGTACCTCCCCCATAACAAGCTCTTGCTCCACGAAAGAAGGGGATATGGCCCGCTCAGCTGGAACAATCATCTCAACCGGAACAATGTAAAAGCCCAATTTTGTACCGTCTTTTGCGCAAAGGGCAAAATCAAAGAGCAACTAGTGTCCTTGCAGCTGCTCCGGCGCATAATGACAGTTTTTTGGTACGAATTGCAAAAATGCCGCGGAGTGTAGGTGTAGATTCATACATTTGTCATCATGGTGCTAGGGACCGATATAGTGTGCACAGATTAAAAAGGGTATCCGCCATCTAGTATTGCATCACCATTTCTTGTTCCAGTCCAGGTTGTTTTGAGCTGAGACTGCCATAGAGGTTGCGTCGGTTTTTTTCGGTTGGTTCATCTTCCCCATGAACTCAAAATATCGCAACAAAAAACTGTCTCTGACTCAACTTGTGTAGATGAAGCTCCTCGACGATAATTACATGCAACACCAGCAGGCAGGCCTTGTTTTGAAAATGTTTCCTCTTCTTGCGTCTGACTCATCGAAGGGCATTTTGTGTGTTTTCTAAAATTTGTGAAAATGCTGAGACTGCAAAGGTAGTTTGAGCCTGAGACAGTAGTTTTTTCTCGCGATATAAAAGCCTGCAAAACGAGGGGAACCAGAACGTCGATGGGATTCGTGCATCCAAAGGAAATTTGGACTTCCCGTACTACACACACAGATAGTGCGAACAGCGCATGACAAAGCTGTTTTTTCGCGTCCTTGTTCAGCTTGACAAGTCACGTGCTGCAGGGTGGACACACAATCGTGTTTGATGCATTTTGTATGCGTAGTTATGCGTGGCACTACGGGGGTATGCTAATTAAATTTGTATTGCATATCGTGTGCTCCATGTCCATCAGATTAAAAAACATCCGCAGCCCGTTGCTCATCTCCTTGTTCTGCTGCGCTTGAGCTTTTTTGTTCTTGGTATCGCATGCAAATACAGCGTCTGGGAGGTCTCGGTCTCGGTCTGAACAGGAGAACATAAAAAACACGTGACTTGTCATGCTGTGTCTTGCGCGACATGGCAATTTGCGCTACAAGCCTGGCCGGCGCCGGCGTTAATACGTATACGGCATGCAAGCATGACAATTTGTTCCTTCGGGTCTTAAGTACATATTGCAAATTCCGAACCCTGCTGTTTGGCATGACGAAGACGAACTGGAACTGCTTTGTTCCAGCACAACAGAAATAAACCTTCCTGCTGCTCACACAAATGGAAATGCAGTAAGTACTTAATTTTTGCAAGATTGAGTAGATTTGTGTAGGAGCAGCTGCTGCTTCCAACCGCCACCCCACACATCCAGACCTTCCAAACGCATGATTTGCAAGGAGTACTTGGAGCCCGCCACGTGCCCCGCGTTTGAAATCACTCCAGCCACGGTGGCCACCAGGTTCTTCATACCCGCAGATTTTGCCCGCGGCGCCAGGGCGAACGTGTGCTGGAGCGGGTAAACCGCGAGCCGGTCTTGCGCGGACACTGGTTTTATTACCTGCGGCTGCGTACTATCCCACAGAAAAAAGCTGGCAGGGCATATTTGTAATGCAAAAATAAATACACAGAAAAATCTGTCATGGGCGGCCTCTTAGCATGCTATTTAGGATATGCAATACAAATTTATTTTTTTTTGTCAGTTTATTTTTGCATTACAAATATGACCTGCCAGTTTTTTTCTGTGTGATACGTACCATCCGGTAAAAACATCGGGAAAAACGTGCGCAGTTTATGGAACTGTCAGGATCGAAATTGACAAAATCCAAATCGAAAAATTTGTGATGCATAAAATGCATGACGCGAGATACGTGTGTTGCAGAGCAGGCAAGCGAGGCCGATTGTAAGCCTGTTTGGGGCTATAGCTCGAGCTGCTAAAGCAGCATGAGAAAGACAGTCTTCTTTGCCTAGACAGCATTACAAACTGGATTCAGGTACCAGCAGAATTTGTGATGCGCCACTTAGAAACTGGGTTCGGACTGGAATCCATTTTATGCATGACAAATTGATGAATGTATTCTGTTCGACGTTATCGCCTTAGAATTCCCTTTTTCGACCTCTCAGTCTCATGATCGCCTGGATTGGGAGATTATTTTCAATGCTGTTGCTGTTGGTGAAGGAAGATGTAGAAGAAGTTGATGCTGTTTGCTTTACTGTGCCATAGCTGTTCCCAGATACTATTTGTCTCCAAAGCTCTTTGCTTAAGCAGTCCGCTGGTGTGGATCGTCTTTTGATCAATTCTCGGTTGATTTCGGAGATCCAGGTTTTTGTTGCGCTCTGTCCGTGTCGTGCTTTCGGGACTCTGTCCGTGTCATGACAAATTATTTCGATATTGTCAATTTCGATTCTGACACTTCCATACAGTTGCCGCTTCAGGTATTCACCGGCCACTCCCGCCAGCACTTCGCTTTCCTTTTCTTTCTCCTCCTTACTCATGTCTTTGCCTCCGCCTGCGATGACTAGGTTTTTTTTCACCCATGCGACTACTGTGGGCACAACGCCATTCAGAAACGCTGCTTGCATTTTCTGCAACAAATCCCGGTCAAGCTCCAGTTGGAACAGATTACTGAATCCTCCGGCGCTTTGGAGCATCTTTCGCAGGTCCACTGCTCTGTTCTCTTGCAAAGCCGCTTGCCAGATCGTAGTTGCCGACATGTTCGTCTTCCATCTTAATGTGTACGGCGTGGGCAGCAGGTTTCGTGTTGCGAATTGCAGCTCGTTGCCTTTATTTGCAAAGGTTTTGTCGAGCTCGGTCTTACTAAAGACGCGGACATCGAGCACCGGCTGTTGTTGTGCGGAACTCTGGGGGGCGTCCTTGTACTGCAAGTGATACTCCACCGGGTTGCCCAGCACCCGCAATTGCTTTGCGGATTTATATCAAATGTAAAAATGTCTGGGTCTGGAAGGTTACAAGGTTTGTCATGCATATTTTGCATGAGTCAGGATGTCTGTAATGCATGATCTAGCATCACATATTTTTAGAGGCCTTCCTGATGCCTCTCCCGCATGACAAATGCCCTCCCCGCGTAACACAAACTGGGCTCCTCTTGCTGGTCATGCAATACAGATTTTTTTAGCATCCAAAGTTAGCATCACAAGTTCCAACCTTCCAGACCCAGACATTTTTTTTTTACATTTGATAATTTACAAATAACTGCAAAATCGCTCTCCAACGCCGGACTCGTCCACTTGGGTCCGACATCTGTTTATCGTGCGAAAAAACTGTCCCGGTATCAACTTCTAATGCGGAACTTTCTTGAAACAGCTTTTTGTCATGCTCGGCATGCAGGAAAGTCGTCCTCTATATGTTTATGTGTTCTCCCTTGTTGTGTCTGACGCATCACAGGTAGTTTTCTGCGTTTATTGCTGAGTGTGAGTCTGCAACGGTTTGAGACTGAGTCTGAGACAGTTCTTTCTGGCGATACTATTCTACAGAAAAGTACACCCTTTTACCAGTAACTAAATTCAGGATAATAAATACAGGTTTCTTTTCAGAAGTGCCACGAAAAACTTTCTTCGGTTGTTATCAGCATGACATCTCTATTTTCGGTATCTCGCTAATTTTTGAGATGCAGCTTGAATGACACAAAACTCCGCGCATTACAGTTACTCCTGTGGAGGTGGTAGTTTGTTCCGCATGCATTACAGAGGTTTTATTTTCGGAGTGTAAGTTGCAACACAGCTTTTTGTTCCCCCGTACCAGCCCGGGCCGCGTACTTTTCTGTCTGATAACATCCCTTCCGCTCTGATCGAGCGCCTCGGTCATGTCTGGAAGCGGCAACAGCGACCACGTGATCTGCTTCCGCCCCACGGTCTTCGACGTTGTACCAGTCGACGTGAGCCGCTCAACTTTGCGAACGAGGAAAATCGTCCCCGGCTGGTAGCTCTGCTTTCCATTCTCGGTTACCAGCACGTCGGTGTTGGTCACGAAGTCGTTGAGTTTCGGAAAAACCGAGAGGTAATTGGAGTGGATCTTAAACAGGTTCGTTTGCTTATCAAATGCAAAAATGTCTGGGTCTGGATGGATGCAAGATTAAAGATTTGTCATGCATATTTTTCATGACCCATGATGCCTGTAATGCATGACCTAGCATCGCCGATTTTTAGAGGGCTTCCTGATGCACCTTCCGCATGAGAAATGCCCTGTCCGTGTAGCACAAAGTGTGCCCCTCTTGCTGGTCATGCAAGACAAACTTTTCTAGAATCCAAAAACAGCATGACAAGGTGCAATCTTCCAGACCCAGAATACATTTTTGCAGTTGATATTGCTCCGGCTTTCCCGATTTCGCGTTCCACGCCGTCACTTTGAAGCCGTCCCCAAACGACACGAGCGCATACACGGCCGACACTTGCTGGTTTGGCAGCGAGGGTTCCGGCTGCGGGAGGTTGGTGTGCGTGATGATGCCCTCCTGCAGTTGGATCTCGGTGGGCAGGTTCACGTTTTTATTGTCCGGAACGTCTCCAATCTGTAGCTGCCCTGGGTTGGCCGGATCCACGAACACTGGCTGCACAGCGTCCATGTTCGCTGGACTCTTATCGAACACGACGTGCACGTGCGTATCTCTCTGCGGAGTGGGCATAAACCGGCCAGACAAAAATTGGTTTCGGACCCCGGTAGCCAGGACCGAGGTCAAGCCGTTCGACTGCGCGCCGGTATCGCCGCTGGTCCCGCGCCGTAAAGCGATAAGGGACGCAGCAACCTGTGCGATCGTCGTGTGTAGTGAGGCAAATGTTGACAGTTTGCATTGTTCTGTGTCTCAATATCATCAACGAACTGCCTTAGGCTCTTTGAAATATGAAAAGTCCCGGTCTAATTGACCGGATCTTGTTGTGAAGTAAAACTACTTAGGTCGTTGCTACACATCACAAATTTGAAGTTCTTAATGGAGATCGCCGTGCTCCTGTGGCCAGACTACATCAAGAGACTATACTGGCTGCAGTGTCTTTTGCAAGGAGTCTATGCGCGCCTGCGCCTCGGGATCGCCATCCTGTTTCATGATTCGCTCCAACGTTGTCGCTTGAATGTCCTTCATGAAATTCCATCCTGTGGAAAGACGTACCCACTCGCCCACGGTCAAGTCGGACACAAAGTCCTGGAGTTTTGCTATTCCAGCGCACGCATGACAAACTTCCGTCCGTGGTAGCCGGCGCGTGGTGCCGATTACCTAGCAACCGCAGCCACATCACAAAGCGGTGTGCTTATCTTATTTACAGCATTACACATTTTTTGTCCGAGAAGATACCACGCTGAGAAATGCAAACGCCTCGTCTCGTAGGGAGGAAGATGAGGTGAATTAGCGTCACAACCGTTCTTCCCGCTACTGTAATTCTATGTTGTAAATGCAAGTAATCTGCATCAAAAACCCAACTCGGGTGGGCGTGGGACTGGGAGCAGGTACGTTTTTACTCGCGATAAGTTCTGCAAGCCGTTCTGCGCATTTCCGATCGCCGTTGTAGTCGTTTCAGCAGAACTTCTGGAGCTTTTTCTCGTGCTCACTCTCCCGCTTGACCTGCTAGATTTTCTATCACCCAGAAGGTTGTTAATGATGCAATTGTCCGCTTAGGAGAATTGTGGTGCAACACAGCAAAACTAAAAATCCACAGTTACAGAGTGCTTGGCAAATCCCCATAGAGGGAGCTTGTCTAGATTTACTGAATGGCATGAAGATAACGGGAAAGTTAAAGTAGTAGTAGTAGACAGCAGAACATTATAAACAACGTAGGAATTCATCATGGCACCATAACCACTATAGCTCGCTAGTAGCGCTACTCATTTTTAAGAAGATTTCTCGGTGATAAGATCTCGCAGAGTCCGAGCCGGTTCTGCCAGATTCTGCAGCTTCTTCTTCCCCCTCTCTTTCCGTAAAGGACGACGTAGAAGCAGCGGAGCCGTGCGAGCTCCCGGTAGAAATTCCGTCAACATCATTCTCGTTGTTTTCGTACCCAATACTCTCGTCGTCGTGGTGGTCCTCCACAGCGTTATAGTGCTTCGTTGCGCCACGCAGATGGGGATCTGTTGGAGCAACAGTATGGGAGGTGTTTTCGCTTTTATCTAGGTGGGAGCGGCGGCGTAAAATATAATCAAATGCAATAACGAAAACAAAAAAAATCGAGTCTACATAGAACGAATACACAATAGAAGCTCTTAGTACAAGGCTTACGCGCAGCTGAGGAAGGTGATCTTAACGAAGATTTTGCCGAGCTTTGACTGCTCGACGAGCTCGTAGTTGAGGCCGCTCCTGGAGCTCCTGCTCCTCTGGACCTTGAGGCTGTTGGACTACTCACATCTGTCACATCCGTGCCTTCTAGTCCTTCGAGCGAGCTCTTCAGCTCCGCCCAGGACGGAGTTGTTCGACCACTTGGTTGATTATTTTCCAGGAAGGTTGAGGTTTCCGTTCTGATGTCCTCATGATCCTCCTCCACGTCGTCCGTCCTTATTGTACTAGCACGACTTCTCGACACACTGCCAACATTCTTTCCTGGTCCGCTTGACGGCGCTGCAGAGGAGGTCGTTTCATCTGCAGAATAATCTTCTGCTTCGATGAAGCTGGACGTCGCTACACTTAGAGAGTCTGAGTCAGCTCGGGCGTCGATGGAATAAACACCGGAATAAACATCTTCACGCAGCTCCTGAATGCGATCTCTGGTGCCCTCGCTGGCGAGTGGTCCTCGTGCTTTGACGCTATCTATGTCCCCCTCGCTTGCTCCTGGTGCTACACCAAGTTCTACTTCTGGTTTCTCCCCCAGTTCGCTGCGTCGGGTATCCATTGCAAATATACCTGGGCCTGGAAGACTGCAAGTTTCTCATGCTCGGCTGGCATGCGTCTGCGTCTACTTGTACTTGACTCTGTGATACATGAAAAAAGCCCCTGCCCGTCATGCAAAAACGCAGTTTGTCATGCGCAAACCGCAACAGTCTGTTTATGTCATGCGCAAAACGAAACACATATGTCATGCTTGGCTGCGTATCGCAGTGCGCGGCCCATCATTCATTAATTTGCATCACAAGTTTCGTCCAGACCCAAATCTATTTGCATTGGATATCGGGAAGATGAGGACGATGCGAAGTTGGACGACGAGCCCTGCTGTAATCCTCCGCCACCAACGGCAGTAGATCTTGCAGTGCCTCCTGCGACTACGCCTTCGGTTCCCACTTCCGGCTCCCCCTGCTGTGCCTCCTCAAGTCGGTCCTCGGAATTATATGTCGCTACCTCCCGAACCAGGAAACTGCCCGTGGTTCCCAGCAGGAACGTCGGGCAACTGCCGCGTGGGCAGCTCATATTAATTTGGGGCGTGGGGAGTGGACGGAAGTGGTTGCCCCGGGTTCCACCTCCTCCTTGCGTTCGCCGACCCGAGTGGTAATCGATGCGGTGCCGACAAAATTTCTTAGCCTCAAAATTCCAAACATCAAAAAAGTCTTCTGTACCGTGGTCGTTGACCTAGGCGCCACGGCCACACGTAAAATGAATAAAATGACAATGACACGTTCGACTCGAACGTGGTCGATTAAAGTTGGTACTGGTTCTACTTCTGACCTGATCGGATCCCCTTGCATGATCATCGATCATTCCACCGCAAATTTAATAGTGCTAGAGATCGCACTACCTGGCGCTGGCCTCAACACAGCAGACACCGGATGCAGATAGTAATTTGAATTTCATTGAGCCCTCGCTCTACTAAAGAATAAAAATTCCTGTCTATACTAGCGCCATACCCTCTCTCTAAACAGTTTTCCAAGTTTGCTGGCGCTCAGTTCTCCTCACTCCTGTTTATTAGTTATGCTGGTCCTGCTCCTCGTGGTCATCTTCTATGACTCAGCCCCACCAGTACCCCGTGGACACAAGACACACGAATAAAACGGCCAACAGTGCCGGCGGCTTTCATTCAGCCCGACGATTCTTTACTACTTTTTGTCCTCCTCATTTCTTGTTGATAGCCACTTCTCAGCTATCGACCAGACAATGTCAATGAGTAAGCTCTGCTGTTCGTCCTCTTGGTAGGTTTATCCTGTAATATCCCGAATACAATTACCGGGCAAAATTTTCTGTGGAAGGTGGACGGAACGTACTAACTTGCCGCAGACAAAAATTCGAAAACGCAAAAATGTATAAGGTTGTTGACCTGCCGTAGATAACCTGCTCCACAGAATCGATTTATATAATTTCCTGTCAACTGCTCGTTGGTCCGCACCAGCTGAAAGACCCCAAGTACGACAAGGCGTGCGCCCGAGCGCGTGGTCCGCGAGAAAGCCAGGAGGTGAAATTACTTTCATCGTGGGCGACGAGATGTGCACCATCGACATCGTCCTCGTTGGTAGTAGTTGCAAGTGGTCGACTACTTTCCTTTCTAAGAAAACCGCTACTTTCGATCCGCAGCCCCTCTCTTCGCTACACGATCCAGCATCTCCGCGCGGACAGAGTAGATTTTCTTGCCTCTGTCCAGTTTCTTCTCTTCCTTGTTTCCGCGCGCGGAAAATTTGGGCTTGAGCAGAGACAGCCCCTATCAACTGTAAAAATGTCTGGGTCTGGATGATTGCAACTTGTCATGCTAAATCTGAATCAGGCAAAAAACTGTGTTGCATGATTGCCAAAAGTTGTGCACTTTTGACCTAATCGAGAGGCAGTTTCTCATGCAGGAGAGGCATTAGAAAGGTCGCGCAGATCTGTCATGCTATGTCCTACATACCAGACCTCATGGGTCATGGAAAAACTGCATGACAAATCTGGCAATCTTCCAGACCCAGACATTTTTGCATTTGATAGCCCCGGCTTCTGGACCAGTCGCTTGGACACCGTGTCGCAGACCATTTTGGGATAATTCGGTCTACAGGTCTTTTAAATCGCCACCTTGAAAGAAGGACAGAGCGATAGACGCGACTGACGCTACAATGGTGTTTCAAAGTGTTTATTGTCCTTTTCATCGATCTACGTAGTGTGCTTGGATTTTTTTACCGCGGGCGCTCCCTAGCACTCTCATCTCTCGCTCCGTGGCTGAACGCACTCGTTTCTTGTTCTCCTTCTCATTCTCTCCCCTTCTTGTTCTTTTGGGGTACTGACTTCACGTCGACGAAAAGCAAAAGGTAAAATGTACGTGAACAAAGATCAACATAATTGTCTCTCCGATGTTCTTCTTCATCGAAGTGAAGTGCGTGCATGGCTTCATAAATCCATCAACAGCAAGCTACAGAAAATATTACGAGTAAGTATATTGATGATTACTCCCCTACTGATTCATCTCGAAATTCTTCCTGCAGTTGCCGCCGAACTTGCTGCTTCCAGGTTGTAGATTTGTAGTCTCAAAGAGCAAGAGGGCAACTCAATTAAATTCTTCGAATCGAGTGGCACGTCGTGCTGCTAGTAGTAGTACGCGTCGAGGGCAAGTGAATATACGGAAGAGAAAGGGGGGAAGTGTCGTCCTGGGGTAGAGAAGAATGGAACTGTCGTCTTGGGGTAGAAAAAAACAGAGGGTCGCGCCCGTCGTTAGAGCTAGATGTAGATCTGCGAGGAATGCGAAATAAACTGCACGACTGGCACTTTTTTGATATCTTGGTAACAGCCAATATTAAATCTTCAAACGCTAGAAATCCACTCCCAGAGTGGACTGAGTTTCAATACCTAGAGTAGAAGTTTAAGTTTTTCGTTCTTTATCGACAAGCTCAATACGGCCCGGGTCTTGACACGGCGAAGGGATTGGCCGGTGCGGTGTCCTCTATTGGCTTGCCGCCCGGGGTCAGGCCAAGGGAGGCGTTCAGCTCGATGTCTTCGGGGTCGAGGTTCGCGGGGTTCTATCCTGTGGAAAAACGACCCCCGCCCATATCTGTCATTCAAATCGGCATGCCGCCTGGAACGTCTCTCTTACAGCTCAGAACTTTGTTGAAAATTTATCCTTTGTCGTGCTCTTAGCAGGATTATGAATGACACGGCCGGTTCTTTCTGATGTGGCTGTACTACCAGGGCGCGACTGCAGTGCATAAGCCTGGATTTGTCTTGCATGATTTGAATTTTTGTCTCGAAAAGGGGGTGGGTCCATTTTTTCACACGGGATAGGTTCCACATCCCATTTTGCATAGTTTGCTGCTGCATCAGGTTGTTCTGCTGTACCTGCATCATCCGCTGCTGCATAGACATGGTGGGCTGCTGTGGTTGCTGTTGCTGCATGATATTGTTCTGCTGCATCATATTTTGTTGTACACCACCACCGCCTGCCACCTGCTGGTTCCTAATTTCCCCGAACCAGCCGGGCATGGCCGGTCGGATCACGCCGGAGCCGTCATAGGGCTGAATCGGCATGTACTGCAGAAAGCCGCCGCCCGGCAGGGGCACGCTGACAATCATGCTGCCCGCCTGCCCGGGATTGCCCGCCGCATTCTGCTGCAAGAACTTCTGCGCGTGCTGGGTGTTTTGCTGTTGCTGCTGCGCCAAGTTGTTGCCGCCACCCATGTTTTGCTGCTGGGCCGCAACCTTTTCCAAAATGTTCATGTTCTGCGTCTTCTGCGTCGGGAAAGCAGCACCACCGCGGCCATTTGCGACGCTGCCACCCTTCGCACGACTACCGTCGCCACCCCGGTTGCCTCCTTTACCTGAGTTCGGTTCATCCCATGTTTCCAACATGATCCCGTTGTGTATTTCTCTAAAGTAGAAAGAATCCGGAATAGTAAAATCGATCGAAATTACGCCGAGGAGATTTGCTAGCGCAAACAAGTTCTTGGGCTGTTTTTGCAGGCCGTCTATACGGTCAGGAAAGGCAGTATAATGGGGAAGTCAACATCTGGCTTCGATTTGTCCGTCTTTTCATAGATCTAAGAAGTTAAAGTCCATCTACCTAAAATAAACAAAAATCTAGTACCTGCTCCCCGATCCGCAGTTCCCTGTCCCCCACGTCGCGGTGGCGGCGCGGGGGCCGGCGGGTGGCCGCCCTTCGGCGGAGCCCGCTGCGAGCGGTCCACAGACTTTTTGCAGTCGAGCCACACGCCACCCAGGTAATTGTTGTCGTACGTTTGGAGGACGGTGTCCACCGAACTGGAGTCTTCGAACTGGACGAAGGCAAAGCCCTTGCCAAGGCCGTTGCGGTCCTTCTTCACGTCGACATCTTTCACCGGTCCGAATTGTTCGAAAAACGTCCTCAGCGCCTTCGTCGAGTGGACCTCGTCTGTGGTGTTGTTTGGTGGGGGCCGTATGTCAAAACTTGAAATTCAACATCGCGATCGCTGCAGCAGGAATCTAAATGATCCCTTCATTTATTTTTTGTGATAAGTAGTTGTTTCTATGGATTCACTTAGATATACGCAGTATACCAATAGAAAAAAAAAAATGAAATGTAGAAAAAGTACTGTCTTTCACAAGATTGCCGACAAACATTTCGGCCGGATCTTGTGTGTATTGGCGGGGGCCCGACATTTTGCCGCGTTGTTCTTGTTTCCCTAGTCGTGTAACTCGTCTGCTGCGTTTCTAGAATGGAAAAGCCTCGTCCTACTTCAGTCCAACAAGCGGCGCAGCTCGTAGTTATATCAAAAATCTTCGTGATCCAAACCCACGTTTGATGTTCTTCTACCCAGCTAAAAACTTCTCCTGCAGCCGTAGTTCTTCTTGGTCCTCGTCCCGCGATGTCGACTATGTTGCTTCTTCTAGCTCTAGTAGAGGATTAGAATCTAGATGTGACTGCCCTACGTGTACGTCGATCACCCTCTAACAAATCACTACCCCGAGGAATCTTCTAGTGCTCACTGTCACTGCAATCCTTGCACTAGTACTACCCGTGCTACTTAGCACTACAAGGGTTGAAAGACGCTATCAAAAAAAGCTTCAATGTCCACGAATCAAAAATTGGGTCGCCGACCGTCGCGCAAAAAAACTGCTGGCTTGGAAAAGTTTTCTGTCGACAGGAAGCGGCAATGCGTTCACCTACGATGCGTTGTAGGCCGCGAGGAAACTAAGTACGCACTTCTGGTAGGAGGCTGTACTACCCCAAGTAATACGATCAATAGAGGATCTTGATTTAAGCATAAGATGAACTACGTGGTGTTGATGTTACGGCGCGCCTAGAAAATGAGTAGCAAAAACAGTACTAAAAAGCGAAATGAGATCTTTTTCGGAAGTGGTTCGCCAGTTTGTTGATTGAGTCTTCTTGTTTTTTTTCTACTACCTCGAGCCCCTACGGATTTATTTGTCGCGGCACGAGGGCGGGCCTCTTTCTACGATGGCGCGGAGGCTAAAAAGGGACCACGGAACTACTTTTTGTAAATTTTCCTACCTACTGGGGGAACGGGTAATATGCAGCAACCTTGATTGCGATCTGTTTTTTTTTTGAATAATCTCCAGCATATGTGAAAATGGCACTTGAATTTTTCAACACAGCGACGATGGATTCTGCTTGAACTCTAACTATCAAATGCAGCTGACACCCGTACGAATGTTCTGCAGGATGAACCTAGCTCGCTACTTGACAACTTCATCCGCAGCTACACTGCCCGTCTTCAGTATTCTCATTTTGCACGAGGAGGCCTAGGCACGATCTTCAGCGTTCTTGTGGCCCTACAATGTATTTGAACGTGACTGCTCTACAACAAGGAAATATTGACCAGGCTTCTAACACGGCAGGAAACTACGTAGCTCGGCCTAATCGAGACGAGCGATCTCGATCTTCTATTCCAGCTCTTTAATGACCAGAGAAGTCTTTTTATCTTCGAAGTGGAGGCTTTCAACACGGCAGCACTTTCCTATGTTCTTGGCGCCCGCACGAATTTCTATTTCTATGACGGATTTAAGAGTCCTAAAATGTCTTACTACGAATCGATGCAGAGCTGAACACGCTTGCTACCGTGTCTCCTTGATGGTTGCAGATCTACGTCATCTAGTGCATTTTTTCCTTTTTTACGAAAAAAGCTGAAAAGGAACTCCTTCACGAAGAGCTAGAGCTGCACGTTGCGTCATTAAGTATGCCTACACGATCAATGCGGTTCGTACAGTTAAATCACGATGCTTCATCTACTGGGATCTCCCACTACGAAAGTCGCTACTGTTCTAAGAATCTATGTTTTCAGTGGCACGACGGGCTTGGCGGGACGAGTAGCAGGAGCTTTTCCGACCGCCTGAGTATCACTTTTTCTGGGCTCGAATGATCAGCATCATCATGTTCTACTTAAAAATCTGAGTACAACTTACAACAAGCGCCTAGCAGCGACGAGGTCGAGCGGCTGACTACTGTTATACTTAGCCCATCATGTGCTCCTCGACGTGGTTCTCGTTTTACTTGTCGTTCCCAGTGGTGATCTGACGCGGAACAAACGTTCATCTCCTCGATCACTTCGAAGATGTTCAGTTGCTCGTCTGCTCGCTCAGGCGTGCCACCGTCTGCTCCAGCGGCCGCGCCTCCTTCGCCTTGAACCATGAGAATGCGTTGTTGGGCACGTCGCGCTTCCCGCCAAAGCGCTCCCCGCTGTACAGAAAATTGTTTCCTGTGGCCGGGAGGGAAAATTGAGGACCTTGTTGAATTGCTGTACCGCTTGTATTCATATTATTTTCATCATCCACCGTAGCGATCCGTCTCAGCCTCGGGTCCATCAGAGCCAAGTAGCGGCTCATCCGGAGGTATTCAATTCTCGTTTTCCGCAGTTTCAACTTGTTCCAGTGCCAGTAGGGAATGTTGATGACCGAGAAGTCTTGGTGCTTCAGCAGCAGTTCCTGCAAAACTAGGGGTCCGATGGTGAAGCGGATGGACTCCGCCAGCCAGCGGTCCTGTTTCAACAGTCGATACACGCATTTCCGATCCCGTTCCACTGCATCGAGCTTGTAGGGCCCACGCTCGACCTCCGTCGAGTGCGCGATGCGGAGTTTTGTCAGAGACCACGACACAGTCTCGAGAAACCGGGGGATCGGCTTCTTCTCTGCGGGGGGTACTTCTTGGCAGTCGTGGTGTTCCTGGTCAAAGGACGAGGGAGCTTCTGGTGCTCCTGGTCCTGCTGCTGTTGTACGTGTTGTAGCATTGTCAGACAAAAAATCTTGGGCGGCAGCTGCATGACGAACCTGTTTATCTTCTCTCCTATCGCGGTAAAAAATCTCTTCCTCCATACTGATTCGGCAGTCCTGGTAGTCTTCGTGGATCTTGCGGAGGCATTTTGCGATCACCTTTTGTATCAAATGTAAAAATGTCTGGGTCTGGAAGAATGCAAGTTTGTCATGCTTGTCTGGCATGACTCTTAAATCTGTCATGCACATTACCAAAGAGCCCCACTTTTCTGTCATGCAGAAACGTAGTTTGTCATGCAGAATAGGCAACACCTAGAAGCTCAGAAACTTGTCATGCTGAGCCAGCAATTGTCGCCTCCTCATGATACGCCACACAGCATCACAAGTTTCCAGACCCAGACATTTTTACATTTGATATTTTGTTCCTCCGCCGTATTCAATAGTTCCACAGCCCCCTTGTGCAAGTAGCGGCACATATCAAACGGAAAAATCCCCCCTCCCCATATCAAAACGGAATTTCTCATGCTGGATTTGTGTACGCAAATCAGGTTTGTATTGCAGAGAAGCACTGCGGCCAGATCCCCAGGCTTGGTAGGGGCGTATGGGTCTAGTTGTTCAGCATGGCAAGCGGCTCACTTTTAGGGCCAACAGCATGACAAATCGCTTCCACAGTGGGGCGGAAGCTTCTGCCCTTGTCTTCTTGCAAGACAAATGTGATTTGCGACCTCAAATCAGCAAGACAAATTTTCGGAAACATACCTTTTCGATATGGGGAGGGGGGATTTTTACTTTTGATAGCACACGCTCCGGAGCACGGACGCCTTCTGGAGGAAGGACTTCGACGGCGGAGAAGTACTTGCTGGTGGTGGTGGTTCTCCCCTCCTCGTCTTCTCTGCAGAATTTGTTGAATTGGTTTCGTTATTTCCATTAGATGAAATGTCAATGTTCTTGTTGTCCATGGTAATGTACAGCTCCGCAAACTTTGGCAAAATCCGCCCGAAGACGTATTCGATTGAGAGTCTGGGAGCAGCGGGAAGATTCTCGTTTGATGTCCTCGTCGTGGTTCGTTCATGCGATGTTCTTACTGCAGTTGCTTGATTTGAGAACTTTTGTGACGCTCGTCCCGCATCAACAGCTTCAGGTGTTCCAGCAGTCGGCACTTTTTCCCACATCTGTATATCCACCATCTCGCCCTGGGCGTGGTACAGCGTGGTTGTGTGGTACATGGCGTGCAAGAGAAACTCGAGGTCTTGTTGTAGTAGTTCCTGCGGAGCAGGTCCACCTCCTGACGCAGCTATTTCTTGATCTTGACCACCAGGTGCGTCGACAACTGAATGAGGTTTTAAAAAATCGGCACCACCCCTTCTAGTACAAATCACCTCCGCTTCCTCGACGATCCTGCTTTCCACGCATTCGGGTAAGGGCAGCCGCAGATACGCACAAGAGTGAAGGACCTGCATGGCTTGCTCTGCAGTGAAGATCGTCGTCGTGTCAATACTCTTCATTCCAGAAGTTGTACAAGCATCGGATGAAGATGAAGAAGCGGAACCCGCAAACCAAGTCCTCCCCAAATGCGGCACGAGAATCCGGGCGCGCTGCCGCGCGAGGGCGGTGAGGAGGTCGATTCGGAGCTGTAAACTGAAACTGTTCTCCTCGCGGACGAGAGGAGCAGCGGCCAGTGTCGTCCTACTTCTCTGCAGGATCAGATGGAAAAAATACATGCCCTTGCGGAACAACGGCACGCACAAACAGCCCGTTCGGGAGAACAGAATCAGGCACTGCAGGATCTTCTCCAGTGACCAACACGAGAAAGATGCAGAAATATTAAGTGAAGCATCTTCCTGTACTACTGCTTCGGCACTAGTTCTACTTGTTTCTTCCCGCTGCTCTTCTACTTCAACATCTTTGTCTGCTTTTTCCGCGAGCAGCTGCAAACCCAAGTCGTCCAAAATTTTCTTTGGGATTTCCAGCTTCTGCCTCCGATATTGAAAGGAAAAACTCCCCCTCCCCATATTGAAAAGGCATGCTTCCGAAAATTTGCGTTGCTGATTTGAGGTCACAAATCACATTTGTCTATGCAAGAAGACAAGGGCAAAAGCTTCGCCCCCATTATCATGGAGGTATCTACTTTGTCATGCTGTTGGGCCTAAAGGGCAGCCGTTTGCCATGCCGAACAACTAGACCGATACGCCCCTCGATAGCCTGGGGATCTGGCCGCAATGCCTTCCTGCAATATAAAGCTGATTTGTGTACACAAATCCAGCATCAGAGATTTCGTTTTGATATGGGGAGGGGGGATTTTTCCTTTCGATATCCGAAAATCGATCGCCGCACCGAACTTGGTCAAGGTGATCAGTTCGTCGGTCCGGGAGACCACCATGCGCGTTTTGTCTACAGGAAATGGGAATGGCCGCGGAGTAGTTGCTTTAATATTACTCGATGAAGACGGAGTCGGGCTTGTTCCTGCTTTGTATCTCAAAGAGTCGAGGATTTGCTCCGGGGAGAGGCAGACCACGGATGAAGATGTTGAAGCCGTAGAGGAAAAAGAAGATGAAGGAATAAATCTGCAGGTTGATGTCGACGTCGAGGCATACCTCGGCATCATGCTGTAAAAAGAACTTGAACTGCCTGCGATATCTTTAAAATAGCTACCCTTGAAGATGATGTCTTCAGAGGTGCAAGAGCCAGAGCCGGCGCGGGAACGACGAGGGCGGCGAGCAGTTCTCGTCGTTGTCGTTGTCCCCCTTGGGAGGCTTCTATGAGAGTGCACAACAACTCCCCCTGCTCCCTCCCATTTGTATTTCCAAAAACACCAGATCCACTTGTTGCGTCAAAGCAATAGCAATGTTTGCATCATGACAAAAAAATTAAGAACAAGCTCCTGAATAACAGTCGTACTACGAAGATCCGTGTGCAGATGTCTTCTATGGAAGCCGCGTTTATTCCGCTGGTATTTCTTGCGTTGCTGCTCATGTTACAACATACCCCCCAAATGAGTTGTGGGAAAGAACTTCTTGTGCGCCCGGATAGTCTGTTTCCGACTGCAGCCAAAGGGAAGAGGGACAACATATGGAAGAGGCGGAAGGCTTGAAATAAATTTTTCTCCGCCGCGGACCAGAGAAGGTGCTGCCCGTCCGCGTCGCAAGCACCATCTCTACTTCCGACTCTTTTTTCCCGTTTTTTCCTTTTGATGTTGATGAGAAGGGAAAATATCAATCTTCTGAAACTTTTTTCTTCTTTCGATTCCTTGGTACGAACAAAGTCGACTCATTTCTGTGTTATTGCAACCAACTGCAAACGGACCATACAGACCAGAGGGAAAAAATATCGGACCAAGAAAACCAAAACAGAAACTACACAGAGCACGAAATAAAACGTGGGCGATATTTTTTTTTCAGATCGTGATCTCCTACTTCATCTCCATGATCGAGTGCCGGAACAACACAACCTTTTCTGATCGAGTGCCGGAACAACGACTTGTTTATTGTGTTTTCCATTTCAACAGAAAAAATGAAGCCCATCGATCTACTGGCAGAAAACCAGTAAGCACATCAGCTTCTCAACAAACGAACTGTCCGGTAGCGCTATTTATTCGATTTTCCTCAATACGACAAGAGTAAAAACTAAAACCGGAATAACCACGATAGAAAATTGAACTCGATGTTGTGAAAGATAAAAGCAAAAAGCGGCGGAAAATGTGATCAATTGTCAAATCCGAATACGAGAGGTAAAGGCATCGCAAATTAATAAGGAAAAAGATTTTCTGTCCTGTGAAAATAAAACGAAACACTACATCTCCGATAAGAAACAGTGTGAACTTGTAAAAAATGATGTTTCTGTGAAATAGAAGAAGAGCGCTTATGACATGTATGAAAGTCTACTTCCCAGGCATGAGGCCTAGGAAGTTGGAATAAAGGATTTTTTTATCAAATTCCTCGTCACTTGGGGCCTCCGGGCAGGCGATCCCTATCCTGCGCCGGGTGCTGTAGGTCCGCACCGTAGGTCCGGGCGTCGTTCGGAACAGCGAGCTATGGATTGCAAATATGTCTGCGTCTGGAAGAGTGCAAGACTTGTCAAGCAGGCTTTCCATCACCCATAAGGTCTGGAATGCAGGACCTAGCATGACAGATTCTGTGGGGTCTCTATCACTATCATGCCTATCCCTATTCTGCATGAGAACCTCCCTCTCAACTTGGTGGTCAAAAGTGGACAGCTTTTGGTAATCGCGCAACACTGATTTTTGTATGTTTCAGATTTAGCATGACAAGTTGCAACCTTCTAGACCCAGACATACGTGCAATGCATACGAATGCTCGCTCGAACACCGTCATGATGATCGGGCCTCCGAAGAAGACGATTAGAAATGACGTCAAGATCGCGCATCCTAGGCAAAAACGTCCCCACCCACCATAGTTGTCAAGATGGGAATTTCCTTGCAGCACAAATCCACTGGCTTTGGGAGTCACGCATGACATCAGGTTTCATTTTTCTGCATTCTAATGCGGGTCAGCAAGGACACCCGCATCACAAAGCTATCCGCTTTCTCATTCTGTCTACAGCACCAGAAGTCCCAAAACACGATTGAAAATGCCTGTCATGGGGATGCACATGACAAGTCCTTTGCATTGCATTCGCAGCGAATCTGCATAACAACTCTGGTGCGGGGACGACCTCTTTCCACACGGTATCACGAAGGGAATGCTCACGCCCGGCACCAAGTGTAGGACTTTCACGCCGAGCGCAGCGAGGTGTCCTTTCACCATCAGCAGAAGGTGTATCATGTACGTTCCCATGCTGAGCGAGATTGGAAGACCGAGACCGAGCCCGACCACCTATGGATTGCAAACATATCTGGGGAGAGAAAAGAGCAGGATTTGTCATCATGCTTGGCCGACAAGTAGATGCGCATTATGTTCGAAGGCTTTAAGGGCTGTGCATTCCTCTACCGAATTTTGTCTTTGTCATGCAAAGATACAACTCGTAAAAACGCGGCCCGCGTATTAAGGCATGGCAGCACACAAACTTGTCAACATACGTGGCTCCGAAGATGAAAGGCTGTTCACTTACCTTCCACACTACACTACGACTACTAGCATCACAAGTATATTTCTCCAGGCCGACCAGATCGATATTTGCAGTGCATACCACCACGACAAGTACCAGCGCCACCATGAACCACGGCGATTGCAGCATTTCCTTCTGCCGTTCCAGGTACGGATTCATGCTGGGATCGTTGACGGAGGCTCGGTTGGTCAGCTGGTTGCTCTCCTGTGGCCCGGTGCGGCTATCCGAGCCGCCGGGCCACTTCGGCTTGGCATTCAGCGGACTCACCAGCGGGTCGTGGCGAAGAAGAACTTTCTGCAAAAAGGAGGACCTACTTGATGTTCCGCCGTTCGTTTTTCGCCCTGTGTTCGGCGGACGAGGCTGCGGCTCAGCTGTCGACGTCACGGTTCCGTAGACCTTCATCAACTCTGTCCACTGCTTTGCCAGCTGGAAATAAAAGGAGGATTCGTGCAACGGGGTCCTCATCTTGTTCGCGTTGGCAAACAATTTTTGAACCTTCATCGCAGTCCGCACCGTTTTCGCGAGCTTCCTCGTCGTCACTGCAGCGGAAGCTTGTGCTTGATGATGTTCTTGTTCCATCCTCGTGGTTTGCATTTTTGTTTTTATCTCCAAAAGCGCAGTAGAGGAGGGAGGTGGAGGAGGACCACCTCGACGTGCTGGTGGTCCTACATCGTTTAGTATTTCATGCGACCTTCTTCCACTCTCCTCGTGGATGTTGCTGAAAGAGGTTTGTTCGTCATCATCATCATCGCCATCGTTTTCTTTTTCGTCTTGTCCCTCGTTATTATATGCAGCAAGAGCGGCTTCATCTAGCTCCAGAGTGTTGTTGTAGTTGCTGGCGCTAGCAGGGTGGAAAAATCGCCCACCAGTACGGGCGAAATCGTCTCCCCTCGTCGCCTTCTGGTCCGCAACAGCACGAGTGGTCTGGTGTGCAGCGTTCTGCAGGTAGGAGGACTTCGGTCCGGTACCTCCATTTTTGCGGGCTCCCGCGCTCGGGCCCGCGCGCTTCTTTCGCCCGGGCCCCCGTGCAGCACGCGCTGTCAACCTCCCAGGAGCCGTAGCACCTGCACCATTTGTTCCCACCTTCGTCGGCATCGTCGTGGGCAGGTCTTGAAGCAGCGTCAGCATAGACAGGCGATTTTTCGTGTCGTTCTTCAATGCTTTGTCCACAAACTGCAACTGCTTGCGAATGTACGGAAACAAAAAGCGGTGCAGCATTTCCGTCCAGAACGCTGTCTCGTCCGTGAAACCGGGCCTTGGATCGAAATTTCGCTTAATATAGTGGTGGACGTTCAAAGATTGGAACGGGCTGTAATCCGTCTTCCGCCGCACCGCAGCTTTGGGTCCGGGGGCTTTTTCTTCATTCCTTCGGAGAAAATCGGGCGCCAGCACTAGTCTCTCTTGTAGAGGGAAAAAGGATACGGCTCCAGGATGAACAATACTGGTTTCTTCAACAGGTTGAAGATCTTCCTGACCGCTTGCATGATCCGCGTGCAGCTCCTGGTAGGTCTTCCCAGGAAAGAACATCATGGGCAACAGCTGACGAAGAAATTTCTTCAGTTTTTCTTCAATCTCATCCAGAAGCTTTTCTTTAGTTTTCGCATCCTGCTTTCCACCACCTTCCTCGAAAACTAGAATCTCCTCCAGCAGCTATCCCGCGTAAAAGCAACGTCGCCCCTGATCCAGAGTCAAGAAGATGTTGGGTATTGTGCAACACAAGTCCGAAACTTTTGGCTGTTCTTGCGCATGTTGACAAGTTTGGGCTCACGGCACCAGTGTAGCCGTCGTGTTTAGCAACTTCCGATGTATCGCGATTCGATCAGCTCAACATCCTGCTTCGAGCATGAAGAGTTCCAAAATACCCCAAGTAATTGCTTCTCATGGGGCTCAGCATGCGAAAAATTTTTGGCGTGCAGACTTGCATCACAAATACAGGGTGGGACATCGCTTTTACGCAGGATAGCAGCGCCCGAGTGGAGCCGGGGACGCCGATCTTGTCGAGCAGACTAGGGAGAACATCCGGCGCTTCCCGGACCGGAAAGCGAAAAGCAGACATCTTGTCACTGTTATCGAGATTGCAAATATGTCTACTGGGTCTGGAAGATTGCTAGACACTCTGTCATCTTCATGCATGTCTGACATGACTCGTCGAGGGGGCTCCATGATGCGTGCAGGCATCGGAAAACAAAGTGATGGTGATCTTGCCTGTCATACAAAAAGATAAAGAACGCAGCTTGGTACGCGAAAATAAAATACGCAATACATTATAGGAGCCCAAAAATTTCTCATACTTGGCTCCGTATTTCACTATTTTTGCCGTGCTGTCGACGTGCCTACCACTCACCAGACCCAGATCGATCTTTGTAATGCATAAGATTCGGACGAAAACAGCAAATGGCGCCCTGCTGAAGTCGGAACGTAGATCTTTTGATCGCTGTAAAGACGGATCGTCGCCGCGCGATCACGTAGTGCCGCGCCGTTGACCACCATTAGCTGACTAGCAGTGGTTCGGTTATGCCAGTCTCGGTTCGGCCAGGTCAACGGACCGTCTGTGGCAGACAGCGTCAACGTGTAGTTGTTCATGTCCTCGTCGGTCGTTGTTTTGTTCCCCTTCTCCTTTGTATTTCCGTTGCTTGTTTTGGGAACCAACCACCATTTATCGGAAGACAGTTCCAAGTGACGTAGCGTCAGCGTCGGTTTCATCTTCACATTGGTCGTGCTTCCAGACACGGGTCGACGTCCACCTCCCGGTTTCTTCGGTTTATTTGGGGCGCTGGATGAAATTTTTTCCACCACATACAAACCGCCGGGGTGGAAAGTGGTTGACGCGACCGTCGTTGCGTCTAGCAACACCACAATTTGATTTTCGTAGATTCGCTCCAACCCCGTCGCGTCGAACACGCCTGCAGCGGTTTCCATCCTCTCCTGCGCCAAGTCTAACAAATCAGGTTTCATCTCCGAGGGCCGGGTGCTCTCCACGATCCCGCGGCGCCCTGTGGTCAGGCGATGCTTCAAAAATTTCGCCAGCCCTTGTTCCAGCGATTCTTCAATGTCAGCCTCCGTTTGCGACAGCTGCCGCTCCTGATTCTTTTTCTTGTAATTCTCCGGGCTTTTTCTTGCACCAGTTTTGGACGTCGACCTCGGGGTGGTTGTAGGTTTTGAAGACTGGTGCTCTTTCTGTTCGCGTGCCATCATCTCTCGGTGAATTTTCACGAACGCCGGAAAGTATTTCTTGAAGAAGCTGAGCCACTCTTTTCCGAGGTGCATTCCGAAAACCCGCTCCGTGGTGAGGGGCAAGACCTTGTCTATCAAGGCGGGCGAGGTCACCGCTGCATCTACCACTCGTTCCTTGATCTGCAACTGTTTCTGCAGCTGGTTTGCCGTTCGCCGGAGGGCGAACTTGGCCGCCAGGGTTACCAACTTCTGGGCCTTATTTTTCTTCGTTTGATGTTCCTTCTTCACCATGATGCGCCGCTGGTGCTGTCCTTGCCCCACCTGCACGAACGCGCCGGAAGTAGATGCTGCAGCATCAGACGTTGTCGTATGGTTGAAAAACAAATCTTCGTCTACCCCGCTTCGCGACGAGAAGCTTGCTACTTCCCTTTTTTCCAAGAAGGCACTCAGCTTCCCCGCTGCCGGATTCGGCGGTTCTAGTTGTTCATCCGCAGATGTTGATCTACTGCTGCGTTTCCTCCTCGACGACCCCCCGTTGCTGATTAGGTTCTTCGCCGAGGAAAACTGAACCTCCAGGGATGTTGAAAACAAGAAGGTTGGTGAACAAGATAAGAACGACCCGACGAAGCAAAAATGGTAGAACAGAAGTTCTTGCAACGTAGTTAGTAAAAAGGACCTTGCTAATATCGTCTTTCTCGCATCGTTGTCTCCACCAACGTCATCCCCGAAGTAGAGTGTGCCCTCCTTCTTGCGTCTGCGATGCCGCTTGTAGTTTCCCCGCCGGAAGTCCTCCATCTCGTGGAGAGGAGGAGCCTGCGGCGGAGAGGATCTATAGAACTTTGCTCCTTTTTACTGGTATAATTCCCACATTGTCGTGGACATCTTCGACCCCATGGATCCACTGTACGACTTCCACCTAAAGCTAAAACCAATGATCGCCGTCCTTTATCGACGACATGAGGCGATACTAGCTTCAAATCGTCACTTCAGTTGTACTACTGTGTGCTACTACCAGGAGCCTGTTCGGGAGGTTGCGTCGAGGAGAATTCATCACTATTGGGCAGATTCAAATATCATCTACCATGATCTACTTAAATAATAAATTGACAAGAAAGCAGTTCGTGAGAGGTAAAATTACCGAAGAGTCTTTCCAACTAGAACTACACTAGAGCGGATAAAATGAAACTCTAAATCACATAGGCAAGCGACAAGAATTATAAACGTGCACCGACAGCAAGAAGCAATGCGCTGAGCTTGGAAGCCACAAGCAGAACTACCGATGTTGTCTTGCTTCTTTTCCGTGAAGTCATCTTTCTAAAGCAAGCCTGTGAGGAAGAAGACCGAAATTGAATGATTTCAGATTTGTCTTGCTGCACAAGACTGCACACCGAAAGACGATGGAGGAAATTCAAACTGTGCGCAAAGACAGTACCGAAGAGCGCGCAATAAAAGGGGCTCAGTTATTCAATGCAGGTGCAGCACCGAAAACGATGCTTGATGTGTTTCTTCTTAGTCGCCACACACACCGACAGCAGATTCAAATAAAGTAAATCGCCACACACACGACTTGGATGAATATCAAGCAGGCAAAAACATCGAGGGACAAAGCCGAGTTTCGAAAACGTTCTTTTCACTGGGTCGCCGTTGTTGCTGCTTTATCGTGTCAGCGGTAGATCTGCTACCGATGCCCATCGTCGTGCAGCTAGAACATCAGCCAAATAAGTCGCAGACAACATGAATATCTTGAGAAGTAATTAGGGTCGGTCGCTGGTCGTACTCGTATTCAACATCTTCAAGTTCTCGTGAAAAAAAACAAGTCTTAGAAGTCTATGTCTTCGCGCACAAAGATGTTTTGTTTTTTCATCCTTTCCGCGGCCGTCAGCACGTTTGTTCCCCCGCTTTCTTCATCGAAGCTGTCCACTTTGGATGCCGCACTAGTAGCGTTTACTTGCGCTGCCAGTTCGCCAAAATCCAGATCATCCGTTGCGGAGGCGGGTTTGTCCGGAACCAGATCACGAACCTTCACCGCTGCGGACTTGGACTTTATGTTTGCTGATGGCGGGCCCATAGAAGCACTAGAACCACCTGTAGTCCTACTACCGCCGGTCGAAATCATCCCGCCGGTAGGGAGGAAAAAGCCCGAGGCGTCCTTCTGTTCTAATGCTGTTCCAACAGCAGAAGATTGTGCTCCACTTGTGTTTGTGCTGTCTATCTTTCTGAATTTCGTGTTCGCGGGGTTGACATTTCCCGTCAAATTACCGCTGTTGGCTCCTCTATTTCCGTTCTCATCCGACCCCGAGTCCTCGTCGTTCTCCCCACCTCCCTTCGCACACCGCTCCCGCTTCCGCAACGCTGCCTGCTTCTTCTTGTCGCGCTTTTTCCGGTTTTTCTCCAGCTTCGCCTGGTCCTTCTGGAAATTCTCTATCCGCTTCTGCTGGAACGTCAGCGTTTGCTGCTTGTCAGTGTGGGACTTCTCCATGTCCTCTATCCGGTCCATCTCCATCCGGCGCGTCTTGTGGTACGCCGCGAAAAAATCCGAACCGGCGGCTGTTTCATGGAAATAAAGATGATCACTGTAGTTCTTGTCTACGCACGTATTGCTTTCAGTTTCACGCTTTCCGGCACATGACACGAAAAATGAAATTTGCATACACGACTATGAGACGTAGCCAAATCGATTAAGTCCTCGACCCGTCATGCAATTGCACTTGTACAAAGAACCATAAAAAATATGCTTGCGTTTCTTCTAGGTCGTACTTATCTTCGAATTAATTATACCTGCGGAACTCCCGTGGTAGTTTTCGACAAAGTTGACGTGGACTTTGTTATCTGCGACCGCCACTTCGTTCTTCGCGGTGGAGACGGTGACGATTTCTCCATGAACGAGAATATTTTCCACGTCGGGCTTCAGATTCACCCCGCTCCGTTTCTCCTCCTCCTCCTTCTTCCGTCTCTCCTCTTCCAATTTCTCCTGCTCTCGCTTGGCCTTGCTCGCGAACCACTGCTCTTCCGTCGTCGCGGCCGGGGCCTGCCGCATTTTCCCGGTCGAGGTGTTCCCGGCCGTGGAGGACATGCTGTCGCGTTTGATAGCTTAAGCTTTTGCTTTGACTGGCTTATGAATGTATAAAAGTTGACTACAACCGCCTTAGCTCATACTACAACAAGCAGGGGGTAAAGTATCAATATGTATATGAGCACAACACATTCACTACGTTTAAATCACGTAGTGTGGCCGGGCGGTTCCAACACGCCCCAGGTCCTCGCTGCTGATGGTGATGATCAAAAAAATGAAAAATACGTATCAACTCGGCCAGGCTAAAATCGAAAAAAGGTGACATGCTGGAGATTTCTATTTTAGCTCTTCTTGTGTTTCAGCTTTCGGAAATTTGTTGAAAAATCTGGAACGGATCTTGATTGTAAGTACTCAACTTGGTCCTTTGTCCCCCCCGGAACGACGAACTAGCTCCATCGTCGCACCGGCAAAAAAACGACAAACAGCTGCTCGCGGATTTTGCAGAATTTCATTGTGTGAAAATAAAAAGGCCTTACTTATTTATCTTAGTTTTTCACTTTCTCCATCTGACCAGCAGAAGCAGAACTTCAAATTCCGAGCGAGATCTTCGACATAAGAAAGATGGAACAAGAGATTTGGCGACGTTCTTGTCTACTAGAAAAATTGTTGCATTCGACACACTCATGCCAGGAGCAGGACTAGCACGACTCTTCCCAGTCATAGCAACAGTTGTAAAGCTCACGCAACAACACTGGATTTCATTTCCAGTTTGACGCGTGCGACCATCGGTGAAGGTCAGAGAACAACAACTTCGGTGGTGTATTAGGCGTGGCGGCGCTACTAGTCACTACACGCGTACTTATTTTACATTGCCTACCACCTCCGAAAATGCGATCCGTAACATGACTTTTGCTTAGAGTGAGGTAACAAACTAAAGCTGGAACTTCGCGGTTGAGTTCTCATCCGGCCACCGGCCGGATGAGAACTCAACCACATCGCCGGCGGTATCCGGCCGGCGGATACTCATCTTATCCGGTGGATGAGAACTCACTCTTATAGGTCTCCGAATGTCGAAGGCATAGTAGTACTATGCCTTCGACATTCGGAGACCTATAAGAGTGAGTGGCGCTCCTTTCCATCCAAATCCAGTGCAAAGAACATGAGCGCAGCGCTTGAAAAGCAAAAATTTCCGGGCGGTGCTCCTTGCAATTCGCCGACGCGGTCTTGGATTTGGTCTGAACTGACAGCACGGCGCTCCTGTAGGGAAGGGGGGCACCCAACAAAAGAGGAGCGTAAGGCGCAAGCTGTGCGCCGGCATTTCCCACATTTCCGTAAACGGATAAAAAAGCAGCCGACTATGATCTGCGCTTGCTAGCGGTCGGCAAGGCTATCTCCGCCAAACCATAAATATAATCAGGTCCTCATTAAACCCAGGAAAAAGAACAAAACAAAAAAAAAATTGGGGAAAACACAAGCGAAATTTTAATTCAAAATATAAAAAAATAGCTACTACTTTTTCTTTAGCGATAACAGGTACAACAACAACAAGAGCGGTTCTTTATACTTTTGATACATGATAAGTATGGCGCCGCGCCTTTTTTACGGCTTTGCAAAACACCAGAATGGAATGGCACCTCAATGAATTTTGTTCGTGATGTGGAACTGGTTCGTTACTTAACTGACGACACAGATACTTCGTCAGCTCTTTGCTTGTCTCACAGATTCCCGGTTGGAGTAGAAAGCCAAACAAGTCGGCATCGTTCTTTTTTGTGATTTCGGTCTCGTCGATATCAAATAAACTGGCGAAAGAAGTAAAAAAGGGGACTAGGCGCTCCAACAAGCAAACCCCCAGCGGCGCCAACTCCCACTTCTACTTCGTCTTACCACTTACGCTTGTTTCTTAATTTGCTCGCCAACAAGACAGCCTGCTCATAATCTTCCTGCTCGCTCTCGGTCGCGGCCGCATCGTCAAAAGCAGCGAGCGTGGCAAGGTCCGACACAGAAAGGGTATTCGGGGTGAAATTCGCCTCGTCCTGCTCCCATTCGTGGCTTCGCAATTTTTCATCTTCCCGCACACCGGCCACGAGGCAGTGTTCCTCCTCTGCATCCGCTTCGCGGCTGCCCTCGTCCAGCGCTTCGCTTCTTGAAAGCTCCGGGTCGGCCGGCTCCAGGGCTCTCTCCCCCGTATCTTCTTGGTCCAACACCGAACACGGTGACTCGGTCTTATTTCCGCTCACTCCGGCGCGGCTGCATTGTGCTTCTTGTTGGGGTTCCGCTGGGGTGGCGGGCGCGCAGCCAGGGCCACTCACGCAATGGCAGACTTTGGAACGCTTGGTCGTTTGCTTTTTCTGCCGTGCGGATCCCAACTTCGCTTTGCTAAACTTCGTCTGACCACCGCAGAGTGCCGGGGCTGTCAGCCCGGAGGGTCTGCAGCAACGCCGGCAGACGTTGAGGCGCCACATGACGAAGACCACGACAAGGGCAACACAGACGAAGCCGAGCTGCTGCCCGTCCAAGTATTGCCATTGGGCAGGATGCACGGCTTCGACGTATGAAACAAAAGACACCTGACATATGCCAACATCGTCGCCGCGCTTCAAGCAAAAGGAAAACCTCGTGGCATTGCGCGTTCAAGAAGCCGCGGCTAACTTAGGTCGTATGAAAGCATGGCCAACACAGATCTGGCGCACAAGCAATGCAAATCAGGTCGGTTCGTGTTCGTGCACATGCTCGGGGGCAGTGCATAGAAAAAATTAAACTGACGGACCTTGTCCGGCGCGCGCATCTCATGCGCGTCGCCGCGCGGCGTGGCATTGCGTCCAGCGCGGGGTCGGGCATGCATCGCAGTGGCGCTGCGGCTAGTAAAGAAACTGTCAGTGTCCAAACCTCGCATATCCGCAAGGCTCTATCTATCCCCCCTCCGGCCGCTGCAGCTTCAGCAGGAGACCACGCAAGCCCCCTAGGCTCGCCGCGCAATTGCAAGAACGTGGCGAAGGCAGCATCTGACCCGCCATGGGCTCCTTTTGCAAGTGGCGATGGAATTTCCACCAGCTCGAGCGGATTGAGGCCGGGAATAGAAACATAACGCAGCACTTGTAGCTCGCCGCTAGTCCTTGGGGCAGGACCGTGGAACGCCGCGCCTATGAGTCCTTCGCACTCCCATGCTTTAATGTCCACCAGCTCCACCTTCGCCGAATCCATGTCATGCTCCTCACGATCGGAAACCGACTGCGGGACGCTTGCCTCGTCTTGCGAATGGAAAGCAAGTCTGGGCCGATTGGATTCCTCGTCCCAAATGGGTTCCCAAATGCCTCTTTGGAGAAACGGGTCCTCCAATATCGCAGTCTCCCCACAGCCTCGCTTGTATTGGATCACAGAGTGCACGATTTGCTTATATCTCAGGAGGTACAAGAGCCTTCGAGCCGCGGTCGTCATTCTCAAAGCGGTGTCTTCGACGCTCCCGATGTGCTCTGTCTGCTCCTTCGGGGGCGGCCGATGTAGATGTTGCCGCGCAATTTCAAGTAGTTCACATCCTGTGATGCACAAAAGCTCGTTCTGCAGCACCGCAAGCATGTGGGTGTCAGCCTCAGCGTAACCATGATCGTCGCACACAAAAAACGAAGCCAACAAATCCGGCAAAGCTAAATGGCCTCCCGGGACAAGATCCTGCACAAGGTGCATTTGTGTTTTACTAGCCACGCAATAACACACGAAAATCGCTGCACAGCCGAATACCTCCTGCAATTCGCGATCTGTCTTGCCTTTGCGCTAACAACCACACTTGCTGTCGCACCCACAAGAATATACTTACAAAAGAAGCTGACCGCAGTTTCGCAAACACAAGTACGACCGGGCCAAAGGAGGCGCCGGCCTCGCTTGCAACTGCAAGCCTCGAAAAAACAAGGTGAGAGCTTCTTCTATAGCTTGGAGGTTTTACAGAAAAAATATCAGGCAAGCCAGGAACTGACAAAGCGCCCTGTGTTTTCCTCTAGGTTAACTCAAAGCAAAAAAACAAACTGCGCGCTTTTCCTCATGAGAGCGGAAGGTGCTGCGCTTTTCCTTATGGCAAAAAAACAAATTGTGAGCCAAGCATCGGCGAAAATGCGCCTGTCGGTCCCAGAAAGTACGAACTCAACTGCCAAAACCAAAGACCCCAGCCACGTCGTCAGGGTCTGTACATGATCTGGATTCGCTGCAGGTGGCGCACACGCTACCGACCAGGAAAGCCGAGCACTGCGTGCCCACGACAAGTGGAACGGTGTGTGAGAGACCTTGGCCGGGTCGGAGCGAAACAGGGAAGCGTCAGCCGGCAATCAGAAGTAAGAGAGCCTGTTAGAGGCAAGAGGGGACCTTGGCAAGAGACACACCGTCCCCGGCCTCCTTCCTGACCAGCCCCGTTCGGATTCGTCGTGTAGCGGTTTTCTACTGGAGCGACACAAAGAAAAGGCCCCAGAAGAGGAAGGCCCAATCTCTCTGGAAGGAAGCAAGAAAGGCAAAAAAATCGCTCTAAGCCCTTCTCTTCCCGCATGCAAGCCGAGTTGGCCGCTCTTGCAGTTGAAGTCGCAGTCGTTCCCTGGGCGAATACACTGCAATCATTACCACGGAATGACTGAAAGAAGGTAATTCAAGTGGCAAGGTCAGTCGCTATTTAAAAGCCTGACAGCGGCCATCGGTCTGCGTAGCGCTTTTGAAGAAGCGTAAGCTTGGATGGCCCAAATGGGGTCAATCTCAATTCGCTGCTCTTGTCGACTTGTCTCGAGAGATTCTACCTTCTTGACAATCGCGTTCTGGATCTTGTCTGATCCAATGTCACGGTGTGCCACCAGCCTTGTCAGCATCGCGTCCTCGTTGTGATCTTCGTCGACCTTCCCACGAAAAATCTCGAACAGAAACGGCCGCAAGACGACCTGGACGGTGGCTGCGCCATTGGGTGGTGGTTCTTTTTCTACCCGGACCAAGAACCTCTCTACCCGATCCAGGAGTCTCCACACTGCTTGAGCAGTGTGGGCAGCTTGTGCTTCTGCTGCAGAGTCGTCCAACTCTGTCAAGCTGTCTACGGTGCGCATTCTTGCAAAAGCTGCCGGCAACCCTTCGAAGAGCAAGCGCATCATGTATTCTATAAAATTTGACTGCCGCGCTTTATTCATTTTGTCTACCATCATTTTCAGAACTGCTTGCACGTCGTCCTCTTTCGATCTTTTACTACCATCCGATAGACGACCTGTCAGTAGAAACTCGAATACTTGTACTTCATGAAAAAAACCGCTCAGGAGGTCGTTTTCCGGCTGGGTACCACCAGCGCCAGCTCCTGACTGCCTTGGTTTTGGGCGTAAACTTGAAAAAAGCTGCGGTTTATTTTCCAGGAGTACAGCAAACGGCGTTGTAGGCTCGAGCGAAGGTAGTTCTTCAGCACCACCAAATCAGCTTTTACACAGGACAATAGCGGTTAAACAAGAAGGAAAACTGCCATTGCGCACCGAGCCCGGCTGATTCGCGGACTTTCCTCTCTCATTACAGCAGACATCACCCTGGAGAGCAAGCGGACCAGATCCAGAAACAGACCCATGCCTCAAGTCCATACACGAATCCAGAAAATCAAAATACCAATAGATACGTAAACCTTATGTCCAACTTAATACACAATTTCGACGACGCCATCCCTGCACGCGAAGATCTCCTCCTGCGCAACGCAAGATGAGCAAGATACAAGAAACATGCAGAAACAAGGGTGCGAGAACTTTCACTTCGTCGAGGAGCCGGGCATATGATTTCGAAGCGCTCCATTGTAGTAGTTGTTCGACCGGCTCGTCCCCTGATTTTGTGCTGGTTGTTTGACTGACCGGCCATAGACCTTGAAGTGCTGCCCCCATTTTATCTTTCTTGCGGTTGCGCTAAATATCCCATTCCATACTTACAGTTAAATCAATGCACCTCAATCGTCGAGTAGTCTTTTATCTACTTGGTCGCCGCGCGCAGCTCGAGCCTCGTAAGATTCTGCATCGCTACTGCTATCAATGGGAATATGAGGGTCCTGCGATCCAAAAATACAGCAAGACAACTTGCTCACATACGACATAGAAGAAGAAGAAGAAGAACCCTAAACAAACCTAGAACCCACTAAACCCTGAGAGATCCGGCGTCGACGTACGCCCATGGATCTTGCATTTATTGGCGACCATCCCTAGTACATGCGTACTTTTTTGGAAAAGGAGGACGGACACAAAAAGGGAAGCGAATAACATGAATAATAGATACGAACGAAACAACCTCTACCGATTTACGAAATTTTTTTCTCCTCTCACAACCGAGGTCGAACTTCAATTACTTGTCCACGGCACACATCATGACACGAACAGCAGTTTTCCGAGAAGAGTCTTCCAGCACCGACGAAAGACGATCACACAAGGTCAAGGACGACGCTACCGATTCAGGAACGCAATAGCAAGAATAGCAATAAACGGTCTCCCTCTACCGACGAAAATCAAGTTCCAACTTGCGGCTTTGCACAATACATCATGAAGCCGATGTTCCTGCACGACAACGATGAATCAACTTCATTGCCAGATGTGGACTTGCCAACTAGAACAGTGTAGATAAACATAAGCATTGCGACGCAGATAAGAAATGCACGACGTAGCACTTCCATCAATAGCATTTTCCTCGGTACAAAATTTATACATATGTAATTCTTTTTCTTATTCTTACAGCTCAAACGATTAAACATAAAAGACCTCACCAGCCGACATGATCGAAAAACGAGAAAGACATTCTCGGAAGAAGTAGCCTGGAACCATTCGTGCTTGCAAGGAAGATGAGGGCCAACGCGCTTCCAGTTAATAAAAAGCTTCATCGATCAGATTCAGAACTACATGTGTCTCAGTGCCATTAGGGGCGTGAAAAGTCTGCGCAAGAAGGGAGGTATATAGTCAAATGTCGTTATGCTGGTTAATACGGGATTCCATTGCTCTTAGACCTCTTTTGCGCTTGCGCTTGCCCCCGAGCGAGCGCGTTGCGTTACTTTTTTCCCTGCATCTCCACGTGCCCCTGCCGACTTGATTTCTGTAAAATGTTGCTTTCCCCACCGGGTGTTGACTACATTTCAGGCTCCAACGAGCCGGTCCTCTGCGACTCAACGTCGCTGACAAAATTGTCACACGCGAGTAGTGTCTTTGGAAAAAGAGTATTGTCGTCGGATTCCTCAACATCCACACTTGTGTCGGAGCCAGGGTCAGCCTTTTCCGCGCCCCTCCGTCGGCTGGACAACAGGTCGCACTTTCTCATTCTTTCCCTCTCGCGCGCTTTTTTTGGATGTAGATGACTTCGATAAGATTTTCGCGCAAAATAGATGACTTACAGATGAAATCCGTGCGCGGCGGGACTGCTTGCGATCCCTGGGACGATTATTCCGTCCAATTTCTCAAGCCATTACGCGGAAGTGGCATCGCATGCACACACGCGACGCACACAGACATGGAGAACCAGGGGCCGGGCCATCTTTTGTCACCAATTGGGGCAACTCCACAAAATTCTCGTGGCGGACCAGAACAGGCGAAGGGGCGAAAAAGTGAGCAAAATCAAACACTTTTGAGCTAAAAGTGTTAGATTTTGGACACTTTTTGGTCTCTGGCCTGTTTTTTCTGCGTGGGGACCAGACAGACAGAAGCTAAATACCATAGCAGACGCAGAGCCAGAGGCCTGTCCGGAAGAGCGAGGCCCTTCCGGACAGGCACGAACAGCGCGCACTTCCGCACAGAAATGAACCAATGCGATCATCAGTTCGCGTATGCGAAGGCCCAGGCGCGAGTAAGGAGGCAGCTTTTGCTCTTTGGCAAAAGCTGCCCGAGACAGCTTTTTCTATTTGAAAAAAGAGCTTTTTCCAGATGAAAAAGAAAAGCTGCCCGGGCAGCTTTTTCCAAATGGGCCAAAAAGCTGCCTCAGGCAGCTTTTTTCCAATGGAAGGAGAAAGTTGCCCCAGGCAACTTTTTTCCAATAGCAAAACCTGCCTCAGGCAGCTTTTTTCAAATAGCAAAAGCTGCCACAGGCAGCTTTTTTCCAATAGAAAGAGCGGCCCCGGACAGCTTTTGCCAAATGACAAAAGTTGGCTCTTTCCGTCGATAGAAAAAGCTGCCTCAGACAGCTTTTTGGTGTCGGGTTGCCTTCTCTACTATCTTCCAAATCCTTCATCGCCACTTTGGCCGTCTAACATCCTAGCACTTTTGCGCTCTGCCCTTGTACTTGTGCGCATTGCTTTCAGCTATTCGCGAAAAGCACATGAGAAATAGACAGCCGATAGGCTGTCTATTGATGAAAAACACATGCAGAATACATGAGAGATAGACAAATAATAGATGAAAAATAGATAAATAATAGATGAAAAATAGATGAAGAATAGATGAAAAATAGATGAACAATAGATGAAAAATAGATTGGAATCTGTACAAGAGTGATTTTTTTGTTTCCGTACACGCATGGCACGGCTGATACAAGTACGGCTTTGGTACGGCTTTTGTACGGCTTTCGTACGGCGTTCGTGCATCAACGTGCTCACTTTTTTTGCTGTCGAAGTCACTTTTTTCAAATAGCAAAAGCTGGCTCAGGCAGCTTTTGCCAAATAGAAAAAGCTGCTTCAGGCAGCTTTTGCTAGATATGATAGCAAAAGCTGCCTGAGGCAGCTTTTGCCAAATAGAAAAAGCTGCCTGAGGCAGCTTTTGCTTTAGCAAAAGCTGCCTCAGGCAGTCTTTTTCCAACAGAAAGAGCTGCCTCAGGCAGGAATTTCTGAAGCTATTTCGCAGCGGGGCATCCTTTCTAGCCCCCTGCATGACAAACTGGCCACCTGGCCAGGAAGCTATGTGGCCGGGGGGGGCAAGCCCCCCCCGGACCCCCCCCATCCACCTTCGCAGCGGGGCATCCTTTCTACCCCCCTGCATGACAAACTAGCCCCCTGCATGACAAAAGGTTGCACTTTCTCATAATTTCCCTCTCGCGCGCTTTTTTGTGACTCGAGAAGGACCCTTGCTCGGTTGTCATCGAAGCCTCCCGACGCGCGCGGCTCTTCCGCAGTAGGGCATCGTCCCGACCGCCGTTCAGCAAGTCCGTTTGTTCTCGAGGCACAATGTCTACTTGGGGAGAGCCATTCTTTGGTGTTCTTCCTGCATTACTGTTGACCTCTGTCTCTCCAGACACAAGAAGGCCCGGAGTTGCTGGTGGAACTGCCGGTATGCAAATAAAGTCATCTTCCCCGGAACGACCCTGCTCATCGTCCTCGTCGATTATATCCCCCCAAAAATACGCCTGATCAAACGGAAATCCTTTCCCATCTCGGTAGAAAACCGGATCTGACTGTAGGACGAACTCTCGCATGCGCTCGACCTTCCACCGCGCTTTTTTCGCGTGTGCCGAGTCCCACGCCTCGTTGCTGTAAGCGTAATACACTTCGTTTCGGTGCCGCCAGCAGCTGTTGATCGAATTCAACCCGTGCTTGACGGTTTCCAACAGCCGCTCTGTGTCCTCCGATTGTCTGTCTTCGTCTTCCATGTTCTTATTTGCCGTCAACATAAGCCGCCATAGCCTTCTCGTCACTGGCTCGTCGCACTGGAAGCAATCTTTGAACTGCGCACACAGCAGGCAATGCAGCATAGGGCGGAGGGTTCTGGTTTTTTCGCACCACCTGCGCAGAATGATCAAGGGGGGAAAGTATTTGAACGGACGGGTTAAATCGAGGAATTGATTTTCTTTTCCGCCCGACGTGTATCCTAATACTTTTGAGGACGAGGCTGAGAGTTTCTTTCCCTTCGACGAAGCCGCAGCAGTACTTCTTCTACCGCCGGAGAGCAAAGAACTCTCCGCCAGCAGCCTCGGTTGTACTGCTCCAAATTTCAGTCCCAGTGCTATGTCAAGCACTCTCTCCCGATCGACAATGTGCGCTTTGTGTTTGTCGGACTCGAAATGCCACTTGTCGAAGTAAATCGGCCTGCCCCGCGCGTTTTTGCAGAGCAAACAGCGGATCTGCACGTTGTGGACGTCGTTTAAATCCCCGACAACGGCCGCGTAGGTGCGGAAGGGTTTTTGGATTTGCCACGAATTTTCCCCCTCGTTCCACTCGACCAGGTGGTCCCAATCGCCATGAGGATGGTGCGTTTTTTCTTTGTGGCTCGTTCCCCGCGGCATTTTATTTTCCACCTTCGAAGAAGATGTCAGCGGGGAAAAAACTGTAGTACCTGCTGGATGTTCTGTCGAAGATGGTTCGACGTCACCAATCGGTCGCGTTTTGTCTTCTGGAAACCAATGCGGTGGAGGCGTTGGATAGACCAACTCTTCATACAGCTCCGCAGTGAGAAGCGCCTGCAGCAGCTTCGCCTGCTCGAGAGAGATCCTGTCGGTGGCTCCTGGAGCTAATCGTGCTTTGTCCTCGGAAGGCGTGGACGTCGCATGTTCTCGCTGCACTTGGAAACCTACGTGGTCTGCTGTCAGGTCTTCATGTGCAGCAGGCTCTGCACGCTTCCGGGGAAGCGACGGAGGATGATGCCTCTGGTCGGAGGACGTCGAAGTCATTGTCATTGTGCTGGTGCTGCTTGTGCTTTGAATAATAAATTTTGACCAGGGCCGTTTGTTTACCACGGAAGCACCTCAAGTATGAATTCACATAGAAGCACAGCCACGACACAGATTCAGATTCACAAGCAAGACTCACCTGAAATAGGACAGTGGAGCGCGAAGCACAGAAAATTCATCAAAATCATATAGAAAGAGAACAAGAATAAACTGCCAAGCTTCATCGCCAAAAGTATTTTTCCCGGATATGTTGACAGAACACGCGCTGACACGACCAGGAACACCACCCACATACGAGCAGCAAAATGTCTCATTCAAAAGGTTTTTGCTTTCTTGTTTCTTCCTTATCATTCGCTTTGTCGCATCATGCTGGTCGACCTGTCCTCGAACGGAATCAGTAATTGCGGTGGTAGTTTCACGTTCTCCACGATCGATCACAGATGAAGTAAGTTTCATTGACTTTCACCCTGTGAAATTCAGTAGCCCACCGCTGTGATGCAGTCAAAGAATTTGAATTATGATCTCAACCTCCTTTGCATCACTTCACGGCGACGACCCTGACGTACCCCCGACTGTTCTTCTTCCCCTGCGCCCAGAGGCGGTCAAAGTATGTTTTCTTCGTCGTTACACACTCCGAAGGGCGGCCTTCGTGAACTTTTATCTTCATACTCTTTTTTTTCGCTGCGCCGGAGTTGATGTCCTCCGCACTAGATGAATCTTCTGCAGTTCCTTCCTCCGCACCATTATACCCAGTTTCTTTATCTTTATCCCCAGCTTCCGCCCACAGCTTTTTGTCTAAGGCAAAATTCGCGATCCAGTGCAAATAATTCAGATTGTCGGAAAACACGAGGAAGACACCACATTGGTTTTTCTTCAACAGCTTATGCACGACGTTGTTCAGGAAATCTTTGGTCAACAGGTGATTTTCATGTTGCAGCTCCGCTTGTTGTTCTTCTGCTGCGTGATCCTGTAGGTCGACGGCAGCTTTATTCTTTTCTACCTCCGACGACGACAACGCGGCGCTTGTTTCTACTGCAGGAACAGAAGATGAACTACCCCTTTCGCTCATCTTGAAGTTCCACTGCGGCGGCTCGGGGAAGTTGCTGATTAAGAGGTCCACAGAATCTGGCTTCACAGCAGCGACGAGTTGCCCTGCTTTGCTTTCATTGTTCATCGTGGTCCCTGACCACGTTCGTGACATTAGATGATTCTCGTTCCTCGACAAAGCGACTTTCGCGTCGCCGCCGATGACTTCCACGTTGTCCAACTTTTGCAGCACTGCATCCGACCAAATCCGCGCGCAACGCTCAAACCGCAGCTCAGAGGCGATGAACCGGGTGGGTTGCGGGAGGGGTTTTGCAGGGGAAGACGTAGTTGCTCCCTTATTTTGTAGTTCTTGGTAGTCTCTTGCCTTCTGCAAAATCCAGTCTCCGTTGCCCGCGCCCACTTCGACGATCAGCTTCGCACTGGATGCGGAGGTTTTTTTACCATGATCGGTCGAAGGTGCTGCAGCAGGGTGTAGTCTCGTTCCTTGTTCAAGCGGCCCTTGCGCGGCGGCCCGGTAGCCCAAGTCTGTTCTGCGATCCCGAGCGGTACTAGAACTAGAGGAAGAATGATCCGCATTCATTTTACTAGCAAGCGGCTCATGTTCGGAGGTCTTACCCAATTTGCCCTTGTTCCCGTCTATGGGTGCCAACCCCGTGAAAGAAAAGCGATTGTAGCAATCCTCGAGGTAGCCGTATTTACTATCGGCTTGATTTTCTTCAACCACCGTCTCTTCTGCTGCTGCATTCAGAAACCCGGTGGACAACGCTTCCAATTGTTTCAGTTCCTGCTGCAGGTCCTTTGCGGAGTGCACTTGGAACGTCGCGAAGGAATCCTTCGTAGTTTTCTGTTTTTTGTTCTTCTCCTCCCGCTTCGCTGCTGCGGTGGTGGAGAAAAATTTCTTCAAAATCTTTCCCGCCTGCTTCCTCGTTTTCGAAAATTTTGCTTTCTGCCGCATCAACAGCCGGGCGCGGGCGATCGCGGTCAGCATGGATACTTTCGAGAGAAGGCACTGCTTGAACAGGTTGGCCTTTTCTTTTGACGAAGATTTATTCTCCTGTTCCCCGTCCTTCGCTCTTGATGATGTCGACGTCCTCTCAGTGCTTTGTTTCTGTGCGTCTTCTGGCAGCTGTTCTACTTTTTCAACGTCTGGGAGTACAGAAAAACTGTCCATCGTCTTGATACTATCGCCGAACAAATCCATCCCGTTCTCTTCTAAAATCTCCTTCGCGGTCTTTAATCTCAACGCCTGCGCACACAGCTTCACCAAGTAGACCAATCCCGCCTCTGGTAAAAGTACTGAGCGGGAAAGAACGCCTTTTGTTTTGCTCTGCTCGTGTTCCGACGCGCACGACGAAGAAGTCGCTCCAGCTGTTTGTAGTGATGCAATAGTATCACCAGCAGCAGGCGCAGTAGTGCGTAGCTGTGTGTAAAACGACATCGCCAACTCCACTTCGCCCCAGCGCAAGCATCCGCGGAAAAACGTCGTGATGAACCGGGAGTGCGCTTCGGCGTCGAAAGAGTCTCGAGCGGTTTCCTCCTTGTTCATTTCTGCTTTTATTGCACTGCTGTTGCAGCTTCTGCACATCACAAATTTCTGCACCAACCTCTTCGCATTCTCCACGTCTCCCCCCTCCACAAACACTCCCTTCAGCAAGGCCGTCGCAGCCACAAGGTTCTTCTCGAAGAAGGCAGTCGAACCAGTCGAAGTCGTAGCTCCTGCACTCGTCCCGCCATGATCATTGCGTCGGCTCTCCTGGTCATGGAAAACCCGCAACGCCTCCGCTAATTTGCCCAGTCTCACGTAGCAGTTAATCACGGTGGAAAGCGTGTGGGAGGAAAAGTCGAGGTTTTCTGCTTGAAATTTCTGCAGCACTTCCTGCAACTTTTTCTGACAATCATCGTTGCTGCGGTACTTGGCCAATTTCGCCAGCTCCTTGTTCAACTGGAAGACCCGCTCTTTCCTCTCCCGTTTTAGCTTCGACGAAATCGCAGCTGCAGCTCCGGGTGTAGTGTCGCTTTTGGCCGCGAGCGGGTCGTCTGGTTCCTTCGTAGTAACATTCTTCCTCTTGTGCAGCTGATGCTCTTTTTTTTGCCCCTTGTTGTGCTGCTTGAACTTCGCTTTTCCTTTTCCCTTTCCTTTCGCATTTTTCATGCTGGGTCTTTTCGGATTGGGGAGCTTCGGTGAAGTCGTGGTCGCAGCTTTTGCCATTTTTCCCACTTTTGCATCACACGGAAGCGGAATTACAAAGCTGGTCGCTAGGTCGTGAAAAAGAAAAACTAACAGATGAGGGTCGTCGTGGTGAGAGAAAGTACGTAGGTCCTAAACTGATGGGGAAGCAGATAAAACCACTTAGTCTGTGCAGACGATGTCGAAAATAATTTCTAGTGGATTTGCGTGCGTCCGCAAGCTGTTCGTAGATTCATTACCATTGCAAAAATCGTTATTCATACCTCAACTGAGTATTTGACCTGTGATCATCTCATCTTGCTGCAAGTACAACATCTTTGGCATTTCCTAAGATCATCTGATCTGGAGCAGGAGCTGTGGTCGATCATGATGTCAACTCCGCACAGCCACGACCATGTAGAACTTGCTGGAACTTCTCGCTCTTTCAAATTCGGAACCAACTGTAGATCACCAAGGTTGCGCCAATTTCGAATGGGAAAAATCGAAAGACGACGTAGTATGAGCCGAGTGAAGGTAGACCGCCATGCCATACAGCATGACAAAATCTCCTAAACTCTTCTGTTGGTATCCCGCGAGGATCATAGGACGGACGGCACAGAACAATCCTTCTGCCCTTCACGAACGCGGGGTGACGATTCCGAATTTTTCACTCTGGCGGCGATGTGGCGTAAGAAAGATCGAGCCGGAGACGGCCATGCGCATAGAAAACTTCTGGCCGATTAACAACAGTTCTGAAATTAATTTCTCAACGTCTGTCAGCTCCATGGTTTGACCCGGCAGTTTGGCCGCAGTGCGACCCTACGCAAGGTGGCTCCTCGCAAGGATCCACCGAACGCGCTCCTGCCGCGACAAGGAATATGAAGCAGGATCGTGAGGGAGGCTTGCGCCTTCGACCACACAGACTTTCTCTGGGACGCTACCGAAGCCGAAACACCACAGACAGCCGAAAGCCGGTTGGTGCTCGGGACAAGATCGATATCGCTGCGCAGGAGGAAAAGTGATGCACAGCATGGCATCCAAAATCAACATCTGAATTGCAAAACAAACTCTGGAAACAATGTGTCAGACATCTAAGGAAGTTTGTCCAGCATACGCAGCTACAGCGGTCACTGCAGCCGCTTAGTAGGACACTTACTGCGAATGTTTGAGAAACGGTGTATGCTGTATCTCAAAAGGTGTCATCATTTGAAAAAATGCACGTCCAGGTGGCCCAATTTTTTTTGAGATCTCTCTGTCCTCTCTCAGAAATGCTGCGGTCGATCATGTTTTCTCACACCCACTATTCGAGATCTGGTGTAGTTGAAGATCAAAGATCTGCTTTTTATGAAGATCCACTTGGGAGTGTTTGGAGACCGCATCAAGCCGCGACTGCTTTCAATTACCGGCCCTGGGAACATTTTTTACTTTCGAATGCATTTTCCAATAGCAGTGCGCTAACGTGCGCTAGTCTTTGGTTTATTCTTTCATGAAATCTTCAACAGAACCCTAGTGGATGAGAAACTCCACGAATTTGTTGCCATTGATTTGGGATAAAGGTTTCTGACAGCCCGCCTGTCCGTGAGAACAGGCTAGCCGAGTGGGAAAACATTATGGCGCATCAAATTCTGGATCAGCTGCAGCTCATCCTGCCTTCACAAAACGTACGTATTTGTGAAAAGGTCCACACTCATCCGTTGAAAATTTCCGTAAGATCACGACTCTGGGCTTTGCTACACGATGGATCAGATTCAGATACAGACTATGGTGTGTTTATCTACTTCTATGCAAAAATTTCCGGAGAAGCTCCTTGCTCTCTTTCTCAAATGACAAAACATAATGGAAAAAGGATTTTTACGAAATACATTTCGCCTCACGGCTTAGATGCGCCCTTATCGTCATCCGGCGCACACCAGCTCCGCATAATTGCAAATTCAAAATACAATGAGTACAAACAAGTCGTGACCTAGTCAGTGCCTTGTGTAATTGCAGTTCCTCTAGAAAATGTGTAAAGTTGTAAAGATGGATATGATAGGTCTGTTTGCGCTGGTACTACTTATGTTTTTGATCGTTACGCTTCTATTCCTTACATTCACTCGACTGGGCAGGAGGTATTGCGAGTGTCATGACTCAATTTTTCATTTTCTCTTCGTTACTTGGTCATCGAAAATAAGGGGAAAACGAATCAAAAGAACAGAAAATACGATACTTCGTGCTCTCAACACAGCGTTGTAGCTCTTACTTGTATAAAAAAGTTCATCTCCACCCCGACATACGATTTAACATTTCACTCTGAAATAATTCCAACACTTACTTTATCGACTACCCTCACGCGCCCGCGTGACTTCCCCTCATGCCACCCGTCGCTCCAACAGCTTGCCCCCCACCCGCGGCGGAAGTCCGCATCATATCCCGGCCCTGCGCCATCGCGTTCCGCACCGCATCAAGCTCTTCGTCCAGAGACGCAACCGTCCCGCGAATGTTCCCGCTCGGACTTGCCACAGTATTTCTCGTCGCCGTTATGGTCGCACGAATAGGGTTGCCAGTACTAGCCGCCTCATTGACGCTCTTCTTTCCATTCTTGTCGGCGGCATGCTCCAGGGCCATATTGGCGTTGTTTTCGTTCCCGTCCATCGCACTCACGGTGACCAAGTCCTTGCCGTTCCACTTTTCGCTCCCACTTTTCGGCGAGTCCTTGATAAACACGGTGCTGACGTCGCTTTCCGCCCCCTCGTCCCTATCGGCGTCGAACGAGTGCGCCGCCTTTTCCTGCGTCAAGTGCAGCAGCGCGTACTGGGTTTCGCGGGCGAAAATCTTCTTGCGCTTTTTCAGTGTGCTCCGGATGGCATCCAAGCGATTCAACAGATTCCAGTGGTGGTCCTGCCCGTGCCGCACCTTCGCACCCGAAACGAAGGGGAACAGGTTGAAAGTGGTCTTGCTCGTGCTGGTGGTGGAGGTAAAAACGCCGATGACCACCGCGATGGTCAGGATAATCGCGAGGAAATCGGGCAAAACACCGTCCCCGGTGGAAAACAGGGAATCCGTGGTTGGCGGGAAAGAAGAAGATCTTCCGGAGGAGTCAGAACTAGTAGTCTTACCATAGGAGCTCGGTTTCTGTGTCGGCTTGCTGGAAGTAGATGAAGATGAACCCTTCCGGCCTTTTTTCGCTTTCGCGGCAATCGCCGCCTTCGGCTTCTCTTCCGCTTTCTTCGAAAAAGTAGGAGCCTTTGCTCGAGAAATTTTCGTGCCCTTTTTTATCTCCAAAGTGGTCTTCACTTTTTCCAGAATTCTCGCACGGGACAAAGTCGACGTCCTGCCACTGCCTTTACTTTTGAAAGCGCCGCTACTAAAAGTAGAACCCTTCGTGCGGTGGACAACTGCCTTGGTCTTTTTGTTTTTCCCGGATCGCAGGAAATTCCGGAAAAACCGAGACTCGCAGTACAGGTCGGTGCAGGATGATGAAAGTGAGAATCGGTTTCCTGCTCCTCTATTCCTGTTCTTCTTCCCTGATAAACCAGTACTTGTCGTGAGAATCGGCTTTCCCTGATGAAAGTGAGAATCGGCTTTCCCTGAGAAACCAGTCCTCGTCGTGAACATCGCCGCACGACTGGTGAACGCCTCGCTTCTCGGGTCCCGCATACGCACAATCTTCTCGTGTGCGGGGATCAAATGCTCGCGCACGAACTGCTTTCGGTACTTCCGTTGCTTCTTTACCAGATCATAGTGCTCCGCCGCCGCGGAAACGGCGTCGAACGAAGACGACGCAAGTCCGTGGACGTATTCCACGTGCCCGGCTTCGTGGTCAAACTCGCCCTGGTCGAAATCACTATCAAACGCAAATATGTCTGGGTCTGGCAGATTTCCAGGCTTGTCATGCATATTTGGCACGACGCATGACGCCTGTAATGCGTGACCTAGCATCACAGATTTTTAGAGGACTTTCTGATGCCTTTTCCGCATGAGAACACCGGCTCCGCCTAGCACAATCTGGACTCCTATTGCCTGTCATGCAATACAGATTTTTTTCGAGTCCAAAGGTAGCATCACAAGTTGCATCCTCTCAGACCCAGACGTATTGGCAATGCATAATCACTGCTCGTGATCAACGCCTTGGAGCTATCCTGAGCAAAAACGTACCCACGCCAGAGTTGTAATGCAGATTTGCAAAGACAGGAAGACTTGTAATGCGCATCCCCATGAGAGCCATTTCCAATCGTGTTTTGGAATTTGTGCTGCTGTGAACAGGATGAGCAGATGAATCTGTGATGCGGCTGCACTTGCTAACCTGCACTACACTGCATAGTGCAACTTGTCATGCGTGACTCACAAAACTCCTAGGTTTGTGTTGCAAAATCCTCATCCTGACTCTGGTGTGGGTACGTTTTTACTCAGGATACGAGCTCGCGGGCACCACGGCCCGCTCGTAAAACCCCTTCGAAACGATGTCGTGCGGAATCATCGGGCCAAACAGCGGGTAGAGCTCCCCCGGGGTTTCTTCCTTCGACAGGCAGACGTGGCACGACGAGGTAGAAGAAGAACCTCCGCCATCCTCCTCCTCCGAAACAGAAACTTTGTCCCCGCTAGTACACAGAATCTCCTCGTCACAGGAACACGTGTCCGGACTGTCGATAAAGTTTCGCTTTTTCAACACCGTTATCAACTCTAAAAATGTCTGGGGCTGGAATGTTGCCGGGTTTGTCATGCAGATTTTGCATGACCCAGAATGTCTGTAATGCATGACCTAGCATCACAGATTTTTAGAAGGCTTCCGGATGCCTAATCCGCATGACAAATGCCCTCCCCGCCTAGCACAAACTAGACTCCTCTTACTGATCATGCAATACAGATTTTTTTGGAGTCCGGAGGTAGCATCACAAGCTCCAACCTTCCAGACCCAGACATTTTTGCATTTGATAACCGTGTGCAGCGCGAAGCTCGGGGGCAGCCAGGCCGAAAACATGTTCCCGTGTTCATCCATCACTTGCATCGTGTCTTTTTGATTCGACCCAATTTTTCCTCGCCGATTTTGGCTTGATATTTTCGAAGAACCAGAAGTTCGCGTTTTTTTAGTCGTGGACGACCCCACGGTCGATGTTCCAGCATGAACCTGCTGGACGAGGTCAGCAAACCGATTTTCCTGGCATTCGCACGTCATCCCCGTCACATCACACGCGATCAGCTTCTCTACCCCGTCACTGCCACTAATGCACTCCGCCAAGTGCAGGTCCGCGTTGCGAATGACGGGCTCAGATTCTTCCGGCACTTTCCAGGCTTCGTAGGCTGAGACGGGTAGAAACAACCCTTGGCTGTCCGTGAGAACGAAAACTCTGATGACCACACTAGTCATGGACAAAGATGACAGAAGCGCACCTGCAGTGGTGACCTGTCGGGGAGGCAAATACCCGGACATTTTGAAACAAATGACGAACTACTAAACTATAAAGGGGGGAATTTCTTCAGGGGACTCAATTTGTAGTTAGAAGTTGTCAACGGCTTTACCACCCGTTTTTACAGAATCAATTTCAAAGAAACGCTGCGTCTCGTGAACTTACTGTTCCTGCTCGGGTCAAAGGTATAGGTGGGAAAGCTCGGATGAAAGATTACAACGTCGAAGATATTGTAGGTGAATATGGAAAAGGTAATTTTATTGTCACCTCACTATCAAAAAGCAGCAATGCAAATCACGCTTGCACAAAGCCTAGCTAGCTGTTGGTGTGAGAGTAACTGTCGCCACTTGGTGACGGTGCTAGTATTTTTTTCCGCGTGCTAATTTATTGTCTAGGCGTATGCTATGCAACTGCGACAAGGACTATGGTGCTTTTCTAAAGTTGAAGTGGGGTCGATCAGATTGGGGGCTCCTTTCCCTATGTGTTCTTCTTTGCCGCTCCCTGTTTTGTGTATACACAAGTATCAAAGTGAAGTTTTATTACGGATCTTCACGAAGACTTTCTTCATGTCCTTCGACAGGGTCTGATCCCAATCTTCTCGGTGGCAAGAAAAACCGATTCGTTCAGAAGCCTTGTGCAGGAGCTCACACAGCTTTGCCTCGCGCACAAATATGGTCCAGTTTTTTTTTCGCTAGGAACGAAAAGGCGCCACTTCGACATGTTAGTTGGATTTTCCGACCGACCTCTCTTGCTAGATCATTTTTGTGCAGCAACCGATTTCTTTTGTCAGTAGAGATGCAGGGTCGAACAATTGAAACAACAGTGAGTTACTGCGTATTGTCGAAATCTAAATCAAAAACACCTCTTTTCGCTCAGGAGTTCTCGGAAGATGTTCTTGTTAGTATAGTTGGCTGTAGAAGTGGCAGCTCGCGGCCGATAGTGTCAACATGTCGCGTGCTGACGTCGGCGCCGTTCTTGCACTTGTGCCTACTACAATGGGGTGTAGCTGATAGATTCTCGAAAAAATCTAAATCAGATCTGCCAGCATAAGTAATCTCAGGCCTCCGCAACTACACTCGCGTCGTTCTCTCCCACCCTGACACCAATGTTGTCGCCCAACTCCTGCTCTGCCCCCGGGTTGAGCTCCGTTCTCCCTTTCAGTTGAAGCTCTCGCTCGAACTCCTCTGCGGCAGCCATTCCGACACTGACATTCTGCGGGTCCGTCTTCCCGTCGGCCTCCAGAACCTGCACCTCTTGGCTACAGTATTTCTTATTTGGTAAGTAGTTGCTGTCAGGTCTACTGTGCAGGGTCATCTTCACACCCTTGTGCTCCGGCGCGAGGTCCTTGCCTTTCGGAAACAGGTTGAATCTGCACGCCGTGTCGACGACGTTGTGCTCTAGTTGTTGCAGCAAAATGAGATAGCTTTTCGCGGTTTTCAGCGTCTTTACGTACTTCAAGGCCGCACACTTCCCGTCCTTGCCAATGGCCACAAGTGCAGCATCCTCTGGAGCACCAGCTCCTTCCGCCGCTCCGCTGCTCGACGGCAAGCTCAAGCAGTGCTTCCGGTTGGCAGTATCCTCCGCTGTGGCGGTGGCGCCGATTAGGTGCAGCTGCTTCATCTTTTTCTCCACCGCGTCACCGTACGGACGGAGCTCGGAAACGATAAAATTTTCCACGCCTGTTTCGAACTCCTTCCGGATTTCCGGTTTGTAACCCGACTGTTGTTTCTCCCGCAACAATTCGCCGAACCGTGCGTTCAGCATCTTGAACTCCTTTTGCGCTTTTGCGCCCAGCTGATCCAACTGCTCGTCCGTTCTTGCGAAGCCGTTCTCCTCGTCCACCGGGAATTTTATCGCCAATTCTCCCTCCACCAAGCCCAGCGGTGCCTGGGTCGTTTCCGGGTTGGGAACCGAGGGGGAGTTCATTCCGTTTCTTGTGCAGGAGAAATCGTGCAAAAGTTCTAGTACTTGCTAAACGCTTTTATTCATAGCTGGTCGCCAAGTGCTGGAAAGAGCGCACACGACCGCTGAAGGCCGCAAGATTAACTCTGAAGTAACCGCTGAAGGCCGTATGCCCAACGTCTCGACCCCGACAACTACTTTCACAGGTACACTACATGAAAACACCACGACCAAAATAGCGGTCGATCACGTCCACCACAACAAGAATTTGGCTCGTACAAATTCATGCATTAGAACTTTCGCGAGTACCCGATCCATGAAGATTCTCCAGTGCATATTCACCTGCACCGCGCAGATCTGCTTCACCTCCGTCAAAATTCCGTTGCGACACAACACGTCAAACGCGTCCCGCACCTTGCTGAGCAGCCTGAGGTAGGATCGGGCGGAAAGCACCGTCTTCGCCATGTCCCCCTGTTGGCACGTCTGGTCGGCGGCAAGCTGGTCATTCGTGATGTTTTCGTTGCCGATGCAGTGCGTCTTGAAGAAGTCCGAGAGCTGATGCTTCTCCGGTAATTCGTGGACCTTCTTTTCCGCCAAATCCCCGAACTTTTGCACGATTTTCAGGGCTTCCGTGGCGTCGTCGCCGACCAGCTTCGGCAAGGCGGAAAACCCCGTGCCGTAACCGAGATTGTTGTGCAAATAGCGGCGCTCGAAATCTTTGCGGTTGCTACTGGAACCGCTAGCGTACTTCTGCAGCGCCGCCCGCTTGGAGCCCGCGACGGCACCGGTTTGGACTTGCTCCGTCTCCTGTGGGCCGGGGGGTAGGTGCGGGTCGCGCGCGAAGAGCAGTTTGTGCTTTTCCATAAAATCTTTCCAAGTCTTGTTCGCGAACGTGTCGAGCGATTGCAGGTCCGCCTCTTGGCCCGTGGTTAGTAAACCAGTTGTAGTGCTAATAGCGTTGTTTGTGGTGGGAGGATTATTGTTATCTTGCGGCTCTGCCTCTGTCGGTAGAAACCGCTTTTCCCCCGGCGTTAAGACCTCCAGCGTAAAGCCGTCTGCGGATGCCGGGGCAGACTCGAGTACTTGCAGCAGTTCCTTGATCCGCAGCGCCGCACGCTTGGCCTTCAGCAAAAGCTTGTCGTCGTAGCACGTCGCTCCGTCCGCGGTCGTTTTTTGCGCAATCGCCCGCAAGTTTTCCCGGATGCCCCGCAAAAATTCCTCCTTGTCCGCGGCCTTCAGAGGCTTGTCGTGCTGGAGAAAGGCCTATCAAATGCAAAAATGTCTGGGTCTGGAAACTTGTGATGCTGGGTGGCGTCTCATGATGAGGGTACAAATGCTGGCTCAGCATGACAAGTTTCGGAGCTCCTAGGTGTTGCCTATTCTGCATGACAAACTGCACTTCTGCATCACAGGAAAACGGAGCTCTTGGGTAACGTGCATGACAGATTTAAGAGTCATGCCAGACAAGCATGACAAACGTGAATTCTTCCAGACCCCGACATTTTTACATTTGATAAGGCCTCGAGCTGTGTGTTCGACGGCGGTGCGTCGGGAAATCTGTCCTTCATCTGCACAAGCGTGTCCAGCGACTTCAGCTTCTCGGAAAACGCAGTACTATCCCCGCCGTTGTACTCGACAAGCGTTTTCAAGTCTTGGTGGAAGCTCCGCGCGAGCGGCACGTACCGGCTTAAGGCAGTGTTTGCCGCGACCCGGGACTGCTTCTGCAGGGTGCAATACAACAGCTTCGCCTGGTCCGTCGCTTTTTCCAGGGCCTTGCCGAAGGCGTCCCCGATCTCTGGCTTGTCTTCGTACATCAAGCCCTGGCGCAGGCGCGGCAAAATCGGCTGCAGCTCGTGCTGGACCGTCTGCTGCAGGCGAACTTTTTGCTTCGTAATCTGGTAATTCAGGTCGAGCAAGTCCTTTTTGCTGAAACGCGCGTTGCGAAACGGATCTATAAATTCCGTTGGGCAATCAATGTCCGCCAGGGCCTCCCCCTGCCCCAAGACGGAGGATGCGCTTTGACCCATGGTGTTGTTCCTTATGCCTACCTTCTAGTACTTTTCAACGCACGATGACAGCGGCTGTTCCTGAAAGCTACTTATGAAGCGAAATTTCATCCTGTCCCGTGAAATGAGTGGCTGGGGAAGGGGATGAGAAGTCGTGCACCATGTGCATAAAACGCGACCAATTGTAGTCGACATCGACATCGACACGAAAAAGTAAGTACTTGCTTACCGATGAATACAACTTGTAGGCTTGTTGAGCAAGCCAGTTAGACGAATAAAACCTCCATCTTTTTAAGCGACAGCGACGATGACACGATTGAGCGAAAAAGGGGAATGCGACGAAATAAAACGAGTCGGAGTCTATTTCGAATTCTAAGCATACCCCAAGCAGAAGACACGGAGCGAACGCGAGGCGGCTTGATGATGATCCTGCATCAGCTGCGCACAATGTGGCTCCTTCCGAGAGTCGCTGCAAGCTGTATCATGCGACCATACTAGCGTCAGCTTCTCGTATGCTTTAGCCTTTCCTGGCTCTCTTACTGTAAGAGTTTTGCATGTGCATTTCCAGTCTCACCTCTTGGTACTTAGATGGGAGACGCCCAAGCCCCCATGAGCATTTTCGTGGAATCTTTTTCCCACCAACTTTTTTCCTTCGCCTTGTAGTAATCGTTCCCTTCCCGGTTCATCTGCGCTCGCTTCTCTGTCGTTTCATCAATGTTTTGCTCTTATCAACCTTGCAAAATGTATTATTCGCGCACAGGGCCACTCCAGAAGTTTTGAATTTGTTTTTGTCCTGGTGGAGGTGGTCCTCTTGCAATACAAAGCAAAGCGGGCTTGAGAATTTTTGCAAATTTTGCAACATTGAAATGCTGTCTGGTACAACTAGGCCCACCACCACGCAGAAGTGTGTGGTCTTCATGCATTCATTCTACACTACCTGCCTCTCGCGATCATACTCCTTTCGCACTGGGATCATAGCTTTTGCGCCAAAATCTCGTCCTTTTCCGCCAGCTGCTCCTCCAAAATGGGGTTCTTTTTCGACATCGCCAGTTCAAAATCGCCGAGAAATCCGTCGGTCATGCCGGTCTTTTTGAAGACTTGGGGCACCAGATCGATCTCGACGTCGTCGTATGAACTGCAAAAGTATCGTACTCGTAGTATTGCAATACAAATTATCTCAGCATGACAGATGGAGTTTGTCTTGCTGATTTAGCTTGAAAAAGAAATTTGTCTTGCATGGCTGCGATTACTACGAGTACGATAGTTTTGTAGAGGATACGTCGTAGTTCAGCTCGGCGTTTTCCGGCTTCGCCAAGTCGATCAGCTGCACCTTGGCGGCCTTCGCAAATTTCTCCTTCATGGTATCTACGATGCGCAAATAATTCCGCGCGTTCACGATGAACTCCGCATTTTGCTTGCACAGCGCGTCCAGCGGCAGCTGCTCGTCGGACAACAACTCCGAGCTCTGCCGCGTGGTGTAGCAGTGCTTCTGGCTGTCCCAGGTGCTCTTATCGTTGTACACGTTCGTGAGCTTTTCGGTCATCAGCTTCCGGAGGAAGACCATGGACTTCTTCCACATGTGGCAGTGCTCCAGAAACTTTCCCCCGCCAACCGCCTGCCGCCGCTGCTCCTGGATGCTGCCGGCCGAGTTGTTCAAATTTTTCGCGTCAGCACCACCACCACCACCACTCTTCGCCGCGTCCTTCAGATAAGCCAGCTTTCCTTTGCTCGCCACCTCCCGCTGCCGCTGCATCTCGTCGAGGTAGGCCAGCGAAACTTTCCCCTTGAACCCCTCCTCGAGGTAGTCCTTGCCATTTGCGTACTTCTCCAGCCATGCCTTGGTCACGTCCTGCACCTGTTTCGACAAGAGCGATTCGCTCGCTTGCATGTTGTTCACGTTCTGCTCGATTTGCAGGTACAGCGCGTCGAGGTCCAGTTTCTGATTCGTCTGGTCGATCGGTTTTGCCTTGTAAACCTCCATTTCCGGATACAACGCGAAAACCTTCGCCTTCGTCTTCGCCAGCAGATTGACCTCTTCCTTTGGCGGGACGGGCGCTTTATTTCCGCCCTCGTAGAACGGCGTTTGATCGCACAGCTCGAATTCCTTTCGTCGAATGTAGTTCTTCGTTTCGCAGTTTTGGTTCAGGCTTTTGCTGCCGTTCTTGCACGTCGTGCAGTTCTCCTCCAACTTTTTTTCAAACTTCTCGTACAGCTGCAGGTACTCGCGCGCGTGCGAAATCGTCTTCGCAAACTTCCTGCACTTTTTCGACACTTGCAGCTCCGAATCGGAGAGATACGGGTTGTGCACGTATCAAAAGGAAACGCCCCCCCTCCCCATGTCGAAAAGGTATGTTTCCGAAAGTCTGCGCTGCTGCTTTGAGGTCACGAATCGCATTTGTCTTGCAAGAAGACAAGGGCAGAAGCTTCCGCCCCATTATGGAAGCGATTTGTCACGCTGTTGGGCCTAAAGGTGAGCCGTTTGCCGTGCTGAACAACTAGGCCCATACGCCCCTACCCAGCCTGGGGATCTGGCCGCAATTTCTCTCTGCAATACAAACCTGATTTGTGTACACAAATCGATCCAGCATCAGAAATTCCGAAGTGATATGGGGAGGGGATATTTTTCCTTTCGATAGCACGCACTCCTGCACCTCCTCCTCGGACGGGTTCAGTTTTTCCTTCATATCACCCAACTCCGCCTCAATGGCATCCCCGTAGGGCTTGAAAAAACGGTGAAAGTAACTGGCAATGTCCCCCCGAAACGACGGCGCTTTATTTTGATTTTCCGCCTCAGAGCCGATGCCGACTTCTTTCCCGTTCGCCAGCTCGAGCAGGTCGTTTTGCACCGCTTTTCGCATGCCGCTCTTGGTAACGGTGTTATGAAACGCGTTCACGTGAAATTTGTCACGGCACAAGTTTGTGACGTCGATGAATTCCTTGTACTCTGCGGGTTCATTCGCCTCCACCGGTTTCAGCCCGGTCGCCTTCACCTTCTCCAACACCGTGATGATGTGATTCCAGTAGTCAAAAATCTTGTCCAGCTCCTCCTGGGCCTTCTCCCCCACGCTCGCCCCGGCGTACGGCTTGATCCCGAAGGAAACTTCCGGATCTACAGATTCGGTAGCAGATTCGGTGGTGGTCCCTGTTGCGGAGAACTTCGGCGCTTTGTTCATGGTGACAATATCTTCCGGAACCGGAAACAGCGGCCCGCGATTGTGGCTAGTAGACACGGTTGATGTACTACTTGTTCCGCTTTGCTGTGCCTCAGGTGGTTCTTCTGTTATTTCACCACTTATCACCCCACTCCCAGCACCGCTTTCCTGCTCTTGCGTATTTATTTCATCACCTTGCGTGCCAGTCGTGGTGGTTGTACTATCCTCTTGGGCAAACTCACTGATCATGTTAAATCCGCTTTGCTGCTGCTGCTCTTGTGATCCGCCAACTCCGCCACCGCCACCACACCATTCCGCGGCTTGCAGCCCGGGGTGCTGCTGCTGATCTCCGTTCCCCGCACAGTTCGCATTCACTGCGTCTTGGAATTCCCCCACCAGGTGCAGATAACTCCGCGCGTGCTCGATATGGAAGCGTCAGGTTTGAAATCGTCAAAGTTGAAATAGTTTGTCATGCTAAACCGACCGAAACCACTACACAACCTGTAAGGGCACCGAACCGCACCGAAATAGTTTGTCATGCATAAAACGCATACCAGTGAGCCCTACAGTTTGTGGTCGGTGCATGACAAATTTTCCCGGTCCTGGGAGCGAGTCTGTCATGCGGTTTAGGGCAAAAGAGCTGCCTTCTGTCATGCTAGTCAGCAGTCCAACTTTTGACCCTTACCAGGACTATAATCTGCCTCCCATGTTGCGTCCTCTGCAATGGAGTCACTTTTTGCGTCGCATTTTATGCATGACAAATCATTTCAACTCTGACGATTTCAATCCTGACACTCCCATACTCGATCACGTTTGCGTACCTCCGACACAATGGGTTGGCTATGAGAGGGCAGCTGCACTGACTACTTACTATACTCCCCCTGCCATGATGCCCTTTCGTTTTGGCACGACATTTGGCACAGGCACGACATGGTGCATGACAGCTTTCAACGAAAAGCCACAACAGTTATGTCAAGTGCAATTCGACGTGTGCAACAGAAGATTTGTGACACGAAAGCTGCGCCGTAATCGTATTTGCTGGCGCTTGCCTTGCGTATGCGTTCTTGCTGTAAATACAACACTGCAAATGATGAAAGAGACGAGGGCAAAGCAAAACAGGTGCGCAGCAGCAGTACATACGTAAACTTTCATATTGGCCAGCAGCTCCTCGTGAGAGGCGAACTCGTTGTGGAAGCACTGCTCGAACACCTGCGGCGTCGGTTTCTTCGCTGCGTCGGGCTCGTTCTGCAGCACCTTCAGCTCTTCCACCAGTTTCTCCTCGAAGGGCTCGAAAAAATTTCTCCTATACCGGACAAACTTCGCGGAGATCTGGTCCAAAATGGTCTGCATCTGCTGCTTCCACAGGTCCACGGTGGTTTCCTTCGAAACCTTGGCGGACCTGAAAAGCGACCCCTTTGCTTCATTTTTCGCCAGCAACGCGCCCTGGGGGTTAAGGAAATCCAGGGCAAATTCCTCCTTCACTGCCTCGTTTGCGGCCGTGAACGTCTCGAGCGCGGTCTTGTCCTTCTCATTCACCACTCCTCCCGCATCCATGGCCGCGTAAATCGGTTTCAGCAGTTCCTTGTAGGAGGAAAACTTGTACTCCTTTCCTTCCGTCTCCGCTGTGCTGACTTTTGCCTTGTCCAGCTGCTCTACGCCGGCTCGGGTGAAGTCCGCCTGGGAGATGTTGGACCCTTTCGGTTTCAGGTAGGAGTTCAGTTCTTCGACCGCGTCTTCTTCCAGGGAAGCCAAATCCGCCGGCTCGTATACTTCGTCGCCCGTCCAGTCTTCGGCCTCCTCCTGGGGGGTCGCGTGGAAGTCGGTCTCCCCGAGCATCTCCACGTCAAAACTGTCACTCCCACTCGGCGCCTCGTCCAGCACCAGCATTAGCTCCTTCAAATTTTGGGCGGACTTCTTGACATGCCGAAGAAAATCCGGCTTGCTCTTCAGCGGGCGTCCGTCGGGGTACAAGCCCAGGGAGCTCTGTTCCAACGCCACGCCCATCCCGTTCTTGATAAGGATTCGCTCTTCCGCGGTCAGGGGCGCGACCTTATTGAGAAAAACCTCCAACTGCGTGTTTGTTAAGGCAGTCGGCAGTGGTCCGGACGTTGTGGAGCCCTCTTTGACACTGTCGCCAAACTGGCCCACCACCTCGGCCATCTGTTCCAGCTTGTCCGTCAATCGCAGCATGTTCTTCGTGCCGTGGGTGTACTGGGCCAGAAAGAGCAGGTCTCTCTGGATCCTCTTCCACAACGGAGGCTGTGGCAGGGTAGCTTCATGTGCTGGTACACGACCTCCACGTGCACCGCTTCCTTCTTGCTCTCGTCCACGATCGTCACGGTCACTATCTTCACGCTGTTCAACCTCCACCTGGACTTTTTTCGTTAACCTGGTTTGTTTTTGCAGGCCGCAGAACAACATTTTTGACTCCTCGCTTGCAGCGTCGATCAGATCGCCCAGCTTCTTCCCCACTTCCTTTTTATCCTCGAAGTTGATCCCCTGTTGGAGCCGTCTCTGCAACTTCTGCAGCTCCGCTGTGTCAACTAACAAGTGCTGGAGTTTTTTTCGCCGGCGGGCGATTTCGTCCGTTAGATCGAGGAGTTCGCTTTTCGAAAAATTTTCCGCTCTGAAGGGCGAAATGTACTCGGCGGGGCACTCGATGCTGTGCTGCGCTGCGACGGCGGGAAGCTGGTGAAAGTTTTTGGAAAGTGATCCGTGGAGCTGGATGTCCTCGAGCAGGCTCCAGGGGTCACTGCCAACGAACTTGGCATCATTCCGCATAACATGCTTCGGTGGAGCCTGTCGCGGCACTCCTGCGCCTGGAAGCTTCCCGGTTGAGGCAACCGCTTGCACCACCTGATCAAGCGGCGTGTTGGCAGTCTCCGCAGCAGCACCACCCGCTGCAGCCGCGCCCATATCCTTCTTTTTTTGATGAAAGCGCAATAAACTACTCCTGCAAAATCTTTTTACAGAGGTGGATTGGCACTATACTGCAACGTGGTTCGGCTTAAATTTTCGAGTCCACCATAACAACAGAAATGAAGAACGCCACACAGGAACAGAGCGCAGGCGACGAGGACGGCGATCGAAACGAAGTCAATGAATTTGCTTGCCTTGTTGTGCTGAGACGATATTAGCGAGGGACTACTGTGTCAGTGACCTCCGCACGCGATGCGTAATTAAACCGATCAAGTGTTTTTGCCAAATACGATGCGAGGACGAAACTTAGTGAATTCCTCGTTGATATACTTCAGACGATACTTGCGGATTACGACGTCGACTTCGCAACGATACAAGCAACGCGAATACTTGTTATGCTATGCAGTAACACCAAATCATGACGCTCTGTAGTTTCCTAGAACCACAGCGAGAAAGGTAGAGCCAGCGAACATAGACCGCGATCAATAAAAATGCGATGAAGGCGTACAGTTGCCGGCTGCGCGACTGCTTGAGCATTCTCAGGGTACTACTTGTCATCTGCTACGCGCAGTGGAAGCCATTCGTGACACGGCACTTTCTTCATTTCCAATCCAAAGACAGAAAAAAAATCATGAAAGCGGTCTTCATGTGACATCGGGTGTGAAGAAGAAGCCATAATTCCTGTCGTCCGCGTAGCGACTGAGAGGAAGATCCTTTCACCATCTAAATATCGACTTTTTTCATCCCCGCCACCAAACCTTCTTCGATGGCTTTCTGTGCGTCCTTGTTGAAAGTTTCCTCCCCCTTCTTCAACATGATTTTCAGGGGTGCACCGGTGCCAAACACGTCATTCAGATTGAGCTCCTTGATGGCGGCCACGCACGCGGCCGGCTCGCTGTACGATATGTAACCAAACCCGTTGTTGGCGGCCGGGATGTGGATCTGTTAGTTTTATTTCGATAAATTGGGTGAACTACAGGTACAGGCAGCTACGAGGAGCCGCTCCGGCTTTTTTTCTCACGTACATTTCAACATCTGAGGCAAAAAGTCGACAGATTTCGAAGATCACGCAGTTCGTTGTGCACGGACAAGCTATACCGTAATATATTTTTCCACGCCTGAACTTTTTTGAAAGAAGCAATCAACCACAATTTGTCGGTTGTGTATCATGAACCAACGTCAAAAAATAAAACTCCATGAAAGTACAAGATACCTTGCACCCCACGAGCTGTCCGTGGTCCTTGAAGGCTTCGTAGGCCATGGTATCCGTGACGTTGGACAGGTTTCCGTGGATGAACAGGTTGCACCCGGGTGGTCCCAGGTCGCCGGACCCGCAGGCGCTCGGCACCGACCGGTTTAGGTTCCCGGTGAGGGCTTTCAACCCGCCCTCCTCCGCGCCGACGACTCGGCCGTCCGGGTATTTCATGGCGCCTTGCTCGTTCTCCTCGTCGAGCAGCCCCACGCCGCTGTCCATGATCACATTTGCCCCGTTCGGGTGCTGGACAAAAAGGTCGAGCTCCGCGGGCCGCTCCCAGGAGGACTCTTCGGTGAGGAGGTTTACGTAAAATTTCGTCCCGTGCTCGTCCTCGTTTTCCGTCCAGGGAGTCAAGACCTGGGGGTTTGGAAGGTTTAGGTTTGGAATTGGAAGGGAGATGAAGCACATCATAGAACAGGAAATAAAGCGCTCTGTTTTTCGAAAGCATTTTGGTTTTATTTCCTGGGGGTGACGGCGCTACTGCATTTTTAGCAAGCGCAAGTACACACATGCCAATCCTACCTACATACTGCACTATTCAAATGAGCAACGAGAACAGCAGCAACAGGAAAGCTCCTGTGGTAACATACTAAATGCAGCACTACTTAATACTTACAACTACCTTTTGATTCTTCGGCCTCAAATCGAACACCGTGCCCTCTCGACTGGTTAATGGTGTGTTGAAGAACTTCACGTGTAGTGGCCTTTCGCTGCCGGGAAACGGGTCGTCCACCCCGTCTTCTACTCCGATTGCGGTCGCCGCTTCGTCGCTGTTCATATAGGTGATGGTGGCCCACCCGCGGTCGGACCCAAGGATGTCCTTGCAATAGTAGAAGTCGCGGATGTTCCCGTGCTGGCTAAACCTGGTGCGCAGGTTCTCGTCGCTGATAAAGTGGGGCAGGTTGCCCACGAAGATCTTGTTGTCGCTCATGATCGGGAAGGTTTTGAAGAAAACAAATGATGGAGTAGTAAAAAGAAAAGTTGTTTGTCGCGCACAACCTCCTTGATAAACGAGCTCAGGAGAAGGGACGAGATTGGGGTAATATCATTCTGATACTTCTATCTGCTCGACGACGCCTTCAATCGTAATCAACTATCGTGGTCTCTACTTGTAGTATCCACCTTTGGTTGTTGCTGCCGCTGTCAGAAGAAAAAATTGCCAAATAAAGGGTCGTGGTTTATTCAAAATCAGCGAACAAAAAGCAGAATCTCATTTCATTATTCGCGATTCTGCCACAAAAGATGAAAAAAGTAGCGCGAGAAGATCCAGGTCCTTTATTTCGCGTCAACGTTGAGCATCGACAGGATCTTATTAGTTGAGATCGTTCAACATAAGTAGTACTTCAAGCTCGCCGTCTATGCGGAACTGGGATCACGATTGATATGTTGATCAAAACTAAATTCAAATGTTAGGAGCCCTCGTCACTTCTTCGTGCGTGTAGTAAGCTCTCCGATTGGGGAAGAAACAAATCCTCTAGAGATGAAACTCCATTGCCCAACACATTGAACCTCCATCGGACAGCCCATTCACGATCTGCGTCGTCCGCACTGGCAAAATCCCTTCTATCCTGCAGCCTGCCATCATTGTTATCCGGCAACCTTCAAACGCGATCTTATCTACTGCGTTTTTCTTTTTTGCACAAAACCTTTAGGTACGACAGAAAGAACCATCTTCTGAAATTGTACAGTTACTGTTACAGCGTATTTTTTTCTCTTAATTCTGAATAAACAGATCTTCATCCTGTCCGAAGGTTCTACAGGTACTATTGAAACAAAATCACAAAAGGTAGCTCCAGTCGCGAGGTTGCTTGTAATCAAAGAGATGATCACTCGCTACTTAGGTTATCTTGGATTATCTCTTTTCCGTGCTTTTTTCATGCAACCGCTTATTGATAGGCAGCAAGAGACCTCCCCGGTAGGGTTGGTAAACAAATCTACGTTTTTACGCAAGAAAGCAATGCTGCAGAAGCACAGCAAAGAACCCTTCCTCTTTCAGAAGCACAGCAAAGATTGTGAGAGCACGTGGACGCTCTCTCTACTCCGAAGGGCTAAAACGCCATAATCGAGTCCCAGGCGTATTCCGCTCCCGCAAACACGTCATCAACGGTCTCCGAGACGACCGCTTTGAAGATGCCGAAAGAGGTTTTGGGTTTAGTTTCGACGCCCTGCTTTTTGCTACCGGGACTACCAGTACCAGCTCCTTTCGCAATAATCGCTGCCGGTTGTTGCTCCCTGTGTAGTTCTCGTTTCATCTTCCTCGAACTTTTTTTCTGTTGCATGATATCCCGGCCTGCATCTCTGGTGAAGATAAAGTTGTTCACCGATTCGTGCTTCTCTTCTTTGGACTGGCTCAGAAACGAGGACGACTTGGAGAGATTCAGCTGCTGCATCTCTTCAGAAGACGAGGAAAGCAGTAGGCGTTCCCGTTTATTTTGGTTGATGTTTTTGTTGCTTCTCGAAGCAGCTGGTGGCCCATGAACTTGCGCATGAAGAACATCGTCGTCATGAAGATTCTGACGTCCACTATCGTGCCACGCCGCGGTAGACATGTTGATTGCACTGTTGTCCATCTCCTCTTCGAATTCTGCGTCCGCATTTCTGTTGTAAAACCGGTTCACACTCACGTCCGGATCCGGAGAGGTGTAGAAATGAAAAGGACGCGGCGGTTGCGGCAAACTGTTTCCACTGTGCTGGATGTGGTTCTTTTTGTTCACATCTTTACTGCCATATTCTATCGGCCTTTTCAGCACGTGACTGCGGTTTCCGAAGTTCAGTCTTCTCGGACTGCTTTGACCTCTTTCTCCTTCTGGGTTTGTTGCTGTGTGATGAGGGTTTTTCCGATAGTCCGTCATGCGGAGGAAGTCTGACCCGTTCAAAAACAAACTACTGCGGGACAGGTCCGACTGCTCCACCACGTCGTCGTCCTCGTCGTCACTAGCGGAGGCAGCTTCATCTTCAGGCCTACTTTGGCCGCCGTCTGGACGAGCTGTTGGTTTAGTTCTTGATGCGATCTTCTTCTCCAGGCGATCTAACTCTTGCTCCAACTGTCCCTTCCCGTCGTTTCGCGGAAACCAGTAACCTATTCGTCTACTTGCATGACGATCTTCCCCAGCTTTTGGTGGTGGCCTCGTTTTGGAGGTTGTGGCTGTTTTTTCCTTGCTTTCCTCCACTTGCTCGTAACTGTCCACAAATGGTAGCAGCCAAAAGAGGAAGTTGCGCGTCCCCATCACCTGGCTGATATTATCGTAGATACCGAGATCGTAGGGATTTATCTTCTGCACCGATGATTTTTCACTATTCTCCGCAGATGAAGCAGCCGTGTTGCTCTGGTGTGTTGGTTTTTCCTCCGTTTCCTTCGTTTTATCACCCTGATCCGAAATTGTTAGCAGGAAGTCGTCGAGCTGTTTTGCCTTTCCGTCGTGAATCGCGATGCCGGGTGGAGTGGTTTTTGTTCCCTCGACGACCTCGGCTACCTCAGAAGAACCTCCTTCTCGCGTCGCGTTCTGGTTTTCTTCAGTTCTAGCAGAAGATTTACTTTTGTCCTCCACATAGTACTGCTCGAAAAACTCCAACGTCGTCATGTTTTTGCACATGAAGTACGTGTGCACGACGAGGAATGGATTCAAAGCCAGACTCAAAAACCCCGACAGCAGCGCTCCCTGCGCCAGAATGATGTAAGACGATGTCGGCATGTTGCTCAGCAGCGAGGTAGCTGTCCCGACAGAGAAATCAGCCACTTGCTCCGGTGCGGAGAACGGGGTCCGAAGCCCGAGTAACCAGCTCGCCAGCCAGCCGAGGTGGGTCGACGAGGAGGAGGAAAAACCATCGAACAAAAATCCAGCAGTACCCGACGCTGTTCCGCCGTTCGTTTGCAGCATGAGATGCAAGAGATGCGTGAACAGGTAGTCGCAGGAGACGGTTGCGTACAGGACAAAGAGGTAGAAAAACTTCTGGTTCTTCAGGCCCACCGTATTCAGCATCCAGGGGCAGTGGTGATCCATCCGCATAATATTCTTCCCGGTCACGCGACAGTGGTGGGCGCGGTCTGGTTTGAAGATCCTTTCCTTCTGGCAATACCGAATTTTCGCCGTCCTGCCCTGTTCCGTCAGAATATCTTTCGTTGAATCGTCTGCACCTGCAGCAGCTGCGTTCTTTTCCACGTCGAAATAATCCGAGTATTCCTTGTTCAGCCGGTCCATTTCCTTCTTGGAGTACGCCTTCTTTTTTCGCTCGTGCGCAAATTTGATGGCGTGTAACTCGCTCTTCCAGTTCGCGAACTCAGCCGGGTCATCGGACACGTAGCCCGGGGACGTGGTGACGCCCTTCGTGTAGGCGTAGGCCGTGAGGGAGAACAGGATGTTAAAGATCGTCTTGAACCACTTCACGTCAACGACCGCTCGCAAAGCCTCGTTCGCGAGAACAATCTTGGAGTACTCCAGCGCAGCGACGTACAGGATACCTGGGAAGACGAAAGGAAGTGTAGTGTACCGAAGTAATTCTTTATTCGCTTCCTGGTGACTGGTGCTGTCTTTGACGGAGCAGGCATCGAAATAGTAACATGTAGCAGAACTTCTACAGTAGACAGAGTCTACTTCATTGCATGTTGTCAAAATAAAGCATTATACGCATGGCGATGTAGTTGCTGGTTGCTGGTTGCGAAACTCAACGAAAGAAACATTAGCACTAGTTTTCAGCACAACTTTTTTTTGACTACCTGCGATGAGTGCGATGAAGAACAAGAACACGGTCTGGGAGAGCGGAATCTTGTTTCCCTCGCCAAGTTGTGCTCCATCCTTCGTTCCGGCGTTTTTATGATCTTGCTTCCCTCCTGCTCCACCATGCAGAAAGCGGCTCCCTCGCGACCGAAATTTGCAAAGTAGCTCCAGCAAGTTGAGGAGTTTGTCGAAGAACCACCAGCTGATCTGTACCACCGCTTCGCCGACTTCCTTCACGCAGATCTTGGCCAGGTAAAACAACGCGGAAATAATTTCCTCCGCAGACTGGAAGAGCAGCGAGAGGAGCGATTCTTCTGTCTCCTCAGATGCATCGTGGTCTTGCTGCTCGGGGGTGGCAGTTCCGGGACGAGGAGCTTGGTCGTCAACGTTTTTGCTGTTCTTTCTCCGCTCTTGCACCGTCGCGTGGTACAGTTTCTTGGTCGCTAAAATCTGCCGCCACTCCGCCGCAAAGAGGACAATGTTCGCCGGCTTCTTCGGCGGAACAGGCTTGGACTGGTGGGGAGCCATTCTATTTTTATTCGAGAACGATGATTAGAAATTTTCGTTCTCTTCTTGCTCTTCATCGGTATTAGGAAGGTTGAAAATCACGCACTTTAATACTTCCTGTATAGACAGACCAGATGAAACAATCAGTCGAGCAGGCGCGGCCACAACATATCAACGAAGAAACTCTCCACGACGACAGGACAGAAAAGCGAAAAACGACACAGCTCCTCTCTCGTGACGATTGAAATAGTCCCTCCAACCAACTGACTATCCTGTATATTGCACGATGAGACGCCACGACCGCGAAACCAAGACACGTTAAGCATAACAGTGTTTCTTGAAGGAAAACTAACACTGCCCTCTGTTCTTGCCGCCTGCTGTAGTGGACGTGACGGAGAAACGTAGTATTTTTTTCCCAATATTGTCGCCGACACATCGTGCTGTCCTCCACTTCATCCCTTTCCGCAGACCACATTTTTGTTATAAAGCTGCTGTCGTGGGAAACTCCAAAAGGAGTCTGTTCAAAAGTTTCTTTGAAATTGTTTGAGTCAAGGAAGTCCCGGCAGTCTACCTTCTCGACCTGACTAAATTGTGCTAGTTCTAGTTCGTCCATGCAACAAACAGGCTGTAGTCCCAAGTTCCAAGTGGCACAAGAATCTTCCGCACAGTTGCAAAATCTTCCGCCAGGTTAAAGTAAGTAAGAGAGCTCTATTCAACTTTCGCTTTGATAAGTACCACTACCATCCTGCAAAATTTTTCCAAATAATACTGAAAGTAAAAACAGCTCAACAACAGCAAATTCATAAAACTTAAGTTCGGCGTATCTATATACAGAATTTCTATTTATTGTTGGCAAAACCCTACAAAAACTTCTCAACCATCTTGGTCGCGGACTCCATGTTTTGCAATTGGTCTTCCACCGTGTGCCCCGTGCTCTTCGCTTGCTCCCCGAAGATCTCGGCCGCGGCAATTTTGCTATCCCGTAGGTAATCCGCAGTTTGGTCTGGGGTCAAATGCAGCTCTTTCAGAATCCCGGCCACGGACTCGTACGCATCGCGGAACTGGGAATGAGTTGTCATTGATTATATTGATTTTGCCGTGCGTTTCAGCTCCTTTTAAAGAAAAAGAATCGAGCGCTCAAGCGCAAAAAAAGTGACAGAAGTAAAAGGACAAAGAAACTCAATCTCAAATTCATTCTGAAGGAGCTGCTTGTGCGCTACACCTATACCATATCACTTGCGGCTTTCGTCTCCGCGTTGATTTGGTGCAAATCCGACAGCATTTCTGGGTCCTTCAGGTCCACATATTCAGGTGAAATAAGAGTGCCCCGCCGGCACGAAAGCGAGGATTTGTTTTGCAGCTCTTCTAAGCTGACGAATCAATAATAGATCTACTACCACTGTGCCAGCCCGCAACACAGACTTTCGCTATCCCGGGGACAGTGGGTAAGAACATCAGCAATACAAACACTTCCCGTGCTTTCGTGGCGGCTCGATTGTAGGGGCACATTTATTCAAGATGATACCACATTACCTCTCTTTGTGGAAAAAAGGTCGTGAATGTCTCGCCAGGTTTCGCCCTGCTATCCGGTGGAAAAACCGACAGATACCCATACCCCAGAGTTGTCATGCCAAAGGGATTGCAGCACGTGGACACTTTGCGCCCCCCCCTTGTACCACCCCATAGACATAGTTGTCCTGCAGATCTGGTGTGTACAGGGGTTGAGACATAGGCATTTTGTAAACGTTGTTTGGGAACATCAGGAACTCGTGCTGCTCTAAGTAGAGAGTGCTCTTTCGGAACAAGTAGAAGGTGGCTTTCTGATACATACGGCCACGACGCTACACCTACACATACACACCAAACGCGACTATAACACTGCGGATGTCAAGGTGTGCTTCGTAGAACTCCCAACAGTTCTTCTCGATTTGTCCTGCAAATAAAGTGCGATCTTGACTACTTATGGGTTCGTGGGTAATGCATTTTTCCACACCATACCTGCGACAATGTCGTCAGCGCGTCCTCGTGTTCCCCGATCTTAGATCCGGCGTCCATCAGAGAATCAAGCAATTTTGGCGTTATCTTCTCATATCCTAAGGGAAAATGACCCCTCGCCCTCCTCACCTGCCTGCAGTCCCCGACTGCAAGCCAGAGCTGATTTGTGATGGATTGCAAACTCGTCCGCATAAGAGGATTTATACTTGAAGATGGGGAGGGGGCACTTTCCACTCTGATATTCCAACGTCGAGGTTCTGCAGCATATGGGCGAACTCTTCCTTCTGTTGCGCCATGCCGGCACTGGAAGAAGCGGACGCAGACATCGCTTTATTCTTTGTTTCAACTGGACTTTTATCTTTTTTCAAGCCGATGTCTTCTTTCACCACAACTTCAATTGATAGATGCCAAATGCGCGTCTACTTTCTGATGAAATCATCTGCGTTCGACATGACGATTCATTGCCAAGGTCGGGTAACAAGTTTTCGCTCAACGAACTCGAGTCGATGGAGATGGTGACGAAATTACGATGGTTGGTGAAGATAGGGTAAGAAGTCTATGCGATTTTATTCTTCATCTCCTTCTCGTGGTATCGATTCATCACCTCTCTACTTCAAGGAATGAAGCGAAGCGATCGCTCGTTCTTTGGGAGAGATAAAGAGACTCTCACGTGATAGCATGTGCATTTCCACAACTCTCATAATCATATCTTTTGTTTTGTTGAAATCATAAAACGACCAATTTTTTTCCGCGCTTTTGAACGAGTGATGTAAGTGCGCAGGTAGCGCCGCGGTGAGACCAACCTCACAGGCTCTTCTTAATCCCAAAACCCTGATGAACCCTGCATCTGTTTCTTCGAGTCAGTAGAAGTGTGATGCCACTATCGGAGGAATATTGGTTCCTAAAACGGGAAGATGGCACACCTCACCCCTCCTCCACGCGAATCTTCCAGTAAGGTACCGTGAGCACCGTAAATCCCATCTTGGTCAAGAACCGGTGGCGCCACTTGATTTGCGGGGTTAGCGTTCGCGTCTTCCGAAAGTAGGCGAACGGAGGGAAACGTATGGGCGGGGAAAACTTCCGCATCAGTCTGCATGATAGATCCTCGTCATGTGAGGCACCCTCTATTCGAGTGCACTTTCACTATCACTTTCCACATACAACATGAATGCCACATCTTGATGAATTTTTCCCCATCTTCATCTGGTCTTCTTGGAATAAATTCCAGAAGACCTTTTGAGAATGCGTTTCGCCTCACATGTAACGGTTTCTTTGCCCCTCTGAAGAACGCACAGGGGATTTTTGAGACAGGATGCGCAGAACTTTTGGTCATGTAGTTGTCCCATCAGGATAAGAAGGTCAATCACCGTCTTTGTCTCCGCGTGAAAATAGTCGAGACTGTAGGGCCCGGCGGAAACGCGGCTCTCGATCAGGTTCACGACGGGGGACCCTACCCGCGTAGTTGTCTCTTCACGATGATCCCTGCTCCCAGAAGCGGGACAAGAATCGCTGGTACTGGAATCCTGCATGAGCAGCGCTTCTTCCTCTCGCCGATCGTCGCAAAAGTTCTTCTTGTTGCCACGAGCACCTCCATCACTGTAGCGCAGAAACTTCGTTGTTCGCTGTGTGGGGGCGCCAACACTGCTAGCAGACTTGTTCATCCCATAATTTCCAGCCATCAGCTCGAGGCTGGTGCACCAGACCTGCCCGTTGATCTCGAAAATCGCCTGGGAAATCGAAGTGAGAGAGGAAGTCGAACTTGTTTTGCTGCTACCTTTCATCATTTTTTCCCCAGATGGAGCATCGACGGTAGCTGGTGCTGCACATGATGATTCGCCCCGGTTTTCTACTTCCTGTAGCACTATCGCCTCTTCTTCCCTCTCCTCCCCCTCCTCTTCTTCGGTCATTCCCGTCTTCTCGTAAAACAAATCCCGCCGATTCTCCAACTGCATCCGTTCCTGCGCCGACAACACGGTCTCGTAAAGACTGGGACGACGGTGGTCTTGATAGTAATCATGATGTTCATGTTCTTGACTTACTTCGTTATCGTTACTCATCAAGTACGCCCGTAAATACAGTTCGAACAGAACCAGATTGCGGTCGTTCGCCTGCCGCCGGTTCGGCCCGTTCTGCTGGTCTAGGTAGAGCCGGATCACGTCCGGTACCCTATCAAATGCAAAAATGTCTGGGTCTGGAAAAGTGGAACTTGTCATGGTGAATCAGAATCATGCAAAAATCTGTGTTGCATGATGGCCAAAAGCTGTCCACTTTCGACCAAGCTGCGAAGCAGTTTCTGATGCAGGATAGGCAAGATGGAGAGCTCACCAAATCTGTCGTGCTAGGATCTGCATTCCAAACCTCATTGGCCATTCAAAATGTGCATGACAAGTCTGGCATTCTTCCAGACCCAGACATTTTTGCACTTGATATACCCGGTGCGGAATCAACTCGAGCACCGTGATCGCCTTCAGCTGCCGCAAGACCAGCTGCCGCTTCATTGTGCTTATGGAGGTGGAGGCTGAGACTTGAGTACTTACTGCGCTGCATTGAGGTAGTTGTACTTGTACTTCTTGTTCACCTCCTAGATTAATTTTACCAGCACGCTCGCCAAGGTAATGACTGAGATAAGAGAGTAAGTACCTCCATCATTACCAGCACGCTCGCTAAGCACGAGCAGAGCGTGGCGGCTCTGTAATAAGGCGGAAGTTGTAGGAAAGCGCTTCCTTTATATTCCACGTTCCGAAATGCAAAAAACCGTATACACTTTTGCCTACCACTTCCATAGGACTGACGACCTTTTCTTCCTGATCGTGCCCGAGCATGTCGTAGTAAAAAATCGACTTCTTTGCGGTGCTGCGCTCCTCCGGGTGATGAAAACGCTCAACTACTTCTGGGCCAAAGCCCTGCTCTGAACCCGCGACGCCTTCAGCTCCTGGAAGATGCAGACTTGAAGACGCAGTGCCAAACGACCCATCAACTCCGTGTACATTTTCTCTGGCTCTCCAGGGTGCGTGCGGGGTGAGGTTGTCCACCACAGGCAGGTCTTCTTGGTCGTCCAGCCCTTCTGCAATGCTCGTCCCGGGGACTCCGTTCATCCTGCCCGTGTCCACTAGCAAGGGTGGCAAATCCTCGGCACAGTCGGAAAAATCGTTTTCCTGGGTCTTGCCAAGAAGAACTTGGTGTGAGTGTGAGTGTGACTTTGTCCCCACCAGCCTCCTTTCCTGCACGTTTCCAAACAAGGCCATTTCCAAGGCATCGCTCAACGGCTTGGCCCACGCCGAACTGCCGCCGAGACTCAGTTTCGCGCAGCAGTTGGCGGCGAGAACCAGTTGCTCCTGCCGCAACAGCGGCCACACGATGGACATCTTTTGCAGGATCTTCTGGCACATCAGATCGGGCGTGTTCAGACGCAGCCGGGCCAACGCGTTCAGTAGAAACACATACTCCTGCCGCTTCAGTGCGTTGTTCTTTTCCGCAACCATGCACCGCAAAAACATATCGTCAACCATCTTCTGCTGCTGCTGTTCGTTTTTTATTCCACAGGAGCTCGGGCTCGTCGAGCTCGTGCAGCTACTAGCATCCTGCTCGTCGTGGTCCACCTGTGCTATTTGATGTTCTTGTCTTGCAACGGAAAAATAAAGACCATCTCCACCTACTTCCTCGGGGTAGTACTGCACCGAGGCAATTGCCTGGAGAAACCGCAACACCGTCCGCACGTGGCACCGCCGGCCCACTTTTTTGTTCGTGGGAAAGACCAACCCCATCGACAGCTCCCAGCTTCTCCGCACGAAGCGGGACCAGAGCTCGCGGCAGAGCCGCGTTTCGCCCAGTTGCACCTTCTTCGCGTCGTACAGCATCAGCCGCTTCAGCTCAATGCCTTTCAAGTACGGAATGGCGCAAAACAGCTGCGCTCGTCCGGTTGAGGAATTGTACTGCTGCATCAGAAGTTCGTGGTCCGGAACTCGAGTGATGTCATCAGTGTTCTGGCTTGTTTTGCAGTTTCGCGAACTTCTCGCTTCCCCTAGCGCGTCGTGTTCTGCGAGAGTAGAAGCAGAGGAACTAGTAAAAGATGAGGTGTTCGCTGTTCTTGTTGTCACGGGATCTCCTCCTGTCGGATCGCAGTCTTTTCCACTTTTGGTTTTGTTCGCGTTTTGCATGATTGTATCTGCTGTGGTGGTACCTGCACTTGAAATCGTGTCGTCCCGGTCTACGGGAACTCGGCCTATTATCCTGGGTAATATCTCCGCTTCTGTCTTTCCAGTCCACCACTTGCTCGGCCTTGTATCACGCAGAAAAATTCACTAGTACATGAGCACGACCAGCGTGCAGATTTTATAAAATGGAGTCGCGTTTGCATACGCAAACGCTGAGGAAACATTTCCCATTATGATGTTGTACGAGCGCATGACTAGACTTCTGGCCACTCTTCGAGGTGCAATGAATCTTTCTGAGACAGGGGGTCTACTGGGTAGAGGTTGCGAATATTTTTCATGACAAACCACGTGCAGTCGAGGACGTGCTAGCATCTTCTTTTTCCATCTGCTATTTCATGCGGCGCCGAGAAGACGAGGACGTGCTGGAGCTGGAAGCACGACAATCATCTTCAGGGCTGCGATCTTTTTCGTGTTTCTTCTGCGACTTCAAATTTTGCTCCAGTTCGGTCAAGATCTCGTTGTACTTTTTCATCTTTCCGTCCAGTCGGCGATCGCGATCCCGGAACAAACTCGGGTACACACTGTCCGGCGTCTCGTAGCTCCGCTTGTTCTTTTTCTGTTCTTGCATGTGTTCCCGATGCTGCTTAAGAAATAAATCTCCACTGCTCGAGAAAGTAGAATCTGGATCTTCATGGTCTCCAAATGCGTTGTCACGTTCCTGCGGTGCGGCTGCGCTATTCGTGTTCGTGCTCCCGTCTTCAAAATTCTCCGGCATCAGCTTCTTCCCGCTGGACCATGGTTCTGCTCGTGGCCCGCGTTGACGATTTGTTAGCGCGTCATGGTCCGAAGTCGTGATATGATCATCTTCCCGCTGAAGACCTTTTTTAACTCGATGATCAGCACGACCCTGCTCCGGCGCACCAAATATCCCAGAAGCTGCTGCTGTTTCCGCGCGCTCCGGAAAAACGGTTTTGCTGTCCTTTCCGTCCGTGCGGTCGCAGCGGTTCGCGCTTTTTAAGTTATCCTTGTGACAGTCGAACTCCGCCCAATGCTGATAGGTTGTGTCGTCTTTCAGATCCAGCAGCAGGTTGCTTGTCGTAGCTCCACCTTCTACCGAGTTCTTGCTTTCCTTCCCACGACGGAAATCAGATCGCGCCACGACTTTCGCCAAGGTCTCCGGCACGCCGACTTTGTCGGCGGTGGAATGGTAGTCGACTCCACGCGGTCCTGCGCGGCTTTCCTTGTTTTTCATCATACCACTGTGCAAAAACGACGACGTGGAGTTGCCTTGAAAAGCAAGAAGATGAGGACTCCCGTTTCTTTCCTCGTCAACAACTGCACTTTTTACCCCTCCGCTAGCACCCCCCACCTCGTGGGGTTTCAGCCGCCGCGGGGGCTTGCTCAACTGCCGCTGCAGGTCGCTGGGAATGCGATCCAAGTCCACCGGTGCCGGGAGCGGCTTCGCGCGGGCGTAAACCGGAAAGTCCCCCTGTGCCCGTTCCGGGCGGCGGCGACGCATCTTCGCGTGCTGGGCCCGAAGAATTCTGGTGTGCTTCATGGAAAGAAGGTGATAATGAAGGAGCAACTTGTTTTATAGAACAAGATGAAGACTGCGACTGTCACGATGGTGCACTCCGGTGGATTCTAGTCGTGCAATGAAATAATTTCTGCAGGCTTTTTCATCGAGATGTTAAAAAAACAAATCGCACGGCGGTCATGATGGCCTTCGTCAGAGTGAGATACCAGACCGAAAAGTCGATTAGATTCAGTTCTAGCACGACTCGAGGAAAATCAGAGTCCGTGAAGAGAAGAAATCAGATAAACTGGATCTGAATTCTAAGTACAAACTTTTGTTCTCGACAAGCATCAATCCCGTTTGAAGTGAACTGCTGAAAAAAAAAGCAGCTCCAACGAAGCTCCTTTACGATGCGACCGCTAAGACATAAACACCTCCACAACAAGGTCTGAACCACGTCGTCAAAATATGATCGACCAGTGTCCTGATCCTTTCCTTTCCGTTTACACCTGATCTCCTTGATGGAGCTTTTTTTTCCTCACCGACAAAGATCTTCAGACTCGGCAAACCTCCGTCAAAACAGGTCGAAGTAGACACAGAACTGAAGGGAACATTCTTCACATTTACCACCGTCCAAAAAAGCGACGTAAGCGTGACATTATATCCGTTTTATTTTGTGTCATCCAAAACGAGCGGACAACGAAAACAGTCTGTCGCCAAAAGAAAATTATACACCGTGTACTAGGGTTCGTTAGCCCTACCGAGGGCATCTACTCTAGACATCCTCCTTCTATTCGGGGTACATCAAGACAAGTTCTTCCAAAATGTAAAATAAATGGTTGGGTTCGGTCTTTGAGGACAGAAAGAGTTTGAAGGCAAAATAAGAACCAAAATATAGACATTGCGAGAAAATTTTCCGCAACGACGATAAGAATCTCAGTTGCGAAGCTACCACATGGATGTTTAGGTAGTGCTTACTCATCTAGATGTGCATTGTAATATGTACCAACATTCCCTTGACTTGCAGGCATCGTGAATTACTTCATTTTATTTCAGCTTCTACTTCTAACTTCATTATCCAAGCTTCCATCGTGGCTCGCCGGCTTCAGGTTCCGGGTCACCTTCTAGTTCTACTCAATACTTAATTACATCGACTGCTCGCTGTTTTCCAAAAGCGTAGGAGTGAATGCCTTGTACCTCCTCGACCGTGGCACGTTTCGATTGTCACTATTTTTCGATCCCACTATAGTCATTGACGTCGGTCGTGCTCGTGGTGTCTCGCATGTCAAAAATACTTGAGAAATTCTTTCGTCAAAAGTGGTACTGGTCCCAGCGCGCCACCAGGTTCTTGTACCAGTCGGGCACCCAATCCGCATCCTCGCAGCTCCGCTGGTAAAACCGGATCCAAAAGTGAATTTTCCCAAAGTCGATGGGAGGGATGACCCGCGGGTTCGGGATTTTTTTCCCGGACACCGGGTCTGTGCGCCCGGTCGGGCGGTTTTGGAGCAATTCCAGAAATTTCTCCAGAATCTTCTCGTACAGAACCAAGGTTTTGTACTTCTGCCGGACGAACAGTTCCTTGCAGGCGTCTTTTGCCACGGCGGTCCGCTCGTTCGGCGCCTCGGACCCGCCCCAGCGGTCGCTGGGTACCACCCACCAAATGTAGTGACCCTGTTTGCGGCCGAGCGTTTCCAATTCTTGCAAAACCGTGCGGAACTGCGTCTGCTGCTTCACCAGCAAGTTATCCAGGAGCCATTGCTTGTCGTGCGCCTTGCCGTCGACGGTGATCGTGCCCGGAATGGACGCGAAATTGTAGTACCCTACCGTCTGCCCCGCGAGCTGTCGTGGCGGCGGCTGCTGTTGTGCTGCTCCTGCAGGGCTCAACGCGACGAACTTTTCTTGCCGCCCGCGCAACGCCTTCGCGCCCCGCAGCCGCGCGTCATTTTGGACTTCGGCCCCCGTCTGCGGCTCCTCCGAGGCGAATGCTACGTAGTGCGCAGGGAGGTTTGCCGGAACCCGGGGGTCTCGACCTCCGGCATTGTTGCCCTGGTTGGGGGTATTACCATTCCCGTTGTTGCCCCCGCCGTTCGTGCTTCCACGGTCACCGTGGTTGTCGTTATTAGGGGAGGAACTACCTGCGCCGCCGCCCTGTCCGCCGTTTCTGGTCTGGCCTTGTCCCCCCGGTCGGGAGGTTGTAGCAGAACCAGAAGCAGGACTACTTGCCGCGGTCACCGAAAAATAGATCGTGAAGAAGCTGACCAGTGAGAAGCCCACGACGGTGAGAACTACCCACAAAACTGGCTGCCTGGCCCAGCAGGAGACCGAAGTTTGTTCGTCTGGTTTGATGAGGTCGTCAACGTCAACAGATGAGTTTTGTTCACTTCTGGCCGCGACATCATGTTCTCTATCTTTTGGGTCACGCAACAAGTGAAAAGATTTTCCCATCATTTTCTCTTTTCACTCAGAGAGCCAAAAACTCAATCATACATTTTCATCTACTCGGATTGATATTATTGTGTTATATACTGCACCACTGCGAATTAATGCAGTGTCATGCTTCGGAACCTACTGCTGGTTCAAAAAGTGAATTTAGGACAAAGAAAGTCAACGTAGCAGCTGAGTGAAAAATAAAACAGGCTAAATTTAAGCCAAGCGTTGATACGTCGAGCTGACCCTACGTCTAAGGATCACAAACGGTTTTTCGTTTTTTGCCTGCAAGTCGCCGGAGATCTATCCCGAGCGCGAGCGAAGCTGTTTTTAAAAACAATTTCTATTGCACGACATTTGACGAGTTCAGCGAGGTTTTAATCTGTTTTTGTCCAAGTCCACATGCTCTATTTCATATTTTTGATCTTCGTTGTTTTGTTTTCACTTTTCATCGCCAATGGACAATCACAATGATGAGGATCTTAGTGAGCACAGATCTTGAAAAACCTAGTTTCTTGTTGTGCCGAGGAATCACAGGGGTACTTGACCTTGTAATACTCGTCGTGATGATCATGTTCGATCTTCTTCTTCGCAAATATCCGATACAACAGGCAGCTAAGCACGACTTTGTGTTCGAAGATCACACTTGAAGTGCGGGAACGACTCTGGTGAAGATGCAACACCAAACCTAGAAATCCGTGGTCGTGCCCTGAAACCCAGGAACATCGCAAATTCTCCCAACCTCGGTTTTTGCCCCGCTGCCAGAGTTTTATATTTCGCGTGTAAATAATCATGCGGCATTTGCACAAAGGTGAGTCTTTATTTCTTGAGTAAGCACCAGAGTAGTTTCAATTTTCAAGCCCGATGCACGGTGTCACCGATATCTTTATGTGAATTATAATATGCAACCTAGAAAAAGAAAAGTCGTTTGTATTTCAAAAAAAAAAGGTGATGCAGGAAGGTAAACAACGGAAATCCTTGAATTGTACATGAAAATGTTAAGAAAAAACAGAACAAAGCGAAACAAAAACCATAGAGCCCATACAGATACACTTTTTCGAAATTATTAGCCCAAAAAATACTTTTATTTATACACGGCCCACCATCTATGCCTGCAGGAAGTCCGGACCCCTTTTTTTTGAAGAACCACGCCAGCCCGTGAACCAGCTGAGAAACGAGGACGACGCTGCGGCAGCACTCGCGTGCTTCGCTACGTTTTGACGTCCCCTACTCACAAAAACGCCATTCTTCTTCGCCGCGCTTTTCCCATCCTGGGTATCGAAAGAAAAAAGTTCGTGGTCACAGTTGCGACATTCCAGGTTTTGAAAGACATATTTTTCTGGCATCACAGCTTTTTCTTGTATTGCACAAACACAACGGAAATCCCATATGTAGTCTCACTGTCATGCATTTTTACGCATGGCAAACACTTTTATATGGTAAAAACACGCATGAGTGATCGTGCCGAACTTTTATTTTTGTTTGATACTTGGCAATGCGGTAATAGTAATGCGGCACGGGCCGCTCAGGATCCAGCTTACTTGAGTCAAACGCGGCTCGACGGGACAGACAATGCCGGCCGCGCATACCAGTATTCATTTTATACCAGGACGAGTCCGGCGTCCTCGCCACGTGAAGCATTGCCGCTCTCATTCTCGCGGCCTCGTCTTCCTTGCGACTACTCAAATCCCATTTTTCGACGGAGCCAGAAAGCCTGGCGTCCTCATCTCCGGCCGAAAAAGCGCCGGCCACCTCGAACCAAGCTCTCGGCATAGCCGCACTAGAGCCGAAAGCTTTTGGTATTTTGGACGGTTCATGCGGAGTATACTCAATCTGAACCAAAAAGCGCTCCCCTGCCTCTTCTTGGCCTTCTTGGCTCCCAGGCAATGCGGCGACTCCTACGATACGGCCCCAAAAGTCCGCTGCCTCTCCCTCGACTGCCCATCCCTCTAAGTTGAGGCCACGAATCGCAATGGGAGCCTGGCGGTCACCCTGGGACTGGTCCGCAGTTTCGGGCTCGGGGGCCGCGCTTCTAGGCTTTTCAAAGTCCATTTGATAAAGCTTTGCGGCTCTTACCGTCTGTGACGAGGCGTCTTCCGGTGGGGGTGCGGTGGCAGATCCTGAACATCTGCCTGTGGGGCACCCCCACCGTGTCGCCTGCGCTGGAAACAGCTCGCGGGCAGCCTTCACAGCATTATCATCCAGTTCCAGAAGAAGCTTTTTTTGGCGCTGCTGCTCATCAGTGTAGACAAACGTGGTCTGGCCGGGTTCTTTTGCGGGAAGACTCAGGCTCCCAGTCCGCGCAAGGTTGTATATCTCATCCATCCAACGTCCCTCAGTGCCCTTCTTCGCAAAGACGGGCTTGTTCGACATTCCAGGATTGTTGCCGGCTACATGTAAACGGTAATCTGCCACGACTGTTTTGGAATCGCTCCACTTGCGCAAGCCCCTAGTTATTTTACATTTACGGGGAGAAGAATCTATGCGATTTACCGTGGCCTGTGCCTGAGCCCCGAACATATATTGTTGTATGTTCAGAGACGAGATCGCATGAGACTCACCAACCTGCTGAAGCAGTACGCCGAAAACCTTAAACCAACGAAATGAGACAGCAGACGCGTTCTCGGTGCATTCGCGCGTGATCTGGACCCAGAGCTGCGCGGCTGCTTCACCAGGGTTTGCGTCAGTTGCGCCCTTTGAGGGTTCAAAATGAGAATTCACAACGCAACCATTGAAATCGTCGTCGCTATCTTCCTCGTCTACCCATCCCTCCAAGTTGAGACCCCGAATATTTCCCTTCGCCTCATCCGCGAAGTGCATTTGGTACAACTTCGCTACCCTTACTTTCTGCGTCGCACTGGTCGCGCCGATGCCTTTTTTCGTTCCACCTATGGATGCCATTGCCCGCTCAAACGCCTCCGCCTCGAGCGGCGCCTTGTCCGGCGCCTCGTCCTGCAGCTTGTCCTGCAGCTTTTCCTGCGCCTCGTCCGGCGCCTTGTCCAGCGCCTCGTCCGACACCGGCGGTCGGAAAACCAGCCTTCCGTATTGCCGTTCTCCAGCTTGGTAGTATGGATAGGTGAACTGCCATTGTTCTCCGGGGCCTGTGCGAATCAGGCTCCCAGTCCGCGCAAGGTTGTATAATTCATCCATCATAACGGCCCTCTTCGCAAGGACGCGAGGCTTGTTCGGCATTTTGATTTTTCCCCCATCGTTTTCGGCAAAATAAAGGCCGTAATGTGCCACGACCTCCCTGGTGTCCAAGGCCCCCTCGCTAGTCCCACCGCGCAGACCTCTATATATCGTGTACCGTGTCCTCGAGCGATCTTTCGATCGCGCTTCAGTTGATGCCGACGAACGCGCGGCCATCCATTTTGTTTCATCAGATACCCCACTGACTTTGAACCACCGGGAACTGCCGTTCTTCATTTTAATCTTGATCAAAAACTGGTTGCTTTCCGTGTCCCCGTTTGGAATCCCCGGGTGATACTCCACAATGCAACCTTGGAAAGACACGTCGGCACTTTCGTCCTCGTCATCTTCCCATCCCTCCAAGTCCAACCTGAGGGTCTCCGTCGTGAGCCTCAAATCCATTTGGTACAACATGGTCGCCCTCGTTACTTCTTGCCCCCCGCTACTGTCCGTCCTCAATGCCAGCGGCGCTTGGAAATGGAAGAGCCGTTTTTTTCTCCTATTTGTTCTGTCGGTATAGGTGAACTCCCACTGGTCCGCGATCACACCTTTCTTCAGCGCCCCACCTACATCCGTGTCGTGCTCGTCTCGAGCCTTCTTCACATTGGGCAACCTTGCTGCGGAGTCGTTGACATTGGCGTCGGTGATAACGTAAAGGCCGAGATCGGTTAGCGTGTGCCACTGACTCCTGTAGGAGCGCGGGTTAACGCTAAGCGACCGATCGTCCTTTATCGTCTGCTCAACATAATCCAACATTTGGGCCCAATCGCTACAAGGTCCCGACTGATCCCCGATCTCCTGTAGTGTTGGGGTCTTCAACTGCCAATCATCTTGATCTGGCCCGCCGCCGCCCTTGGGACTAATGCCAACTACTTTAAACCATGCCTCCTTCGCCGATAGCGAACTCGCCAAGCTCGTCGACCCTTGAATTTTAATCCAGAACCACGGCCACCCGTACAGAGCCTGCTCCCGCACTACCTCTAAGATGCGTCCCTTCGATTTGAATTCTTCCAGAGCCAAGTCGATTGCACCCTCCATGTGGAGCGCCCGGATGAATTTGTTTTCTGGGAGTACCATCTCGTACTGCTTCACCACTTTCACCGTCAGTTCCTGAGACGGCGTACTGTCCGACGAGGATTCTTGAGAACAAGCTCCTCCACTACAGCGTCTTCCGATAGGGCTGCTTTCTGTCGTGGCACTAGCTGGCGCATCCGCACTTCCAGTACTCAACCCAGTGCGAATTTCATCCAGTGACCACTTAAGTTGTAGCGTTTTGTCGTGGTCATAGGTAAACTGCGTCCCAGGAGTCCCGTCGAGTGCGGCACTCAAGGTCCCAACCCGCTCCACGCCAAAATTATCGCCGGCAAGGAAGGCATGGCGCCACGACGTTGTTGCGCCAGGCTTGGTAATGAGGTACCGCCCATGAGCTTGCTTCCCGCTGAGGCGATAAAGATAACCGCTGCTCATCGCCTTCCATTGATCATTCTCAGGCGCCGCCGCCGCCTTGGCTGCATCCAAACGCATATTATGCCAATCGCCCTCTGTTTGGGTTGTTGTACCCAGCTTCCAAGAAGGATTCGAGCCCCCGTCGATACCAACGACTTTGAACCAGTCTCGTTTTGTTTCAGCATTATAGTACTCGATCTGGACCAAGAATGGCCCGCACAAGGCTTTTTGGCTATCAGGAAAAACAAAAATTTCTCGTAACCCTACGACCCGGCCTGCGAATACGCCGCCCTTGAATTTTTCGTCGTTTTCAATCCATCCTTCGAGATGAAGGTCACGGTCTCGGTCGTCCGCCAGGCTTATTCGGTACAGCTTCACCGCCGCGGCCGGAACTGTCCCTCCTTCCGGCGGCAGCAGCGGGCCTCCAAATTGCAGAGCTTCACCCTCAATCGTTGTTGGTCCTTCCGGCAGGTCAGGGACGAAGTCCAGCACAACACCGGGCTGTCCCTTGTGCGAAAAACCCAGGGTTAGCTTCCTCCCATTGGCAGCTGAAGGGGGGACACTTGTTAAACTCACCTCTTCCGTCCCTATGTGAATATCTGCCTCGTATTCAAAGGTAGTTTCCAGCGGCGTACTTGAAGTTGAACCGATTGTCCGGGGACCAAAAGTAACATCTTCCGCCGGGACTACCTGCGGAGCCGGAGTGTCAAGCACCTTCTTCTTGTGCTGAAGGCGGCCGCCACGACCCTGAACAAAAAACAAAAAAGTGCGTACGTCTTTGTACTTTCGGTCTTGCTGACGCGGGCATTGGATGAGATTTGCCTTTAAATGATGAAGACGATGAAGAAACGAACTAGTAAGCTAGGCCTCAGACTATTAAGGACAAGACTCGGCTAAGATGCCAGAAGCTAAGGCTTTGAAGCCTTCAGTTAGGGTTTAACTTCAGTGAAGGCGTCAGTCCAGGTCGCAGAACTTTAGGTTAAGGCTTCAAAACCTTACTTCTTTTCCGAGTCGGCTATAATGGACCTTATATATTGTTTAGCAAACTAGTAGGCCCTACTAGTTTTCTTATCAATCCCCCTACAAGCATGTCAGGAGAAATGACACTTGCAAAAACGAGCCATTAATTATGTGCTCCAGGTAAATGCATCACCTTTAGCTAAGTAAAAAGTACTTACCTGTCTGGCCAAGACACTGCGCGGCGCCACCGCCTCCTTGCCGTCCTTCTCCTCGGCTTCTAGTTCTACGCGGTAGTAATACACCTCGTGTTCCAGATACGTTGCACCGTCGTGATCATTGAGGAAGCCGTAATTTATGTACGAGGGTGCGCTTTTGTGTTCCTGCGCAGCTTCTTCCTGCGCAACTGCTTCTGCGATCTTGAAGAGCAAATCATGATCATCATCATGTAAGCCGCGAATATAGAATAGAAAATCTGGTGGTGAACGCTACGACCATTCCTTGCGAGGGTTTCACTTGCTTGTCTGCCGAGGCGATGCCACACTTCTTTGGCGCAGCTGCCCTTCTGCGCCAGCCGCTCTTTTTTTTATGCCTACAAATACAAAACGCGCGCGCCCTTCTTTGAGGCAAGCAGCGGCGACCTGCAGGCACAGCAAACAGACATTTAAATCCTAGATGAAGGAGCCCATTGATTTGGTTGTTCAGCGGCAAAGCCTCTCCGCCGTTCGGATCAATCGAAAGAGGCATCGCAAAGTGAACCCTCGCAAAGCGTGGCTCCGCCAAGCCAATGGAGAAAATTCTCATACTCGTTCCACGATCCTAATGGATCGGGGCCAACAGGCGGACTCCTCTTTCCATTTGGCCGCCCAAAAAGTCCAACGACCTCGAACAAAGATGCGTGCGTCTGCCCGTCTGCCGGCCTTCCGAACTCGATCTGCACCAGAAAGTGGTCCTTCATCTCGCCACCAACTCCAGGCACTTCACTGGGCTCTTCCCGCGCGCGCTTGACCTCCAGGATACGCGCTGGGATCTCCGCATCCTCGCGGTCAATCCACCCCTCCAAGTTGAGGCCGTGGACCCGCTCAAACTGCTTTCCTATTTCGGGTGAGAACTTTATTTGGTACAGTTTCGTCATTCTGACACTTGTCGAAGCAGTGGCGACAAAGTCACGTATCGGCACGTTAAAGTCAAGAGGCAGAGTTTTAGTTTTTTGTGGTTGCCCAGCTTCTTGCGCTGCGGCTTTGTTGTAGCTAAACGTCGCCTGTTTGGAGGAGGCATCGTCTTCGGCAGTCAGCGTACCATGTTGTGCGAGTACATATTTCTTATCCACTTCGCCTTCGCGCATCTTTTCGACAGCTTCTTCTTTCGTCGGCTGTGTAGGCATGGCCTCACCCGCGCCTCCTGCCAGTGCTGGCGCGCTCGCAGGGCGCTCCGCGTGTCCCGCTTCACCGGCGCTGCCACTCCCGGTCCCGGCCATCGCTCCGTCTGCCGCGCTCGCAATGCGCTTCACCTTGTCCGCCTCCACATGCATCTTCTTGTCTTGGTGGCTAATCCCAAGTCCTACAAATTCCATATTGTACCACTTCGCCTTCTTTGGGTTTTGGACCGACCTCGTCGCGATCTGGTCTGCTGCATATGGAAGTGCGTGGGCGGAGCGCCTAAAAGTCCAGATAGACATGTAAAAATGAAAATCCGCACCTCGACTGCACCCAGCAAAGGCTGCAGGTGGGCAGCTCTTCTTCTTTTTCTCAGCCAGGGAGGAATGCAGGCTACTACATGCATCCGAGTTTGTTATAGCTTGACGCCGACCCACAGCAACAAGATCATGCAAATAAGCGCTGCTGGAAGACAGCTAGTCACTGACGGGCAGCTGGCGAGAGGCGCACGACAAAAATCGCAACGATGAAAAGAAACTTAATAAACGGATGGCACTTATTTCAAGCAGCACGACTGACTCGCCTGCAATGTGCTAAAAGGTGCCGCCGACACGCCTTGCGTAAATTGGTCCACAGCGTGCGCCTGACGAGGCTTGCTGCCTTCCGCTGCACGTCGTCGTCGCTCGGAGAACCGCGGATATGCACTGAGCAGGTTCCAGCTACGGAGACCTCACCAAAGCCCAGCACCCGCCATTGACGTACTACCTAATGTCAATGCGAACATACACGCGAATAATGTAGCCCAGGCAGTGGCCACAGGGCAACAACACAGACCGGGGAAGAGGCGGGGCTGCCGCAGCAATAAGTTGCCCGGCGAATAAAACATAGCGCTGGTGCGGCCTGACGTTACTGAACGCATGAAGCACAGACACATACAATCTCCAAAAGGTCCCTTGGGAATCGCCCCGCTTATTATTATGAAACGCGCCAACTACCTTGAACCACGTGTTTTTCTTGGTGTTCTTTCGAAATGACGAGTTGAAGCGTCCGCCAGTGTACTTCATCTCGATCTTGACCCAGAACGGGTCCGTAGCAGACCCTTGCTCTGGTTTTTTATCAGGGTCACTTCTGGAGGTGACCTCTAAGACGCGGACTTCTTGTCGAACATGTTTTTCACTCAAAAAATCCTCGTCGTCGATCGCTGCCTCCAGATTGTACACAAAAGGCTGTGCGCCCCCGTCATCAGAGGCGAGGTCAAGTTGATATTGGCCCACAATTTTCGCGTCGAGGTGGTGTCCTCCATCTTCAGTCGCCACCATATCCCCCCCGACATCTTTGCGGATGTCGCTGAGTGGCATGTCGATAACAAACTCACGCGCCGGGCTTTGAACGCCACCTTCTGACTTGCCCTGATAACTGCACCTCGTCTTGGTCCCGCGCCCGTCATCTCTTAGCCTCACTTGGGTCGCATCCACCGTGGGTGCAGCGACAAGAAAAGCGTGGCGCCATGACGTCGTAGCTGCGAGCTGAGTAATGATATAATGCGCAACAACAGCCTCCTTCCCGTGGTCGCTTCGATAGCGCCGGTATCCGCTACTCATCTCCTCCCACGTGTCCTGCGAAACCGCTTTGGGCGTCGCTGAAGAATGGCAACGGCTTTGTGCTTCGTCTCGTAATAACTTCCAAACCTTGTAATCTCTCCCCACCACCTTCCAAGCTTCGGAATCCGTGCGCACGCCTCCATCGTAGCCAACGACTTTGAACCAGCGGCTCTTAATCAGCCCGCCTTCTTGGTCTCCAGTCGTGCCCTTTTTGGCATACTCGATCTTGACCATGAAAGGCCCAGAGATTTTTTGGTTTTCATGATCGCCGGGCAGTTTCAGATTCAATATCTCTTTCTGCTCTACAATGCGGCCTTGGAAATCGCTGCCCAAGTCCTCGTCGTCTTCAATCCACCCTTCGAGATGCAAACCACCAACGGTCTGACCAGTGCCCCCTTGAGCACGACCACTGCCACCGAAGGTTATTTGGTACAGCTTCAACGCCGCGGCCGAGGATGTAACCCTGTTTTCAAAAGATTGCAGCAGCTGACTATCGAGGATGCTCTTAGGCAAGGGCGACGAAGCATGCTGGAGGTGGATAGGCAGCAAAGCTTCGCCCTCGATTGTTTTGGGTTCCTCTTCCTTTGGATCTGGATATTCCAACGGAGCAGGTAATAAACGAGGAACACGGTCGGGCTCAACTGGAACCAAATCCACCACGTTTTCGGTTGGCCGCTGGCGCCCACGTGCCATCCGGTACGCGGTGGACGCCCACCCTCCACCTCCACGCGGAGGCTGGAATGTTAAAAGCACGTCTTTCAATCCCACGTCTCCGTCTGCCTTTGCTTCCGCATGCCCCAGCTCCTGCACCATAGTTTCCGGCACCTCCTCCGTGGGCAGCCCGTCGACCGGCCGAGGGGCGAAAGCCGCCTCGTCCGGCAGAACCAGCTTCTCATCCACAATGTCTGGTGCTTCCATGGCATCATGAGCTGACGCGCCGGTCTCGGGTGGGACGGGTGCGGGAGATTTTCGGCCAGAGACCGCGAGGCGAGGGAGACCCGTAGGAAGCCCGATCTTTGGGACCCCGGGGATGTTGAAGCCCCCGCCGTCACGTTTTGTCTTGTGCTCCGCGCTGCCGGGCCCCGCCGGCGTTTCCTGGTCCATCAGAGTGCTTGTGTCGTGTCCCGGGCCGTCGGGTAGCTCTGACCGTTGGTGATGAGCCCCGATGCTACTGTGGGCGGGGTCGCCTCCCGTACCCCTCGCGGCGTCCCGGCGACGCACTCCTAGCCGCGCGGGCCACTTCGCAGCCACTTTCGGGCGCGGGCGCGGCACTTGCGGTCCAGCCCCTGCTCCCACGTACGGATCGTCAACAGGCAGAGTCCCGCGGAGGTTCCCGCCAGGGCCACCGGCGTCTCGCGGATCGTCAGTCGACACTCCGCCTCCTCGGGCAGTAGGATCGTCACCACCTTGTGTACTCGCAACCCGAGTCCGTGGTGGCGGTGGCGGAACCACCTTTCTGGGGGCAACGCCACCACCGCCGTCCAGCATGTTGATGCTATCCGGAGGAATACGAGCGTTGGGACTTGTTGGCACAGAACGTGACTCTTGCGCTGCGGGAACTCCTCCCCCGGCGTTGTTCATCTGCTGACGCGCGGCCCAGCGGTCTCTTTCACCTTTATCTTCCGGAGCACCACAACAGTTGTCTTGCTTACCGAGAAACGACGAGGTCGAAGAAGGTAGTTGTCGCACTTGCACCAGTTTGTTTTCTTGAGCAGGCACCGCTGCAGACGAAACATTCTCCCCAAACTCCGATCTTGACTTGCTTTCCGTGCGTTTTGCCAGCGAGGAGGTTGGCTTTTCGGGAAGAACAAGATTAAGGTTTTTCTTTTCAACCCGTTGCTGCACAGAGTGGGGGCCCAAGGACCCGGCTTCGCCTTTTCCTGCTCCAGCATCAGGATTCATTTTGTTCTTTGTGGTTTGCAAGACGGAGGCAGAGGGCGAATGTTGAGACGGCCCGTTGCGGGTACCAGAACCACCGTGATGCAAATCATCTCGCGATGAACCCGGCACTGCTTGCGGGAGTCGGTTCTGCTCTTGTTCCGTCTTCAGCGCCTCTCCAACTTTTTCTTTTTCAGCCGAAGGATTTTTAGGCTCCCCTTGTTGCTGATCCCGGGTCAACATAGTCGACGCAGGAGAATTCATCGACTTCCTCGTGCTGCTCTGCGCGGCAAGAACACGCACGGTCGCCACACCGGTAGATTCCATCTGCGTGCCAATCAGATCCAGGCCGCCCCGGACACAGCACAAAATCATCCAATGTCGGAAAGAAGGACGCATTCTTCGCTGATCCGCCTCCGCGCAGCTGCTCCCACGCAGTAGGTAACCAGCCATGGTTTATTTTTGCAGGTGGATCAGTAGTTGCAAGCAATGACGACGCAAGGTTCCTGTGTTGATGAGAAATAAAAACCTCTACTTGGGATAGTAGAGATCTTCCCTCTTGATGGTGGCTTCTTCAGGTTCAGACCCAATATCGATAAAAATGTTTGGACTTCTACTTTATTCAAAAAATCATGGGGAGATGCAATGAACCATCTTCAATTTTTCTCGTGCTAGCTACGTAATGGGGGGTTCAGTACGTAACCTGTTTGAAACAAAGTCACATGATCCGAAGCTGCTCTCCTGCATGCTTACGGTCCAAACGTCTCGTGACCGAAAGAAACACAAAGCAAAGGCGCAAGCGTTTACACAGGACGCGCTTGCTCGTGACCGAAAGAGAGAGCCCGAAGACGAGGACTAGCGAGTGTAACGTGCTTCCGAAGATTCAAGAAAAGCGAAAGACCAACTGCGTTGTGTGGCAGATGACGAACTACTTTAGTGCTTGTTTCCTGCATACGCAAGTACGAAACCGATCACAATACCCACAGTAGCGGATTTTCATTTATTCACCGAGGGCGAACCCGTAGCCAATTTCTTGCACCGATGCGCTGGAGATAAGTACTAACTTTTGGCAAGTTGTCAGAAGGGCAAATCAGAGGAAAAGAACCTGCACGACAGGGACAGGGTACTTCAACTTCAACTTCTTGCGAATAATCGGAAATAAAATACACGAATTCGATACGCCGGGAGCGTGTAACAAAACCTAGCGAGCGGAGTCGACAGCTCGTCGCGTTCTTTCACCGAAAGTCGCTTCCGTGTCGTCGCGTTGGCTCCTCTACTGCTACTGCCTTATGAATGGACAAAGTACAAAAGTTCAGTATTAACTATTGCATTTTCTGAGCCGTATTTTTCATTTTCCAAAATGCAAAAACCGATTTCGATTGTCATGAAAACAATTTTTTGTCATGGAGAAAACATTTCTTTGTGATGCAAAAACTAAATTCTTGAGAACGCAGAACTGCTTTCTGAAGAGCACGGATTCTATCTGAGCCACCGACTTCACTGATCCACCGAACCAACATTCTAAACACCGAAAACCAAAATATCACCAACCGAGCAAAACAACTTCAACCGAGCAAAACAAACCTTCATTTCCGGAAAATGCGAGTTCCTCTACACCGAGCTAAAATTTCGAATAGTTGTGGTTTATTACAAAACCACAACTATTCGAACTATGCGGCTTCAGCTATGGCGGGTTTGTGGAAATGCGTTTCAGTTATAGCAGGCTGGAAGTGAAAAGCGAAAGGCGAAGCACACGAATGGCAGAGAACTAGAAGGGGAAAGCAGGTTATGTTTTTGTTGTTTCATTGAGCTGATCATTATGATAGCGGAGCGTTTGAGTCGTCCGCATTTTCAGAGTTGCAATGCTTTTGGCTTTTGGTTTTGACTTTGAGTTTGAGATTTTACATATGCGCCTCCGATGATGTCTTTCGCGTATAAAGAGAATGTCAATGTTAATGAGAAAAAAACAACAATATCAGGAGCGACCCAACCAAGGGGATAGCCACAGCAGGAGCGGCCACGACGCTGCTATGTCGAGCATGAGTTTCGGGGAGGAGAAGTAGAAAGTAGAAGAGAAAGCAGAAGTAGAAGTAGAAAATATAAATAGAATGAGAAGCAGAAAGTAAAAGCAAAACGCACAGGAGAAAACTAAGTAGATGCGCAGAGTCTGGGGCGCGAAACAGAAAAGATCTCATGCAGAAGAAAGCTTGTTCGACTCTCCTGCTCTTGTTTTCGTCGCGTTAGTTTGCGCAAGATAGATGATGACGGTTTCGTTTTTCGCGCAAGATGGATGACAACGGTTTTGATGATTTTGTTCCTGGATCCAAACACGAAGTGATCTCGATCAAAGCTCCAAGATCTGTCGTGATGGATTGATCAAAGCATGAAGAGGATCATCTGGCTGGAAGTTGTCGTTTTGCTTTTGGTTTTCCTTTTCGATTCATTTGCTTTTGATGCTTGTCTTACCCTTCGCATCAGTTGCTTTTGATGCTTGTCTTACCCTTCGCATCAGTTGGAAAAAAAAAATCTTTTTCTAGGGAGAAGTTTATAAAAATAAAATGGATTTTGACGAGAAAATGAAGAATTATAAAAAGATGTGGAACTCTAACTCTTCGTCGGCGCAGCCTTCGCTGCCGGCCGACCTGCTCCTCAAGGCGTTGGAGCACACGATAGAGGACGAGAACATGAGATCCTCGGAGCATGTGCAACGTTTGATTGAGGGCATGCACCGGATGCCGCCACCGGACAAGAAGCGCAAAAATAACAAAGAAATTTTTGCCGCGCAAGAGTGCAAGCACTTGGTCGCCGGGACTACTTGCTACAAACGCGACGAATTGGAGTACCCCATCCTCGATATGGTGCGGTCTTGCAGCACATTCGAACATGTGCACGACGTGCTCAAGGAGGGCGCGACAGTTTTTGCCGAACTTGCGCGCGACGAGGCGGAGTTTCTGCGACCCCAGTACTTGCCGATCCCCGTGCCCACGGTGGAACAAATTCGGAAGAAGTGGAGCCAGTACATATATTGTTACTTAAACTCGACGTGCTCTTTTGTCTACCATTCGAAGTAGTGCAGACTTTGTTCATCATGCAAGACATACTATTTCAATTTCTATTTTCAGTCAACATGTGCGGCTGTTGTTTTTGAAACAGAAATATCATCACGACAATGAAAAACTTTTTTTCAGGTATTGCAAGACGGCGCACGAAGAGAAGGGTCTTTTCAAGAAAAGCGACATTTTGATCGATGACATGGATACCGAGGAGGAGAAGGTGGAGAAAAACGCGCGCGCCGACGTCATGGCCGACAAGTACCAGCGCACCAAGCGGCTCCAGGAGTTTGTCATCGAGGAGCTCGAGACTAGGTCGGTCGAAATTTAGATTTGGTTGCAAGATTAAACTTTTACTCGACGCATGTGAGAATGCCTGTACCTCGAGATCAAAATAAACGCATACACAATGACACTCATAATCAATAGCAACAATTATCAACATCAACATCAAGGAAAAACAAAAACAATTTTGATCAGATACCGGATTTCCATCCATGTCATGGTCGAAGAGGGTGAAGTAAAAACGAAAGACGAGGACTTGACCTTCACCTTCAACGATAAAAAGTACAAGCGCCCTGCTTTCGTGGAGGAAGAGTGGAGAGACGCCGTGGAGTGGTCGTATTTTGCCACTCTCACGCCTGACGAACAGGTCGAGTACGTCGGTTTCGTGATTGGCCGTTCTCCCGTCACTGCGCGGAAAAAGGTCGAGTTTTTGCAGCAGCTGTTTGACGCAAAGCTTGTGTCTTCCGCCTTGTCGCGGTTGCAGCACACGGACTCGTCGAAGGATAAGAAGGAAGGTGAGCACGGTTGCGTGCTGCAGAACAACAAAGGAATTGCTGAGGTGGTTTCTGAGCAAGCGGACGCGGAGAAAAAGCGTAAAGCAGACGACGCCGCCTTCACGAAGTACGCGCTGCGCAAAGAAGATGCTTATGACCGCGCGCTCGAAATGGGCATGAGAAACGAAATCGACGATATATGCGGTACAAATTTTTTTGGTTTTTTAAATCTAGTAATAGGAATTCGAACTGCAACTGCTACTGCAACTGCTACTGCAACTGACTGCAACTGCTACTGCAACTGACTGCAACTGATACGGAGCTGAGCGATAGGCGATGATGAAAAAAATTGCAAGAGGTGATGATGAAAATTTTAAAAAAGTGACTGTCATCCACGTGCGCGGTAAAATGGAACATTTGAAAACTTTAACGTTCTTTCACGCAGGTAACACGGCGTGCTGGGACATGATTGCCAAGGGCAAGGACTTCAACATCAAGGACGGCGGCAAGGACGTGCTCCTATTTCACGTGGACCAGGCGAAGCGTAAGGAGCAGCTGAGTTTGTCTATTACTCCTCCGACCCCGCGCAAGGTGGTTTTTTTTCGACTCGGACCTGACGGTACGACTTTTGACACCGAAGGCTTCTTTCAGCTCGAATTTGTCATTGCTACGGCGGAGTTTGGAGTGATCGGGACTCCCGGCAAGGTCCGGCTGCGGCAGTACACGCCGAAAGGGGTACGAGGCGGATCTGATGCAGACAACGTGCTTTCCGCCATATACGCCATCATCGGTAACCTCGCGCCGCTTCCGGGCGCAACGACGAAGTATCATCCCGGTGACCCCCTGTGTTTTTGGCTTTGCCATTCCGACGCCGGGAGCAACATCCTGAAGGCCTACCGACGACTGCGCCTCTACTCACATGCGTGTAACTTAGAGAGGATCAAACAGACCAAGGATAATCCCGGTGGACACCGCCTTCTGCAGACGTTTATTTTGCAATACGTGTGTCAGGCCCATCAACTGCACATCTTGGCCAAGGACATCATGGACATCGCGGACTTCCAGAAAAACGGATTCAAAGAAGGTAGTTATAGTATGAAAATAAATTGCGATGAAGATGATAGTGATATGTTGGTGCTTTTGTTTTTTTGCTCATTACTGAGTACGAGAATAAGGATGTTCGTGTATAATTTCGACGCTCAAGTCAAGCTGCGTCTATTGTTGCATTCCTTTTTCTATTTCATAAAAAAACTTCACTTTCAGGTGTTTCCAAGATCCAACAGGCGACCAAGCTGTGGTTTGATGACATCAAGATTCCGCAGCACATGGAGCACCGCTGGATGACTGCGCACCCGACTCTCGCCGCGTTGAAGGAGAATAAGCTTGCAATCCAGAACGGTATTGCGGGCATGTCGGAAAAGGATCGAAAGAAAGAAACTAAGGCCATCTTCGCAAAGGCAAAGGCTGCTGCCGGCGACGAAGACTTTTGGAAGCAGGTCACCAGCGCTGAGGCCGTTTTGGAAAAGCTGCAGCATTCGCATGCGCGGACCATCCGCGACCCGAAGATCGCCTTCTCCGACGCGAAGTTTGAGGAGATGGTCCCAAACCGGTGCGCGCCGACCCCCTTGGACACCATCAAGCGGCTGTTTCACCAGCTCCTCCTGAGAGCGCCTTCTGATATGAATGCGCTGACCATGGCATATTTATCCTCTGCAAAAATATCGCACTCGTAGTACTCCTACTCGTAACCATGCATCACAAGTCTCCTGTTTCACGTTCACCTTGACGATCACCTTTGCCAGGTGAGCGCGAAGCTCAGCTCCAAGCTCAGCTTCAACTTCAACTTCAAGCTCAACCTCAACCAAATCCGCATTACAAATTCGATTTCTCGTGCTGAGAAAATTTGTCATGCTATTTATATTAGATCTAGAAGTAGAAGTAGAACTAGTGCGATATTTTTGCACAGGATAGCACTCGTTTTTCTGCAAAACGGTTTATCGGGAAGTGCAGCTGTACATCTTCCCGTACATCTTGAACAAGCTCTTCTGCAACGATACGAAGAAACGGTGTGCCGAGCTGCTGCTCGATTTGGAGCACGACGCCCTTGATCCGTTTTTGATTTATTTCATTGAACAACTGAAAAAGGACTTGACGGAGATGCAGGAAAAGGGAACGATGACGGATAAGCTGTTCAGCCTGGCCGGACCCATCTTCGTCCTGAGCAGTCCCTGCATGCAGTACGTCGAATCGCTTCACAGTACAACGATGGAGTTCAAAAGACTGTGCCCAAACATGCGGCAGGAAAGGGCTGCTATCCGCACCTCCATCGCGCGGAGTGAGCCCATCTCGTTTTTGGAGTACCAGAAACTCCTCGAGCAGTGGAAGTGTCTTTTCGATCCCCGACATTCGAAGGCGATGGTGCAGAACTCGTGCGATGTCAGGGTTGTGATGAACCACCCCTTCGATTCTCTCCAGCACCACCCGTACCTGATCGCCGCGAAGGCAGAGTTTCGGAAACGAAAGACCAGTGTGCGCAATGACTTGAACGTGGCCGACTACTGTCCTCTGATTCCGCAGAAGGTATTTTTTTTTTCATGTCGCTTCAAATACCAATGTGCAACTCCGTGAAACTAGTGCGTTTGCATTCTGTAGTTGTGTGCTCTTCAAGTTCAAGTTCAATACTCGCTTGGTACTGTAGCTGTGCGCACTGATAAACGAATTACAGCGAAACTCTACACTCAGGTTGCCCTTACCATTCCGGACGCCATCCGCATGCACATTCCGAACACGCCGTTTTTCCGCCAGTGGTACGGCGGAGTTGGGACCAAATTGTTCGACAACTCCTTTGTGAAGCTTGGCAACATCCACGTCAAAAAGGTCGCCCATCGCATGGATGGACCACCTTATTTCTGCTTCTCTCGCACGGGTAATCGAGGCCACATGCAGCGCGCGACGTACGTCCCGATGAAAAAAGGGGACATTCCGGGGTGCTGTACGAAGCCGCAGCCAAAAACGACCAAATACCTCGTCAACGATTCTGATTTCCCGGCCAGTTTCTACCTGGGCCTGTTTAAGACTAGGAAGAAGAATTCCTCAGCCATCGGCTTGCAAGAGATTCCGAAGGACTTGATGGACAAAGCCGACAAGTACGACTGCTTCCTCTTGAACGAGGAGGTGAGCTCGGTGATGACCGTGTCCCACTGGGCTTCGAGATCCGCGGAGGACAACAAGAAGCTCAGCACCAGTTCTTTCCTCAACGCCTCCATCGCAAAAGTCGCCCGCGCGCACTTTATTTTGGGCAGGATCTGGCTCTTCGTCGACAAGGGGTTTTGGTTGGAGAAGAGAATGCAGCGGTCTGGAGTGTTCTTCGACACGTCCAAGGAGTGGGACCCGGAGGCCGAAAAGAAGAAGCACGTTGTTGTGGATCCGTACGAGAGAGAGTCTCGCGAAGAGTCGTGGCACCGGACGATCCAAGTTCACGTTGCTGTACTATTTTTACTTTTTGATTTTTCGGTCATGACTTCATTTCGACTTTAGTGTGTTTGATTGATGATGAAGATTATGACCAAGATATGAAGAGAGACTGACACCTTCATGCCGATTTCAATTTTGCAAAAATAATCCGAAGGTGCCGGAGAAGCAGTTGATTCCGGAGCTCCAGCCCGACACGGTGTACTTCATATTTCGCCCCGAACAGGCGACCTGGAGAGGAGTTGTCCACGAGCTGGCCGCTGATGTTGGTGATGAAGACTTTGAACCTACGGGAGTGGGCTGCACCACCGCGGGTCGCATGACCGACAAGATTAGTGTTGCCGCTGCCCGCAAGCGCTGCGTCGCGAAGGTGTGCGATATCCTGAAGATTCAGCGGCCGAGCAACAACTTGGTCAGTGACGACTTGGAGGATGCTGCGTACCGGGAGATCGCGCACTACATCGCCTCCACCAAGTCGAAGAAGATTGAGAAGTTGGTTGAGGATTCCGACGACAGCGATCAATCTGTATTGGGCGACATGCCGATCCGTGGCTGAGACTACCATCTGGGCCTGCCGCCTGCGAGTTGTTGTTTACAAATTCGCAGACGCAGTGTACACGTAGATGTCACGAGCCGAGCATGTTCGTCTCTGAAAGACTTATATGTTTTTTTTTTGAAAAAACACAAAATTGTTTCGAATTGAAATTGAATTTGAATTATAATTCAATTATGAAAACTTGTATTTTTTATTATAAAAAATGAAATTCTTCACGATCGGAAGCATTAAATATCACGCGAAACTTCGCAGCAAATACCAACGACGCACAGATTCAGAACGTGCGGGAAATGATGCTGAGCCACTTGATTCATTGTCGGTTGTAAGTGATGTAGATGTGGCGCGATAGCTTGCCAGAATGGAACTCGCGTCTTCGGTCCAAGATCTTTTCGCAACATAAGCACCCAGACCTCATATGAAAGCTGCCTCCTTCCCCTGAGTTTGAATGCAAATTATACCCGCTCTCCGATAGGAAAAAGGATGTAAATTGAGTTCGAGATGATGCGCAAAGTGCTTTTGATTCCCCGACCCAGCAGCCTACCCACCTTGTAGCTGAGTCTTATTAAGAGGTCCCGATCACTCCACTCACAGTTGCGAGGAGAGATAAACCAGAGAAATTTTGGCATGCTCTGATCTTCCCGAACAAGATTTTTCACCACCCCGACACAGAAACCTCCAGTTCCCAAACGATGAAATATCCGACATTTATTGTGAAAATCCCATTTCCTAAAATCGTGGGATTTTAGTAAATTACTAGAAATCCTTGATTTTCAAAAATATTTTTGCATTTTTCCAGGATTTCAGCTCAAATCCTCATTTTTTTTGTAAAAAAATCTTGAAAATCAAGGATTTCTAGTAATTTACTAAAATCCGACCTTTTTAGGACAAGGTGAATTTCTATTATTTGAGCGTTCTGGATCAAAAAAGATCGTCCTCTCGCACATCACACGTTCACAAAATTTTGCGCTCCACCAATGAAATGAGCTCTTGCAAATCCCATCATGATGTCTCCAAATTGTCTGCGTGACGCGTGCAAAATGTCTGCGTGATACATGCAAAAACTCGCTCTTTGTGATAAAAATAACATGGAATAACTCACAACTCCATCGCATTTCAATGAAAAAACACAGCTTCTGAGCAGGGTTCTGTCGTATTTGTTAGTCACGCATCTCTTTCACAATGGAAATCGAGCTCCTCGCGTCGGGGCAAAGTCTCCAAATTACGGAGACCATGCCGACGGACTTGGAGGCGGAGCAGATGAAGCGCGCCTGGCGCAAGGGCGAGGTATTGCGTCGCTGTTTTGCCTGAATTTGTTTGATTTCAGATGTGTCATCCCAATGTTTTTGTCGATGCATATCCTCGTTGAGTTTTGTGGTTTATATATGTTTCTCGTGCACCATGATTCTCATAATCACATGAAAAAACATCAGGTGACCAAGGCCGCCATGTGCGAGTTCATCAAGCGGTACCGCGACGACAAGTTCGTCCAGGGCACGAAAATCCCGAAGGAGCTGGTCCCGCAGTTCAAGCAGTCGAAGTGGAACATGATCCGAAATGAGAAGCATAAACAATATTTACTGGACTGCATGAGGAACGGATCCTACCAGATGAGGAGACTGTGCTACGTCGTATCCATCGACAAGTTCCTCGAAATAATCGCCCTTAACCATTCCTTCCAAGCCGGCAAGGAATTCTTGAAGGAGGACCCGAAGGGATGGGAGGCCTTAGGATTCAGGTACTTAGCCATAATTTTGACTTATGAAAAAGGAAGTCGCTCTATTCGCGGCTCTCGTTTATCCGATGAATAGACCAGAGATGAAACACACATAAACTCCACTTGAGCTCGAAGTGTTTCGTATCAAATGCCCACGTAGCTGCAGCAGCCAGCAACTCTCAGTTAGTTCCGAAGGAAACTCTCAATCAGCTCTGGAAGGTTCATCGCGCTTCATGCGGTGTTGTTTATGAAGCACTCCGGTGATACGTATCTTTGTGATTTTCTATTTCTAATTTCTATTTCTTCATACAACACTACAGAATGTTCGTGTTTTCGAGTATTCTCCAAGACCGGCAACCAGAATTATTACGTCTCTTCGTGAGACTCGACAACGAGTCGAGCCAAGGACAGCTGAAATGTACTTTCTGCGAAAAGTACGAATCCGTGTTTGCCGACGTATAGTAATTTTTTGTTTCACATTCCAAGGTCGATCTACAGCTTCATCGTTTTTTTTGATTTCATGATAAAATCTGCATCGTATCACACGCCTAATTTACTTGCAGCTAGTCTTTGAAATGTGAAATCCCCCTGGATGTATCTGTGCAGTGTGTCTACACTGGCGTGTCCAGTTATTGACATAATCGTGCGGAGCGACACCTTCTTCGCAAACAAGTGCGAGCACACACTCCTGCGCGGCGTGTGTGAGGTTATTATGCTTGGCGGGGATGATTTTTTGTCTTTGCACACGAAGACTTTGCGGACTTCCCGGATTTTCTTCTCGAATGACTCTTTCTGAAAGTTGAAATTCGGGCCATCTTTTTCGACCCCGTTGTCATCCATGTGGTCCATCATCTCCTGCAAAAAGTCCTTTGTTTTTTTGCTCGGGTCGATGGGCACATTCTTGATTTTGCCCCGGCCCCCTTTTGTGGTCGCCAGTTTTGAATTCCCGATGCGGACGGTATTCAAAGTTAATTCGCCGCGCTGCAATAGCCTTACGTCCATGCCGCGCCGGCCAGTCAGGCATGCCACAATCCACGCGAGTTTATAAAATTTGCCCGCTTCCTTCTTGCGGCCGGTTGATGCTTCCAATGCGTCGCCGAACCGCAGACAGTCTCCCATCGTGAGCGACCCGGAGCGCTCTTCGCTATCAAAAACATCCAAACGCTTCGGCGTTTTGCGGGCGCTTGGCTTTGCGATGGTCTTCTGTTTCTTCTTTCCCAAGACAGCCTTCTGCGCTGCGACTGCCTTCTTTTTCAGCGTCTTTTTGAAGTTCGGCTTCAGGGCGGACTTCTGTTTCTTGCCTGCGATTTTTTTCCCCTTCATCGCTGCGGAGATATGTGATGCGAAGGTCGTAGCTGCCGCTTCTGAGGTATTCACGATTCGAAAAAGTCGATGTAATAATGAAAATGATAATGAAGATGATGATGAACACAACTATATTACAGATCGAGGCGGAACTGAAAGCCTACAAGAAAAACAACCCGGGAAAAAAAGTCAACGAGCTGGCTTTTTACGAGGTACTTACTTTTATGTTGCGCCATGGTTTGCGGAGCAGATCGTGCGAATTTTTGAAATAGAAACTGATGCTCGCATCCGATCTTATGGTTCAGGATTTCTCGCGAAAATGAAACTCAAATTGAAAACAAAATCACAAAACAATACCAGAGCCAGTGCGAAGGAATCAGTGGTATGGGCGAGATCAACATCATCAACCAAGCCCGGCGTGAGTTCGGGTGCAGTCAGACCAACTGGTTGCAGACCATCAGGCGCCTGAGTTCCTCCAAGGATGACAGCAAGTTCACTACGCTGCTGAAGTACGCTTTTTCTTTATTACTAGTCTGTTAGTGTTGGTGTGGTCTACTACTACTTCTACATCTACTTTTCTACACAACGTCCTGATGTCTGTGTGCAGTGACAGTGAGTGTGACGCGGATATCTAAGACAAAAATAAGCTGCGACGTAAACAGTATGGTGAGAATCTATTTCGAGATGTAGACGTAGCGGCAGCTCCTGCCTGAGTATGTGCCTGTGAGTGGAATTGGAATTTTTGCATTGCAATCGCATCGCTGACGCTGTCGCTGAAGCAAGACGGGGACGTAGAAATAAGTATTGAAGATGACGGCTGCGCACACGAGCTTGCTGCAACAGCAGCGAGCAAGTGTTTTGCTTTCGTCTTTCTCTCACTCGACAATTCTACTAGTCTTGTGTGTTTCGATGTGAATGTAAAAGCAGAACGCCTCGAGCTCGACTTCGAATTCGCTTTGTAATGCGATTGCGAGTAACAGTATCAGCATCTGTATCAATATCTATTGTGACATCAGGACCCGCCTGTTCGAGTTGCAACTGCGCTACCTCCGCCCCGCGTTGACCGACATGATCTTGGACACCTTCATGCACCTCCTGCTCGGACCGGACGCGGTGTCCTTGAACAAGAAGCAGATGAAGGAGATCAAGCAGATGATGCGCCAGAATTGGCTGAAAGACGAGAAATCGGATAGCGTGCGCAACCAGTACCTCGTGTGGTTGGTGAGCGAAATGTGCAGAAATGCCATGAAGGGGAAGACCAAGCTGGACAAGAACAAAAAGAAGCCGAAAGGAAAGATGTTAAAGAATGCCGGGTTGCTGTCCGACGACGAGGAGGATGATTTATTCGTGGAGCCGGAGATTCAGGGCGCTGTCTGGACCGTATTTCAGATTTTGATTTATTTCAGTGCATACTAACTTCTCCTTGCAGTAGCACTACCTCCAGTCACGTCCTAACTTTTCAGATAAAGCAAATCGCACGAACCAGTAGTATTCTCTCACTTAAACTAAAACTAAAACTCACCCCAGGACAAGGATGGCGTGTACGGTTCGTTGGTGACTGCGAAGTGTCCCGAGGAACTCAGGATCGAGTACGACGGAGACTTCAGTTTCGGTAAGAAACTGGTCGAGCAGCAGAAATTGGACGACTCCGTGCTGAAAGAGATCGAGAACGTGATCCGCACCTGCGCGAACCTGCAGAAGCCGTACTTCGACGGCGCGAAGGTGGTCGGTACCTTTGTCGTGCGGTTCGCCGACAACAAGACGCTGAACTCCACGGTCACGTTTGCGGAGGGGATCGAGGTCTTCAAATATCAAGATGTTCATGTTGATCAAATTTCTAATGCAAGTTTTAATGCATGTAAGCGAGTTCGTATTTGAAAATGAAAACTTTACCTATGAATAATCCACAGATCACCATCGAGTGCGATACCACTGATGAAGCGCTGGGATACCTCGATGGGAAAAGTGGTGAAATTCAGGGAAAAGTCATGTCGCCCGAGGTCCGCCAGATCAAGAACCAGCTGCACTCGCTGGCCGCGAACTACCAGGCCGATCTGAAGGTGCTGAAGTCCAACTTGGAGACCACTTTGAAGGCCATGGAGAAAGCCATGAAGGCGGAGATGATTGCCCGCAAGAAAGCCAAGGTTTTTTTTATGATTTTATTTCAGTTTGTGCGAGAATGCAACGAGTATTTAAATTCGAACTAGTATCTGCGTCCATTCCATGAGCGTGTGTGTGAGCTGCGACTTCCACTTCGACGATGGATCGCGTGCGATCCGTCTGTAGAAGTACCTATCTCGCAAAACAGCTCTACGTGATTCCCGGGACGCTTCGGTTGGATTTAACTGATCACACCAAGAATGTATCGCAGTTGCAATATTTATATTTATGTTTAGTATAGAGCATTGTTTGGAATTTGGCTGTGACATCGTTCTCCTAGAAATTCATAGTGACCTATGATAACCAGCTTTTCATCCCGGGTTCGTTCAACCTCCAGTTTTCCGGTTCTATTCACCAGGTGTATGTCAACGCTGCCAAGGAGGAGTACGAAGAGAAGTGCAAGAAGCACAAAGATGCCTGCGAGCTCGAGCAGAAGCAGTTGAAGGAGATTTTCAACCAGGAGACCGAGGCCTTAGGGGAAAAGTTAAAATCGGCCGAGGAGGCCAAATGGTTTCAAGTGAAGTGCGTGGCTAAGTCGCGGGCCAAGGCCAAGGAACCGGTGGAGGAGCAGCAATATGCCCTGATGGACGTACTTTTATTTCTGATGTTTTTTTAGTCGTGAGCGCGACGTGAGCGTGAAGAGGAAAATGGGCAAGACTTAGAAGACGAGCACTCACTTGCGAAAGACTTTGTTTTCAAAACGAAATCTTCGTCAACAAAAATCAGTTCCCGGCGGACTGCCTTTCGTTGAACATGGGTCACTACACCGTGCAGTGCAAAAAAGGGCTGAAACAGGGACAGACGTGGACGCTCTCCTCCGAACAATTAGTGAAAGTGAGTGTCGTGCCGATCAAAGTGCCCATCAACTTCCACATGGAGAAGATGAAGCTGTCCTCGCGGTGCCAGATCCTGCAAGAGAAGGCCATCACCTTGGACTTCAAATGCGACAAGAAGGTGAAGGGAATCAAGTTCGAGATGACCACGCTCTGCTTGGGTGACCTGAAGTTCGACTGCTTGATTCCGTATTTTTATTATCATCATGCTTTTTGTCATCTGATGTTCATCATGATCATCTTCATCATCATCTTCATCATCATCTTCATCATCATCTTCATCATCATGCTCTGTATCATCTGTTGTTAATGAAGTGCTTCATAGTCATAGCTTATGATGTACTGTCTATGATCTCATAGTCATGCTCATCATTATCTCAAACTATCAGGTATGAGTGCGAGCCGAGCCGCGCCTTTGCGAACTCCCTCTCCGCCGAGTACCGCTTGTCGGCCCCGCTGAACAAGCCCGCGGGCGCCAAGGGTGCCGAGGTCCCGGCTAAGAAGACCACGGCTGCTGCTAAGGCGGCCGCCGCGCTGAGCGCTGCCGCGACCAAGCTGCAGGCCTCGTACGTGGACGCGTCCCTGAACTTCTACACCGATGCCAAGAACACCGACGCCTGGGACAACGATGGTCTTTGCCAGGCCTACCTGGATCCCAAGATGGTGGCCGAGCAGGTCAAGCAGCAGACCGGATCCTCTTCCGCGGAGGAGTCCACCCGCGATCGCAGCAGCAGCTCGTCGTCGCACAACATGGGCATGAACTTGTCGGGACCGAGCAACGTGAAGCTCTTTCAGCAGCAGATGAGGTTGCGGAACCATTCGGCGTTGTTGCGTCCCCGCGGCATGAGCGAGCTGTCCATCGAGTCGGCGAAGCAGGATGATGACGAGACGCCCAATGCGAAGCGAAGCAGGACCAACACCTTGGATGAATTTACCTTTTTAGACACGAATATGTAATCTGAAGGTAAATTCGTACGAGATGTATTTGTGCTCAGAAACTTTCCATTTCGACTTTCGTTGTCGGTAATCTTTTTTCTACCTCTCGTTGAAGATAGAGTGCTGGCTTTGTCTGTAGATACGGAAGTTATTATGCACAAACATGCAGTACTACTTTTAGAAATATAAATTTCATATTCATCAGTATGAGTTCGTCAACTCCACTCGAGCTGCCGCAATTCGGTCTGATTAAAGCCCGCATCCTTCCTGCGTAATCGGATGGGGCTAATTTGTTTATTTTACTTCAAAAAAATTATCAATTTCTTTTTCGATTAGAAAAATCACTGAGATTTCAGCGAAGCGAAAATGCTTCGTGCTACACCGGCCTTCTTTAGAGTCGGCAGCTTAGATGTCTTGCCATCTACGTCTGCTGACTCGCAAATATTCGTAACATTTCTTTTTTGTCTTTCGAGTATCAGTATCTACTTCTCATCGAAAGACAAGCACTTCTACATTATGAAAATGCAATCTTCGATCTTTTATTTTTTTGTTAGAAAAATAACAACCTGGACTCTTCTTTATCGTCACGTCTTTCGACGTGGCGTTTGTATCAACACCTTCACCGTCCTCTCGTGAAGAAGCTGCATTCGCTCGCGAATGTAGTTTCTTCGCAAAAAAACAATACTGTCAAATGATGGAAGATGATTGTCTTCCATATCTGAAAATGTTTCGCTCTACCCACCATGTGATGGATATGGTCTCCCAAGTCGCCGTGAGTTCTGCTGCGGACTTGGAGGCAAAAACGATATGGCGAAGCGATAGCTGTTTCGCCAAGAACAAATGATGAAGAGCTTTGAAGATGGTCCCACGGTCGCGCGTGCCGATATTGCGCGACGTGAGTTCGTGAAAGCGAGTCGGTTTCGGATGTCTAAGTTGAAAACTTGAACAATTGTGTTGGAGAAATCGAATAGTTGTGGTTTTGTAATAAACCACAACTATTCGAAATTTTAGCTCGGTGTAGAGGAACTCGCATTTTCCGGAAATGAAGGTTTGTTTTGCTCGGTTGAAGTTGTTTTGCTCGGTTGGTGATATTTTGGTTTTCGGTGTTTAGAATGTTGGTTCGGTGGATCAGTGAAGTCGGTGGCTCAGATAGAATCCGTGCTCTTCAGAAAGCAGTTCTGCGTTCTCAAGAATTTAGTTTTTGCATCACAAAGAAATGTTTTCTCCATGACAAAAAATTGTTTTCATGACAATCGAAATCGGTTTTTGCATTTTGGAAAATGAAAAATACGGCTCAGAAAATGCAATAGTTAATACTGAACTTTTGTACTTTGTCCATTCATATACTGCCTTCTGTAATTTCACAAAAATTTTTGTCGCTGTACTTGTGCTTAATACTCAAATTTGACGTTCCGTCTATAAAACCTGTATTCATCAAAGCGTCGTCGTCAGTATCTCGTTCTCGTCGTCTTGAAGTGGAACAGCACAGATCATCTTTTCATTCATGAGTAGATTGACCTCCTTATTCCTTATCCTCCCGGCTCGTCCTCTTCACGAATTTATTCGCCTCAATCCCTTTTTCCGCAGGCACGACTTGAGTTCGTCGAACGACGGCAGGAGGTTCATCTGTGTGCCGGGGGGCTTGGTGGACGTTTGCTGTTCGCCGCTGTCGAATTGCCCGCCGGCCAGGTCTACTCCGCTGGCCAAACTGCTGAGCAGGTCCTGACTTCGTTTGATTCTCTCGATAAAAGAACTGCTGCTCGTCGAGGCCGCTCCCATCACCGACGCTGCCTTGGACCTCGGCTGCGCTTTGGCCTGTGCGGCTCCCGGATGGCTGAAGAGGCTCAGCGCACCTGACGCTTGCTCGTTTGCCGCCTGCTGAAGTCCGCTTTTCTCGACCGAAACCATGGTCGCGTCAGAAAACACGCCCATGGACTGCAGTAGCGGCACCCCCGCTTTGGACCCCTTGATCACCTTCAGCCCCCGCCAGGGGGTCTGCTCGTCGCCCTCCAACGTGGCAAACCTGGTCGTGTTGCCGTGGCTTCGCCCTCCCTTGTTTGGGCCGGTGGAAGATGAGGACGGTGGTGGTGCCGCGCCAGTGTTATTATTTTCGTCCTCCGCTGGCTGCTCCTGCTTGATCTGTATACCCGCGCCACCACCCTCTTCGCCGGGTTCCACCCCCTCCTCCGGCTTGATGCTGCCCGCCTTGGCCTGCAGCCCCTCTGGCTTGCCGGGCTGACTGAAGGCCTTGGGCAGAGGCTTCAGGCCGTACCCAAAGGGTTTCCCGGTCGCGGGGTTTATCCGCTGGTCCTTCGAGAGTTCCATGTCCTCGTCGTCGTCTTCTGGTTCCTCTTCTTTGATGAACGGATTGTGCTGCTCGAAATTATTGTCCTCCTTTGAATATGCATCGCAAAAATGTCAGGGTCTGGAATGTGATGCGTCCTGCAGACCTCCACAGCCGAACACCCTGTTTTGCATAAAGTAGCAACAGACGTAGCCATTTTGTGGCCACGCCGACCGGCAATTTCTCATGCAGTGTACGCATTGACACCGAGCCTTGAAAATAAAATTCTCCTAGCCCCTGCATTCAAGTAGACCTCGCGGGTCACGAAAAGGCCGCATAACAAACATCTGCGTTCTATTCCCAGACTGAGACATTTTTGCACTGGATATGGAGCCCTTGCTGTCGGCCGAGCCTTTTCGTTTTCTTCTTGCGTTGTCCTTCTCGGTGGCGATCAGTTTGAGCCGCTTCAGCGTCGGTGCGGCAAACATGATTTCCTTGGTCAACACGGCACTGTCGGACACCATGGTGGCCGCCGCGCGCTTCTTGTTTACCTTCAGCCGGTACAGGGGCGGATTCGTGTATCCAGGAAAAAAGCTGTGTCAGTGTATGCTTTGTAGGAAGAACAGCACCACAAACTCGTTTTGCATATGCAGGGAACAAATAAACCTGTCATGCCCAGCTAGTACGTGGAAAGACGTATGAGAGTAGCCTATAACGCAGCTCCAGCATGACAAGTGTATACAGTTTTGCACTTTCTGCATCACAGAGTTACACTCACGCAGGTTTTTTCTTGCAGATCGTGAACTCCAAACTGTTCAGATCTTTCCGCTCGCCCGCCGCGCCGTGGTCGAATTCGTCCACCAAGTTGCTGGTGGACCACATTTATGCTCTGCAAAAGTATCGCACTCGTAGCAATTGCAGTTATGCATTACAAATCTAGTTGTTAAGCTGAATCCGCATTAAAAATTCAATTTGTAAAAATGCTGAGAGAATTTGTACTATTGCAATTCATACTAGTGCGATACTTTTGCAATGCATAGCATTTGGTTGCCCTTCTTCCCCTTCTTGCCCTTCCCCTTCGCGAACGAGCCGTCGGGGTTCAGGAAGCCCCCGTACCCGGCCAGCAGGTCGGCCTGCTGCCGCTGGAAAAACTCCAACTCCTGCTGCTTGCTGTCGTCGCCTATCGAAAGGAAAAATCCCCCCTCTCCATATCGAGACGAAACTTCTGATGCTGGATCTGTGTACACAAATCAGCGATGTCTTGCTGGATGGCACTGCAGGCCCGTACTAACTGTGAGTAGAGAGGCTCTGGCCTTGGCACTTAGCACGACAAACGTCCGCGCTGTAGGCCCAGCAGCATGACAAACCGCCTGCACAGTGCGGCGGAGCCTGCGGAGTTGCCTTCTTGCAAGACAGACGCGATTTGTGACCATAAATCAGCATCACAAATTTCCAAAAATATACCTTTTCAGTATGGGTAGGGGGGATTTTTCCTTTTGGTATCGCCCGGCTTGGCCCGGCACCACAGCTTCACGTTGCCGTCCCGGCCCGAGGAGGCTAAAACGTGGCCCAACGGGTGGAAATCGAGCGCGGTGGTGCCGCCCTCGTGGCAGCCGCGGACGATCTGAATTTTGTGCATAAATGTTTTTGTACGTACTTTTAGATTCACAAGTTCACAAGATTTGTTCCAAGAACGTGCAACATTTATGGATATCACACGACGATCAGCACGTATTAATAATCAAAAGCTTCGTACCTGCTGCGGATGGCAGATGCCCGCTTCATCTTTGTAGTTCTGTGTGTGGTACAAATCCCAGTGGTAAATGTTGGAATCAAAGCCGGCAGAGACGAGAACGTTGTCCAATTTCGGGTGCCACGTGAGGGACGTGACCTCCCGCAAATGCCCCTTCAGGGTGTTCTTGATTTTCATCGTCCTGATGTCCAGGATGTGGATCAGCTGGTCCTTCCCCCCGGACGCCAGCGCCATCCCGTTGGGTTGGAACCGCATCTTGGCGATGGAGTTTTTGTGGTGATACAGGGTCACGATCGCGGTCTCTTGCCGCGGGTCGTACAATTTCAACTGGTTATCTTTCGAGCCCGTAGCGATCAACCCCTTCCACGGGTGCCAGTCCAGAGCGCGGCAGTCGTACCTGATAGGAATAAGATCATGACTCGTGGTCGTGGTCACACTCGAATTCCCCGTACTCATCAAACTTCTTTGATGTGCAAAGGAAAGCGCTCGCCGCACAAATTACAATCCTTTTGACTTTGAGTATGAATCTTCACGTAGACAAAAATAGGAACAATCACAACCCGAGCGCAGTACCCGTGTCCCAGCAGCGTCCTCTCGGGTTTCAGGGTGCGGAAGTCCCATACTTTTACCGTGGGCTCGTCGGCACAGGTGACGAATTTTTCGAGTGGGTATCGAAAGGAAGTTTTCGGTTGCTCATGCAGATGCAGGGTTTTTGCCAAGACAGACCAGCCTTCACTGAAGGTGGTTCGACATTAAATAGATACAAGAACATTCGTCTGATCAACTGCATGATGTTGGTGTAGTGGTTCTCTTCGACAACATGCGTTTTTGCATAGTGTTCCGTGGTTGTGAATATCAACAAGCGCATGAAGACTACTTTGTCTGCGGCCATACTTTTCAAAGCGAAACAGCATCATTACAAGCGTCGCACAACACGCTCCACAATCTTCCATTTGATAACCCAGGGCCAATGCCCATATCTCGCATAGGAATATTGTCGTGAGGCTGCAATCGAACCGTGTTGCAGAAATTCTTGTCCCACAGCTTCAAAACGCCCGCTTGGTCCGCTGTTTTGAAAATGAAAATTATTCGGTAGAAGATGGACAAGCAGCTATAAGCGAGGTCCGCGCAACTTTCGTTTCACTTCCGTGTTTAGTTCTTTTCCTTCTTTCATCCCATAAACTCATGGTCATGAAGGAAACCACTCTACTAGTCGTACCTGTGAACAGAATTTCGTCTAGCTGGCCCGACTGCACGTACTTCACAAACCTCATGCTGCCGGTGTGACTCTGCTGCACAATCTCGAAATTGCAGCCCTGCGCCATGTTCCAGAGCGATACCTCGCCGTTGTGGTTCCCGACGCATAATCTCCTGCCGGTCGGGTTCCAGGCCAGTGCGTTCGCCGCCGTTTTGGATTTATTGTAGCAAACGACCCTGTTTTTTTTTGTGACACATGATCTTACTTGAAGTAGATCTGAATACCTCAAAAAGCCTCGTGTATGCTGCACCGCATGATATCAATATCTTCCGGAAAAGAAGAGTAGCCTGACAACCCGTAGAAAATGGATAAGCAAAGTGCATTCGAAATCCAAAAAGTTGTAATCAATACACTTGTCGCGTGCAAATGCTGGCTCCCCCTCGAAGTAGGTCTGTTCTCGGTAACAGATGCGGTAGTGTCACTTCTCGTGCGCGGGTTGTGAAAGGAAAAAAACGAGTCAATGAAGACAAATTTTGTCATCCTCTTCGGCCGTGCACGATCAACTTTATGATTTCTCTTTACCTGCTCGTCCTCATAGAAGTGTGTAAATGCAAAAATCGATTGCAACACAGTAGCCAGGTGGGTTTCACGTAAATGTCAGTCGTAGAGGACGTTTCGATCAACATCCATGACAAAAAATCCCCTATTAGAATCGCTTCGTTGACTCCAAAATTCGGAGGTCCTGTAGCATACCCATGTTGTGTGGTGTTATCAATGGCAGCTGCGATTTTACCTCCTTGCCCGCTATCCCCAGGTTCCAATTTTCCAAAAACTTGGTCGCGCCGGCGTTCAGGTCAAACGCCCGTCGTCGGGCGAAGCCGCCCCGCACGCCGTAATTTGAGCTCGTGATCATGCCGCCCTTCCCTTTTCCCTTGCCCTTCTCGCCGCCGTCCTTCATGCCCTTCCCGCCGCCCGGCTCCCAACCGCCGTCTCCGCCCATTTTCTCGCACTTCTCCTTGGTCGCTTCGTGGTAGAAAATATTATATCCTAGTTGTAGAGAAACATGGCGTAAGTTTTCGTATTGCTGGGATACGAGTCAAAAAGAGCGACTCAGACTAGGAATTCGAGGAAGCTTTAAATCAATAAATGTCTAAACGTGCTTAAAAACTGAAATGCGGCGGGGACGGCGCAAGAACTACAAATACTATCGAAACTGTGTGAGCCAAAAGGGTCAAACTTTCATTTTCAAAATGATCGTCAAAAATCAAACCGCGAAGTATTCCTTCCTATCTAAGTATTTTGTTTGTTTTTGAGTGTCGCCTGAAGAAAAATAAAGAAAATAGAAAGTACTTGCAAAAGGGAGGATTAGAACAAGCAAAATAAAAGTGAGATCACCACCATCAAAACGGCTGCAAAAAAAGCACTCTACTAAAGACCGCTAGGTCGTTGGAGTTCGTTGTATCAAGTACCTGCGTGAGCAGCGACTGATCTTCCCACGGGAAAGTTCGGGATCATCTTCAGAAAACGGGCCACAGGATGATCTTCGGGATCTTTTTGTGCGACGCCTCATGAGGCGTATCCTGCCGTCGGCAAACTGACAACGTCATTAGCCACAAGTTTCATTGTTCTCATAACAACGACGTCGCAACAAATAGATCTATGCCTCGGCATGGGCCTCGCTTGAGTGGTGATGATGTACCCAACTGCGGGGTCGATGGTGATGATGTACCCAACTACTGTGATATACAGATGAACACTTTTCTCGTCTGTTTACGCGTTCCTGTGGTCTCCAATGCCGCGGTGGGCACATTTCTTTCAGGTTTGTGCTTTTTCAAATTTATCGCGTGAAAATAATTGCTTATCCCTCGGACCGCAATCGAGAGGTTGAGTCGTCAACTGGGGAAAACATCGACATCTGTTCAGAAGACCCTCATCTAGCCCCACCACCACTTCCTCGATCATTTCATTGCAGCAACAGAAACCATAACCATAAACCTCAGGCTATCCTCTTCCTCATTTTCTTCTTCACGACCCAGCCAGCATTTTTCTTTCCACGAACACCAGCAAGTCCTCGGTTTCCATTTTCCAGGGTTCCTGCGTCGTGTCCCCGCTTTCCCACAAGTCCACCAGTTTCCGCACTAATTCGACCTGAAAGTTCGTCAGTTTCGGCCCCGGCAGAAACCTCTCCGGGAAGGCGATCAGCAGGGAACTCGTGAACCTCGGGGGCAGGCAGTTTTGGTAGTACTTGTTGGAGGAATTGCTGAAGTTCTCAAATCCGATTTCACGCGCATTTGTCACGTTTTTTGTGATTTTAATACCGGTCACTGCCGTTGCTGCTCCTGCTGATCGCGAAGAAGTAGAAGAAGTAGTAGTAGATCCTGTTGATGTACCAGTACTACCGGCTGCAAAGAATTGTCGACCAGAAGTCTTTGCAAGTACATGCCTGGCTTCCTCCGAAATCTCGATGCGGTGCAACCCGCTGGTGAGCACCCAAGTGTCGTAAATTTCCTGATACTGTTCGGTGCCAATCGAGGTGAGAATTTTCTCCCGGTAGAACTTGTCCATCTCCGCAATCTGACCGTCGTTTTGCAACAGTAAAAAATCCCGCGGACCTTGCTGCTCTTCCTTTCGGTTGGGCTGGACACTAGCGTGTCCATTTTCTGGAGATGCTGAAGCTTTGCAGTCGAAGCACTTCTCAAATTGCTTCCTGTCCAGCGCCATGCGCCCCTGTCGCTCGTCAAACTGCGAAAACCCCGCCTGGTAGAGGCACAGACCCTCTCCGGGCGCAAGCGGAAACTGGCACTCAATGGGAGAGACAAGGGCGTTGCGAATCAGTTCGAGACCGGGATCGGATGTTGTTGACGATGATAAACAGCTAGTACTATCGCTGCTATACAGCCCGAACGCGTGGGCCACCGCGGCGCCAATCATGAGGCGAATTTGGTTGTAAAGGAAAAACTGTCCCCGCACGCGAATTTCCAGGAATTCCTCCCCTTCCGCCTTCGACTCTTCAGTCACTTTGAAGAAGTAGATCGTGGATAAAGTGTGTTTAAACAAATCTTTCGACCGCTTCCGGTACTTTTCCTCCAGTAAATCAAAATCAGCAGCGTTCGTCGCTTTCACCACCAATCGCGCCCAGTCAACCATGTTGGGGGACTGAAATAATGTTGGAGTTGGCGGGGCGGCGGCGGGTTCTACAGCTTTGTGATTTGAGGTGGACGTCGCAAGTTCTAACTCCTCCTCCGTCTCTTTTTTTGTCGTGTTGTTTTCTTGCCCCTCAGAAGGTTCCTTGAAGCTGTTGTTGTCCTTCTTTCCCTTCTTTTTGCCCGCTCCTTTACCGGCACCTTTCTTGCCTTTATTATTCCCCTTGTTTTTATAATTCCCCTCGAAGATTTTCCGCTTCTTGCTCGGAGGACCTCCAGCAGCGTCTCCCGCTAGTGCACTAGTCTCTTCTGTTCCTTCAACAAGCTCTGTAGCGTCTTCTGCTGCAGGACGAGAAACAGCCGCTTTATCACCACAAGCCGGTTGTAGCGACGCTCCGCCACCTCCTCCACTGACATCTCTTGATTTCAAATTGCAGAAGTTATGGAACGAGTGCACGCCGAGGAAACAATCCAAAGCCGCCTGCAGCCGGTCGACGTTCAAAGGCCGCAAAGTTTTTTCCCGGCTTTCAAACTGCCTCTTCGTTTCTGGGACTGTGGAAAAGGATTGCTTGGTCGTTTCTGTTTTTGTACGAGAAGTCGTAACGTTCTGCGGAAGGTCTTGTTCCGCTGCCATCATCATACCGTTGCCATTTGCTTGTTCCTCTACTTTTCCCTGCAACATTAGCTGCTCTGCAGTATGAACGTCGTTGTCGGATGAAGTAGGTGTCGTATGGTTCTTGACAGCATCCTCCCGCGTTGCCCCATCAGTGAGCCGACCACCCCCGCCGGCTGCAAGACCACCCACCACGACCCTTTTCGGCAGCAAGTAGCTGTATTCCCGCCAGCTGGCCGCCTTCTGCGCGTCGAAGCGTTTCGGCACGCGGAGCACGTTGAAAACTCGGATATTTGCGTTTTCCCGGTCGAAAATCTCGTTTAGTTTCGCTTTGAAAAAGTCCAGCCTCTCCTCGACCACGTTCGTCTCCGGATTAGCATTGTTCCGATCCCGCCACACCGGAATCCCGATCTTGCAGCCGAGGCAAATCACCCGCGCGGACACGCCTGCGTCGGTGCGGGAGGAACGCGACCAGTCAAATTTGGTTAGTTCCACATTTTCGTTCTTGATGCTCTTCAGCTCGAAAAACGCCTTCCGCAGTTCGTTTTCAATGGTTTCAATCTTGTCCAGGTAGCTGATCTGCAGCCCGCGGTAGGCCTTGCCGTTGAAGCCCAGGACCAAGGCGATTTTGCGGTTTGCCATGTCGGCGAGGAGTGCGGAGCTGCTGCTGGGGAGCGAGTCGCATCCTACAGGAGAAAGTTCTTTTCCAGAAGTGGGGACGTCGCGGCCGGTGCTGTTGCAGCTCTCGAGGACGAGGTGGACTTCTTCTTTTGCATTTATGGTATTAGATTTAGTTGTACTGCTGCTCTGCAACACAGGACTGGAAATTTTCCCCGCACTGTTGGTGGCACCACCCACATCGGAACTACCTCCCGAGGTGCTGGGGGTTCCCTCGCCAGCGGCTAAGGTGGACATGGCTATGGCTTGAAGTTTCTAGTTTCTACTTGATGTTCTAGGATTCACGATTTGGACTCATGTCGCAAACGAGTACTATCAATTATCATGATCTTAGAAAGAAAATATAGTCACGCGCTGGGTCGCAAAGGAAGGAACGGATCGACGACAGCGAGCGGCAAGCAAAGGGTAAAGAAAAATGGTCGCCTGGTCGAGTAGTTGTAGTGTTCACAAGATCAGTCGAGAGGTAATTATTGCGCCTGCGGCAGCTGAGCGCATTTCGTATACGCACCATGAGAAATGTAGAAGAATTTCTGCAGGATCTTGGGAACCGTAGAGTCTGGCCGGTATCAAAACCACATCCATACAATTGAAATTTCGTGACTGAGGTCCTGAAGAGCGCATCAAATATTTTTTTTCCAAATATTCCTGATAGTGATCCAGTTTTGTTTTTTCATTGCGAGAACGTGAGTGAGCTCCGTACATCTTCAATTGCGTAATGAGATCTTCGGATCTATACTACAGGCACATTCCTGTTTGTCATTCGTTCCTTATCTATGAAAGGCTAGATCACACAAGCTCTTCAGACACAGACACAGCAACAACTGTGGAGCGCCACCGATTGCACCCATAGCACTCGTCCTCGTCCGATGGGTGGATTTAATGCGTCTTCAATGGTGCCGCGAGACGCCTTGTAGAAAGGAGAACGAAACTAACGGGCAATTTCTTGCTATCGATGGTGGACTTGCTTCTTTTGCACCATTTCGTCGTGAAACTATTTCTCATTCATTCCGTGCTTGCACCACTCTAGTACCAGTAGCCATTCAAAATGATCACGATTCATCTTGTTCGCAAAACATTGATTTCTTGTTTTTATTGCATTTCGATTTTTCAACATACCACTCGCGCACCGACAAGTAGCTCCGGCACTGATTCATTTTTCGTTTTCGTTGTTCACCTGTAGTTCGTTTTCGAGCAAAATAAATACTTCCCCGACATTCTTTCCCTCCTCCACCTTCTTCCGCTCTGAGCTACCCCACGTCAGCAGAACGGTCGTCGATTCGCGAGCGCTAATTGCCCCAGCACCGCCTCACTCCTGCTCTTCCCCAGGCTCGAACTTTGCGGCCGTAAAAGCGACGACTTGTGCCGCACGTAATCGGCGATGTGCAGAATCTCCTGATCACCACCATTTTTTTGCTCTTCACCTTTCTCCTGCCTGCGCGACGTTGTTCGCTTTGAAAAGTAAGTCCCCGAAGACGCAGGCCGTGTTTTCGAAGGTCGCGTCGTGTTCGGATTGCTTGTCGTCACATTGATTGCAGCTGTACTAGTCGATCCACCTACTACAGCACCGGACAGATGAAGACCCTGACCTCCTTTAATGCCAGGCGCTGCAGGAGTACTAGTGCCGCCAAGGCTTGACATCCCTTGCGATGGATGTCCATTTTGTTCCACCACCAGTCCTGCTCCAGGCTGTTCCCTAGATGAAGTACTATTCAGTTGCGCCGCAAGGAGCAGGGACTCGCGGTTCGAAGCCTGCGACTCCATGGACGTTTTGGCAAGCTGCACAGCCTTATGGATTGTAAAAATGTCTGGGTCTGGAAGATTGTCAGATTTGTCATGCAGCTTTTCCATGACCCACGAGGTCTGGAATGCAGGACCTAGCATGACAGATTCTGCGCGATCTCTCTCATTCCTATCCTGAATGAGAAACTGAATCCCGACTTGGTCAAAACTGGGCGACTTTTGGTAATCATGCAGCACAGATTTTTGCATGCTTCAGATTTAGCATGACAAGTAGCATTCTTCCAGACCCAGACACTTTTACATTTGATAAGCCTTCTGGTACTGCGATTTTTTCGTGTCGGGCGAGGAGGTTGTACCAGTATTCGCTTTATCCATTGCAAATATGTCTGGGTCTGGGAGGTTGCTGCAACTTGTCATGCTGTTTTTGGATTCTAGACAAATTTGCATTGCATGACCAGCAAGGTCTAGTTTGTGCTACACGGGCAGGGCATTTCTCATGCGGAAGTCGCATCAGCAAGCCCTCTAAAAGTCTGTCATGCTAGGTCATGCAGTACAGGCATCATGGGTCATGAGGAATATGCATGACAAATCTTGCACTCTTCCAGACCCAGACACATTTGCATTTGATACGCTTGCAGCTCTGTAGGTGCAATTGCGCTGGAAGATGTTGAAGACGAGTTTTTGCTGCCGGCTGTCCCCTTATTGGCCTTCGTCATCGTCTGGCTTGTTGTACTGCCGAAATTAAACCGACCCGACATGGAAGGAGATCTTGTAACGGTTGTCGAAATTTTTTGCTTATTAGTGTTACTATATGACGGCTTGTTGCTCTGGGACGCAGCTGCTGATGCAGCTGCATCCGCGTTTATTCCCGTAGTAGTTCCTCTCATTCTCCTGCTGCTATCCACCTTCTTTCTCATCGCGTCCATGAAGTGATCGGAGACGTTTTGATTCTCGGAAGTGCTGTAGTTGTTGTCATAATACATCGCGTTCTCGCTGTCCTCAGGATGCGTGTACTTCCGCAGCTGCGATTGCGCGAAGCTGTTGTCGTGACTGCTGGCAGAGCGGGCCAAGCGTCCGGAGTTGCGCGTGCTGTTTCGGGTTGCCGTGGTTCCGCCGCGTCCACGAAGAGTTGTAGTACCTGAATCGCTTTGTGATGATCTACTTGGACAGTCATCTCTACCACAAAATGAATACCGGGGTGAATACCGGCGTCGCAACGCTGCAGGCTGCAAAATCTATACCCTGCCAAAACGTCGATATGATCGCAAAATCCGTGTGCTCTACTGTAGGACACTGCGCGACGCTTTCCTCCATATGGTGCATCATCTACTTCATCAAAGCGAGTCGTTATTGACTACAGCAAGACAAGAACGCAAAAAGTAGACACAAGTACCTGGCTGTTCGTTCTGCTTCTTCCTCCCGCCCGGAGGCAGCAACTTCGTGTTCAAAAATTCCAGTTCGTTCTTTGCCGCCTGGTTGGACGGTTCGTGGGCCAGCACCGACTGCAAATCTGCTACCGCTTCCGCCATCAGTCTTTTCCGCTCGCTCTCCTCGTCATAGTACTGTTCGTCCCGCCGTTCCATGTACGTAATCGCCCGCGCCCGGACCAGTCGGGCCTCGGACAGGTAGGCTTTCTGCACCTCCGACGTGGACTGGCTCTATCAGATTGCACAACCCCACGGCTTCCCCCTCGCTTGCGCCGCGTTGGCTCTGGCATCCGCAGCAACAGAGGAACCAACATTTTTACATTGCAACAGCAGCATATTCCATTGCAACTTTCGCAGGCAAAATCGAACGGCACGCGGATAATTTCAGTTCTGTTTTGGGTCGTGGTCCCGAAAGAACTTTAATCATCATGCAAGAAACATCAGTGCCGAAAAAAACTACTTAAACCTGCAAGTGGATTCGGTACTCTCCATGGCAAGCGCCAGGGAAAAGGAATTGTGCACTCTGATAGATTTCGCGTGCAATTCAAGACCGCTTGCCCGGCCGTTTTCCAGGCGGAATACGACTGTCCGTTTTGCAGTTGCGCGTTCGCCAACGCGATTAAAATCGTGGTTTTCTTCTCTTTCATCTGTTGGATGGTGGACTTGGACGTGAGAGCAGTACTCGCATCCTCGTTCTCAGCACAACCACGATCCTGGTCCTTATCCTGCGAAGTTGTAGATGCAGGAGCCGGAACTACTTCTACATCATCAGCCCCCTCGGCGGTCTTCACCCGTTGATGCAGTTTCTGCAGCTTTTCACAGTGCTCCAGTGCGTGGCGAAACGCAGTAATCGCTGTCTCTAGCTCGCCAGTTATCAGCGCTTCATTCCCCGTCTCCTCTGCTTTTTGCAAGGTCCTCTCGGTGAGATCTTCAGCGGATTCAGCGACCGGGACGTCCGCAGGCAGCTCCATCTTCTACTAGTTCAGAGATTTATTTTGCACGGTGTACTGTTGTAGAAAGTAGTATTGAGAAGCTGAGTTCATTGTTTACTGTAGGGTATTCATTCTGTGTGTCATACTCATACAACATGATCAAAGACGGAGAGCAGCAGCTGCAAGGGAAACGCACAACTTTTCGGTCTATGCGAACGAAGACGTCACAACCACTCGTACTCGACGAAGCGAAACCGAAAGCGATTATATGCATTATCGCCTACTGCGACAAGTAAGTTACTAGTACGAAGGTGGCACGACGAGAAGGGTCGTTGTCAACAATCCCTCGATATTCTACCATCACTCTACTTCACGAAAACGAGCGACAACTCCGAGCATGACGACAGCGAAACGATGCGAAACTTCGATACTGAATTCCGTACAGCTTTTAAGTAAGTAAGTACTACTGTGCATGCCCGTAATTGTCCAAGCTGTGTTGAAATCAAACGACTTTTAGGTACGTAGAATAGCTTTGTGAGGACCACGAACACCGCGATTGAAAAACACAACCTCCGCCAGCCGCTTTAAGGACATCGAAACTTTCAGGTGATGGAGTCCAGCTTATTTCTGAGTCGACATGTAATCAAGTCGCGTAAAATTCACGTTTGATTGATCCTCAAAGACTTCATCAGTTCCGCCTTCTCATGCGCGCCTGCGAACTTGGCACTTAGGATGTGACAGTTGGTAAGCAGCAGCTCCAGGTTCCAGACCTGCCAATTATCGGTCGGCAGCTTTTGCAAAAACATGATGACCTGCTGAAACTCCGCGCAGTCGTGTATGAGCTCTTTCTCCCACAATAATGACACAGAAAACTGCAGATAAAGCACTGGCCCGAGTTTTTTTATCAAAAGCGTTTTTGATGTCTGCGAAGCGATTCGCCAAATTCATGACATAACACTGCTTTCCCTTCTCTACTCAAGGCTATCGAGTAAGTGCAGTGCATAAGAAACTGACGGGACGCTTATTTTCATGCTTTTTCCGTGTCCGTAAATGATTCAGAAAACTCATGACGAAGAACGTCAGAAACTGATCGAAATCTGACGGCCGGTCGTGCAGTTCCGCGATGTAGCTGTGGTTTCATGTTAAAATAACTGTTTCACTTCCACGGCAGCGAAAGTAAAAGTGACGCCAACATCTTTTTTCCTGGATGTTCCTCAAACCAAATCAAAAAACAAGTACGTGTCCCAGAGCCTGATTACGCACTCGATCGGTATCTCCCGTGCGAGCAGACAGTTGAACCAGCGGAACGACACCTGGAGCATCTCAAATGCAAATACATCTGGGTCTGGAAACGAGAGCTCACGCTAGTACATGAATGACAACATGACAACGGTACGCAGTCACGGACGAGAAATTTCTGAGCGACTCTGTACCTGTAGTGCGCCGTAACGCTAACGTGCATGAGAACGAAGGTGCGCGTTTGCATGACAAAGCACCAGCGCGATTTTTCCGCACGATCACGCAATACAGCCACCTTCAGGGGTACTTAATATGCCAGTTCAGCACCAAAAGTTTAGCGCCCTTCCAGACCCGGATATTTTTGTCATCCATACAGCATCTCAACCTGCAACTCCTCCAAGTGTGACGCCAGCTGCATGTTGGTCCGCTTCAGAAGCGTCTTCAGTGCGGCCATCATGCGCTGTATTCCCGGCTGGTTCGGCGTGTAGTGGTCTTGCATGGAGTCCAGCATTTTCGTGGAGTATGAAAGACAGAAAGAACTTCATTCGCTGTTGTTTTCTCCAACTACGGAGTGGTTGTAGTTTCATTCCTGATCTTCGGTGATAGTAGACACCAGATGAGATGAATCAAAGTTGTTCCAAAAGCTGCTAGTTCATGGATGCTTGTTGCCACGACAGCAGAGCAATCGTTTAAGCTCTATTTTCGCTGACTGACTCCTCTCTCTGGTACTTTTACTTTACGACAAATTTCTTCCTTTGCCTAGTAGACACAAAAAGCTGTCGGCCTCTACATCCGCGAGCTCTTCGTCCGTAAAGGAATCGATGCGCAGCTGCTCGTAATCGACCGACTTCGTCTGTCTCCTGCTTCTGGACAGTCCCGCCTGGAGGTCTCCCTCCGAGGGACCCTGGAGGTGAGCAGCGCTGTTACTCGCGGCCCTGCTCCCGCTGCTGCTTAGCGCGGCCTCTTATGAGCGTGCACAACTCCCCCTCCCCCTCAACATTTGGGATGCAAAATACCACGTCTGCCTCTTCTATGCACTTGCTTCTGCATGGCAATAAATTTTCTTGAAACAGTACCACGCACAAAAATCCGTGTGCTGAATATTCGTCATGCGGAAGCCACGCTTCTCCCGGCGCAGCTTTTCTTTCTGCTCATGTACAACTTTAAGTGAAGAGGACCACGACGAGTTGTGCACTGTGATACCTCTTCCTTCTCGGCCAGAAAAACGACCAGAAAGGGCGTGAGCAGGTCGTTGATGCCCTGCACGTAGCCGCAGCCCGGGTGCCGCAAGGCCCAAACGAAGAGGATCCGCTCCATCATGGCGTGGATCTTTTCCTCCTGGAACAAAGGCTGGAGCGCGCCTGCTGACGTCCGCGGTAGGTCGACCCGAATCTGTCGGATCAGCTGCTGCTCATCGCCTGCCGTAGTCGACATATTCGGCCGCCAGTGCTGTCTGGTATGGAAGAGAGACAAGAAAAGTTGTGCAGCAGAGGTAGTTCAGCCAAATCATATTTCACAGCACGTACACCAGGACCCCGCTCGAAAGCGTGGCTTTCTGCGGACATTGCTGCAAAAAGACTAGTGTCGTCTCAATTGTTCGCATTGTTTCACAACATCCAGTTGTACTTACTTACCCCAGTAGCACGACTTGAGATTTATTTTTTCCGCTTCATACCGACACAGCTCGTGGTATTCGCGACGCTTCCGCGCAAGTGTAGAGAGGTGCCTATAATTGCGATTTTTGTGTAAGTCATGACATATGTTGAAAACAATATCGTATCACTTTTCTTCTGTATCTGTTTTTACCTTTCTTCTTCGTCAGAGCCTTTTAGAAATGATTCTCGTTCGACGTGCTTACCTGTCTTTCGCGTTGGGGGCTATCCCGAGCAGGAGCCGCCAGGTTATTGCCCGCAGGTGTGGATACTCTCCCGGTGCCCCCGACCAGAGCAGCTTGGACAGCTCTCGGAGGTCAACGATGCGTGAGAGGATGAAATATCAAAATGAAACATCCCCCGTCCCCATATCAAAACGGAAATCTGTGACGCGGGATTTGTGTACACAAGTCGGATCTGTCTTGCAGTAGAGCACTGCACGCAGATGCTAAGCCTGGGCAGGGGTCTTCATCTGGTGTAGGAAGTTAGCATGGCAGACATCTGCCCCGGAGGCCCTACGGCATTACAAATCGCCTCTATAACGCGGCGGACTCTCTGGCTTTGCATTCTTGCAAGACAGACAGGATTTGTGGCCACAAATCTGCATCACAAATTCTCAGAAGGCTGCGTTCTGAATATGGGGAGGGGAGATTTTTCCTTGCCATATCAGATTCATGTTCATCATGTCGTTTCCCGTGATATTGAACATCTCCTCCTCCACCGAGCCCTTGCGAATCAAGTCTGCGTAGCGCTCCTTGTGCTCTTCGAAAAGCCCCAGCGGTTGCAGGAGTTTTATGTACTTCGCCAGCTTTGCCGGCGTGGTGGTGTTTTTGGGTTTCGCGGAAGAAGACGAGGAGCTGCTGGTGGGCTGGTGGGAAATATCCGCACCATAATCCCCACCACCTCCAGAGGACCCTACCGAGCCGCCGCTGCTGAGCACCTGGCCCAGTGCAGAGCGGAGATACTGCATGCTTCGGTCGGTGTTCCTTCAACGTGTAATAAGGTTGTTCTCGTACTGGAAGTAGGAGAAAGACTAATCAAGGTGTGAAGTCATTCTCTTCTTGCACAACTCCTGTTTCGGCTGTGGTCGCCAAAGCAAATGATGTGCTTCGTCTCCAAGGCGGGAAGGATGTACGTTGAAAAAGAATTTTTACATATTTATCGGTAGGCGTTGAACAAGTAGATCGGATGTCGAACGGGTGCTAGAAGAAAGCCAAGGATGATCGCTTCGCGCAGTTATAACTGTGTACTACCCGCTCCACAACCACGACAAAGAAACAACCATGCCGGAAAAGCAAAGCGCCAGGACCAAAATGTCCTTCATCTTGATGACCTTCGTCAAATTATATAGGCGAAAGCAAATAAACGTCACAACGACCTTGGCTCTACACGACTTTTTCCTGCCTCTAACAGATGATACAGAAATGCCGAAAGAACTACCCATTGGAAAATTTACTAAAGGCCGCTGGAACAAGATGAACATAAACACCGAGGCCATGGAACTGTTGACCAAGGAAAAAGGCCACGGCGGCCTGCGCGCCGTGGCGCGAAGTGTACCTGCACCTTCTTCCCCAGGAGGGCAGGGAGAGCAGAAGCAGGTACGTATCGAGCACATTGTTGTTTTTTTCTTTCGCTAATTTGTGCAGATAAAAGGTTCGTAGTAGTTCAAGCAAGAGAATTAATGTTGAGTAGTATTGGGACGAAGAGAGCTCGAAAGAAGTAAGTACAGCTGGAGAAATCATTATGAAGTGGTACGTAGTAAAAAAGAAGAAATGCAACGTAAAGCAAAATTTCGATTTTTCAAAGTATGCAGTAAAAAAGATTATCGAAAAGAAGTTTCATCTTTTTTGGTGGCAAATTCCATACCAGTCGAAAACAAGCACAGGCGAGGACTTCTTCTTCTGCTGCTACAAAAGCCGAAGGCTCTTGGAGCAATAAAGCCACTAGTACTTGCTCACACGACAACTGGACAAAATTACGACATTAAAGCGCATGACCTAGCCTACTTTCGGCGGGTTTCCGCTCCTTCACCATCAGTAAAAAAGGCTTTCCTAAAAGATGAAAGGTATTCTTTTTCGACACAGTTTTTCTTTTTGGCGTATTTCGTCTAGAATAATGCAGTCACTGTAGTTGGTCTTGTAGCTGCTTTGCGAGCTGATATTTCTTCTGCTCGCAAAAAAAAAACTACCAGCGCCTGCATTTTTCTGTCGCATACGCTATCAAAGAGTTGAATTCCAGTGATGTAGCATTTGTCGTCTGCGTCAAGAGCCACGGTTTTTTACTGCCATAAATGTTGAAATCCGGAAAAGGGCAAGTATGTTGCCCTGTCTCCTCCGAATTTTACGAAGTAACGACAGCGTCAAAAACCGCGGCATAGACGTTCTATAACAACATGATCTTGATCTTCACATCACTGTCATATTGGTCATGTTTCCGTTTCGGTATAAAGGAATAGAGACGAGATAGATGAAGAAGGGGACAGCTGAGAGGTGCATGTAGAACAGAAAGGAAAAAGAAAAAGTGTTGGGGTACTAGTAAAATAGGATACAAATCATAATCGAAATGTTAAGTAAGGCAGAACGAAAAGTAGAGAAAAAGGGCTCAACCAGGCCGTCAATAATGGTAGGAGAAATAATGCGAGAAAAAACGCAAATCGGTAATTATTGAGCACAACATAGGAAGTTCTTAGAGGTACTATGCAAAAAAAAAGAGTTTTGAACACAACTGGCATTGGTAAAATAAATTAGTCCAAAGAAATGAAAAAATTTTTTTACAATCGACCTAAATTCAAAACTAACAACACTCGACAAAAAGCGCCTTCAGTGGCTTCACGGCTCGAAAAGAGACTCAAAGCTGCTCTCGTTCACGGACGCCCACTGTAAGAATAAATATCACTTTGCCGACTACATACTATACGGGAGAGAAAGAGTTTAAAATCAGAATCACAACGCTTTTTCATCATTTTCATTTAGTATCAATTTGCTTAAGAATGAGCAGTGCCCGCCCCTTGGGTTTCTAATGTCTCACGACTGGTGCAAGTAAAACCCGCGATAATTTTCCTGCTGAAATCACACCAGCGTTTCTTCCATGCCCGAAGTGCGGTCGTGCTTCTTCTTGTCGCGGGAGTTCCCCCTTCCGTTGTTCCCGTTTCTGAAGAAGTTTTTGAAAACGCCGCTGGGTTTTCGCGTTTGCTTCGAGTCCTTCTGGTTTTTTCGGTTGTACAGCGCGAGCGCGTCATTCACGGTGAACATTTCCATGGCCATGTTCGCGATGCAGACCAAGCTGATGAAGAGCACCAGGGGCAGGACGTAGTAGAGAAACGCGTCATATGGATTGTAAAAATGTCTGGGTCTGGAGGGTTGGAACTTGTAATGCTGGCTTTCCATACCTAGAAAATCTGTATTGCAAAACCAACAAAAGTCGCAGCCTCTTTTGTCATGCAAAAACGCAGTTTCTCATGCGGATTGCCTATGAGAAAGCGTTTTTGGAAGTTGTCATGCCGGACTGCATTCGGAAGTGTTTTCATCATGCACATTTTAGCATCACAAGTTTCCAGACCCAGACATTTTTACATTTGATACGTCACTGTGCGACGCGGTCACGGCCAGCTGGTCCGGGTCCCCGGTGCTGAAAAACGCGTCGGCGTTGGCGAAATTCTCGGGCTTCAGAAACAGGTGGTCGTGCTTCTTCAAGTCCACGGGTTTGTGCAGCTGGTCCTTGTCGTTCCCCGTCATGAAAATGTTCCCCGGCCGCGGCGCCGCCGACTTGTAGGGACGGTCGGTGCTGCGCTTGTGTTCATCCGGATGTTGCTCCCGCGGGGGCGGTGTCGTGGTCGGGTCTTCCGGCACGAGCGGTGCGCCGTGATTGGGCGTCGCCACTGGCGCTGCGCCGGCCGGAGGCTGCTCAACATTGTTCGCCGCGGGCGGCTGCCGGTCGTTGTTCGCAAAAGTAGATGAACCAGCCGTGGGCTGCTGTTGCTGCTCCTGCGGTTGTGCGGGTTGTTCCGTCCCGGGAGCCGCGGCCGCGGGAGCAAAGCCCGGCTGCTGCGGCTGCTGCTCTTGGAGCCCGCCAGCCACATTGTTGTTCCCGACCGGAGCATATCAAATGTAAAAATGTCTGGGTCTGGAAGGATGCAAGGTTTGTCATGCACATTTTGCGTGACTCCTGACGTCTGCGATGCATGCCCTAGCATCACAGATATTGTGAGGGCATTCTGATGCCTATACCGCATGAGAAATGCCCTCTCGCCGTGGCCAAAGCCAGGCCTCTTTTGCTGTTCATGCAATACAGATTTTTGGATAATGCAGACGCAGCATCACAAGTTCCAATCTTCCAGACCCAGACATTTTTACATGTGATAGAGCAGGAGCTGCAAGCGGCGGCTGCTGTTCGAAGTTCGGAGGCGGCGGCTGAAAATTCGTGCTCGAGTATCCTGAGTAAAAACGTACCCACACCAGAGTTGTAATGCAGATTTTTTTTTTTTTTCATTGGGCCCCACGCTGAAAAAACGCATATAAATTCATCACTATTCTTCTAGGAGGCCAGTGGGCGTTACTTAACATGTGACGCAGTTCTACGAATTCACCTGCCTGCCGCAGCAGGTCAATCAGGGCCGACACCTTTCACACAGTTAAGCAGTGCGCGTGTACACCATCTTTTTTTTTTGATTTGTACCATTTCCGCTCTTGTCGTCTGGTCCGTCACCAAGGTCTCGCTCCATTTCCGTCAATTCCCCCCCATCTGTACAACTCTGCTGGCAAGGCAGAAAAAAAAAACGCAGCCCCTGTTGGAATAATTCAGCACAAAAAGCCCACACAGAAAATTCCTGCACCTACCTAGGGGCGACTAGGCAGATGAGGTGTGCCGTAGCAAGGCGCGTTTATGTGTTTGAGTCAAAGACATTCAATACTAAGCGGGAAACGCATCAGGGATAATGTGCGGGGTCCGCTAAAAAAATATCGCGAAGGCGGTAATGGAATAGCACTACTCTAATCTTTGACGACAATCTAAGAAGTGGGGGACAGCCGAGCAGTTGTAATGCAGATTTGCAAAGACAGGAAGACTTGTAATGCGCATCAACATGAGAGCCATTTCCAATCGTGTTTTGGAATTTGTGATGCTGTGAACAGGATGAGCAGATGAATCTGTGACGCGGCTGCACTTGCTAACCTGCACTACACTGCAGAGTGCAACTTGTCATGCGTGACTCACAAAACTCCTAGGTTTGTGTTGCAAAATCCCCATTCTGACTCTGGTGTGGGTACGTTTTTACTCAGGATATCGAGGGCAGCAGCTGCTGTGGCGGGTAGGTGTTGCCAGCATTCTGCGCAGCTGCGTTCGCGTACTCCGGCGGCAGGTAATTCGGCGGGAGCTGCTGCGGCGGGTAGTTGTTGCCCGCATTCTGCTGGGCCGCTGCAGCGGCAAACTCCGGCGGGGGCATCTGCGGCGGGTAGTTATTGTTGTTGTTCTGCTGCTGAAAGTTGTTCTGCTGCTGGTACTGCTGCTGAAGGAGCTGCTGCTGGAGAAGCTGCTGCTGCAGCGCGTAGTCCTGGTAATTCAGCTGCGGATTGTACTGCGGATTGTACTGCGGGTTGTAGGGCAGCGGTTGCCCCCCGGGTTGGTTATACTGCTGCCCCCAATTGTTCGCCGGGAACTGCTCGCCCGGCATCGGCGTACCCGGGCCCGGAGGGGGCTGCTGCAGCGGCGCGCCGTCTTGCATGGCGGGCGGGGGGTTGTAAAAGGAGCCCGGCCCCGCGGGAGGCAGCGGCGCATCAGCAGCATTCGCAGCGGGCTGCTGTAGTTCCGGCGGCGGCTGCTGCCCGTAAGCCGCACCAGCACCGGGGTTGTTCGCAGCCGCCGCTCCTCCAGCGGCCCCCGCGTCCGCAGGTCCTGGCACCGACCCGCTCATGGGCGCGGTTGCGGCGCCGCCCGCCTGGTCCGGCGCCGCCGCAGGTGTCGCCTTGTTGTCGCGCTGCAGAAAGGCGGAATCGTCCTGCTGCCCGTGGTGCTTGTGCTTGTGGTGGTGGTGCTTGTGCTTGCCGTGGTGTTTGAAGTGGTTCGGAACGTGCGCTCCGTCGTGACTGCGGCGGTGGTGGTGGTGTTCCGTCTTCTGAGGTACACCACCCCCCTCGGCGGTCTTGATGCCTTGCTCTTGCTGCAACAGAGATTGCGACATTCCTTAGACGACAAGCTCCTCGTACAGCTTCTACGGTGTAGCAAACGTTGGATTGATGATGAAAGAGAAAGTGGTAGAGTTGTATGCTGTGACGTAAAAATAACACTCCTTCTGGGTTCTTATGTTTGTGTAGTTTTTGAGTTTATAATTTTGATCGAGTTTTCTTCGTTGTGTCGTGTTCAAAGTCTTCTTCAATTTTCGCTAGTTTTTGTTTATGTCTTCGCCCCTACAAACACTTAGTAAAGCGATTGAGGAAGGAAATAACGTGCGTTTTTGTGGTAAAAAGAACAAGAAAGTCCGTTTCAAGCAGAGGGGAACAAACAGAAATTGATCATGTGTGCTCCTGTTTCAATATTAGGGGTCAACGGAGGAAAATCAAACGGGCGCAACAAAAAAAGAAATTACAGTCAAATACTACTCTCTTGCGAGAACTAGGGACGGAAGCATTATTCGACCGTGGTGCGCCGAGAAGTCTACGACAGTCTTCCCAAATGCGCCGCGGAGTCATGTACGATCAGATGGACGACTAAACCTAATGAATATAGTTTTGGTACATCATTTTCGTGAGGAAATCTTCTTGGTTGGACGAAACAGAATCCGAGCGAATTTTGCACGAGGAGCACCGAGATTGATGAAGCAACATCAAGCCTCTTCAACCGCCAGAATCACCGAAAGCATGAGAGTATACTCTTACCTTTCCGACGAATGAAAACCGAATGACGAGGTTTTTTGGACATCTTCCTTTTCTTTCGGGGAAAGAACGACCTTTACCGATAAGGAATGTCCTCGTCCACCGACAAGGTATATAAAGAACAACAGCAGTTGTATGTAAAATTCCTAAAAGAAGACCGAGAGTTCTTTAGTGCGGCGACACCACCAGGACCGACGTTGTGGGAGGTTATCAGAGTCCCAGAAAGAAAGCCACCTCGGGCACGGTTGCACGTTTTGGAGACTTGAACGAGAGGCCCGCCATCGGTCATCATTTTCATAGATATGTGTTCAAAAATTGTAAAGACACGCACAGCAGGGCGAAACCGAAAACGAATCACTGGCAGGACGTAATTGTGTAGTACTCCTTGATCTGTTCTTGCTCGCTCTCATCAATTGCGAGACAAGAAAGATCGAAGTACTGCCATCGCGATGGTGGAGGGACATAAATGCGCGCGAGCTTGCGGGAGAGGTTCGCTGCTTGCAACTGTCGGCCCACCTGAGTGACACGGTACGTACAACATCGGCCAAGCAGCCTCGATTGTTACTTTGTTTTCCTTACGCAGCAGCGTTCGATCCTTCAGAAGAAAAATGCTTATTGTCCGACTCCTTCCTTCTGTCAGTCTCGGTTCGTGTGACACTACCGCTACTTCGGTTTCTATGTGAGGCAGCAGTTGCTGCACCTTTTGTAAAGAAAATCAGATAATTGTGCGTGCACTTTTGGAAAACGCTGCTTCTGGTGCGTGTGCCCCTCTGACAAAAATTCAAATCTCCATTAAATCGCACTTTATGATTCTTGCTTTTGGAGGCTGTAGTCCGGAATGAAAGAAATCCCTCCCTAAATTTTATCTGTGTAATGTACCCCCCTCTTCGCTTGGCGAGAACGAAGCCCTGTCATGTGTTTGCTCTTCTTGTTGGTCTAGTTACTACAACACTGACAAATCATACACCCAAGAATGTAACCACCAACACCAAGCGCATGAACCGCTCCTTGCAGAAGTTTCCCATCTGGGTCGGCAGTTGCCACATTCCCCGCAACCTGCAAGCCGCCAGACACTAGATCCCTGGATTCCTCGTCAAAGCGAAACAGTGTCACCGTTCGCATCAGTATCGAAGAGTGCCCCTACCCCAGAACTTGGAAGCATTTGCATTGCGAAGCCCCCCCCCCCCACATGGAAACGCTCCGCATCTTGCATGTAGCAGCATGACAGATCTTCAACGCTGAATAGCAAAAATGTGTGTTGCGAAAGAGCCCGACAATAGCCGGGCGATTAATATGAGTCAAGTCCTTTCATGCAAGACACAAGGGTTCCATTTGGACACTTTGCATCAGAAAAGTTTCCAACTTCCGGGAGTGGGGCACTTTTCCTTGTAATACATAACTCAAGTAACTGCATAGCACCCCACGACAAGCAGCACCAAGGCTGCCTTCTTCTTTTTTTGTCACTGAGCTTGTACTTAACTCTCGCATATAAACTACTGCGTTTTCAATTCAACAGTGACTTAGCAACATCCCTGCATGTTTGTAGTCCTTTCTGCTTTTCCGCATCAGCAAGTTCGTGATAGTGGAAATAAGACGACAATTCAAATATAGATGAGTGACAAGCTCCGCTGAGATAGAGTCCGGAAGAAGCCGAGGGCGTCGGCGCAGGAGCGATGCGCGGAGCAGCACTGCGCGAAGCGGCTCCAGCAAGCGGCAGCGTCTCGTATCCCAGGCAAATAGAGGACCACCCAACCCGAGCACAGCTGGCCTTGTTAACAGACGCAATCACTCATAGTCATCTTTTATTGCTTTCATACATTTATTACCTGAACAAAGATACAAAGGCTCCAACATTAGTGGTGCGGACGCAATACAGTTAGTACTCGTCCTAATCACCAAAAGTTCCGCGGCAGCACGTCGAAGAATACATAGCGAAGGGCCTGCGGAAGTGCTCAACTCCTGGTCCTGCAGAGCCAGGAACATGGAACCATATCTACTTGTACAGTTCGATGGTATTCTTTTCCTTTGGATAGCCCCTTGTTATCGCTGTCCAACAGCTTCTTTTGATGAGAGGCATGTGGATTTCGCACGGAAGGTCCCTCGGACATGTCTTCAGCGTCTTCACCTTACATACGTACGAAATAGTAGTAGATCGTGCTATTTCTTTTACATGTTGACTCTATCAGAAACTGTTTCGTCAGATACATAACGACTTTGCACAAACACAAACGCAGCGGCAGCAACATCGCCACATTTTACATGATTAAACTATAGCAAACCACTTTTATCCTTCGCCACCTAGTACACGAATGCCAAACAAAAAGCAACAGCTTAGCTTCGTCTGCGATGCGGGAAAAAAAATGGATCCACTTACCAGGCTCGTCCAAAGCACGACTGTCTTCACCACGGCCCTCGTTGTCGCTGTCAAGCACCTTCTTTTGATGAGTGGCATGGCGCAGCGCATTTTGCGTGGAAGGTCCCGCGGGAATGTCCTCAGCGTGGTCACCTTACATAGTACGTACGAAAAACTAGTAGATCGTGCTATTTCTTCTATCTGAAACTGTTTCATCAAGTAGATAACCACTTTGCACAAACACAAACGCAGCAACATCGTCACATTTTACATGAGTAAATAAGAACCACTCCCCGCGACTGCGTCGCGGGGCAAGCATTGTATTTGTTCTTCCCGTGGGTTATGAAAGAAAAAAGAACTTGTTCACTGCCACACCGGAAAAGGAGTGAGATCTCACAACTTTTTTAAAAATTTCACTTTCGGGCGGCCCAAAGGTGAGACTTCTCAGAAAATCTCAGGGAGCTCTCACTTTGTTCAAAATCTCGCTTGGCGGCCCAAAAGTGCGATGTCTCAGAAAGTGAGATCTCAGCGAGATCTTACTTTTTTCAAAGTCTCACTTTTTGGCCGTCTCGGAGAAGTGATTCGGACCGTGAGACTTCTTAGGAAGTAAGATCTCGCTGAGATCTCACTTTTTCTAAAGCGAGACTCGCTGAAATCTCACTGAGATCTCATCGAGAGCATCTTACTTCTTTCGCTTTTTTTTTCCAACTTGTTGCCTTTCCATCGCCAGACTGATGCGGCGTAGCGGTTCCTCGTCGAGTAGCTGCGTCGGTCGGACGCGGCCGAAGGCCCGAAAGCGAAAATCTTCCCCCAATAAGAGCATTGAAAATTTTCCGCCGAGCTATTCTATCGGGAGGTTCCGAGCCATGAAAAAAAAGCTGGCTTAAGTGTTTTGCATTTTTGTCGTCTGCGCTGGAAAAAAAGCAACTGCGCATTCAAAATGCAAACAGCGACGAAGCTTCTGAAGAGCTTCTGAAGGTTTGTTTCATTTTTTGAACAATGGCTGTCACAAAAGAGGCCTTTTTTAGTCGAGTAAACAGTTTCGCGCACATCAAAAAAGCCAATTTGTGCAATATCTTCTGGAGAGTCTTCAGAAGGTCCACCTTCAGAAGAATGAGAAGTCAAATTCTTCTGAAGGTGTGCGAGTTTAGATTTTTGCATTTTTTTAAAAACGAGACAATTTGTGAAAAACCTTCAGAAGATTTTTCGTCTTCTGAAGGTTTTTGTAGGTGTTTCGACTTTTGTTCATTTTTTGCGTGTAAAAACTCGCAACCTTCTGAAGGTTTGCAATTTCATGAAACGAAGCAAACCTTCAGAAGAATGCCTACCTTCTGAGGCTTTTCTAAAGTCATTTTTTGGCCTTCTGAAGGTTTTTTTGTCGAAAAATCGAGAAAATTCTTCAGAAGGTGAAAAAAAACCTTCAGAAGGTTGGACCTTCTGAAGGATGTAAAAAATGAGCCAGAATTTGATTTACGAGAGCTAATTCCGCGTTTTTTAACATGAAAAGTAGACGACTATTTTTTTTGACCTTCTGAAGCTCAAAAATCAAGTTTTGAGCGTCAGAAGGTCTTCAGAAGGTCAAACCTTCAGAAGCTTTGGGAGGAACAAATACATATCTTGCCCCTATAGTATATAGATTAAGTTAAACTTAGTAAACCACTTTTATCCATCGCCATCTATACGAATGCAACCAAGCGGAAGGCTACTTAGCTTCGTCTGCATTGCGGGAGGCCGGGAAAAAAAATGGATCCACTTACCAGGCTCGTCCAAAACGGTCGGTGCACGACTGTCTTCACCCCGGCTCGACAAAGATTTCGGCTCGACGCGGTCCTCCATCACATGGAAAAAACCTAGCACGACATTACTTCTTTTGATTGGCATTCAAAAAACCGAACACAGAAGTCGAAGTATCTGTCTAGCGTCGGTTAAGACCTGGCGGGCGCTGAACAGCTTGCGGCTGGATGGTTGTAATGTTTCTGAACTTTAGTTTTCATTTTTACCTACACAAATGCGCGAAATGCGCATCATTTGCATGCTAGATTTTTCTGCCTGATATCGATAGCGCGCCTGCCCGTCTCACTCGTAGCAGTAGGCCGGAACTTGTTGCACTCGTCAGGACGTATGGGAGTGTCAGGATCGAAATCGCCAAAGTCAAAAAAGTTTGTCATGCATAAGATGCAACGCAAAAACTGCGTCTACTGCAGAGGACGCAAGGGAGGCAGATTGTAGTGCTGGCAAGGGTCGAGAATTGGGCTGCTGATTAGCATGACGGAGGGGAGCCCTTTGGCCCTAAGCAGCATGATAGACTTGCTTGAGAGGCAAAGAAAATTTGTCATGCGCCGACTAGAAACTGTGGGCCCACCTGGTATCGATTTTATGCAGTACAAATTTTCTGAACTTTGTCGATTTCGGCCCTGCTGACGCTTCCATATGGTGCTTATGGTCCACTGCGAGCAGTTTGTCTTCTTTTTGCTTTCGATTTTCTCGCAGCAGCTCGGCCATCCCAGATTTCCACCACTTGCGACCCAACCCGTCGAAGTGCCAAATCGCGACCTGTCTGGCACAACGATAGTCATTCTTCCTGCACGCCGGACGGAGCGAACAAGACCCGCGCGTCCCTCCCGTGGGTGCCGGATGGAATTCACAGCAGCTGTGCTCCTTCGGAATAGTGTGTTCGGCTACAGAATTCATGTTCAAATAGCGGAGGGTGCAGGTACGCGTCTTTGGTACGACCACGCAATCCCAGGCAGGCACACTACTGAGGTAGAGGGAGAGCGCCGCTTCGGCGCGTGCCTCTTCGAAGTCATCCACTTTACAAGAATCACGTATTTCGTATCACTTGCCCAGAGCACACATTGCCTTCAGGTCCTTTACATCAACATGCTTTCTTGTTCTAGGCTCTGTAAACACAAATAACCGAGCGCAGGTGTAGACAGAGATCTCCGAGAACCTCTCTTGCTTCCAAGAAAATGCAGAGCAAGCACAACTGCTTTAGAAGCCAGCAAGTGGCTTTAGCATGCCATACGAAACACTTCTGCTCGCCACCTGGCGTGCCCGTCTGTGTTCAAAGGCAAATAATTCTGGGCTCTCTGCAACATACGCAAGGAAAAAACATCATCTGCGACGAGCACGCAAAATACAAACTTCACACTTTCTGCAGGTCATGCACAAATTATGATTGAGTACTTAGATGTTTTTGTTTCTTGTCAATCTGAATGCTGCCCTCCAATAGATCTTCAAGGCCTCTGTTGCATACACAGGCACAGCATGATGAACAATCCAGACCGCAGAGAATCCAGAGCCATACGTTTTGCATTGCATACCACATCGCTTTTCTGGCAACAAGGGCCGTCTGTGCCGTCCCTCTGCGTGCCGGACCGTCCCAACGCATTCCGCACCGCGTTCATCACCGAGCTTCCGCGCCTGTCCGCCGTCCCGCGGGAAGACGAAGAACCCCCACTCGGCGCTTGCTTGTGCAGCGAAAGACCGCAGGAATCGCCGGAGTTTCCTACTTTCCCGCAGACCCACTCGGAGGCCATACTTGGAACCGGTGATGTAGAAGGCTGCTGACGCCCTTGCTCAGCCCGCGCCCCCTCGTAGTTGTTCAGCCAGCACCGTTCCTGCAGGTAGCACAGGCCTTCACCTTCAGTTGCACCTGCTTCAACATGATCGGGACGATATTTACAGCAGCTCCTGGAGGCTTATGCAAAGCAAATGCGGGGGCGTGATCAGAGAAAAAGTTTGACTTGTCTGGCCCGGTCTGATCTCTATTGTCTTGGGTGGTATGGCCGTTTCAGTCAGTTGTCATGTTCCTCAAAAGAACATCACATCAACGTCATCTAATAAAGCGCTCTCTTGTTTGAAGCGTGATCGTTGTATGGTAGGGTAGAGGGGCTTGTGCTCTCAGGGTGCAGCACGTCCTGGCAAGTCATACCAGACGCATGGTCCTCGGCTCTATTTCAGCCGGGGGCCATGAATTCAAGCGAGTTCAACCCTAGTCGCTGGGCCGCAAAAAATTCGAATTGCCGATGCTGGGTATATCGTTCTTGATCATAGTACCCAAGACCGATAAAAGCATCCCGAATCGTCCCAAAAACCAGGACGGAGCGCCTCTCATGGGGCCGCGCAAGAAGGACATCCTGCGCATGCCGACGCGCATGAAAGCCCAGGGGTCGTTTTGTTCTGCATCACAGCCGAACTCAGAGACAGTTCAGATTGCAACAAAAGATACAGAATCTTGGACAACGTCGCTCAGGGGGGAAAGATGTTTCATTTCATTCGCTAAATACGAGAATGCAAGAGTTGTCGATGCTCGCCCTGATACAAAAAGTACCTGCAAGAAGATCGAAGATACTTGTGGTAAGTACTTATTTTCGTGATCTGCAGCTTCAAAATTACTCTTTATCAGCGAAAGCATTTTCTTTCACCCTGCAGGACCACGCTATCGAAATTCGCAGTTGATAGGGCTTCCTCAAATATTGGTTTTGTGTCAACCTTGTCCTCATGGTACTGCACCAAGCGACACTGCGGCTGTCCGGAGATTTGCTCCCCGGATTTTCCTACCTTCACTTCGCACCTCCACGGTGGCAGCAGGATTCTGTCACGTGCCACTTCCAGAGCTTTCACGAAGTTCCTTTCAGCGCAAACCGGCTTCAACTCGCAAACAGGCTTCTTCATCTGCTCTATGAGAGGAATACAACCTTACCCAAGAAAGAACAACTGCTTTCTTCTCAGCATAGATCCGCATCAAAAACATCTGCTTCGCCAAAGATGTCTCACCTGAATGCACCGAGTGAATTCACAGAGGATCACTTGATACTGCGGTAGGCGCAAAGTTAGACATAGTGCATCTCCGGGCTCGTTTCGATGGAAAAGAGAAAAGAAGCCGAGGCCTTCAACGCACAAGCGCCCGCCCCCGCTCAACGCATAACCGACCAGCGGAACAGCAGGCGGTATGGCTGCAGTCTCATCATGAAAAAAGTGCTCTTTTTAGCAGCTCCAGCTTCGGTTTACTGCTGAATTACTTCATGAAAAAACTGCGGCTTATTTCAACTGAAGCAAAAATATCTAGTTCTGTTTAACACTTACGAGTTGAAATTCTTCCAATCCCTCCAGAAATTTCAAGCCTCTTGGGTAAGGATAAGGTTGAGGATATGCCTGTCATATTCTTATCGTCGCGGTGGACACAGCACGTGTCGTCGCCGAACACCGTGTGCAAGTGCACTGGACGACGGGCATTATGGTAGCGCCAGCTTAGCAATCGTCAAACTCAAAATGGAATTGTGAACTGACAACCATGCATAAAAATCAATACGCCTCACATTTTTTCGTGGCAGCGCAAGACAAGCTTTTAGAGCACCTGGACCCGGATCCTCCAGTCCGCCGCACTATTTTGGACTAAGAAGCCTCCTCCTGTCGTGCTGCCCCTTCGCGGCCCTTGCAGAACACGCTTATAATCGACCTTGCTTGCCTGCTCAGCAAGACACGCACTTGATGGCGAGTCGCATTTTATGCATCGCACACTATCCCATTCTGACGACTTCCAACCTGACGCTGTCATAGGCTCCTGCATTCGCGCCGTAGAAGCGTAAGTCACAAGATTTCTGCTGGTGGGATGACACACCAGTACCCCTCCTGGTGGGATGACACGACCAGTGGTGCCCTTTACCCGTGCGTGCCCTCGTTTTCTGAATGAATTCCGTCACACGCAGTTCTATGCATTGCAAAAGCATCGCACTAGTAGATAGGTGCTTGCATGGCAATTGTTTTCAAAAGGAAGTAGATCAAATTTGTCTTTTCGCAACACGACCTAGAAAAGCAGGATTGCCACCATACAAGATTCAAACTTACGGCAGTAGAATACTTTGGCGAAGGATACACTTGTCCTCTGAAACAGAATGCACCCCTGTCCCGCCGGCGCTGTGTACGTTAGGGTCTCCACCCGTTGACGTGACTGGGCCACCGAGAGCACCATGACCAAGCATCCTTTGCAGCGTTTTGCCCAGTCTGCGCAGCCTGTCCCCTGAAAACCATCTGCGAGATCGCTCCGTCGCGCCCACTGCGAGAACCTGCGACTTGCTCTTCTTCTTCCGCAGCGACGTCTTTGCGCGGCCAGAAGTGGGCTCGATGGGGGCCGCCGCAGGCTCTGTCCTCTCGCTACTCGTCTTCTGCGTCGGAGTCTCGCCCACAGCTGATTCTTTCTCCGTCGGAGTCTCGCCCACAGCTGATTCTTTCTGCGTCGGAGTCTCGCCCACAGTAGTCTGATCCTTTCTGCGTCGGAGTCTCGCCCACAGCTGACGCAGTGGTGCTGGGCGCGTTTGTACGAATGCTGCATCCCTTCGTGCTCTTGCAGCGTCGTCTGCACCACTTCCAGTCGCGTCCGCGGCCGCCCCCTCCTCTCTGGACTCCGCGTCGAAAGGTATCTCGACAACCCTTTTCGTGGCCCCGTATTCTCTGGACAAGCGTCCCCACCCCCTGACTCAAAATGCGACTTGTGCTGGTGGTCAAACACGACCAATCGAATTTTACAAACCCCGAAGGCCGAGTTTATAATGGACACGCAGTGTGACTGTCGTTAGCTATCAGAGCCGCATCAGCGCTTCACTATCTCAAGTACCCTGATTAGAATGACGTCGGTGATTTGTACTTATGTCTGAAAGTCAGCACAATGAATTCCTCTGCCCTTACAGGAACACCACTAGACATCGATATTTCATCTCAAGGTCACGGTCAGCAGCAACTACAACCCGAGAGGGAACTTACTGGACAAGCAAGACGCGTGTGAACATTCTGGGGTGTTTATGTACTGGAAAAGCCCAAATTAAAGCACAGAGAAGTTACGGGGTGTGGGTACGTTTGAAAATTCTGGGGTGGGTACGTTTTTGAACAGGCTACACGACCCTGCTTCATCCCTGTCTTCCGCTGGTCCACCTCGTCGTAGTGGTCCTCGTCCCGTGCTGCTGTAGGCACATGATGCACGGTGGGTTTGATCGTATTGAAAAGCATTCCGTCCCCAGAAGTGAGAAATGTTTGTTCTGGTTTCCGAATGAATGTGTGAATGTGAATGTGAAAGTTGAATGTCCGATCCCGGGTGGTGAGTTCCCGGGCAATTTTAAGACTGGAACCTAATGTAGCGGGAGCGTACGATTCTGAAACCTGGTGCATTTAGGAGACAAGTCATCCGCCGCAGGAGTAGAAGGCACGTCCAAGACCCGGGGGGGCACTACCGGTGAACCAGGGTAAGGGATCCAGGGGCCGAGGAGGAGGAATGCACATGGAACCAATGCAAAAAGCAATGGATTTGGACAGACAAAATTCAGACAGACTTTTAATTTTTTTTTTTGGGTTCGTGATAAGTAGCTCGGCTGATCCCCACCAAGGCGGAACCAACACCATTTTGGCACGAAAGAAGACCGAGGGAGACGGGAGGGCAGACCCTTACGACTTGCGGCCATCGTGTGCGTGCGCATGACCTACGCGCGTCGCTGTCACTGTTCTCATGACTTAAATGCGTAGGCCCTTGGCTGTTATGCTCATGACCTGCGACCATACATAGCCGCGTCTCTTCCTATTTCGCTTTCCTTTTTCCATTAAACGAGCACTGTGCCGGTTCTCTGCAAAATGTTTCACGTTCGACACGCGATTGCCCCCCCTAAAGCGTGCGCGGACCTTCGCACTCGGAGAAACAACGGGGACACCTAGCCCTGGTGCGCGGCTATTGTGGGTTGCAGACCTTACGAACGACAACACGGGGGCCCACTAATATACCAAGGAGAAACAGACAGGGGTTGGAAAGAACTGCCGGGGGGCAGAACCGACCACGAAGGGAACAAATGCTAACCCCTGGAACCGGGATGCGGTTCCGACACAACTAGTATGCTTAGCTAGGCCGCAGACACATCTTCAAACGCATATCTAAGGGGGGAAACGGGATCCGTTATCGGGGGGCTTACTTGAATTGGCCCATCTCTTCCACCGTCATGCAAAAGAACCGGTGGTGGAGGAGCCGTGCTAGGTATTCGGCCAGGAGTTTTAGCTGGACGAAACCACAAGCTAGACAAAGCATTCCGTCCCCAGAAGTGAGAAATGTTTGTTCTGGTTTCCGAATGAAGATCTTGGAAAAAACCATTTCAACTTCAGCCAAAGGCCAGTTCTGTCTTGCATGACAAGTACTAGCATTCTTTTTCCTTCACATTTCGAGCGAGCTAAGCAGGATGCAGATGACATCGGAGAGCTACCGGCAGGACGTCCGGGCGGCCGCGACCTTCTACAGATCAATAAAAAGAAAAGCATGTAAAGTAACTTACGGATAGCAGAAGACAAATCTGGTTTTATTGGGAAGCTGGTGTTGCGACAAGAAACTTCGAAATTTTGTGTTGCTAGCATTTGCAAGTTGATAAGTATCTGCTCCCATCGGAAAGCTTTGTAATGCCCGAGACACTTCCCCGTTCCGTGGTAGGAGCAGTTTTCAGCATGATAAGGCTCTCGTCCGCGTATTCCGCATGGCTGTCGCCTTCTTCTTCCAAAACTTGTCGCTTCGAGGAGGAAGATGCCGCCTGGGTGTAGCCAACAACAACTAGCGTCGGTCTGTGCATATTGGGTCACTTAAGTTAAAATATTCAAGAACTTCTCAAAGAACCTCTATTGATAGAGGTTCTCGGCCATTTTCTAACTTCTCCGTAGATGTTCTAGGTTTTCTAGATTTCTAAGCTTTTTCTAGATTTTCTACAGTCTTTCTTTTTTCTTCTTTTCTTTATTTTTCTTACTGATTTCGTTGCTCTTTGATTTTTTTGTTTTTTTTCTAATCTTTTCACTGTTTCTTGACATTTTCTAGCTTGAGAAGCTCTATCTCGTACCTTCATCTGGACCCAGAACCTCTATCACAATAGAGGTTCTGGAGTCAGAACGTCTATTGCAATAGAGCTTCTGACCCCAGAACGTCTATTGGGATAGCGGTTCTGGGTTCCGTAGCCTCTAGATTTGTTTCTAGACTTTGGCGGCCAAGAATCTAGAAACTAGATTTCTAGAAATCTAGAAATCTAGAAGTCTGGAAATCTAGATTTCTAGGTTCTAGAAATCTAGAAATCTAGCTTCTAGATTCTGGCAGCCAGAACGCCAGCACTCCTGCTCCGAGCAGCTAACAGTCCAGCTTCCCTGGTTGCGAGAAGCCGGCAGCTCAGCCTCCCCGGCTCTACGAGAAGCTGGAAGTCCAGCTTCCCCGGCTCTACGAGAAGCTGGAAGTCCAGCTGCCCCGGCTCTACGAGAAGCTGGGCGCCCAGCTTCCCCGGCTCTACGAGACGCTGGAAGTCCAGCTTCCCCGGCTCTACAAGAAGCTGAAAGCCCAGCTTCCCCGGCTCTACGACAAGCTGAAAGTCCAGCTTCCCCGGCTCTACGAGAAGCTGAAAGTCCATCTTCCCCGGCTCTACGAGAAGCTGACAGTCCAGCTTCCCCGGGCGGCTCTACGAGAAGCTGGAAGGCCAGCTTCTCCGGCTACGAGAAGCTGGAAGTCCAGCTTCTCCGGCTACGAGAAGCCGGACGCTTAGGCCCCCCGAGGAGCTGGGCGCTCACCTACAGTGAAAAGATGCGAAAAAAGGACGGCGAGGCCCTTGCTCTTTGCAGGTAAGGCATAAGGGTCAGTCTGCCTGCGTGCGCGCCCCCGGGCCAGTCTGCCTGCGTGCGCGCAGTGCGCGATCTTTTTTTCCGACCGGCAAGCCAGCAACGGCCGGACGCGAAAAAAACGCCCCGCGCCCCCGGGGCAATGTGCCTGCGTGCGCGCAGCGCGCAAAATTTTTTTTCCCCTGCGGGCCTCCAAGGAAAGGCTGGACGCGGAAAAAACACTCCGGCCGGGCCCGCAGGCCAAGGAAGTTACGCACAAAAAGTTTTTCCAGGCCGGCCGCAGGCTGCTAGGCGCGAAAAAAACGCCCCGGGCCCGGAGGCCAAGGAGGTTGCGTGCGCGCAGCGCGCGAACAATTTACTTTATTCTTTCTTTCAGCCGGGCCGGCCCCGGAAGGGGGGCGGGTCCGCAAAAAGTCCCCAACCGCGCCCCCGGGCCAACATGTGCGCGCGCGCGCGCGAAAAATTTTCGCCAGCCCGCCCCCGAATGCCGGGCGGAGAGAAAGGCTCCGCACAAAGGCTTGCGCGCGCGGAGCGCGCGGAATTTTTTTTCCGGCAAACCCCCAATCGTGGACACGAAAGAAGCGGCCCCGCCCACCCTCTAACGCCACGGCCACTATGCGCACGCAGCGCGCGGTAAGTTTTTTTCCGGCCAACACCCGGTAGCCGCGCGCGATTCATCACCATCGTCATCACCTTGCTAGCAGGCGAACAGCTTTCCTCATATTGAAGAAAAACTTTCTGCGCCCATCTCAAGCTAAGGCGGCTGCGCGCGCGCGGCGCGCGAAAGTCGTTTCCGGGACTGCCCGGACGCCGGACGCAAGCAAAAGCGCGCCAGAACAAGGCGCCTGCGCGCCGCGAATATTTTCCCGGCAAGACCCCGAGGGGGCGGCGCGAAAAAAACCTCCGCGCCCGCCCGCAGACCAAGGCCGGCGCCTGCGGGCGGGCAGGGGGCGGTGGCGAAAATTTGCTCTATTTCTTCCGGCAGCCCCGGTTGCCGGGTGCAAGCAACACCTCGCCGCGCCCCCTGGCCAACATGTGTGCGCGCACAGCGCGCGATATTTTTTTTCCAGCAAGCCCCCGGCCGCCGGGCGTGAAAAAAAGTCTCAAGCCACTGACTCACCCACGCAAAGAAAGGCGCGCGCGCGCACGCAGCGCGCTAAAGTTTTTTTTCAGCCGGCCCCCGGTTGCGGAAAAAAATTTCTTACGGAAAAAAATTTCCTCGCCTACGGGCCGGAAGAAAACTAATGCGCCCGCGCGCGCGCAGCGCGCGAAAATATTTTCTCGACAAGCCCCCGACCTCCGGGTGAGAGGAAAACCTTCCAAGCACGCCCTCAGGCCAAGGAAGGCGCGCGAGCGCTGTGCGCGCGCGCGAAAATTTTTTCTCAGCTGGTCCCCGGTTGCGGAAACAAAATTTCTTGCGGAAAAAAATTTCCTCGCCTACGGGCCAAAAGAAAACTAACGCGTCCGCGCGCGCGCAGCGCGCGGGAATTTTTTCTCGACAAGCCCCCGACCTCCGGGTGAGAAGAAAACCTTCCACGCAGGCACGCCCTCGGGCCAAGGAAGGCGCGCGCGCGCAGCGCGCGCGCGCTAAAGTTTTTTTTCAGCTGGCCCCCGGTTGCGGAAAAAAATTTCTTCGCCTACGGGCCAAAAGAAAACTAATGCGTCCGCGCGCGCGCAGCGCGCGAAAATTTTTTCTCGACAAGCCCCCGACCTCCGGGTGAGAAGAAAACCTTCCACGCACGCCCGCGGGCCAAGGAAGGCGCGCGCGCGCGCTAAAGTCTTTTTTCAGCTTGCCCCCGGTTGCGGAAAAAAAATTCCTCGTCTACGGGCCAAAAGAAAACTAATGTGCCCGCGCGCGCGCAACGCGCGAAAATATTTTCTCGACAGGCCCCCGGCCGCCGGGCGTGAAGAAGAGCGCCCAGGCACGCCCTCAGGCCAAGGAAGACGCGCGCGCTCCGCGCGCGCGCGCGAAAATTTTTTTTCAGCTGGCCCCCGGTTGCGAGAAAAAATTTCATCGCCTACGGGCCAAAAGAAAACTAATGTGCCCGCGCGCGCGCAACGCGCGATAATTTTTTCTCGACAGGCCCCCGACCCCCGCCGGGCGTGAAAAAGAGCGTCTACGCACGCCCTCAGGCCAAGGAAGACGCGCGCGCAGGCGCGCGCGCGCGAAAATTTGTTTTCAACTGGCGCCCGGTTGCGGAAAAGACTTTCCTCGCCTGTGGGCCAAAAGAAAACTACTGTGCGCGCGCGGCTCGCGAAAAATTTTTCTCGACAAGCCCCCGACCACCGGGCGAGCAAAAGATCTTCTACACCCTCGGGCCAAGGCGTGCGCGCGCTGTGCGCGCGGAAAATTTTTTACCGGCCGGCCCCCGATCGCGGGGCGCGAAAAAAATAAAACAGCCCACACCCTGACGCCGTACATGGTGAGGATGCGCGCGGCGCACCCACGCGAGGTTTTTTCCGGTCAACGCCTTTTAGCCGGCCATGGAGAGGCACCTCCCACGCTCACCCAAGGCCAGGGCGGTCTGCGTGCGCGCAACACGCGCAAACTTTTTCCCGGACGGCCCCCGACTGCCGAACGCACCGAAAACCTTCCGCGCCCCGAGGCCGAGGCGCCTGCGCGCGCGCAGCGAGCGCACGACAAATATTTGCCGCCGAGGCCCCGCCTGGAGGACGCGAAAAAAACCCAACCGCCCTCAGACAGGCAAAGGCGTCTGCGGGCGCGCAACGGGCGAAAGACTTTTTTCGATCGGGCGGCCCTCGATAGCTGGGAACGACCAAAGGCTTCCGCGCCTTCAGGTCGGGGCGCATGCGCATGCGCGCGCGCGCAACTTTTTTTTTTCCGGCGCGCCGCCCTCGCTGCTGGACGCGCAAAAAACATTCGCTCCGCGCCCCCCCGCCAAGGCGTCTGCGCACACGCAGCGCGCGCTCGCAGAATATTTTTCCGGCCCGCCCCGGGTTTCCGGACACGAAAGAATACCTTCCACGCCCTCAGGCCAAAGCGCTTGCGCATGCGCTGTGCACGAAAAAAAATTCTCGGCAAGCGCGCGGCTACCGGGCACGCATAGGGAAGGGCCTCTACGCCTGCCCGGTCATGGCGCGCGCCTGAGTGGGCGCGGCGCGCGCGAAAATTTTTTTTCGGCCGGCCCCTGATAGCAAAAGGAAATAAGGAAGCATCCGCCCCCTGCTCGGGCCAGGGTGTCTGCGTGCGCGCGGCGCTCCAAATTTTTCTCCCGGCCACAGAGCAATACAGAATGGGCACGCGCATACCATCACCACTGTCAGCGACGGCGCCTAGGGAAGCGCGCGCGGTAGGCGCAATGCCATTTTCCCGGCGCCAAGCGCAGGCAGAATACGAGAGGACGCCCGCGCCCCTCCAAAACAAAAATCCGAAGCGCGCACCGTGTGCCAATTATTGTTTTCAACAAAGAGCAGCGAGAACATCTATGAGAGTCAGAATGTCTATGCGTGAGAATCTCTATAGCGTTTTTAGAAGTTCTATAATATTTTTTTTTTCTAGACATCATATTGCTATCCCGGACAAAAAATAGCGCGTCATGGTCAAGGGTTGTGACATGCAAAAACTCTACCCATGCAAATGGACCGGTCTTGACTACCCTACTTGTCAGCATTCTAACAAGAGCGGCCCACTGCGTACGTATTCGCGCATTGAAAACATAACGCGCTAGTTTTTTTCCCTGAGATATCCGCCCGGCGTTGCAGAAGCCAACGCGAACCCGGCGAGGGTTGGCCGCATTTCGTTTCCAATACCAATCTGACGAGATACTTAAACGCCTGCTCGCTGTTGTAAACCTGTGCTCTAATTACACAGTGCTGTCTAGCATTGTTCCGCCCTTGCGAAAGCCTGTGGAAAGCAGAAACAGGCTCAAAGGGTGGTGGTACGGGAAATGCTGAAAAGACAAAACATCAACTCAGCCGTCACTTCGTCCTTCACTCTTCGGCCTTAAGCCACTCATACGCACACCAAGAATCGTCATTCCAGCAAGGAGCAACAATCTTGAGTTCTCCTCTGCCTTTGCCACAACGCGCCCACAATCTGTGGTGACTCGGGCGAAGCACGCACCTCTGTCTCTCGCCACCGGGCTTGCATAGAATTGGAGACTCGAAGCACTCAGTAAAATTACGTATCACAAAACAGAAGAACAGAAGACGGGCCGCCAGGCGGGAACAGCCAGCTCAGTGATTAAAGCAGATCCAGATTTTCCAAATTTATCTTTCCATAATTTTTCGGCGTGCACAATGTGAAACTTGTTGCCTAACGAGTGCGACAATGGACCACGACCGGACGGAGTTATGCAGTGTCTGAAGACTGTGCCAAGAAGCTGTCCACTTACCTACGTCTAAGTAATGAAGAGCCGCCTCAATAAACTGTAGCGCAATCAATATCAAAGGCAGATGAATGGGGTTCAGACTACGATATTTCATTTACTTCTCTTTTATTTTCAGGTCAAGTGAAGAGACGAATCTAAGCTGCATCCTTTTCCACGTGAGTGACAGTGATTATCAATCAGCTAGTGTCATTTCTTCTTCTTTCCACCCCTTCCGCCTGCCGGCCCACCTCCTCCTGGCTTTTTCTTCGATCCGGTAAACCCAACCGCGCCCGCTGCATAATTGCTGCTGCTGCTACTACTAGCCGCGTTCTGAAACGTGATATTCTGTTTTTTCCGTTTCGCGTTGTGCTTTTTCAGAAAGGGATTCGCTTTGTTTTCGTCGTCCTCGTTTCCGCTGTCATCTCCGCCGAAACCGCGACCGCCATCGGAATCGTTGTCGTCACTGTGGTCCTGCTTTCCAATATCCGGCACTGCGACGACGCAAACGTTCTCTTGCTTCAGCACCAAATAGCCCCGCTTCACGCGCACTTGCTTCTGCAACAGAAACTTGGTCCCCGGAAAGCTCAGTTCGTCCGGCAGGTGGGTTTTTTCCAGGCAGAAACAGGTCGTCTTGCCGTCCGAACAAACAAACTTCCGCGTGCGCTTCCGGGGCGGCCGTCTTCTCGGTTGTGTCTTGTCGTTGTGGCTGGAGAGGTTATTGGCGGCATTCACAACGGGTTCGGAGATGACCAGCGAGTCCAGTACTTGCAACAACACTTTTTTGCAAGAAGAACCGGTTGGTAATCTATTCCACAGAACAAAGCTACCAGTAAAAATGCAAGCTAAAGAAGTCTGTCATGGGTAAGTAGGCCCAGCATAGCATGGTCTTTATGCCATGCAAGACTATGTGACGATTGTGCTTTGTTTTCCATTTGACAAACGTGACCTGGTAGAACTTTTCTTCTGTGGGATAAACATCTCCACCAGGTAGAACTACCGCTCCAGCATTTCCTTTACGACCAGTATCAACAAACTCGATCACTTCGTCGCGCGTTCCGATGTCGGTCGGCAGTAGTCCGCTGTTCAGGTTGATGCGCAGGTCCTGACCCAGGAAGCACTGAAACACGGCGTTGTCGGAGGTTGACGATGAAGCCTGTTGATGTGGTCCTGAAGTAGATTGCACCAGGTTCGCAAGTCCCTCCCGTTTCGCGGGCAAGACGTCCAGATTCCGTGGCTGGAAAATCCGGTCCGACATCCGCGACACCGCGGCGGGACCAGAAGTGGCGCCGGGTGCTACACCTGGAACCGGGGCGCTCATGGTTTTTTCATAGCAATTGCAACGAAAGAAGCACTGCGCCGTCGAGAGAGTAACTATGTATGACACGCTTCGAATCGGGAAGATCAAAGAATCTTTGGACCAGAAATGGACTTCTATAACAGCACACCGCATACCGCATCAGCAGCTGTAAACTCGTCCTGTTTACATTATTTTCATTATCGGAGTCGGGCGTCCCATGTATGCCTATCGGTCTTTTCTTATGACAAGCCTAAACTTCTTGTCGGAGCAGATACTAACTCCTTACCATGGACTACTTCTTGTCGTACGGACTGCAGTGCACCACCTCCGCCGAACATTGATCTTTTTCCAGAACAAAAAACTCTTCTACGCAGCCGCATTTTCACAACTCTCGGACGGTCGTCGCGCGGAGAGAAGCCAATTGACCGTGTGAACGCCTGCTCTTCTGTCGCAAGTGCCAGTTACTATGTAGTGCTTGGTTAATCTTACTTTTGAATGTGAAGTGCCAATTAATGTGTGGTCACTGTCGCTACCAGTTCTTGTATGTTGCGCAAGTTGAAGCTACCTCGTTAATACTGTGGGGCTGCAGAAACACACCTGTGTGATTCGTGCCTCTTTCCGAGTTCGATGATCATCTTGAGTCTACGTACTTCCTCCAAGGTGTACAGCCTCGAGTATACAACCCCGCCCCGCTCCGGTGCTGCGACTTACAACTGCAACTGCAGCATTTTCTTCGTGGTTCCACTTTCCCGGAGCAGGGCGCTCTTCACTTGCATCCGGTCCCGAATCTTGCGCAAACACGCCTCCCCGAGCCAACCGTAGTGGTCCGCGCGGTCCAGTTGGAACGCGGCAGCAACTACCTCCCCTTCCCCGGCCACTCCCTTGTCTTCGTCACCTGGAGCAGCAGCATGGTGGTCTTCTCGAAGTTTATTTGCTGGCTCAGTTTTCATCTCCTCGCCAGCATTGTTCTTGCGCACTTCTGTGTCGACTTCTTCAGTTTCTCCGCCGGCTGCTGAGAATCAGGAAGAAAAAGACTAGCAAACATTGCCACATTTACGTCAAATTATAGCGCGACAAAATAATTTCTTAAGCAGCCCACGGAAGAACTTACTTACAACCCAGAGCGACATGCTCAGGTAGAATGGCCAGGCCTGCACGTCGAAAGATTGCGCTTTTTTTGTGCTGCTCTCAACATTTTATTTGTTCTTTCTACAAATCCCAATCCCAATGATAAATAGATCTAGTGGACAATATTGCTAGTAGTTTTCTGTCTAGATAGTGAACCTACTTCAATCGTGCTTTTTACCACGACATGTTTTTCCAGCCATCTAATCCGCTTCTCCACGATTTTTTGGATGGGCTCGTCCTCCAGGTCGCAAATTTGGTACAACTGCGAACGGTTGGTCGGAGGCACGCGGAAATGCACGTCCAGCAAAGAGGGCCGATTGCTCGCTGGGGCGTAGTACGGAAAAGAACCACTCGCCTGATTGCTGTTCCCGGCATGATGTTGACCGCTGTTCGCCATCCCGCTGCTGTTTTGCGGCTGCGCCTGTGTCGCTCCACCCTCGTTCGCCGCGGCTGCCTGCTTTTGGACGGAAAAGATCTGTGGCCCCTTGAGCAGTTCGTCGCGAAAGTCGATGACTTGGTAAATGGCATCTTTGTAGGACAACCGGGGATCGTACCCCAGCTTGCAGTGGGAGCCGCGGTAGGGACCGTTTTCCCAGATGTAGGAGATCGCCTGCAGCGCCCGCTGCAGCCACCACGTGACGTGGAGGGACTTGTCTTCGATTCGGGACAGCAAGGCCGCGCGAATCCAGATGGGCCGCTCCTCGAAGAGAAGCATCAACTGCTCCAGCAATTCCTTCTCCTTCACTGCGTTGGTCATCTCTACGCGGTGGAAGTACGCCTCCACGTCCGCGCCCTCAGGAGCCGTCTGCGGGATCTCTACCGTGTCGCACTTGAGCCGCTGCAATGGGATCCAGGACCGTTTTACCTGGATGTCGTCCGTCTCCTGAGCGTGTGGATTTTCTTCGAAGTTGTAGTCCAGGGGATAAGAGGTTTTCGTGAAACAGGGCGGCGGCAGGTAGTACAGCGCATTATCCGTGTGGTCTAGCAACTGCTGGATCTCCTTATAGTTTTGTTTCGAAGACGCTCTTTTCGTAGAAATTGTAGCACTGCTCTTTTTCGTCGTCATCTTCGCTTCCCCCTGCCCCCCTGAAGAAGCGCCCATCAGCAATCGTTCCCCGCCGGAGGTACTAGTTGGAGCTGTAGAAGTAATGCCCATGTTCAGAATCGCGTCGATGTTGGTCGTTCCCCCACCCCCATGATGCGCAGCTTGGTGGTGCCCGGCCAACATGCTGGAAGAAGTAGGGCTGCTGTTGTTGCTCCGGGCCAGATCCAGAACAATCTTGCCGTAGTCTAGGCCTTTGGGCGGGCAGTAGTGAAAATCGGCGAGGGTGTCGAAGTCGAACTGGTAGAGGCAGTGTCCGAGGAAACGCAGCGTCCCGGTCTTCTTGTTGCGAGCCGTGAGGATGTGGTTGACGCTTTTCTTCTTCGCAGGCCCGATGGGCTGCATGTACCGGTTCTGGTCTATCAAATGCAAATATGTCTGGGTCTGGAGGATTTCCGGGTTTGTCATGCATATTTCGCATGGGCTATGATGCCTGTAATGCATGACCTAGCATGACAGATTTTTTGCGGGAATCTTGATGCCTATCCCGCATGACAAATGCCCTCTGCGCGGAGCAAAAACTGAACGCCTCTTGCTGGTCATGCAATACAAATTTTTTTAGAGTCCAAAAACAGCATGACAAGTTGCAATTTTCCAGACCCAGACATTTTTGCAGTTCATATGGTCGCCCAGTCGGCAATACAGGTTTGCGCTTTCGTTCAGCGACGGACTCACGATCGCAGTGTGGACGGGGCCGATGCCGCCCAGGAGCTCCAATGCCTTGTTGTGGTTCTGAACGAACCCGGGAAAGGCGAGGACTGAAATGTTGGACACTAAGGCGGCGTCCTCTTGCTCTAGCTCGCGTTGATGTGCTCTTTCAGCAAGAACGCTATCCGTAGTCGTAGCAGCGGTTCTAGTACTCGGATCAAGAAGATCATCCGTCAAAACAGAAGAAGACGAGCCGTGTGCTGGGAGTAGAAGTTCCCTCCTTGATGAAAGAAGGTCATCGAAAGGTGGCCCGCCAAACAGGTCCTGGTCCTCCTCGGACACGAGCGGGGGGAACCGGTTTTTAATTTTGTTCCCGTCGGTTTTATCGCCCAAAGAGGTTCTCGTGGACAAGCTAGAACTCTTCCTTTTCCCCGCCTGCTTCGTCTTCGCGACCCGCGCGGCCCCTTCGCGGCCAGCAGTAAAAATACCCGCGGTTGTTCCCGCGCTGGCAGGGGAGCACGGCACGAAGTTGTTCGCGATGTCGTTCCAGACTGTCAAAGCCGCGGCTTGGTCTTCCTCCTCCATGTCGCTTGCCTCGCTCCCGTCGCGGTCCACCGCGTCTGCTATCTCCATTTCCACGTCGTTGCCCTCCTGATGTTGCTCAATATCACTCGTTCCAGCACGACCTGGTGGGTCATGATCTCCCTGTTCTACGGCCAGGTTTATCTTCTTTGTTCCAGCTTCTTTTTGCTTTTTCTTTTCTCGTTTTTCCCGGCCCCGTTCGGAAGTGGAGGTGGTACGACCGGGAAATATACTAGCTTTCGCTTTCTTCGTCGTCCCACCGCGTTGTTCATCCAGCTCCTGCGCTCGGGTTCTTACCAAACCCCTGTCAGCACTAGCAGCTGGAAGATGTTCTTGATCTTGCTCCCCGCCACCAGAAGAATCGTTTCCGGCCTTGTGAATATCTTCGTTTTGGTCCTGTGCAAGGCCTTTTGTCCGCTTTTTCTCCTTCTTCGCGGGCGGGTTCCTTGGAGGCAGCATACTGCTGGCCGGTGGTGGAGGCGCTGGCCGCTCTCTTTTCCCGCTACTGGGCCGTGACGACGAGGAAGAGGATCCGCCGGAGGTTTGCATGGTTTATCTAACGATCGTTGTAAAGATTTTTGCTACTAGTACACTCATATCAAAAGTGAAGACCACAGGGCGGCCATCATGCTAGCTACGAGGGTTGTTGCGATCGCAATCCTTCCTACTCGATAAGAAAAAGAATGCGTGGTGAATTAACAAGAATGAAGAGTCCCTCTACTTACTTTCTTATCCAGGGGCCAAAAATGTTGCTGTACCGCCCGAGTATAGACGCGACTGAGAAAGTGTATTTGTAAAGAAGGAAACCTATGTGCGCCATTCTTACGATAAACAAACACCTTCGAAAAGCAAAAGAACTGACAGAAACACAGGCTAAGGCTTCCAAAGCTCGATTTTGTTGTGCTCCTTTTGCCTGAAGTAAGTTCATCGGCGACAAGTGGACCGGTCGGACCACGTCGATCACAAAAAAAAAGCGGATCTTTTACACGCTCCAGCGGCACTCAACGGAACGATCATCTTCGGGACGATAGATCTACTTTCACATCGTCATTCTACTTTTTGTTTTTTCCACGGCAGAACCTCATACCGTTTTTGAGAGCAGAGTAGGAGCGTAGTCTGTGGTCTGCAAATCATTCTTCCAAGCAGCATGTTGCTGTACTACACCTGTCGGATCCCATCTGAATTTTGTGTTCTTGTTCATCTTCGTGGTCATCGTGTTTTTCTCCGTCAACAACCGTGCGGCAGGTAGTCAGTCGTACGAGTTGTAGTGATGAAAACAACTATCGCATGGATGTTATTTCTTGTCGTCATTTATGATTCCTTTGCGAAAAAGCTACAACCGTCGTTGTTCTTTTGTCCTTTCGCGGAGGTGGGTTGGGTTCCAACTCAGTCTTCTCCGTCGCAAACTGGTCGGCCCCCAGTGGAACCAGCTGGTTCCTCATATGCCGAAAAAACCTAACGAAAGTTGGGTGGACCCCGCGAGGTTACAGTGCGCGAGGCGCCGTCACAACTGTGCAGTGCGCGGCAAGAACGAGATGACGACGGGTGCAGCACTAAGTACAAATAACACTAGGCCGCCCAAGTTGATAGGTGGTTGTATTAAACTGTAAAAAGCACTAGCACTGCCGCGACGTGGTCTACATGATCATACAGCAGAAAAAGTAGCATCTCACTCCGACACAGCAGGGGCGTAAAACTCAACGCAAGCTTGGTTTATCCTCATTTTTCCCGGTACATCAATAAAAGCAATGAAAAGCTAGCGCCACGCCGGGGTACATTTTTGATTACACAAAAACCTTCGAAAAGAAGTTTCTTTGTTGTTTCCAAAAAAAGCCAGAACATAGCAAATTATGGTATTTCAAATGGAACTTCAAGTTGTCACTACTCGTGTGGTCTTCTTGTTCACATCTGTCTCGTAGTTGAAGACCCGGCATCTGCGTTCCCTTCGGCTCTCCTTGTTCTCCTGAGAGCAGGAAAGCGTCAGGCTACCATGTCGCTCACCTTCGATTTCTCCACTTAAAAGCAAGCCACTCTTGATTTACTTCACCTACGGGAACCGGGCACAGAACTCGGTGACTTCCTTCTTCAGCAGCAGCAGCTCCGCGGGTTGTTTCTCCTCCAGAAAATTGGTAAAATCAACGAGCTTATTTGAGTTGATTTCCTTCTGCACACTCTGGGCCAGCTTCAGGGCCTGGTCGAGAAAAACCGCCACCTGTTCAAAATCGGTCTCCTTCAAGCCTCGGGTGGTCATCGCCGGAGTGCCGACCCGCAGCCCCGAGGGATTCATCGCGCTGGTGTCGTGCTATAACCTGCTCAGGCCTTACAATCTCAAACGTTACGAATAGAACATGGAGATCTGTGACGCAAAAAGTGCATGATGTAGTTCACACTCCCCACCGCATTGCGCATGACAAGTTCTTGAGTCCCAAACCGGACTAGGATCATCTGGCGAAATTTGTATTGCAGGAAGTGGAACTCTCTGCGGGTCTGTCATGCTCGTCACGCAATACAAATTCCAGACTCTATTGTAACGTTTGAGATAATTGTAACGTTTGAGCAGGTCATACGTGCGGGACGGTATTTTTGTTGAGCACGATGTTCGCGAGCTCGCATATCCTTTCTGCTTTTGCCCCGGACACGTTCCTGGACTTCTTCACATCGATCAGAATCATGTGATATCAAATGTAAAAATGCCTGGGTCTGGAAATTTGTAATGCTAAAAGTGAATGGGAGTTCCACTGCAATACGGAGCCAAGCATGACAAATTTTTGGGCTCCTATGTGTTGCGTGTTCCGCATGGCAAACTGCGTTTTGGCATGACAGGTAAGAGGACAGCTTTGTGCCCATGCATCACAGATTCTTGAGCCATGCCAGACATGCATGACAAATGTAGCAATCTTTCAGACCCAGACATTTTTACATTTGATATGTGATTGTCGGTCCCGTTGCTGACTAGGTCGTACCCCAGTGACTGGAGCGCGGACGAGAATGCTGTGGTGTAATTTTGATTTTTGCGTTATTTTTCGTATCTTGTTAAACCAACGTGACTGCGCCTGCCCGTCAACATTCTTCGCGAGATTTTTATACATGCAGAGATGAAGATATCATGTACAGACATACTGGGTTGCCAGGTGAGTGGGTTCGGCACGAGTGGCACAGTAGGGGAGAGAGAAAGCGCGCACTACAACAGTTTCTTTCATCCCTTTACCACGTCTTCAAAAGTAGTGATGTTGAGCGGTCGAACTATAACTTCATTATCCACGCTTGTACCTGCGCAATTCTTCAAGATTTGCTGCTGGTAGTCCCGGAATTCCGGGGTTTTCGCCAACTTTTATCAAAAGGAAAGATCCCCCCTCCCCATATCGAAACGAAGACTCTGATGCTGGATTTCCATACACAAATCAGATGCGTCGCGCAGTAGAGGACTGCAGGCATATGCCAAGCCTCAGTCGAGAGGTTTTGACGTAGGCGCCTAGCATGACGAACGCGTATGCTCTTAGCCCAACAGCATCACAAACCGCCTGCAAAATGCGGAACGCTTTCTGGACATGCCTTCTTGCAAGACAGACAGGATTTGAGGTCACAAATGCGCATCACAAATTTTCAGACGGATACGTTCTCGATATGGGGAGGGGGGATTTTTCCTTACGATAACTTTAGCGCCACAGCCAGCGCCGTGATCGAGTGGTTGTGGGGTCCGCCTTGCAAGCCCGGGAACACGGCCTCGTTGATTTTCTTCTCCAAGTCGTACACTTCCTCCTTCGGCGCCCCGCCCTTCTTTCCCTTCGCCGGCGCGGCGGATTTCTTCAAGCCCTTCCGGTAGAAAATCAAGCTGCCCCTGGGCCCACGTAGGGATTTGTGTGTCGTGCTGGTCACCACGTCCGCGCCCTGCTTGAACGGGCTCGGCACGACCCCGGCCGCGACCAGGCCGGAAATGTGCGCCATGTCATAGTGCAGGATGGAATCCGTCTCGTCGCAAATTTGCCGAAAGATTATCGCGGGGAAAAACGGTTTCTCTGACTGTTGCAAAGATTGCAGGAAGGAAGTGCTTGCTTAGCTGGAAATACACGAAGGAGCATCTTTACATTTAGCATTAGCAGTACTACTTTCGTCCCCTAAAATAAATCCAGTACCCCACGTGATGAATTTTCGTTGTCATGCAAGCGCAACACCAAGCTTGTCATTTCCGAAAGCGTCACAGTGAAACACGTAGAAGTTTTCCGCACGATAAAGCGCGGCACATCCACGATTCGCGAGTATGCCGTACAACCCGCGATGATGAGCTTCGGACGAAACCTATAGTGGTTGCAACGTTTGCCTTTCTTGATAATGTGCACAAATTGTTGAGAAAGGATGCAGTTCTCAAGAAGGGTAGTACTAGCATGGTCCCCTTTGATTGTCATCTGCTTCTCTTTTTCTCGTCATGCGAATATTTTGAAATGCTAGAAGTAATAACACTCGACTCGCTTCTAAAACAAATTTACCTTTTTGCGAACAACTCCAGTTGATCGTAGTCGATTAGGCCGGTCTTTTCGTCCAGTCGGTACGGCATGGTTTCCCAAAACTTGGACACAAACGAGATCTTTTTCTGTGGCGTCTGGAACCCGTGGCTTAAGTGGCCTCCGTGCGGTTATGCTAAGCAAAAACGTCCCCGCCGCAGAGTCAAGATGGGCACTTTGCTACACAAACCGGCAAGCTTTGCGTGTAGTTGCGCCTGACAGTGTTTACTTAGAAAGTGCAGCTGCATTACAAATTGATCAACCTCCTTGGTTGTAGCATGAAAAATTCCAAAACACCGATAAATTGAAAATGCTTCCGATGGAGCTGCGCACAAGAACGATTTTACGTGACGCATCGAGTTGTATCTATTGCATGACAAGTCTACCGGAGAGGAGGTGGGGACGTTTTTACACAGGATAGCGGTAGGTCCAACCCCATGATGCGGCCATGTGGCTCGACCAGTGCGGAGAAGTATTACAGTGAAAAGTGCCCCCCACCCCTAAATTGCAAAAATTTGTGATGCGAAGTTTCCAAATGAAAAGATTTTGTCATGCATGAACGGAGTATGAATCTTTCTGATGTAGAATGTAGGCGTGTATCGCATCGCTTGCATGACCGCTCTTGTTGGGGTCTTTTGCAATACAAATTTTTGCTATTAACGATTGAAAACCTGTGATGCTGATAGATGCAAGAGGGGGAGTGTTTCACTTGGAAAGGTTTGCAATACAAATGCTCCCAAGTTCGGGGGTGGAGGCATTTTTCATTGTAATAAGAAAACCGCAAAGTTCGCGGGCGACCCGGAAAAAACCTGCACATTCACGCCCCACTCGGCCGGATCGAGGTCAAACGCTTCCAGGGCGCGTTTCTGGCACAGCAGTTCCGCCTCGTCGATAAATTCGTTTCCACCGTAGTACCGCGCTGCGGGATACCCCTCGGAGTACTTGTTCTGCATGACCGAGCCCAAGGCGTCCAACACCGCCTGACTGGTGTAGTTTTCGCTGGCAATCAGGTTGATAGAAAATTTCTGCCGTTGCTTCTCCTTCTCGCATCCAAGAAAAAAACTGTGGTAGTACAACAACTCTTTTTCGTTTTACTTTTGAGGTGGTGGACACAGCATAGCAAATCTGTCTGGCATGAGGTCATGCGCGGGTAGTCCGTCAAAGCACGGGTACGTATGAGGCTAGCCTAGGCTGCATCTGGATCTTCCAGCAGAATGACATAAAGTAGTGATAACTGTATTTTCTAATTTTACATGCGTACGCAACACGAAGTTGCAGTTTTTACACAGTTTTCTCTTGCATATCTCGATGATTGCGTGTACTTCTGAGTCCACGGCCGAAAGCGGCAGGTGCAGCGGCGAGGACAGCGATACAGAAGCGGTTTGCAACCGCCCGGAAGTACTACTAGTTTCGTGCTTGCTGTCGTGTGGTCCTTCGCCACTTGCCGGCATCGGGTTCAGAGCGCTGGAAAATAAACGTCGGTCGTTGTGGCTGCAGGAGCTTCGGGGCGGGCTGTTCTTCGAGGGGAAGAAAAATTTCGTCGTCGCACTGTAGTTCTTATTTGTGCCGGGTCGACGAGACGAAATGCTGCACCGGGTCCCGACCAGCATGCGGACCGCGGAGCTCGACGAGGACCTGAGGAACGTCGGAGAAACGACCGACATTTTCGCTTTAAGTACTCTGGAGTCCGACAATAAGCTTGGAAAATAAATCTCGATATTTATATATAGCCTAAAAAAGCTACTCGAGAAAGAAAGTGTCAAATTGGTGGGAATTTCAAATCAGCGCGAGCTGTATCTCCATTTCCGTTTGCACTTCTTCTCGCCCGCGGAAGAAAATACCGATGAACGAGGGACCAGTGGTGTAGAAAAGCCGCTTGATGCTGTTGTGTTAAATGAATCTTCCTATGCTCAACGTTAAAGACGAGGATTGGGGTTTTAATATTCTGGGGTAAAACCAACTTCCTGTTGATGCCGGGTGTTCCTGCGGAAAGGTACTAGGGCATGATGAAGCAGCTTCTTTTGAAAAGACTGCTCACAATTCGCGCGTCACGGGTCGTAAATAGAAATACCGGTAGACTTCTAAAGAAAGTAGCTTTCGTTTTCCTCGCCAACTCTCTCGACGTCGAGAAGAAATAAATAACTCTATATTTCATTATCACAAGCGCCTTCTCTCGTCGTTTGTCACGAACAGGACAAGAACCAACTAACTAACTTTTATGGTGCTTATCGGCACTGCTGAATGAAAACTACAATCACAGTGGTGGATTACCTCAAACGACAGACCGGCCTAAAACCTTCTCCGACTCGAAAGCCATACCTGAACACGCTTTTTGATTCACATACGGAAATAGAAAAACACAGCACGCCCTTGCTTCGGCGCCTGCCCGGCCAGTGATCTACTCGGGAGTTGTTCCGGGTGGTTGAGGAGATGTAGGCTATACTTTTTTTCCATGTGAAGTTCTTGTTGGGGTAGCTTGTTTGATGAAGATTTAAGTATTTTGATTCCCATGCTGTTGCCTAGTCGGCTTTTAGATGAACAAGCTATGAACTGCTAAACGAGAAATCCTTCGTGGCACATTTGTCGTTGTGGATTGAGGACTCCTGGTCAGGATGTGGTGTTGTCAGCAGTTCCTTTTCTGCTACGGTCCGCGGCTTGCAGTGGTAGTGAAATTGCTTTATGTAATAACCAGCAAACTTTCCAGATAGTTTCCGCTTCTCGAAAGAAGAAAAAGCTTATTGGTATCTCGTAGACTCATCAAAATCCCACGAAAGAAACGCCTACTTAGCAGTAACGCACTACAGAAAAAAGGAAGAAGTAAATATATTCGCGCCTTTCCTGCGAGACAAGCTTCGTGTCCTCGTATAGGCACTGTTAGTTTCTACGCCTACCGACTGGCAAAGTGTTTAGGTGGTGCAAGAGCGCGTCCGAGGTAGTAGCACTAGGAATTATAGGACTTCTACAATCATGGGATACAAGAAACTTAAAACTTTCGAATTGAGAGTGCGAGGCTGTTCCAACTCTTAATGGTGCTCTTTGGTTCTAGAAAAACATCTACGTCGGATCAAAAGAGTCGCCCGGGTTACGGATGGGGTTCGCAGGCATGATCATCTCGGGTAGTCTCTTCAGAACTGCGCACAATCCTCCAGCGAGGCACATACATCATTCTATATTCGATTTGGGTAGAAGATGTACATGACTCTCGGTAGAATGGTCGCAGCATGAATTGAGGACAGTTGAAAACAGGTGAGTTGGGACGTGGTTCAAGGTCAGGGTACGTAAAATCAGAAGTTTAAGGTGTAAAAAAAAATGATCATGATAAATAAAATGAAACGTATGTTTAACTGAAAAAGAAAACTCTTGCACTTGTTACTCGTGTATCAAATGGCATTCTCTGGCCACCACTACTACGAACTATCGTCCATGCATAGCCTTCTCAGCCTTTTTCTAATTAGAACCGCTAGCTGTAAGTTTTTCCCCTTAAACTTGCAGTGAGCGATGAAAGCACGTAGGAGAACATCAAAAAGCCGAGACGTGAATGTGACACAGCTTTTCAATGAAGAAGAAGAGCTAGACAAACATCACCTCATCTACCGCGGCAGTTATCCTTATCAGCACGGCCAAGAACGAAATGTGATTTTAGCATGGAATTTGGAATTGGAACGAGGCATATAAAACAGGTGCTATAGTTATTAGTGCCTGGATACAAGTTTGTTTTTGCAATCATGTTGGTAGAACGAAACGCGAAACTTTGAAAGATGAAATGTGGACAGCGAAAAAAGTGTAGAACATTTTGTGATTTTTGATGAAGGAAAAGAAAAAGAAGTTGTGCGTTGTAACAAGAGTCAGACATGTTGCAGGTCGAGCTCAAGATTTTAAATTGTGGCGTGCGGTGGGTACAAACATACTTCTCAGGTTCGGTGTAAAGCTATCTTCTCCATTGATTCATGACTTCTACTTCGACGATGGTTCGACGACTTCTTTTTCGATTTTCGGGGCGTTTCCCGTTGACGTTGGTTCCGATGTTCCCCGTGAATGTTGTTCCAAAAATTGCCGCATCGGCCTAATGATGTTCACATGAAGCCAACCGAAAATCGGATCGACCGCATGGTCGAACTCCGCCTCCCCGGGGATCGAATCAGCCCACTGTTGCTTCTTCTTCTTGGACTGGTGGCTTTCTTCCGCCTTCTCCGCGCGAGCTTTTTCCTTTTTGGTCTGGTGCGCTGCTACCGCTTTCCCCTTCTGCGCACGAGCGCGGCGCACCTGCCCGTGCTGTTCATTCCCTTCCCAGACACGGGTGTTCGTGGCCGTCTTCTGCAGCGCCGCAACACGCCCCCCCCCCCCCGAGGAGGCAGGTCGCGGCGGCGATGGCTGGCAGCTTCTTCGGCATGTTTTGCGTACTTGATCGACAATTTTACAAATCGTCTAGCGAGCGACACTTTTTGTACGTTCTTGCTTCACACTCACGAGAAACAAACAAGAAACTGTAGCTGAGAAACTGTAGCTGACCGTATCAGTGGAGCCAAACCTCGTTGTTAAAATACGAGTAGACAGCACGAAAAAACGAGGAGGAACTGTTTTACTTCAAATTAGTGGAGTGTAGTACGCGGGTCTAGAAATTATCGTTCAGTCCAAAGATGAACCAGCAAACTTTAATTCTGGAATTGCCTCCTCCTACTTCACCATAATCCGCTGATTCAACGTCGTTCGACGAAATGGCATATTTTTGAGGCTGAACGAAATTGCACGAGTATCCCTACGCTTTTCAACTACAGCCCAAGTCGTCACCTGTGACTTATCCATTACACATTGACGATTACGAATTGCGCTGGACGTCTACGCGCGCGGAGATCTTCAACATCTGGAGACTTTTACGGTTGCGATTACGAAGATGGGAAAGCGCACGTGAGAGATTATACTTTCACCAAACGAGGGCCCTTGCGTCCCATCACGAGTGCCGGCGTCAGAGTCGTGCTTGCGCAATCCAGTAAGTAGGTACTTAACTTATCCCGCACGACTCCTACACGAAGTGAGCATTTAGAATCCGGCAGATGAGACGAAGATGAACGAATTCCAGTTTACAAACAATCTGATTTTGAACCTGGTCCAACTTACTTGTTACGATTTGCCTTCCGTTTGGACAGGTCAGAAGTCTTGTGCGACTGCTGAATGCCGGTGCAGTGTTTCGAACTATACTTTTGCGTTTCAGCGATACTTACGAGGGGGGAACAGGTCTCCGCCATTTTATTAGGAACGAACTGCAACTGATGTCCTGTATACCCTTGCTACAAAAGCGAACGAATTCGAACACACATGAAACTCGTCGTGGTGTCGAACGCGACTGGTTCTATTGCACTCTTTCGTCCTTTTTTTTAGCACGTCCTGCTGCAGCATCGCTCGCTCTTCTACTTCTTGCGAGATGTTGGCTTCATTGACGCTTGGATTTGGGTACAGCCACGACTTCCGGGTGCTACAGCGACAGCCAGTGCAAATAGTCCTAGCAACTATGGTACAACGCATTTTTGGATTTGCTTTTGGTGCACGCACATTCATATAACAATACCACAATATTTACATGTCAAACAAAATTTACATTTGCATTTGTGATTGGGGTAGGATGAGCCGGTAGCAGCCGTGCTGCTCACCATCCTACCCGGCGAGGCTTGCTTCTACTAAGTCATCTACGATATCGATACCTCATTTTCGGCACACCTGATAAAACATTAACAAATAACCTCTGGCTGCAAGGAGCGCGAAGAACTGTACTCAATTGGCAATTTTCTAGGCTCATAGGATAAAAAGATAAGCGTGAAGATTCACTGTAGCGTAAATAAGTCTGCTTGCCGGCATCATATTGAGACCCTGCTGCAAGAGCAATGCAGCAAGTGCAAAATGCCACAGATTTTTTACCTTTGCGATCTACAAGTCTGCAACGCATAACTTAAGATGCATTCTTCAAAGCTAGAAGAATGAGACTTGCCTGTGGTCTGATCATATCTATCGTAAAAGCTTCGACTCTCAACCTCTCCTTCGCGGTAATGCCGCAAAGGGTGTTGAGCGGACGACTCTGCTGTGAAAAATAAGTATACTCAAAAAGGTTCTCTTTGTCTTTTCTGCTATTGTTTCTGTTGCTGTCAAAATAAATAATTTTCTCTGCTACTGTCTCGCTCTGCGCAGCACACTGTTGCGCCCTGTGCTGGATCAAAAGAAGGAAACTGCTCGTAATTTCGTCTCCACCAACATAACGTTTGCGAGCGTGGTTTCTTCCCTGCCACAAACGCAGAAGAGAGTGCGCCACAACGACGTTGTGGCAGTGTTGATCACTACAGAATGCAAGAAGAAGAGTCATTAATATGACACTTCTTCTTATTGATTCTCTGCTATATGTTCTGTTCAAACTCTGCAAACAAACTGGAGCTATTTCTTTATCATTCGTTAGATGTAAAATTCCTTCCTGAACCTACGCCAGAGCTGGTTCAGTTATCAAGCGTCCCGACGGTGCCGAGGCTCATGCCGACGTCCGTTTTCCCGGGTATGTAGTAGGAGGAAATCTTCTGCAAGTCCGCGCACTTGGTAAGGTAGTCGAGCAGCTTGTCCTTCATTTTTTTCTCGTCCCAATTTTCCTTCTTTGCCTGCGTGACAAAAACCTCGTAGAAGTCGTCATGGTAAAACGCGTGCGTCCATGAGTCGGTGAGAAACTCCACGAGGTCGAAACTGTTTGCCCCATCAGCGCTCGCGTATCTTTGCTCCAGGCCGTTCAAAAAGGAAATATTTCGCCCCACCAGGTGGAACAGTGCGTGGCGATGGAGCTCCTGGTACCCCAGGTAGAGAAATTCCGTCACGGTGCTGCCCGTGCACCTTGGAGTTTTATTCAGAGAAATAATTTGTTTTTATGTCAGTCCACCTCCAGAATGAATGGCACATGTATGACAAGAATTGAGGTAAAAACAGAAATCCCAAAAAGTCTTTCTACTATGAACGGAACGCTGCAAGAATCCAGAAGCAGAAACAGCTTTTTAATCGTCTCATAATTGACAGTACGTGATCTTGCAGAAGTGCCCGCTTTCGCTGTCCAGAGACAACGTGTCGGTCAGCATGTGCTTTACTTGCTTCTCCTTCCTCGCCTGCAGTACGTTCTTCGGACACCTGACGCAGTAGTAGCGCAGATTCCCCGGCAACAGCCCCGCCCGGTATATTGGCATCTGCAGCGTTTGGTAGGTAAAGTCCTTGCTGGCCGCTGCCGCTTCCTCCTCCGCGTCGTAAATCTCTGCTTTACTCAAAATGGCCTCAGCCAAGTGCTGCCCAAGCTCCATACCGTTGTAGCTGCAGAGGATTTTTCATACGATTTGTTGCGTAGTTCTTTGTTTTCTTATTTTCACGTGTGGAATAGCTACGCCAGCAGCTTGGCAAATGATCGTTGCCTGCTCAAACTCAAAGCGAAAAAGGCCGCAAAAATGAAAAAAAAATACAGCGCACGTTGCATGGGAACGGTCAGCGTGAGGGGCGGTTTCATAAAGACGAAATCGGGTCCAGTGAATAGATCGGATCTCAAACCGCTTTGTTTTACGAAAGAAGCACATTATACAAAATTCATTAAAAATGACGATAGTACCCATCGTGTCTTAGTAGCTGGCGGTCGTGCACGTAACTGCTCTGTGCACTTCTGGAGAACTCCGCCAGTGGCCCTGCCGCGAATATCCTGCTATCGGTGGTCTGGAAAGCGTGGTCTACTATCAGTGCCCCGTCAAACACCAAGCCGTTGCTGTGTAGCGCATGGAAAATGTCGGGATCCACGTCCAGTTTGTCCGCGGTGAGCAGTATTCGGCAACTAAACGCGACCTCCTCGTGGTTCGCCTCGTTGGTGACCTATCCTAGACAAAAAGCGTATTTACAGTTGCACACTTGTATGCAAATTTAGCAACACAAACTTCTTGCAGCTCTGCACGACAAAGAACGTTTGCCATGCGAAGCCCGTAAAAATGAAATGCACGCATGCAACGAGACTCGCAAGCACTCCGGGCATGGTAGAGGTTGTCTGTCTTGTTTGTCCTGCAACACTTCTTCTTGTTTGTCTTCTACAGTGCGCAACTCTACTTGTAAACTTTTTCCTTTGCATATGAACACGATCGAACTCAATCGGTCCCGTCCGTCCTTTTCTAGTCGCTTGAGCGTGTGATTCTTTCATATCACGTGCTAAAAAACCGTAGTGTCCACAACGACCCCAAGGAACTTATGCGCAGCAACTTGTTACATGAGACACATTCTCTCCTGGCCTTTCGTCACTTTGCCTCACGACAATAATTCTATGCAAGACTACAAGCTGCAAGTGGCTTACCGATGCGGCCAAGCTCTTTACATACGACTATCCTGCGGGGGCCCCGTTACCACCCGCAGCTCCTACAGATTGCAGATTTGTCTTGCAGATCGTGACTATGGGGCTGTGGGTACTTACGTTAATTTATTTACACTGGATATTACAAATCCGGATCTTTTTCTTCTCAAGCTGTTGCTCAATTTTCTCGAGAATTTCCGGTGGCGGGAGCTGCTGTTGAGAGGAGGAACTGCTCGACGAGCTGCTAGAGCTGGCTTCCGTCTGTGTCGGTTGCACCAGTAGTATTTTGGAAGCCGGAACTTTTCTGACCAGCAAGCCTTGGATGACCGTGTACACCTCCAGCGAATTTATCGAAAGTAAAAATGTCTGGGTCTGGAAGAATGCAAGATTTGTGATGCAGGTTTTTTTTTTTTTTTTTTGATTGGGCCCCGCTCTGTTGACGCATATAAACTCATCACTAAAACTAGGAGGCCGGTGTGCGTTACTTAACATGTGAAGCAGTTCTACGAATTCACCTGCCTGCCGCAGCAGGTCAAACAGGGCCGACACCTTTCACACAGTTAAGCAGTGCGCGTGTATGCGTGCGCTTTTCATCTTGTTTTGATATTCTTACTATCTGCTCTCGTCCTCTGCTCCAGCACATTGTGCTGCGCGTCTTGTTCTCGCTTCGCTTGCGTTTTCCCCCTCCTCCCCCGCGTGCGTGTCGTATGTCCGCGCTAGCAGGCAGATCTTCGCTCTTCGTAGTGTTTTCTTCTGAACTTAGTGCCTGTTAGTCTGTATCTAGTTGCTAGTCTGTGCTGTAAAACTGAAATAAAGCGAAGCGGAAATCTTAAAGAGCTTACGTCTGACTTCAAATCGTGCTAGCATATTGCTTCTATTTCTCATCCCCACAACCCACGACCAGCCTCTGCTGGAAAAAAAGAAGTTCCCTGGTGTGTTTTTTAAGAGTCACAGCGGGTGGGGGGAGACCACATTGGTCTCCCCCCGCACGCTGCTAGTCTGTTGTAGTATCTGCTTGGTATTTCTACGAGGGCAATTGCGATACGTTTTACGAAGTGCTTATGTCTTACGAAGGGAAATCTGTTACACAAACGAGGTGCTTTTTTCTTACGAAGTGCTTATTTGCCTTAAGTGCTTAATTTGTAATGCGGATTTAACCTGAGAAAGGTTAAATCCGACTTGTCATAACAGGTTTTCCGTGACCCACGAGGTCTAGAATTTGTGACCCACGAGGTCTGTCATAACAGATTTGTGATGCAGGTTTTCCGTGACCCACGAGGTCTAGAATGCGAGACCCAGCATGACAGATTCTTTGAGGTCTCTATCATGCCTTTCCTGCATGAGAAACTCCCTCTCAACTTGGTCAAAAGCGGACAGCTTTTGGCACTCACGCAACACAGATTTTTGCATCATTTAGATTTAGCATGACAAGTTCTAATCTTCCAGACCCAGACATTTTTGCAGTTGATAGAATTGCCGTACACGCAAATCTGCGTGAGCGGGTTCCAGATCAGCGCTTTCACAAATATTGAGAGGAAAAATCGCCCCTCCCCATATTGAAACGGCATGCTTCCGAAAATTTGCGTTGCTGATTTGAGGTCACAAATCGCATTTGTTTTGCAAGAATAAGAAAACAAGGGCAGAAGCTTCCGCCCCATTACGGAAGCGCTTTGTCATGCTGTTGGGCCTAAAGGGGAGCCGCTTGCCATGCTGACCAACTAGACGCATACGCCCCTACCTAGCCTGGGGATCTGACTGCAATGCTTTCCTGCAAAACAAAGCTGATTTGTGTACTCAAATCCAGCATCAGAGATTTCGTTTTGATATGGGGAGGGGGGATTTTTCCTTTTGATAACAAACGTGCCGGATTCTGCGAAAAAGTCGCCTAAGCGTGGATCCCCCACACTCAGCACGCCGTTCAGCGTCGCCGGTTCGGTCTCCGGGTCGAAGATCGGTCGGGTCGCTTCTGTATCCACTGCAAGCAAGCATGCCTCCTGGAGGGTCTGTTTCTCTTCATACAGGCAGTCTAGCATGTTGCCCCGCAAAGTCTAGAAAAATGCATGGCCTAGTACTTATCAGCATCACAGACTCGCATGCAAAGGAGTTGCAAGAAAACCTGTGTTACTGGCAAAACATGCGGCACTTGTTTTGCGGCTCAATGCACGTGGACGTACAGAAAGGCAAAGGAAGCAACACATGAATGAATATTACATTCTGAAAAATCTTCCAAGCCCAGCAGAGACGATATTTGCAATGCATAGTCTAGCATGGCCTCTTCCTCTCGGGCCTTCTCCTCCGCGGCCTTTTGGTTTGCAAGCTGCATCTCCTCGGCCTGGGACTGGTTACTCGACCGCCTCGCCGCCGCGGATCGGGGCTTCTTATTTTCGGCCAGCTTGGCCTGCTCCTCCGCTTCCTTCTCCTTCTGCGCCTCCTCCTTTTTCCTCTGGAGCGCCTTGGCCTTGATGTCCGCCGTTTCGATTTGCCAAACGGCAGACTTATTGAACCCGTAGGACTATGGAAGGAAATAGTGCTGCCACCAGGGTCTACACGGTATAGAAAAAGGAAAAAAATGATAAAAAATGCGGTCAACTACATCAACCTGTCATGCTTCCTACCCTGCTTGCAGGTGCTGGTCGTCCACCCACGTGCTCATAAAAGACCAATGACTGCACGCCTACTTTGCCTAGCCACCGAGACTCACTCGTTTTACTGTTAGAAAAACAAAAATTCGATGCGCCGCATGCAGCCATTTATATTAGACATTTCGGGTAAAAGTGCATGACCGCGAGTGTGTGTTCAATTTTTTTTCCCCTTCTATCAACTCAGACACTGGCATCAAATTTCCCCCGGATAAGGATCGGAGCTGGATCTGATCTGCGGACAGTGTGCAGTCCTGGAGGATGGGGTTTATCAAATTTTGTGTGTTTCTTGATTGTTTCCGAGCTTCGCATGGCAAAACGGTCCACGCCTTGTTGAAAATGTCGTGGTTGACAAAATACTGAAAAACCGAAGTACCTGCAGACCAGGTGTGAGCACGAGGAAGTCGTAGGGCAGCAAACTCGCCTTGTCGCCCTCCAGCACCAGCGCTCTCTGCGCCCGGTCAATTTCCCTCATATCAAATGTAAAAATGTCTGGGTCTGGAAGAATGCAGCTTGTCATGCTAAATCCGAAGCATGCAAAAATCTGTGTTGCATGATTACCCAAAGTCATCCAGTTTTAACCAAGTCGGGAGGGAGTTTCTCACGCAGGATAGGCATGAGAGAGATCGCACAGAATCTGTCATGCTAGGTCCTGCATTCCAGGCTTCATGGGTCATGGAAAAGCTACATGAGAAATCGCGCATTCTTCCAGACCCAGACATTTTTACATTTGGTACCGCACGCGGTCTCGCAAAACTTTTACCCTATCACACAGAAAAGAACATACACTTCTTGCGTTGCTACTTACGGTCGTGTCACTGAAAGCTCTGTAATGCGGAGACGAGCACGACAAGGGAGACAATCTCTCTTGATGCGCTGCCCTGCGAAATACAGTTTGTGATGCGTTTATTCCCATGCAGAACTGTCAAAGAGCCTTTTTGTAAAACCAAAATCCGCAAGGCAATTTTTTCTCGTGTGCGGGAGCGGGTACAACTTTTCTGTTGGATATACCCGAACGTCCGCTTTGAGTCTACGGAGCAGCACCGGATCAATTTCGTTCCGCTATGGCGCAGAAAAAAGCTAGCAGTAGCAAAGGCAAAAAATGCAACAGCACACACGCAAAAAAAAAACGATGTGTCTTACATCACCGACACGCCCCCGCTATGGGCCAAACCATAAAGAAATATTTTTGTAAAATGTGTTTCTCCTTGCATCTTACAGCTATCGATGTGGCATGCTCGCTTTTTTCTGCGGGATATCAGCGGCCGCAAGCTCGGACTCAACGACACTCCCGATATTGGGCTGTGTTTTTGGAATTTTCTTTTTACGTTCAAGAAGATGTCCACTGCTCACTTGCGAAGGTGAAGAGCTCCCTCTGAACGGGAAAAGAAGACAAACACAGTTCAGGCGACAAAGAACAAAACTAGCGAACCCATCATGCCACATCAAACTGACTCCCACATCAACAAAAATCTTACTTCAATTCCGGCGCGACGAGCGTTAAACTGTTGAACTGCAGGTGCTGGTAATTTGGCAGCAGCAGCGACAACAAAAAACTGAGACCCGTGTGGCTCGCGCCGACCACTACTATTCGCGCGTTCACGTCCCGTTTCGGTGCGGACAGTCGCGGCCTGGCCAATAATGACAGCCCGTTCTTCTCCGCCAGTTTTCGCATTTTTTCCCGCTTCTCCGCGTCTACCTGCTGCTGCTGTGGCTCCACCGGCAGAGAAGCGAAGGAGTGTGGCTGAATTTATTTTTACAGTACTGAAATCTTAATCGCAGTAGAAAACCCTTGAATTTCTCGTTGTTGACGAACACAAATGATCTCTAAACTTAGATTGCATCGCGCTGCTGGTGCAGCGCCCACTCCCACATGACAGTCGCTGCAGCATCAATATGCACAGAGAGCACCACCACCACAGACACAAGCAGCAGAGTCCTGGTCTACAATGATCGTTCGATAAATACAGTAGTGAAACACACCGACAATAAATCAACCCAAGCCCTTATAGAGTTTGAAAAAAATCAAATGTCATACCTTTGCCTTTGCCGAAGGGGAGCTCGGCGACTGGCCGCCGTGGTGCGTGACCATTAGGCTGGGAGAATTTCTGGGTGGAATGGGCGTCATTTCCTTGACTATGGTTGACAGCGGGAGCAGGTTGCCGTCTTTGTCGACCAGTTGCTTGTAGCCCTTTCGCTCCAGGGAATCCAGTTCCTTCTTCGCGGCCTTTGCCGCCTCGGCCGCTTCCGCCTCCTATGCAAGAAAAAAAGTATGTGAGTGTAAATCTGTGATGCGGAAGGTGCAAAACTGTTATACTTGTCATGCTGGATCTGCGTCATACGCTACTTTCATACGTGTTTCCACGTACTAGCTGCGCATGACAGACTTTCCCTGTAATGCAAAGGTAATTTGTGATGCTGCTTTTCCTACACAGTTACACTTACACAGTTTTTTTCCTGGATACCTCCTGCTTTTTCTTCAACGCAATCAACTCCTTTTTTGACATGCCGGTCGGCAACTCCGGGGCAAAGGGATATGAGAATGGACAATCAATCCCCCCTAAATCCCTTTCGTTCGAAGGACAATTTTTCTATCGACATACAAACTGCAGCTTCCGCATGACATGCAAGCCCGTCCACCTACTTATCTGGACCTCAGACTGGACTCGGCATTTATTTTTTCCCCGAATGTTCTTTATACAAGTGAGAGGAGTCCTCCGGGGAGTGGTTGTACACTGACATAAGGGCGCCGCGCTGGACATCTGCCGGGATAGAGATCCCTCCTCGAAGGGACTGCCTTTGCCCTCGGTGTGGGAATATGACCGTGCACAACTAGTCCCCCTCCAGTCTCATTTTTCGAACGGTGCAGTCTAGCAACTGCAAGACAAACAACCTCCAAAAAACAGCTCATGCATGACAAATCTAAGCCGGGACTGTAGTCCAGTTTGGGCTGCCAGATGAACTTGTCATGCAAACACGGCCAAACGGCCCGGATGGGAAGTCGAAGACGAAGTTTAGACATTTTGCATGACAAATGAGAAAAAAGAGCGCGCTGTGCACTTTCATAGTGGGCTGCCGGAGTGCACGGAGCCCGCATGGTCCTCGATCGGGTCGTCTGTGATTTGCGTGGTGAGCTGCGCTATGCATTGCCAATGTGATGTCTGGGCCTGGAACAGTGCAACTTGTGATGCTCAGGGTGGTTGACACGATGAAAATTACGTGTTGCATGAACTAGAGCAAGCTTTGTCCTCTTGCTTCTGCACTTCTTCCAGACCCAGACACAGATATTTGCACTGGATAGGCGCCTCGTACAAAAAGACCGTGTTGCCGGCGATCAGCTGGCAGAGGTGGAGGATCTTCCGTCGGAAAATGTCAAAGATGGGGTTCACGAGGAAAAAGTCCACAAACGCAAAGGAATTGTACTCTGGCGAATTGACCGCCCGGTCTACTTGGTACACGCAGCGGAGCGTCTCTAAATAGTCGTCTTTCACCAAGGAGCTCCCGACGACGCTGTAGTTGCAGACGGATAAATTGAATTCAACATCTGTGATTCATTTGCATTTCCACCTCAGATGAAAACAAGTCACTGTGTTCTTTGTTTCGTCCTGATGTTGATGAATACTTTTCACTATTTGTCCTCACACAAAATTTGTTTTAGCAGCCCCTTGTTCCACATACGGACAGCGATTCTTCCGACGGCGACCTCTATTGCCGCCGGCACAACTTGTTTCAAACTCCTATAATTGCGACACCAAGTAAAAACAAATTTACGCTTGTACTTACCCGATGACTTGATTGTCAAATTCGACGACGAAGGTTTGCGCGTCGTCGTCTAGTAAAGCCGCTTCTACCGTGTTCGCAATAAACTCCCCATCTTTTAAATCCATGCCGTCCAGAACCGTCGTATCAAATAGAAAATAGTAGCCAGCAATGACAAGAATTCAATTTGTGGTGTTGCAAAAAAGGCAGACAGAACATCGACCCAGCACAAAGACCACTTATAGCCGGTTGCAACTCCATGGGCTGCTTGCTGCCAACGAAAGATGTGCTTATCGTTGTTCTTGTTTTTCTATGTGCAATAAAGCCCGCACCGCGATCCAATGTCGTTGCGAGTAAAAACCAAGTTCCTGTTTGATACGCCGCCACCCGGTCCAGATCCGCTTCTCCCTCCAGCATCCTGACCGTTGGCGTTAAGCTCGCTGTGCAGCAGGCTCGGTGCAACACGAACAACACGTGGCCGAAGGTGTTGGATGGTTTCGGGGGCACCATGCTAAAGGCTTGGAGAAAGGGGGTGATCTGCAGTTTTTTATTTTCGTTGTAGAAATTTTTTTCCCTTAGTTACCCTTCATCATCTCCTTCATTGCCTGTCACAAAATACCTCTTTTCGCATGAGATAATCACGATGCAAAAGCTTTCACTGTGTACCGAAGATCACGAACAAAAAAACTTCAGTTTTACCTTGCTCGTGTGCGGCTGTGTGATTACGCAGTAGTCCTTGTCTGGAAACAGTGCAAAGGCCGGCAGGAGGAATATGCCCCGCTCAGCTGGAACTATAATCTGAAGCTGAACTGGAAGAATGTGTTGCATAAAGCGTAAAATAGTCATCCTCAACATCCTCTGCTTTCTCGTTCTCCCGCTCAGCATGACAATTTTTCGGGGCGGATTTCCACATGGAGAGGAATGTCAGAGGTTTGTGATACTACACTCGATGATAGCTAGACAGACATGACAACGCGCGTTTTGCATCACAATTTTTTGTTCCACCAGAGTCTGTAGTTCCACCTGAGCAGGCCGTAAGGAAGTCCGCGCTTCGATGCGCGATGGCTTCGTCTACACAGAACAGGTTCACACAGAAGAAGTCCTTCATCACATCTGGAACGCCGAACAACCTGGATCGTCGTGATATTACGTAGGTAATGTTTGAGTAATACTTCAGATTCTGATGATGATGTGGTGCGATAAATTTAAGTACAAATAGTAGATACAACGAGGCAACTGGTTGCAGTTGCAAAATTTATTTATCTTTCGTGCTACAGCAGCGGGTTGCTGGAGCTCTGTGTCTGTACCTAGTTGTAGTTAGTACTTGTGCATGGATGAGAAAAACAAAGGAATTGTTCCGGTCTCTGTCTGTACCAGCTCGAGCTCTGGTGGTGGTTGATGAAAATGTCGTCCTCCTTTTTCACGATGGCTTCCAGACAGTTCTTCAGGCTCTCCGAGTCCACCTGGTCGATCGCCGAGATGCAGTTGATCCCCTCGTTTTCCGTGGACCACCAGTGAACCACGAAGAGCAAGTCTGTTGCCTCTTCGCGCGTCAGCAGCGGTGGTGTTTTCTCGTCCATGTTCTCGATATTTTTTGGGTCCAGGAGCTCCTGGTAGTCTTGGTTCTTTTTCTTGCTGTCTTTACTCCCCTTTTTCATGATCGAAGCCCGTCGCTGGTCCTTCTGCGCGTCCTCGAGCGAAGTAGTCAGGTGGTAGAGTAATTTACCAAACGTTACCTGTCGTGAACATGTCTTTTTTTTGCTGGCTGTACTTCCGTATTACATATGCTTTCGCGTCAACATGGTGCTGAAATTTTTCACAGAACTAAGTAGTTGCCATGCAAAAATGACACCACTCAGATTTAAATGCTTACCCTCGGCACAATTCCTCGTTCTGCCCTTGGTACATTGATGTCGTAGCTGTCCAAGTCGTTACTCCCCTGCATCGGATATCCCGTACAAAATAAGCATCGCCTAGGCACAACGATAATACTGTAGCTACGGGCAACTGAGTACATAACATGCTTTTTGTTCTTGCAGGAAAAGAACTTTGTTCGCAGCGTGGTACTACCCGATAATTGTCCTGTTGCAGCTGCGCCGTCACTTTTTCATCAAATTGCGCTGGCAGAAAGTTATCACTCATGCAAGAAGTGCGTCCTCTGACAGTATGGAAAAAACAGTTTCTCTTGCGATGCATATCGGGCTCACGTCGCCGTCGCCCTCCTTTTATCCTGAGTAAAAACGTACCCACACCAGAGTCCAGATGGGGATTTTGCAACACAAACCTAGGAGTTTTGTGAGTCACGCATGACAAGTTGCACTATGCAGTGTAGTGCAGGTTAGCAAGTTCAGCCGCGTCACAGATTCATCTGCTCATCCTGTTCACAGCATCACAAATTCCAAAACACGATTGGAAATGGCACTCATGGGGATGCACATTACAAGTCTTCCTGTCTTTGCAAATCTGCATTACAACTCTGGTGTGGGTACGTTTTTACTCAGGATACCTTTGCCCGCTTCTTCTTGTCGATGGACTCCAAGTCTCGCTTTATCCTGTCTAAACACAACAACGACCTCCGAACCCTCTAGTCGAGATTTTGATCATTCCAGAGGTGGTTTTAGAAACTCCGCATGACAAATCCCCTCGACAACACGTAGTGTGGTCGTGCTCAGCTGGTGTAACAGTCGCAAAACTCGGCTTTTTTTTCCTAGTTGAAAAACTTCAAGCAGGACAAATATATTTCTAAGACGACTTTCCAAACGCAGTCGCAAAAAGACTGTCGTGGGGAACTGCAGCTCAGCTTGTTAAGCTGGGTCGTTGTACTCTGCTTGTATTGTGCAAACTTGCATGACGAGGACTCACGACTGGAGGTTGTAGGTTGCTTTTTACTCAGGATACGCTTTTCGGATTCCGACTGGTCCGCGGCTTCTTTTACGACCCAGAAGGTCTCGTACATTTTATCCCACTTGTCGAGGATGTTCTGAGCTATGGCCCGCCGGGCGCCGATGTCTGTTAATGGTGAGAATTTTGGCAAAATTGTTGATTCACGATTGTTGCCTTTTATTTTTGTGGTGCAAGAATGAGCAAGCGCCACGGGGAATCAACAACTTGGCTTTTAGTCCCGAGGACGAGGAGCAACCACGCGTCTACTTGGTACTAAATTTATAATGCACGACATCTACTTCAAGGAAAAATCGCAGTCTTGGTACAAAAGACGACCCTGAGTTTGTTCTCTTTTTACCGTATTTCTTCATTCTTCTGGCCAGTCGGTGTAGCTCCTCAAACCGCAGAAACGTGTTCGCTTCGATATAACCTGCTCAGATGTTACAATCTCAAACGTTGCAATAGAGTATGGAAATCTGTGATGCAAGAAGTGTATGATCTAGCCTCTTGCCACAGGATTGCGCATGACAAGTTTCGGAGCTCCAAACCGCGCTATAATCTGGCATAATTTGTATTGCAGAAAGTGGAACGCTCTGCGAGTCTGTCATGCTCATCATGCAAGACAAATCCCAGACTCTATTGCAACGTTTGAGATTGCAACGTTTGAGCAGGTCATATTCGATGCGCGGAGTCCACCACATCTGGTGCCAAATTCCGATCGTGTATGAATTGCAAAAGTATCGTACTAGTATAAATCGCATGACAACTCTCGTCAGCATGAGAAAGAAAATTTGTAGTGCGGATTTAACTTGAGAAAGAAATTTGCATTGCATGAATGCGATTAGTACGAGCACGATACTTTTGCACAGGATATCATGATCGACTCGGCGATGTCGATGTCGGCTCGCGTGTACTTGTCTCCGTACTCTTGCGTGCGCAACGCGTTCAGCAACTGCATCGCGGTTACGCCCTCGGGTTCTTCGTGGTCTTCGGTTTGAAGCAGAATTAAGTTACTCACAAACATCTCCAGCTCCATACCCTGCAGGGCCGCCTGGAGGTAGTCACCTGATAATGAATGTCGGTAAGATCTTCGTATGACTTACTGCCGCTGACGAGTTGTAACGTCAAAGCGTACGCATACGCACTTCAACTTCAACTTCTTGCTGAGCATGAGGAGAAATAAAGATAACAAACTGCACAAGAACTTCTACCGCCAGTACTAAAATAGCGCATATCACAGAAGAACTTCGCCGACACATTCATAATTACCTCGACAGAAACTTTCGTCCTCCCCGGCCGCTGCCCGTTCCTTTTCCATTTGCGCTTTTACCTTGGACCAGTATTTCCTCTTCAACAAATTGTCGTAGGGCAACAACTATGCGTTGCAAATTATATGTCTGGGTCTGAAAGGACGCAAGGTCTGTCATGCTTGTCTGGCATGACTGAAGAGTTTGTCATGCGTGTCTGAGAAGAGACCCTTTTTCTTGTCATGCGAAACGCAGTTTGTCATGCGGAAACCGCAGCACTAGGCAGCGCAAATCAAATACTTCTCATGCTTGGCTTTGCATTGCAGAGAATTCACTATTAACAAATCAGCATTACAAGTTTCTAGACCCAGACATGATATTTGCATTCCATAACAACTCAAAGCACTGCGCCAGTACGTTGGCGTCCACGTCGCTATCCACAGTAAATTTCCCGTACACGTACAAATGCCGTCTCTGCATGACAAAACTTGCCTTCAATCGTAGTCCAGCATGACAAGTTGGACTATGCAAGGTAGCGAAATTTGTCATGCATTTTGTACATGTACAGGAAATTTACATTGCATAGTCGCAGGTGAGGCAGCACAGCCCCACCGCCCGCCCGGTTTCGTCGGACTCGGCGACGTATTGAGAGGAAAAATCCCTCCTCCCCACATTGAAAAGGCGTGTTTCCGAAAATTTCTGTTGCTGATTTGAGGCCACACATCACATTTATTTTGCAAGAAGGCAAGGGCAGAAGATTCCGCCCCATTATGGAAGCGATTTGTCATGCTGTTGGGCCTAAAGGGGAGCCGCTTGCCATGCTGAACAACTAGACGCGTACGCCCCTACCTAGCCTGGGGACCTGACTGCGATGCTTTCCTGCAATAGAAAGCTGATTTGTGTACTCAAATCCAGCATCAGAAATTTCGTTTTGATATGGGGAGGGGAGATTTTTCCTTTTGATACGACGATGGCTTTGTTCTCCTCGTTCTGGGCCTCCATCAGCTCGGCCAAAAAGATATCAAGTGTAAAAGTGTCCGTGTCTGGAAGGATGCAAGGTTTGTCATGCACATTTTTCATGACTCCTGATGCCTGCTCTCTCGCCGACTCCTGATGAGAAATGCCCTCTCGCCGTGGCCAAAACCAGACCTCTTTTGCTGTTCATGCAATACAGATTTTTAGATAATGCAGACGCAGCATCACAAGTTGCATTCTTCCAGACCCAGACATTTTTACATTTGATAAAAGAAATCGCCGTATACCTCGGTTACCACCTCCGATTGTTGGTTAAAGACCGCGGTGTATCAAAGGCAAATATCTTTGGGTCTGGAAAATAAATGTGGCTTGGCTTACATTCATCCCGTATGACCAACGCAGATGACGCGAGCTCTTTTGACATACAAATGAAACGCAGTTTCTACATGCACACTGAGAATGACGGAGCGCCGTCCCAAAAATTCTTCCTGCTCGCATTCACTCAGGAGTGCTCATCCTCAATCATCGCCAGCACGCAGCATCACAGGTTTCTAGACCACCCAGACATCTTTGCGATGCCTACGACCAGACTATCGTGGTCTTCTCCCTTCGCCATGCGGATTTTTAGTGGCTGGATATACTTTTTCTTCTCCGTGGTCAGTACCTTCACGCAGTCCGCAGACCTATACGCCCGGTTCACCCACGTGGCCACCTGGTCGGCGCTCGGCATATGGGAGCGTCAGGATCGAAATCGACAAAGTTGAAATAATGATTTGCCATGCATAAAACGGATGCCAATTGCGTTGTAACCCAGTTTCCAAGTGGCGCATGACAAATCTGAGTAGAACCGAAATCCAGTTTGTCATGCTGTTTGGGTAAGGAAGACGCTTTCTGTCATGCTGCTTTAGCAGCTCAGTTTCTACCCCTCAACACGCTTACAGTCTGCCTCACTTGCCTACTCTGCATGACAGGCACTTTGTGGGCTGCATTTTATGCATGGCAAATCGTTTCAACTTTGTCAATTTCGATCCTGACACATCCATACGGCACCGGAGTGAAATAGTTCCCGTCCTCGGAAAAAAGGTGCGCGGCTTGGGACTTGCGCTCCACCTAGCAATTGTGTGATCGTCCAAGCTTCTTGTTTTTGTATGATCGATCATTGAAAAATGAATTTTTAGCGATTTTTTCACATGCATGAAAAAACACCATCGAAAATAACGTCGGCTAAACAGGATTCTTATTGTTATTTCTGATGCGGTGCATTTTCACTTATTTTTCTTCTACAAAGAAAATAAAGGATGAAGCTGCACTTAATACTTCTTGTAAATGCATGTTTCTCACTCGTCAGTTCTATCTATTATACCGCAAACAAGTATTCGACGCACATCCTTGGTTGTGAAAAGACGAAGGTGCAGACTTGCTTCACGTACTCGGTTGTTAGGTTGATGTGGTCATTGAGCCACAAACTGTTTCCCAGGGAGTAATTTTGATGTTTTTCCGTGGGTTTATCAAATGCAAACATGTCTGGGTCTGGAAGAGTGCGCGATTTGTCATGCAGCTTTTCCATGACCCATGAGGTCTGGAATGCAGGACCTAGCATGACAGATTCTGCGCGATCTCTCTAATGCCCATCCTGCATGAGAAACTCCCTCCCGACTTGCTCAAAACGGAACGGCTTTTGGTAATCACGCAACACAGATTTTTGCATGCTTCAGATTTACCATGACAGGTTGCATTCTTCCAGATCCAGACATTTTTACATTTGATAGGGTTTTACCCGGGACAGCCACAAGTCCGCGGACACCATGTCGCGGACTTTGTAGGCGTTCACACCCGGACAGGCTTCCAACGCCACATAGGCGACGATCTTTTCGTCCTCGAGGACGACAAGCGACAGAAACTGGGTGTCCAGCACGTACAACAGCTCCTTCGAGGATTGCAACGTGGTCGTGGACAGCGACTTCCCCGTGGCAACCTCCTCCCGTAACGCGAGCAGCGCATCCTGGTCGTGGACCGCGTCTCCCTATGGATTGCAAATATGTCTGGGTCTGGAAGATTGCAACTTGTCATGCAGATTTTACATGACCCGTGACGTCTGTGATGTATTCTCTAGCATCACATATTTTCTGAGTACTTCTTGACGCCTATTCCGCATGACAAATGGCCTCCCCGCGTAGCACAAACTGGACTCATCTTGCTGGTCATGCAATACACATTTTTCCAGAGTGCAAAGTTAGCATAACAAGCTCCAACTTTCCAGACCCAGACATATTTGCAGCTGATACCGCCCGCCGGACGCGGATCGCGGACGAGCCGCTGCTCGAGGACGCCATGGACGCTGCTCTAAATCTTCACTCGTTCTGATCGCTTGTACCGGACCACAAACTAAGGTTGGTTTTGTACAGATTGGCAGTAATTCAACACGTCAGTTCCGAAAATAACTACGAGGTCACGACAGAGATGTGACGATGTTGGGTGCGATTCAACATAATTTCAGATACGATTTTTAGTACCAGTATGTACTCATCACAGCGCTCCTACTATGTATTAAACTCCGGTGGCAAGCACCGCGAGATCATCTTCACGCTAATCGACAACGAAAACGGCCCCCAGAACGAAAGAGATCTTTTGAAGATGCAAGCGATAAAACTGCACTCATCTGTAGTTCTATCTCATAGACGAGCGAAGAAAAACACATCTCCTCAAGCCGCTCGAAGCCCCTCTCATCAACTCCTTCTTCGATCACTTTACGAACGCATAGCGAGATCAGCATGCTCTCATTCTTCGGGGTGAAGATGAAAAAAAAAACACCAAGAACATCGAACGTGTCGCGTTATCATGGTCGATTGTCGTTCCTGATGATAGATGTCGCCACACCGCAAGATCAAGGGCGGTGGAAAAAGAAAAACTACTTCTCAGAGTGCCTATATAGGTATAGCATACCTTTTTCATGATCTTGAATCGACGTGTCAAATTCTGAAGAGTCGCTTTGAATTTTTTGTGCACTGTTCTACGACATTTCGCGATGATATTCCCTTCAGCCCGGCGATGACCTCGGCAACTTCGATCATCCGGCACGGCTCATTTCTGGACTTGAGCATCATGCCGCGTTCCAGTTTCTTTTTCGAGACTGGAAAAGACTCCAAAACTTGCCGCGCTTTCGTCAAATTTTCATCTTCTTTCTCGCCTGCCAAAACTATTTCTTGCTCGTTCGTAGGACCTGCAGTTCTTCCTGGTTGTGAAGATTTAGACGTACTTTTGCTGCTAGTACTCATCAACTTCTGCAAAAACTGGTGCGAAAAGTGTGTCGGGCGGATGTCGCAGTAGGGGCAGTCCGTTTCCAGGTGTAGCTTCTGCAGGGGGATCTCCTTGACAACCGCGCAATTCTATTACCGTGAAAAGTGCCCCCCACCCATGAAATTGCAGAAGTTTGTGATGCGAACTTTCCAAATGAAAAATTTTTGTCATGCATGAAAGGAATATGAATCTTTCTGATGCACAGTCTAGGCGTGTAGGTGTATCGCATTGCTTGCATGACAAGCGCCGCTCTTGCTGGGGTCTTTTGCAATACAAATTTTTGCTATTCACGATTGGAAACCTGTGATGCTGATAGATGCAAGAGAGCGAATGTTTCATTTGGATAGGTTTGCAATACAAATGCTCCCAAGTTCGGGAGTGGGGGCATTATTTTTCATTGTAATAAATTATCTTCCGTCTTCAGGGAGCACCCGTTGATGCCGATTTCGAAATATCAAACGCAAAAATGTCTGGGTCAGGAAGGATGCAGCGGTTTGTGATGCACCTTCGGCATCACCCAGAAGAACTACCATGCACGGCCTAGGATCACAGGTTTTGAGAAGGTCTCTCAATGCGTAATCCGCATGACAAGGCCCTTCTTTCGGTGGCCAGAACGGTGGAACTTTTGGCTTCCATGCATGACAGATTTTTGTGTGATGTGAAGTGCGCATCACAAGTTCGCATCTTTCCAGACCCAGACATATTTGCAATGCATACGAAACCGGAATCGACAATCTCCCGCATTTCCGCGAGGGACCCCGTGAACGAGTGGACCACGCCGGTGAGCGTTACCAATGGAGAAGGTGAGATCGAGTCTGGTGCTGTGCATGATGTTGTTGATGTGCCTCCACTAGTACTATCTTCGAGCGCTTTATTGATCGTCGTGGTTCTCTCCTTGGCGAAGACTTTTTTCTCCTCTTCAAGAATCTCCACAAGGTCGGGCCAGCAACCCTCCCCTCGGCAATGGAGGTAAAAAGGTATGGGGAGATAATGATCATCAGCATACGCGTGGTCCTCGCCTGAGTTTATTATAGTCTTCTGATCGTGGTCCGCCTCCTTGTTCTGGGAAGAGGCTACTGGCGGGAAAAACTTCTCTGGTGTCATGCTCAAAGCGCATCTGACCTGCATTCTAAACCCAAATTGCTGCTTTTCCTTGTCGCAAAAGTGCAGCCGGTCGTAGTCCAGGCCGAACTCCCCCCAGGCGACCACGCGCTCCCGGTTCTGCTCGATCAGTTGCCGCAACTCTGCCAAATGCACCTCCGGGTCGAAGTCGCTGCACCGGGTCGGGTGGATCCCGATAGTTTGGAACAGTTTCAGATTTTTCCTCCTCGATGAAGGTAAAATTTCTGTGCCGTTCGGGCTTTCGTCCGGCGCACACCCATTTGCAGCTTCATTTGTTGTTCCAATAATCGGGTCGTACTGGGCACAAATTTCCAACGACTTCTTGCAGTCCTCGTTGTTGCCCCCGCATATCACGAAGGCTTCCACATCCGCCTCGACCGCCCGCTGGATAACTAGATCCAGATCCGGGTCGTACTTGCCGCGACCGTGAAACGCCTCGTCCGTGATATTGAACGCGATGTCGATCATTCTGGCGAGAAGAAGCACAACTAGCGTACTTACTATCGGTGTAGTGCTGGTATTAACAGTCTAGGTAGAAGGAGCAGTCGGGAGAGAAGTAAAAACGAGGAAAGATGAGAAATGAAATAACAGATTGCTGGCTCTGCCGAATGAGTATGGACGCAGAAGTTTTTGAAGCGGCTCCGGGTGGGTACCGAGCAAGTTACTGTCAAGAACGGAGGCACGAATAGGATTCCATTTACAAAGATCGCACTGATGGGCACTTGATCCAATTTCTGGAACGTCAAGGCTTGGTCCATGATCAGAGAACACCAACACCAGATGGACCGTTTGTCTGGGCGGTCGCATGCTTTTCTTTGATCAACAGCGCTGACGAAAATAGTCTTGCGCCTGCAGCCTGTACCAGCTTCACGCGCTACACTTCAGCAGAAAAGAAAGCTTAATCCTGCGGCTGTGTGCCTCTATGGGCCAAGGCCTACTTGGGAAAGCGATCGATGCCGGCGCATCGCCGACACCAAACGGGCAGCGGGGCCCCGGCTGCCGCCATCCCCGCGCGCCGGGGCGCGGGGGTAGCGCCGGCGGCCCGGGCCCTTGGCCCGCGCGCTGCGCCGGTGCCCTGGCTTACTGACCGGCGCACGGGGCGGCCCCGCGGGCCGGGGAAAATGCATGCCGGCGGGGCCCGGCTAAGTTTCGCGCCGGGCACAGCCGGGAAAAGCCGCGACCGCCTAGCCAAGTTCCCGAGGCTCTGCCGGGCGGGCGCCTGCCTGTCTAAAAAATCGGCGGGCCTCGCAATATTCCTCCAACCTGCTGAACCCGCATGGGCATCGCCCGCCGGCCTGAAGTGCAGCGGGATAACGCGGGCCCGCTTGCCCTTCTTGCCGTTCCCGTCGGGGGCGCGTGACGTCTTCGGGCTTTCGCGGATTCCCGCACTGTGTTCGCACGCCCCGAGGCAGGCGCTTCACGCCGAGCGCGTCGGCTGCCTCTCAAGACGCCCCTACTCTTCTACGCGTCTACTTCTCCCACCGAGGCAAAGTCCCCGGCAAAGCGCAAACGTCTTCCCAAATAGAGGCGGGCAGCTGCAACGAGTCAGAAACAAACTATAGAGAGCGCATCTACTGCGCGTGGCAGTGGCGCTCCTTTTTCCTTTTCTTCGTTTTCTCTTTTTGATCACGAAGCCGGCCCGGTCCGCTTGGAGGCGAAGCTGCTGCGCCGAAGGCTGCAACGCCGGCACGCCCGGAGTGCCGCGAGCCGTCCCCAGCGCGGCGGCCCTTTGCTGTCGCGCCGGGCCCGCCATCAGCGGATCGGGCCGCTTTTTTTTTCCTCCGGGCCGGGGAGAGGGAAAGCCTTCCCCCAAATTGCGCCAGGAAGTCCCCGAGCCGGTCGCGCTCGCGCTGGGGGGACCAAACGCGAAGCGGCCCACCTCTTCGCGCCAGGCTTCCATCTCCTTGCCCATGCCTTTCGCTCCCATTTTGCAAACAGTACGGACGCGATCGGCCAGCCCGTCCAACTCGCCACCATCCTAAGCGATAAAAGTCGCCTGCTTGTTCAAAAAGTCAGAGAGTTTTGCGGCGAGCTCGATCGCGGCCGTCCCGGTCTTCTGTCCTCCCAGTACTACCGCCACCCCAGACGCGCCAGCAGCGGACTGCTTTCCAAGCCGGCACAGGTCGCCCTTCTCTTGTACTACTTCCAGCCTTTGTTCCCCTTGCCAGAATTGTCTTGCCGGGAATTCCGTGATCATCGGAGAGGGTTTGCCGGCTGCATTAGGCCTCCGGCCCGCCGGGCTTTTTCTCTTCATTGTCGCGCCCCCTGGCTTCGTAGCACGCCGCGAACCCTTCTGCTTTTTCTTGGAGCGTGTAGGGGGGGGGGCCGGAGCCGAAGCGCGGGATAGGCATGCGCGTAGGGCTTTGGCGCGTTCGTCTGCCAACGCCCGCCCTTTGTTTCGAAGTGCGCGGAGCCCAGCCGGCAGGTCTGCTCTCTATCCAGCTTGTAACTTTGGGCGTGGCTGCTCCACTTTTCCCGCTTGATCGCCGCGGGCAGCTGGAGCGCCTCCCCCATTCTGCCTGCGCGCATCATGTCCACCACAGCAGGGAAGGGCGCGCGCCTCGCTATCCCGTGGCCCTTGGTGCGCTTAAAATCGTCAGCGGCCTTCTGTACACATTTCCGGCCTGCATTATGGAGCAAACGCCCTTCCTCTCCCCGGGCCGGGCCTGATAGATTCCTCGGGCCGGCGGCGTGATCGCCTGCCGGCCTGATCAGCGCGGGCATAGAACGGCGGCGGTAAAACGCGCGCGGGCCGCCTCTTGATCTTGCCTGCCAGCCGATTCAAATCACGCAGCACGCCGAACGCTGGCACCGAAGCAAAAGCAGCGGCCCGGCTCATTTCGAGTGCGCCTTACGGATGGCCAGGGTCCTACAAAGGAAGGCCGACGGCGCAGCGCGGGGCCCTTTTCCGCTGGGGCCCTTTGCTCCGGGCCCTGTGCGCTGCACCGATGAAACCACGCCAAGGGCCCTGCTCGCGGGGGCGCGGGAAAGGGTGGCGCGACGGCGGAAATTGACGGGCTTGCTGGGCGTCTGGCGGTATAAGGGCGCGGCGCTCGACGCCGGCGAGCTTGTCGACCTGAAAAGCCCCCGCCGCAGGCTTCCTGCTCGCGGCCCGCGGCTTCTTTTGCCGGCAGTGCCCCACAGCCACACACGCAGCGGCCGGAGGCCCCGCCCAGCACGCGCAAGGGGCAGCGCGGCCGGCTCCGGTGCGCCCGCATTTGGCCAAAGCGCCAGCGAGCGCCCGGGAGCAGTCAGCGCGCACATGCAAAGGCGGCGGCTTTCGTCCTTGGGTGCCTTATCCACCTCGCCGGAATTCCTGGGGCGAGGCGGCGGAGCTGCTTGCTCCGCTCTTATCCCTCGGCGGAATTCTGCGACCGCATCTTCTAACTCCCGCCTAGTACTCCATGAAAAAATATTAGCGCCCAGCAGCCAAGCCTCATCCTTCCAAGCTTCCTAACCAACAGGAGAACACGCATATATCATCCGAAAACTCGACACGGATGCCAAGCGAAACAGTTGCTTTTTCCGCCTTACCACTCTCGTCTTGCGCTGTATTTCAAAAAATTCTCTTCAGAAAGATAGCATCTACATGTGGTCTGCGTGATCATCTGCTTCTGCTACAAGAGCAGCAAACTTCGTTGTTCCTTGGGCCTCAGAACTATTCAAAATAGTGCTTCATCTTCATCTTCATCCAGCTCAAGTGTGATGCACTGTCGCAATCCCTGAATTTTTGTTTTTCGAGCAAGAAGTAAAATGCTCCATCATCTCTGCCCGCCGAGAGGCTGACGAATCAACAGATGCTCCTGTATTCTCTGGTAAAGTAGTCGTGTCGTTTTTACTTGGTATAGAATCCGAGTCCCCGCCCATCCTCCGTGGTGTGAAACTACGTTGTTGTAGGTACAGCATTAGTTCTCTTCTTCACTGTCCACCCACTCCAGTCCTACATTGTGACTACTTCACCCTGTCCAAGCACTCCCACATTGTGATACTTGAGCCGCGAATTACCACCATGCCGATTTCGTATTTCTCCGTCGGAGATCGGATTTCCACTGCATTGTCCAGGACAATGTTCATGAAAGTGTCGTACCTGGGTTTTTCATATTCGTGTTGCAAAGTAAATCATAACGGTGGGGTACTACAGGACGATTCTCTGCTGCACGTCGTAAGATGCAAACTTATCAACCTCACAATGAATAAACAAGAACTCTACCCTCTCAGGATGCCCACGACGTGCCGGTTCCCATTCAGATGCATGTCCAGTCGCTTCTCCATGAATTTGCGCAAATCTGCGCCACCCGGGGCTTTTGCGGTCGACATTTCTTCTTTTCTCGGATGGAACTAGTACGAGTACTGCTGTGGTACACAAGTGTGATTGAAAAGAAACTTCTTTATAGTGAAATATGCGTATTTCTGTCGCTAGTATCGTATGTGAATAAGTATTCCTTCGTGGCCGCCAACCTTGGTTTCGTGAAATCTAGGTGACTTCTATTTCAAGCGAAGATCAACCTCACTGTATATATGGATTACAGTTTTTCATGTATCTTCACAGAAAACAAGCTACGAAATTAAAAAGCGCAAAACATCACTACTTTTGGCCGCCAGTACTTTCGCCTCATCTGCGCAAAATGCGACATCAAGATCTTTGCGGAATGATCATTATTTTCACTTCGTTGGTTATGATTCCAGTTGATCTTGATCATGATCGTTCCTACACCAAAATAAAAACTGTCTGCCGCGGCAATCACGCCGCAACCTTTACAAGAATAAAGTTGTGGCGCGTAAAACGCGACAATATGCTTTTTGCACTACTAGCGCTACAATCGCATGAGAAAAAAGCGAGAATAGCGACTCTGTAGGGCATAAAATTCGACAGAACTTTTCCTATCAAGGATCTTGGATCGTGTAACAGCACGGAACAGGAACAGAAAACTCTCTCCTTCATTCAGAATGGCTGTACATACTTATCATCTGGTATGACGAACAATCTCTCATGCGATGAAAAGATCTTGCTGACAATCCGAAGGAACATTTCCAGCACGTGCAGCCGGTACTCTCGTTCTTTGGATTCGTATTTTATTAGAATTTCGAGCCTACTTGTTTGGATCATTGTCATTGACATTGTACACAACATAGGTTCAGCAAAATGGTTCATCAAGCGGAAATCAATTCTATCAGATACCGTTCGTAAGGACATCCATACAACTACCCTTGCGCCTCCTAGTACTATTCTACAGTTAACATTGTTCGGCGTGTTATAATTGCACGGAGGGATCCGGATCTACTCCCTCTTTGCAAATTCTTAAAACACTTTTGATAAACCATTGTACAGATGATTTTTGTGTCAATCATTAATTTTAATTATTGAGAGGCCCAGGAAATAAAAGCATTTTGCGATGGTACCACGAAGCAAAGATAAATCAAAACGGAAGTCAAGTAACTTTGACGTTCGAGCACATCGTCTATTTCTACCCCTTTCTATCCCTAATTGCCCCCAAACTGCGGAGAATGCGGAAACTGCACGAACGCCGTGCTCGGCGGCCGCTCGCCATTTTGCATCGCCTCACGGCGCGCCATCAGTTCTCGATGCAGTTTTTGGTTGTGCACCTGTACCCGGTGGTTCTTTTTCGAGGGCACGCGGCTTGGTATTTGCGATTGCGGATTACTGGGGTGGTAGTTCGATGCGACTCCAGCCACAAACTTCCTTCCCGCGAGCCTCGCGGCCCGGTGCTCCTCGACCGGTAATTTCATCCCGTGTTTTCTGTTATTTGCCACGTCAACGGAAGATGCCGGCGCTCGGATGCAGGCGACGGGGTTTGGCGCTGGATAATGGGGGCTCGTATTAGTAGTGTGCGGTTTGTCCGCTGGGTTGTTGAGATTTTGATTTCGCTGTTGAAAAAACTGCTCAAAATATGCAAGAAAAAAACTGTGCAAGTATGTAGGCTGCAATGCCATAAAGTATGTAAACTTGTCGTGCTGGCCAGCAGCCATGCGCTCCTCCTTTCACGTGTGTGTTCTTCATGTACTACCTCCGCATGACAGGCCTTCTCTGTCATGCAGATTAAATTTGTCATGCTGTCACTTCAAGAAACCCAAACTAGCACAGTTTTTTCCTTGGATACGAAATTCCTGATCCGCTGAGCCGTCCGGACAGGGCGGTCAGTAAAGCGGCTCTTAGGCTCATGCTGATGCTTGTTGTGCCAGTCCAATTGCTGCTGCTGCTGATGATATCGTGCCGATGAAGACGAGGCCACCTTGTCACCCCGCTGCATGGCTACTTCCTGGGGAAGCTGATGCGCTGTTGATGGCGGTGGATTCTTTTTCATCGCTACTTTTATGCCCGGCGCATTTTTTCTGTTGTCATGCAGTCTGCCGCTACTAGCTCTCGGCGTTGCGCTTCGGGCCGAGGTTGGAATGCCCACACGGGCAGAACTCGGACCGGACGGAGGATTAACAACTTCTGAGTCTGTAGCCGCGACGGCCGCGCGTGCAGACAGAGCTCGACGGGAGGAGGTATCATTTGCGGATCCGGGTCTGCTGCTCCTGTGCGAAGTAGGAGCGATTCTTGCATTGAAATCGTATTTGCAATTCATCAGGTTGTGTCGGCACGCAGTGGTGCTGTCTACAACCGGCTTTGGAAAGGGAATTCGCGGGATTAACCTTGCGGGTTGCAGCTTTTCCTGGATCAACAGTGGAGGCACGCCGGGTGGTTCAGGTTCTCCTGTTTCTGGTGCCAGGAGCGCTTGCGCGGTCGTGTGGACTGGAACTACAACTCCGGCAGTCGCTGACTGCTCAACCTGATCTTCTACCTCATGATGCGCGTCGTAGTTCTGCTCCCCTGTGGTCCGCTCTTTTCGTACTTCTGCTGCGTGAGAAGGACTACAAACCCGCCCGTCTGTGTTGCTGTTTGCTCTTTCCGCGATTCTTTTCTCCATGACCCTCTCTCCGTAAATCTTCGCCGGGTAAATGCGAGACTTCGACACACGTACAGCAGTTGCGGTGGTTGAGGAGACGTTGTCGAAAAACGTCACTTCCGCGAGTTCGTGTTGTTGGCCTCCGCCTGGGATCACATTTATTACCGCTGGTTCTTCTTCTTCTTTTTCTTCTCCACGTCGCTCCCCGAGCACAGGTTCTAGTTGATGAGCGGCTTGTAAAAATCCAACATCACGCTGCACTGGCTGCTGCACGGGCCGACTCTCCGTATGCGCAGTGGATGAAAAAGGAGAGACCATTCCACCGTAGTTTATTGACTCGCCTGCTTCCCTCATCACAGGCGGCTTCGCAATGTTGTACACGTTGTGCAAAACCTGCTGCGTCCTCTTGCGGTTAGTATAACAAGCACCGTCCGCGGTTTGCGGCCGCTGCTGCTGTAATATGTTGCCTCTTGGACGATCTCGCTCATCCTGGTTCCTATAATTCTCACCGATATTAATACCGCCTGAACCACTACCGGGACTACTACCCGGACAAATAATCGGATTGCTGTCCACGTCGAACATCCGACTCAACCTGACCTGTCTTGAACTATTCCCGCCGTAGGCCGCGCACGCAGTCCCCGGACGACGCGAAGGCCTTTCGCCGGCGGGCGGGGGAAAGGGAACGGAGAATGGTGTTGCGCCACTTGTTGCGTCGTCGTTGTCCTGATTTGTGTTGTAGTTGTGTTGAACGTTTTTATTGCCCATGATGATGGAAGACACTAACGCGACCTTCGGTTTCAACTGTTCCGCAAGCAGAATGGTCTGGCAGCTGCTGTCCTTCGTTTCTTTTGCTGTTATTTGTTGTTCTTCTCGACGTCCTCGGGCTTCAACATGATCTCCGCCTCCTGTTTCATCCACATGCGTAGAAGTTCTATTTCTGCTTGTAACCACCACGCGCCCGTCCGCAGTCGCCGGTCTTTGTCGCGAGGTAGGAGGTTCTTGTTCTGTCGAGGCTAATATTTTTCCCTGTTCGTCTTTTTTCTTTTTTCCAACAACAATTTTCTCCTCCTGCTCCTCACCCCCACCATTTTCTCGGACCGTGAAAGCGGTTTGCGGGCGGTTTTTTCTGACATGATCCCAATACCGTGCTTTGTTCCGCAACACGTCACTGCTCCAGGGCCGCGGACTGGCGCCCTCGATGTCGTCGTTTCGCAGGGGGTTCTTATAAGTGTTGCTGTCGCGCCGCACAACTCCCTGCGCCGCGGCCGTGGTCTGCTCATCTACTAGTAGACAACTCGGGAACTTGAACTTCGGAAACCCACGCACCCCGGCGCCGGCGAACTGCGACGACTTCGCCTTTTCTATGTCGTGCACTTTCAGGTTGAAATCCCGGAACTCCTCGCGTTTCTCTTTTATGGAGCTCTCAAACGTTACATTCTCAACTGTTACATGATTTGTCATGCAAAATGCACATCAGGATCCATACGATGAAGCTACTTCGCATGATAAATTTTTGAAGGGCTAAACAGCACTAAAATCTGTGCCAAATTTGTAATGCGAGAGGCGCAAGCTCCCTTCTTTTGCTTTTCCCATTCTTGCATCACAAATTCATGTAACAGTTGAGAATGTAACGTTTGAGAACGCCATATCTTTTTTCACCGGAATGTGCCCCACGAGCTTGTTTTTGTCAAAGTAGGACGGTGGCTTTTTAGGTGGTGTCGTGGGATTTATGTTCCCTGGATCAGATGCTAGAGGCCCGGCTGCGTTTTTGTCTACTCCTCTCACCGGAGAGACCACGTTGTCGGGAAGGCTTGAGTACTCGCCTGCGTAAGATTTTTTACTATTTTTCTTTAAAAGTGCTGTCGATTCATTTCCTTTTAGTTTTATCATGCAGAAGTGAAGAACCACGACTGCAATTGCGAAATTTGTTTTCTTGCTTCAACGGTCCAGCAAAAGTATCTATACCGAGTGGGTGCCTTTCCTCTTCCTCCAGCAAGTTTGGGAAAGACAGCGCGCCCTGGTGGCCCCGCGGACTCCTGCTTGTCGAAAGAAACCGTGGACTTGAACTGAACTCCTTCCCGTCCACTTTCCGTCTGTCCTCCTCTAGCACGGATGCACTGCGATTTTGCGACCGCACCATGTACGCGTGTCTCGTCTGGGGCGCCATGCCAGACAAAACAATCCCCACCGGGTATTACAGTGAAAAATGCTCCCCACCCCTGAAATTGCAAAAATTTGTGATGCTAAACCGACCGAAACGCAAAAATTTGTGATGCGAAGTTTCCAAATGAAAACTTTTTGTTATGCATGAAAGGAGTATGAGTCTTTCTGTTCCAGAGTCTAGGCATGTATCGCATCGCTTCCATGACAAGCGCCGCTCTTGCTGGGGTCTTTTGCAATACAAACTTTTGGCATTCACGATTGGAAACCTGTGATGCTGATAGATGCAAGAGGGCGAATGTTTCATTTGGAAAGGTTTGCAATACAAATGCTCCCAAGTTGGGGGGTGGGGGCATTTTTTATTGTAATACCGGGGGCCGCTCGACGACTTCCAACGAGCTTGGCGGACGCGTCGCGTACTTCTCATGCCGGACGACGCTGTTATTTTTGTGAAGATCGATCATCTTCATTGATCGCAATTATTTGTCAACTACACGACCAGGATGCAGTTGCACACACACAACTGAATCGGAATCCTGAGTATGATTATTACTCATGTCGCGAGATTGATATTGAAAGCCCTGCATGCGCAAGAAAGGACGTCGTGTCACGAACAAAGTGCAGCACCGCATTATTATAGGAGCAGCTATGATACCGCTTGAACAGCGTCGGATCTACTTCTACTTCCGCGTGGCCCCTCGCGCTGTCTGTACAACCGGCGCTCCGCGGCCGCAGCAGCGGGGAGCAAGGTTCCGAATCTACTTCAGTCCCCGCCGCTCCCCGCCCCGGGCCTCGCGCGTCTCCCGGCGTCGGGCTCACCGTCACGCGGTCGGGCTGCGACCAGCCTGGGTATTGGTAATCTGGGAAGAGCGGGTTCGTCTCCCTGGGGGACGCGAGAATCCGATTCTTCCCCCGCTTCACAGTCTCGACGATCGCGATGTCGCGCACGTTGAATTGGTGGTTGGGTTTGTTGTTCTGCACCCGTAGCTGCTTCTGAATCAGGGAAAATTGGGAATTCGGAATCGTTTTCAACATCTCGCTATCGTCACCGGATGCGGACGGCCGCGGCTGCCCGGGAGTAGGGGTAGGACTCGTTCCGCGGGGGGCGCCGCCCTGTGGATGTTGTCTCCGTGATGATGTGCCATCTTCACAATTGTTGTGGTAGTCATTTTTCCGAGAGGTCGTGGCCCACTGCGGCCGGGGCCTCGGGAACGGGGAGGCACCCTCGATGTCGTGGGTGCGCAGAGAATTGCCGCCGCGTTGCGGCGGTGATGTTGCAATTCCAGACACGAGAAGACTTTCGCCTCTCTTCTGCGGAGACTTCTGCGGAGAGGGGGTCAGGGTGCGGTTGTAGTTGTTCAGAGGGTTCTGCATTTTTGTTACATCAGTTTTATTCCGTCCTACAACTGGCGCTGTTGTTCCTGTTGCTATGACCTCTTCACCTTGCAGCTCTCGACGTCGCACTAGCAGCTCTGGTATGATTTGCGTAGGTTTGTTGTTATTCTGGCCCTTCGTGGTTCTAAGAGCGCCTGGCTCGTCGTCCAGAAGTCGCGAAGAAAGCGGCGGCCGCTGGTGACCGCGGCTCGGGGATGAAGTAGACTTGTTCTGCTGCATCATATAAAAAGTCACCGTATTATTAACGTGCCACGAAGCTCACATTCAACGCAGCAAAGATTTCTTCTACCGGGCTACATGGATACAGCTCACTATTGCTTTTGAACACGAAAAGATACACAATGACATGCCAGCCTTAATGCACAGCCCGACGAAACAAACCTAGCTGAGCAAGAAAAAAAAGCAAGAGCGCTGAGAGACACGAGCGTCGAAAGAAAAAAATCCGATTCCCAAAAAATAAAAACAGTCGGAGGTCCGATGAAGCTGCAATATTAAAGTTGCGGAACAGACAGCTAGGGATGGTCAACAGTCGAGGCAGATCATGATTGAAGACCGGCAGAAAAAACAAGAAGTCCTTGGTGGCGGGAGCTCTTCCATATGGAATATTTCATCTTGATCCGCGAGCAGAGCAAAAAATCTGCAGAAAAACGCAGAACAGATATTGCGCCAAAACGGGCCACTTTTTGGCACCTAACGTCGTTGCGCGCCTAGTCGAACAAAAAACGGTAGCTTTCCACCTCACGGGGTGAGATGAAATACCAGGCGCAAAGATATCAATTAGCTTCAGTATTCTATATGACAAACGACCAAAAGCGGCATAGAAAGTTGTAAACTGAAAACGAGGGCGAGCCGTTTTGGAGTCAGTAGAAGTTCATCTGTAGTTTTGCACGATATTTTTGTGTAGTCTTCTATTTCGGCCATCACTGTGCACAACTCCATCGATATGGAATTTTTTCTCACAGGACAATGGTATCTGTATTCTATTTGCATAGATCATTTTCGACCAATCTGTACGTATCTTCTGGAGAGCACAAACAAGCACTTCATAAATCATCAAATCACCTACATACTGCATTGAGCACGACCTGCTTCTTGTCGCCAATTATAGTAATTGTGCTCCAAACGTGCACAATTTCTGTATATTTGTACAATCCGTGCGGCGCCTAATCAGGAGGCTCCTGCAAAGCCAGTATCGCAATCGTCTGGGCCCTCGACCAAGCTTCAGTAACGCCCTGGCACGACGGCGTCGTGTGCATCGACAGTAATTGAAAAGTTGGTCGTATAAATAAAATTCTCTGGTGTGTGCTCTAGTGGTAAAAATTCTTGTACGTATCGAAAAGCTTGGCATCAATTGTGCTTTAGGTCCGTCTAATTGTATCGAAAAAATGAAGGTGTAGATTCAAAAATCAGCTCAGGATCTTCAGAAAAAGCGGCGCTTTTGCACACTGCCTATCTGTCTTGTTCGCAATTTTCTACAGATCAAAACAGGCGGCATGCTTAAAGTCAACATCAAAAGCTGCACTTGATGAAGGACAAGAATGAACTGACCCGTAATTATTCCTCTTTAGGTTAATTCGATACCGTGTCAATGCCCTTTGTTGCGTCAGGTGTTCGCGTCAGGTTTTCACGATCTGCCGCCGCGAAGATCTCTTACCTGCCTTCGGAGCGCGATAACCTCCGCCTGCAACGATTGCGTCTGTTTAGTGTAGCTTAGTTTGATGTCAAAGGAATATACTCGACCAAGGCACATCGTAACAACAACGAACGATGATTCAATGCAGACCCAGCGGAGCAGTTCTTGACGTTCAGCAGATTACTTAAAACTACAACCCAGCTGTGGAATTATATATAAAAACGAGAAACAAGAAAAAGCGTGTAGGTACCTTTCTCATTTCGAATCGGCTGTCCTGCAACTCCTTAAATCTTTCCTCCAAAATGCGCTCCTTTCGCTGGGCATCCTTGTCGCTTTTGTCCCAGCCCTATCAAATCTAAAAATGTCTGGGTCTGGAAGAATGCAACTTGTAATGCGTACTTCAGAACACGGAAAAGTCTCTCATGCATACGTAGCAAAAGCTCCCACTTTTTGTCTGCAAAATAGGGGACTTGTCATGCGGATTCGGCATTGCGGAAGGCTCTCGAAACCTGTGATGCTAGAGCTTCCATGCCAGACCTTCTGCGTCATGCAAAAACAGCATGACTCTTCCAGACCCAGACATTTTTGCAATCCATAAGCCCCACCAGAGCCGGTCGCACTCCGTCTTCTGCTGAGTTATCTTTAAATTCAGCTTGCTCCGCTCGGTTCGCATGCACTCTAACTGCGCCTTCAATTCCCTTACCTCCGTCCCCAGGGTGTTGTTGATGTGCTCCAGCGTCTTATTCTCCTCGTGCATTTGTCGCGCGACCGACAGTGCCTGCGGGATACGTTCGTCAACCTCAGCTGCACGCGGATCATCTTGTTTTTTGCCGTTTCTGCTTCGTCTTTTTGAGGCAGTAGACTTCGATGAAGTAGATGCCTGCACATCAGGAGTTTGCGCTTGCTGCTCATCTCTTTGCAGCTCCGCATCAACACCTTCCTCCCCCTTATCTTCGACCGCCGTGGAAAAAGAGTCACAAGTTCGCGCATCCGCCTCCTTTGACGAATTGCCGGAATAGCTGCGGCTCCGGGAGAGAGGAGCAAACGGGTCACGCTCCTCGCGTGCCCCCTGCGGGGGGAATTTATTATCTTCTGCCGAAGATCCTAATACAACATCTTCGCCAAGCTCAGTTTCTAACCCCGGCGGCAACACAATCCCCGGCGGTCGCGGGACGGGGCCGGCGGCGGTGGGCGAGGCAGACGACGAAGCGGCGGGGGCGATTTTTCCTTTCAATATATGTCGACCTTCTTGAGCCTGCTTGGCCTGTTGCTGTGGAGCATCGACAATTCCGAATTCCTCCATGAGTTTCTTTCTCTCCTCTTCTCGGATTTTCTTCCGCATATCTTCCTTCGCCTTCAAGCCTTGCATCAAAAGCAAACTCCGGTCGTACAGACGGGCGGTTTGGTTCGTCTGCATGGTGGACGAGGCATCTCTAGTATTACTCTCCAGGTTCAAGGCGTTAAACTGCTCGATCATTTGGTCGGACAACTGTTCTGAAGGACTCGCAGCTCCTTGTACCTTGTTCTTAACTGCCCACTTCTTACTCGGCTGTCGCACCCGCGCGGTTTCGCCCCAAGCATTATGCGGCCCGGACAAAGCAGATTCCTCGCTCTTCCCGGCAGCAGTGCGCTGCGGTAGTTGTACGAGGCCCCCCGCTGCGGTGGTATCTGTAGCCGGTGCGGCGCCGCTCGTGCCGGCAGACGCTCCAGCACCTCCCGGCGCGATCCTTTTCCGGACACAGCTCCGGAAGCAGTTGGCGTAGCGGTCCCACAGCAGCACTCGCGCGTCCCGATTCAGGGGGTCGAGCATGGCGAACGTTCCCTGCAAAGTCCAGGCGGCTGAGGGGCTGCGGATTATTTTTCATCATCATCATTGTCAATCTTTACTTTCATCGAAAATGATAGCTCAATCACAAAAATCTTTGCAGCAGACACAACTAGAGTTGTTCTCTACTTCTGCAAGAACATGCGAAAAACCATGTATTTTTCAAACTACACACGCAGCGTCGCTGTGCTAGGATTTACGGTGCTTTGGAGACGTCCTCATCTTCAGCAGCTCAGTGCAACGGCCTGTAAGGAAAGACGATCGTCTGCACGACTACAATTATACCTTTTTTCTCCCGCACCGTTGCCCTCCGGTTCCTCCTCCGGAAACAATTTTGTCCGTGCGTCCACCACCCTGTACACATGTCCGCCGTAGGTGTAGGCCGTCTCACTCACCCACTGTTCGCCCCTTGGCCGAGGCGCCTGCGTGAACAAATCGGCTTCTTTGGCATTTTTCATCATATTACTACCGGTGGCTGTTGTATCATTCTCTTTTTTCTCTTCTGCAATTTGACTTTGGTCGCCCCACCCCCGGATTTTCTTTTCATTGTCCCCCCACTTCCGCTTCTCCTCCAGCTCAAACAAATAGGGCTGCTCTCCTTGGTGGAGAGTCGAGTGAGCCAAACTGCCGGGCCTGTTTGGGGCCCCTCTTGGGTCGGTGCTGTGCTTAATGTAATCCGATTCTTCTTCGAACTGCGCGCTTTCTATATCGCGCCACCTTTGCGAAGCGGTTTCTGGTTATTGTGAGGAAAAATCCCCCCTCCCCATACGAAAAAGGGATACTCCTGAAAATTTGTGATCCTGATTTGTGGCAGCAAATCGTCACTGTATTGCAAGAAGGCCAATCCAGAGACTCCGCCGCATTATGCAGGCGGTTTGTGATGCTCTGGGGCCTACAGCGTACACATTTGCCATGCTACGCGCCTACGTCAAAACCATTCGACCTAGGCTTGCTATGGGCCTGCAGTCCTCTACTGCAAGACAGACCTGACTTGTGTACGCAAATCCAGCATCAGAAACTTCCTTTTGATATGGGGAGGGGGGATTTTTCATTTTGATACTGGTAGCTGCTCCTTCAATTGCGGTTCGTGCTCCAAGACCGTAGTGAGAAACGAACCGCTCGAGGATGCGCCGGCGTTCTATGCAAGAAAAAAACTGTGTAAGTGTGACTTTGTAATGCAGGACATGCAACAGAGTTACGCCTGTCATGCCAGACAACCACGAAGTCCTCTTTTCAGGTGTGTTTTACCTTACAAGCCACGCATGGCAGGTCTTCGCTGTCATGTAGAGCAAATTTGTGATGCTGCCAACCAAGGAAAGTTACACTAACGCAGTTTTTTCTTGCATACGTTCGGGTCATGCAGCAGCACCCCGCCCGGGTGGTGAAACCTGATTTATTTCGAGAAAGAGGTCACTTCACTTTCCTTCGTCTATTGCTTTTCAAAGCTCACTTTCCCTTTGTGGTATCTTCCTCACAGAACTACGAAATGAAAACTTTTTGTTCATTCCACAAGCGCCGCTTAGTCAAAAATCATACCTGAGCCATTTCTTGGCTTTCATGTGGACATTCTTGCCAAACTCGTAACAAAATTCAGATTCCATGATTTGTTCTTCCTCCTCCCTTTTCGTCCGCTCCGCGTCGGCTCCTCCAGTCCTGTCCGGTGAAGTAGAGAGAGCCGCATGATCTTCTTGGTGCGCTTTCAACATCAGTTCTTGCTTTTTTAGTTCAAACACATCCTTCACCGACATGGTCTTCGCACCAAGTTTCGGCCACTCCGTTTCTTTTGCGGAGGATTTCGAGGCGGGAGATAAAGTCGCTTCCTCTTGTGCAGTGGTTGCTGTAGCTCCTGTTCTTGCACGACCTTGTTCGGCTTCTTTTTCCTTCTCTTCACTTTTCTGTTTCTCCGCCTGCTTTATTTTCGACCCCTTTATTTTTAGCCCTGGATGAGGACTATAGGCGTCCCTGTTTCTTTCCTTCTTCAAGCAGGTTTTGTGCACCAGAAAGTCGTGCGAAGTGAACATGTCGTCGTCGAACTTCATCCATTTCCCCCGGTAACTTTCCCGCGTCGGCCGCCACACCTTGGCTTCGACGCAGGGCACGGGGTAAATCTTCTCCGCCTTGATCTGCGTCTCCATGGAATTCATCTGTGCGTCGGTGAGCATCGGGAAAAGGTGCTGGAAATTGTTTTCCTTCCGTGCTATGTCCTCCGCGGTTCGCTTGGGCAGAAGTTCGTCCGCGGACTTGCCGCTCGGTTTCAGCAGCCCCAGCAGCGAGTTGACCGCGAACCCGCGCCGCAGCTCCACGTAGTTGCCCTGGGCGTTCTTTCCGTACAGAGTTCGCTTCACCGGGTCGTACAGGCACATCGGCTGCGTGATATCACCAGAAAAAAGTGTTACAGTTACACATTTGTTAGAGTTTCTGCATCACAAATTTTCTCTGTGTCGCAAGGAAAACTTGTAATGCGAATAGCATAAGGCAAAACAGGAAGGAAACGAGGCTCCCAAGCATTTCCTGCATGAGAAAGGTGGCCTGTGTTGCCTGTCTTGCAACACAATGTGCAACTGTAACACTTTTTTCTTGCGATACGTGATCGGAAAGCTCCACTGCCACACCTGCGTGGCGTCTGTTATGGCGTTCTCAAACGTTACACTCTCAACTGTTACATGGATTTGTAATGCAAGAGCAGCAATAGTGAAAGTGGCACTATTGCAGCTCTCGCATCACAGATTTTGCACAGATTTAGATGCTGTTTAGCCCTTCGAAGATTTGTCATGCTGCCCACCTTGATCAAGTGGAGGCTGATGGCAATTCTGCATGACAAATCCGTGTAACAGTTGAGAATGTAACAGTTGAGAATGCCATATCTGTCTGCGCGCTTTGGTCCTGCGTCGGCTGGGGGAGGAACTGCTGCTGGCCGTGCATACCGTGGTGCATCGTGTACAGCGTGGACCCCATGGGGACGATGTTCGGGTCCAGGCCGGAACAGTGCGGCTGCATCCCGTAGTAGTAACTCGCCGCTTCGTGGGGGGACGGAAACATGGTCGGATCGAAGTCTACTAGTCCTGCTCCGCCTACACAGGACTGGTCGTGCTGCATCATGTCGACGTTGTTCTCTTGCAAATTTGAAGCAGACTCTTGATGTTCATCGGGTGCAAGAACTGCACAAGTTTCGTGCTCATGTTGAAGATTCGACGAAATTTCGCAGTGCGGTAATATTCCCGCAGCTGCACCTCCTCCTGCCCCGGCGGGTACGAATGCGACCGCGTCGGCGTTTAGCGATTGTTGCTTGGCTGCTCCTTCGCTTTGTTGAAGACGATCTTGGGTGTAAAAATCATTTTCTGTCGAAGTTCTTGTCCTCCGCGCGGGCACAGATCTCAACTCGTCGCGGCTCTTCCTACTTGCGACATCCCCCATAACAGGCTCCTGCTCCCCCTCCGCTGGTAGTGTCGACGTTGCATCCTGCTTTTGCATATTGCGCGGCCATTCCGGACCTGCTAGAAACGGATCTATTTCATCCTCCTCCTCGATTGGCAACGGGGAGGAAGAACTAGTAGCACCCCCACCGATCATTTCCTCGTCAACCTCGATGGGCGTCGAGGGAAGAAGAACGACCGAGCTGCTGTTATCGGAAGCGTCCGGCCCATGATGTTCGAATGCCTTTACCTCATCGGGGAAGTAAGGCGGGATCCCGGTGCTACTGCCGCTGGAGTCCGCCCCCGGCAGGATTCCGCGAAACAGATCTCGTTCCACGTCCGGCAGCAGTTCGTCTTCATCGTCCGTCGGCGGGTCGTCCTCTTTGGTCACATATCATGAGTGAAAACATCGCCTGCCCTGCAAATCTGCTTGCTCAACTTGTAAGTATCTCACACGTTGTTCGTAGGGGCTCCATGGGAAGCATTAGCTGCATCTCGATTTTCCACATCAATGCGGATAAGATATTCCATTTGTAAAGAGGCTACTGCAACTACAACAGCTAACCATGACTAGACTCAATATCCAGAGATGTCATGGACAAAGGCAAAGGCTTGCTAACTTTTCTTTTATGCTAACTCTCTCTGGGGAGGGGACGAGGAGGTTTTTACTCAGAATACCGCAGTGCGGTTGTGCACCACCCCGCCTGCCGACTGCATAGCAATGGCCAGCTCCATGTCATCCGCGGGCGTTGTCGGGAACCTTGACCGCGGGGTGGCGACCTTCTGCACCCGTTGCGAGCCCCTTCTACCCCCGCGACGGGTGGCCGTGGGCTTGGATGGTTGTTGCGCGGGAGCTCCGGCCATCGGAGAGGATTTTTTGGCCATCTCCGCGGCCTCGCGCCCCATTTTTTGCTCCTCATGAATGAGAACAAAACCATGTGTCGGCGTCGAAATGGGCGAAGATGAGATAGTAAGAATGTCCTGAGCTGCATCATCAGGAGCTGGTGTGCCCTCGTCTATCAATACCCCACGATCCTCTCCACTGTTTCGGTCTTCTTCTTCCTCGTCGCCGTCCCCCGCCGCCAACGCACCAAAACTGTTCTTTGCGATCTGCGGTCGAGCTAAAGCTTCCGCTTCGGAGCGGGGCAATAAATCGGTGCCCTTGATGTTGTTCTTGAAAGTGGCCTTCATTCTGCCCGAGGAAATCGCGATGTTGTTGTCTGTAGAGGAATTATCTCCGGTGATTTCGTACTGCTCCTGCGAGGTCGTAGCAAGTGCTGTGCTTTTCTTCTTTTGTTCCAGCATATTATTATGCAACGTCCGCACTGTTGCCCCGCCCGCAGGTGACGAAGCTGCTGCAATTTTCCCCGTTTGAGCGACCCCCTTCGCGGCTAGTTCTTGTGGTGCTTGTTTGGCGCTGGAAACGGCAGCAACATCTCGTCCTTCCCCACTGTCCTTGCTGCTACTTCGCGTTACGATGTGGACCCAGCCAGACTTTGGGGAAGGAACAAGAGCCGGCGCGTCGGCAGGGTCGTTTTCACCCGGCGCCGTTTCTTCTGCAGGTGCGCCGGCCTCCTGTTGTCCACTACTAATAGTGCCACCTGGTCGTGGTCTACTTGTCGTTCCTATCGCTGGAGGGGTTCCGGGCTTCCCGATCCACCTACGCGGCGGCTCCTTGCTCCATTTTGAGCCTGAGGACGTATCAGCTGTGGTTGCGCGGCCTGTTGGTGTGCTTTTCGCACTGCTCGGCAGTGGTCCTTTCTCAACATCATCCACCTCGACTGCATTCTCTTTACCATAATTACTGGCACCAGGTCTGAGGTGGTTGTACCCGTGCCCGGGTGTGCTCCTGGAACTACCGGGTGAAGCTGCGCTGGCTGTAGCACCAGCAGCAGGTAATGCGCTACTATCATCATCTGTGGCGCCATTAGCCACTCGGCCCCCTGCCGCAATGGAGGTAACATCGTCAAGGGCCCGCAAATCCACTAGATGTCGCTTGTTTACCGGCGGGGCCCGTCCCACCGACGTCCTCTCCTTACTGGACGAGGATGCCTTTATCTGCCCCAGTGGGCCCTTGCTCCGCTTCGGCTGGCTCTTCGCCAGCAGTGCCTCCGCGGGGGTCGGGTCTTGTTGCGAAGTAGGTCCTCGTGGGCCGCCGCCCGCATCTTCTACTACGCTCGTTGCTCCTGCGGAAGTACGAACCGCGTGGACCCCTTGCTGCACCGGGATCAGCGCTGCTGAGCAGGCGGCGGCAAAGGCGGTCGTAAAAAGCCTTGTTGATCCGCTGGTCGCATGTTTCGTTTCTGGCTGCCGGTGTCGGCGTCCAGAGGACGATGTGGACCCGCCGGCGGACGTTGTCGCCGAGGGTAATGAAAAGCACTGCGAATGCATCGTCTGCCGTGGTCTTTCCGCTCCGCGGTAAAAGGTAATTGCGAGTTTTAGTGTTAGTTTTTATGCAGTGACAAAAAAAGGAAGTGAAATGCCCTTAGTAGCGACAAATCAAAATTATGCAATGCAATTATGTCGCCGGGCAATATAAAAATCAAGTAAAAAAATCACAAGCACAAAATACAGTCTTACAGTGGCACGCGCGACCACTACTTCAAAACGTGCCTATATCTTGTTCAAAAAAAGACCCTGGTGCACTTTCATCTTTCATGTCGAAAGTTGTGACTCTTGTTTCTTCATGGGCTTCATTCACTAGTAAAGTACCGGAAGCGCGGACAAAAAGTCGCAACCAAGGAAGATGGTGCTAATATGAGGAGACAAATAACTCTGACAAGTCCTATGATCCAACAGAACCTTTCCTGATCTGTGCCGCGCCATCACGTACGTACCCGGCGACGGACCACCTACTTCCTCTAAACGCTGAGTACTAGATCTGTGGCGAGTAAAAAAGGATTACCGCCAAAGATCAATATCTTTGAGTCCAGCCAGAACAAATGCGCCGCGGCCGTCCCCGATCGGGCACCTACAGTAAAAGCGGGTAGATGAACACGTAGGAGGTACTAAAACGTGATACTTTCTGGAAACAATTCTGTACAACGCGATCCAACAAAACACATGCTAGTAGTAATAGAAATACATCAATTCTGCATAAGAAGTAAACTAAAAAAAAAATAATCAAAAGATGCTACATAGCTAATCTATATCTGATACTGCTTCCGGGATTGCAACTGAGCCAACAGCCTTATTGTACAGTAAAGTTTCTTGTGTGCAGATGAAGCAACACCTAGATCCGCTCGACGCTGTAAAACAGTACGGGTTTCGCTTATCCACGCAGCCTACATGATAACTATCTTTCGATCCCCGCAACAACTGTAGAGATCTATCGCTTGCCGTTATACCGTAAAACTTGATCTTGATAATTGGAAGAAAAAACTAAAAATGCCGAAGGTAATGAATAGCAACGTGTCATATTTATTACTCATTTGAAATGTTAACGTTTGAAATTGTAGCTAGTGCAGCTATGTGCTCGATCATTTTCGTATAGTGTTTGATCTGTTTGAAGGTTGGAAACGTATCGTACAATTGTAAAAATCTTCCTCAGCTTCTTGCTGTATTCGGCGGCGTGCTGAAATTGTCCTGCGGGCTGTCTTCCGCGGTTTTCAGAATTCTCGCGCCAATGCTGCCTCCCGCCTGGCCGCTCGCCGGCGGGATTTGCTTCCCACTGGCTGACTTTGCCAACACGGAGGGCATCGTCGTCACCCCCTCTGCACCTGCTCCAGGGGCGGAACTAGCTGCGGACACAGCGCCTGCGTCACTACTTGCCGCGCCTGCCGGCATTATCATGCGCAAAAGCATCGCACTCGCTGTACAAATACTTGCGACTCTGCAAAATAGATCTGCGTTCGTATCATCAGCTGCATGACAACTTTCAAAATTTTCTACTTTCAAAAAAATGTAGAAGTGCTATTCCCACTAGCTACGATGCTTTTCCTTTCGCTTTTGCGATGCATAACTGCAGTAGCATCTCCCGCCGTTGAAGTTCCAAACGTCTCGACGATCCGCGACTTCGTTTTCATGTTTTTTCGCACCGTCGAAAAGTCGTCGCCCTTCAAGTCGATCAGTCTTTGCTTGCGCTGCTGCGCCCGAATCTGTTTCTTCGTGGGTTCCCTCGGCTTCTTTTCTGTGGGTTGTGACGAATCAGAGGGGGCGTAAATATATGCGTCCTCGTCTTCGTCGTCTCCCTCATCCGCAACGTCGGCGGAATTGGACAGAGAACTGGTATTAACTTTGGAAATTTGGTCATTATCTGCCGGAAAAATTATGTCGCCAGTCGGATTCATCAACTCGTCCGCATTCACGACTGTTTCCGCAATGTAATTTTCGCTATCGATGTCCAATAGCCGGTCGCGGGTCGGTATGCGATGCTGATTTTTGGAACCAGCCTTTTCTTGCGCTCCTGCTGTCTTTCCGCCCAACTCGAAGCCTACTTTGTAGACTTGCACTTTGCCATCCGCGTGCGTGTCCAGAGCGGTACTGCCAAAGGCGAACACCTGGTCCTTACTGGTCACCTCGCTTCGTACCTTGGCGTGGTCGACTCCGATCGATTGGTGCACCGTCATCAGCTCCGCATGGAGCGACGGACCCTCCCCGGAGGACTGAATCGAACCACTATCATGTTCTTTACTGGTGGTTAGGGGCATCTTCTCCTCCCCGCCGGGACGAGTTGTGGCTCCTACCTCCGACGCAGCGGACCCAAAAACGCCACCCATTCTGCTCGGGTAGGCACTGACGTGTAGGTCTGACTTTTCAACACCATCCTTGCTCATCGCGGCAACACCTTCGAAAGAGTGCGGGTCCACGGGGCCGCGGGCCTGCAACACCGGGGAGGAGGACTGCGGATCGGTTGGGTAGTTAGAGACACTGCTGCTCCCAGCTGCTGCTCCGGCGGGGAGATTATACATCATACCGTCCGTTGAGCCCGCTCTTTCCAGCGGACTCAGGCTGTTTAAATCGACGATGGACATCGGGTCGGGGACAATGGTAGCGGAGTTTTGCTTCTTCATAGTCTGCTTCTTGAAGACATCCTCTTGCTCGAAATTCTGCGGCAACATCACGGGGTAAGAGCTCACAAGCCCCGGCTCAACCCCCTTTGGTGCAGCAGCTCCCCTGTTGTACTTCATCCCTATTCCGTTTTTGCTGACTTTGTTCGCGATTTGCTGCTTCAGTTCCCCCGCTTGCTCTTTCAGCTTGGCCGCGCGGGGGGAGAGAGCCGCTTTTGCCTTCGCCCTCACGGCTTTTACCTGCGCCTTCGCTTTGGTTTTCGTAGCGCCAAAATTCTCTTGGATCAGCCCTATCGGCGAAACAGCTTTGATGACCCGTTCTCTCCTCGGAGGGAGGAGGGATAGATCTTGGTCAGCATAATTTTTGGCTGAAGCACCACCTGCTGCACTATTGTCGGTTAATGTTTCTTCGGACGTAGTTGTCGCTCCAGGAAAATTATTTTCCACTTCCGACGGTGAGGTCGAAAGCACTCCACCCGTTGGTGCTGGCTGCTCAACATCCGTGTTCCCTCTATCCCCCACGACCCCTGCTGCTCCGTACTTCGCCGCGAGGCCAATGCCAAGTTCTGCAGCTCCGAGGGCTGTTTTCCCGCCCCCGTTGGAATTTCGAACGGCAAGAACTTCCTCCACTTGCAGCGCCCCGGCGGCACTTGCTCTTATTTCCCGTTTCTCTTCCTTTTTCTGCTCCGCGGCTACTTTGGAAGATGAGGACGCTTTTCCTTTCGAGGGCGCCGCTTTTGTTCGTCCGAGTCCTCTCGCAGATTCTTTGCTCTGCGCTCGTTTCTTTCCCGCCCTGGGTGTAGTACTATCATGATGGTGCCCCACGGTGGCTTTCTGGAAGTTTTGCAGCATCGACGCTCTCCCGTCCGGGTCGGAGGTCACTTCTACTTCTCCTTGGGTTCTTGTTGCTGTACTTCTACGCGCCCCTACTTCTTCTGGCTTAGTTTCCTCCTCAAAAATGCCCGCGACCGTCTCGGAAACTTTCCGCATCCCTGCTCTGATGAAGTTCTGCAGCACCCCCGCAGTTTCCACCGGTTTTTCGCCGATGCTCCGCTTCTTCTCCTCGATGCGGTCCCGCGTCCTCTTGCCGACCAGCCGCGTCGGTGCTTTCTTATCAATTGCAAATACGTCTGGGTCTGGAAGATTCCAACTTGTCATGGTAAATCTGAAGCATGCGAAAATCTGTGTTGCATGAGTGCCAAAAGCTGTACACTTTTGACAAGGTTGGAGGGGAGTTTCTCACGCAGGACAGGCATGGCAGAGACCTCGCAGAGTCTGTCATGCTAAGTCCCGCATTCCAGACCTCATGGGTCATGGAAAATCTGCATGACAGGCGTACACTTTTCCAGACCCAGACATTTTTACATTTGATATTTCTCGAAATTCTGCAAAACGCCGACCCGCTCGTAGTGCTCTTGCACCCCATCGCGGTCCCGGATCACCTTCCCACGCAGCGGGCCGGTATGGAAGTTTCAGAATCGAAATTGACAGAGTCGAAAAATTTGTGATGCACAGAATCGATGTCAGTTGGAGCCCCAGTCTCCAAGTGGCGCATGACAAGTCTCGGGAGCACCCAAATCCAGTCTGTCATGCTGTTTGGGCAAAGAAGACTGCCCCTGTCATGCTACTCTGGCAGCACATTGTATACCCCTAAAAAGGCTCACAATCGGTCTCATTTGCCTGCTCCCCAATACAGCACTTCAGTGCCCTACATTTTATGCATCACAAATCTTTCGACTTTGTCGATTTCGATCCTGACACATCCATAGCCGGCCCGCTTCGGGTACTTTTCGAAGTTCTGGAGAACGCCGAGCTGCTCGTAACTTTCACTCACTCCGTGGCGATCCCGGATCACGTCTGCGCTGACCGGCGCCGGAAAATCGGAGAGCGGGTAAGTAGAATCTTCGAGACTGCTCTGGTCGTCGCGAGGACTAGCAGAGCTCGCTTGTTTACTCCTACTGTGCGCACTTTGGTCGTCGTCCGCCGGGGACAGCAATGGCGGGGTCGTGGTCACTGCTTGTTCCACCTCATGATCGCTGTCCTTCTGGCCAAAAATCCGGTACATCGCGTCCGACATTGACCCCCAGGCGGGAAACGTGCCGCGCGATCCCCACCTGCCGTACGCGTCCTCCCGCCCAACCTGGCTGGCGGTCCGACTATCCGTGGCCACGTTGTAATTCCGCATGCCCCGCTTTTGCTTCTCTATCCTGAGTAAAAACGTCCCCACACAAGAGTCAAGCTGGGAAATCTGCTAGACAAATCTGTCAGCTTTTGCTGTTGCGCATGACAAGTTTGACCCCGCAGTGTAATCCTGTTTAGCTTGTTCAGCAGCATCACAGATTTAGCATATCATGCTGATTCTAGCATCACAAATCCCACAACACGACTAGACACTGTTTCTCATGGGTCTCCGCATGAGAAACATTTTCAGCATGCAGATTTGCATGACAACCCTGGGGTGGGGACGTTTTTACAAATGATATTCTCGGTGAGCGGTTTGTTGCCAGCCTCGAGATCACCTTCGTGGCCGTCCAAATAATACTCCGCGCCCCGCTCGCCCCACGCCACGAGACCAAACAAGCCGCAGCAGAAGCAGCCGAGAAGCAACAAAAGCAGCCAACACCCCGTGCTGTTAAACGCCGCGCGCTCCTCTATCTCCTCCCCTTGCTCCCGCAGAAACTGTTCCTTTGCCACCCGCTCGGGCACGAGGAAGGGCTCGACACTTTTCGAAGACGCGCCGACTGGCGTGTAACAAATGTTCAGTTTGCGCTGCAGGTGGTGCGGCTGCTGCTGCGTTCTTGGGTTCGAAGAGGACGTCGAGTCTAGCTGCAATCCTGGTTCTACTTCTTGTTTCGCCTGATTTTTTATAACGCCACCAGCCGCACCCTCGCTTAACCGTGCTGCCTCCTCGTCCTCTTCCTCCAAAATTTTCCCGCGTGTTTCGCCCGGGGACGACGGGCTGTTGATCTTCTCAAAGATTTCGGCCGCCTGCTCCTGCGACTCGGTTTCGACTAAAGTCGGGTCGTTGAGTAATAATGACAAATCCTCAAAGGTGGTGATGCTGTGCAGCACGGAGCTGTTTGTCCTTTCCAAACCCAACGCAATCCCCCGGTTTTCCAACTCTAAAAGTTCCACCTCTGTCAACACCTTGCGAGCGTTATCCCACAGAAAAAAAGCAGGCAAGGCATGTCATGCAAAAACAAATACACAGAAAAGTATGCCACTCGCGAGCCCGCCTGAGCATGCTATTTAGGATCCGCACTACGGTTTTTTTTTGCGATTCCCTATGCGTTTTGGCATTACCAATATGCACTGCCAGCTTTTTCCTGTGGGATATGCGTTCTGCCGCTCGTGCGTGTTTCTCGTTGCCGGAAGCATGTGGTAGATATCCTCCTGCATCTGGTGCAGCAACCTCTCCGCGGTGGTTGTGATTACCTCGGTGAATTTCTCGTTCAATTTTTTCGGCTTGTTCAAAGGCACCACTAGCGGGTGATCCAACGAAAAGGGCGCGAAGGAGGTGAAAAATTTTGTGTACTCCCGTTGTTCTTGTCCGTTGGGGTTCTCTTCCCCATTCTCAAAATCTACTATTTCATCCTGACCACGACTCTGTTCGTGCAGGAACGGCACCATGAAACTGCCAATCGAGTTATCGACGTCGTTGTGCCCGATCAGATACTTCTCCATCGTTTTCACTTCCACCTTCCGTTTGTCCGGGAGCTCCGACCCGATCCCGGAACCCCGGTCTAAACTGCCGCTCTGCGTGCCCACCAGGTTGTACTTCTCGACGATCTTCTCCGCCTGCTGTATTGTTGCGTTTTCTGCCGTGTTCTTATTCTTTGCCTCGTGTTTGTCCAAGAAATCTTGCTTGAGCATGAATTTCCGCAACTCGATTGCCTCCTTCTCCGCCCAAAATTTTTGTCGACAGCGCAACTGCGGCGCCAGTTTCATGTCGTGCCAGGACCGGAAGCCTTCCAAACACCGGAGTTCTTCCACCGGTTTTTGTAGAATCGCTGAACTATCCACGCACAGGACCGCGCGCTGCTGCTCTTGAAGTTCATCCACTGCTGCAGTTGCTGTTCCCGCCGCCGATGATGCAAGAAGTGCTGGCGCTTTAATGTTCTTTGGCACGGCTACATTCAAACACGCGGTCAGCTGGTCCAGCTTCGTAAATCGCACGTCCCGACGGATCATCCACGTAACTTGCTGCATGTCGGTCAAATCGTCGTAATTGTACTTGTAATCCAGCGGCCGGAGCTCGGACGCCCAGTAGCGGTCGAAGGGAATTATAATATTGTTGTAAGTTTTGGTGTCACTGCCATTGTCAACGAGCTGTGATGAAGATTGCTGCGCGCCGGCGGTAGTTGAACTTTGTTGCGCACTTGTTTTTTGCAGGGCGCCTATTATATCGCTCCGTTTTATCCGGTCACCCTGGAGAACTTCTGGCGAACTACTCGAAGTACTACTACTTCCGGGGCCAATCGGTCTGCTGGTCGGTAGTTTTTCCGCTCCTGAGACTTGATTCTCTTGCTCTGAGCCACGACTTACTGCCATGTCTAATATTTCCAATCCTGTACTATCAGGAGCCGACTCTATCGGAAAGCTCGCTCGGATGGCTTGTGTTCCAAACTGCACCTGAGCCGCATGGACCTGGCCGAGGCCCGACGGTGAATCTTTCGCCGAAGTAGCAGTTCCAGTCCGCTGCCCGAGGAGCAGGATGGAGTACTTCATATCGCAGTCCATCACCGCTTCTAGCAGTGGATTTTGTTCCGGGCAGAAGTTCGGCCCGAAAGGAGCACTGATTGCGTCTGATCCACCCTGTGCCATTTCTTCCTTCGCCTGTTCCGGAGAATTCTCCCCCGCCTCCTGCGCAAGAATCGTCTGATTTCTGGCGCACCGGTATTTTTTCGCCAACACCGAAACCGGAAGTTCGCCGAGCGTCGCGAGGTCCAAAGCAATGCCCTCGAGACGCTTGATCTTCAGGAGAATCTGCTTGTTTTCATCGTGCGCAGAAGCTGCTGCACTAGACTCTTTCATATTATTCCCCTTGGCGTTATGGGTTGTTTTGAAATCCGCCAAGTAATCCGTTTTCGCGAAGGAATCCGGCAGAAGCCCGAGGTGGCGGAAGGGTTTCGGCTATCAAATGTAAACACGTCTGTGTCTGGAATGTTGCCGGGTTTGTCATGCATATTTTGCATGAGCCAGGATGTCTGTAATGCACGACCCAGCATCACAGATTTTTAGAGGGCTTCCTGATGCTCCCTACTCCGCATGACGAACGCCCTCCCCGCGTAGCGCGAACTAGACTGCTCGCGCTGGTCATGCAATACAGATTTTTTTAGAGTCCAAAGCTAGCATCACAAGTTCCAACCTTCCTGACCCAGACATTTTTACAGTTGATATAGGCAGGTGCTCGTCAACATCGGGCTCGTCATTCAGATCTTCGACGGTTGGGTCGTTCGCGGCAGTAGCGCTTTCTAGAAACTTTTTGTCCGGTGGAAAAATTATTTTAGCATTTTTACTGCTACTGCTTTTCACCACCCCATTCCCCGCCAGCACTTTCCGCACCAGCTTTTCCTTCCGCAGCAACCAGTCCCGCGCGCGCCTCTTGTTGCGCTCACTCGCGGGGAGAAGCTGCAGATTGGCTAAAAACAACTTCCAGTCGCTGCTGACTACACCGACCAGAAACAGGTCCTGCTGGTTCAACGACGCCAACACACGGAATGCAGAACGGACCGCGGACTGGGAACTGAGATCTACGAACAGAGAAACCGCTTTAGTGCCGGATTTGGTCTGCTGATACCAGGGCAAAAAGCGAACGTCGTAGGATAGTAGTTTCGCCTCGTCGGATTTACTCATCGGGGGAAGGTCCGACGTTTGTGTTCTTTCTGTGCTGTTGCTCGGAAAAATAATCCGATCCCTCGCCAAATGCGGCCACTGGACATAAGTTCCGTCGTCTGCGCCAAAAACCGCGTACCCAACGCTATCCTGGACCTGGCCGGACGCGGAAAGTTCGTGCTCCCTGTCGTATCCGAAGATGGTCGCGAAAACTTTTGCGATGCGGTTCTCGACGAAAGCTCGAGATGAAGCCGACGGGGTCTGTTTTTCCTCATCGTACTCCGCGTTGTAGTTGGTACTACTGCTCCGGAAGATGCTGCTTTTGTAGAAGTTGATCTTTGTCGTGTTTTTCAAAGTTGTTTTCGCACCTTCATCTCCGGTGTGGAGGTGGTCACGCTCCGCCAAGGCCCGCTCCCATTCGGTATTCCGCGCCGGGTACTCGGCAAGGGGCGGGATCTTGTCGGCGAGAACGTCGGGACCTTCTTGTCCGGAAGCTCCATGTACTCCCGCACTGCTTCCCTGAAAATGCGGGGGAAGAAACACCGGCACACCGAAAGCAGGATCTGTCTCTACTTCCGAAAGCGGTTGAGAAGGTGCCGCTTGTGACGCAGCGAACTCGTGCTGCACCGCAGATGCAAGGTCGCGCAGCTTGGCCTCGACCACTTCAAAGGCAACGTCTGCTTCCGTCGCGGACACCGCAGTAAGGCGGCCGGCCCAATAGAGCCAAAGACCTATCGCTGCGGCGAAAACGAAGGCCGCCGGGCTTTTCATTCTCGTCCTATCTTATATAAATAATGCGGGGTCGGAAAAAACCACACCATACCTTGTCATAATCAGCTCACGTCCAAACTTTTCTTTTTAACGCGCCGCTCTCTTCGTCAGGTAGAAATTGCATCATGCCCCGTCCATAACGAATGCAAGTAGGTAAACGACTTTGATTCCCCACGCCAAACGAGTATCTTTGCCCGCTTTCAACGAATTTGCCTTCGGTGTCACCCCACACGTCAAGCACCGCCTTCCGATGCACGAAGCCACGGTTTCACGACCCGGGATGAAGCAAAGAAATTGCGTATGCGATCTTGCGGCTAGAAAAATATCGCAACGATGTTGTAAACGATCCCGGTACGCAGCGGACACGCGGGGGCACACAATAGTGAATAGACGCAAATCTTTACAATGGCGGACGAGTGAGAGATGGCCTGCCACGGAGCACAGCTGCCGCGGTCGGAGAGGCAGTTCTGAAATAGATAGAGGCGACACGTGCGCTGTGATCTGCACCAGGCACCGGTCCGGGAAACCGCGGCGGCAACAAGTCCCGATCGGACGGCCTGAAGCGCTATCAGGGCCGACAGAAGCACAAAATCGCGATCCGGTCGCCCAGAAACGCGATCCCGGCGCCGACCGCGATCAAGAATCGCAATCGGACTGCCTAGAATCGCGATCATTGTGCAAGGTGCCGTGCCGAATCTGGACGCAGCCGCCCCATGGTGCAATTTAGGGGCACATAGAGACAGGAAATCATTCGAAAATCACGATCTGACTGCCCAGAACCACATCTCCTACGCCAATGGCGGCCAAAAATTGCGATCTGGTCGCCCAGAGCCGCGATCATGGCCCTTGTAGTGGCAAAGTACGACAATTGGGCTGCCCATAATCGCGATCCAGGGCCAAATGCAGACAATAGTCAAGATTTACGCGCCACGCAATCCAATCTCGGGACCCATATAGGCAAACAGTCGCAATATTTTGCGTTATGGGGCCGCCAACTTGCCAGATTTTGTGCTGTTAGGTCAGAAGCTTCTGGGATGTTGTGAAAACCGGTTGTCACCTCACCCCGTTTTTCTGCTGTGGAGCTGCTGCCTCCGAAGATTTTTTGTCGTCCAGCTCCCAGCTTGTGAGATTTTCTCATGTCTGACCACCAACTAGCAAGATTCTTGCACGTTAGGCCCCCATGTTAGATCGATCCAGAACACAGAACGAAATACGAGCCACCCACGTAGCCACACGCGGGGCAGAACCAGACAAAGATAGTAGAAACCAACCTAGAGAAGGCCAGCCACGTCCAGAGAAGGCCCCAATTGTTGGGGCCTATGGCATGCGTGAGCGTGCACATTTGACCCATGTTGCGCCTGTAATGCGTAGAATTTACAGCCGCTAGGGCTCGGGCTCGGACACTTGAGAGAACGCCAGGGGGAGAGAGGGAGAGGAGGAGAGCACCAGGCTCGTACGTTCGTAGTTCGTTGCTGTCGGGGCTCTGTAGATCGTTGAGAGACCTAAACACCATGCTACTGGCTTGACGATGGACGTGGCTGGCCTTCTCTAGGTTGGTTTCTACTATCTTTGTCTGGTTCTGCCCCGCGTGTGGCTACGTGGGTGGCTCGTATTTCGTTCTGTGTTCTGGATCGATCTAACATGGTGCCGTAACCCCGTTGAGCGCTTCGGGGCTTCTTCTCTCCCTAAGCTATTCCAGACGACGCGACGCTGCTGGGCTTCGTCGCGGCGGCTTCTCCATTAGGAGCTATTTACCGTCTTCCACGCTTCTAGGACGACGGTAAGTGCGCGGACCACGCTCCGCGGCAAGCAGGAAGTGCGGAAGTCCGGTGGTAGGAACGCCAAAAACCGACCTTGCGGCCATTCCGATAGGGCGCGAGGGTGGCGAGCGGTCGAAAAGGCACTAGCACCGCGAAACTGGTTCGGGGGAACTCGAAACGCGGTGGATATCCGGACATCACTACCTTCCGACTCTAGAGGCTACATCATCACCGTAGCAACGTGCGAAGCAACAAAACACCACTACGGGGCGCCTCTGTCTTCAACTTTCCCAACCCGCGGGTGCGACGCGAAGCGATCATGGCGAAGAAGCGAAAAGGCAGCAAGGGGCGGGACGGAGAAGGCGATGCCAGCAGCGAGATTTCCTCCCTGCACAGCAACGCCCAAGCGGCAAGCCTTGCGTCTTTGGCGACGTCGATGGGCACACTGGCAGATGCGGTTGCGAAGCAGGGCGAGATGATGGCGCAGATGCTGGAAAAGATGAACACCGCCACCCCTACCCCGACCGAGAAGGACGAAGGAAAACCCGCAAGCAGTGCGGTGAGCGGGGTCAGCTCCGCGACTGCGTTTTCGAAAAGGCGCACGGGAATGGCCTTGCGGGACAAGGTCACCGACGAGATTTCCGCAGCGGACTGCGAGGCGGGAACTGCGGTTTTGGCCATGCTGGAGGAGTGGGCCGCCCTTCCTACGCCGAGCGGCAAGGGGCTGTCGCCGCAGGACGTGATAAAGGCGGAACAGATCAGCGAGGCCATGCCCATCCTCGATCCGAAGACGGAGGCAATGGCAAAGTTCCTCCCGAAGCTAGCCCGCTGGTCCAAGATGATGGCGGAGGTTGAGTTCAACCACGACGCCATCTACTACGCATTACAGGCGCAACATGGGTCAAATGTGCACGCTCACGCATGCCATAGGCCCCAATTGTTACTCCAGTTTCAGAGACTTTTTGCTGTACGGCCACCATTTAGCGCAATTCTGCAATTTAGAGGCGCCACTGCTGAACATTTTGCGCAGTAGGCCCACTCGCTTACAAGATTTAGAGAGGTAAAATCTCGAAAGGTGGAGGCCCGGCCGCAGAAAATCTTGGAAGGCGCGGCCTTCAAAGATTTTGTGCGATGGGGCAGCCAGCTCGCAAGATTTTGTGCGGCCGGGCCTCCAGCTTTTGAGATTTTACCTGGTCAGGCCACCGGCTTCCAATTTTTTGCGTCAAGGCGCTCCTAACTTGCAAGAAAACCAATTTGACTGTCATGCATTGTAATATCAGGACTCACAGCGACAAAGAATGTCAATCCAACCACCCAGAACGGCGGTCCTGGTGTCCTTGGGGGTAAAAAATCACAACTGGGCTTCCGAGAATCGCGATCCATGCATCTTGATCAGGAGAAGGTCGCGATCTGATCTCCTGTAATTACACTGGGCCTATTTATAATGGGACAACATACCAAGATGAGCAGCACAGTTGGCGGATGATCGCACTCGGATGGTCCAGTGGGCGCCGCCTGGTGACGTCCGTCTGTTCGCGTCCTTCGACGGGCGGCAGGCTTGCAGCGCCCCCGCGGCGGTGCGGCGCTCCGCCTTCCTGCATGCGCGCCCACCCACCGCATTACCTTCCTGCATGGCGCTCCGCAATACCGCCCAACTAAAGTTTACATGCACAATAGCGAAGTGCTGTGTCTTACGGTGCCGCGCGTGGTAGCAGCCCGCCCAAGATTTGGCGGGCTCGCACGCAACGTGCCCCCGAACGCCGGTGGTGCCCGGTCTGCGACAGTTCTGCCCGCTCCGTGTCTGCCGCCCGCGCACAGTGGGCACATTGCTATATTGTTCTTGTGATTTCGCTTCGTGTCGCTTTCTTGTTTCGCGGGCGTCGAGCTTTAGTTCCCGCAACTGACAGGTCGCTTGTGCGTAGTAGATCTTCTCCTTGGATTAACTGCACCGGTGCGCGAAGCCGCATCGGTGTGCGGCGAGCCAGTAGCCTTGCCCATGAACCAATGAAGAAGAATAACTGCGCGGGGCTTTCCGTGCACCGGAAAAAAACCGGCCGGGCGTGATCTCTCGACACTAGTGCGGCTCGGCCTCCGCCCTCGCGATGGATCGGGACGCGAGCAGCTGGCGCGACGCGATTCGCCGCTGCAAGGAGGTCCCACAGCTCGTGCAACGGCACAAAGCGACGACTTGCCGGGCAACCGGCGCTGAGTCATCAAATCGGGACCGCGACACACGGGGCAGTTTTCCTCCCGCGCAGCAGCTGACGCCGCAGAAGTTTGTTCTTCAAGTACCCGACTCAAGTACTACAACAACGGCCGCAACTGGACCAAATGCAGGAGCACCCGGACAACTGGACTCGCAAAACAAACTGAAGCGCACCCTGACCCTCTTCGACCTCGTGGGCTTCGGTCTCGGATGTACCATTGGCGCCGGGATTTTCGTGTCCCTCGGCGTGGCGGCGAAGTTGACCGGCGTGAAGTCCGTGTTTCTCTCCTTCGTCGTGGCGGCGCTGGGCTGTCTCGGCAGCGGCCTGTCCTACGCGGAGATGGCCACACGGATTCCGACGGCGGGCAGCGCGTATTCCTACGTGTACGCCGTGTTCGGCGAATACGCGGCGTTCCAAACCGGCGGGCTCATCGTCCTCGGCAACATCGTGAGCACCGCGGCGGTGGCGCGGTCGTTCACAAACTACCTGAAAAGACTGTTGGTCGACACCCTTTTAGAAGCACCATCTTCAGCACCGCGTAGTAGTTACGTTGCACCAGGAGGCAGTCAGAGGACTACTAGTCCTACAATGGTTGGGCAAACGACCGGAACACCAGCCATAACGTCGAAGAGCAGTAAAAATTTTGTGGAACACTACCCCTGGCTCTTCGATCACCCGGTCTCAACAACAGACGGCTACGACACGGGACTCTCCCTCTCCCTGATCTCCTATGACCTGCTCAAGCGTTACAATCTCAAACGTTACAATAGAGTCTGGATTTTGCATTGCGTGACGAGCATGTGCATGACAGACTCGGACAGCATTCCGCTTTCTGCAATACAAATTTCGCCAGATTGTAGTTCGGTTTGGGACTCCGGAACTTGTCATGCGCAATCCTGTGGGAGTGGGGTAGATCATGCACTTGCATCACAGATTTCCATATTCTATTGTAACGCTTGAGGTTGTAACACCGGAGCAGGTTATATCTCCTGCTTGCTGATTCTAATTCTTGGGGTGATCAATCTGAAAGGCGTACCGGCGGCTTTCAACGGTGTCGTGCAGATTTTCAACATCGGCATCGTCTTCTTCTTCATTTGCGCCGGGGCGCTCCTGTGCTTCACTCATCCGCTGGTGGATAGTACCGGGTCGACGTCGGCGGGTCGCGAGGCAGTTGTTCCGACGACGAGCACGATGAATGTTGGTGGGCGGCCAACTACGTCAGGTAGCATTCCGTCAGCAACACCTGCGTCGAGTTCCTATCACAACTTCAACCTACCGGCCTCTGCGGCGCGGTACCGGGAAGACAAAAACGAGAGCCGCAGCAAGGGGACAAACAAAAATAGTGGAGAAAGCGATAGAGTCGAGGGGTCGATGCTACCGAAGGAAAAGCCTATGCCAAAAAGCCCGAAGGACTTGCCGGGAAGAAAGCTAAGAAAACTTCTGTTGGGTCGTGGACCGGCGAAAATAAATAGCCGGCGAGAACAATCAGCATCATCCGCACCACTACAACCGTCCGCAACAAGAAAAATTTCCTCGTCGACACGAGAAACAGCAAAACCCCAACCCGAAGAAGAGCCTTTCCTGAAGAACGGGTTTCGCGGGGTCTTACGCGGCGCGTCGCTGGTGTTTTTCGCCTTTCTCGGATTCGACATGGTGACCACTTTAGCCGAAGAAGCGATCAATCCGAACCGGGTAATCCCGAACGCCATCGTACTGACCATCTTCGTTTCCTGCACCCTCTACGTCTCCGTCTCCCTCGTTTTCGCCTCCATGGTGCAAACCAACGAGAACGTGGACACCAAGGCGCCCCTCGCCCACGCGTTTCGCCTCCGGGGGGCGCCGCAAGTGATCACCAGCGTGATCTCGGTTGGCGCACTGGGCAACACCTTGTCGACGGTGCTGGCCTGCATCGTGGCGAACCCGCGAATTTTATACCGGATGGCGGAGGACGGGCTGATACCCGGGAAGTTTGGTCTAAGAAGCGGAGGAGCAAATGGTGACAGCAATACCGACGAAAACGAGGGAACGGTTCCCAGATTCGCGGTCATCTTCTCGACCGTAATCGCCGCGGTGTTTGGCGGATTTTTAGAATTCGAGCTCCTCGCGGACTTCGTGTCGCTCGGCGCGTTGGTCGGGTTCACGCTGGTATCAAATGCAAAAGTGTCTCGGTCTGGAACAAAGCAACTTGTCATGCTAAATCTGAATCATGTAAAATTGATTCTGTGTTGCATGATTACCAAAAGCTGTGCACTTTTGACCTAATCGAGAGGCAGTTTCTCATGCAGGATAGGCATAATAGAACTCTCACAGAATCTGTCATGCCATGTCCTGCATGCCAGACCTCATGGGCCATGGAAAACCTGCATGACAAGTCTGGCACTCTTCCAGACCCAGACACTTTTGCAGTTGGTAGCTGGTCGCCGCGGGAGCGGTGGAGCTGCGGTTCCGGTTTGAAAGGACGAGAATTGTGGACGATAGTAACGCGGCGGCTTTGATGGCGGTAGGTGACCACAGAAGTAGATCCGCGACGGGGACCCGGCGCGGCTTTTCACCGAGCAGTACTAGCAAAACCACGGAGCTTATCAAATGTAAAAATGTCTGGGTCTGGAAGAATGCATGTTTGTCATGCTTGTCTGGCATGACTCTTAAATCTGTCATGCACGTTGCCCCAGAGCCGCACTTTTCTGTCATGCGACGAAGCGATTTGTCATGCAGAATAAGCAACACCTACAAGCTCAGAAGTTTGTCATGCTGAGCCAGCACTTGTGGCCTCCTCATGCTACGCCACTCAGCATCACAAGTTTCCAGACCCAGACATTTTTACATTTGATAGAGCTCGAACTCGTCACCGCGGTGGGTGCAGCCTCACCGAAGCAGGACGGGACGGGAGGGGCGGTTAGCATGGAGGAGCAGGCACTACCAGGAGGAGGAGTTCAAGACCTCTCGAGGACGGGTGAAGCCGCAGCAGACATCTCTTCCGGCTGCGACGGGGACTCTGATTTCGAGACCGTGACAGCAGAGGAAAGTCTTGGCACCAACCCGGACACCTGCATTCCGTCGCTGCTAGCGATCATCACGGGAGGCCTGTTGCTCTCGCACGCCTATTACGTGATGAAAAACAACAAAGGAGCTTCCAATCTATTCGTCTTTTGCGCTGGTTTTGTCATTCTCCTGCTCGGCGTTGTCGTTTTGGTCTACAAATGGCACTTCTGCACGGTGTCCACGCGGATAGAACAGGACAGAAGTAGAGACGACTCAAGCAGCTTGCTCTCTACTTCGGAGCAACTCGAAAAATCTTCTTCTTCTTCTCCTTACTACATGAGCGGCAAAAATGGAACCGCGCATCATCAACCCGACGCACCGTCTATTATCGGAAGGAGCACAAACCCGCTGTACCAGACGCCGCCGACTACAAGGCAAAAGCTGGAGCACAAGATAAGAACGCAGCGGATCAATATGAGAGTGCGCAACCCCCCCCCCCTCCCCCTCATTTGTCATGCAAAATGCCTAACTCACTCCTGGGCCGCGTTTGGCACTGTTTGCATGGCAAATTCTGGCAGCCCAAATAGCACCACACGCCTGTGCAAATTTGTCATGCAAAACCTGTATTCTTGCTGACGCTTGTATTGCTGGTCATGCAATACAAATGAGGGGGGGGGAGTTGTGCACTTTCATAATCAAACAGGAGGAAGAGCTGCAGACCAAGTTTCGCATTCCCTTCATGCCCTTTCCCGCGCTGGTGTCGATCCTCTGTAACTGCTACCTGATTTGTATGGAAGTGTCAGAATCGAAATCGAGAAAATCGAAAAATTTGTGATGCACAAAATCGATGCCAGTCGGAGCCTCAGTTTCCAAGTGGCGCATGACAAATTTCGGGACCACCAAAATCCAGTCTGTCATGCTGTTTGGGCAAAGCAGACTGCTCCTGTCATCCTACTCTGGCAACACATTGCATACCCCTAAACAGGCTTACAATCGGTCTCATTTGCCTGCTCCCCAATACAGGCGTCGCGTGCCCTATATTTTATGCACCACAAATTTTTCGATTTTGTCGATTTCGATCCTGACACATCCATAATTTGCGGTTTGCCGAGCCACGCGCTGATGCAGGGATTGGTTTTTGCGGTTCTCGCGTCGATCCTCTTTTTTTCTTACTCCCGGCACCATTCGAAACTGGCGATGAGCCGGCGGAATCAGTCGACGCCGGCTACGACGACGGGAGAGGCACTTGAGGGATTTGGCCGAAGTAGAGACGGAGCTACCGGTAGTGGTGGTTTTCTTGCAGATGAGGATGTGTTTGTGATAGAGGAGAATGAGGAAGATGCCGGTGAAATAAAAGCACGGACATCACCAGGGCCGCACTCTGGATCGTTCAGTACTCTGAGCACAAAGAAGAAGAACAGGACAGGAACGCCCGCTGAGTGAGATGAAGTTGTGTGATGCGTAAAATTTGCCTTGCGAGTTCTTGTTGTCACGTCACCTGAAAGAAATCGAGTGAAGATTTAGATTGATAGGCAAAATGCTCGCCCCATTCCTGTTTGTTCACACCACCGTTCTAAACTTGTCGGTGTGTTTGAGGACAGAAAGATGTCGGTGCTTTCTACAACCGCTATCTGTGAGAAAGAGGTCAACAAAGGCAAAGCAGGCGTGAGAGAGGAGAACGCTTTACTGTTTTACAAACCACAAACGGCTATCGTTTCGGTTTTTTTTCGTTCTTTTTCATTGAACGCTTCATAGATCATGACCAAAATGCAAATAAACCGAAAGCACTTACGTCAAATCCACTCCACGCCCCAGGCACCCCTAGCACCATCCTTGACTTATGATTCCGCCCTATTGATGAGCTGTCATAAAAATTGCCCATATTTTTTCTGAAAACGATTCCTCCGTAGTTAGTTGAGTGCGCTTTTCGGTATGTTGTAGGTATGTTTCGCGTCTTCACTGGTTACAGTAGAAATCTGACGCAGCTGCGAACAAGGACGCAGCCATAAAAATAGCTCGACAGTCCCGTGTCGAGGAAACAAAACTAACCTATAATGTGGCGGTGAAGCTTCAGAAAGACAGCGAAGTAGTACTGAAGTCGAAAGCTATGGACCTCTCCGACGCGGCAAGTCTTGCCGCGGCGGAACCGTGGCCGCCCTGGGCGCTGCGGACCATTGCCGTTCTCACCGTCCTCGTAGCAATCTTGTCGAAGTACACGGCACGAAGAGCTAGCAACAGCTCGAGCTCCGGTTCCAAATCATCCACCTCATCTGAAGAACGGAAAGCGTCGCGGTCAAGCAGAGGCAGGGATATCACTAAGGACGATGACAACACGAAAACCGGATTTTTTCCCGACCACGAGAAGAACAATAAAGTATCCGACTCTCCTTCAAAAACTACTAGCAGTGAGCAGAGCTGCGACAGTGACCACGGGAATAAAGCCGTCCGCACCGCGGATCGTGAGGAGCAAATTCACTTCATGCAAACGCAGAAGCAGCTCCGCCGGGAGAAGAACAAGGCGAGTTTCCGGACCTTTCAGCTGAAGTACCTCTCGTATGGAATGCAAAAGCATCGTACTCGTATAAATGCATTACAAATTTGCTCAGCATTAGAAATAAAAATTTGTAATGCGGATTTAGCTTCAGAAAAAAATTTGTAATGCATGACTGCAATTACTACGAGTGCGATACTTTTGCACAGGATATCTCGGTGTACTTGACCATCATGCTCGCGGATTGGCTGCAAGGGACGAATATGTACACGCTGTACGAGGACGAGTATGGCGTGGATACGGGAACCCTGTTCCTCACCGGCTTCCTGTCTTCCGCCGTGTTAGGAACCTACCTGGGGCTGTACGTGGATCTGTACGGGAGGAAAAAAGCCTGTCTGTTCTTCTGCTGGATCGAAATCGTGATCAACCTGATCGAACACGTGAACAACTTCCCGTTGCTACTTTTCGGCCGCGTTTTGTCCGGGATCTCGTCCAGTCTCCTCTTTTCCGCGTTCGAAGCCTGGATGGTGTCGGAGCATCGAAGACGGAAGTTCCCGGAAAAATCTTTGAACGCGACCTTCGCCATCGCGTCCGCGGGGAACGGAATCGTCGCGATCATCGGGGGCTTGTTGGCGCAAATCGCGGCGGACAAGCGGGGAGATCTCGGGCCCTTTCAGCTCGCAATCGCGCTGACGGTGGTGTGTTTGCTGTTGATCCTCTTTCTGTGGGAAGAGGATAAGGAGAGTTCTGTAGGAGGAGGTGGAGCAGCTACGGTTAGTAGTTTTACCACCTCCGGGGTGCCTGCCGCTGTGGAGAGTGCGAATAAGCAAGGGAATGAATCTGCTTTACAAGTAGAACAGCGCGAGGGAACACAGGTGGTTGATAGTACTGCGGCGATAGCGAGCGCGTCGGTCCTACAGGGTCAGCACAACCCCGACCTCGAAAACGAGGAAAGCGGTGCTCCTATCCCGGTAGCGCCAAAAATGTCTCTTCCTTTGCCAGAAGGCGAGAGGAATTATGAAGAGACGATGCCGCTGCTGGGCGGCGTTGTTTCATCCGCGGATGAGGAACTTCATGCAAGAACTGCGGAAAGAACATCAAAGTCTGTATCTCTCCCCACGACCGCGACCGGGCATCACCTCACGGGCGCGACACTCCCGAACCCCCCTTCTGCCACGAAAAAACCGAACGAGATCGACGAGGACGAGCGGTTATGGAATGCAAATATGTCTGGGTCTGGGAGGTTGCAAGACTTGTAGTGCTGAATTCCAAGCGTACTCCTGAACTCTGTACATGATGCATGCTTGAAACTATTAGCACTGCTTTTCTGTGTTGCAAACGAGCTTCTGTTTCTACTTATTCGCCTTGCTCACTGCAGAACCGCTCGAAAACTTGTTATGCCTGGCCGCGTAATGAATGCAGTCAGTTTGTGTCCCGACCCGGCAGACATATAATTGCAATGCATATCCGTCGACGACCGATACGAGCGACGAGGAACCGAACAGCAACTCCCGAACGCTGCCCCTGTCCGTCACGTGGGGGTGCCCGAGCCCGAAGCAGAACCCGTTTCTCTCGGCGCACCACAAGAGACACCTGACGCGAAGAAGGAGCACGAGCCTAACGCCGAGCTTTCAACACCCGGGAGGTTCGTCGAGCCGGCACCGGAACACCCAGGTGGTGTCCGGGGCGACGAGACGGAGAACTAGCACGCAGTCCGAGGCGAACGCAGGACAAGTAAATCAGGGGAATCACGCTCCAGCTGAACAACGACCACGAACAAATCTTCGTGCGGCGCCGGCAGCGGTTGCAGCTCCGCCTGCTCGCCCCCCGATCGGCGCACGGCCGGAAGACCCGGCCGCGGGGAATTTTGAAGGAGTTGTGCAAAACAACTTCCAACCTGCCGGCGGACCACGGCGGGAAACGAACAATCCCCACGCAGTCGCTGCGGCGAATAATCCTGCCAGAACGGCCACTGCCGCACACCGATCGTCGGCCGCACGGGGTGGAACCAATTCCCTCTACAACACCAGCGCGAGCCGTCGCGAGTGCCACTTTTCCGGGCAGGGCGGCGGCAGGGGAGGGTCGAAGAATTCGGTCACGTCGTACCACTCGGTGCTGAGCGGCGGTAGTGGAGCTGCCAGTCCACCGAACAACAACAACGGGATGTTGAATCATGCGAACAGCCCGCTCGGGAGTAACGCAAACACGCCGCGCGGATTGGCAGGTGGTCCGGGTACAACTATGGCAGTTCAGGGTGGAGGACCACAGCCCCCGCAAGGCACGAACCTGAACTTCCTGCAGGGAACAAACACAACTACAAGGGCTGCGGCGCAGCTGCACCACGCTGCTGTAGCAGCCGCCCAAGGAGTACTGCCGTACGGGATTAACCAAGGATCTTCCTCCTTCCCGGCGAACGTCAGCAACGATCTGCAATCGGTTTCGTACCTCAGTACCGCAACAGAAACCGTTTCCGGCGGCCACGACGGAACCCGGGCGCCAAATATCCCGTCCCCTGCGTCGGTGTACAAGAGTACAACTACAGGAGGTTCCTCCTCTTTTATCGACGAACTGCATGGCACTACTGCCGGCCCCAACATCCGTCGTCGCGGCAGACCGAATGGAACCCCGGAGGGCGAAGCAGCGATCAATATCTTGACCCGGACCTCGTCTGCGCGGAGCAGTCAGAACGCGGCCTTGGAGGTGCAGCAGGGCGACGGGGAGGAGGAATGGGTGTACAAGCCTCGTCCCCGGAGTCAAGGTACACCAGGAGGAGAGGTGTACGAGTTGGAGGAGTTTTCAACAACATCTGCGGACACTAAGAAGCCAAAATCTTGTTCGAGAACTAGCGACGCTTCGAAACCAGAAGACAAGCCGCTGCTCCAACACTTGAAAGACACGTGCGAGCTGATCGCGCAAACGCCGACCATCCTCTGCCTCGGCCTGAGTCAGGCGTTCTACGAGGGCGGGGTCTTCACCTTCGTGTTCATGTGGGTGCCAAATATGCAGATGGTTTTGAACTCGCAGAAAATTCCGACGGGCTTAATCTTTGCGTGCTTCATGCTGGCGATGACGCTCGGGGGGATTTTATACACGGCGATCGGGACGAATGTCGATAATGCTGCTGCGAAGAGGAAAAGTAGGGGAGCGAACGCGAGTGCTGCCGCTTCCTCATCCACTATCTTCTTGTTCTCTCTGCTGAACAGCAGCGGCAAAATTTCCCTCCTCGTGTACGCCATCGCGGCGCTCTCCATGTGCGTCCCGCTGATCAGCTACGAGTTTTGGCCGGTGTTCATTTCTTTCCTGGTGTTAGAAGTCTCGCTCGGCATGTACAATGCGTGCGGCGCCGCGATCCGCGCGGAGCTGTACCCCGACGAACACCAGTCGCGGCTGGTCAACGTGTTTCGGGTGCCGTTGAATTTGTTGGTCGTGGTGGGGACGAAACTGACCAGCCACGCGGGCAGCGATTTCTCCCACTGCTTCTACGCGGTGGTGCTGATGTTCAGCACGGCGGTCGTGTTTCAGGTCTTGCTCATGGTCTGCGAGAAGCGGGGGGAACAAACGAAGACTGGTGCTGGGGTTGTTCTGAACACCGGGGCAGACGAGGAAGAGGAAAGTTCAGTGTCTGGAAGCGCCGGTTTTGAGGAGAAGAAGACGCGGTAGGGAGGTGTGTTTTGATGTTCAGGCCGGTGTGATGTCAAGCGAGCCGTTGCTCCTCCTCTGGTGTCGAAAGGGGAGTGCGTTGAAGTTGATATGAGCACTTCATATACTACATTATTCAAAAAGCGAGATCAGTACGCTCCGAGGACGAGCCTTTGATTTCGTTACCAGAAGTTGCTGGGGCAAGGGTCTAGGCGCTCCTTTGCAAAATCTCGTTTGAAAAAATGCATAATGATGGTAAAGGGCAATAGTGAGCATCCTCTTCGCTTCTGTACTAGTAAATCTGCTTGTACCAACCCCATCACCTATTTATTGTTCTTATCACTTCTTCTCGCATTTCGAAATTTTTTAACATGAGCTACCCTGTATTTGAGGCGTTCCAGACCCGCGCTGCCGCGTCTCCTTGCACACTGTATTTGTCTTTTTCTCGGTAGGTACTTAATGCGACAGGCGGTGGGGCGCGGGTTTCTGCAAACTTCTACGCTTTTTGTACCCGAGACACACAGGGAAGAGAAAGAGCGGATGACTTTGATAAAATTTTACTGCACGCATTTTCGCCACCGCTTGATGCGGGTTGTTTAAAATACATCTGAGCCTGACTAGTATCACACCGTGGCGGTGAGGTTTTGCCGGGGTAGTTGCTCTGACTGCGTTCTTCATTCCGGCGAAAATTACTGAGCGCGGACGTGCGTGCTGCTAAAGTTTGCCGGCGCTCGATTTTTTGAGATTGGCCGCGCCCCTACCGCTTTTCCATAGTGTGGGCTAGCTTGCTCGCCGGCAGCACTCGGGCAATGCGCGGAAGCCTGTTCCCCCGGGTGCCGCAGTGGGTTTGGAAATTAGGCGGGCAGAGCGGTTGTGCCGGCCAAAGACCTGGGGCGCGGTCGCCAGCTTACTGCAATTGGCCAGCGATGCGCCCGAGGCCCAGCGTAATCCGGAAGCACGTGGCTAAGCGGCCACGCGGATCCGCGGATGCATACGCTGGCTCTTGGCAGCTATGCGGATTGCGCTGGCTCGCCGGCCCGGGCGCAGCGGATGCAGCCACGGCGCCCGCATGCGGCAGCGTGCTTGGGGGCGCGCCAGTGCAGATACCTGGCACGCAAAGAAAGCAGGCGCGCGCGCTTCCCGAAGTTTGCGGCCGCGCATTTTTTTGCGCCTGGCGAGGAAGGCCCGGGCCGCATTTAATAACGCGATCGCGGGCGCGCTGTTTTTGGCAGGCCCTTGCGCTATCGCAGAAAAAGACCCAGTCCGGCACTCGAACAGGCGAGCGCCTTTGCGGGTCGCATTTGCGCGCAGCACAGGGGGCGCGGAAGGTGCCAAAGCATAGAAGGCCGAAAGCCGCGCCACGGCGCCCGCTGCTGGAAGGCATTCAGCGCAGCCGGGCGGGGAGCGCCGGGGGCGGGGCTGGTCGCGGGGGAGTTCGCTCGGACAGTGGCGAGGTGGGGCGCTTGGGGCAGTGGCAAGGTGGCGCGCCCGCTTGGCGGGTGCGCCTCGGATTACGGCCCCGCCACTGAATGTGCCGCAGTAGGACGCCGAGCGGCAGGGGCTTGCCCCGGTTGGGATCCGTCGGGGGGGGGGGAAGGCCGTGCCGACGAAGCTGAGAACTTGGCTCAAAAAGGAAACCGGCCCGGACGGCCGAAAAGGCCCGACCTTTCTGGCGGCGCCCGTCGGCTGGCGCGGCGCCAAAAAAGCCGGCGCGCGCCGCCTGCGGGCCCTGGCTCGACTCCACCAAGAAGCGCCCCGCGTGCGTTGCAGCAAGCCTGCCCGCAAACGGAGCAGCCGCGACGACGGCGATCTTGTACGAACCCGGGCAGAAGCGCGCACTCGGGGAACCGACGCGCACAGTCGGGGGAAACGTCGGACGGTGGGCCACGGGGGCTCCGACAGGTTTGGGGCGGTCAAGTCCCCAATCCGGACAGAAGCGCACACTCGGGGAACCGACGCGCACACTCGGGGAAAACGTAGGACAGAGGGCCGCGGGGGCTTCGACAGGTTTGAAGCGGCCAGGCCCCCAATCCGGACAGAGAGGTGGCAGCATGGGGCACAGCCCGGCACGGCCCGGAGCAGTGCAGCAGTGCTTCGCGCGTGGCGAGGGCGGTCGCCCTGCCCGGTACTTGCGGGGCCACTCCAGCGCCGTCGCAGTCCGCCGGCCGGCGCCCCGCGCTCGCTTTTAAGGCGCGCGCGCGTCGCTTTTCGGCTCCCTGCCACAGCGGTAGCGGCCCCGCGCCCGCACACTCGCGCCGGCGCTTGGCGCACGGGGCTGCTGCCACTCCATCTCCGCTTGAAGATAGTACGCTCAACAGAAGCGGGCCTTTGGCCGCGGTTTCCGTGTGTGCATTTTCCGCGTCAGCTGGCCTTTCTGTGTTACCGCTGCCGTGGAAAGATCTGCTAGTCACGCTGAGAGGTTGAGTGGTTTCGAAGGGTCAAGAAGTATCGAGCTTCTCTTTTTGCCCCGTGAAAAAGAGTTTTGTCCTTTGGTCGTCGCCTCTAGAACGAATCTCAAATATCGCCGCATATCGCACGACATAAATCATGTTTGACGCCGCCGCAAAGACGGTTTCCGAGCTGCAAAAATCTTCCCCGAGCTCGACCATCTCTTCTTTCCTCATCCAGGAATCGGACATACAGCTGTGGGTGCAGACCGCAGTGAAGACCGCGCTACCGGAACTGGAAAAGCCGTTTCGGGAGGCGTTCAAGAAGCAGGATGAACTGCTGTCGAAAATGCTGGTTGGCATGGACCGCAACACGCAGGTGATGTCAGAAACCATAGCGCTTCAGGGAAAACTGTTCATCAGCATGGGCATCGCTGGGTTTGTCATCGCGGACAAGGACTGGAGCAGGACAGAAAAGCTGGGCTTTTTGACACTCGGCGTCGGTGGGTTCCTCGGCTTTTGCAAACTGTTTCTGGATGGATAGCGGACGGCGCGTTGAGCGTTCCGTTTTTTTTCTCGTCAGTGCCTGCTTTCGATGTTTATTCGATCTGACAGAAATAGCAAGCAAGAGCCGCAAGGAAGACATTTCCGAGCTGCAGTGGCTGCGAAACTGTACAAGTATGCACAGCCAGAGGAAATGCTTTTTCGCTGCGCAACAGCCTACGAAGTATGGAAAGACTCGCTCGCGGCCGTCTCGCATTGCTTGTTGTGTGTTTCATGTTCCTTCATCACATTACGCGTTTTTTGTTTCAGAGCGCGACGGAGCCTTTGCGTCATTTCCCTGGATCCCCACGACCTACGATGCAAGAGAGCGGAGTGGGTTTTCCGATGAGGAGTTGAGTTCTGTCAGTGTCTGTGAGAGTCGTAAGTCATTGCTTGATGTATCAAAAGTGCTCCAAACAAGCCAGAAAAACACAAACGTCAGTTCAAAGGAAAAGACCATGACGCGCTCTGTTCTCGCCACCCTGCGCGCAGGGTTGCGGCCAAGCGGTGCAGGGAAGCTGCAGTTGCCGCAGGTGGTGCAGACGCGAAAATTTGCGGGATACACAAGTACTGGATTAGATGTTTCTTGTGTTAGTTTTCGTCGACGACCGGATGATGATCATGATGACCTGTAGTTTTTGTCATGCAAAAATGTTGTGAGTAGCTAGTGATGGCATGTGTGATGTGAAATTGGTACCACCCGCAAAGGTATGGCCGTGACGGGGAAGGATTTGGAAAAGGGAGCAGAAGATTGGGTGATCGAAGAGACAAACTTCAACTTTGGTATCGCTTTTACAACTAGCAGCGCCTTTGTTTGCATGACCTGTGTTTATTTTTCGAAGTAGGCATGATGACAAGCAGAAACAACCGGTGCAGCTCATACGACATACGAATTATGCACGACAAAATATTACTCAAGGTCGTATGGCCCCCCGTCGATTTAAGGAGACGGAAGACTTGGCCCGCCGAACCAAACGCTTGCTCGAAACCAACCCGTGTTTCATGCATACCCGGTTGCGTGACGGTACCTGCGTTCCCTACTGCCAGCCGGATTTGCACGCGTTGGCGGAGAAACCATACGTCTTTCACGCGTTTTATGTAATGGATACAATGGTTGAGGGCGGCGGTCTCTTTTGCGCCGTAGAGAGCCGTGTCATCTACGCTACATGGAAGTTATTTTCCACACTGCAACTGCTGCTGCATCGCATGAGCACTATTCTGCACAACAGCTGGGTAAGTTGAAAAGTACTTGTGAATTTTCTATGCAAGAGAGCCACGACCTAAAACTGGTATTTGTATTGCATACCTTCCACGAGACGCCGTTGGTGAAGTGGAGCTGGGATGAGATTTACGACGAAGCGCTGGAGGAAGCCGACGCGCCGGCGCCGATCTTCTACCCATAACGCGAAACTGCAATTAACGATAGAAACAATCAGAGTCTCTGCACGCATTTATCAACCGAGCAGATGAGCAGCCCAGTGAAGTTGAAGAGAAATTTCTGCAGTGCTGTCTCAGCCACGGGACGAACAAGAGGAATAACAGCGGGGATTACTGGTGACACCGTGGTTGGATGTTAACACTGTTCCGCAATTTGTTCGAACTCTTTAAACTGTCGGAGGAATCAAATGGCTCGGTTGTTACGCAGCATCTACTCAACAAAATCTGTACGCCAGTGGTCTCTCACTGTCGGTTGTGATTCTGATTTTTTTATTCGAATAGAGTGCTGACCTAGACTTCTTAAACATCCTAGCTATGTATTCGCGGTCAACACGTAATTGTCTAGACATGTGTGTCGTGGGGGTAGGTTGAACCAGGTCGCTTTTATTTCCTGTCGTTAATCGACGGAGCGCGCCGGCCTCGTAAATACCCAGAGTCTCTTCGTCTGTGATTCGTAGAGCCCGGCAGCTTCACTGGTACCCTACTTGTCGTAGACATTCCGGTACTAGTCTCTTGCATTGATTGAGACCCAAGTGAACCATTTAACTCCTCAATCTTGTTGCTACGACCGTTTTTCATGTCTTCTTATACTACCCCATGGAAAATGCCCAAACCCGTCGCAAACGAGAACTTTCTCCCGCCCGTGGGGTCTCTTGCCATCAACAACCTCTTCTCTGTCCGGAGCAAAAATGTCGTAATCACCGGGGGCGGATCCGGTATCGGCGCTATGATCGCGGCAGGCTTTGTGGAAAACGGGGCAAACGTGCTAATTGGCAGCCGGAAGGACACCAGTGAGTACGCGGCAGCGCTCACCGCGCACTACGGTCGTAGAACAAGGAAACCCCCAGCGACGAAAGCCAGTCACCATGCTACCGGCTCGGCCGCGAAGTTGCAAGTGAAAGACGAGGATTCCTTTAGCCAAGCGGCAGCACAGGAAAATGTAACTGTTTCCGGCAAGTGTTATTCCCTGTCTGATATAGACATCTCGAAGCCGGAAAGCAGGCAAAGAATCCGCGCTTGGTGCGAGGAACATTTCAACAACCGGGTGGATTGTTTGGTCAACAATGCGGGCACGAATTACAACGCAGAGTTGGAGAAGCAAGATGCGAAAATGTTCTCAAAGGTCATGGAGTTGAACGTCACAGCGCAGTTCTTCTTGATCCAGGAGTTGCTTCCTTTGCTGAAAAATTGTGCTTTTGACAGAGTTCTACAGAGGAACAACTTGTCTTCTGCAGCTTGGATTGATAGAGGAAATAAAACTCAGTGCGACAGCACATTAGTTTTGCCGCGGGAGCTACTGCTTCGCGATGAGTCGACTACTACAATGAAACCGGTGGACTCATCTTCTTCAGCTTCTGCTTCTATCATCAACATCACGTCGGTCAACGGACTGCGGATCCCGGGCATGGAGACCTACAGCTACCAGGCGAGTAAGGCCGCTCTGAACCACTTAACCGCCAGTTTGGCGTCGAAATTGGCGGTCTACAAGATCCGGGTCAACAACGTCGCGCCGGGCGCGTTCCCGAGCAGAATGATGCGCGGGACTATTGATTTTGTCGGAGAGGAAAAGTTGGCGAAGCGGATGAACATTCTCGGCGATTTCGGAAAACCGCGACTCGGAAAACACGCGGATATTTGCGGCGCGTGCTTGTATTTGGCATCGGAAGCGGGAGCGTGGTTGACCGGAACGACGGTGGTGGTGGATGGAGGGAGTTTGGTGAAGACGGGGATGAGTGCTGGGGAGGCGGGCGGGAGTGGGGAGAAGATGAAATCAAAAATGTGAAAGCAAGCATTGCTGCCGTGTGAGAGGAAAGAACAACTTCCAAACGGTTCGACATGACCATCATCAACAAACAAATAAAAGCATTGCTGCCGTGCAGTTTACAGCTTTCAAGACATATTTTTTTCCTTTTTATAGAGTCCGCTGGGCCTTTTGTGAACTGGGCGAGTTTCTCGCAGCGCTTCGATGTGTTATTTGTTCGTGTTCGTGCTGTTTTTTGGGTGCCCCGCACCGCTCGATGTTCTGTAGGGCTCATGGAAGCAAGGAAGCCTAGCTTTTCGAATTTGAATGCTGCGTCCGGTCGGAAAGTTCGCAGCGCGAACGACGGCGGGGAAGTCCCCCGCTCCGCTGCCGCGCGCTCACGCAAAGCAGGGAAAGCCCGCGGCGCCTCGGGAGTGCGGATCGGGGCTCCGCGAGCCCCGACGCACGGCGGCCGCCCCAGAGGCGCCGGGGTTGGAGGCGGCTCGCCGCTTGTCCTGGGGCCGCCGGCCGGGCCCGGGGGTGCGCGCAAGCACCGGCAGCGGCGCAGGGTCGTGACTTGCCTTCTGTGGAGCAGGATGGCACGAAGCAGGATGCTTTGCCGGAGAGGCAGGAAGTGGAAGGCGCGACTCAGGATTTTTTGCCTTCTGCGAAGGAAATCGCGGCTGCCGCCCCGCTGGCCCGGGGCGGCGCAGAAGCGCCGCGGCCCGAGCCGGCAGGGGCCTAGCCGGGACACGGGCCAGGGGGAAGCGTCAAGCAGGGGAGCACGCAGAAGGCGCCCCCAGAAGCGGGCGGCCTCTGTTTTGTCCGCGGCGCCGCGGTGCGCCCGCAGTGTGGGCACTCCGCCGCCCGCGCGGTGCCTCCGCGGCGGCCGGGGGCCGGCGTTTTCACGAAGCACAGCGCGGCCGGCGTCGCCTGCGGCGGGCGGGGGCACCGCTGTCGGCCCGCAGCGGGCTGCGATCGCACCAGCCGGGATATTGTGCGCCCGCTGGCCGGGAGCTTTGGGCCTGGTGTTTGCCGGGGTTCCACGCTGTCACCCGCACGGACAATGATGAAGGCGGGCGCGCGACTGCTGGGCTCGAACGAAGGCGCGGCCCCCGCAGGCGTCGCGCGCATTGTGGTGGAAGAAGCCACGGAGCACGGACGGGCGCGAACCGCCGGGCGGCCGGCGCACATGTCGCGGGGGCTGCTGCCGCTGTTAGCGTCGTCAATGCCGGCGGTGGGGGGCGGGGCGGAGATCCTGGCCCGGCGGGTGATTGATGTGCCGGCGGAAGGCGGCCGGATCGCAGCGCGGCGGCTAAGCGTTATCGGTCGCGCCGCGGCATTTGCGTCCTGGATCCGTTCCGCGCCCGCGCCCCGGCGGGGCAGTCGAGGCTGCACCCCGGCGCGACACAGTAGGCCCGGCGCAACTAACTTCCACCACGAGCGTGGCGATCTCTATCGGAACGAAAAGGCCTCCGGCTGCAGTGTCGCCGCTGCTGGATTCGATGCATTCCCTAGGTGCTTCCCTTAGGAGGTGACACGCGAGCGCGCAGATCCGAGGGACCCCCTACGTCACTCCCCCGCGGCGCCCGGGGGGGGGCCTGCCAGGTTCCTGCATTTCGCAGCTAGGGGGGCGGGGTCGCTTCCTCTTCGGCGGCCGGCGTGCGGCGCTTCTGCGCGGCTGCCCCCCGGGGTGTTTTCGGCTTTGGGGCGCCATCGCGCCATGGCAGCGCCGACGCTGGCCCTCGCCCTTCGGTGCCGCTACGTATCCGCGTGCGGTAGCACCGCCGGGGTGTCTGCTGCGCTGCGATTCAAGTATGAGAGTTTTGATCTGTGCGTACTCGGGCTGCAGAATGCATCACGCGCTTTCTGACGTATAGACATGCGCTCCCCATAAAATCACGGATCACGTGAAGCTTTTCCATTTATGTGTCGGTGCCGGAAATCTACTTCACAAAAGCAGTTCCTCTGTCGGTCCAATCTTTTCGAAAAAAGGAATCTTAGCAAATTTTGTTCAACGCGATCTGCTCGTGACGAAATTCAAATCGATCTGTCGAGATTTTGCTCTTCGTGAAAACCAGCAAACGAAGCGAGATCATTATCAAACAAAACAAGACTTTTGAAGGTCATCGTCATTCCTGCTCGAAACATAACAGTGCCTCAACCTCAGTCAGAAGCAACCCCAAAACCTCTTCTACGACTTGTAGTCAAATTCATCACAACTTGTACGTCAATTTTATTTGAAAAGTCAAGTTGCACTTAACTTTGCATCAATTCAGTTTGGTAGCTGCATCTTTACCTTTTCTTGCCACCTGCTAAAGACTTCCACTGCATCTGCATTTGCATCATTTTATTGAGACTCTCGCTTTCCCGAACCACAGTCACCCGCCAAACAGACCTACTTATTTGTTTTCGTCCCAAGAACCGTATCAAAATGAAGACGTGCACCGCGTTTTCCGCGACTCTGTTGCTGTCCGCACAGCCAACAGCAGCCTCCTTGAATCTGGGTATGGAACCCCTAGAACGGAGAGCGCCCTCGGTTCCCGCGACGCCGGCGCCGCTGGGCACAGGAGCATCCTCTTCGCGTGGCGGTTTGTTGGAGACCCCGCCACCGAGGGCAGCGGCAACCCACGGTCGCAGTTCCGCGTCCAGCTCTAGTGCCATGTCTTATCTGCAAACCCCCTCGATCCAGGTGTCTCGGCTCTCGGACATCAGCACCCGAGCGCCGTCGAGTTTCCCGCCCACCCCCGCGGATGCGGTCCGACCGCAGGTTTTGTTCCGGGGCGCGCGCAGCAACGCGGAGATGCTCGCGGAGCAGCGGGCGGCCGAGCGAGCGGCCGCAGGAGGACAAGTTCAATTACAGCCAGACCGCGCTTTAGTAGACGACCCTGTTCAGCGCGGTGCCGCCCCCCTGGGCCCCCCGCCGAAGCGCCGGCCGAAGACCGTAGCGCAAAAACGACAAGACAAAGCGTCGCAGTTCTTATCAAACGGCGGGAACACGGATTTAACCTGGTTGTCCAAAGAGTTCCAGCAGGTGAATAAAGACGCACTCATCCCGCAACTCGCCGACTCCTCCCTGCAGGACAAGTTCCTGCACCCGTTTTTGGTTCACGACTACCGCGCGATGGACTTGGTCAAGGACGATATGGGAGACAGCGAGGACTACAAGCAGGAAAATTCCTACTGGCTGAGCATCCGCAACCCTGAGCAGCGCGACCAACAGAGCGGGCGACTGTTGAAATTTGATTGGGAGAACGACTATCCGACCAGAAAGGACACCTACGATTGGATGAACAACTTCCTGATCACGAAACTGCCCCGCGCAGTCGCTCTAGTGCCGAATGGGTCGCCGGTGGTCCGCCAGAACGCGATGGTGCTTCGTGATTCGGCAACTCGGTACTACCCCTCCTGGATCCACTTCTCGATGGACTTTGCGGGGAAAGGGTGGCAGCAGTACAGTGTGGTGGAACGGATGTTGCTGCAGAACTTCAACCTGTTTGACAAGAAGTTGCACCAGTTGTCCTCTACTTCTACCGCTGGGAGTAAAAGCGACGAGCCGGAGAGCACAAATTCCGCCGTTTTGCAGTCCCACAAACGAGAAAACAAAGAGAAGCAGATGGCCTACCTCGATCTGCCGGAGCTCGCCCCGCTTTTCTTCCCGAACCACGTGCCCGAAGACCGCGCGGACGCCGCGGGTGCCGGTGGCGGCGCCGGGTTTCCGGACGTGGCAGTCGCGAATTTGGCGGAAAACCAGTTCCAGGGGTTACAAGGGAAGGAATTACTGCAGGTGCAGTTCACGCTCTTTCCGAAGACTGAGCAGCAATCGCTGGATTTGTTACGGAAAATCGAGAATAATGTTGATTTCGACTATCGCCGGCTGGAGCGGATGTGCTGGGAGATGTTCGACAACGGACAGGTCAAATCGAACCAGAAGAACAAATTTCTTCTCCCGATTGTCAACATGATGTACGCACCGAATAGCGAGCGCGTTTCGGATCTCTTGCCGAAAAAGTTCACCGGGATTCGGGTGTCGCAAAAACCGGTTTCCTCATCTGTTGCTTCTTCCCGAGCTGGTGAAAGAGATCATCATCATCATGCTGGGCAACAGGAAATGGTCCGGATGGAGCGAATCGACTATCAACTGTCCTTATCAAATGTAAAAATGTCTGGGTCTGGAATGTTGCAGGGTTTGTCATGCATATTTTGCATGACTCAGGATGTCTGTAATGCACGACCTAGCATCACAGATTTTTAGACGGCTTCCTGATGCCTATTCCGCATGAGAAATTCCCTCCCCGCGTAGCACAAACTAGACTCCTCTTGCTGGTCATGCAATACAGATTTTTTTAGAGTTCAAAGTTAGCATCACAAGTTCCAACCTTCCAGACCCAGACATTTTTACATTTGATAGTCCTGGGTTATTGATCCTGATTTCGAGGCCGACGAGACCGACCCGAATATGGCCAACAAGCAAGGCTTTCTCCTCGAGTCGATCCAGCCGGTTGTGAAGGGACAAAAGGAGTTCTTCCCCGCGTCCGGGGCAAAAATGCTGAGCGAGCAGGGCATGTCGATCGAGGTTGCCGACAAGGGAAAGACCGTGAAGTTTTCCATCCGGGGGAATGAGGGGCTTCACAACGACATGTCTATGGCCGTGAAGTCCGACACGCCGGTCAAACTATTAGGTCAGGTCCACGCGCGGTCGCTCGCAAAACGGAAGCGGATCGCCGCGCCGTTGAACTTCATGCGGTTTTACAGTTTTACCCCCATGGGTAGAAAGACTGCTGTGGCAGCGGGTTTGGTGGAAGCGCCGGTGCGGAGAGGTGGGAAAGAACTCGCAGCTGCTTCCAGCTCCGGGCTCTTTCGTCCGGATTACTTCGAGGAAGAGCGGGATGGGCGTACAGAAGCGTGAGAGAAGGCAGTTCGATGGAAGCAGTGAAAAAATTTTAAAACATGTAAGTTGTACAGGATGTCGATCATACCTAGTTTTCTATTGACGTTATATTTGGGATGAACTTTGACACAGAAGATTTCTTTCATGCATAGTTTTGCTTCGTCTACGTCTTCGGATACTGCCTTCTTTTCCCGAGTTTGCGCAGAGTATACACCTAATTAACGCCGTTATAGTGCGCGTGGTTTGATGAAAGTCATTATGTCGCTTCTCGGCATAGAAAATCAGTAAACCTAGCGATAGGAATTCAATAGTTGCTGTTGCTCTGTGCGAGGCGCTCGTTGACTGGACACTAATGTTGACTGAATGGATTTTGGGTACTAGTTAACACTCTGACCATTTCTCGTCTTAATTCAAAGCGGCCTTTGTATCCGTGTTGTTCTTCAAGAACACACGTCTAATTAAACAGGATCCTATGCATATCATACTCCTAGTAAGTTGTAGAAATCATGCTGAAAAAATCAGCAGAAAAAGAGGTTCTAGACAGTTGAAATTGCTTCGTACTTGTCAGCGTCGTACTACCGCTATTACTTAGTATAATTCAACACAATTTATTCCAGTGAATCTCGTCACTGGCAAAGCAAAGAGAATAAACCACGCTAATTCATCATCATCGCAGCGTAGTATTAGACACACACCACACATTCACATTCTACAGAAAACAACTCTTGAAACATGTACACGAACATTCCACCATGGTCCACGAAAAACAGCGCTGACAGTTTTTGCTCTGAGAAGAAGCTTGCACTTGGAAAACGATAAAACCCACGACGGGAGCAGGCGCCCCGGTTGCGAGACAGGCCTGGCAGATTCTTGCGGCAAAAGGTCGCTTTGATGTTCATCGACTGTGGCCGCTTCTGAACAACAAATTTGAACTCTGTCGCTGTTGCTGCCATCAGATGTTGATGAAATTTTGCTGTGAAAGAAGGATGAAATTATAGATACTTCCCGAGTAATGATGTGTTTTTTCTGCGGCCAGCCATATCTTGAAGTCGTTTGGATGTTTATTGTGGTACAAGGGACATAAAAGTGTTGCAGCTCAACTACTCACAGGCCGCTATTTCTTTTTGCTTGGATGTTGAGACCATCAGGAAAATAAAGTTGCTCAAGTGACTTACGACCTCGTCCAACAAGAAGAAGTCTGACACGTTTATTCAGTGTTTATCTCCGTTATTAGCAAGGAACAAATCAGTATAGCCTTTAACACTTTCTTTCATATTTTTCCGCGTTTTATGGAGTAGCGTTTTTAGCCTGAGAACCAACAACCCTATCCGACCTCCACTGCACAATGTCAGCTGTACAATGACGAGCAAAGCGACGAAGAGCAAAGCCGACGCTGCTGCGCAGGAGACCACCGCCGCGGCGGAGTTTATCTTCGAGAAGTTGAAGACTGAGAAGGTTACGGATAATGCTCTTGTCTCTGCCCAAGAGGGCATACCCTTGATAACTGCCGAGTCTTTGGCCGCGGCCTTGAAGCAGTACCAGATCGGGTTTTCGTCTTCGTCCATCACCGATAACAACAGCGCAGAGGAATTCGCAAGTCGCATGCTCAGCTTTGCGAAGGAGCAGCTGGATAATTCTGCGGACGCCGGAGCGAAGACGAAGGGTAAAAAAACGAATCCGGAAAAAATGTATTTTAACGAGCCTGCTCACCTACGTTTCGCGGAGTTTGAAAAGCTGTATGCGGGGAAGTTTCAGCTGGAGTAGTCACAGGTGGTTAAGAGGCGCAGTAGAGCAGAGCCTGTTATAGATACAAGGCGGGTGGTGCAGCTGTGTTGCTTGATATAGTCGCACCATGCTGCAAAAATCCTTGGGGCGATTGCACTCGCGCGCCGCCGCGGGGAGGACCTGTGGAACTACCTCGACGCGGAAGGTCATTTGTCAGGAAGGTTACACCTCCATGCAGGCGTTGTCGGTTTTAAGGAAAAGAAGTGCTACAAGTGTAGTAAAAAGTCCCCCAAACTTGCAGATCGGGGGCAGCAGCAGTTCTACGGCGCGGTTTGTGCGGCCAGTACAAGTTTTTCGGCAACAAGAGAATTACTACGGCGGGGGATTAGCAAGCTTTACAAGTCGTCCCGCGTCAACAACCATATCGTCGTCTCGATGCTTTGCGTTTCAGGCGCAGCCCGGGGCGATTCCGGGAATCACGCCGGAAGCGCCGCTTGGGTCGATGTTGCTGGTTCGGAAGAATATCCTGAAAAATGGCGGCGGGGCAGGAGCTGCTGCCGATCGGTCGGACCTAGTTTTGTCCGAGCAGGAGAAGAATGAATTGACACCGAAAGGAGCAGGCAAGGAGGACATTCCGACGGGGAAATATGAACTGCAAAAGTATCGTACTAGTATCAATCGCATGACAAATTAGCTCAGCATGACAAATGGAATTTGTCATGCTGTTTTACCTTGAGATGAAGATTTGTAATGCATGACTGCGATTACTAAGAGCACGATACTTTTGCACAGGATAGCAAAAAACGGGAGACCATTCTACCAGTCCCGCACACGCCGACCTACATTCCGCCCGCCAAATACCGGAGCTACAACATATGAATTGCAAAAGTGTCTGGGTCTGGAAGATTGCAACTTGTCATGCTGTCTTTGGATTCCAAAAAAATCTGTATTGCGTGACCAACAACAGGAGTCCAGTTTGTGTTACGCGGATAGGGCCTCTCTCACGCGGAATAGGCATCAGGAAGGCCTCTAAAAATCTGTGATGCTAGATCATGCATCACATGCATCATGGCTCATACAAAATATGCATCACAAATCCCGGAATCTTGCAGACCCAGACATATTTGCAGTTGATACAACAGCGAACGCTACGACGTCTGGAAGGGACGGGTCTACTGTATTGAATTTATATAGGCTGCTGCTGTTTTTTTACGGTTTCGATCAATATGTAGTTTCTGCTCTGCGTGCTGAGTCGTAGAATGCTGGTTGGTGATATGATGGTACGTGATTCAGCAGTTCTAGAGTGCTATGATGAGCCGCTGGCTTCTTGGCAATCGCTGCGCATGTTTTGTTTGTTGCATTTGGCTCAAGTCCTCTCAAGTACAATTCTTCACAGCGACGATTATTATGGACAAGTTGTCTCGCTCACTCTAGCTTCAATTGCCGACGACTTATGATAGCTGTAGACGAGCCTGTAGTGCACAAAATAAGTATGCATTCATGCATGATTCTAGCCACTCCTACTACCCATATGACTCGATTTTGGTCGAGTGCAACTGCCTAGCTGTCCGTACTACCTTAAATCGTTGATCCAAATGCAGAAGGTCTGACAAGATGAAAATGACCAAAACGTAGTAAAGACAGTACTGCACAAGTATCGTACAAAAAGATCGGTTCGTACAACACATGCCCAGGCTCATATCGTGCAAATAAATTACGTCCATCACAATAATAAGCTGCAATGAAAATCTGTGCAAAAGAACTTGAAAAATTATGTTCCGGATGAAATAATAGAAAAGACAGTCGGTAGAGTAGAGAAGAAAGCTTCGGTCTCAATCCACATGCTTTTTTTCTCTCCCGCATTTTTTCTCTCTCACCTTGCGTTTCGGCGCGCGCCCAGCAGCGCGTACTGTCTGCAAGCGGTCGTGAGAAAGATTTCGATGCGTTTTTCTTTCACGTTTTTTCCCTACTCACAGGCCCTAATTTTGCTACGCCCGTAAACATCGTATTACATGTAGTAGATTTCTATTACGCAACATAACATATTGCACGAATTATTTTGTTTGTAAAACTTCACGCATAGAGTAGAAGTGAATAGATAGGCGGGTGCATCCGTTCTATCGAGGACTTTTTGATGCACCGCGGCGCCCATCTTTTCGCATGAAATTTTCAAAAAGTTTAGTTATACGCCGCAGTGGTTAAAACAGTTTTGCTCCACTTATTATTCGCACGACCACGCACACGCGCATAGGCATAAGTATATGCACAACAACATTCAGACTTTAACCACTAGCACGATTCCAGGCCGAGGAAGTTTGTAGATACTCACTACGTAGTACTTAGCTATGAAATTTTAAGATAGGCATTCATAAGGAAGCGAAGCGCGTGCGCGGATCCACCAGCAGCCCTTGAAAGTCCGGATCGGATTCTGTCGGCGTTGTGGACTACTAACTAAGTTGTGGTCTTTCTCGCCCTCGGAGTCAAGATCTACAAGGGCCTGCTGGTGTTTGATGCCGTGTTTGTTGTTTGATCTTCGCGCTTACTGCTTCATTTGATATTTTTACCATACTAGAAGATCACTAGAGGCTTCCCCTTTCTAAATCGGGCAGCAGGAAAATGACATACAGAAGCCCTCTGCTGGAGAAGCCGACCGCAGCGGAGGAGACCAAAACCAGCAAATGCGCCAGTTCTAGTGCAGCTTTTGCAGAACATGGCTGCCATCAAGATGAACTACACGCGCAACAACTAACATCATGCTGCACCGGGGGAAATACAACTAAAAATGCCGCCGCGAGTAACTACACCAGCACAGCAATGTTACCAAGTAGCCGCTGCAGTTCGCCCGACGAGTCTGGATCTCTGGCGGTGGTGGTGCCATCAGGAAATAAACCGTTGTGTAGTACTACAGGAGTTGTACAACCTCCGCAGGTCGTAACAGCACACCAGCACCACCATGCAGGCGCAACTGCAACTCCATCGAGTAGCTCCACGGCGTCGAAGCGGCGTCCGTCGTGGCGGAATTTCCGTCCACAGCCGTCCAAGGACAAGCACCACCACCATCATCATCATCATCACCACATAATACACACAACAAACAACGCCGTCTTGACGAGCAGCGGTAGCAGCAACTCGTTAGGGTCCTGCGATAGGATTTCAGGGACTTCGGGCGGAGATCGTGGAGAACTATCAATACAAGAGGACGGCGACAACGTCATCTCGCACAGCAACAATATTTCTTCCTCCACCTACCCCTCACCTTGCGACAACTCAGAAAACCACAGTTGTTCCCTTCACTACCACTCCGCGGCGGAAGAAAACAGCGACAGTGTGTCCACGAAGAGCTACTCTTTGCAACAAGTCGAAGAGACCGCGATTGAGTCGGAGTCTGACATCTCCGACTCGGAATTCTATTACCACCCGGACGAGTCGGCGCGGAAGACGGATCTGAAGGCGCTGGCGTTCATCGTGTTGACCACGTCTTCCTTCATCGTCCTGACCGCGGTGTTCGCCTTCGGAATCGTGATCCCGCTCACGATTTCGCTCTCCAGTCTTGTCTTCTCACTTTTATTCTCTAACGAATCTGTCTTATCTACAGGGGCGCGCGTCTGGGCCGGCGTCTTTGTGGCGGGGTTTTCCTTTTTTCTCTGGTACAGTCACAAACTCTTCGTGCACTCCGTGAACATGGCGGGGAACCCGGCAAGGCTGGAAGATCCCAGTCTCATCTGGGCGGTGCGGCACTTTTTTGGTATAGAAGTAGTGTGTTTTTTTTTTCGCTTTATTTCCAAACCTTAGTTCTTTCACTCTGATTCGATGCGCGTACTAGGACTACTCAGCACAGAGAAATTTGTGACTTGCGCAGTTGGAGTAGAGAGTCATGGATCAGAGAAGCACAAGCAGAGGTAGCACTTTTGAGTTTTGCTTTTGAGTTTTGCTTTTGAGTTTTGCTGCGCTGCCCGTCGTGGTGCCATCGAAATGAACGAAATTGAAGCTGCATCAAATTTAGACAAAATGACTCGACCAGGCCCCGCCCGGTCGCGCATCATGAAGTTCATCACGGAGATCGAGCTGCCCCCGAGCTGGCGCGCGCCGATCTACCAGCTTTTTGGGCAGATTTACGACGTGAAAATGGAGGAGTGCCGGTACCCGCTGGAGACCTACACCTGTTTCCAACAATTTTTCACCCGGTCCGTGAAAGACGACGTGCATAAAATCGACAGAAATTGCGGGATCACCTCTCCGGTGGACGGGCGACTCGTCGCGATGGGGGAGATTACCGGATCGGAGGCGCGGGTGCCCCAGGTGAAGGGGGCGAGTTACGACGTCACGGCCTTTCTGGGGACGGACCCCTACCGCACGATTTTGGAGCGGGAAATGCTGCTAACCGGGATCGGCGGGAAGAATGGCGAGGAAGCAATAGGGGAGTTCCATCAGGAACGTATAGATGATACTCTTTGAGTTTTTAGATTTATGATACTACATTTGATCTAGTACTGCAGGTTCTTCTCAAATAAAATCTCGTAGTGCACAATTCCAACAAGAATTGGCGCGCCAAAAATTTCTTGATCCACTTATTTTTAACATCCTCATCGTCCAGAAAAATGATTCTTTATCAATTACCTCCAAAAACCTAACCACAGTCCACGGCGGCGTGCGGCTGCACAAGCTCGAGGTGCAGGAGACGAGGGAGAACGTGGATGAGCTTTTACTCGATATCAAATGCAATTATGTCTGGGTCCGGAAACTTGTGATGCAAATCCGTGAACAGTAACTGCTCTGCAATGCGCCGCCAAGCATGACAAGTCTTTTCGTGCTTCTGTGCTGCGTATTTCGCATGAGAAACTGCGCTTTTGCATGACAGGCAAGAGGACCTTTTGGTGGCCACGCAATACAGGGCGCAGAGTCATGCCAGACTAGCATGACAAATCCCGCAATTTTCCAGACCCAGACATATTTGCATTTGATACTCGAGGAGGAGAAGCAGTTTAAGCGCCAACGGGTGATCCGGCAGACCCCCCCGAAGTACAATTTTACGAAGGAGCAGGTGGAGAACAACGAGATCGAGTTCAAAAAGTTCGAACAAGACGACCTCGCGGAGCGACAAACGGACGAAAAGTCGCTGACCACCATGCCCGGAACCAACGTGAAGGTGTCCCACCGCGAGAAGCAGTGGGCCTCGATGTCGCAAGCGGCGGCGGTCCAGCACGTGAAAAACTCGAAGCAACTCCACCTGACCGGGCCCCCGGGTAGTGCTAGTGCAACTAGTACTCTGGGTGGACAGAAAAATCCGAGCCCGGCCAACTCCGCGGCAAGTACAACCACCGGGAGCGAGGACAGTTCCGAGCCGGTGAGCACGCTGGAATCCAGCTCGCTCGACAGCAGCAGTAGCGAGGAAGACCACGCTGGGACCACGGCAAGTTTGAGGCAAAGACGGAATATCAAATGCAAAAATGTCTAGGTCTGGAAGAATGCAACTTGTGATGCTGTATTTGGATGTCTAAAAAATTTGTGTTGCATGAGCAGCAAAAGGAATCTAATTTTTGCCACGCGGAGAGGGCATTTGTCATGCGGAATAGGCATCAAGAATCTCTCAAAAAACCTGTGATGCTAGGGCATGCATCACAGACCTCATGGCTCATGCAAACCGTGCATGACATGTCTCAGAATCTTCCAGACCCAGACATTTTTGCAATCCATACGGAACAGCAGCTTTTCGCCGGTGAAGAGGAAAAGAGATGAAGTAGGAGACAACGTGAGTATAGCAGCATCTTCTACTTCGTCCTCAACAGCAGCAACAACATCTCGCTCTACTGCTTTTTTCAACAATCCGAAGGATGAGCAGTTCCACAAGGAAATGTTCCAACAGAAAGAGCAAGAAATTCTCGAGGAAAAGCAGAGGGAACAGCAGTTGCGGAAAGAGCAGGAGTTTTTCCAGAAGCAGATGGAGAACAAGGTCGATTCCGGGGTCAAACTCGCCTACTGCGTTCTGTACCTAGCCCCGGGGGACTACCACCGGTTTCACTCCCCGGTGGAAAACTTCCGGATTGACGTGGGGCGGCACTACCCGGGGGAGTTGTTCCCGGTAAACCCGCAGTTCGCCGACTGGATCCCGGATCTTTTCACCTGCAACGAGCGGCTTGTGTTATCCGGATGCTATCCAAGGCCGGAAACTTCGACAAGTAGCAGTGCACAAACGTCGAAAGTAGAACCCCATATGAGAACGTCAAACAAGAAAACCTCCTCCGAGCTGCTCTCGATGCACATGACGGCGGTGGCGGCCTACAACGTGGGGGGCATTTGGCTGGACTTCGACGAAAATTTGCGGACGAACGACGGGGTGGGCGCGCCGTTCGAAATCAGCAACATGGTGACCAGCAAGGAATTTTCCTCTCGGTGGGGCAGCTGGGAGAAAATCCTGCAGTTGAACAAGGGCGATTTGGTCGGGGGCTTCCGCATGGGCTCTACGGTGGTGTTGGTGTTCGAATGCCCCAAAGAGTACGAGTGGAAAGTGCAGGAGGGGGACAAAATACGCATGGGCGAGGCGCTGATGGGGTGATAGTGATTCTGATCGATTGCAGCTGCGCTTTCTGTCATTTTCGATTGTTCGGCATAGTGTTTGCTGACAAGAAATGGTGGTGGCGAGGATGAACTGCAGAACTGCAATCGCTATGAATTATAGCCGCGGAATGTTTTTAACAAGAACCTCAGGATGGCGACAGTCACAATTACTTTGAACGACACTAGTCCTTTGTCCGCACCTGATGATGCGACTCCCTTGACATATTCTCCTTTTCCTACAAGGACCCGACGAAAAACCTTTCTCCAGAAGGACGATTTTTTTACCATAGGATCATATCCGTAAAGTCTTCTTTACGGCAGGCACTAAGCGACATTTCAGATGAGAGGAAAGCCATGGCAGGGCTGGCTAGGTCAGCCCGGCGGGTTAGTAATTGCCTTTGACTTTTTTGGCAATAAACGATACTAGTGTTCATCTTCGATGCGGTAGCTCTATTAGGGAAGAGGTCCACTTCCGATCAAGAGATAGAGTCCAAATCATGATGAAGGCTATTATTTTCGGTAGTAAGAACTTGCTTTCGTGATGCAAAATAAACGGTTCTCTATCTCTGCGAGTTAATGTCTGTTCCTGTGTCGTTTTTACGCTGACTACTGTGGTTCTCTCTACGGTTCTTGGTTCATCGCGGCGAAAGGATTCTTATCGTGGCAGTTTTGATGCAAAAGGATCGTGGCCTTCAGGTTTTCCTGAAAAGAGTGTGCAAGCCCGGCTCGTCGGAGAATGGCTTTAATATGCTGCGGCAGCGCTCTTTTCTCATTTCGCGATCATCTGTGCCGGGGGTCAATACTGCCGATACTGTAGTTTCCGTGATTATGATGTTGTATCAGACGAAGCAAGTGATTGATGAAGTTGGAATTCATGTGATCCTCAAAGATCGAAAGGAACGAAATAACATAGTGTAGTTTTGGACACGGATAATTCTGTATTCCTATCCATTTTTGTTCCTGATTGAGTACTATCGCACTTTTCTTCCTCGCAAGGCACCACTGACGAAAGTAAAAAAAATCGAAGTACCTGTTGAGGGTAAAAACACATTTTCCACCGCCCAGCAGTTCGAGAAAATGAACGCCGAAGATTTTGACGCGATTCTGGAGGACCTGGACCAGGTGCTCCGAAAACTCGGCACGACCTGCTACAACACCCAGAACATCCGCCGTCAGTCGCTGGAAACGACTGCGCTCGAGTACTTGGGCTATCTGAGGGACATTTTGGAAGTGTATCTGAAGTGGCGTCCGAGGAAGGAACTAGTAGCGGTGTTTGCATCTACAACTTCCTCGTCTAGCACTGGAGTGTCGTCCTCCTCTAAAAATCTAATGACTACAGCCGATGATTCTGATGCGAGCGATGTAAAGAATGCATCGTCCAATAGCGAAGATGTCGCAGCAGGACGAGATGACATGAGGACACCAGGAGCAGCGAAAGGAGCGCCGCCGAAGATTAAGCGGAACCGGCTGCTGCACATTTTAGCAGTGCTCGACCACTTGTCACTGAGCGACAAGGCGTCGCACGACGACTCCCGCTGGACTGGATGTCGGGGGATGTGCGAGGCGGTGGAAAAAGCGCTGGACGCGGAGTTTCATCATGGTGCGGAGCCACCTTCTATCACGAGCCACAGCAGCACTCTGAGGACTTCGCTCCAGCTCGAGTTGGAAAGGTTGAAGCAGCGACTTTTGTATCAGTACGAGGTTTATCAAGTGTAAAAATGTCTGGGTCGGGAAGGATTGGAACTTGTCATGCGAATTCTGGAATAGGCAAAAATTTGTATTGCATAAACACCAAAAGCTTCCCATTTCTTGCTACGCAAATAGGGAATTTCTCATGCGGGATAGATATCAGGAGGCCTGCGCAAAACCTGTAATGCTTTTGCGTGTAGTAATGGAGACCAGTTGCGTGATCCAGAAGTTCCGGCTACTCCGGATCGCAATCGATGGAGGGCGGGACCTGCACCGGCGACAGGCGCTATCCAACCAACCAACCAAAGTCTTGCAATCTTCCAGACCCAGACATATTTGCATTTCATAAGGTTCGATTCGTCCGCGAACAGCTTTTGCAAGACCGGGGCTTCGACCTCCCGACTTGGAAACAAGAAGTGGACGAGCTGGTAGCAAACCAGAAAGACGTGGCGAGCCGGGTGTTGGTAGAGCAGGAGGAACGAAAGGCAAAGCATCAGGCAGAAAGAGTCGTCGTCGGGCCTGAAGTTGTGGTGGAACAAGATGTCCTCGTCGAACAGCGTGACAAGAAACACGACGACCCAGATCATCATGGTACAGTCGACGACAAGGATAGGGAACTAGAGGAAATGAAGGACCACCTAAAGCCCCCCCTCCTGCACGTAGCAGCTACCACGCCCTCAACGACGACTACAACACCGACTAGTGAGCTCCTTCTTGGGGAGAATTATGGCACCAGTTGTAATCAGGCGCTGAGCACAGCCGCCGCCGCGGCCCTTCAAAGTGTAGAAGGTGAGACGGTCGTTCCAGAAGTACAGGTTGACGGCGAAGCAGCGGCGCCGCCGGAACAACAACTACGGCAGCCGCTTACCATCCCAATACCGGAAGCGGATGAGGAAGTTCTATCGGGCGGAAATGCAGCAATCGTAGGGCAATTAAGGACCACTACATCAAAAGCTGCAGACCACGCGGATCATTCGTCTGATTCGTCCTCCGATTCGGATCCAGACTACTTCGACCGCCTAAAACGGGGCGAAACCTGCGTGACAACGAAGCGAAACAAGCGGACAATCGTCTTGGCTGAGCAGCAAGACAATTACCCAGCAAACGTGCCCATTGACGAGAACAAAGCGGCTGCAGCTGCAGGTGGGAGTAAAAGTTCTGCGCTCCTTCACAAATCGAATATGAACAGGGCTCTTCTCCACGTCCAAGACGGGAGTTGTAATTTGGTAAAGCCAATTTCGAAGCGGGAACTCCGGCTGTATCCGGTGTCTAGGCAGTGCCGCGAGTTTCTGGCGGTACACGAGGAGGTGGAAGGAGCAGCTTCTGTTACGTCGGGGTTCTCTTCCTCTAGTACGGCACAACAGGCACAAGGAGTACAGAGAGAAGTTGTCTTAGAAATTTTATCAAACTTCGAGCAAGACGTGGATCCGTGCGATGCAGTGGAGTACAATTTTGACGAGGACTACCGGCGGTGCCACGATGTACAACATCCTCACGGCACATCAATAACCGCTATTCAACATCAACAAGAATCGGTCCCTGCGTTCGCACGAAATCGCATCAATTTTCGGATGGAAATTTCTTCTACCCGAAGTGGTTCTGCTGCTGGTGGCAGCAGATGGCCTCAGCACCCGGATGACGTCGCGACTTGTCCTTCTTCATCCCCAGTGCATGACGTAACGAACGGATCGGCGGTCGGGGCAAGTACTAGCGGGTCCTTGCAAGGGCGACCGTCTGCCCAATTTTATACATCACGGAGTTCGACTTGTTCTGCGTCTGCGTCGCAAAAATTTTCATCCACTTGTTCGCAAGGACGAACATCAGCGCCATCCACTTCCAAAAAGCAATACGGGCAGCACTCGGGCGAGCAGCTGCTCCGCTCGGCCTTGGTGGCGGCCACGAAAAGAGCCTGCTTCGGCGCGGACCACATTCAGGAGGAGATTGAAAAGATGGAGGAGGATGATGACAATTTGATATTTTTGCATGAGAAAAACCACAAACTCCGCGAGAAGGAGAACACCACCAGCATCATCAAAAAACCGGAAGACGCAGCTCCGCTCGGTGAGGACAACGACGAACTGAGCGAAATTTCCCCGATGCATCTTCAGGACCACGATAGAGGCCCGCCCCCGTCGAGCAGCCGGAAGACCGTGGACAACAAGAACTTCTTCGACGGCACTACTAGTGGTCATGCAACATCAGTAGACCTCCACACGTCGATCAGGGAAAGCGTCGCGAGCACCATCGTGGAGCCGAGGCTATTAGAGGAGGAGCTGTTGTCGTTACGGAAGGACAAGGAAAGGCTTTCTCAACAGCAAACGGCCGCTTCATCATTAAATCCCACACGAATGTCGTCCGGAAGTAGTTCATCGTCCACCACCCCTCATCGTCACAAAATGATGAACGTAAGACCGCAAGAGTTTAAAGTAAAGCTCTCCACGACGCCGCCCTCCGACTGGCTGGCTTGCGTGGTGCACCGGGTATGTCTGAACGATAGGAATTTAAAGAAACTCGACCTATCAAACATCCGGTTTCCCGAGGAGGAGAAACTTTTCTTGGATAAGCTTTTTTGCTCGCTGGCAAAAGCCAACACGGAGTTGGAGTCTTTGAGCCTGAAAAACTGCGACTTGGGAACCAGTTTGCTAGCGGCGGTAGAAGTTGCAACATCCGCGACGGAAGATTTTGAGGGTACTACTACTGCGGATGGAACTACTACAACATGTAACAATAATACCATTGCGGGTGAAAGAACGCTAGATGCAGCTGGTTCACCTACTACAAATCCCTCAGCACCGCCGCCGGGTTGTCGTGCAACTAGTCCAGCAGGAGCAAGACCTTCAACACCAGCACAAGAGCCGACTCCTTTGACCACGCACTACTTTTTCCAGTTTCTGGAAGAGAATACCACACTGAAAACGCTGATATGCACTGCAAACATGTCTGGGTCTGGAAGAATGCAAGTTTGTTATGCGTGGCCGACAACACAGAAAAGTCTGTCATGCTTGTTGCGCTACAGCGCCAATTGTTTGTCATGCAAAAAGGCGCTTTGTCATGCGGTTAACGCTAGACATAGCCGCCCAGAAACTTGTGATGCGTGGCCCCGTAGTACAGGTTGCGCATCATTCGGGCATTAGCATCACAACTTTCCAGACCCAGACACTTCTGCATTTGATAGCTGAACCTGGAAAACAACAATCTGAACGCAGACCAGGTCGCGCGGATCGCCGAGGCGTTATCAAATGCAAAAATGTCTGGGTCTGGAAGATTTTAACTTGTCATGCTAAATCTAAATGATGCAAAAATCTGTGTTGCGTGAGTGCCAAAAGCTGTCCGCTTTTGACCAAGTTGGAGGGGAGTTTCTCATGCAGGAAAGGAATGATAGAGACCTCAAAGAATCTGTCATGCTGGGTCTCGCATTCCAGACCTCATGGGTCATGGAAAACCTGCATCACAAATCTTGCATTCTTCCAGACCCAGACATTTTTACATTTGATAGGCGTTAATGGAAAACGAAAACACGAATTTAGAAACCCTGCACCTGTCCGGAAACGAGCACTCTACCAACGGCGTGTCCGCGGGGGGGAACAGTCGGGTGACGGCAAGATTTGCGGAATTGATGGACCAAAATTCCTCGTTGAAGAAGCTGGGTTTAGATTTGAAAAACAACGCGGACCACCGACATCGCATCGACCGGGCGCTGATGCGAAATGCTCGGGCGAGTTTTCAGGATGTTGTTGACCATTATGGGTAGTAGGTGGCAGGGGTTCAATATTTGGTTGGAGAGTTGTAGTACCACGGTCTACTTGTCGCAGGAGGATGTGTAATCTATGAGAGAAGCAAGATTTATTTGTTTTGGTTTTTGATGATCGTGTTTCCATGTTGACAGCGCGACAGAGTTGTTATGCGCGTGTGCTGTCGGGCGCTCTACCAAAATGAACCAGTGATGTGAAACGATTGTGATTCAAGATTTGTAGTTTTGCGAAAAAAAAAACAGACCGGGAACCGTGCGCGGGCATCATTCGGTAGCCTCGGAAGAAGAAGCACAAGCAGGCTCTACTTACGTTGTTCAAAAGCGCTACTTCAAGTACGTAATTAGCTGAGATCTCTCTAGAAACCTATTTACGAGGATGGTGCCCGTATTTCAATTTCTGCAGGTTCAGCTACCGATTCGCATGCACGGTGATTCTTGGATCGCTTTTTTTCTCCTGGCACGACAAGGATCACGATTTGGTGGATACCATAACGGAACTTTCATCGATTCAAGCAGTGTCAATTGTATTTGTCACCCTGATAGTGCTAGCATGAGTATCAAAGATCTATCTAGCACGTACTGAAGCAATGCTACGAATAGTAGCGGCCGGAGGTCGTATATTACCAGGATCAGTCGGATACAGATCGATTTTTTTGTTGTGATCTATGCTATCATGGGCGTTCTCACCATCTATCGGCCTCATAGCACATCACATGGTCTTGATTCATTCTAATTCAGCATCATGAACATGAAGCAACAAAGTTGTTGCCGCTTTCTTGTTGCCTGGCACTTTTTGCTGAGGGATATTGTAGCCGGCGCGAATCGAATGAACCAAACATCAATAGAAGTGAAGCAAAAAACTACCACCAGCGATATTTTCTTCACGCAGATATTTTAGTACCTTGTGAGTATTTTCTGTACAACGAGAAGTAGGGGATTTAACAAAACTGAGATTGGTAGAGTAAGCAACTAAAGCCAAAGCGTCCTGTTACGCTGGAGGCTATCTTTAGCGGTGCACTATCTTATGTCCGGAGAGTAAGCAATATCGAGCTACTCACTGACTTCCATATTTTGCACCAAAAGCCAAAGCGAGACTTTTTGCGGTAAATCTGGAAAAGATCTTCATGGCTCTTAAGAGAACGACGGTGCACTCCTGTCAGCAGACTCGTATTGTGTTATCTCGGGAAAAAGAAAAGCAGTATCATCTACAGGTCTACTCAACTTTTTGTCTAGAAGCAAACTGAAACTAATCATCTACACGCTGCACCCGCACTTGGTCACTATTTATGTATGTACCTGTCAACATCAAAAAGCTCTCCAACTGTGTCGCTATACGAGTATTTTACCACCGAAGAGAAGTAACGACGTAGGTATTTGAACAGCAACCTTGTTACCAGCTAAACCACCGACAACAACGCACAAAACGCCACGACTCCTTTAGCAATTGCAGAAAAGTATATCAGGATCATCTACTAAGACTAACTCCTGCTGACCAGTTTTATGATACAAGCTCGTGAAGGAAAAAAACTATTGTTTAGCAAGCATTTTAGTACACGAATACATGAAAAGTAATCCAGCCCAGTCCCAGTGACATAAGTAAAATCATATCCATATCTTCGCGTTGACCGCAAAATTGCTTCGAGGTCGCGAGGTCTTTTGTAGACCTGTGACGTATTTTAAAAACCTTCGTATCGTCTATTAGCACAGGGGCACGCCGACCTACGGAGTCATCCGAAGGCGCAACATCATTGAAGTTTGTTTCAGAAAAAATTCTTAAAGATACACATCGGAAATATAATTCCCGTAGTGTGATTGACGCGTGTCGAGAGTAAGTCTTTTGGTGCGCAGTCAGTCACTACTCTCGGAGTTCCCGATTTCAGATTTTTTTAACTTTGTCATATTCTCAGTTGCAATTCCAAAAGTTAAGGAAGCTACGTGGATGTAAGACAGAAGTATTGAAATAGATTTAGATTTCCCTAGCGTTTTTAGCATACCCGTCCCTTCTAAGCCAGCGTAGCTGCACACAGACACAGACAACAATCCTAAACGCATATCATCCGATTCACTTATTTTTTGCAAGTTGCAATGAGCATAAGAACCACAAGGTTTTTCCCGGTAAATAGTGACTCCGAAAAGTTCCATGTTGTAAAAGAGCAACGGTATCAGCAATTTTTTCAGTAGAGCATATTAATCACTTAGCAATTTTTGTACTATTTCTTTCTTCTCTAAGCACAATAATAGAAACCCAAAGAAAGCCGGCAAGGGCAGGTACTTTTTACTTCCGGCTTCGGCCGCCTGATTTCCGCTTTCATTCGACTCTAAGTTTGTTTTGGCAAAAGGCATTTTAAAACGCAGGACTTCTTCTGCCACAATTTATTTTTTGATATTTTTCAAAAGAAGTACTTACTTTACTTTTACTTACAAAAGAAAGTCATGGTGTCATCACCAAAAGCGTCCAGACCTTGTACCCAGCCACCACAGCTTCCGGCCCTGGAGGTCGTCGGAACGGCGTACGAGAAGAAAGAACAAACCTGTACTAAAGCCATCGATGTGGGTAGCATCCCTGTGCCAGTGCCGCATCCGAAAAGTGAGAAGAGTAAGGCTAAAGCAGCGTCCCCACGACTAGATTTTTTGGCAAGAATTCCCAACAAGCCGGCCCCGGATAGAACTACGAATGGGTTGAAAATCAAAATACCTAGCAAGGGTGGGGGCACAATTTCCAGCACAAGGGAAACATACACGAAAGGGACTGGCGCAGCTTTTGGAGGTGCTACAACTCCAAAAACTTCAACTACCCCTACTGCTGCGGCAGCAGCAAGTCCGGTTGGGACATCAACATATACGACCCCGGGAACTCCCTCCCCCTCCTCTGCTACGAGCGATCGAAATGCGTCGTCCGCCGCCCGAACTCCGAGCCTCCTCGACCGGCAGCCGAGCTATTTGTGGAGTCACCAGACCACGAAGCATAAAAATTTCGTGCCGAAAGAGCGGGAGACCGTGGAGTTGGGAATCCTGCGTGCCAAGAACAAAACCACGGCGTTTAACCAGAAGGCGGTGGGGCAAAACGTGGAGCTGAACAGTGCGAGTATCAACGGCAGCAGCGCGTTATCAAATGCAAAAATGTCTGGGTCTGGAATAAAGCAACTTGTCATGCTAATTCTGAATCATGTAAAAAAAATCTGTGTTGCGTGATTACCAAAAGCTGTCCACTTTTGACCTAATCGAGAGGCAGTTTCTCACGCAGGACAGACACGATAGAACTCTCACAGAATCTGTCATGCTCTTTCCTACATGCCAGACCTCGCGGGTCATGGAAAACCTGCATGACCCTCGATTCTTCACCCCCAGGGGGTTGGGGTCCCCTCTTCCAATGTGTATTGGTTGAGGACTGCCCCCTTCATCCTAAGTGCCATCAGCCATGGTATCTGGAAAACCTGCATGACAAGTCTGGCATTCTTCCAGACCCAGACACTTTTGCAGTTGATACGCGTCGTTGGGCGAGGCGATGATTTCAAACACGCCCAGATCCGGGAAAAGCGGAGGCGGGTCCTCTGGTTGTAGACCGGGGCTGCTACAGTTCTCCACGACGCCGGGTATCCTATGTAAAAACGTACCCATCCCAGAGTTGTCATGCAACTCTGCATGCCAAACAAGTTTCTCATGCGGAGCCCTATGAGAAGCATTTTCTGTTCGTGTTTTGGAATTTGTGATGCTAGAATCAGCATGGTAGGCTAGATCTGTAATGCTTCGGAGCTAGCGAAACAGGATTACACTACGAGGACAGACTTGTCATGCCAAACAACCAAAGCTGTGTGATTTGTCTAGCAGATTTGCCAACTTGACTCTGGTGTGGGGACGTTTTTAATCAGGATACCGGGCGGAGGTTCTTCTTCGGGTGCAGCAGCAAAGTGGCCCAGAAGTGGTGCAGCTGGCACCTCCTCGTTTACTATCCCTTTGGTGGTGGACCACAGTATTTCATCTACTTGCTCTATGGATGTGTCAGAATCGAAATCGACAAAGTCGAAAAATTTGTGATGCATAAAATGTAGGGCACTGCGGGCCTGTATTGGAGAGCAGGCAAATGAGACCGATTGTAAGCCTGTTTAGGGGTATGCAATCTGCTGCCAGAGTAGCATGAGAGGAGCAGTCTTCTTTGCCCAAACAGCATGACAGACTCGATCTGGGTGCTCCCGAAATTTGTCATGCGCCGCTTGGAAACTGAGGCTCCAACTGGTATCGATTTTATGCATCACAAGTTTTTCGATTTTGTCAATTTCGATTCTGACACTTTCATACGCTCCCCAATGTCCTCCTCCACGAGCCTAGGAGAGCAGAACAAGGAGGACCACAGAACAGAGGTTTTGCGATCGAAAATCCCTTCAAAGATCGTGTTTTCCGCCGCCGCCAAGCGCCAGGCCTTCCAACAGCAGAAAAATAAAACCAACGGTTGCACCAGCTCTACTGCGAGTTGTTGCGCCTCCTCCTCGACGGCTTTGTTAGCTGTAGGGGACGAACAACATCAACCGCCACCTGTTCTTCATGTTGATGACCAAGTCGTGCAAGAAGTTGTGCCGCCGCCGCCCGGGGAGACGGAGAGCGAGAGGAGTCCCAGCAAGTGCACGACAGGTTTCATGTTTCGAGCGGAGGAACAGGTAGTAGAGCAAGATGATCCAGCTGCCTTCGGGTCCTGCTTTGATGGCACTTCTTCTGTTTCCGGGACCGGCAGCCCGCAGACGGCAGTGTCTAGTGTAGCGGAAGACAAACGCGACGAAGAAGAACACCAACAACTTCTAGATGAACCGCCGTCGCTCGCGGGGAGTTCCTGCGACGGCTTTCAATACAATTTCAATTTAGAAGAAGACAGTAAATCGATCGCAAAAATTATTATACCAAGTGGTCCTGCTGCGGGTGCGAGTGCGACGAGAGAACAAGAAGATCCTGAAGATTTAGATCCTATTACGCCAGCATCACAGCCAGCCGTTTCTGAAGTTTCGCGCGCGAAGATGAAGGACGATGAGCTCGTGACTACCAAAGTGCTGAGGACTCCGGTGTCGTGCAAGAAAACGGAAGCTTTGCCTCCGACCACTGGGCGGAAGGTGAACCAGGAAGCAAGAGCTGCCGGCGAAGAAGGAGACGAGAGTTCTTGTGAAGATCGTGATCTTGAGGTACGAGAATGTAGTCGAGGACCTCCGGCTGCAGGACCGCCGCCTGGTGCTACGCTAAAAGCCACTGACGTGTGGGACGTTTCACACATCGGAGTATCAGCGTTGGACAAGACCTACGCATTTGATAGTACAGTCGGAGTAGATGTTGAAAGGGACGACCGAGCAGAAGGTCTTGCAGAATATCCTTCGCCAGACACTAAAACCGCGATCACCGCCGGGAAAAGTATCACCTACGCCCGGGAGGAACTGCTGCGGGCGCGGAACTACACGAGAGGAGCTAGCGCGGCTAGGTCCGGCGAAAAAGAAGATGACTCGACGCTCCAGGCTGAACAAGGTTCTCGTTCCAGTAGCGGTTCCAGTGCTGCTCCTTCTTGCGGAGCAGAGCGGTTGAAGATTTCAGTCTGTGCAGTGGAAAATGATGAAACTAGTTGCATTTCTGAGCATACTTATCCGGTGAAGGAAGAAAAACGTTCGCGTGGGCGGGACACGACGCCCCGTCCTCAACGGCGTGGCGCGGACACGTCGACCAGTCGTTGTACTGACGTTTCTGTAGTTGCATCCAAAAACGACCAGCAGGATCAGTACCAGCCTTCCCCCGCGTCCTCGCAAAAGAGTGGGAAGGAAGGGCCCTCTACGGAGGTGGTTTCGGAGCCCAAAGGGTCGTTGTTCCCTACGCCGAAAGAAGGCCCTGATCTTGGTGGCAACCCGGGCGCATCGTCGTCGGCGGAAGCGGCAGGCTTACCCGGTAAGTGAACCTCTTTGATATCCAATACGCAGAGTGGAGTTAATACTGCAGTGCCTAGAGAACAATCATTTTACTGGAGCCAATGTGGAGAGTGGCCCATGCAAAAATAGAATATGGTTTATACATCTCGGACAATTTTTTCTGCGCCCTAAAATAAAGCGAGAGTTGTCCCTATCAAACCTGCCAACACAGATCGTCCTCCGGTCGAGCAGCCAAGCTGTCGCTTCGAACCTCCGACGGCTTTCGATAAATGGATCGAGCGGGAATTACTACCGTCCTACTTGGCTACCGACTCCCCGCAGTCCATCCACGTCGCCAACCTGGCGCTTGAGGCAAGGAGCTACCTCGAGCGGATTCTGGACCGCGGGAAGGCGACGCCCTTCGGGAGTGCAAGCACCGGGCTGTTTCTTTTGCCCGCAAAAGATGTCCGTCCGCTGGGGGAGAACGAGAAGAGAGAAATGAATACTAAACCGCCGGTAGTGCCGCCGCAGCTTTCATGTTCCGCCCGCCCCCGCACGAGTACCAACGTTTCCTCCGCAAGTGTTACGTCCTTTGACGTAGGCGGGAAGAACGTTTTGTTCAATAGGACACACAGCAAATATCAAATGTAGAAATGTCTGGGTCTGGAAGAATTCAACTTGTGATGCTAAGTTTGGACTCCAAAAAAATCTGTATTGCATGAGCAGCAAAGGGAGTGTAATTTTTGCTACGCGGAGAGGGCATTTGTCATGCGGAATAGGCATCGCGAGGCCCTCAAAAAATCTATGATGCTAGGGCATGCATCACAGACATCATGGCCCAGGCAAAACATGCATGACAAGTCTCAGAATCTTCCAGACCCAGACATTTTTACATTTGATAGCAAAAGCTCTGTGACAACCGCGGACCAACGAGCGTCGGCTGTGGTGGAACATCAATTAACAGCAGCGTCTACTGCTGCTGTCCCCGGGGTGGAGGTTCTGCTTTCAGCTCTGCAGCAAACGCACAACTACATAATTCCAGGAGTACAACAAGAATCGTCTGACAGCCTTTATAATACGAATACCACGACCAGCGCAGCACACAATAATTCGAATTCCTCTGACACCACTACCTCGACTTTCGACCTGAATTTCTCGTTGAAAAAAGGCGAGGAGACGATTGACAGCGGGTTTGCGGACATTATGCGGCAACTGATCAAGGAGCGCCGGCGGGTGGAGAGAGAACTGCAAAGCCGACACAATCGCAGTGGCAGTTTCAGTGGTTACAACTACCACAGCGCGGCCGCAGGAGGGTTGTATGCAAAAGCTGCACCGGAGATGCTGATTTCCGACGTGTGCGTTCTGCAGCCGGTGGAAGCAGTGCAGAGCAGCAGAATGCTATCCAAGAAAAAAACGTTTTTAATGTAAATTTGTGATGCGCAACATGCAAGATGATTGCGTCTGTCATGCTTGGCATGCATCGTAGGGTCCATTACAGGTCGTTTTCGCGACGTGCTATCTGCGCATGACAGGTTTTTGCTGTCATGCCAGGCAAATTTGTAATGCTGTTCCTCCAAAAAAGTTACATCTACAATGTTTTTTTCTTGGATAAATGCTCTGGAACAATCCGAGATGCAAAGTTGGTAAAAATGGAACAGCTGCGGGGGCGGAAGCAGATCCGCGCAGCAGCTGCGACGGCATCAGTGCGTGTGAAGTAGAAGATTATGCTGACGTGCAGCAGTTCCGGTTTTCCCACCCGAAGCGACTGCGTTGCCGGTTCCGCAACCAGGTGACGATTTACATCTACATCAACTTCGACATTGGCGTCCAGAGATCCGAGAAAATCCGGAAAGTGTGCGAGAAGTCGCACCGGGTGAAGAAGTTCTTACTGCTGCTGAAGATCTGGGCGCGGTACGGCTGTGTCGGCAACGGCCTGATCTTGTCTGGAGATACGGACGTGAAGGAGTCGTCGAGAAATTCGTCTTTTCGGCCGGCCGTGGACAGTGGTTCTACTTGTAATGAGCAGATGATGAACTGCAACACCTCCTGCAGTTCCACCTCCTTCAAAGGCACCGCGGTCCCCGCTCCTGGCGCGGTAGGTGGCGGGGGACATGGACATGGCGGGCAGCAAAAGGGAAGTCTCGTTTTGTTTCCGCCGTATGCGTTGGAAATTATGGGCACGGTATTTGCGATGCAGCACTACAACCTGTTTGGTACTTCTAGGTGTAGTTCGAGTAGTACTCCTTCCTCTTCCTGCTCTTCTTCAATAAATGACACGGACAAGACACAGACCGCACGAGGACCACGACAGAAGGCTTCCTGGTTTCAGCTTTTGTCGGCGTTTTTCTGCTACATTGTTGACCGGGGGTTCCAAAAGTTACCGCTGGGACTAGATTCGGCGGGATTGGGGGCTTTTCTGGAGCAGGGTTGTGACGAAAATGCTGTGTTGGAGGTGAATCATGAACAACATGATCCTGATGCTCCTCAAAAGCGAACAAAGCACCAGCGAGCCAGAAAAGTTGTGAAGAGGTATTTGCACGTGCAAGACCCGGTGAGCAACGAAGTTTTGGTCCTCTCCAGCAAGAGCAAATTCTACCGGCAGTTTGAGTTTATGGCAAAGCAGTTGAGCCGGATAAATGTGCAGGACTTTGCCAGCCAGAAGTGTCTGAGTGCGTTGTTTTTGCCGAAGGAATTTTCCGCGTTGGCGACAATAGAGAAAGAGCACCAGCAAAGGAGTCTGAGTCAGACCGGCAGGAGGAGTCCTACATCGCGGGCGTGCAGTATTATAACTGTTTCTACACCGAGCGATCTGACGTTGGCACCACTTGTGGAACAACAACAAACGGGCAGGAGTGGTTCTAATCACAGCAAGAACTTCTACCAGGAGCAGCAACAGGAGGTGGAACTAAAAAGTGGTCAAGTGTTTGAGGCGACGGCAAACGTTGGTGGTAACCACCTGGGGACGACGACAAGCGCGCAACAAGGAGACGAGCAGAAGAATGGCGACCAAGAGAAGGAGCCCCGTTGTTCCCCTCTCTCGACCATTGAAGAGCTTCGCTCACAGCTGCTTCAATCCGGGGCTGGGCAAGGGTCTGCGGTTTGGGCGGCTGGTGCTGATTCGGCTAGTATGTTGTCAAGAGGAGAGGTTGACTCACGAGGTTTTAATATTAACCAAGCTGCTCCGCCTCAAGCTGGACTTTTGACCAGCACTCGGGACGTCGAAAGGAGTTCGAGCGCGAGTGGCGGTTTTGTTCCCAGCGTGTCCACCGCTTATTCCAGAAGTAGCAAAAATCCCGGATCCGGATCCGGTCCCCCCCGCGAACAAGAAGGCGAGCAGCCCCAAGGTCGTCGTGAAGAAGAGCCAGTGTTTGTCGAGAAGAATTTGTCGAAGAATTCATCAGTTATTTTCCCGAACATTTTCGATTCGCTTCAAGGTGGTCACCAACAGCGAGACTTGGAGCAGTTCTATGAAGGATGTGGCAGCTCCACCTCCGGCCTGCTCTCATTGCTGTCCTCTCCGATGGCCGGCTCTGTGGACAGTGGGGAACGATTCGCGGCGGTTTCATATAGTAGTTCCTCTCATCTGGAACAGCAGCTGCAGCAGGAGCAGCTGGCACGTAGTATGAATATTAAAGCTCCTACTTCCGCTAGCACAACACTACAGGGGGACCTCCGCGTCGTGATGGGGCAGCCAACTACTGTTGTTCCTGGTGTCGAAAATAACGACCTGTGTTGCAATCGGGTCGTCGACGAGGAGAAACGGAAGCAAGTGGCGGAATTAGAGAAGCTACTCAAAGAAGAGGTTTTGAATCTGAAGATTGCAACGACATCAGCAAATTTTGTTGAGAAGCCAACTACCGAGCAGGGCGTTTTGAAAATAGCAGCGGACGATCATAATTCTGGAGGAGGCACCACCTCAAGCACCAGAACGGGCGGCAGCGGGTCTGCCACCGCTACTCCTGCTGCGGCTTTCGGCACGAACGGAGGAGGAGGACCTGAAAGTATTCTTGCAATAGGAGGTCGTGGAGGTGGAGCAGCACTCAATCAGGATGAATCTTCTCCGGCGCTGCATGAGGACAACATCAACAACCTCTCAACATCCTCGGACATTTCACCCATGATTGGTGCGCACCACCAGCAAGAAGGCAGTTCCCACATGACCCACAATGCAAATGAAAATTCCGGGACCACGTCGTCGAAAGGCGGAGAAGGCAGTGTTGCAGCAGCACCGGGAACAACCACGGGCAAGAAGGGCGCTCCGAGTTTACCAATTTATCCGTCAGGAAAAAAGGGGCCGCCGACAACCCCGGGTGGGAAGATGATGAAGCAGGGAAACAACTCTAAAGACCACGGCAAGAACGATGTTTTCAATCGCAAGAATTATTATCCACCTCGGAACAGCAGCTGCTATAAGGGCACCGGCACCCCAAGTAGCCGGTGCGCAAAACAGTCACCGTTTCTAGGCGTGTCGTCGCAACAATTATACCAGCAAACGTTTCATCATCCGGGAACAAGCGCTGGTTTCTACAACATCAACACCATCAACAACTTCCCGTATAGTAATTACGCCGCCCAGCACTACGGTCATGTTGCAGCTCCCGATATCAGTGCTAGCGCACCATCGTCGTGGCACTATTACAATAATTTTCCCTTAACTGCTGCCAGCAGCGAGAACTTTTACCTGCAGCAGTCGTGCTCTACAACAAGTCCCGGAGGTGGAATAAGCCCTGATTACTATTTTGGGCAGTACAACAACAGCACTTCTCAGCTCGGAGTAGATGTGTCGCCCATGGTGCTATCATCCGCCACTGCTCCGACGTTCCCTCTAGCAGGAGCACGAGTTCCTTCCCACAGCTATAAAGGCGGCAGCCACGGCAAGAAAGATTCCACTGCGAATCAGTTTTTGGGGAAAGGCAACAACTGCTCAACTGCATCCCGGGCGAAGCAATCAAAGTCATCTTCGAAGATGAATTGTGACAAAAACTATGCAGCGGCGAAGCCGCACGATCGGACAATGATCGAGCAAGATTTATTGTGCAATACTGCGCTGTACAGCGGCCACGACGGTGCGGACCCCTATGGGCAACATCCACCTTCGATGCCGAACTACTGCGCCGCGACTGGCAGCAGTGCAAGTGGCCTTTATCAAGAACAATCTGGCACGGCCCCCGTTAGCGCCTCTCGCATTTGCTTGGCCGCACAAGAGTACTGCGATCACATGGTTAGACATGGTGGAGCGGCAACACCCGCCCACAACAACGGAGGTTCCTACGCCGGCAGCGTTGCCAATTGCAGTAACCAGGTCACGCCCTACCGCGGGCCGGTGAATAGCGGGGCGGCGGGGGACGTGGATGATAATCCTGCGGGAGTACTAGATCATGATGCTGCGGATGGAGAGGATGTTGTGTACGACCAGTTTGGAAATGTTTTGAATTATTACGACGAAGACGCCCACGAACAGACCGGAAGATCAGCTGCGGCACAAAAAAGCCCATTCTTTCGACCAGAAATTATGAAAAATATGTTTGCGCCAGCTTTCAACGTTAGTAGTACGACCAATAGTACAACAAACACAGCTAGTACTAGCACGGCCAACTACGCCAGTGTCGCGATAGCGGCAGCTCCGAGAGGAAATAAATCCCGGCGGAAAGAATCTTATGGACAAGGGAGTATTGCGAGTACCAGCCGCAGGGGAAAAAGCACGGCTCGGAGTTCTCGTTCTGAGAGAATCAGAGGGACAAATTATGTCTCCTCGAGAACATCAACTGCCACCGTGGAGCCGATTGCGATCGGCAAGAAGGCTAGCGGTAGCGCGATCGTGCAGCAGAACAATGTGTCCCAGCACTCGAAAGGTGGCAATCAGCAAAATCACATCGGGACGTCGAGTGGGACGAGCAACGGGAAAGGATTCTTGGGAGGGCAGAAGCAAAAACCACACAAGGCTCCGCCGGGTCTTGGGTAGCTGTGATAACGCCGAACATGTGAAGATCGAGTAGTATTTAGAAGTAGTACCGGAAGTGTTTATTTTTCGCAAAGCGTCGTGGGCGCGCCGGAATTATATGCGGTGATATAATTACAGTTTCGATTTTTTTTTATCAAGCTGTACCTGCAGTAGGTTGGCGTTTCAGAAATTTCATGTAACATTTTTTTACCTGTTTGCGACGATACTGGGTTTTTCAAACTATTTCGGGGGAACTTGCCATCATACATCATAAAGAAAAAACTTCAATCACCTATCAAGCACTCGGCTACGGTACCATAGCAACACTTGGAGATCCTTGTCTTATTTCACATAAGTATTAGTTGGAGGTGGCGTAATATTCTTGGGAGCTTTTTTTCTTTATTACAAGCGGACGTGCTTTTCAAAACCAAAAGCATTTTGAGTTGAAAACCATATAGGTACACGGGTGTACCCGTCACATGTATAATGCTATGCGTAAATAATAGCGACCCGCTCCTATATCAGTGTGAAGAACAAAGCCAAGGCTAGGGCAGATAGGGGGCATTGCTGGGAAGGAAAGTATGAGGCTAAGTGTATCTAGTCCAGGGATGGATCAACATAGAAGTACTAGCTTTCTTCCGCCGGCGCTTAAGGTAGAAAGTAACATAGAAGATCTTTTAGTTTTAAAGATAAAGAAAAGGCAGTGATGGTTTTGAAGGAAAAGAAAGCAAGAGTAAGGATGTTTTGCTCGCGCTATCGTAGCCCTCAGCTCTTCACGCGGAAACGCAAGAGACCACGGCGGCACCCTCTCAGTTTGAGCTGCGAGCAGCGCTCTTTCTTTGTCGTGAAACGGTGTATTTCCGTACCAAAGCCTTTAGCGATATTGCAATACATAGATCGAGCTTCTCAGCAGATTTCTATTCGGAGCAGGTAGGAGAAATTATCAAGGTTTGATGTTGGTAGAAAAGATGGCGCTACCCATACACTGTAGGATGGCTTGCACGAACTTCAGGGGAGAAACAATAAAATGGGATGACACTATCCACATTTTTTAGAAAGACACAAAGACAGGAATGAAACGAAGTAGGTCTTTCCATACAAAGTCAAAGTGATAGATTTCGATGACCTGTCGGATTTGCACTACCCATGCCTGCACACCCACACGTAAACAACCCAAAAAAGAACCAATTTGTAAAGTGGCGCGCCATTTTATCCTGTGTCGCTGAAGTACTAAGTAACTTTACGGCATTTCAGATTGTTCAGCATTTTGTTCAGATTTTGTGGGTCCATGTCTCGGTGGCAATTTATGCTTGCAGCAGTAGTTTTTCTTCAAACAACAAATTGATGTTGTGAAGGACGTCATGCCATGAGTGTTTTTGTACTGGTCGTGAGTGTTTTTTTAGTACGACCTTCGGTTTTTTGGTGTCTTCCCTGCGTTTTTTGGTGCCCTGTAGCCATTTTAGTTCAAGATTCGAAACTTCTTCTTCGAAAAAAAATTAGAGCCACAGCAATTTCAACGAATTATAGACACCATTGAGCTCCTTGCGCCGAAATCAATGCGTTCTGCAGCTCCACCGTAGATGTGGACGGGTCCTCTTGTTTCCTCACGCATTCGGCGACCTCTCCGCGCTGGCGCCGGAAATAAACCAGTAAAAGTCATGGGTCCGGGCTGCCCTGTTCTGGCGCGGATACCACTTTGCTTCCTGTTAACAGCGTCGCAGCAGCTCCTTCGGGGACTACAACAAAGCGGAGGTCTGGCGTTTCTCTTGCAGGGAGGATCTAGTCGAAGGAGTTTGTTGCTACGCGACATTGTTGCAGCATACTTGGCCATACCTACGTCCAGATCAGAATCGCGCACGATTACTATAATTCGTTTATATGCTTTAGGGAAACACTAAATATTTCACCCTTCTTGTCCAAGCTCAAACAAACAATTTTACGTGAAAAAGAAGTTTCTTTTTTCGCTTTCTTTTTGAAGATGAACTGGATACTTGAGTACGCCTCTTTCCGTACCACAAAGCTACAATTTGTGATTGCGCTAACACGAGGAGAGTTTCCGGGGGTGAGTGAAGCTGCATCTGTGGACTGCAGTAACACAGCTGCAACTTCCGACTCGCTCACAAGTGGTTCGCACTTTGTCTTTGACTTTTCGTTTGGCGCATGATTTTTTCGCTTTTTGTTCGTTCAAAGTATTCGCTTCCTTCTTTGTTCTTATCTCGACTCCTCTGTACTTCTACTAGGATGCACATGCGTATCCTATACTTATTCATGGTGACCTTGCGCTTGCGGGATACTTCTAAGTAAGCGCGCTCCCACTTCTCCGCATTCAATGCGGTGCAGACCAAACGGAAACGTAGGGCCTTTTTTTTTGCAGTCTCTTACTTTGGTACCTCTGCAGTCTGCTTTTTTTTCTTTGCAGTGTCTCTCGCTCTCTCTGCTTTTGATCATGCAGGTCCGAGCGAGTTGTATACCGTCTAAAGAAATTCATCTTCCTGAGAGTAAGTAGCTGAAAATGTTGAAGTTGGGCACAGTACTCTGAATGCACCAATTTTACATAAACAATTAGTAATTTTAGTTCGACACACACACACACACACAGCACAGCAGCAGCATCTTCAGACAAGGAGGACTCGGAGTAGAGATGATAAGTAGAACGTCCGTGTTGAGCCGGCCTGGACTTTCGCTGCAATAGTGATCCCGCTCTGCCGATTGGTTAGCACCCATCAAAGGGGCTCAACGTTGTTCGCATTGCTAGCGCTTTCGTGGAGCCATGGTTTTTGTCTTTTGTGGTGTACCAATATCCGTGCCGCTGAACAAGTTGGTCGTCGTCCACAGGGAACATCTATCAAACTCGTGGGAGTGGGGGGGGGAAAGGAAGGCGGCTCTCGATAAATCGTTGGTGTCCGCATCGTAAGCCTAAGTACTTCTTTCTTTTTACGAAGTATGTGCTTGCTTCGTAGAAGTCGTCGCGTCTTTTTTTTTTTTGAAATGTGGGGCTACAAAACAAGTAGGAGTTGAATTTCACAGACATCTTTTCCATGTAAATAAGAACTAAGAGTCTTTAAATAAAAAAAGTCATGCTTTTTTCCGGTCACAATTGCCAGCCCTGTCGGCGTACCGTTCCAGAATGGGAAGCGGGGTTCCGCGGTCTGCGCACGCCGATTGGTTGCGGGGCGCATTGGATCCTACCGAAGAGGACCCCCGCAGCTGCACCTTCTTCTTCGAGGCTCCTTCATGGATCTCTTCCTAGTGCAGAGCGACAGCGAGTAGAAAATAGACCAGCTGCTCTGAGGAACGAAGATCTCCTTCAGCAGGAGGACTCTGTGATAAAGTCTCGCCCGGGCTACGGGGTGTGGCAGCCTCTCGTGGAAAAGCATGACAACAAAAAAGGGAAGACCGTCAGGGTGAAATTACACAACGGGCAGACGTGCGAAAAAAGGCCCACGGACTGGAAATTGGCGCTGCTGAAGTGAAAATTTCGTTTCATATGTACCAGGTTTGGAATGTTGAGGCATGTACTCTGATGACAGGGAGATGAATTATGCTTGTACACTACTGTTTTGGATGATGAATGTGGAAACTAGAAAAACAAGCACGATGGTGGTTGTGCTGCACCGATGCACAGGAAAGCTGCTCCTGACAGACCACTCGGGGTGAGACCATGAAAAATATTACAAGTTGCGAGCTAGCGCATGCGCCTCGTTTTTTTACGTTTTTCTGTCCTGTCAAAGCTCGGAAGAAAGCTGTTCGTTCGTTTGGAATCGATGATGCTCGATGTGCAGAATTACCTATGAAGAATTGCGTTTTCGTCCACCTGGATATGGAATTTATTGCTCGCGCATTTTCGTTCACCAAAAAAAGTTAAAAGCGCTGAACTGCTAGACACTGCCGTTCTTGAAACAGAAAAAGCTACGATTCGGTTCGTTCACCGGCTCTTCCTTACTGCCGATAATTTGCAGTGCCTCGTACTGACACCGTTCAAAACTCGTGATCAACGAAGTCGTTCAAACTTTTCATCGTGCAAAAAGCTCCAGGCGCTTGGTCGCAAGAATCGCTGAAACTTGTCGTTCAACTTCGCTTGTTGCTTCGTCCAGTACGATCTATGATCACAAGCGTTCTTGGTTGCGTCTTCAGCTACTTCTGGTTCATCTAAAGTCGTGTTTTGTTATTTCGTGAACCTGCAACTTAGAAAGAATGCGAGCAGAACACTGAAAATCAAGCAAGCAGGTCTTTTGACGAGGCTAGCACCCTACTTCCAAGGTGGTCCACAACTTCTACGTTGACTCACTAGTTTCTGCTGTAGCACTTTTTCCGAGCTCCTTTTTGATCTAGAACCATATAGTACAAGAACTACCCACCCGGAAAAAATTACTTAGTTCATTTTCGTTGTAACAGAAACAGACCCACATCCACAAGAAGGCGAAGATGAATGCAGGTTATTGTTAGAGTAAATGTTTGAGAGAATGCGCAAGGCGGCGGAAATTGCAAATGAGACCTCCGAGGAGTCGAGCGAGGTGATGGAAAACAACCTCGGCGCTGCAGTTTTCACCGCCAGGTCATCTAATACAACTCCACAGAACAATTATCGGAGCCAGAACAAAGGTCTGCTCCTCCTCTCCGGCAGAAGAGTCCCAGAGGGCGACGCGTTAGAGAGTACGGCAGGTGGGGGAGACTTGGTTTCCGGTACGACAATCGCTCCCGCCTCCAGCAGTGCCTCCAATACGTTGTTGACTCGCGAACAGCAGCGTGATTCGACGTCGCTGCAGCAGCGAATGACACCAGCCAGTAATGTGAGGATCGGGGCGGGGAAAAGGCCCAACAAGAAGCCGGGCGACACGAACCAGAACGCCGCCCGGATGCGCGGCGTGGCCCTGCTGCAAGCGGCGGCGCAGGAGTACAAGCATCAGGGTGTGCGGCAGAATTCCTCGAATCTGAAGGCGAGCGCCAGCGGCAACCGGATGCAGAAGGAGGCGCAAAACACCACCAAGATCATGAAGTCGGATTACGTGTCGGACGACGAGGATCTGCTCCCCATCGCGGCACTCGAGAAAGAGCAGGACACACTGCTGGACCAGGACCGCGCCCGGGCCTTGCAGGCGTACATTGGGACCGAGAACGCCGAAAAACGGATGCCGAAGTACGAACCGATCTACGAGGGGATCCAGTATTGCAAGGAAAAATCCCCCCTCCCCATATCAAAACGAAATTTCTGATGCTGAATTTGGGCAAACAAATCAGCTCTGTATTGCAGAAAGGCACCGCAGCCAGATCCCCAGGCTAGGTAGAGGGGCGTATGGGTCTAGTTGCTCAGCATGGCAAACAGGTCACATTTAGGGCCAACAGCATGACAAATCGCTTCCATAGTGGGGCAGAAGCTTCTGCCCTTGTCTTCTTGCAATACAAATGTGATTTGCGACCTCAAATCAGCAACGCAAATTTTCGGAAGCATACCTTTTCGATATGGGGAGGGGGGATTTTTCATTCTGATATCCAGTCCGCGGCGTTCATTGAAACCTTGTACGCGTTCGCGAACGTGGAGTGCACCTCGGGCTACAAAACGTTGCTGTACATGAAGCCCGGGTGGTCTTTCTTCGTGATGGCTCTGGGGTATTTGGTGCAGTTCGTGGTGATCGAGTACATTCAGTACGACTTGTCCGGCCCCGCGGTGCGGAAGTGGCAGGACGGCTACCACAAGCTCGTCTCCATGCAACTCGGGGCGGCCTTGGATGACAAGGCCGGGACGAATTTCGCACAGCTCCCGGGCGGGGCGGATCTGCATAATGACGCGAAGGTGCGCACCGAGGAGATCACGACCTACCTGAAGGTTCTGGAGAAGGAGGACGCGGACAAGATTTGCGACTGGAGTATCAGTTCGCCCTTCATGTATCAAATGCAAAAATGTCTGGGTGTGGAAGATTGCGAGAATTGTCATGCTTGTCTGGGATGACCAAAAAGTTTGTGATGCGTGTCCAAGAAGAGACCCTTTTGTCTGTCATGCAAAAACGCAGGTTGTCATGCGAAAAACGCAACACAACGAAGCGCAAATATTTCTCATGCTTGGCTGGGCATTACAGAGCATTCACTATTCCCAACGCAGCATTACAAGTTTCCAGACCCAGACATATTTGCATTTGATATCATGCTCGCGTCGCTGATCTTTTTGCACCTCATTGCGGTCTCGCGCGAGCTGGCGGACCGGTTGCGGTTGCTCTACTGGCTGCTGTTTGTCGCGCCGGCCACGCCGGACTGCAAGGAGGCGGTGGGGGTGGTGGTGAAGAAGGAATTAGCGCACTTCAACGCCTTGCAGCTCGAATCCATCCGGACCGACGGACGGCTGTCGAATTCCGCGGACGCGCCGGAAGTGCGAGACCTATGCATTGCAAATGTGTCTGGGTCTGGAAACTTGTAATGCTAAAAGTGAATGATAGACGCACTGTAATACGCAGCTATGCATGACAAAGTTTTTGGCTGTCATGTCGTACGTATTCCGCATGGCAAACTGCGTTTTTGCATGACAGGTAAGAGGGCCTTTTCGTGCCTATGCAACACAGATTCTCTAGCCATGCCAGACAAGCATGACAAACTTGCATTCTTCCAGACCCAGACATTTTTGCATTTGATTCGACCACATGCTGGACGATTTTTTCGAGATCGAGCCGGAGCTGGTGATCATTGGCGCGCCGTTGTGGGCCAAATTGTTCTACGCGCTCCCGTATGGATTGTAAAAATGTCTGGGTCTGGAAGAATGCAAGACTTGTGATGCAGGTTTTCCATGACCCATGAGGTCTGGAATGCGAGGCCCAGCATCACAGATTCTTTGAGGTCTCTATCATGCCTTTCCTGCATAAGAGACTCCCTCTCAACTTGTTCAGAAGCGGACAGCTTTTGGCACTCACGCAACACAGATTTTTGCATCATTCAGATTTTGCATGACAAGTTCTAATCTTCCAGACCCAGACATTTTTACATTTGATATCCCGATCATTCTGCCCTCCTTTTTCATCGCGCTCTTCACGGTGTTCGTCGGCTTGCAGTACTACATCGGCACCACACACGCTGATGTTTTGTTCAACGCGGCGTTTTTCGTGATTTTGGCCCAGTTTGACAACTTCATTTACGTGACCTGCATCACGCGCGACCAGCGGACCGAGGTGGAGATGTGTCGGCTATACTTCAACAAGCGGGCCCGGGATGCGGAACTCGGGTACGTGAAGTTTTCTGCCGAGATGATGTTCACGGTGATCACGGCGGTTTTATCCTTCTCGGTGGTCGCGGTCATGCTGCCCAATCTGTTGGCGGATTCCGCGCCTGTGGACGGATACCGAAACGCGAGTTGGCACCGGGAGTTTATCTTCGGGCTGCGGGACTATTGCCGGGACCAAAATCTGCGCTATGTCTACAACGACCGGTGGTCGGTGCGCGACTACTTCGTACTGTTTCGCACGGCGCCCAACCTGAACGCGGACGGCACGATATCCTGTGTAAAAACGTCCCCACCCCAGAGTTGTCATGCAGATTTGCAATGACAGGAACGTTTGTAATGCGCATCTACATCAGAGGCATTTCCAATCGTGTTTTGGCAATTGTAATCCTGTAAACAGGATGAGGAGATGAGTCCTTCCTAACCTGCACTACACTACAAAGACGAACTTGTCATGCATGGCTTCCAAAACTCCTAGATTTGTGTTGCAGAGTTCACAAGAACTTGACTATGGGGTGGGGACGTTTTTCCTCAGGATACACGACGGCCTCCGTGCAGCCGGGCTGCTGCGGCGAGCCGGGGGCCGACGCGGTGGAGGTGCCGGACTCCTCGTTTGTGCAACAGGTGGCGGCGGGCGTGGGGGCGGTTTTGGGCGGGACGGATTTGCTGTCGACTGTGACCTCCACGACCACAGAGATTTTGGCCGCAGTCGCGGAAATGGCGAACCACGCGGCAACAGCGGCGGCAGCCCGGGAGGAGGTCCTTGGGGAGGACACTGTAGTGGGTTCTTCCGCATCGGGTACTTCTACGGGAGCCTCGACCGGGGGAACAAAAAAGAGAAGTTTTTGGAGCCGTTTGTTCAATCTACCGGAGGAGAAATCGGACAAGTTGCAGTTTCTAGCGCCCCGAGGGGAGGAGTAGGGAGGGACGAGAAGCGTCTTGCTAGTAGCGATGAAGAACCAGGTCGAAAAGATTAACTTCTTCCACAGGGTAGGATTTACTTCTTGGAACGATCATACTATGTACATGCTTGGTTTATATGCTTAAGTCTAAGTTGTTGACTCTAGTTCATTTTCTAGTTCGACAGCCGAGCAGTATTCGCACCCCTTTCCGAGGTTAGGAAATTTTGATTGTGATAAACTCTATACCGTAAACACGCCCTTGTAACACATGCATGGAAATTCAGCGCAATTTCATTTTGGAGTAAGAGGCTTATCGCTAGTAGAAACCAAAATTATCTTTGACAGTACACTATCCTAGTAGCGCAAATATTAGTAGTATCCTAGAAAAATAGCTAGAGCTGTCTGCCCAGACAAGAAAATTATGGGACCGGTGCAGTGATGAGCGTGAGCGGCCTCGCGAGCGTGGCTTTGTGGCTCCGAAGATCCTCGTGGAGTGAGCGGCTAGTTTTGGTGAGGGTATTATATGTCTGTCGGTCGAGAGGACAGGAGCCGCATACTGAAGAGGCAGGTGCGCGCAGTCCAGATCAATACTTTCACGTACAGTCCCCGTCTTCGTCGGTATGCTTGCGTTTTGGTTTCTCTGTGAAATTTCACTACTCACGTCGGACCTCTTGTCTCCGTTTCGTGCTGTTTTCGTTCTGTGATTTTTGCGTTTATGTACTGACTGTCGTGGTTTTTGTCTCCTCGTCGTCGGCTTCTTCTTCCGTTGTCGTGGTGCCCGTTTCGCGGTTCTTGTCGTTCGCGTTGTCTCGTTTCGCGTTTTGGTTGTTTCTTCTTTTTGTTTCTTTGGCTTTGTGCAGTTTTAGTTTTTCGTTGCGGTGTAGTTTCTAATGGTATTTGCTGTGGTTTGTCGTCTTTCGTCGTTTGTTTTTTGTCTCGCGTGAAAAGGGGTTGCGCACCACTCGGTGCGGGGCTATTGGCAGCGCGCATATCGTTTGTGCAGGCAATTAACCTTTACTCTCACTCGGGCAATGGATTCGTCGTGCATCGGTTCACAAAGTGGAATGAGTTCTTTTCCGTTGGCTTATCGTTCGTCACGGTCGTTCTCATCTTTTTTTTGCTATTGGATCAGCGCCATTCGCATTCGCTATTCGGCAAAATCGGTCACGATGGATGCTGGAGTCGTTTTCGTCCTTGTCGTCTTGGCGTTTTTTCTTGGGGGAGTTTGTCTTTTTTTCGTTTCGTTGTGGCAGATTGTGATTGTTCGGATGTTTTTGGCCGTTTTTTTTTGTGGTTCCTATCATGATGTCATGATCACACTACAGGGGATGTTATGAACTAGAGCATACCTTTTCATCAAGAGCCATTATTTATTGCCGCACTTCATCTGATTTTTAGGTATAGGTTCGATTCGGGCTAAAGCGTTTTTTTTTGCACTGGAATGTACTACCTTCATTTCACGACCCCCGTAAATTGACGTACCCCTGCTAGTATCTTCCACCTTCTGGTGCACCTTGCAAGGGACTTCTATCTTCAAAGTATACCCTACTAGCTACTTAAGTACTACTTTCTGTGTTAATATCGCAACCCGGGCGCACCACCAGGACACTATGAGTCAGTCCGCCCGCGGGCCAATCCAGGCCGCCTCAGCGTCGTCCTCGACCACGCCACGGCCTGGAGGCATGAACAGTAAAACACTTGGGACGTCGTCGACTGCAGTATCTCCTGCTTCCTACCAACACGCACCTGCCTCCACAGCCGACGACTTGCAGTCGGTGTTTGCGAAATATGACAAGGCGAACGACGGCACTGTTCTGCTCGACGAAATACCGAATCTGCTCGTGGATTTAGGCCGGGATGTGACGAAAGCGCACGAGGTGGTGAAATATCTGAAGGAAGTGCAGGGAGGAGGTCCTGTGAGCAGCGCGACAATAGGAAATGCAAGTAGTTGTAACCCCTATCCGGCGTCCAGCATGATCTCCCCCAATACAAAGTCGTCCTCCAGTACCTCACCAGTTAGACACACGGAGAACGAAACTCTTGCCGGCACCAAAGCCGGGTTTGAGGATGTGATCGCGGCTTTAAAAAACGTGGAGCAAAAAGGCGGATTCGAGAAAATCACCACGCCGCTGGCATTGATGCGGAGGTTAGAGCAGTACCGGAAACAGTGCGAACTGAAGGGGGATTATGGGGAAGCAAGAAAAGCGAGAACAAAATACGACGAATTAAGGTACTACTTTTTGCAGTGCTGTGTGACGAGTGGGCAGTGTGCAGTCGGGGATTTTTGTCACTATCCAAAGAATGACATTTTCTTCTCTTGAATTTGTATTATTGTACTGCGCAGCATTTTTACAACATGGACGTTCATCGACATTATTTCTCAGGTTTAAGGAAACGGTGCGGCAGCGGCGGTTGATCGAGCAGGCCCAGGTCCACGAAATGAGTGAGGTAGAGGCGGCACAGAAACAGCAGCTAATGGAGTTCTCAGCGGCATGGGATAGGTACTTTCTTAATATTTCAGGTTCTCGTGGTCCTTTGAGACTTTGGAATACTACTCCTATCGCAAGAAAAATATGTAGTTTTTGTCCGGGGGACGCGAAAAATATAGACGAAAGTAAGTACTAGAAATTTGCTTCCTGCATGTGCTGTCACTGTCATCCTACCTCGATCACCAACCTTGTGCTCAGGTACATGGCCGACTACGAATCCACCGCTTACATGTCACTGGAAAAGCTGAAGGAGCAGCATGCCCAGCAGTTTGGGCAGTTGACAGAAAACATGGAGACCCAGCCGCGCGTGTGCAAGTTTTCGCCGGATTTACTGGAACTGCGGAGGAGACAGAAGGCGCTGGGAAAGCAAGGGCAGTACGAAGAGGCCGCGAAAGTTAAGGACCAGGCCGATAGACTGGAGAAATGGGAGATAGCGAAGTATCAGTTTTTGATTGACACTGTGATTTTTCGTATTTTTGTACGTTGATGAAGCTCGTCGTCCTGAGGTTCATTCTTGGAGACGCTGGTGGCGAGCAGCTTTTTTTGGTGCGCGGCGCGCCGTTCTTTAAGTATACCACCATGATAAAAAAAACCAACAGGTACGCCTCGCAATCCGTAGACCAGGTGCAGAGGCTAGAGCAGCGCCTCCGGGCCCAGCAGAACAAGGCGTTGAATGCCCTCCTGAAGCGGATCCAGCGGGACCGCGCGGAGCAGCTCCGGCAAAGAGGAATAGACAGTCGAAGGCTGTGTCAGCGGAATAAGAATTTGCGGATGGACCTGGAAAAGAAGCAGCATTTTGAGTTCATCCGGGCCGACGCAGCGATCAAAGCGATCTTAGGGAACGCCGAACAAGCAGAAAAATTGCTGCAGGCACAGGATAGTGCGTTTTTGGAGAAGATAGGCATCGTGAATGGGAAATTGATGGAGTGATAGTACTTAAGTAGATAGTAGTGCACGTTTTTCCCTGATGTTGTTGTGAAACTGAGGTTATCTGCCTTTGCACAACGTCAAAGAGCTGCCTACAGAATGCAATCGAATCTTCAAAATTCGAGAATGAAAACGTCTATGCTGAACACGCTTTGAAGTCGTGTCGCTTCTGCTACACTTGTTAAATCTGAAAACATTCAAAACTACACTTATATATCATTATCTACTTTTTGCAAAAGGGTTGTCTCGATTGTCAGTGAAATAGGCACATTCTGAGTGGATCAGGAGGAACAGCTGAATCTCACACAAACGCAAAGTCCCTGTACAGGTTTGATTGTAAAAATCATACAGAACTACAACAATAGGCGCAAAAATTAAGAGTAGGCAATGAAAAATGCAATAATTACCCTGCAACGAAAGTGCAGGATACTAGAGTTCTGACTTTCTATTTGCGAGAAGATCTTGAAGATCATCTGTAATTGGAATGGATCGTCGAAAAAGTTGTTGAAAGGATCCGCACAGCATCAAAAGCGATCTCAGTTGTACACGACAAGAGAGCGTGATCAGGTGAAGAAAGGGATCTGCAGATGAAGAGTCGTGAGAAATTCAAGCGCTCTGATTGGTCTTTGGCTCCATGCAGTTCCGATCCGCATTTTTTTGCTTGTCAAACTCAAATCAGGACGCAGACACGTGATGAAATTTGGAATGCATGTATAGTTTAAGTACTCAATATTAGTTCTACAGGCAAAACAAGAACTAGCGATAGGCTGAGCAGCGTTTCAACACTGCATGAAATTTTTAGGGTGATGAGTGACTGCTTTGCTTCGTTCAATACTTTTAGCGACACAAAAATCTCAGTCATGTCTTTCAATTTTAGTCGCTTCTAGAGCAAGCGTGTCAATAGTGCAATCACATATCAACACCGCACGATCACGACCACGATGGGCGGTGGCGGTAAAGGGAAAGGCAAAAGCGGTGGCGGCAAAGGCGGTAAAGGCAAGCCAGGGCAGAACAAAGGAAAGGGAAAGGGGAAAAATAAATTCTCCAAAAACAACCAGCCGCCGAAGCAGAATCGGAAACTTCTGCGGGGCTTGACGCAAGAAGTCTTCGAGAAACACCAAGAGCAAGTGGATGACGGGAATCCTAGCGGCGTCGCGAGTTCTAGACCACAAAATGCAGCGGGAGGTAAAATAAATGCTTTTCAGAGCACCAAGCCGGTCGACAGAAAAAAAGTTCGAAAGCAGCAGCGCATGGAAAAGAAGCAAAGGCGGGAGCAGTTTTTCTCAACGAAGAAACAGACCGCTGTTGTGGAAGACGCCGATAGCTCTGAAGAAGTCGAACAGCAAAACAGCAGTAGTAGAAAAAAAACCGTTACCAAGCTTTCGAACACGAGCCCGAGCCAGGTACAGCGGAAAGAAACTACGAAGGCCGAGGATTCAGATTCTGATGCGGGCTCCGCGCCGTCGGAAGGTGACGAGGATGAGGGACGTTCTGATGCAGGAATAAGCAATGAAGACCTCCAAAACGAGGACCCTGACTCGTCTTACGACCCAGACGCCGAAGAGTTGGCGTATCTGGAGAAGATGCTGGGTCTGTCCAAAGGGAAGGGGCAGGAGAAATTGCTAAAAGAGATGGAAGAAGACGGGTTTGACGACGATCTCCTATCTTTTTGCGACGATATCGTCGCCAAAGGGAAGAAGGGCAAAAAGAAAGTTGCGGGGAAGGAGGAAACAGAAATATCAACCGCTGCTTCCAGTAACAAACGTGGACGAAGTTTGGCGGAATTGGAGGCGGAGTACAGTAAGAATGCAAAAAACGCAACTACTTCTGTCGCTGAGAAGAAGAAGCAGAGCAAGCAAAAAATGCCTTCTGCCACTGGAGATAGTACAACCCTCAGCGATGCTGAGTCCGACGGTAGTTGTTCCGAGGGAAGTAATGAAGTAACGCCTGGACGATTCGGTCTTGATGATGGGGAAGTAGATGACGGCAAAAATTTAGAGAAATTCGAGAACATGCTGACCACTGGGGACGACGGAGGGCTGTACACCGCGGAAGAGCTTCAGGAGTTGCAGTATTTGGAAAAACAACTTGGGATCTCAAACAACAAGGAAAGTTCGCGGAAGAAAAAGAGAAAACTCGGCAAGGAGCTGATGCTTGACGGGATCGATTTTGACCTGCTCGACGCATGCGACCGGATCTGTATGGGGGCGGCTTCCAAGGTATCAAATGTAAAAATGTCTGGGTCTGGAAGAATGCAACTTGTGATGCTGAATTTGGATTCCAAAAAAATCTCTATTGCATGAGCAGCAAAGGGAGTGTAATTTTTGCTACGCGGAGAGGGCATTTGTCATGCGGAATAGGCATCGCGGGGCCCTCAAAAAATCTGTGATGCTAGGGTATGCATCACAGACATCATGGCCCAGGCAAAACATGCATGACAAGTCTCAGAATCTTCCAGACCCAGACATTTTTACATTTGATAGAAGGGGAGCAAGAACAAAATTGAGAAAAATAACAAGAAAGGAAAAGAGAATGAAAAAGAAGCTGCAGCTAAGGTCGTGCAGGACAAAGAGGGCGACAAGCTTGCTGTTTGTGAAAAGACGAAGGCAAGTGCCGCTAGTAAAGAGCAACCTGCTCCACGTCGTTCGGAAGAGCAGCCTGTTCTTCCCTCACGGCCGAAGAAGATATTGAAGAAAGAAGGACCTCCTTGTTCCACTACTAGTAATGCGAGTCCTCCAGGAGAACAACCACCCGCCGCCCGCGCTGCCGCGGCAGAGACCGTCCTTACCGCAGGAGCTCCTATCTCAACCACCAGCTCAGCCACCTCATCAGATAAGATCCCAACTAGCACCAAAAATGCAAAAGATGTTGCGGCTGCCATAAAAACATCAACGCCCGATATAGAAATTTCCAAAACCAAATCCACGTCCGCAGCACCAGTAGTTTGTTCCGAGACCGAGTCGACTATTTCCAACAAAACCAACCGGTCTGTTTCCTGGGCGGAGAACTACGACGAGGGCGAGGCGCCGCCGAGTATTCAGGCACGAACCGCGCAGCTGAACGGAGAAGAGGTGGAGGAGGAGGATTCCGACGATTTGGATTTTCTAGAGGAGGAAGAGGAGGATTCGTTCGAGCCCAATTTCCTCGGGATCGACTGGAACCAGTTGACGCCGGAGGATCTGATTGCGCTGTTGCAGCAGCGGGAGATGATGGAGGAGAAGAAAAACATGAAAGCGGGAACTAGTAGTACAAAAGAACAGAACAACGTGACGAATGAGAACCAAAACGGCGGAAAGATCATCTCTCTCACCGGACCGAAACCACAGAAAATCCAGTCAACTGCGACGTCTAGTTCAATATCGGTAATCCCCCTTCCAGCAGCCGCTGCGCCGGATGAACAGTTGCTAGTGCAGCCGTCAGTCGTAGCTTCTTCATCCGCTGCTACTGCGAGCACAGGTAGTTCAACATCCGCGGGCGATCTTCCTTCGTCGGCAAGCAATAGAACTACTCGGAAGGTGCTTAATCTCGCTCGTCTAGAAAAGCCATCAGAGGACGAGGAGGTGGACGCGATGGCGACCAGTGAGGCGGAAGAAGTATTAGAAACTCCTACAACTATCACAGAAGTCGAGGAAGAGGACGAATTGACAAAATTTCTCGCCGATTTGAAGGACGAAGGTTCAGCATCTTCGCAGAAGACGGAGTATCAGAACAAGGAGCTGTCGAAGCAGGATTTAGATTTCATCAATGATTGTTTGAAACCGGAGGATAATGTAGCTCCCCATGCGAATAATCAACCAAAGAACGGAGGTCAAGCAGATCCCGGCCAGCGGCAGGAACAACTACAACAACCCGCACTGCCTACTGCGTCTGAACAAGAAAATAATACCAGCGACTGGTCGAACCAGCAGCAGATGCTGTTTGATTTCCTCTGTCAGCAGGGTCTGGACGTCCAGAATTTTGACCCAAACAATCCGCAGATGATGCTGATGCCTGGAACTAGTGGGAACAACACGTCGAACCATCTGGGGGGACCCTACGTATCAAATGCAAAAATGTCTGGGTCTGGAAGAATGCGAACTTGTGATGCGTGTTGCGGATCATACAAAAATCTGTGTTGCATGACTTGCAAAAGGTCCCTATTTCTCGCCACGCTGAGGCTGAGAGGGCATTTCTCATGCATATTGTGCATCACCAAGGGGCTGCAGAACCTGCGATGCTAGGCCCTGCATGCCAGACTTGGCGGAGCTTGGAAAAACTGCATGGCAAATCTCGGAATCTTCCAGACCCAGACATTTTTACATTTGATACTACGGGCAGACGGACGATTACACGAGTGAGTTGGAAGTGGGCAGTGGAAACTGTTTGGATCCGTGGGAAGAGGGGGAATTGGTGGAGGAGAAAGAGGAGGCTGATCAAGGTGCAGTGGCAGAACTGTTGCCAGTAGTGGCGTCTGCTCCTGCGGAGGAAATAGACGGTGGCAGGACCAAGAAGGACACAACTACCTCGACCGTTAGTGGTGGAGGAACTACACCGATTTCTTGTTCATCCGCTACTGCCCGCCCAACATCGACAGTGGACGCAGCTGCAAGAAGACCACCGACAGCACCAGCAGTGCCGGAACAGAAGCAAGACAAGATGGAAATCGATGATGCGGAACGCAAGGCAGACGAGGAGGAGACCACAAATTCGGACTGGGAAGAAGAATGCAGCTCCGAGTGCGAGGAGGAAGCTTTATCTGAGGAGGAGTCTGTATCAGAAGAAGAGGAATTATCATCTTGCACGGAGGATTACTCTCTTCCGGATGAGCCGATCGACTTGGAAAAGATTTTGAAGGAGCGGGGACACTTGTTGAACGACAGTACGAGTTTGGAGGTTCCGGAAAGAACTACTACAGAGGATGACGATGAAAATCATCAAGTGGAAAGAACAGAGGATATTAAGGACGCACTCATTTCGATTTCATCCTCCACGACGACATTACCAGCCACCGCCCCCGCCGGCCAAAGATGGGTCCCTCCGCATTTGCGAAAAAAGGCAAACGCCATGTTATCCGCCGGCGAAAATGATTCAGATACGAACGCCCTGAAGCAGAAGCTGCAGGGGTTGCTCAATCGGTTGTCCGAGGGAAATCTGGATGGGATCGCCATCGACGTTTGTGCGCTGTTGAAGGAAAATTTGAAGAGCAGAACAACGTCATCTGCGGCTACTTCTGAAATCAGCAAAAGTTGTCCCTTAGTATTCACCTTCTTTGCCGACGCTGTTTACAAAAACGCGTGCGAAAACCCGCACATTTCCATCCTGGTCGTCGCTTGCTACGCCGCGGTTGTGGTTGCTGCCTGCAGCACGGTGGACGTGAGATGTCTATCCGCGGTGACGCAGCTGCTGGAGAAGAAGTTTTACGACTACAGTACAGGGGAAAAAGGCGGTATGGAAAATAAAAGCGCATCTGCGCAGCTCAACACCGAGGAGCAGAGAAAAGCGCAAGAGCAGCAGCAACTTGTGATGAAAAACGTGGTCCTGCTGATTGCCCTCCTCTTTCACTTCGGCGTGTTACCCGCGAGCGTGATTTTCCAAATGTTCAAGAAGCTGATGAAGCCGTTTGAGCAGGAAGAGCAAATGAGCTGCAACACAACCACTTCGAACAAACAGCACCTCTTCGAGCAGAGAATTGACATTGCGCTCGCGATTTTGCGGTACAGCGGGAAGAGTTTGCGGGCACGGTATCCTTCGGATTTCAAGCAGATCTTGGACTACTTGCTCAAACTACCACTGTTTCGGGACCACGACGACGCAGGAGGTTTAGTACAACTTTCGGGAGCTGCTGCATTGGGCGCCACTGATAATATCATGGATAAAGACCAGGAAAATTTGAAGTCTCGGGTGAAGGCGAAGGCTCTGGAGATGTCGACAAGCAAAGCCGGGACGAGAAATCAAAAGAAGCAGAATATTAACGCCGCTTCTGGAGCACTATCAAGTCCAGCTTTCGTCGACTCAACCCGCTTGGAGTTCTTCCGACAGGAGCTGTTTGAGCTGCACAAGGGAAAAAAGGGTGGTTTTACCGCGATGGACCGGTTTCGGCAGACGGAGACGTGGCTGAACAGCTGTGTTCTGCTCAACCCAGACGTCGCAGGTGGGAAGATGTTGAGAGGGAACAATGGGAGCTGTAGTTCAACTACATCAGCGGACCCATCCTCTGCCGCGTCGAGCTCCAAGAAGAAAAAGACGAAAGCTCTGATGGAAGCCAAGAACGCTAACTCGCTGATTCTGCCACCAGTGACGTTGAAGCGGGAATTTCTGAACTTTGACTGTGATCATGGTGATAATTCAACATCAGCTACATCTGGAGCTGCTGCTGGTGCGGGGTTTTACTACACTGTCGAAGAGGAAGAGGAGGAAAGGAAAAGACAAACTTCAACTAGCACAGGCGTGGCGTTGACATCAAAATCAGTCGAGAGAAGTCTTCATGCACCGGAAGCAGGAGCAGTCCGAGGCGCGCCGCAACAATCTTCTTCATCAGTGGAAACAAGAAGTGCTGGTGAAGGGAACGCGACAATTTCTGGTTCTGATTCAGCCTCACTTTCGAGAAATAAATCCACCACATCTCCCTCCACCCAAAACGACCAACTCCTCCAACTGGCGAAGGAGCAGCGGCTCGCGACCGACAGCAAAAGGTCGGTATTTGTTGCCTTACAGGGGGCGGACGACGATGCGCACGCGATTTTGCGAATCAAGGAACTGAAAATCCCCCCGAAGCAGAAGTGCAAGGACGTCGCGGAAGTGGTCATTCACTGCGCCTTGCGGGATGTGAACAGCAGCCCGGCGGATGGTCGTGCTTTCAACCCGTTCTACTCTCTCGTGATGCTCGGACTCTGTGCGGGTTCTAGCACAGCGAGCGACAGCAAGAAGTACCAGCACGCATTCAAGAACGCGCTGATCCCGCGGATTCAAGAGGTCCACAAGTACAGCATCCAGCCCATGTTGAACCTGGCGCTGCTGTTCGCCAGCGGGGTGGCGGAGGATGGCGTGTTGCCGTTGTCCCTGTTGCGGTATTTGGACTTCTCCGACGCGGTGGCCGGAACTGGGTCGTTTTCGCTCTTCCAGGGACCGCACGGAATGTTCATGCGGGAGGTGTTGGCGCAGGTGTTGGAATTTTTGGATTCGCTCGACGCGTTTGACGCGATCTTCTCGCCTCTGAAGCAGTACGAAGATTTGAAGGAGGGGGTCTTGATCGCGTTGCGGAAGTTGGTGAAACCGTTTTTGCTGGAGAAGGCCGGGAAGGGTGCTGGCGGGAGCAAGGAGTCGGAAGACGTGAAATTGAAGTTGAGACACGCGGAAAGATGCTTGGTGGTAAAGTAGAGGACAGGGATGTTAATAGTGATGATGATGAGGAAAGCTGCTCACCATGATGTGTGTGTTTTGAAGTTTGAAGTCACGACTTCTTGGACCAACGCGCAAAACGAGTACGTAGGAATAATTCATTGAAATAGAAGTAAGGTGAAGCGGTGCTGGAAAAGTTGCATCTGAAGAAGTTGAGTGTTCTACTTGTTATGTGCTCTCGCATTGTCTTGGAGTTAGAGCGTCTCCTATGAGTGGGCGCGCTCTGCGTATATATGAAACTTGTGGGCCTGTGTACGAAAAGATGGGCCGCCGACGAGCCTCAGGGAGGCAGCTTCTTGCCGAGCCCCGGGGGCCCGCGTGCGGGGCGATCTTTGCCGCTGCCCGCTCGGTGCGGCGCCGGGGTGAGGGGCAGACCAGGCGAAGACTGGCGCGCGCAAATTCGCAGGCCCACAGCCGAGCGGGGCGGGCATCTTTTGGAAGGACCCGCCGAAACTTTCGGGGGTGGCGGGCTCGTTTTGGTCCTGCAGCAGGATCGAGGGAGATGCCCAAGGCGGTGGCGGTGGCTTTGGCGAAGTTGCCGGAGCCGCGGCGGGGCATGTTGAATGTAATAAAAGGCTCGGCGCGCGTCTATGGCGCGCCGGAATCGTGGGGCAATTTTTCTCGTGCGGGTGATTCCGCAGGGGACCGGGCGACAAATCCCAAACGAACTAGACTGCTGCGAGCACCTGCGCAAGTTGGTAGCAGTGGGGCAAGGAGGGGGAGAACAGTCGCCAGGGTGTCGCGCATTGCGCGCGATGCGGAGAGGAGCCCTGGATTAGTGCCCGCGTCGGCGGCGGAAGCAAACGCGGCGCGGCCCCGGGCGGGCGCGGGTCAGGGTTATGGGGCGCGAGCGCGCGCCCGCGAGGGGCCATGGCGCCCTCGGCCTGCTGGTTTTACCGCCGGCGACTGGCGAAGGCGCTGAAGAATTTGGGGACGATGCCTCCTCGGGGGCGGGCTTCCGGCGCTAATTAAACGAAGCGCGCCCGCCCCGGGCCAGCAACGCCCTGGGCCCGGCAGGTGCGTCGGCGTGCCGGGCGGGGCCGAGGGCGGGGCTCCAACGCCTGCCGCGGCAAGCCCTGTGGTGTGGTCAGCGCCGGGCCGGAAGAGGCGCCAAGCAAGAAGCCCGCGGCCATCGGGCCGATCTGCAAGGGGCCTCGTAACGTGTGCCGGAGCTATAGCCGCAGGCAGAACTCGCGCGCCACATTCTGCGCGGCGGTGTGGAAACTGGGCTGCCTGCTGGGAAGGGCGAAGCAAACACAGAAGCAGGGCAGGTGGCGCCCTCGCCGGCCCGCGCCCCACCCCGCCGAATGCGATGGCGCGCGGCGGCGGCAATTTGGCTGCGCAGCATTTGGGCGGCCGCCACTCTCTTGGGCCCCCCGCAGTAAATTGCGCCTGCTGGGACTTCCGGCCCGGGCCCGCGCGCTCGGGGGCGCCCGCTTTGGTTCTTTTCACGTACCGCCGCCGCCCCTGCCTTTTCGATCGCGTTGGTTAGTTTTGATGAGGGCGCAGGCCGTCCAGGGCGCCTGCTGCTTTTCGCGCAGGCACACGGATGGCGCGCCCCTGCTACTCCACAAAGGATTGGTGTCGTCCGTATTGCATTTCGGACGCTCCGGCGCCACTCGTGTTATGGCATTTTTCCGTGCCGCGTGTTCCTTTTGTGAGCGAGGCGATCTGATGTTGTCTTCGCATGCTGCGCCACTAAGATATACGTGTGCTGCGCCCCGCCTTCCGTTCTCGTGGTATTGTTCGTTGCTGACAAAACAGTCGGGCTTTTCTGTGTTTGTCCCAAGAGGCCTCCCCTAGCACCAATGTTCGCAATTTTCGGGAATTGCATCCCATCGTGCCCATCCGCGTCCCGTTGCACCTCTACCACATTCATTTCACTAGCGCCGACGGAGGCGCAGCAAAAACTATGAAGTCGTCTCCTCTCGCTTGCTTTTTCACTCTGATTTTGTCGCCCCGATCCAGCACCGGCGCAGCTTCCTCTTCGGGTTCCGGTACAACGCCAGCGCCGCCACACCAGCCCCGCCACACGACCCCGGCTACGGTGAACCACCAGAGAAACAGCACGGCCGGTGGCAGCTCGTCGTCAAACCATCGGCAGCCCGTGCTACCTCCGTTAGAAGAGTCAAGCTCCAGCTTGCTGCAGGTCAGCGGCTGCACGGGCGACGATGGAGACCTGGACGGGCAATTTCCCGGCCGACGCTCCATTCTGCAAAACGACGGGGAATCCCGACAACCGGGGCGGGGGGGCTCCGCAGGGAGAAGGTCGTTCGGTCTATCCGGAGCGGAGAACAACTACGAAGATGACAGCGAAGATGACGAGCGGGACTTCACGTCCGGCGAGAATAGGACAGCAGGTAATCCAAATGTCATGACGTACGGCGGTGCACCCTCCCCAGTGCAGCCCAACCGAGGCACGACCGCAGAGCCGAAGAAGTGCAAGAAGAGGCCAGTTGTTCCCGTCGATCGCCTTTACCTCGCACCGGACGACGTTTTTACCCCAGTAACGCCCGGCACCAACCTTCGGGCAAATACCAAGCCGGGCTCCGGCCCAAACTCCCCTCCGAACACAACAACCGACCAGCAGGGCACCACGTCGCCGAAGGCGAAGGCCGTTCCCTACGTGACCGACCCCTATACGGACGATCCCCGTGGACCGTGGGCCCGGGCGATGAACAATAAGACCCCGGGCGTTTCTAATTTTCACCGGCACCGCGGCATTCCGGCGCCGAAGCTCGGGCCCTTCGGCCTGGCGCCCGGGCAGCAGGCACAGGTGGACATTTTGAACAACTACAATAACCCAAATCACCTCCAGCCCAGCACGCGCAGACCGGGAAGTCCGAGGCGGGATGGCTCAAAGCAGTCGCACGTCGGCGACATGACGCCATTTACGTCACGCGGGGACGCGACGCCGTTCACGCGTGGCGTCTCACGCGGGGACGCGACGCCGTTCACGCGTGGCGTCTCACGCGGTGACGCGACGCCGCTCACGCGTGGCGAACAGACGCCGAGGTTTCGCTTTCAATCCGAACAGTCGCAAGGCGGGGCAAGCGCAAGTGGCGGCGGCGCGTTTTATCAATCCGAACAGGCCGGGCAGGCGCAGCAGCAGCAGCAGCAGCAGCAGGGTGCGATCCCTTCTTCCAAAGACAGCCAACCGCAGCAGCCCCCTGCGAAAGATGCGAAGACACCTCCCTGGGTGAAGCTCAACGACATTGAGATCGGGTTTCAAAAGTTGGAAGTGCAGAATTTCAACTGGCATGACATTCTGGCGAAGTTCGAGTACATCTGGATTGAGAAGTTCTTCATCGGCTCGAAAAAGTACAACATGTTTCTCATTCCAGATGTTCTCCGGCTGTTGCTGAAGCAATCCTTCGACGGGCTCTGTGCAGCGGAAATGTTGCCGGAGTTTCTCGTTCCCGGGGATCCAACCGTGACCGCGGAGATACGCGGCCAGGAACCACATTTGGAGGGGATACTAGAGGAAGATGAGGAAGGCTTGTTTTATATCCCAAACAGCAACGTGCTGATAGAAGAAGTTGAAGCCGTTGAAGGTGCTGCTATTCCGCCGGACGGGCGGCAGCAGCTGCAAGCAGCAGACGGTATTGCTTCTGTAAGCGCCTCCCCCGGACAGTTTTCCAAGCAAACCTCGCCCAGTGAAGTAGACTCAGCGCTGGTTCCACCAGAGATGTTAAATCCGCGTCTTATCAACGAGCAGCTATCGTACAGCGTGTTTGCCGACAAGGTCGGGCAGAGGCTGCAGCGGCTGCAGAGCAAAAACTCATTCCAGCCAGGAACGAACTCTGCGGCCACGGCTGGCGCTAATAATCCGACTAGTTCCACAGATATGTCACGCTCCGGATCCGAGGAGTCCGTTTCCATGCGCGGGCAGAACGGGTCCCACGCAAGCGCCAGTGCCACGCCAAGTCCAGACTTGATTCGGAGCCCACCACAAGAAGCAACTAGTACCCGGGAGCCGGTTAGTATTTTTACTAATAGTGATGCGACGCCTGGAGCAGGCGCTGCGCGTAGGACAGGGGGAGATGGTACAACGCCAGGGGTGGTTGTACCAGGCAGCACTAATGCCGTAGACGCGACTGGCAGGTTGTCCCGCACCTCCTCTTTCGCCAGTATTGATGGCGAAGAGGCTCCTGTTCCTGACGGTGAGGTGACTGCGAGAAATCAGAAAACAGACGGCGATGCTACGGGAAGAACAAACAAGGTCGAAGGAGCTACTCGTAGTACCAGCGCGACGAGACAAAGAGGACAAGGAAACGGCGATGGCACAACAACAACTACAACCGCTGGGGAGCAGGTCCATGACGGTGTCACTCGGTCGAGGTCGAAGTCGAAAGCGAGGTCAAAGGCCCGAAGTGGTAGAGAGAACAACAGCAACGCGGAGGACCAAAGTCAACACCAAACGCCGGATGTTGTTCACCCAAAAGCCTACAACCTCGCGGTCAGCGCCGTGCAGTGGCGAGCGGATATAATCAGAAAAAGATGCGCTTTGGAATCCCGCGACGAGGCAGAAGCGTGGGCGTTGTTACTGCTCACGTGGGAAAAGATCTCGCCGCCGGTGAAAGTCTACGTATAAAATTTTTGTCCCGTCACGTTGTTCTTTCTTTAGCATCAGGCGTTGATCTTCTATAATCTGCTGCTGTGCAGCGACGTAGTTTCATAGGGATTCTCTTTATCAATGCTAGAAACCAACGCTTATTCTATGTTTATATACAGATCTCCGAATCCTGGGAGGAAGCCAAGCCCCATGTTTGGTTTTACGGCGCCGTTGTCGGTCTCGCCGCGTTCACTTTTCTTCTTTTCCTCACGCTGCTCCTGTTCCTCTGCTATCCCATAGAAAAAAGCTGGCAGGGAAAAATCTCTGTGTCGCAGAAGTAGATAGTACGCGGCACGTAGAGGGATCTGCAGCGCGTGCCCGTGCCTATGAGAGATGTTTGTGTTTCTGCGTACTGTGTAGTTTTGCATATAGGAGTTACGAATAAGAAAATATGCCCTTCCCGCTTTTTTCTGGGGGATATCCGCGTTGTGGAGAAGTGGATGACGATCCAGAAACGAAGCCGGGAAAACCATACGAGAGTGCACAACTCCCCTTCCCCTCATTTGCATGGCATGCGCAGCAATACAAACACCAACACACGTGGAGCCTGTGCATGACAAGTTCAGGGGCCGAGTGTAAGTAGTACTGTTTGGGCTTCTGGGATTTGTCATGCAAACAGTGCCACAAGGCAGCAAACTTATTGGGGATTTTGCATCTTCACAGATGAGGGGGAGGGGGAGTTCTTGTGCACTGTTATAAACCAGCTGTACGAGCAACAGGTGCAACGGATGCAGGCGTGGGCATTGGAGCACGGCGGAACTTTTCATCGGGACACGCTGATGACGACCGTGCAGGGTGCCTCGGCATCTCCGTCTCCGGCGCACAGTTGTAACAGTCGCCGTTTCTTTGTTCAAGACCGGCGTGGTCCTCACGCTTTGCAGGATGAGGATCAAGACCATGATTTTCGGCGGGGCGAGGTGATGAAGGGGGTGGTAGACGAAGAGCATAATGAGGAAGATTATCATAACAACTTTCATCACGACGACAACGCCGATGTTTTTCATGAGAACAAAGCACTTGATGTAAACCACAGAGATGTTGACCGCCAAATGCACAACTTCCCCGACCTACAAAACCACCAGAACCTTAACAACAGCGCCTCCGCCCCGGAATTCCGGCTCGTGAGACACAAAGACCAGCAGGGCCGGCACGACACAATCAGCTTCGGCGTTGCAAATGTTGAGAAGAGTTACGTCTTCAAAACCGGCGGTGAGCCGAGTTCTTCTTCCAGTAAGGAGTTGGGATCTGCTAAGAGCGCAGCTTCTGCAGACTCGGCGGGGAACAGTACGCCGGGCGAGCGCTCCTTCCGTGCGAACCGGGGCGGCGGATACACAGCAAGTCAGTCGGAAATGGATGAAACGGAGTCGTCCGCGTCCGACGAAGAGGACGAGGAGGTGTTTATTTCCGAGGCGGATGGGAACGTGGTAGTTGAGCAAATTATGCAAAGAGGAACCGAAAGCGAAAGTACTAAAGGAAAGGAAAAAGCAGCAGAAAAACACGCAAGGTCAACAGCGTCTCAGCGCCCGCTTGGTCGTCGTAGTAGTTCAACATCCCGGAAGAAGAACGACGTAAGTAGCAAGCACAACAACCTCGACCGCCATTTTTCTGCTCAAAAATCTTCGGACAACAATGAAGATTATGACGAGTGTGATTCGGACGTGGAGAGCGACACGCCACGCGTGCCGGATAACACCCCGAGGTCGGGTTACGCGTCGTCCGTGGTTTCGTTCACAAGGCGGGGAAAGTTTTTGAAAACGACGAATCTACCATCCGACGCCCCGCCATGCCCGCCGTCGACACCGGCAGCTCTGCGCTTGGTCAGCGATGGATGCGGGGCTGATAGACCCGAGGTCGGCCGACATACTTAGGTCAAAATGCATCAAGCCGGTTGTACTATACGGCGGGCCGAGTAGCTGCAGTGTCGACGGTTTCGATTTTTGCTTCTTGCAATTCATTTTCATTTCCCTATCCTGAGGCTCAGGCATTCAGGAAATAAATCCGTTTTTTTTTTTGCTTCAAGTACTATCGATCAATCTTACACTAGTTCTTCTGCGAGATAATTTCTTTCTTTCTGTCTCTGGGAAAACGTAAACGGGAATAATATCATCAACGTAGAAATATTGTAGCATCTATGGGAATATAGTTTATCGTAAGCGACGAGGACGTCTTGATGAGCGAAGTATGTTGTTTGGTACGTGCCACTAGACGTGGTGCCAAATCGTGGCGTACGCCCTCTACGCGTGCTTCGGACTTTTTGGGACTATGCTTTCACACTTTTTTAATCACGATAACTCGTATGGAGAGCGTGTGTGTTGCAAATTTGTGAGGTTTGACATGATGAATATTCGTTAGTCGGAGAAGTCTCACGCCGGTGTGCTTCGTGTATCACGTTTCTTGTATAAAGAAAAAGACAGCAGTAAACACTGTAGAAAATGCAAATTATGAACCTCTTGCGATACTCAAAAACGACGTCGCCAACTACTACTACAGTCAAGAGCGCAGCAGCACCATTTTTTTTCCATAAGCACTAGGTGCTCCTCCAAATGCAAACTTGGACTGCCCAAAATCTTTGCTATTGTGTTTTGACGGCACTTCTACGTACGGCTTTGTATTTGAGTCGCGAACGCAGCGGTTTGTATCTAAGTACAAGTATAGAAAAAGAAATTGCGCCACCATAAGCATAATTCAACGACTTCGGTTTCGTATTGCAAACTTTTTTTCGGTAGCTCTCGAGGCAGCGAAGCTAAGCTCGTGTCGGAAGCAGAGAGTTAGTATCAAAGCGAAGAATCGAACCCTGTGTTGAATTGGTCTTGCGCGAGCAGTAGACGAGAGATGCAAAAAGGTGCTTTCGGTTTTTTTCGTTTTCTTTCACACCACGGACGTAGATCGTGTAGCTTGGTTGCATGAAAAAGTATAATATTCTCCAAATTTTTCTCCAAACACTGACAGTGCCTCTAGTGTACAGACCAAGCTTGTTCAGCGTTTTTCGCCCGGGGTAACCCCTCGAATTATATATACCAGCCTCCTAGACATTGACAGCTAGTAGTTATTTAGAAGTAGAATCAAGTGATTCGTAGTAATATCCGGCGCAACCACGACTACCACTACCAGGCGGTTGTTTATGAGCTACGAGCACGTCATCTACAACTACATCTTCAGTATACTTCCCATCGCACTACTTCAACAATTTGCGAAGGGTTTTTTTGCCGTTTGAGTTCAAGAGACGCATTTAGCAGCTGTATCAATTGTCAGTCTTGGCCCTCTTGTTCATGTTCCACTCAAAAATACCGAAACTCGGAGCCTAAATTCAACAACTCTGATGCAAGTTGGTGATTTTGGGGTTCTGAATTGGCAATTATTAAAAGCCTACCCTAGAAGCCTATAATTTTCAATTTTGATACTTGTTCGATCAATGAATACTCTCTACCCCTCTTTCATCTCCCGCGATTTTTTACATGACGGCTGATTTGGAAATACTTTTTTACTTCTCCGGCATACAAACTTGACTACTATCTAAAACTAATCCCCGTGGATGGTCCTCCCGACCACAGAGCTTAAATAAAACCCCCTGATATTAAATCTATTCGCCTCGCACCATGGGGGGCGGCCTCTCGAACAATCGGGAGGAAGACCAAAATCGGGCGGTCCCGACCTCCCCCAGTTCCCGCCGCTCGCGTCGTGGTAGCAACCAGCACCGAGCAGCGGCGCACCACGCGCTGCAGCAGGTCGTCCGGTTCGGCGGGGGCCCGCCGAGTCCAAACCGCCAGCGGGGGACGCACTGGTGTCACGAGTGCAACCAGGCGGTAAATCTGAATGAGCAGGGACTGTGCAACAGCTGCGGCGGTGGGTTCGTGGAGGAGGGAACCATGTTGTTGCAGGAAACCCCACCGATGCCACTACTCAACGCCCTCCAGGCGGTCCACCATCTGGCGCAAATGCAGCGCGGACAGGCGGCAGGAAATAGTACTAACGCAGCGGCGGGGGACGAGGAGGAAGAGGGAGGGAACAGCCTGGGGGGAAGGTGAGTAAGTACCTATAGTAGAAGTCGGTTACGATCTTCAAAAATTTTGAGCTTTTTGATCAAGGGAGGACTACTACAAGCTTGCATTTTTAAGTAGTGGCAAGTACAAATTGAAGCTGGTCATGCGCAGTAGAAAACAATACACAATTTTTGTCCGCAACATCATGCGCAAACCGAAACCACACGACAACTATCAACTATCAGGCGCGGCCATCCGCGGATCCAGGTGGGCGAGATGCGAATCGAGGTTTTGCTCCGGGAACTACAAAACCACCTGCGCGCCGCCGAGTCGATGCGCACGGCCATGCGGGATTTGTTGGAGGAGGAAGATGTTGTTGCCACAACCGCGTACGGCAACAATAGCGGCACACCCTCAAACATCGATCCTTTGAAAGCAACGCAGTGGGACAGTATCGAAACTAGGCTAGTGTCAACGCAGGCAGAGTGCGATGCGTTCTTGAAGGGGAGCGCGGCTACGGTATTTGTTGATGTTGTCGTGCTGTCGAGCATATTTTGTATACCTTTTCGCATCTTCATGGGTATAAATATGTACTTCTAGAACTAGGACGACAGAGCCTTTTTGTCTTGAGTGCTAGACGTAATGATTTTGAAGCAAGTATGAGGTCTGAATATGATGATGATGATGATGATGAATGTGATCTAAATATTAAATCCGCAGGATTCCCTCGACGACGGGCACACATGCGCGATCTGTTGCGGCGAGCTCTTCGAAGACGGGGAGCCGGTTATCAAAGTGAAAAAAGCCCCCTCCCCATATCAAAACGGAAATCAGTGATGCAGATTTGCAGTCACAGATCAGCTTTGTCATGCTAGAAGGGAAAAGATGCGGACTGTAGTGCTGGGTGGCGTGGGGAAGCCTTGCATCTTCAGCATGACAGGAAGCAACTGGAAGTGGGAAACAGCATGACAAATTGCCTGCAAACGAGGCCACAACTGCGGCTCTTCGCCTTCTAGCATTACAAGTCGATTTGTGTACTCAAATACAGCGTCACAAATTTCGTTTTCGATATGGGGTGGGGGGCTTTTTCCATTTGATACCGGTGACGCTCTGCAAGCTCCCCCGGTGCCAGCACGTTTTTCACAAGGACTGCTGCGCGGAGTGGTTCCAACGTGCGAGTTCGTGCCCAATTTGCAGAAGCGACTTGAACGTGGTGAGTACACCTGGGGAGCAGAATGCAAACAATACAGAAAATGACACGCCAAATAAAAACTGTGTCGAAAACGAAATGGCCCAGCGTGCGAGCAGCAGGCAAAACTCCGGTACATCATCGGGAGAGAACAATTATAGCAGTAGCAATAGCGCACCAGCAGGTGCTGGATCACTTACCGGAGGAGCGCCGTCGAGACCTTCAACAACTAGCACAACGTTGATTAACAGTAGCAGTCCGCTCCCCACGACAGCTGCAATAAGCCGACAAGCAGTTGTACCCTCTGTCCCACTACCGCCGCCGCTGTTTGGGCAGCTGCCGGCGACCCCGTCCTCCTCCTCTGCGGTGAATGATACCAGTGGCGGTGGAGCCGGGCCTATCGTGAGGAAAAATCCACGTCCCACCTCATAGTACCCAAAAGGAAAATGTGTGATGCAGATTTGTCATCACATTCTTGCAAGAAGTCCAGTACGGAGGTGCGCCCCGCATTGCGGAGGCGTTTGCCATGCCGTTGGGAAGCTTATAGGGCAGGTGTTTATTTGACCTGTACGTTGTTAAACAGGCTGAGAATTATGATGTGACTACAGTTCCTTACCGCAAGACAGACCGTATCTGTGTACGCAAATCGATCCTCCAGCGTCGGAAATTTTGTTTGGGATACGGGGAGGGGGGACATGTTTCATCTTGATAGGGACGTCTGCCTCGCCGAAGGGTTTGACACTGCCAACGAGGCCAGTGCTGCGGCCGATTGGAACTACAACGGGGGGGAGTAGCAGCGGCGATGTCTTCGTTGGTGTGACGAGTACAAGTACGGCGCGCCCGGTGCCGGAAGAGGATTAGTTACTTGAAAGCTACAAAGTAGTGAGTTGGTCGTTTTCCAGCACCTCGCAACTGGCTACCGTGCGCTTCTTTCTCGCAACCCGAACTTTTTTGCTTCCATGAGGCCGTGCAGCACCAGCGTTTGATTATTTACTTATTGTTTCTGTGCTGCAGCAGGAGCAGCGCCAGCAGTAGGCAGACACATAGTTTTAACGTTGTTTCTTTGTCTTTGTCGTGGCAACATCGCCAATATAGAAAGAATGCTTTTTTGAAGAATACAGTGCGGCGTTGCTACAAGAAGAATAGTTTCTCTTGCAAGATCATCTTCAGGGAGATTAATTGTGGCAGAGTTGGATTCACGGTGGTAGTCTACCATCTTGAAGGTGAAGTCGCGAGGTCCTGATCAGGAGAAAATATTTCAAAAATGTACATCTTTGACAAAGTCTTTTTCTACGAAGAAGTCAAGCAACATCCATTCTCGGCGTTGCAGCCGCAGACCCGCCGTGCTGTCTTCTGAAGAATTGTGACTTGAATGGCGTTCTTCTTTTTCTCGTTGTGCCAACAAAGCAAACACGTGGTCAGACTTTTCTGGGAGTCACTTAGGGATTTTTGAGGAGGTCTCGGGCTCGTACCGTCGTTCGTGAGCAGTGAGTGATAACTCTTTCGAACAGGAGGTGTTGTTTGGCCGAAGCGAGTCCGGCGTTGTACGAGTATGTGACGCGAAAACTTGCACTATGTATGTGACCGTAGCCATTTTACTGGCTGAAGATTCAAGTCTCACGTTCACTTCGACTTCTTCCCATGACATCCGAATTTTATTAAGGACAAGTGTGAGCATGTCAATCTCAATCAAGATTGAAATCGACGATTCATCTCAGCGTACATCTCAGTGTACAAGAAAAAATGGTGGAGCTTAGACCCCGCAGTTGGGTAGACCGTGACGACGAAGTGGCACTCTGTGGTCCCAGGAGCATGTCACCGACCATGATCTGCTGGCCAAATAATGTCAAGGCCTCTTTTTCTTCATCCAGTGCGCCCTCCTCGTCGAGCTGCAGCTGCGCCACGTCATTTTCAGCAGTGACACAAGTAAAACACGATGGTTCATCTTTGAGCAAGAACCTGCAGGAGCCACGACGAGGGGCCATTCCAGTTGTCCTTGGGAGAAGTTCTTCATCTTGTTGTAGAAGCCGCATGATCTGCAATTACATCAACTCGACGGAAGGTCAAGACAAGTCAAACTCTTTGATGTCGTCCCTGTCCCAGCAGTCCTCCGCGTGTGGAAACTGCTACATGAGGAAAAAGAAGAACTACTCCATGACCACGCTGCGCGGTAATGGCTACACCACGCGGCATACTCGTCTCTCGTGCTGCACGTCGAGACCACAAGAACGACCAGTCTTAGTTTATTCTTGCTCCCGTCGCATAAAACTGCTAAGCATGGAAAAGTACAAGAACACGTCGGCCACACCACCACGGTTTCCGTTTTGCGCTGAGGACCCTCTCCGGGATATTACAGCTTCTGTAACGCGGAAAACTACGAAGCCGCGGGCCGCCGGGACTTCATCGACCGGGGAGGTAGCAGAGCAGCAGTTGAAGAAGGACTTGTTCATTTGCAGAACAAGGAGAAGGAAGAAAGGGACATCTTCTGATGTCGAGCAGCACCAACTAAGCTGTGCAACTTTGACTTCGTTCCAGGGCAGGCCTTCTGTGGGAAAGCAAAGCAGCTCGAGCACGACTGCGACACCAAAACCCGCTTCAGGTACTAGCGGTTGCACGTTTACGGGGGCTCTTCTCGTGCTTCTTGTCCTCTCCAACACCTTTTTGTCCAAACTCTGCTTCGCGGTAGTGGTGGGAAAAGAGGAAGAGGATTTTGACACGGACCGCCACATCGACGTGGGAGGCAGTGATAATAATGCAAGAAAAGAAGAAAAAATAGAAAACCACGAGGAGGACCACGGCGCCGCCCCGAGTACAACATCAAGCAACGGCGCTCCTGTACAACCAGTTGTCACATCTTCAACACGGGCGCAGCCTCCAAACTCGTCTGATAGAAGAAGTAGAAGCTCGTCTCTAGTGCAGAAGACGAGCGTCGAGAGGAACAAACGTTTTATTCGAAATCCGTTTGAACACATCCACGTGCCGGAAGTGCTCTCACACTGGGACCCGCAGCTGCCGTTCGAGCCGACAGACCAGACCGAAGAGGGGAAGGAGATGGCCGAAAACCATTTTTTGGGGGCCATGGATCCGGGTTGGCAGAAGGAAGATCCGCTGGACCCCGATGGGTTGCACTCAGCCTGGGACACTTTCTACGATTCCTTTCTTTCTGCGCAGCAGGAAGAGGAAGGAGTGGAGGGAGTCAAGTGGGATGCCGATGGCGACTACCCAATTTCGATCTTTGACACGAACGGTGACGGGGCAGTTAGCAAAGCTGACTTTGACGCTGTGGACACTAACCACGACGGCAGGGTCGATGAAGATGAGTTCTTGCACCAGCAGAGGATCATGGAGAACCGGTTCGAAGCGGTATCAAGTGCAAATACGTGGTCTGGGTCTGGAAGAGTGTATGTTTGTCATGCCTGTCTGGCATGACTCTTAAATCTGTCATGCATTTTACCCAAGAGCCCCATTTTTCTGTCATGCAGAAACGCAGTGTGTCATGCAGAATAGGCAACACCTAGAAGCTCAAAAACTTGTCATGCTGGGCCAGCATTTGTGGCCTCCTCATGATACGCCGCCCAGCATCGCAAATTTCCAGACCCAGACATATTTGCATTTGATAAACGGTGCAGCGGTTCAGTTCGTTCGACGAGGACAAGCAGGAGAGGATTTTAAGCAGAGACGCCCAAGACGACCAACATTTCATCACGGGAATCCTGGACACCAACCACGACAAAACATTCGACGCGCGCGATCAAGTTCCGACGGATCCCGATGAGCGGAATGAGTTTCTGAAGGAGATTGAAAGGCTAGCGCAGCATCACCAAAACCGGGAAGACGCCATCGATGCGATTGAGGCTTTGGACAAGGACCACAATGACAAAGTCGACAAAGACGAGCTGCGGAAGGCCGCGCTGATGCCCAGCCAATTGAAAGCACTGGGGCTCACAGACAGCGACGACATGATGGCCAAGCTCGACACCAATAACGACGGGGAATTTGACAAAACGGACGTGGTTGCCATGAAGAACGAGAAGATCCTGGATGCTCTGAACCACGAACAGTCAATGGACGACATCCACAAGGCACTGGCGCAAGGCCCTAGCACATCCCCATTGACGGACCAGCTGGACATGGACGGGAATGGGAAGGTGGATGACAACGAACTCGCGCTTGCTGACAAAGACCACGACCACATGCTGGACACGAAAGAACTGGAGAAGGCGAGTCGGGTCCAAGATAACTTGGATACAAACATTATCCCAAGTAAAAACGTCCCCACCCCAAAGTTGTCACGCAAATCAACAAACCTCAGACGTTCTACTTTTTTCATGCTATCTGAGAGTTTGTCATGCTGGAATCAGATTAATGCGATCAATTTGTGATGCGACTGCGCAGGCTAAACACGACGATACTGCGAGCAGAATTGTGTCATGCGCAACGCCCAATTCTTGCGGATTTGCGTAGTAAAAAGCCCCCATCATGACTATGGGGTGGGGACGTTTTTACACAGGATAAACAATGATGGGATTGTCAACGAAAAAGATTCAGACCACATCGCGGAGCATGTGAGCGCGCAGGATCTGAGAGCAGCGGACGCTCGCACCGTCAGCTATGAAAAGTTTCGTAACTTTGGCTGGCTCCGGCCGGAAGTCGGTTCCGACCTGTGGCGGGTGCTATCAACTGCAAATATGTTTGGGTCTGGAAGATTGCTAGATTTGTCCTCGCGCATATCTGACATGACGCGAAACTTCGTGATGCGTGTGGACGAAGAGGCCCGCTTACGTGTCACGCAAAAACGCAGTTTGTCATGCGGGAGCGGGATACGGAAGACACGGCAGCCCAAAACTTTGTCATGTTCTTTGGCTGCGTATTGCAGTGCGCATATCATTCACTTCCAGCATACATAACTTTCCCGACCCAGACATATTTGCAATGCATAGGTGCTCGACACGGACAACGATGATGACATCCAAGAAGACGAGTATCCTGAGGAAAAACGTCCCCACCCCAGAATCAAGATGGGAAAGCTGCTAGACAAATCAATCAGCTTTGGGTATTGCGCATGACAAGCGTGGCCTCGTAATTTAATCCTGTTTAGCTAGTGCAGCAACATTGCATTGGCACATCTAGCATATCGTTTTGATTTGAGCATCGCATGCAAGGCGCGTTTGTGGTTTCGGTCGGTTTCAGTTTCACAAATTCCACAACACGACAAGAAAAGGCTTCTCATGTGGCTCCGCATGAGAAACATGAGAAGCATGCAAATTAATTTGTATGACAACTCTGGGGTGGGCACCCTTTATTGCATGACAACAAGAATTTTCTTGGGGACGCCCTGCCCTTGGCCTTTGAAAATGACAACCCTGGGCTGGGGACGTTTTTACACAGGATAAGGAGTTCAAAAAATTTGCAGGCAAGGATGGTATAATGGACATGCATGACTGGAAAGTGGTGCAGGAGCAGGCGGAGAAGATTCACAAGCACGACGTGGACCAGTACAACGTGGATATGCGGAATCACGCGATTCAAACTGCGCTCGGGAGCGGGGCGCTTTACTTGGGGAGTAAGTTGCACCAGAAGCGGAAAGCGGGGCAGGCGCAGGAGCGGGTCCGCGCGAAGGAAAAGCAGGACGCCCACCAACGAGAGGAAGAAGACAAAGCGCGGCTGCGCAATTCCGCCGCGGGAAAGCGGGAGGCTTTGGTGGCCGCGCAGAACGGGAAGAAGGTAGGGGAGGAGAATCGACTGGAGCAAGAAAAGCTACAAAAGTTGAAGGAGGAAGGAGCGCAGCGGGAACAAGAAAGGCAAGAGGCAGAAGCAGAGTGGAAGCGCCAGCAGGAGCAGGAAGAGGCGGAGCGGGCGGAAGCGGAGAGAGCTGCGCAGAAGGAGGCGGACGCAATTCTGCAACAGATTCAAACGGCAGTGGACGAGAACGCGAGTGGACGTGCAGACGCTGCGGCGGCCGGAGTAGGTCAACGAACTGTGCCTGCAGCGGAAGTAGATGAGCTGCAAGAATACCAACAAGCCCACCCGCAAAAAATCTTCGGCCTCCCGGCTGCCGCGCAACTGCACCCCAGGCCCGGCGCCGACCCGCTCAACGACGCCACGAACGCGAGCCCGAGCCACAGCGACCCTACGCAGCATCATGGCGTCAGCTCCCAAGCAGCGACTGCAGCGGACGAGAAGACTATGCAGATTCCAGCTCCAGGTGGAGAGGGCTCTTACCCGTTGCGGGCAGCCATCGCGCAGGCTGCACTCGCGGAGCAAGGACGCGCGAGAGACGCGATTGCGCAGCAAGCCGCGGAACGGCACGTGACGCCGTTCGAACGAGCACACACAGTAGACCCGGCGCAAACTACGCCTTTGCTGGGGCATCATGATGACAGTCAGGCGGAAGAACGAGAAGACTTCCCCCAAACCCCGCCCTTGGCCGACACGGAACTTTTGCCGGAAGGGGCCGTTCCGAAAGATCAGCGATTCGGTGGCGGAGATGAAAAAGTGATAAGCGGTGCACAGGAGCGACAAGAAGCGGCCCAGCAGGAGGCGCAGTCGACGCAGCAACAGCAGCAGCTGCAAGCGCTCCACGAACAGTACCCGGGCTACAGCACGACTTACCTGAAAAAGATGCTGCGACAGCAAAAGCTGCAGCACCCGCTGCGGCAAGGGGAAAAGTTACAAGCCGCGCAGCAACTCCAGCAGCTACAGCAGGCCCGAGCCACCACAGCTGCAGCTGATGCGGAAGAAAACAAGAGCGAGCTATTGGCCTTGGGGGATGAAGATCCCTCTTCGCTGCTCCGAGGCAGCGCGACATCTTTTTCGTCGTATGTAACGCCTCCAGAAGGAGCAAAACAATTCCTTGGACTCTCTGCCACTTCTAACCACGAGCAACAACGAGAATCGGGGCTACAGCAGTCCTCGCTTGTGGATGATCCCTTTGTCATGCAGATGAACCACGCAGACAAGGAAAAAATGCAGCAACTCCAGCTTGAGAGGCAGCAGCTGATGCAGGAAAAACTGAAGCAGCACATCCTGCTGCAGCAGCAACAGCGGCAGCAGAGAGAACAGGACGCAGCGGAACAGAATGGTGTCGCGGAGGAGCAATCGCAGCTCCGCGCACGGCAGCTCGCGAAAGAAAAAGCGCAGCAGAAGGCGTTGGAAACAGCGAGACAAGCGCACTGGGAAAATTTGCAGGCGGCGAGGGACCACGAGCGGCAGCCGACTGCAGCACCGGATGAAAATCCAAATCCAGCACTGGAAATCGGCGTCGGGAAACCGATCACGAACCCCACCATTCCTGAAACCGCGAAAGAAAAGTGGCTGTCGGACCTGTTGCAAGACAGAACCGCCGAGGTGGACCCCACCGTGCATTTGAACGCCACGGGAAACGGTGCGGTTTTGGCGGGTGTTGGCGGGCCCAAGCAGAGCCCCTCCTCGTCGTTCCTGGCGACATCATCTTCAAGCAGGCCCTCGGATGTTGATCATGTCGCGACAAACACGGGTCGAGTGAGAGATGAAACAAGACAAGCTGGTGCTCCAGACGAGGACGGATTTGTTTTCATTGCGCCGGTGGTGAACCGGAAGGAAGCGGCAGATATAGATCCGGAGTTGGAGGACAATGACTTGGATGTTGCGTTGTCGTTTCTACAGGGGGGAGCAGCTGCAGGAGCAGCACAGCAAAAACAAGTAGTACAGCAGCAGGAGATGGAGCAGGAGCAGCAAAACTATAATATGAGACCGGCGGAAAATAAGCTGCTGGCGCCTCGCTCCGGATCCGGTCATTCAGTGCCTGGTCCGCCCGCGCGAGGCGGTACTACTGGTGGAACCACGACTGCTACAGCAAGTGAAACTTCTTCTGCCGCACCAGGGGGAAAGAACAACTTCTACCTGAATGGTGCTGCGTCGGTGGAGAAGACCACTTTTTCCTCTCGGGGTCACTCGTCTCAAGGCGCAGGTCGGGGGAAGGGGCGGCGAGGCGTCGACAACCCGAACCGGAAGAACAAAGACTACAGCAAGAAGAGCCGACGAGAAGAAGAACACGCCAACAAGAACCAAGAGGAGAGCAAGCCTCTGGTGGACTGGTACAAAGACGGGACTACGAATTTGATCTGGTTCAAAGACTGGACGATCGCCCCCTTCCAAAAGAGCGCGTCGATCAATACGCACTTGATTGAGACGTGGTGGGCCGGGAGCGCAGAGAGGAAAACATGGACGAAGTTTGAGTACGACACGGTGACACACGCGTTGTTCGAAAAGGAGACGGAGCCTGCGGTGTTTGGAGCTCAGGCTAAAACTACCACAGGTGGAGAAGCGCCGAACCACCAGCAGAGCACGACAAGAAAGTACAACCTCCGCGGCACGTCGAAGCTGAAAGCGAAAGTCGCTGCTGCGGACGGAGGTACTACAGGCAGTGCTGAACAAACCGCAATGCCGCTCGAAGAGGACGCTGGCACAGCAACACCAGAACGTCATCACGATGAGGTGCCAGGGCCAGCAACAACGGCAGCCGGAACTAAACCTGCCATGGCACAGACCACGCACATGAACCTCCGGGGCAGCACAAAGAAGATGCTCGAGGAGCAGAAAAGCCGAGAACTACGCGAGCGGAAGAACATCGAGAACGGCCAAGCACAAGAACACGTCTTGACGGACGAGGCGGCTATGACCATCTCTCCAAAGGAAGAAGACACTGGGGAACAAACAGACGGTGCACAATTTGGGTTGCCCGATGTTGAACATGTTGAACAAGATCATGATTACCACTACGAGAAAACCTACGTCCAACCATTAATAGAGCAACACCCTTTATTCACGAATAAAGGAGAACACGACTATGCGATGCAATTATGTCATCTGGGTCTGGATGGAACTGGTGAGGTGATGCTGGATTGTAATGGCTGAGTATCTTCCTCTCGAGTGCAGCCAAACATAACAAAGATTTGAGATCTCTTTTTATGCGTAGCGTGCGTCAGAAGCAAGCTGCGTTTTTGCATGACCAAAAAAGCAGCTCGTGCTTTATTTGTATAAGTCATTTTAAAAGCAAGCCAAGCAAGACAGGTTCCACGTTATTCCCTGACCCAGACATATTTGCAGTTGATAAGGATGAGCATGAGAACATCTCCCTCTACGAAAAGTACGGCACGGAAGAGCTGCTGACGATGGTCATCTACTGCACGATACTCTTCCTCCTGGCGTACTTCTGCCTTCAGAAAAGGGAGCAGACGAGACTGCAGGAGTTGCTGCAGATGAAGAACCACCCGGGGAGGTACGCGGACGTCGGGCTTGGTAAAGGTGGGAGAGGTTCCGGTGAAAGATTTCTTGCAGATCAGACACAGGGCCGCGGTAGGAGTAGAAATAATGACCACAAGCTGCCAGCACAAAGAACTACGAGGACAAACAGCGCGAGGTTCACCTGCGGGAGCATCATGGAAACGAGTCTGAATTTTCTCTGTGGGACAACTCAGGCTAGATCTAGAGGAGAAGATGAAGATCCTCGGCGGCTGCGCCGGCATGAGAGCAGAGGGAGAAATCATTCCTCCGTTGTTCGAAAAACCCCCCGCGAAACATCACCATCTGCGCAAAACAACTACATGCAGTATGTAAGATCTAGAACATCTCCCGCATCAACGACGGGAACCGGCGGGCCGGTATCAAAGATGACCGGGAAGAGCAAAATGTGGCTGCAATTTGAAGAAGACCACAAGCTTGAATATATTGATCCGAATCTCAGCAACACCAACCAACGGGATCAGTATGGCGTCTGCCACCAAGAAACTAATTTTGCGCACCATGCCGATGGTTATGCTGCTGGAATAAACGAGATCACCACGACGACCACGGGCACGACGAATAAGAAAGTACTACAAGAGCACCAGTGAACAAGACGTCGGGGCCGGGTATGATTGAGCAGTGGTGGAGAGGCGGAATCAGTTTCAGTGACTGAGTTTTTAGGATGGGACGAATTTATTTTTTTGAAAAGGGGGAAGATGACAAAAAGGAGAAGTATTGCAACATTCAATCCTGTTCCAAGAAAAAGTAGAACGCTTGTACGGCTGTAGCCTGTATCGACGATAGTATGCCAGAAAGAATTAGATCACTCTTGAACGCTTCCGTTTGTCAATATTACACATCACTCTACTTGAGAGCTTCCGTTTGTCAATATTACACGAATCTTTCCAGATAAGATCACTCTTGAGAGCTTCCGTTTGTCAATATTTACACAATAAAAGCAGGTACCAGCAGCAGTACCAGCACACACTGTCTCAATCGTCATTTCTTGAACTACTGCTATTCTTGTTTCTTCACTTAATTATTTCAATTGCACAATTTCCAGGGCGGGAGTACTTATCTCCTAAATGCGCTTCGAGGCACACTTAGGGATGATATCTCTAGGCCAAAGAAACAAGGCTCAATTTGCCACAGCCTCGCTGTGCTGTTTTGTGATGAATTGTGACAACTTGAAGTGCGTTCTTTTCTTTCTCATTCTTGTTCCGACAAAACAAACGCGTGGTCAAACTTTTTCGGGAGTTAGGGACTTTTGAGGAGGTCTTGGGCTTGTACCGTCGTCCGGGAGCAGTGAGTGACACCTCTTTCAAACAGGTGACGTTGTTGTATCTACCTAGTGTTATTGTTCATCATCTGCTGTGCTGTTTATTACGCGTGTAGATGTTCTTCACGTAGACGTACTACGAGGCCCGAAAAATGCTTGTTTGAGTCATCAAATGTCATTGGCTAGCACGCTCTTCTAGACCGCAGCGACAAGGAGGAAAACATGGCCTCAAACCCCAATCCTTATGCCGGGGGAACGCCATACGGCGCAAACCCGTACGCCACCAGCCTGGCACCGAACAACCCGTATTCAGTGGCATCAAGCTCTGCCAACCCGTACGCGACTGCGGTCCCTCAGGCGCAGCCAGTACAGAACGCAAATCCCTATGCTGCAGTGAGCTTTTCGGGGTTGTCTTCGTCCTCTAGTCCAAATCCGTATGCCGGCGCGGTTGGGGTAGGAGTCGCGAGCACAAGAACAACTCCTGGGGCTCCTTCTGTGCTTGCGCAACCACAGCAACAACCACCGCAGCAATTGTACTATGGCACCGCAGTCGCGCCCGCGCCGGCCGGGGTAGCGACAGCCGCGTCAGCGTCGTCGTCAAGCGCAGGAGTGGCCGCAACTGGTTCATACACGACCAATGTGAATACTAGTGCCTACATGAACCCCTACGGTGGCGGTTCCACGGCAGTCGCGGCGGCTTCGAGTTTTCCAGGCCAGCAGGCGACTTCCGTTTACGGAGTTCCACGCCCCGGAGGAGGTCTTGTCGCTGCAACCGTGTCCACCAGTGCCGGTGCGCTTGTTCCCGCACCACAGCAGCCGCCGCCGAAGACAGAAGAAGAGCTGAAGCTAGAGAAGAACATCGCGCGTTTAGAAGAGCAGCACAAGAGGTACATGCTGAAGGTGAGAAAAGACAGCAAAAGTAGTGCAGCTCCCTTTTCAACAACAACACCATCTGGAACGACTGCTGGCGTCGGAGGAGGTACTACAGCAGCAGCAACTACAGCGACTACGTCTACGGTCGCGATCCTGGCTGCGAAGAAGATCCAGGATTTCGTCCGGAGAATGGCGAGGAAGAAACGGTTTAAAGAGTTGCTGCAAAGGTCTATGAAGCGCAGACAAAGGTTGCTCCAAAGGGACAAGCTCCAACAGAACATCTTGTTGAAAGAACGGGAATTGAGCAAGATGAAGCGGTTTCTGTCGGATACAGAGTATGGGGGCTACCGCGCGGTCAACGACCTGATCAGCTACACGGAAGTCGAAGCGGCCCTGAAGATCCAGAAAGTGTACCGGGGATTCCAAATTCGAAAAATCAAGGTTTCCTTGATGACCGCGAGTTTCAAGCACCGGTTCATTGTGAAAATGCAGAGGCTGTTATTGCAAGAAAAAAACTGTGTAAGTGTAAGTCTGTGATGCAAAGCGTGCAACTCTGTTACTTTACACTTGTCATGCTAGCCAACCATGCAGTTGTCCTATTTCATTTGTGTTTTCACTTACTAGCTGCGCATGACAGGCTTTGTCTGTCATGCAGAGCAGATCTGTCATGCTGTCACCTCAAGACAGCTACACTAACACAGTTTTTTTCTTGGATAGCTGTTCCGGAAGAGGAAAGCGCTGCGACAGGCGAGGGTCTCGCAGTTTCAGAGCATGGAGTTGTTTTTGAAGCAAAAACCGAGTTTGGTCACTTTGAAGGACGTGAACCCGTATTTGGTGCATGTGCAGGCTCCTGTCGTTGCACCTGAAGTTGGAGATTCAGCGAAAAATAACACTTCTACCTCTGCTGTAGTTCATCATCAACACGGTCCGGAAGTGTACAGGCGGCCGATGAGTCTGGACAACATGAGGAAAGTGGAGGAAAAAGTGGCGAAGAAGCTGGATCATGGCGGCGGGGGAAACAATACTAGCACGACAAGTAGTGCTGGGGCGAACATGAACAATATCAATACCTCCTCCGATGCGGTTATTTCCGCGTCGGAGCAAGCGAACCTGCTGAATCTGAATATGGACATCGAGTCAAACGCGAATTACGCGGCGGAGTTGGAAGAGCGGGCGCACGAGTGCTACTTGAAGTTCAACAAGGAAGCGGTGAACAGAAGGAAAGAAGCGAGCAGGTTGGCGTTGCAGAAACTGCAAGCGAAGCAGATGACGTCGGTTATGGAGTACGGGAAGTTAGGGGATCCGAGGTATGTTATTGAAAGGAAAAATCCCCCCTCCCCATATCGAAAAGGTATGATTTCGAAAATTTGTATTGCTGATTTGAGGTCACAAATCATATGTATCTTGCAAGAAGACGAGGGCGGGAGCTTTCGCCCCATTATGGAGGCGATTTGTCATGCTGTTGGGCCTAAAAGGGAGCCGCTTGCCATGCTGAGCAACTAGACACATAAGCCCCTATCTAGCCTGGAGATCTGCCCGAAATGCCTCTCTACAATACAAAGCTGATTTGTCTACGCAAATCCAGCATCAGAAACTTCCTTTTGATATGGGGAGGGGGGATTTTTCCTCTCAATATATGTCAATCTGAACATGGCGCCGGCGGAATTATTACCGGAAGCGATGGAGAGACACAAGGTAATAATAGAGAAATACTGATGTGATGAAGATGTTGTTTGATTCAAGAAGAAGAAGAAGAAGCCAGTTTATTCCGTAATGTACAACGCAAATTATGCGTATGAGCTAGACGTAAACGTATACCATTTCATGTCTCCTCTGTGATAGATTGTGTGTATTTTTATCGAAACAGCGTCGCCAGCTGGAGTGGATGCAGCGGAATGCCAGTGGCAAGCAACGGGCGAGAATGACACGGAAAGAAGCTGTAGCGCTCAGTATCCCGTGTAAAAACATCCCCACCCCAGAGTTGTCATGCAATTCTGCATCCCAAAAAAGTTTCTCAAGCGGAGCCCTATGAGAAGCATTTTCTTGCCGTGTTTTGGATTTTGTGATGCTAGAATCAGTATGCTATGCTAGATCTGTGATGCTTCTGAACTAAGTAGCTAATTAGCATCACACTACGAGGACAAACTTGTCATGCCAAACAACCAAAGCTGGTTGATTTGTCTAGTAGGCCTCCCATCTTGACTCTGGTGTGGGGACGTTTTCAATCACGATACTCAGCTTTCCGGCGGCAGAGAGTAAGGCAGAGAAGCAGCAGGACGAGGCGCTGTTGGAACTGGAAAAACTTCTAGGGTATAGTGCTCTATTGCATTTCCTATAAGATCATGCCTGAACAACAACAAGACGTGTTTTTTGCGTTTTTCAGTCGTTGTTGTAGTTCTCAGCAGTAGATGATCGTACGAAAAAACCAAAATTACAGTTATGACTTCACCCCCTTCGACCCAGCGGACGCGTTTAGAGTTCATCAAAAGCGCATCAAGCCGGAGGACTTGCGCTTACCCGGACAGGAGCTCCGCGCCTCGCTACCTTCGTCGCAACCACGTAGTCCGCCTGCAGAACAAGGGCAGCCGATGCAGATCGAGCAGAAGTCGCCCGTGAACCAGAACTTCGGCACTGCGGTAGCGCCGTCTGCAGCAACGGCAACCGTGGAACCGCCTCTGGCTGGAACAACTAATGTCACTGGTGCTACGAATATGATCCACCTCGGAAACAGAGCGGCGGACATCAGGCCACCGACCTTGGGTAGCGCGCCTACAGCTGGTACTACACAGGGTGTTGTAGGAGCCACGGCTGCTGTGCCTGGTTTCGTGCATCCACAAGCCCAACAGGCTGGAGCTGGTAGCGCGTATGTGCAAGCGCAAGCGGAGGTGTCGCCGGGGATGGTTAGACGGTCGATGGAATAAAGACGATTGATTTTGTCTCCCTTTGAATGGGTTTTTTGAATGTTTAAATTTCTTTCCTGCATAATCGCGCTTACATTACAAAAGAATCACTTTCTGAAAGAAGCGATTATAGTTTGATTGTGGGTGTTTTTAAAAGAATCCGCGCACCAGTGGGATTTTGCAATGCAGCCATGTGTCGCATTCGGATCATTCGCAAGGACTGACAGCTATCGATGGCTATGTTCGTTTTCATGCCTGGGTGCTGAAGTAAGTACTTATTTTTTTTCTTTACGACAGATGGATCTTTTCAGCTTCTATTGACGCAGCTTACTACAGGGGCGATCTTTCTTTGTTTTGCAAAATGAATCAGTGGCTGAGGCAATAATTTCCATGCTCTTATTAAGACTCAAAGACATCTTCAGAAACAGAAGCTACAGCTAGGCATCTTCAAACCGCTTCTTTAGAACAAAGTAAAGACAGGGGATAGAGGAAGACAGGCATCCGTATCGGTAGGGTGGAAAGAACTTCTATCGGTACTACAACTCGATCAAAGGGGCAGGTCTTTCCCCTCGGAAAGTAGATTGCGCGCACTGTAGAATAATGTTGCCAGTTTTGAAAGCGTTCTTTTTTTGCGAGTTCGTCCCCACGACGAGCTCCGCATTGACTGTGCCAGCACCTGCATCCAAGATGACATCTGCTCTGGCACCGCTGGACCAAGAACAGGGCGCAGATGAGGCAGAAGCACCTGCTGTGCCCGTCTCCGCAAGAGAGCAAGAAAAAGACCAACCTCTTCCCCGCGGCGTCCGGCCGGAAAGTTTTCAGGGGCGGGATCTCCGGCAGGAGATTTTGCAGGACGGCATCGTGGTGCTGAAAAATTTTCTTTCCCAAGACGCAGTCTCCGAGCTGTTACAGGAAGCGGAGGCGTTGAAAAATGAAGCGGGTAAAGGGTTCAGGAGTTTTGAAGAACACAACCTGTACTTGGAAAACACAGCAGGAGCGCCTGAAAAGGAGGAAAGAGCGACCCACTTGCTGAAGGCGAAGAGGTTCGAGAGCGGGAAAGTTTTAGTGAATCAAAAGGAGATCGAGGATAAGGCTTTTAGTACCCAAAATGGTAGTAGTAGTTCTACTATCAAATGCAAAAATGTCTGGGTCTGGAAACTTGTGATGCTGCGTGGCGTATCATGAGGAGGCCACAAGAGCTGCCTCAGCATGACAAGTTTCTGAGCTTCTAGGTGTTGCCTATTCTGCATGACAAACTGCGTTTCTGCATGACAGAAAAGTGGCGCTCTTGGGTAACGTGCATGACAGATTTGAGAGTCATGCCAGACAAGCATGACAAACATGCACTCTTCCAGACCCAGACATTTTTACATTTGATATCTACTTCCTTGCTCATCGAGTTGTACAAGTCCGATTTGCTGCTGAATTTGTTGAAGAAAGCCTTTTATCAAATGCAAAAATGTCTGGGTCGGGAAGGTTGGAGCTTGTGATACTAACTTTGGACTCTAAAAAAATCCGTATTGCATGATCAGCAAGAGGAGTCTAGTTTGTGCTACGCGGGGACGGCATTTGTCATGCGGATTAGGCATCAGGAAGCCCTCTAAATATCTGCGATGCTAGGTCATGCATTACAGACATCCTGGGCCATGCAAAATATGCATGACAATCCCGGCAACATTCCAGACCCAGACACTTTTGCATTTCATACCTTTGATTTGCCGGAACTGTACCACTCCGCAGACGAAATCGGTGTATCCTGTGCAAAAGTATCGTACTCGTAGTAATTGCCATTATGCATGACAAATCTTGTCCTTAAGGAAAAACAGCATGACAAATCCCAGCTCTCATGCTGAGCAAATTTGTAATGCAATCTAGTATACTAGTACGATACTTTTGCAATGCATACGGTGGGGTGTACTACAACTTCTTCGAGAAGGGGGACCAGCTCGGGTGGCACTTCGACCGGAGCGAGTTTTCGATAAACCTGATCCTGAAGGTATCAAAAGGAAAAATCCCCCCTCCCCATATCGAAACGAAGTTTCTGATGCTGGATTTCCGTACACAAATCAGATTTGTCTTGCAGTAGAGCACTGCAGGTATATGGCAACCCCCAGTCGAGAGGTTTTGACGTAGGCGCCTAGCATGACAAATGTGTATGCTCTAAGCCCAACAGCATCACAAACCGCCTGCAAAGTGCGGGGCTCTCTCTGGACTTGCCTTCTTGCAAGACAGACAGGATTTGAGGTCACAAATGCGCATGACAAATTTTCAGTCGGATACGTTTTCAATATGGGGAGGGGGGATTTTTCCTTATGATAGAAGGAAACGAGTTGCGGCGGGGGGAAGTTCCGCTACTGGCCGGACAGTCGCGAGTTCGTGGATCACGTTTGCGAACAGATGGACCACGGAAAAGGAATCGGAAAAGGAGAAGGAATCGGGCAGGACGTCGGAATCGGAAAAGGAAAAACGTCAGCACCAGCAACTTCTGTTTGCGATGAAGAAAATAACTGTCCGCAAGTAGTAGAACACCAATCCCGAGTAGACGAAACGTGGGCGGATTTTGAGAAGAGGTATTTGGTAGAAGCCGTCCCGAAGGAAAACGAAAACCGGAATAAACGAAGCATTTTACCCTGCATCTGGTGTAAGAACAGAAAAAGGGCAAAGAACATCCCCAGTTCTAGTACGACCCTCGCTTCTTCTTGCGCTACTGACGGATCGCCAGCACTACAGCAGCCCAACAAGAACCTCATTGTCCCGAAACTCGAGCCCGGGGCGCTGTACCTTTTCGCCGGTAACCGGTCGCTGCATGAGGTTACGAAAGTCCTGGGGGATCAGGTGCGCGTGAATGCGATCTTCACCTTCAACACCAAGCCGGGCGTCGTGCTGAATCCCTACACACGGAAGAAGTTTTTTGGAGCATAGTATAGTGGGCTTGTTTTGCGAAGAAGAGACAGAAGCCTCTGCAGACTGTCTGACTGACTTACAACGGAGTAGAGAATAAAGATCCATTTTGTTTCCAAAGAGTCGCGATATTTTGACCAGTTTTGGCCTTTTTGATTTATCTGTAACGGTTGCAGAGCGTCAGCCTTTGTGGCGCACACTGCATTCTACACAACTTGTGGGCTCGCAAGTGCGAGTTATTTTTGGTATAGGATGTTTTTTCGTGCGTGTTTCTTTCTCGTAACTACAGGAGAGAGGGCGAATCAAGAGCGACATGTTTGCACAGTCTCGCTTTTCTGAAATGTCAGCGTGTCGTCGTTATGAAGAGTGTCTTGTGTAGTGTCACATTGTTTTGTCGGCGTTCTTTCTTGAACTAGGTCAGTATCATGTAATTACTTTCCGTGGCGAGCACTACGGTTTCGAGAGCGACACCAGATACGGGAGAAACGTCCTTCAGCCGAAAGCATAAACACTGAAAATATGCAGCTTAAGCCATGACCACACCTGTAACCAAATTTTCCGTCGACCCTGGCGTCTACTTCGTCACACTGTACGTCGAGGGCCTGGATTTTTTCGAAGCCTCCCCAACCGAGCTTTTCGCGACGTGTCTCGCACAGCAGCAAAGCAGTGTCGGTTCGTTGTTGCAGTCGCCGCCGAGCTACCAGTTGCGCTGGCGGTTGGTTTCGGATCCGGCTGCGGGACAGGAAGCTGTTGTTCCTGCTTCAGGATCATGTAGTGCGGGGACCAATTGTTCCGACACAGCAGAGGTAGCTCCAGCCACCGCTTATTCCGCACCGTTTTCCTTTGCCACGGGGTTGAGCAGCATCCACTTTCTGAGCGTCAAAACCGCTAACGAGGGTACAAATGAATTTCCGGAAAGGTTCTTTCCGGACCAAGAGCTCGAACTGACTTTGCTGCTCAGTACGACGAACAGCAAGAGGACAGCTTCATTAGAAGTCTTGCAGCCGGAACACCAAGAGCAAGGCCAAAAACAGAATGATCAGCAAGAAGCAGCCGCATCCTGCTCCAAGCCCGTGGCGGTTGGCAGAATCAAGTTGAAAGAGCTTCTGAAGGGGAACGCCGATGATGTTGATGAAGAGGAAAATAGTAGTACTTCCGAACAAGCTCAATATGGAAACGGCAACAAAGTTATTTCCAGCAGCAATACCTCCTCCCTCTGTAGTCCACCGCTGCTGGCTACTTCGCGGCTACACACGGCTCGCCGCCGGAGGGAGCGGACTGGCAACAAACTTCTACACAAGAACGCAAGTTTGGAACTGTTCAGTTTCGCGGGACAAGAAGAAGAAGAGGAACCACAAGATTCGCGGTCTCTGAGCGACGCTTTGTCGAGGCTGGAAAAGGATCTGAACGCGTCCATGGAGAAGTATAACCACGCAGAAGATCATCTTCATCCTGCAAATATGCATGCGAAAGAGCAGCGCGGCAAGAAGGAATCAACCGCAGTAGATTTCTTGGACGGAAAGCTCCGGTGCTCCTACATTCCGCTTTTTCAAAAAAAATCCGAAAGCAGCGACGGAAAGAACGACGAGAAGCTGCAGTTGGAAAGAACAAATACCACTGACAGCGCCGACCCCGAAATCGCCGAAGCGACGCTGTTCTGCGCGGCTCAACCAAGATGGCAGCAGCGGCGGGATAGAAGTGAAAATCCGGCTGTTAGTTCGACTTCGACCAAAGAAGTTGATGTGGTTGCCGCAGTCCAGAGAAAGCTTTTTCAGGAACAGCAAGAGCAGCAGAAAGACATCAGTTTGTGTCACTTCATTTCCACAACAAATGTCAACGACATCCAGGCGCAGACGGTGTTGCAGCATTTACTCGGCGGGACAAACAAGAACCATGAAGATTATAACCACAGTAATTTTGTCACCGACAGTCAACAGTCCCTATTACTCGACGAGCTGGACATTGCCGACGACGACGACTCCAAGAGCTCCTTCGCTTCCGCACTTGGGCAGTCGTTTGACGCCGGGACGATTTTGACACGAGCACAATCAGGCGAGAACTACAACGCACAAAGTAAAAATAGCATGAAACAAGACCTGTTACCTGATCTCGGCACCCCGATCGGGCACGCAGCCTCTCCGTTTTTGCTGACTACGCCGTTTGAAGATCGGGCTTTGATCGAGTCGCTGGACGTGAATTTGATGCCAGCGCTGGTCGTCGGAGAAGGTTCTTACAGAGCAGGGAAGAAAACGCAACAATTTTTATTTCCGAACCAAATCAGCACACCAAGAAACCGTGGCGCCGGAAGTACTGGTTCGGGTGCATCTTCACAGCAAAAATGGCTTTTTGAACAACAAGCGCAGGAGCAAGTACTAGCGAACGTCCCGCGGCCGCACCACGCACAGCACCAGAGCGGGAAGATGAGGATGAGGGCGGTTAGAATGATCGGGAGTAGTTCGTCGAAGAACCTCAGTACTGCCAGTAGTTTTCGCAGACAGTTTCTGCTTCCGAGGACACAGCATCTGTCCATTGAGCAGGAAAAGATGTTGCATCGCCTGAAAGAGCTGCAGGGGCGGATAGCAAAGCATCGCCGTGGAGGTGGAAAAACGGACCGAGCGACCGAGGAGGGAGCGACGGCAAGGCATACTTCGTTCCTGTGTGGTTTTCCGGTCGTTGAGCAGCAAATTTTGGAGGTGATCGAGACTGCGATCAGATACCTACGGGAGCAGGAGGAAGAGCAGGAGGAGAAACTTGGTGAAGGGTTGGTAGAGAAAGAAAACTGCTTGAAAAACAGAAACTATCCTCATTCTCACCTGCAGGATCTGCTTTCCTTGCAGTACGCATTCAGAAGGACAGCTTCACAATTGCAACAAGCCTCGTATTGAAATAAGTTAAAGTCAACTCGTTTCGTGGACTAGCTACACCGGGTTACACTTGATCTACCACCTGGCGTAGAATGAAGCTGGTTGCAATGGGTGTTTTTGCAACCGTCGACTGTTTTGTGAGTTTGCTTTTGTCGAAATGAGGAAGAGAATAGCTGAGTGACGAATATTGGAGGATTGTTTCCGAGTGAGTCTCAGTACTACGTTCGGACTGTTTGGATCGTCAGCTCTGTCGCTTCGTTTGGGTGCACTACATGATCCATGAAAATGCGACTACATCAAATTTTCGTCATCAAACTTGCGATTGCAATGTCGCCGACATGCAGCGGTGACGCACACGTAAATAGCCGCATCAAGATTGTCTAGATAAAGTCGTCTCGCATCCATGGCGTAACCCCAGGGCAGGCTGTAAGTACAAAAAATCAAAATGGCGGACTTCTCGAAAGACAGCTTCCAGGTGCCAGCATGCGCCAAGCAGGCGGAGGGTATCAAGGCATGTGCGCCAAGATGGGGAATGGGCTCGTCAACGAGGGACCAGGCCCAGAAGGTTCTTTCGATGTCATGCGTGATGTAGGAATTGATGGCAACTGCACATTGATTGTCATGCGTTCTTTTCTCCAACAGACTAAAAGTGAACTTTTGTCAATTCTTCTCCACTACAACTAACTCAGGTTTACATCTCCAAATCCCACTCTGCCGACGTAATCGGCATCGACTCTCCGGGCCCAGTGTACCAACTCTCCGGCAGGACCCCGGGTCCAAAATTTGGCTTTGGGACCAACAAGAGAGCGGGCTTGGAGAACCCGAATAGCTACCCGCCGACAAGTAACGACCTCTTGCAGATCGATCAGCCACTGCCAGACAAGTACAAACATCCGAGAATGGGCAACGCAAAGTTCGGCACAAGTTTGAGGACAGCGGCGGTAAATTTGGTGGCACATTTCTCATTAATATGTCGTCCTTTCTGTGTGACAGTAGGAGTTTGGGCTCTCATAGATGATGTAGTCAGATGAGTTGATTCTAGAACTAGCAGATGCTTGATTCTTTGTCGATTGGCTTGATGTTGAATTCTTTGCCACTAGGTCAACGCCCCCGGTCTGGACGGGTTCGCGCCGGGGGGCATATCACCAGGCCCCGCGCAGTACACCGCCAACTTTGGCTCTGCAAACCGCATGCCGCCGGCCTTTACTATTGCCTCGAAGACGAAAATGGGCGCGTCCAAGTACGACGTGCGACCCGGACCGCAGGCGTACACACTGCCCGCGGGGGTGGGCGTCCAGCCGAACGCGCGAAAACCGAGCTTGCCGAGGTATTCGTTCGGCAAGGCGCCGCGTTTCAAGAACAAACAGGAAGCAGTGTCCATGGCGCCGCCGGGTGGAGATCACGACGGAAATTTGCGCTTGAAGTTCCAAAGGTAGTGAATTTTCTTTCATTGTGATGCATGAAAATGATAACTAGATACACAATGCAGCTAAATTCTGTTTTAACGCATCACAACGGCAGGGGCTGAAGTGCTTTCCTCTTCCTCGGTCCCGAGTGAGTTTCGGTGCGTAGTTTTTGTTGTTGCGAGTGAACCTGAGCTGTCCAAATTCCTGTTTCTGTTCTCATGCAAAAAGGCCATTTGCATGCGTCATAAAATTCAATTTTAACGCATCACAAAAACTTTCTTGCCACTCCGCCTCTCGTTCTCCAGGTCTGCAAACCGCGCCGCGACGTGGAAATTGGGCTCCAGCACACGAGACCAGCAGGGGCGGCTGGCACCGGCTTTGCTGCCCGAGGATTCGGTGCAAAAGAAGGGCCACGCGCACGTGGTAATACCCGAGAAGATACCGCCACGGAAAGACATCTTGAAATATACGGAGATCTGATAAAAAGATTTTTCCTTTTCGTAACTACTGTTTTAGTGTATGATTTACTATATATGAAAACGAGGTGAAATGCACTATGTCATCAATGTCAGAGAACACTACGTCGACTTTAATACCCTTTCTTACAATACCGTATCTGTTGTGCTTGGAGACTACTCACTGCTTTATGAACTTTCACGCACGCCTGAAATGAGTGCAATCAGATTGTTGACCAAGAGAATGTAGTTGATTTGTAGGAAACCGAAATTTTTAGCACGAGCAGCAGTGTGCAAAAGTACTCGATGGCGCCTTGCGCTTTGTCGACTGCGGGGAGGGGGTGTTTTCAGTGACAGGCTACGGTTTCGGTTTTGGTTGCGGGGATGTGCTTATTTTTATTTCCTTTTTTCGTTCGACGGCAAGAGCAACGAAGCAGCAACGATCGATGCTACTTGATTTTTTTTTCGGGTAAGCTCTTGTACAATCTCGTTTTTTTCCGCTGGTGATCACGAACGGACGGGTCCTGGATTGTTTTGCATATTCTTGTGAAACTTTGTGCTTCACACTGATCTTTCGGAAAGAACGGTAGGCGGACCGCAATTTTATGAAATGAGAGTCTTTGAAGATCTTGATCTAGAATGATGTATGCCATGTGAGCTCAATTTTTTACACGTAAAAGCTGAACAAGAAAAAGCAAGATTGTCTCCTGCAACTTTTCACTAAGCACTAAACTCGGAAGTTCTTTGAGAAGATGGGAAAAAAGTCCCCCACGACGGCGGCGAATCTGGAGCTGGATTCTCCCACTTCCAATATCAGCAAAAATGTCAGCAACAACTCCGACGAGAACGACAACTCCAATTCCCGCTCTCACGAGGACAACTCACACGGCGACCTGTCCCCCAGCCGGGATCAAAGTTTCAACCCAGTCGCCTCCCAGTCGTCCAACATCAGTCTGCTCCTCCCCCCCAACGCGACCCCGAACTCCCGTCTATCAAATGCAAAAATGTCTGGGTCTGGAAGAATGGAAGGCTTGTCATGCTTGTCCGGCATGACCCATGACGCTTGTAATGCATGACCCAGCATCGCCGATTTTTGGAAAGCTTCCGGATGCCATTTCCGCATGACAAATGCCCTCCTCGCGTAGCAAAAATGTGGCTCCTCTTGCTGGTCATGCAATACAGATTTTTTTAGAGTCCAAAGTTAGCATCACAAGTTCCAATTTTCCAGACCCAGACATTTTTACATTTGATATCGGCGGTTTTTGAACCAAAACCAACCGAAGTCGCCCGCGACAAGTAGTCGGCCGGGGAGTAGCTGCGGGAACGTGAGCGTATCAAATGCAAAAATGTCTGGGTCTGGAAACTTGTGATGCTAAAATGTGCATGATGGAAACACTTCCGAATGCAGACCAGCATGACAACTTTCCGGAGCACTTTCTCATAGGCAGCCCGCATGAGAAACTGCGTTTTTGCATGATAAAAATGGGTGCGGCTTTTGTCGGTTATGCAATACAGATTTCCCAGGCATGTAAAGCTAGCATTACAAGTTCCAACTTTCCAGAGCCAGACATGTTTGCATTTGATAGAGCAGTTCCGAGAACCAATCGGACCACGAACAGAACTTACCTTTGACCCCCAGTTCCGCCCGGGGACAGTCAAAAGACTCGTTTCTGAGCCACGAGATGCAGCTCTTTGGCAGTGTCAACGATCATGTCACGACGATGGAGCACGAAAGCAGAGAACATCTTCACGAGCGAAATAATGCGGCTAAAAGTTCTACTATACGAGCTGTTCACCTGGATCAGGAACAGCTGGACTTGCATCAGTCGCGTATGTCGACCGAAGGTCAGGAACCACTTGGTCAATCCCGTGTGTCCGATATCGGGGAGTTGCCGCACATCGTGAAGCCACCGCAGAACAACAGCAACACGACGTTACAGGTTGGAGGAACTCAGCATCAAAACGAAGACGCGGCCCCTCTGTCCACGCCGAGTTTCGCGTACAACGCACCAGAAATGTCGTTTGAATTGGGGAACAGTCGGGATTTGTTCAGAGATCAGAAGAACAGCGGGGGAGAAAATGATGATCATGACGGACGAGGTCAAAAGGCAAGCTCTACGTCCACTCCTAACAGATTCGGACCCAGTTCGAAGGAAAAGCAGCAAAATTCGCCTCACCAGTCCGGAACAGCGTCACCGGTGCTAGTACAGGGAGGAGGGGCTCTCTCCCCGGGGGGTGGGACACTCACAAACACAAACCACGCCAGCGGATCACGGTCCCCCGCGATGTCCCCACCCATGTCGCCAAGATTAGACCCAAACCCAATCGTGACGCACGATAACAACGGCCAGTTCTCCACTATCGTAAGAAGAAACTGTTTCACTGTCGGGATTTTGCAAGTTTTGCATTACAAGTTCGCTACACATTAGAAAGAAAACTTGCCATGCCAGGATCCTAAGGGAGAACACCGGTAAAAATCATTTGTCCTGCATGTGTAGCAAGACAAACACTTGAGTGATGCACTTTCCGCATTACAGGTTTACAGTGAAACAGTTTTTTCTTGCGATATCCACCATGAATCCTTCGAATGCGAACACGAAGAGGTTAGACCGCGACCGGGACAGCCAGATGTCGTTCTACAGTGACTATTATCAAATGTAAAAATGTCTGGGTCTGGAAGAATGCGCGATTTGTCATACAGCTTTTCCATGACCCATGAGGTCTGGAATGCAGGACCTAGCATGACAGATTCTCTGAGGTCTCTATCATGCCTTTCCTGCATGAAAAACTCCATCTCAACTTGGTCAAAAGTGGACACCTTTTGGTACTCACGCAACACAGATTTTTGCATCATTCAGTTTTTGAAAGCGATGCACTTCGTAAAAAGCACTTCGTTTTTTGGAAGCCCTACGTGATGAATCAAGTAGCTCGCGTAGAAATAAGCAGCAGATGCTTCAACGCCTGCGCAGCTTGCGGGGGGGTGACTCCTGTGGTCCCCCCCCACTCGTTGCGCCTTTTTCCAAAACTGCAGGGATGTGCTTTCTTTTTTTTCCAGCAGTGGCTGGCGGGGTAAGATTACTTAAAACCGGGACTAGTAGCATCGTTGTCAAGTCTTAGGATGTAGAGTCTGATAGTAGTTGTAGCGCCAGTTCATTGCGCCGCTTTTCGTAGTTCCTCAGTGCCTAAATGTTGCGTCTTTGTCTTAGTCTTTCGCGTTTGTTTTACAAAAACAGAAGCACAGAATGAACTTGCGTAGCCCTGCGTGCGGGGAGACGGTGGGCGCGGCCTGTTTGCAAGGGAATAGAAGGGCGGAGGCAATGCGGGAAGCAGGACGCAGCCCGGATTTTATCAAAAAGGTACGGCCTATGGCCTCGGGAACGCCAAACAAATCCGCGCTCTTCTTCGTGAAACGCCCACCGCTTTCAGCGCGATGGATGAAAAGAAAAAAAAATAAAAAGAAAATCAAAAGCAAGAAAAAAAAAGAAAAGAAGGAATTCCACACGAAAAGAAAATACGAAAGTGGAAAGTAAAAGAAAAAAAAAACGAAAAGAAAGTGAAAAGAAAATGAATGGAAATCCATGCGCTAGAAGCCTAGAAAAAAAAAATAAAAAAATTTAGCATGACAAGTTGGATTCTTCCAGACCCAGACATTTTTACATTTGATAACTATTCCGGTGCGAGTCAATCCTTTTCGTTGCCGAAATACACGAGGGAAGACATTGCCGCCATGAACGTGGGCAACAATAGTCCGCAATACAGAACGCAAAATTCCCAATCCGACCACAGTTCCGACTTCGGCAACGCGGACTACCACAAACAACAGCAGATTCTGCGGTCTTCGAATTTTTCCGACCGGTCTTCGGTGTCGCAATCCATGGGTATTCCCAAATACACACGAGGGATTATCGACGATTTGCAGAAAAACTTGGATCTGCGAGCGTCGACCAACACCAATGCGAACATGGACGCGGCGAGAATCGAAATCGACAGGGTGCCCGACTTGGATGTGAACAGATCTTCGAGTTACAATCTGTGGGCAAACCACAACAATAATGTCCGCACGACGACCTCTAGCCAGGGAACGTCTGTAGCTTCCTCCTCGGATCTCTTCTCCGGCATGCGGAACCGCGCGGAGGAAAGTAAAAGAAAATCCTCCATGTTCGGGAAATTCGGCTCGTTTCGGAAAAAATCGACCGACTCGAACTTTTCCATTTTCGGCGGACGGAGTTCTATGGGCGACAAATCCGTGGACTTCCCCGATTTTCAAACGAACCGTTTCTCCGCATCTCTTGGCGGTGGCCGTAGTTCTTCTGGTTTCTTAGCTTCCGGTGCGAGGAGCCCGAGAGGTGGGGGGTCCTTCCACGGGTCGCCGGTCCGGTCGACGGAGATGATGGGAGGTGGTCCGCACAATAATCAAAACGGTAACCAACATCAAAGCATCACCAACAGCACGAACAGCTTGGGGAATCTGATGCGGAGAGGGTCTAACATGATCAACAGCACGGATCTGGGTTCTGTCACCGAAAATGTGGGGGAGGAGCAGACCGGCGATCAAGAGTTAAGAGCATCGTTCAACCTGAAGTCGTCGTTAGGATTGTCCAGTCCGACAATGTCGATGTCGAACACACTTGGAGGAGCGTTAGGCGCCGGTGGGGGAATGAATACCAAAACGGGGTTTTTCTCCCGGACAGCATCGACCGAAAAGGTGATACCGGAGGCGAATTCGGTTACGAATTCCGTCGGGGTAAGGAGCAACAATGGAGAGGAAAACAATAACAATGGTAACGTCAAGCACCATAAAAATGTGGACCACACGACCACGATAAGCGATAATCAGCAGGTGAAGAAAACCACGACAACATCCACGAACTCTTCCCCGCTCTACAACATGATGAAATCTGCCGGATCCCCCTTCTTCAACATGATAAAGAAAGTCACTTCGACTTCCCCCACAAGAGACCATTATCCTAGTTCATCTGCCGCAGGAGCAAACATTCAACAGGACGAGAACGACCAGCTGCAAGAAAACAATGCCACGACCCGGCGCACCAGCACGAGACTACTGTCCGATGCTTTCCGCAGTCCGCACTCGGAAGTGAGCAACTCGCCACAGAATCGGGACAACAACACCCCGAGCAACGCGGGAATGAATGGGAGTTTGAATGGGAGTCTGAACGGTAGTTTGCAGACCTTAGACCAACAGCAGCACCAAATGATGCAGATGCCGGTGACGCCAAATTCGGAGTCCAGTCTGCCGATTATGAGCAATGTGAATTCGATCTCGAATTCGGTCGTTGCAGGAGCAGCTGCCCCGATATCAATACCTCCACTTCCAACCGCAACGACGACGAGCCAGCAGTCGTTGACAACGGTGTCTTCGACCAGGACGACAACGGGCTCCGCCGTGCCGCAGCAAGAAAGAGCATCGGGGTCCTCGAGCGCCGCGGGGAAGATAAAGGTTGGTGCGACTAGTACAGAGCAGGGGGAGCAGCAACAGCAACAGGAACAAGAAGCCTCGTCTGTTTCTTGCATTCCAAATCCCTATAAAAGCAAGGCCGGAAAAACACCGACGGGAACCAATACTTTGCTGGAAGACAAGACGAGCGACCGGAAAAATGGTAAAAACCTCCGAAGTTCTAGTTCTAGAGCAAAGCAGAGCAGTTCATCCACATCAGAGATACAACAACACAACTCCGAAAACAATAAAGTGAAGTCCCCGCCAACCGTGATCCGGACCCTGCAACAAGTGAAATCCGAGCTGCTCGACGCGGTGCAAACGCGGGAAAACCAGCAAGGAAGCAACAAATCGGGCTTCGGTCGAAACAGCATTGCCAGCCGGTCGAGACGCGGGTCCGTGGTCGATTTGGGCGCCATATGGACTGCAAATATGTCTGGGTCTGGGAGATTGCGAGATTTGTCATGGTAGTCTGGCACTCGACTCTGAGCTCTGTATTGCGTGGCCGCAAAGAGCTCCTCTCGCCTGTCATGCAAAAACGCAGTTAGTTTCTCTTCTCATGCGGAGCACGCAACTCAGAACCACGGCAAAACTTGTCATGCTGGGCTGCGCATTACAGTGTTTTCACTATTTCCTTCCTTGCATCACAATTTTCCAGGCCCAGACATATGTGCAATGCATATGCTAGCGTGGCCGCCACCGGGATCTGTTTGCGGGACAACCTCGACGACCACCCGGCGTTCGAGTGCTACAGTGGCGTCCTGCGCCCCAAACGGAGCCGGGCGAGCATGTTGCTGAAACAAAACCCGAATCTGCAGAAGGAAGCCTTCGACGAATACGGACGGAGAAGGTCTAGTTTCCCCACGGTTCTTGCACATAACGGCGCAATGGGAGGGAAGCGGCTGAGTGGTCTTCAACAGCCGAGCAATCAAGACAATGTCCGGTTAATGTCCATTCGTTCCGACGCCATCTTACCCGGCGGGGTGAGTCAAGAGGACCTGATATTGCTGCAAAAGGCGCAACGAAAGAAGCGGCTGTGCTGGTGGTGCCCGTGCATTAGTTTGAGGAGTAAGACCAGCAGCTTTTCGCCGGTGACTGAGGATAATTTGTTCCAAAAATTCTTTGACAAGCACTTCCCGTTGTCCTATAACGGGAACGTGTGGAAGGGGTTAGAACTAGTTCTATCCTTCATCTCGCTCTGGACCCTCCTCTGGACGCCGTTCTTCTTCGCGAAATTCTCGAAAATCCTGGACCACCCGAACAACGAATCTGCGGACAGTTACGAAACCGTTTTCGCAGTCGGAAATAGCAACAATAAAGAAGGAGACTTCAATGCGGTGGATCTCTCGTCTAACTCTACTTCTTCCACAGGCGACGTGCTCTCTTTCGAGAAGATTCTCACCATCTTCGATTTGTTTCTGCACTGTTTGTACTTTTTAGTCGCGATTGCCCTGCGGTTTTTCACGACGCAGCCGGATTTCAACACCGGGGAGGAATTGATTGAATTCGAGGACATTTGGAACCAGCTGTGGAACCACAACTACACGATTTTACTGCTCGATTTCTCCACGACCATCCCCTTTCTCTACTTCGAAGAAACAACGCAAATCCAATTCCTCGCGTTACTCACCGCGACTCTCCGCGGGTACCGACACTTGACAAAAATTCCGCCGGCCTGGCAGGAGTACCTGATGTGCCAGCTGCACAGCTCGATTTCGTACTCAATCGAAATCGGGCGGGTGATTTTGTGGTTTTTCCTGTTGTCCCACTTTTTAGGGTGTCTCTGGTTCTTCATCCAGTTACAGCACAACAGTTCTCCCGGTGGGAACAACTCCACGATATTGCTCCATTTGGATCAAGTGCAGAACCCAACCCTGTGGACCTTCTACGCCAACGCCTTCCGCGACGGCGCGTACATGCTGATGGCGCGGGACCGATCGGCTTTCACGACGGAGGAGATCGCTTTGCTGGGCTTAGCGGCGCCCAGCTCCGCGTTTTTCATCATGTGGATGACGTCGCACTTCGTCGTTTTGTTGCAGCGGGTAAACAGCATGCGGAGCCAGCGGCACGAGCAGTTGCAATTGATCCGATCCGCGATGGACCGACATTCGTTACCGTACGAACTCCAGCGAAGAGTACTCCAATTCCACCTGTACAGCTACATGAACCACGACTGCCACACCTACTATCAAAAGGAAAAATTCCCCCTCCCCATATCAAAACGGAAATCTGTGATGCAGATTTGTTGTCACAAATCAGCTTTGTCATGCTACACGGGAAAAGATGCGGACGGTAGTGCTCGGTGGCGTGGGGGAGCCTTGCACCTTCAGCATGATAGGAGGCAGCTGAGAGTGGGAAACATCATGACAAATTGCCTGCAAACGAGACCACGACTGCGGCTCTTGGCCTTCTAGCATGACAAGTCGACTTGGTACCTCAAATCCTGCATCACAGATTTCCATTTCGATATGGGAGGGGGGGGCTTTTCCGTTTGATACCTACGACCGGTTGTTGGACGCGACGGCGTTGTCCACCAATTTGAAAGTGGAAATCAAGCTGTGGATTTTCCGGGGGTTGATTCGCCACGTGCCGTTTTTCCAGGACGCCAGTCCGAAGGCGATCAAGGCACTGGTGATGAAAGGAAAAACTCCCCCTCCTCACATTGAAAAGGTATGTTTCCGGAAGTTTGTGTTGCTGATTTGAGTTCACAATTCACATTTGTCTTGCAAGAAGACAAGGGCAGAAGCTTCCGCCCCATTATGGAAGCGATTTGTCATGCTGTCGGGCCTAAAGGGGAGCCGTTTGCCATGCCAAACAACTAGACCCATAAGCCCCTGCCTAGCCTGGAGATCGGGCCGCAGTGCCTTTCTGCAATACCAGGCTGATCTGTGTACGCAAATCCAGCATCAGAAACAGAAGCTCCGTTTTGATAGGGGGAGGGGGGATTTTTCCTTTCGATAACTGGTGATGAACTTGCGAATCATGAATTTCTCCCCCGGGGACGTGGTGATCCGGTGCGGCGATACAAGTTCCGAGATGTACTTTATTTTGAAAGGCGGGTGTCAGGTTTTGCGAGCAAAGGACCTGTCCGTCATCAAAACGCTACGCGAACACGACTACTTCGGGGAGTTTGCTTTGCTCTACAAAACACCTCGTCGCAGAACGGCTTGGGTGCGGGCGCAGGTGTACTGCACGCTCGCGATATTGTCCGCGTCGGCTTTCAACACGATCCTCGCTGAGTTTCCGGAACAGCGGGAACTGATGCGGGAGAAGATTAAGAAGGTTTTAGGGGGGAGCAACCCGCAGTTGGTGACGAATTCGGACGATCTATCAATGTGAAAAAAAAACCCACCCCATGTAAAAAAGGGAATTTGTGTTGCTGGATTTCTGTACACAAATGAGCTTTGTATTGCGGCATCAAGGGCGTGAAGTCACTTTTAGTGCCTGCTTGGGTAATATGCAAAAGGCTAGCAGCTAGGCACGATAGACAGGTTTGCAGTAGGTAAAAGCGCATGACAGATTTGCTCTCGAAGGCAGGATATGGCTCCCATTGGCCTCATATGCAATACAAAGCTGATTTGTGGTCACAAATCAGCATCACGAGTATGGGGAGGGGGGATTTTTCGTCGCGATACGATCCGCACAGCAGGAGTAAAGATGGGAAGAAGAGGAAGTCGTTAGTGGAATCGTTTTATGCATTGCAAAAGTATCGTACTAGTATAAATTGCATTTACAAATTTTATCAGAAAGAAAAATGAAACTTGTAATGCTAATTCGGGTAAAAAGGTCGGTTTGTCATGCAAGATTGCGATTAGTACGAGTGCGATACTTTTGCACAGGATATGTTTGACAATGTTTTCACGAAGAATTCTGGGACTAGTAGCTCGAACAAGAAAAAGTCGTCCTCGTCTGGCACGACGAGTAGGGACAAAAATCACAAAAAGGACCACCTCCACAGCGGCGGTCAAAGTAGGAGCAAGGATAGCAGGGAGAAGGAGACGAGGACGAAGCCAACCACAACAACCTCTAGAACCAGTCCGCTAAACGCGCTTCGCGACATTTTGAGCCGCTCCCGCAGCCCCGACAGTCCGGATTCCGGCGCGAGTTACGGGAAGGGCTTGTTTTCGGCAGCAGGAGGTGGATCAGCGCAGCAGGTCGTGCACAACAAGTTGCTTGCGGAAAATATTAAAAGCGAAAATAATGTCGAGGTTATGGTTAATATTAAACAGGAGGAGAGGCTGCAGACCAACACACTTGTCACACGACCTGGTCCAGCACCTTTACTGACGGATCCGTACAGGATGAACACCTCCCCCATCAGCCCAAGTGTTTTAGTGCAGCAAGGTGCACCTACACCAGCACCTGTCAGCCCTGAACGAAACAACCATACCTTTCAAGAACAGCATTCTGTGTTCACCGATGCGCCAGTGGTGTCGCCCACTTGCAGTGTCCCCGAGGTCGCGAATGTGCTACTGTTGGATAGTACTGGAAATAATGCTAATGCTTCATCTCCGGAGGACCACAACGACAAGGGCGTTGTAAACAATTTGCGGCCAACATCAAATACTGGGCCGCTCAAAATCGAAACAGAAGCAACAAGTACTGTACAACTGACTGAAGCAGCAAATCCCATCCCTTCCCCGGGCAATCAAAAATCTGACAACGACATTTTTGAAATCACGGGGGGAACCGAAGCGGCGTTTCAAAACCAATTGCAGCAGTTGCAAGACAAGCTGCCGGGGATGTTGGAAAAGATGGAGAATGCGAAAAACCATAATCCTGTGGGCGCAAAAGGGCTCTTTGGCTCCCTGCATTTTGATAAAGGGAACAAGATCGAAGGGAACATTTCCGGCAACACGAACGAAGGAGACAGATCTTCGAGCTCTCAGGAAAACAACTACAGCGGGGTAGATAATTTTACGGGCAGAAGCAAGGGCCCAACGATTTCCAAGGTTATCAAGGAGATTCAACACGTGGATGTGACAGGAACGGGGTTAGGGATGAACAAAGCAGCAGCCCCGGTTGTAGCGGCTAGCAGTAGAACCACTCCCTCGAGCAACACGAGCAATACAAAGCCGGCGACCTCTTCTTCTGGCACTATTGCGAACTCTTTGATGAAGAATCTGATCCCGCGCATCCCGTCAAAACTCCGCGTGTCTCCGCGGGCTAGCAAGGAGATTCGAAAGGACGACCAGGAGGACTTTGAAATAGGCCTGGAGCACGGGGTTTCCGGGGACGCTGCCGTGGTTGACGATGACAAGCATCAGCTGGAGGAACAAATGAACGAGAAAGAGGATAATGTTGGCGATACTACGAAGCTAACGAGTCAGTCTCGCTCCTCGACCAGTAAGGAGTACAGCAACAACGGCGAGGAGTCCGGCACCGGTACCAAGTCCGAGGAGTCCATAGCGAAAATCCGGCGCGCGGACTCCGTGGATTTCGTCAACTTCTATTTAAACGAAACAACGCAGATAGGTATCAATAGTGGACGACAGCATGGAGGTCGTGGACAACATCATCACGAAGACCATCGTGCTGCGCGGGGACATCATGACGATCACATGAAGATCGAGACAAACGCGGCTGTTTCGCGTCGGTCTTCCGGAGTGTTTTCCACAGGGGAATTGTCGGTGAGGACGGGCGAAGGGGATGAAGACGATATTTCGTCCCCGGGGACGCCGCGGGTGGTTGCGGAGGACAGAAAAAAGGTGGAAGATGATAGAGCACGGAGGAAGGAGGAAGAATTACTCGGGAAAATGGAGCAAATGCTGGAATCAAAATTGGAACTGGTGATGCAGAAACAGATGGAAGCGCTGTTGCTAGCGCAGGGAAAAATGATGCAGACGGCACAGCCGCAGCCACACCTGCAAGAACCCGGGTTTGCTGCACAACAATTGCACCAGGTGCAGCAACCACCTGAGCGGAACGACAAGCCGGCAAGCAGCTTGGGCGGGAGCAGTGAGCGGAGCCTGATGGTCAGCGTGCCTATTCGTGGAAGTCGAGACACAGAGGATTCTTGAAGTTTTGTCTTTCTCCTATCTGTACAAAGTTGTTTCTAAATTTTGCGATTCTAAAACTAGCACTAGTAGAAGCTCAACATGATTCAACATGCTGTACACACAGTAGGCATACTAACTTTTTGTTCAAGAGTTTTCAACGGTGGTACTTACTCACATACAATACAACAGAGTCAATAGTACGAAGATAACCTCAAACAAAGTATGAAGTAGAAAAAAAGGAAGGTCAATAATCAGAATAGTAGCGTGGTGCAGTTCCACTTCCATTCCACTACAGTAACATTTTCAGCAATAGCAGAAATAGCAGAATTTAGGATGACGATCACATCTAGCAGAATGAAATACCGAAATTTGTGAAGTAGAGGTCGGTTACATCATTGACGAGATGAGTATAAACTTTTTGCTGCAGTAAACTTTTTTGCCTGCAAGAAAGACATCGCGATGTTTCGCATCATTTTTTAGGGGCTAGAAGGATAGCGCGTTTCGACATAGATACAATAATTCCATCGAGCAGTGCTCAGCAGGTCACGACCCGCTAGCGCTTGCGCTCACGCAACAGCCTTTCTTTACAAATGTTCGCAATGATGCGTCGAGCAGCGGATCGATCAAAATTTCTTTTAACGTAATTCCGCACGCGACGTGGCGTTTTTGTTCCTCCATTCCTCTAAGGGTCATGGCTCCCTCCTTTTGCGCAAGAACAACGTTGTGTTTCCTTTACAAAGTACCTACTGCTCTTTGGCAAAGTTGTGTCACCAGTCCGCATTTGTTTCGCTTTGTTTGATCATGATCAATCGCTTTGCTTACAAATAAAACTCGCGTAGCTGTTTTCATGTGACCATCACTTTCTTGTCTTTCCACCCTGATACGGAGACTCATTCATCTTCATTTTTTTGATCTGATTTTTTCAACAATATGTTTTTGCTTATTTCAATGTTTGTATCAATGCTGCCATCAGCGCTTCTCCTTTGCCTCTGCCTGTCGTCGCAACAGGTTAGCGGATCGATGGCAACGCGCGGCACCGGTTTTGCTTCTCAGCGACCGCAGCCACAAGACAAGCAGAACACAAGAATTTCTGCTGCGAGACAGCACGACCACGAAAAAAGCAAATCGCTGACAACTCTGCCGGGCGGATACCTGCATCCGAAAAATCCACTCGCAGCACACGAGCAGCAACCGCAGCAACAGCCTTCCCAACCGCCAGAGATGGAGAGAAACGCTCAAACCCGAAGAGATAGAAGAAAAAACAAGAACTGGCGAAGGGGGAACAAAGGAAACAACTACAACAAAAGCCCTAATATCCCGTTCCAGCAGCCAAGTTGCAGGGACGTAAGCTTTTGGGGGCAGATGCAATTGCAGGACCAGCACGATCAGGACCAGCAGCAGCCTAGTCTTCACGGGCAACAAGGGCCAGCACATGTTCTTGGAGACGGCCAAAATAGCAGCAGCAAGAAGGGCCAGAACAAGATGACACGGAAAAAAATGCCGCTGTTGCTCGGGAGGGAAAAGGAAGAGAGATACCAAACCAGTCAGGGTCATCGAGGTCAACACCAGCAACCGCAAAGCGGTACTACTTCTACATTTGTCGTGCAGCAGGATCATCTTGACGTCGATCATACAACAAGCACAATAGCTGCGAAACAACAAGTACATGATCTGCCGCAGTTGATGGCCAGCCTTCGGCTAGACGGGCACAAAGTACGAAAGCAGGGCGCAGGCGACGGAGTTGTGCAGCATGCGAAGGAAGATAAAAATGGACTTCTTGCGTTTAGTAGTATTCAGAGCAGCGGCACGAGCACCACGGACGAGAAAAAGATGAGCGGGCGTGCCTTGTGGAACGGGGTTTTTGGAGAGCTGTTGGCGCCGACCATTGTATCCTCCACAAGCAGGAGTGCTTTGCAGGTAGAGGCATCAACCACATCAACTTCTTCTCGTCGTGGTTCTACTCTGGAGGATGGTCGTGGTGGTGCCAACACACACGGCACAACACTTCCTGGCGTACATAGACCGTCTCCCGAGGACGAGGACCTTTTTGGACTGAACAATAGTACAACTGTGTCAACAACTACTTTCCAGAGGCAGCAAGCTTGTAATCCGGCGGATCTCGAGTTTCTTAGCCAGCAGAAGAGCTCCTTTTGCCAACAAAAGCAGCAAGTACCAGAGCAACTTGAAGATGTAGTTGCACCACCACCGGACCCTGAAAAAGCAAAAAACAAAAAGTGCTACTTGTCGCTGCTCCACGAAGGGCAAAAGCAAGAATTCATCCAGTCTAGAAAAAGCGATTTGCTGATGGGCATCAGGCTTGGTCTGCTGGATTCTTGGACCGGCGATATTCCGGTGGAATTGCGACAGGATTTGGACATCCTCGATAGCGTGTTACGGCACACAGTCGCGACACACGAAGAGAAAAGCAAAATGTCTAAAATTTTCGGCGAACAACAACTTCGAGCTGTACTTCCTCCCGGTCGTGGTGGAGACCACGAGGGTCAACATGCGACGGACGACAGCACCACGCCAACCGGAATAGCAGAAACAAGATCTTCGATAAAATCCAACCTGAGTCCTCTTCTCGCCGCCCCCTTTGACCGGTGCGCTTTCCACGAGGATTTGAAGCAGGCGCTGCACTGCCAGGCGGAGCGTTTGAAGGCCCGGGAGCTGGAGAACATGAGTTTTGTCATCCACTACAGCGACGGGCTGGTCGGAAGGTTGCGGTTGGACGAAACGTGGCGAAAATTTCTCGAAATCAACGAAAAGGAGCCCAATTTATCGAAGAGAAAAATCCCCCCTCCCCATATCAAAAGGAAGTTTCTGATGCTGGATTTGCGTACACAAATCAGGTCTGTCTTGCAGTAGAGGACAGCAGGCATATGTCAAGCCTCAGTCGAGAGGTTTTGACGTAGGCGCCTAGCATAGCAAACGTGTATGCTCTAAGCCCAACAGCATCACAAACCGCCTGCAAAATGCGGGGCGCTCTCTGGACTTGCCTTCTTGCAAGACAGACAGGATTTGAGGTCACAAATGCGCATCACAAATTTTCAGCCGGATACGTTTTCAATATGGGGAGGGGGGATTTTTCTTTACGATACAATTGGTGGGAGGACGGGGAGCAATTCAGTTGCTTCGACCCGGTGTGGATATCCAAGGACATGATGAAGCACAAAAAGAATACAACGTTGCAAGTCAGCACGTTCTCCTACGGTGATTATCGGGATGGTATGTCTACTATTCCTGCTGGTAGTGCTGGTGCATTGCCGGCGACATCAACCGCCACCACAGCTGTTGCTGATGGCGGGGATCTTGATCATAACTCCGCGGCCACAAATAGTTCTTGTGCACGCAATTGCACCAGACCCGGATCTTCGTCGGATTCCGCGCTCGTGCTTCCGATTGCAAAAGAGTGCGAGCAGAACAGCAAGCACTTTGCAACGATTTTTCCCGAAAAGAAGAAACGAAAATCCCTCCTGACGTCCTCCGAAATCTGCAGGCAGAACAAACTCGAGCGCGCTTGGTGGAAGAGTTACAAGGGGCAAGCGCGCCAGCGTGACATCGAATTGAGACACAACCGGTGTCTGATGCTGAAGTGCTTCGCCACCGAATCGCCTGGAGCTCTGGCCGAGGAACAGTTTCATGGCACAGCAGAGAAAATCGACAGCAACTACGACATGAATGGCAGGAGCTCCAAGCTTTTACACAACCGACATCATCTTCACAGCAGCACACCGCAACATTATGTGAAGAAAGCCACTTTTTCTTCTACTACTACCCGTGAAGATGATGATGTCCCGCACGCTGGGCTGGTCGCGGTGCCACTGGATAGCACTGCGAAGAAGCTGTTTCTGAAGATCGCGCAGGAAGATGATGAAGACAGCAATAAGAGAAGAACTACAAGCTATACTAGCGCTACTAGTAACCTGACACCTGCCTCCTTGACGAGAACATTGGAACTAAATCCAGAGCAGCAGGCGAAGCAGAATCAGGTCGCCTATTCCGCGATGGAATCGGCGAGGAACCGGCTGTTGCACGATTGCGACAATTTGCTGCAGGACTGGCTAGACGAGGAGACTTTTTCGGAGCAGGAGGAAAAAATGAAAAACGTGATCGACGAAGAAATCAAGGACGACAAGCTGGAGGATGACGCATTTTCATCCTGGTTAGACTGTCCCGATTCCAACAGAGAATCCCCCCTTTCTTGCTGCTCCGCCCGGTTTTTGCCCGATGCTGCCGACTCCTGTTCCGTGGCCACACACACAACCTCCGGCCGCACGCGAAGCAGTGGCGGAACCCTTTATCAAATGCAAACATGTTGTCTGGGTCTGGGAGATTGCGAGATTTGTCATGCTAGTCTGACATGACTCTGAACTCTGTACTGCGCTCCCGCGAAGAGGTCCTCCCTTCTGTCATGCAAAAACGCAGTTTCTCATGACATGCGGAATACGCAACTCTGAACCACGGAAAAACTTGTCATCCTGTGGACCGCAGTACACTGTGCTTACTATTCCCTTCCTTGCCTCTGACCCAGACATATTTGCATTTGATACCCTTAGCTCCGCTGCAACAGCGGACGAGTTGATTTCTTTCGAATTACCGCCAGCAGCGAAAGGTGTCGAGGATGATGAGGAGGAAATAACGATGTTCTCGGATAAACGTTCCACTTCCACCGTTGCAGCTCCGGCGTCGAGGAAAAACAACAACAACAACAGCAGAAATCGCAGCGTTTGTAGTTCCGCTTTGGATTTACACTTTGGAGACGATGTTGACGAGGAGAACAAGGAGAAGCCATTGAAAGTCGAGAATTGCAAAGAAATCGATACCGAGGACGAATTGTTTGCGGGGTTGCAGGATGAAGTAGAAATTCCGGATCAGGACAATCAATTTCTCACACGTCGGGAAAAACCGCGAAATAATCATGGTTTTCCGTGGGCCCGAAGGGGGCCAATTTATCGGGTATGACACGAGTTCTACTTGGCGTTGGCGTCGTGCAGGGCACTGTAAATAGAAGCAATTTTAGGCGTGGATTATGTTGTGCACTAGAAAAAAATACTTGTACTAGACTACAAATTCTTGAAAGACTCTACTACCCAGCTACTGTTTCGACCTTTGGAACAAGAACAACCCAGAATGCATTGATGTCTAATAGATCGGATTCGGATTGATATCGTTGTCAAGAACTACAAAAAATAGAGCTGCCGTTGTACTACACTTTCATCATTTAGTTTTACAACATAAAGCGAGGCAATACATGATACTTTGGCGGAGGTGCGTAACACCACCCGAGTCGGGTACAAGTAGTCGTACTAGGCACAATGATTAGGTGCTACGCTACTCGCCACGCACGCCCATACCATACCATACAGAGCTGTTGTCCTTTCGTGGAGGTGTTCTCACATGGCAGCTCTCGTCGTCAAGATGAGATTCGCGGATACAAGCATAGTTGTCATGTTGTCCAGTGGTGAAGTTCCACTTCGATATATTTTCAATAAGCACGCTTTGTAGAATACAGAAGACTTGTCATACCACAGACACCAACACCACGAGAATATTGATACACCATGAAACTTACACTTGTTTACCTTTTTCCAAATATTTTCCATTTCACCAAACTGAAATGTTGATCAAAAAATGCAAAAACAAATGACGCACGAGAAATCCATACAGTGCTTGTAGTTTCTGCCGGCGCAAAGAAGCCATAGATAGTACAGATTGAGCTGTTCTTGTGTGGGTGTCAATGTGTGTAATTTTTGTGCAAAGTAGTAGTGCGCTTTCGCTCCGTTTCCTCGTACAATCGTATACAAATCGTGCGACTTTATTCACTTTCAGTTCGTGCTAGTTCAACTTTCGTACTGGAAATTTCTCCTCATCCCGTGTTTGTGTCCGCGTTCGTAATTTGTCGTTCACTTCCCTGCCAAGATCCATTGTCGTGCGAAATATGAATGAAACGTCCGTCGTACTGTCGGCAGTGCGTCCGAAATGATTTCGTCGCAGGATGACGAGCATTAATTATCCTTTGGCCTGCCTCATTTTTCAAAACCCCAGTGCAACGTCGTGACTTTCACCAAGCTTTTTTACGACTAGTTAAGTTACCCTTTCTTTTGGCCAACTCATCACACCGCACTGCAAATCCCCGCTCTCTTTTATTTCAAATTTAACCTACAAGATGCTCCCCGGTTTTTCGGAGTATTGCGCGGATGCGCAAGTAGATTCACAAGAACCAGCTGCGGATAACAACAGCCGACAAAAATCCACCTCAAACCTGTTTTTCGGTGGAATCAAGCGCACCGGCTCGCAGTATTTCAAGGAGACCCCCTACCAGGAGCTGTTCCAACCCGTGATCTCGAACAATAAGACGGGTAAAAACTCATCTTCTACCTTTTCCGGCGAAATCGAGTCGCTAAAGAAAAAACAGGATAAGGAAAAGCAGTTTAAACAAGCAAAGCACAACATGAACCAAACGCCCGCCGGGAAAACTACCGCGGAGTTGTTTCAAAGAGATTTCCTTTCCGACGACAAACACCATTTAAACAAGTACTGGAAGAACCACTGGGAGCGGAAGTACGACAAAGACGAGAAGAAACCAACAGGCCGGAAGAAGTTCGGCAGCGAAAGAAGCGTGAATAAGGAACAGTTTGATTTCCAGAAGAGTATCGTGAAATCACCTCCCTCAGGCTCAAGCTCTGCAACCGTATCATCTGACACCGCGTTCAACAATTTGAAGCAGCAATCCGGCGCTATGAGTAAGTGGAATTTCACCAGATCCGCGGCGGAATCGATTGGCTTTAACAAATACGGGTCGAGCTACGTGATGGATAACGAGTTTTTGTTTCTCGGATCGTTATTGGTCAATAACGAAAAGTGCGACGTCATAACTTTTCTGCTCAACAAGGAGTTTCTGTTCTACGTTGACTCTTCCGCTTCTTCCGCGGGAAACGCGGGGCTCGTCGGTGGGTCAGACCAAAACCAGTCGAAAATCGAGGAGAAGTTGCGGATATCAAATGCAAAAATGTCTGGGTCTGGAAGGTTAGAACTTGTCATGCTAAGTCTGAATGATGCAAAAATCTGTGCTGCGTGAGTACCAAAAGCTGTCCGCTTTTGACCAAGTTGAGAGGGAGTTTCTCACGCAGGAAAGGCATGATAGAGACCTCAAAAAATCTGTCATGCTGGGTCTCGCATTCCAGACCTCATGGGTCATGGAAAACCTGCATCACAAAACTTGCATTCTTCTAGACCCAGACATTTTTACAATCCATAGCGGATCTACCCGGTGTGCCGCATTTCCGACATCGAGAAGATTTTGGTGCATCTATCCTGAGTAAAAACGTACCCACACCAGAGTTGTAATGCAGATTTGCAAAGACAGGGAGACTTGTAATGCGCGTCCCCATGTGAGCCATTTTCAGTCGTGTTTTGGAATTTGTGATGCTGTGAACAGGATGAGCACATGAATCTCTGATGCGGCTGCACTTGCTAACCTGCACTACACTGCATAGTGCAGCTTGTCATGTGTGACTCACAAAACTCCTAGGTTTGTGTTGCAAAATCCCCATCCTGACTCTGGTGTGGGTACGTTTTTACTCAGGATAGCATCGCATCCCCAGTATCGGAACGAAGTCCTTGGCAACCGGGCAGAAGACTCCCGACACCTTCACGATCATCTACAAGCAGCACGTTTTGTCCGCGGAACAGAAGAACAAACTCGATCCCTACAGCCAACATTTGGGCCACGCGAAACACAACCAACGATTCGTGAATGTTTCCGGTGTGAAGACGCGGCACGCCACGCGATTGCGACAGCTGCATGGAGGAGCGCATCTTCATAGTCAGCAGGCGGGTAGTTCTTTCATTAAGCCAGAATTGTTTTACTACCCGGATCCCAGGAATCGGCTGTCCGATTTCGACGAAATCAACCGCGAACGGAAAGCGGCGTACACACCGAAAATGTTCATCACCAAGGAGGAGATGTTAAACAAGCTACCCGTCGACGTCGGGTACAACAAAGCGCACATGGTATCAAACGCGAATATGTCTGGGTCTGGAATGTTCTGAGATTTGTCATGCAGTTTTTCCAAACTCCGCCAAGTCTGGAATGCAGGGCCTAGCATTACAGGATACGCAGCCCCTTTGTGATGCTTGTTCTGCATGAGAAATGCCCTCTCAGCATGACCAGAAGTGAGCACTTTTTGTAAGCCATGCAACACAGAGATTTTTGTATGATCCGCAACATGCATCACAAATTCGCATCCTTCCAGACCCAGACATATTTGTATTTGACACATGGAGGTGCAGTACAACGCGTATAAGTACTATGAGAGTGCACAAGTCCCCCTCCCCCTCATTTGTCATGCAACATACCAAATTCTCACCTTGCTCGTAAGCACCGTTAGCATGACAAATTTTGGAACTTCCAATGGTACTACAATCCGCATGCAGATTTGCCATGCGAAAGCCCCTTTTCTGCTGTGGCTTGTGTTGCTGTTCATGCAACACAAATGAGGGGGAGGGGGAGTTGTGCACTGTCATAAGTACCGAACGGGGAAGTTCGGGGAAGTGAAGCAGGTGGTGCGGACAACAGCATCAGCCTCGTCCGATAAAAACGGAGCAGTAGACCACAGACATCAGAAGTTGTTCGAGTACACCCTTCCGGCGTCCATCGACCGGGTTCCGTGGCGGGCAGAGAATGGTCTGGGGTACAAAATGGATGCAAAGGACGACGAGTTTGCGCAGCGAAGTCGGTTTTTCGGAGATGATAGCGAGCAGGGTGGTCGTATTAAGGAACGTGACAACTACGTCGAGCAGGCGGACAGTGCAGCTGCTGCTGCGCATGTGAAGAAGTCACTGCGTGCATCCAAAGCCATGCTGGAGCCGCGGCAGGAAGAACGGAATAAATCTTCCAATGCAGCTCTTCTGGCGAAGTCTCGGAAGATATCCTGAGTAAAAATGTCCCCACACCAGAGTCAAGATGGGAAATCCGCTAGACAAATCCATAAGCTTTGGCTGTTTCGCATGACATTAGTGTAGTGCTGTTTGAGCTAGCTAAGCAGCATTACAGATCTAGCATCTCATGCTGATTGGCGCATTACAGATTTCCAATCCGCATTAGAAAATGCTTCTCATGGGGCTCCGCATGAGAAACATTTTAAGCATGCAGAGTAGCATGACAACTATGGTGTGGGTACGTTTTTACGCAGGATAGAAGATGCAGCGGCCGTTGAAAGGTTCCGGCGAAGCAGTGGAAGGCCTGTCGGAAGACGTGCCGCTACTCCTGTCCTCCTCCTCTGGCTCCCGAAACACCACGCCGCGGGGTACCGTCGCGGAAATGGAGCAGGAGATGGCGGGTTTGTTGAAAGCCAGCAACAAATTCCTGTCCCGAGAGGCGCACGAGCAAGCCGCGGCTGGTCGGAGCAGGTCGCAGATTCTGGACGCCGTGGGGGAGCATAAGATGGCGATGAACAATTTGATGTTCTACGAGGAAAACAATGATGGGGAGCTTGTTGCAGGAATGGAAAATTATGCAGAGGATGAAAACATCAATGCAGAAGTAGATGATGAGAATGATGTTTTGGATGTTCTCGAGGAAGAACAAGCCGCTGTGTTGGAGGTTCAACAAGAAGAGGATGAACAAGCCAAAAAAAATTATCCCGAAGTTGTTGAGGACAATAACCGGCGGCACCGTCTCGTTCTCTCCGTGTTGCCCAACCTCTGTCTCAACCCCTGGGACGCGGACATGAGCTCCAAGCGGATTACGTACGACCCCAGGAAGAACCCCGATTTCCAAATCGAGGTTCTCAACTTCGACTGGTCGCACGTCAACGCGCACAAACCGCGGCACGGGGGGATGAAGAAGGACACGTCGCACGTGCACACAGGATTCGGAGTGAAAAACAACATCAGAAACAGCCACGTGAACGACAGCAACAGCCCGGCCTTCGCGCAAAACGCGTTGCTGCACATTTTTCAGAATGCGAAGATCATTCGGGATTTGACGCATTGGTTGAGGGTGTTTAAAACGTTTGGGGTGAAAATCGAGCAAGCCACGGACAAATTCACGGACCGGCTAATCCTCCGGAACTTCAAGGTCCAGGCGATGCTGGCCGGTGCGGAGATGCGGGCCTTGGCGGAGAAGATTAAGAAGTTCACAACCCTGTTCTCTGGTTATTTGACAAACCTGAATCGGACCGAATTGAATTTCTACGTGCTGGATTCCCACGGGCTCACGATGTACGCGGACAGCACAAAGAAGATGCCCATTGCCAGGTACCGCATGTGCGACATTCTGTCGATCCGGGAGGTGAACGCGACAAAAATGGAAAAGCGGTGCAGGTGGATGAAACAGAAAATCCACGAGGCGTTTGAAAGGCGGGTGTTTCGCGGGGAGATCGATTTACAACCTTTGCGGGAGTTACTGTCTTTGGAGCGTAGTAGAGAGGAAAAGGCGAGGAGCTCAAACACAGAAAACCAAAACAGCAAGAAAGTTGTCGGCGGGGAAACTACATCTTCTGCAGTACTGTCAAAATTGCTCCCGATGCGAACTTTGATCGAGGAAGTTTTGCAGTGGGATGAGAAGCTCGCGCTATTGCTCAAGGGGAAGCTGTCCCCCTCGAGTTTGCGGCTGCTGTCCCATCTGCAGCTCGGGAAGCACTTTCTGAGCGGCAACTCCACTTTGGCGGATCAGCAACACGGTCAAGATGGAACAACGTCAAGTTCTGCACCGAATTATAAGTCTCTCCAGAACAAAAAGCAAGCGACGATTCAGGCGGTTATCACCGAGGGCACGGTGGGCGCGGGCGACCTGCACGCCGATGGAGTGGTCCACAGGATCCCTGACCAGCAGAGACTGGCCGGTTTCGCGGAGCAGCACAACTTCGGATCCAAGAAGCTGGAGAAGATTGGGGATTTTGTCCGGAAATCGGTCGAAACTTTTGACAATTCGACCAATAGCCTCTTCGCCACCCACATGCACCACCACCGGAAAATCGACCAAACGGTCCGGAAGCGTCTGCGCAGCGCGTTGGTGTTGCATTCGACCCAGCACCACTTGCCGAAGTCGTACACTGGAGGACGGGTGCTCGCGGCCGCCAGGCGGAAGTTCGCGTTTCTGATGTCGAAAGCGAAAGCGCAGTTTTTCCACAACAAACACGTCGGTGGTACTTCTAGGAGGCAACAGATTTTGTCGTCCTCGAGCAGCACTGGAGGACGAGGACTACAGCAAAATTTTTCTAGAGCAAAGAAGCAAAACTCCAAATACTTGATTCCGCGGCGTTCTCAGGCGCAAGTGACTCTGCCGACGGAAGACACCGAGCGATTTTTCGCCGAGTACCGCTGGCTGGACTACGACCCGACTTCCGGCGCGGAAAAGATCTGGTTCGCGCCGTTACCGGAGGTCCGGAAGCTCTGCTCGCTCTGGTCGCAGGACGCGTATCTGCAGGAATTGTTCTTCAAGATCATCGTGGATTCTGGCCTCCACGCCTGTCCCTCCCGCTACGGGTCGGTTTTCGCGAAACAAACCGAGGACGCGTTTTTCTACAATGCGCAGGAATTTGACGGGGTCTTGTGGCGGAACCTGTTGGATTCGGGGTTGTCCAAGTACCTGACGCGAACCATGGCCAGTCGGTTGGTTCACGGCGTGCAGAAGATCGCCCGGCAGCTGGAGATATCCTGAGCAGAAACGTCCCCATACCAGAGTTGTCATGCAGATTTGCAATTGCAGCAACATTTAAAATGCGCACTCCCACGACAGTTATTTCCAGTCGTGTTTTGGAATTTGTAATGCTGTAAGCAGGATAGGAGAATGGCTTTGTCTTGGTGATACGGCTGTGCTTGCTACCCTGTAGTAGAATACAGAGAAAAACTTGCCATGCGTCAGCCCCAAACTCCTGGACTTGTATTGCTGAGTTCTCAACTTGACTCTGGGGTGGGGACGTTTTTGCTCAGCATAGGAGACAGAGGAACTGTCGGACTTTTCGTATTTGTTTCGCAGAAAGTCCTTCGTGAACGCGCTGATGCCGAGTTTGGAATCCCAGTTCGAGAACCCGGAGGCGGAAGAAGTACTAGAGAAGTTGAATCCACCACCGGGAGGTGGTCCTCTCGATGGAAGTGGTACAACTATGAGCGGCCTCGAAATGAATGTTAACAGTGAAGAAGCCACCACCTCGTCCTTCCAGGACCAGATTCGGACCCTTCAACGCGGACAGCAACTGCTTGGCATGGAATCCCAAAACGTGCAAAAACTGTTCGCCCAGCGGTACGACCACGATTTCCGGGAGAAGGTTTTCAATTTGAAAGCGGGCATTTTGCGGAACATGCAGCACGAGAACGGGGAAATTGCGAGCGACTTCGATTCGGACGAAACCCTGTCGGAGGATGACTCAGATGTTGACGTGGAGGAAGATGAAAATGAAAACTCTACTTCAGCTTTTCCGATCGCGTTTTCGCAGGGTTTGGGGTTCGTGAAATCGACGCGGGACTTCGAGCTGGAGAAGTTGCGCAAAAAGTTCTACCGGAAGTACGATGGCGAGCTGAAAACAACTGATCCCCGAGCCAGCAAAAGCGGCGCAAGTGTGCGTTCCGACAGTCGGCGAACTTTTTCGTCTTCCGGTGGGAGAAGGTCGAAAAGAGCTGCTGGAAGTTCTAAAATGTTCCGAGATCCTCAACAGCTACCGGGCAACTACGGCAAAGATAAATCGGGCGCACCTCCGCAGCTGCTCAATCTCCGTTCTATTTTCGCCGAGACGGTGGGGACGAAAAAACCTACAAGAACCAACCCTCGGGTCCAGATGGACTGTCTCGACGTGGAGCTTCGCCAGGAAAACTGGGAGAACTGCTTTTGTCTCAGAACCGTGGACCCGCGGAATCCCCTGGAGCCGCCGCACCGGCTGTACTTCAAAGTGCCGAAGCTGGACGACATCAAGAAGACCCTGCAGGCACAAACCATGCCGGAAATCGGCATTCCGTCTTCGAGTGACAGCGAAAGCAGCAGCAGTAGTTCAGAGGACGAGGAGGAAATTGTTGCGCGGACGGGTTCGGGGAAGGAATTAATGCAAGAATTTGAGCTGGAAAGGGGTAGCAACCCTCTGCTTGAGGGCGTGCACAGCACAACAACGAACACAGCAGCAGTGTCACCAGCAACTTCCAAAATAGACAATCCCAATAGGATCATGAAGTCGGAAGACCTGTATTTTCTTTCCGCCCGTAAGGTGGAGCTGGAGTTTTTGAAAAGGAACCAGCAAAACCGGGAGAAGACATTCAAAAACTGGTTGTCCTCCTTCAAGTTGGCCCATGCGTTTTTCCGCATGGTGACCCCGAACAAGTTGAACTCCAGCGACTCTCTCATGTCCGGCGGTTCCATGTCCGCGTCGACCAACGCCTCCTCCCGTGATCCGGCGGTTCTCCGAGGGTATCTCCGGATTCGCCTCCCACTGTATGCGGAGGAAGGGCGGAAGTATTGCGTGTTGCACCCGTCGATGGGGCTGTTGTGGTACAAGTCACAGGAGGCATTTGAGCACGGGAAGGTGCAGGGCAACGTTAATTTGCGGGTCCGGGGGAGGTCGCTGTTTCAGGCAGAGGTCGTGGGGAGAAATGAAAATCAGGCAGAAGATGGTTTTGTTCTCAACAACGATAATGTGGCCATTTTCAACCAATCTGGATCAGGTTTCGACCACGACGGATTAGGCGCGCACGTCGGCGAGGAAAGTCAGACGTTGCACCGTCCGCCCGACACCCCCCTGTCGGACCAGTTCGTCCGCAATGCGGCGACAGTGACCACAACTGGAAATGCGAGGGGAAGTGCGGCGGAGGCGGGTGCACCGGCGGACAGAGCATCTGGAAGAAATAGAGGTGATGAGCGGGTTTCGTACAACTCCAGAGGAAGCAACAACGCATCCGTGTTCGAGCAGGCGAAAACCAAGGAGAATGAAGACGACATGCTTTTGGCTTTGAACACGATTCTCACCCTGGAAGAACAGCCGAACGGCCTCACCGCCCACGACTTGCAAGACCTCCACAAGAAAAACAACGCGACGGACGCGGTTTTGAGTCTCGGATTGGCGAATTTAGAGGAGAATAATGGCCGCGACCGACGGCAAAGCAGTAGCAGTGCCGGTAGAAGTTCGAAGAACCAAGAACTCTTGGAGCAACTGCGGAACAGTCCTGGAGTGGCCGCGGTGGAGAAGAGGCTGTTTGTGCGGAAGAAGTTCGATACGCCGCCGCCGAGTCCGCGACTGGGCGGGAAGAATTTGAAAATCAACCGCAGTGAAGCGTTCAAGAACCGGAATAAGCAAAACCAAAATTATCCTCAACCGGCGGCGCAACCAGCACAACTTACTCAGTACACCAGAGTGAGTGCTGGATCGGCAGGCGGTGTTGGTGGTGTCGTTCCCAGTCTCTCCGAGGGGTTGCACAAGATGTTTATGCTGGAATCCTCGCAGCACAACGCAGGAAACAATTCGGACTCCAGCTCCGTTTTGACTTCCGACGAGCAAAGCAATGTCAAGAACGGATTGTTTGTTTCATCGCAAGTAGAGATCAGTGCAAAAAACCTGCAGTCTTTACCGCGGTCGTCGCTCTCGGGTCTCGACGCGCATGACCGGAATGTATCGTCTAATAAAGACAGATATCAAATGTAAAAATGTCTGGGTCTGGAAGAATGCATGTTTGTCATGCTTGTCTGGCATGACTCTTAAATCTGTCATGCACGTTATTCAAGAGCTCAGTTTTTCTATGATGCAGGAACGCAGTTTGTCATGCAGAATAGGCAACACCTAGAAGCTCAGAAACTTGTCATGCTGAGCCAGCATTTGTGGCCTCATGATGAGACGCCACCCAGCATCACAAGTTTCCAGACCCAGACATTTTTACATTTGATAACAGAACGGACGGGAAAACGCATTTGCAGAAGGACAATGTGTCGGAGATTGACGAAGCCATGCAGAAGAAGTTCCTCGTATTGAGAGGAAAAATCCCCCCGCCCCATATTGAGAAGGCATGTTTCCGAAAATTTGTGTTGCTGATTTGAGGTCACAAATCACATCTGTTTTGCAATAAGGCAAGGGCAGAAGCTTCCGCCCCATTATGGAAGCGATTTGTCATGCTGCTGGGCCTAAAGGGGAGCCGCTTGCCATGCTGAACAACTAGACGCATACGCCCCTACCTAGCCTGGGGACCCGGCAGCAATGCTTTCCTGCAATACAAAGCTGATTTGTGTACTCAAATCCAGCATCAGAAATTTCGTTTTGATATGGGGAGGGGGGATTTTTCATTTTGATACCTCGAGCACGCCCGGGAGCTCTACCTCTTCCGGTGGGGCTACATCGAGCAGGCGATCTTCCTGAAGAATCCCAACCAGGGGGCGGTCTTCTACGTGTCGGTGTCTAGCGGCGAGGCCGGTTCTTCGCGGAAGATCGTGCCGGGCTTTATCCTTACTGCGGAGCGGAGGCACGGGGGTTTCAAGCAGTGGGCGGACCGGCTGGCGCTGATTTACGGCATTCCTTTCAGCTTTTACACGGACAGATTCTCCACAAGCGATTACGACTTTTTCGCTCCGTTAGGAAGAGATCAGGATCTTCACCAGATCGGTGGCCAAGATGAATCCGCTGGCCAAGCTGATAAAAATCCTCTCACCCCAGAACAAGAAGCGCAGCAGAATTCCTACATTGCGAAGCTCACCGCCACGTTGAACGGTCTCCGGTCGGACACGAACGTGAACGCGAAGCCCGACGGGAGTAACCTGATTCCGTACCTCCCGGAAAATCTCCGACTGCAGCGAAAAAAGCAGCAGGACAAAATTCTGCAGCTGGCGGGTCAAAACAACAGCAAGTCGCAACAGCTCAGCGACTACTTTGTCGGAGATCAACACGGGCTACTGCAGGCGCAGGACGCTTTGGAAGTCAACGTGGACAAAAGGATGGAGAAGTGGTCGGAGTTGCGGGATCCGGTCATGTCAACTTCCAACGTGAAATCCGACAACTCCGCCCAGCAAATGGAAATTTCTCTAGACAGGCCGAAGGTGGAAGTCGTATCCGATACTCTTCTCGGCGCCACGGGGCAGAAGGTGCGCAGGCCAGTGGAAGTGGTGAACTTAGACTCCGCTTTTTCGAATAAGTTGTCCATCGCGCACGCAAACCTGGCGAAGTCCCGGTTCACCGTCGTCGGCTCCGCGAAAAATGTGTCAACCATCAATAAGGAAATCTTCGCAATTGGGGCTTCCTCCAGCTTGACTGACGGAAAACTGCAGCAAAACATGATCATCAACCCGATGCAGAAACTATTTCCGGAAATCAGCCAGCCGCTCCGGGACAAGGAAAACGTGAAGATTTTGTTCGCGGGGCGGTTATTCCAGCGCAACCACATATGGAAGCGTCAGGATTGAAATCGTCAGAGTTGAAATAATTTGTGATGCATAAAACAGATACCAGTCGGAAGCCCAATTTCCAAGCGGTGCATGACAAATTTTCCGAGCACCGGAATCCAATTTGCCATGCTGTTTGGGCACAAGCGACTACTTTTGTCGTGCTACTTTAGCAGCTCTATTTCAAACCCTAAACAGGCTGACAGTCGGCCTCACTTGCCATCCCGGCAAGACAGGCGCTTCATGCCTTGCATTTTATGCATGGCAAATCATTTCAACTTTGTCGATTTTAATCCTGACGCCTCCATACCACACGCAGTGGGCGGAACTGACGGACATGGTACAGCCTCTGTTGGAATTTGCGTACTTACACGCACTATCAAACGTAAAAATGTCTGGGTCTGGAAGATTGCAACTTGTCATGCTAAATCTGCAGCATGCAAAAATCTGTGCTGCGTGATTACCAAAAGTCGTCCAGTTTTGACCAAGTTGGGAGGTAGTTTCTCATGCAGGATAGGCATTAGAAAGGTCTCGCAGAATGTGTCATGCTAGGTCCTGCATTCCAGACCTCATGGGTCATGGAAAAGCAGCATGACAAATCGCGCATAATTCCAGACCCAGACATTTTTGCATTTGATACGCACGACGGGCGATGGACTTGGTTCATCACGCGGACAAAACGACGCAATTTGCGCATGGGAAAAAGTATACAACTTCCGCAGAAGGTGGATCATCCTTACACGGTCGCGATAGCAAGGGGACGAACAACGAATCTGGCATGAATAAACCCGGCGGCGCTTCTGCCGCCGCTGCGGCGCCGACGCTCGCAACGTTGGGCGTGACGCACAACAAGATCGTCACCACGGCTGCTTTACTGGAGCAGGCGAAGAGCTTTATCGCCGACGAATACGATTTCGATCCGTACCTGTTTGAAGAAGCGAAGTGGCTGCGATCCCTGTTGCCGGTCCATCTGTCAGGAAAGAAAGCGATCATCGCGGGGAGCAATGTGAGCGGCGGTGGGGCGGGAAATGCGAGTGGTGCGGGAAATGCGGACAACTACAAGGCTGGTCGTGACAACAGTTCATCTGGTACTAAGTCTGGGCAACAGTCAACATCTCGAGCCTCCGCTCTGCTGAACGCGGAATCCGAGTCGGTGAACCAATCGCATCACTCCCGGTTTTTCCGCCGGCACTTCAACACCCGCACGAAAGATTACATCAAGGGATCGAACGTCGGGTTCTTCGGTTCCGCGGAGGAACTGATTCTCCGCGAGATGGCCGCAAGTGTGGTGAAAAATGGGACGACGTTGACGTCAAACAAGAAGTATTCCCCGCAGATCCTTCCGGACAAGTACGAGACCCGAAACGTATCGGACAAAATCATGCAGAAGCGCGGGTCTTCCTACTACGAGTCCCGCGAGGCGTACGAGAATGCGATGGAGGATTTGCGGGAAAGCCGCCGGATGAACAGCATGACGAACGCTGTGTCATTGACCGGCGCGTTATCTACTTCGCCGGTGGACGACAGAAGTTGTACAACAACTTCTGCGCCAGTACTCGACGCGGCCATGACCATATTGCAGTGAAAAGTGCCCCCCACCCCTAAATTGCAAAAATTTGTGATGCGAAGTTTCCAAATGAAAACTTTTTGTCATGCATGAAAGGAGTATGAATCTTTCTGATGCAGAATGTAGGCGTGTATCGCATAGCTTGCATGGCAAGTGCCGCTCTTGCTGGGGTCTTTTGCAATACAAATTTTTGCTATTCACGATTGAAAACCTGTGATGCTGATAGATGCAAGAGGGCGAGTGTTTCATTTGGAAAGGTTTGCAATACAAATGCTTTCAAGTTCGGGGGTGGGGGTATTTTTCATTGTAATAGACCACAACAATCACCTTCCCGCCCGCGTTCTACCACAGCTACACGCACCAGTTATCAAATGTAAAAATGTCTGGTTCTGGAAGAGTGCAAGTTTGTCATGCTTGTCTGGCATGACTCTTAAATCTGTCATGCACATTACCAAAGAGCCATACTTTTCTGTCATGCAGAAACGTAGTTTGTCATGCAGAATAGGCAACACCTAGAAGCTCAGAAACTTGTCATGCTGAGCCAGCAATTGTCGCCTCCTCATGATACGCCACACAGCATCACAAGTTTCCAGACCCAGACACTTTTACATTTGATACCAGTATCTGAACTACAACAAAGCCGCTTCCGATTCCGCCCAGGGGAACTTCAACGACGACGATTTTCTGACCACGATGGCGCGGTTTGAGTTGTTATTGAGAAGAAAAACCCCCCCTCCCCATATTGAAAAGGTATGTTTGCAAAAATTTGTGTTGCGGATTTGAGGTCACAAATCGCATCTGTCTTGCAAGAAGACAAGGGCAGAAGCGTCCGCCCCATAATTATGGAAGCGATTTGTCATGCTGTTGGGCCTAAAGGGGGGCCGTTTGCCATGCTGAACTAGACCCATACGCCCCTACCTAGCCTGGGGATCTGGCCGCAGTGCCTCTCTGCAATACAGAGCTGATTTGCGGCCACAAATCAGCATCACAAATTTCCGGTTTGATATGGGGAGGGGGGATTTTTCATTTTGATAGTTGTCGGAGAAAATTCTCCGGGAAAAATTCGCCGAGAAGATGAAACTCTGTCGCCAGGAAGCGGCGACTCATTTGATCGAAAATGAAGGCGCCGCGGTGGGTGCTACTGGCACCACCGCAACAGCTTCTGGTCAGCTTCTGCAAAAGAAACAACGACAAGGCCAAGAGGACAAACACGACAGCAACCAGTCGAACAAACAGCTGGCGTCCATGTCGATTCCGGAAATCCCCAATGACTGCACCACGCGGATCGCCGCCAACTCCGACCGCGAAGGGAAAACGAACAACCGAAGGTACTTCGAACTGGTCGAAAAATCTTTGTCGCTGCACCACAAGGAGCTGGTCCTGCAGATTTACTCCGGGGAGATCCGGGACTACGGGGCCGAGGTGCCGGTAACTTGCACGAAAGACATCTTCTTGAAGGACATTCGCCGGATCGAGGTGGTGCGGAAATTGAGGCGCGGGAGCCGGTTGTGGAACCTGATCCGGTCCCTGGTGGACGTGGCGAATGACGACCACACCAGCTGGAACAAAATTCTCTTCGGCGCACCCGCCGATTTCATCCAGGACAAAGCTATTGCACAAACGAATTACAACAGCAAGAACACGACAGCGTCGACGACGCCAGGCGGCAATGTGAGCAAGTCCGGAGTACTATCTTCATCCGCACAAAAAAATGCAGCGGGCGCATCAAAAGCTGTTGTTCCGGGCCAGAGTACGCCGGACCAGGAGAACGAAAAATCCGTCGCGGGAAAGAACTTGAGCCACTTGATTCTGGGGTTGAAGCCGATAGTTGTTGTACAACAGCAACAGCAGATGACATCAAACAACAATTCTTTCACCAAGAACCTCCAAACCAGTTCTGCAGCTGCGAGGTACTACAGAGAAGAACCCAAAAAGCCGGGTTTGATGAAGGTGGAAATGGATATTTACGAGATTTCGTCCTTGATCCTCCCGGTTCTGCTCCCGATCTTCAATTCCTCCACGAAAAAGAACAACAAGCTGGACCTTCTCGTCATCATTTTAACGAGTGAGGGGAAGGTTTTCCAAACCCCGCTGCTCGGGGGGTACGGGTCGAACCGCACGATGGCGAACCAAAAGGCGTGCAGCTACGGCGGGTACCACGGGAAGTGCATGAACGCGAAGCTGTCCGTCGAGTTTTCGCACGAGGACGTGTCCTTCGAGATCTTTTTGTCCACGAAAATGTGCCCCCAGTTCGAGGAAATCGCTGGGCTGACGGTCGGGGGAAACATCATCGGGAACAGCACGACCACCGCGACCACCGCGGCGGCTGCAACCGGGACCAGTTCTGCCTCCGCGAAAGACGCGGTCAAGCTCTTGGTCGAGGAGAAACAAGCGCAGTTTTTGCAGCAGATCAGCGAAAAACGGGCTTTCCTGTTCGACAACAGCATTGCGTCGAGTGCGAAAATCATGAATCTGCAGGAGCTGGCGAATAGCATGACAAAGCTGGGGGACCGGTCACATCTGTACAACAGTTTGCAGCTGTCAAAGGACGTGTATTTGTCCCTGAAATTCGACGTGGAGAAGCTCGCCTGCTTTTTGACCGGCAAACCGGTTGCGGTGGCGAACGCTGCGACTACATCTGCAACTACGTCCGGCGGTTTGGACGTCGATGGAACAACTGGAATCAGTGTGAGGATGAGCAGTAGAGAGAACAATCCAGACGACAAGCAGAATTCCAGTCCCGGTTCGACGCTGAACAAAGACGCGGGTAGTTCTTACGGTTCTACTATGCATTGCAAATATGTCTGGGTCTGGAAGGATGTAGCTTGTCATGCTAGATCTGGATCATGCAAAAATTTGTGTTGCATGATTGCCAACAGCGGTCCATTTTTGACCACCTTGGGAGTGAGTTTCTCATGCAGGATAGGCATGATACAGATCTCACAGAATCTGTGATGCTAGATCCTGCATTCCAGACCTCATGTGTCATGTTGAACCTGTTTGCAAGCTTCCAGACCCAGGCATATTTGCACGTGATATCTACTTCCCAGTTCCCGGCTTCTGTCCTCGAGAAGCTGCCGTCCAACACCCATTTGGGCGCGAAGCTGACCTGGCGCAATTTGAAGATCGCGGCGAGGAACCGGGGCCGCACGCAGTTGGTCCGCGCGGTGTTGCACGCGAGCCGCGGGTGCGTCCTGACGGTGGGGGTGAACGAGAGGAAGAAGGAAGTGCAATTATTGCAGTCCATCAACACCGCGATGAAGAAAGTTTTCGTTGGAAAAGAAAACTCATCTTCTTCGCAGATGTCGAGTCCGGCGGGTGGGAACAATGCGGAAGCTGCAAGTGGCACCACGACCTCGCGTGGAGCAGGGAAAAATCTAGCCGCAGGTGGTAATAGCTCTTTCGAGAGGGAAAGCAAAGGCGCGGAACTGCTGGGGAGCATGTTCTATCCAGAAGATGACACCAACAGTGTGGATAGTCTGCAACTTGAACAGGACTTGGCTTATTTTCACGAACAACCGGTGGGGTCATCTGACTCTGAGGAGGTAGAGGAACAGGAAATTCACCTTGGGACGTATTTCGATGAAAACGATGCTGTTTTTGTGGAGGATACTGCAATCGACGCAGACGGCGCTTTCTTGCACGAAGACTCCGCTGTTTTGACAGACGAGTCGGTCGGTGAATTCCGCATGGTGCAGCACAACCACGAGTATGACCATAATGATAAGACAACTGGAAGAACAAGCGGAAGAGTGTTGATGAACGCAGGAGTTGTAAATGAGCAGACCTCGTCCTCGTCGACGGAAGTTCCGCATCAATTCCGGTTCTTCTCGTCTACGACCGGAGATCATTTTGAATCTGCTACACAACAAGAAGAACAACGAAACCTCGACTTTGTCACGACCTCAGAGCTACAACTAGAAGTGGTAGACCACGACGAGCTCGAACTGGCCTCCTGTCTCGCGGACTCGGACGTGGAGGAGGAATTCACGAAAAACGAGAAGCCGTTCTACTTCATGTCGGACCTCCACAACGGCAACTCCTCAAACGAATCTGACATGGATCTGATGGAGGTGCCGGAGGAGGGCAATAACAATATCCGTAACAACATCCGGGGCACGCGCGCCAAGCACAAGAAGGGCATGAAGCCCCACCAGGGCGACCGGCCCGCGTCGAGTATTCGCGAAACCACGCCTTCTGTGGTGAGTGGCAGAGAAAGTGGGTCAAAAACGTCGCTGGGTACTACGACACAGCGGGGTCGAAGTTCTACTGCAGGGGGAGCTCTTGTGGACCAGACGAAGCAATCTCTGAAATCCTCCGTCCTCGTTCGGGATGTGGTAGAGGAACAGACGGCGAGAAATACGAAACCTGGAGGTGCTTCTAGTAGTACAGGTGCACAGAGATTATATCCTCGCGCAGCAGGAGGAGTTGGAGTAGCCCGTGGTTCCGCGGCAGAGCAAGTACAAAGGCAGCAGGGAAGTAGTGCTAGCAAGGGCTCTACTACTTCCGTAGTACGAGAACTTCTGAGGGACACGACCCAGCAAGGGTCCGCGGAATTATTAGACTCGGCTGAGGAGGATGAGAATGCACAAGATCTTCTTGCGGTCGACGAGCCAGACCAAGTCGATCCGAACGAGGAAAAGTTTCTCGACGAAGACGACGAGGATGCTGAAGAAGAGGAAAACTTCCAGCCCGCCTTCCGGGTCTCTTCCGCGCCCGTTCACGCGCCGCTGTCGATGCAGCAGCAGTTCGAGCAGCGGCGGAAAAAACGGGAGTTCCAGATGAAACCGGGCAAGGTGATGACGGACGAGTCCATCGACGACTTCATCGATTTCCAGTACGAAAACAACGCCCGCACGCGGTACGTGCGCGCCATCGCGGAGGGCTCGCCGGAGAAGGCGGTGAAAAAAGCGACCACCATGCGGGAGCGGTCCGGGAAGTTGTTGTGGAGCGTGCGGCAAAAACACAAGGAGTTTCACAGCGGAAACATGTACCTGGCGCTGGAGGACATGCTGGGGCCGGAAAACGTCCTGAAGTTGAAGTACGGGAAACAGGAAATAGCGTCGTCACAGTTTGGAAGTGGTGGAAATAAAGAAATAGGAACAACTACAAGTGTGGAGGAGTTATTGAAGGACGAAGATTCCTCTGATCTCTCAAACTTCGAGGAACGTCCGGAAGGCTCCGGTCGCGGTGCTTTCGACGATATGGACGAAGACGACGAGACCATCGAGGAGTTGGCGAAAATCACGGAGGAGCAGAAGGCGGCTATCAACCAGCGCGTGAGTCTCCTGGTCACGAAAAAGATCATCACCCAACTGCCGACCCACCTGTTCGCCGAGGGCAAGGTGTCCAGCAAGAACGCCGCGGCCCTGACAAAACTTGGCGAACAGAAAACCGCCCGGGAGATCTGGCGCGACGAGGTGGCGGACCGGCTGCGCGAGGAGAGTTTGGTGAAACAGCGCGAGCTGGCGAAAAGCCGGCGGGAAAGGATGCGGCGAAAGAAGCTCGCCGAGGAGAAGGAAGCGGAAAAGGACTTGGCTGGTGCTGATTCTAATACGCAAGGGTCGACGTCTTCACCAGCCGATAAGATGAAGGCGATGCGTGCGAGCAAGTTCGCCGAGAAGCACCGGGAGGAAGTATTACAATGAAAAATGCCCCGACCCCCGAACTTGAAAGCATTTGTATTGCAAACCTTTCCAAATGAAACATTCGCACTCTTGCATGTATCGGCATCACAGATTTCCGATCGTGAAGAGCAAAAATTTGCATTGCAAAAGATCACAGCAAGAGCGGTGCTTGTCATGCAAGCGATGCGAAACACGACGAGACTCTACATCAGAAAGATTCATACGCCTTTCATGCATGACAAAAAGTTTTCATTGGGAAACTTCGCATCACAAATTTTTGCAATTTCAGGGGTGGGGGGCACTTTTCACTGCAATAAGAGGCGAGCCGGGAGCGGCTGAAGACCGACCACGAGATCTGGGAGCGCACGGGCGGCGATTTCTCCACCACCAACGAGTCGCACGAGCGGGATTCGCAAATGCAGAAGCAGGCCGAGATGATCACGAAAATGAAGAGTCTCTCGAGCAGCACGAAAAACGGGCTGTTTTCCAGTCCGACCGGCCTGTTCGCCTCCGCGGCGCACGAGGAAGCCGCGCGAGTGGCTGCGGCGTCTGTTGATTCAAAAGCTTTTGGTGCTGTCACGTCCTCCTCCCCCGGGGACAATGATAATTTCTACTCTAATCAAAGTAGCAAGTTGCCGAGTTTGGACCTGCTGTTGGAAGATTTTGACGTTTTGGAGCTTCTTCTCGTCGTCGGCAGTAACGTGAACGGCAAGAAGGAGAAGGTGGTCGGGTTGGTCGGGCAGAACCTGCAGGATTGGCTCGTGGCGATCAGGAAATACAGCCCGGACACGGCCATTGTGGAGAAATTCATCTTTCCCGCAATGTCAAGATCCGCCGACGAAGCGAGGGAGCAGAGAAAGCACGCCAGGAGCGGGCAATGAGATTTTGGTTAGTATGAAAGCACTGGTGTAGCCGAAGATCATAAAAGCGTTTCGATTTCTTTGATCGTAGTTTTTCAAAATGTCAAAAAGATGGGCCCACCTACCTTTTTCTGGCCCACTTTTATTTCTAAGGTTTCCAATTTCGTTCGTCCGTTACTTTTGCTTTTCTTCATTTTGATTGATAGCACAAGCAAGTACTTCAATCGAATTTTGATGTTGAAAATGCTTTTTTGGTGTTTGTTTCGATCATCCTTCACTGAAGTTCCACCACAGGAGCCTCACCATTTCGTAGTCTTGCCACGCTCTTGTAAGAAACGCGGAGAGGGTGAGGGTGAACGGCTGAAAGCATGTGTTCGAAGATGTGGTTTACGTACGCTATGTCACTGGGATTTTGTTCCATCTGATTCGTTTATTTTAGATTCCTAGACCTGCATGGTGATGGTCTTCATCGTACGCTCGGTGTTGACTCGTTTTTACAAAGAAAAAGCTCTAGTTTGGTCCTTTGAAGATGTGTCGTGCCGCAAAAAACTTCGTCTGCTCTTCGTTTCTTTCGTCCCTGTGTTTTCCTGTCGTGCTTCTGTACTCTTGCGTGCTGACGTAATTTGCTTTTCTTGTTTTTCGTGGTTTACTGCTTTCACTTTAACTTTTCTGTATAGTGAAAAAAGTCCAGCTGGAGGCGCACAAATCAAACAAATTTTGTTTTACTACTCCTTTACGACCTTTTCGCCTTTCGTCCCCGGAAGAGACGTCTTTTCTATCTACACCATTTAGTTATTCGCAATCTTCTTGTCATTCAAAGTCAATGTCAGTGGTAGAAGGTCTATTTCCAGAGGCCGAGGCGCGGCTTGTGGTCCTCTCGTGCTTGTTGCGCATATAGACCTTCCGAAAAGGAAAAATCAGTGTCCCTCCCTCGGAGAAAATTATCATGGCTTCCTGGTGGAACACGAACCCCGTGGGTGCGGGCAACGAGAACAACTACTACGAAAACACCGACCTCTATCGCAAGAAAAAACTGTTTCACTGTGAACTTGTGATGCAGAAAACGGAACACAGAACTACGTGTCTTGTTGCACCTGCAAGACATTGGATTTCCAAGCGTGTTTTCCCTTGGGAAACGCGCATGGCAAATTTTCTGTGTCATGTGTAACAAACTTGTGATGCGCTTCTTGCAAAATCATCACAGTGAAACAGTTTTTGCGTGGGATAACCTCTACGGCGAGGAGGATCCGATCCAGGTGATCGAGTCCACCGAGGAGGCCGAGGACAGCACGAGCGAATATGACCGCGACAGTAGCAACAGCGGGATGAACCACAAAGATACAAAAAATGCCTCGTACACCTACTACAACCAAACCAGGCCCGTCCAGGGCTTCACCGAAGCCACCTGGCAGCGGCAGTCCCAGAAGGAGAGAAATGCGCAGAGCGTGGCGTCACAACACGAAAAACGGAAGCGGGCTCAGGGCGAGGGCGAGGCCTTCTACAGCGGATCATCTCCCGACCTGGTGGAGAATCAATACTATGGCGGGACGACGGGGGCTACTACTAAAAATGCCTCGTACGGTGCGACCAACTACGGCAATGTGGATATGCTTTCGAGTAAAGGCTTTTTCGAGTATGGAACGAACATGGACAACAATTACGATGAGCAAACAAACAACTACGATTACGGGGGGGAGTCCGACGAGAGCGGGTACTACAACACATACGCCTACCTGCAGCAGCCCCAGATGCAGCAGATGGGAACGACAACCGCTGGGGCGGACGGGTCGAATTTCACCGTGAGTCCCGTTTCCACCAAAGACAGCCGGAGTCCGCGGAGCAACAACCCGCTGACCACGGGGAACATGCCGGACGTGCTCGGGGACCAGTTTTACATCATCCAAAAGGTCAGCAAGAGGGACATTGTCGAGAACCTGGTGGGGGTGGAACTGGGGAACAAGTACACGGTGAAAGCCATGGACTATTACGACAACCAAATCGGACCCAACCTGTACATTTCCGAAGACAGCAGCTGGTTCCAGAAGTGCTGCTGCGGGCCCTCCAGATCGCTGACGTTTGAGCTCTTCGCGGGGGACAACGCGAAAGACAACGCATACGAGGGTGAGTTTGCGGGGAACCACGTCTTTCGCCGGAAGCACGACGCCGCCCCGTCCTCCGGGAAAGTGCTGCGCATGAAGAAGGACTTTGTGTGCCAGTGCTGCTGCTGCCCGTGTCTGTGTACGAGCTTTTGTAAGCCGCGTTTCGACGTGCAAGCGGTCCTGCCGAACTACAGCACGGGCCGCAGTAGCTTCAAGAACATTGGCCACGTGCAGGACCACTGCAAGTGTTGCGGCACGCGGGAGATGGTTTACAACCAGCTGGGGGAGCACTTGTACACCGTCGAGGGGTCCGAGTGCCAGCTGGGCGCGTGCTGTCCGTTTGGGGACGCGAAGTACGCCATCTTTGACGAACGCACCCACGCGCGAGTGGGCATGTTGCAGAAGAAGGGCGGAGGCTTCAAGCAAATCCTAAAGGAAGCGCTTGCGGACGCGCAGACCTTCAAAGTGACCCCGCCGGACTACGCGGGACCGAACGAAAAGGCGCTGCTCCTGGCCGCCGCTATGATGGTGGAGCTGCAGTACTACGTATGAAAGTGGAAGACAAGAACCCCCCCCCTGCGTCCTTTTTTTTTGAAGTAGGGCATGATTGAACAGCAAGAGCATACAAAAACAAAAATGCAACAGTACTGCATGATAAATCTACGACACGAAGATTGTGGCCCTGGTTTGTTGGGCTCCACGATCTGGTCGCGCAAGCATAGCGAGTTTCTTCCTGCGTTTCATATTCATTTACAAATAAAGGGGAGCAGCAGGGGGAGCTTTTGTCCACTCTCATATTACGAACGTACGAACGATAAGAGAGAGCAGTACGGTGTGGATTAATTACATACGGCTAACCACGACCGCAGTACGGTTAACCACTGGAGTAAGTTTTGCGTTTCTCATCCCGACGAGTTTGGGCCAGCAGTATGTGAATGCGTTTTTTCCAGCACTTTCGAAAAAACTAAGAACCTTCGGACATTGCGAATTTTCGTACTAAGTCTGTCAATTATCGTCCTCTCATCTGCTTCCGCTTCGCAATCGGAAGTATGTCTTCTCTTTCAGCACCCCTTCCCTGGGCTTACCCTGGGTGATAAGACCCAAATTTTGACGCCTCCGCTGTTGTCTTGTTGATGAAGTGGAGGATTGATTCATGCGAGATTTCTTGTGACGAACTGGTTCTGCACCTACTGGATCCTTGCGAGGAGGACCAGTTTTTGCTTTGTTTTCTGCTCCTGCAAATTTCATAGGCCTATACTCCGTATGTGTGCGTAAGCGTATGCAACAAGCAACTTGCGTAGGTCGCGTGCTTTGTGTTCTGACCCAGTGTCTCTGCAAAGGTAGTTTGGTTTCTTTTCGATAGTCGCGTATATATTTCTCCGTTCTTGTAAGTATACCCCATTATTCCTGAACATTCGAATTCGTTCTCCTTTTTCCAGTCGTTCTCCATCGCGCGTGCTGGTGTCTTTTCGTTATTCATAAGTTGTCTTAGCATGTTGGTCCTTGCGTCAATCGTCCCTAGCGGAGCCACAGCCACAGAAGCGAATGGGAATAAACGTGCATCGTCCACCACCTCTTGAATCGTTCTTACTCATCAAAGGTCGTGTTGATAATGAAACAAAACAGGGAACTTTGGCTGCCCCAGTATTTCCTCGGATGTTAGTTTCAAGTTTATGTTTATGACTTCAACGACTATGTAGTAGTATTCCTACTACTGCTTCTGCATGTAAAAAACTGGAACGATTTGTTCTGTTGGTAAAAAATCTTATCTTTTAGCTTTTGCTTTCTTGCTTTTCGTGTTGCGGAAAATGTCCTCCGTGCTGCCCGTGCAAAGAGGACGAAGAGGACGCCGCGGGCTGACGTTGCTCGCTGTTTCATCAGCTTCTTGCAGCGGCGTGCCACGACTTCTGGCAACTCTTCAACTTTCCAATCTCGCTTTCTTCCACACCGCCCAGGCCCTGCTGTTGAAGAACAATGGAAAAACGAAGGCTGTGGGCGCAGGAGAAGGAGGTGAAGCTTTTCGAACGGAAGATCTTCACCATGATTCCAACCACCTGCAAAAGAGCCAAGAATCCACACTGGTGCATCCTCCTGCTTCCCTTTTGGCCCGAAAGGAACGACGAGGACCCGCGGTCCCTTCTGGTGCACCGGCAGGAACTTCATTCACTACTTCTGGCGGAGCAGGTGCTCGACCGGACGAGGCAAAGAGATCTACAGCTCCGGTAGGGAACAACTACAAGAAGACTCCTTCTGCGCAAGTTCTAGATCCGGATCTTCTTGACACCGATCGCGAAAATGAGACACGAAGCTCGTCGGTTTTTCTGCACATGGAGGAAAATGAAAAACGGGAAGAAGTGAAGGAACGCCAGGACCAGCCCCAACAAGTGGCGCAATCTATTTCAAGTGGTTCCGCTCCTGTACCGGGAACGTTGAGCACGACCAGCATGAGCCAAAATGTGAATTCTCCCGGCCAGGCTTACAATGTCGCAACTTCGTTTGATGCGGTGCAGGGTGGTGGCGGGGGAAGGGGAAGTAGATGGGTTTCATCATCCTCAGCAACTTCTGACGGAGACACAGCGAGCTGTTGCGAAAGTTCATCTACAACTTCGTCCCAACTGCAGCCTCGTGCCTACGGTGGTGCGAGCAATTTCGCTGGAGTGACGCCTTTTCAAAACGGGGGTGGCACGACGAGAACCTCCACCCTTCTCGGTGGAAACAGTGCAGCAGCAGCGGGTACGGTAGTGTCGCCTACGGGTGCACGGGGATCTCTCCTCAACGCAGGTGGTACAACCACCATGACCTCCACCACGACGACTTCCAACGATGCTGCGACCACGACGACCGGGAGCAATGGCATGCGGCCGTTTCCGAGGGACTACAAGGACGGAGCGCAGGAGTACCAGGACCTGGTGGTGATGTACCCACAGTCGCTGCTAAACTCCGTGGTGTCCATGACCCTGAACACGAAGGACTACGGCTGCGATTGCAACAACAATTGGTACCTGGTCGCCTCGGGCCGCGAGGAGGACGGCGGCGACTGCGACTCGGGGGTGGCGTTGGCCCCCTGTCCCGAGCTCGACTTGGTGGAGCTGAACAAGGTCGGACTGGGGGTGATGACGCACCTGTGTGCGGATTCCGAGGCGGAGCTGCGCGAAGTGTTCACGCCCGGCGTGCGCTCGCTGGTGAACGACCGGCACAACCAGAACCGTAAGCAGTATCCTGTGTGAAATCGGGTCTCATGACAGCACTCCGTGGTCAAATTGGGAATTTCGTTTTTGATGCTGTTGCGGCGCATGACAAGTTTGGGCTTTGCAGTGATGTGCTCGTCGTATAGCTAGTTGTGCAGCCGCGACATCACAAATCGAGCTTTTCATCCTCGTGTTACCATCACAAATGCCAAAACACAACCATCAGAACATCACAAAATATAAATATGCTTGTTTTCAAGGAAGTGCGCATTAGATGGATGTTCCTTTAGCGATTTGCATGACATAAATGCGGTGGGGACGTTTTCACAAAGGATAAGCGGTACTGCGACGTCATCGGCTGCGGGTTGAAGACAAAGTACTTCCTGGACGAGGGTGTGTACGGTCCCGGTGCGGGCAATGTGATCGACACGGAGAAGCCCTTCGAGATGGCGGTGTGGTTCGAGACGGCGGACAACACGGCGGACGGAGAGCTGCGGTACATCCGCGTGCTGTTCCAGCAGGAGGGTCGTGAGTTCGAAACGGAGGCGTGTCCCGACGAGGGTTGGCTGAGTCCCGACGACGACCTATCCTCAGTAAAAACGTACCCACAGCAGAGTTGTAATGCAGATTTGCAAAGACCGGAAGAGTTGTAATGCGCATCCCCATGAGAGTCATTTCCAATCGTGTTTTGGAATTTGTAATGCTGTAAACAGGATGAGCAGATGGATTTCTGATGCAGATGGCCTTGCGAACCTGCACTACGCTACGGACTGCAGCTTGTGATGTGTGACTCACAAAACTCCTAGGCGTGTGTTGCAAAATCCCCATCCTGACTCTGGTGTGGGTACGTTTTTGCTCAGGATACGACCACGTTTCGGACCCGAGGGAGTACAAGCGTCGCTTCGGGGAGCAGATGCGTCGGCAGGACGCGCCGGCGCCGTGGTCGGGACGAAGCACGTATTGCAAGGAAAACCCTCCCCTCCCCATATCAAAACGAAATTTCGGTTGCTGGATTTGTGTACACAAATCAGCTTTGTATTGCAGGGCGGCACTGCGGCCAGATCCCCGGGCTAGGCAGGGGCGTATGGATCTAGTTGCTCAGCATGGCAAACGGCTCCCCTTTAAGCCCAACAGCATGACGCATCGCTTCCATAATGGGGCGGAAACTTCTGCCCTTGTCTTCTTGCGAGACGCCTGTGATTTGTGGCCTCAAATCAACAACACAAACCTTCGGAAACATAGCTTTTCAATATGGGGAGGGGGGATTTTTCATTTTGATAGCACGGCGTGGCACAGCAAAGACATGCAGTGGCTCGACAAGTGTAACCCCAACGAGCTCACCTGCAACATCGGATCAAACCGGGCGCAGCCAGGCGTCATCACGCAAGGACGAATCAAATACTTTTCGCCCTGAGAAATTTATTTGCGAAGTGTACTTGGTAGGGTTGTACCTGTTTTCTTCATGTGGAGTCGTTCACAGTTGGAAATACGTACTAAACTAGGTTTCGACGACGTTCTACTTTTATCTCATAAAGACCTACGAGTACGATAACGACGTTGACGTAGAAGTAGATCCTGAAATCTCTATGTAGTGCATGCTGCAAGCGAATTATGCTCTCACTTCTCTTTTTTGTAGTTTCAGATCACTTGTTTCACTTTCACGTTGTTCGTCTCTGAAAAACTACACGATCAAATTTATGTACGAGAGATGTGTGGTTGTACTGCACGAGCTGGACGAGCTAGCATGATGCCTCGTCTAAGGCAACATTGACGTCGCTGTTGATGGTAGCCTTTTTTCATCCAGCACTATGCACTGCTGCTTCTACATACCTTCCAAAACAACAAGGCCGTCTATGTATACATTAACATTTTTTTCGTTCTTGTTCTTGTTCGTATTTCTATTTTATCTTCGTGCTTGTGGCGTGTTGTGGAACTTGCCTTCGTCTGCTTTGGCTCGTCACAGGGTTTTTTCCGTTCTTCGTGCCAGCGCCAAATTCAACATACCGGAAGAAATCGTGAAAGAATCGTGCTGCTTTTTGTTTCATCCCCGGGATTGATTTCCTGCACTCATCGGTTTCGTAATTTCCCTAAGGGATGTGCGCGTCGATGTCCGTCGTTCTTCCTTTTTGGTTGCGTTGTACCGTTGTACAGGAACTACATGGAACTTGAATCGTGATGGCTCGATGGTTCAGTAGATGCAAACACCGTCCCACCCTCGGAGTTTTCCCGTGCAAAAAGAGGAGCCGATAATGTCTTTTTGGTTTATCAGATACACAGGATCCAATCCCCCTCCAGACCAGCGAAGGAGAACATGGATTTTGATATTGCGCGACCCCTACGAGCAACTACACATTTACTTATATTTTTTTTTTCCGTGCTGCCATGTTCATCTTCAGGGTCTGGGTCTCCTCCTCGTCCCTGTCCGTCTTGCAGCACAAGGTCTTCGCATGACAGGAATGTCGTTGAGTTTGTGGATTTTCTCTTTTTGTTGTGTCCTTTTTTTTCACAGGAATTCGTTTCGTTCCTCGATGTCCGGTTTGAAAATGGCCTTACCTTGAATCACATTGATTAGATTTTCACAACAATGTCGAGTATTGTCCCGAAACACGACCGACTCCTCCCTCGGAGCCCTCCCCGGGCCCTGCGGAGCAGAAGTTGTTGGTCCCTCAGTTGCCAGCACGCGAAAAAATTTTTAGTCTTCTGGCTTACGGTTTCGGGTTTTGATTATTTCGGAAGGATGACCACGAGGACCAACATACTCATGGCTAACAGCAGCGGGGGAAATAAAGGGCATCTTGTCGCGGTGTCTGCATTTTCATCTCCGTCCGTGAGGAGGAAAGTGCACGAAGATGATAAGGAAGAGAATGATGTTGATCATCATCTCCACCTCCTGGGTCACCGAAATGAAACACGCCTTGATGTTCGAGGAAGACTTGGTGGTTCGGGGGTGGGTGGTGAGAACATGACGAGCCCAGGAACCCTCCTCCAGATGCAGGAGGCGTCTTCCACACTGGTGCAAACGTCGGAGCAGGGGTGCCAAGTAAAGAGCCCCTGTGAGTTGGCGGAGCTTGATATGTCGCGCCAGTGGGGTTTCAACGGTAAAGAATCCGCGAAGATCAACGACGACGAAGCAAGAGAAAGCTTTTTCAAAAGCCAAAAAATGAAGCTTCGAAAGCCACTGTACCAGTTGATCGGACCCGGACCCGAAGAAGCTTCTAGCATCGACACTCAGTTAGAACATATGGGAGAACGCGTACGAGATGCGCCCCTCTACTTCTACTTTTTCGCTCGGGAAATACGTGCGGCATACTGGGTTATGACCGGAACATTTGTCGACAGATACCTGCCGTACCAATTCTTGTTCCACACTGCCACGAAGACGATGTTTCCTATTCTTCACTTTTCCCTCACGGGCCAGCGCCCTTCCCAGCAGCAGGCTATTGCTTCTGTCGACCGCGATCTGCAATACCCCCAGTTAAACGGGCGCACGGGAACACTTTACTCCGTCGCAAGTGACATGGAGCACGGTTTCGCATTTGCGAGGGACGTTGAAGCGCAAAGCAACTTTTTTGTCTATTATACTCGAGAACCTACAACTGGTACGCAAGGAAAAGGTCAAGGACAGGAAGCTAATCGGGGAAGAACGCTTGCTCTCGACATTGCGTTCTGGAACATGGTATCCGAGGCAGACAAAGACATATTTCCAAAAATTCATCGATGGACCCAAGAACTTACCCTGAAGAAAAATGCACCCACACAGTTGTCAATTTGGGAACTCTGCAACACACGAGAGAGAAGAAGAGGAGGATGAGAGGAGGCGAGGAATTCATGCGTTCTCCTCTCCGTCTCCATCTTCCGTCTCGTCGTCATCGTCCTCTTCTTTCGTCCATCTCTCTCCGTGTCTCGTCTCCTTCTCTCTTCTTCCATTTCCCTTCTCTCTCTCTCTCGCCTCTCTTCATCTTATCTCTTCTCTCTCTCCTCCTCTCGTTCTCTTCTCATTCTTTCTGTTCTCTTTCTCCGTCATCTTTCCGTCTTATCCCTTCTCTTTCTCTATTTCCATCGTCTTCCTTCTCTCCAACGAGACGGAGACGAAATGAGAAGATGAGGAAATGAAGATCCGTCTTCTCTCTTTCGCCGTCGTCGTCTCTCTTCCTTCGTCTCTCCTCCATTTCCACCTGGTTTCGCCAGGGGCGAAACACCTCCCCAGTAACCGGTTTGGTGCTACCGGCGACCACGTTAACGCCGAACTTCGCGTTGCGTAGTGCAATCGAAGCCTATGTGAAAGAACGTCCCGAGATCGTGCGAAAGAACGTCACCGCTGCAAACATTGAAGCGGCCGTGCGAATGTGTGAGCAAGATAGACGGGAAGCCGGCAGGAAATTAGAAAACCAGGAAAGCCGCATTAGAGCGCTGCAGGCGGAGGTCGAGCGAGCAAAGACCGCCGCAGCGACCGTGGCGCGGGAATCGAGAGAGAAAGACGAACGGATTGATCAGCTCGAGGAAAGCGTCACGCTTCTGGAAAACGAAAAAGACGACCTAGAGGGAGAGATCGATGCCTCGTGCCGACAGATGGGTGCATTAGCCGGATTTTCGAACAGGAAGAAATCAAACGGCGCTCAAGTTGATGGCGGTCGCCTTTCTTGCAAGCCGGGACATCGCCAGGCAGTTGCGGTAGCTGCTCAACGGCCACAAAACCCGGATGGCCATGGGTACTATGCTGAGATTGAGCTGACGGGGGACCCTGTGGCGGAAATACATCGATCGGTGAAAGAGATCAGCCTGGCCTTTACTTATAGCGCTGAGGGACGTGCCCCGTGCGGCTCGTGTCTAACTTCGCTACACGACGGAGCAGATGAGGGACGCAACAAGTGGGGTGTTGAATGGGACTCCGAGAATGGTGACATGTGGTGGACCTGTGATGGTATGTACAATATCGATCTTTACAAGAAGCTGCAAATAACGGGAATGTCTGTCGGATCAACGCTGGGTGTTTGGCTGCGCAATTCCGACAAAAGTGAAAGTGGTTGGGTGCTGTCGTTGGTGGTGAATGGCGTCCGCGTCTACAATGTGGAATGTCCGCTCACTGCTGCAGATAAATATGATAGCCGAAAGATGTGGATTATTGCCGGGATAAGGACGTTCAAAGATTGCACTACGGGAATCAGGCTCATGGAGGATGCTCGCCCTCCGCTGATGACCGTGGATTCCATTTTCGTTTACGATTGGGAGAAGGGACGTTTACGGTTGCGAAAAGAAACATTTTTTAGGGTAGCCCAGTGGCGTGACGTTCACGATAGCAGTCCGAGTACTGAAGCAACGGTGTCGGACGACGATGAGCATGAGGAAGCTTTGCTGTTGAAACATGTCTCACCACAAGATGCTTACGCTGGAAGAGCTTGTCGCGAAATAATTTTCCGCATGTCGCGAACTAATTTATACAGCCTAATGGAAACAGATAGTGGCAAAAAGATGCTGCGGGAACTTCAGTCGTACTTCAACCACCGCCCCCAACTCCGAGATACCATTCTGTTACTCTTTATTGTCGTTGGTCACGACGTGTTGCTCCGCCCTGTTCGATCCTTTTACATATGCCTTCTCGGAGCCTTGATCGAAGATGCCAGTAAACTGGGTCATCGGTTGCCTGCGCTGGCGGAGGACTACCTGCGCCACCGTTGCCAAGTAGTACTAGCCACAAATGGCAAGACCGGAACCGGAGCGGGCATGGGCGGTTATTTTCACTGGAACGGCAACACCCTGACGTGGGACCATACTGGAAGTGAACAGGTGAAACTGCTCACCCGGTATGAGGAGGTGCGCAGGAACGCCGGTAACGAGGACGACAGAGAGCCATCGGCTACGCACCCGACTGCGAGCAGTTCCAGCAGCTCTGACGCGATGTTGCTGGGCTAAAAACTAGCGTCTGCTTGTTTTGCTAAAGCTCGAAATCAGAGATCATTGGTGGTCCTTTTTGCTGGTCTTAACGACTTGAGACCCACCTTGATATTTCGAAGCGGTAAGTCTAACTCTTGCAATTGCGCAGTTCACGAATACGAGTATTGCAATAAAGCCTAAGCGGCTTGACTGCTCTCGCAGATGAAAACGAGCACGCAGTTCTTGACAAGTGACAGCGATGTCAACGCCGGTGTTCTGGTTGTTATGTGCCTTCGTTATTGGTGTTCTGGCCGCAGCCATTTAGTATCGACGCCGTGATTCCTATTTCGACGCACTTCATCGGCTCGAGTGCTATAAACTCAATTCCTAAGTCGAAAAAATAAGTATCATATGCAAGACGATCTGTAGTGTCATCGCTCGTAGAATTCGTTTCTTCAAGAAACCGAGGCTTGTCCTCGTATCACATGTCGTGGGTCTCAATACAAATTTCTAGCATTTCATCGTCGTGGTGCTTATCGTGGGTTGGCGTAACTACATGACAAAGGTGGGAGGACATGCCGCATGTCCTCCCTTTCCTCCCGACCGGCATAACAAATTGATCGATCGTTGTTCGGTCTTGCAGCCCCTCGGTACTAGGGCCTGCTTATGAGGAGATTCGGTTTATTCAGTGGTGTCTGTCTAGTTCATGATTCATGTACTCGTACTTCATCCCCATCGTCAAAACGTGTATCATTTTTACTACACATAGAGTGTAGAAGAAACGCCCTGTAGTAACTAATGTCTTAAGTACTGCCGGCGGCGGCCTCTTACAAGCTTCCCGAGCCGAAGAACTAGAAGCTAACTCATCCTCCATCAAAAATGCGTAATTCCAGCACAACGAGCAACCGCAATGCTCGATACTATCCGCAAACCCACCAAACCTACGGGGCTACAACAACCACGTCAATTGGCCCGAGCTACGACCACCCGCCCGGTGAGGACCAGGAGCTGCATCCCGTCCATCCAGTCCGACAGCATGCGCTTATGGACGAAGGTTTCGATACGTCTGACCCAGAGGAAAGAGCTGAATCTCCTGAACAAACAGCAATCCAAATTAGTACCGGCACAAGTGGACCTTCTTCCTCGTCTTCGAGAAGCGGAACTACAAATGCAGTAGATGCTGGAAAACCTACATTTATTTCGTCAAAGAAGGAACTATTACCCTGCAGCCAGGAGCTCAACAGCTACACTCAACCGACCAACGGGCGAGGGTCCCACAAGTACTGGACCCCACTGTTTTTCTACGGTGAGGGAGAGGATGAAAATGAGGGAGATGCAGAAGCAGCGGGAGCGCAACCTCCCGGAAGTACAAATTCATCTGCTCCTCCTGCCCCAACAAGAACATCCGCTACGACACGCGGGACGTCGGTTGTTGCTGGTCTTCCGAGCGATCCGTTTGGCCACGAGTTTTCGGTAGAGCAGGATGTCATGAATCGGGATTGTGTGGAGTTTTGCTGCGGTTGCAAATGCGGCAACCGTTACCACATCAAGCCGAAGGATTCAAAGCAGAACGCACTGACAGAGATGTATTTTTGCGGCAATTTTTTTACATTTTGTACAGTTCTACCTGCTCGCTCTACGTCATGAGAAACACGTCAAGATTTTGTGACTTGGAAGATGCATGATGGAAACAAAAAAAAAATCCCAGGTACGTGACCGAAACTTCTTCGCTTTTCCAAAAGCTCTGCTGTGGGGTGTATCGCGGGCTCACCTTCGACATCTTTTACGGCGGCGAGTACAAAAGCCGCCGCGACCGGGAGTCGGTGAACCGGCCGGACAAGAAGATTCTGGAGTTGCAAAAGCCCTTTGTTTGCCAAATCTGCGGGTGCTGCTGCTGCGACGGCTGCAGTAGCTTTTGCCGGCCGAAGTTTGAGGTCAGGTACACCGCGGAGAAGTTCTCCGGGCCGAAACCAATCGGATTCGTGCAGGACCACTTCAAATGCTGCGGCTTGAAAGAGGAGCTTTTTCTGTACAAGGATAATGCGAGTATTGGCCAGCAACAGCCTTCTCAAACCCAAGGCAGGACCTCGTCTTCTAGCAGGGGAGCAGCGGCGGGAGCACTGGGGGAATCAAATGCGGAACACGTTTTCACCATCGAGGGCTACAATCTGCAGGTCGGGTTCTGCTGTCCGTGCGGCGACTCGGTGTACGACATTACGGATAGGCGGAAAGACCGTGCTGGAAATAACGGGAATACAGCTGGTCCGAGGAAAGTTGGAAACGTGACGAAAAAAGGGGGCGCTTGTTTGCAGTGTTTGAAGGAGACGTTTCTGGATGTGGAGAATTTCAAGGTCTCTCCCCCGGATCAGGCCAGTTTCGAAGAAAAGTCGCTGATCGCAGCGTATGGAACCAGGAAAAAAACTGTGTTTAGTGAAAGAAAGTCGCTGATAGCCGTGTTCGTTGCGGAAAATGCAAAAAACCCTGCATGACAACAAGTTTTTCATGTCATGCGGAACAAATTTTTAGTCCTGTGCTGATCGTACACCGACACAGTTTTTTTGTTTGGATACGGGTGCAGCCCTGATGATCGATCTGCAACACTACGAAGACCGGCACGACCAACACATGGACGCTTAAGGTGTTTTTGTACAAACTCCGCGCTTCAAAGTCAAAGTTAGCATTTATGTATGATAAGCATAAAATAAAAAGATTATACTTTGTACCTAAAAGATACAGACTCGATGTAGCGAACGACTCCTGAATCCTTTTCGATTTCGATAGACAAGCACGGAAATTCCACTCCACTGTACAAAAGTTTTCGCGACGAAATTCTTGTACCAAAAAGAAAAAAAAATCATGCGCTGGAAAGTCAAAGAGGAATAGCCTACGTACACCCCGAACCGAAAAAGGGAAGGGTGTGATGTAAACCACTACTTCTTCTTGCTCCAGAAAGTACTGGTACAGCATCTTCGTGTCCAACCTCATCCACTCGATATAGATATACATCGTTCTCATCATGATCTCGTGGTGCCCGTGGGTGAACGTCGTTTTGGCTTTCTTTTGATTTGACTCTCAACTACCGGTGTCTGATCGCCGCGGCGTTGAATTTCAGGGGAGGTAGTAGTAAGTCGTGCTAGAGATTGAAGTAGAACTTCAGCACGACCATTTCGTTTTCGCCGTAAAGGCTTGACTCCTGCCAGGATAAGCAGACTGCACTGACAATGTGTTTTTTTTGCAAATGGTTTTTCGGATTTATTTGAAGATAGATGGTCGCAAGTTCCACCATTTGAAACAGACATCATGTCTTCCGGTAAAAATCAATCTCGGCAGCCACTCCGGCGCCCCCGCGGGCGTGCGGAGGGGTCAGCAAACTACGGGTCTACATCAAATCCGCCCGCGCAAAAATCGATGGAGATGGACGCGGGCGGGGATCCGCTGGGGAGCGACTTTGTGTTGCGCCAGGAGCTAATGCGTCGGGATTGCTTGGAGCTGTGCTGCGGCTGCGAGTGCGGGAACCGGTTTTTGCTCCTACCGCGCACTAAAACCGGCAAGAAACCGCTCCGCAAAATCTACCTGACCGAAGAAAGTACGTGCTGCCAAAAGGTCTTTTGCGGGCCCTGTCGCGCGTTGACCATGCACGGGTACTTTTTCGGCTCGGACCAAAACGAGGCGGTCAACCGTCGGGAGCCGGCAACCGACGTGAAAGTGATGGAAATGTCGAAGGACTGTGCGTGCGTGTGCTGCTGTTGCTGCTGCGGCGAGGAATGTACGAAATGCGGGCAACCGAAGCTGTTCGTGAAGCTGAGCGAGGACATAAACACGAACTTCGCCGAAAAAGATAAAGGTTTTGCCCCCATCGGCCACATCCAGAACCACGCGGCCTGCTGCAAGGTGCGGCAAACCATCTACGTAGACCAGTACAGTACCACGGAACCGAAATTCGAGATGGTTGGATCCTTTCTACGCAATCTCGCAAATAAAGTCGTTGTGATGTACATGTAGTACAGCTAGTCACCAGGAATGTTGCACGCAGTAGTTGAAGTTTCTTGGTGACGGATGATTTAGTAAGCATGGGTTTGCAACACGTGCCGTTGATTTGCATTTGATGTTTACATCTTGGACGACAGAACTTCTTACTCTTCGCAAATACTGGTATAATTCATTGTTCCGGACCAGCACACAGCACAACTTTAACTTTTGCGCAGGATGAGTGTGCCAGTGCGGAAATTTCTTTCCCTGTTGCGAGGCGACGTTCGATGTGCAGGACCTGGATTCCTCGAAGAATTTTGCGAATTCGGGGGGAAAAATCACCAAGGAAAGTCGAGATGCGTGCTCGAAGGGAATGCTGAAGGAGGCTTTTCTCGCACTGCAGAATTTTCACGTGGAACCCGCGGAGGGAGCGAAGTACGAAGAAAAAGCCATGCTGGCAGCGGCAGCGATGTTGCTAGACTTGACAATCTACGAAAACCAAGGCAGTTCTTAAAATAAAAATTCTGCAAGTTTTTCGTCATATTTTTCAGTAAAATTTGTTTGGTAACGTAAACGTCTACACACCTGAGCACATGTATATTTCTGTGTTGCAACATCATGATCATGTATATAATCCAAGAAATTAGCAAGATATTGGCACGCTCTTTCTTGCGCAGCTGGCGCCAACTGCAGTTTAGTACATACATAACAGGAGCAGAATAGATACACGCTCCTCATGCCTTTAGTTTTGATGCGGAGCCAACTTTGATATTAGCGTAGTTTACTCGAACTTGTTGAGAATTTGGAATGCAGGAGCATGCTACAACGTTTACACAAGAATTTAGACGATTAGTGCCGCAAGAGAAGCAAAATCGTCGAAGGGTGTTCTCGGCCGACTCGGAGTTCCTCGATAAAAATTGTTTTTTTTCGCGGACGAATCCCACGAGACATTCGTTAGGGGAGAAAAATCTTGCCATCTCTACAAAAATTTTGTACCACCAGAACACGCGAAAAAAAAAGGCTGTTTTTTGGGGCTTTAAACTTTTTATTTTTTTAGGCAGTCAGCGAGCGCGCACAGCCAGCCCGAATCGATTGGGCCCGCATGGGCGGCCGTGGTCTGTGACTGCTTCGATTGTCGGGGCGTCTTTTAGTCTTGCTCCACATGTGCTGGCCGTGCAAGGGCAGGGAATCTCTGCGGTGAGCGCGCAGCCCATGGCAAGGCTTAAGGGCCTCTGCCCCTCGCCGGTGTGTCGTGTCGTGTTCTGTATGTAGATGGAAATGCATCACAAACGCGGCTCTTCGCCTCCGACGGATCCAGCAGCCGATGTTTATTCTCCGAGCGCGTGATGATTGGATGATTGAGCTCGATACAGATCAAGGCTTAATTCGAAAATCGCAATAACATTTGTCCCTGCCCTCATGCAGCAGTTCTCGCCGTTTTGTATGCAGCCCACTGAACCGCATCTTCAGTGGACATTCTGACTCTTGTATGATTTATGTTTCCTCGGCCGGTAACGAACCGCATCTTCGCGAAAGCCGTGCATTTGCCACTAGCTGTAGGTGAGACCGCATCTCTCACACCCCGCGTTGTTCTTGGGCTGTAGTGTCATATCTACCTCTCCAGGCGTGGCGCATAGCGCTTTTTTCGATTTGTAGACCCTCGTCGGCACAACTTTTAGATTGTAGTGTGGCACTTTACTCGAATTGGCGGCCTCTTCCACCATTCTTTTTGTGTATTCACGCGCAAATAGTTCTTTTATTTATTACGACTTGAGCGACTACACGCGCCACAAGTTTTTTGTCGCGAATTTTATATGCTGACGAGGTACCTGGGAACCGCATCTTCCCGTGCGAGGTTAGACGCAAATTTAGGCCTTGGCCCCCCCCTTTTGGGACCTGAGGGTGATCGAATCTAATAATAATAAAAGGCCCTGCTTGTTCCCTCGCGAGTTTGAATGTTGATTTATTTTTTTTGTTGTTCTGCGATTAACCCCTTCCCGATGCCATTGTTTTGATGACCGATTATTACTTGAGCTGCATAGCAAGATGAATTCGTTCCTTGTGAAATCACTTTTAATGTTAAATACCGGTAAAAATCCGTCTTACCTCAATCTATGAGCTTTTGCACTTCTCCATTGTATTTACAAGAAGAAATATTCATTCTGAAGCAAAAACCCAAATGACGGGCGAGAAGAAGAAGCGGTGGGGTGGTAACAAGAAAAACACTGCGAGCAGTACTCAAGAAAAAACTGGTACGAATCCAACAGCAGCAACGGCCACTTCACGAGGACAAGGAGCCGCCACCCAGCATGATCTTGACAGAAGGCCGCTGGACGAAGAAATAAGAACAGCGACACAGGACGAAGATGACGACGGGTTGCACCTCGTGGAAGGGCGACGGACTCAGGGTGCGAACATTGCTTTGGAGCAAGTCGCGGAGGGGCTGCACCGGAACTTGAAAGCGGGTACTAATTCGCTGATGAACGAAATCATAACATCAACGGCGAACCAAAATAGCAGAAGAAATAAACAGCAAACAAGTTCTGCGATAAAAAACGACTCCAACAACTCTTTGCAAGAATTTCTCTGCCTGATTCAAAATGACGAACACACGTTCTGCCTCTCCGAGGCCGTGTGCAAGCGGCAGGACCTGCGGATTTTCGACAATTTGATGCAGGAGCTTTCCTTCCACCAAATGTGGATGAGCGGGGGCACCGCGCTCCGCCGCCCGAGCCACGCGGGAACGCAGGAGTTGTTTGAAAAGTCCCCGACCTACGCCGAGGTGGTGCGGTTTCTGGTGAAAAAATTCAAACTCTCCAACCCCATCCGGTCGATCGTGAATCTGTACCGGGACGGAACCGACTCGACCGGCATGCACCGGGACCAATACTTCGGGGAAGCGAATTTCACGTGCGGGGTGAGCTTCGGGGCGTTGCGGGAACTGGAATTTTTACAGGAGGTGGATTACCAGAACATGATGCAGCAGCTGAACCAAGGATATTATGGCACAACGTCTGAACATATCAAATGTAAAAATGTATGGGTCTGGAAGAATGCAAGATTTGTGATGCAGGTTTTCCATGACGCATGAGGTCTGGAATACGAGACCCAGCATGACAGATTCTTTGCGGGCTCTATCATGCCTTTCCTGCATGAGAAACTCCCTCTCAACTTGGTCAAAAGCGGACAGCTTTTGGCACTCATGCTACACAGATTTTTGCATCATTTAGATTTAGCATGACAAGTTCTAACCTTCCAGACCCAGACATTTTTACATTTGATAGAACAAGGAAACAACAAGAAGTTCACGTTTCCGCAGCACAATGGCGACATTTTCGCGTTTTCCAACGTGGTCAACTCGCGGTGGCGCCACGCCGTGCCGAAGCTGGTGCCGAAACACAAGTGCGGACCGAGGATATCACTCGTGCTGTGGGGCTGCCGGCGGGGGGAGAATAAGGTTTGGGACTACGAGGAAGCGTGTCGGATGGATCCGCTCGGGTTTGAAGTGAAAATCATAGACAGTCCACATTTGAAGTACGAAGACCCAAAGTTGGTGGGTGATACCAGAGAGGGAAATAATGGGAAAAACTACATCCAAGATGAAGAAAGATGGCACTACGGGTGATGAAAATGTTGAATAATGAGAAGTAAAGCGACTAGTACGAAAACGAAGTTATGAACCGTTTCTTGAAAGAACCTCTGTTGAGTGAGATTTTGGGGCACGAGCATAAGCCTATGGCGATTTCATAAAAAGAAAGTTTGAAATAACTTCAAGTAAGTTAAGTATGTGCCTTGTTCGCAAGGAGAACGACTTGGCCATCAAGTCAAGAAGATTGCTTCGTGTTTTTCTGTCCCTGTACCAACCTGTCAAAAAACAAAAAGCGATGGCCTGTAAATAATTCTCTCTCGTCTTTCTTGTCGTGAACCGAACGTGTCCGTAGGAGCTTTGGCGGTGCCAAAATCGTGATGGTTGGAATAAGTAAGTTTCTTTTCGTGAACCAGAATTTCCATGTCGTGAAGGAATCTTTCGTGAATATTTCTGTCACAATTATTTGAAATCGTCTACAAAATCGTTGATGGTCTATTAGACTCTAGTGCAACATCATGCGCGTCTGACGGTGCGAATATTAGCAAGTGGGCAACAGTTTACAACTGAGACTTCGTGAAGTAACATCATCGAAGAGTCCATTGATTTGATACATTTTTGTGCACCTGAAATAAATAAAGGAGCAGATGGCGCAGACCGTTTTTTTCTGGTGACAGGCAACCGAAGAACTACAGCGGTCGCTTTAGATTTGGCTTGTACCGCTGGAGGGAGAATGATGAATTACAATTACTAGTTGGGCGAAAAGTTACAGCGTTACCTTCTCCCCTTCCTTGTCTTTGCGCTTCGTTCGTTCTCTTCACAAATATCACAAACGACATTCAAAATTTTTGTTTATGCCGTAAGAACACAAGCACACAACCACAATGTCCGCCGCAACGACCCCGAAAAGGTTTTTTCCGAGCAGCGCTAGCCCCGCAAGTGCGTTCACGCCCCGGGCCCCCGCCCGGTCGCCGGCTTCGCTTCTCAACGCAAACGCGAGCACGCCCAGGACCCTCAACGTCAACGCGACACTGACGATCGGTGTGGGAACTACCGTGACCTCTGCAGAGGAGAGCAATGACGGTACTGCGTTGCGCGGAGGACGAATTGGATTTTCATCGATGGGTGGAGGGGGTAGCTCGAGTACATCGAGAAAAGACGTGAAAATCATGCCTGGCGTCGCAGAGGAGGAAAGCGAAAACAGAAGTTGGAAAGCTTCTGATGCTGATGTAAAAAAACCCAACACGACAACTACACTGGCGACGACAAGCAGCTTCTACAAAGCTCCTGCAAGAACGGCGCAGCACCAACATCAAGAGCAACAGCGATGGCATGTCCATCAGGAGGGTGCAGGGTTATGTGCTACAGAAAAATCGAGGGTCGTGGACGACCATAAGAATCCTTTGAAAGGAGCCGCCGAACTGGCTAGGTGGACGTTTGACACAAGTGAAGACACAAATGCTGACCAGTTTTTCTCCGCAACAAGCCACCAATCCGCGATGGGGTTCCACCATGCAGAAATTATCACGAGTACAACTAGTCAAAGCAACTTCAATCCGCACTCTACTGTCCACGCCGCGGCTGTGTCCACCAATCATATCGCTTTTGTCACCGGCGGAAATGCCTCGAATAAGGGGCACAGATCCGCGAGCTCCAACGTAGCGCAAGACGTCTGCCTCTGGTGCACGAAGACGGGGAAGCAGGTGCGAAAATTGCAGAAACTGCACAAATTGCCAATAACTTGCGTGAAATTGGTGGATTTTGAGGGTTGCGCTTCAGGAGGCGCTGCCGCAAGTGGTTCGTCCCTGCTCGTAACTGGTGGCAAGGACCGGTGCGTCAAGGTGTGGAGCGTAGCGGCGACGGGGAACAGCAGCGAGAATTCTACCTCTGCCGCACACATCAAACACCGCGACTATAGTGCGTCGTCAGCAATAACTGCCAGACCCGCTGAAGAGCAGCTGTTCACGATTGAACGCAGTTCCTTGAAGGCCGAGGTCGTCGCTTTGGATGTGCTGGTACAGCCAACCGACGAGTTTCTCACCACAGAAAACCTCATCCACATTGCCGTCGTTACCGCAGACAAGCAAGTTTCACTGTTCCACAGATCCTCGGGCGTCGCGACCGGTGGGAAGCTTGATCATCCAGTGTTGAAGCAGATCCAGCAACAGCTGTGGGCCGGTACTAGCGGAGGCTCTTTCGGATCATCGGCCTCGCCAACCAAAACACACCAGCAAAACAGCATCAACACGCCGCTCATGTCTGCGAGGGGGAGTGCAGCAACCGCGTCGAGTGGTCGTGGGACAACTACAACCGGGAATTTGAACCGGCAGAGCGCAGCCTTAGACCAAGTGATGCCCGTGGTTTGTTTTGTGAAAGGAACGAGTCCCCTCTCAACCGACCTCCTGCTTGTGAGCGTGACGCACTGCGATTCGTCGCATTCCTCGGTAGCCAAATCGTCGATTTTGGTGTTCGACGTGCGCACCAGGGAATGCTTGCAGCAAATTGAAGTACGGGAGTCGAGTGTAGTAGATTGTGTGGGGGTGGTGGTGAAAAAAATGCAGTTTACTGCGGAATTGCAGCAATTGGACGTCTTCTTCGACGACGGAGGGCTGTGGTGCTTCGATGTGCACTCCTTTGGCGAAGGAAGCGAGAAAAATGCCGGCGCTGAGAAGACAAAAAATAAGATGTTGAAGACGAACTACACAAGTTCTACCCCGGCAGCGAAGTGCAAATTTTCCACCGAACTGAAGGAGTTGGGGCTTTTGTGTGGGCAGAGCTCTGACGAATCGGAATCAGAAGAACAGAATGTAGACCGGCAGGATTTTTTTCGTCCAGGAGCAGAAGCTCATGGAGTCCTGACGTTAAACGAGCAGAAATCGAAGCAATACCCAAAGTGGCAGCCGAAGGCGCTGTTCGACTCGCTGTTTAAGGAGCAAAAGTTGAGCTGTCTGCACGTCGTGTCCGCACCGGAGATTTCCTGGGTGAACAGGGAGAATCAGATGACTTCTGGGGCCGTTGTGGAAGGAGAAAATCTAAATCAGGTGCTGGATAATTGTACCTCTGCAAGTTGTGGTCTTCGTGGGACGAGGAAACACCAGCAAAACGTCAACGTGATTTTTGAAGAAGAAGACGAAGACATTAATGATGACTCGGAGTTCGATGGAAACAACAGCTCCGACGCGATTGCAGAGGACAGTTCATCTTGCAGCGGCTTGTTTGACGAGTCCGCCTCCGTGCCGAAGGTTTTGAAGAACGAGAGCAGTAGTGGTTCTGGGACGACAACTATGGAAGAACGTAATAAAAGTGGTATTATGATGCTGAACTTCGCTAAATTGCCGAAAGCCCACCTCGCAACGTCGCCGCTGTTGACGCAGCAGCCAGGAGCAAAATTGTTGAACACGAGAGGATTCACGGGGTCGCCAGCTGTGCTGAAGTCAAACGGGAGTGGAATGATGAACAACGCCATCCAATTCTACAATGACAAAGGCACGGGTGGATTGTTGCATCAGCATGCAGCTGAAGGAACCATGGCGGACCAGTTGGCTTTAGACGAAGCGCTCAAAGCAGAATTGGAAGCGACGGAGGAACAGGAGCCAGGAATAAATGACGAAACAAGTGACAACAGGGCCGAAAAAGTAGGGACACAAGAGAATAAAGTCATCGTCCCCCAGCGCTCAGAAACCGCGTCTCTTCAAGAGCTGTCCAAGCACGGCGAACTTTTACTCATCGGAGATCAGCATGGGTGGCTCCATTTTGTGGACAAAAACACGCTGCAGAAGAAACGGAGAAGTTTGCTCGTTTCCTGCCCGGACACGCCCTCGTCAAATGTGCACCACGCCGCGGGGGTGACTGCCGTGTTTCTGTTGGAATTGTATGACAATGAGGACCACACCGCCGGACGACAGGATGGCAAAAATGCTGTTCCCAGCGGCTGCCGTGGAACGAGCGATCGAGAATTCCTCAGTAACGGTTTCAAAAAGGATAGGATTTTGAAAGCGACCGAGAAATTCGACAATTCAAGAGCTTCGTTAGGAACCAAAAAACAACAGCCCTCGACGCCCACAAGTACTGTTGCAGACCAGGCGAAACGGATGCTGACGCGCATGCGGTCGACGCCGAATCTTCCAACGGTGCAGTTACTGAACAGTTCTAGCAGTTTGAGCCAAATTTTTTCCGGAGCATCTTCTTCATCCCCACGGTTTGTTTTGGAAAATAGAAACAGCATGACATCAAGTGCTTCTGCTACAACCTCGGAACAACTGAAAAGATACTTTCTCTTCACCGTGACGACCGACGGCTGCGTGCGGGTTTGGGACTTTGAGCAGCTGTTGAGTTCGAACTTCTCCAAGTTGAACGGGAATCGAAAGCAGCTGAGGCACTACGTCTTGAACGATATCAATGCCAACGCAAAAGATAGCGCAGTGTACGCGAAGCTGGCTTTCGGATCGAACGGAGGTTTTGAAACTTCGCGTAACTACGAGCAGTTACCGGCGAAAAGGGAACAGGGAGCAGAACACAAGGCAAGCACTGCTGCGCAGGCCAAAGTTCTGAGCAACACCAGCAGTGTCAAGCCAGACGAGGGTCGTGCTCCGACCGCGCCGCAAGATCCCGTAGTTCCGCCAGCTCGTTCTCCGGTGATTCTTGGGGACGCTTCCTTCCTGTCCCCCCGTGGATTTAGCCAGAATTTTGCAGGATTTGCTAACGGATTTCTGAGCCCACGCGTGATAGCGCAACCGGGGAACAACTATCTTCAGGCTCCGCAGGAAGACGTCGACCACGCGCCGCAAAATATCGAAAAAACTGCAGGTCCCGTGGTCGACGCAGCACTATCTTCTCCAAGAAAAACCAATCTGACCGGAGTACTGAACCACCAGTCAACCCCCGCCATGCTCTTTTACGATGAGGCAGATCGGGAGCATCCGGAGCAGGTAGTAAAGAGAGTGCGGGAAAATCTAAACACCAACCTCAAATTATCAACGACTCCGAAAACAACCGGAAAATCGAACAAGGAAGCGCTTGTTGCTTCACCGATGTTGCCGAAACAAGCGAAAGCTACGACTATGAAAGCAGCAACCGCTAGTACACCTCCCCAGTCCACCACCGCAGCAGCGGCAAGCAAAGCGAAATCAGTGCGACAGGAAGCCGAGAAGACCCGGACGGTCAATTCAAAGGCGTTAAGGGCGAACGTACCGAAACCGCAATCGGATGGAAAATTGTCCGACTACGTTGACGGGACGGTGATTACACCCCGGTCAGCCGCAGCTGCCGCGGTGAAGAGAGCCATGGGGGGAGGGAATATTAAATCGTCCCCGTTGAGTGGGTTGAAGAAAAAGATCGGCGGGTTGACGCCCGGTGCTGGAGGGTCAGCGAGAAAGAAGAAAGCAGGTGGAGGAGCTGGTGTGGTGGATCCTCCGACGTTGCCGGACAGCAGGAGCAGCCGGGTGACGACGCAAGACGAGACAGCAGCAGCAGCTTCAGAAGAGATTCTTCCTGATGACGAGGCAGTGTTTTACCGTCCAACCTCTTTCCTCGTTGACCAAAAAGGCCCCCTCGTAGGGCCGGGCTCGGCCCAAGCGAGCTCGAGAGAGGGAACCGGGACGTCGGCACGTTCGGGCATAGTGGCCGGTGTAGCGAACCCCATCGCAGCTGGAACGCCTCTTTTGAACACGGGAAGATCTTCGCTCTTGCTGACGCCGCATTCCAGCGCGCGGAACCCCCAGCAGCCCGTGACATTGCCGCAGTCGCAAGAACAACAACCGCAATTTCAGGTGACGAGACAGCAGTCGGCAATATTGCTGAACACGTCAGGAGCACAGCCGCTTACTCCAAGCGGTCCTCGAGCTGCTCCTCTTCTCCTTTCAGGAAATAACAAGCCGACATTGATGACCTTGACACCAGGCCGGCGCACGGGCTTGAGCAACCAGAGCTCCGCCCGGCTGCTTACTGGACAGTCTCCAAACCCTGTGGGACCAGGTGCTCTTCCGCAGTCGTCAACTTTAGTACCCGCTGGGCAGCAGCAGCAGCAGCAGCAGCTACAGCAACTAGGGGAACAAGCAGCCACTCCTGGCCCGACTTTCTTATCCAGCAGATCTTCGATGCAGGTTCAGGTCCTGCCGCCGCAGCCGAAACAACCACTCTCGCCGCGGGACATGAAAGAGATGAAAAAAGGTTCCACACTTGATACAAATGGTATGAAAAAGGACAACAACATTAACACGACTGCCAGTAAGCCGGAGCTGCTTCTCAACAGCACCGAAAGCCAGCATTTTGGTATGATGGCGATGACCGCACCGCATCCCCATTTGCACGCGGACTTTCACGACCACATCGGGTTGAATGTCTCTAAAGGTTTGACGGAAAAGCACGAAGACTTCGCGCACTTACACTGGATTGAGCCGAAGCCCGGGCACTTGCACCCGCCAGCAGGAATACCCGGATTCACGTCGCCACAGATCGTCCATTATTCCAGTGAAAAATGCTCCCGCCCTCAAAGTTGCAAAAATTTGTGATGCGAAGTTTCGAAATGAGCACTTTTTGCCATGCATGAAAGGAGTATGAATCTTTCTGATGGAGATTCTCGGCGCGTATCGCATCGCTTGCATGACAAGCGCCACTCTTGCTGGGGTCTTTTGCAATACAAATTTTTGCTATAATTCACGATTGGAAACCTGTGATGCTGATAGATGCAAGAGGGCAAATGTTTCACTTGGAAAGGTTTGCAATACAAATGCGTCCAAGTTCGGGGGTGGGGGCATTTTTCATTGTAATATCCATCGCCAGTTCACAAGTCCGGCCGCGGTCGGGACGGGAGGTGCTTCTGCGACGAGTCAGTTGAAAACGACCCCGTCCGGCGGTTTCTTGAATAACCTCGGGTTTGGCAACACCACCCTGGATCCGGCCGAGATCGCGAGTCTGGGACCCTTACCGCCTCCCGCGGCGCTGGATCTGCTGGAGATTGTGAACAAAAGGCCGGCGACGGTGGAGGAAGTGAGAAAACGGTCCCCGAGTCCGCCCCCGGTGCGGAACAGCCCCCTGGCGGTGTGGCGGGAGACGGGGAAACCGAGGCCGATCCCCTTTCTAGCGAGTACCAGAGAACAGCAGGCTGTGCTTGCGGCAGGAGGAGATCCTCGTACTTCTAGTCCGCAGCACAGTCCGACCACGATGACCCGGCTGAACAAATTCCAGATTTTGGACCCCGTCGCGCAGGTGTTTGAGCAAAACGTCGCGAATTTACTTTCCAAAACAAATCAGGAACTAGAGTTGGGAATGAACACGTGGCGCGGGGGCTTAGATCGCCCGAAGAACATCCTCAAGCCGCATTTCGCGAGTCCGAGGTTCCCGCCGAGGAGGGGCGGGACGGCAGCGGGGGGGCAGCAGCAGCAGGAGACGGCTCAAGAACAAATTCATCCCAGTTCCTACAATAGAACAATGGAGGAAGAAGAGAGGCCGAGACAGCAGCTGCCCATGCCTGCTTCCTCCACCTCCGCTGCGGCGTCTCCCGAGCGAAATCTGAAAGCTCTGGGCTTGGGCGACGACGGCAGGGCAGCTACTTCCAGCCAATCTCCCACGACCCAGATCCGGCCCTCCGCGCTCTTAGAACAGCAGTACTTGCACCTGGAAAATATGTCGAACCGAACGCAGAATCTCGCTGCGGAATTGCTGAATCGGCGAAGATCGAGGGAGGAGGACTTGGTCCAAAAGCGCCAGAGCCTCCGCATGGTCGCGCAGCTGAAGATGAAAGCGAGTCAGGCAGTGCGACGGGTTTCGGCGAACAGTACAACTTCTGTGCAAGAAGGTGGAATTTCGAAGACCGCGAGCAGCAAATCGAAATCGCCCCCACCTGGTTCAGCGGCAAGAAGACACGAGTTTGACAAAATGCACAAAAAAAGGACCTCCAGACCCGAGATTGCAGAGACGAGAATGACGGTGAATAACGGCGCGACAGACCCGTCGAAGCAGGATGATCTCCCTTTGTTCGTCGACCAGGTAGATAAACTTCCGGGTGGTCGTGAATCCTCCTCCTCTTCCTCCGTCTCCTCCGGCTCGCTATACAACTCCGGCACCAGCACGCCACGGTCGGCTGTGGTGCGGACTGCTGCGAACATCAACATCATCAGCCCTGAAGGTGGAATAGTAAGAGGCACTAGCCCAGCTGCAGCCGGAGCTGCCGGCGACCCTCTCTCGGCAGTGGCGAGTACAACAACGCAGCAAGAAAGTAGTTCTTCCCCAAAGCGCGGCACAGTGTTTGATTCCGCGAACAATTTACTGACTGCGGTCGATCAGCATTTTAGCAAAACTTTACTGCAAGTTTCTTCCGACAGACGCATTGCTCCCCGGGTGCAAGAGCAAGTGAGCGGCGGGACGAGTGGGAGAAACACCCCGAGAACTGAAGCTGGCCCAGGAGTTGCTGGTGTACACCATCAACAAGAAAACAAGGAGCCGATTGTGGTCTTCGCTTCGAGTTTGCTCCGCCGGGCCAGCGAGAGGGGCGAACATGAGATTGACAATTTGGTCTTGCCGCCCGCGATGAGCAGAGCCAGCTCGTTTAACAGTGAGAGAGGGGCAGGTGTTGAGCAAGCGTCGTCAAAGAAGAGCATCAATGAGGCACTTGCGAACAAAATCAAGATTGCGGAGGAGCTCCAGCAGAAGCTCGGCAAGGAAACGAAAAGCAAGGAAAGACTGCTGCAGGGGTTGGATGCGGTACGGGATATCCTGATCGAAAGCGTCAAAGACCACATGGAAGATATCAAAAGGAGCGGCAGCCCGCGAACCGAAACGCAGGAGCAGCAGCGGGCCGAATTTCTCCTGGCTGCGGAGAAGCTATCCAACGGGACCAAGATGAACAACAATAAAAGCAATCGGATGTTTGCCACGCCCCCGACGTTCATCCACCCACCGAAAGACGCATCGAAGCAGGGAACAATTTTACCGACTGGCAGCCACGACCAAAAGAAGCAGCACGTGTTTCAGTTGCTGAAGACGTTACACAAACAGGAGGGCGGGAACAAGGAGACGGTGAACAGCTTAAGGCAGGAATTGAACGAATTCTTGGCGGCGTTGGACGAAGAAGAAGTTTTTTCGTGATAGAGTTTTACAGATCACAAATTTCGAAATGTGAATCATATTTTATGCGTGTTTTTCTTTTTTCAAATGCAATTCAGACTTTATCTTCACTAGTGTTTCTGTTTCATCAACACGATTCTCTTTTCTCAATCATAGCAAACCAAGTTTTGGACTTCAAGTTTCACCTACATCTAATTTCGCGAAAATAGCATCGCCGATGCCCCTTCGCATTGGAATGTTTACCAAATTTACTTTCCTTTTCTTCCTGCAATTCAATTTCGGATGTCGGTATTTCTGATGGCAAACTTGTATATTTATTTTTCTGGCTTACAGTTTTATCTTCGCATTTGTTTCATTTGGCGTGGGGTCGTGATGTTACTTCTACATCGAATGTACACATAGTGACTATTGGGCTCGACGAGATAAAGACTTTGTTTCATGAGATTTTTATTTTTTCGAAAAAACTGACACGTGCAAATCGTCGTTAGTACAAGATAGACGTCAGTGCTGTCGCTGCTTTCACAATTTTCGCTCGCGCTCGCAGCCCATGTCGTTCATCGCTTTTCATCGATTTGCTTCTTGCGTTGAGCGTGCTAGCGCTAGGCGGAAGATGAAACCGTCTTGGAGCGACAAGTTTTTTGGTTCGTCAAACCAGCGGCCACGGAAGCATGCATCAGAGGCACGGGAATTCTCGACTTGATTTGGAAAGGACCCTCATTCCACCGAGGACATGCAATACACGACATGTAGAGGAACTACAAATTAATACACTTAGTTCGCGAAGGAGCACGTGAGAAAAAAGATGGTGGGAATGATTTCTTTGCGTGATTTCCTTTCTGCAGCAATCCACGGAGACCACGACGGCCTCGACTTCTCCCGCTCCCCTCACGAAGATGACTCTTGGCTCCACGACGTTCAGCAGGTCGTGCTGGCCCAGCATCACAAAAGCGTCAAATTTTCGACTAAAAGGACCGCATCTTCTACTTCAGCTACTTCCTTCCTCGAGAAGCTCGCGATCGACAAAACCAACTGCCTCCGTGACTACGCGATGCAAATCTGCCCCTTCAAGTGGTTGGTTGGCCGCGACGGGGACAGTTGCCGTGCGTTTGACGGGTACCGCGGGCCCTGCGAGTCCATCCTCCACGGCATGTCGCAACTCTCCTCCAAGCAGAAGCAGAAAATTGCGAAGGACTGCGACGTGGAGTGGCCGTGTAAGGGGCTGTACGACGCCGAGGGGCCGTACGAGGACCCCGGGGCGCTTTTCGGCACGAACCCGGAAGCGAAGCAGACCATGCAGAACCGGTTGCAGCATTTCCTGAAACCCGCGGTGAAATGCAAATACCAGCATTTTGTGAACTTTTGGCCGAAATTCCTGTCGGATTTGGAGCAGAACCCGCTGGATCCCAAGCACGCGAACCAGGCCGGGGACGACTTTTCGTTTGACTCCTTCCCCCGGTTCGGCAACCCGACCGAGTGCGAGAAGCAGTGCAATCTGCAATCGGAGCAGAACTGCGTCTTTTACTCCCACATTCCGCTGTCCTTTCCCCAACCGCTCGGCGGGAGGTGTTTGATGTTTGGGAAGCGGACAAAATTCGTGCAGGATCACTTGACACAGAAGGCGGATAACGTTCACGAAATCGGGCACGTGAGCAACCAGGACAACGAGCCGGACAACGATCCGGTCGATTACGGCGAAGTAACGAGAAACCCAACGAACAAAAACACGCAACCGTACATATGACCTCCTCAAAGGTTACAATCTCAAATCGGTTACCATAGAATCTGGAACTTCTGTTGCATGATGAGCATGACGGATTCGCACAGCGTTCCACCTTTTGCAATACAAATTTCGCCAGATTTATTTAGTGCGGGTTGGAGCTCCAGAACTTGCCATGCGCAATCCTGTGGGAGTAGGGTGAAGCATGCACTTCTTGCATGACAGATTTCCATATTCTATTCTAACGTTTGAGATTGTAACAGCTGAGCAGGTTATAGTACACCGGGGATTACGGGGTGAACCCAAACAAGGAGCCTATCCTAAGGAAAAACGTCCCCACACCAGAGTTGTCATGCAGATTTGCAAAGACAGGAAGACTTGTAATGCGCATCCCCATGAGAGCCATTTCCAATCGTGTTTTGGAATTTGTAATGCTGTGAACAGGCTGAGCAGATGAATCTGTGACGCGGCTACACTTGCTAACCTGCACTACACTGCATACGGCAACTTGTCATGCGTGACTCACAAAACTCCTAGGTTTGTGTTGCAAAATCCTCATCCTGACTGTGGTGTGGGTACGTTTTTACTCAGGATAGAGCCCCAACCGCCAATCTGGATCGCGAAACGCGACGGGGTCAAGTCGGCGAGGAAGGGCCCCTGTATCGACCGCAACGAGACGCTATCAAATGTAAAAATGTCTGGGTCTGGAAGAATTCATGTTTGTCATGCTTGTCTGGCATGACTCTTAAATCTGTCATGCACGTTACCCAAGAGCCCCGTTTTTCTGTGATGCAGAAGCGCAGTTTGTCATGCAGAATAGGCAACACCTAGGAGCTCAGAAACTTGTCATGCTGAGCCAGCATTTGTAGCCTCATCATGAGACGCCACCCAGCATCACAAGTTCCCAGACCCAGACATTTTTACTTTTGATAGACGCCGATGGAAATTCCGCTCGGCGGAGAAAACCGCCCGCGCGTCGTGAAGCACCCCTACCCAATACCGGTGAACGGATCCATAGTCGCGCGGAACGGGGTGGTGGCAGACGGACGGTTTAAAAATTGGATGCACTTGGATCCCGTGTTTGGGGAAATAGACAAAGCGTATCGCTGATCATGAGACTTGACGGCTTTATTTTCGGCGGCTGCAGCTTGTCGTTGTGATTTTTTCCCAGAAATAAAAGACCACATAGATGAATCAACAGGAACCAGCAAGGACAAACAAGCTCCTTCACCAATAATCGAGTTTCGTCAGCACTTGACTTAGTACGGCAATTGAACGTGCAGAAGCGCCACGATTTTCTGCCACCAGCATGTTGCTTGTTCTACTTCTACTAAGAGGACAGTTGTGCAGAAAGGGATCGATCAAGAACTTCTCGAGCTACGAAGTAACAACAAAGTTAGAGTTCATTGACGAGGGCGAAGACGAAACGAGAAGATCTCACTTTAGGAACCGCCTGAACCTGATAGGACCTGTCGTGCAGGATCTTTCTAGTTTTGTTCCACGAGGCGGGTAAGAACTTAGTAATTGTTAGAGATTCAGATGCATTAACGATAACGGCTGGCTTGGACGATCACGATCTCACTAGTATCTCTGTATCACCTCCGGGTACTGATCAGGAAACGGTTTGTTCGTGGTGACGATCTATGTCGGCCTGTTTGCCCCTTTCCTCTTATTGTGCGTATTTGCAGGTGGCACAGAGTTGCAGTACACGATCAACCGCAAGAACAATGCTGATGGTGCCGGTGGTCACAGGTTCTTGATTTTTTTTTTGCTCAAAAAAACGACGACCAGGATCATTTCTTCGGGTGTTATGGCGGAAGGTTGCGCTGCTTATTCTAAAACTTCATCTGTTGAGGTGCATCACTCAATTTTTTTGAAGAAAAAAACACCCTACTTCTACCAACTTCGGTGAAGCATAATTGTAGTTCGCACACATCAGTAGTTGTGCCTTTTCATCTATTGCAAGAATCACAATCAGCTTTTCTTTTTTCTTTTCACCTCCGCACCTCCTTGCACACGTCCTCGTGAAGGATAGTTATTTTGCAAAAGGAATTTATTCGTAAACAAGAAAACAAAGGCTTAAGCCCGATATTTCTCCTGTAGCGACAAAAATTAAAGGGTTTTTTGCAGAACAAGCTTCAAGGTCGAAGATTGGTCTGTTATTGTGGTAGTCACCGCTCCTGGCGCTCCTGCGAAACAACTATCTTCCGCCAGAGCAAGAATTTAGATTTAGATCCCCAGCATGTAAGATGGTCGTGAGGCACTGAAACAATCCCAAATTTGTAGAATGTCGAATCAACAAGAATTTTTCAATTTGCGTTCATAGAAAAAATACGATTCCGTCGCCGGCTACACTGTTTCAACACTTTTTGGTCTCGAACGCAGGACCGATTAAGTTATTTAGTCAGTGGTAGTGTGCTGTCTCCAAACAACCTCTCCCGCTATTTCGAGGAGCAGCTTCACTACGTCTCACTTCCCCACAAGCCCATATATACCTAACGATATGCCGTTATGTTCTGAATCGGTTAGAGATAGTACCAATAACAGCAGCTAACGACGTTTATTCCGAGTGCTTCTTGTATCGCACAATCATCGGGGCAGGTGCTGCTGCGCCACTTATGCAAAACGGACAGGGAACGACCGGCAGAACACCCTGCTCGGTAGTGAAAATGCGCAAGAAAGGAAGAACCACTGGAGTACGAGAAGCGCTTTTCTGTGTGAGAGCACTGCTTGTCCTGCTATCGCCGATACAGCGAGTTGTGAGGGCCTCTGAGTGGCCTGGACAGCACGTACCCCACCTCCACACGAATCTTCCGAGACCAAGTGGGCCACCGGTGGTGAGATCGCCCGGCGATAATGTGACATCACCAGTTGTAGCTCCGCAAGAGCACCAGCCGGTTCTTACAACCAGAGGTGCACAAGCGGCTGGGGCAGCGGCAGGTTCATCAAATGCGGGAGGTTCTACTTTATTCGCAGAGGACGGACAACCTAGAAGTGGTATTGCGGGGCGAGAATCGGCTGCAAGAACCACGAGGACGCCCGTAAGAGGTAGTAGTACAACAGGCTCGCAAAATGGAGGAACCGCGACGACGTTTGCGGTGCCCCACTACCCGGCTCAAATGCAGGAGGCCTTTCTGGTCACGATGTTCAGCAAGGCCTATGACCAGATGCTGCAGGCGCCGTTTGCCCGCGTTTACACAGAGTCACTCTTGGAGCGACTTTTGGCGAAGGATCCGATGCCAAAGGATATCAAGCTCGGAACGGACAGTCCAGACGAGCTGCAAAGCGGGCGGAAAGGGCTCACGATCACAAAAGTAGACTCGACTCATGGTTCTTCACAAAAAGTGCTAGATTCAACACCGGGAGGGGCTGCTCCTGCTGCGTCTTCCTCTTCGTCCAGCGCGGCGGCGACTGCTACTGCTATAGCAAGTTCTTTCGCCACCGCTGCCGCTGCGGGCACTGAGAGCGAGGATATCTTCTCGCCGGAAGTCTCTGGCCTGACCGGGCTGTGCAAACAGATGCACGCTTCGCCGCAGATGGCGAAGAAGACACTGCACGAGTTTCTGCTGTATCTGAAAAAACAAAACAAAGACGGGGAGGTCGTCGACATATTCTTGGATCACAGTATGTTCCACGAGGCGATAGAGCAAGCGTATACGAATAGTCCAGACGGCTACAAGCTCGAGTTCGACCTGGACACGCGAGAGCCGGTATGGCTTCACAAGATGCGGCCGTGGCTGAAGAGATTTTTTACCATGACATTTCGAATCGTGTTCTTCAACCACCAGAAAAAGAACGACGCGGCAACGCAGATGAAGAAAGACGCGCAGATGAAGAGCATTCTGCAACGGATCCGACAGCAATTGCTTTCCTTTTGGCAGGGCCTACCCGCAATTTTGTCGGAGAAAATCTCGTCCAATTACCTCGCGAACTATCTCGCGGACCCGGTGGTGATCACGAAACTCATCCCGGAATTGAATGCCCAGGGGGGAAAATCGGCGGTGATGATGACGCCAGCGGGGGGGATTCCGGTGCGCGCGACGCACAGTATGTCCAGTATCGCGGCTGTGGTGCAGGAGGACCGATTATTCGCCGAAAGCGATTGGAAGGGGATCCAGCAACTAGCCAGTTCCTCCGGACAGAGTGCGAAGATCTCGAAGATTGTGAACAACGTGATCTTGCAGGCGAGAAAGCGGCAAGAGGACGGGAGCTTCGGCGCTGGATTGATCGACCGCCCGCAGATGATCGGAAATGTTTTTACTGGTGCCGCTGGTGGTGGTGCGCCTTCGATATTGTCCCAAGGAGCTGCACAGCCGCCAGCCGCAGCCCCGGAAGGCAACCTTTTCCCGCCGAAACTGCCCGCAGACGTGATGAAACTATTCAACATCGATCCGAAAACCGGCACCGCGCCCTTTCAGAAGGACGTGCCGGTGGAAGAGGTCCAGCAAACGTTTCAAGACCTATTGACCAGAATGCAGCAGATATCCAGGAAAAAAACTGTGTAAGTGTAACTTTGTAGGAAGAGCAGCATCACAAACTTGTTTTGCATTACAGGGCAAACCTGTCATGCGCAGCTAGTACGTGAAAACACGCATGAAAGTAGCCTACGACGCACATCCAGCATGACACTCGTAACAGTTTTGCATTTTGTGCATCAGCATCACAGATTTACACTCACATAGTTTTTTTCTTGCATAGCAGACGTCCGAGCGGGCATTGCAGGAGGACGCATTGGAACAGGAGAAAGACGCGTCGAACCGAGCAGCCTTAGAGGCGGCGCAGTTCGCCGCATTCGGGATCCAGGCGAAATTAGAGGCGCAGAAGAGAATCAACGAAGCGGAAGCGCTGAAAAGAGTGCTGGCGGGGCCCACCGAACAAGCTCCTCCGGGTGGGGCCGCGAATTTGGTTGTTGATAAAATGGAAGGAAAAGGAACAGGAACGTCCGACGTGTCGCATCAACAGCAACAGAAAACTTTGTCTCCGCCGTCAAGGACGAAATTGAAGGGGTTTTTGGGAAAGGTAGGCTCAGGAGGACTGGACGCAAAGCCGCAAAAAAGTAGTTCTGGCGGACAGCAGATGGGGGGGACGTCATCCACCGGTAAAACACGACAGCAGGACCAGACCACCACGACTGGAAGTAGGACGGAAAGTAGTGCGGGGACCTCCAGTGCAACACCAGGTGGACGATCTGGTCCTACCTCGCCGACATCTGGTGGTGGAGCGGCGCAAACTACGGCCGGATCGAGTGCCACGACCTCGCAGCACCGCACTGCGGACCAAGTTCGTTTTGACAATTTACTGAGGAAGTCGACGGCTCAGAGGAGTGAGTCCGTTCTAGTGGAAGACACGTCTACTTCTAAGATCACTGCGGAGGAGATGCAGAGGGAGGAGGAGCAGCAGCTGTTGGAAATGGAGCAACTACAAATTGACCGCGAGTACTTCCCGGAGGTGATGGGGGTCAGGGGAAATAACCCGAAACTGCGCTCGCAAGTGGACCAGCAGCACAGAGACGGAAATAAAAGCGGCCCCCTAGCACCAGGAGGTGCAGGCGGTACTGCCGGTACGATTGAGGATAGTACTTCGAGACACCAAGACTCTGTTCTTCCTTCCGCGGCCGAGCACCCGCTTCAGAAAGGCTTCGCGCACGCTGTCGAGAAAGGCAAGGCGGACACAGAACGATTCCACGAGTGGCAACGGGAGTACCGCCCCGGGGTCGTGCAGTGGCTGACGAGCATGCAGGTACGGGATTTCGCGACTTTATTTCACGGAAATGGGATTTCGTCGAGCGACAACTTCAACCCGAAGGCGGCGCGCGCGGTGATGGAAGCGAGAAAACGGTCGTTGCAGCAACTTATCGACCTGACAATCCCCAAGGACGGAATCAAAGCGCTGCCCCTGTTTCAGATCGCCGACGCCGCTATGATCGAGGCCGTTGCCTCCGAAGACCAGGCCAAAAAATTCGAAGCCACCGTGGACAGAAAGAAGCAGGCGATCCAACAGAAACTAGACCTGCTGAAGAATCCCGACCCGAGGGAGCGGGAGTTTGACCGAATTCTGGAGCACGCACCGGCGGATCTAAGACGAATCGTCACCCAAGTGAAAATCCACTACCTGAATTTTCGGAAAAAGGACGCGAAATTGCGGCAACTGGCCATTTTTATCTACACGGTCGCCACCGTGGCGAACACGTTTATGCTGCTGCTGCGCGAGGCGGCGGTGCAGTACCAAGAGTCCATTGAAATGCTGGACGACCAGACCTTGGAAATGCAAAGCAAAGCGGAAATGGCGATCGCCAAATCGCCCAAAACGTTTGCCACGATCGCCGAACAAGCCTCCGCGGACCGTAACCTGGACACAAAGATGAAGATCGTGGTTTTGGCGGATTTGCAGCAGGCAAACAAGGACTATTTCTACATGATCAACAGATTGCAGTTACCGAAGCACCGCGTCGACCCCATGCTGTTTGCGGACGTCATGCGGAAGCTGGCCGGGGTGGACGACCGCAAGGCTAGTATTACAGCCGGAAAAGAACAAGAAGGTTCAGAACAAACCACCGAACAAAAGGCCTCCATCGGGAGCGTGTCCGCCCACGGGCTGGAGCCGACCATGAAGATGCTGCAGATGACCGAAGACGTGGTCCGGCAGGTGCACGTATCAAATGTAAAAGTGTCTGGGTCTGGAAGATTGCGAGACTTGTCATGCTAATCTGGCATGACTCTGAACTCTGTATTGCGTGGCCGCAAAGAGCTCCTCCTCCCTGTGTTGCAAAAACGCAGTTTCTCATGCGGAATAGGCAACTCAGAACCATGAAAAAAACTTGTCATGCTCGGCGACGCATTACAGTGAGCTCACTATTCTCTTCCTTGCATCACAAGTTTCCAGACCCAGACATTTTTACAATCCATAGCACGTGGAGCTGTCGCAGGAAAGCCGGAGAATCGACGAGATTCTGCACCCCGATTTGTATCGCAAAGAAAAATCCCCCCTCCCCATATTGAAAACGCACCCGTCCAAAAATTTGTGATGCACATTTGTGACCTCAAATCTTGCCTGTCTTGCAAGAAGGCAAGTCCAGAGAGCCCCCTGCATGTTGCAGGCGGTTTGTGATGCTGTTGGGCTTAGACTTAGAGCATACACGTTTGCCATGCTAGGCGCCTACGTCAAAACCTCTCGGCCGAGGCTTGACATATGCCTGCAGTCCTCTACTGCAAGACAGATCTGATTTGTGTACGGAAATGCAGCAGCAGAAACTTCGTTTCGATATGGGGAGGGGGGATTTTTCCTCTTGATAATTTGTCCAAGGAATTCCAAAGAGCGGTCGTATCATCTTCCGGGATGACCACCCGAAGAGCAGCCGCGACGACGACCCCAGCAAGTAGTGCCAGAAGTTCTGCGCAAATGAAAAATATGAAGAGGGCACCAGAAGAACGACCACGACCAGCATCTTCTTTCTCGGAGCAGGATCTCGACGCGCATTTGGCCGGCACGGACGAGATGGTGACCTCAATGGATCCGGTTTTGTTACATGAATCGCACAAAGCTTTTGACGAAATCTTCGCCTCCGCCTGGCGCGGAACCGAGTGCGAAGTCGACGATCCGGTGAATATGACCGTTTCCAAGTGGATGTACTCCTGGTGCAAGAAGCTGGACCGGGGGAGGAGCAAGAAGGCGCAGCTCTGGTTCCACGAGAAGCTCGCGGGGTTGAGTGTGGAAGCCGCGAACGCGGGGGAGCCCACCGTTTCTGCGAGTGGGAAATTGATCCGTCCGGTCATGCCGGTCTTGTACACGTTACCGACGAAGCAGCGCGTGACCGGTTTGATCGATCAGCTGTTATTGGACGGGCACTCCGTGTTGGACGACGCCATGAACTCGCTGGTGTACTGGCAGGACGTTTTCAACAACCACGCAGACGCCATCATTCCGAACGACAGGCTGGACAAACTGGTTTTGCCCGCGTTGCGCGTCCACAAGGATTTGGCCACTTTGCCACGAGAAACTACAACGGGAACAACAGCTGCAGCCGCGGGGTCAGCAGCTGGTGCACACCCACCGAATAAACAAGCCGGAGAAAATATTAAATGCAAAAGAGTCTGGGTCTGGAAGCATGCAAGTAAGTTTGTCATGCTTGTCTGGCATGACTCGAGAATCTGTGTTGCATAGGCGAGATAGAACGCAGAAGGAAGCCAGACGGCCCTTTTTATATGAAGAAAGTAACTGAATGCAGAAAAGAAGAGCGAACACGATGCAAGCAAAGGGCGCACATAGAGAGAGTCAGTAGCGATGAGATTAGTAGTGTAGACATAGACCCACCGGGGTCGTCAGCTTTATGAAAATACGAAGTAGGCCCTTAGTAGGAAAAATGGGAGAAGGAAAAGGAAAATATGGCAACATAGAGGAGCTGACAAGATGGAGGAAATCGGCAACAGCCGGGGAGAGTAAGGAGGAGGATGCGGAGCGTGCGCGACAAGATAAAGAAGGAGGGAAAGGAAAGGGGAAAGGGAAGGAAATGAACGAAGGAAAAACAAGAAAGACAGTGGGCCAGATGCTGCAAGAGAGGATCAAGAATCCGCCGCGAATTTTATTCAAGGCAGACCCAACGATGGAGCTGAGGTCGCTGATCAAAGCGAAGAAAATTAAGAAAAGCAAATTCAGCAAAAAGATAGCAACAAAGCCAAGGGGTGCAACAGCAATAGCAGAGGCGAAGGACTCAAAATGGCTGAAGAGAATACCACTACAAGACGAGAGCGGGAAGGACCTGACATGGGAGGAGAGGAGGAAGAGGGCGACGAAATTGAGAGTGCGCACGACTGCCCTGATGATTCGCCTGAACAGAATGAAAGCGACAGAGACGGAAGAGACAAATAGAGAGTTTGAAAGTTGCCCAGTCAGATTAGGGAAAAGAGAAAAGGGAATAGTGAAACTACCGCCGATGGGGAAGAAGCAGTGGAGGATACATATAGGAGACTACAGAAGGAGATGGGCGAAAAAGCGCAAAGAAAAAGGGCTAGAAATACCGAAAGCAAAGAAAGAAGAACGGCGGGAGCAGAATGACGGGCACACAGAACACAAAAAGGTGATGCAGTCGAGGGAGGCCTATGAAGAATGGCAAGGGAAGGCGATGGCGCTAGCAGAGACAAAGTCATGGTCAGCGGGGACGCTCTATCTAGTGTCGTATGACCAAAGACTAGAGCACGATAGGAAAGTGCAGGAAGAACAAGCAGCAAGGGCGCAGCAGAAAAGAAAGGAGTCTCTCGCGGAAATGTCAGAAGAAGAGAAGACTGAAAGAGAGAAGAAGGAAATGAAGTACAGAGAAACGGCCAATGAGAATAGAAGAAGAAAGAAGGAAGAGATGCGGAAGATCGAGACAAAGGAGGAAGAAGAGGTAAGAAAGAGTATAGGGCGCGAGAAATTGGCAAATTGGAGGGCACGAAAGAAGAAGGAGCGAGAGCAATTGGATGATAAGACCCGAGAAACTGCATGAGTTGCGTAATTAACCACGAAAATCATAGAAAAGAAAAACTGACGAGGACGAAGTCGATGCCAGGGACTCGGAAAGAGTCGCGTGTTCCGCAACGAGAGCGAAAGGACTGCAGATCGAGGCACTCCCGGCCGTTGCGAATATATCTAGATCCATGAAGATCTTTACGCGTAGGAATTTCTCTGCATTAGTCTAAATCTTTTTGCGTTAGTCCACGGACCAGTCCCGAAACAGATAGGAACCCTTAAAATCTAGCAAAATAGGCGGAGCGGTTAGGATATTAAATAGGAAGCAGAAAAATCAGAGTCAGGATATCAGAAAATAGCATAGGTAGAGGAAGAAAAATATGCGAAGGGCGTTGCTCCTCGTCTGCTGCATGCTCAAAGAAAGCATTCCAGCACAGCCGAAACTGCAGAGAAGAGAAGACCAGGCAGGCCAGAGAGAAGACAAAGACAGACAGAAGAATTCGAGGAACAGCACAAGTAAAAAAAGTAGAAGAATGGCGGAGGAGATTAGCGGGGAGGGTGAAGGGGTCCGAAAACCAAAGAAGTTTAGAGACCCGTGGTGGCTAGAAAAGTTAGAAGAAAGAAGAAGCGAAGAGAATAAGCGAGGAGCTGCCAAAGATGTAGAAGAAAAGTACGGGAACATAATAGAATTCCTGCCACCTGAGGAAGAAGGCGCAGCGTGTGACGTGGATGTAGACGGCCTGAAGCTTATAAAGCACCTATATTGGAACGTAAACGGAGTAGGAAGGGCTAACGCGATAAGGCTGGCGGTAGCAATATCAGCACTGGAAGCGTCAGAAGCATCAATATCAGAAACAAAAATGGCAGCAGTACCGGCAAAAGTTGCAGCTTTCGAGCACGTAAAGGACACACTGGCATGGCTCTACCAAAAAATGAAACTAAAAGGGCGAAGGATCTACATGGCAATAGCGACGGACCTGCGAAGAATAGCAGTAGAATTAAGATCAGGAGGGACAGCAATGCTGGAAGTGGAGGAACCGCTGAGGATGCCAGAGTACAGGATGAGTATAGTAGTCCTAGCACAAGAGCAGGAAGGGGAGTACCTCACCCGGGACATTGGCAAGAAAGAGGCGATGCTAATGTGGGCAACAGGGGCGATAAATGAAGCAGGTAGGCTAGTGGTATCACTATACCGAAGGGAGTCGAAGGTAGAAGACACTGAAGCGGCGAGAAAATTTATAAGGGGACAGATGGCGAAGCTGCTGGCGAAAATAAGGGAAATGATGGGAAGGGCTAAGATCGGAATAATAACGGGAGACCTAAACTGTGAATATGAGGTAACGAAAGAAGAAAAGATGAAACTGCGGAAGGACAAGAACAACACCCCGATAAGCGTAGTAGTCTATGAGGAGGCGCTTCTACCGCTGCAGAATTACGTAAATGAGGTAGCGCTGACGATGGAACCAGGGGGGCCGACGTGCTACAGGAGTGCGCGGAACCCATCCAAGATAGACTTCCTAGCAGTGGCGCCAATCAGATCGAGGATAATCACGAAGCAAATCCAGAGGGTGCAGATACCAAAAGACCCGACCGTGCGAAGAGTGTTGGAGTTTGAGGAGGGGATGAATCCGTACGATGAGGCGGATCATTTAGCGCTAATGGCTACAATAATGTGGACGGAGCAGGAGGCGGAAGAGGAAGTGGCGACAACGTACAGAGCAACAGAACAAGATCCGCAAGAACTACACTTCAACGCGAAGTTCGCACTGATGCAGCCTTCGCCGGAATTTATGCGAAGAAGCATCGAGATAATAAAGGGAAAAAACAGATTTGAAGAGGAGAACCCTTTCGAAGAGACAGTGCGCTGGCCCAGGGGATCAATTAAGACGGAAGAGCTTCAGGAGAAAATGGAAGCGAGCGCGATCAACGCAGAAGAAATAAAGGACATAAGAAGCTACCACAAGTGGGTGACGAGCACAATGAAGGAAACGGGAATGATAAAAGAAAAAAAGAAGCCAGTGCCGAAACTGGCAGAGACAATAAGAAGAAGAAGGATAAGAGAGAGAGAAAAGAAAGGGAAGGGGAAAGCCCAAGGCCATAGCGTTAGAAAAGGGGAGGAAAAAAATAGCGAGGAGCCGAAAGACGCAGGGAAAGAAAGGAAGGGAAAAGGTCGGAAGGCCCACCAAGGAGATGAAGAAAAGAAAGAAGAGGCGCGGAGTGAAGAAGAAAAGAAACTAGCGAAAGAGTGGATGGAGGCGCATAGTTGTATGCTAGAAGAAACAAAAGACAAACCAGAGAGCATCCATGACTACGCCAGAAGAGCCAAGGAGATGGTACTTGGAAAAGGAAGAGGAAAGCCGGTGGAAGGAGAAATATCGGAAATGACGGTAGCGGGTCGACAAGTATCGGGAGCAGAAAACTGCACCAGAGAGCTAGCTGGGAACCACATTTCAAAGGTAGGAGCGATAATGGAAGAGAATGGGAAGAGCCACACATTTAGTGGGAGCACACTCCGGGATGCATATCAATCGCTGACGGAAGCATGCAAGAAGGTGGCGCCGCTCAGAGTCACAGCGACTCAGCTCAAGAAGCACACTAAGAGACTAAACGCACAAGCAGCAGGAATGGATGGAATTAGATTCCAAGCATACAAGACATTAAGCGGCGAGCAGTTAAGGATACTGGCGCAGGTGTACAACAAATTCCTGGAAGAGCTAGCAGAGTCCCCGATGACCCCGAGAGACGTAGAGAAGTTGCTGGATAAGAGTTTGACTGCGGTGAAAGTTGAAATGTTGAAGAAACAGACAGCGGCGTCAACAGCCTGCGAGAAGATCAGAACAGTAATTCAAGGGACGGCGGTGACGAGATTTCTGATGAGCTACCTAACGTACCAAATGGTCAGGATAAGCGATAAGAGCAATGGTTTCGCGAGATGTGGCGCAGCATCTAAGCCAGGCGCCTCATGTCAGGCAACAGTGGTGCAGTTATTGGAAACCTTGCACAGCGAAGAAATACAAAAAACCCTGGATAGTGCGGAGAAAGAAGACGGGGAGCCAGGCGATCTACTAAGCAAACTGGAAAAGGCAGGAGAGAACTGGATGAGCGAAGAAATTCAAGAGAAAGGAGAAGCACCGGAAGAGGAAGGCGAGGGAGGTATTTCGCCGATAACAGCGCCGGACACAGAACAGGAGGAGGAGGCAAAAAGAAGAAAAGGCGAGGAAGAAGAAGAGAAGAGGAGGGAAGAAGAAGAAGCCAGGAAGTGGATTAGCGTAATAATTGGGCTGGATGCGTCGAACTTCTATAATAATTTGACGCTTTGCACAGCGTTGCGGGCGTACAGGCGCAGCGGAGTGCACCCGTGCTACCTGAAACTCGTCGCAGCAATAAACTGGAATAAGGAAGTTTGGCTACGCAATGGGAACACGTATGCAAAAGTAAAGAACCATCACGACCTAATCCAGGGATCAGTAGAGTGCATGCTAGCGGGCACATTGGTTTTCATGCCAGGGGTGGAGGCGGTGCAGGAATATTTGGAGGAGGTATTTGATGAAACGGGGAGAGTGAAGGGAGTCAAAGAGCTCCAAGCAGCAAGGACAAACCTTAGGGAAAAAATTAAGGACAACTTCGGCACAAGAAAAGAAACGGAGACGGACACATCATTTCCGCCGTACGTGGTAGAAAATGAGACGGATGAGATCTACAAAACAGAACAGCCCCCCAGGACAGGAAGGGGAAGGAGGAGAGTACTAAAAAGGAAAAGGAAGAACAAGCAAAAATATGAATGGGTAGGAGAGCAGAACACGGCAGAAGGAAAAAAGAAGCAGCCGCAAACGCTAGCGGTGCAGTTCGTTGATGATGGCACGCTAGCACTTACATACCACGAAGAAGATCGCGGCAAAGTATTGAAAATTTTGGAAGAAATAGCGATAGCGTGCGAAATAATGTACACTCGTGAGGGGCAATTCCTGGCACCCCAGAAGTGCGAGTTCACGTCGTCAGATAGAGAGGAAGAGAGGAGGAAAGAAGTGCGGGAAGCATTTAGACCGTTCGGGATCAGATTCAATGAAAGAAAGACGAGAAAAATACTCGGGACAACAATAACAACGCTGGGAGCGGAGCAGCAGAGAAAGTTAATAAAGGGACAGGTAAAGCAGAGCATCGGCATAGGGCAGCACCTATCGCTGCAGGTGATGAAAGCAAGGAAGAAGATTAACGGCGAGGAACTGAAGTGGGTAATACAGGTGTTCTTTACGTCGGCGATGATCTACTTTCTCCCGGTTATGCAGATGTTCTTCACGGACAAAGATTGGGCAGAGTTGATGGGGGAGCTGGCAGTAGTAATAGCAGAAGCAATAGGCTTCACAGAGAAGACACTGCAGAAAATAATGAAGATTACAAAAACAACGCCGGAGACGCTCTATCGGGTAGTGTACTCGTATAATGTTCTATCCGCAGTTGATCCATTCTTAATGGGTATAAAATCACTGCGATCACTAGCGCAGATGAACATGCTCACGGACATCGGCCTATTTATGAAGTGGGCAACGTTACCAGTGCGAATTTTAGGAGAAGGGGAGCAAGGTATAACGAAGGGAATCATAGAGATGATGGATAAGAGAAACGTGGCAGATATAGCGTTACTGGATGCAATGGGAAAAGGGACGTGCATAAGGATGCCAGCTGTGTCAGATCTGAGGGCGACAGGGATAGTACAGGACAACTCTAGAACGTATGGGAATTCATGGCCGAAGGATGGAGAGTTGGTGAAAGTGATTGCAGCAGACGAGTTAGGGCTGACAGTAGTGACCCGCAGAAGAATAGTATCAGGAAGAACGACGGGAAGAGCATCGTGGGAGAAGAGAATATATAAGACAGAGCAGAAGCATCTCGAAACAGAAGAGAGGGAGCAGGAGCAAAGATTCCTAGCCTATGTGATCAACTCGCTGCGCATCCTGGAAGATTTGCAAAAAGAAGAAGCAGAAGGGATAGTGGTGAAGCTAGTGGACTACGATGTGCTACGGAGCGCCACAGCGGGGCAACTGCGGGCAGAGCACGGGATTTGTTTAGAGTTGACAGAAAAGATTGAAGAACTACATCAGCAAATTGTGGAAAGAGTAGAGAAGATGCACAAGATAGAGAAAGAAGATGCGCAGAGGCGTTTGCGGTTCCAGGGCCACAGTGGTACAGTGGGGATATGCATCGATAAGGGGGGCCTCGAAGTAAAAGAAGAAGAGAGGAGGGTGGGAGAAGGAGTAGAGATAGTGACAAGCAAGACCCTGCGCGCCATTGATGTGTCGGAGATGGACAGAGGGTCACTAATCTGGCCGATATATGATTTCGGAGAGGGGGCGCTAGGGCTGCCAGACGTAGAAGCTTGGCCAGAGATGACAAGGACTGAGCGGCAGGACTTCATAATAGGAGCACTATGCCCCGAAGAACTCAGAAAGATAGAAGAGCCCGAAGATATTAAGGAGAATAGCGACACTAGAGGAATATTGAAAGAGTGGCAAGACGAGCAGGAAAGTGAGGAAGAAGCGCATCTAGTAGAGCGGAAAAAGGTGAAGCAAGCAGACGAGGACCTAATGGGGAAGCTGCTGGAGAACGCTACAAGAATGATTAAGGAGGAAGAGGAGGATGCGCAAAATAGAAATGACACGAGGAGAAATAGTAAAAGAGACACAGAAAAGGGGACAGCATTGCAGTCGCTATCGCTCTCGATAGTAGAAAGAAAAGAGAAGAAGATACTACCTGGAGAGCTGCGGGACTACACTTGGGAAGGGGAGGAGGTAGATGGAACGGGCCAAGAAGACAAAGAAGAAGCAGGAGGAGTCGATAAGGTAGGGGCGCAAAGGGCACAAGGTGGCGTAGGGGAGTGGAAGGAGAAAAAAACGAGGCAGAAAGTGACCGCAGAGGGAGACGGCCCAGCGAAACAGGGGGCGACAACAAAAGAGGAAAAATGGGGGGAACGGAAAGAGAGCGAAGAAGGAAGAGGGAAAAAAGAAACAAAAAAAAGTAAGCACGAAGGCAGCGCGCAACGCAGCAGGTTCTCGGCCGTCCAGCCAAAAGCCAGGGCGTCGCTAGAAAGTAAAGGCATAAGTATAGGAATAACGCGGAGCAGCGCAGGGAAAGAAGCTAAAGTCACGGGAGGAAATGAGAAGCCGGCGACTCAACGAAAATCAAAACAAGCGGAAGCGAAAAGCACAAAGCAAAAGACAGAAGCAAAGGAGTTGGCCGAGCCAGTGCGAGCGGAAGTAGACCCCCTAACCTCAAAAGCGCCGTACTCATTAGAATTCTCAAAGGGAGGGTATAAAAGATACTCAAAGGAAGCCGGGGCACCGCAAGACCAGAGAGCAAGTAGCGCTGCAGGACAAAGAGGGAGAGCGAGCAACAGTGAAAACGTGAGGAGAAGAAAAAGCGCCGAAGGAGAAAGAACAGAGTCCAAAAAGAGAGAAGCAGAAGGAGAAGATACAACGCAAAGGAAAAGGCAGAAAAGCAAACAGCACGGAGATAATAAACAAGAAGCAGCCGAAGAGGAGGAGACGCTGGCGCAAACGATGCGGCGGATTATCAGCGAACCCTTGCAGATGGGCGCAGGAGGGAGAGCGGGCGGACGACTACAAGCGACGCAGGATCTCTACGGTTAAACAGCTGAAAAGTCTCTAAGTCAGCTCGGGCGTCGCGTCTGAATGTTCTACAAGTTTGAGAAATGCACCTCGTTGGCCGTTTGAAAAGCACATCACTGCAAGACTTTGCCGGCTGCTGAAAAGTACAGCAGTCCAGTGCAGTAGAGTTCTAAATCTGAAACAGAAACAGGAGAGAAAAAAAAAAAAAAAAATAATAATAAAAAGAGAAGCCGGCGAGAAGATTCGCGCGACTTGGTGCGTTCGTCCCAAAGCCTCGCCATCGCTCTCAGAGCCTTCAAAACCTGTCCAGCTAGTGGATCCATTAAGCGGCCGACGAAATTGATACAACTAAGATCAGCACAGGAGCACTCAGGCAGATCACGAGGCAGGGCGGGGAATCAAAAGAAAAATCACAAGAAAAATCACAAGAAAAAAGAAAATCAAAAGAAAAATCAAAAGAAAAATCACAAGAAAATCAAAAGAAAAATCAAAAGAAAAGTCAAAAAGTAAAGAAATCGACGGCGTGAATTTCGGTGCTTGGACTCCAAACCTCGAGTTAGGTGCCAGGCCCCCGGCCCTTCGGCTTCGCGGCTGAGGGGCTGGGTTTCGTTGTGATTGAAGTTCCTGCCGGTGCGCAGCAATGTGAATCCGATTTGCTTGCTGCTGCTATGTATGCTTTGTATGTTTCCTGCCGCCTTGTAGTCGTTATTCAGCACTTTGTCTTTGCCGCTCTTCGTTCGTTTTGTCCAAGGAGCTAGATCGCAAATTCGTGCGCTCCTTCGCCTTTGAAAAATTAGATCTTCCCTGTGCCCGGTGTTGTCCCACGTATATGTAGGTCTCTACCCTTTTACAGTCTTGTGGCCTTCGCACTTAGTCTTGCTTGATCCACGTCTTGTAGCGCTAGGCGTTCCGCGGACCCCGCGTCCTCGCAGGGGCTTCTCTTTTTTTTTCCGCCTAGCCAGCGGATTGTTGCTTGGGGGGTGCTATTAGCTTTGCAAAAACAAGTGCGTTAGTTTTTTACAACCGTCTTAACAGCCGCAGGTTTGCATCTGCGGCTATCGCCACTCTGCAAACGCCCGGTGTAATTTTCAAAAAACAAGATCTGCCTCGCTGCTACCGGGGTTAGGACGTGCCTCATTCAGGGCGGGCGGTAGCTAAATGCGGACCTGTGTGGGCTTAAGTTTTCTGAAGCGTGCACACAGTCAGTAGCGTAACGCACTAGCTTAATCATTTTTGACCGTTTTACGAACTTCGTGAAAAGACCGGGGCTGCTTCCTCCCGTTGTAATTAGATGGGTTTACGGGTTTAGGGTTTTCCGATTCAGCAAAAAAGAAGCAAGCTCTTCGTCGACGTGGAAAAAGCTTTATCGGACGTGTGCCGCTGCTACCGGCTCGACACGTAGAATGAAAACGAATCTCGCGCGTTGTGCGGGAGTAGCTACCCCTCCCCTACTTCGGGTTGTAGTTGCCATTGGCGTCATTGATTGTGGTCGACAAAATCTCTTCCCGATGATTTCCTTCTTTGGGTTTGTGTATGGTGAGTGAGGAGCTTGCTCCTTTTTTGTGCCGCGGTGTCGGAGGTTTTGCAGCATTCACGCACAAACTGCATTTTTGGAAACGGAGGGGGGGTGCGGGACCCCCATCAAGTCGTCGCGGCGCGAAGCCGCAAATCCCTGGTCCTCGTTCACCATCAGAAGTGTTCGACCGGTGGGGCGCTCCACTGAAACTGAAACTGAGGAACTTACAGGATCCAAAAAAAAAAAAAAAAAAAAAAAGTAATAATAATTACGCAGGTAACGAGGCCAGGCGTTCGACTTGAATGCGCGAAGACTCTGAACTGCGAGCCGGGAGCAGCTAGCTAGACGGGAAGGAGGCGAGTCAAAGTGGGGAAGAGACAGGAGAGGAGGCGACTAATGGTGAAGAAGGAAGGAGGCGAGTTAGATGGCGGCGAGTTAAATTGAAACAGAGGCGAGGTAAAGGTGAAGAGGGGGGCGAATTTAATTGAAGAAGGAAGAAAAGAGGAAGGAGGGAGATGAAGCATTAAACAGGAGGCCATCAGCTCGTAGTTATAAGCTCCGCCATTTGTATAAGTCAGGCCTTTTCTTTTATAGTAGATCATGAACGGCGCGAGCACCTTTTAAACCCCCCCAGCCGTCCCATATTTGCATGCGCGGGGAGTCTAAGTAACATGGCTCGCCCGAGTCATTGACGAACCGGGAAGATGGGAGGTGGGGCTTACAGTCTTCAGACAGGCCAGCCGCCGTGAGGGACTACCGCCTCTGTTATTGAGGATAGCGTGTGTCCTCCTCGACTGAGTTGCGTGCGCGGCCCATCCGTGTTCCGCGTAAACCTCTACAGGAGAGTGTACGCCGCGTCGAAAGGCTCCCTTCCGTACGGAGCGCC